AGCTTTTATTATTTTCTTAAATGTTTCTAGTTATAATATAATCTAAGAGATTTAATCTTTAATATTCTTCTTTAGATTATTATAGCTTTTATTATTTTCTTAAATGTTTCTAGTTATAATATAATCTAAGAGATTTAATCTTTAATATTCTTCTTTAGATTATTATAAAATTAATTTTATWATCTTTCATTACTTTATTTAAGGTATCCCGATATCTATAGGAATTTTAAAATGTATTCTTCAATAGATCTATTTTATTTTACTTTTTTAATTTTATATTATTTCTAGAATTCTTTATTAATTATTTTAAATAGCTAGTATAATCTTTCTTTAAAATAGATGAAGCTATTAAATATATTTATTATTTCTAGATTAAATTAATTATTATTATTTTTAATTTAGTTAGTAATATATAATATAAATTATCTTATTACTTCTTTAGTAAGGAAGTTTAAAGTAATAAAAATCTTATTTTATTTAATAATAATCCTTTTATTATTATTAGAAAGTTAAATTTATAATTTTACTAGGAAAACTTTAAGCATTCTTTTTTCTTTTAAAAATAATTTAACTTTCCTTGTCTTAACTTCTTTAAGAGTTACGTTGTTATTATATCTTGATTTATATATATCTATAATTTATACTTTAAATTTTTTAATTCTTACTAGAATAGAAGTAATATCTTAGTTATTAGTAGTTGTAGTATTACTAGATAACTAGAATAGAGTTGCTGTATTAATTACTTATAGTTAAACTAGAATAGTAAGAGTATAAAATATTATACTTTTTTATTAGAATTTCTTTTTTGTAATAAAGATCTTAAATTATTATAAATTAAAGATTTATAATTATCTAGATTAAAGTAAACTCATCACTTAATAATAATTAGGTAGTATTCTATTTAGAAAAGGGTAGTATATCTAAATAATAATAAGATAGCTTTAGTTAATTAGATCTATAAATAATAGTATATCTAAGATTAAATAGTTAATTTAAGATAATAGGCTAGGACTAAATATATAGTAAAAGAGTATTCTTTATATATTTTATTATTAGTATAGCTATTAGAGTAAAGTTCTTATTAGGGCTCTATTAGCTCTATTCTTAGTGAATATACCTAATATATCTGTTTATTACTAAACGGCTCTATTAGCTTTGTTACTCTAATCCTAGCGGTTATAAATAATCCTTTATTCCTTCTTGCATTAGCTTCCGTGCATGGGGGCCTAATTCATTGGCTGTGACTTCTTGCTTTCTCTGACACAGCCATGCCAGAAGCTCCTCGGAGCGATGGTAGTAGTGTACTTATTAAAAAACAACATGTACTGCAATCCAGCAGCACCACATCACCACTGATGGTGATTGAAGGGGACCATGAAAAGGAGAATTAAGATAGTAATATCTTTAGCGAACTAAGCATCCCTAAGTTACTATAAAAAAAATCGATACTGAACTTGATAGTGTGAAGGACGTTAAGCTATACACCATGTTTGGAGCGCTGAAGACGAAGTTGCTCCAGAACACCATACCGGTGCTTCGAAGTATTCTATTCATCAGGAACCGGTAGATTTGCAAAGCGCTGATTGGGTGAGAGTGCTAACTAATTAGATCAAAACAAGTTTTAGTAAAGGGGGTTTGAATTTTCCAAAATTAGAACAATTCCTGATCCTATAGAGTTAGTTTCCCATGAATCGGTAGCAGAAGACATGGCTGGTTTTATAATTAAGGGTAACCGTTGGTTCCTTTCCCTCTAGTCAAAGTCAGGAAGGGTTAAAAGAGTGGGAAAGAAAGAATCATGACGGCCACAAAAGCTCCCGACGAGCTATTTCCTATCACAACTTTCATTTCAGAACTACCGCCCAATCTCATTCCGCAGTCTTCCGAAAATTGCCCAGCAAGTGGACAGCTAATCATTGTAGGCGACGTACATGGGATGAGAAAGTCCCTGGAGGCACTCTTAGACAAAGTCGGCTTCGACAAACGCAAAGGGGATCATCTGATAATAGCCGGCGACCTAGTTAATAAAGGACCCGATGGTCCTGGTGTTATTGATCTGGCTATCAAGCTTGGTGCCAGTGCAGTGAGAGGCAACCACGAAAACGCAGTTCTAAATGCGGCCAAGGAGATCAACACCACAAGGGATAGTCTATCATACTCCGGAGGCTTGAGTGGCAGTCCCGCCATACCTGAGAACCCTCAATCCGACCTGCCTGAGAATATTGTCCGGGGGCTTGATATTCCTGATCAAGGCGCATCTGCTACAACTGATATTAGTATAAGAAATGGCGCGATAACAACGCACGATACGGCATTGAAGCTTTCTGCACGCCATCTTCACTGGCTTGCTGCTTTACCTTTGATCTTGTGCGTCAAGCTACCCTATAATTTAACATCCTCCCTCGGCGACAATCTAGTTGTTGTACATGCAGGCCTCGTTCCGAGAATCCCACTGGAAGAGCAGGAATCACACGCTATAATGCATATGCGGGGCCTTGTCCGTGCAGTGGACAATGAAGACGAATTCATACCGGCTGAAGCTCCTGGAGAAGAAGGCTGGATTGCGGAATGGGACCGGTGGCAAGACGAGAGAACATCGAACACTACGGTGATATTCGGGCACGATGCTAAGCGTCGCTTGCAGCTGGGAAGGTATACGATTGGACTTGATTCAGCGTGTTTGTACGGTCGTAGGTTAAGCGCAGTTGTAATTGCGGCTTTTGACGCAAAACTTAAGCATCATATCATTCAAGTCGAATGTGCCGATACGCCTGTGGTTGTATAATTGATAGGAGGAATGTTGTTGAGGGTACGTTAGTTGGTTTCTCTTTAGGCGGGGCTGACCCATCGTCATAGCAGATCATCATGTATCCTTAATTATTTCTTTTTATTTATATAAAACCGCTCCTCCCCCGAGTACTTCCATCTAGCAATAACTATCGCCAAGCTCCATCTAAGACTCCAATGACCTTGCGTATTCTCCTATTTGTCCCATACAGCCGAGGCTGAGCCTTGAAGAAAAACGAGACAGTTGAGCGCCGTGAAATTCTCTACTGGTAGTATGGTTTAATGGGCTCAGGATTAGGATTGTTAAGGATCGATAATTCGCCAGGGAACAAGTAATACGTCGGTAAGTAATCAGGGACAAATCCACCGGGGGAGGGCAGATGCGTGATACCTACCTTCCTCGTAGTATTGCATGTAAAGTACTACGTATATGCGTGGAACTACTACTACTACATACAAGTTTTATAGGTCTATTGGGTTTAGATACTTTCAATCTAAGTGTACGTTTCCTTCATTTCTTGTGCCGATTTTCTATTGATATTGCTCTTGCTTTTTAGTTACATGATTCCACGTCTGGGCAAGACCCCGAGACGAAGGAACACCGAGATGCAAACTCCGCCGATAGAACATATGCGCTTGAAAGCCGCTAGTAAATTATGCGTTGACTAGTTGGACCTGGAGAGGATGTAAATATAGGCAAATTGTTTCATCTCCTCGATGTTATCCGCCTTCACTACTTTTTCATCATTGTAAAGTACCCAGGCCGATTCGTCGCTATGAGGGATTTTCTTTTTCAAGAAGGCAACGTAATGTCTGTTTGAAGTTAGCATTCCATTGTCAGGTTACCCGGTTAGCAAGGACTTACCCAGCATGCAGTGAACCGCCTTTGTGACAAACCAGCGACTGGAGCTTGTATTTTGCAGGCAAATCTGTTTCGCCGGGTATTTCCCGCTGCGCAGTTGACCCAGTCTCTTGGGCAGTGGACATCTCGTTATCGTCGTCAGAACCTTCAGGATGGCTAAATACCCAATCCAGCGCCCTATTAACATCTCCACCTGTCGCTGATAGCGCTCTTGAGGCCTGCTTAGCATCAATGCCCATCTCTCCAAGTTGCTGAATCTTTTCAACATCTTGTTCCGAAGGGGTTACACCACTGTTCACTGATACGGGCTTATCAATATCAGGATCATCTAGATGAGCCAAAAGCCAGTTCATTGCACTCTCGAGATCGGAATTGCCAGTTGCATACAATGCATTTTCACATCGTACCTGGGAGAATCCCATGCTTGCTAGCTGTTGAACTAGTTCGGTATTAGCAGAGAACGCCGGGGTACCAGTAGCGGCATCTTCCGGTAAAAATTCTTCTGTGGGCAGGGGACCAGAAGACAAGTAAGCACCCATATCCATGTCATCATCGTTGATTTCCACTGGGATGTTGAGTTTGGTAGGTACCCAGTTGATTAATTCAAATCGACGGGCATTTATGACCAGATGCTGTGGTAGCGACTTGAAAAGCGACCGTTTGCGAAAACCTTTGTTACTCCCGCAGCCTGGGCACTTCAATTCCACCGCCTCATCACCAGTGAAGATATCAAGACACTCCTTCATGGTTACTGACTCGTATCTGGCTGTCTTTTCCAAGCCGTTTTCCGACGCGAGTGGACGGGCAGGTACCTGGACTGAGATGTTGTCCTGCTCGTCATACTTGTATCGGACTTTACCACAATCTAGGCATTGAAGGCGCTGTTCAAGAACGAAACGGAAACTGTCGACAGGATTGGCCGAACTTTCGGTACGATTCGACAAAGTGATAAGTTTGAAAAGATGTAGCAGCAACTCAAAAGCGTCTTGCTGTCTCATGGTCGAGAATTCCTCATGGCCGCGGCCAATGAGATGTTTGAACATGGCAGGCGCCAACCCTCTTTGATGTGGTACTTCCACCGATTCAGGTTGGACCGATATCTCAGAGTCAGGTTTCGAATATCTTCCAGACAAGAGACCGTCGGCCAGCTTCCTTAATTGAGTTTCGAGATCCTCTGCGGGGTTATTGACCTGAGGAGGATCCTCATTGGGACGAAAATATCGTTGCTGAAATTCAGGCAGTGCGAATAGACATTGAACGATACTAGCAAGGTAACAGCTATTCCCTAAATTTTTTAGGCCCGTAAAGCCAGGGCCAAAGACTGGTTGTAGGACAGAGCCATCATCAGTTGTCATTGCAAATTCCCACTTCAGATTTTGCTCAACCTGGAGTTCCATTAGACTTTTCTCCGTCTTCTCACTTTCTGCAATGTTGATGCCCCAATGCGCTAGATGTGCGGCCAGGTTAGGGTCTAACCTCTCCTCATTGCACTTGTAACAGTATATGTCGGCAGAACCTTCTGGTGTTATAGAGCCAAGCTTGACAGCAACACCATGAGATGACGAATCTGCATGGGCTAAGGCATGTGAATTACCGCCAACACCTCCAAACTGGCTCCTACCGCAGCCGACATTGCCGCATTCCAAGCACAGCCATAGATTCTCTTTCAGCTCACACGAGGAGCATTGTTTCAAATCTAAAATCACATTAGAACTGGGCAATGTGTGGTTTTGGCACTAGTTTCCTTACCACTCCCGTTGACATTTCCGCTGTCTTGCTGGACCAAGCATAGGGTGTGCTCGCAGGGAATGAATTCTTGTTCCCACGCTTTAACCTCTTCTCTTTTCGAGAAAGACAGAGCTTTCATGACTCCATCCACTACGGCGGATAACCTATCATCCAAATCGCCAGTATTCTCTTCCTGACACTCGTAACAGATAACGGTTGTTGCTGTATCGTAACGGTCTTCTTCCGTCTCGGCTAATATAGCAAGCTTAGAAATCTTCTGGGGTGGCTCATCCCTCTATAAAGATAATACCGTGTTAGCTGAGCAGATCTCTCGAGGTTTGCAAATCTTCGTGTCAACCCACCTGTACCTTTTTTTTGGTCCGCCTGATATTGAGAGCCAACACGTGCCCTGTACGTGTATGGTGCAGTTGTGAGTGATTCCTTTCACCAGTACATCCGCCGTTGAAGCAATGGAGGCAGACACTCAAGCCGGATGGATCGTCCTGGTTGCTGTCAGCTACTCAGTCACATGACAATTTTGTGACAGGCTAGGTCCCTTACTATCGAATCGAAACACTGAGTGCAATCTTCTCTGTACACGGGCTGCGTCGAGTTTGGAGGTCGCACGTCTTAGGGGGAAACGGGAGTACGTTAGTATCGCGTAGTCACGAAGCTGGGCCGAGGACGGATGTACCTGCATCTTTGAAATGACGGCAACCCGCCATGCTGGAGATGGGTGGGAAAGATAACAGATAACAGAATGAAACTGTTTCGCAATGAGCAAAGCACAAAGAGTCGACGGCGGCTAGTGGTGATGGTGAGAGGATGATGGATAGATAGACAATAGTTGGAAGAAGGAGCTCTCGATGACATCAAAAAAGGTTACTCACACTATAGTGCCTTCCGTGTTTGTTTAGTGCGGGGTGCTGGCCCTCTTCCCAAGGCACCAAGGCATCCAGGCCATCGATTAGTCGCGCCAAAACGCGCCACACGCGTCGTACCTTTTTCCCATTTCCATCTACTCGACCTAACCCATTACTGTCCCAACGGTGAAAGAGACAATCTTGGGAAAGTCGAGCTGCTTCAGACTACTTGTGTGCTAACAAGTCTTTGGCAGTCATACATCTTGGCCATCACCCGCGTGCTGTGGTCTGAACGAATCTATCAGTAACCATGGCTACTGACCCAGCAACGTTGATCTCGGTGGGATCCCTGAGGCAAGTTGTCGCCTATCGAGTTTCTTTCTGCCCTTTCCTAATAGATTCACTTAGTGCGATCTTCGATGAATCGAGAACAGCCCCAAGCGAGCCCATCGTCCAATGTGTGCAAATCAAACCACTCGCTCCTCAGCCGAACGGTCAAGAGCGATACCGAGCGGTTTTCAGTGACATTTCTAATTATGTGCAAACTATGATCGCTACTCGTAAGTCTTTGGGATGGTCGGTTGACACTGATCGTATCTAATGAGATCCCTTATAGAAGCGAATCACCTCGTCAAAGATGGAATTCTTAGAAAAGGTTGCCTCGTACGACTAAAGTCTTTTCAGTCAAATTCTATCAAAGGCAAGAAGTATGGCTCACATTTGAATCCTGACCCCGAATCTAGTAAATTAATATGGCAGTACTGATCGTGATTTCAAGAATCCTCATCATACTCGATCTCGAAGTCCTACAACACCTCGGCGAATACGAGAAAATCGGGGATCCCAAACCACTTGAAGGCAAGTCAGAAGATGAGGAGAAAGCCACACCAACAATGATGTCTAGCAATGGGGTATACGGTACAAAAGTACCGACCGGACACGTCGCTCACAACATACGCCAGACATCCTCTTCTGGCCACGCAACTATTTACCCTATTGAGGCTATATCTCCATACTCTCACAAGTGGACGATAAAGGCACGCTGCACGAGCAAGTCGGCTATCAAGACATGGCATCGCAGCAACTCGGAAGGCAAACTCTTCAGCGTGAATCTATTGGACGATAGTGGCGAGATTAAGGCGACTGGTTTCAACGATCAGTGTGACTCACTCTATGATCTATTCCAAGAGGGCTCAGTTTATTACATCTCAAGCCCATGTCGAGTCCAGATTGCAAAGAAGCAATTTTCAAATTTGAACAATGACTACGAGCTCACGTTTGAGCGAGACACTATTGTTGAAAAGGTAGCTTGCTGTTCACTCTTTTTTGGGCGAGAAATTTAACTCATGTGAATCTTTACAGGCTGAAGACCAGGACAGTGTTCCTCAAGTCCGATTCAATTTCACTACCATTGGTGACCTTCAGTCAGTGGAGAAAGACACAACGATTGATGTCATTGGTGTTTTGAAAGAAGTCGGACAGACCTCACAGATAACTTCTAAAACGACGAACAAACCTTACGACAAACGGGACCTGACTCTTGTCGACAATACCGGATTCTCTGTTCGACTGACAGTCTGGGGCAATCTAGCCACAAATTTCAACACTTTACCTGAATCAGTAGTTGCTTTTAAGGGCGTGAAGGTGTCCGACTTTGGGGGTAGAAGCCTGAGTTTGCTCAGTTCCGGCACCTTCACCGTCGATCCCGACATTGAAGAGGCCCACAGACTCAAGGGCTGGTATGATGCACAGGGAAGGTCTGACACTTTTGCATCCCATGCTTCCATGTCAGATGGGGCCACTTCTGGCAGCGGGAAGCTCGACCAGTACAAGACGATCGCCCAGATCCGCGAAGAGCAGTTGGGAATGTCAGAAGCCGCCGACTTTTTCTCTCTGAAAGCCACCATCATTTACATCAAACAAGACAATGTGAGCTACCCGGCATGCCCTTCACAGGATTGCAACAAGAAAGTTAGCGAACTTGACCCTGGTCAATGGCGTTGTGAGCGATGCGACAAGACTTATCCCAAACCAGAGTATCGCTACATCATGCTTATCAATGTTAGCGATCATACTGGTCAATTATGGCTAAACTGTTTCGATGAAGTTGGAAGACTTATCATGGGCACAACGGCGGACGATTTGGTTAGTATGGAAGCCGAAAACAAGTATGAAGCTAGCGAGCTCTTCCAGGAGGCCAATTGTCAGACATGGAGCTTCCGCTGCAAAGCGAAAATGGATCATTACGGCGAACAGCAGAGGTATGTTCAAGACTCTAAGATTCTTTTCCATGCCCGGCACCCGGTTCTCTCAGCAGAGTAACGTTCTAATTATTGATTGTTACAGGATTCGATATCAGATATCCTCGGCCAAGCCGATCAATTACTCCGAAGAAGCTACAAGATTGGCGAACCTCATCCAATCATATAGTCTTGTATGAGGATGTCTCGTTGGATACGTGTGTTTGTTGCTTGATCGATGTTGCTCTCCCTGTGCTGCCAATGATGTGTTATCAAATAATGACTGGAGGGTTAAATGAAGTAAATGAATTGATTGATGAAGCCGATGTGTATCAGAAATCTCTCGTAACTACTTGTTGCGTGCTTATACATAGCGTACACATATTACAGCGGAATTCCGTGAGATGTGGGACCACCTCAGTCAGTGTGGGGGAGAAATTAATAATACCTAACTAGCGAACCTTCCCATTACGTATTCGAACATATATACTCTCATACTTTACCTTAAATTGGCTCTGCTGTTCGCTTCTGACTAGCATACATACACCGCAGTCACAAACCATGGCGTCGATGAAAGCAATAGGTTTGTCTTGCTGTTTCCTCACCGAGGAAGACTGATATCTCACCATGTCTTCGGGTAGGCATCAAGGATGGCAAAGGGCCGGCAGAGGCTATGTTCATGGACACAATCAGCCGCCCCGTCGCAACCGGTAACCAGGCCTTGGTTAAAATAAAGGCATTTGGACTCAATCGAATGGATTTGCTGCAGAGGGACGGCAAATATCCAGTTCCACCGCAAGCTCCCAGCACAATGGGCGTGGAATTTTCCGGGGTCATTGAGGAGCTTCCAGATTCACAAAGTGGTTTCAAAGTTGGCGATGAGGTTTTCGGCCTCGCATATGGAGGTAAGACTACTAGCACGAGCATCAGTAATCCGATTTTGGGAATAGCTCTTAACGGTCAGTCAATGCCCAGGTGCCTATGCGGAGTATGTATCCGTATCTACACGAATGCTTATCCACAAGCCATCTGGAATCTCGTGGGAGGAGGCTGCGGGTATACCAGAGGCAAGGCTGAATACCTCTTTTCCCCAAGAGTACTCACCAACTAACACATGACTGTCAGACATGGATCACTGCAACACAAGCTTTGAACTTGATAGGAGAATTCAAAACAGGTCAATCGGTTCTATGGCATGCTGGCGCTTCTTCCGTATCCATTTCTGGCATTCAACTCTCAAAAGCCCTCGGCGCCACAAAGATTTTTGTCACGGCAGGGTCTCAGGAGAAGATCGACTTTTGCGTCAACGAGCTAGGCGCCACTGCGGGATTCAACTACAACACCCAGGATTGGGCCAAGGGTGTTTTAGAAGCTACTGATGGCAAGGGTGTTGATCTGATTGTTGACTTCATTGGAGCAAATTACTTTGCTTCGAACTTGACCGCTGCTGCACGAGACGGTCGTATCGTCGTGCTAGGTTGTATGAGCGGCGTTGAGCTACCTGCAGGTGTCAACATGGGTCCTATCTTGATCAAACGACTAAGAATCGAAGGCAGCACTTTGCGAAGCCGCGATGAAGGATACCAGGAGAAGCTTCGAAATCTTCTAGTAGAGAATGCTATGCCAAAGTTTGAGGACGGCACTTTCAAGGTCTTCATCACCAAAGTATTGCCATTCGATCAGATCGTTCAAGCACACAAATTGCTGGAAAGCAATCAAACAAAGGGCAAGATCATTTGCACAGTACCGTGATCAAATTGAGTGGGAGATATCTGATTATGATCATGTCTTGTTTGATATATATTCTGGCGATATTCCTTATCGATAAGGGGTGGAGTCTTGGCGGTCAAGAGTGGCAGAAATCATTTAAGCTTAGTTTTTGAGAAAAAATGAAAAAAATAAAAGTTACCCACTTGAGGTTCAACATACCAGGCGGCTGAGAATTGGAGTTGCTTGATTATCTCATCATATTTACAATGGCGAAAAGAACAGTCGCCGAAGAAAATGAACCGTCCCGGAAGAAATTGAAAACAAAGACTGTCAACGATGAAAATTATGCCGAAGACAAGACCGGTACACACGAGAAGAAGAAAAAGAAAGATAAGGGCAGTAAGAGTTCGTCCGGATCTGATACACCCAGTGCAAAAACTCCTCAGTCGGAAATAGATGATTTCATGAAAATCAACACGATAGAGATCTCGGATCCACTGAATAGGGAAAACCCCCCAGCGCCAATTCTCTCCTTCGTTCAACTTCCCGAACACGATCACATTTTATACGAACCGCTCAAGACCTTTTCGGCACCGACCTCTGTGCAGTCTGCCACATGGCCATTGCTGTTTTCTGGGAGAGATGTCATTGGTATCGCGGAGACAGGCAGTGGAAAAACCCTGGCTTTTGGTCTCCCATGCCTGAAGAACATGGTGGATTCCAAGAAGAAACTCAAGCCTTCTCATCCAAGGGCGGTGATTTTGACACCTACCAGAGAGCTTGCCATGCAGATTTACGAACAATTGGAGGGGTATGCTCCTCGTGTCTCCGTCAGAGTTACATGCATTTTCGGAGGAGTCAGAAAAGACGAACAGCGGGAAGCGTTAAAAGACACTGCCATCGTTGTCGCCACGCCGGGTCGATTGAAGGATCTTGAATCGGAAGGCGCAATCAATCTGTCTAAAGTGAAGTACCTTGTCCTTGATGAAGCAGATAGGATGTTAGACAAGGGGTTCGAGCAAGATATCAAAGATATCGTTGCCCCAATGCCCGTCTCTAGACGACAGACTGCCATGTTCACAGCTACATGGCCCGTCGCTGTTAGAAACCTTGCCAATAGCTTCACTCAAGATCCAGTCATGGTCACCGTTGGCGGGAAACCATCCGAAGATCCTCGTGCAAACACTCGCATCAAACAGGTTGTCGAAGTATTGGATGGGAGGGACAAGGAAAACAGACTCACTCAAATTCTTGCAAAGCTCACGAAGGAATCTCCTCAAGGCAAGATCCTGGTCTTCTGTCTATATAAGAAAGAAGCTATGCGCATTGAACGACTTATCCAGTCGAGGGGATATGCTGTCGCCGGAATCCACGGTGACCTCAGTCAAAGCGAAAGATTCAAGAGTCTTGCGTCTTTCAAGTCAGGTGCCGTTACCATTCTTGTTGCTACAGACGTGGCCGCTAGAGGCCTTGATATCCCAGCGGTGAAGACCGTGGTTAACGTCACCTTTCCCTTGACAATAGAAGATTACGTGCACCGCATAGGACGGTTAGTGACATTACTTATATATGCAATCTTGGTGTATAAAGCTAATTCTTTTTGCAGAACTGGTCGAGCTGGAGCCGATGGCGATGCTATAACCCTTTTCACAGAGAACGACAAGGCGCATTCAGGGGCGTAAGTGATTTCCCTTCCTGCAAACTCTGACAACATGAACATTAATAAATTATCAATTTAGGTTGATCAATGTTTTGAAAGCCGCGAAACAAAATGTTCCCGATTCTCTCTTCAAATTTGGCACCACTGTTAAGAAGAAGCAACACGATGCCTACGGTGCCTTTTTCAAAGACGTGGACGTGACTAAATCGGCGACGAAGATCACATTTGACGATTAGAGGGCTTATGATGAGATCTCTTTGCATCTCTAGAATTCATTCTTTCTTATGTACAACAAGCTCAGTGTCTGCCACGGACATGTTTTCTATACTGGTCCAATATGTAGTCGCGTTCTAGAAATAGACTATTTCCCAGATTTAGCATTTTTTTCTATTGCACTTTAGTTTGTTTGGGCGGATAGACTCACATTATCAATCCATAAATCGCGGCAAACCCAAGCTTACCCAATATGCCGTAGAGACCGTCACCTAAAGGCCGGTAGCCAAGCAGTTGACGACTAACTGCAAGGGCAAGCACGCCCAGTGTCTGAACATTGGGGCTAAAATCGGTGACTTTGAGCCCAGAACCATTTTGTCGCAGGTAACCTCGTATGTATGAAAGACTCCAGACTGTTCTCACAGACATGTTGATGATGTTTGCGAGCACCAACCCAAAGGCGCCGAGTTCTGCAACGGTGAGAAGCAGGTAGGATGCCAACCCGAAACACAACGTAAAAACAGTCATCCAGGCAGCTTGCCTTCGCATATCTGCAGGGCTGACAGCAGCAGAAACGAATGCTTCCGTGATACCATTGAATGCAAGGAATGGGATATAACAGCAGTAAGCCGATAGCAACCCTTGCACCTTCTCCGACATCCAACGTGATCCCATGAGAGTTTTGAGGCCAATCGGGACAACATCTGGACCGATACCCACGGCTAGCAACGCTAAAATTGCGTATGCTCGCAGAATATCAGTCAAATGGGATCTTGCGGCTTCAATCTGAGCCCTATGTTTCCTTTCATCTTTATCTGCTGTATTCAGCTGCTTTGACCACAAGTTTCTACTACTCTCTTCAATGGGTTGAAAGACCATGCGCGCAACGAGACCGCCATAATTCGATGCAAATGAATATATGCCTTGATCTTCCAACGTCGAGAAAGTGGCAAGAATCATGGAATCCCCTTGCGTGAGAAAGTGCTTCACAATCAACTGAAGGTACAGATTGACACCCAACCACAATAAAGTGCGCGAGAACCTATTCGCAATGTATTTCGTAGCATTTCTGTATTCTGCTTAGCAAAATATACTCCCAAAACTTCCAAACCTTCGAGGCGGTTGAAGATCTTACCTGGACTGGATTGACGTGAGCCAAAATGAGTAGTTATGCTTTGCTGACTTTGCCAGCATATGCCAGCTGTATACACAGATCAAAGCAGCAGCGTATGCGAGATATCCCATGGCGAAGGGCAAAACACCTGCATGCCATTCGCCTCTTGCCGCCCATATAGAAATAGCACAGGTAGCTATACTCCTTGCAAAAGCCGCGGTGGTCTCCACGATTGCCCGTTCCTTGTAGAGCATTCGCTGCTGAACCACTGCAAAGAATGGTTCGGTAGCTAGCTCTGCCATACAGGCCAGGGCGACTATGCGTAAGCTTTCTCGGAAATAAGGCGTCGATAGAACTTCTCCCGTCGCCCATGACTGATAGAAGCAAGCCAGGAGTCCGGATAGGGGCAGACCAATGGCTATCGCAATGTACGACATATTGACCACTGTCTGTGACGATGCAGAGTCATCTTTGACAATTTTCGAGTCCGCCTTATTAGTCGTGTCGGGTTTGTGCGTGTTCTCCTTATCAGCACTTTCAAACTCATTTGATATGGGTTCTCTTTGGATTGCGATTCGTACACACTCCCTTGAAAAGTATAGTACTGTGATGTAATATAGTTCTAAATGGGTAGCAACACCAACAATCTCTGGAGACAAGTGGCGCAACACCAACTGATTCGAGGCAAATGTGAGAAACCGCGACACGACTTGTATCAAGATCAGAAAACTCGTGCCATACGCCAGGGACGCGCGTGGTGCCTTTGGCGGTTGCTGGCTACTCTCACTCATTGTAATGGTATCAATTGTTAATGATTGATTTCGGCACCGCCAATACTCCGTTATTCCATATTGGATACTTTCCTTTCTTGTAGTTTGGATCGTTTTTCTCCTGTGTACAGGAATTGAGTTTGTATGGACGAAATTCTTTGATAAGGAAGTTGATTGAAGCTTAGTTGGCCGGAATGGTTCACTCCCGAGGCCACCATTTCCGCAACTGGCCGCAAATGAGCATGCGTCCTGTATATGAAAATTTCCCAACGCCGGTGCATAGTTACGGATATAAGATTTCAATTTAGTAATGAGTAATCTTGAATTATTGTATCCACGGTCTACATGGAATAGTAGATATACTGTATACTCTGAGTCCTTATGCAAGAAAAAAGCCATGACTCGTTTGGACTTCGCCCAATAAGCTCACACAGCAGCAATGAAACCGTTCGATTGCTGTACCGTTATTGATGTCGCCACTATGTTCCCTGTCTGTACATGAAGCTGATCCGAAATGTGGAATAAGACTTTCCTCAAACAACAACACAATCATTGCTCTAAAAGTCGTACAAATACAAATCCGGCCAGTGTGCAAGTGTCCCAGATATCATCCTGTTCACTGGCGTGAGACACTCCAAAATATATATCTTAGAACGGAGGTAGGTAGAAAGGATAGCCGCCGTTCTTGGCCCTGAAGACGCTGAGAAGGAAGCTGTACATGCCGAGCAGTATAACGCCCCAAATAATAACAGCCAATTGCTGAGTCTTAGCATCGGCCATGCGTGGAACTCTCAAGGCTAATGCAATGACTGCAAAGGAAAGTATGCCATCTGAACAAGTGTTAGAATTGCGACGTAGTTACTGCATGAAAAGGCACTTACACATTGCAGCCACAATCTGGGTTTCCATGCCAAACTGGTTTGAGAATCCGCCGGCAAAGTAGGAAATTCCACCTCTTCCGTCTCCCGCAACATATGGAACCTTGCGGATGTGGTTGAACATATGTCCGCTAGTAAATAGAAGGATAGCAATCAAGCTGATGGCCGCCCATATATTCCTGTTCTGGATAATAGGAATCACGTAAGGCGATGTTACTGTGAAAAGAGTAATTGCGCCAAGCAGAAGGGTGACTGCGGACGCAAGTCGCATGTAGTTGATGGGACGCACCAATTGCGGTTTCGGGCCTTCGGGGAGATGACGGGTGATCCAGACGTAGGCTTGTTCAGCGGTAGTCGGGCTATGACGAAGACATCAGCAAAGAGCCAAAGAAGATTCTGTGCATGAAGATTTACCCAAACAAGTCGAATCTTTGAGGTGCTCCATCGGCCGTTGCGCCAGGTCCCACTGTTGGGGGGAATAATAGTACCACGGGGGCAGTTTGTAACATTAGCTGTAGATGGTGAGCCACTTGTCAATGCAAGTCCAAAGACAATACTGTTCACAAACCTGTCTAAAGGTTTCCTTCCCATTGCTGAAGTCTAGTGTGCCAAAGATCAAGTCGACATCACCGGCTTGGCCCTTGTTCCAGCTTTTTGCAATGAGATCCCACTCCGGTTGGAATTCTCGGCAGAGGGCACAGCCGAAGCGCGCATCTGTAGCTGTGAGCATAACGGCGACATGATAGTCTCGGGGCGCCGATGTGAGGTCATTGTATGTCGAATCATCCAAGTCGATTGGAGTTGATCGGGAGAGGGACTGGAAGCGAGCTAGCTTGTCACTTTTGGTTGTTGCTGCCGACAGGGCAACTCCTGTGGTGCACAGTAGTGCAGTGAAGTAGGAAAGCAGCCTCATGGTGATAGTTGCCTGGACACAAGCAGGAAGTCCGACAGGGAGAGGAAGACAAATAGTGACAAGCGGTCGAGATGGTGAGGTGTCCAATACTCAGTCGGAGTACGTAACCGCTAAGCCAAGAGGAGTAAGGCTTACTTAGTATGCTCCGCGGCTCGACGCGTCTTAATTGATTGTTGCTCAGTCAACATCTCACTGCCATGAACAATTGATAAATATCAACCTCTCAAAATGGTCGCTTATTGTGAGGAGGATACGTGTTCCGTGCGGGAAGTAGGTTTATTCAATGTCGCTCGGATCACGATTGACTAGACTGACGATCGCATGTAGTATGAACAATCCCTCAAATCAGCGCAGCTCGAGATCGCATACGAGAAAAGCCTCGCACAGCTGGATTCTCTAATAGCCTATGAAGAGACTAGAATCTCGCGCGTGGACTATATCATTCTCGACGCTGACTACGAGGTGCTACATGCGAAATGCGCACGATCCGAGTATGACATCGAGCAGCTACTCCAAGCCGAGACAACACTGAAGCAACAACTTCTACGCGCACAAGAGGATTTGGCAAACTTGCAATTTTCTACGCGCTCTGATTCGCGTGCGATGCAGGATCTAAAGGTAAGTTCGGTCGATCTTCCCCCAGCAAAATAGTTCTCTGACTGTTGATTCAGAATGATCTCGTATCAATTAAGCTTAGGGTCTCCGACTATGAACAGATCTCCATCGATAACTTATCCCTTACGAAAGAAATCGCACACTTGAAACTGGAATTAGAGCACCTCCAAAACCAGAACAGATCTCACCAAAATCTCATCGCAGAAAAGTCTGCGTTAGAAAGGCAGCTCAATTCTCTAGAAGTTCAAATGGAAGAGGAAAGGCGGGCGTTTGAGCGAAATAAAAATACGGAAACCAAGAACCAAAATGCAGAAGCGCAACAACAACTGAAGAAATTGCAAGAGGAAATCAAGAAAGAAGTTGACGAAAAACGCCGAATGGAACAGGAAATTAATGAACGGTCAGCCGCATGGGAGCAACAGAAGAAATCCTTGGAAGAACGACTTGATAAGCTTAGGAAGCAGCTACGAGTGACAAAGGAGAAATTGAAGGAACACCAGAACGATACTCTTCTATCTCACGAGCCCCAGCAAATTGAGCGGCCTCGTCAAAGCATCGCTAGTGACAGGAGCGCGTCACTGGGTCATTCTGGTGGCACTTTTGATCCATCCATGACAATCGCAACACCGGGTGCCGTCAAGGTCAAGACAAATTTTCAGCCAAGACCCTCTGCCGCCTTGGGAGAAAAGTCGTCATTCTCAATCACACCTTACCTTAAGCGCAACAGGAATGCCGAGGACTCTTCAAGCAGTTCTGACGATGATCTGCGACCACAAGCAGATTTGCACAATGCCGACAAGCGGGCTAAAGCGTCACCTAAAAGCAGTAAGGCAGGACGTCCTAAGGCGATTCCGCCATCTAACCATGATAACGGCGCTGAAAACGAGGATGGTGGTGATGACCATAGAATCGTAAAGGCCGATGGACACGGCATATCAATCGCAGAAGATTCTATACTCTCGCGACGGCATGACGAGATGCCACCAATGCTTGGGGGCATGTCAAAGAGAGGGCTCTCCTTAGGAGGAAAGCAAGTCCCTCGAAAACGAAAAGTCCTAGGTGGGCAGCGCGATATCACCTTGTTTGACGAAGAGGAAGAACAATTTGAAAGGCCAAAGAGGGTAGAGAAGTCAATCCCCAGCCTAAAGCCAAGTGCCAAACGCCCACAAGCCCTAGGAGTCGCCCGCCTTGCATTTGGGGAGTCGTCGTCGTTTTCTCCGCTAAAGCGTGATAAGAGATTAATATAGTGTAACAATACCAATACCTTGAATATAGCAAAGTCGCCGTGCAGTTGATATTCTAACCGTAGTAATAACAAGTAAATCTTTGCGCGTGATGAGTATGGTGTACTTATTTAGTTAGTTACTGTAGTTAGCCTGCGGAGAGCACAGAGTGTCTCCGCAGCCAAGCTACCGTTCAGCTTTCTCCGCAACATTCTTTTTCGCTGTAAATAAGATACTATGATGAATAACTTATATCAATCTTCTTTCTCAAGCGCACACATGATTTCAAAGCGACCCACGGTCCTGTCAGTATGGCAGGCAATTCTGTCCTGTCGTCGGTGCAACGCTCAATTCCTTTCGACAGACCTGAAACGATTCTCTTCGTCCAAACGATGGCAGTCACGCCAGCGCAGTGATATGTTCACCAGAGAGGCCGTGGTTAGGGGCCTTAAAAGCAGAGCAGCTTTCAAGCTTTTGCAGGTAGAAATTTCTGGATCGTGCTTCTTTCACATTCACAAAGTGTTGCTAATCTGGTCATCCCAACAGATCGACGAACAATATCGGATATTTCGGAGTGGCCAAACAGTCGTTGATCTCGTTAGTCTTTCTTGAGATAATATATAATAGTCATTGGTTATTGTCGTCTTGATTTTGACAATTGTCTAAGGGATATGCACCGGGTTCATGGTCTCAGGTAAGACCCGACGAACACATGCAGTCGTTACTCTTCCAAGGCCATTACTGACTGACTGTACCACTTAAGGTCGCCGTGACGCGAACAAAACCCAACGGCCGAGTCCTAGGCGTCGATATTATCCCCGCCCAGCCTCCGAAAGGCGTATCTACTATTCAGGGAAACTTCCTTTCACCAGACATCCAGGAGTATGTCTTGGAATTTGTGCGAGATCCCAATCGCGGTCGACTACGATTACCTACTCCACCAGCGGATGAAGCTGGACATATCACAGCAGATGATGATACTACCGTCTTACAATCATTGAACGAGAGTTCTACTACCACAATCGACATGTGCAAGGAGGAAAATGGAAAACAAAAAGAACGAACTGTCGACGTTGTTCTAAGCGACATGTCTGCACCCTGGGCTCAAGTTAAAGGATTCTCAAATAGGAGCCTTAGTAACCCTTATCGCAGGATGATGAATACCAGTGGAATAAGTTTTCGGGATCACGCTGGAAGTATGGTAAGTGTTGAGATTCTTCTATATTTGAGATGGCTATAAAAGACTAAATGTGATTATACTAGGATTTGTGCCGAGCGGCGCTGCAGTTCAGCTTCAATGTCCTTAAGTCTGGGGGACACTTCGTCTGCAAATTCTACCAGGGACCCGAAGATAAAGTTTTCGAAAAGCAGCTCAAAGTGTTGTTCGAGAGGGTGCATAGGTTGAAGCCCGAATCGTCTCGAAGTGTATGACAAAGTTCGCCCCGCCATTGCAACAAAATGGCGTCTTTGTATTCGCTGACAATAATTTATAGGAGTCACGGGAGGCATTTTTTGTTGCTATGGCTAGAAAGCCAAATGCCGCAAGATCAGACGTGCTCGATATCGAAGATTGAATCAAATCTCCTTCCTCGGAAAGTTGAGGATTCCAGATTTGGTGGAGCGGTTTAATCTTCAATAAGTCCCTCGGAGTCGTCATCCCATTCGATCCTGGCGACATTCTCCTCAGCTTTTCGCTGTACCTGTGAAGACGTCAGCACCGATACAAAAGCAATCATCAAGAATATTACCTCTCTCAGGCCGCTCAATTCCTCGACATAGTCTTTGTCGTTGATTGCTTTCTGCACAAAGTCCCAGCCATCTTTCCTATACGCGTCCACAACTCTGTCCGAGCATGCACTACAGCAATCATAGCTCTTGCCGGTGATTGGAATATTGGAGAATGTGGAGAGAAAGCCCCTGATTTGGTGTGGAACAAGGCCGAGAGGATGATCTCCTCGTTCAGTATTCTGGATGATTGGCGCAGGAGCGGCCGCCCCGTCAGGATGTTGCAAAATGGACACGAAGAGCTCTACAAGAAGTGCGGATGCAATCGCAGAGACGCCTGGTCGGGTAACTGTGCATTGCTGATCAAGCGTCTGGTCTTTCATGGACTGGGGGCACCTATCAGCTACGTTGGGAAATGAAAGGGTAGTAGACTTACATCTATCGGTGCAACCACATCGTTGCAGAAGTAACATCCAAGCTCCGCTTCACCAGCCGATTGGGGCTTCACTCCGTGTCTCATTGCGACAAACGTGTCAAAGCCCAAGGCCGCGTTCATCACGATTTTTCCCAGAGACTTTCCAATAACTGTCGGCAACCAACGAGACTCCCGGCTGTCCATGAGGAGGAAGATGGCATCGTGTTCCTCGATCAATTTGCGAAGGAGTTCGAATTCTTTAGCAGCCTGAGTAACGTCGGTAACAGGATGGCCAGGCATCAAGACGGAAAATATGTGACCTTCCGATACAACTCCTGGATATATCTCTTTCAAGGCTGCTGCGGCTCTTGTGGCTTTCTTTGCCCCACCATTTAGGCAATCACTGAAATTAAATAACGGTTGTCTCACCGGGTTGGAAAAGGACACCAATCCATTATCCACAAAAGTAATCTTCCGTACACCCCAACCCTGTGGTAGTCTTAGCAAGGTTTATGATGCTTTTTAGGCATAGCCCACGAGGGAAAGGGCACTTACCATCAAATTGCGTGCAACGTAGCTACCCAGAGTTCCAGCTCCAAGTAAGAGACAGCTCGTTGCTTTAACTTTGTCGAGGTCGAGGCCAGGGCTGATCCTCCATTTGATCAGTTTCAAATTCAGATCTACTGCTTGATCGGCCAATCTTCAGGAAACGGTGGTCATGTTAGCCACTTCGCATGCACACGCGTACCGCGTAGGGTAGAAACCTCGGCTCACCTGCGAGGGTCCATGTATGCTGTAAGGTCAGAGATCCGTCCAGCAAGTTTCCCTGCGCTATTCCTCTCCCAACCGGTAATCTTCGGCATCTCGCTAGACGCCAGGTTTTTGGCAGTTTTAGCATCTAGGGTGGTATCTAATTGTAGTGTAACTACTATACTCCGTCCAAGTTCCCGCTTGGTTGGAACGTCTCGATAAAATAGAATCTGGGCTTTCTGAAGACCCCAGCGGCGTTGTAAAAGCACCAGAAGGTTGCGCAGCATCCAACCCGGAGCGTTGGGATAATTAGACGGGTCGGCGAAAGCAAAGTATTGATCTTGAGATTCCGAGCCATCGAAAAAGCCATTCTCATAGTCCGCTAATGGCGAAATTTTCCAATTTGGAGTATCGGTGCTGCCAGATCCCTTTCCCTTACGAGCTAGGAAGAATCCATGCTGTCGTACATCAGTATTGGTCTTCCAGGTCTGAACTATATCAACAAGAGCCGAGCTTTCAGCTTCGGAGAGATTCCTAGAGCCAGGAATTGACAGGCTGGAAGCTTGATCACTTGAGCTGGTTCCGGACACGGGAATCCAGTGTGGTTGAGAGGTGATTGCAGGAAATGCGAACCAGTATTGAAACTTATATTTCTTCAGGTCCGCGAATGAAAGAATCAAAAATGACGACAATATCGACGGATTTGATAGTATCGAACTATCTCCTATGGCATCCCAGATCTACATTGATGGTCAGTGGTGTTTTTAAGATTTCGAAAAGACAGGGCGTGGAACTCTTACGGTTCTCCCAGCTTGTTGAAGCATTTGTATCTTATCTGCATTTTTATACTCTTCAACGGTGTTGAAGTTCTTGATTGTGCCCTCGGCTTTGTAGTAGCCAGGTGGGACGCTTCAAAAGAATTAATGGTTTAGCTCTTGATTCACTGTCAACATCCGTTTGCGTTTGTGAACTTACTGGTCGCTGTTGAGCGCGTTCCCTAAAATCTGCATTCGACATGATGCAGCAGGGGCGTCTGTTGTGCGAATTTCATAGAGCCCTTGTACTCTCCTGGCGGAATCATCTAGCTTGTCATGGTTGATCTTCTGCGATGCAAGCGAAGTATAGAATGGGAGTTCGATATCCGAAACGAAAGGAGTGTACTGCATCTTTGCAGTATGTGAAAGATCTTCAGTGGATATCTCAGATGGAAAGTTCTTCAATCTTCAGTCAAGGGTAGGAGTTCTCGGAGCAAGAATAAATGGATGAGGAAGGTAGGCACCGGCAGCAGAGGAAGTCACGAGTCCAGCTTAGCAGGTGACCTTGCACGTGCAGACTCGAAAGAAGATTCTGCCAGTACACAGATAATGTTTAGAAACACCTTTCCGGAAATCACTACAGGCTTGTCGGGTGAGAAGTCACTGATCAAATGTTCAACAGCTCATGAAACTATGACATACCTCGTCAGTCGGTGTTTGTTGATGGTGGGGTACCTAAGCTTAACGCCGATACGCCTTTCTACTTTTCTTCCAGACCGAAATAAAATATTATTCGACACACGGCTTACACTCACGCGATCAACTCACGACGACCATGCTGATCGGTATATGCGGCGGTAGGTGGTGGACTAACCTAATCTACCCAAGCTGTCTTGTTCTTGCACGTACATGCTAACTCCGTCAAGGCATATGCGCCGGGAAGCATGCCATCGCCGAGTATCTTATCCGCGAGCAAGGGTTTGAGCTACTGCAGTTAGCAACTAAGAATCCGTTGCACATATCGAATGAATCGAAAGACCCTGTGCGCTTGGAAGACTCCGAGAGGGAGGGGTTGCCGAGTCGTAAAGACGAGACAGTTTTCGAGACCGTGGATTCGTTGCTTGAGTTCGTCACGAAACAATGGACAGGTCGCTGGGTGACAACAGATATCTGGGATCACACAACCTTGGATAGACTCCTACAAAGGCCATTCTTCTTGCTTGTGAGCGTAGATGCGCCGGTCAGCCTGAGATGGCAACGATTTCGAGACAGGTGGGTTGGGAACAACCACCGGCAATAGGAGGCTATGCCCGTCTCACAGATTTTACAGGTGTACGCCCCAGAAAATAAGTCCACCGGATCTTGAAGAATTCGTCCTGTGGAACGATAAGCATTTATATGATAGGGAAATCGGCCGAGCTTATCTCACAGACAGAGCGCAGGTCCGCTTGTTCAACGCTTCGTCATCATTAGTAGAGCTACACGCAGCTTTGGAAAAATTGGATTTATCGAACGACGAACGATTGCGGCCGACATGGGATCAGTACTTCATGCAACTGGCATCACTTGCCGCACAAAGAAGCAATTGTATGAAGCGACGAGTGGGATGTGTCATTGTTCGAGACCGTCGCGTTATCAGCACTGGATACAATGGAACCCCACGCAACATAACGAATTGCAACGAAGGAGGATGTAGGTAGCTTCCCATGATCTATCGGATTGTCACGGTTTCTAACTTTACAGGCCCTCGATGCAACCGCGGTGAGGGTGGAGGCGCCGGCCTATCGACATGTCTGTGTATCCACGCCGAGGAAAACGCCCTGCTAGAGGCCGGCAGGGAAAGAATCAGAGAAGGTGCAATATTATATTGTGATACGTGCGATTTCTGGAATATTTCACAGGATATCGTGTCCCAGGCTAACTATCTAGATAGGTGTCCCTGTCTGACTTGCACTGTCAAAATAGCGCAAGTCGGCATCTCCGAAGTCGTGTACTCGAAGAGCTACAACATGGACAATGAGGTAGGTATTCTTGGATTCTCGCTAACGGCTCTCCATGCTCATTAATTTACATAGAGCGCGGCGATCCTCAAAGCTGCTGGGGTCCAACTCCGCCAATTTTCTACGGTAGGGCTCCAGAAAGAGGTTTTGTGAATATTACTGACATTGAACAGCCCCCGAATGGGCTAACATACCTTCAAAACCCTGAGCAATCTGAAACAATGCCTATTTTGTAAGCATATCGACGGCTGTGATTCGTAGTGTTGCGCCAACGGTGCCATTCGGAAGGGGTGAGATTATAAAGCTCTCTTTTGAATAACTTTTGAATAAGGCGAATCAAGTCACGAGCATCATGCAACCCTCCCTCGAGTTGATTTCGTTCTTAATGAACCAGCGTAGAAGACTATCCTGTCAACGCGTTCGTTTTGGTAAATGAAGATGCCCCTCTCTGATAGGCGGCATGCTTCCGGAGAATGTGGTGGGTCTCCATAAAATATTCACTGAATTCTCAAACAAAGCAAGATTTTGTATGTTCTTTTGATGTCCAGTCAATTCATTGGAGAAGCTTCGAGATTCTGCAACTCAACAGAGATTGACTACCGTACTCAGGCTCTCGTGTGCTTGTCGAGCGTTTCAACCAAAGACTTTCCGACTTCGGCATTCCCCTCAATCAAAATTTGTAGCGGGAGGACAAAATCTGTATGACTCACCCAGTTATGAGGCCTGCTCTCCGTATTAATATGAGCTCTTGCTCGATATACAGAATTGACTCATCCCAGAAGTTCAAACAATTAGATTTGAAAAGGCTCGATAGTCATGCCTTCTGTACACCTGTTGGACTATGTGGCAGGGAACGTCAGGTCCTTGGTGAACGCAATCAACAAAGTCGGCTATGATGTGGAATGGGTCAAATCCCCAGCAGAAGTTCGCAATGCAGAGGTGAGCACTATACCTGGGTCAATTGAACCAAGCACGATCGATACTTACCGAACATGTAGACATTGATCTTACCCGGAGTGGGACATTTCGGCCATTGTCTTTCTCAACTCTCGGCTGGTGGCTTTTTAGAACCCATCAAAGAGCACATCGAGTCTGGTAAACGTTTCATGGGTATTTGTGTTGGTTTGCAGGTCTTGTTTGAAGGATCAGAAGAAGATCTTCAGACCCCTGGCTTAGGCGTGATCCCCTCCCGCCTACGCAAGTTTGACGATTCAAGAAAAAGTGTGCCACATATTGGATGGAACTCTGCCAAAACAAGCCACAATGAGGATTCCCAATCCTCTAGTATTTACGGATTGCGTGAAGAAAGCAAATACTACTACGTCCATTCCTATGCAGCGCCTTATGAACCCGGTGTTCTAGAGAAGCAGGGCTGGTCAATAGCCACTGCTCATTACGGAGAAGAAGAATTCATTGGAGCTATAGCACGTGGTAATGTGTTTGCGACACAGTTCCATCCCGAGAAGAGTGGACAAGCTGGATTGCGCACTCTCCGTGCGTTCTTGGACGGACAGCTTTCAGAGAAACAGGAAACTTCTTTGCCCCCGAGCGAAGGAAGAGATGGATTGACTAGAAGAGTTATTGCTTGTCTCGATGTACGCACAAACGATCAAGGCGATCTGGTCGTCACGAAAGGAGACCAGTATGACGTCCGGGAAAAGAGTGCCTCTGGTAGCCAAGTCAGGAACCTGGGAAAACCAGTCGATATGGCCAAGAAGTACTACGAGCAAGGAGCAGATGAAGTCACATTTCTCAACATAACATCTTTCCGCAATTGTCCTCTGCAAGATTTACCGATGCTGGAAATTCTACGGCGTACATCAGAGACGGTGTTTGTGCCGCTGACAATTGGAGGCGGTATTCGAGAAATGACAGACACCGATGGCACCCAGATATCGGCCCTGGACGTTGCGAAGATGTACTTCCAGTCCGGTGCTGATAAGGTAAGTATAGGCTCTGATGCCGTGATCGCCGCCGAAGAGTATTATCAGAATGGGAAGCAACTATCGGGAAAAACCGCCATTGAACAGATCTCCAAGGCATATGGAAACCAAGCTGTGGTTGTTAGTGTCGACCCCAAACGGGTCTACGTGAGTGGCTCGGAGGCAACAACCCACCACACCATCAAGACGGCATTCCCAAATGCAAATGGACAAGACACATGTTGGTACCAATGCACTATCAAGGGCGGCAGAGAGATGCGCGACATTGATGTTCGACAACTCGTGCAAGCCGTCGAAGCCATGGGTGCTGGCGAAATTCTCTTGAACTGCATCGACAAAGATGGAAGCAATAGCGGCTTTGACCATGAACTGATTCAAGACGTCAAAGATGCTATCAAGATTCCAGTTATTGCTTCTAGCGGAGCTGGAAAGCCAGCGCACTTCGAGGATGTCTTTGCGAAGACCACGACTGATGCAGCGCTAGGGGCCGGAATGGTGAGTTCTATGTCTAAACTTCCTATCGACTGCTCAAGAGACGATTCTGACATGCATCACAGTTCCACCGAGGAGAGTTCACGGTCGATGATGTCAAGAACTATTTAGTGGAGAAAGGATTTTTGGTCCGAAGGCCAGAAAATGAGTGATCCACGCACGTTATGGGAGTTTGAGATTATAGTTAGATCAGTTAAAAGTGTAACAATCAAGACAGAGCCATCGAAGAATGAGATAATCCCGACACCGGCCCTAATCACACACTAGGCCTGATGCGGAACAACCACGTGACAACCGCTCGAACTTAAACGTCGTCGCTCACTCGACTTCTTTTCTGTTCGATTTCCCATCATCATCAAAACCACCATCCTAACCCCTCTCTTTCTCCTCACTACACAGCCCCGCTAATATACGCTTCTTTGCACTTCAATTACTTTCACTCTCGCGATTACCTCGCTGATCATCTGTGGAAGCCCGATAGCTCGCTCGACCTCGTCGCAATCTGCGCACAATTCGCCACCTTGCTCTTCTGCCTCTCTCTTGCCTCTCTTCTGCCCTCCTTCGCAATTACATTTCGTTCCAGTATTGTTGACTTGACTAGTCACTGTTCAAAGCTGTTTCGGATGGAGTGAGTTCGCTGGACCTAGACGTTTCACTGAAGAGATTCAGGCTCTGTGGAGGGCTGAGTGTTGTTTGTACACAGGAATTCTACACCCTTTAATGTAATCCAGTTTCTGTTTTCTTGATCTCATACCACATACAAACAGAGAAGTGTGTCAAATTCTGAAGGAAAGAAAAAGAACATCATTCTTTGTCGATAGATAACAAGACGGTCTATTTGACAAACTCCAACTTTTCTCTCTAATAATCCTACATGCAAAGGGTCCTTCCGACCGCTTGACAACTGACAAAAACAACAATCCACAATCTCAGCACTATCTGTACCTACATACTTGACCCTGTTTCATCCTTTCGCTACCAACTACCAATATCTCGACATCTGAATCGACACGAACACCATGGCGTCGTCTGTGCATTTCAAATTCAAGTCACAAAAGGAACCTTCAAGGGTGACCTTTGACGGTACAGGAATATCGGTCTTTGAACTCAAACGTGAAATAATCAGTCAGAATAGGTTGGGTGACGGCACTGATTTCGAATTGTCGATCTACAATGAAGACACCGGGGAAGGTATGTTTGGTATCGCGAAAAGCTTCGCTCTCGCCCTTTTAGACTCAAGCACTCAGTGACTAACGATTGTTGTAGAGTATGATGATGACACCGCTATAATCCCCCGATCGACCTCTGTCATAGCACGTCGACTACCGGCAGCACGGCCTGGCAAGGGAGGCGCCGCACGTTATGTATCCGGTAAAATGCCTGTGACCGCTCGCGGTTCCACGCGCCCAGATCTACCGTCCGCAGGCAGAGCTACATCAGGCACTGGCCCTGCGGGTCAAAGTTCAATACCGGGGTTAGATAGCGCGCAAACCGAAGATGAGAAAATTGACGCGTTGTTCAATCTTCAGGCCAACCAGTGGAGAGAACAACAACAAGAAATGGCAAAGTAGGTTTATCTTTCCCTATCTAAGAAGCAATCTGAAACTAACACGACTCACAGTGCAACCCCAGTCGCTTTCGGAAGGGGCCGCGGCAAGCCTCTGAATGTCCCAGATCACCCGCCACCCCCGGGATACCTTTGCTACCGGTGCAGAGAGAAAGGACATTGGATCCAGGCATGCCCGACGAATAATGATCCGAACTTTGACGGCAAATATCGAGTCAAGAGGTCCACTGGCATCCCGCGATCACTACAAACAAAGGTAGACAAGACGACGGCTATGGCAATGGATGGATCTACCGAAGATTTGAAGAATTCGGGTGTTATGGTCAATGCCGATGGCGATTTTGTTATTGCCCAGCCAGATAAGGCTGCATGGGAGTTGTATCAGGAAAAGGCAAAGGCATCTGCTGCTGCCGCCGCGGAAGCTGCTGCTGCTGAGGGGAGCAAGGAACTTCAGGCTAGAGGAATAGAATGTCCAATTGACAAGCGCATGTTTTTGGAACCTACCAAGACACCTTGCTGCAATCGAACATATTGCAATGACTGTATTACTAATGCTCTCATTGAAAGTGATTTTATTTGTCCTGGTTGTTCCACTGAAGGTGTATTATTGGACAATCTAACAGTTGACGATGAAGCAGTCGCCAAGATCAAAGCATTCGAAGCTGAAAAGGCCGAAGGAAAAAAGGAGAAGGAAAAACAAGAAGGCACTAAGGAAGCTCTTAATGAACAACAAGAAGAGCCAAAATCTAGAAGTACCTCTGTGAAGCCTGTCGACACAGCTGCCGCTGTGTCTTCGCCTGGCGTACAGAGCATCACAAGCACGAGCCAGAGCAAGAAAAGATTGGCAGAAGATGAGCCCGAAATCGAGGCTACTGCAAGACCTAACTCATCGGCATCTTTCAAAAAGCAGAAAGCCGACGACAGTAAGGAATCAAATGACGAACAAGGAGACGCGCAAACACAAAACACCACATCCGAGAGTAATGACAGCAACAACACGCCTAACAATACGATGCCATTCCCGATGACTCCCCAGATGCCTTTCCCGAATACTGCATTTCCACAAATTCCAGGTATGCCACCGATGCCTTTCGACAACAACTTCATGGCAGGCATGAACCCAATGATGAACCCAATGATGATGCCTATGGGTAATGTCTTCCAGAATCAAGGTTTAAATGGATGGAACCAGATGAATCAAATGGGTGGAAATAACTTCCCTTTCCCAGGTAACGGAATGTTTGGGGACAATTCAATGATGCAAGGAAATAACTACGGACAATTCAACAATAATTTCAACCCGATGCAGATGGGCCAGGGAGGTCAATACATGTCACAACAACAGTCCGGGTTCCAGCAGGGCGCTGGAATGAACAATTTTTCCAATCAACAACGGAATAGTTACAACTACAACAAGGCCGCTGGTAGTAGAGACGACGATAGTCCATACTTCCGCCAGCCTGTGAATCCCCAGCGTCATCAGGCCAGACAGCGCCGCATACGTCCGAGTGATTACCGTGAGCTTTGATGGAAATTCATGTACAATTATTACTACTGACTTTTTTCTTCTCTTCTCTCTTTTTGCATTTCTACTTCGTCAATGCATCTCTCGTGGTATGAGCCGACTACTTTTGACAGGAGGCTGATTACTTGGGCGAGTGTGGGTATCATGAGGCTGCGCATTGACTCAGGGTTCGTTGTACATAGTTTGTCTGCAGACATAGCGAAGCATTGCATACATAGTTGCGAGAATAGAACAGATTCCAGAATTGTGACATCTCTACAGTAGAATGCGTAAAGATGCGGTGTGAGACTTTCCAGTTCATGCTCGACGGGTATGTTAAGTCGAGAAAGGGAGAGGAGAGCGTGTGATTTGGTTCGGACCAAAATATCTTGGATACTTCTTTGGATGCTTTGCATGATGGACTCATAGTCCAACAACTAAACATCGTTTCTTGTTAGTAGCACCGTCGTAGTAGGGAATTAGGAGTTGTGGTCTTTGACTCTGGGATGGTAGAAAGAGCCAGAACAAGCCTAGCGTACTCGGCAACTCAGGACACGTGAGCCAGTGGCAGGCTTACCGCCTCCAATGCAGTCGACAACCTCTGCCTCCTCATCCTGCTCATCCTCCTACAATCATCATATACTACGTACTTACCCAGTGCCACTGTCCCTCGTCGCAAGCCATCGACTATCGCTCTTCTACTCTATTACCAGTATACACACCACCCCTTTTTCAAAATACTCCCGCAGCATTTCATTCACAATGGAGGGTGAACTCATGAGCGACAGTAGTAATTACTCTAATCAACGCCAGCTTTCCTTTGGTAGCCATGGTCAAGTCAGTATCCTGGCCAGCTGCTACATGGCCACAACTGTCTCGGAAACCGTAAAAGGTTTCCACTACTGCACTCCCAACGGGGCAGGTATGTCCACCAGCCGACTCCCTTGTACTTGTCGATAACCCTCTCGAACTAACATATCATAACTTTTAGGAGCACAGTGGTATGCCTGAGGTCCCTTCGGGGCCTGATTCACGCATGACAAGTCCTCCCCACAACATCTCGACCAGCATYCCCGCCGCAAAAGAGGATATGTGGTCGAGACACAAAGCACCACGAAATAATATCGACAGTATTATTCGCGGGGAGGCAGCGCAAACCATCACGGAAGAGTGTGAGAGACTTTTCTGCGACACGTTGTCCGCCATGTTCCTTGGTGAGAGGAACCGCAGACACCGAACGTCGCTAGTGATGGGTGCGTTACAGCAAAATGTCCGGCCGGAAAATCGGAAACCATTGCGCCAACGGGACATCGAAGCTTATCTCGAATTGTGGGATTATGCGAACGATGCCATCTACCGGGGGTTCGTAGTTGATGGCTGTGGTCAAAGAACCTTGTTCGTCTTCCTTGACAGCCAGGCGACCAGCCATGGCATCAAGACTGCGTAAGTTTTTCAAAACCTACTTGTTGATCAATTAGCTAACATATTTTGTGTATCAGCCTACTTTCTCTTTTTGAGCTAGCTGAAGTAGAAGCCTTTGAATGCAGCCAGATCATCGCTTGTGTACCACGCTCGGACGACCCGTTGGGCAGTGGTATCGTACGAAACCTGGGATGGTGTGGGTTTTCTTTGACGAGTCTCGACTCTTGGATGCCGCCGGGTAGCGGCGGAATAGCACTAAGTGACAGATGGCTTTTCCTAGCTGCTCAGGTGTAAGAACGAGACAGCTAGCCCATAAGTCCTACAAGTGGTTAACCATGATTTCTCCTTATATCTTTGCACCGGTGGCTCTACTAATTTGCGAGCTTTGTCTAAAAGCTCAAAGGTCTTTCCAATTCGTGTGTGATGCGCATATAAGACAGCATGTATCCCTTTACTTCCATGAATTGAGTTCTCTATCACCGTTCTTGTTTCTATCTTTCTAGGATATTCTCTTTGCTTACTTTCAAACCTAAGGCGTTTCTCGATTATTTATTGTGTGTGGAAATAATCCAGCTACATTTTAAATGGATCACTTGATACTTTGTGCATGTGACGATCTGCACTGATTAGATAAGGCGTCCAGCACGTAGTGACGTCGGCAAAAGCATTTGGGCATAACTCCTTCTTCCCCTCATTCCTTGTTCCTACATCTTTCCTTCTCGTTCTGTCTGCTGTATCAACTTGATGTATAAGTAGGTTTTCGGCTGCTAGAATGACGCACAAATAGCTAGCTGAAGTTGTAGCATGCTGTTCTTGCTATACAGTTTCATCCAGTCATTTGGCCTATCGACTCAAGTCACCGCTTAGTGGTACTGCATCATATCTAGAGAAAACAGCAGGGATTTATTACAAAACAAATTCTGGTCATAGCTGATCCAGATGCCTCTTATCTCCATCCCAGCATTCCCAACCTTCCTCATCCCATCTCCATCATTCCCCAGACGACAGAACAAAGTACTCGCTAGCCATGGTGTCGCGAAGGATTCAATAGAAAATGGGAACCGTCCGCACTCTTCGGAGAATAATCTTCAATCGTCACACTTGTCCTACATTCGATGCGCGCGCTGCGGAGCCCATGTCTGCCACACATCTCAAATAGTCAGCAAGGGCTTCACAGGCCGGCATGGTCGTGCCTATCTCGTCTCACCTACAGACTCTTCCTCCATGAATGGATACCAGCAGACGAACAACACTGCTACCTTGCTAAATACAATCACTCAAAGGGCTGTTCCTCGCCAACTAGTTACCGGCGCTCATACAGTCGCCGACTTCAACTGTATCATCTGCGGGAGCGTGCTAGGATGGAAGTACATTGCGGCAGAGGAAGAAGCTCAGCGGTACAAAGTCGGTAAATATATCATTGAGACAAAGCGGATCACGACGTCTTCGTGCTGGGACTTTCGGGATGATTTCCCGTCGCCTACGTCGCCGGATGGTGTAGCTTCGTCTTTGCCTTCTGCTGCCAGTGATGGTTACTCTTCGGAAGTCGAATTTGATAGTCAGGATGAAGACGAGTGCGAGGATCTCTTTGCTGGTGTCTGGACTCCGGGGCTTGCGAGACGAAGAAGGGCTCGGAAATTGACTCGGAAGTCTTGATATCAATACTGCAATCGTCGGGCACGATTAAAGCTGTGCTCTATACGCACTTCACGAATACGATACGATACGATGTGCTGCTTGCTTCATTCGATACCCAGCAATAATAATAGCTAATCAATGTTGCTTTTTTGGGCTTGGACACATGCATGTGGTCGTTCTTGGCTTTACATCTTTTCTCATTATACTTTATTCTCAAACGCAACGACTTTGTTATAAGCTTCTCGAGCTTGTTGTAATAAATCGTAAGATCCAATAGACCGCACATATCTAGAGCCTCAATCTCTATCGTACAACAAAGGTATCATAATTCCACACATAGCAAGCAACCAATCAGTCTGCATCCTCAGTCTTCGCTCTTTTTGTCCCTTCTGGCTCCTCTGCAGTGTCAAGTTGCCTCTTTGCGCCTGATGAGCTTGGCTGTACCTTCTTTCTGACCAGTGAGGAAAGATCATTTGCTTGTCTGCTGACTTGATCGAGTGTGGCGGCTTTTTCGGCTGCAGACTTTCCGATGAGTTGTCCGAGGACGCCGTTCAAGGCTTCGATAGCATTGGTGTCTTCACTGGGGGCGTTGACGGATTCAGGTGGACGTCGGAGATCAATCAACTATAAAAAAAATTATTAGTTTGAAGTGTCTGGGGGACATGGAAAAGGTAGGCTTACCCGTTGTTCCATATCAGCAACGATCTCTTTGACATTTGCAATCCGCCTTTTGGCTGCGTTGATTTTGTCTTCTCCTTCAATCTCTCCTGTCTCAAGTTTATTCTCTTCCTGCGCGAGTCTCAACTTGCAACTGTCAATAGCGCTCTGCATGTGTTTTGCGCTCTCTTCTCGCATTGCCGGGTCCACCACTGCAGGCTTTCCCTCCCCATCTTCATCAGGTTGGCTAACCGATGCGAATTCCAAGGCAAGAGAGAGCTTGTAATGACATTCCGAGACTGATGGATCTTCAAATGTATATAGCGTTTCTTTGAGCTCGAGAGCAGCTCTAAGATCTGAGACGGCGTTGACGAAGCTTTCTCCTTCCAAAGAGATCTCTGCTTGTAAATCGTAAATATCTGCAAGTCGTTCTTGAATCTTTCTGACTTTAGGAGGAATGTCCGCTGATTTGCCTTTGCCATTTGATTTTTGTTCCGCGTCTTCCAATTTCTTCAATAGAAGGACTCGTGCGAGATCAAGTACCTCAAAGGCGTTCTCGAAGTCGTCGTCCTCTTCCTCCTCCTCTGCTTGTACACCATCGCCCTCTTCCTCAGAGTCTGAATCCGCAAAGTTCTCGTCGCCTGTGAACTGGAAAAGTTGGTTTGCTGACTCTGTAGGCTTTTTTGAGTCAAGAGACCCTTCTGCTGTAGAACTCGAGATTGCAGCTTGAATAAGACCGGCCGAGGAGGGCTCCTTTGCCTTTTTGGTAGGTTCAGTCTCTTGTGGTGTCTCTCCTCCAGCGATCTTTGATCCTAGAACGTCGCTTTTGCTTACACCAACGTTGTAGAGGGACTTTCCGTAGGCGTAGAGTAGGTCGGCATTCTCGACGGACATTTCCCCATTGATCTCGGCTTGAATTTCGGTAGCTTGTGAGTACAGCTCAGCAGCGGCGTTGTAGTCCTTTACAGCATCTTTTGCAGCTGCGCGAGTGACGAGATCGTCGAGGCGAGTCTGAAGCTCTTCGGTCTCTGGTCCGGTGGCTGCCATGGTCAGTTGAAGCTAATGAGCACGCGATATGATAAGATAGCGGTGCTAAAAGCTGATATTCTTGCAGTTTGAATCAAGGCGACGTCTGAGACTGGCAACGAAGATGTGAAGAGTGTATTTAGCAATATAGGTACATGATGGGGACAATTAAAACAGGAAGAAGTATGGAGGTGAACCTCTGGAATAGGTTTAGCGCAAGGTGCTTAATTGATATCTGCCCCGCTTGCCTGGAACGCGTCTTCAGAACGCGTCTCTCCGTGTCGGAAGGCTAGCTCCAACTTTACTCTAGCTTCATCAACAAATACAGACGAGCTATTGGTTTTTGATCAGAATGCTAGGGTTGACACTGTGATATCGTTTCTTTCTTTCACGCATCCTTGCAATTCGCATGAGAACGAGCTCACTCTGCTGGTGGACGCCTCCGCAATCTTTCTGGTGATGATATAAGACAAAATGGATAGAACACAGACTCCCAAGATGCCACTGCCAATACGGAGTGCCGATATAATACCGTCATCTTCGCCAGCCTTTGGTACCCCAGCCCGACCAGTCCGCACTGGCAACAGACCAAATTTACAGGGAAAATCATCCGTTCTACCTGTCCTCATCCCGCCTGCGCTGCTTCGACCTTTAGCTTTCCGAACCTTTACGAGAAAACATGACTTGACGATCTCTTCAAACACACTTCAGACTCTGGCCACTTTCGTTGGCAAGAATTGCGGATCGAGGTGGCGTGACGATGGACTTGCGGAACGGTTACTGGACGAGGTAGCCAAACTATGGCGGAAGAACGGCGGAGGAGTTATTGTGGAAGAGGGCAACGGTGCCTCCATCAAAGCTATTCTTCAAATACTAGAAGGCAACATGTCCAATGGCAAAGTAGTGCCCGGAAAGTTAGCAGATCAAGAAGATCAACGTGGTAGCCATGCTGGGATTGTGGGCCCCGATGAAACAGCAAACAGTCATGCCGGAGAAGAAGACGACGAAAACATATCTACGGATCCGAGACGCTACATGAAGATTGTCGATGCTTATGATCAGCCTCGATTAACATATAACCCTGACAAGAAACATTTCGAGACATCAGTAAACAAACCATCCTTCTTTCCGGACCCTTCTCATCAAATTATGTTTTATCGGGACAGATTCAACCTCATATACCAGAGACTGCTGCGCAACGAGTCGTTTCAAACGTCATCGCTCTTGAATAGCAATCGGCAAACCTACAAAATCACGCCAATTGCAAATTTGTTGGGAAGGGGTGGGTCACAACATATGTGTTTGGGGCTTTTGTCTGTCTCTCCGGCCGGGGAGATGTCACTCACCGACCTAACAGGAACTATCATGCTGGATTTATCAGAAACCGTGCCTATCCCACAGGGGAATGGTGCATGGTTCTGTCCCGGAATGATGGTTCTGGTTGAAGGCATATACGAAGAAGAAGAGGTAGTCAAGGGCTCTGTATTAGGTGGTAACAGTGGCATTGGAGGTGCAATAGGAGGAAAGCTTTTGGGTATCACTATTGCCGGACCGCCCTGTGAGAAGCGCGAGGTGACACTTGGTATGAACAGTATCGACTCAAAAGGAGACATCGGGACCAGTGGTGGATTTGGCTGGGTCGATTTCCTCGGTGTAGGAAGTGAACGTGCTCAGGGAGCTCGAATGAGAAAACTTGAGCATAAAAGTCTACGTCAAGTCAACGAAGCCGACGGCCAAAGGAACGGGCGACGCAGTATTGTTATCCTGGGTGAAGTTCATTTGGACAATACTAAGACGCTTGAAGCTCTTAGGACAGTCTTTGGAATATACAGCGAACTGCCATTTGAAGAACTGCCGCTCGCATTTTTGATGATTGGCAACTTCATTGGAAAGGTTGGATTTGGACAGAGCAATGGCGGAAATAGTATCGAGTACAAGGAATGTTTCGACAGCCTGGCCTCGGTTCTGTCCGACTTTCCAGCGCTTTTGAGCCATACGACTTTTATATTCGTTCCAGGCGATAACGATCCCTGGGCATCTACATTCACGGCCGGAGCTTCAAGCGCGATTCCCCGAAAAGCAGTTCCTGAGCTATTCACATCGAGAGTGAAACGTGCATTCGCTTCAGCGAACAATATTTCAGAAGGCTCAGCGTCAAAAACCACTCCAGGAGAGGCTATGTGGACATCCAACCCTTCACGCATATCCCTCTTTGGTCCAGTCCACGAGATCGTCGTTTATCGGGACGATATCTCTGGACGGCTAAGACGTGGCAGCATACATTTCACCAATACTGGAGACAATGACTCTCAAGAACCCCAAGTGCAAGACAACGCCAGTGACGAAAATGATAATGACATGATAATCGACAACGATGATAACGACAACATCAACAACACAAAGGCTCAAAAGAACAACTCCACCACCACCATAAGACCATCCCCCTCCTATCTCGCCGCTCAAAAACTCTCCAAGACAATCCTCGACCAGGGCACTCTCTCCCCATTCCCTATGAGCACAAAGCCCGTCCTCTGGGACTACGCAAGTTCCATACAGCTCTACCCATTACCCACAGCACTCGTTCTCGCCGATAGCGAAGTAGCTGCCTTTTCCGTCTCGTACGAAGGATGCAACGTTCTCAATCCCGGTAGATTCGTGCCGGAAGATCATAAACGGGAGCCAGTGACGTGGCTTGAGTATGATGTTTTGAGGAAGCGAGGGAGAGTCAAGCAGCAGAGGATGTGATGGTATTATTTCGTTCTTTGGATTCGTTAAATATGCATTTGTACATGGTTACGGATCGGAATGTCTTGTGCAAATAGAGCTTGTTTTGTCAAAATCATTTAAGCGTGTTAGTCAAGCATAATTTGGAAATCTATTTACCTCTATAACCTTGGACATTCCGTCTTCTATCTAAAAATTGCCATTTTATCCCATTACACGTTGAACGGATTCATAGTAGTCAAGGGAAGGTATCCAACTTTGCATGCGGATGAAAAGCGTAGGCCAAAATTTTGTATAAGAAGATGGAAAACTATAGACGGACAGGATAGAACGGAGGCAATTAATACAAGAAACTATGTGAAATCCCCTCTCAAAAAAGACACACTATGTATGTTGGTGAACAGGTAGATGAAATGTCAGAACGCTTGCTAAACAAAATGCAAGAGTTGGTCTTTAAAAAGTATCCTTGAATGCATATAACTAGAATGCAACTCCAAAATCACGAGGCTTTTGTGTTTGCAATTCCTCCGGACTGGGGCTGCGATCGCGGCTGAGAGTTCGGAGGTGTGTGGATTGTTCCTTGTAGTGCCCACGATAGTATGAGTCATTACTGATCAGGCCATCCGTACTCCTGTCGCGGACATGAGTGGAACCTTTGGTGGGCATGTCTCGATATGTTTCGTAGGGACCGGTCATGTTGTACTTGCTCTCTTCATACATGTCTGCTCGGGATCGACCGTCGAAGAGGAGAGAATTTCGCGCATCCAAAGCTGTCAAGTTGTCCATATCTTCCGCGTCTCCTATTGAAATCAAAGTTAGTTGAATATCGTTCAAAATAAATGGAAGGAGTAGATACCTTTACGTTCACGTAAGCGGATGTGAGGGTTCTTTCTGATGCAAGCGATCAGAGCGTTGACGCCAATAAGTATTGCCAGTACAACGGTGAGAGTGGACTGCACAGCGATGAGAACGACGCCAGTAATGGTCTTGGTTGTTTGTGCAATGCCGAGTTCCTCGACAAAGACCAAAATGCATGCCACTGAAAGTACACGGACTACTTGTATGGTGATGTTGATCCATTGACTAGACTTGGCCACGTATGGTCGGCTCCACACCAAAAGGATTAACATGAGAGCTTCGACAATCAGCTGTCCCCCGGTCTGGAACAGACCGTGACCGTCACCACCAGCAATGATGCAGCCCTTGATGAATGAATAAAGAATAGCAGGAATGAAGATCCACCAGTAGGATCGCTTGTAGCTGTCATAGAACAGACTGTAACGTCTCCAGATTTCCCTATCTTCGTACATGACCGAGTTGTCACCCTGAGTTTTTTTGTATCGACGAGCAAGGAGCCAGATGCGAACAGAAAACGCAGCAAGTAGMCCCGTGAACGCAGCCAGAGTCAGACCTGCCAGTAGCTTGGCGGCCCAGGAATCACCGCGGGTGAATTGATAGACGCAGTAAAGTACCCAGATACCGTAGACGATAAGAACTAAGTTGGTAATCGTCCGGCCTAAGAGTCCCCAATAATGCTTTCGGAAATCAACCAGACTCTGTGGGAAGGAGCCATACAATGCCCAGGTCTCCAGAACAACTTTCACGAGCAAAATACCAACAGCAATAGCAGCAATCACAATGGCAAAGAACAACAGCACAGTCATGAACATGTTGGATGACGGAATGTACAGTTGTTCGCACCAAGCCTGTACACCTTTGAGTTCCGCAACGATGCCACTAGAGGTTGATGAATTAGTCGTAGCGTTGTCCGAAGTCGAGACATCGCGGACGAATAGTACCGAACGCTCTAGGAGATCGGAAAGAGCTCGTTTGGTGAGGCTCGTGTTTGTTGAGCCATCGTCGAACGTCAGAGTAGCGTTTCTGAGGTATTGGTAATTGTTTTCGGTGATGTTACCGCCCGTCACGTTTCGAAAATTGTCGATGGAATTCTGCATGTCGCTCCAAGGAATAAGGCCTCCAGCAAACGCAAAGTTGGAGGTAAAAGTACGATAAACGGTGGGATATTGCACACTGAGCGCACCGCTTGTGGCGAGGGTTTGGAACCAGCCAATAACCTCGCCGAAGCTGGGGCTCGATGTAGCTGCTCCAGGATGACCAGCGGTTCCCAATGCAGTAAGCCCACTCAGAGCTAGAGATGCCGCAACAATACCGGCTGCGACGTAGGATACAGCGGGGATCTGAAGAGTCTTGCCGTTGGTGACTTCAGACTCGATACAGGCAACCTCGTCACCAGTATCAGCGGACTTGAGCTCCAACTTTGCCTGTCCTTCCAAATCCGGCACGTTGAAAGCTATCGAGGGGATCATGTCGGCATATTGGCTGGGAATCGTCATGTTACCGCTGGCTGAGAAGGCTCGGGCTGGCACTGGGCAGAGTTCTGGAACTGCAGAACTTGCATCACACGGGTTGAAATCCTTTTCATATACTTGCTTTCCGTAGGCAGACACAACCAGCGAGACTGTCACATTCTGGACTTTGTCGCTAGTGCCGGAGACATCGAAGACAACGTTATTGCTGCTCTGATCATATTCGACGTCGAAGTTGTTTACTGTGATTGTTGCGTTTGTCGAGCACAGGGAATATCCGTTTGTTTTGAGGACATTGCCAGCCAGGACTTGTGCCGGTCCCAGCAAGACAATGGCTGCAGCGGTGAACCAGCCAGGCTGCATGATGGATAGTGATGTTGATGATAGAAGGAATCGAATGGACAGGATCAACCTGTCGACACGCTCTTTGCGTGTGGATTAAGATGAAACGTAGTGATCAAAGAGAGAGATCGACGAATCCGAAGGGAACACAATTGAAAAGTCAGAGAGCTCGACCGAGTCACCCAATCGACATGGTCAAAAGGAGAGGGCCTATTCCAGGAATGAAGCGGGCGAGGCACTATACAGAACGCAAAAAAGAGAGATGATTGATGTAACGAATGAGCAGTGAATAGTCTGGATAGTGATAGTGATAGTGATAGTGATAGTGATAGTGATATGGATAGAAGGGATATGAAAGTGAATGCGAACGAGTGATGGTATACTATGTAATTAAGCGAGGAGAGAAGAGAGGAGAGGAGAGGAGAGGAGAGAGAGAGAGATGGGTGGGAGCAGTGGACGTGCCTACCCCGTAGTTATTTTCGTTACAGAGAGAGAGCTGTGGCTGTGTGGCGCTCCCCTCTGCATACCGTAGTACGTCTCAGGCGGGACGCGGAAGGGACCGTAGCGCCATTATATAGTATGCCCGTTATGCCCTTCTCATTGGCGCGCTGTCCTAGCGGCAGTTCTGGGCTCTCTGATCGCCGGCGCCAACTTGTCTCAGATTACTAGCGTTACGCTCTATTGATTGGTCGTGTGTGTTGTTTGCCATGTCACTGCTTACACCATCCGGCCAGTAAGCGGCATCAGCAGTCAGCATGGGAAAAGACACGATCTATATCATATATCATATATCAAACATATAGTATATGCTATTTGCGATATATGAACTAATAATACCGAGCATGCAACAGTTGACTGAAGAATCAATCAACCTGCGACTCGGCCAAGACCAATATTCACTAACTTAGTCAACTCAGTTAGCTTCAGTTAGTTAACTTATTTAAGTACGCAGCAGTTATTAATTAATCAATTTGAATTAGGCGCTATGCCTTATCAGTAGCTAGCACCGTCTCACAATTTTCGGTACGCCGCGCAATGGCGCCCCACGCAGCCCCCCAGTGGCTCCAGAGGCGCGCGCGAGTAACCCTACTGCGGTTAGCTTTACTTACGCGCCCCGTCCCCCGTCCTCTTCTAGACTTCTACTACATAGTAGTATACTCCTGAGTCCTGAAAGACGCCGTGTTGATCAGATCTGGATCGATATGCAAACGATCATCTTGCATATGCGGCTCTACGTCTCGGCTGAGTTAATTTCTGTACAGGTCTGACCAGATACGTACACAGACGTTGCTTTACCGAAGACTGACGGTGCGATGAAGTGCGTACGCTAAGTACCGACTCAGAGGTAGCTCGGCACAGGAGAAAGAAGCTCGGCCTTAAAGGGGTGCATCAAGTCATGTGTATTGATTGTTCTTTGTGCTTCGAACGTCTAGTAGCCAACGGACGTATTTTGAAATCCATAACCCAAGCTTCTCTGATGTAAGAATCAAGCGATTGCCGATGCCTTTCTCCTAAAGCAACAAGTTTTCCAAGGTATTAGTCGGTAGTTTCCCGCCAAAATCAATGGACACTGCATCTCAAAGTCATGCTCTGTCCGTGGGATTCGGTCACGGCATTGTGGGTGATCAAGTCACAAAATCCGAACCTCGCAAAACTTCCAAGACATAGTACAGATTCGCCATGCTATCTGTGCATTTGATACACTTCAAGTAGCTACTTGCCATGCCGTAACGGCCATCAATCATTTCTTGCCACTCTTCTCTTGCATTTCCCGCATAGCAGCACGAGCACTCCGGCTCCCGCCTAGCTTCGGCCCGCGAGGTGGCTCAGGTTTAGCAACCCTACTATTTGTGGTAGTCGTGGTAACACGATTTCGCTGCGTCCGGCGCCTGGTCTGGATAGCTTCCATGAAATCACGTCGAAATTGTTCTGCAATGCGATCATCCGCAGCCATATCATCGTACGTTGCAGATTGCTCTGGCTCGTCGTAAACGTCCACTGATATAGATCACCATTACTATACATTCCTGGATAAAAGGTCAAACGTCCGTTGAGAACTCACGTTTACTCTCCCGTAAAACTTCTTCCACGAGCCTATCTCGCTCAATATCTTCGCTGTTTCGCCTTCGATTTCTCCAAGCCTTGCTGTTGCTGCCAACCTCTTCAACTGCACCCGGATATTCACCGGCCATACGCCGCGTTGCTGCTTCAGTGCGGGCAATATTCTGTAATTTCGTCTCCTGACCCAGATCAATCTCGTGGAGCTTTCCTAGTGTAGCCGGTTCCCGTTTCGAAAATGCATTGCTAAACGAATCATTCGCATCTGCCTGATTGAGCCGCCCGGCAGCTGAATTTTCTTTGTTTACTTGTGTACGATTCTGTCGTCTAGCCAGTTCTGATTCTATATATTCCATCCTTATATTGTTAGTCCCGATGGTGCACAACTTTGCTTGTTGTAAAGAATGCGGCAGGACGTACATATGTTTATCAACATCGACCTTTTGCCCTGTATGGGCTGTAAAGCGATCCAGCCTAGCCTTGAGAATATCTGCTTCTATATCCTCTGTCGACAATGCGAGGGCATTATTCTTATCAGCTGGTTGCGAGCTGCTGGTCGAAAATTCGATGCCGCCTCTTCGCATGCGCTGGAACTTTCGCGGTCGCATGATGTTCGACACCTCGCCGTTGTTGCTAGCATCTGGCAGTTTCGGGCCATCGCCCTGTCTCTCTGATGATGCTGTATTGTGTTCTGTTACTGCGTTGTCTGGCGTGGGTACGTCATCGCGCTCGTCGACTCTTTTGCGAAGATACTTCTGCCGCTTGACTGGGCGGAAAGAGACGACCGGCGTCTCAGATATTTCAGAGTCCATGCCGTTTATAACACGCAGTTCGTGTTGGTATTTTGAACAAGTAAGATATGTCGAATCCGTTTGTAGGTGGTGTTGGGAGAACAAAGTGAAGGTCGGACGCGATGCGCCGCCACCAATGGTTGGTCGACGCGGGCGGCCCATACTTTTGGAGCAGGAAGCTTCCGCACTTCCTCATGCGAACAACCCACGACAATTTCGCTCGCGAGTTGACTTCGAACCAGGACGACAACGGTTTACAAAACCCAGATATACCTTGAATACTGTCATGCGACTGCTTTGATAGCCTCAACAAAGTGACACCGCAATTATCGTGTAGCTGCCGGAGCTCGCAGTCTTCCTCTGAACATGAACCCTTCCATTCCACCCTCAACCGCAGAATATGGCGGAGGKGAGTTCTTGCTCAATTACCTCATAAAGCACATCGAATTCCCTTTTCCGAATATAATACATTCTACGAGAGAAGAAAGTACTAACGTTAATATTTAGATGAGGTCTCCGCTATCGTCTTGGATCCAGGTTACTCGACGACGCGCGCTGGCTTTGCCGGCGAAGACACGCCCAAATCAGTTGTTCCCACCTACTACGGAAAATACCCTGAAGAATCTGACAAGTACATCTTTGGAGACGACATCTTCGTGACCCCCCGCCCCGGCGTTTCGATACACAACCCGTTCGGCAGGGATGGCATAGTAGAGGATTGGGACATGGCCCAGAGACTCTGGGAGTACTCATTCAAGTCGCGATTGACAGGCGCCAAGCCAGGGAATCCAATTTACAATGGCTTGAATGAGGTTCCCGCTGAGGGCGAAGTACCCTCTGACGAGATGGATGTTGAAACCGAAGAGAAGCCTCTCGCAGATAGCCCTCTATTGATGACGGAGTGTGGTTGGAATCCTACAAAGGCACGAGAGAAGACAATTGAAATTGCCATGGAGAATTGGGGAACTCCCGCGTACTATCTTGCAAAGAATGGCGTACTCGCAGCGTGAGTGAAGCGGCAATGTTTATTTTGTTGGTTGATATCATTCTAATTGATTACTAGTTTCGCGGCTGGTAAAGCTTCCGCCCTCGTCGTCGATATCGGCGCTTCAAACATCTCCATAACTCCCGTCCACGACGGGATGGTTCTCAAACGCGGCGTTCAACATTCACCCCTTGGAGGAGACTATGTTTCATCCCAAATCCGGGCACTGTTCAAGTCCAACTCTCCACAGCCGATTACTATCACCCCTCATTACCTAATCTCATCCAAGACTGCAGTTGAAGCTGGACAACCTGCTCAGGCTATCTACAAAACGTTCCCAGCGGACAAGGCTCCCGACGCCTCGTATAGGAAGCTCTTGGAAGAACGAACCCTGACCGAGTTCAAAGAATGCGTCGTGCAAGTGTGGCCGGGACCAAACAAACTGTCATCCACCGGACCAAACGGTATCTCAAACGAAGACATCGCAAAGGGCAGCCCCGGCCGGCCGTTCGAGTTCCCTGATGGATACAACCAATCCTTTGGTGCGGAGCGGTATCGCGTCACCGAATCCCTCTTCGATGCAAAGGCATACATCCAAGACCCCGAATCTGAATTTCCAGCACCCACCCCAGCACAAACGATTCCAGAGCTCATTAAGACCTCCCTCAACGCCGTGGATGTTGATATTCGACCTCATCTATTACAAAATGTGGTCGTCACCGGCGCATCCAGTTTGCTATATGGTTTTAACGATCGCCTAAACCAAGAACTGATGCAACTCTACCCTAGCCCCAGGGTCCGTATATCCGCTCCTGGAAACACTGCCGAGAGACGATTTGGCTCCTGGATTGGTGGAAGTATCCTGGCTAGTTTGGGTACTTTCCATCAAATGTGGATTTCGAAGAAGGAGTATGAAGAACATGGTCCCAACATTGTTGAGAAGCGATGTAGGTAATGCCTTGATATTCTCATCTTGAGTCTGAAATGCTTTCTGGTCGTTGATCTCGGTCTGTCGTGCAAGAGAATAAAGGGAAAAGTTTCCTCTAGGGATAAATAATGACTGGAGTTTTATCTAAAGTGTATCACTTTGTATTTGCCTTCAATGAGATATAGCTCGAACTTCACATATTGTGTGATATCGTTATTTACATAAGTTCATTAGGCCTGCTAAGAATTCTTGACACGCATATACAATGTAGAAGTAGATAAGACAGTTATCCTCTGCTTCTAGGAGGTCGATCATCAATATCATCCGCAGCCGTGACCTCCCTGAGTGAAGTCATTGAGACAAACTTTCGAACTCGCGGTGTTGTTGGTGTTCGAGGAAAAAGACTGAGACCTCCATGTTGGGGCTTCTCGAGTGTGGTGGTAACGCTGAGGGGAGATGCACTCCGAATATCGCTATTGCCTCTCGCTTTCGTAGCGCTCGATACACTTCTCTCGTGTGTGTTGACAGTAGAAGTATTCTTGGGCATCTCATTTGTGGGGCCTGAATTATCTCTTATACTCCCACGAGCACTGGATTGGCTTGTTCCTGGTCTCATGTTGGCACCCGCTGTAGCCGAAGATAACGCCTTCGGGGATATTGGAGGCGTTTCCAAATTCCTGGCAGACACATCCTTGGGTGCAGCCCATGTCGGGTTGAATGATGGTACAGGTGTAGTCGACCCATGTACATGGTTTGTTTGAGATGACATCGGTCTTGATGGCGTTTCAGATATGCCGGAACCATGTCTAGTTCTGAACAGAGAAGGCGAGTTCAGTGAGCTCTCATCTGCGCCCTTCTTGGAAGAGATAAAGGAGAAGACAGTAGAGGGCTTTGGGCGCAGCCAATTGCGATTCTGGTAAATCACATGATTGTTGTCTGGATTTGAGGGTTTACCAAATTTGGGTTTAGGGAGAGGCGGTACATGTAGGTTCTTCGCTCTAAATCTGCGGTTCTTTGCCGAGTAGGTGGAAGCGACTTCGGCTGCCATGTCATCTTTTTCGCAGGATTTATCTCTCGAACCATCCATGGATTTTGTTACAGCGGGTAAAGCTGTAATTTGATGTTCGAGATCGTTTTCCTCGACTATTAAATTCTTCATGTCCTCCTCGTCCGGTGACTTCAGGTCTTCTTCATCACTTGCTGACTGGTCCTCTAGGAACGACATGTAAAACAAGTGAGGAAACTCCGGCGCAGTGTTCTTTCTAGATGCTAAAGTGTGAACGTCAGATTGGGTTCCTGGTTGATGAGACCAACTCATTTGCTTGTCGTGAGTATCAAAATCGATCCATGATCGCTCCATGGGCTTCAAAGACTCCTTTGGAGTGATTTCTAGTTTGGACTCAGACTTGGTCTTTTTCTTCGTGTGACTTCTGGAGAAAGCCGAAACACTGAAAATCTTGGAGGTCGACTTCTGGAACCGGTCAATCTTGGAGCTAAGCCTAGACAGCGGTCTATTTGATTCCTTTTCTGGTATGCCGAAGCGCTCCACAGCTTTGGAAGAGGACGTCTTTGGCCGTTGTGGTTCCCCTTTTCGTTCCTTTCGAACGACATCCTTGCTCTTGCTCTCTGAGACTACTGGTGCTGTAACAGATCGTCGTGGCGTCATATTGCCAGTGTTCGGACGAGCGTAGTAGCGATCCGTCTTATTGCTCAATTCTTTCTTATACTCCGAAGGCTTCTGCTGGTGGCCACGACGAAACACAGAACCAGGCCTGTTCGACACCGGGCTTTCTTGTTGATATGTTGTCTTGACTAGTGTCGTTGGAGTAAAACCTGCAACGATCGAGACTGTCTGGGCCTTGGCGGTATAAGCGATTGGTTCTGCTGGCGATTGTGGAAGCGGGCTGTGCATAAGTTTTGATAGTCCGTTAGTTGTGTTCTTCACTTTCTTCTGTTGGCCTTCGGCCCGAGACACCGGCCTGGGAATTACCTGTTTCATCATTAGTAAAAGCAAGAAACTCAAGGAAGTAAAGGAAGGCAAGAAATAACACAAGGAGAATCTCACAATGCTATTAGTGCTGACTATATTTACAAGTCGTTGTATCTCAAAAGCGACTTGATGTAGCATGGTAAGACTCTTGGCGAGCTTATAAGCCTTACGCTTTAGACGTTTGAATTCTCGCTTCCAGCCATCGACATTGCCAACCATGGCAGTGTAAACCGCATCAAGGCTACCGGTCTGATCATTCCAATCCTCCCTTAATTCCAGGAGATATATGCCAAGGATTCGAACAGACTGTAAGCCCTTTTCTATATCCTTAGCGTGATCATCCATAGCGAGGGCGCTCCGTTGAATTATATGCTGTATGCGTTCGTGGTCCCTGATGACAGTTTTTCGAAAGGCTTCATCCGCTAGCATATCGCTGAATAATGGAATGTTTCCCAGGGGTAGGCGCAGGTGAGTCAAGCGCTCTTCAATATCGCTGAATGCAATGACTATATCTTCTGTAGTATTCTCAATGAAGCCATCGAGTTCGGCCACGTGTACTTGCAGGATTTTGATCACAGCAGGCTCAGACTTGGCCAAGCCTTGAGCGAGTAAATGAAGACCGAAGGCTATCTGAGATACTAATTTCCAGAGCGGATGGTATCTGGGAGTATGTAAGTACGGATGACGATGCGACTTCATATGTCACGGGAGCTCCTCACTTCTCATTTGGCCGTTGCCTCCATCTTCTCCCACACAATCGCTCGTATACAGAGGCCGTCAATATCTGATTCCGCCGAGCATGTGCATCTATAAAGACTTGCCAATTGCTGTGCGATCCAACTGTGGACTCAGCAATGGACTCCTCGAAAGGTCCTTGAAGCTGAGCAATTGGATGAACCGGTGCATCATTGAGCGACGGATCTTCCGCCTCGACCTCCTCGGCCTCCCGTTGAGCCTTTGCAGTTTGCTCCAGCCATTCTTCTTCACTCTGTATCAACGGCATCCTGCTCGCACCTTATGTTCGGCTCGTCCGTTTTCATCGATCGCGAAGGAGGTATCCGAGGATACCAACCCTTCCCAATGCTCAATCCGAACACAATACCATTGATTGTCGATGTCGAGAAATCGTATATAGTATGCTGTAAATTGCTCAAGACTATGAAAATGCCCCGGCCGGGAATACCGAGCCAGAGATTCAGTAGGCGTTCGTTTTCTCGGAGGACTCGTAAATGAGCGCCAAAGATCGGGTGCCTAGTACGGCTTAGCGTTATGTCTGTCACAGTGTTTTAAAGTTTCAATGCACGTGGCTACTCACCTGTGTGCTATTCATACAGGTTGAATCGCAAGAGTTGATTTACGTGCCCAAAGACTGTAGGCCAAAGTTCCTAGTTGACTCGCGATTTGCGCAGAAACCGAGGAAAGGGGTCGTGTCGAGTCTATAACCAAAGCCCACCTATCGCATCAACCATTATTTAGTCCAAATTAATTAGGACCCTTGGTTTGCCCGCGCTAGTCCCTGATGTGCCGTGTCCTAGTGGAGTTCTGGCCGGCTTAGAATCCCAGCACCATCGGGGCACATTTGAATCTTGATCCTGATTGATTAGAAACGAGTGGCTAGAAGCTCGGTAACAGCTTGTAAGTCGCCATGGCTTCTGCATAGTTTGGTATCTGACCAACACGATTAATTCAAGGAAACCAACTGCTGCCCACAGCAATGCATACGTACATTGTAGTACAGACTACAGATTAAGTAACAGGTAACAGGCAATAGGACAACAGAGCCAGCGGGCCACGTCAAGATGTACGTAGTTTTGACCCATGTCTACCAACCTAGCGTGTACAGATTGTTATATCTCAACTGTGGAGTAACAGACAGCGGATCGGCCAGGAGACCGTCAAATCTCACGTCTAGACGTGACGCAAAAAGGATCTGATGAAGGCTGGAGCAATAGAAAGTAGGAGTGAAAATGAATTATGAAAACACGATTGAAGAAGAGAAGATACGAAAAAAACACTGGGATGGCAGGGTTGGCACCTGGCGCCTTCCTTGCTTCGTAGGCTTCCTGATTTTTCAGGCAGCGTTGCGGGAGCTTTGGCAAATTACGCGACGGGCGCGGTTAGCTCTTCGACGCGTCTCAGCCTCATCGTCCACGATGCATTAAATGATCACAGCTGGCTCCAAACAAGTCAATGTGAGAACAAAGAGGGACTTTGAAGCTGATAGCACATGAGAGCCGCGCTATTTTCTTCCTTGCTCAAAGAACACACCAAGACCACATTCTATCGCATTCTCATCCACCGTTCTCTGCCCAGCACATTTACTTTCGATATGTCACTGAAACGAAGTGCCAACACCTCGAGCTCACCGGGAGCTGCGAAAAAGCCAAAAGCAAATGGTAGCATCACATCGTTCTTTGGCGCTCCCAAGCCCAAGGACGGTGCCAGTGCACCAAATGCCAGTGCTCCACCACCACCTCCCACCGTCAAATTCAACAAGGAGAAATGGGTGTCCTCCTTGACGGCAGAGCAGAAAGAGTTATTGCAATTAGAGATTGACACACTGGATGAGAGCTGGCTTGCTCATCTGAAGGATGAAGTTGTCTCTCCTGAATTTCTCAACTTGAAACGATTCCTCAAGAAGGAGAAGGAGTCAAAAGCAACTATTTTCCCTCCAGAAAGTGACATCTATTCATGGTAGGGCTTTTCTACATAAGTTTAGCTATCTAGCTCATTAATGCTCATTGCTGCTCAGGTCACGACATACCCCGTTGCATACCGTGAAAGCCGTCATCCTCGGTCAAGATCCCTACCACAATTTCAACCAAGCACACGGTCTTTGCTTTTCTGTTCGACCACCAACCAAAGCCCCTCCTTCCCTGAAAAACATATATATTGGAATCAAAAATGATTACCCATCCTTCGAAGCACCTCCAGACAATAGCGGCCTGTTGACTCCATGGGCAGAACGTGGGGTTCTGATGCTTAATACCTGTCTAACTGTCCGAGCCCACAATGCAAACAGTCACGCGAATCGAGGATGGGAACGATTTACACAAAAAGCGATTGATACAGTGGCTCGTGTCCGTACTCGTGGTGTGGTATTTCTGGCTTGGGGATCGCCCGCTGCCAAACGAGTAGCAGCTATCAACAAACAGAGACACTGTGTTTTACAGTCTGTTCACCCAAGTCCTTACAGTGCTCGTAACGGATTTGTACGACCCTACCCCTCCCGTTTGTTATTTTTAGGAGATAGTGTTCCAACTGACGGTGATTTAGTTAACAAATGGACATTTCAAAAAATGCAACGAATGGCTTTCCGAGAGATATGGGCAGGATGCCTTGATCGACTGGAGTTTGAACCCTAAGAAATCCGTCTTCGATCAGAAGCCTGCAGTAACGACCACAGGCGAAGACAAGCAGGAAGGACCTCTTGCCACCAGCAAACTTGCCAACAAAGGCCCTCTCGATGTCGCTGCTGCAATGGGCGACGATGAAGCTGCAATCAAGGTGAAGACTGCCACGCCGTCAGTCACAACAGCGGACGCCGATCTTCTTTGTGACGAAGATGATTTGGATGCTCTTGAGGCACTTGCTGCAGCAGAAGACGATTTTTCTGCCCCCAAAGTCGAGACTGTGAACGAAGAAGTAATTGTGAAAGAGGTCAAGAAGAACTGATCTCGAGGTGAAATGATATTGGCCACTATAGAAACACCGACTATGTGGAATCTTGTACTATGAGCGTTGGCGTTCTTCTCTTTTTTCTTGTGTGATTGGTGCCTATGTCAATCTCGGGCTTTTATTAGGGTCAAATGTATTGGATGCTGGTGTAGATCGAATAGAATACATCTACTGTGTCAATCACATTTACAGGGTTACTTCAATTAAGTCAGCTATACTAAAATCAAGCCAATCATAGAACAATACCTCTTCGAACCAAATATAAGACAAATATGAAAGGAAATGAGAAGATTTCACATCAAGGCATAGCATTCAAGACTAAAAAATACAATTTCCATTCAGATTCTTCGTTTCATTCTTTTCCTATTATATTTATTTAAAGCTCGTCATGCTCAGGAGCGGCCTCCTCGGTGGCCTCAGGAGCCGCAGTCTCAGTCTCAGAAGCAGCAGCGGCTTCGGCGGCGGAAGAGGCAGAAGCTGAAGCTGAAGCAGAGGCGGCGGCGACAGAAGATGCAGAGGCAGAGGCAGCAGCGGCTTCCTCGTTTAGTTTGGCGAGGTCAGCGACAGCATCGACTTGGTGCTTTCCGTTGGCCTTGATGAATGCGGCGAGGTCCTCGACAGTTCGGGAACCAGAGTATTCAATAGGGGAGCCCTTGGAGCCGGCTGGGTAGAGCTTGATGGTAGGGAAGCCCTGGATAGCGTCGGGGATGTCATTGGCAGTGGCGTCGATCTTGGCAACGGTCACCTTGGAAGCATATTCGGAGTTGTCAGCGTAGACTGAAGCTAGCTGCTCGTATTTGGGAGCCAGACTGTGAAAATTGCATGTCAGTCAATGCTGCTATCTCTCTTTGCATGGTTGGAAGGGCTTACGCTTTGCAGTGTCCACACCAAGGAGCATAAAATTCAAGGAGAACATCCTTGTCGTTGTCGATAACGAGGTCCTGGTAAGTGTGGGCAACGACAACAGTGACAGGGCCTTCCTGCGACTCAGGAATGGGCTCAGACTTGATGCTAGGGTCAACCTTGCCATCAAGAACGTCCTGGATGAATTCGCCGACCTCCTTGACAGTAATATCCTTGGTCTGGTCCCAAGGGAACTTGGTGTTTTTCTCAGGGTCTTGGATAGCAAAGGCAGGGAAAGAGGCAGTGTCCAAATTGAGGTTTCCGGCGTGGGCACCGAACGCCTTGGCGTCGATAGTAGCGATGTTGATTTTTCCACGATGTTGTTCGGCAATAGGGCGAAACTGCTCTGCGAACTTCTCACGCTCTTCAGCGGTCTCGGCGAAAATGTAAGCGAGAGGGATTCCAGCCTTCATGTACTTGGCATAGGTCTCGGGGCCGACCTCGCCGACCAAAGGTGTGCTGGCGGTGGTGATCCAGGTAAGAATGCTGTCAGAGTCGAAGGGACCAGTGTAAACAGCCTTCTTCTCGTCAAAGTCCTTGTACAGAACAATAGAGGGTTGCTCGACTTCTTCAGACTTGGCAACTGCCACATCATCACTGACGCCAAAGAGGAAGTTGTCACGCTCAGACTCAGCCAAAGTATTGAAAGCCTCGTTGGCCTTCTTGCTGTCCGTGGGAATATATCCAACAATGACAATCTTGTCGAGGGTCTTGAATTCTTCGAGATTGGCCTCGGTGACGGGGGAGACGGCGGGGAGAGATTGCTTGACCATATAAGAAGTGATGCTAGATGAAAACCAAGTCCAGTTAGTACATACAGTCAGCATAAAAGTATGATCAGAGGATGAAAACTCACGCTCCGCTCTTGCGGGCGCCTGCGTAGGGTTTGACATTGTCTTCGCCACGGAAGATTTTCAGGGTAGGGTAACCCTCGACACCGTACTCTTTGCACAGCTCAGCCTCGGCGGTACAATCAACCTTGACCAAAGGGATATTCTTCTCCTTCAATTCAGTGGCAGCAACCTCATATTCTGGTGCCAGGGCTTTGCAGTGACCGCACCATGGCGCAAAGAACTCTGCCAAGACGAGGTCATGTCCCTTGATAAAGTCAGAGAAGGTATCCTGGGTCAAAGAATGAACGTCGGATTCAGCGTCAGAAGCATATACGACGGCCGAGGCACCCAGAAGGGCCGTGGTGATGGAGAGAAAAGAACGCATGGTGATTGTGGATTGATCAGTGTCGCGAAGGGGGGATCAGATGTAGACTGAAGACAACAAACAAACAAGTCGAGGGCGGCTTCACAGAAGCTATCTATTTCTCGACTATAGTAATAGAAAGGCAAGACTGTCTGTCTGTCTTCTCTTCTACTTGTTGGGGGTATAAAAAAACACTAAGCAAAGAGAGACTGGATGGTTGCTTGAGAGAGGAAGTCGTACGATGGAGCGTCCCGTATTTAAGATGGGAAGCTGCGGAGACAGATAACAGTGAGGACAGTTTGTTCTTTACTCCTTCCGTACGCCAGTGGGGACTGCATTAGCGCGGGCATCAGCAAGGGTCGCCGTACTATTACAGCCCTGTTACCGATATATTACAGCAAGCTGCTTGTTGTTACATGATGTGCCCTCCAAGTCGTACACCGTTACATGCCTACAATATGATTTTCACTATCACTCAATTACTTCGTTTTAGACTCATGTAGCCTGCCGAAGTTCTTCAGATGAGGAATTGGGTGACCTTTCCTCTTATATCTCTAGGGAACTCTATCCTGTTATTCACATAGCTTCCAAGCTTACAAACATTGCAAACATTCTAAAGCTGCCCTGCAAGGCTGGACAACAGACAGACATACAAGCTCTTCTTGCTGATTACCCGAGTGGCATACTTGTCCATTTCTTGATTATTAATCAGCCATCCCAGCTTTTGATTATAAGTAACAGTAACTAGCCATGCGGATTGTCGCTGATTATATTACATTGCTTTATCTCGCTTGATGCAAAAGGTATAGTACAGCCTATATGTGCCTAAACTCAATTATCCTCTTAATATAGCGTGATTTCTTGTTTTCATCTCCTTTGAATCTACAGGGGCCACACGCGGTATATATGTATATGTCGTGGGAACACCTAGGACTCGTGTTGGTCTTGATCCAACTCTTCTGCGAGAGCCAATGCATCTCGTTTTCCGCGATCCACATCCAAACAAAGCATTAAGGGGACGGCGAGGAATATCAAAATAGCCAGGAAGACAAAGGACGGTCTGATCTCACCATACCGATCGGTGATTGCGCCGACAATCGCAGGACCAAACACGCTCGAGCCCTTGTCAGTAATCGCATATAGAGCGTAAAATGCCGTTTCGTATCCAGGAGGGATGAGCTCGCCGAACAGGCTTCGGCAGTACGCCGACAAGCCGCCCATTGTAAGACCGTAGATGGCTCCCATGGGATATACTTCCCAAGGCTGTTGTAACCCAAGGAACCCGAGTCTCTGTATCGCAGGAATAAATCCTAGCATTCCATATAATGGGATGACTTCAAGTAAAAGCACACTGGCAATAATCGGATACTGGGCACGGAGATTGAAATGCCGTGAGAGAAAACCCCAGGCAAATGCGCCCACAACTCCAGAGAGTGTTCCAATAACGCTGATCAAGCCAAGTGCTGCAGGTTGCATATGAAGTTCAGTTTTGGCAAAGAGAATGGCGGTCCCGCTAACCGTCGCAATTCCGTCGCTGAGGAGAAACCAAGCCGCAAGAAATAAAGCAACATCCTTGAGACGTCGAGCTCGCATAATAGTCCTGGCAAGAGATTTCCATGAAAACGACATGTAGCCAAGCCAGGTGAGAGTAGTCTTTCCATCGCTTGGTGTAGGTAGCGGAGGGCCCGGCCGTGGTCTTAACCATAGCATCGAAGGTATAGTGAAGACAAACCACCAAAGACCAATCAAAAACATAACCAAACGGAATGAGAATGTAGTCTGGTGAGTGACTTGCACAACAATGATACACATAACTTGCAGCAAGAGAGCTCCGACGTAGCTTATCCCCATGCCATTCGCAGAGATTCGCGTAGAGAGACGTATAGTTGAATGCTCTGGGTCATCTGAATGACTGCCTTGCACAGAACTTGCTCCATCTGGGACGGTTTGCAGCAGCGGTGTGTTAATATCAGGAGGCGTGGCAGCATCGAGTTCGTCATTCGTATTCTCTGCTCTTGGTGCTGCGGTGACCTTGCGCAACATTGCCGGATGATGCCGAACGAGGAGTGGCAGGAACGAATTGAGAAGCACAAACGATGAGCCAAAACATGTGTTCGCGATGATTGCCAGAATTGCCGCAAGAATATAGATCTGAGGCTGGACTGCAATAAATAGCATGGTTGCGACAGATCCGATGCATGCGAACAGTATCAGCAGCGACTTTCTGTAGCTGCCGTGATCCGCAGCACCAGACATCGTGACAATAAGCAGCGCTTGAATTAACACGCTTAGTGAGAAGGTATACATCGCAAAGCTTGCCGTATTGATCTCGAGTCCGAGCAGATCAACAACACATTGATTCGACCGACTCAGCAGAAGGTCGCTGGAGAAGGTGCTTATGTGGCTAGCCTGACATGGCTGGGTCTTGTCATCTGCAAGATGTCCATTGTCACGAGCCATTTGTTCCAGCGTGATGGGAAGGAAGGATCCTAAGCGGATAGTCAGTCCTGTTTACCATGATCTGGGCGCAACTTACCCATCGCACACACGACGAATACTTCGGCGGCCCATCCATAGCTGTACCAAGCAGCAATTTCTCGTGTACTAGTCGGCCGGGTATCGTCCCCCGGATATTGAGGGGAAGGCGAGTCTTCGACGTCCGACATTGTATACTGTTTCGACTTATAAGACTTATATGTAGATAGAGCACGACAGCCCCACCTCATCTAAAGTCGCAGGTCTTCAAGAGGAAGAGGTTGAGGATTCACTGAAGATCAGATAGAATCTAGAATGGATATCATGATGATGGTAGAAGGTTGTATGTCCGGGAACGTATGCTTGCTGTTTCTTCATCTGATGGTAGTTGGAGCTTGGATGATCACCGACGGTCACAGGCGCCAACATGTCATAGCTCGCGACTTGCGCTAGCTGCTTTGGGCCGAGATTGATAATTCCAGGTTGAGTCTAAGATTTCGCGACCGAAGAGGAGAGAGCCTGTAGACAGTATTTAAAACACAGTAGAGGACCACTGCACACAGTTATAGGCTTCTGCCTCGTTCTTTGGCATGTTATTTCTGTGATTTCATTTCATCAGTCTGTATACCTACTACCTTAGGCATCCACAACCCCGGATTAAGCTAGCCCATTTATCTCAGCCAATCAAAAGCCTTCCACATGTACGGGGAGGCAGTTGCCATTTCAGGACTAGTGTAGCTGGTTTGCGCCTGCCGTCAGCGCTGACGAGAAATTGGGTTTACCTTGTTGAGACCTCACTTTCAATCCGGTGCAACAGGGACAGGTTCCGCGATATCGMCCTGCCAATAAACAMCCCGCCGCTTCATAACGAACTGTCAATTTGTACCTCTCCTGTCGCTTAATTCTGGCTGTACCCGTCTCAGCCATTGTCTGGAAACCATTCACTCTTTGTGTCGACGCTACCATCCTTGTTTCACGGTCAGGTCGCTTTATCTTCGCATTTTCTCCACTGGCTGTTCCAGTACAAGCCATCGCCTCCTTCATAAATTTATCATCGCCTCTCGCACGCCGTCCGTTCTACTGTCTCGCGCTCCCTGCAGCCTTTCAGCGTAGCCTCGATGTCCGTCCTGCCTTAGAACTTTCGTAACCCTCCATGGTCGCATGAATCGTCGCCGAACAAGAGAGCGCAAGACTTAAATCCGCTTACACGCGTCCTTTTGGCCTTCGACAAGGTGTGAGTTCTGGACTGAGCAGAGAGCTTTCATTATCTCTTCTCGTTCAGTCCGAAAAGGCTGCAAGTCAAGGACGCAATCGCAGCGACGACTGCATCGGACACTTTAATGCTATTCGAGTCGAGGGAACGAGCTACCAAGCCCTGTGACGGACGAGGTCGCACCGATTAGACGGGTGCCAGTGATGCCTGGTCTCGTCATGGACGATGTCAGCGCAAGTGCATCAAGAGATTGGGGTGACTCTTACAATCATCATGAAAGCAATGGGAACTCGACCGTAGTGCGCGGGGCCCACCAGGTTGATAGCAATGGAAAGTCAGACAACCCACAGCAAGTCAATGGGTTCAAGGGAGATGACGGTAAAGGTCAAGGGTTCAACACGGCAATGGTGCTGAAGCATGGACAGTCTAGCGTTATGCCAGACAGTGTTCAAGGACTATGGGCTCCACCACTTATGCATATCACTCAAGGGTTTTTCCCGTATTCCCAGCTTGTGAACAGAGCTGTACAGCAATGCTATAACGATCTCTGCGACGTCATCACAGAACTAGCAGATTCAACCCAACCACAGCAATCGTCGTCTGCCAACGGAAAGCCGGACCCGGCAGCTATGCAAAAAAGAATCCGTATACTAGAGTTTGCGCAGACTAAGCGCACCGAGTTCATCAAGCTTCTTGTCTTATCGCAATGGAGTCGTCAAGCCGTGGATGTCAGCAAGCTCATCGACCTGCAAAACTTTATTCGAACACGGCATTTTGCTTACCAGACTGCTGTCCAACGAGTAGCAGATATGAAACGAGACTTGGTTAGAGCTCAGGTAGCCAATCCAGATTTACAAACTGCATTGGAGGTTCTGACGATGGGCCGTGTGTCGAATATGCCAGAGGTGAGCATCATCCATTGCGCTTCATCTTACATCTAATGTACTAAATTCCCCTTACAGTTCGGTTATAAACCTCCCAAGCCTCTCAGTTCAAAACGCCTGCTGGCAACTCTACAGAAAATCAATCGCATAATCAGCACACGCTTGGTGACTAGCGATACCATTCCTTCCTCCTTGAATGACTACCGGGTTCATGACGGCCGGGCCACCTTTTCCGTCCAAGGCGAATTCGAATTAGATCTCTCCATTGCCGAAGAGGATGTTACGTCACAATTCTACTTCATCGACATCCGTTTTCTTTTCACTCCGTCCTCTCCAATCCCCAAAGGTCGCTTCTTCAACGAGCTCGATTCGCAGATAAACAGCATACTGAAAACGAAAGGCTTGTCAGGCTGCTTCGACTTTATCCACAATCTTGTTCTTGTGAACAAAATTAACATCCTGTTCAAACAAGCAATCAGCCTCTCCAGAGGCCAGTGGATAGGCGCTCTACGCGTTGAGTTATTACATCGCATTCTGGTTGTGCATTACTGGCCAGATAAAAGTGGTCCCAAGAGTTGGCTAGAGATTGGTGCTCATAGTGGCCGTCAGCAGCGCCAAAAAGTGTCCTATCTTGGTCTTCGCTGGGTTCGTGACGGCAAAGAGTGCGAATCCGCGCAGATTCACTTTGACACAGAGACGCTTTCTATGGAGTCCATTCTTCGAAGCGTAATCGCTATTCATTCAGCCCACATACTCCGCGCTGTCTACGAACGCCTCTGCACGGAAAATCTATTTGCTAACCACCGACTTTCGATCAGCATGCAAATGTCCAAGACTGAGCCTGGAAACTGCCGCCTGAACGTTCAACTTACTGAAACCCGTTACCTCAATGCATCATTGGAACCTGTCTCGGGTACCATGTGTATACATACCATACCTTCACTATTATGCCGTTTAGACAAGGGAAGCGCTTCCGACGATGACTTTGTTAACCGAATTTCACGACTGCGTTGCATTGCAGCCATGGAAGAAATCGAATCTGACGCAAAGATATTCGGATGGGAAAGCGTCGATCATCGCAAATTCAAGGTAGACATTCGTCGTGTCTTCCCAAGTAACATTTTGCGGGCCTCCTTCTTCCGCAATCGTGTCTGGGGAAGTTCATGGATTATTGCTGCGACGACTAGTCTCAGCGGTGATGACTGGTGGATACTGCGTCTCAAAGCGCGACCATTATCATACCCTGATGGGTCGGGTCACGCTCGTGTGGTTGCTGGTGGCTTTTCCGTTCAGTCTACTCGTGTTTCATCCGGTGATCAAATCTTGTCGCCGCGAGAATCGAGATATCACTTCCCAGATCTGGATTACTCTCTTACTGGAGCTCTGGTGATGTACTCGAACGCTTTGTGGCTTTCAGAGCTGGGATATCAAGACGTTCTTCCACCAATGGATCAACTACAACTTGGCTCAAGGTTGGAAGTGCCTTGTCTTTATCTCAAATTCGATATTGCAAAACTACCAAGACAACTACGGATTACACCACTGGAAGGGGCCCAAAGCAAGTCATATGTTCGGGAGACCTTCACAATATCATATCATGGAATTGATTTCCGCACGAAGAATGCAATCGTGGTCGCACACGGGCGATTCCACACCCCTTTGCGAAAAATGGGGTTGAAGAGGTTAAAGCTCGATGACTGCGTACTCCTTCGGCGAGGTGGCACAGCTTTTGCAATGCGTTTTCTCGTTGCTCCAGGCCAGCCGATCATGACCGATCTGTTTGAGCGAATACAGCGACTCAACATAGCCTTGTCTTTGTTCCATACACTTCAGCAAAGCAAGATCACTGTTAAATCAGTATCTCTGTCGAATTTGTCGTTTGTGTATGCGCCACGTGAAGGTTTCGAAGCAAACATAGTCGTCAGGCTAGATAGACTGGGCCACGCGCCTGATTTGGACCCTGCCATCGTTCGTCTACGGGATGAGTCGCTTTTCCGCTTACGCCTAGATATATCATTCAATAATCTGAGTCCACACAATCGAATCAAGCAATCTCTCGGGATGATACTCAACCGGTCAGGTCCAGGCAATGGTGTACAATGTGTGCTACAGTTACTCAAGTTAACTCTACCTGTGCTTCGTGCCTTGGATCGCCTGGTTACTGAACCGCAGCACAACTCTGCACTACGCGTCCAGGTTTCGATTCGTGGGGCACAGACCTTTCAAATCCACTACTTTGGTCTTAGATTCCGATTCCTAGTCAATGCCTTACAACGCCGTGATAAAATTATCTGGACGCTGAAAGACATAAGCTCATCAGAAGGACAACGTGATGTAGAGCAAGCCGTGGAGGCCAAGCTACAGGAGAAGATTTACCGTGGAAAGGGAGACGGTTGGCAAGGCCTCGGGAATGGCGCTGTGGCCGAAGTTGATCAAGTCGGAAACCTATTGTCAGAGCTGGATTCTTGTTTCGCAGATTTGACGCCGCCAGCAGCACTGCCAGCAGCTCCTAGCGAGATTGCAGAGAAGAAGCCGGGCAAAGCAGCCAAAGACAAAGGACAGAGGACGAATGGGACGTCCAAGATAAACCGACAGTCGCAGGAAGTGCCGAAGGAATCTGATGTAATTATGATTGACTAGTTGAAAGATTACTCTGGATAGTAATTTATAATATTTGTTACAGTATCAAAACGGATTCTTAATGTATGGCATTCAAAGTAATCAGTGAGATATATCTCCCTACCTAAACCCACCCACACCTGGGCACCGAAGCAAGAAACCCTTAAGGTATCAGAACGCGGAGGATAAACGTAGAATGAAGCGATCGAAAACAAAGAACATGATAAAGCCTGCCACCTTTCCTCTCTTTTTTATATTTTCGAGAGAACAGCCTGTGAAAACAAGCCAGACAATTCAATTTCTGATGATACAAATATAAAGGCAGCCCATTCTTCTGTTGGCCAGACAGGAGCGTTTAACCATTTATCGCGAATAAGGATGAAAACCACGATGACCACCTCCGCGACCTCCACCGCGATAGTTAGCTCCTGGTCGCCCGGGGTTTCGGGGACCAGTGGGAGCGTTTGCAGGTGCAGCAGGAGGTGTAGAGCCGCCTGGAGTGCCTGGTTTGCCTTGGTTCTGCATGCCGCCTCTTCCCATGTTCCCACCACCGCGACCTTGTGGGCCTGCTGGGACATTCGGTTGAGGGACCTCGTCATACATGCCTTCCCATGATGTAGGGCCGCCTTGTTGATAAGGGGAGTAGGCGCCGCCTCGTCGAGCTTGTTGCTGCTCGTACTTTTGTTGCTCAAAAGCTAGTTGCTCGTGAGCATTGTAGCCCGGCCCACCACGGTTAGCGCCATAACCAGCGCCACCCATGCCCATTTGTCCTTGCCCTTGGCCTTGCATTTGCTGCATTTGCTGCATCTGTTGCATCATGGCGGGTTTGTTCATCATATTCTGCATACCCTGTGGACCGGGACTGGGTGATTGACCAGGCTGTTGACCGGCTGCCATTTGCATCTGTTTCATTTGCTGCATCATTGCGGGATTCATACCGGCCATATTCATTCCGCCCATGCCCTGGCCTTGAGCAGCTGCCATTTGCTGCTGCATCATAGCAAAGTACTGCTGCATTCGTTGCCAGTACTGTGCCATCATCTGTGGTGTGATGCCACTGGGTATACCTCCTGGTCCTTGGCCACCTTGCTGTTGGCTATTGTCCGGCGTCATGCCCTGATCTCTGCCCCGTCGGCCACCATCGTCCCGCAGGTTTCCCCTTGGCTGAGCCTTCTTCACCTCAATAGATTTACCGAGGATTTCCAAAGGTCGAGAAAGTGTGGCTTCCACTGCGGCTTCACTGTCGAACGTCACGAAACCAAATCCTCGCGGGCGTCCAGTGTCCTTGTCGATCATAAGTGTGGCGTCCACCACACGGCCGAATTGCATGAAAAACTGTTTGAAGTCCTGCTCTGTGGCTTCCTGGCTGACTCCTCCAACGAAGATCTTACTGGTCTTCTCTTGCTCATCGCGAGGAATGGCACGTTTAGGATCGATCTTCCCCTGTGTCAGCGCACGTCATTGATAAAACGAAAAGCAAGCAGCTGAAACTAGATATCGTCGGACTTACAATCTTTCCATCTAGGTAATGCTCTTTAACCATGACCGTGTTGACGGTTTTAGGATCTCTGAAGGTAAGGAAACCGAAACCTCTCGACCTCCCTGTAGCGCTGTCACGCATGACTGTGCATTCCGAGACCTCGCCGAATTGTGAAAAGTAATCCTTAAGCGATTCTAAGATGACACTGATTAGCTTCCCTGGGCTGGGGGTTGATCCCTGGGCAGGGGGTGGATGACATACGATCCGTGGTCTCCCAGTTCAAGCCTCCAATGAACATTTTCCTACAAATGAAATGTTAGACATCCTTTCTTTCGCTCAACTACCAGAACGCATTCTCAAACACGTTATACAATAAGTAAGACGAGAAACAAAAGATTGGGTAAGTCGGCTGGTCTGCAAATATATCGCTATGCGGTTTCTGACTTGGTGTTGCTGATCAAGGGCATATCAAGAATGCTGTACGGACTAACGAGTCCGGCAAATAGGGCGATGCGTTGCATATGATTCACGCTTTTCCATCTCTCTAGGACAAGCATGAGGTCGAACGGTTTCAGTGTGCCTTTGGATTCGCGGAGACATGCAAGCCGGTCGCTCTCGGGGTACCTCGCGAAGCGATTCGACCCAAGACGTGTATATTGTATAAAGGATATAATTTACGCCTTGCCAGATCAGTGGGTGAAGATGGACGTCCGTGTGCATGAATCCAATAGCGCAGCCCGGAGTGGTGGGCTGCTTGTCGTATAACATATAGAGTCCTGGGTAGCCAAGTCCGATTGATGGGTCTTTCTAATGTTCGTCATATCAAAGAGAAGTGTCTCGATAGTTCTTGTATTCCCAGATGTCGAATCGTCTATTTGCTGCTTTGCTCTATCAACTTGTATCGATAAGAAGCTATATAGTATCAACTGTACTATACTCGCTGGCGATATAACATCGTGTAACAGGCCACTATGGCCTCTAGTTCTCATCGTCTCCATCGAATAGCATCAATGGTCACTGGCCCCTTGTGCAGCAATTTCCCAGACTATCGATGACCCAACAAGCTTGCCACCACGTAGCCGTAGTTCACATACAATAGCACTCAGTACGTATAGTTTCTGCAAGTATGCGGTGGACATCTATGAATAGCGCGGCACACTTTGTTCCAAGCATAGGGTCCAATAGCTTCCTCGCAATTGAGGCAAGCTCTATCATCTTCCATTGGCCAATCCGCACATGCCGATGAAACCCCGCAAGTCATTTGTACGCTCGGAACAAGACTTTAACAGCTAATTCTCCAATATGCCGTAAGTGGCTGTCATGCCTCAGAATAAGCCCGCTATAGGTTCTCTGTTCCTCCAGCCCAACAATATTCGCAGACCCAGCGTCGGTACCAAAAATGGTGCAATGATCGGATATACTCAAAGAAAATAAATGAACTTACCCATCTTCCTTGATACCTGTACCCTGTGTTTCTCCATCTGTAGACTGCAACCCATCACCAGAGTGCACGTTTATGTCGTGTGAGGTCTCATCCATTGAATGGTAACTTTGGATCCCACCAGTCTCCTGGACGTGATATGTATCATGTTCGTTTGAGTTCTCATAGGAGGGCTCGTAGCCCCTTCCATTCTGGTAATCATTGGTTTGGGGGACCGCTGATGAAGTAGTTGCATCCGCGGAGTAGTCGGCTACTCCAGTGGAGGCGGCCTGGTTATTGTCATTTCCATCGTACCTTGGAGACCAATTGTTAGCACCTGAGCAAATAATTATCAATGAATGACTCACAAGTCAGCAAAGAGATCCTCCTCAAGCTCTTCTGGTTCAGTCATTTTTGCTGGTAGTGAGATAATTAGACAAATTAACGAAACCTGACGTAAATCTGAATGAGACCAGAGTTAAGGCGCGCCTTCTGAAGCGTAGCCTTGATGTATACAATAAAGGAGCAGGTGATTAGAATGTGAGGTGCAGTCTCACGGCGGATGAGGTTGTGTTGAGTGGAAGTTGTGAGAGGTGAGGCAGAGTAAGGACGGACGGCCGAAGACAGACCAGGGTGGAGCAGTTGACCGCCCTAGCAGAAAGTGCGGAGGGCTCCAACTGATCAGGTGGGTCAGCAACAAGCATTCAATCAATCAATTGATTTCAGCAGAAGGCAGCAAGCAACCGACTATGTTACCAAGCCGTCCACAGGCACGAAACGGCTGTGCATTACTGTTTCGATTCCCGAATGCATGAGGAGCAGCCAGTGTTTGGTCTCGAGCTGTCGCAACGATGGCTAACAAGAAGACCCACCAACAGGTGTGTTCAATATCCCACCTTGAACGACTTTGCTGAACAGGGCTGATCGATGTATAATGGGGGTGACTAGGAAATGGTCCAGGTTGGTTCGTACCTCTTTTCTGTTCAGATCGGACTGGATATGACAGGTGGCTGACATTGATTCATGTTCGTAGCGGACCGTTCTGAGTATGTCTACACCGTCCATAAGTCCGAATCGCTTGCTCGGTACCCAATTTGAGAGCGTTCTACACCCGACTTTATACTATAGGCGCTAATTGTTCGTGAGAAGGAGTGCATCTCCATTCTGGAAGTCAAGATCTACATCTCAACAGCATGCCAGCCCCAGGCCTTACGATGCTAGCTCCGTCGTTGGCGCATCCTATTCGCATGCCGACATCCTAAAGTATGTGTGCAAAGCAACCTCACTGCAATCAAATAATCGAATTGAAGTATATAGGATTTATCTGACAATCCGCTCAGCACGTCGGCTCGCACCCCACCTCGGTCTGGATTAAACGCAGGACAGCATCGCGCGCAACCCTCGCTAGCACATCTCGAAGGGAAAAAGACCTCGTCACCAAACCGCCCTTATAATAATATACTATCGCATTCGACACGTGGTTGGGAATATGGAACCGATGTTGCAGATGAAGATGACGATGACGAAATATTTTATGATGACGACGAAGATGAATTCGGGCTTCCTAGTATTGCTAGCATGCGGAAAAAGGGAAAAATCACTCAGCGTACACAACCCTCATTTACAACAACCAATACGATGTCAGGGAACTCCTCGCTAGGTGCAGATCTAGATGCTTCTAGTCGACCAAGAGCCAATAGTTCAGATATTGCAGAAGAACGAGGCGTATCACTTTACCCGTCAGCGAAGAAAACTGAAGGCAAGATCCTTCGTCCTCAGTATAAAGATATTTTGAAAGGTATGACTGTTTGAAACTGGTACGGTTTGATGTCCTGAAACATACTGACATTGTACGATATAGACCCTGCCAATTCCTTGAATTTGATAAATCATTCACCGCCACCTTCTGATGCCACACCGAGTCAACGAGAAGCCCATTCTGCGCGTATTTCCAGGATCAACAAATTCAAAAGAATCTTGCAGGCGAGTACTGTGTCCCTGTCAGAGCTCCGCTCCCTTGCTTGGTCTGGAGTCCCCGACGAAGTGAGAGCTATGACATGGCAATTACTGCTGGGCTACTTGCCGACGAATAGCGAGCGCCGCGTCTCAACACTTGAAAGAAAGCGCAAAGAATATCTTGATGGAGTTCGCCAAGCTTTTGAACGAGTTTCGGTGAATGTGCCTGGTTCAACAAACACGAGTTCTGGCCGTGGCAGGGGTTTAGACGAGGCAGTCTGGCATCAAATTAGTATTGACGTACCCCGTACGAGTCCTCATCTGCAATTATATAGCTACGAAGCGACTCAGCGATCTCTGGAAAGGATACTTTACGTCTGGGCTATACGGCATCCTGCCAGTGGCTATGTTCAGGGAATCAATGACCTTGTGACTCCATTCTGGCAAGTCTTTCTAGGTGCCTACATGACAGATATTAATGTCGAAGAAGGAATGGATCCGGGTCAACTACCAAGATCTGTTCTTGATGCGGTAGAAGCTGATTCTTTCTGGTGCCTCACCAAACTGCTTGATGGCATTCAAGACAATTATATCTATGCCCAACCAGGTATACAACGGCAAGTGAAAGCACTGCGCGATCTGACGAAAAGAATCGATGCTGGGCTGGCAAAACATTTGGAGAGCGAAGGAGTCGAGTTTATGCAATTCAGTTTTCGATGGATGAACTGCCTGCTTATGAGAGAGATGAACATAAAAAGTACAATTCGAATGTGGGATACATACCTGGTAAGTTATTTTACAGATAGGTCGATTGATTGCTCGCTAACATATGCAACAGGCTGAGGAACAAGGATTTTCTAGATTTCATTTATACGTTTGCGCCGCTTTTCTTGTCAAGTGGACTGATCGATTGCTCAAGATGGACTTTCAGGTATGTACTAGCCATTAAAGGAACCACCTTCGTGTTATTGACACGTAAATAGGAAATCATGATGTTTCTTCAGGCACTTCCAACCAAGAATTGGACAGAAAAGGATGTTGAGTTGTTACTTAGCGAAGCATTTATATGGCAAAGCTTGTTTCAGGATTCAAGCGCACATTTGAGACAAGACGGTGAAGAAAACGATACCGGCTACATGTTTTGATTGCTATTTGCCCTTTTGGTGTCAAAACCAGATAATGATTGAGGGGCACCTCAAATCCTGCATGATCAAGAGGAAATTTTTAATCGAACATCCACAGACATCTGCTGGCATAGAAAGGCAGTTGACATAGCATTACACCCATTTTTTTTAGGGAAAAGTCACTATTTTAGACTATTAATCAGCAGAATATTTCGATATTACACTAAGTGCTTATTGATGAATTCACTTATCAATAAATCCTATATGAACACTTTTATTCTTCATCACACAATACTTAAAATGTGTGTAGTAGTTGAGTATTGTAGGTAGAATCGTTGTGAGATCTGATAAGATGGAAACCTCGGCTCTCATTGGTCCCAACCTAGAGCGCCGGCGGTGGCAATCGTCAATACAGATTAATTTCGAGGTGAACAGTCTCTCTTTCTCCATCTACCCTCCCCGTTGCGCCACCCACGCACTTTCTTCTTCACCATGTCTTATGGAAGGAAGGATTTCCTTAGCCAGCCGGCGCCTGAGAACTACGTCGCTGGTCTCGGTCGAGGTGCTACTGGCTTCACAACCCGATCAGATTTGGGACCGGCGCGAGAGGGTCCAACACCAGAGCAGATCCAAGAAGCGTTAGCGAAAAGAGCTCAGCAACTAGGAGCTCCGACACCCACAGCTTACAACACAAGTCGCGAAAAGGGAGGGAAGGGTAAAGAGCAGGAGGCGGAACAGGAAGAGGACGACGAACGCTTCCAGGATCCAGATAATGAGGTCGGACTGTTCGCCTATGGTGCCTATGATCGTGAAGATGACGAGGCAGATTTGATCTACCAGGAGGTTGATGAGAAAATGGATAGGAGACGCAAAGCAAGAAGGTTAGTTCCAACGCATTTTCATTCCCTCTCGCGGGTATTCGATGTCTCATTTTCGAGGCGTCGTCTTCGCCTTTTGCCTTTCATATATTTATTGTGGACAGAGAGCCGACTTGATTCTTTCGATGCCTACAGGGAAGCCCGCGAACAAAAAGAACGAGAAGAATACGAGCGAAACAACCCGAAAATTTCACAGCAGTTTGCCGACCTGAAACGATCTCTCGCCACCGTATCGGACGAGGACTGGGCCAACATACCCGAAGTTGGTGATCTGACAGGGAGAAATCGACGAGCTCGCCAGAATCTAAGACAGAGATTTTATGCTGTACCGGATAGTGTGATTGCAGGTGCTAGAGATGCGGCTCAGTTTGATACTACCATCGCCGAAGATGGTACTCAAACCGAAATCTCAGGTGCTGCGGGAGGAGATGGCAGCTTGACGAATTTTGCCGATATTGGTGCTGCTAGAGATAAGGTCCTACAGGTACGCCTCGATCAGGCGGCCCTTGGATCTTCTGCCGAGGCTGCGTCAGGTAGTGCGACTAGTATCGACCCGAAAGGCTACCTTACCAGTCTTACCAAGTCTGAATTGAAGGCCGGCGAGATGGAAGTTGGCGACATCAAGCGTGTTCGAGTTCTCATGGAATCTGTTACACGTACAAATCCCAAACATGCCCCGGGTTGGATTGCTATTGCTCGATTGGAAGAATTAGCAGGCAAAATTGTCGCAGCGAGGAACTATATTGCAAAGGGATGTGAACTCTGCCCAAAGAGTGAAGACGCCTGGCTGGAGAATATTCGACTTAACGAAAACCACAACGCCAAGATTATTGCAGCGAATGCAATCAAGCACAACGATCGGTCTACCAGATTATGGATCGAAGCGATGAAGCTTGAGACAGATGTCAGAGCCAAGAAGAACGTTTTAAGACAGGCTCTTCTACATATACCGCAGTCCGTAGCTATCTGGAAGGAAGCCGTGAATCTTGAAGAAGATCCAGCAGATGCTCGCCTACTTCTTGCAAAGGCTACTGAAATGATTCCTCTGTCTGTCGAGCTTTGGCTTGCACTAGCGCGCTTAGAGACGCCGGAGAACGCACAGAAGGTTCTTAACGCAGCTCGTAAAGCAGTGCCAACAAGTCACGAGATTTGGATTGCTGCAGCTCGATTGCAGGAGCAAATGGGAACGGCAAACAAGGTTAATGTTATGAAAAGAGCTATCCAAGCACTTGTACGCGAAAATGCTATGCCGAAGAGGGAAGAATGGATTACGGAAGCAGAGACATGCGAAGAAGAGGGTGCTGTATTGACTTGCGGCGCAATTATCCGTGAAACGCTAGGTTACGGGCTCGATGAGGATGATGATCGAAGGGACATCTGGATGGAAGATGCCAAAGCAAGTATCGCTCGCGGTAAGTACGAGACGGCGCGAGCAATTTACGCCTACGCTTTGCGTGTCTTTGTCACCAGCAAGACATTGTGGCTTGCAGCGGCTGATTTGGAGCGTAACCACGGAACGAAAGAGGCTTTATGGCAGGTTCTTGAGAAAGCTGTGGAAGCATGCCCTCAGAGTGAAGTTCTATGGATGCAGCTCGCGAAGGAGAAGTGGCAGGCTGGGGAGATAGACAATGCACGACTTGTCTTGAAGCGTGCTTTTGCGCGAAACCCCAATAACGAAGATATTTGGCTTGCCGCTGTCAAGTTGGAGACAGACGCAAAGGAAACAGAGCATGCTCGAGAGCTTTTGAGCACCGCCCGGCGTGAAGCGGGTACCGATCGTGTCTGGATTAAGAGCGTTGCCTTTGAACGCCAGTTGGGCAATATGGATGAAGCACTCGACCTCGTCAACCAGGGTCTACAGATTTACCCCAAGGCTGACAAGCTCTGGATGATGAAAGGCCAGATATACGAGTCTCAAAAGAAGTATCCACAAGCACGAGAAGCTTACGGCACTGGCACACGGGCTTGCCCTCAGTCCGTTCCACTGTGGCTTTTGGCCTCGCGGCTTGAAGAAAAAGCAGGTGTGGTGGTCAAGGCTCGTTCAATTCTCGATAGAGCTCGGCTTGCAGTTCCCAAGAATGCAGAGCTCTGGACTGAGAGTGTGCGAGTGGAGCGACGTGCCAACAATATCAGTCAAGCCAAGGTACTCATGGCCAAGGCACTCCAAGAAGTACCCAACTCTGGCCTGCTCTGGGCCGAAAGTATTTGGCACCTCGAGCCTCGAACACATCGTAAACCTCGCAGTTTGGAAGCCATCAAGAAGGTCGAGAATGACCCTATCCTCTTTGTCACCGTGGCACGTATTTTCTGGGACGAACGGCGATTGGAGAAAGCAATGACCTGGTTCGAAAAGGCTATCTTAGCGGACAGTGACCAGGGTGATTCGTGGGCATGGTATTACAAGTTCCTGATGCAACACGGCACGGAAGAGAAACGACAAGATGTTATTTCCAAGTGTGTAATCAGTGAGCCAAAGCACGGAGAGATTTGGCAGTCGGTTGCCAAAGATCCGATCAATTTCCATAAGTCTACAGAAGAGATCCTAAAGCTCGTCGTGGAGCAGTTACCTCGTTAAGCTGCGATGAGTTCGATATGCATTTGGCGATATATATGTGATGGAGTTTTATTTCAATGGGCGTGGCGTTTGTCCTCGGGACTTTCTGTATGATATTCCTAGCCTCCCGAGATTGTATGACCTCTATCAAACAATATAAGATTAATAGCTTCTTGACTTCGTAGCCTACATGTAACTATTGAAAGCATAGGACTAAGCAGCGTTCACAATACATTCATAATCTTCTTCTAGTCCTATGTATCAACAGCATAGCACCTAATTATACTCATCAAAACAACAACACCAGTCAATGAACACAAAACAAATACTCCAATCCAAATGCAAAGAAATTGAAGAACCACAAAAACAGGAGTCTTTTCTTGGTCTCTGAAATAACGGTCAAAGGCAATCTAACACAGTAACAAAAAAAAGCGAAATTGGTATCTGAAAATAGAACAAACGATAAGAATAGATAGAAGCCTAGTCCTCATCTTCCTGACGAGAACCTTAAGTTTTTTTGTCATGTCCGCCTAAGCCGCATACCCCTTTCGTAATCATACAACAAACACATGAAGTGTAAGGAAAACGCCTCCCCATAAGGAAAACCCGCCAAAGCGCTGATTGAATATTTGATCCTCGGATTCGAGGAAGGATAGTTGAAATCGTAGATAGATAATGATATGCTTTTGCCGTGAGGTGTTCAGTAGATGGATTGTTCATGCTGAAGCTTTAACCCGACGAATGGGGTTGATCATGCCGCCAGTGACAGACAATCGTCCAAAAGAGAATTTAGCTGATCTCTATCTGTCATTGTGCCACCTTCCCATTCCCATTCATCGTCAATATCCATGGCATCAACGCCATTGGTCTCCGTAGTTGCTGTTGTTACCGTGGTAGCAGTCTTCGAATCGACGTCAGCCTTCTCGCGCAGCTCTTCAATGTAACCATGTCTCTCAAGTTCCAGTTCATCTTCATCGTAGGCACCCATGATCTCTTCAACAACCAACGGCATCTGACCGAGTAGCGCCCCGCCCAGATTGAGTGCCAGTCGCAAATCCTTAACTCCCAATGGTTGTCTGATACGGGCCTCCTTCGCCTCAACGGGCAGCAACCCAGTTGCGAGATCCTTGGTGATTTCGCCGCGAGTAAACCCAAGCTCTTCACGTTCTAGTTGCCTGCGATATTTTCGTGACATCATGCCGTTGATTGTGCCCGATGGTCCGTTATGCCTTGTGCGCGAGAAAACGCTTGATAGCACCTGCTTGACAAATGTCTCCGTGGCGATGGCCATGAACTCGGCGCAAGGGAATCCTGCTCCGCTGGCTACCGACTCCTCGTAACATATCGGTACCATACGGGCATATATTGATTCTGCATCGGGGAATTCGCCTGTTTCCGCGCCGAGTGGTTGCGCGTAGCGTTTTCGAATCTCGAGCTCCCAATCTGATCAAATTTATTAGGACAACACAAATCAAGAGTGACAGATGTCTTCTTACTCGTTTTGTTCAAGCCACCGGCACTCGCTGGAACCTGTGTAGGTAGCGTAATTTGCTTGGCTTGATAGTATAACTCGAGCTCATTTGATGCTAACTCATGTGGATCCGGCTGTAGTCCCAACACATATCAGCGCAGTTCTTCCATTCACATATTTAAATCGCAAAACTTGATTCGTACCTCAGGAATAGCTTTGATCCTCTTGCGGTCCCGGGGAGGTAGTTGCATCACCTCCGTCTTCAGCCTTTGTTCCGCCAAGTCACTCGAGACCGGCTTCGATACCACAGTAGGCTTGTCATTTGCCGATACCCAGCTTGCGACGCCATGGTCGGGGAGGTCTCTGGAGAGGTTGCCGATAAGCGCACATATGAAGTTGTTATGTAGATGCTCGGTCCTGGGGTCGGCACAAATTATGTGATCAAGGCGCGAGGAGAATTCATCTTGATTCAGATGGCCTGCAAAGTTTTAATGAACAGTAATCAGCAAATGCCCAATACCAAGAAACCTAAGAAAAAAGAAAAATACCTAAGAGGAAGAGCGTGGTTGACTGCTTGTACTCCGCCCAATTGTCGCCAATAGCGGCCTTCAGCTCCGTGTATACAGGCTCAAGATCCAGGCGCGGGACTGAAATCAGCGCCTTTGTAGACTTTTGCGAGGCAGCCGCTGCTGATGCGACAGTCTTGGACGTAGATACAGCCGTCGAAGCCGAATCGGTTCGACTCAGGGCTGCCGGATCGATCTGCATAGTAAATGGGAGGGAGAACGCGCGATCGGCTGCGCGAAGCCACAGGGAAGACGTTAGATCTTCATCAAAAATGAAGAGATGGCTAGACCATTTCTTGTACGTGATATGGTCGTGTGAGTCGGGAGAATTGAATGAGGCCCTGTTGGAGATGAGGATCCGGACGCTTGATGAGCGAGGTGGATGGAAGTTGAGCTTCTTTGGGTGTGAATAATGAACGGAGGTCGCCAAACTTCGGCTCTATCGCCGCCCGCATTCGGTACGTATTAATTAGTTCGCTGCTCATTGCGCATTCAACGTGAGAATTAATTCGATTGGTCTGTAATTATGTTTCCTGCTATTTTTTTTCCCATTTTGAAATTATGCCCTAGGACGAGTAGACGCCCATCTAGACAAATTCAGGGTATCAATCAATAAGTAGGTAAGCTACTTTCGTTATGTTATAGATACAGCTATTGAAGCTCAATCACATCCTCGTTCAATACACCAAAAAGGCTACTGATTTCCCCTACGAGCTCAATAATCTCGCTTCCTAACTGCCCTGTAACCAAGACTGTTGGGCCCAAGTTAGTATCAAGGCTTGGGCAAATCTACAATAGAGGGAAACCTACCATAGGCATATAATAATGCATAATCACCATCGGTTGTGTGCAACGACGATTCGGTCTCGAGACGATAGTGGAATATACGAGCTAAAAGTCTATCTCGCGCGTGTTGTATATTCGGTAGAGCATCATTCAAAGGATACTCGAGCTTCATGGAGGATGCGAGCACTAAGAATTTCATTTAGCAGGTTGAACATCAGATTGTGTGTTGACAAGCACTTACCTGACAGCAAGTGACTAATGCGAGATGATAGCTGGACACGTTCCTGAGTTGTATACTGGAGTAGACTGATCTCGCCTTCGGAAGCTGTGAGATTTTTCAAAATTTCCATATTCATGGAATAGAAGGCGTTGAGCATGCTTCTCGTTCGGTTGATAATATTTCGATAGGCTACCTCCGGAAAGGGGCCTCTCAGCTCGAACTCCGATTTGGCTGAAACTTGTAATGACTCCAAATTCTGGATGAAGCGCTCGATTTGCAGCTTTTCGCGAGTAGTCAGATATGGAACAACGGGCTTGCCATTGATCATCATTGATAGTGGATCGCGTTTCCAGATCAAACTCATCTGCAGCCATAAAAGACTCAGTCCATCCTTAAGTTTAGATCTTGCACTAATTGGCCAAATGATTCTTGTGATTATAATTCCCCAAACGCAGCCAGACAGGACTGCAACCACACGGTGAAGCGCAATCTCCGTTATAATCGGGTGAGCACCGCCTTCGTCATCATCATGGTCATTATCATTCGCAGATAGAGAGTAAGCATATAAAACCGAAAGGTTGTATGTGAGCATGATGAAACGTCCCATCGGCCCTTGGCCTTTGACCAGAATGATATAGGCGGTCCATGTAGCCATAAGCCAGCCTAGGAAGGCGAGAGCAAAAACATTTCCGGCCGACATATACCAAGAAGCTATAGAGCAACAGGCACCGAGACATGTGCCGAGGAATCGAGCATATCCAGTAGTATTAGACGCTCCAATGGTCATAGAGCAGACCAACATGTAAGAGACAAGACCCCATTCACCCCTCCACGCAGTAAATACGGGCCGTGTCGCGGATATGAAAGATGGAAGAGCATATACGGCGGCACCAACGCCAACTTTGACGGCGTACTTTGTTTCGTCACGTCGCAGGAAGCTGAAAGACTTCCAGACTCGATAAGTGAGCTTGTTCCGAAGGCGAATATCATCAGTGTAGCCACTTTCCAACGATGAATGTCCTTTCCTCAGGTGAGGGCGGCTGGAGTTCGTCAGTGCCAGATTTGAATATTCTATAGCCTGTATTAGTGATTGCATGAACTTGCTTATATGTATGGACTTACCACTATTCGACGATTCTGGCCCACAACTCTTGAAAACCCGCCAGAACTTCAGCCAATTCCATGTTAAACCCTGTGGACGTTCGTCACATTCAAGCTTCAATTCATCTAGAATCTGGAGCAGATCTTTTAGCTGCTCTCCGAACTCCATCAAAGTAAAACTGAAATGACCGCAGCTAGCGGACACTTCCTCCAAATCAGCTTCCACGTCGGGGGATTGTATTCTGGCAAAATCTCTTTCCCGATAGACCGAAGCCAGAGCCGCTTCCCTAGCGTCTCGGTATAGCTTCAAAGCGCGATCAAGGCTGCTGTGAAATTTGGTGTTAAACGATACCCTATGATCCGGACCAGAACCGAAGGGAATATCCTCAAGAATCTCCTTGAGGGTGAAGGCAAATGATTGCTAGAAGTCATACGTCAGTGACAATCTAGGTCTCAGAGATGTTTATCACACTTACCATAGACGGCCCTAGATGCTCAATGAAGACCTCAAACATTCGCTGTGGTGATGGGGTGGCAGTCGAAACACCTCCTTCATGCTCCAGATTCGATACTGGAACATTCACGGTCTGAGGCTCCGCTGTCAAATCAGCCTCCTCCGGCTCTCTGGATGGCGTGAGGGTCACTGGGTCTTCAAAGACCGACCAGACACCGGGATAGCTGGTCGAACTGTTCTTACGTACAAGAATGGTGCGATTAGGCGAGAAGATACCAGAGCCCTGTTGAGTTTGCTTCAGAAGTTGAAACTGTAGGTTTGCCGCGCTTTGCAAACCACCCATATTCTGGTTGATGTCTTGAACACATCGAACAAGTCTCTTCTCCAGGCGATATTCCCGCTCTGTACCTACGACGTAGTGCTCAAGTTTGGCTTCCTTCACCAATTTATCCAATAGAATATAGCTCCTCTTGTTTTGTGCGGACGCATTAGTGAATGGCGATGTATGCATCTCGTCATCAGATCCTGTGATGAAGCTTTCAGTCACGTAGCCAAGCATGATTGCGAGGGTGCTTGTCATGGTAGTCACATTCGCTCGGAGCTTTTTCCTTGCTGATATGGGAAAGAACAGGAATGACACTGCCATAGCTGCGCAGACACCCATTATCAGCATTTTTAGAGTCTGTTCTATTTTAACAAATGACAGATTTCCCTTTTGTACCGCGCCTTCTTTCGTCAGGATTGTAGTCGTAGAGAGTGAAGCAAGAGAGCATGCAACGTTGACTAGAGGGTCGTTGAGCCTCTGTTTCGTCCAACCGATAAATGCAAACCCTCCTCCGCAAAAGACAATCAAAACTATGATATGTCCGATTACAAGCAAGTCGAGGTTCTCGAAGAACATGGAGACGTACATGCTGGTAACAGACACAAATATCGTGTAAAGGAAGGCGAGAATGGCGCAAATCAGAGCCTTAATCATACTTCCTCTAGAACGAGCGGGGTGGAAGTAAACCGTAACAGTCGCAACAACATGCTTCCCATCCTGGTGTCCTAAATATGACGAGATAAAGGGAATATACGTGGCCAACGATCCCAACAGGTAGGCCAAGCCAAACTTGAACACGCCTTTGCCATGCTCCGAAACAGCGAATGCGTACACCTTATCCCACACGCCTAGTATTCCACTGCGTGCGGTGTTTTCCATGTCGGCCGATCGATGAGGTGTATCAAAAGAGGTAGAAGAAGAGGAAGAGTTGAGGAGCGGGCGTTGCTCCTCCTCGTCGCCATCTTGAGCAACATCGTGCCTTCCCGACTTGACCAGATTGACCAGCCCTTTCAATCGCTGGCCTGTTCGAGGAAGGATGAACGTCGCTTGTCGGAACTATTGCCGAGTACGCCGCCTGTTAGTCGAAACGAACTCTTGTGCAGCTTGAGAAGATGGCGACTTACGTTAGACCGACGAGCGCGGGAATTGGAGACTTCCTGACTTGGTGCGGAGGTGCTCATTATAGTCGTTCTGGATGAGTATACCAGACAACCCCCATCACGCTGTCAACGAAAGCCAAGTTCTGACTTTATTCATGGAAAAACAGATCAAAAGGACATGAAGAAGCCTGGAAAATGAAGCTGAAATGTGGTCGGGCATGTCTATCGGGGCTGTCGGGGAAGCTTCTTCGCGGGCAGTCATAGCTTTTACTCGCTATACTCGATACGTCTGCCCTGGTGACGTCTACCCCTCAGCTCAGAGAAAGCAACATTATACCCTACCATCACGTACTACTATTTTCTGTATTATGCTTCATATACGATACGCTCAATGGCTACTCTTCAGACGTACTCATCAAAGTCTTGAAATTCGCTTCGTGGTTCATGTCAATCACAAAGAATAAATAACCAACGTCTAAGGCAGACTCCCAACCCTCCAGATCTTGATCACTGCATCAGTTCCTGCTGAAGCAATTTTGGACTCATTCGCAATCCAAGCAACGCCAGTCACACCTTCTTTATGCACATTTTTAGCCTCAATCCAGTCTCCAGGTCTTGCCAAGCTCCAAATGTAGATGTGAGTATCCAGTGCTCCGCTGACAAGATGAGTACCCTTGCTATTCCACGCAAGAGATGTTATTCGGGAAGTGTGAGAACTCCAGCGATCAGTGACCAAGCTTCCATCTGCTGTCTTGAACACAAAGATCTTACCCGTCGAGTCGCCAACAGCTAACAGAGTGCCATCTGGGGAGAAAGATAGCGCTGAAATTTGACTACGCAGCTTCTTGATCTGTACCTGAGGAGAGACTGAGATCGACGATGAGGTGACTGTTCCAACCCGTGTATTCAAATCTGCGCCGCTAAATGCAACAGAATTTTCATGAGCGGCTATTGCGGTGATATCAGCTGGTGCTTTGAATGTGCCGGTCTTGTTGCTGTCTTGGTAGATGTCAATCTGCTCCGAACCTGCAACCAGAACGAGCTTTCCGGCAGTGGCGACACCCTTTGGCTGAGCGGACAATTTGGTCGATATTCCTGTGAATGTGTTTGCCGCAACGTCTGCGGATCTTAGAGTATCGTCCCAGCCAACACTGTAGATCCTACCCTTGCCCTCCTGGGAGCTCGTCAAACCGGCAATATAATTTGTATGATTTTCTCCGTCGATCGTATCCGCGACTCCCTTGGTCACATCCCAGCTGCAAACTCGGCCGTCGGAACTTCCAGTCCAAAGAGTCTCTTGGCCATCATCTGGACTGAATTTTGTAAGTGCTGTAATGCTTTTTTGGTGGCTCTTGAGAACTTGTCGGGGATCGGGAGATCCCTCCACCAGGTAGTTCAGGTTTCCACTCAAAGATAAACTAATGACAAGACCATCAGTCCGCCCTGAAGGAATAACGACACCAACTTGTTGATTCAAGTAACTGACAGAGCCTTCATCGTTCAAAGTCCAAGTTTGAGTGACCTTGCCAGCCTCAACGTCCCACAGCTTCACGGTCCTGTCGGCACTAGCTGTTGCAAACTTACGAGAGTCCTTGGACCATGATACTCCAAAAATACTACCCTTGTGTTCAGTCTCTCCGATTGATGCTGTTGGCTCGCCAGTCTTGCCATCATATAACCATATGCGACTGTCGGCTCCCACACTCACTAGTTGAGAACCGTCGGGGCTGAAAGCGGTGCCGTATATAAACTTGTTGTGCTTGCCCCTGACTGCAGTATTGAACTTGAAGGGCGCACCATGGTAAAATACAAGGCTCGTGTCATCTCCGGCCGCTGCCGCTCTCAACGGGCGCTGCTGTCGAATGGAGACGGAATTGATGGCCCGCGTATGACCGTAGATTTCACCCACAGTATTTCCACTATCCCAGGTGAAGAAGTGACCGTATCTCTGTCGTCCATCTCCTACGGCAACGATGCGCTGAGAATCACCGTCCCATGCAATATCATTGATTCGCCCGTTAATAATCTGGTAGCTACCTTTTGTAAGGCCTTCTCCTACGCAGTCCCAAACCTTGACGGTACCTGTCGCATCTCCACTAGCAACATAGAAACCCGAGGGCGAGAAGCGTGCGACGGTAGCTTGCGCGGTGTGTTCAGTATATTGCCTGGCAGTTGCTGGGTCGTCAATTGAGCGGATGAATATGGATTTATTGGACTAGATGTAAGTCAAAGCAATTAGACAATTGTTCACACGTCAGCTCGAGGTTTTTATTTACCGCATATGCTAATTTCTCGCCTTTCGGATCGGATGACAGCTGAGTTGGTAAACCTCGTTCCGTGGAGGGGCTCGGAGCCCAGATCTGCTCTGTAACAAGACAAGTCAGACAGACACACAACTGGAGATAATATGAGATAATGAATACTTACCGTTTGTCAAGGACATGACGATCGAGGCAAAGCAAAAGCAGTTCGTTTGGTGTTTATATCTAGCTCAGTGTAGTGAAGGATGGAGAGAACAGAGTAAACAATGGGCGCTGAACTACGTCGCGGGCCGGGCAAGTGGGGTGTCGTCACTCCGCTGGAGCATGTGCCAGGCTCCGCAAAATGCCAGGCAATAACGTTCCGGTTGGCACAATTATCAAATGTTTTGTTTCGGAGCAATTTTATACACATATAAACTAGCATAAAGTTCCCATATAGTACATGTTCAACAAATCCCGACACGCCGCTATTGAATACACAGCACATGGCAAGCCAACTAAAGACCGAATCCGCCTCTGGGACTTTTCGCTCTCAGCTCCATGGCAATAATCTCAGGATGTTGGTGGACACTGGGCATAAGACCGACTCCGATCGCGCGACGGATGGCCTTTGAAATCTTTCGTTGATTGACTGGTCGCAGGCCTGTGGCTGATCGATGCTTAATCCGACCCATCGGAGTCATATATTCGGACATGATGGAGAAATTCTGTACAGAAACCGTTAGTCAATTGTTCAATCCCCAGGAAATTATGCTGGTGGTTGTACCTTATAATGCTCAAGGGGGTTGATATTCAGCGCATCAAAAGCATCGTTCGATGGGCTCCAGCGCTTCGACCACTTTTTCATTTCGGTCGGGCTCAGATCGTGCGGAGAATAGATATCGCCTGGCGCCCATTCTCTGGCCTGGAATCTCTCCAAGATTCGACCTTCATTTTGATTTTTCATGTCCTCCATGATTTTACCTCGATGCGTAGTTCGCGCAGTACGTTTGGCGGCGAGTGCTTTCGTTCCTAAGATAAATGCCCTTCTTAGTAACTGGGCTCCTTCGGGTTAGAGGGATATTAACATACTCGCTGAAGTACTCGACGGGCTTCGGATTGGTGAAATAAAAGTTGACCGCTGGCCGCTGCTACGTTGGCTGTCGCTGGGTTGGGTCGAAGCCCATCGACAGGATGCTGGGGCGAGTAGATTGAGGCCCCGTTGTAGCAGGGAGTTCCCCGTCCGAGGGAAGAGTGCGAGAGACATTTTGTATATCTGGATGTTGTAGAGAAGGAGTTCGTCTGCAAGGAAGGAAGCTCAAATTTGTCGAGCGCTGCGGAAGGAAGTTCTCCACCAACGCCAAGCCGCCAGTTAAAGGCTATCGATGACTTCCTTGTCCAATTTCTACATCTTTTACGTTTCTCAACAGCAGGCACTGCGGATCAAAGATGATGATATAGCTTAAATTTTAGCCATAAATCTTTCAATTAATAAGGCGTCGCTCCCTGCCTTGCCTGGCACCGGCACCGGAAGATGCAGTCCTCCTACCTTACACGTCGCGTTTTCCGGGCTCTCCTCAACAATGAACCTGTGTGTTTTTCGCCGCGACACTGTCGACTCTACTCGCCATCAATACTCTATCGTCCTCGAAGAGCATACAATAACAACAAGTATGGCCAGTCACGGACGTTCTTTTCCTTCTCCGCTGCCCACAAAACCCCGATAGTCCCAACTTCGGAAGTTGGACTACAAACCATGAGCGAACTGTCCAAAGCAATAATCACCAATGGTAGAGCGCCACCATACAATGCTCTCTGTAAAGCATATCAAAAGTTCTTCGAGGCGAGGGCCGAAGAACCCGGTATCATAACGGAGTTTCACGCGAAGCAACTTGTCACCACTTATGACTATCTTCGAAAGCACAAAGGAGACGAAGACGTCGACAGCAAGGAATTAGGATCTATCAACTCCAAGGAGTTCATGGAGCTAACTCTCTACGTTCTTTCGCAAGCAAACTGCCACGGCAGCTCTCACCAGTATATCCGCCGCTTAGCAAACAACGCCTACCGAGTATTATCCACTGCAGCTACAGACGAGTCAGGTGAAATAAGTGGTGGTGCTTTTCTCGCCTGGATTCGTATCAATGCATTTTACGGCAATCCCTACCAGGCCCGCACAGCACTTATGAAGGAATGGCCCAAGGTACAAAACTGGCCAGACCTTGAGGGCCAGGGGTCACCCTGGCTTTGGATACTGCACGGCATGGCATTGGATAAGGATGCGGCCGAAATGGCAAAAGCGATAAAAGACTGGTACACAGGTGGATATTTTGAGCTCACTCCGCCGCAACATCAAGAATTGGTAATCACGCTCCTCGACCAGGGACAACTTGATGCTGCTAAAGTAATGCATAACTGCCCTATACCAGAAGGTGAACCGACAATCATCGCTACAAGTGCCATTACGAGAGCGTGTCTTCTCAATGGTGACAAGACTGGAGCAGACGATATTTTTAATCGGTTGACGATCTTTTCCCCGAGTGCAGAGACTCGAGATGTTTTATTGTTGATGGCGGCTGCAAACGGCAAAGATGCTCATGCATTAGCTCGCGACCTCAACAACTGGTGTATAGAAGATCCTTCCGTTCGTGACGGGCTTTCTATATCTTGTGTAAACGATGTCATTCGATACGCATACGTGATTGAGAACAAAAAGCTTGCCGTCAATTATTCCAGTTTGATTTCTACATGGGATTTGAAGTCAGATCTGGAGACTCAACTTCTTCTTGAATTAGAACCGCGGATCCAAGACTCGGATATTGATGGAACAGTCAAAGCATTGAATGAACTTGAAGAAAGCGACGTTTCCGCAAACATTGCTCTGCGAATGAGATATCGCCTTATCAAGATGCTATGTTCGGACCCGAACAATGACGATGCCTTTGACCAAGTGTCGAAGCTGCTGGATCCACTTATTCGGGATGGGATACAGTTAGAGGCAGAATTACTCGCTGTGTTGACTCGTGCATTGGCATATCGTCATGACTGGGAAGCGCTTTCCCAGCTGTTGCGGCCTCGTATAGGTTCCTATTCTATGCACGACGAACGCCCGTTGATACAAAATGCTTTGCTAGATTTCATCCGTGATAAGGAGCAAGAAAAGGAGGCAGTCTGGGATGCATATGACCTCACGAGAATCGCATTTCCGGAAATTTCCGCTGAACACAGGATTGAAATAATGAATCTCTTTTTCACTTATGGAATGGTTGAAGAGGCCTGTCAAGTCTTTGGACATATGCGACATGCCCCAACACCAGCTCAGCGCCCAACCTCCGAAGCATACATAACATGTTTCCTCGGTCTTGCGCGAGCAACCGCCTGGGATAACACCAAACTTATCCGCAATATGCTCAAACTTGACGTCAACATTGAAGTCGATACTCGAGTACGAAACGCTGTCATGCTTGCACTCGCCGCCTGCGAACGATCAGAAGAAGCCATGGACGAGTTCAAAGAGATCCTCCGTTCGGACGAAGGACCCTCCCAAAACACCTTAGTCATCTTCTTTAAGGCGTGCGAATCAGATCCAAACGGTGTCGTGGAAGCGAATAAGATGCTTGCCAAGATTACCGCGTTGGATATTTCGATTGATCGATCACTGTATCTCGCTTATATTAAAGCTCTTGCAGCGCAGGGCGAACGCGAGTTGATAATTGAAGCATTGAACAAGACGGAGACTAAAATCGGTCAACAGCCTGATCAAGACATGTAAGCCTMCCCTGCCTCTCCACCCGTGCACCACTTCGCCGCTCTTTACTAATATGATAAACAGGATCGCCAGAATATACAACGCCTGCGCTCACGAACACGCCAAAGAAGGAGTTGAAGAATGGGCCAAAGAGAATCACCCGACTATCTGGCAAGAACTAGAAAATGTCTCTCGCACCGAGACGGAAGCAGGTATTCGTCTTGAAGGATTTGAGGATGATTATAATGTATTGTTGTAATATAGCTTTGCACGATGTTGTACTATATATATTATGTATATTAATCGTACGAATGAACGAGAGTGTAGTATCGACCAAATAGGCCGATAACAAGCCAGGACAATAGTACAAAATCTTTCCATCGGTACGTCCATCCTTCGAAAATATAAAATGTATGTATATATCTGATTCAGATCGAATGAGTGATACAAGACAGCAGTCATGGACAGTGCTAAACATATAGTGTAGGCCCAATTGAAAGATACAAAATGGCAAGCTCGTTATTACAATATTGGATGGTTCATGTTAATGCAGGCATTTTCAAAAGCAATGTACCCTCTTGTTTTTCTTCTCATTTCTCCATTCCCAAAACCGAAAGAAAGAAAAAGAAACCCAGTGTTCGTCCCAATGAAAGGTCGAGGGTATGTAAGAGGATGTTATAATCATAATCAATGGATCGAGCTGGCAGTAAGACAAGTCATGAAGTGGTTATTTCGACGAGATTAATTGCGACGAGAACTTTTTGGACATGCTGGGTATCTATTAGTAAAAGGGAAGGCCATTATCGAACGAGAAATACTCACAAATCAAAGAAGGCGAACTGGCTTGGATTGCTGCCATATTCGTACACGAAGCGACTGGCAAGGTAACTGCCAAAGATTGATCGGAGGTAGTTTTCCGGCACCTGCGAAGACTCGTTAGAAATGGATGCCTTATAAATGAAAGGAAGAGAAACATACCCGAGTCAAAATCGTATCTAGCCCAACCTTCTCCAAAAGTAGTCGCGGAAGAGCATCTTCCAACACCTTGCGGCGCAATTCGATATTCTCCCACAAGGCCGTCTTTTGCAACTCCTCGTCGAGGTTTGTGATGGCCAAACTCAACCTGTCACTGAGCACGCTACGTAACAGTCCAGTACGTTCGTGTTCACGCCAGATGGCCTCGAATTCCAAGGTGGCGTTTCGTTTGATAACTTCCTGCACCTCTTTCACGTATTGCTGGTAAAAGGCGGGTACGGTTCCGTCTTCGGCAACACACATATTTTGAACGAATTCCTTGTCATCCAATGACAGTGAGGCCAAAACCTCGAGTGACGAGGACGTCACACCACCTTTGTTAGCTGATGCATCTTTGTAAAGAATGCAGCCTGCTTTTTCCAGTCGAAGCTTCGCGTCTTGCGTGATGAATAGATTGGCACCTTCGACAATGTACGGAATCACAGATTTGCCGTTTACGATCAGCTTGTTCACAGTGCTCAAGTCGATCGACTCCGGTCGTCCTCCACAGGGAACAAACAATTCCACGGGTGGATCTTTTCGGAGGTGGAATGTGTTTCGGAAAAGCATGCCATTGTTGACGACTTCGCCTGAAGGAAGTTTCACATTTGAATCTTCCACAAGAACGCGGTAACCTTCAGAAGACAGCTTCGATAGATCGAATTGTGAGATCATGACTCGCTTCTTCGCGAGCTTCACGAGCTCATCGCGATCCAATCCGTTGGGATCAACAAGCACACCGGATCCATCCACAATTGCGGTGTAATTCTCGTTACCGAGCAAGATTTCGTTGGATCCCAAATCGCCATCGGGACCACCAGTCTGTAATTTTTTGACTGTGGAAGGATCGATGTTCAACTTGCGGTAGATACCGAGAACGTATTGACGCACAGACAGGGTCGTCATACCATAGGCATCATGAGGAATGCCGCCTAATCTAGGGCTCTTTCCTGTAAAAAATGACTTCCACCATGGCGCGCCTCGTTTCCTGGCGTGTTCTGTGGCCCAGTCGACTAAATCTGCTGTATTTTCGTCAGGACCCATGAAAAGTATTTCATCCTTTCCGTGAAGATCGACGATAGGATCTTTAATACCGGGACTCGTGGGTGGGATGAGCAGATCGAGAATACTGTCGATATACTTCTCAAACGCCACACGCGCTTTGTCTTGATGGTCGACATCAAGTAGAATGACACCCTTGGCACCACCTTCGGGAATATCCTTGTTCTTGCGCTGTTGCGTATTAGCAAGGTTGTAGTTTTCGTCAAACAAAGAACGAGCATTGATGCTGTAAGCCTCGTTGTTTCGACTCTTAACGATACGGATACCGCCACGAGCAATGTCACGGAAGCGAAGATGGAAACCTCTGAATTCGGAACTAATCACAAGGAACATTCCGTATAGACGTTGAGGGTATTCATGCTCTGGCAAGAAATCAGGATGCAAGCGGAAGCTCAATGCAACCTTGGTTGGAGTGTAGAAGTTGGTCTTCAAGATGGCCCTATTGAAGGTCCGGAAAGCGGTCAAGACCATTTCGTCGTGCTCGTTGGCCGCAGTACGACTGATCAGTTCTTTGAGTTTGGCATCATCCAGGATCTCATCCACTTGCAGACGCAAGTAACTGAGAGTGGGGAGGAAGTCATCTTGTGGATCTCCGGTCTGCACGTAATGTGTGCTGGCAAAATCAAGGTAGAGCTTGTGGATGAGATCGGGATACTTGTTGATGATTTCAAAGATATAATCCGATGTGAACGTCTCGGTACGGAGGCGCTTCTTAATCTTGGATAGAATCTCTGCATGTACACTGTTGTTCGAGTCTAAAAGCGCAGTCAACGAAGTGTACTCAGACCCAAGTCGGTTCAAGAACTGTTGGATAAACACCCAGGCACAATGAGAGTAGATGGTCTCTTGCAAACTGAGTCGACCGGTGGCAAAGTGATTCTGAAAACGGTTTTGTGGTACACAGTACAGAAGAGAGACTTCCTTCACAATTTGGTGAATGGCAGCTTCGATGGGGGGATACTTTTGTGAGATCTCCGCGTTAGTGATGGGTCTCAAGTAGAGCGAGATGACGTTGATTCCATTAGAGAAGCTCTCGAGATATTTTCTCGAGCTGGTGAGTCGGTAGTAGTGGTAGAGATCAGACAGAGCGCTGAAGATGCCCATAGCGGATCCCTGGCGATAGGCTACTACCAGACGCTTCTCCCGGCTACCTTCAATGTCGAAGACTTCGATAACGGGACCTGTTCGTGACACCGCATTGGTGATTATCTCTTGGTAGATGGCCTTGGTGTTGGCAGTAGCTTTTTGGAGGAATCGCTTTTCACCGATGATTTCAATGTTAGTTTCGTCAGGGCCTGGGTTGGGGTTGGCGAACTGGCATCTGTAGACAAAGTAACAACGCAATTGCTGCGCATCCTCTCCTGGTAAGGGGCTGGTTGAGCGGAAACTCTCAATTCGGTAACTCCTCCCTGGTTTGGAGCCGTCGATGTATTTGGAATCTATGCGTGACTCGTAGTTAGGACCATCTAATGACGTCACACCAGGCTTGCTGGTGTCGATGTAGACAGCATGGTCTTCGTCTTCCTTGTCCAGGCGAATCTCCAGGCGCTTATCATCCCGAGCATAGGCTGCTACTTTGGCTGCATATAGAGAGAGGATCTGGGTGACTATTGACTCGACAGACTCGGTCTGGAAGTACATGTCGTCGATTCCGAGCATGTTGTAGAACCAGGTTGTTTCGGTTACAACGAAATCGCTGGGGAAAAACCCTTTCTCTTCCAAGCGATCCATAACTATAAAAGTTAGATAAGTTGAGTCAGAGCTGAATACTGTAAAATAGCTTACCCTGCTCCATCTGCTCTTGTTTTCCTTCGAACTTGGCAGAGATGTATCCAGATCCTTCTTCTGACAAGACTCTGTGGTGACCAGGCAATCCCAAATGCACTGGTTGTGGTGAGGGCTGACGACCCGGTGTTCTGATGACATGGTCGAGGTGTTTATTGTGAGGGAACCGCTGAAAGCCAATTGGGGTTCCAGTGCCAGASGAGCCACTGCCACCAACAACTAACTGTGGTGTCGACAGACCATTGACATTGCCCATTTCACCGGCAGGAGAGGGCAGMCCCCCTTCTGRGGGGGGTSGAGCCGAACCAGGATCAATTGACATGGCGGGGKTGTGAATGCGGACGAGCGAGCGAACGAAAGGTATGAGGGAAATGCGAAGGACGAGAAAAGAGGAATTTACTTCTAGCAACCAGTAGATATAAGTACTGTTTCAGACTGCTAGCAAGCTCTAGACACGGATAATGTGTTAGTTTGATTGGAACTTGCGGTCAAACAATGACACGAGAGATAAGAAATAAGCAAGGAAAACACAACAAAAAGGGCGATCACCGGGAACAAGGGAAATTACCAGGCAAACAAAGTCGTTATCTCTGATAACAGGGTTATATCAGAGTTGCGATCGAGGCCAATGCATAAAAGTGTAACACGAGAGGGCAGCGAGTGAGGGCTCAAAGCTGAGCTCCGGGAGCGTTATCCGAGTAAAAGCTGGATGAGTCTCACAACGACAGGCACGCCATGCACGAGAATTGGATTGTGTGTTATCAATGGGAATGTAAACACGTTTTTAGATTCTTGGTAGGGTTTATCATGGACTGAGTAAAAAGCCGTGGCATTGGCGAGGAATTGAGGGATATATATACAAGAGGAGCATTTCCTGGGCTTGGTTGTGGCGGGGGCCCAGCGAGACGTCAGAGCAGCCCACCTGATTTGCGCAATCGCAGGCGGTAAGGCGGCAAGATGCGGTCAGGAACGGCGTTTTTCTGTCCTTTCTTTCCTCTGTTCTCTGCTCTAGTTACTTTCCTATCGATCTTTCCTCCTGAACAATCACGAATTCCTCAACCAATTGAGCTGCTATCACGACAAACGACGATTTGAATCGTCAGCAAGATACACATATCGCCATACACATCGCGACAAACTAGCCACACGAAATTCTCCCCAGACCAGCTGACCACAAAGTCAGACGCAGCTCCAGATCCGTCGTCCCAGCGGGTCTGTTCTCCATATTTAGCAATCTATCGATTCAGGTCCCAGGACACGATGCGCTTTTATGGAATAGTTCCTAGGGATTACCGCAGGTGATCAGATCGATTGGATCTGGTGCAGTCATGCTGTCAAGGAATGTATACGTACTCACTAGCAGTGCCAGCAGCTGCCATAGAGATTCTTACAATACAGCTACCGCCGAGCGGTTCTTCATTCCATTGCTAGTATCGTCTGCGGCCATATTGGCATACTGACTACATAGTACATACTGGGACAGCTCCCGCTCGGAATCTGCTATCGGCGTGCCGGTATCTTTCCCGGCTCTACCGGCACGGTCACATTCCACGGCCCATCATTCGTACTTCGTAGTACGCAGACTTAGGACGGTAGTACGCCCCTTCCCTATTATCCAATGAGTCATATACTTGTATTCTGTTGAGATACTAATGAAACCGAAAATGGCGCAAATGGTACGTGTTGTGTTTGGCGCCACCGCAATTGAACCGGTCATGTTCCAGATCCACCGTCCCAATGTTCCAGTCAAACGGGCCTGAGGCTGTGCGTGCGGCACTCTATTATTAACATTACCTTATGGATTTGTACTCGTAGTAGCGATTAGATAAAAAGAATGTTCCAGCCGGGCTAGGGCGACGATCCGACAGTGCCTTTGTCTCTATGGGGAAGGAAAACGGACTGCCAATATGCAATTAGCAATAGAAATGAGGGATTTCCTCATTGTAATTGCAGTATGGGGAAGGTCAAATGACTCCGTAGTATGCGTCTTCTCGCGATATTACCGAAGGAGTCAGAATCCGGAGTGATTATTGGTGAAGCCTCGTGATTACCCCGGATTTTCTTCGTGGATTACGTAGTGATAGCCGTGAAGAACGGTTACAGAAAATAGTTCTCGTCAATTCCCTTTGGTACAATAGACTGAGTAGACAGTGGACACACACACACACTCTCTCTCTCCCTCGCTTGCTCGCTCAAGACGCCTGGACAAAATACACAACAATGGCCATGACAATTCAAAAGGAGTTCGCCAGGTCGAACTTCTCCCCTGAATCCAGACCACGTGGGCGATATCACGTGTATATTTCGATCACGGGATATAGTTAAGTTACAGATTTTATTGCTTTGTCAAATGTCTCAACGATCGATCCAGGCCTGCCGCAAAGCGTAGGGCTAACTAGTACATCCGCATCGCCTTCATAGTCTAATCGCCTTAGTCAGGGGTCAATAACTTCAATGTCATGGTTTAATGTTGATCGTGTCTACGCAGTGTGTCCTCGTGACGTGGTTTTAGTTGATTGTTTTATTTCCAAATTCTTGAATCTCATTAGAACATTCTTAACCCAGTCTACGAAGCTAAAATACTTGTTTCTTAGGAATTGACGCAATGCGAGAGCGGTCTGACTCTGACGATGTTAACGACCGCCGCTATTCGCCGATGCGCCGAAACGCCGAGACTTTATAAGAACTTCCAGAAGTATATTTCTCGACCGCCACGAACTCACGACGTTGTGCATTTCCACAATTTTCTGTCTTGTCCCCGTTGAAAAACTTGGCTTTTGTCGATTATTCCGTGGTTTTTATTTAGGAACTCACTGAGCAGTTCTCGTGCCCGTGGGGCAGTTGTTTGCTGCTTACGTATTGAGCAGTGTCGATTGCAGAACCGGCTCTTTCTGCTCAAATATTTTCTTCATATAATCCTGCCTGACACTGACAACTACTTAGTTCTTCTGTCATTACAGGTGGTATCTCTGAGAGACGAATTATACGACTCGAGTCAAATACCATGGCATGATCGATTGGGAGCCTGAAAACAGGAAGCTGGCTATCTGAGTGCTCGTACCCGGCAGCACCAATACCATAAATACACGGCAAACCAGTGGCAATCACGGCGTAGGTGGTACTATGTATGTAACGATACACCCTCGATACGGTCTCTCCCCGGATTTCCCGCCTTCCCGCGCGTCCCATACCTCTACTCCTTTGGGGCCAAGGCTTATCCCACAAGGAGTCTAGCCGCCTCAAAATGAGATGGGGCAGAAAGTCAGAAACACGGGGTACCTTTCTCTTGCACTCCTACTAGGCTAGAAGCCTTCTACATTCTTCTTTCCCCTTCGTTCCATCCCCTTATGGCCAAGTGTGAGGCTCCTAGAGAAGGTGATTGGTGGCCTTGATTTCTTAGTCAGATATACAGGATGTAACTTACGTAGTACCAGCCGGGGATTCTCTAGGCCAAGGAGCTTGTTCATTTACACTTGTCGTACCAGTTGTAGGAAGTTTGTTACCCAACAGCTAGTATGACAAGGCAGACGGAGTCCAGGATGAATGCAATATGCAAGGCGACTAATCAATGAACCGAATCTTCTAGTTTCATGAAACTGTGTCAAGGGGTAACTGAACCTGTTGGGCTGAAAGGATAGTTGAGATACCTCCGGACGACACGGAAGAGCATGTAATTCGTGCCTAGGTGCGTACGACATTGTACATACATAAATACTTAGAATACTGGGGTACTCTATCAAAAGGTTGGGGTAAAATACCAAAAAAGGTAAAAAATACAACATAAAAGGTAACAACTAGAGCTACTCGTACGTATGTGTCTAGTTCCCCGTCTCCTACGTTCTTTTCAGCTTTTCACAGTGTCTCTCTTTACTTTTTCTTCTTCTTTCTACCTAATCTACTCATTTACTGCTTGTCCAAATAATACTCCGTACATATGTACATCTGCCAGATCGCTGACGTATCCGCTTAGATCATAATCGGTTTATCATTCATCACATTTACCTACCTCTACACCTAGCTGCTAGCTCATGCGAGGTTAGGTATATATTGGCGGTGAACCTTCCATGTCTTTCCAACTTTCCCTCTCAACCCTTCTCTTTTTACTCTGTGCAAAATCCTGTGTTTAAATATTTCGGATTGTTCGCCCGAGAGTCTAGTTCAATTACCGAGGTACGTTTTTGATGACTTTCTAAGCTGGGGGGCAGCTGTCCTATCGGCGTATTTATTATCCATTGTCTCATGCTTTTTCTCTCTTTCTTTTTGAAACGACGCTGAAGCTAATATTGTGGTCAAATCAGCCGAAATTAACGATTCAATATCCGAATCTCGCTCATTCGCTCTTTCTATTTCCTCAAATCGATTCATCGATCACAAACGTGACGAGTTTCGGCACCGTAATCAATCAATCAATCAATCAATCAATCGAACAACATGGCAGCCATGCATCCTAAACTCAGCAAAGTATCCACACAGCCACCCACAACCCCAAAATCGGCCACATCGCATCCCGCTCTGAATCCTCAAGACATACTCCGAGCCCTCGAAGCATCGGGTTCCCTCCTGCCGAAATCTTTCCTCTCGTCAGCGGTCTCGACATCCGACAAGTCCTCATCATCTGCGACGCATATCGAGTACTCAGATTATCAATTTCAGAACCCGCCGCCTCCACCGCCGTCACCTATCGGATTTCCATCGAGTCCTCGTTGATAAGAGTTTCTAGTGTTGCGTTGATTCTTTGCATATGTAATATAAACCTGACAGCGTTGCAAACACGGAGTTGGCAGGATATGGGAATGGATTTGCGTCGCTGTTTCAAATTGTGCATCTGATTTGGTTCTCTTCCTTTTATCAAATGGATTAGCTCAAAGAGCCCTTCTTGAATTGCCACGCACAAGTCGTAATTTTGTAATGTAATGGAACTGCACATGATCAAGATGGCGCCGTATCAGCCGAATCAGCCGGTAGATTCGCCTCTATCTGATTATACAACTCCTCCAACTTGGCCAACGCCTCTTGATCGCCCGCAAGAGCCGCACGGTTCAATTGGTGAATCGTATTGATTCGCTCCTCGGTACGAGCCCATCCGCTAATCTTATTTTCGAAATTCTGGTTGCGCTTCGACCCATACGTCATTCGCACCATATCCGTCTCGCCCTTTTCGCGTTTGATGTCCATGAGTTCTTGCAGAAAGCGAACTTGGGAAGATTTGTTCTCTGCCTGGATCGAAATGGGCGCAGACATGGATTCCGTCGCATCGGCTTGTGCACCATTGGCAGACGGACGAGCGAAATGCGCTCGTCTGCCTATTATTTTGATTGGGTTTGCGGCAATCAGTGAATACCCGTCTGTGTGCTTGAGATATGTCGGGTCGGGCTCCGAGTCCTCGCGACGAACGAAATGCATATCCGTGCCAATCATATCCGCCCACTCGCAACTGAATATATGATTTCGGTAGGAGATGTATGGATTCCGGCTGTGCAATTCCATGATCTGTATGCGATCATCGTTCTCATCTTCGGCCGCGATATCGTCTAGGGGTTCTGCGTCGACCCGTTTGCGTTTTCCTGTCACTTCTGCCCGGTCTTCGTTTGGCGGTGATGCGGCGTCTTCAGCGTCTTCGTCGGCTCTCTCGGGTTGGTCTGCTGGTGCTGATGGTGCTGACGGTGCTTGTCCGCGCGGTGGACGGAGGGGTCCATTGTACGAGGTCAAGTCGATGTTGACGAAGAACGTCTGTTGCAAATCAGTGCGGTTCCATTAAACCGTATCTTATTAGAGTACCTCTGTCTCCGTCGCATCATACTCATACTCATATTCAGAGTCTGATGTTGAGTCCTGCATGGCTTGTTCAGTAATGTTGTGGTAGCCGCCTGAGACCTGAAGAAGCTCAAGCCCTGCACTAACCGTGACTTAATGCTGCGGCTAAACCTAATTGGGTCGATCACTCAAGCTTTGTAGTCGGGCTTGGCGTCTGCGATCGCCATCCTGCACCCAATGCTTTGCTCTTGGTTCCCAGTCATGAGATCGGGTCAGATTCCTTAATTCGTCTATATCTAGTCTACATCGCCCTCTACACGAAGCCAATTGACAGCCGTATACATACCACGCACGCTGAGCAGAGACAAGTATGCGGCTTATCGAGAGGACACTAAGCCTCACGGAGATCCATCGTAATTATCGATTGCTAGCCGCCTACTAACTAGGTAACTTATCGATTAGTCAGTCAGTTCACTTTTGTACATGATGTAACACGGGGCAAACTGACTGATCAGTGGATGATCTCGCGTAATCGAATGATGCAAGCATGAGAGGATACATACCATATAGTATGCCAGCTAGTATTTGAGTTCATACCAGATAGCCATCGAGTAGTACTCGGTCTACTATGTACTGTGCTGATGGTCTGAGAGCGGCATACACGTCAGCCGATCGACTGCGAATCAGAGCAGACAGCCAACACAGGCACCTTTCCATGCATATATCCGTTGAATGAACTCCTACTAATCAATAGTGTTACCAAATAAGACGAAAATCGGCTGCGAGCGGAACACCTGCGGCTGACCTGGATGCCGATTCGTGGGGCGACGCTCTTCCCTCTCTGAGTTTTCACCGGTGCTGATTGGCCGCGACCCGGCATGGGCGACGGGCTTGGACGGTGAATGGACGAAAGAGCGAGTCACGCCGGCGTTCCCTCTCACCTGCAGCGTGCCTGACTTTCTCTCTTTCTCTCTTCTCTCTTTCATCTTTCCTCTCCATATATCCTCCATCCTCTTCTGTTTACTCCTCTACTCTTTCCCTGTTGTTGAAAACCTCATTCCTCCAGCCTCGTCCGCCCTATATAGCATGCCATTGCTGCCCTTATAGATACCCCCGGCTTTGCCGCCTACTTCCTGCTGGTCCGGTACCGCTCTGAGCTTCGGTCTCATCATTATCACGAAGAAACGCATTATTATCTCGCTTATATTTTTACTCGCTGTTCCTGCTAGTACACGATAGCAGAACAACCCCCGATTGATCGATTTACTTACCGCAGGCCCGGTACATTTGACGGACATCCGGACATTGGCGGCACTCCCGGATTACTCAGAACAACATATAGCACATCCGAGAAATCCGGCTTGACAGAAACATCGCTCACACACCTATCGCGATGGCTCGCCGGCGTCCAGTTTCCAAATTTATTATCCTTGCTCTCACAACTCTGATCGCCTACCTATCGATCAGCAGCATTCTCCGCGCCGTCAAACCCTCATTATTCGTCTGGTCCGAAGAAGATTTGGAAGAAGCAGAATGGTTGGCCTCGTCGAAGTCTTGGTGGGATCGCAAGTTCTGTCGCTTCTTTGGTCTCTGCGGTATCGCCCACGTCCGTCTGTCCCGCGCCAACAGCGGACCTCCCAGTAGGACATTGGATCAATTTCCAATCGGCGGTCAAGATGATAGTTGGCGGTCGGATTGGACCCTCGCAGAAGATCTTTCGGCAAATTGGACAAACAGAGAGAAGGTGCTCCGTGAAGTGCCGGAGTATGTACTAGAGTATGCGCCTCTGGTGCATCTATTCTCTGGTGAGAACTTTTGGCCTGGTGACATTGCGGAGCATCTGGTATACACGACACCCATGTTAAACTATACGCCTGTACAAGCAAAATGGGAACATCCAACCCTGCAAGATCTGGATCGCCTAAACCGATGGGAGCTGGGCAAGCACGTTTACCTCACCAGTGACGACGACGTGGAAAACCGACCGGAATGGCTAGGAGGTGAGAGAAATATTCCCGTGCCTCAACCAGGCACACCAATAGACCCTAAAGAGCCAGAAGACGACAAGCCGGGCGATACTCCGGTGTTTAACGAAGATGACGATCGGAAAAAATGGTACGATGCCGGTAGCTGGAATGACGATGTGGATGCTCACTCGGTAGACCCGGAAGAGCCGGATTTCATGTTATTTGACTCGCATATCGACGTTGAAGAGCTCCGGAAGAGACATGGCGGCAAGCCTATCGATATTGCAGGTGCGGACCCAGGACGCAGCGATGCTCCTGCGTTTTTGGTGGTTGTCGACAAAGGCAATGATATCGTGGATGCTTTTTGGTTCTTTTTCTATAGCTACAACCTTGGCAACACAGTCTTTGACGTGCGTTTTGGTAACCACGTCGGCGATTGGGAACATACCATGGTGCGATTTTACAAGGGCCATCCAAAAGCACTGTTTCTTAGTGCTCATACTGCAGGCGAGGCCTACAGTTATGAAGCTGTCGAGAAGCATGGTAAACGGGTACGTTGTTCCAGTGTTGACGTTTTGCTTTTTTCCATCTGACCATATACACAGCCTGTTGTTTATTCTGCCACCGGCACGCATGCCATGTATGCCACACCTGGAATTCACGAATATGTCCTTCCATGGGGTCTACTTAAAGATCAAACCGACCGGGGCCCGCTGTGGGACCCACTGCTCAATTCGCACTACTACACATACGACTATCTGACTGATGCTCTGCGTGCCTCTAATCTCAATCCCTCTGCACCGACTGAATGGTTCTTCTTCAATGGCCACTGGGGCGACAAGTTCTACCCACTTGGTGACCCGCGTCAATACCGCTTTGCAGGGCAATACCACTACGTCAATGGTCCCTTGGGTCCAAGATTCAAACACCTCGGTCGACGCAAAGTATGTCAAGGACGCTATACCAGTAGCTGCGTGATCCGCAACTTTGTCCAAGAAGAGAAACGCTCCAAGCGTTGGGTTGGTGTCGGCGTCGGCGAAGAGCCCGAAGACGAGGAGCTGAGTTCCATCATGGGTCGTCGTACAGATTGGTTGATGATGAACGGGATTAGTCCGGACATGCAATCAGATGGTACGGAGTTTAGGTAGTTTCGTTTTTCGAGTCGAGATGCGATTACAGGCGTTCTTGTGTCGTCGTCTGACTGATGATTTGTTCTTATTTCGCTTTTATACCCCAACATCGTTCTGAATGGTGCATGATTCTATGATACGTCTCATGATCAAAAGATTTTATAGAAGAGCTGTCTAATCACTAGTGAATTGATTGATTATTTGATAGTGTTATCTATAAGATCGACGCTAGTGAGACGATTTTACGGCTGTACATTTACCCGACAGCACCTCAGCAAACATACCCAGGTATATAGATTAAACATGACCATCTGCAATTTCACGCGCTCGTCTCACCATCAACTCTGATGAAATCATGGCACTAGCCTCCTCCCCCGCCCAAAGCCTCCACTGCTCCTTCAACTGAAGACTAACGACATCCACCCCTTCCCCCGTCACCCACCCACACTCTCTAGCTGCACGCAGACTACTCGTCTCGCGCGGGTTGTAGCACATATCCAGAAACACGCCTCTCTTTTTGTCGACACTTCGATCGAGTAGAGCGCGCAGTGTGTCGCGCGCCGTGGTCTCTGCGTCTGTTGCGGGTGCGTAATCCGGTACTGTGCCGACGCCGTAGTATGGCTTGTCCCCGAGGCTGCGTGCTTGCTCCGGTGTTTGTAGATGAATGATTTCCGGTATGGTAGTAGTAGTCCCATGGTATCGGGCAGATATATCGGTTTGCAGGTTCCGAACTTCATCGGCGTCCCGGTTGATGATGTATATCCTTGTGACGCTCAAATGTCTCGTTAGAGCGTAGATGGCAGCTCGACATGCACCGCCAGCACCCACAATGAATCCCGTCTTTTTCTCGTCGTGGGTTACGTTGCTATTGCTTGCCACAAACTCATCATCAAGCCGTAAAAGACAGTCCCTGACTCCCACCCAATCCGTATTCGTCCCAATCAACCTTCTCTTCGCTGAACCAGGTGCACAAGACGGATAGATGTTATTACAAGCCCCGACCAACTCCACAATCTCATCAACCTCATCCAAATACGGAATAATACCTAATTTATGGGGCATGGTAATCACCGCGCCGGCGAATTCTGGGCTCGTCAGCTTGCGTTTCGAGAAATCTTCCAAGTCGGTGGTGTCGACTGCTTCTAGACGCCAGTTGGTGTATCCAATAGAGGAGGCGGCGTCGTTGTGGATGTAGTTGGAGATGGCGTGGCTGATGTTTGAGCCGAGAAAATAGATGATTCTCTGGTCTTGCATTTTGTAACGGTTTCTGTCAGAATTATTCAATTGTAAAATTGTCAAAAGAAGGGCTGGTTCTAATGGTACGTGAGGAAATGCATTCTCATCTCATAGATTTGCGGGGTTGTACTGCACTCCATGTCATCCGCGCTCGCGTAAAGACTTAACCGGACAACTGACTTGTCCTTAAGGTCTGGATTTTATATCGATTATTTATTGATGTTTTGATGGTGATTTGAATAAATACTTCGCTATGTTAGTGACTGCAGATTTACTTCAAAGAGTCTATTGATTAGAATTACCTAATTAAGAAACTTAGGGCTAATTGCCCGAAACGCCCGAAATGGTTATAATACTTTTTGAACAAAAAAAGAACAACAGACAAATGCAATAAACAATACGAGCAAAAAGACAAAACTATACTCAAAAACCACAGTGTTAGTCATGAATAAAAATGCTGTGTATCCATATGCACGCCACAAGATCCAAATATGCAGACAAGATTCATCATGGTCATACGTCGTTTCATGCAGATAACACAAATGATTATACCCGCTGCACACCTGCACTAATTCTCTGCTCATCAGCAACAAGCCTCTGACAAAACGGACTATTCTTCCGAATCTCAGCGCCATAATGCAACAACGCAAACGGAATTGGTATACACGCCAAACTCACAAACCCCAGCACCGACGTCGCCCATGAAGCTCCCAGCGACTCGTACAGCGGTGTTGCAGTAAAGGGTAAGAATGCGCCTGCGATACTCCTCACAACGACGGAAGCTGCGAGTGCGCTGGCGGAGTATGTCTTGTATGCGTCGGTGACGTAGGTCAATAGTGAAGTAAAGACAATCTGGTATCCGAATCCGAATACTAATCCAGAAGCAACTGGTACGATCCAGTGGATGTTTGAGTTGGCAGTCCATGCGAGCCAAAAGATGCTCACAGTGAGACAGGGGCCAGAGATACAGGATAAAGGTAGACGGTGGAGTTCGGGACTGGAGGTCCAGGGTTTGCCGAGCTTCTTACTCTTCTCGTAGTATATGTCGTAACAGAGGGTCAAGAGACCGGAAGATGAGGCGCCAATGCCGACTAACCAATTAGCATTGTTCATTGAGCATAATGGTGCATCTTACTTGGGATATATGTGAGAGATGCTGACTTTACATCGAAGCCAAAGATTCCTTCACAAACGGAGTTAGCTTTATACCCAATACAAAGACAGATTATGGACATACCCTCAAAAATGATGGGATACGCCTGAAAATAGAAGAACACCAGACTATACGCAATAGAAATGTACACCGTAGTCGACAGAATAATAGGCTCACAAACGAGCATCGTAATGGGTCTGATGATGAGCTGGGTTGTGCTGAATGTCGAGTCTGAGCGCAATTCTGCTCGAGAAAAGTATCGCTCGCTTCCCCATTTCTTCCTCAGTTTAGATGCTTGTTGTTTCAAGAGGGCTGGCCCAAAAGTTTCTATTCATAATCAGTTGGTCTGTTTGGACTCGAGGTGAGGCAAGGTCGTATACCAGAAGTGAATAAAAGGGCCAACCAAGTGGTGCCTTTTAAGATCAAATCGATTCTGAACGTCCATCTCCAACCATACTCAACAGAGCATCCAGAAATAATCGGTCCTAGAATGGGACCAAAACTAGACGCCTGTGTGTTCTTATTAGCAATGCACATTCCCTCTTAGAGACCGACACATACCGACATGTACGAAACCATCGCACGCCCACGAGTCCGCTCATCAACAAACATATCCGCATACAACCCACCAACAACAGTCTGCGGCGCCGCGCCCGCAAGACCACAGATAATCCTAAAAGCCAGAAAAGACCCCCAATTGGGCGCAACAGCGCATGCCAGAGTTGCCAGTACAAAGACTGTAAACGTGCCCAGAAGCACGGGCTTGCGGCCAATCGTTTCACTCATTGTGCTAAACACCATAGAGCCGGTTATATAGCCAACGAGAAACAGTGCTGTGGGCAGATTTTTGAGTGCGTTGCCGGATTGGTTGAATTCTTGCATTATGAATGGTACGGCGTTGCTGGGTAGGGCTGTTGATATACCGCTATTGATTACCACGAAGAGTGCCACGATGGCATTGTACAACTTCTTTCTCTATTGACGGGTTAATCTTGGGGATTTCAGACGAGTATACAGAAAGTTCTTGCGTACAGCAGTCCAGTTGGGAGGGTTAACGACTGATTGATCTGAAAATTCAACCAGGATTTCATCTTGGGATAGCTTGGTCAGTGTGTATCCTTCGTCTGTTTTTAGTTCTCTTTTTGAGTCTGTCAGGTATATAGGCTTTTCTTGAAATATCTGTTCTTTGTCTATGATCACGGAAAACATTAGTATGTTGAGGAGGCTACCAAGGTATGAAGTACAATCATACCTGAAAGAGGAAGGTCAGATACTCTGGCCGGAGCCGAATCTTTCCTTTGGAATTCCATTCCGTCTATACTCGGGTTGAGAGAGGAAAACAGGGGAAAGAGTAGATCTTGTTTTTGATTTTACAATAGGAAGTACCATTGTATTCACCTCCAGGAGCGAGTGGATATATATATATATAAAAACATGAAGTTTTTTTTCAATTCCACATTGAAACCACCGAGCCAACCGAAAATCAAAAACTTGCCGAATACAATAGACTCATCTACCATGGCCACTGGCTAGACCATCGTCAAATATAATACCTCATTATTACCTTCTTTTTGAGGGAAAATTTACTCCCAACATGCGGCTTTTGCGGAGTCCATATATCACTTTCCGAACCGGGAATGTCGGTCCCGTACCGGGACCGGAAATTAGGGCAAATGGGCCGCCGGCGCCGGTCGAAACCCGGGGTCTAGACAGGCTGTTCCTTTGACGACATTGTGATTGTGTGTGTTTATTTTCACGGCTAATGCAGTTGAGAGAGAAATCTGTTATTCATAGCTAGTTCGAACACTGCATTGAGGCCCAAGTTTGTTTGTTGTTCATGGTCACGAGTCGAGACGATCACTAACTTCCTTCTGTGTTTCCTATTTCGTAATTACATTTGCTGTTGTAGAGGTATCAAGAGTGCAAATTCATTTCCCTACAATTATATAAGCATTACTGTGGTATAGATGGCATGGTATGTAGAAAATCAAAGATATCATTCTGGCCCTCCTCAAACAGGCCAAATGAATCCGCAATGGAATTGGACATCGTAGCCCAATTAGGAACCTCCATCATCTCCGGGAGACGAGAAAGAGGCGGTCTGGGAACATCATTACTCAGTGTTGGTAACAAACTCGTATCCTTGATGGCGGTAGTGCTCTGCAGCGTCGGCCCGCGATTGCCACTTTCACTATCATGTGTCATCGAACCCACCTCTACCGGCGGAGGATGATTTACTATGAGACTATTGGCATTGTCCGCCGTGTCCCGGTATGAAGTAGACGACGATCCGTCGTCGCCGCTCTGTTGTTCGGGCATGTCTGCGTTGTCGTTGTTTTCTTGTCGGCGCTGGCTGGATATTAGAGCACGTGCATAATTTACGAAGATTGACACGGTGCGGTGAATGTCTGGATATGGTGGCTGTCTTAGGAAGTCGCATATTTTTTCCGCTCTGTCGAGGAGTAGGGATTGATCTATCAGGCTTGGACACCATCGCGCGACTCGAAGAGCAAATGTCGCTTGTCACCTGTTAGACCCGAAATAGAAAAAAAGTAAAACTGCTTGACAGACTTACTAACAAAGGCAATCGTTAGAGCTGGGTATGTAGGTGCCCACGTCAGTTGGTACCGATAGGACGACTCATTGATAAGGTATGCCAATTGGTCCATGATTGTGGTAACAAGTGATTGCCATAGATTCATGACGTTTTCGTCGATAGTGTCTGGGTTCGAGTTGGCGTATGTCGGCTGTAGTCTCTGAATGCGCGCTAGCGAAATACAAAACACAAATATTCTGGCATAGTGAAGCATCAGTTTGAGACTGCTGCGTTGGAAGGCTCCTGCATGGAAACCATTCTCTGGACGAAGTCAGTCAGGACATTTACATGATGAATAGAGGTGATTAATGCTCACGTTCGTGAATTTCGTCCCACGTTGTCCACCAGTTTTGAAGTCTTGACATGATGGCCGGGAGCTCCTTGGAGATAATGTCTGGAATTGTCGCCGCGTTTTCAATAATCACCCGAGAATGACCTGGTCAAATTAGTACCATTTCATGGCTCGAACTGGCTGAACAAACCTCGTAATTGATGCAACTCAATAATACTCACCGTACGCATGTCAGCCGGCAAGGAAAGCGGATAATCAAGAAAAGCGCGAAGCTTCGTGACATCTACTTCGGCAATACGAGATTTGCGTCCAGTACCAGAAGCCACATCCAGTTCCAACGTAAAGCTGATTAGCCAAGTCCTGGTTTGCCATACTAGTTGACGGTCTGCCATGGTAGCTGAAAGCGAGCTTCGAGGGACTTTCTCCTGCGACAACAAAGTGTCCAACGACTTTTCCAGTCCAGAGTCTAGAGCAGTGCGTAGAATGAGTGCAATTGAGAACCAGGTTTTTTCCGAATAAGCAGCCAGTAAAATCATCCCCTGCACAGTCTCTAGCTTTGTCGGCCGTTCAAAAAAGCTATCTTCGGCTAGGCGCTGTGCCTCATCTTGGAGAACTCGCTGCATGTGTGTATTACTGCGTAAATCAACCACAGCACGGCTAGCGAGGTAGATGATTACCGTGAAACAAAACAAAGAGCGTGAGCGAATAGAGTCGAATGTGTCTCGGATTGGATCAAATAGGCCAAGGAAGTTTTTGCTTCCAATAAAGAATCTTCATTCAATAAGCAAAGGCACTTTCAAAAATAAGTGCAGATAAACAAACCGTTCATAAATGACACGTGCATTCTCCTCACTAACGATGCCACGCGCAATTATATCACCTTTGGGGTCACCTTTCGTCGACGAATCCATGAATATCTGAACCTCGCTTGTCATCAGCCAATATACAAACCGTATAGATAATCGTACTTACGTTGTCGGAGCCCAACAAGTTCACAGACATGGAATGCACCGCAGACACCGGCGCAATCATCTCATTAGGACTCAACTGCTGAGACTTGTGCCCGCTTGATTCTGCATTCTGAGACCGCAAGCTACTTAAATCCACCGAATTTGGTAGTGAATCAATGGAGGTATCGAAACCAGCATCTCGCGATGTGACCAGGGAAGAGAAATCTTGTTCAGTAGTGGCAGGAGTATGGTATCCAGCTCGCTGGTCTAATGGTGAGCCTGCCAATCGGCTTCTGTTAGATAAGTAGAGAAGTAAGTATGACTTCTCGTATGTGTTTGATGCAACAATATTTAGTTATGAGAGAAATCATACCGTGCCGGAGTTGCACTTTTCTGCCGACGTCTACTCCGACGTGGCTCACTATCAATAGGATCAAGAATACAATTTCGGCCAGCAGATCGACAGCGAAAGCAAGGGACTTGATCGCGCGCATCACAGCGCATCTTTTGTCTTCGACACCACCGGCATGATTTGAAGAAGCGGATCGGAATATTTTCCGGTCGGAAGACCATGTTCGGAGCTCTTTCGGACATTGTTGTTTTTGGTGCGAATCATGTTCTTAAAATTGATGAACTTAGGCTGTTGAGTCTCGTTCTGCGATTGCCGTTACTGCATACGAAGCGCTATTGTTTAAGAGACATTGTTTCTTCAACATCGTATGAGTCAGTCAATCAAGGACCCGATAACCTAATCCGGTCACGTGCCCCTCCGGCTTTCTGTCCAACGTTAATTTTGGTACATGTGTCTTCTATAGTACATATGTATGATCTACACCTGCATATGGAGCAGGTTGCTAGCAAAGCCATCAAAAGTTGTCTTGAAATGCAGATTATAAGGTCAGACGAGATTCATAATCTTCCTCCTCAAGTAGCCGCTGAAGTTGTCGTCGTCTCACGCCCACGTTTCCTCCATCGAAAAGGCTCAGACACACCGCATCATTCAATATCTTCCCAAAGCCCTTTTCCTTAGCGTATGAGGTGCTATACACAATATCAGTTTCAGAGTACACTTGTACCTGGGAGAGACAAAAAGAACTTACATTCCGATAATCTTCATGGCAGTAGTCGCGCAATCCACCGCATTGTCTGACCCATAGATCTTCGCCTGTAGACAAGCCTCCAACGCGGTTTTGGCATCAATCGACTCACTCTGCACATAATCCAAAGCTCTATATGTCAATAAACGCGACGCATCAAGTTTCATCTTGATATCAATAAGCAGATCTGCAACGCTCTGTCGCTGCACAATAGGTACACTGCCACCACGAGCATCGGTCTTGGAGAAGTGTAAAGCCTTCTCATATACAGTCTGCATAATACCTACACCCATGGCACCAACCAATGCAGCGGACATGCCGAAGGAGCTTTCAATAAGAGCTGCACCAGCTTCGGGTGCGGCCAGCAGGTTATCATCAGGGACTTTGAAGTCTGTGAAACGTGTATGTGGGCCGGAGACTGCTGGATGACCAACTAATTCAGGCTCTGCAAGGACTTGGTAGGCCGAGACTTCATTTTGCGCAATGGTTTCACGGGTGACCACTAAGACAACCACTGCTGATGCCGGAGCATCCGCTGGAAGCAATCTATCATCTGTACAGTAACGGCACACGACGCATTGAAGATCGGCACCCTTCCCATCCCAACCTGCGCTGTTTGTGGTCCATAACTAAAGCAAAATGTTAGTGGATATGTGAAAAAGCCGCTTACGCGATGACTACCTTCTCGCCATTGATAATCCATGTCCCATCTTCCTGACGATACGCGGTGGTCTGCAGGCCCTTCCCACCTTTTTCCAACCAGTTCGCTGTGCCATTAGGCTCAGAATGGACCAGACTAGCCAACGGCTCGCCATCGCCTGACAAAAATGGCGCCAAGAACTTCTCAAAAAGTGTCGGATTCCCTCCCAGAATCAAAGGCGTCATCCCCAATCCCGTTGCGGCAATAGTCAAAGAAACACTGGGATCCACGGGGTACTGTTCTTCTAGCGCCAATGCCGCATCAATGAGATTCTTGCTCGCTCCGCCTAGGGGAGCTGGGATCTGAGCTCGGATTTGACCCGCGGCCACAGCTTTGCGATAGAGAGGGCGAATGGACTGGAATCTTTCCGCTTGAGTGGGGTACTTGGAGTAGATTGCTGATGCTTCACTGAGCACATTTTGGGCAAAGAGTCGTGTTTCGGTTTTGACCTGTTTTTGGTCGGCCGAGAGCACGAATGAAGCCATATTGAATGTGGTAGTACGTATAATTTCTTTCAATCCTTATTTCACTGGAAGAAGAGAGTAGTCTTGCTGTAGAATCTGGCTAGGAGTCGATAATACCTGGGATCTTTATAGTTCAACTGAACTTACGTACATAGGCAAATATGAAAGGCATATTCTACGGAACATCCGACACATAATGAAGTGATGCGCCTCAAGATCTACCGAGATATACCAATAACTATAAACCAGATGCCTGGAGATTGTATAATTGACATGATATAATCTAGGTTGAACAGAGTTATTACTCATCTTATGTCCCGCTTAAACTAGTCAAGACTCTCGTATTACCGGAAGTTCCGAAAGGTCTGTGCTACCGCTGTCGAGCTGGATGCATATCGAATGTGACTGGGTTCTTATGGAATGGCTGACTGATCATGAAACATTGAAATTGGTGGATGGGATGTTACTTGAACCATGCACAATCAACGTTCCGGGATGACACTAACGGGAACAATTAACTGAAGGAATAAACTAGATTAACTCAGCTAAGCCCTAAGCATCTAATCAAGACATATCAGAAGTAACAAAACAGTCGATCCGGTGATCAACATGGATCACCATTTAAGAAAACAAGAGAAACAGTGTGATCTAACAGCTGATATGAACGAGAAGTAACAGAATACCAATGAAGCACGACCAGACACCGTAGCCATAGACACCGAACCGGATATTCGTCAGAATTGCACAGAGAAAGAGATAAAGGAAAAAAGTTAAAGGGGCAAAGAGGTCGAGACCGATGTCAAAAATAGGGGTAGCAATAGGATGATGGACTTGGAGACAAAGACATAGAGAAAAGATACGGAAGGACCGACTATTAGAAGCAAGCACAAGGCTGGAGGAATGAGAACTGATGAATATTGGTATCAGGGGAGCAGATGGGCTGCACATATGCAATGAAGGAAAGAAGGCAAGGAAAAGGGAATTAAATTCGTAGCCATTGTGAAAAACATGGCAAGTACATAACAAGAATCTGGATTCTCGCCCTAGTTCAGAATATCCGAATGGAAAATGGACAGACGAGACCGGCAAAGTGGACCGACACAGACTAGACACGTGCAGCTCTTCGTCGAAGGCCAAAGTCCTGTTCTTGCAATTCTCTGATCAGCCTCAGACTTTCAGCATCCGCGTCTGTAGTATCATCGGCCGTAAAACTGGTTCGTTCGCGTTTCACATTCTTGCTACTGCTAGGAGATGTCGTTGATGAATGTGCTAACTTTTTCTCCAGGCTAGGCGAGGCGCTCTTCTTGGTGTGGGATGAAGAGGGCCGCGAAGTTGATTTCTTGCTATGAGCTGATGTTGTCGACAAGGCCTTCGCAGGTTGTCGAGTTGAACCAGTCGCCGCCTTCTTTGATACTGTACTCGGCTTGGTTCCTGCTTGTTGTTCTGTGGCGTACCGATCAACCTGGCGTGGTTGACGAGAAGAGTGACGTGAACTGGAGTTCGGTGTATGTAGTACCTCATGCTCGCCCTCAACAATAACGCTGCTGCCATGAAGTTCCTCGTTTGGATGCTGCGAGGCTAATAGCTCTGTTTCACCTGAAAGTGAAGTAGGTGGCGATGCTAACGGATTTGCTAATTGAAGATTAGTTTGCGTGTGCGGCGTAGGCGTGGCGGCATCTCCGTTGATCTTCGGATTAGGCGAGAGGACACAAGAGATGTCTGCTGGTTCAACATTTACTGATTGATCGAACCTTTCCTCCGGTGGGGAATGAACCGTCGACAGCCCATCGGGGTCATATTTGTAATACTCCTGATGGTATTGCTCCTCGTCTAGGGGATGTGCATCAGATACGGAAACGTAAGCTGGAATGATTTGATCCTTCTCGAATCCAGTATAGTTGATGTTGTCGAAGGGGGCAGGAGCTATTGCGTCTGCTTTGGCCTTCTTATTTGCCACCGGATCTATACCGTCTTCATTCGGCCTAGGCCGTTTCGTTGACGATGTCGCGCGAGGTTTTGACCGCTCCTGTGCTTTGACTGGATCAATTCTGCCATATTCATCGTGAATGCAACGACGCTAACATACATTAGTACAGTGTATAAACCAAAAGCAGGATATAGGATGTCGGTTCTTACCTTGCTTTTACGGCATTCATCACATGCCTTACTTCTTCCCTTCTTTCCGCCATTAGTACCGTGGACAGATCCTTCCACCGGGCGCGGAAATGCAGATTGTGAGATGCCACTCAAGAAGCCGACATTGTCCCGAGAGAAACCATCACCGGTATAAGGCAAGAGATCGCCGCCATCCTGAAGAGTCGACTCTGTGGCAACAGCAGCCAGCGCATTTAGTACAGAAGCTGCGTCATGCGCTAGAATGGACTGTCGTTGTGGATCGACAGGGTCAAACATAGCTCCCGATGGAGCTGGGTTGGGCGAGACTCCTAGCGGTAAGCCATCGCCTTGCTCATCTTTATGCCGACAACGTATTCTTCGTTTACGACATGCATCGCAAGCCACACGCTTCGGTCCCAGCCCTGAGCCTTTGTTTGTAGTTCGAGGCTTGGACGCTTCCTCTGTGAGGTTCAAATTTGTGGAGGTAGGAGTAGGGACGGTCGGCGTAGTAGTGATCGGAGCAGTGATAGCTGGAGCACCGGAAGCCGGAGTGACGGGAATCGGAACGGGTTGAAGCTGAGGAATGAGCGCAATGTCATCAGGAGGATTCGGGGTTGACCTCGAGAGGGCCTCTTGTGGTTCCGGCGGTTGTTCAGCTACAAGTTGCAAACTCTGCCTTTCAGCATACATCTTGTGAGAATCTGCATGTCGCTCGGATCGACGACTCGGGCGCCCGGCCGGTCTTTTCTCCACCTGATCGATCTTGAATGTACTGGATATTGCGCCAGGGCGAGTCCATGAAGCTGCATTCTCGTTTCCTCGTTTCCACGCTATCCAAATCGCGAACTTCTTGGCGACTTCGAGGGGGTCTCCCTGCATCTTAGGAATAGAGCGTTTGACGGCGTTTCTTGCCTCTACAGTAACACCGTCAACCGAATATCCTCCAGCAATGAGTGCAGTTCGAAGAAGATATCTCAAAAGTTCAGGCAACCCTTCTAGTTCTGCTTGTGAATAAAAACGAGCGTTATAGTATGTAGAGCCCGGAGCCGAGCGATTTTCTCTTTCTCCAAATTCGTAGTAAATCGGAAATTGCCGATAAAATCGATAGTGCTCGTCACGAGAGAATGCATCGAGCACGGACTCGGGAATAGGGTCATCATTCAGATACTTCAATGCAGTGTACCATTGAATCTTTTGAAAGAAAGGATATCTGAACTTGCGTGGAACTTTTGTATCCTTTTCGATTTTCGCGACTTTGATCTGCATACCATAGTTCATGCGTGTAAGGAAGTTGCCTCCAATGACAAGACTGTTTTCCGGCGTCCACACAGCATGAATCCAACCGGCTGGTATAAGCATGGTGTCTCCTTCTTCCAAGTCAACTCGGTAGCACTCTTTAGTTTGATCTCCTAGAAAAGTTGTGTCTTGTGCTGGAGAGTTGCACCACTCTTCATACTTCTTCAAATGCTTTTCTTTTGGGGGTATGAAGAAGAATGTTTTCTTGCCCTTGAGAATTGTGTAGTAGACAGAGGAACCACCAAAATCAATGTGAAAGTCTGTATAGCAATCTGCAACCGACATTAAGCAGTAAAATTGCACTTTCGGGTACTCGCCAACGGCTTTGAGCTCCGCCGGCCAAACAGAGTCTTGAAGATCGAGATCGCGAACGATTTTCGGTCGTCGAATTAGCTTTCCCAGCGGGCTTTGCGACACTTCCAAGCTGATAACGTTCCGTACAATTTTCTTGCCAGTGCTCTCATAGTAATCGGCCCATTTCTGCATATTCCACCTCTTATCCTCGCCTTGTTGGGATTTGACGTCAATAACTTCAACTCTTTCCTCGGGGCCATAGAGCTCGGCGACTGCGCGTACTGTCAGACCCTGTGGGACGACCATGTCTAACACGTCTTGTCCACAATCGATAACCAGTTCAGGGTCGCCTGACTGATTCTCAAGTATTTCGTCGAACATCTCCTGTGTCGAGGCTTCGCCTGCAATACTATCGAAAGCGGAATCTAACTCAGAAGTATCGATAGAAGAACGGGGATTGAGGACAGCAGGAATCACGATGGGCTCTGTCATACCGACACCTCGTTCGAAGAATTCGGCAGTCACCAATTCCGCTCTCATACGGGGAAAGCTTTCGGGTAAGAATTGTATCCTTCCATCTTTGATAGGCTGGATATAATGGTGTTCATATGAGTCGGTAGAAGTCTTGACGAGACCCTGGTTGAGACCCGCATAGTCGATGGCTGTCCTTGCGCGAGACGATTTGCGTACAAAGGTTGTTTGACCATGGACTGGTCGACACTTTCGACAGATGAACTTGTCAACTGTGCGTACTTCGCGGTCATTCTTGAAACCAGCACAGACGATATGGTACCAGCTTTCACAGCCGTCGCATTTGATCCACGTATCTTCCCCTTGATCTTCGCTGTTAACATCCATGCGTACTAGATGACACGCTGCACAATTCGCCGGCGCGGTTTCCTCTGGCGTTACTTTCCCCTCTTTGATCTCTGGAACAGCCTCCATGGCTTGGCCAGTAATGGTAGAGCGGCGATTCGATGGCTTTGTTATGGGTTTGTCTCCATCCGGCAGATGACACAACGGATCTTGTACGTCGTTATGGCTTCGAAAAGTGCCCCTCTCCCAAGAAGACCCCGGTAACGTTGACGAACTTGTGTTTGGCCGAAGTTCAGGGACAACTGGCCGCGCAATAGCTGCCGACCCGTCCGAATGTGACCGTAAACGCGAGGGTGATTGATTACTACCAGATAGTGGTAGCGCGCTTGCTATGAAGCCAGGAAATGTCGTGGTGGTACTATTGCCTGCGGGTAATCTCTGATCAATGGCGAACTGATTCAGCGACTGTTCGAAGCTATTGGAGGATTGGGAATATTGTTGAGGGGATGCAAAATTAGTCGGGCGGGCGAAGTTCAGGAGGAGTTCGGCATCAGTCTTCATACTGTCAGGTACTGCAGTAACATGGCTTGTTGATGGCCGTGCGTCGACATGTTGGAATGCAGGCGAAGACTTTTCTGACCGCGCGCGTTTAGCAGGTCGATCAAACTCGGTCTCGGTAGATGGAAATAAGGGCGGGGATTCTGTATGGTTTGAATTTCTGGGGGGATCAGACGAAAGGGATTGAAACCTTGGACTTGTGGCCAGCGCAATGTTCGCAAGGGTTTCAATACTCGAGCTGGCTCGATGGTGACCATGGCCGGCTTTGGGATGTACAACCTGGCTGCCGTACGAGGGACGAGTATGACTAGCTCCAATTGATTGCCGATGTTGATCACTCGGCGGATTGTATGAATGTTCATTGTAGTCCCGCGGGTAAAAGGCGCTGCGATCGTTCCAGAACGACTGGCGTTCGGATTTGAAGGCGGGAGATATTGGCTCGACAGCGCGTCGCGGGGGKGAAGGGGTACGATATTGCCTCGGACGACCACCCGGATGGCTTATGAAAGAAGATGTGCTCGCCATTGGTGGCTGTTGGCGCAGTAAATCAGGTCCACTGCGGAAAGAGGGAGGGTTGGAGGTGAAAAGAACGATGCTGGTGAATCTTGCGGTAGGCGGGAATGAAGCGGGGAATCGTCACCTCGCGGATCAGAAAGTGGCTATCCGCAAGAGTGAAGAGTCATCCCCGGACAAGGAAATCGCAAGGCGCTACGAGCCCCAAGGATGCTGAGTATCTCGGAATCGACGATTAGGAAGGTTTCGCGTTGTAGAGGCTCGGCGTGGAAGGGGCTCGATGCGCAGGCAGAGGAGTCTGGAATGAGAGGCGGTTGAGTTGTAGTTCGACCGAAACAGCGAGCCACCGCGGGAAAGCACGACGTCAAGGTGAGCGCGGAGCAGGCGCAGATGGCGCCATAAATAATAAAGAGAAATCAACTTTCAAATGATAGCGATGGAATGGTCGAGTATCGTTGTCTGGGGTTGCGATGGGGAGGATGAAATGCTGAGGGGATATTGGTGAGGCGCGGTCGACGGAGTTTGGAGAGGGCGGGAGCAGGTCGCAGGCGGCAGTCGCAGTTAGTTACTTAGTACTGCTAGTTACCTCTTGGCCGCTACAGTCGTTCCCGGCGCCAGCCAATGATCTACGCTGGCTACGATAAGCTTACAGTCACCACCAGAGCGCATCATGGAAAGACTGACGCTTGTAGGAGGAAATATTGGTGATTGATGTTGTTGTTTAATTCTTGCTGCTATTATTGTCGTCAATTGAGCAATCAATGGCCGCCGTCTCCGTTTGAGGCCGATTGGCGCTAGGCTTATCAGGGCAGCCTTGCAAGTCTTGGCACACCTTCTCTCTCTCAGCGCGTGCATCGCTTTCTGTCCTACGTACAATCATCTATTCAACGTTGTGATCCACGGCCAAGATACCAACCATTTCTTCAAAGTGTCATTCTAAAATTTTATTCAGAGATCATCCGCTCTTTCTGCATACAAGAATGAGCCGAAAGCTCGCTCCTGAAGCAAACCGGTTAGTCCTTGTCCTCCGCCGATACCTCTCCGATGCCTCGTGCAGTAGAGTCATGATGTGTCTTTAGCCTCTGAAAGTGAAAGCGCAAGAGAGCAAAGTAACCATACATATTGCGCATCCATACTGACTTTTCTTCTTATTTAGTATTCTCTTCGTGAAGAACTTGAGGTGAGTCGCCGAAAAACCGCTCCGCCATCGCCATGCCACGTGCCTCCATCGATAATTATACCTCAACAATTTTTCCTGCCCAAGCGATGACAGAATTATCCCTACAAAGAATTTTAATACTGATGCGCATTCCAATAGCTACAACGTCACCGCAGAAGAGCTCTTTGACCTTTTTGGCAAGTTCGGGCCGATTAGGTAGGCACCTTCCAACCATCCATCACGGTCATGGGGGGCAGAATAGCTTTACCGTGACTTGGCCCATTGAGAGGCTTCGACTGACACCATATCATAGGCAAATACGTCAAGGTATCGCGAACAATACCAAGGGCACCGCATTCGTTGTATATGAGGACGTGATGGATGCGAAGCAGGCTTGCGATAAGCTGAACGGTTTCAACTTTCAGAACCGTTATCTTGTCGGTATGTTCGGTTTAAAGGAATCAAGTCTGACAAAAGTATTGAGGGACTAACAAACTTGCTTCACAGTGTTATATCACCAGCCAGAGAAGATGGCTCGATCGAGAGAAGACCTCGCGGAACGTCAAGAAAATTTAGAACGCCTCAAACAGCAACACGGGATAGAATAACGGCCGCTCATATTTCTATGACTTTGTTTCTCTCGGGACTGAAGCTTGCTGCTACGCTAGAATGTATGAGCAACGCTCTCGTGTCTCACCTTATGGCTTCATTGGGTTTCCCGGCGTTTTCTTTTTTCTCCTTCTCTGCTCCTTTTCACCCGAATTCGTTACGATCGATTAATCGCCACCTGCGTATCAGTCAGTTCGGAAATGTTTTTTTCATGATGGACAATAACCACCGGGGGTATTTTCATTTGTTATACGGAAAGTGATGGTTCACGTCGACGGTTGATCTTTCTACATGTTAATTGCCACTGTCTTTGCGCGCAACGAGCATAGCCGAAATGAAATCGAACTATAAACGGCATATGCCATGATTTAGTGAAATTGGCTCTTATCGGCCAATACTGCATACTGCAGTATGTAGTGGTACGTATTTGAACTTGTAGATCTTTAGCTCTCTGATACGTAGCTCCGTAGCCTGGTGCACACGCACTGTCAGCCTCAACCCACCCACGTTGGTTAATTTACTCCGCCAAATGCTTGGCATTGATTTGGCCGTTGGTCAGTTACATCACCCACCCTTCCACGTCTCAGCCTCCATCCAGGTCGCAGGACGACTCGACCTTTCCCTCCAAGTTCGTTGTCGCCTTTGTTCTGTGTATCATCGTTATCTCCAGTCTCTCTCATACCAACAAACAATACTTTATGTACCGTACCGCCTCCGTTTAGAGGCGCCTCTTTCTGAGGCAGCAACACCGCCTCAACCATGGAAGCCCCAACCGCGACAACCTTTGCCTCCACGACTACAACAGTCGGAATACCTACCACTCTCGCCGCACAAGCTTTCGCGACTATGAGTGCAATGGATAATCCTGATTCGCCTCAAAATGGCGAATGCCAACTTCTGGGTCCATTCTCCTTGCTTATCCAGGCCGCCTTGGGGGGGTTGGCCTTGCTGTCACTGGTGTACAAGCGATATCGCGAGAGACCGCAACGGCCGCTCAAGATATGGGCCTTCGACGTGTCAAAACAAGTGTTTGGGTCGGTGATGTTGCATTTGGCAAATCTTCTCTTGTCCATGTTTTCCGCCGGCCATTTTGAGATTCAGCAAGAGTACCAGCCTAACCCATGCTCATTCTACATGCTTAACCTGGGCATCGATGTAAGTCCAGTCTTTCGCACCTAGCGGCGTTTGAATATCCTCTGATCACAGTTCTTCAGACTACTCTGGGTATCCCAATACTCTATTTATCTCTCCGCATCATCAACCGCCTCGCATTTTACACACCTCTAGCCCGACCGCCCGAGTCGATCGAGTCCGGTAACTATGGACAACCTCCGAGAATTATGTGGTGGCTAAAACAGTCGATTCTATATTTTATCGGTCTCTTATGGATGAAACTATGCGTCTTTGTTCTCATCCAAGTCTTCCCAGTCATCGTGAAGATCGGAGATTGGGCGTTGCGATGGACGGAGGGAAATACGGCTCTTCAGATCATCTTTGTGATGCTCTTGTTTCCTTTGATTATGAACGCGATCCAGTACTATATTGTAGATACGTTCATTAAGAGGAAGATCATTGAAGATATCGACGAGGAACCATATGACGATGACGGTCGGAACGAACTTGTGAATGATAGGCGGGATTCGCATGGGGCTCTCTTGGATACTGGTAGCCACAGCGATGACGACTCTGATTTGGAAGAGGGTATTGCTACGAAGGATGTGAAGCCTTTGTCCCGTACTGGGTCGAACATTCATGTCTCGAGTGCCGAGTATGACCCTGCGGTGGACGGCGCCGACTTGTTGGCAGGATCCTCTTCGAAAGCAAGCACTCCTAAGGGTTCTCGGTCTTGATGAGTATACCTCTCTGCCTTTACTTTAACGTTTACTATTACGTTTTTATGTATACGATACTATGCTTGATGTGATAACTCCCTGGCGTTGGCGTTTTCCTTTTTTTTTTTTCTATGACTCGTGGATGCATACATCCAAAAATGAGCATTATACCTCACCTATTCGTGTTTGCCTGACATGAGATAAGCCAGAACGAGTAGAAACATTCCAAAATACGATAATGATCTCCATAGAGTCCTCTCCTTCAGTGGCAAGTGGGGAAGCCGATAAGATAGTGCTCACCGCGCTAACGCATCTTTTCCGCAGAGCCGCGTAGCAACAGAAAAAAAAAAAATTCAGAAACCAAGCCAACATCAACTGCTGTACTCAATTGCGACCTTTGCCCAGGTCTTCGATTCGCATACCTACTGTCATAGTGTTTTAAATAGTCGAGGACCACTGTCACTCGACAATCGACAACCCCCATGGTCGGCGCAAAGCAAAAAGTCGCGACTGCGACTAGGACAAAGACCGGAGGCTACTCGTCCTCCGCACAAGCTCCACGAAAAGATCTTAACATGGCGGATAATGACTACACGTCTAGCGACGAAGAAATGAATGAAGAGGACGACATTCCTGAGAAGGATGATGCTGAGGAAAGGCTTGAGAAGCTGCTTTTCGGCGACGATGAAGGGTTTCAGGCCGCACTGAAAGGACATGGGCAGCATCAAGGGACGACCGATCTTGTTTTGGCTAGTGACCAGGAAGATGGGGATGGGGAAGATGGAGATGAACAGAATATGGATGATGTGGCTGATGCCGATGTGAGTTTTGGCTATCCGGTACTCGGGTGACTTCTTTACTGACGTTAGTCGTTCATAGCTCTTTTTCTTAGACTCGGGCGTCCCAGAACTACAAGATGCTATCGAACACACCGATACTATGGCGATTGAACTCAAAGGCGAATCTGGTGTTGTTGCCCAGCCAACTGTCTGGAACGATAGCGACGATGAGCGTATGGCCATATCACTCGCCGGTCACTCACGATTACGAAAACTACGAGTCGCCGAGTCGGAAGATGTTGTCAACGGAACGGAGTATATAAGAAGACTACGAACCCAATATTTGCGACTACATCCTACACCTGATTGGGCCAATGCGGAACTCCGAAAGAAACGCAAGTCCAGACGGACCAGCCACGGCAGCAGTGGTTCTGAGATATCGAGCAGTGAGGGCGAGATGGATACCGACGATGACGAAGATGTGTCGGTCAAGCCATTGGCGAAACTTTTGCAGGGCGCTGGTGATCTTATCAAGGGAAGCGAGGAGGGTGCCACAGGAAAACGGGTGAAGCTTCGCCAAGAGGTTATAGACATCCATCGATTGAAGGACGTTGGAGGTGTTCAGCCTGTAAGCGCAACCGTATATTGTGCCACTTTTGAAGTTTTTTACTAACAAAATGCCTGCAGTCATCTATAGACTCTCTGTCCTTCCACCCTCATCATTCGCTCCTCTTATCCTCCGGCCCTGCATCAACTGTCTGGCTACATCACATCTCGCCTAGCGCGCCCACTCCCAGCAATCTCTTGACATCTCTCCAAATCCGTAGAACGCCTTTATATACATCAGCCTTCGCCTCTCCTTCTGGAAATAAGATCTACGCCTCCGGTCGACGCCGCTTTTTCCACGTTTGGGATCTTGAGTCTGGTAGAATAGAGAAAATCAACCCGACAGCAGATCGCAAGGAAGAACAAAAGTCAATGGAAAGATTCAAGCTCTCCCCTTGCGGAAGATATATCGGTCTGATAGGCTCTGCGCGCAAAGGCGGCGGTATGATCAACATCCTCGACGCGACAACAGCGCAATGGATCGCACAAGCCCGCGTCGACGGTCTCGGAGGTGTGGCTGATTTTGCTTGGTGGGGTGATGGCAACGGTATGGTAATCGCCAGCAAAAATGGGGAGATTTCCGAGTTCGACATGCGTCTCCGCCGAGTCATTTGTCGCTGGACAGATGCGGGTGCTGTTGGCACTACGGTGGTTGCGCTTGGCGGTTCGTCAGGTCGATCACAGCTTGGAGGAGACCGATGGGTTGCCGTGGGCAGTTTCAGTGGTATTGTTAATATCTATGACCGTAAACCATGGCAGGGTGCCGCGGCACAGGCCGAACAGTCCAAGAAACAGAACGTCGAAGACGCGATACCCAGCAACCCTACGCCCGTGAGAGCACTGGAACAGCTCACCACGTCTATTACACAAATCGTGTTTGCGCCTGATGGGCAGTTCATGGTGATGGCTAGTAAATGGAAACGAGATGCGTTGCGACTTGGTAGGATGACCCCTTTTCTACCCTTTGCAAACCACAGCTAACATGAATAATAGTCCATCTGCCATCATGCACCGTCTATCGTAACTGGMCCACCTCAAACACGCCCTTTGGCCGCATCACATCTGTGGCTATCTCGCCGCAATCGAATCTCCTAGCTGTTGCTAACGAGCAGGGAAAGATTCGCCTGTGGGAGATTAATGGTTGAAATGGAGACGTGGAAGAGCAGGCTGTAGAAAAAGTTTATTCTGTCATGTTGTTGGATACATAGGAGTTCTTGTTTTACTTTACTGGTATATATAGCTGCAATGCATGGGGAAGCGGATCTTTCGAAGTCAATCATTCCCGAGTAACGATACAATCACAGCCTCGTCTTCACCCCAAAAATAAACAGATTCCTCTTCCGACCCTTGTCATTCCCACCCTCCTCAACATACACGTATCCCGTCTTACCAATGGGTTGGTCCGAAACAGCCAACTCCGCCAGCCGGTCGAGACTCTTGTTGTCTGCCGTAACAGCGATGAATCGAGCTTTACTTCCGTTCTTTAATCTTCCTATTATGTAGCCTATCTCAGGTGTTCCATTGCGGTTGTACTCGATTGTGTATGTCTGTGAAGAGAGTTAGAATGATTCGATATCGACAGTGGTCGAGTTTTGTACCTCAATGGTGGCATCTCCCTGAGCATTTTCCACAATTTGTGGGATGGGCAAGTCTGTAAGTGTCTCTGGGAGAGGGTTGCGGGCTGGGTATGGCTTTCCATCCTTGCGAGGATGTTTGGATAGACAGACAACATGCTGGTATGTCAAAACTCCGCCATTTGCGAGAATAAGCCCGTTCCTTTTCGGAGTTGATGGATCGCGTAGTTGTCGGACGATCTCCGTGATGGCCTATAGTCATTCAAATCAGCTTATGACTACCTATATCAAGATAAGCTAGCGACATGGCACTCATACATGCATAGAGTAATTGTTTCCAGCACCTCCAAACGATGTCAACCCGCCTAGGACAGTAATAGGTTTCGCGGAACGGCGCGGATCGAGCCCTATATGATGGCAGGCCAATTTCGGAACGATTGGAAAGCACCTATGATCCTACTTTGAGTTTCACGCAATCTTGAAACGATTGAGGCATGACTCACGAGTAAAAGTCAAAAACATCAATGTCACTCGCCATGAGCCCTGAAACACGTAGGCCCTCGTCTATAGAACGAGAAATCGCTGCACTTGAGTGGTAATTCGGTCGTTCCCAGACTAGAATCGCATTAGCTATTGCCATTTTCATCTACGTAGGATTTATCCGAACGTACACTTTTTGCTCTCTTCTGTTCCTGCGCCACCGAGTATATAGATCCATCTGTCTTCAGGTATGCCGAGTTTTCTTGCATGTTCCGTAGACGTCAACAAGCATGCAGCCGCCATATTGACTGTGTTGAACGCGTTCATAAAGAGAGGATCTGGAAATTAATAAGCCTGACATGACTTAATGAGTAGTGCAATTCGATGGAACTAACATGGATGGCATATCATGCGATTCGTCTTTGAGACCGTTCCTATTTCTTTCGCATCCATGGGAGGCTTGCCATAGTTCCAGGCAAATGGATGGTTCGAAGCGACTTTGCTGAATTGGGCATACAGAACAGCCGACTCTTCGTTGTTATCATTGAATGACTGGCTACGCCGGGCTCGAAATCCGTTCTCATAGATCGGATATATCTGGATTGGTGCTCCCATCATGTGTGTACTCCCGATGTCTAGCCAGAATTTCATGAGATATGCGAATCTTTCCTCAACTCGTTTGCCACTTACCATCACGATGACCAACCTCTCCGGGCGTAAATATCTCCGCATTCTCATCGGCAGGCGTCCAGCCCGGAGGKGGATATTGATTTGACTTCGAGCATACCGCCGCTATGTAACAGTCAATCCATGTGATGTCTGAATATCTTTGGGTCAAACTTGCCTGAAGCCAGAGCCTCGCCGCCTGTGATCACAGCTAGCTTGTTCTCCCCCCGCGATATGCGACGAGCTGCTTCATCAAGGATCTTTGCCGGCTGATTACCGCCATTGACACTATATAATTTATGTTTGAGTGGTGAAACAAGATTAAGTTTCTTTGCCAGAAGACCGGGAAGGTCACCATAAGCCCAAGTCCAGGTTCTGACAACATCAATGCTATCAATCTGTGACTTAAGACTTGATGTCGAACCCAAACCAGTCTCCTGAAACGCCAGCTCAATCGCATTGAGCATTAGATCTGCCGGTTCGCGTGCATCTTCGACTTTGGTGGAGGCGTTCCTGATATCGCCTACTCCAATGACAATCGGGGTATATCTGCCTTCGACTGACATATTTGCAAGCTGCTGTATTGCAACTGACGCATATCCAGGAGATAGTCACCCATGGTAATATATAGCAGTGGTAAGGTTCAATAACTGATGATCACCTTACTAGCTCCTGCCGAGAGCACTTATACCTCGGTACGTACTTAGTAGTTTGTCCTAACGTGTGGGGAACCCTAACCGGCTCCTTTGACTGGGAGAGATCTGAGAGGCGAGACAGGATTCGCATGAGACCAATGTATTCTTACGTCGGTAGATATCATATCGTGTCAGGTGCATTTTATAGCGTCCCTCAACTAAGTATAGCGAGAGCACTGACTGATCTACGCTAAGATCTTGGAGGTGGGACGGAAAATAAACACCAGACACTAAAACTCAACAGAGAAGGGTGATTCAAGCCTTCAGTTATCTTCTCCAAAGATTTAGGCCGGTCAATTATTAGACAGCATATTTTTATCCCTCTGAAGTTATTTTGGAGTATATTTGCCCTGTTATATATCAAATAAACTCGCTAGTTCTCTTCTAATCACTGTGCTTGTGAATGATGGAAAAGGAGAATCCTGCCTGCAAGTTCCTGTTTCTCAAGATCATACATTTGAATCTCAGCTCAGATCATAGCCAGTATTGCTCCTGCCGAGCGAGGCATCATTTTCAGGACTGCAGACAGCATTCAAGTTCCTAGAGTGGCATCTTCATGAATCGCCATCATCCCGGACTGCAACTGTGGTGAGTCGACTTCTTTCGTTACTCTGGCTTCCATGGTCATCATGCACGTTCTTTTGAATACAGTACACCAAGATCAGCACATTTTCTAATGAGAATATCCAGAGAAAGGATTTCGAGCCGATATCCCTGTTTCCCATTCTGGTCGGGTGTCAATATCCTATCAGGTAATTCATAATCGGCGAACGCAACCGGCGTTAGAAGAAAAGAAAGCTCGCCATTCCATCATGCGTGTGCTGTGCGCAATATTCCGTACTCATCTATAAAAATTTCCCCGAATAAATTCTCCAAAAACTCTACGGTAAGGCTTGTCATTAGTTGATCCATGTTAACGCTCCAACCAGATCTTGATAAGTAATCTGTCCTCAGCTGCATTCAAAGTTTTAAACTGTATTCAGCTAGAAGAGTCATTCATCTATTGTCGGCGACAATTACAGATACGATCACTAATCGGAATTCAGAAATATGCAAGAAGCACAAGTATCAAGACAACTCAATACAACTAGCGCCATAAAATGACTAACCAACGTCCCCTGGTTGAGTACAACCTGGCTAGTATCTTACGTACATCAAGGATGAAGAATGCGCCAAAGTTAAAGATAAGTGAGCCTAGAGATGTTGTGTTCAAGAAGGTTGCGTGATCTGAGCTCATCAGCAGCATTGATGTGCACTATTAATTACATTATTAATTCTGTCTCAATCGTGGAGTGGTTTTTATATTTAATCTGAGAGGTATGACCATATATACTCCTTGACAAGCTCTGAGGAGAGTACGAATTCATTTTCTTCATGCGCTCGGATTTTGATTGTCTTAAACGCCTTTAAAATCTGCTTTGCCAACGCTTATGTTTACATAGTATATATGCGGAATTGACATAAGACATTCCACCGAGATCAATCAACTCCTTCTGCTGTACTACTCCCGGCGTTTATTACCCACACCATTAGGTAAATGTCTTCATCTAGGTCAATTGTTGACCAGTATCCACTTTCTTATGTACCGTATGAGGATTTCTATCGAAAACTCCATGCGAATCCGGAGCTGTCATGGAGAGAGTACGAGACAGCCAAAGCAGTTGTGCAGAAACTACGAGAAATATCATCCAACTTGGATATCAAGGAAGGAATTGCCGGTACGGGTGTTATCGCTGTCCTTCGCAACGGTCCAGGAAAGACAGTGATGCTCAGGGCTGACATGGATGCTTTACCACTGAAAGAACAAACTGGACTGCCATATGCAAGCCATAAAGAGATGGAGGATGTACACGGGAATACTCAGCCTGTCATGCATGCGTGTGGCCATGACATGCATGTCACTTCACTCTTGGCAGCCGCAGCAATCCTTTTCTCCAGCCGCGAACGATGGGGCGGGACGCTAGTCTTTCTATTTCAGCCTGCTGAGGAGGGAACTAGTGGTGCTCAGGGCATGGTTGCAGATGGACTATATGAAAAACATGGGTGTCCAATTCCAGACATTGTGCTGGGCCAACATGTATCATTCCGGAGAACTACGCACGTGTTTACAAAGCCTGGATTGCTCATGGCTGGGGTTGAAAGGATGACGATCAAGATATTTGGGAAAGGTGGCCATGGAAGTATGCCTCACATGGCAGTGGATCCCGTGGTAATGGCAGCTCATATAGTGGTCCGTTTACAAACGATCATCAGCCGCGAGGTCGAGCCAGGCGAATTAGGAGTCATTACCGTCGGCTCCATTCATGCGGGGACGGCGCCTAATGTCATTCCAGCCCATGCCGAGCTTCATCTCAGTATTCGATTCACCAGCACCGAGCAGCGGAATATCATTGTCGAGGGGATTCAACGTGTTGTCAAGGCGGAATGCCTTGCTTCCAAATCGCCACAAGAGCCCATCTTTGATATCTCTGAGTCAACAAACCCGATGGTAAATGATATACTAGCCACTGAAGCAGTGTCCAACAGCTTCAAAGCACATTTCGGTGCGGACCACTTTCCCATGGCAAAGGTGGTTCCGGCTGCTGAAGACTTCAGCTACCTGGCCACATCGATTGGAAAGCCTTATTGTTTCTGGTTCCTTGGGGGTCACGATGGGGAGGATTACGATAGGCGCAAAAAGGAAGGCACGTTGGACTCTGTACCATCCATTCACAGTCCGTTCTTTGCCCCGGTGGTGCAACCCACGTTGACAACTGGCGCTGAGGCACTTGTAACTGCAGCATTGACCTTCTTATCCAATGACAAGTCAAACAAATGAACGACCCTCGGTTACCTGAGTTAGTGATTGTACAAGCCAGGTACTTTCACCAAAGTTCTCAATCAGAATGGAAATCAGCCTAGAATCACGCTTTACATGGCGTCAGCTACCTCTCAGATCCAATAGCCGTAGAATTCATTTCTAAGCTAGCCCCCAATCACATTACGGACGAGTTTGTACACATACATACCCATACCTTAGCTGCTGGTTAATGATTATGCATTTAAGAGTCCTAAAGCGCTACGCTACTCTTACTTAGATATTAGCTGGAGGAAGTGACTTGGGAATATGTATGCTTGGACAAAGACAATGCGAAGTACATATGTTCTCTTGTCTCCGAACTATCTTTGTTCTAGTCATAGCCCACATTTACTAATTATCATATTCGACTTGATGCTTGTATTCTCCAGATGGAGCATATTTCTATCCGTAAACTTAGAGCTGGATCTGACTTGGTCACAACTATAATAATGTATAAAATAGTAGTACCAATCAAAGTCATAAAGCGGGACTTCCCTTTTCTGGTCATATAAACATATCATGATGAAGAATACCTGGTATGTATAGTTAATTGCAAATATGTAGATAATTCAAGTCTTCACTTAATACCACCGGAACCACATCTTGATAGACACAGTTCATGATGGTGGGCTGATTAGCAATCAATGAGGGACATGGACCTAGGTTATACTCCCCGAAACTACCACAAACGGCAAATAATTTCCGACTCTGTACATACAAAGTTCGCACCAAATGTCGGTAAAATTTCATAATGCCGGTCATGACAAATTATGCTCGGGCCCACCAGCCCTCAAAATTCTTCCGCCGCTCGGCCGCATGAACTTTGGCCGACAACGTTTTGTATCGGGACAGCGCCAATTGGCCGGTCATATAAGTCAAACGCGATACAGGTTCAACATGCTCATCCTCTTCCTCTTAGACTCTCGGATACATGCCCGATGGACGGCAACGCAGACTTTGTCTTCTTTCGCATCTCGAAAACCAATGATGTTGCCTCCTCCGTGTTCAAATATCGACAACTTCGACTAGAGGCATTGAAGGTCTCGCCAGCTTCGTTCGCCTCCACGTATGAGGCCGAAGCAGCATTCACTGATGAATACTGGGTGAAATTATTGACCAGCCCTGGACGAGAAACCTTTATTTGCGCTGCAATCCCTCGTCCAGACAATGTTCACCAGTTCTCGAACGGCACTTCCAAGTGGGTTGGCCAAGTCTCCATACTCGCGTCCTCTTCCTCAGATCCTTCCTCAAACAATATAGACCCGGGGAACGATAACGAACGCTGGCAAATGCTCAGCCTATTTACCTTCCCGGAATACCGGGGTAAAGGGCTTGGGAAAAAGCTATGCCATGAGGTCCTTGATTTCATTCGAGACTTCAAGGACCAACCGAAGGTCGCTGAACTCTCGCTCGTCGTGAAGGCGCATAATACAGCCGCTGTCAGGCTTTATGAGCGACTTGGATTTGCTATTGTGAGACGGTGCACTCTCGTTGAGGCGCTCACAGCCAATGGAGACAGTCATCTCTTACCGGCCGACCGAAGTGCGTCCAAATATACTGATCTAAGTGGCCTTATCATGAAGTCTACTGTCTTGCGGTCATAAAGAATAAAGCTAGGCCTTCCTTGGACACACGAGTAAATGTTCTGATTCGAAGATGTCGAACACGGCACTACAACTTCATCATCCCGTTGTTGGGTATTCTTGTCGAGTGGACGAAAGAAATGATGATAGAACATTGCATGAAAGTTACTGATATATAGATATATAGATGTATATACCTGTTTAATACGATCCTTAGTAGCAATATGCTATGCAAAGCTGCGCACTAAGTAGATGGAAGGTCATTGTATCACTGAAATCATCACTTGTTAATATTTTATGCGTATATGACGTGAATCACCGCCCCATTGACGGGGGATCTCTTTTGGGTCAGACGGTTTGTTTCTTGTTTCTTGTTTCTCAATATATTATATATGTAAGTACTATTCTATATTTTAAATTCACCGTTGCCGGAACAATGGTTTTCCCTACCCGTACGCATCCATGCGAGCGGCAAATTTTATCGAGACCGAGCACTCTTCAGCCAGAACTCTTTCCAGCCCAGCCATGAATTCCAACCTCGACAGCTCATTAAGCCACTCAGACTTGGCACATCCAGGCCAAGCAGCGGCAACAAGAGTACCCCAGAAGAAACCAATTGCGTAAGTAGTGAACCTCACGCTTCTCCATTATTATTTACATATAATTTCAGTTGTGATCGATGCCATTCACAGAAAATAAAATGCTCAGGGGGGAAGCCATGCTCGAGGTGTCGAAAAGCGGGATATTCTGATCAATGTAGATATGTGGATCGTGACCGCAGAATCCGAGTTAGCGAGAGGTACGATCCTGACCCCTTGGCCACTAACAATGTTAGAGTACTGAAGGGAGTAAATGAAATCTAGCTACCTCGAACAGCTTATTCAAGATAGCAGAGAGCTTCATGCTCAACGAACTCCGATATCACAGCGTCACTCCCACCCTGAAACCGCGGGTTCTACCTTCAACATTCCACAGCTGGGAAGTTCCCAATTAGCTCCCCAGAACAACAATGGGGAAGCATCATGGTTCCAGATGGAAGATTCCTCGATTCTTCCAATCTACACCAGTGAAGCTGCTTGTACTGCCTTTGCTACTCAGCTTTGTCAATGCCTGGAGAACCCCGGATCCCCGAAACCGCTAATTCCACGATGGAGTTACATCGATGAATCAAAATTAAACCATTCAATGAACACAGACATCAGTTGGCCAGGTCTTGCATCCGCAAAACTACTTGTTAAGACAGCACTTGGCCATATCAACCCAGGGTTTCACCTGGCGTTGAAAAAAGATACCATCGACGTCCTTTCAAGCGTGTACCAAAATCAAAGCTTTGACGATCCTTTATTAAAATGTAAGTATTTTGCCTTATTCGCTATAGGTCAAGTCTACTCCACACCACATGACCTCAACAATGCATCGACCGTGGCTGGAACAACCTATTTTGCTCGATCTTTGAACCTTCTTCAAGTCATCCCAGAAAGGCCTAGTATGACGCATATTGAAAGCCTTCTCCTTCTGGTGTGTTTCTTACTTCGTGATACATTGATATCATTTTGCGTTACTAACAATTAGAAGGCTTATTTTTGTCAATTCTTGAATAGATTCCACTCTGCATATCTGCTTATAGGGAATGCACTGCGGGTCGGTCTTAGTGCCGGATTAAATTATAACATACCCAAAAGCCACCGCATAAGTACAAAAGAGCGAGAGCACCGGGTCAGAATTTGGTGGTCTATCTATGTGTTTGACCGCTTCTGGGGTTCAAAGTCCGGATTCCCTGTACAGATTCATGATGACGATATTCACGTCGATCTGCCATCTGTTGTAGTGCCTGAGAGCTGCAGTGATCAATTTCCGGACGGTGCATATCAGATTGCGACTATCGAACTCGCCAGGATCACAGGAAACACCGCAAAAGGTATATATGGCCGGGTGAGATCCAATGAGAGTTTCTTACAACGTGAGCAAAGGCTCTTGACTCAGTTGAAAACGTGGGAGGAATCTCTTCCTGAACACCTTAAGCTTCACATGGGTACAGCTAATCCCAAACATGTGGTTCTGATGCATCTACAATTCAGCTTTGTTAGTAACTACTTGTGGGGGGGTTTTTTTGGACGTGTTGCTGACTCTGAAATTTAGATCGTTATTTTGGCACTTCGACCTGTCTTGCTTAATATTCTGAGGTGTCACGTAAAGAAACGCCGTTCCAATTTTCGTGATGATATCACTTCTATCTTACTGACACTGGGTGAAGCATGCATTCATGCTGCACGACACTCATTGAAGTTATGTCAGGATGAGTGGACAAGTGGATCGCTTGCAGTCTTTGGTTACGCGTTTCCTGTCTTTATTTTCTCATCTACGTTAGTCTTGATGATATCAAGTTTTTTATCTGCAGGGAGCCCGAGCGATTCAGAATCTATCGAAAGTGCAATGGAGATGCTTAGAGTTCTCAAAAGTGCAAACAACCTGGCTGCGAAGGATCTGTACGAGCAACTTCAGCGTGCACAACAGTGTGTAGAACAACATCGCCACCTTCCTTCTACATCCAATGCGCAGAAACCTGCCTCAAACAACGAAGAGTCAACCCCAGAGGAATTGAATCTACCAAGGTTACAGCAATCTACCGATACACTGCCAGATATGTTCTCTCCGCCTTCTGGTTTTTCGAATTTGGATTTGAGCACGGGAATGGCTCTTCAAAGCTCCTTAATGGAAGACTTTTTGACACAACCCGTCTCAAATCTCGATTCTACCAATCTGGTAGAACTTCCAATTGATTTTGATGTGTCGTTCCTGTGGTCTGACAATGCATCTATTCCAGAATGAATTGCATATACTTTGCATGGATGAATGCGAGAACCAGATGGATTGAAACTGTATCAACAACCTACTAACGCGATTAGATAGAGGTCTAAATAACTCATATAGGACCCATCCTGGAGATGAGATTCAGTTTGATGCTGCCTAAATCACCTTGTAGACGATGTAGTGTCTCTTCAATAGTTCTACAAATACCCCCAAGTACTCTCCGTGTACTTTCCTTCGTGGCATTCGCATTCGCGTCGTTTCCGCGAATAATGGAATGACTTTCAAATTCAGCACCATGGATATGTCATTGAGTAGACCCAAATGTACAGAAAGTAACAGTACCTAGAAATATCAAAGGTGATTGAGAAAAGTGTCACTTGTATCCAATGATTGATTGCCTACAGCTGACTTAGTTCTGGAATAAGCTACCGCATAAAGGGCTATCTGCATTAAAACTCTGTACTGAATAGAAAGTTGGGATTCGTACACCATATCCACTCTTAGTGAAGATTCTTCTTGGTGGAGGCTTTATTCAATTGGACCTGTTCTAAGTCAAGATTCTGCCAATTTGACAACGTTGAGGAGGCTCTCTCCTCGAGCCTGGCGCTTGAGGTTTTCTGCCAGAATGGCGTAGGTTCGGCCAACCGTTTGCGGGGTTATAGAGCTGACATGTGGTGAGATGAAAATATTGGGTGCTGTCCATAGCTTGCTGTCAGATGGCAAAGGCTCCGGGTCAGTAACGTCGAGCGCGGCACCTTGAAGGCCACCATTGCCACTACCTTTTTGTAGCGACTCTAGTAACGCATCTTGATCGAGAATTGCCCCTCGAGACACGTTCACCAGATACGCTCCAGCCTTGCTGTTCAGGTTCTGCAGCTCGTCCTTGCCCACCAGATGTCTCGTTGCCGGAGTCAGCGGCAGGGCCAGAATCAAAATGTCTAGATCCTGGCTTAGGAAGTGTTGAAAATCCGCCTTTGTTTGCCCGTGGAAATATTGACTTGGGATAATCCCGTCCGGATCTCCCGACCCGGGTTGAACAAAGCTATTCTTATCTTTCTTCTCGGCGGCCGTTATTCGAGGTTTAGAGGTATAAACAACAGTATCAATGCCCAGAGCTTGCGCAMCCCGAGCCACTAAGAAACATTCGCATTAGAAATGCATGTAATTCAAGGATGGAGGTAGGTTCGTCATCAGTAGACATACCCTGACGGCCAATCGAGCCATACCCGACAATGCCCATCTTTTTGCCATCCAAACTCGAAGGAAGCTTACTTGCATCCAGTCTTCCCCAGGTGCTATTGTTTTGCCATTCTTTAAAGATGAGCAGTTGGCGATAATGTGCCAAAAGTGTACCAAAAACCCATTCACTGATTGCGATTGCTGGTGCCCCAGTGGAAGTGGTGATAGTGATTCTCGGGTCCTGGAACACCTCCTCGTGAGCGACGTGATCAATTCCTGCCACGTTGAAATGGATATAGCGAAGTCGGGGCGCCTGTGCAGGCTTGGGCACATATCCCATAGTGAACAGTACGGTGATATCGCTGAGGATGTCTGTAATAGTCAATGTTTCTTTCCTTTCCCTCCGTGAGACCAGATATAGTTTATATTATACCATCAGGAATATTCATATCGCGCTGGAAAAAAGCATCCGTTGGATATACTTCATGACGGATAAAGGAGATCTTGAGGCCAGGTCTAGCAAGGCGAATCTTCTCCAACAGGCCTTCAATCCTGGGCGAAGGCAGAGTCACTAACAAGTGTTCCGACATTGGGAAATTGGTGTTCAATTATATTTACTGGATTGGGAGGGAACAAGAACGCTGTCTAATACATGTGATACATGGATGAAATCCTGCAGAACATCGGACTCATATATAGTTTTATTGATTTGTCGACTGTAGCAGTAAAACCTTGCAGCCCCCTTTATTTCTCCATTATGATTACTTATCAAAGCTCAACTCGGGGTGATTAATACTTTAGCGCCTGGTGCATACCTCAGTCTTCCGGCCGATTGAGCGAAATGTTGCGCTATCGTGATCACTAATCACTATGTAGAAATAGTATTAGAAAACCTATAAATCATTCAATTGCTCTTACATTCATTTCTATTACTATTACCCAAAGATTTATAATTTGTCTTTACTTTTATGTCAGTTTACAACAAACAGCACAGTCCTTGGATACGGGTATTATGGCGACCCTGGCTGAGAAGGACGACACCGAAGATATAAGATCGGTTCCTGTAAGTGGTAACACAGAGCAGGGACAGATCCCTGCAGACAAGCTAGATGACCTGCTGGGCTGGGATACAGCAGTTGAAAACCCTCTGAATTGGCCTACATGGAGAAAAATGGTTCTTTTGGCTGCGATGGCCTCCTCAGCCATCACCGCGTATGTCGGAGTCAACTCTAATATCCACAGAGCTTTGCTAAAACCTCGTCTCCTAGGTCCATATCAAGCTCTATCGTTAGTCCCGCTCATACGGCCTTTATGCAAGAATTTCATATCAACAGCACGGTTGCGGTCCTCCCTATCACTTTGTACACCTTTGCATTAGGGTTCGGACCAGTTCTTGGTGGCCCACTCTCCGAGACTGTAGGCCGATACCCTGTGTATCTGGGATCGATTATTTGTGGCTCCGCGTTCACTATAGGGACGGGTTTTTCTCGCAATTTCGGAGAGCTACTTTTCTTTCGGTTTATGGCTGGCTTTTCTTGGGCATCGATTCTCGCGGTAGGCCCAGGCTCCATGTCCGAAACATTTCACCCAAAGGCTCGTGGCCCTGTATCAGCTATCTTCATTCTCAATCCCTTTCTAGGACCAGGTCTTGGGTATGTCTGCCTGTTTTTTATCCGCTTTTATAGATCTTTATTGACTCGATATTAGACCTGTAATAGGTGCGTTCGCAGTGACCGGCAAGAGTTGGCGCTGGTCTCAATGGGCAGTCCTTTTCTTCGCTGCTTTGACTCTCTTCTTGACGCTCTTCGCAAAGGAAACATTTCACCCTATTCTCAAACGACGTCTGGCCAAAAAGAGGGGCCTAGAAGTGCCAGAAAAACCGAGAGCCATGGCCAGAATACAGCAATTTGCCGTGGTAGGCCTTTTACGACCTATTCGGATGCTATTTTTGGAACCAATCGTGTCTTTTACTTGTCTTTATGTCTCCTGTGCTTTCGGCACTTTGTATGGCTTCTTCACAGCTGTGCCTTACACATTTATCACAGTATATGGCTTCACCATTGACCAATACGGTCTTGTCTTCCTGTCCATTCCCATCGGTTGTGTTTTCGGAATTATCACTGTAATATTGTGTGATATTTTTATCTACAGGAAGCAGATACCTAAACATCCACCACACAGCGTCCCGCCAGAATATCGCCTTTTCCCTGCTATGATAGGAAGTTTCGGACTGCCTCTTGGTCTTTTCTGGTTCGGATGGACTGCAAAGGGCGATATATCCTGGGCAGTCCCTGCGGCCGCTATCATATCCTTTGCATTTGGAAACATCTGCGTGTTCGTCTCTACTGTGCAATATATAACAGATGCATACCATGGGAACGTTGTGGCCAGCGCTGCTAGCGCAAACAGTCTAGCACGCTACACATTTTCTGGCGTTTTTCCTCTGTTTACAACTCAAAGTAAGTAGTGATACCCGGATCCTTTCACCCAGATCATATGCTAATAATAATAACACAAACATAGTGTACAAAGGACTTGGAATAGACTGGGCTAGTAGCTTACTAGGCTTCGTTACGTTGGCCCTTTTACCTATACCTTGGGTATTTTTCAAGTTCGGCCCAAGCCTTAGGGCTAAGAGCCGGTACTAGATGTTGTGCCTGGGTTACCAATCGAGGACACTCGCTGTGGAAGTAAGAATACATGGAATTGAATAGTTATAGAGTATCGTTAGATTTCAAAAAGCAAGCATCTTTCATTCTCTCAAGGATGACCCCAAAATTTGTGCTCAAAGACGAGACTCCCGCAGTGCACCTGGATCAATGGCTACAAGTGCGACACGGAAAACCGATGCAAAGGGAAAGCGTAGACATTTGATGGATATAGTGCTGCCCGTAGCGTATCGTACACGAGGGTCTTTGCTTTGATATTTGCGGGATGGATGTGTAGTTTGCATGTAGGTATTTCATGTATGCATTAACCTACGTGTCTAATATGTAGCCAGCATCTTTTGCAACCTCTTTTTAACAAAGGACCACTGTTCACCTTTCATCTCGCACAATGGACGTCTTCCTCGACATCTGCGACATCTTCTTTTTCGACCGGCTATATGCCACTATCCTACCATAAAGAGGACCTCCCAACACTGACAATATTTCTGGATAGGTCGCGATTTTTTTTTCCCTATTAAGTCTACTCAACCCTTGAACTTTGTCTCATCAGTCTCGTTCACACGACTCTGTAGAGAGGACACTTGACTGGTTGTTTGTTGAAGTAGTCGTCTCATCGCCTGCGTCACGGTCGGACGATAGCCACCTGTCTATTCTTGTTCTCGGCAATTGATGCGAAGGGATCAAGTTAATCACCTGCTGGGCTCAGATCAGTCGTTTCATTTTATCCATTGCAAGAACAATCACTCGTTTAATATGATCAGAGATTGAAAGCGGAGCCTGATGATTGCGTCTTGCTCGCACCTTCCTTTTTGGTCCGCTCGCTCACGTGGGTTGGTTCCTGCCTTTCTGGGGATATCACTACTATTACTACTATTACTACTATTACCTACGTCTCTTTTCGCGACTTCATAATTTTTTTTCACCTTTTTTAGACTGGCTCTGCATCTCTGATTCAGACTGCAAAATGAACGGTCTGAAAAGCCCTTCGAACCTCATACTGCCGAGAAAGACTGCTTATCGGTTTAATTAAATCGCAATGCGTTATTTTGTATATTTTCAGCCACTAAACAACAGCGTTACCACAGCTCCGCCTGTGCCGTAGCCTGGTCAATCTCCGCTTCTTCGATAAGAGTGGACGACGAGCGGAGAACAGATAAAGCTCGAACCTGCAGGATGCTAGAGGATGTTACGCTCCGGCCTTGCCTCGACCCCTGCTAGTGACCAATCCGTTTCTCTTTACCATCGCATCGAATGAATCGAAGAGATTGGAATCAAAACCAGTTCTATCGATTCATGATTCTTTGCTTTCTCGCGTTGTCTTGGTGGCGCAGGATCATGTACTACCTCAGAGGGGCAGGTGGCATCTTCCTTGTAGATCACCAACCCCGGTGGAGACCGCGGAAGACATCGCGATAGCAAATGGCGAGTGCAGAAACGCCATCGCCCAAGCTTCGCCCGTCGCAGCGCTAAATCAGCCATGATGCTTAGCTTAATTAAAGCTGTAATGCATGATGGCATTCCAACCGCGCCGTCCGGAACATAAATATCCTGCCATCCCCGCTGCGCATTCCTCCTACTTTGGAATCGGGAAACCTAGGTACAAAATGCGGTCAATCTCGTGGATCACCCTCCTGGGTGCTATGCCTACTATCAAGGCTCAATTTGTCACAGCTCCCACAGATCTGATTGAAAAGAAGGGCTATTTGGACATTCCGGTACGATACAAGGAAGTACCGACAGGGATCTGCGAGACGGACCCGAATACAAAGAGCTTCTCTGGTTATGTCGACGTTGCAGAGGACCAGCACCTCTTTTTCTGGTTCTTTGAAGCACGCAATCAGAACCCTGAGACTGCACCATTGACTGTGTGGATCAATGGAGGTGAGTAATATACTTTAGAGGAATGACACGGCATTAGATGAATAATTCGATGATGCAGGCCCCGGTTCATCTTCAATGATCGGTCTCTTCCAGGAGAACGGACCTTGCGGCGTCGACTCTGATGGAAACGTGTACAACAATCCATACTCATGGAACAACGCGAGCAACATGATCTACATTGACCAGCCGACTCAAGTGGGCTTGTCATATAGCATTCCAGTTCCAGGATATCTTGACCCGACCACTGACGATGTGATCGTATTACCTTCTGAATCCTGCCCTGACTACGCAGCTGATTGGTCATGCGGCACGTATCCTTATGGCAATGCAAGTCTTACGGCAAACAGCACTGCTAATGCGGCGCCGTTCTTCTACCGTGCATTGCAAGGATTCATGGGGGCCTTCCCACAATACTCTCGAGAGTCATTTCACTTCACTACAGAGAGCTACGGCGGTCACTACGGACCTGTCTTTAATGAGTATATTGAGAAACAGAACAAGAACTTGCAGCAGGGAGCTAAGAAGATTTCTTTGGAGTCAGTCTTGATTGGAAATGGCTGGTACGACCCGATTGTTCAATATGCAGCGTACTACAATTTCACCGTAAGTAGAACCGACTTGCATTTTTACGGAATCGCGTCTAATGATTTTAGGTCTCTCCTGGAAACACGTACGACTACCTCCCTTACAACGACTCGATTGCTTCGTTGTTGTACAACAACCTCTGGGGTCCAGGAAACTGTATCGACCAGCTTAATGACTGCGCAGCACGTGGCATCAATGAGATTTGCAGCATCGCTGATAACTTCTGCGCCAATCACGTCGAAAATATTTACGATGTTTATCTTGGTCGAGACGAGTACGATTTCCGTGAATTGACGCCTGATCCATTCCCGTATGAGTTCTACGTCGACTACCTCAATACCCCAGAAGTACAGGCTGCTATTGGCGCGTACGTCAACTTCACCGAGAGCAGTGAGTCAGTCTATAGCGCGTTTGAAACCACTGGCGACGATGGACGTATTGCCAACACGGTCGAGGATCTCGGGAAATTGCTTGCTCAGGGTGTTAGTGTAGTGATGTATACCGGCGACGCTGATTACAATTGCAACTGGCTCGGCGGCCAGAAAGTGGCTTCAATGGTGGACGCTCCCGGCTACAGCAAAGCAGGATTCGTTAACATTACTACTGATGACGATGTTGTCCACGGTCAGGTACGACAAGCTGGCAAGTTTTCATTCGTACGAATCTACGAAAGTGGTCATGAGGTGCCATTCTACCAGCCAGTCGTTGCCTTGAGCATGTTTGAGCGTGTCATCAATGGATATGATGTTGCAACTGGCAAGGTCAAAGCGGACTCAAAATACAAGACCGTTGGACCTGCTGAGAGTACTTACAGAGAGGGTAACTCCACTATTCAGTGGGAAGTGGTTGACACTGATGCGACGTACAACACCACGACCAACGAGCCGAATCCTGTGGCTCGGTCGATGAGAAGGGCACAGCACGCTCGACGATTTAAGCCATGAGCTGTGTATGATGTTGAAATGCATAAAGTAGCTAGATACGTGCAGGAAAATGAGACTACTAGAGCTGTATAGCTTGACCAAATAGCTTTCTGTCTTCGTTTACATCTGGATTCTTCGCATCAACCTTCTGCCGTAGCACATGCATTAGATATGTCCACCAACAATTTCGAGACTTCTCATTGGAAGTAGGTAATCTCATCCCTCCAATGCGGGGAAACGGTAGAACATTCAACCGTATGCATTATTCATCAATCCAACAGAAAGAAGAGATAAAAGCCCTATCCTCCAGTTCCAGATACATCAATCACCTTTAGACTAAAACAGAGAGCAAGAAAGATGTTTGAGAAATTCACCACCTTCGATATCACCGTCGAGCCAGACGTAACCATCCATGGCGTCCACGGCGGTTCCGGCCCAGCTCTTCTATTACTTCATGGGTTCCCTCAAACGCATCACATCTGGCATCGGGTCGCCGACGAATTAGCCAAGAGCTACTACGTAGTTGCCATGGATCTCCGCGGCTATGGCCGTTCCTCAAAACCCGATGGCGGAGAAGGGCATATTCGCTATGGCAAGAAAGCAATGGCAAAGGATGCCGTGGCAGTCATGAAGCAATTACAATCACGCCGTGACGCAGGAGATGAATCGTTCTTCGTCTGTGCTCACGACAGAGGCGCACGAGTCACCCACCGCCTATGCGTAGATTACCCGCATCTCATCAAACGGGCAATCCTGCTCGACATCTGTCCCACGCTGGCAATGTACACAAAGACAACCCGCGACTTTGCGCAGTCCTATTTCCACTGGTTCTTCCTCATCCAACAGTCGCCCTTACCGGAACTCTCAATCTCGACGAATGCCCAAGTATGGGTTGAGAGTTTCATGGGTGGACGATACGCTGGCCTCGCGCCCTTTGCAGATGAATGCCTGGCTGAATATAAAGCGAGTTTGGCGGATTATGACACTGTGCATGCTATGTGCGAGGATTATAGGGCTGCGGCGTCGATTGATCTGAAAGATGCCGAAGAGGATGTTGTTGCGGGCAGGAAGGTGCAGTGTCCCATAAGGGTGCTTTGGGGCAAGAATGGGGTTGTAGGGAAGTTGTTTGATGTGCTGGGCGAGTGGAAGAGTGTTTCGAGTCAGAGTGTGGATGGTACGGCGGTTGATTCCGGGCATTATATTCCGGAGGAGAGGCCGGAGGATGTTATTGCTAATGTTTTGGAGTTTCTGATATAGATAATAGTATACTTGACAGAGTTCACTGTAGGATGACCGTCTGCTAGTGCAATGATACTATAACTTCGACGCAACCCACTTAGGCTGCGTCTTATTCGCAAAAGCATTAACCCCAATCGCAAAATTCTCTCCTCCAACCAGCTTCTCCAAACAATCCTGCTGCGTCCTAATTGTAGCCTGTTCCACACTGCCCGTCTCCCACGCCTCCCGGATGCCATGTCTCGTCGCAATGATTGCGTCAGGCGACAAGTTTGCTATCCTCGTAGCCATTTCTACAGCTTCGTCGATCAGAGTCTCGGGAGACTTGCTGATTTTGTTAACGAGCAGGTACTGCTGGGCTTCAGCGGCGGTCAGTCTGCGGTTTGTCATTGCGATTTCAGACGCGATTTGCAGGCCTGAAATGCGTGTGATGCGCGATAGACCGCCAGCCGCAGCGTAGAGGCCTACTTGTGCCTCTGGTAGGCCGAAAGTAGCCGTTGGCGACGCGACAATAATATCACTGAACAATCAGCATTGATGAACGACTTTCCCACTGAAAGAGAACATACCAATTGAGACAGATCTCGAACCCGCCGCCCAGCGCATACCCATTTACAGCCGCAATGACAGGCTTTTTGCCCCTCCTTCTACTCAAGCCCATAAACCCTCCCGGCGGATGCGACAACGTGCCGGATTTGCGCCCAGCGACATTATTGTTTTGTTCAATAAGGTCCTGCCCTGCGCAAAAGGATTTTGATCCTTTGCCCGTTACAACTGCCACGCGCAGAGAAGGCTCATTGTCGAACCAGCGGAATATGGCCTCGGCGTCCCAGTGGGCTGCGTAGTTAAGGGCGTTGCGGTTCTTTTCGCGATTGATGGTTACTAGCAGGACGTGCGGGGCTGGGTAGGTGAGGATGTAGTATTGGGAGGTTGGGGGCTGGGTCTGTAGGTCTGCCATTTTGTGCATATATACTTGTAAGCTTGACTTGAAGTTATTCTCTTGTTGTGTCTTTAACTGGTTTATATTCCAAAGTTGATAGTACTACCAAGGTATGACCGGGGTGAAGCTCGAGTGGAGAAGCGGGTACAACCTCGGTTGCTCCGCTTAGTCCCCGCTTACCGTATGGCAAGGCGATTCCGGTAGCCGGCGCTGTGTATGAATTGACTTGTGGTTAATGGATTAGAGCTAGTCAACAGGCAATGATGGTATTCATTGAGGTTACTCTATGTTTTTGTGCATATATATATAGATCTTCACACGGAATTGAATCAAGAAATCGTAGCTTAAATAAGAGTCTTGAAGGAATCCTTGTCCTTGATACCGCAGAGGTTACCCTCCTTGTATCGCTTCAGTGTCAATGCAGCAATCAACGCGGCGCCCACACCAGATCCATCCTCAGCAGGTAGAATCACAACCTTATCCTTCTCCTTGTCGTCCCAATCGAGGATCTCACGCAATGCCCGGGCACCACGAGCCTTGAAGTGAGGGTATTTTGTGAACACGGAACCATCAGCACCGACGTGGCAGCGCTCTATGTTCTTCTTTGTGCAGATAGCGGCAACACCACAGGCAGATAAACGGGCAGCGCGAGTACCAATAAGTTCAGCCAGGCGACGGCACAACTCAAGCTCGGGCTTGACAGCCTTGAGGCCTAGCACCCGCTCAAGTAACTCGTCGGTCTCCTGCAAGTTCTCGAAGGGATCCTCCTCAATGGCAGATAGAAAAGAAGCATCTAGAGAATAAGGCTTTCGCAGCTTCGAGGCATCCTGGCCCTCGAAGATAAGGCCGGGGTGGCTGTCAATGACATCCAGCAAAGCAAGACGGAAGATTTCACCCAGGTACAATCCAGCTGTCATCTTTTCGAATGCCTGCTGACCAGGGCGAGGAGAGTCTCGGTCGATGATGTGATCGTACTTTGTGAGGGGAAGAACGATGTGTTCATTGTCAAAAGCTCCATATTCACAATTGATGGCAATAGGGGTATCAGGGGGGAGGTTGAGGTGAGCAAGCTTAGGGATTGATCCGGCGTCTTCCATATATGCAGCGTTAACACCGGTACCGAAGATACAGCCGATTTTCACTTCAGAGTCGGTGTATGCGGAGGCGATGAGCGTTCCGGTGGTATCGTTGATCAATGCGGTGGTTTTGATGGGAAGACCCTGTAAAGTTTAGCTTCATCTATACGAATACACAAGGACTATGACTGCTCACCCTCTTTCTCAAAACTTCTTCAAAAGGAGGAACCACATCCTTGCCCTCTACGCCCTCAATATCGAACCCCTTTGTCCAGCGTTGAAGCACACCGTGGTCGATATATTCTTGCGTCGCAGGATAAGAAAATGTAAAACCCAAAGGCAAAGAAGTCAATTCCTCATCTTCGTGATGATATTCAATGAATTGCTGCAAGCAATCGGCAATGTACTCCCATAACTCTTCGGCGGTACCGGTCTTCAATTCTTCTGGGATACGGTATTTGGACTGGGTGATATCGAATTCGCCGCGTTCCTCGGTCAATTGAATTTCGCAAACACGTAGGTTGGTACCGCCCATGTCGAGAGCGAGGAAGTTTCCTTGTTCATCGCCTGTGGGGAAGCCGAACACCCAAGTGACGTTCATGGGCTGTTGATGTCAGACGAGTAAACCGAATTGAGTGTCGTGTTACTTACAATGTTGCCTCCCTCAACGGTAAGACCTGATAGTTGCGAAGTAATTAGTATCATTGAGATGTGGTGGGTGCCGCATGTGCATGGATACTACACACCTTTCTCCAACTCCTTGACAAAGTGAGCTACCACTTCCTTGAGTTTCTGTTTATCGACAGTGAAAATTTCCTCGAATTCCTTGATCTGATTCAAGACATCTTTGGGCACATCGGCCATAGAACCTATCGAGAATTCGCGTTAGAATGGCGACCTCAGTATTTTTCATCTGCGTCATCATAGAAAACCAAGAGCTACTTACCCTTACGGGAAGGCCGGCGCCGTGGTCCAAGTCCAACCATGATTTATGTATGTAAGTATAGCAACGCACTCGAATTAGTAAAGAGAGGAAGATGAGGTGAATGTATAGAACGAGCAACGTAATAGATGAATGAAGAAAAGTTTAGGACAAAGAGTACATGATGACGGGGAGAAATTCAGGGCAGCGATAGAGGGAACGTGGGGCAAGGTGGGCTGACCAAACCGCATTTCGGCTGCTTCGATTGATGCGTCGGTGAGATACGTTACGCAAATTACAGTACGTACGCAACTGCTACATTTGCTAGACTTTAACTGTTCATGATTGGCTAAAGCCTGTCATACACGGTTACCACCCTGTATGATCGACTTCATATGACGTTTACACAGAGCTTGAGTACCGACAGAACATACATGCTTACATAGTATAGAGCATATTAGGGCGCTTACTTGGAGCTTAAAGATTATTTACCCCAGACTTACTCAGATTTACTTGTCTAGAGCTAACTTAAGGACTCAGATGTAAATCAGTGAATGGAAGTTCGAGATGTCTTTTTGCTAATAAAATTTGTGTGTATGAGTATGTCAGTACTCTTTTTTAGCGTTGTCCCAACAGTAGGTCCTTTGCAAACTGTAAATATTGCTACCCCTTGCACAGTACAACGGCATTCTTTACATGCGACTCATCACAAGACCTCACAAAATCAAGCTAGCTCTCATTCAAACCTATCAATTGACCAAAAGAAGCAGTTCCTCAAGCCTCATTTTTTACTATTTCCCCAGTTGCGTTCCCCACGTCTCACCGCCAGTAGCTCCGAGACGTGTCAGATAGCCGACAAGCTCGAGAATGTTGGGTCTGGAATGTCGAATTATTGGCTAGTCGTTTCGGCCCCAGGTATCGAATATGTACCTTGGACATGGAGTTTGCAGACTTGTACATACGATAATGTGTATTTTCAGTGATTACGATGTACGTACTAGAAAAAGCAAAGATAATGGGACTATCGGCATTGTGACCGGGCCTTTCAACCCCCGCAAGATATCCTCAACTGGCATAACACGTCGTATTATCATTACATATTTCTATTTCTCGTAATTTCATCAACAAGTCATGCAAAGTCCCTGACAACCGGATCACAAGGAGGGTTTTTCATTTGTCAAATGTGGAAATACATGAGCCAGGCCGCCAGTTCCGGAGACTTCATCACTGGATCGGAGAATCTGTTCGCCGGAAGTACCTGGCTTCTTTCCCGCAACCTGCTCATCCTGCTGCTTCTCTGCATCTCGTTGGGCTAGCTGTTTCGCCAGATGTTTCTCCAAGTACTTCTGGGTATGATTCTGATGCGCACTCGAGACGTGCAAAGTCCGATCAACATCTGCTGTGAGACGCTCAACCTCATCAAGCAGCCGTTCATCGCGAGTCTTTTTCGGCGCTGTTTCTAGATCCCGGTCTTCCTTGTTCGGATTGGTTTCTTCCCATAACGCTTCTAGTTCTTCCAGCCAACCGAGAGCCTTAGCTAGTTTGCGAACCCCTTCGTCGCAGTCACCCAAGAGCAACACATCGTCCGCACGAGATCCCAGACCGCCAACTTGCTCCATATTGATAAGTAGACGAGGTGTTTCGTCTCGACAGAAACTCGGCAAGCTCGCAAATGGCTGCACAGTCAGACTCGTACCCATGACAATACATAAATCCGCCTCAGCAGGTAATTCACGATTTTCGAAGAAAGCTCCTGGTAGGGCTTCACCGAAGAACACAATATCAGGCTTGACAAGTCCGTTGCATTCTGGGGTTTGACAATGTGGTACTTCGCCTCTCGCAACGACCTCTTTCATGAGGTCATCAGGATAGTGGCTTTTGCAATCGATGCAATGCTGAGATGCGAAACTTCCATGGGCATCAATGACCATTTCGCCAGGAAGACCTGCTTCCCGTTCTAGGCAATCGATATTCTGCGTGAAGTTCTTTAATAGGCGGCCCTTTTTATGCAGTAAGGTGATGAATGAGTGCGCTATTGTCGGTCTATACCGGCCAGGATAAAGTTCCTTGGCTAGGGTGTAGAAAGGAACTGGATTTTCTCGAAAGAAGGTGATACTAAATACTGCTTCTGGGTCCGGTAACTCCAGATGGGCAAGATTTGAATATAATCCTGTTTCTGGTGATCTGAAGTCTGGAATTCCAGCAGACGTGCTAATGCCTGCACCGGTCTGGCCAAGTTAGCATGTTTTCCTCTCTCCTCGAGGTGTGTCTACTTACTAGGACAACTATTTTTCGAGCATCCTTCTCAAGAATGTATTTGGCAACAGACTCGAGGGTACGGCTTTTGAGTGTTGTTGGTGATACACTATCATCTATCGGAGTAGACGCCTCGTTACCCATGCTGCCCCGCGGTAATCAGTGCCGGAAAAATTCTATTTGGAAATGCTTAGAGGTCGAGCAACTGCAGGGAGGTCAATAGATTCAATACAAGAGTACTTAAATCCTCGAAAAGAGTATAGAATGGAGATGCGGCTGAATTGACTAAATTTCAACCTTTGAAAAGCAGATGCCTACTTATAGCTCAGAGCCTCAGACTCTAAAGACTTTAACTTGGTGGTAGCTAGTCCCACTCAGGACTAGCCGCAGCGAGATGACATCTCGCATCTGCTGGCCTCTTCCTGGCTACCTTGTACTCTTCCATGTTGCTGATGCAAAAATATTAACATATCATCAGTACTAACTACAGAGGAGACCGAAACCCAAAAAAGAAAATAGAAAAAAAAGAACAAGAGTTCAGATTATGTCCAAAGATTCTAACGGGACTTGGTGCAGAAATTCACGGCGTGAAATGGTAAAAGGCAATTTCAGGATTCGTTAAATTTACTGCCATCCCAAGTGGAGAAACCCTTAAAGTGCATTATAACCCCTCTCGTAATGTGGTTTCGACTCCCGCCTTAGCCAATTTTTTTTTCCTCTCCCTTTTTCCGCAGGCAATCTAGAACTTACGTGACAAGAATTGGTGGAAGTTTTAAATGAATGTTTTCTACTTGTCTTAAATAAGAAGAAGGATATTTTTCTCAATAATATTTAGTAGGAGCCAAGGACTGGACTTTATAATGTCTTCAGTTCTAACTTAAGTAAAGTTAGGTTAGAGACATCTGATTACATAATATCTCCGGCCTTACACCAATTAGATTTCTGCTGTCGGTGGGCCTCATTGCGTTTCGTGTACCTGGCCTGTCCATCAACAACAGAGATGACAGTAAACCCTCCATCCCACTAACGTGCAACGTAGGAGATGTCCAAAGCCAAACCCAATGGCTCCGGCATCAATGGCCACAAAAGATCACACACCATGACAGGCCTCCCTTCCACACCACCCGACATCTTCAATGCTAGTTCCGTCTCGGAGATCAAAGCGACCCTCCTTCACCTCCACGATCAGGAAGCCGCCGTCACCGCCCGCCTCGATGCTCTCGTAGCTTCGCAAAAGGATTTCTCACGAGAGCTCGGACGACTAGACTTACTACGTGCACATCTGGGCTCGCAAGTCAACACTGCTAGAAACATCAGCCATGGCATGCTATCTCCCGCTGCGGCAACTGCCGAACGCATCTCCGGTGCAGTGCGACGACTGGACTTGGAACAAGCTCGAGTAAAAGCGACGTTGGAAGTAGTCGAGCAAGTCGCCGAACTCAAGGCATGTGTACTAGGGGTCAATGGTTCGATGGAAGGTCCTCAAGACTGGGAAATGGCCGCTAGCTATCTGAATCGCGCATCTAGGATTCCACCAGAGGTCATTAATGGTGCATTCGCAGCACAGATTGTTCCGACTGCTGAAGTGCCCGATCCGCCAAGTGTTACTTTGCACAATGCCGCCGAATCTTTATGTGGTTTATTCTTGAGGGAATTTGACAAGGCTGTCAAGGAGAATAATGGGGCGAAAATTACTCGATTTTTCAAGCTGTTTCCTCTCATCGGTCGGTCTGAAGTAGGCTTGGATGTTTACGGACGATACGTCTGTCAGGGTGTTGCGTCGCGAGCTCGGTCAAATCTGAGTGCTGGGCCGGGTGACTCGCAGAAGAAAGATGGCTACTTTTATGCGAGTGCACTTACCAAGCTTTTTGAACATATCGCTCAGATTATCGACGGACATGGAGCGCTGGTGGAACGCCATTACGGCTCTGGCAAGATGACCCGCGTCATAGAGAGGTTACAGGTTGAAGCTGATGTGCAGGGTGGTATCATTATTGATACGTGGAGTGACGAGAGAAATGTGGATCGAAAATTGACAGATATCAAATCCTACGCATTTACATTCTTGGTGCAGAGCTTTTTACCGGCTCAGCGAGCGACAGGGACCCCGCGAACGGGCTCTCCTGCCAACAGAGAAGGACTACAGGAAGGTGACGACGAAAGCGTGGATATGATAGAAATTGATGCAATCCTCAACGAATTAGGAGTGATGCTCGGAAGATGGTCGCTTTATTGCCGATTTGTCGGCGACAGTTGCAGGGTAAGTTTCCCATTGACCGAGGATGAGGATATGCTAAAGTCTACTGTTATAGCCGGTCGAAGAGAATGGCACAGAAGTGCCGTTAATGCTTCCAGAATTCTTGCTAGAGTCGACTCTTTCGAAAAAGATAGCAAACCGAATGATCAGCCCTTTCAACACGATGACTACGTTCTTCCTACGGCGTTCTGTCGAAAAAGCATTCCAGTTGGACGAACACCCTTCTGGCTTGACACTGAACCTACAACGGCCACTCAGCTCAGAGCCGCCTCATATCACGTCGGCTGTTGACGACATTATGTATATTGTCAACAAGGTTCTGCGACAATCCATCGCAACATCTCAAAAGCAGGTTGTGACAAATGTGGTGCCGACGTTATCGAGAGTGCTTGGATCCGATTTCATCGGTATGATTCAGCGCAAAATGCGCGATGAATGTTACCCGCGACCTCCAGTGCAGGGAGCCCAGCCTGCCGAGCAGACCGTGATACAATTTTTGGTGTTGATCAACAACCTAGATGTGGCTGTTGACTACATTCGGAGGATCGTACGAGACCATGTCGAAAGCAAACAGGCCGATGGAAAGCCGGAAGAAGGGAAGAATGGTACCGAAGACGCGGGTAATGGATTAGTGGCCATCTACCCTCTTGGAGACGACGCTTCAGTCGTCGCACAGGCTCTACAATCTTTGTCAACATCGTTCGAGTCAAAGGCAAACGACTTAGTATCAGACGGTATCCAAGTTGTCTTCAACAACGTGATGAAGGCACGCCTACGACCAATCTTGGCAGAGGCATTCCGCGATATTGAGTATCAGCCGCGAGACCACAACGACCCGACGACCAGCACATATCAGAACTACGAAGATGAAGACGAGGAAGACGACGAGCTCCGTCGGGCAGAGATGGTTCGGCCCCGATTTGCAGCGGCATGGAAGGAGTTGGTGTTGCCCATCTCCCGGATCCTCACGACAACGGCATTTGATCGTCTCCTGACAATCACGGTGACCTACTTGGCACGATTACTCGAAAAAAGATTATGGTCGTACCACGGACGGGTCAACGGGCTTGGGGCGATTCGTTTGGAACGCGATGTTTCGGGTATTGTCAACACGGTGGTGGAAGTTGGCAGTAGTCACGGGGCACCGGCGCGGTATCGACATCGGGAAACATTCACGCGCTGTGTACAGATTACAATGATTATGGCGATGGATGAAGATGAGTGGGATGATGTCGTGGGGGGTGGTGAAACGGCCGATGTGGTGGACAGGCTGAGTGTTGAGGAGCGAGCACGGGCACGATCGATGATGCGGTAACTGGTTGCACGTAATTATACGATAATGATATACGCGCAGGGAAGGCAGTCCGTGGAAATATCTCAATATATGTGAACATATCATGCTCGAGTCCTCGAGTCGCCCCATGTTGTACAGTGCTACGATACAGCCAGCCTGGTGTGACAGAGCTGAATAGAATCATCACAAAACATTACACAAGATAACGCCGTGTTCCTTAAATATGTATCCAGTTGTACAGACACGTCGCCAGGTACATTTCGAAAGTACGTAGATACCTGAGTAGTCAACTACAGTGACATCACACAGTTTTGTACCTGCACACCACACGAACACATGGCTACTTGCATCTGTACAAGGACATACGTCAATGCAAACGATCCATCACGTGACATTGCAATCAGCCTCGATTCCGATGAGACCGCGAAATTCGTAATAGCAACCGCGCCCAGCCAATCAGGTCGGCCTTATAACAAAACGCAGCAGAGATAAAGCATCGCCCGAAACAGCTTATCTGCACCCAATCAGCGCCCGGTGGAGATCGAAGAGCGCACTAGAGCGCAAAGAGTCGATCAGAAACCTGCACTAGATGCGCATCCGGCTTAGGTCTGCTCCACTGGGACCCGCACGCTAAGCATTAGGATTCGCGCTAGTCGGGGTTTTATCTCTGGCCAATCAGAGCGTGTCGTGGTTGGTAATATGCAATACGTATTCTGTAAGTTTCGTTGCGAGGACCAAAGGGACTTCCTAGGAGCTGTCAACACATTGCACATTTCCACGGAACGCGCCCTGGAGGGAGAAGAAATACATACTGCAAGTCTGTACGAATACTTCAGGTACGTTCGTTACACTACGGAATACACGTGTACCTCCAGGCGAGATAAGCAGCAGGACGACTCGTTATCAGGCAGATAGGCCATGAATCCATACTAACCCCTACGTATAGTAGTGATAGATAAGTAGAATCCAGACAGGTTACACGTATATATGTATAGATAGCCCGCTATAAGCGCGAGCAACTTATCTTTCTTCCTTGATGCTGCCCTGTTCTGTTCCACGGCCGTCAATGACGGTCAATCGAGATATCATGATGATCTGGCGCCCATACACGCCGGGTTGCTTGGCACACCAGCCTGGAAGGGGAAGATGATGTATCACTACATACTGCAAGTGCGTACGCCGTACGGCACTATCGAGCACTTATCAATTGTTTACTGATTTGTAGATTCAGACGATGCTAGATCGACACGCGACCTGCCGGTTCCGCAGTCCGATTGCCCTCCGGTCTGGGATCCTCCTTATTGCCACTCACCCGCGACGGGAGGTGAAGATGATGACGATTGTTCTCCTCGAAAGCAGTCTCGGCCAAGCCCCAGCTATAATTCTCCGCTTCTGCTGTCATTGACATACAAATACGTACATATGAAGGGTTGAATTTGTCTAGTCAATTCTTACTACAATTCAATTCAATCGACTTCTCCATCGGACTGCCCTCCGCTGCTCGAGGCGATCATAGGCTGCAGCTGCTCCGTGGAGTTCTTTTTTTCAGAGTTATGCGCCTTCGCCGCCGCCTGAAACTCACGGACGACGCTTGGCCGAACAAACCGTTTCGCTCTGATATTTCCTCGCAACCATCCTCGTCCGGGCTTGGTCCACATATAACAAAAAATAATTCCCATTGCAAACCACAACTACAAATCAGTCGAGCAAGCACCGAGTACAATCGACAAACTGAAACAAGCTGAACAGTTGTTATCTGGGGGTCCTCTTTATTTACTTCTTTTTCTTCTTCCTGCCTGGCCTTTTTGTCTTTGCAATTGCCGCCGCTTCCTTGGGAACGAACCCCCCCGATTTGCCCCGGTCCACCACTGCCTGACGAGTACCGGTACCTGCGATACGGGATCATACAATACGCGAAATAAATACATTATATACACTCTTCTCACTCTCTCCACCCTTCAACTTTCTCAATTCCCATTCTTCTCTTCAATTTCTTTTCGGTCATCTTGGCTAGCTTGGCTCCTCCGACAAGTCTCCATCTTTCCACCTCTCCAGATCTCTGGAGGTGAGGTCGACAGGCAATTCTTAAACAGCCCGCTTTCCTTCTTTTTTTCCCTTTCTGTTGCTTCCCTGTCGTCACCTTCCGTGATCGGCCCGCTTCTTCAACTCGCAATAATTATTTTTTGACAAGCAACCATGTCGTCCGCTACAGAGGTGCCTTATGCGCCTGATTATGCCTCGTACAATTGGACGGGCGCTCCAGCCGATTACAGCCTGACGACCAATACAGATCTAGGTGGTGATTCACGTATGTTCCAGCAGTCGCGCGAGAGCAAGAACAATCTAGCTGATTCTTTTCTGTGTAGGACTCGAAAACTTGAACAAATGGTACCAATCCGGTGACCAGGCCTATATCATTGTCGCCTCGGCCATGGTCATGGTCATGGTCCCTGGTCTAGGTTTCCTCTACTCCGGTCTTGCCCGCCGCAAGTCCGCTCTCAGTATGATTTGGGCTTGTATGGGTTCGTTTTCGGTCATTACCTTCCAGTGGTATTTCTGGGGTTACTCGTTGGCTTTCTCTCCATCTGCAACAAATGGCTATATCGGTGATTTGAAGAATTTCGGGTTGAGGAATCTACTGGGTGCGCCGAGTCCTGGTTCGCCATTGGTTCCGGGATTGCTGTATGCTTTCTACCAGGTATGCTCTTTCTGGTCTACCCAATGGAGCCTTTGCTCATATGTATAGATGCAATTCTGTGGCGTTACCGCTGCTATCGTCATGGGCGCCGTTGCTGAGCGTGGCCGCCTCTTACCCGCCATGGTCTTTACCTTTATCTGGGCTACTATCGTATACTGCCCTCTCGCTTGCTGGGCTTGGAACGTCAATGGATGGGGATACACCTACGGAGTTATGGATTACGCCGGTGGTGGTCCCGTCGAAATCGGATCTGGTCTCTCAGCACTCGCATACTCGATGGTTCTGGGTCGTCGTCAAGAAAGAATGATGCTCAACTTCCGCCCACACAATGTTTCTCTGATTTTGCTAGGAACGGCTTTCCTCTGGTTCGGCTGGCTCGGTTTCAACGGTGGTTCTGCTTTCGGTGCCAACTTGCGCGCTACTATGGCTTGCTGGAACTCCAACATCGCCGCCAGCTTCGCTGCTATTGCTTGGGTTCTTCTTGATTTCCGCTTGGCCAGAAAGTGGTCCATGGTTGGCTGGTGTTCCGGAACAATTTCCGGGCTGGTTGCTGCTACCCCGGCATCTGGTTTTATCACGCCTTGGGCCAGTGTCATTCTGGGAATTGTCACTGGCATTGTTTGCAACTATGCTACCAAGGGTTAGTCTATAGCACGATTGTTTAATAAAATACGCTAATGAGTTATAGTGAAATACTGGATCAAGATCGACGATTCTATGGACGTGTTCGCTGAACACGGTGTTGCTGGAATCATCGGTCTTCTCTTCAACGCTCTTTTCGCGTCCGACGACATTATCGGTCTGGACGGCGTCAACACCGGATCGACAAACCCTACCACTGGAACAGCACAAGGTGGCTGGATTATTCACAACTACCGTCAACTATACATCCAACTTGCGTACATCGTTGCAGCCTGCGCATATGCCTTTGTTGTCTCAGCGATTATTGCATACCTCATCAACCTTACCCCCGGTCTTCATCTCCGCGCCTCCGAAGAAGCTGAGTTGCTTGGTATGGATGATGACCAGCTCGGTGAATTTGCATACGACTATGTCGAGGTTCGACGAGATTACCTTGCATGGACCCCGCAAAAGGCAGCTCAGCTCGAAGACGGCCATGAAATCCCTCATGCTGACCGATACGGCATTGAGGCTCACAGTACTATGATCGAAGGCCACACCCCCGAAGACAAGCGCAGTGAAGACATCATCGAGGCCCAGCACTCTGCCGTGCCTGTATCATCAGACTACCACCACCACACCGTGACCGCGTCTTCGCAACTACCACCTGCGCCACGACAAGTTGCTGAACAGAATCCACCTGACACCGGGCGAGCTGTGGTGGACGAAGAAAAGGCCGCATAGATTTTTTCTTTTCCGTTACAAAAGATTTGACTTACACACTTTTTTTTTTCAGTTTACTTCTTTTGGTCTTCTTTTGGTACCATCGATCATACAAGGCGTTAGAATCGTCGGCCGGGAGTTTGCAGTTTTACCATATTGTGTCGATACATATACCCTTTTTTCTTTCTCTGTCTGAACTACTTTATGTTGTTACTTATTGTCTTATTTACCGCTGTACAACCTCGTGACATAACACTACATACATACTCTTCGATTCTTGTATCTGATTTCAGCCTTGCTTTTTACTGTTTATCGCTGGAGATAAAAGTTGCAGCGTGCACAAAAGCAGGATGCTGTTTGTTTCGGCTTGTGCTGATGAATTTGTATTGTCGGTTTGATAGACCTGCTCAATGATAAATCGATATTGTATACATTTCCTGCCTCCAAGTCACATCGAGTAGTTAGGGCTAATTGGACCCTATAACGCAACCATTCTTCCGTGTTCTACATACGATTGGCCTCATCAATATCATATCCGACCTTGGAAATATCTATTCGAGTCAAATATCAGGCATATTTACGGATAGCATCCAAATACGCCCGCCCACTCTCCGTCAACTTCCCATTCCTGACAGGTGGCCAGGTATCCCCCAACCCAGCCCCCGACGAGTACGCATATGCATGGACTCTATCATCATTTTGTAGTAGATCGACGATGTCGGCGATGAATTGGTTGATTTGAGTCTGGTTTTCGCTGGGGGTGAAGCCGTTCGATGCTATTACGTTAGTTTCTGTTAAAGGGGAGGGGGGAATGAAGCGAGGACGTACTGTCTACACAGGCGAATTCGGTGACCCAGATGGGTTTGTTGTTGTACTTGTTCCAGTAATAATCCTGAGTCGGATTAATGATATTTCCAATTTTGAGGGAAAGAAAGGAACGTACGAGGTCCTTGTTGACGACATCCATGCTAATCGTGTTGATGTGAATAGCCGTGAAATCCCAGGACGTCGTGATATTCTCTTCGAAGGGGGTCAACCAATCTTCATCCGACTGCTCTACACGGCCCTATCAGCACCTTTTTACATTGAACGACTGGAAGGGTAGACAGACTGCACATGGACGGACTCCCCAACCAACTCCCCTTCCCCTTCCACGGCGCAACAACCTCATTCCACAGCTCCGCGCCTTTATCGCTCGCAATATCCGCCGAATCCGGCGGCGCACAATCTGGCTCTTCGTAGCCCAGAATATATTGCGGTGCACTGGTCAGGTTTAGAAATTCTTGGTAGCGTAATGCGTCCCCGTTGCTGACGGTGCCGTCGCCCCAGAGCATGACTACGGGGATTGGGGAGCCAGTGTTGTCTGGGTAGTTTTTTAGAGGGGCCGGTGTCCAGTCGTACCACCAGCCGATGTGGGAGGACCAGAAGGGGTAGGCGTCGCCGCCGGCGCTGCCGGCTTTGATGCCGTTGGGTGTTAGGGAGGAGGTGCTGCTGACGGCATGAGTAGTAATGGATGGGTGTGAGGATGTGGTTCTTGATTTGGTGTGGGTGGTTTTTGAAGTTGAAGTATGGGATCTTGAGGTCGAGATTGTGCTGCTCCCCTGAGCGTTGGCCATGGTGACCGACGCTGCGCTACCGGTGTCAGAGCCGGTGCTGGCGGGKGCCGGGGAGGAAGTGCTGCTGGCTTCGGTGTGAAGGGAAGGCTCTGATGGAGACGAACTTGGTAATACTTCTGCTACGGGTGTCGTAGTACTAGCATCAACGCTAGGGGTGACTGTGATCGTAGTGGTGATGGTAGTCACATCGACAACGCTGGTCGTAGTGGTTGTTGTGGTAGCATACTCCTGCGATACTGGTTTCTTGTTGTCATGGGCATGTTGACCTATCAATGCTCCGTGTCAGTCGAGCATATTTGAGTAATCATAGATGGAATGCATGCCTCCATGTTGATGGCCAGCCGAAGCCTTTTGAAGGCCAGTGGCTAATATCAGCCCTACTGCAAGGCTTTGAGACTTCATGATTCTCTGTGCATATGTCTCTATGAATTGCTATTTTAACCAAGAGTCGCACTTGAAATACACTGGCTGACTCGCCCTCTTATACTCGAACCTCTCATGTCAATAGCGCCGGTATGACTAACCTCTCTCTGGCTTAACATATGAAGTAACCCTGCATTTCCCAAGAAAATCCAAGTTCTAATTCCAATCCAATTTAGCCGCATTCATTCCGTTTCCCTACATCGACTGATGGCCTATGAGACGAACGGTTTGTCTGGCAAAGTACTCCGTAGTATCGATTGCTAGAAGAGATTAAGCCCGAGGGGGCCTCGATCTAATCTACGGTTTCGGGTTTGATTAATCGACCAGGGGGCAAGCCCGCAGTTCGTCCAGTGTCTACGTAGGACCTAACTACGTATTGGTGTAGATCAAGCCGCGATTTCATTGTTCAAGGAAATTTGATGATCCTTCTTCCCCGTCTGGCTGAAACGAAACTGTGGCCCCTACATACATAGAACGTCAAGCGGCTACTACATAGTATGTGGCTGCCCTTTAATATATGTAGGGCTAGTGTTCCGAGCCCTAGGTCCGCGCTCATGAATGACTGTATTAAGGGATCTATTCGATGTTTCTAACTTTGATCATAATCTCACTTACGAGTCATGAGTAATAATGTCGATTTCTGCATATCACAGCCAAGTCATTTACAGTCGTGGTACACAATTAATTAGGAGGACGTTCAGGCTCGTCGATATCTGATCAATCAAGAAAATTAGCGACGGACCATGAAACGCTGAAACAGCCTAACAACGGCCGTGGCACCAGTCATGGCTCAGCTTTGTTGAGTCTTTTGTTTAGCTTATCATTGACATTTGCAAAGGTACATCATTGTGGTGTTATTGTCTGACACGTCTATTTCTTGATATCCAAGTAAGTGAAGGCTCCTAGGGTTTGTGCCACGAGGGCGATATTTCCCGGCAAGCTAGTGGTAGACAGCAACAGTGATGTACTTTAGAGAGGATATTGTTTCTATCATACCCTAGTCATCCATAATAAATACATGATAATAATGCAAACAATAACAGGAAAATATGTGAGTCAGCCAGTGCAAATCACACATTAGAACTATACATGACCCCTGGACTCAGTCCTCTCTTTATCGTTTTATAATACTTCCTAAACTCGTCAGCCCAAAAGACAGAGCTGGCCAAGACCACCAATTTCAACAAATCAGACAGTTTTAGAGCCTCTGTTTGGAAGATTGATTGTAAGAATGGGATGTAAATCACGCTCAATTGGCCAATTATCGATCCGACAACAGCGTAATTGAACATTTTGTTGCCCGCCAAAGGCATTTCGCCTCTCAATACGGACTTGCTTTCGCTTCGGCAAGTTAGAGCATTGAACATGTCAAAAAACACAAAGCAGGTGAATGTCATTGTGGTATCGTGGTTGGTGACGACGCGAGACATGTGGCCAGGGTTGAGTTTGTCGTCGATATCACTCATCTCGTGCACGTAGATAATCAGCGTGCCGATCATGATGATAGCTGCTTGAGTAAGGACGCGCTGAATGAGAGGTCGGGTAAGTACCCGTGCATGTTTCGGTCGTGGCGGGCTGTTCATGACTGCTGGATCAACTGGCTCAACACCCAAGGATTGAGCCGGTGGTCCATCCATGATAATATTGATCCAGAGAATCTGCATCGCGTTCAATGGGTTATGGAATCCCAGAATGGTGCTTAAAAGGACAAGACCTAGAGCAGCCACGCTAGTGCTGAGTTGGAACGTGATGAAATTCTGAATGTTGTAGAAAATCCCCTTGCCCTGCTCGATCGCGCGAAGAATCGTCGAAAAGTCATCATCCGTAAGAATCATATCTGCAGCCTCTTTGGCTACGTCTGTGCCGAGCTTGCCCATGGCAATTCCGATATCTGCCCTTTTCAGTGCCGGTGCATCGTTCACACCATCTCCGGTCATCGCCACCACATCGCCTCGGGCCTGTAACGCTCGCACAATCTTGTGCTTATGTTCAGGGGTGGTACGTGCAAAAATGCTTGTTGTCGCGATTGCATGTGATAGTTCGGCCGTGCTCATGTGATCAATCTGATCTCCTCGCAGAACCGCCCTACTTCCTGCAGTATCATTAACGACTATTCCAAGTTGACGCGCAATTGCTACTGCTGTGGTTTCCGCATCTCCTGTAATCATAATCACTCGGACTTGTCCAGACATCAGTCTGCCAATAGACTTGCGAACATCCTTGCGCGGGGGGTCGTTCATTCCTACCAGTCCTGCAAACACAAGCCCGTTGAACTGCTCGTCGTGGTTATCGGCTTKTTGGTCAATCTTTGGTGATGGGGTCGCACTGCGGCTGCTACCTATCCTCCTAAGATGCCTGCTTGGTTCTCTGACCGGTCCACTGGCGAAAGCTATAACTCGAAGTCCTTCTGATGCCATTTTCTCGGCGGCCTCCCGTGCAGCTTTGCGTCGCGGTTCGTCTAGTATCACCTCTCGGCCATCCTTAGTTAAGTATGTGTCGCATCTACCCAGTACTTGTTCTAAAGCACCCTTGATGTACGCCACCCTGCTATCTCCTCCACCAATCACAACTCCCATCCACTTCTTCTCCGAGCTGAAAGGCGTCTCTGCAACACGGTTGCTTATTTGGTCGCGAATATCGTCCTCCCCGTAGGCATCAAGAAGGTCAAGCACCGCAACGTCGGTCGGCTGTCCCACCCATCTACTTTGGCTATGGCTGGAAGAGCTATCCATGGTGGAAGATAGAACAGCAGCAGAAGCTGCACTAGCGGGCGAATCAGCATGTGCTCGTGAGAGTCGCGCATTGTTCGCGATATTTCCAATGCGCAACATCTTTCGCACAACAGGCTCGGGCGCCGATGAAACTGCCTCTCTAACCTCGACCGGCTCTGGACAGTCATGATGCCACAACTTCGTAACTGTCATGTGGCTCATAGTCAACGTGCCTGTTTTGTCGCTGCAAATAACATTCACTGAGCCCAGTGTCTCTACACTTGGCAGTCTCCTCATAATAGCGCCTCTATTGGCCATACGCAAAACTCCTAGAGCAAGTGTCACAGTGACAATGATGGGAAGACCTTCCGGAATAGCTGCAACGGCTAGCGATACTCCAATGGTGAACATTTCCAAAATTTTTCGCCCTTGAATGAGCCCAATAATCACAATTAATCCAATAACACCAAAAGAAACGTAGCTCAACTCTTGTCCTAGTCGATCCATCGACAGTTGAAGCGGCGTTCTGGGGCTTTCGATTTCTTGTAATGATGCCGAAATTCTTCCAAATTCTGTGTTGGCACCGGTAGCAATCACAATACCTTGACCATATCCGGATCGTACCAAAGTACCCATAAAAGCAATGTTGTGTTGTTCGCTCAGCCGAACATGTCGTTCACCAAGGCCTGACTGAGGCAGTTGGCCGAATGGAGAGTTGGAGTCTTCGTTTTTGGTCGGAATGGCGGTATCTCGTAATACTTCTGCATATTTGTGAACTGGTTCGTTCTCTCCTGTCAAATTAGACTCGTCAATAGACAAGTCAGTAGCTGACGTGATACGGATGTCGGCAGCAATGCGGTCGCCTGTTGTGAAAAGAACCAGATCACCAGGAACGAGTTTCCCCGCCAATATCGTACTGGAAGCCTTGAGAGCATTCGTAATCGGAGCCGGAGCATCTGCATGTGTCATTTGCGCATCTGCATCAATTGCGCCGTTTCGTGAGCCTCCATGTTCCATGGCGCCATTCGCAGTAACATCTCGGATGAGATGCGCATGATGAGGAACAAGTTGGTTCAATGCCTCCAATGACTTTTCGGAACGATATTCCTGTACAAATCCAACACTGACCACGATGGTGACTGCGAGTGTGATACTGACCGCATCGTCGAAATTTCCCATAAAGAACGATATTCCGGCAGACGCAAGCAGGAGCAAAATCAAAGTTTCTTTGAACTGTTTAAGAAATCGAAGCCACAAAGGCTCGGGGTCTTCGCGAGGCAGTTCGTTGGGTCCATCTCGATGCAAGCGGATCTCAGCCTCGGCCGGAGATAAGCCGTGGGTTAGTGAGGTGTTTAGGCTATCGGCGACCTGTTGAGGATGTAGGAAGGCGTAGGATGAAGTGGTAGACTAGGTTCAAGCAATTAGACTACATATATTGGGTCGGAAGGTAAGTGGGAGATAACTCACGGAAGACTCCTGTGTCTTCGTTTCTGGAAGGTAAGGGGACTGAGACGGGGAGTCGTGCACATTATACAACGGCAGTGAAGGACTCGAGGAGGGCGACATTTATTCACACGCTCTAGGAGACACCGGAGCTTTTAAATCAAATTGGATGCTAAATCATGCCGATAAGAGGTTCGTATAAGGAATATGATCGACTAAGATGGCCACCGTAAGACAACAACTGAAAAATGCAAGCTGGCGTCAAGAGCTCGGAATCTATACCAACGCAACGACAAGCTCAACGAAGTGAAAGTGACAACACCGGAGGAGCGACTCTCGTAAACACATATACTGAAAAAAGGAGACGGAAGGCGGTTAGATTGTTGATTCCATCAGACAGAAGGAGCCAAGTTGCATAGAAGGAAGGAAGCCGCGAATTAGCGTGTACACGCATGCAGAAGATGAGTACAGTTTGTGATTGGCTGTATGGTGCGGCCAAAAGACAGGTTACATGATTTGTGAAGCCTGAAACACCAGGCAGCAGAGCCTGTCATACTAGCCAATTATAGATTAGTGCTCTCCGTAGTAGTGCCTTTATTTCAGCCAATGATATACGCCGTTGCTAGGACACTCACGTGATCCCAGCCACACATTCCCATGCCAATGTTGAATGTGGTGAGTGACGGAACGGAAGAGGCTGGGCAGTTCCTTCTGTCAACGCGACCCGGCCCCTCGCACCTTCCCTTCCTGTTTTGCTTCTTCCCTTTCCATCCCAAATTTCATCCCCACCCGTTGCTCTCGCTCTTTTATTCTCGCCCTCGTTGACTAACACTCTGTACCTGTTGACTACTGTACTTGTTTTTGGAATATCCGTCCATCGCGTGCGTGTTGAGAGCCATCGTTGGCCGCTTACGTGGTCTGTCGCGAAATCAGGTGGTGGTGTTTGGATAGGCGCGTCATTGGTTCGCCAGTTGCATTCAACCACCAGCACCCAGTCCCTATATCGAAGGGCAGGCTTTATATCTTCAAACAACCTAGCCGTACGCCTATACAGACGCGATGTTCTATTCAGAGACGCTTCTCTCAAAGACCGGGCCCTTGGCTCGCGTCTGGCTTTCCGCCAACTTGGAGCGCAAACTTACCAAGTCACACATTCTACAGTCAAATATCGAAAGCAGTGTCAATGCTATTGTTGATCAAGGTCAAGTACCGATGGCGCTACGTCTGAGCGGTCAGCTTTTACTTGGTGTTGTCCGAATTTACAGCCGCAAAGCGCGTTATTTATTGGATGACTGCAACGAAGCTTTAATGAAGATCAAGATGGTATTATCCTCCCTCTGACATACCTACAGGAAATATCTAACAGTGTCCAGGCATTCCGACTTACCAACAACAATGACCTGCCCGCCAATGTGGCTTTACCACCCGGCGGTATCACTCTTCCCGATGTCCTTACAGAATCCGATTTGTTCATGAACCTGGATACTTCTTCTCTACTATTGCCCTCTATCAACTTGGAGTCCGACAGCAAACGCCCTGGTACCATCAACTTTGGCAGCCAGTTGCTTCCAGATACACAGCGTCTTGCATCCCAAGAACCAGCCCGTTTGGAAGACCACACTCTGCTCGATCTCGACCTTGGCGAGGACGACGCCCCTCTCGATCACGACATCAGCATTGAAGTTGGTCGAGATGCCCCCCTTATGCGACCAGTTGAGGAGGATTTATTCAGTGAAGAAGGAAAACTCAACGACGTCGACTTGAATCTTGACCTTGGCGAGGACGATGCTCCATTGGGAGATATGGACATTGGAGAAGATAGCCGCGACAATGTTGACCAATTCCTGATGCCTGATGACCCTATGGATTTGGGTGAAGGTGAATTCGACGTTCCAGTTGCAGCCGAGGCCGAAGGACGATCACCCCAGCCATCAGTTGACCGGTTCGCATCTCCACAAATCGATGCTGTGGCCGATGAAGACGAAGCCGCTGCGGAGGAACTTGATGCTGCTCAGGAAACACAGCGTGCCAAGCGACGAAAGATTATTGGCCATGACGTGGACACCCAGTTGAGCTCGGCAGCCATCAAGAAGCATCAAGAAGACCATGACGATATTCTGAAGCCCGTTTCGTTCTTGCCTCGTGATCCAGTACTACTCACGCTCATGCAGATGCAGAAGAATGGCGACTTTGTGTCTAGTGTTCTCGGACAGGACCGTGGCCGTGGTTGGGCACCTGAACTCCGTGACATGCTTTCCTTTGAAACTGTCCGGAAAGCTGGTGAACTCAAGCGCAAGCGCGATAGTGGTGTGTCGGACATGGAAATCGATGAGGCTAATGTACCCGCTTTGGATCTCGGAGAAGATGAATCCGCTATCAACCTCGACGAAGGTATCGGTCTCGATACCACTCTTCAACAGGATCAGATCGAATTTGGCGTCGATAACGAGGACCGAAATGGTAGTGAAGACGAAGGATTACTTCCCGATGACTTTGACGACACCATCCACCCAACCGAAACTGGCCCAGTATCTCTAGGTACTCAACATGCGGTTCATCTCCTTCGTGAACGCTTTGGAGGATCTCAGGACGCAGAGCAAGCCACACCACAGAAGAAGGGTGTCTTGTTCCAGAGCTTGTGCCCAGAAAAGACCACGACGAAAGCTGATGCGACCAAGATGTTCTTTGAGACGCTTGTCCTTGCGACAAAGGACGCCATCAAAGTCGAGCAAAGCCACAACAATATCGGCGGTCCTCTCCGTATCAAGTCCAAGCGTGGACTTTGGGGTTCATGGGCAGAGACCGAGGCCGGTGGCGAGATTGCCGCTCAGCAGGAAATCCAGGCCGCTGCCTGATTGTCTGGTATTAAGATAAAAAAGTAACAACGGAACGGATGATACCGATGGCTGGTGTATGAGGCGTTACAATGGGTCTTGGTTATAAAAGGTTGATTTCTGAAGCGTGCCCGCGTTGTGTGTACAGATCTGGCTTTAGATCTTGGAATTGTTTGGCATTGCTTGAAAATCCTGGGTCGGCTTATTCCGGCGTATATATTGATGATGGGTGTTTTGCTACTGGTTCACTTCTTTGGACATTGATTAAGTATTTGCTTGACAGTTTGACCGTCTGCTTGGATGGGGGTTTTTTGCTTGACCTGGGCTACCACGATCAGTGAGTATGCCGTTGTTGAATTAGTTGTTGAGTACCAACTGTATGTTAGCTAGTAGATTTTAATGAATTCATTTCACAGCCACATCACAGCCTCGCATGATACTACTATCCCTTTAATGCAAATATAATAGAAGATGCAAGATGATCTGATTGTACAGACAAAACCCCCTACGGATTCCTTGACATGTTTCAGCCTCCCGTTCACTGGACTCTCTACACCTGTCAACACACGTACCCTTCGTACACTCGAGCAATACCTGTCTCTGTCTAACACCTGCGACGCTGTCCCGAAGGGCTGTGTGTCTCACCATTGCGCTGCAGCCAATCAACTCACATACACATTTCTCGCAGAATATACAATACACCAAAATGGGTAATCGCTTTCTCTGACAAGACGCGCCACTAAATAGGGATTTGCATCTGCTCTCATTTGGGCCTGGAGAGGGTTACGCAATGAGTCTAGAATGCGAAACTGTCCCAGTCGTGGATTTGTATTGCTTGCGAGTTGTCAATACACGATCCTGCAGAATCTTTATTTAGGTATATATCGTTAACTGATCCTCCAGTCTGAATTTCTTCGATTGACTTTAATCAGTTTTCGATTTGCTTTGATGTCAAAAATTGCGACGCTATAAACGACCATTACGATATAGATTTGATTTATTTTCTTACTAGACGACTGCAAGAATCACGACACTCTCTTTCGACTGCTGGAAAGTCACTTTTTGGCAACGTGGACAACAACGATTGTCAAACCAACATCCCATAAAGATTCGTAAAGAAGGATCCCAAAGCGAGCAGGTCCTCGCCACTCAAACTCACATCTATATAATCATGGGCGTAAACGGCACGATATCCCGCCTTCGCTTCGGCTGGATGAACATTCGCGAACGCCTGTCCAGAGACGCAACGCATACCTCGCATACACCCTGGCTGTTCATCAAGACCATTGCACGTGGCATCACGGCCGTGCTTGCGCTGATATCATTATCGTTCTTTGCAGCTGCGATACCGTTGTGGAATCGCGATTTGGAGCATATCCATGGTCCGAATAAGGGGGATTGGCAGGATGGGGTTCCTATTGGGCCGGTAAGTTGTTTTCTCCTTTCATGCAGATAGAAAAGTAAATATTGATAATGATAGTTGGCGGTGGCATTCTTATACAACGCCTTCACAAGCATATACGCCATGCGAACCGCCAAACGAGTCCCCTACATGCTGGAGCTGACGATTGACTTTCTGATCTGGGCCACACTCGTCCCCGCACTGGTATTCGCGACCTGGGGCGGCGTCTTCAACGTCTGGCAGACAGCCACGACAACTATGGATCCGAATTCGTCGGGGATGGTAGTGATGTGCGATATGTCCACGAACTTTTGGAGTAGAGAGTGTTTCCCGGATTTGTATCCGATGGGGTTGATTGAGATTGCTGGTATTGGGTTTGGGGTTCCTGTTTGGTGAGTCTTTCCTGCCAAAGAGTCGAGTGAGCGAGTGAGTGCTAATGGAATAGGATCTTTCACGTCTTCCTCTTCGTGCATGGCATAGTCGAGCGATGTACAAGGGCTCAGCGAACAAAGTCCCGGGCCTCGGAAATGATCAAGAATCTCGAGGCTGATGGGAATAATGTCGGAGGGGGGAGACCTGGCATGTATCCGGGGTCGTATTTCTATACTTAGATTGTACTTTGATAGAGTATTGAACCTTTTCTTTCATGCCCAATTGATGTACTATTAGACCTTGCTCTTAGCGACCCGCAAGCTCCGCGCGGGCCGCTCCTTCGGCTTGCGTCGGGTGTAGAACGATGCGTACTATGTACTCGATGCCATTTGCAAAAGATCACTTAGTGCTAAGGTTTGTCATCATACGGTTGAATTGGTCGGATTGACCCTTGCTTGCTATCGGAGTTAAACGTGGCGGATAAACGCTTATGCATACTATGTTTGCTTTTTCTCTATATCCATGATCCCCTCCTGCGATGTCGGATTTACGATGGCAGTGACATGACGCCGCTAATTCCGTAGATATACTCTTCGCAGTAGTGCCATATAGACAATATACGATGATCGGTTAAGACGGCCTCGACTCGTATCCAACAAGGACGGAGCAAAGGGGACTATCTCCGCCAGATCCACTTGTCGCCGCTCGACAAATTTTGGCCTGAAAATCAGTTTATTCTGAGCTATCCAATTCATACCTGGACCTCTGGAGACAGTCTCGAGTGATAAATCCAATTTCTCTGGGTCGGCTTCCCTGGATCCTTCCCGATTATTTTCTTTACTTCCTTCCCCGCAACGCCCGACTGGCTTTGCGACTGATGAGGAGGACCATCGTCATTGCTCAATTTGTCAGCTCATCGAATTGATCTTTGGAAGTCGATGATAAATACGAGCCTGGTATAAATAGGAGCTCGACCGTATGACTTTCTACTAGCTCGTTGCAAGATTGAATTGACCTTGACGTTGCGCGGTGCAAAGTCTATCGGTATCGCCACTTCACCATGGAGGAAGACAAACACGAAACCGACCGCCATTCCCTGTCGTCGACATCGTCGCGATCCATCGGAGAGCGAGATGGGACTACCTTTTCACCCATTGCAGCTCCAACAGCTCAGCAACACGCCCTGAACACGATCGAACTGCACAAGACTACCTCGAGAGCGTCGCGAGCGTCGCGGGCTTCCAATATTAATCGGACATTGTCGCATACAGATGGATATAGTATCAGCGTTCGAGGGGAAGAGGGGGACGAAGAGGAAGAAGCACTTGAACAAAGGAGGGAGGAAGGTGTACCTGCACCGGATGCGTCTGCTACCGAGCTGGTGGTGAAATGGGATGAGAATGATCCCGAGAACCCGAGGAATATGAGCTATGCTAGGAAATGGGTTATTGCCATTGTTGTTTGCCTAGGCTCGGTCTGCGTGTAAGTTGACCTTAATCAGCATGAAGTCATTGACTGACGATTGATAGGACATGCACATCCTCGGTGTACACCATGATCTACGCCCAAGTTACCGAAGAATTTCACTGCTCAAAAGAAGTCGCAACACTTGGTTTGACGACATTCATTTTCGGTCTCGGTGTCGGTCCAATGTTCCTCGCTCCGTTGTCAGAATTCTATGGTCGACGAATCATTTATGTCACCTCCTTCACGTTCTATGTCATCTGGATGATTCCATGCGCCGTTGCACAAAACATTGAGACGCTGATTGTTGTGCGCTTTTTCGGTGGATTGTCTGGAGCGGCCTTCTTGAGCGTGGCAGGAGGCACGGTAGGCGATTTATTCAATCGCAATGAGCTCGCTGCTCCGATGATGGCGTTTTCTGCGGCGCCGTTTCTGGGTCCTCAGATTGGTCCTTTGTATGTTTGAGTCTCCAAGATGCATAGCACGAGGTTCTAACTGTCGCAGGGTTGGAGGATTCATCAACCAGTTTTCTACCTGGTAAGACAGACATAGAGAAAAATATTGAAGCAAGAGGCTGACGACCGTAGGCGATGGACGTTTTACACCTTTCTCATCTGGGCTGGAGTTCAGTTGGTGGCACTGTTTTTCCTCGTTCCAGAGACCTACCATCCAGTGTAAGCATACATCCTCCACTTATTGACGGCATGCTGATCATAGTAGGTTGTTGAAACGCAAAGCTATCCGACTCCGCAACGAGACTGGTGACCAGAGATATATCGCTCCTATTGAGAAAATGGACAGAAGCGTCGCACAAACTGTTATTCGCTCTTGCTACCGGCCCTTTCAACTACTTACCTTGGAACCGATGGTACTGTGTTTGTGCTTGTATTCGGCAGTTCTTTTGGGTATATTGTACCTTTTCTTCGGTGCCTTCAACCTTGTCTTTACCGAAGTGTACGGTTTCAAATTATGGCAGGKTGGATGCAGCTTTTTGGGTATCTCGGTTGGTATGATGGTGGCAGTTGGATCTGATCCGCTCTGGCGCAAGAACTACCAACGTCTAGAGCGCAACCACATGGCTGCTGTAGGTGAGAAGGGAGAGGCAATGCCCGAATGGCGTCTTCCTCCTGCCATTGCAGGCGCTCCCCCGGTCACCATTGGTATTTTCATCTTTGCATGGACGGCGTATTCGCATGTGCACTGGATTGCGCCTATTATCGGAACGGCAGTGTTTGGAATGGGGTGAGTCTGACGCTTTAAGAATCAATGATAGCAAGCTAATTATTTTCAGTGTCATCCTCGTGTATTCCGGGATCTTCACATTCCTGGTTGACGCCTACCCGGAATTCGCGGCCAGTGCACTGGCAGCCAACAGCTTCGCTCGATCGAGTTTTGCCGGTGTTTTCCCTCTATTTGGGACATACAGTAAGTTATATCGTCGTTGGGATTAAGTTTTCATCCTGTGTTACCTGCAGCATCCCACATTTTCGGAGTCGGAGAAAAAGTTCGGAGTAACTGGCTGACGATCAATGTAGTGTACAACCGCCTCGGAATCCATTGGGCGTCGAGTTTGTTGGGATTTTTGACGTTGTTGATGCTTCCATTGCCGTGAGTTTTTCTCTCTCCCTAATTGCTGTGTTTAACTAAACTGTGGTAGATATCTATTCTTTACATACGGCAAGGAATTGCGCAAGAAGAGCAAATTCGCGACGTCTCGTGTTTGATGACTCTAATCATTGTGGATCTCCGGATTAAAATATTGTATATCTATAATCTTGCATAATTTTCCGATTACCAGCACAACAAATAGAAAAGATACCTAATAGACTACTCAGCTATCCTATCCATCTAAACACCATCTATTCGTACCGCCCAACATGAAGTCCAAAGAATCTAAAGGACAGCACCCCCAAAACTCCTCAACCATTCCCTCTCCTTCTTCACCTCTTCACCACCAGCCTGACTCTGACTCTCAGCCAAATACCCCACATACCCATCTCTCATAAGACTATTCCTCGCAACCTCGCAATCAATCCGAATGTCTTCTACGAGCGCTTCGCGCGAGACGTAGTCGAACTCAGGGCGAATATACCCCAGAATCAGAAGATTGAGATGCGTGGAGTAGAAGTCGGGCAGTTTGAAGAATTGTGTTTCTGTGTTTGTTGTTTCTGTTGTTGGGCTGGGGGAGGTGAGCGGGGGCATTATGTGGATTTCCTTAATCAGTCAGTATGAAGCATGAAGCGGATGGGGAGGGGGAACGGACGATGGATTTGACCTCATTCTTGTAGAATGGATTGTAGCCTATACTCAGCACAGCCGGGAGAATCGTGATTTCTTGTTTGTTACCATCTGCCGAGGCCGCCGCCGAGGTAGATGATGATGGTTCATCCTTGTTGAATACGAATCGCGCTGGATCCAGCGCTACGACACCGTAGTAGACCCCCGTCTGCAGGGAGGGATAGGCCGCGAGACCATCCGAGGGGATGTTGGCGGTTGGGATGCCGAGCTTTGTTCGTCAGAATCATGTAACTTATCTCATATGTACGAGAGACGGGACTGACTTCTTTACTTCCGCGTCCGAACCCTTTGATGACCGGGCCTGACAGTCGGATAGGATAAGGTGCTTCGGGACCTGCGTCGGGGCCTGCGACGGGGTCTCGAGGGCCGTTTGGACGCATTGCAGCAAAGTGAGTGATGGTTTCTCTTTTGATATGTAGTTGATACAATCTGGAAAGAGATGTATGTATGACAAATGCGGCTTTGTTGTCGCAAGACAGACTATCAGCACAGCAATGGTTTATAAATCTAGTGATCGTTAGTATGTTACTTTGTAATTTTGATATAGGTAGATGTTCATAATGGGCTTATACTTACCTCTTGAAAAGTGAGTAAAAAGCAATTGATAGAGATTAATCGCGGGGCGAATGCGGAACATTCTATCATCGCGGAGTGGATCTAAGCTTTTCTGAGCCTTTCTGTGGAACCCTACCCTAAGCATACTGTAAGCATACTCTACAACTACCTAAGGTACCATCTACAAATTTGTTAAATAACGAGGAAAATCTGCTCCATAGCCATAATATACTATCAACATATGCACAACACGAAAAAGATCGTACACCTCCGCTCTAGCCTTGTATCCATGCCGTCCGTCCGTGTTCGCACTTGGTTTGGTTATATGTACAGGGGACACCGAAAGCGATATACAAGAAGTAAAAACCGGAACTGAAGAGAAAGAAAAAAGACAAAAGAGTATGTACGTGTTTGAAGACTTTTTGGATCCGACGCAACGCCTTATCTGACTTGACACCGTACACCTGCCGAAATGATAATCCAAATAACAAGAAAAGGGTATAGACACTCTGTAAGTCGTTTTCTCTCGTGGTCGAGTCGATCAAATATGCGGTAAAAACTGTCTCGTTAGTAAATGTACCACAAAATTCGAAGAGAGAAGGGGGCTTACATTCATAACAATCAACATGGGTATATCGAAAACATCCCTCTTCACCGTCCAACAATAACTACACTCCACGCGCCCATCCTTGAATCCTAACCGATTCATCCCGGCCTCCCCGACGATGCCCCCCTTACCGACGACGTGATGCTGCATGCCCGAGTTCCAGCGCCCATCATCCGATTTCACGAGATCCATGTCTTCTTTCGTCTTGTATTTGAGTAATTTGCATGTATTCATGACGCTACCTCTGGAATCACCAAAGGCGAGTCGAGCAAAATCTTCGTAAAATTCAATTACACTGTCATCGTCCAACAGTTCGGCGAGGAAGACGGCGGCTGTATTGCTGGGTGAAGTTTCCTGGTTGCGCATTCGTCCTCCTGCGCCACCGCGTATCGAAGATGCGGTTGAATCGGATTGGGATGAGGGGTTGCTGCCGCCGCCTGTGTTGACGTTGAGATTCGGCTCTTTGCCGAGCAGAACTTCCTTCTTCCATCCAGTCAAAATACTGAATTCCTTCCCAACTGCGGCTACCTCGCCCGTTCGACGACATACAATGGTCGGCGTGCCGCACGCATTGATGAAATCTTCGTACTCCCATAACGTGCGCTGAAAGCACTTCTCCATGAAAATCAAGTCATCCTGATTCAAGGTCTTGGTTGTAGCGATAAAAGATGGTCGAATAGACGCCAATGCCTTGGCGATGCGCACTGTTTTTGGTGGCGAGAACCGTCTTTTGATAAAAGCAATCAGTTTATGGAATCCACCAGTGTACGAATATGGCTCCTTGACACTTTCGTAAATTGCGGACGGTTCGCGATGGCGTCGTTTGTTCGAGTTGGCATTATACAGAGTTTGCTGGCGCAGATGCGGGGTTGATAGTACAGTTTTGGTCTTCATAGGCGAGTCGTCAAATTGTGACGGCGCAATTGTTGTCGCATGAGGACTCGTTGTCGACGATGGACTGGCGAATGTATTAGACCCAATAGCATATGCATGAGGCGCATCCTGTTGCAATAAATGCATTCCTCCGCCTTGACCGTATAATCCACCGCCAACGCTCATCCGAGGATTCGTATTCTGACCCGTAGACCAATCGTTGAGCACAGGGTCTCCAAACATGAATGACTGCTGGCTGGGACTTTCAGTAGTAAACGCTCCTGTAGGGTTACCAAATTGCTGAGAGTTACTTCGTTGGCCAATTGAGCCTCCACGCTGGTTGCCGTTGTCGCTGGGAGGGGTGTCTCCAGCACCAGTGGCCATATGCCCTAACATGCCGAATTCCAATGCACCATATCGATTGCCAAAATTCATGCTGGCAAGATCAAAGTTGAACAAGGCTGGATCACTGGGATCGAAAAAGGCGCCGAATGAATTCTGTCCGGCTCCAGACGTCATATCGTTGGTGGGTTGCGTGAGACTGGGTATAGCCGAGGAAGCGGATATGCTAAATGTAGGCGAGGCGGGTGTTGCAGTAAACGGCCCTGGATTTAGTGCGCTCTCTGGCAATACCGTATTTGCTGCGCTGTTTGTATCAAACGTGCCGTTGCTGTTGTATGAAGGCGTTGACGAGGTGTAGATCGTGTTTGATTTCTGCGGCTGCTGTTGCACGTTGTTGCTCCCATTTTGTGTGAAATCAGTTGGCGATACTTTGGGCAGGCCGTTTGCTTGATTGTAAAAATTGCCTTGAGCACCAGGCACGAGAGCGCCGTCTGGAGCATCGTGGAGGTACTTTGCCTTCTTCCGTACACCGTCGTGACATGCATCCTGCAAGCCACGCTTGATACATCGTTGACAAGGTCGTTCGTCGCCTAAAGAATTAGCATAGAACTGGTCAAGCACTAGGACAGAAAAACAAACCGCAAGTTAAATGCGCCCGTTGACAAGCAAAACACGCCCGGCGCGCTTTCTTTCTTCGTGGTCGCGAGGGGTCTTTTGAGTTTGACGTTGTTTTCGAAGTGCCACCTTCTTTCTTGACTACATCGCCGGATTCGTGCTCACTATGATCTGTGGCGGAGGGCAAATCGTCTTTATCGGTGTCCATCATACTGAAACTGCAGGCATTAACCGTCACGCAGTATTGTTACTGGCTGTTCTTTCGTATTTTCCAAGTCTGGTCCAACCTATCGAGGGCGTCGTGAAAAACCAGGGCTATTATCGAACCAGCGCACCAGGTTCTTAGCCCTCGGTATCTCAGTCATCAAACGGGGATGACGAGTGTCGCGCGCCGGCAATTGTTCCTTGATGCGACGAGCGGGCGAAAAGCACGGCAGAAAAGACGGGTTTGTTGTTCACTTGACGCGGTACGCGGGGGTTTCGTTCATTGAATTGCCGTGAATCGTCGGAGGTTGGCAGGTTCAATGGGCTTTCGGTGGACTTTGCGACGAGGGCCGACGGAGTCAGAGAATTCAAAGTTGGAAGAGTGGAGAATGGTCTGTGTTGGAATGCTAGGAGTTGCGCAACGAGGCCGAGAGACGAGGAAAGAATGGCAGCACAGGGTGGTGTGCGAGAAGATGCACGGGGCAGAGCAAAAGAGACGCAAACTCTGTCGCTCGTCTTGTCTCGTGCGAAGTCAGTCGGGTTGGACTTTGGAGAAAGGAAGAGAGAGAGTCGCTGCGGGGAGCGCAGCCAATGGTCGGCTATATGAGAAATTAGTCATGCGCTTACGGAGAGAGTCCCGAGTGTGTTTCTTTGCTTTGCTTGTGTTCCTGTTTCCTGTCTACGCATTTCATTTGTTTCTTGTTCTGTTCTGTTTCTGATTCACTCATTTCTTTTCTTTCTTCTCCAACTCGTTACGGCGCCTCGTGGCTGCCACGGGCGAAATCGAGCACAAAGAAACGTTTCTTGACAGGCTCAGCCAATGGTAGTTTAGTACGAAGACAAGTTTTAGCGTGACGAACAGGCGCAATTCCAATTGAAAATTAGAAAATGCCTCATTCCTTTGAGCCGGTGAACAGTACGTAGTAGGAAAACCTGAGAAGTAACCCTGCATGGGACAAAGCGTGCCTGCATATTCTACTACGTATACTATGTACTGCGATGTCTTGCCATTACACTCTTTTGCGCTCCTTTGGCTGCGTAATACGGTAACATACGTAAAGCCGCGTATACCACACGAATTCCCCGCCGCTGATTGGCCTGCGACTCAGCGACCAATGCGGAAATCCCTCACGCGGCTTTCCTTTCTTTTTCCTGGAACTGTTGACGGACTTCATATATCAGTTCACTCCAGAACCAGGATTTGGCTTTTGGCTTTTTTGTTGGTACAACTGTCCTTGCAATTGGCTCGTGGCTCTTTTTGACCGTTGACTTTTTTCGGTTATAGCGGGGAATCGCTTTCATCGCACTGTTGACTTCGACCCTCAACGTTCATTTTGGATAAAAACCATCACAACATGTACGAGAGATGCAAACAATCATGATCATCTACATATCAACGCAGTACTAGCCGAGGCTCAACGTCCCAATGTAACTGTGACACGCTGCGTCTCAAGTCGAGAGGCCAGATCTGACGTCCGTGTGTCTCTCGAGTCTATCCCATCAGATAAATCCTGGCTCGGGACTCGGGATGGCCCTACGTAGATTGATCTAGGGACAGATCACTACGCACGTAACTCCTCTACCGGCGTAGATTCGCATTAGTGGTGTCACTGGTGTGGGTGGTGGCACCCGTCAAGCCTCGGATCATGATACACCTCTTCCGGGTAGCAAAAATCTGGGGTTAAGTGCCGGTCCGGGGTTGGGTGGTACTCACGCCACTTGCTGGCTTCAGGGACTTCTATATCCGTAGAATTGTTGGGTTGATGTCATTGATCAATCCGGAATAGTGTTAATGAACTATGTATAGGTCTGTTGAGGCTACCTAGGTTCCCGTTCATCATGGTAGATACAAACGAATACATTGGTTGATGCCACCCACTACATACATAGGAAGTACTCCGTAACCTAATCAAAAATGAATCACGAATTTAAACTAGTAAACCAGATACTTTTCACATTCATGTAATTCTACTATGTTTGACTGACTTCGTTCCGAATCCACCCGATACTGCTTGACTTCACTACCGCAGCTAGCCCTAATACCGACCCAATGACCGTCCACTTGGCTACTCGACAGGCAGGTCTGTGAGTCTTCACAGACCGGCCCAGGTAGGCAAGTAAACTAACAGGATTTCTTGCATACATAGTACCTTACACTTAGTCTTAGGGAGATAAGAGTGAAAAAGACACTCGGATTACTTGATTATAGTAGCTCTAATTAGGTCGATACTTCAATGATTGAAGCTAAGCTCCCTTATCCGAGGACTCACTCCACCCTTGCTCTGTAACGTGCGTAGACTAGCCTTTTGAGCAAGTGGGATGACATTTTCGATATGCTTTCTTGCATTGTGGTTGCTGGCAAGGCCTGCGACAACTACTCCTAGCAATGTGTCTCCCGCCCCGTTGACGCTTACCACGTCTTGATCGGCGAGGATAGTCTCGGGAGGAAATAGTCGCATATAAACGCCTCCGATCATTTCATTGCCACCGCTTGCTGCAGAGGCACATCGAGAAATTATATATGGAGCACAGTCAGGCGAAGTCAGACGCGCATCTCCGCGAGGTAGAAGTTGAGTGAGGAGCACCCCCTGTGATCCCAATTTGATGAGGAGGGAAGGAATAAACGGGAGTAATTGAATGCTCTGTTGTGGAATGCCAGCGTCGACTAATGACGGACACGTAACCGACACGAGCAAGTCTCGAGATCCCGCGCTAGAGAGGTTGAGCTCGTTGATGATAGTCCACCATTCTGGTGAGTCAAACAATCCCTTGTCACGAGCTGCGGAGTACATGGATATAAGTTCAAGTTCGTTGGGCGCGGCAAGGTCAAGTTTTGCGCGAGGAACGGTATCTGAAGGTCCGATGATACCAGATGTTTTCCCCTCTGTTAGTTGTGTGAATAGTCTCGTAGCCTTCGCGGTAGACACAGGCTCGAAGGCGATACGAGCCCCAACCTTTTGGCCCAGTTCAATCCATTTAGCCATCACGGCAGGGGTCCAATTTCCATCCACAACAAGCCAATTTGGTCGTGCCTGTGCAACCACAGAGCCCCAGAAGCCTTCCATACCAAGTTCACTTTCTGGGAGCTCCATGATGGCCATATCCGCCATGGCTACGAAAAGGTCTTTCCTAGCATCGTTGATGGCAACGTATTGAGCTGTCCTCACACCTAGAGAAGGAGACAAGACCTGGATACCTGTAGCTCCCAAACCCTCATGCTGAACAGCGGCGAGAGCTGCTTTGCCGCTGAGATCATCTGCAACCACACTGCAGAAAAGAGTTTTGCTTCCAATATAGTTCGCTGCAACGGCGACATTGTAGCCTACACCCCCCAGGCTTTGCTCAATCGTAGCCGGATTTGAAGTCTGCACGGACGGACTGACTGCAGCCTTTTGACTACTCAAAGGAGTAAAATCACAGGATAAATCTGTAGCAAGTGACCCAGCGACTAGCAAGTCTACTTTTTTCACGCTGCCAAGAGTTGATGTTGGCTCGTTCACGGTCTCTACGTTTCCTGTATCATGCGTCGGCGCTGTGACTGACGAGCTAAGGGACGGCGCTGGAGCAGGACTCACTGGTATCGATCTATTGACGTAGGAATACCACCAATTAGCATAGTCTTTGGTGATGTCTTCCGAATAGCTCACCGATTTTCTGGCTTCCTGTGAGTTTCTTCTAATTTCTTCAACTCGACAGCCACCTTTGTTGCACGCTGCACATTAGATTCGATAAGTGCGCGATTTGCAGGAATACTGCTTCCGCCAGTAAGCTCTTTGATTTTTGAGAGAATAAAGGGCGTGTTGTCGCTTCCATGGAACCCTTCTTTTGCGGCCGCTTTGACTGCTTCGTCAATCACTCTATCCATTTCAGCTTTGGGAATAGAGTACTCTTCAGGAACGGGATTGGCAAAATGTATTCCCGACGTCAAGCCCAGCTGATTCTGGGCATCTATTAAATTAGTGACGTCTACTTCTTTTCTAACGAGATGACTTACAGATCATGGCCGCCGCATCGTGTTCATTCTGAATGACCTTTGGACTTGGTATACCGCTATCACGAGTCCAGAATGCCGGGTAATCAACATGACCCTTTCGGCTGTCTGCAAATGTGCCAACAAGGACACCTTCAGTTTCGAGATACTCCAAAGTTTTGGGAATGTCCAAGAAGCTCTTGCAACCTGAGCTGACCACGGCAACAGGAGTTCTTCCTAGTTCTGTTAAGTCGGCTATTTCCCATTAGTGCCGCGCTCCGTGACTCATTTCTAGTAGCTCATACCTGATATATCCATCGACACTTCTGCTCCTCGATGAACACCACCTACTTATGTTAGCTAGCATTATTGTCATAGTCAAGGTATGTTACCTAAACCACCAGTACCGAAAACCTTGATACCAGCTAGGTGCGCTAGAATCATGGTCCCCGAAACGGTAGTGCCGCCATGAATACGCTTGCCCGCAAAACCCTTAAGGTTGTTAGCAATTTTCAATCACACCCCCCTAAAAAAACTCACTAGACCATAAATGTAGCCAAGGTCGCGTCGTGAGACTTTGAGTGCACTTTTCGACTGAGCACTAGCTGCCACCTCAATGATCTCTTCGGCATCTAAMCCCACGSGAGCCACACCATTGAACACTGCAATGGTCGCGGGAACACCGCCATTTCTCCGCACGACTGATTCAAGTAGCGACGCAAGTGCTACATTATCCGGATATGGGAAGCCTAGACTATAATTAGCGGCCGGTATATGCATTGATGTAGATTGGGTCATGATTACCGTGTGTATATATCGTCGACTCAAGTGCAACCACCGGCCTGCCGGTGGCTATAGCATCTTTGACTTCTTCCGATACTTGAAAGAATTTACTGTTGGCGAAGTCGGAAGCTTTGTTGGAGATACGCCTGTAGGAAAGAAGTCGTGTAGGTAGCGACCAGCTGCGAAGCCGTACAGCAGGGGCGATTGCCATGGTAGTCACTGCAAACAATTACAGCATATTCTTGGCCAACACTGATGATGTGAGAAAGCAATAATGCGTCTGTTAAGATGATAAGGAACGGTCCCCGCAGCACAAGACGATGCGGAGTGCACCAAGTGGCCGAAGCGGTCGCCGTACACTGCCGCGGAGGGCCACCTAAGCTCTTTCCCCATCTGAACACTTGCTACAACAGCTTCACCCAAACTCCTTTCTCTCGATTCAATTGCATCTCCTCTTGTCTCACAGTGTAGATACCAAGGCACATCATCGATACATACACACTTATAACTGACCCATTGGGGTCACTCTTTTCAAAATGAGATTCCTCACTATTGCCGCTGGCCTGCTATCGACAAGTTGCAGTATAGTAGCTTGCGCGGCCCAGTCCAGCAACAGCAATGCACAAACAATCCTCTCCAAAGACTTCAAACCGCCGCAGGTTTTCAAGAATACGAACTTAGTGCGAAACACCAATTTGGAGAAAGGATACGTCCGTGAAACGATCAATGTGGTGGTGGAGAATACAGACAAGAAGCCGCAGAGCGAGTACTATGTGCCCTTTCCAGCTGACGTGTTCAGCCACATTGGAGGATTTGAAGTGCGCAATAAGAAGTCTCCTGAGAAAGGAAGCTTTGCAGTGATAGCTGTAGGGATTGATGGTGACAGGTTCGTGTGTTGGCAGTGTTGCCACTACAATTGAATCATGCTGACTGACGCATCTAGCAGCTCTCAGTTCTACAAAATCCAATTCCCTGAGCCCCTTTCGCCTTCCTCCCAAACTACACTCAGCATCTCATACTACGTGCTGAACTCTTTCAGCCCTCTGCCCAAGTCTATTGGACAGTCGGACTCGCAATTCTTGACTTACACCCTCAATGCCTACGCGCCATCTGCCTACGAGGTCGCGACACAAAAGACCAAAGTCAAGTTCCCCAGTGCGAATATTCCCGATTATACCACCACGAAATTGAAGACTGGAAACGACCCAGAGAAGCAAGGAAGTGCTTTGACGTATGGACCCTACACCAAAGTCGCACCAGGTGCCACGTATCCGCTTACCTTCCGTTTTGAATCTACAAAGCCCGTCCTTGCCAGCTCTCTCTTGGAGCGCGACATCGAAGTTTCTCACTGGGGAGGCAATTTGGCCGTAGAGGAGCGCTACTGGCTTCGGAATGACGGTGCAAACTTGTCCAAGAACTTTGATCGTGTCGAATGGGCTCGTCAGTCATACGGCTTAAGTGCAAGCTCCGCATTACAAGAGCTCAAATATCCGCTTAAGCCCGGATCGGTTGATCCTTATTTCACTGACGATGTTGGCAATGTGTCTACAAGTCGCTACCGCCCTGGAAACCCAGGTCGCGAAGCTCATCTTGAGCTGAAGCCTCGGTACCCAGTCTTCGGTGGCTGGAAGTACAGTTTCCGTGTGGGATGGAACAATGGTCTTGCCTCTTTCTTGCGCAAAGTCGGCGCCGATTCGTACGTTCTCAAGGTGCCATTCATCGAGGGACCCAAGGTTGCCGAAGGTATTCAGTACGATCAAGTCGTTGTCCGTGTAATCTTGCCCGAGGGAGCAACAGATATCAAGTATGAAATTTTAGACGGCGATGCGCCGAATGGCCTTCCGGGTTCGTCGCATATTCAGTCTAGTATTTCAAAGCATCGTACATATATGGACACGATTGGCCGGTCGTCGTTGACCCTCAAGGTTGATAATTTGTCAGATGAGGCGAGGGATTCTCAATTACTGGTATGATTATTGTTTTCTTTCTTCGGCTACCGTTTACTGACATAGCAAAGGTCACATACACCTACCCCTTTGCAGCTGGGCTTCGCAAGCCTCTAATTATTGCTGCGGGTCTTTTCAGCATCTTTGTGGGTGTGTGGTTCATTGGAAGTTTAGATGTGAGCATCAAGAAGCGGTAAAGAGGTTGCTCAAAGAGATGTCGAATAAATAAGTTTGTTTCATGACTCGGCTCTTTTTCTCTCCTTCATTTCATTCATGTATACCATATAGTTACCAAGCTTCACGCAATCTAAAATTGTTTCTCAGTAGGAGTTAGAGCCGATGTACGTCCATCTTGCATATTATTCCATCAGTCTAGATAACAGCCGGAGAATCCGACAGGTTCAAGTGCATTGATACCTTACACCAATCGAGTCTGGGCTGAAAGGTAACGTCACCTCAATCGTAAAATCTTTGTTCTCGTGTTCTTGGGAATCAGATGCACACCATGCCATTGTGTCAATACGTTGAAACAATCCGTTCCTTCAGACAATCCATTCTTCGAAACATTGACTCTGTTTCTAGTACTGTGGCATTGTTTCCTTTGGCTACTTTCAGGCGATGAGAGCATTTCTCACGAGAACAGACGAGACTCATTTCAAGTCAAGCACAATGAGCATCATGGTCCTGTGTGGATGGTTGACAATATAAGTAGACCTCGAACGGCCTTGGACGATTATTTTTAATCCATAAAACCAGTATGATGAGACAGAGGATTGCAACTGGTAGCAAACATGAGTGCCTGGATGCACAAAGTTCTTGACTACCTTGATCGAAAAGGCAAAGGGTCCTACCCCCAGCCCTGGTGGCCATTGTCCAAACGATTAAGATTTTTCTCTTCACCACAGAATTTCAGAGGACTCTGCGATTTACATGTGGACCTAGTTTTATATATCATTTCCTTCATCCAGTCGGACCTCGACCGGCTGTGCTTTGCTCTATCATGCAAGTCCTTGCTTGAACTCACAGATTGCTGGCCTCTTCCAGCCGAATGGGGGTTATCGACTCGAAGTATTCTTGATTATCTCAACCACAGATTTCATACCTGGGAGAAAGCTGACCGAGACCGTTGGGAACTTTTGAGGAGATTGGAGAATGCGCGATGGCGTCGCTGTATGGGATGTTACAAGCTTCATCCAGTCGAAGAATTCCACAAGCTGGACTTGTGGACCCCTGCCAGGAGGCGAACGTGCATCTTTGGGAAGCTCGTAGGCGTTGTCCGTCTTTGTCCCTGTGTTGAGATGACTTTTCGAGACAAGGTGAGGATTACAAAAGAATTGATACATCAACAACAACAACCGGGACAGCCAGAAAGTGGCAGCGAGGCCGACCGCAACCGAGGTCTTTTACCAGGATTTGACCCGGTCACTGGCCAGCACGAATGTCTTCATGAATGCAATGATAGCCTGTTTGAAACAAGAAGAATCAGAGTGCAACGCAAGCTCAAATTCGATCTGGACAATGATCACAATCTCATATTAGAAACGGACTACAAGGTTACGGAAATGCAATCGTCTTCGAACGATACAAAGCAGAGCGCGCAGCTATTGTGCCCCCATCTACGGGTTCTCAACAGTCTATATCACGTGGATCGTCTAGCTCCGTTTTGTCCAACATGGATAAGATCACGAAGGGGGTTAACCGTGAAAATTACATACTCCTATCCGGGTTCATTTTCTTGTGCATGGTGCGAGATGACTATGTTCGGTGTCGTGGAGACATATATAGTTCATCAGCTGCTTCCTAAAGACTACACCTTTAAAACTAGGAGAAGCCTGGGCAACGCTACCGAAAACGCTGACAACACTTGGTATAGACAAACCGAAACTTCCATCGAAAATATGGATGATTCTGCGCGAATTACTACACCATATTTTACAAGAGATAGGATTTTACTGAAATACCATGAACCCTCACAATAGACTGGTCTTGATGAATTAGGATCTATATTAAAGAGGGTAATAGTTACGCTACTTATATTGTTTTCCCTACAAGTCTCTATTCTGAAAGAGATTTAGCATTCTATTGAATTTTAGCAGCTAAATTTTCAGATTTCAATGTTCTCTGACTCTCTTCCCTTTCTGATCTATTCTCAGATCTTATTAATCCATCGAAATTCTGAATCTTGTTGTAGCCTAGAATCTCAAGTGCTATTGTTTTCTGAATTTGTCTGGTTTTGTTGATATTGCAAAAAACGCTCCTTGATATACATTCTTCCTGGATTTCTTGATGTCTTAATTTCTTGTACTCGTCAATCTCCCTCCCAACTTGTCGACTTCTTGAAGTTCATCTTTCTGTTGATAACTTGACCTTGATAGTCGCCTGAATCTCTTCAAGTCTCTAATTGTGTTGATCACCCTCTTCCTGGTTTTGTTGACCCTGGTCTTGGTCTGCGACCACTTGGGGATTGGTGTTCAACAACTGATAGATCTTCCTCACATTTGAATTGATATCCTGGATATTTGTCTTGATACCATTTTGAGAAGTGGCATTCGTTCAATGTTGCATTACCCGGCTCATTATTACAGGCGGTAGAATCAGTAGAACGCTTTTTGGTCCACCATGCATAAAAATACGGCACGATAGGTCCAAACAGGATCCTCATCATGGCACACACCAACTCTAGAATCATGATGACTGTGTTGAACTTGTCCGACATCTTGTACACGTCTTTTGTGATGGTACTTGCAAGTTGCTTCGTTTGAGATTATGCAGTGAAGCTTCTGTGGTTGACGCCCCCTCGGAGTCCTCTCGTTGACATTGGTAGGTGCCTCAACCACCCTGCACTCTGTAACCAATAGGTATAAATAATACAAAAAGGTAAAATGTTAGTCAAGACCAAGTCAGGTGGATTGTTTTCAGAATCAGGATTTTGAAGATAACAAGGTAAGAAGAACTCTGAGCAGAGTAGTAGATGATGTTGGGAAAGATGAAGATGATAAATAGATAGAAGGGAAAGAGACTACCATTTTATAGCTTGCAAGGTCCTATTTCTGAACAAAATAATGCTGGGAGTTTCCAGTCAGTTGTTTCTATCATGCCTAGAAAGGTGTGATTTTGCTGGTATTCAGAGATATAGAGAATTCTTCATCCCTCTTTCTTCCTAAACATCGTTCACACATGTTTCGTATTCGCAAATTCCCGTCAAAAATTGCTCAAGTTGCTTTTCAGGGCCATTTGAGAGCTACATTTTATCAATAATAGATAAATGCACTAAGGGAGGTGCTTCCCGATCCGGAAATTAGCCCTAATTTCGGCGTAGGTACGGATTTTCATAACATTGAAAATCCGTTTGAACCACTTCTTACGTTTAGCGCTTCTTACTACGATCGACAATTTTAGATCGAGTACCTACTAGAGCAACGACACCAATTCTGATCTTGTTGTATAGGTTTGTCAAGAATAATGTACAGTGGTTATTTAAATGAAGGTAGAAACTAATCTTAACGTTTATCGATCCTACAATCTCCGTGATTCTATATATTTATGGCCCAATTTGCTAAATTGGCTGATTCCTCCTAATTACTCTCCTATATCAGTTTATTCATCTCTGTGGTTTGTTGATTCTCGATATTCTTGAAGATCTAGTCTCTTTATGTTCAGTATCTTAATGATCTATTCCATATCCAGTATTTTCACTATCTATTAAATCATTACTGCTCTTTATTTTTTGATTTATTTACTTTTTGATCTTGTTGATATCTCATTCTCTGTTCTTGTTCGACATCTGGGACTCACCACGACTGAAAGCGTGTTTTCGGCACCATGTTTCTCAAGTGTAGTTACTGTTCTTCTCGAAACCCTTGCACAGCGAGAGACAAAATGAAAGAATATAGTGAACGATCAAGTACGCGAAAATAACCTTTTTGATCCTGGCCCTCTTCATCTTGTTGGTCCATTAGTCTTTCTAATCCTGTTGGTTTCGTAGTCCCCCGAATTGGTTGGACCAAAAATTTGTGTTTTTATTGATGTCTCAATCTCTCAAATCTCACTGATATCTTAATCTCTCGGATTGTATTGATATCTTAATCTCTTTAAACTTGTTATTTTTTTTTTTCTGTGGTATCAACCCTCTTCTGACCAATTGGACAATTTTGGCTCTGAACGAAATAACGGCGTGGTGTCAATGCTTCATGAAGCCCCTTCCATTGTTGCGCAATAACTCAAAGATATCTATCAATGGTATGGAATATGATATCTCGAGATCCTAACCGAAAAAGAAAACTCTGGTCCGATGACGCATTCTCCGTGTTTTCTTTTGATAATCAGTGTCAGTGCCGTTAACAACGAGCCTGAATTGTGCCCGTCATATTTTATCTTTGAAATAGAATCTAGCTGTACTTTTGTCCAAGTGTTGAGAAGATTGTGTTCGGCGAAGCAAAAATCAATCGTAGCGGGGACTATATTGAATGAGGCAAAAAAGGAAAGGAATCGACATCACCCCTAAACCATCACGTCACACATTAACCGTAGATTCATGATGACTGTGTCCTGTGCGGCTGGCATATATTGCTAGTCTCAGTTGCAGGAGTTTTGTTCTGGATTGAAGAAATATTCCCAGGACTTGTGGTATTTGCGCTTGCGTTGGCCATCTGTGTCAGGAATGGTGGCATAATTGGTCTGGAAATGGCCAAAATTAAGCTACATGCTTATTGCATAAAAACGATGACCGGATTTTGTGCAATCGGCAGTTTGTGAGAATCTCAATTGTAGAAGCAGCTGGCAGTTGTCTTGTTGTAATATCCTTGTTATTGAAGCCCTTGTTGAAGCCCTTGTTGAAGCCCTTGTTGATGAATCTTTCTGTTGATACATTGCAAAAATGATATCGTAGGGTTGAATGACGGTTGTTTCAATCGATAAGTCGCAAGCTGAAAACATCTTTCTTTCGCTTCTATTGGTAAAACATTTGAAGAAACATTTGCGTGCCCATCCTGCATCCAATCCATCTGAGCCACATACAAAGGACGCAATGCATTTTGTAGGTGGTTCAGATAGATCGGTTGCCATAACCATGATCTGGAGATATCAGTTATGAGGGATGAGATTAGAAAGGGGATGATGTTGCTAGACGATGAATATAAGACATTGACAGAGCGGGGTCGAGATGCCTTTTAATAATTCCAGAGAAACTATGAGTCAACGACAAATTTATGGGACCTCAAAAACCATTCCTGCGTCCCATTGTTGTCGTGATTATGTCTCGAGATATTCGATTTTCCTTTTTGGTGGTCTGACGCACGCATAATCCTTTGTTTCCTCGACGTCGTTTCATACTCCTTGCATACACTGTGGTCCAATCCCTTCACCTACAATAGCCATACTGCCACTTCTTTCTTACAACACCGTTAATTTCTATACTGTTGCTCAGATTCATGAAGGTGTCTATTTAGCGATAGCTGTCATTTGGGTTGTTAGAGGAAAACATTCCATCGTAATCTATGACATGTTTCCAGAACCGGACCAACAAACATCTCGCAAGTTGTTTAGTGTCTTGTCAATGAAACAAAGGTACGTCTAACTGGAGTAATGACAAGCCCTTGAAACTCATTTCAGAATTACGTCTAAACTTGTTTTGTTTCGATGTACTGTCATAGGACTTGTTGTCGCCATTATTGTTTGTGATCTGCCAAACCTTGTTGAAACGTCGTTAGCTGATAGCGACGAGTAACAAAGAAAAGTATGGTCACATTTCATTCCATTCCAGTAAGATCTTGTTGATGTCAAAATGAATTGGTTTCATGCGAGTGTTGATAAGAACCAGATCGACTGATAATCAGTGCATTGACCACCTGCATAGCTGACATGTACTATCGGTCACACCACTCAGTTTTCCACACATACATATTTATATATTTGACATTGAAACGGACGGACCATCTAGACAATTTATACATATATCTCGATTTTGTACATTTGTGCAATTTGCCGTCAACCCCATAACCACATCAAACGAGCAACCCCGACAATAAAAGTCAAAAATCAAAGCTCCAAGCCACGAATATTCTCAACTTCAACGGCCGTCTGGTTCGTCATACCACCTTGGAATATATGATGATGTTGGTCGTCAGTAGGTACAAGTTGGCCGTGTTTCGCCCTCAAGATAAAATTTACTAACACAGCCCCGATTAAACCCAGGCACAGGAACGTGGGACCCCATTTTTCGTAGTAGATACGTTTAACATCACGTCTTTTGCGGATCTTGTCCACGCGCCAGACATATAACACAACAGAGTAGATAAGGCATATGACGGCAATGATGGTGAAGATCCATGCCGATGCGAATGTGACGTAGTCACTGCCAAAGTTGAGAAGGGTGGCTGCAATGGAGCCGATCAAAATTGAGAACTCGAGCCAGGAGAGGAATGTACGTTCAGCAGCAAAGTAGACCTTTGGCTCGACGCGGATGGGAACATGAATTCCTGTCATGGTTTGTTAAGAACGTTTCTGGAGAATTGAGGGGTTGTGTTAATACTTACGTTTGCCCTTGGGAGCAATGAAGCGCTTCACTGTACGTCTGCCATTTCCAAGAATGGTGATTCCAGTACTTCCACCCTCCGGCATCTGTGTAGCTCGTGGTCGAGGCGTGATGGCCTTCAAGACTTCCCAAGTAATATGTCCCGTGCGCTGAAGATAGCTGCTCAAAAGCATACGGTAGTAGTAAATACCGCCAATACGGCGTGCTTCTTCGAGTGCATCCGAGAAATCTGACTCGTCATCCGAGTCATACAACGGGTAATACTCGTCGCCAGCAAGGAAATCAGCAGCGACACGTTCTTCAACATCCAGCTCGTTACGGGTCGCGTGTAGCGTGCCATTGTTGCGTTCATAGTTGGCAACAGCTCCTTGAGTGGCACTGGTAGCGGCCGTGACGTTGCTTGCCTGATCACCATGTGCATCAATCTCGTCATCGGTTTCATCATCCTCATCCGCCATGTCTGAAGTGGATATGCTGGTGCTCTGTGTTGGCCGTTCAATTCCATATTTGCGAGTAATGGGCTTTCTGATGTCAACATCCATTTGCGGGAACCAGAAAGGTAGAAGATTGATCTTATCAGGGAACAACGTGGCGCATCCATGTATGAACTTGCTGAACTTGGGAACAGCTTCGACTAGATGGCTGGCAGTAAGATCACGGATCCATTGAGGAGGTTCTTGCCCGGCTTGGGTTTGAAGCTTTACTTCCAAAACTGCATATGGGAACCTTTCAATATCCTCTGGAGGGAGTTGACGGAAGGGCCAGTCGATCCCAATATCCATACGTCGCCAGTTATCGCCGGCGCGTCTCCTGCCGTCTAAATTGTCTTCACGAATCATGCTCAGTTCCGTGTCTAGAGAGATTCGGACACGGGCATCGCCTGGCAATTGAAACGCAGTACGATGATAGAACGTCCGGCATACCGGCTTGAGATTGCGGGTGACTGCACGGTATTGAACTTCCTTTGCAAGTGCTTCCCAGTCGGCTATTTGCTGCTCCGATTTTTTGCCTTCTCTTCTCATTTTCTCAAAAACAGCTCCGGTTGTCATGTCGCCAGACAAATATGCATTAACATGCTTCTCCTTCATAGGGAATCGTGCCTTGACCGATTTCTCTCCAGTCCAATCCTCTCGATGTGTCTTACGTTCAACGAATATCTGATCAACTTCCATGCCGCCATACCATCGAAGTCGGATAGCCTCTGCGCCTTCTGTCTTTAGAAGACGGCCTTTATACAGCTCCCATGTTTCAGGGTTGTCATAATAAATTGAGGAGATGGCAGAGTCTTTTTCTTCGAATTCTTTACTGGGGTTGAACACAAGGACTGGAAGATGCTAGATTTCACATAAGCTTGCTAGAAGTAGAAGAGTGGTTGATAACAAACCTTGAGAACAATCAATTTCAACTCGGTGATGTTGTCAGGATGTACCCAGTACTTGGTGGTCTGTCGCACAAAGTTTTGCTGTCCGCCACCTGCCGACGCATCACCCTTGACGGGGTTACCCTTGGTTCTGACTAGGTCATACAGCCTGGAGAGTTTGACCACGAACGCGTCGTAGTTGTCTTTGAAAAATGGCTTGGCATTCAGTCGAGCAGCAAATACTGGCTTCAAATACCACCTTGTTTGTTTCTGTGCGAGGTCAGCGCATAAATTCTAAGACACGCCGAGCACACTTACATCATGCTTCTTGATAATCTTCTGGAACCCAGTATAATTCAACTGAGTAAATTTGGCCAAATCATGAACATCAGCAATGATATCACTCAAATCCGCCTCAAGCAACAAAAAATCCTCATCAGTCGGCCGTTCCGCAGCGCGACGAGAATCCGAAGCTGGAATCTCCAAGCGAGCAACCACATGATTGACCTCCTGCTCGCTCGCTTTGATCCGCTGAATGATCTCTTTACTTTTCAGACCCTGGAAAGTAGCGACTTTGTCCAGCTCGCTTTCCAGCAGAGCCACAAAGCGTCTTTCGTCGGCTTCCGTCCATGGCTTGCGGTCCGGTTTTGGGTTTGCGGGGGTTGGTTCGGTCACATATTCTGTTTTGAGGGCATCTTTCAGGTCTTCGTAGGCGATGTAATGCCAGAAGTAGTCCTTGATCATGGACGACCGGAGCTGTTCGCCGAACCTGTGTTGTGTAACGCTCAGGTTAGCTTATCTGTACTCTAGACTGTGCTTACAATCGACCAGCCACGAGGAATGCGTCTGATTTCCAAGCAAGCTCTCTTCTAGGTCTTTCCAAATACTTACTTCATGTTGGGCAATTAGAGATGTTCCGCACGTCGCAATGCAATTGCTAATAAATCAAAGTCAAAGCTGCGGTCGTGATGTGAATGGTGTTTACGCACGGTCGCCGTCGGAAATATGTATCGATCGTCGTAGCTTGGGCCGTTATCTCGAATTATGCACAATGATAAGATGAAAGAGAGATAGCAAAACACGCCAACGTCATTGGACAGTATACACTCAATTGAACAATGTATAAGAAATTGCAACAAGTGTAAGGTTCCGCGACAACCCTGGCATTATATACGATGGAGTGTAGGACTGGGACTCGAAGAAGGGAAGATTGAAAATGAGAGAGAAGATGAGGAAGTGGGACAGAGGAAAGCGGAGCAATGCAGCGGATGGATCCATCGCAACGTCGTTTCCGATTGAGTCTATGCCGTATTTTTCATCCCGTACCTGTGAAATTTTGAACTGCACATAATTACAGCACTTCTACACGGAAAATTAGCCATGGTCACTGCATTTGCACAATACAGATACAAGAACATACAGAAACCAGTCCACGTTTTCTTGAGGCAGTTGTTTTCTCGGTTTCTTCTGCGTACAAGGCCATACACCAGTAAGTTACATGTCACAATAACTAACGCATTCCTCGACAAGCAGCCAATGGGGACTAGTCAGTGACCGCACGTTTTGGGAGCTTATCGCCTCTTTCGGCCTAGTCTGAACTTTACTTCAAGGCTGTATTGTAAGGCAGTGTAATATGCGTCCAGATTACGTCGATGACTATACACGTGATATCATTTCATGTAGTTACATTAGAGCCTGTATAAACTAATCCGTCCCATACCATAATTGTCGTCAAGTACGTGCCCAACTACTATGTAAATGCAAGAAAAACACAACACAGAATGACCGGTATCAAGGAAAAAACGTGAAGGTACGTTCAGAGACATGAAAAGAAATTTATCAAATCGCACCGCCCACTCGTCGAATGCTTCGTCGGGCATGGTCTCCAGTGACATTGACCAGTCCCTCTGTCTCAAGAGCCCGAACCGCATTCTGAAATTCGGTGCCCTCGACTTCGATGCTGCTGTTATCGTTGAGTCTTTTGAGCACGTCTGTCCAACGGGGCGCCGTGCCACTAGCACCCATCTCATCGACGAGACTGAGGACTGCTTTCTTCAGGTCGTCACGGCGACGACGCTCGCTGGCACTGGTGCCCTCGGTAAGCAAACTCATATCAAGCAGACCGGTGCGTGCATCCGTTGCGGCTTGTTTGAGTGCGGACCGAATGAGTCGCACGGCTTCCTCGACGTCTTCTGCTGTTACTTCGGTAGAAAGACGCATACGGGCGTGAGCTTCTGAGAGACGGATCATAGACTCCAATTGACGCGTAGTAGCTGTAATACGACGCTCTGCAGCTCGAATATCGTCTCCCAACTTGCGCATAGCGACGTACGCCTCCGTCAAAGCATTAGCCGCGGGCTGGGTGAGAACGGGGTGAATTTGCGTCTTAGCGTAGGTAATATATGATGTTAAGAACTCGATAGGCTATTCGATAATGTTAGCAATCTGTATTCCAAATCGGAGGATGTGATCCTTACCAATATTTCCTCTCGGCTGGCAGTTTCAGGAGCGTCTTCCAGATACATGCCAACGAGATGCTTGGCCAAGCGACGATCCTCTTGTTCATCGACTCGATCGAGGACCAAATATACCAAGTCGAATCTCGACAGTAGAGTTGGGGGTAGATCGATGTTCTGTGGAACAGGCAAGTTCGGGTTGTACTTGCTGCCAATCGGATTGGCAGAGGCTAGAATACTGGTACGTGCATTTAGTGTAGTAATAATACCAGCCTTGGCAATAGATACAGTCTGCTGCTCCATCACTTCGTGCAAGACTGACCGAGTGGACTCGTTCATCTTGTCGAACTCGTCAATGCAGCAGACACCTCCGTCTGACAAGACAAGGGCGCCCGATTCGAGAACAAGCTGGCGAGTTTCAGGGTCTCGAGTGACGTATGCCGTCAAACCAACGGCAGAAGAACCCTTTCCACTCGTGTAAACTCCACGAGGTGCGATCTTGTGGACATATCGAAGTAGCTGTGACTTGGCAGTGGAGGGATCACCACAGAGTAAAACATTGATATCACCACGATAACGTGGATTGCCTCCTTTTTGGAAGGTCTTGTTTGTGCCACCAAACAGCTGAAGTAAGATTCCCTTCTTCACATCGTCCATCTCGTAGAGACTTGGCGCCAGAGACCTGGCTAGAACTTCGTAGACATCAGGGCGCCGCGATGTTTCTTTAATCTTCTCGAGCTCCTCTGCTGTGACCTTTCGAGCCTGCTCAGAGTCACCCACAGCTTGTTCCGAGAGCTCCTGTTCTACAGTCGACAAATCGATGCCCATTTTCTTCTTGTCCACTTTTTGAATATGCAGAACATCCACATACGTCTTGAAAAGAGCCTTTGTGGTTCGCTGGCGGGGGTTCACACGCATAGGATTGCATCGGAAAATGCCAGTGACCTCGATCCGGTCACCAGCTTTGCAGACATCGACCAGTTCATCATAAGCGCACAGAGAGACAGAGTGAGGAGTCTGACCATCTGGAACACTATCGGGAGTCTCTTGAAGTTTGATGACTTGCTTGTCAGCAAAGCCACAGCGGTTGTGAATCAATTGCATTGAGTTAGGGCTTTTGCACTGGGCCCGTGGGCAAAAAGTGGGTTCCATGATTTTTCCTCGGTCGATGTCAACCCTGACGCTGTGGTTACAGATTTGACAAGTGAAAAAAGCTGTGTCTCGATTAGCAAACAGTGGCGAATATGTCGTGGATGTGCCTCATTCACTGACCTTCTTTCATATCGGGAATTACTGGAGTTGTGCGAATGACCAGACCTTTGATACTGATGAGTTTGTCCATGTCTAGGATATGATAATTGTTAGTACATGTTTACCATTCTGTCGTCTTTGGCGATGATTCTCACCTGCGGGGTCCAGTTCTCGCATATTGACAGACTTGTCCAAGCCAAATGGCAGGACCTTGTATGTGTTGCTTTCTACTTGTTGGACCAGACTGGGCGTATTATCAGGAGCAGCACGACCCGTCTCACTCATAGCATCTGAGCTTGGCACAGGCGCCGCTGAACTGTCTCGTGTCCGTGTTTGGTTTCGCTGGGCCTGGCTTCTGAGGGTATCCATTTCGTGCATGGCCAATTCAAGCAAGACATCTTTGATTGCTTGATCCATAAGTGGGATTATTTCTTGTGGATATGCATGTAACTGATGCCACAATTTCAGAGTTGAAGGATATGCTTTTAGGTTTTTCGCATCAAGGTTCAAGCCGGTGACGCCCAGCTTTCGCATATTGTTCAGCATGGTGATATATTCTTTTTCCTCTGCAGCATCACCCATTGCCCTCGTATCGTCCTCGGTAGCACCGTCGGCCCACATGCGGTACTTCCTGGCGTAGTTGTATAGAAAGTTCTTGAATGCGGACATGGAATCCTGGATGGAGATGTTGGTACCCCAGATCACACGTGTGGAGGTACCACCGAGCACATCTGCCTCTGAAGTGCCGGGGTTGAGATTGGTAAACGTCGCATCAGAGTGAGTATGCTCTTCATTGACCGGCATACCATTTGCGTCCACAAAAACTCTCCGACGACCTGACGGTGTACTACCAAAATTATCTGAGTGAATATCTCCGCGGCGTGAGACATTGCGTGAGTAGCCGGAAAGTTCTGGGCGAGATGATCCAACAAAAAGACCACTGCTGCTGCTGGGTATGTCAGAACGAATATCCTGACGGTTGTTGTTTCGCGGTGGGCTTGAGCTGGACATGTAACGGATCGGCGATGAGTCTGAAAGAGTTAGTTGGATAGATCCAATACATCGGATAAAATCTTGTACTACCTCGCATGCCAGTCCGAGTGGCTCSGGGCGTTGTCTCGCCATCTGCAACCGAAGATTCTCTGATGGGCGAGCTGATATTCATTCTCGTCTGCTCGCCACGCACGGGTGATGATGATTGATACATTAAGGGAGATGATGATGCTACAGTGTTTTCATTCTGAAGTCGCCTGGACGCGCGTGGAGTCGTTTGTGATCCGTTTGCGTTGGACTGAGGGGTACTCGAAACTTGCTGAGATCTAGTCGAGCGAGGAGTCGAAGACGCTGTGCTTCTCGCAGGGCGCCCGCGACGCGAAGCTGGCGAAGACATTGTGAATCAAATGTGTTTCGTCGATATTTGGAAAAAACAAAGGATTATGATGGATTTGTTGATCGAAATATCGAAGACGGGGTGTTGATGGATAGAGAAGATAAGGGACAGAAGCTGGTGGTGTTTAATTCAATCCCTTACGGAAGTTGCTTAATTTTCTCGGGACGCGTCCTGGACGCGACACCGCGTTAAGTGCTTCCTTTTTGGGACGGCGCGTATCGAGTTTGATCACGTGAGAGCACAGCCACGGTCTACGGCTGGTTGCCCAGCCACATCCATGGTAATCACGTGTCGCGCATTCCACGGTATCGGTATCTGGTACCTGATCCCATGTTTACCTGATGCTCATTATTGTATGGACACAAAAATAGATGAAACCCTCTCTATTTTGAGACTCCCAATCATCGTCTCATGGCACCTGCGGTTTAGGAGAGAGTAAAACATGACAGCGCTTCGCCGACCACAAGCGGACCAATGAGCGACGAGCCTTCGAGTTGAAGCTAGAGCCGCTGGCAAAAGCGCCCGCCAAGAGTTTTAACTTGGAGTATCTGCTGGCTGATGTCATGGCGCTTGTATCATCATCGACCCCGAATCGTCCAATGTTATTTATTTACCTCCAAGATGCACCAACATCGGGTGGTCTTACGAGATCAACTGCTCTCGCTTGTTGACTGCACAGGCCATTTTCCATCGCATCTTCTGCTTCGATCTGGCTATCCATCACATAGATCCATCTGAAACTCCTTTAATGTCGGATCCCTGAGAAGACGGCCAGATCATTTCCCACTGTGCGCCGGTTCCAGCTTTTCTCTTCCTTCAAACATTGGGTTTTGCAGTGCGCATGCTTCATTTATGTGGGAGAGGACCTACCATTTTCTTGTTCATTGTTCTATTGCAGCGTTTTGATTGTCTCATCGTCTGTCATTGCTTCCCCGCTCTTATTCCGCTGCTGCTTTCGCATAGCATATGCCACTGTTGCCAATTCCAAGAGTTGCAGGCTCAACTCATATCCATTATCCAGAAAAGTATCTCTTGACCTGAGGTGACAGATCACCCACCCTCAAGATGTCTACCGACCTCTTGTCCGGCAGCGGCACAAAGGGCGATGAGGACCAAGGGATCTCCATCTCGACATTTCTTGCTTCGCTGGCCACAGGTGCTATCGTCTTCGCCATTGAAGCCCTCTTGTTCTTGATGCTAAAGGGAAACCTTCGCAGAATCTAGTAAGTGACGTCTCTATCCTTTCTTGTACCTACACGCTCATACTGATACGATGTCACCTCTAGCCAACCCAGGACATATCTTGTGCCAGACCGTGAACGAACCAAACCGCCAGCCCCTGGCCCTTTTGGATGGGTATATGCTGTGTTCCAGACGACGAACGCTGAATTTATTCAGAAATGTGGGCTTGACGCTTATTTTTTCTTACGATACCTCCGTATGCTCCTGAAGATCTTTGTCCCCATGGGTCTGGTTATTCTTCCCATCTTGATTCCTGTAAACAAAGTCGGAGGAAAAGACAACAACCTTGTCAGCAATACAAATTCTACCACATGGAACGTGACCGGCATGGATCAGCTCGCTTGGGGCAACATCAAGCCCGAGCACACAGATAGATACTGGGCCCATCTCGTTCTTGCGGTGCTATCGATTCTGTATGTCTGCGCGGTGTTTTTTGATGAGTTGCGCGGTTATATCAGACTGCGACAGGCATACCTGACCTCCCCTCAGCACAGGTTGAGAGCGTCTGCTACAACTGTGCTTGTTACCGCAATCCCCAAGAAGTGGTTGTCAGTAGAGGCTCTGACGAATCTGTATGACGTATTTCCCGGAGGAATTCGAAATATCTGGATCAACCGTCAGTTGGACGAATTAAATGAAAAAGTCAAGCTTAGGGATCAGCTTGCTTTGGCCTTAGAGGCTGCGGAGACTGACTTGATTGCTAAATGCAAGAAAGCCCAGATGAAGCAGGCCAAAGCCGAGGCAAAGAAGTCGGGAAAGAAAGCTTCCAAAGAAGATGAAAAACAGAAAGAAGGAACAGACAAGAAAGCTGCTGAATTGGTGATGCAGTCTGGTATCAGCTCAGGCAACCCTCACCAGGTCGCGCACAATGTACAAGACGCCCTCAAGAAGGATCGGGAGAGCAAAAATAAGGAAGCACGTCGTCAAAGAAAGAAGAAATTCCTCCCTCTTGTGGGTGGAGGACTCACTAATGCTGTTGGCAATGGGGCGACTGTTTTCGAAAAAAAACTAGTTGGAGGTATCAGGAAAGCAAACCAAGGTGTTGGGCAACGTTTGGAAAATACTCCTGGTTTTGCTGTTCTACCGGAAGAGCTGGTCTCTATTTCCAGCAGGGGAAACAGCAAAGAAATCAATGACACGAAGAACCATCATGACCGTTCCAGCTTTGATAGCAATAAAGACTCGGTCAATTCAGTTCCCGAGGAAATTGACCAACAGGAAGGGTATGAAGTAAACAGCGAGGAGCAGACCTCACGCCGACCTGGCTGGAGCCGCAAATCATCCGCCAACTCAAAACGAGGAAATCGCCCCCCTGAAGCTGACGAAATACCCTTGACCGAAGTGGAAACTAGAGAAAGTCAGATTCGTCCGGATACTAGCAACACTAACGATAGCGTACCGCGGAAGAAAGAAGATGGTGAAGAGTATCCTTTAGCCTATGATGAACATTGGCAGGAGGACTGCGGCGAACCGTTGTGGAAAAAGTATATACGTCAAAAAGATCGAGAAACTATGCGCCTCCCTATATTTGGAATTACATGGATGCCATCTATACCTTTGATTGGCAAAAAGGTCGACACTATTGATTACTGTCGCAAGGAAGTGGCGCGGCTCAATCTGGAGATTGAAATCGACCAGCAGCATCCAGAGAAGTTTCCTCTCATGAACTCGGCTTTCATCCAATTTAATCATCAGGTGGCCGCTCACATGGCTTGTCAAGCCGTCAGTCACCACGTACCGAAGCAAATGGCCCCACGAGTAGTGGAGATCTCCCCAGACGATGTCATCTGGGATAACATGTCGATGAAATGGTGGGAACGCTACCTTCGTAGCGGTGGCATATTCATTGTTGTTTGCGGTATGGTTGCTGGCTGGGCCATTCCAGTCGCCTTTACTGGTCTTTTGTCACAGCTTTCTTACCTCGAAGGAACATTCACATGGCTGGCATGGCTGTCCAAATTACCACATTGGCTCTTTTCAGCTATCCAAGGTGTTCTCCCACCGTTGTTCCTTTCCCTGTTAATGGTCGTCTTGCCCATGATCCTTCGATTCTTGTCCCAAACCCAAGGTCTGCAAACAGGCATGGCCGTAGAGTTGATGGTTTCGAACTACTATTTCGCATTTCTTTTCGTCCAACTGTTTCTTGTCGTGGCCATTTCGTCCAGTTTCTCGACACTGATTGATTCAGTTACAAACATCACTGGCTGGCCAGAACTTCTTGCTGAAAACATTCCGAAGTCCAGTAATTACTTCTTCTCTTACATGATTCTTCGAGCCATGTCTGTCAGTGCTGGTGCGCTCGCTCAAATTGTCAACTTGATCAAATGGTTTATCCTCGGTCCTCTGTTTGACGATACAGCGAGGAATAAGTGGTCGCGAACAACAAACCTGCAAACAGTGAGATGGGGAAGCTTTTTCCCGGTATATACCACTCTAGCATGCATCGGTCTCATTTATATCATCGTCGCTCCACTGATCGCTATATTTATTATCGCTACATTTGCTTTATTCTGGTTCGTGTATCGATATAACACGCTCTATGTCACGAAATTCCGTTTCGATACGGGCGGTCTCTTGTTTCCAAAAGCCATCAACCAGATGTTCACTGGATTGTACGTCATGGAACTGTGCCTGGTTGGTCTCTTCTTCCTTGTACGTGATGAGAACGACCGCGTGGCGTGCCAGGGTCAAGCAATTGTGATGATCGTCGTTTTGATCCTCACTTTGGGCTACCAATACTTCTTGAATGAGGCGTTCTCCCCACTCATTCGTTATCTGCCAATCACATTAGAGGATGATGCTGTCCGCAGGGATGAGGAATTCGCACGAGCTCAACGCATCAGACACGGTCTACCTGTTGACGACGATGATGAGGATGAAGATGACCTTAAAAATGGACATGCTTCTGGATCACGACCAGCGGGATACGACGAGCGCGACTTTGGAACTAACCAAAAAGAAATCGAGCTACAAGACATCAATCGAGACAGCAAAGACGAAGAAAGAAAGAACAATAATGGCCATGTGACCAGAAACCTCAGCATAATGGGCAAAAGGGTCAGCGGAATGACAGCTGTCTCATGGGCCGATCGCTCACGAAACCGCCGCTCCAAATACTACGGCACAAACTCCGGATACGATGTGCCCAGCATTCAGAAGCTGCGCCAACAACTAGCCTACGAAGCCGAAGACGAAGAAACGCGAGGCACAGGCACAAACCCCATCGGTCGCGCCCTTTTCGCCGGCATTCACGATGAACTAGAAGATTTGACCCCCGACGAGCGCGATCAACTCGTTCAACGAGCCTTCCAGCACGAAGCCCTACGCGCTAAACGACCTGTGATATGGATCCCCCGTGACGATTTGGGGGTCAGCGATGACGAGATTTACTGCACTCAACGGTTCAGTAAACATGTATGGATTAGTAATGAGTATCAGGCGTTGGATGGGAAGTGTCGAACTATTTTTAGTCGCAGTCCGCCTGATTTTTCGGAGGTTGATTTGATTCAGCTATGATATGAGCATAGCGTGACACACGTTGTGCATGACTTTCGTTTGCTTTTATCTGTATGCATGTTCTTTTCTAGCGAGACATAGCGTTTTGCGCATTGGTGGCATTCGTTTGCCTGATACCTAAGAAGTTTTTTAATCCTTAGCCATTGTTTATATTTGAATACCCTTCTGCTTTCATCTACTTTTGAAACTTCCTTAAACCTGTTATATGTATTTGTTTCCGAACAAAATAGCTAGCAGATGATTCTCTAATCTAATATCCTAATCCGTTTCCCACGCATGTCCACTATTTGAACCCTCGAAACGCGCTCATAGCCACACATACCACCAACAAAACCAAAACTTTTGATCGTTCCGACATCTCGGAAGACTATTTGAGGCGGCAACGTCACACTTCACGCATCTTCTCGTGATATCTTTCTAAATCTATTGCTTTCCCTAGTAGCATCGTTACCACTGAAGAAACGGTTCCTTCATTCCGAAGAAAGTTGCGGCAGTGACGGGGCTATTCGTTGACGTTTCGAATGATTAGGAGGACATTCATCTCAGTTGGGAGCATGCTACTTCTGAGACATGAGCGAGATGCTTCCACATTTTGCAGAACCCACCTATCATGTCTTTGCTTACCCTGAAACTTTGAATGATGTGCTCTGGCAAGTACCTAAACACGTCTTTGTTTTCCTCACACCACCGTCTGGCATCATCACGATGCGAATCTCTGTATGTCAAGTCATAAGTTATCTGCGCAGTTATTGGTAGGCTGTCGCGTTTTCGTGGACTAGTTTTGAACCTAGTCCCCCGACGGCGAGGAAGACCGAGGAAGGTGCCAAAACGCAGCAGCAACCAAGGCTATCATCAGCATAGCCCAAATTATCAATTGACGTTACATATTTATTTTCAATCTCAGAAACTCAGATCAGTTGCGAAATTTGGGGTATTGTATTGCTTCATATTCATGATTGTAGAGATCAGAGACACATGCGAATCCTAGTATAAATACAGCAAGCAAAGAAGAAAAAATAGAAAAATCCAGACTTCTTTTGCGCCATTCGCCATTTTCCTATTCCATAGATCTCCGTGTATTACCAATAAATTAAACCCATGTAGAGATGTGATATACTTAATCCCTATCACACGAAAAATCATCGCATACCACCCTGCATCAACTGTTGCCGCAACATCATAATTTGACTTCTCTCCAGCGGCGGCAAAGCATCAATCTGTGACTGCGGCATACTCAGTACTTGCTGCAACAGCTCTTCTTGACCGGGTATTTGTTGAGGTGCAGCAGCGGGGGGCGGAGGCGCAAATGGGGAGCTCTGAACAGGAGGTGTCGAAACCTGTGCGGGAACAGTACTGTATGGTTGATATAGGGCTGACGCGGCTGCAGGAGCTGGTGCTGCTTGAGAGGCTTGTTCCACCACTGATCCCAGGGTGCTATAATCGACTAGATTCATAAGGAGCAAAGCTTGGAATATTGCGTACGCGAGTTGAGGCGCTGTCCGGAGTAATTCCGTTGCTCGTCCGGGGTCTGCCACGGCTAGTGACTTCATCTGAGAGAGGACATCGAGGAGCTGATTCGGTGGAAGCTGGGATAGTGTCTGAGAGATGGCATTGGGGCAGTCTAGGTGTGGAGGGATCTCTACACCAGGAGGGAGCGGAGGAAGAGAGCTTGGATTCTGTTGTTGAGGTGGCTGTTGCGCTTGAGGTTGTGGTTGGTAGGGATCCGAATAATCCTCTGGTATCGAATCTTTTTCGTTGTTGTGCGGCCAATCTACTCTTATTTTTCGTCCCATTATTTCGTAGTCGTTCAGATTGCGTACTGCAGAAGCAGCTGCATCGGCATCGGCAAAGTCGGCGAATCCGTAACCTTTGGGTTTACCAGTCTCTGGGTTCATCATGAGTCGGAATTTGGTCACTGTGCCGGCTGTGCTGAGGATATCTTTTACTTGCTCTTCTGTGAGGTCTTTATTACACTTTTAGCATCGCAAAATACATCAAGAAGCTTGCACGTTGACTTACTGTAAGGAATATTCCCCAGAAAAACACTCTTCCCCATTCCTGGAGCCATGATTGTTGTGGCCGGGCGGGTTGATCCAGTGAACGTATTCAGATTATCTAACAACCGCACACCTCAGGTCGTTCAGGTAAATCGTAAGGAGATTCGAAACGAAAGAGCCAGTGTTGAGCTTGGGTAAATGTCGCGTGGTTCAAAGCAAAGATAAAGAGCTCGTCCAAATAATGCCAAGCTTCTCCGCCCTACCAGTCCCAAAACAGCTAGAGCCGTTTCCGATCTTCAATTGTTGCTCCGTCAGCGGAAGCTCTACGATTCCCTCCCAGACCTACCTTTTCATCCACATCAGATCTCAACTTATCAAATCAATATGTCGGGAAGCCCGCGGGAACAGTGGGAAAGACTGCAGGTAATGCTTCAGAACCGAGCTCGGTCTGGAGGCGGCGGTGGCGGCGGTTTTCGATTTGGAGGTGGTGGTGCGCCTATTGGAGGTCCAGCTATTGCGATTGCTGTCTTGGTAGCTGGAGGATATGCGCTTTCGACTTCTTTGTTCAATGGTTAGTCCAAGGGTGAAAATAGCATTGTGCTGTTTGAAGTAGCATGCTGATGATTTCGTGCTTTAGTCGATGGTGGTCACCGAGCTATCAAGTACTCCAGGATATCTGGTGTCAAGAAGGAGATTTACAATGAAGGTATGTTCAGCTTGAGCTTATGAATAGCTTTGAGTTGGTCATTTATCATTAATGTATACAGGAACTCACATCAACATCCCTTGGATCGAAACTCCTGTCGTCTACGACGTTCGAGCGAAGCCGAGAAACGTTGCATCCTTGACCGGAACCAAGGATCTACAAATGGTCAACATCACATGTCGTGTCTTGTCGCGACCTAAAATCGACGCTCTACCCCAGATCTACCGAACACTCGGCAAAGACTTTGATGAGCGAGTACTGCCCTCGATCGTTAATGAGGTTTTGAAGAGCGTCGTTGCCCAGTTCAACGCCAGTCAGTTGATTACACAGCGAGAGAATGTCGCCCGACTTGTCCGTGACAATTTGGCCCGACGAGCTGCTCGATTCAATATCACATTGGATGATGTTTCCTTGACGGTATGCCCTTTTTGTCTGATTAGTAGGCTCTTGCTAACAACGACTACAGCACCTTGCATTCTCCCCCGAATTCACCGCTGCCGTCGAAGCCAAACAAGTCGCCCAGCAAGACGCCCAGCGAGCCGCTTTCCTCGTCGATAAGGCTCGCCAAGAGAAACAAGCCACCATTGTCCGAGCCCAGGGTGAAGCCCGCTCTGCCGAACTTATCGGTGACGCCATCAAGAAGAGCAAGAGTTACGTCGAGCTTCGACGCATTGAGAATGCCCGAAATATTGCGCAGATCTTGCAAGAGTCTGGCGGCAGAAACAAGCTTTATCTTGATACTCAAGGTTTGGGCTTGAACGTCAATGCCAGCCCTGAAAATGAGAAATAAGCGTTTACACCATCTCCCAAAATGTCTTTCATGTTGCGTGTGCGTCGTCACATCCTGTATAAATAGTCAACACCAGTGCTTAATGCAGTACTATCGCTACTCGTCTTTACTCTCCAAAGCTGTGCATCTGGAGTCGTAGCCTGTAGAAAAGACAAGTCAAATGGCTGTTTTACATGGTAAATAATCTCTATGGTTGACACGACACAATGTGTGCTGAACGCCACCTTTACGATGAACATTTCTAGATAAATCTAACCAAATCTCGAAATCAGCGAATAATTCAATCAGCTGATCAAAAGTGTAGATCCTGTGTACCGCTAATTGAAGCTCGATTTGTATAGCATAGATATCTCTTATCGATAAGACGACGAGGAACAAAAAAAGTTTTGATATTCTTCCCCGCACTCGACCACTCCAACCTGAGCAGACATACTTTCAAGTCACCATATAACACCGATATTATCACCAATTGCGACTCAAAATCAGAATTCTCAAGAAAAAAAACTCTATAGGAATCTATACGGCAAATACAGCCAAAATGACAGAACCCCCCCTCGAAATATCCCACGTCCAAATAGACGTCGACCTCGACATCCAAGAGATCCTCCTCGCAGCCTCGCAACACAACATCCCCAAACTCCGACAACTACTACGCTCCAACAATGCCGGTGCCGAGAATCCGGCTAACGTGAAAGACCCCGAAACCGGGTACGCGCCTTTGCATGCTGCTATTGCGGCCTGTGAGCCTGACGGCGACGAGCAGCTAGCAGAAGATGAGGAAGGGCGAGTGAATGGTGCAGGAGAGGAAAGGGATGGTGAATTGGCGTTGGCGAGGGAGACGGTCAAATTTCTACTGCAGGAAGGCGCGATTTGGAATGATTTGGACAAGAATGATGAGACGCCCGGTTGTTTGGCGAGGAGGTTTGGGTTGAGTGAATTGTATGAGCTTATGGTCGATGCGGGTGTGCGTGCGGAATTACTATTTAATCGGCTAGAGGGGTATGAGATGCTCGCAGACGATGACGACGACGAAGAAGAAGAAGAAGAAAAGGAAGGAGAAGAAGAAGTAGCAGCCACCACAGCAACCATAGAACCCGACCAGGCAGACCCCAACGTTTCCAACGTCCGCTACCTGCACTCAAACCTCACATTCCAAGACGATCGTCTGCTCGACAACGACCAAAACGGCGTCATGATGGCCTGGGAATCTGACATCATGGCCCGCACAGCTCGCAAACTACTCCCCAACCCGGGTCTACGAGTGCTCAACATAGGACACGGCATGGGTATCGTGGATGGATTTTTCCAAGACCAGAAGCCAGCAACACACCACATCGTCGAAGCACATGCCGAAGTTGTCGAAGAAATGAAACGGAAAGGATGGCACGAGAAGCCCGGCGTTATGATTCATCAGGGTAAATGGCAGGATATCCTGCCCCAATTAGTGGAGCAAGGCGAGATGTTTGATGCCATATACTACGACACTTTCGCCGAGTCATACTCGGACTTCAGAGACTTTCTGTCGGAGCAAGTTATCGGGTTGTTGGATACGGATGGGCTGTGGAGTTTCTTCAATGGCATGGGGGCCGATAGACAGATTAGCTATGATGTTTACCAGAAAGTGGTGGAGATGGATGTCTTCGAGGCTGGGTTTGATGTTAGTTGGGAGGATATCGCCGTTCCTTCTTTGGAAGGGGAGTGGAGTGGTGTGAGGAGGAAATATTGGGTTGTGGATAATTATCGCCTGCCTTTGTGTAAGTATATGGATTAGATTCTTGATTAAATACAGTATTGTAATGCATTAAGAGGCCTATTACTCGCATTTCTTTGTCAGTTTACTATCTCACTTGTATGCCCTGAAGGTTACTTCACGGTGAGGCCAACCACCAACCATTGCCCAAAACCTCACGATGATTGTGCAATCGTCCAACCTGGTAGCCCTCATTTGGACGACTAAGCGGGCCTGTTAATAATTCAATGGAAGTTTCCATTTCATTTGTGCATCCTATGTGGTTTACTTTCTTTTTTTCCTCTTCTTTATTTCCTCACTCCACTTCTTTCTTCCAGCTCCAGTCTGCAAACGCTGTTCTTGGTTCATAACCCTTCTCGGCCTATCTCGTTGGAGTTTTGAATTGATTAATATCAGTCATCAAGTCTGTTGCATACTTCCCTTGTTGTATCGCTAAGTGTTGAGGTCAAAAAATCACTTTAATTGAGGCTTTGACATCGAAACCTCACTTCTGCATCTAAGGCTGGTCCCTTGGGACAGAGCCACCATGCCACGAACGACGGCTCGAGGTCGCGCAGCCAAGCGAACATTGAGCAGGAACGATCTTGAAAATTCTAATCAAGAAGAACTGTCATTTCGAGGTTCTCCTGTTGACGTTGATGAAGTCGTGCAGCAAGATGATGAAGTCCATCTGAGCGCGACGCGTCATGAACAAACACCCAAACCAAATGCAAGTGCCAAAGCTCGCCAAGTGACACGAAAACGACACAAGATTGAACAGCCTCCTACTTTCCCTGAGAGCGAGTTTGTCGAAATCGAGTATGTCAATCAGTTGAGGTATAACTTCTCACCAAAGAATGGGTTGGCTGGTGACTTGCCTCCTATTCATGATCTCAAGCAAATATTTGAACAAATAACTCTCCATGCTGTTCACGAGAATGGATTCAAAGAGTTCCTCAAATCGCTTAATGGACGCCAGCTACGCGTGGCCACCGTTTGTTCTGGTACAGAGAGTCCCATTCTGGCTCTCGAGATGGTTGTTTCAAGTGAGTTCTCTGCAAGACGACTCATTTTAGGTTTAACTAATCTGATGATGAATCACAGACCTGAAAAAGATGAATATTGGTCCTTTTGCTTTCAAGCATCTCTTCAGTGCGGAGATTGTCGAGTACAAACAAGCATATATCGAGCGAAACTTTCGTCCGCCTCTACTGTTCCGGGACGCAATAGAGCTTCATAGAGAGTTCGCGTATGTATATCCTCACCGAAGGCCTCGACAGCCGCTGACTTGTATATAGACACACGGCATATGGAGCAAAGAAGAAGGTTCCCACACGACCAGACCTGCTCATCGCCGGTTTCCCCTGCGTTGATTACTCCAACTTGAATAATTGGCGCAAGAAGTTTGGCGAACGTGGAGAGTCCAACGATACCCTAAGAGGTCTCGTGGCATACTGTGAGATCCATCGCCCCAAGATCGTAATCCTCGAGAACATCACAAATGCGCCTTGGGTTGCTATTGGGCGTGCTTTTGAAAATGTTGGATACTATTTTCGTCACATCAAGGTCGACACCAAGGACTTCTACCTTCCGCAAACCCGTGAAAGAGGATATGCCTTGTGCATTGAAAAGTCTCTCGTTGAAAATGGCGGAGCATTGCTTGACAAGTGGGTGAACGTGTTTTCTGGCTTTGAGCGTCGAGCAAGTTCCCCTTTCACGGAGTTCATCGATGCCGACGACGATGTTATTGAGCAACGAAAGCTGGAGCGTCCCCCTGTATCTGAGCCAAGGTCGTCGCCTGTTTGGTCTCTTTACAAGATTAGACATGCAGATGTTCGACGAGTGACTACTTTCGGTAATGGAAGGCCAATCACGCATTGGGAGGAAGGTGGTATGTGTTATCCTGCTACATGGATGGACCGGCCTTGGTTCTTCTCTCAGGTGGAACGTGTCTGGGACACTATTGATGTCAACCATCTACGAACTTTATCAGTTGGAGGTTATGACAATACCTCAAAGGTGTAAGTTGATCCCTGAACTTACGATTAGAAGGTGCTGACTGTCTGCTTTAGCCGATGCATTGATGTTTCTCAAGGTGTTGATAGAGACATGGATACAAAACCTTTCGGCATAATGAGCTGTGTAACTCCATGTGGTATGCTATACTCTACAGCCCGTGGAGGCCAAATCCAAGGACGCGAGCTCCTGTCAATGCAGGGGTTGCCAATGAACCGATTGTCCTTGACAAGAGAGTCGCAATCCCAGATGCAGGATCTAGCCGGAAATGCGATGAGTACAACAGTCATTGGACCAGCGATCATAGCAGCTCTCATAGTTTGCCATTCTGTTCTGAAAGTTGAAAGCAAAGAACAGAAGATGGATGTTGACGACGACATTGAAGAAAGTCTCCCGACCGTCGCATTGATGAGCTCCTACCTGAAGAGTATGAGAACAGTGACTTCCTGGGACAAAACCAAGGTTAATTGGCTTGGTTACCTCCAGGCATTTGCTGGATTGGCTTCGAGCCTCTGCAGTTGCGAAGGTCCGTATGGCATTGGGCGATATGGCCTCTATCGATGCATAGATTGCGGGTTCACGGCTTGTGCAGCTTGCAAAGTAAATCCTATCCACAACTACAGACCAATTCCGGTAGTACAGCTCAGAACTCGCAAAGATCCAAAATTGTTCCGAGAAATGCTTTTGTACAGTCTTCCAGCTTTATTACAGCCACCACAACTTCCGATGCACCTCTATCAATCAATGTCAGGCCAGTATTCAGCAAATACAGTCACTGGAAATATATGGAGGCAGTACCTTGAGACTATCATACTGGTTTGCCGGGATACTCTCATGTTCAAGTCTATCAAGCGAAGACACATCTGGACAGTGGTATATGATGGAGCTCATTCCACTCTACAACTGACAATTGACGCGCATGGGATGCACTGGAAGCTATTTGCAAAGGCAGCGGATGCTGAACCTGCGAAAAGCTATTTTAGAGAGGTGGTCCGACATCCAATAGCAAGCATGGAAGTAGTTCGACAAGGTTCGTCCCTTCTGGAGGGAGAATGGCAGATCTATGGACCCTTATCAAGAAAGGACAAAATGATTACTCTGCAAGGAATCGGTAATCAGATGCCTTCCTATGAGAGCATCTGTGGCCTTCCGGATTCAGCCCATAAGAAAGTCTCGAGTGCTATATTTGTTGGCGGTGAGGATGAGGTCATGAAGGGGCTGTCTTTCGATGTTCGTGGGCGATATGGTCGATTACCCAATTGCGGCGGAATTTTACAGTCTTTGCATCGTCGCGTAGAAGCGAACAAGCCGGACTTGTTCCTATTCTTGGATCCCAGAAGTTTAGGACCGAGTCAACTCGATTCTTGGGTATTCTCGACGGATCCCTATCGCAAGACTGACGATTCGCAGCGAGATATTGTTTTGCAGCTGGATTGTAAATGGACTTACCGAGATCTACAGCGTCTAGGACCTTCTTTCGCTCTGGCTTCTCATCGACAATGTATTGATGCTGGAACCATGTCTCTGATTGACTGTGACTCAGACAACGGGTTCACTAGTCGCATACTCAGTTCTCAGGTCACACTTCAGCTGAATAGCGATAGTTGCTATGACTGCTATCTCCCGCTTCTGTCAATTTCAACTGACGTGAAAGACAAGTTGAGAGAAGAGCTTCCATGGACAGTAGTAGAAACAAGCAACTTCCAAGGAAAGAAAAACCTTTCATGGGCATGGACTAGGTTCTCAACGTGGTCTCCATGTGAGAATTGGAAGTCGGTCGATATGAATTTCGAAATTTGTGAGCGGTGTTTCCCTAAGCAACCGAGGATGGCATGGGCTATTCTCAGAGGCAAGGAACGTCCCATTGAAGACCCAGAAGATGCAGCACGATGTGAGCGGGATTATAAGTTGCGACCTTCCCCATACTCCCTCTTTGAAAGATTGGATCATAAGGATGAAGAGAATAAACAAAGACGCCACAATTGTGTTGCTCTGAATGTCAAGACACTGTTCCATCGTGCATGCGGAGCTATAGCACATCGTCGAGACGATAGCACGGCAGTGGAATTTTACTGGCGAATAACCAGCAATGACGACACAGATATTCCTCGCCCAGGAAGTTATCGTATTCTGAACAACAATCAAGAACCTGGAGCAGCACAACCTCCTCACTTCAAACTCCTCCTACGACCTGATCAGCTGCGGTCCTTTCGATGGGTGCTATCACGCGAGTCGAATGAACAGGCAGGTTTCCCGGAAGAAGAGGTTGAAGAAGCTAGTTTGGGCCCTCTGAACTGGAGAGCAGAGGCAAAAGTCATCGTTCATCGTAAGATTAGGGGAGGCATTCTAGCAGACCACGTCGGCTTTGGAAAAACTGCAGTGATCTTGGGTCTAATAGACTACCAGCACGAAAAGGATGTCTTGGAGGCAGGAGAACCGTGTGACAACGCGATTCCACTAAAAGCGACATGCATTGTGGTACCTGACATTTTATTCGACCAATGGCGAGGAGAAATGGTAAGATTTCTTGGTGATAAGTACATTGTTCTTGGGATTGACAGCATTCACGTGTTGGAATCGACGGCAGTCAAAGCATTCCAGTCGGCAGACATTATTCTTGTTTCATGGACAACTTTCACGGGTACTGTGTACTTCAAGAAACTAGAAAAGGTTGCTGGAGGGCCATGTCCGCCCAAAATGAATAGCAGTGTTCGAATGTTCGAAGCATGGTCTAAAGATGTGCTTGGATCAATTGAAATCCAGGTCAGGGCATTGCAAAGCGGTGGCCCGGAAGCGTTTCTGGAAGCCATTCATCGCAAGCAGAGTTCTGTATGGGGGACTGATGCTTATAATCGTTACCTGCCATCCAGGAAGCTCGCAGGTAAGAAGGGAGGGAAGCTCAATCCTGGTGAAGATCCTCTGGCTGCCAGTAAAGCACATGGTGACGTGCTGAATAGTTCCGTCGATCATTCGTCATCCAGCTTGACGAATAATAAACCCACGAATATCTCGCCAAAGGAAGAAACTCAAATCCCAAAAGAGTCGAATAAAAATGAAAAGCTCTTTAATTCAGATTTCGGCATTCCGAAAACTCCACAGTCATCGATGGAGGACGTGAGAAACACCGTGTTTCATATGTATCGATTTCAAAGACTCGTTATTGATGAGTTCACATACTTGAACCAAGATCGCCATGCTCTGTTGGCTTCTCTCAAAGCACGTTCACGGTGGATAATGTCCGGCACGCCCCCGATCAAAGGCTTTGCATCAGCAGAGCGAATGGCTCGACTTCTCAACGTATATCTCGGTAAACCTAGTGATGAGGACTATGAGAAGAGTAAATACAAGCGATCAGGTACTTACTCTTCCGCTAAATCAAAGATCTTTGTCTAACCACAACAGAATCCGAAAACTTCCATTTCTTCAGAGAGGTTCCGAGTAGAGGATGGAATTTTCGCCGCAACGGCCTAGCACAGCATTTTTGCGATGTGTTCATGCGTCAGGTAAATGGGCAAAGAATTGGCTTAGCTTCATAACTAATAACGATCCAGAATACTCCGGATATACCACCCATCAAATGGACGGTCCACTATCGTCCCACGGTTTTGTCTGCTGTTGAGAGGGTCTTGTATCTTGAGCTGAAGCTCTTTTATGAATCATACAACCCCAATACAACAGGCGAGAAGAGAGAAAAATACAGCCATGATCAGCGCGGAAGAGTAAGCGAGATCGTCGATTCGTGTGATACTCCAGAGCAGAGCCTCATTAAGCGCTCCTCAGTATATGATGCCTTGCCAAAGTGGAGTTCTGCGAGTGAAAGAATCGACACAGCAGCAAAACTTTTAAAGCATAGGCGCAAAGAAACAGTGAAAATTCTCAGCGAAATCACGGTACAGGCAAAGGCCATTGTCTGGTTGTTGCGTCAACTTGGCCTGACCAATCCTCGATTTGACGCACTCAAAGGCAGCCTTGAAACAAATGACTATGGTGACTCTGATGTTTCAAATCGGGCGCAAGATATACTTGACGAGGCTCTGGGGTCATATCGAAATGATGATTGGAAGGAATTTTGGTATGCATCAAATGGACAGCCGGTCAAGATCGCCAGCGCTGTCACCAATATTGACGGCGAGGAGACAGAAGCAGACGAAGAAACTGGTGATGAGGAACAAGCCGGCCGAGGAGATCAGGTAGACACCAACAGCGAATACGTACCGCTATCTCAGCGAAACAAACAGACAACCCAGCCTAAGACCGATTTAAGACCACTCCCCAAAGACACATCCGAGACGGAAAAGGAACTACGAGAATGGACCAATCGATTCAGGGTGAATGTCCTTGCTTTGGTAGAGCGAATGAGGGCGTCAAGATTCGTGCAATCAGCCTATGCTTTTCAGGACAGGAGTACTTTACCCGATTGCCAAAGCTGCGGACTGGAAGACCCACGATCTCGCAAGGAACATAGCGTCTTGGGTAAATGTGGGCATACTGTCTGCAAGGATTGCCTCGAGAATGTACTCATCAACAACAAATGCACTGTCGGCGATTGTCGCGCAGCTGTAGACAAGCAATATGTGATTCCAGGCCCGCATTTCGCTATGTGCCGAACCCTCGATACGCCCACTCCCCCGGGGGGAACAAAGGTTGAAGCATTAGTCAAGCTCTTAAAGGATGAGACGTCGATCCCCAAAGAAGATCAAGTGATTCTTTTCCTCCAATTCCCGGATCTTGAACAGACGGTGACAGCAGCATTGCAACTACACAGCATCTCGTACGTCTCCGTGGGGATGACTGGTCGACGCGGCAGGAATCGGATCAAGATATTCGCAGATCACGACAAGAAAGTCGCCATCCTTCAACTGGGCACTGAGAATGCTGCAGGACTCAACCTGCAGAATGCCAATCATGTCATATTCTTTGCGCCATTCGCAGCGAAAAACCACTACGAGTATCAGAGCACCATAACCCAGTCGAGCGGCCGCGTCATCCGCTTCGGACAGAAGAAGGAAGTGCACATCTGGAATCTGGTGACGCTCAACACGCTCGAGGTCGGGATACTTCAGGGGCAGGATGGGCGTGTACTTGTAAGACGTGCTAATGGGCGGTATGAACTTGTTCTCGAGGGTGAAGTGAGGGTGGATGATGTGAAAGGGTTCGAGGTTCCCGTGTTCGATTGGAAGTAGCCTCCTTTGCTCCTTCCGTTTTGGGATTGCCATGTTCCTTGCTGTTGAGAAATTAATCATCAATTTGTGCTGCGTATTAGTTAATCTGTTCAAGAGAATGAATTTGTGATGCATGGCTTGATTTTTCTCTTTCTCGCATAAAAACCACAAACTATGACGACGGTATACTGTACAATTGAAGAAAAAGAAGAAGATTCTCAATCACCGTCTCCACAAAATCTTACCAATACCGAAGGCGCAATCCCAGCTCTATAGCGTAAGGACGACTTCTGCAAGCATAACATAATGAACAACAGATGTAACCGACTATCCTCGCTTACAACTCTCCATCCTTTCTCATCATCTGTTCTGGGTTCCAGGTGACCTCCTTGAGATTCGTCAATCCGGCACTGTTCTCGCATGTGTCACGTCCACTGAGAGGACCGGGAGCAGGAATCTTGGTGGCAGGGTTGGCGGCTGATTCCTTGAGGGCGGTCAAGAGCTGGGTAATAGACTCGGGAGTCAAATCTTCGTAGTAGTCGTCGTTGATCTGGACCATGGGAGCATTGACGCAGGCCCCAAGACATTCAACCTCGATATAAGTAAACAGGCCATCCTCTGTGGTGTGGCCGGGGGTGATGCCGAGGTGCTTGTTGATTGCCTGAACGATCTTGTCGCTTCCGCAGCCGCCGAGTTGGCAGGGTGTCTAACATCATTAGTCCGTGTTCTTACCATCCAAAGCATCCAAAGCAAAGAGTAAATCGCGTTCTTACCGTTGTGCAAACCTGGACAAAGTATTTGCCCACAGGCTCTCTGTTGTACATGGTATAAAAAGTCGCGACTTCATAAACTCGCATGGGAGGCATTTCCAACAAACGAGCAACCTCGTTCATGACACTAATGCTGGTGAATCCATGCTGGCGTTGCCCGAGGTCGAGAAGGGGCATGACAGCAGCCTTCTTGTACTGGGGAGGGTACCGTTTGAGGATCTCATCGATGATTTTTTCGTTCTCGGTGCTGAACTTGAAAGGGATGGATGGGTTGTTTTCGGGTTTGTTGCGGTGCTAGCCAGACGATGTGTCAGTATCCCGATGCAACTATACATTCTAGTATACAAATAGTAGTCGTCGTGAATGTGGAAGGTGACCGCGACGCAACGCAACGCATAATGTAGGTTCTGCTTACCACATGGAGCGTATCGCTAAGTTTAGGTGCAACCGCGGAGAATGACCGCCATTGGGGTCTGGCAATCTGTGGAATAATCTGACGGGACGAGCGCACAACGGCGGGGAATAGTTTGGAGGCCATTGCTGGCGAGGTTGTGGTTGAATTGAGAGGMGTGAGGTTGTAGGATTGTGGTTTGGTGAAGTTCGGAGCGCGGAATTCGAAGTGGTCGGGTGGGAAGCTGGCTGGCCAATCAGAGATGAGTCAATCCTTTTTAGTCATGGCACCAGCCAATCACAATTGATGATTAGTTATTTGGCTATCTACCTGAAATGCTTTACAGGGCTTTGATTTTGGATGATAATCCTGATAATACCATAATATCATACGCTAATTTGCTTGCTACTGCTGACTTTGACTCATGGGATAACATGCTGATGCTGCCGCCGCCAATAATGATGTAATAATAGATACTGGACCACGGTCATCCCTCCAGATGATGAATCAAACCTCCTCCAATTTATAAACCTCATACGCAGGCTCCTCATACGGATGCGCCTTCACCAAAGCCTTGACAGCATTGAGCATCGTATCTCTGCCCACGCACAGAATCTCAACCTTCATCTCCTCGACATGCTCCAAGGCCCCTACAGCCCCGATGTTTGGATTCGCGCCATTCGCGGGTAAGAATTGTCCAGTTCCTGGAGTCTGGAAACAGCATTTGGTGTATTTACCTCCAGGAAAGGTGCCTGCACCTGTGGAGAAGATGGCTTCTTTGCAGGACTCGAGTTGGGGATGGGGGACGAAGAAGATTAGCTTGTACCGATCTGGTGTTGCTGATGACATTTTTGCGCTTAGAACGTTGTATATAGGGAAGCGGTGGTTAATTCGAACTGATTTCACGGGCAGGTGCGTGATTGCGCTAAACATCAGTAACTTTCAAAGTACTGACCCTGTTGATGTGGATGAGGGGTGCGCAACACGAGACGATTAGTTGGCGATGAAGCTGTGATCGGATTAGTCATCTGTGCATATACCACAACTTCGATACAACTTTACCTCTGCGGAATATTCGTGAGACGAGATGAATAATGATGAATGCTTAAGTGTGATGGTAGGATTCAATTTTCTTGATGGGTATCGTCGGGGGTATGACATGGCTATAGCTACAAGTGTACGATCAAATGCATGGATGAAAATACAGCCCACTCCGATCACTGGTGTGCCCGCACATGCTCATCCACTCTTTTCAACAACTCCAACTTCCTCTCCTGCTCAACCCAACTTCCATGAATACTATTTTCCGCAATCGTCCTCCATTCCTCAATACTCAAATCAAACGCTTCTTGAACACTGCAATAATTGTGCAAAATGAACCCCCCAAAGTATGCCGGATCATCACTGTTGATCGAAAACTTGACGCCGGCGTTCAAGAATGTCCGGATAGGTACTTTGCTTATATGATCGAAACATCGTAGTTTGACGTTTGATACGGGGCAGACGGTGAGTAGAATTTCGTCGCGGGCGACTTGCTCCATTAATTGGGGGCTGTCGATTAGTCTGATGCCATGGTCGATTCGTTGTGACTTGTATGATTCAAGTGCAGCCTCGATATAGGTTGGATCACCCTCTTCGCCGGCATGGGCAGTCCTTCGAATCCCCTTTGAATGTGCTGTCGCATAAATCTCCTTGAACATATCCTTTGGCGGACCAACTTCAGAAGAAGAAGCGCCAATGCCGTGTAGTGCGCCGGACTCAAAATGACCGCCCTCAACCGCAAGATCAAACACCTTTTGCGCATCACTTGCAGGCAAATGCTTGACAAAACACATAATGAGCTTCGCCGTGATTCCGTATTCCGTTTCAGCTCGTTGACAGCCCGCAACGAATCCATTCACAACAGTTTCAAAGGGCACACCTCGGTTGAGATGTTCTTGCGGATCAAAAAATACCTCCGCATGATGGACGCCATCGGCATGCGCTTTTTGGAAATATTCCCAAGCCAAGTCTTCAAAGTCACTTTGCTGCTGGAGTACAGACATGCCGATAAAGTAGTAACTGAGAAAATCGTCAAGAGAGGTGAAGCGTTCATATCTTTCATACAAAGCCTCAGGAGAGGTGAACTCTGGTCGTTTATCTGTGTCGGGTAGGCAGACTCCATTGCGGGCTGCCAGATCGAACATGAGTTCTGGCGTGAGACATCCTTCGAGATGGACGTGGTGTTCGCATTTTGGAAGATGCTGTAGAAATTGGTGGAGTTTTGTATTGCACATTTCGTTTTATTCTCCTAGTATGATATTAGAATGAGTAATTAAGAGTTGCTTCAAATGTATCATACGCCTTTCACACGAGTCGTACCTAGGTAGCAGGTTTATGCACTGTATGATGTTTGTACACGATGTCGGGTTTCAGTGATCGTCAAGGATTATAAATACCTCGATCTACGTCCAGGGTCTTCAAAGCTATCAAGATAAGATTTTTTTTGATCCACAGCTTTTCGGAGACCGTAAAAAATGTCGAACACGGAGATATATACGCATCCAGAAATTCGGTGCGGTTGGGATCAGGGGAAGTCTTTTTTTGATGGTATCCACGTTGATAGGTCACCGGATTTCGGCCGTCTCCGATACAAACCTTCACCTACGAGAAAATTCGATAGAGATAGTAACATAGTCCTGGTATCTATATGCCTATCTACAAGATTACTTCCTGTTCAATACGATCATTGATCGATTCTCTTTATAGTTTCAGATGCAGATCTTTGGCTCTATTTAGCCAGGGTCTCAATCCCATTGAGCAAAAGTTTTTCAACTTCCAAGTTTCAAAACTACAAGTGTCATAATATTCTACCAATTGCTACATCTTCGTCCAAGTTCCTCAGTAGATCCATATCATACATCGCCATCTTCTCCATCAGGCAGAGCTCTCATTTAGTTCCGGCCCGGAACCATGTAGAAATGCATATCTTCAGTTCATCACCACATTCTTGACCGGGTGGATAAAACAATTTCGCCTTCAGGTTTCGCCCATCGACTTTCAAAACAATTCCGTACTCTATTGGGAAGTACTCCTTGTCATTCTCAGCCAGCTTGGGCTGGATGGAGCCGTTGTTTCTATATTCATTCTGATTCGCTTCAACAACTCTAGCAATTTCGGCATCTAGACAAAGGAAGAGTATGGCGACAACAGAAGGCTGCGATGAGATTTCAGTGTATTCCCTTACCCGCATTCAAAGATTGATGAAAATGGATGATCCTTGACAGGGGTTTGAGAAGCATAGAGCCTTTGACGGACAATCCAATCTTCCCCCATCGCGATATATTGGCAGAGGGTCGATCTGTATGAAACGTGCATTCCCATCGTTTTGTTCTACGTAATTTTGGCAATTAACAAATCTCTAAACCGAATAACGGAGCCAGGAAGCTGGAAAGAGAGGATGACATACCAGCTTATCTGTGGAACACCTCTGGCTCAATATTGAGCCTCCAGCCCCTCTTCTTAATGCCTTCTTCGCGAGACTTCGAGCACATCGCCGCGAGTCTTTTGGCTTGTAAACTTGTTTGTACTTTCCATGGCTTGTCAATCGACTCGACAGAGATACTTGCTCTGTATTGAGTAAGTTCTTGTTTACCAAGCTGTTGTACGTCTGCAAACAGTCTGCTGTGAGTCTCTGGCCAGCGGCAAGAAGTTACCGGTCCTAGAAAGTGAACATTAAATTGATCTGCGTGCTCACGACGAGTGCGGTATTCCGGAGCTTGTATTTTGAGACTCCCAAGGGCCACCTCTTCAGGACATTCCGAGAAGAAAAATAAGATGAGGAAAACAGGAAAGAACCCGCGTGTACGTGTATTACTTCAGAAAATGCAATCCTCATTCCAATATATGACTTTGTATTGTCTGGTGAATAATGGGCGAGGAGGCTGTTGTACAAACACACAGGGGTCCTGGCAAGGTACACCGCGCAAAATTGATAACTACGTGAGCGATGAGCCAATTATATCTTTGAAAGTTATTACAGCGACATGGTCAGATACAGCGAACTAATCAAATGGACGGCAAGTTGCGGCAGTAGTCACATGTATGGATACCGGCCGTCTTTTGAAGTAATAGACCGCAATTTCTTCTTAGTTTTCTCTCGCCGTCACAAGCCAATCATTCAGACCAAACCTGTTCTACAAACTCGACGATATCGTCTGCAAGTTCTTGAGGACATTCAAGTGCGGCGAAATGGCCTCCCTATACGAGATATAAGCATACATTTGAGCCGGTTCTTCTTATATAACGAATGGAAGTCTCACCTTTGTATGTTCTTTCCAAAACACCAAGTCACCCGTGAGTTTAGCCCACGATCGAGGAGCAGGTATGATCTCTAGCGGGAAGTATGAAAAACCGAAAGGCTTATGGATGTAATTCTCTGGTTGTTGTGCAGGAGGGACAGGTGGAGGAGGATAGGTCTATTCTCGATGTTAGATACATACCAGACCCACCAGGATAGATGCTCATACCTCGCGATAGGTGTAGATGGATCGTGGAAAGGTCTCTGTCAACCAGTATAGCGTGGCTTCTTGCAAGATTGTTCGGAGTGGGATTGGGTTGCGTTTGTCAGGCCAGTCTAGGAATCTCTCCCCGATCCTGATGACTTGAGTAAAACCACGTCTTGACTTCTTTTTACTGGGTATTCTTACCATGTGAGGAGAGCAATTGGATTTGTGGACAATATGTGACTGATTGTGCTTGGCCGAGTTGCGTGGTCCATATAGTAAGCAGTGCCATAGGTACTGAACCATTCTGCTCTCTTGAGACCTTCTTGTTCAACGGCCGAGTATTTGTGCTCTCCCTCAGGCGGGTTGACGCGTCCTAGAAAGTTCACTGCGCGAATATTAAGCTAGGAGCTAGTCTTAGACTTTGATAAGATACGTACAGTGCACAGCTAATGAAACAAGCGTTAGGAATAGTTAACTTCATTTCCCACTGGGCCGGATTCTGTTCAACTTTACATACCTTTGCAGGAGTCATATTTTGTACCCAAAATACGACTGATTTTAGACCCTACATCACCTCCCTGGGCAACATATCCATTCCCAAAGCCGAGATTGACCATAACTGTGTTCAAGATTCTGGCGGCATCAGGTGAAGTAAAATCTCGATCAACCGGTGGACCGGAAGAGAATGTATAGCCGGGCAGAGAAGGTACAATCAGGTGGTAGGGTAAAGTCGAGGGTTCATACTTCTCGCGGAAAATTGTCAGGAGTGGTAGGAATTCCAGGAAGCTTCCTGTACGATGTTATTACCATCAGTCCCTTCTAACGAGTCGCTTAGCCAAACATACCAGGCCATCCGTGGAAAAAAGCAATTGGCTTCGCATCTTGCTTCTCGGAGAACAATGCCACAAAGTGAATTCTTAAACCCTCGATTTCGTATGTAAATTGCGGAAACCCATTAATCTCTTTCTCGGTTTCTCTCCTGCTCGATCACATTCAACAAATTACTATATATAATCGCGTATTCATATATGTTTGAGTACAGCCTACCAATCAAACTTCTTCCACTCCTCTTTTGCATTTGCCAGCCAGCTGCTAGGGACTCCAAGTCTGCCATCCTCTTGAGAACCTTCGTAGGTTGGCGGCGCAGTCTTAGACAGTCTCACCAGAGTTTTCAATTCTTCGATTTGCTCATCTGGGATAGACACAGTGAACGGCTTAGGCTGGACCTTTGCGCCTGATGGTATAGTAGCAAATTTGAGAGTCATGTTGTCGAGATTGTATCAACGTCGGATTGATGATGCGTATTGTAAGAGAGAAATGGCGCTTTTAAGCTCACAAAACGCTCAATGATTATTAAGCGGTTGTTGCCTAAAAGTAAATTAATCAGTAAGAACTATGAAGTGAGGCCAATAAGGGCTGTATACAAAGACGTCATCACCACCAATCAGACTCGGTGCTGATAAGATAAAAAAAAAAACCTCAACTAATTTTTGTAAAATCCATAACTACAACCTTGTTCTGACGCATACACTTCTTTGAATCATTTCTCATGTTACAGGAATATTAATAGTGCTCTCTCGTTCGTCGCGTGCCCAAGAACTTCGTCCACCTTAGAAACAGCACCCGACTCAAATTGAACGGCGGGTTGCGACAGTCACGATACCACCGAACCCCGCCCTTTGCACCTTCAAAACGATTACGAGCAGACTCACAGACAGTCACACTGTTCTCCTCATTCCGCCGCACTTTATGCCGCGTCCGGCGCACTCTGTCCACAATGACCGAACGACAAACCCGCATCCTCCCCGTCCAACGCCTCAACAAACCCCTCGCACACAACAAGACCGTCGCTCAATGGTGGGCCGAAGAGAAAACCACAAACACACCAGAAGCCGCCGCCGTTCTTGAAGCAGCCGAAGCTCTACGAACAAGCGATATCCCCGTCGGATTCCCAACAGAAACCGTATATGGCCTGGGCGCAGATGCGACGAGGAGCGCATCAGTGCAGGGGATATACAAAGCCAAAAAACGGCCGTCAGATAATCCCTTGATTGTGCACGTAGACTCAATTGAGATGGTTAATCGATTATTGAATCCGGACGGAAGAAGCTCGATGACGAAAATCCCCGCGATCTACGAACCACTGATATCCCGCTTTTGGCCTGGAGCACTTACGATCCTCCTTCCCAACCCGGAGGGGTCGTTGCTGGCGAAAGAGGTCACCGCAAATTTACCTACTTTCGGCGTGCGAATGCCCTCCTCTGCGTTTGCGAGACTTTTGATTCATGTCGCCGGCAGACCCCTCGCTGGCCCCTCGGCCAACGCATCTACAAAGCCCTCCCCGACAACCGCACAACACGTCTACCACGACCTACAAGGCCGAATTGACATAATCCTAGACGGAGGACCATGCGGCGTCGGTGTTGAGAGTACAGTCGTCGATGGCCTGTCCGATCCACCCGCCATCCTACGGCCAGGTGGTATTGGGATAGAAGAAATAAAAGCCTGCCCGGGCTGGGAGAATGTGCAGGTTGGATACCACGATAGCGCATTGCAGAGTAAAGAAGCGCCCAGAGCGCCCGGCATGAAGTACAGACATTATTCGCCTAAGGCGCGTGTGGTTTTGTTTGAGGCTGGGTCGGACTTGAGTCAGGTTGCGGGTCGGGTGACGCAGGAACTGGCAAGTAGTCAGTCTGCCAATGATTCATGTGGAAGGAAAATTGGGATTGTGAGGACAAAGACTTGGCCTCTCGCGATTCAGTTAGCTTCAGACGCCAAAGCGTCAGCGCAGACTCAACAGACCTCATCAGACAACGACGACACCCTCCCCATCCGCCAGATATCAACGCGCATAAAAGACGTTTCTACTACGATATTCGATGTAAACTTAGGCTCAAGTGCAGAGTCTATCGCTCGCGGTCTCTTCGCTGCATTGCGAAGTCTGGATGCCGAAAATGTGGACGCAATCTATATTGAAGGAATTCGTGACGATGAGGGTGATCTTTCGGCGGCTGTGATGAATAGACTTAGAAAAGCGGCTGAAGTTTTTGTTACTATATGAAGTGTTGAAATAGAATCTTAATGCATGTACATAGGAGTTTGAAGCATATCTATATATTCTAGCTAATGAACTGGAAACCCCGCTCTATCTTTCCTCATGTCATGACATTTATATACAAAGACAGTCATTGCACGATCAAAACACCTTTAGTACGTTAGTACAGATCCCGCCCCCAACAATGAGATTTACTTACTGCGCCACCGATGATGAATAACCTCTCTTCCTCTTTTTGTACCCATTGACGAATCTTATTTGCTCCTTGCGAGAGAGCGGTGCGAGTCGCATCTGGCCCTGCTACACAGTAGAACTCAAATATGGGTGTTACCCATGCAAATGCGCTTGTGGATTTGCTGGTGCCGTAGTGTATTTTGACGTGTGTGTTCCGCGCATGGACACTTTCATGGAGGGAATTGTAGGTTGATATCAACCTAGAAGACTTGGCATGAGTAGTCAATCCTTTAATTCCATCAGATATGATGCATACCTTCGATGTCGAGTGAGAGATGCGAAATTAGGTGCGTACGAAGACATGACGAATTGGACGTGGGCTTTGGATTTGTATAGAAAATGCCTCAGAGCAGTATCCGGGACAATATCTGTTGGCGACGGTCTGCCCTTCTTGATTGCTTCCTTCATAATATTCAAGCTACCGCTTTTGCGCATTTGCTGTCGACACCAATGTCAGTCAAATGACTCAGGAAATGAATGGTACATGCATACCTCGACAAGTTTATTGCACATCTCTTGAAGCTGGAAGAAGCTCTCTTTATCCGCACTTATGAGGACTATAGCGACAGACTCATCTTTCGGCGTATCGTCGTCCGTAATCAGGCCTCCCGACTCGTCATTGAGGTCTATGAAACTGACATACATGTACAGATAACCCGTACTATTGAAACCAGGTAAACAAACAGGGATCCAACTCTCGCCACCACCGGCTTTGACGCCATCAGCTTCGAAAATCATATTGAAGAGAAGCTGTAAATCACCCGGGTGAAGAGAATGTTTCTTTGGCCGGACTACGCTGACCAAGCGGCCGCCAGCGACCACCAGACCATACAGCAATTTTTCCGCTCTATTTTTCAGTAAAATATTGTTGATAACTTGTCGATGCGCTTTGCGTAATCTCAAACACTCCAAAGCTGACAACAGAGCCGTTGGGGAGCCCTTCGTGAAAGAATCGGCGAGTGAAGAAAGTAATGTTTCAGTGCCCTGCAAAGGTCTCTTGAGGTCTGTAGATGGACGTATTGAAAAGAGATGATTTAGTGCCGGAAGTGTCAAGGTTGATAATATCTGCATATATAACGCATCAAGTTGCAGCCTCAGATGACTTTCGCTTTCCACTAATCGACTAATAGCAACCAAATATAGTGGAGTCTTCGAGAGAATTACAATTTTCGTATCTCCTGCTGTGAAATTCCGCAAAGTATCGTCTGCGTCTTGGTAGAATGAGATGATCGTTTGTATTATACCGATATAGCTCGAGACTAAACCGCTGTCGCCATGTCGAGTATAAATTGGCTTTCCAGCAGCTGATAGAATCAAGTAATGCTTTCGCTTTTCTTTCCATCTCAAGAGGAGTGCCTCTGTTGCCATATACTTAGCAGGTTCCTAGACGTAGAAAAACTTCCTGCTTACCTTCATTTTGGCCATCTTCATCTAAATCCCCTATCGGCTCAAATTCCTCCACAAAACCGTGCTCAGTGCCGTCCTGCGGGTACTCATCATGGCCCAGAATTTCAATATTTCCAGAGTCATCCTGCGCATTGGCTTCATTCGCAAACTCTCCAAAGAGGCTTTCATCCTGACCCTCCTCAGAATTCGGTGCATAGCTTATCACGCTCGCAGTGTCGCCGGCTTCGCTCCCACGAGCACTATTCAATTGACTCAAACTAGCTTTTGCTCGTAGTCCCCGCCCTAATAGAGTGCGCCCAAAGCCTGCAACAAACCCATCCCTTCCGTCCGCATTTGTTTGACCGGTGATATCTGTCAATGAGAGCGCCGTTGTCGCGTGCGATTGCAGGTTTGGTCTTGTGCTGGATGTACGAAAAGCATTTCCTTCATTCAGAAGATCAATAGTTTCGGGGCGCGGTGGTAGCGGTGGTCGTACTTCCTCTGAGTTGTCTGTCTGATTACCTGGTGTTTGCTGAGTCTGGTCGTTCTGGACTTCAGCTTCATGTTGTCCCTCTTGTGTAGTTGAGGGTACGTCGTTCGCAGTTTCCATCTTTTTTCATGTTGCAAAAGTAGAGGGAACAGTCCCTGAATATTCGATTGTGAAGTTGTCCTCATCCATCCATGATGTTGTTGGAAGAAAGTGCAGAAGGGCAGAATGCGGAAGGAAGAGGGGTGACGTAGCGCAGATGGTTACAACTTGGTGTTACTTACCGTACGGTACAGGTACGTTACATACTCACTACATACAGAAAAGTTCAGCCAATCAGATCACCCTATCACAAAGCCCTAATCGGACATGAACTTGTCCAGCGTACCTTATTGCCTGAACTAGAACTCCTGTTCTTAAACATGGAAGAGAAATTGAATTATCCAAAGACAAATACCAGAGACTAGATGGAGTTGATAAAGGTGGTCACGACGCCGATGGTGACCGGAAGTCCACCAGTCTTACTGTTCCGGTCTTGAGATCACCAGTGGAAAATTCAGCCAAGCGGCCTCAAATCCAGAAACCATGATGCCGCTGATATAATTTATTTGCATCTACAGCAAGAGATGTAATTGCGGACATGAGAGTGCAGGGTATCTATACATGCACTGATTGTCACACAGCTAAGCGCCCGGTCAGTCAAATCCCTCTCTGACATTCCATTTTCGCGATTCCATTTTCTTGGTCTCAACTCAGTCCGCCGTACCGTGGGTGAGCTTAGGAATTCTTGGAGACCTAGAGCTGCCCAGAAGAGAGCAAGTCTGAGGGCGGCGATCCCACCGGAATGACGGTTGTACCTACTGGCCAAGGAGCGAGACATTACCGGGCCCTATTCGACTTTTGAAGAAATTCGGATCACCAATCGATACAACACCGCCATTGTTAAATGTGTCTGGTTCAAGAAGTAAAGCTTGGTCCGAGTGACATGGGCGTTCTTTAAAGTTGTTGCGATTGCCCAACAGCTGGTATAAGGCTGCGGTGCTTATGTTGACTCTGTATAAATGCTGATCACGTCTGCCCTCAGAGCAGTTGCCTCCATGACATCTTCTTGAATCCGGCTCTCAACAGCGTTGAAGAACTTAATGCCCATCTGATGGCTCATGGAACGCCCTTAGGACCTCTTCATGGACTGTCAATCAGTCTCAAAGTATTCTAGGCGGCTATGTTCGAATACCTGCTGCGTTCTGTGAGACTTTCTCTCTGAAACCAACGCGTAACCGCCTCTCTTACCGGCTGGAATGTGGCAAATGTCGTAAGCTGTGACTTCCTTTGTCCTCGTATCTATGTGAATAACACTTGAAAAAGATTCCTGGAGAAACTGCTTGTGCTTCTTCAGTGGGTGTAATGGGCACCACTTTTTATGCCTAACGCTTAGTATTGGGTTTGATTTTTTCTTCGTAGCCCTGGATCTGTGACCTATCCTGATTGCTCAATTTAGTTTCTCTGCAAAACAGAGTAAAATCAGTACCAAACAATCACCAATTCTACAAGACAAATCATGACGCTTGCAGTATTTCCCACATACTAGCAGAACGTCTCTATTGAGCTAGTTAAGTGTACAATCACCGCTGTCTTTGTGGCTTATCCCTAAGATTCGCCTAGGAACAAACTCAGAACACAGTTTCTGTACTAAACTCTGAAGTAGTCCATGAGAAACTAGATGATATCTGCCCAGCTGTGTTCATTCACTATCTCCAAGGCGGCGCCGTGTATTGGGCTTTTTAGAAGTATGCTTGCTCCTGCGCGAAGTAATGAGACAGCTGTCTCCGTATGGCTTTATTGATAGGCTACCATTAAGGCAGTACACCAAAGCGGGTATGTCTTTTCTACAATTCTGCTGCTTGTAGGTATGGGCACCCATATAGGGTTAGGTGAGGCTCCCCTTCCAGGTAGTAATAGAGTCTCATCTTGTTGTGAGAAATTCTACTATTGCCGTGTGGCCTGCAGCAGCAGCCGAGTAGTAATGGGGTCTCGTCTTGTTGTAAGCCTTCCTCGACTCCCGCAACGAGACGTACAACAATTTCACTCCATTCGCCTCACCTTTGTAGCGACAGTGTTTAAGAAGTGAAGATCTGGGCCGTAGATCGGCGCCATTTCTTAGCAGTGAATGGATGATACTGTGGAGACCACGCTGTTCGGCTTGAGTGAGTGTGGTGGAACGAAGCAAACACACCTGAGGACATTATGAAAGCAGCTCTTATATTCCTGCTCGCTATTGCTGGTTCGTCCTGCGCATCGCCTGCATGCAGCACCGGCAGCATTTACCAAGTTATTCCAGATGTGAGCAAGAAGAAGCACATACAATTGATATATGTATTAGTGGCAGCTCAGGCGTCAATAAGAATAACGGAGAGGACGAGTTCACCGCCTGGCTAGTGGCTATGCTTCAATACTAGTACGGTAAGGTATGTACAATACGGCCAGGCGGATACGTAATCCGCGGCATTCGTGGCCTTTGACCCAAAACAAATACTTTCTTTCTCACGATCCTAACACGACATCACTTCCCATTGCGACTACGTGATCCTTATGCCTCAATTATGAGCCCGCTAAGATCGATTATAAACAGCCCGCTACCCCTGCTATTGGCATCATGAGCCTCGATCCAGGCGGATTCTCTCGAACCGATTCCCCCGCAAGCTCCGATAGCTCCCTCGCCCGCTCCAGGCTCCGTACCAATGATGACGGTTTGTGCTTGTGAAAATGATAAGAGGCGATGTCACCTGCTAATTTACATGAAGAGAACTTAAGAAAGGATAAAAACTATCGGCGGTATGCATCGACTGTCGAGCGAGCGTTGTCTCTGTTCGATACCACACTACAAGAATGGGCCGATTACATTTCGTTTCTGAGTCGCCTTCTGAAGGTGCGCATGCAATTGAACAATACTTGGATATTATCTTGACTGCTTTCTGACAGCTTCTCATAGGCGCTTCAATCACACCCCCCCGACTTACCGGTCGTACCACATAAGACTACCGTTGCGAAGCGATTAGCACAATGTTTGAATCCGTCGCTCCCCTCTGGTGTGCACCAGAAGGCCTTGGAGGTGTATACATATATCTTTGGCTTGCTAAAGGTATTTAAAATATCTTGATATTGTCTCGAGACTGCATAGTACTCACAGCACTTGTAGCCTGAAGGTCTTTCGCTAGATCTTCCCTTATACTTTCCTGGCGTCGCCCCAACTCTTACATTCGCCTCTCTTTCGGTTCGGCCACTGTTCATATCCCTCCTAGAAACATACCTGCCGGAACTAGAGCCGATGACAATTCGTCCCGCGCTGAAAGCTATAATCTTAGCATTACTGCCCGGCTTGGAGGAGGAAACAAGTGATGACTTTGAACCGACCCTCCGCACGCTCAACAAGATTCGCAATGTAGCTAGCCAGATGGACACGCGGAGATCTAGCTTAAGTGCGAATGCCGGCGGCCAGTATTTTTGGCAATGCATGTTCCTCGCTTCAATCACGAACCCTAGCAGACGGCTCGGTGTTTTGGCTTATCTCAACCGCCATCTCCCCAAATTAGGACTCGAGAAGCAAACCGGTTCAGACGCAGGAGACGGTCAACTAGAAGGGGCAGATTCAGCAGCCGTCGTCGAGTCTGTCATTTCTCCAGAGCCCGGTTTACTCATTAGATGCTTTGCCAGCGGCCTGACTGACGATCAATTGCTTGTGCAACGCAACTTCCTCGACTTATTAGTGACGCATCTGCCGCTACACTCCCCAGTTCTGCAATCAAAAATAAGGCGCGATGACCTGGAGAAGTTAATTCTGGCTGCAGCCGGGGTCGTGCTTCGGCGAGATATGAGTTTGAACAGGCGACTTTGGGCCTGGTTTCTCGGCCCGGAACCCACGCAAGCTCTCGTTACATCTCCTAATCCTAATGCAGAAAGAGAGCAGGAAAAGTCGACAGAAAACCAAGAGCAGTCGCAATCTCGGTATTTTAGCAAAAATGGATTAGATCCTTTGGTCCGTGGTCTTCTCAAGTCAATCAATCAAGACACGTTGCAGGCATCTCAGAAAAGCCGGCCTTTGCGCATTGCCTTGTCCCTGATGGATCGTTGGGAAGTAGGTGGCTTTGTCGTCCCTGCCGTTTTCCTGCCGATTATGCGAAGTGTACAATCGTTCGAAGGAACAGCTGACAAGTCACACTTTGAGGAGCTATTCCGGAGCGCAAGTGCATTTTTCGACGGCGTCGAAAGTGGCCTCATCTTTTCAGAACTGCTATATCTCATTCAAGGAGATACGAGAGGACAGAATGAGCTTTTCGAGAAAAGGGAGAATGACCTTATGCTCGCCCATTTCGTACTTGCGAATTTCAATGTCAGAGAAGAAGAGATGTTACTTCTTCATATTCCTCTGTTGACTCTGGCGGCATTGATTGAAGCCAACGAAATAATATTGACGAATAGACGAGGTTGGCCACTGGAGCAGACTAATCTATACACTCAGCATCTCTTCAAATTACTCAATTTGACACTAAATCTCTTGCCTGAGAGAGCATTTCTTGTCAAGGTTGCTTCCGAGAGTCTAAAAACCGATCCCCGTGAACTGGATAATCAGACTATTGTGAAGAATATTCGGCTATTTTATGATCGCAGCAAGGAAAGCCTTGAATTACCTCCCTTGCCCTTCGCTCCACAGGTTTTATCGGAATTAATACTACGTGCGGCATACCGGTTGTCCATGTCGGTTCTTGAAAACCACCATGGTAGTCTTTCTATGAAAGAGACGCTGGGTATTCTTACTGGGCTTTTTAAAAAGACACCAAAATCTCGAATATTGGCAGATGGCCATCTAATACGAGCGTTTCAAAAGGCTTTAGACTGTGACAGGTCACAACTCACCACGCAAAGGTTCGCCGTTGTCTCAACGGTTGTTTTAGTGGTTACTACCCTGTATGGTATCCATACTCATGGCTTCTATGTCACTTACGAGCAGCTCTGTGACCTATTGCCGGCATTAATGGACCACCTTTGGGCATTCTTGTCACCCGAAAGCCCAAAGTTTCATGTTGAGGCTGTCCGTTGCATTGGTTCACTGCATTCAATTACATGGCAAGATCACGCTGTTGAGGCTGCCATTACGTCTCTTATGGTCGAAGTTGATTCTCCTCAAAACGTATCAACATCCAACGTTCGGCATGTTGAAAGATTCTGTGTTCTATGGAATCATAGCCTCCAATGGGGTCACGAGTCACCAAATCGACCTTCAGAAGGAAATTTTGTGAATGGAAAGGTCTTCGCGGATCGTTCTGCATCTCATGTTTCCCTACTTAAACGGCCTTTGTTCGTAATACTGGATTTATTATCACAAAACTCTGATGAGGTCTACCAAGTTGTCCGCGATTGGATTCAAGATATGCCATCAATCCACCGGTGAGTGGCTGACTTTTGCTTAAATCCGTTGTCTATGCTGATTTTTTCATTAGAGTTCTCCATGTAATTGTGTCTAAGCTTGAAGAGCTTGTAAATGTTGATAGCAATGGAGACAAGGCTCAAGGCTTGATCGATCCCGATGACCGAAGGGAATGCCAATATTTGCTCCAGACTCTCTCCAATCTCATATCATGTCTTTCACAAAATGGTTGGATTACCTTAGTTTCGCAACCCGTGTCCCAGGTGGAGCAGCCCCACGAGTCACAAACCCCAGAGAGTAAGGTTATCAGGATATTTCATCAAACACATGCTGATTGATATAGATGCAGCGGAGCAAAAGACTTTTCAAATAGCAATTGCCGAGATTTCACTCGCCTTGGTTGGATCTCAATCAGGTTCAGACACTCAGATATCTGTTGAAGAGCAAATCTTGCAGCGTACAGCACTTTTAGTCCTTCGACAGTTGCTAATTGGTCTTGGTTCTGAACAGCTTATTGATACCAACATACACATAATTCTCATTGAAAAACTATCCATTGCACTGGATCAAGGCAGTCATATACTTCAGACGACCACTATCGAGACATTACTGGTTGCGCTGAAAGCCAAATTTGCTCATGTCTTGCAACCCCCTACGCAAAAACATAGAAGGACAGGATCCAAGGGTTCCATAAGGAGTGCTTCGCTTCTTTCGCTTAGTACGTCACTGAGCACAGATCGGGTCGATAAGCTACATCAACCGGCACCTGTACCACAACCACCTGAGCAGCTTTTGAACTGTCTGTTGAAGGGTATCAGCTCTCCAAACTCACGCGGTTGTCTAGAGAAATGGATATTGCTCTTGAGTGAAAGCCTTCCGCTGTATGGCGAATCCATTTTTCAAATTCTCTTGATGCTTGTGGAGTGCTTTTGTCGGGAGATAAGAAACTCGTTCTCCAGTCTACAGGAAATGTTCGAAAAGAAAGAAGGCTGGTCAGAAGACCGATCAGAGCATGTGACGATCGTTTTATTGACTGGTCTCGAGACTTGTATTGCAGCATCTCATGAGCGTCTGCACGCCGAAGAAGTTACTATCTCGACTGCTAGAAGTCCTGACCATCCGCAAACCTTTTTCGGAAACATGGTGTCCAATGTATTTGTTTCGGACGGAGGACCAGCGCGAAATGTGGCCAATGATAGATTGACAGTATTGCTGTGTTTCCAAGATGCTGTTCGATTGTGCTTTTCAATTTGGTCTTGGAGAGCAAACAGCAAAGGCAAAATGTCTCTTGATACAGAATCAATCGCATCGTTTCAGTATACGTCTTTGCGGATGAGAAACCGATCTCGGGCCTTGTTAGAGCATCTGTTCACTGCAGAAGCACTAGAATGCCTTGAAACGCTAGTCGAGCTCTGGAGCAATTTAGGTCCGTCAGAGACCAGTAAAGCGTCTCATATCTTCAGTCTTTTGCATACACTCGATAGAGCTCGCCCAAAGGTCATTATTCCGGCGATTTTCAACTCGATATATAGCCGAACCAACCCAGCTGCTTTGGATCCTACCCGCAAGTCAACGTTGGCCTCAAGTATTTCCGAATCTGAACTTGCGGCATTTTTAGTCACATATGCTCGATCACTAGATGATGATGTATTGGACGAAATCTGGGGAGATTGTACGACATTCTTGCGTGACGTTTTGACCAATCCGTTTCCGCACCGACAGATATTATCTCGGCTTGTTGAATTTGCCGGTATACTTGGCGCAAAGATGGAAAATACCAATTTTGGAGATGACCGTCGAATGAGGAAAGAACTTGGTGTACGTATAGACGTTATCAAGTTTCTGTGAATTCGTGGACTAACGAAATATAGGACCTACTGCTTCGCCTTCTAGCTGCCATCTTCACCAGCAAACCAATGGGATTGTCCCAAGACTCTGGAATTTCTTCAAGACCATCTGCTGACGCCGACGGCTCACCGACGCCGCATGCAACCCCGGATAATATGCTCAGTATATTGATCTCGTCATTACCAGCCTTTTTGACAGCTCTTGGTGAGACGGATCGAATTACAAACGCAATATCCAGCATCTCTACCAATGTCATTTCACCAACATTGCGTTCACGACTTTTTCCGAATAACATGAATCAGACTGTGCTCGATTTGCTGCTACGGATTTCAAGAATATCTGCAGCTTCGAAAGTTTGGAAGAAGGATATCGCGGATGCATTCAATGATCCTAGGTTTTTCGGGTCTCGTGTTGATCTCGTCAAGAGTGGATGGATGAGTTTATTACGGCAATGGATCCTTGTAGACAAGGAACGCTTCCCTGAGCTGTTGTCACGATTGACACCTCCAACTACAGCAGGAATCATGTTTGGGGTGGGAGCGACAGCAGCGAGATTAGAAGCTGATCGCAAAACTCAACTCAATTTGCGCAGGATTGCGCTCCTGATTCTTTCCAATGGCGAGGATCACTTTGTCATAGACTATCCAGCTCTGTTGCAGAAACTCGAAGACCTCCTTCAAGCTACGCATATCTCATCACCATCTTCGGTTACGAGAGCAGAATTGTTCATGGTTCTCCGAGCACTTTTACTTCGTACTTCAACGACACACATGGCTCCGTTCTGGCCTTTGATTAATACGGAGCTACAAGAAGCCATTTCTGCGGTACCCCGTCACCAACAATCAGAGCTTTACGCGCCTTACTCTCTCCTTCAAGCCTCGAAGCTTTTGGACACACTACTGTTATTAGTTCCCGATGACTTCCAATTACAAGAATGGCTGTTTGTGACCGATACAATTGATGCAATTTATCCTCCCGGTCGATGGGAACCCATAGCTCTCGCAGACGAGATAGCTCGGACGCTGGGTCCACACAACGGAATCTCTCCTCAGCCCGGTGATGTCAGCGACAAACAGAGGCTCAACAAGCCGTGTTTGAATTCCGATCGTATCCGCGAGACGCCAAAGGATGAGATTATCGAGCGGATATTGAAGCCATTCTTCGAGCGAATTAGTATCCAGGCGTTTGAAAGTACATATAGTATGGGTAATCCTGATCGAGAAGCGTGTATGGATGATCTGTTAGCAGATGTATTCAATGAAAGCACCATGGCAAGTTAAGGCTACCATAGTATTCAGCACATTTTGCTAGTACTTGTCACACCTGGTTATATCATATAGTTATCTCTTGATATCCCAATAGAAAAGCGATACCCTTTGAGGATTCAATCATAGCGACTTATCTTACTCTAACAGTGAGATTACGACTATAAGAGATTGGCTAATACAAGTCAGTCGTCAATTGAAGATGATCCCCCTTCCCCTGCCAAAGCCAGTCCCATTGTGGGCTTGTAAATTGTGCCAGATCTAACTGCAGTCGAACAACTGGCGCCAAAGTCGTATGAGGAAGGAAAGGCTTGAGTCCATGATACGAGATAGAAAAAGGGTTGCCTCCATGGATGTCTCTTTTTTCCCCCTTTCCTCTTTTCATACTTCGTACAGAAACACTACAAACCTGTAAGATACCAAACCCATCTTGAGCCGAACACAATATCAAAGCAGAACCGAACGAGCTCCCATGGATCGTTCTTTCCTTGTAGCAGTCTGTGGGCGATTGGCTAAAATCTCTCTGGCGATGGTGGTATTAATTCTTGGAAATAGAACGCTTTGAATTCGACGGTTGGAAGACGACTCGGTGGTGTCAAGCTATTTAAAGATTGCTTCAGGGATTTTCATCAAGATGCGAACTTAGATTCTCAACTAAGTCAGTCTCGTCATGCTGCAGATTAAATGACAAAGAGTTGAATTTGGCTTCTGTAGGAATGTTTCCTAATTAGTGCATCCGGTAAGAGACTGCTGCGGAAGACTGAGTTGGGTAAGATTCCGCATTAGCCCTAATATTCCGGAACTGCTTCCTTCTCTTTCGATCAAACGCTCATTGTATTCTTTCTGGAGACTCGCTACATCGAAGATTATCTCGTGTGCTAATGTGATAATATTCTCGTGATCTTTTGATTGGGGTTGATTGAGTCAATCTCTCCACTCCTGCGAACCTTACGCAAAATGTCACTGTAAGTCATGCAATATGGCATTGTTGAAGTTCAATGCATGTGTATTAAGAATATCTGATCTCGCAGATTCAGAAAATACATAGATAGTCACTTGATCCGACAATGTCTCATGACCTCGGTACGCTCTCCCGTGTCCTTGACCAGATCCAGAAAGCACATTGCTAATATTAAAGTCCCCCAGGGTCTGTTTATGACGGGGGATATACTAGCGCAGAAGGGATTTGAAGGTCAGGAATCACAGTCTCTTGATCTCATTCGAACGGCGAGACTCGGTATCTACGGCGGTTGTATGTTCTTCCAATTTACACAAGTGAAAGCCTCGATCTCTAACAATTTTTTTCTCTGGAAAAAGTTATATTCGCGCCGATGGCTGATACCTGGTTCAAATTCCTACAGAGGAATGTTGTCACATCAAAAACAAGTACAACCATTGTGGCAAGAGTGATGATGGATCAGTGCTTATTTGCGCCTATCGGTCTATCGGTTTTTTTCGCTGCGACATCGCTCATGGAGGGTAAAGACCCTCTTCGAAAAGTACAAGAGAGTCTGATACCTGCATACAAGATTAATCTTATGGTATGGCCATGGGTGCAGTTTGTTAACTTTACCTTGATCCCTTTACATTATCGGCTATTGTTTGTGAATACGGTGAACATAGGTATGTTTAGCCAGCATAGAACCTCTTACAAGCTATCCACTAAGCTAGGGTTTAGGATGGAGTGGTGTATTGAGCTCAATGAGCTCATCCAACCCCATTAGAAGCAGTACTCTTGCTGCTTGAGCAATTTTTGTTAGCCCAACCGTTGAATATTAGAATTTGGGTGTACTTGACCTTACTATAAGCTCATTTTCTCGCGGAATATTTTCTAAATCGATTTTATACCATATGTACTAATTATTGGAAGTCTTGTACCGAGAATAAAAACCTATACAAGAAATGATATCATAAAATTAGTGAATCTAGGTCGTCGTATATCTCTCCACCTGTTCAGAGGGTCGTATAGAGCTGATCAAGCAGAATGGACACCGGAATCATCGGTCCCGTAACCGTCATGAACAGCTACGTCTCAAGTTTCGGCTCCGTATCCTCCACTGTTCATGGTCTGATCGTCTCTGCCATTCTCATCCCAGCTGCCATTTCGTCTTTCTTTGCGGGCAAGGTTGCAGACATTCTCGGTCGATCTAGAGGCATCAGTCTTGGGGCTTTTATTTTTGGTCTTGGTGCTGCACTCGAGGCGGGCGCTGCTGATTTGGCCATGTTCATTGTTGGAAGATGTGTTGAAGGCGTTGGCGATGGGTTATACTTGGGTACATTGGTCGTGTATGTTCAATTTTCTTCGAAAGAAGTATGCTACCTTACTAACCAGAGCAGGTATATTTGCGAAATCTCACCCCCCAGCAAAAGAGGACCACTCACATCCGCACCTCAGCTACTCATCACCATGGGCCTTTGTGTAGGTTTCTTCATTTGCTACGGTTCCAGTAATATCGGCTCCTCTCTCTCATGGCGACTCCCATTTGCCATTTCGCCTGTTCTAGCATTCTCATTCTCGCTGGCTTCACTGTGGCTTACCCCCTCGCCGCGCTGGCTTACGCTTCACGGTCGTACAGCAGAAGCAGCTGCAACATGGGATGGTCTGGGCTTTAGCCATGCAGAGCGCGAAAAGATCGAAATTGTAGAGCAGATACGTGAGATCACTGAATCTGATGAAATTAATGCTTCACGCCCGGTAACTCCTCACGATACCCATCAAGGAGAAAAGAAGAGGAAAAGCAGTTTATGGGAACTTTTCGCACATGATGTGCGTGACCGTACATTCCTTGCAGTCTTCATGATGGGAATGCAACAACCCAGTGGTATCGACGGAGTACTTTACGTGAGTATCTCTTGTTTGATAACATGTATATCAGCTAATGAGATAGTATGCTCCTCTCCTCTTTCAACAGGCCGGCCTCTCATCCTCCGAAGCATCGTTTCTCGCTTCCGGAGTCTCTGCTCTAGCCATCTTCGGCGTCACAGTCCCCGCTCTCATCTGGGCCGACGGCTGGGGTCGTCGTCACAGCACAATCTGCGGCGGCATTGGCCTCGGAATCATCATGTTCCTGATCGGAGGCCTCTACGCCGGAACCGCAGTACACAACAACTCCGGCGCAGGACGATGGGTTGTCATCGTCTCCATTTACCTGTTCGCAATGCTATATTCCCTTTCATGGGGTGTAGGTATCAAGATCTACGCTGCCGAGATTCAGCCCCAACGTACGCGCGCTGCAGCCACAAGTTTGGCGCATGGAAGCAATTGGAGTGCGAATTTCTTGGTTGCACTGACGACGCCGATATTATTAGCGGATAGCAGCTATGGAGCTTATTTCTTGTTTGGTGGATGCTCGCTTTTGACGGCGTTGGTTTGTTCGATTTTCATGCCAGAGAAGAGAGGGCGGTCGTTGGAGGAAATTAAGGAGGCGTTTAAGAAAACCTCTGTGTCGAAGAGGATGACGAAAGCTGTGTAGAAGACGCTTGGACGTGCTGCCTTATGAGAATGTGTGGTTTCATGTTAAACTTGACGAGCTGACTTACTAACTGCTTATAACTTGACTGCTTACATAATGAACACGCTTATAGAATGATAGACATGCTTGGTGAAGTTTTCTACTAAGAAATTACAACTGCTTAGCATGCTTCACAAAAGCCTCCAAATCCTCTAAAAATGGCCCCGGAATTTCGACACTCGCAAAATGCCCTCCCTGATCATGTTTTCTCCAAAACGTCACCTTACCAGCAGCCCCCGTCCTCTCCACCCAAGCTCTAGGAACTGGTAAAAGCTCCTTCGGAAAATGACTAAACCCGAACACCTTGGTGCGTGGAACAAGCCACCTAGCCGCGTCTCCATGACACGGCACATTCTCATTCGGTGCAAAATCATGTCTGTACGGATATATGCTTCGCGGGAATGTATCCGTGACCCAGTACAGTGTCACGAACGTCAAGATCGTTTCATTATCGGGGGTGATGTCGGTCCATTCTAGAAACTTTTCGGCAATCCAGGCCAGGAGGGCTACGGGGCTGGAGCTGAGCACGAAGCCTATGGTAGATGCTCTAGTAGCGTGCATTTGTGCGTAACCAGCTCCGGTGCGGATGAACTCATTGATTGTGTTTATATCTTGGAGTTCACTGTCCGTCAGACCTTCGCGGGGAAAATTGCGCATGTCGAAGTCGAAGCAGAATGTCAGATGAATCCCAATACAATGCTCGTCATCTGCTGCAAGGGCTCGACAGATGCGACTTCCTATATCGCCGCCGGCGACCATATAACTCTCAAATCCTAGCTGATCATTGAACAGTTTTCGGAATATGCAGCTGACGTCGTAGGTAGAAAAGTCTGCTCCGTCCACAGGAGGTCCGGACGAGAATGTATACCCTGGTAATGATGGCACAATAAAATGATACGGCAGTGTTTCGGGAGTATATTTTGATTGTAGCAATTTTGCGACTGAGAGATACTCAAGAAAACACCCGGGCCAGCCGTGGATGCATACCAAGGGTGTTGCATCGGCCCGTTTAGACCAGAGGGCCATGTAGTGGATGGAGAATGAATGACCGTTGTGCTCTACTAGACTGGTGAAGTGGGGGATGCTGTTGATGTTGTCTTGTATTTTTTGCCTAGTCGCGTCTTTAGCTAGTGGTCGTTGTACATGTAGAAGAAACTGACCAATTAAAAGCAGTTTCAGATGTCCATGTCTTCACGGCCTCGTTCATCCATGACTGCGTCAGCCCAAATTCTGTATTGGTTTGAGCTTGTGAGTTCTCGAATGTCGTAGGACCGAGTCTGGCCTTCTGGACGAGATTCCGGATTTCTGCGATTTCCGGAGCGGGAATGTCAATTTTACATGTTTGCGGCTTTACGCGACAGTACGAAGGGAGTTGGCCATAGGGTGTGTCTGATTCAGAAGAACGGAGAAATTGAGATGTTGCCATTTTGAAAGTTGCGATATGAGTCTCGATGGACTTGTGAGGAACTTGAAGAGATCGGTAGGATCTACATGGGGTTAAACCTGGAGAAGTCCGTCTTATTTAAACACTAAATCACTTATGTGTCTAGGCAACAGTCGCTTACTCCTGGATTTGTAATATGATGTCAAAAACCCGCTAGTTTTAGTGTAACTTTGTGATCATCATTGTTGCCAGTCCACTAGAACATCCAGGAGGCGCACTACTTTTGACCAACATAGTTGATGTAGTAGGCTGAATTTGTAATTACATACCCGAAGAGAAGCCCGCCAAACGAGCACAGAATGCTCGCAAGCACATATTTTGGAGGAAGACGGAGAGTGATCATTTGGACGTTTCTTCCTGCGTTATCAGATTCAGATCGCTACTACAGGATTATCGTCGAGGAAAGTCTGAGATGGGACGAATGAAGCAGTGACGAAGCAGACGTATATCAGATTAGCATTCAGTGATTTATAATCGAATACGGTCTGATCTGCATGAGTCGCAATGAGTCACTCATGAGACAAGCAAGTAGCATTGATCATCAAAGTTTTATGATGCAAGAGCAGCTAGTGTACGTTTCTATATCCAACTGCCACCCAAAAGTGACAGAGTCCAACTCTATCTCACAAAAATGACATCGTTTTGTTACCCGCACTGTGGAAATCTCCTAACGTGGTAAGGCATATCCACTTTTAGCAAAATTTTCATATGGATTCACATCGCAGCTACTAGCTCTAGAGTTTGTACCCATCATCTGTAGTAGCTGCGTATGTTTATCAGCGACTTTTATTATGGGGCGGTTCCAGACCCGTTAAATGACCCACTGATTCGGGGATTTGATCAACCGGACTGGGGAGCACTAGAGCTTCGACACGAGTCGGGTCGGGGCTCGTGTAAATTTCCTATTTCTATTAGCTACGATTCCGAATTCGGCATATTTGACGACGAGCGTGATCGGGACTAGTACCTAGGTGCCTATACGAACCATATTTTCCCTGCCAGGTGGGCTGCCGCCGCTTTTGTGAGGGCACTATTCAGTCAATACTAGCCACGCGCCTAGTATTTCTATTTAAGCATTCGTCAGATCCGCCTTCGCTATCTAGTGTACGTTACAAAGAAGCAAGTAATCTTAAATTCCCCCTAGGATACCGTTTGGAACTACACTTATTACACTCATTATATAGAACCTTGATATGATACCAGTTAAATAGGATTTATTAAATCGCAAATTTAGTCGTTCTTCACTCTGGCAGTCTCATTCTCACATTTCTGAAGCTTTTTTTGGGAATCATTACTGGAAGTTCTACCAGACTGGTGTACGTCATTATTGTAGCTTGAGCTCTACGAGCGAGGTCCAACAAGACAGCACGGCTTGCAAAAAGGATTGGGTCCTTTGAGGTCTCGTGTTCCGGAACCGTGCCGACCTGGAGCCCTAAGTGTCATCTTTGACGGGATACCCCATTGGTATTATGATTTCCTATTTAGGCAACACAAAAGGCCTTTGTACGCATATATAAAAGGCGTCTCTACGCGCTGGTGGGCGAGCCTCTTTTCTTATTCTTCCCCATGCTTAATTTTCTCGCTGCAGGTTATCCTTAGCTAGAGCTTCGGAATGAACAACGTCTCAGTTTACACAATCCTTATAAACTTTATCTAATCAATCTAATCCTTGATACGCTACTACACCCCAATTATAATCTACTTTCTGCGTAGCATCGGATCTGTAAGATATGATATGTGCGGTGGGAGGGATCAACCGTATGGAAGCGGTGTAGGCACAAATTAGCACCTAATATTTCCAACACCGCCGTAGCTAGAGAGCAAGAGAACTTTGTTGTATTTCTGCACCTGTATTGGGGGGGAAGAAGCATTGGCAAAGTAAGCCTGAGAGCAGGATCGGATAAGCCTCCCCCGGGTGACCCGATCATGTAGCCGGTGGACAGAGTGTATTCGCTTGCCGTGATCTGTGTACTGGATCTGGCAATCCTATCAGGGCCCTTTAGGCTTGGCTTCGGCCGTAATAAACATATTTGAATATCTTGACAGAATATAGAAGGGTTTCGAGCAGGGTCAGATGAGCAGCCTCCTCTGGATCACCCGAACATTGCAGTCAGTTGTGGAATCGGGTTAGCCGTTGGACAGATATTATTTGTTTTACCTTCCGTGATCTAGGCACTGGCTCTTGCATGCCTAAAAAAGTACTTTAGGCTTGATTCTAGCCGTAGGGGAAACATTATATTACTACGACCAGGTACTGATATAGAAGTAGTTCATCTCAGAAGCGGACATGCCATTGGCTAAATATGGGTCTCTCTTTGTCTCACATTTTGTGCTACGCTAGGCATTTGAAGTCGATTCCACTGATTGACTTCAAGGAGTTGTCTCCTGTGGCGTGCGCGTTGTTCAGTGCCGGTGCAGTCTTGCTATTTGGTGCAGTGGTCACGGCGACGTACCGATATTTTTTCCATCCGCTTTCATTGATACCGGGGCCATTGTTAGCACGTATTACCCGTCTATGGCTGATACGAGTTGATCTCAGTGGTGCTGGATCGAGAAAGCTTTTGATGCTCCATCGTAAATATGGTATGTGTTTCTGCAGCCCTCAAATGCATGTTTTCGGGCCGTAACGTGTATTGACTTGTGATTCAGGGCCCGTTGTACGCATAGGTCCGAATGAAGTCTCATTCGACGGCCTGTCTGCTTACAGCGATATTTATAGCCAAAAAGCAAGGTTTCTAAAAGAGGACCGATGGTATTATGGTATTGCACCAAAAGAGAGTGTCAACATGTTCACTATCACAGACAACGATGTACACTCAGTCTTACGTCGTACCTTTTCGCATGCGTTTTCACGTTCCAACATTCTCACGTTCATCCCAATGATTAGTGAACATGTGGATCTGGCTATGAAGCAAGTCTCTCGATATATTGAAAAAGGAAAGCCGATTCCGATCCGTAATCTAGCAGCCTCCTATACTTTAGACACCATCTCGAAACTGAGCTTCGGTGACACCATGGAAGCCCTTGCAAGATCAGAGCTCGATCATCCACTTATCAAAGTAATTGAGACGCTGACCAACGGAGCTGAAGTGATTCTTGTGAGCAATGACCTTCTACTTTAATTTTCCATTCCATTCTGCTTACAAACGGGTTGCAATAGAGAATCCATATTCCGCTCACATGGAAACTCGCGAGCAATAATCTTGGTGAGTTTTCTAAACTGATTGAAGTAAGTAAAACCTTTTCCAGCAAGGGAACTATTTCTCATAATGTTTGACAGCAAGTGGTAAGAAGTGTGCGGCAAGCGGATGTTAGTGACAAGTTAAGCTTGGTAAAGGAGGCCAAGAGAAGAATGAAGGATTCCAAAGATGGTATCTCCGAGCAAATGATGGTTTCCATTGCCTCCCAATTTGTTATAGCAGGTATCAATAGATCTCGTCCAGGCTACAAAACTTTTCTGATGGTTTAGTAGGGCTAGGAACCACTGCCGCCAGCATTTCGGGAATACTCTACCATGTCATGAGTAACCAAACGGTCTACCACCGGGCCAAGGAAGAACTCAAAGCTATTTGGCCTGAGAAGGATAAACATCCATCTCTGGAACAACTGGAAAGTCTCTCGTACTTTGAAGCCTGTATCAAAGAGGGCGTTCGCACAGTGTGCCCGGCCCCAGTTCGCATGCCTCGGGTCGTGGGCAGCGAAGGATATCAATTCGAGAAATACTATATACCTGAAGGCGTAAGTACAATACTACTGTATTTACAGCCACTTGGAACGAAAGGGATGATTAACAGCTAGTTGATTAGACCGTGATCTCCTCATCTAACTTCTTCCGGTGCTACGATGAAAGCGTATTCCCTGATCCTTACCGTTACCAACCGGAGCGGTGGCTTTCTGGAGACCTGAGTCAAATGAATGCATCCTGGCTCCCCTTTGCCAAAGGTTCTCGTGCGTGTATTGGTCAACAGTAAGTACCTGCGCCACCGTTTACATGCATTGCAAACTTTTGTTCATGCCCGTTGCAGCATGGCGATGATTGAAATCAAGTTGTTTGTGAGCCGATTCATAAGGTATTTTGACGTCGTCGAGTTCGTTGACGAGCTGAAGCTACACGAAAGGCTCGTGGCAGAGATCGCCAACGAACTGCGGGTGCGTGTTCGTGAGACAGATGAAGTGACAGAGGCCCAATAAAATCTACACACAATAATATCAGGGAATGTACAGGCCCGCCCTATAGTCATCAGCTATACCGTAATATATCAGCAGAATATTCCTCCGCCCATGATTACCGGCGGTTTTGGGAGAGGTAGCCATACATGGTTTGCATTGATGGTACGGGGCTGAATTATGAGCTAATCAGGTAAGGTAAACTTCGACCCGACTTTCATAAGTCTTACACAGCTGGTACGATGTACGACATGATGTATGGAGGCTTGAAAATGTTTTAAGACTTTAAACAAGCTAGATTAATATATCATTCACCTTAAAATAAGAAGATAGAGAATAGAAACAGTCGCTGATTGAGAAGCTGATTGCACTCATGCGAGACCTGAAGCGGCCTCTCTCAACCTTGGTGGTTTGATATCTTCGATAATTTGTCTCACGTTTGTAGTCCCAAATGACCGGTACGGGATAATGGAGACTTCTCACTGCTACTTGAGTTAGAGGTAAATAAGGTAGATTTGGATTTCGGTAAAACGTGCGCTCGGATTACTTGATGTCTTTCTCCACCCTTTTCCCTAATTGTGTGGAATTTTCACTTGGCCCGAGAGGCGTGCATCCGGCGCAGTGTCGGAACGTCAGAGTATAACTGGGATAGTTATATTAAAAGAAGAAGTTGATATGTTCTAAATAATAATGTCTTCTTAAAAGCTGAATCGTTAAAAGGGTAAACTAAACTAGATATCTTAATCAGTAGAAGAACATACATGTATACTTAAATTATTATAATTAATATAAGACAGCAAGTAAAACTGGATTAACGAACGCCTCAATGATCACCTCTGCCTGATAAGTAAACCATCATATTGCAAGTCCGTATCATCCGTGAGCTTCTCTAAACTTTCTAAATACAGCATAGAAAGATTGCATTGTACTATGCCACCTGCAACCACTGGCGAAACCAAAACACTGCAGCGTTCTTCGACCTCTCCATCCCCTTTTGTTCGTCAGGATTCACCGGATTACCCCTTGTTGCGAAACCATGTTCAAGACCTGGGAAGAATTGATAGTTGTATGCCAACTTCAGGGACGGGATCCGTTGGTTACTGTAGGACTTTAATTCCTCAGTAAATTGCGGATCGATATCCGGAGCAAGAATCTGAACTGGCACGGCAACGGCATCGATTTCAGACGTCTCTAAGAGCGTAGGGTGAGCCACGGAGATACAGTCCACAAGGTTATTTCCTTTTCCTCCCAGACGGAAAGCACCCCAGCCACCGTAGCAGAACCCAATAACACCGGTCTTTTTGTGCTGGGAACGGAGAGTTCGGGCGCACGCCATTATTTGAGGCTCCCGAATACTCTTTGAATTACGTTGCATGAACGAGGGTAAGTCCAACTTGTGCCATTGACTTGTGTCCATTAAGATCTCAAGTGAGTGGACCTCACCACCGAATCTATACAAAATGAGCCAAGACATCCTCTCAGAATAAGCAGAATCAGCAGGAGTACTTACAGGTCAGGAACGTAGACAGTGGCGCCAACCTCCTCTGCATAATGGTCCGCCAACAATCGAGTGTTCTGGAAAGTCCAACCGTAGAGATCATGAAGAATTAGAACAGCAGTCGGCGATTCAGGTCCAGTAATGTAACAACTGGTCCCAGCGAGCATGTCCTCCCGACCCTTAGGGTTCGCATTCCATCGAAAACCTTTCAAGCAGCAGTCGGCCATATCTGAATATTTAAATTGGCCAAAGAAGTATTACATTGATGGAAACGAAGGGAACACCTGCGTGAAATTGTGGTATTTGTTCTTGGGGAATAGGCTTGACCCTTCTATAAGGATTCCCAAGAGCCAGATGCGTGCCTGAAGCAGCCAGTGAAATTCCGGATATCCCGTAAGCCAATCCGTGGCTTGGTGGTGTACGGGTGTATCCTGTCCCGAAGAAATCGCGACACAGCTCGCTACGGCCCTTTATAGGGTGCACAAGACTTTGTCGATCCTAACCAGGGCATGAGAAGACAAAGGTATATCCCCTTTGAACGGGACTCTTAAGGGCTCGGGAATCCAGCAAGGTCCGGGACGGCACCACGGTGCCGAATTTACCTTGCCCCGTCACTTTTTGGCTTCTAATCCTTAATCAGACTATGTAGATCCTAACAAGTCATTCCACTAATGTTACTGAACGATGAAATCAGAGTAGATACGAGAAATCACACCAGAAATATTATTTCACGCTTTTTTACCATTCGTAACGAGATGGGCGTTACTGAGATGTTTTGCCCACCGCTACGAGGAATAGCATGTTTATGTATCAGCAGGTCTTCAGATGTCCAATGATCTCTGCGTATCGTTTCCAGATACCAATATTGCCCTTGCTTTGCCCCGGAAATGCCACTTGCTGGTATAGCTCAATAATGTTGGACATATTGCAAACACAAACAGGCTGATTGTATATAGATGCCGGACCTCTTTCTGCAAGCCATTTGTTGTATCGATCAGATCGCTTTTCCAGCAGAGTCAACTCTATCCGTTCCGAATCTAAGCTCACACTTGATGTTTGCTTATATCTCAGAAAATGTGCATGTGACAGTAATGGGCCATAACCAAGCGAAGAGACAGGCATACAGAAGGCACAGACGAAACAATGCTTGGTGAAAGCCCACACAACGAGAGAAGCCCGATATATGCACTCGTAGGCTTCTGGGCTGAAAATGATGTTATTTCCAACTGATACTACCCGTTGCTGTTGTAGTACATGCAGGATTTGTGTCGCATGCCACAGAGCGTGGCGGGCATAATATGTCTGTGTCCACTGCTGTATTTTAGTCTGGGACCGCTCGAGAGCGGGGGACATATGGTGATCTGTATTGTCGGAGTTATGATTCGAATAGAGACGTGTTGCAACGTCGCGGAATAAGGATATATTTGCATAAAACCGTAGCATAGAAGAGTGGTACAGAATTGTCGCGGTGAGATAAGAAGATAGGTCCCCAGGGTTAGAGGTACCATTGCGGGGAGCGAATACCGAGCGCTCCATTTCTCCAATCCAAGTCTCTAATAAGAGTCTCCAGCTGTGTCCGTAACCATATGAATTGGACGATTCGGCCTTTTGGAGTTCCCACTCATCTATGAGCAAATGTCCTCTTGCAAATTCATACTGTTTGGTCTCTTCCCATAATCGAGATTGTACTGAACATAGTATTAATTCATATCGCACAGGGGTAACGAAGTCTTGGAATTCAGTCCGTGCTGACAAAGATAAATGGGAGATGAGCACCGAAACTAGAATATTGAAAGAGATCGAGCTTTGGCTACACGCGTAGTTAGACATTGCTTCTTCCCACTCCTCGCTTGTCGAGGCATTCCAAGCGGCGTCTGTCGAGGGTAGCGGTATTTCGATTTCCTGATATCGCATTGCAGGAGGTAGATCGTTCATAAAGTTGACGAGAAATTCAAGGCGAAACGCAACAAATGTGACTCTTCAAACATCACACCGTCATCAGTCACAATCTTTCAAGTCTTCTCATACTACAGTTCCACTCACCTTATAATCTGTTCACGCAGAATCCATTTCCTCCACGCATTTTCAGAATATTCCGTATGGTGAGCAACATCTTCAATCTTCAGGAAGCCTGAGTTTCGTATCATTTCTGTAAGGCAAGCCACCTGTGGACGGGCACTAGCTGAGTTTGACTAAAACTATCATCAACAATGCTAGACAACAGTGCGGTAACAATAGGAACGCAGGCTCACTAACCTGTGAATAGATGCTGAACAGAATGCTCAAGCATAAGCCTTGGGCAAAAGATAGCAACTCAGATATAGAGGCTATTGTACTTGTCCCACATAGCTAAAAAAATATTATAAGGGGTTACCAGTGAAAGAGAGTGTGGTTTGTGGGGGGTTACCCTTGTGAAGTCCTTTGCCAGACTTTCCAGTATGAATGGATGTAGAGATTTGGCGTTATCTATCCGTTTTCCATCCTCTTCTGCAAGGCAGCCTAGTAAGCCCACCATATAATGTAACTTCAAGGGTGTGGATTCGCCGAGAAACGTTGCAGGATGAATAATTGGCCAACGAGGGTGGAATACACACATATAGTGATCGAGCGTGCTATGCTGTAAAACTTCCCGGATAAAATCGACTCGTGCTGGAAAGATACTCGGTTTTTCTCCGCAAGGATCCTGAAAGTCCTTAGTCTTTGTTGCCGATGGGGCTTGAGTTGTCCCTTCTGTAGCTAGGCCTGGATCATAGTCCATGTGCATAGCATGGAAAAAATCATCTTCTCATGAAGAAGGCAGCGGTGTTGGTACTGCGGGATCGTTTTCTCCTGGTTGGTTACATATTCCATCCATAGGAACATATCCTTCACTCATGCCTTTAGTAAAGCCTGCCATTAATTCCGCATCATCTGAGCCCAGCAAATGCATTTCGATTAGAGGCAAGGAAGTTTCTGTGATTTGTTGTTCAAAGGGTGACATTTTCTGGGGAATATATGCAAATCCCTCAATTGGATAGCTAGCAGTATTGACAAAATCATCCCACCTCAACGGTGGAAAGTTAACAGTCCCATCATCATTGAGGTTCTTCTCTCCTAGATTTGTCGGTTCTTTGTACTCAGATTCTTGGTTTGCTGGAGAGTAACGGAGACTTGAATCCTCTTTGTCTTCTTTTTCACATGCACTGGCCTTATCCTTCGTATGAGAACGCGCGTGACGGACAAGGACATCTCTAGGTACATCATCACATTAGTACACGTCTAGCACATTGTTGTGGAACCGTGATTGACATACTGGCTCCCAAAAGAGTGATGGCACACAACGCAAATATGAGAGCGTGATTGCTCATGCGAACTCTTCTGGTGCCGCAATACGTTTTCCTCACAGCAGGTACACACTGTCATGTTGAAAATGCGAGGCTGTTCAATGCAACACTAATTTTCCAATCTGTCTGAGTGATGCTGATTCTAAGATATACTTGCAGAGATTTAACTCTGCGATACTATTTGAAGCCCTTCTACTTCTGTCAGATAAATAATTGTTGTAGTAAGTAGCTCGGTCTACAATTGCAAAGGCCGGTTGTCTTGGGCTGACTGTGTCGGGGTTAACTGTCGGACATTCGGATTGCCTAACCAGGGCAAAAATCATGTCAAACTATATTATGCTCAAAACTGATAATCACAAACCCTGTCGGGATGTCGGTAGTGCATTTCTTCGTTCCGACAACGTTACATATAGTTGAGATTGACACGGACGTCGGCTCTGCCGACAGTATCGGCTTGTAATTACCTACTTGCCGTACGTACCGCTTATCCCAGTTCTAACGTGAAGTCTACGGGAGAGTCATGCTCTCACGTTCGCAGTGGCAGGCCCATCCGGGCAGTCTATACATCCTTGTAGCGTAAGAAGGCATAAAATGAACTAGCCAATACCCGCATAATTAATAGCAGATTTGAATACTAACCCTAAAATTAGAAATCACCATGGTGTACTGTTTCTGTTGATGTTTACATCCACACGTGCGGAGCTGGATCATCGCTAGAGAAGTAACAGAAAGAGCAGATAGTCATGCATGCCTATATTTTACTTGGGGATTTCAGGTCATCACTACTATCTCCTTTAGCAGCCCTAGCGGCTTCATAACTCAGATGAGCATGTCACAGTTCCGGTTTTTTTTTTTTTTTGTTTTTTTTTTTTGCTCTCGGACAAGAGCTCTCATATCAGTCCGCCACTGTTCTTGGAAAGCCCGCCCGTAATTAGCCAACGTATCTGGATTTGGATTCGCCATTTCGCTAAATAGCCAGTCTTCATGAGCAGTCTCCGGGTCGCGCATTATTCGCAGCTTATTTTGGGTGGTTTGCGGGTCGACAAAAAGCTGGAAAGCCTTCTGTCTCTCGTGCGAATAAAGTGTCAGCAAATCTATGGACTCCCCCTGATTTATAATCATCTCTAGCGTATCCACAAGGGCCTCAGCGTCAATCAGGCCAGTACTTAATCCCATGGCACCCATCGGCTATCAAATGGCAATCAAGTGATCAGTACTTTAATTTTCAAAGCTAGGAAAGGACAAGCTCACGTTATTAAGATGCGCCGCATCTCCTACCAAAACGCATCTCCCACGCCGAAATGTAGATGCACATAATTGATGTATCCTGTACGGGGCCTTCTTTACGATTTCTATGTCGAGAGGTCTTGCGCCCGGAAGCATCTGCGATAGGATATCGGAAATGAAAGGTTCCGCAGTGAATTTCTCGGGAGAAGACGATTCGGAAATGCTCATTCCCACAGAACATCTGTAAAGCGTCTTTTTTCCAACTTCAAAGGGCTGCAGCGGTGTAATAATTCCATAATGTACTGGGTCAACAATGATGGAGGTTGGAAAGTCCGGGTTGGTATCAGTTGTTTCCACTAGCACGTCCGTGGCGAGGATGTACTCCGGCCAACTATGTCCTTTTAAGGGGATCCCAAGAAGTTTTCTCGTTGTGGATTTGCCGCCATCCGCTCCCACTAGAAACAAAGCTCGATATTGCACAGTTTTCATATCAACTGAGCTTGTTGTAGATGCAATTACGTGGTCCTCGTACTGGACGATTGAATCCAGTGTTGTATTGAAATGGACCGATGCATTTCCAGTAGCGATGAGCTGTCGATAGAGCAATTTGGATAGTTCTGACTGAGGTAGGTTCAGGGTTCCCGTGACTCCATGAGGCGAATGTGTCTCGGATGGGGATGGGAGGCTAGCAATGATATCTCCCAAACGCTTCCCACCTTTGCCGTCATTCGCTAGAGGCTTTCTCCAACAAAGGCCTTTGGATACAAAACCTTCCTTGACCATATGTTCGAGAACACCTGCTCGATGGAGTGCTGTCAACGCAGCAGCATAGAAACCCACAGCACGCGGCTGGACACTCAGCGCTGCCTCCTTCTCGATTACCGTGACGGCGATTCCTGCTTTGCTCAGCCGAAGTGCAGTAATCAGTCCAACGGGACCAGCACCGACAATGAGAACGCTGCACTGCTCCATGTTGCTTGTAATTTTGGATAATGTTTTTCCGATCTTTGTCATTTAGACAATTTCTTGTCGCTGCTTCCCTCATTAAATGAATGGCAATCATGGTGGGTATACTTCTTGTTGACCAACTTAAAACTCTTCTTTCGTGTCCAACGAAGCTTCGCCGGATGCACGCCTCTCGGGCCGAGCGGAAGTTCCACAGAAATGGGGAAAGGGGGAAGAGAGATATCATATGCTCTACCGAGATTCGTATCTTCCATAGCACCTCATCTACTGTAAGCATACCAATGTTTCTCATGGCTGCGACGCGCAGCTCAGCGGTAATACAATATTGTCGAACGGGTATACTGACAATATTTCACCCTGAGCTACTTGTCCCACCTATACGTTCGTGAATGGGGAAAGTAAAAAGAAAAATAAAACAAGCGAGAGGATAGAGAAAGAAAAAAGAGATAGACGAGATGAGGAAAACACAGCGAAATGAGCGATTGCTGCTACAGTGGTTTGCAGCGGTATGTTCGACCGAAAGGACAGGGGACAAACCTAATCAGTTGCTAGGTTATCGGCTGAAATCCGAACGTGGCTATTAGGTACGGCCAATCGTGACTTAATTGAAGAAACCTTCCATATATACTCAACAACTGGCTTCTTGCTATGCTGTTAAGAGTCGGCGTTTATATACCTAATTCGTAACACAGATACACTATTCTGAAAACTGTTCACGATGGCGGATCGGCAACTGCTCATTTACCTGCATTCCTTATGCGCTATATAAGGTCATTCGAGAGCCAGTGATCGCCAAATATTAGATTTCAATCTACGGACGATCAAGGAGGCTATATTTTCAAGCTCGGAGTTGCAATCAGACCTGTATTTGATATTATGGCTGTACTCCATCTCTTCAACTTCCAACTCGCAGCTTCTATATACTATTCTCTTTACCGTAACTAGCTTTTGTACTCTCCCATCCACCGACTAAAGGGAAGACGCCTCATTGACCTATTACATTTGTGCCTGCCTTTTGGCGTTGAGAATTTTTTACTTCACTCGCTTCTTGTCGCTGATGTATTGTTACATCCCCCCCCTCCCCCAAGATCACGAGAGCAGCCAATAGAATCAAAAGGCTTAGTGAGGGCGTGCAGCTTCCAACGTTTAACGCAGCCAGTTTCCGATATAATTTACTCTTGCAGGATATTTACCTCCAATAAATGCAGCATGAAGGGATCTCGAATTTTCCGTACAGGTCATCTAAAAATACCAACGTGAACAAAACACCTAAATAATGTATGGAGAGACTTGTGGTATTAAACAACCAGGTTTGAGAGAGGACGGCTGAGATCTCGCATGAGTGCAATTAGCTTCTCAATCAGTGGGGGGACTGCAGGCATATCATCCTTTCCAAAAATATAGCTCATGGCATCAGGAATAACCGAGCAATTAGATATCAAACCCACTTCTCCCGCGATTTTTAAGGCAAGAGTTCCTTGACCAGTTTGTAGGTATCGCTTTACTTCTGTTGTTTCATTCCCGTTCAAAATTATCAAAGGAGCACTGTCCAACATGCTCGAGGATGCATTCGTCGATTGGTTGACGGAAGAAGACGCAGACAAAGAGACAACAGGACTCGATTCAGAAACAGCGGCGACCCATAGAGTGAGACAGGCGTGGTAGATGAGAAGGGAATGGGCTACATGTAGCTTGGAAGATGGAGCAGATTGAGAAGCTCTCAATACTTGTCCAGCATGCCATACAGCATGATTCCGGGTATCCCCTCCAAACCAATCCTCCATAGTTCGAAGGCTATTGTTCGCCTCCTCTGGCCCAAATCTACCACTCAAACACTGAATTTCGCGAAGTGAGACATGAATCGACATCATAAGAAACTCGAATACTATTTCGGCTTCTGTGGAAAAAGCGTCAAGGTCCACCAGCTGTTCTTTTATCTGTTTGAGTGTCTCATACATATCTTTTTGCTGGGCGTCGATCGAAAGTAAACAGTGGGTGCGCTTAGGCGTGGTTTTGTTTCGAAGGTGAAAGGCTCTAGCGTCGGAAAGAGACCATATCCGTATCCATTGAGCATACAGGACCGCGAGAGTGCAAAGCTGAACATCGTAAACGCTGCCTTGGCACCCAAGCATACCAATATCTGCACTGATATCTTGAAAGGTCAAATTGCGTGTTATGGGTCGTTGCTGGTAAAGATTTCTCCATTCAACCTCCCCCTGGGCCTGCCATAGTTCTTTACTAGCAGGAAGATAGATGGCGATTTCAGTAAGGGAGAAACTCGGAGGCCTAATGAAAGTAATTGAGCTCTGAATGTCGCCTACGAGCGCCCGGAGGACAAGCCTAGATAGCACGAAGCTGTAGCTTAGACACATAGCAAATTCAAACAGTACAATTCAAACGTGCTAAGCGCGACATACCTTTTATATGACTCCATCTCTGCCCACGCCAGCCATTTCGCCCTCAATTGTTCACCATGGTCACTCTGAAGTGGCTGCGGTATGCGTGCGTAAAAAGTAGCATTAGTTGCGCCCGCACGACGCACAATCTATGCACTGTGAGAATTTAATATTCAATTTGACATGTCATAAGACATACCGTTATTGTGTTGTTAGATAAGGCTTCTGCAATCTCCATTTTCCGACGGCAGCCACTTGTCATGGCAAACTCTATCCAATGCAGCAGAGTCTGACTCATTTGCAGATTTCGAATTAGACTGCTGTCTCTATCCATAGCTGCCACGATAGCCATCCTAGTCTTATCATGTAATGCATGCCCCAGTTTTTGAAGGCTCACAATGGGGTTAGTAACCGCGCCAGCGGCTATGACAGCCAGCACAAGTTCTGGGAGGCTTTGATCGGGGTCAAAGGAAGCCTGGTGAATGCAAGCAAAGGGATTTTCTAACTCCATTGCAAAATAAGATTGCATGGGAACCTGTAAGACATTTAACGAGGGGAACTTCGAAAGATCTTGCCAAGACTCGGAATGCTTTAAGATTAGAGAATAGAGCCGATCACGGGTCGAATTTTCCCGGATAAAAGGCACGGGATTCGATAGTCTATATTCTACTTTCTTTGTCGCTTCTGAACTTGATATGGCACGTTCGTTGCAACAGTTCATCTCGGTGTCATTGCTAAATGAGTTCTCCTCGGCTTTGGGAACCCAATTCCAGACTGAACGCTTCAATGCTTCGCTCGTCGTATCAATAAGGATGTTTATAGTCGAGTTTCGTACCAGAGAATCGGCGCTAGTCCTGTCTTTTCCTTCTTCTAAGAAAGGAAATATTTCACCCATATCAAAAGGAACGAGGTATTGAAAAGTTGCGCTTTGGTCCAGGTGCATTTCAGCGTTGTTGGTGGCTAGAGTCAGGTCCGGTTGAAATGGAGAATAATCATGAAAATGATCCGGCCATATATCGCCGCTCAGAGTGTCGTCGATCTCTACAAGGAGATTACCCCCGGCGTGTATAAAATTAGGCTCTTCTGTTTGTACAGGTCCCATTGCAACCTTTTCGCAAATGCTGTTACGTTGAGAATCCGTCCGGTCATACCCAGTCAGTGAAATTTGAGAATTCCCCGAGTTACTACTTCCTGGACTACTTGCAGATTGCTTTGGCGACGACAAAGCGTAATGGCCATTTTCTTGGAGATTCTCGTCTGGCCCAGACTCGCAAGGAAATCCTCGTCGTTTACATCGTTGACAAGGCCTGGCGTCATCACATCTTGTCTTTGATGTGACGCACGACTGACAAGCTCTCAGTGCCCGGCGTCGTTTTAAGGAACGCAGTTCTGATCCAGACTGATGAGTCAATTGATGTCGATCCAGGAGATCCCTAGCTTCTGTAAGTCATGTTATCACGGAGCAGAGCGGTACCAGCCTCTTACTTGCGATTGAACTTGCGCGGGCAGTACAGACAGCTGTGCTTTCGGGCATTTTCGTCTACAAGACCCCGGAAGAGATAACGGTTAGCATGAAACGCCGTCATAATTAATATTGACAAAAAAATCCTGGGAGGAGTATCCTACGTGAACCCAGATGTCTCTTAATATTATCAAGGCGGTCGTAGCACTTCTCACACACTGGGCACCGATACATAGCCGGACGTGTATTCGTTGGCGGGCTGTTTCGATCCATCGGTGATATCAAGCTCGTATTCTCCGTCAGCGGAAAAATTCAATTCGCGATTCAAATTCTTAAGGGGACTCTTCACTCGTATATTTTATATATCAGAGGGATGCGGAGAGCCGGAACGTTGACCATCCGGCAAAAGCAGCGTTGACTACTCCGCATTTCCCCGCACGGCGTTAAACCTTCTGTACGACGTATCGTAATGTAAAGGAACCCTGGCCCATGGTTTTTGAATAGCCCTAACTCCGTCGTAGACCAGACCCCGAACTAATGGATGAGCGGAGTCTATCTGAATCCAATCGAAGCAGAGCGAGGAGATTCAGGCGCTGCATTGGCCGTATCTGGAATGGCCGCAATGTACTACGGTTGTGATCTTCATAGTACTTTTATTATCCAGAAGTGATATAAGTCACGTAATACTCAGTATGGTATTTAAGGAGACCCCCTACGACGAAGCGAAGGGTAAAGTCTGTCTATATCAAGAGAATCAGCGATAACATATTGGCTAGAAAATTACAGCACTATTTGTGTATAATTCTTGCGTGACCGAAAAAGTAAATACGTGACTATGGAAATCACCAGAGTCAACTAGAGTATTCCAGTTAATTTTTCTTTGTATAATCCTTTCGTCCGCCAACTACTCCCCACACGTAAAATTCAGTCTTGCAAAGTCCTGTATTCGACTATCGCCTGTTTTCTAGTGAGTTATACTCTCTCGCAAGTCTCGGAAAGAGGTGAGTGAGGGCATTTTGGCGGATGACGCCGCTGTCTAGCTCGTCTGAAGTGAATACGTCGGAGTTTCGACATGCTTCATATGCATCGACGTATGTCCTGGTATCGTCGCGGTAAGTATATGGATAATCGGTAGCATAAATAATGTGGTCCTTGGGAACACCAATATGCGTAAGGAGGCGAAACTGGAACCAGGAAGATACGGCCGTGTCAAAGAAAATATTGCTTGTTCGCAGCAGATCTTCTACAGTTTTTCCGTTATTCATACGTTTGATTGCACCGTCAATGTGCTGCTTTCCTATCCGTCCTGCTAAGTAAGGAAAAGCACCGCCTGCATGGGCGAAGAGAAAGCGAATATTGGGGTATCGTGTGAGCAGTCCTGTAGAGAGTACGGATGTTATGCAACGGCAGGKGTCGAAGGKGAATTCCATGACGACTATAGAATAAAGCAGAGGGCTCGTCGTTAGTGAGGACCACGATCTCTTCAGTCAACGATGGTATACCTACAAGGACCCCATTCAAGATTTGGGGGCATCACAGTATCAGTCGGGTGGATGAAAATCGTTGCAGACAAAGCATCCAATTGTTTCCATACCGGTTCGAAATCTGGGTTATTAAGATAGTGATTTCCTGTATGGAAAGAGTCAACTTCAAGATTTCAAAAAGAGCAAGGCAAGAAAGAAAGATAGAAAGAAAGAACCCTAGGGCGGGCAAACGTATAACCCACCCATCGATGTACTGATTGCAAAGCCGTCAGGTTTGAGAGCTGTTCCAGAACAAGCCTCGTGAAGAAATTCAATCGTTTCATCAACGTGAGGTAGAGGAATCATGGCAAAACAACCGAACCGAAGAGGGTTCTCCGCCACTTGTTCGAGTTGTGCCTTTAACGATCGTTGACAAAGCGATTTCCACTCTGTGATGATCTCTTAGTGTATGCGCTGTGATGGAAAGGTAGATGCAGTCCTCACCCTCAGCGCTCCATTTTAGGTGCCACTCCGCTTTTATCGACGGAGAAAGTACGGCGGTTTGTATCTCCAATTTGTCCATGTAGTCCAGATGATCCTGGGCGGATTCTGGAAATTTCATAGCTGCAAGGCCAACATCGGCACCATTTTCGCTCTGTGATATGGTCGTCCATTCGGAACTGAGCTCTGGAATTTCTTTTGGAAACCAATGATGGTGTGTCTAAAAATATGCAAGACCGAATTGAGGAATATTTCATCAAGAGGCTTCAAAAAAAGCTATAATGGAGGTCACTTACATCGATACGGCCCATGCCGCTGAAAGCCTGTGATGGCGCCATCATTAATATTCTCTCAACTTGTGACGGGGCTGAAAGCATGATTTTTAAATGGCGGTAGGTGGCCCGGGGCTTTTATCGAGGAATATAAGAGGAAATCGTGCCGGATGAGCTTCCTACGGATCATCCGAACAAGCGGCGAGTCCGTACCGTACGCGTCGGAATGAAAGATATGGACGACTCTTAGTATACTTGAAATTAGGTGTTACTTTCAAACAAAAAGTTTCCGTGGTCACAACGAGAGAACGGGTGAATAAAGGATTCTATTATTTCTTCGATTCACGGTAATGGATCTAAATAGTATGGGAATATGTCTATTCATATATAAGTCGACTTGTACATGACATGCATTTTCAGAGCAAAATATGATAATGGGAATGGTATCAAGATGAGCTTCCATGAGCAACCGCGTCCTTTATCGACAAAGCATTCAATTACTCTCTTTTGATGCAATTCTTGAATACAAACAACTTTGCTAACTCTTCCGGCTCTTCTTTATTCTTCCCCTGGAAAAGTTCTATAACCTTTTATACTAGATATTTACTTATTAAGAACTTTCTTACTATACACTCCACTTAATAATTGAATATTTTTATTAACAGATATTTTTTTGTTATATAACTATAAATTCTAGCTAATATTATAATCTAAATGAAACAATAAGTGCGGTGATTGAGTCCTTGACCCCGGCCTAGCGGACTTAGGGTAACTCTGAATTGTGTGCCGCGATCAATGAGCAACGACTTTGAGCATATGCACCTGACGAACCTAATAAAGCAAAAAAATAGACGAATAGACTAAAAGCGGCGCCCCGTTATAGGGTGATGATTTTGGTGGTATATATATAAGCCATTTTTCTGGTTTGTCAGTACCAATACCGTTAGATACCCCGTACCCAAAATACTAAACCCACTAAAATCTGCAAGTGTATGACACCCCGCTGATCGCTTTGTGTCTGGTTAGAGCGTGACCGCCATCCGTAACAATAGTTGGCTTGTGTGGAGTGGACTGTGGGGAACATCAGCCATAGCGAATACCCAGGCCGAGTTGTGGTCGATGCCTTTTCTATTTTCAAGGGGTCAGTTTATCAAAATTAGCTCTGGATTCAGAGATAGTGACACAGATCCAATTTGAAAATAGCTAAAAGTATTCTAACAATTCCATCATAACAATATCACTGGGGCCCATCCATGAAGTTTTGCCAAGCTACAACAAGCTTGTCATATAGATCCGGGCTGAGAATCTTTTCCAGAGCATCCCTCCGACCGGTGTATAGCCTCTGGTCAGGAATGAATTTGGACGAGTCTTGTTCGTCGTTCATAGCTGCGCTGTAGATCATTGCCCCGCGTTCTTGACTGTGATGCATCGGCCACGGATTCTCGCCATTTACGAAGACAATCAGATCTTTGCCCAGTTTTTGGGCACATTGACGCTGACCATGACCAAGGAAGTCGTTGTAGTTTTGCAAAGCGAAGATAAGGTCAAGAGCATGTGTGGCATGACCTTTCCATCTTCCGTCCCATGGATTTGGACATTCGAAATGGTATAAGAAGGTCTCTGTGCCAGGAACCGAAGCCAAGCCTCGAGCAAATACTTCTGTGGGAAGGGCAAACATAACATCGTTCCCAAATTTGGTAATAGCTTCAATCGTTTTGGGGCTGTTTGAAGTGTCGGATGTGTCAAGTTCGTATGCTGATAAAATGGAAGGCGTAATGTTTGAATCAATAGGATCAAAGACTGCCCGGAGGCTCGTCGCAAGGGTCCTTGGAAAAATGTCCGTCCTTGCTGCGATTCGCATCGCATAAATTATACCCTATGTACAAAGTAAGTTAGTCAAGACAGAGCCACTATCCGAATAGATCTTCAGAAACGTACATCCATTTGGCAATCTCCAACAATGATACGTTTGCAATGCCGGATCGCTGGAAAAAGCTCCTTCATCTTTGTTTCATCCAACAAATCTTTGAATGTGGGAATATTACGAACTACATTCCCATCGACAACCGGTGCAACTGGGACCCGGCGTCCAAATTTCGTGAAAAAGGCCCCGCTTTCCATAGATAATAGTTCATTGAGCTGGTCCTGGGGTGAAAGTCCGCGAGAATCAAGAATATCTCCCACGCGTTTAAAAATCCTTTCCGCTCCGTCTAGGCGTGGACGAAACTGTAGCAACGGAGCGCTCATAACAACAAGGCTATCGAACAGCTTCTCAGTAGATTGAAAGTGATATAATCCCGAGGCTGTTGTATCGTTAGCGAGCGGATGGGCTAGTAACAAATCATGGATTGACTGTACCTGCACCAGCACTCTCCCCAACAAGCGTTATCCGATCAGGATCCCCGCCAAATCCCCCAATGTTTACTTTGATCCATTGTAGTGCAAGACACTGATCGTCGAGACCGTTGTTCGGCTGATAGCCTGCCTCGCTCATAACCGATGAATGAAGAAATCCGGGAATGCCCACACGGTAACTAGGTACAATGTTATTGGGAGTTACTTATCAACCTCTTGGAATATCAAGCAATACTAACTTGATGCCAACAGCAATGATAGGCATACCGCACTCCAAGCTCATTTCCGTGATTGCGCTCATGTCGTAGTGAGGGAACGAGCTACTACCGGTAGTGAAGCCACCACCATGCAAAAATGCCAGGACTGGAAGATTTCGGCGACGACTCTCGGTTGACGGTCCAGTTATGTTGAGCGTCAGACATTCTGTGTCGGACTGGTGAAAAACGGTTGGCGACGGTAGAGACTTCTGTATAAGCTTATACTCGAGTTCTAAACCATTGTCAGGGATAATAGGAAGCGGTCTGTTCATCAAGTACATTAGAACGATATCCCCTATCCAGCATAGGTACTATGAATAGATTTAGATGGTCTTGTACCCATAATTTGTTGCGTCAATAGCCGGTTCTAAATAGCTTTTCTGTATCTCGCCCTGTGAGAACCTATCCTTAAGCATTGCATAACGAACGCCCAAGTACTGGGATATGCGGTCGGTTTTTCTGATACCCCGGATAGTGCCAATGTTTGGGTGGTTTAACACGTCGTAGGATATTTGAGCCATTTCTAGGACATGAATGAATGTCTTACTCTTGCTCTACATGACTTCAATTGATAAGGACTGTTCTTTTATCCTAATACATTCGTCCCTCTAAGTACTGGAAAGGATTTTTCAAAGGGACATCCGCTCTGTGGGTATAAACTGTGAAGGATGCACAGCTTCGGGAAGTCCGATTGCAGAACGGTTGAAGAGGAGCGCTTCCGCAGTTCGTCTTCGCGTATTGAAAACCCATGGCAGGTGTATATAAAATTGTAATGCGATTATACATGTAGGTAGTGTCCAGGTTCTACAAGAATTCAGTCTTCTACATTCGCATTAATCCCTCGTTCGCAACTTAACAATGACGTCCAACTCAAAGCTCGTTTCTCCGTCATCGATTGCCCATTTCGGGCTTCGCACGACACCGGATAGGTTCAAAACGATGGTCAAATGGCACGAGAAATTTTGGGGTGGCCGGATCGTTATTCAAAATGAGACTTTTGCTATGTTCCAGTACGACTACGAGCATCACCGCTTAGTTATTCTCTCGGACCCCAATGCTAAACCTGTGGAGGATCGCAGGAAAGCTGTTGGGATTTATCATATTTCGTCTAGCCTCAAATCCCTCTCAGAACTGGCAACAAGCTATGAGCAGAAGAAAGCAATGGACATAGTACCTCACTGGCCAGTTAATCACGGCATGACTACGAGCATGTACTACTTCGATCCAGATGGGAATGAATTCGAGCTTCAGGTTGATAATTTTGACACGCCCGAGGAAGCTCAGGACTTCATCAAAAGTCCAGAGTTTAGCATTAATCCAGTTGGAGTCGATATCAATGTGGAGGAATGGATTGAGAGAGTTAGAAGCGGAGAGGATGAGAGGGCGATCAAGACAAGGCCAAATATTGGGCCGAGAGCGACAAGGTGGGAGAATTCTCTGTATTTTAATAAGGCGGTTGCATAATTCGACTGGAAGTTCAGCAGTTTGTATCTTTTTTGAATATCAATATTACATATGAATAAGATACAATTCGTGTCACGTCTGAGATTACATTGTATTGAGTTGTACCTAGGCAGATGATTTAAGTCTTAATCGCGCTTAAGTCATTTTATTACTATCACTTGGCAGTCGGGCAATCTTATTCTAGGTCGTAACTTCCGTAGCTCATTTTCGGACTTTCGCTCAAGAATTGTCGGGACTATTTCATAGGTGAATTCGTACAATGCACAAAGGATTTGCCATTAGCAAAGCAAAAACATTATATCAATCTGTTCATTTGCGGGAATAAATCACAAGAAATTTCATTCAACTACCTTCGCAATACAAGTATCTTCATGTAGGGCTCTTTGGAATTATCTGGCAAGATCCATATTGTTGCCGCCACAAAATTACGTTCAAACCCTCTGTCGAGGAGTCAGTGACGCCAGATAAGTCTGCTTCACGAACCAACTGCACGCAAGCTTCCATGGTCTGGCGCTCACATCAATGTGTATATCAAAATTACGGACAATTTGAGGTAGGACTTTATACATCTCCAACAAGCTGATGTTTTTCCCTATACACGTCCGTGATCCGGCCCCAAACTAAGTTCAGATTAGATTTCTTCACAATAACTCTCATAGAATCATGGTACAACTTACAGCAAAAAGACTAATAGTGCTGTTCATTTCGACCTTGGGATTCGATATGAGCCATCGGTCTGGGTTGAACTGATCTGCATCAGGACCGTAGACATCTTTATTATAGTTTAGAGCCCAGGCATTGACCCCGACCTCTGTCTGCTCTGCTTATTAGTGAATAGCAATGTGTTTGGATCACAGTCATAGCTTACGCCTTCTGGGAAGAATATGCCGTTAATAAGTTGCCCTCCTTCGGGCACTGTGCGAGCTAACGGAACTCCAACTGCTGGATGGACACGCATCGCCTCTTTCACAATCGCTTGAAGGTATGGAATACTTTGTGCTTCTTGAAAAGTAATTGGATTAGATATTTTCCCTTCGCCTTCAAGGATGTTCAATTCCTGCCGCAGACGTGTCAAAACTTGCTCGTTGGTGTATATGTGATATAAGGCCGAGTTGAGAGTTATGGCTGTCGTATCTGATCCAGCAACGATGTTGTTGGCACAGACACTCACAGCATCCCAGTTCGTCATCTTCCCTTCTTTTTCAAGCTTGATCACTTTCGCAATGAACGGCTCGGCATGCTCATTCCAGCTTTCCTCATTTTCCTGCCTTCGGAATTTGTCCAATTGCTCGATAGCGATGTTATTCAACGCAACCGGTGATGTTGCATTGGTCATTTGAAGTATCTTTAGGAGGGATGGCCAAAGTTCGGGTAAGATACCAAGCTTCGCAGATAACCAAAAGGTCTTGTCGAGCATATCTATCAGATAGAAGTACGGCGAGCTGGATTCATTGTGTAACAAGGAGAACGATTTTCCAAACTATCACCTTGATGATCAGAAAATAACCAATCTCCACGTATGTGACATTTGGAACTCCTACCGTAATCTCGCCAATGACATCAAAGGCATAGAGCTGTAGCAACTGTGGTAAAGAAACCTTTTTCTTGTCCCGAGCAAGTTGCATCATCTTTTCTTGAAGCACTGCCGTCTGGTTATCGACTGCAAATTCATATGATCGCATCGTCGTCATGGTGTACAGAGAAGCCATCGAGCGTCGTGACTTGCTGTGCTCTCCCACATCTCTGCAATTGAAAAGAGTCTTACGGTGTGGATCTGCGAAAGCTTCATAATATGCCGATTTCGGGAACGTTTTGGTCAAAGAGTAAATGATTTTTACAGCTTCAACGGAGTCAAAATCGTACTTATTTGGCGAGATTCTCACAACAGGCCCTAATAATCAGGGATCAGCAGCCCTTCAAAGTAGGATCTCAAAACCCTGGCACTCACCATATTTTTTGTGTAAGTCTATTGCCTTTTGATGAAAATTGCCTTCTACGACTGACAGAAGCTCCCATAATCGCGTATACTTCGCCAGAAAGGGCCCCGGGACGCCCTTTATGGGCGAGGAGGAAAAGTATAAGATGGGTCTCAAACAGAGGACTATGACGAGACATGCGATCCCAGCATATAGAAAAGTAGCCGTGTTGAGATTCTCGGGGATTGAATTACCCAGCATCTTGAAGTCTTTGCAGAAAAGGGTTGTTCAGTAGGAAACCATGGACCTGGAAACTTATTGGTGTAACTGGTGATAGTTGATAGCTCTTGCCAGAAGTTAGCTATTCCCTACAATCCCTTCATATTGGAGGCTATCACGCCCAACGCAGCAACCGGGGCTTCGGAATACCTCCGCTTGCGTGCCGATGCGGGGCCCCGGATTAAGGGTCGATATAGGCCCCGGTAGGAGTGGCGTTGCTCCCGTCAGACCAATACAGTTGATAGATTCCTCTGTGTCATAGTTTAAAACACTCCATGCCCATGCTGGTAACGTGATTTACTTTAACACAGTAATTCAAACTTTTCTTCTTCCTCGTCCCATCTGGAAAGCGTTATGAGCCAGCCATTCTCAAATGGAATTTTTGTGGATCGCCCCCATTCCAATTGCATGGCAAAGTCTGCTACTGCTTCCTATCCTTTGCCTCGTTCTTGCGGCACGAGTGAGATATAGATCTGGCTTGCGTGAAGTCCCAGGACCTTTCTGGGCGTCTATCCTACCGTTAGATCGGATCTTGACGGCGGCTCGTGGAAACCAATTTGATACGCACATTGGCTATCATAAGAAGTATGGGCCTTATGTTAGGGTTGGCCCTAATCACATCTCTATAGCAAATGGGGACGCAATACCTCAAATATATAGCATAACCTCGAAGTTCGACAAGGTAGGGTTTTTGAACTCGTCTTGCTTCTTAATATCCATAATATTGCTGACCATACCCATTACTAGAGCAATTTCTATCCGGTATTTGATGCGGTTACCCCTCGGGGCAACATACCGACTACCTTTTCGATTCGTAGTCATAAGGAACATAGGGATCTTAGGCGTCCCGTTGGAGCTGCCTTTGCTATGAGTTCTGTCTTAGAATTGGAGGCTACGGTGGATGACTGTACTAAGTACTTCATGACGAAACTAGCCCAAAAACAAGACCAAAATTTTGATCTTGGAGCTTGGTTGCATTGGTACTCCTTTGATGTCATTGCTCAATTGACATTTTCTAAGCGATTCGGCTTCATGGAAAAGGAGACTGATATTGAAGGAATAATCGCCGCATTGGAGAATAGACAGGTGTACAGTGCAATCGTCGGCCAGGCACCGATGCTGCATAAATTCTTGTTCGGAAACAAATTCGTGTCAAGTGTGGCAAATACCATACCACGAGTCAGGAAGATGAATTCATCCGCTCGCATCGTCGAATTCGCTGCTAATCAGCTAAGGCTACGACAAGAATACGATAAAGAAAACAATGTGAAGGACATCCTAGCTCGATTCAAAAGGTACAGGGATGGCTCGCAAATCATGACCGATCAGGAATTGCTAGGCCATTCGGCCACTAATGTGTAAGAATTGATCTAATAAAAAGGCTCTGCTGATACACTCAGTGGATCTCGTTGTTTGAACCAAAACTAATTCGGATGGCTAGGTTTGCCGGAAGTGATACTACTGCTATAACCCTACGCGCAATATTTTACTATTTGATGAAGAATCCAGAAATGCTAAATCAACTTGTGCAAGAGATCCGTGAGTTCGAAAGTCAAGGCGAGTTGTCGGATATTGTCACATACGCAGAATCGCAACGAATGAGTTACTTGCAAGCATGCATAAAAGAAGCAATGCGTCTTCATCCAGCCGTGGGGTTTTTGTTGGAACGAGTTGTGCCGGATGAAGGTGCAAATATATCCGGTACTTATTTTCCATCAGGAACAGTAGTGGGAGTCAATCCGTGGGTGGTGGGAAGAGAACAAGCAGTATACGGGAGCGACGCTGATGACTTTCGACCGGAGCGGTGGCTAGAAGCCAGCAAGGACACCTTGAAGTTAATGGAAAGGAACTGGCTGGCTGTGAGTGGCTTCTGTTCATTTGACTTGTCCCTCACGCTAACGGATAATAAAAGTTTGGTGAAGGGTCACGGACCTGTTTGGGAAAGAACATATCTTTGATGGAGATTTCTAAATTGGTACCGCAACTCTTGCGCCGCTATAGTTTTCATCTTTCAGACCCTACTGTGGACTGGAAACTATTCGACTATTGGTTTGTTAGACAGGAGGGACTCATATGCAAAGTGACAACGTCAATTGAAGGTTGAGGGAAGATATAGAGTCTTTTGAAGTCGTATAAATTCTGATTTCTCAGCTACCGTTCTTGAGCGTTAGATTTCGTCGATCTTTATCTAGTTTGGTATCAACCTCTCCGAACCTATGAACGAGCTTTTGCATTCCCTGCGAAAGATAAAATGAGCCATATGATTACGTAGTCCTCCAGGCAGTACAAATATGTTGAGAAAGTCTCAATCAGAGCTATGTGTCTTGGACTCTGGGCACTGATGTGGTATATCAGTTTTACGCTTTTGTTTCAGAATTATTTGATTCTTACCGGAGCGTTCCTCAGCCTTGGCCCGTTTCATGCATGAAGTGATTCGTGGCAACTCTACATGAATTCAGCTTCCTCGGCACTTATGATTTTGATCTTTGTCTTTCTTGCCAAAATTAGGAAACGGCATGCCACATACACACGGAAGTGTCTGAATGCAATCTTCCTTGTGGATACTGCATTAGAGGAGAAGCTGCGATCACTAAGCGGCGATACACCGGACAACAATTTGGTTGTCATTCCAGCACCAAAAGTCAACAGGATTCAACGGGCTGTTTTCTATTATGCAGACTTCATTGGTACACTGATTTATATTGTAATTCTCCTATCGGTAGTCAGTGTTTGGCTAGCCGTTGGTCCCGTTTTGCACTTTAGCGACAACCGGTGGCTGATCAGTGGCACATACGTTAGCCCTAGTGGAATGAATGATGATTTTGGACTACGGAACCTGCAGCATTACCTAGGAGGTCTTGTTACCGATCGGTTTCGCAAGGTCTACAATACGGGTGCAGAAGCATTTCGCGTTATTGGGCTTCCAGTTCCCGAGGGAAAAGAGTACAAAAGCATCTCTTTCAGTATTCGTATCTCAGAAACAATAAACCGAATCTGTGGACACGAATTCATGGTCGTCGCCAGTCTTCTTCTGATTTCTGGCTTGATTGTGGGAGCAAGTGCGATGTGATGGAGCTTGCTCTGCAATGTTTCTCCAAGCCTCATCGAGTCCTTTTTTATGCTTATCCTTATCACACACCATAACACCTCCGTTTCCAGGAAGCGTCTCGGTTTACGGAACATTTATGCACAGCACCTCAAGCTTCTGTCCTCCATCAAACTCGTCAAGGCTCGGGAAGATGAAAAGCAAGGCTTTCTCCGTCGCGAAATTGACTAAAGCTTTGTGAGTCAAGTGCAGCGGTCGTGACGGTGTAAGTTGGGTTCCTACTCCAATATTCGCGGTACTTCAGCATCAACCACCATAAAAACACTTGAAACATTTTCCTATACAGAAGATTTACTATTTAACATATCAAGGCCTGCTAACACCGGTATAATTTGATGTTCTAATAAAGAGCTTTTGTAGTTGTTAATGTTGGCTAGGTGTAGTAGATGTATTAGGTAAGAAACATTCGGCTCGATGTCAGCACCCAGTATTATCTTGGCTGAATGTCGTCAACAAATAACACTTTCGAAGTGACTGGAAATTCCAGGATGGATCCGAGTGATTTACTATTGCTATTGACGGTAGAAAACGCATCAGCTCCCAATCTTTGCACATTCATGAGGTAAACTCTCTTCCTAGAGGGCAAATACTGTGACTCAATAGAGACCAAGCTATGTCTTCCAAGTTGTGATCCCTCAGGATCAATAAAATTGATGGAATGTTTTGTGGAAGCATTAAATCTGAATACAGTATCATGAAGAAGCTAGCTGAAAGGACGAAAGGGTGATTACTCATCTACTCAAAATAAGCCTACCTTCAGATATTTCTTAAGCGGTTTGCTGCTTGATGTGTGCATCCCATTAGTTGCATCCATGATCCAAATTGGATAAAAGCAATCTAACTGCTTACAGCCTTGCCAGCCACCGAATTACCTAACTTGGATGTAATGTTCTGTTGCGCGACCAAAACTAGAATAGTACCCGCCATCAAATTACCCGATTGGAATCCGGGCCTTTCGTATACTTCGTTTACTCCGTACATTTCTCATCGAGCAAATAAAGCTCGCGTTCATTGGATACATATTTCATCATCGATCCACCATAGTTTCCTATTTTGAAAGTACCAAGGAAGTGCAAGTTGCGCTGGATAGTCAATGCGCGATTTGAATATTATTTCTATTCCTCTCCATACGAATATGACAGACGAAAATTGCTCTTTTCAGCAAACAAATGAAGAGATCCGATCAATTCCAACAGCCTGAGAAGGATTACTAATAATCAACTGGTCTTCAGGCGCCTCAATCGAACAGTTCGTCATACTGCCAGCATTCTTAGTAGCGCACGTTCCTGAAGTCTGGAGGCTATCATGGGGTTTTTAGTGGAGATATTCTCCGTACGAGCGATACGATATGCAAACTCCCCTGTTTAAGCCTGTTTAGGCATAATTCAACAGCTTAGTTAGGCTGATTGAAATTGGCTTAAAAGTATGATCATTACCACGCTGGTCATAGAAACGTCCCAATATAGCAGTTCGTTGTAAATTGCTGGCCTAATACGGAATGTGTTCGTAGAATGGACGATATGATTGGGTTGAGATGGAAATTAGACAAGGACAAAAAGTAGACTCTACTGTGTAAGTTCTACCTAGATTATAGTCAATTCCATAATCAGGTTTTAGAAATACGTCGACCGGTTCGAGACTGCGGGTATATAAAGTAGTTTCATTTGCACAGTACATTCTCCTCATCCCATCGCTCCTGACCTTTTCCAAAACTGAAGCATTCTTCTCAGTGTTATAAAGTCAAGCCGTTGTTCATTTCACATCACAATGAAGCTTTCCACATACGTTGTCGCTTCTGCCGCTGCTGGAGCTACCCATGCCTCTGTTGTGAAACGCGCCATCGATGATGCAACTATTCTCAACTATGCTCTTACTTTGGAGCACCTTGAAGCTACATTCTATGCCACTGGCCTGAAAAACTTCACTCAGGCAGACTTTGTCAACGCGGGTTATGCTGATCCTTTTTATGCCAATCTGCAGAAGGTTGCGTCAGACGAGGCCGAACATGTCACCTTCTTGACTACAGCGTTACAGGGTAAGTTTTCATCTTAGCCAGTCCTCTGGGAGAAAGTTCTGCCGGGTCAATTAACGCTCATACATGTGATAGGTGCTGGTGCTCCTGCAACCGCTGCTTGTACCTACGCTTTCCCTGTTACCGACGTCAATACATTCATCGCTACAGCCAACATCCTTGAAGGTGTAGGCGTCAGCGCGTATCTCGGTGCAGCTGCATCGATTGCAAACAAAGATTACCTGACTGCCGCTGGTTCTATCCTCACCGTCGAAGCTCGACACAGCTCGTATCTTCGCGCCGTTGCTGGAGAAGTTCCATTTGCACAACCTTTCGATGACCCTTTGGACTTCAATGAAGTCTACACCCTGGCTTCTGGTTTTATTTTATCCTGCCCTTCAAGCAATCCGTCGCTTCCTGTTTCGGCGTTCCCTTCTTTGACAGTGACTTCCTCTGGCACTATCAGCAATGGTTCAACGATCAATCTAGCTACGAGCAGCACTGCGAAACTCCCTACTACGGTATATGCAGCCTTTGTTACTGTGACTGGCCCAGTATGGGCAACTGTGACCGCATCCAGTGGCGGGTACACGGTCACAATCCCATCTGGAATCTCGGGGCAGAGCTACCTTGTTCTTACCTCTAGCAACAATACTGTCTCTGATGACAACATTGTCGCGGGACCTGCGATTGTTGAGATCGGCGCAAAGAACGGTCGTCTTAGTACTGGGTGCTCGGGATCGTCTAGCTCTAGCTCTAGCTCAATCCCCACGCCGTCCTCCACCCCTGCTGGTACTGGTGTCATGCCTTCCAGAACTTCATCTGTTTCCCCCCAATTTACTGGAGGTGCTAGTTTCCTTCAGATTTCAGTTAGCCTTGTCGGCGCTGCTGCCGCTGCTACTGTCATGCTCCTCGCCTAAGCAAGTCATCCGCGACCTGAACCCTCTTCTTGATGCTCTTGAGATGAAAATGTTGACTTAAAAAAGCCTACTGTATTCATCTGATCACGATCGATATTGCTTGCTCAACTTCTTCCCGACTTCTGTCCAACTTCTGTCCAACTTCTGTCCAACTTCTGTCCAACTTCTGTCTAACTTCTGTCCAACTTCTGTCCAACTTCTGTCCAACTTCTGTCCAACTTCTGTCCAACTTCTGTTCAACTTCTTGCCAACTTCTTCTATACTTCTTGGTGTCGGTGTGTTTGTGTTTATACGGCCTTCGTCGGTCTTAATTATAATTTATCTTTGATAACATGGAAATATGATTCGCTAACTTCCATATCTCGCTCTTCATCAAACAAATCATTTATAGAATCAAACCATGTAATTGACATGACGCGAACTTTTACCTCGGTTTAGTCATGAGATCCACATTAGAACGAATAGGACAAATGCAAACGCTGTAAAGCCAGTATTATTATTCTCTATGTTTTAGTGTAGATAGTATTATAGATTACATCTAATACCCCTAGCTCTCTTCTAGTTCTAGAAATTGATTATATAAGTTGCATATTCTGTGGTTTTATAGTACTCCTAATAACTAATATCCTAACATCAAAATCACATACGATTATCCTCCACGTAACTTATTCCAATAGCTGGCACAAAGAACCCACTATTCTACCAATCTCATCGCTAGATAACAATCATTCATTAAGAAATGGCCCCGAAGGTACAATCCTCATTCAAGAGAATGGGGAGGGAGGAGATTAAAGTATAATCTGTGCAGGATCTTCACTTGCAAGCTCCTCTTAAACATCATATGTGAAGACTTGGGCGACCATGGCTCTTGATAAAGGCTTACAAGGCTGGGTGTATAGGATTGATAGCACAAGTTCGTAATCCCGGGACATTGTGCATGATACATCTTTATTCAGGGATAGAAATGAGACATCTGGAGATTGTATTCAAATATACCTAATTATCGTCCAAGCCCCAATCAATCACTAATTGATAATTAGGCAGCGCGAAAATCAAAGTCTTTATGACGATAGCTAGCCCTTCAACGGAACGTTGACACTTTGCTAAAATTGTCTAACGCTATTTATCGGTAGGGAATGAACGAGCATGTCTCCGGCCGTGCTTGTGCGATCCAATGATAGCAGAAGAAGCAGAAGACGAAGTAGAAGAGACTGATGATTTTGAAGCCCGTGTGGTCGTCGTAGTACTTTTAGGAGCCCGTGTGGCCGTTGTTAGAGTGGTACCGACAGTATTTGAAGCAGATGATGTAGTGGGAGCTTGTTTACTGGTTGTTTTGTTGGTTTGAGAGGCTGTTGCTGTTGCTTGCACTTTCAATGTAGAAGTAGCCGATGTGATTGCGGATGAAGTAGCTATCACAGATGAAATAGAATCAATTGCAGTAGATTTCGATTCTGGCACAGTAGATGAGCCTCCCGCTGCTTGCTGTTGTGGCGTAGCTGTCGGAATTGCACTCGATGACGAGACGCCCGCTTGAGACGCGGCTACAGGGTCTGGAGCAACCGATGGCGCCGTACCACCCACTTGATTCGCAACGACATTATTGTGGCCTTTATGCTTTTGCTGGTTCGTACCACGGCCGTGAGCCTGTGTTGCTTGCGCAGTGCTGATCGAGGTCGAGGTGGTGGTAGCTGTAGCCGCCACGTTAGTGGGCTTGATCTGTCCCGCCAGGATGGAAGAGAGAACTGCAGTATTGATCTTTGCGTTGGTAACGATTCCGTTACCATCAGTTGTCAGAGTGACTGGATTATCGACTCCGAAGATAGTCTGACAGCCCAAGGCGGGCACGGGGCCGAATGACTGGGAGAACCGTTGGGCCATGAAAGTGAAGAGATTGTTAGCCACGTTCGTCGCTGGGCTTGTCTGGCCGGTGAACAAAGCCTGATTCTGCGCAATAAAAATACCAGACGATGCGTATTGCTTGCAGTATGTAGTGCCGGAGGCATTGGCTGTATTCAACGCCAGGGGCTGACCCACACCCGCACGGTAGAGGTTGGTCTTTTGCAAGGATTGGGTAATTTGATTATTGCTGTTGATGACAGTGAAATCGTCGTTCAAAGGGACGAGAGCCGGTCCGGCGGCAGGAGGAAAGAAATTCGCTTGCAGCTCGTTGGTAGCAAGGGAGCCACTTTGACCAGATGGAGATGTGAGCGATGGAGACGTTAGCGGCGTGCATCCCAAAGCTGGAGCAATGAAATCGTTGATCAATGCATTATCGGACCCATTAGTCAATTCCTCTGCAGTGGGGTTTGCTTTTTTGTTTGCCGGAGTGTTTTGAGCGAGAACTTTCCCATTGATCAAAAGATACGTCGAGTCCACATTGTCCGATTGATCCATGTCCACCACTCGAAAATCTCGAACCGTGGGGCATTCGGCTCCTCCATTAGCAGCTGTTCCCGGAGATGCAATCTTTAATTTCCCGGCAGCTACTGCGGCCTCTGCTGTCTTCATAAAGACGTCTCCATTACAGTGTGCGAACTGACCAAAGATCGAACCCCCGAGACCGTTCACACATCCACGTGTATCTCCGGCTAGAGTTAAGCTAACGGCATTGGTGCCAAACCAGATTCCCACTGTAGACCCCCGGGGAACATTAACGGGTACGGGCTTGATAAAGTCTTTTCCCGCAACAGCTCCTTTGTTCACAACCAAGGGATTGTAAACCGACAGATTGTTGGTCGCGGGGTCAAAGATGACTGCTTCGACAAACGATCCTTGATTCGAGAAATCGATCTGGTTGCAGCCAGTGACGGTATACGGCGTCGCCAATCCTCGAGCGCTTAGTGGATTGGCGGGCACATTGAGGACGCAATTCTGAGCAGCAGCTTCAGTGATAAGAATAGAAAGTAGTAGGATCCAGCCTCTGATCAAGGAGTTCATGATGAAAAAATCAGCAAAAAGAATGACTTGGTTGAAAAAAAAGATTTCAAGAACGTAATCCGGCCAGCAGACATATGAAGCAGATAGTTACTGTAATAAGATCGTCCCATCGTGGATGTTGGGAATAGTCGACCCTTATAAGGCGATCACCGAGCAGATCACCCTGAAATTAAAGAGCCTCCAGCGTTTACCTGTAACAATCAGAACTCTAATATAGTAAAAATCTGCTGTTCACGAAGAAGAATGGCCAGTATTAGGTATGAGCCGAGGGATCAAACTGATATGAAACATCGTCCTCCGGTATCACGGTATTTAAGCATTAAAAGGTCCAAGAAAGCTTAGCCAAAGCTTGAACTTTTAGCGTTTTGATGCGCTCGGACTGAATGATTCCAGAATCATTCAGAGAGGCGGTTTCAGCCTCCTGGTACTAGTAGTAGTTTGATACCTGCTGTAGCTGAGCCATGTCCATGTGTTGCTATCTAGAGTGTGCCTAAACCTGCAGACACCGAGACATCCGTCGCAGGGTACGCCACATCGGTAAAATCTCACATCCAGATTCGCGAATCGGAGCACGAGTTGGAGCGCGTGTTGGAGCGCAAATGCCCTGGATCTCATACCTAATTTCACATTTCGATGTATGAATTGACACACGAATTGGAGCGCGAATTGGAGTTCCTCAGTAAATCGAGCAAGCGCACTAACCGTATTCAGACTAGACTTACGGATGTACGGAGTCTGGAGAAGAACATGAACAAGTTGGCATACTCTATATGAACAACTACTTGAACAACAACTGCAAAACGTTGCGACTACTATTCTCTTAACTGACCACCAAGTCTATTACCGAAACTGAATTCATGAACAATATGATGCGCCCTTCTATGACCTTGCTGCGCGCCGGGCGTGTTCTCACCACATCCCAAGCTCCCGCCACGCCGCGGATGTTCTCAACGTCATCCCATCTCCGAACAGACATTAGCAGCAGCGCCTTGCCCAAACAGAAGCCTGTTGGCGCTTTTCGCGGGGGGTACATTTATCTCTTCATATCAGATCTGCTAAAAGTTAAACTAACCGTGATGGAACAGATTGTTCGGCTTCTTGCTCGGCTCTGTCGCCGCTGGCGTGTCCGTGTATTACTACGTGCTCAAGGAGTACAGAGTCTCAAATGAGCTTTTGACAGAGGATATTTATGTATGTAACCTACCTTGCCTTGCCTTCCATGCTTGTATTGTTGCATGTTTTGCGCCAAGTGTGAGAGCCCGAAACTAACAGATTCTCAGAGCCTTCAAAGCGCTTCACAAAGGCTAAACTTGTACATCACTGAGCTGGAGACCAAGATCGATCAGCTAAACAAAAAGAAATAAGTCCTTGAAACGACGCTCGAGGTGCTGATGTTTTTGACTTTCTTTTTGATATCTGTGATTTTTGATATCTGTGATTATGCATTGAGGGCGCTGGCAAATATACCAATTTCATTCCTTTTGTGTGCTTTTATTGTTATTTGGACCATGGTATGAGAGGAATTTCCAAATTGAAATCAAAGGCTATGAAGAACTTGATGTTCTTTTGCCATGATTATGTTATGTTTTGCTACATTGTATGTACTTTGGGCTTTGAGGTTCACCAAGATTGACCTGGGACGAATATGAATTGATCAGTGTATGAATAGTCTTAACTTTTTAATCACGCATTGACCTTTTTATGAGGAATTTTGTAAATGAAGGGGTATGTGTTTGAGAGCTTGATATCAAATTCAAGACAAACAATGCAAACATAGCTTCCGCGGCGAGTAATCCGCCGAGCTGTCCGCCACAACTTTCTCCCTCACATCAACAATTACAACATCATCAAATATCCCGACTTTCAACAGGAAAATGCCTCTGGTCGAAGTTCTAGGCACATCCCGCTCCCATGCGACCCCCGGCTGGGCCTACGTACCCGAAACCGCCCTCCAAAAATCATCTACCGCATTAACCACAAGCCGCAAACGCGGAATCCGTGAACCCGGCCGTTCGGGCGGCGGCACAGACTTGACATCTCGACAGAACCATGCCATAATCCGGCATTTGGCCGAACTCGATCGCGAAAACCATCGCGATAATGTGCACATTCCGGTCCCCGCGCGGAAGGATGCGATTCAGAGGGATAATGGGAAGGGGCCGAGGGCGAAGACGACGAGTAATGTGAGACGGATTTTGCAGAGTCAGAAGACGTTTAAGAATTATTTGGATGATGAGGATGCTGCTTTGGCTCATTCTACGACTACTGGTGGTGCAGCGGCCGGGGTGATACCTGCTGCCAGTGCTGGGGTGTCGAAGGTGGCAAGAGTTGCTGCGAGAAGGAGTTTGACACCTGCTGCTGCTGCTACTGCTGCTACACAGGATGCCTTGACGACACGACAAAAGCGTGCGTTGGCGAGGAAGACTACATCAGATACCACCGCCGAGACACCCGCAACCAAAAAACAAAAACCCGAACAAGCCAAAACCACTGAAGACGTTCAAGGAGAAGAAATGGACCTCGACTCCCCCCAACCAATCCAAAAAGGTCTCCTCAAGACCGCCCACGACAACGACCACCTCCTCAAATCCTACATACCTTTACCGCCATCTGATCGCCTCATGGCCGCTCTTCTGGCCGAACCGCCATTACGATACCACGCAGCTCGCGCGGCGCCGTCAGCTACACACAAACCTGCGCGCAGGTTTTGTACGATTTGTGGGTATTGGGGGAAGATAAAATGCAAGAATTGTGGGGTGAGGACGTGTGGGCTGGAGTGTTATAAGGTTCACGAGGATTCGAGGTGTGGTGCTTTCTTTTAGTCTCTTCTAGAGAGGGATGTGTATTTGTATAGCGTGGTGTTGGTTTGTTTGATAGATACCCCTGGTTAACGATTGTAATATATTTTATTTTATATGCATCAAAACAACAGATTAAAAACTCAACTTGATCCCCTTCCTCTGCTCCGCCTCTCGTATCTCAAACATAACCTGAATACCCACAAACAAAGCACCGCAAGCACCCATCATAAATCCAGCGCCTTTCCACGATCCCAGTATCCCCGCCAGAAAGCCCTTCAGCCCGTCTACACCTAGTGCGAATCCAACAAGATTCGCGGTCATCATAGCCAAGATCGGGCCTACAGCACCGATACCGCAAATCACACGGTACAGATTTGGGTGAGAACGCCAGCGTGATGCTGGGAAGATGAGCTTGGCGATGATTTCCGGGAGGACGAATAATGTGATTAGCCATCCCCACATGAGGAGACGCAGATTGATGTCGTGCCAGACGGCGACAAAGGTGAAGACGATGAGTTGGTTGAAGATGCCGCGTGCTCGGGACAGAAGTGAGGAAGTCGGTGGTGGCGAGTCTTTGGGGGTCGACTTGGAAGACGATGATCGACGACCGCCGCCCAGCGGGAAATACAGATATCGGAGAACCCAGAGATGGTATGATCGGTGCCATGCGCGCCAGAATGACAACCCAGAGTAGTTATTAGACATGCATCGAACCATATTCTCGGGTGGATCGATGCCGTCGAGCAGAGCCCACAGCCGGAACAGTCGCCATGGAATCAAAAGCTTCAACCAGATGATCTTTAGATTGAAATAACCCAGCATACTAATTTGGCCGGGTGTGTAGATCGACCAATCACTCGTCGATTTTGAGATGGCAACTGTATAGATGAAGTGGAGCACAAGTTCCATACACAGCAGAGTCAGAAGGAAGCGAATCCCATATAGTAGATTTCGTGTTGGTGTTAGGGCAGGCGATGGATATCGCTGCTGCGATATGTAGTCGTTGAAGCTGACAATAGGTCCTGACAGATAGAGAGGAGAGTACAACACATAAGCCGTGTAAAACAAAGCATTATATGAAGATGGGTCTGCCGGTATCGTAGAACGGTCCCGCTCAGACATTGATGATGGATCGATTTGCTTCTTCTTAGGAGTGTCAGTCATATACCAGGTAAACGTAATATCTTGAAAGCGTACCTCGATAGGACTGTCTGAGGCGTAGTCCAGACTCCAGTAATAGTCCATGTTGAAACTGATCAAGCGTAGGATAGTAAACTTGAACAGAATCTGCCACCGTGCCATTAGGCCACCAAATCCATCCAAGAATTCCGCCCATGCGACCAGCGTGGGTACTTCCTTTGCCGCAGAGACCTCTGACGAAACGAAAAATTTTGCAATGCTTGCCAAAGGATACCCATCGCACAGCTCATTGGCGAACAGAACAATCAAATTGAATATCCATGTCGCCGCTGGAATGTATGCCCGCGGAAGTCCTTTAGCGATTTTGTAATTGATAAACAGGATTGTCAATATTTTGAAAACGGATATCCCATGAAGTCCGATCAGGAACAGAATCGCAAAGTTGAAATCAAAGACGGTGCGTTGTTTGAGCCGGGCGTCGGCGGCGATGTTGAGTTGCTTGCGCCCTTCGCTAGGTGATGCTGTGGGGATAGGATTGAAGTAATTGTACACTCGACGCAGGAGCGGGTGGACGATTAGGAGTATGAAGAGGTACGGAATGTTGTCGCGGAAGCTGGCGTATTGAGCATCGGAGTTGTCCTAACAGATACAAGATTAGTCGGCGCGTAAGCTGGGCAGAGAGATTAAACATACAACTTTGCGTCCCGGAATCCATCCCGGAGATAGTAAATCAACATAATTCGCATACGCAGGATGATCGGGCTGCGAAACATCCATGACCGTCTTGAACATCATCGGCACGACGGTGATAAATACAAAATAATAGAAATAGAATTCCGGCGTATTCCATTTCGACGGCTGCGCCCTGGAAGCAATCTCCTGTGCTCGAGCATCTTTGCCAGCCGTGGGATCTCGCGTCGAGTCTGAGACGGCGGTTTTGATGGGGGTGGTGGATGAGGTGGTCAAACGAGTGTCGAGCGTGTCGAGGGAGTAGAGCCTTCGCAGGCCCTGGATGAGAGAACCCATTATCGACCGCGTAGCATTGCGAGGCTGTTGTGGTGTGTCGTGTGTAGACATTGAGTGTAGTAGAATAGACAGATGGCCTCGGCTGGTGGAGCCTCAGGGGCTGCGCGCTGTCATTGGTCCCCGCAACATCTATATTCACACTCCTAGCCCTAACTACTGGCTAGTTTCTGGCCCCATTATTCATTGAACCTTGGAACTGAGTCGTTAGACAGTAATTTGAAGCATATGAAAAATCCATATTATGGCGTGTCACGCGAGTAGGTGGCTAAATTGTGACAACCACACCCCCTCGTGGGTCAACAGACGTTAGTTCATAGCTACAGGGGAAAACTGAGGCATCCGATGCGTACTGGGTTAACTCTTTAATTTGCGTATTGCTGGAATCTTGGTCTTTGTTAATTTTCCTGGTAGCATATTCCTTGCGCAGCGGGGAAGCCTGACGCGACTTTTTAGTGTTTTGCTTGGACTTTATTCAATCGTTGATCAAGAGTAACTGATTACTATCAACATCGATTTTGAAAGTTGAGAGATTCCATGCCTCCAGTCTGCCAAAGCACTTTCTTTTTACTGGCTGAACCGCTTCGAGATTTGGGGACAGTTGAATACCGCGTACTACTCGCGATTATGGAGGCATAATTATGGAGGCATTCTGGGCCAGTGTATGACATCGTAAAGTCAATCATTACCTATGTATCCTAAAACCAATAACAATCGACAAGGACATTATACGCATATGTCGGATTTGGAGGTCCATATTAGTATAGTGCGCACGACTTTGCAGTATACATGTGGATATCACGATTTCATGTGTGTCCAATGGCTACCAATGCCGCTGATCTTCGCTCTAGCATCATATGTCCTATTCTGAATCTCGAGAATAGTAGATTGACTGCTCAGGTATCATTAAGACATGATCACTAGAACATTCAGCGTTGAAAGCTTATTGTTTCCGCCATCAAGCCAATTCGAAGAGAGCGATAGATGCTATAATACTGTATATATCCAAGGATAGCAAATACTGACAAGCTCATCGCTCGTTCAGCACAAGCAATGAAAAGAACTAGGGGTAGCAGGAACCAATTAAAACATGAAGAAAATAAAGTATAACTGAATCTGAAAACAAAGAAATAATTTTTAGGACAAAGTTGTATGTCAATTACCCCACACAAGCTGTTGTATCGCGATAAGATACGTAATTTGGCGTAACACTAATACGCTCGAGCCCCGCAATGATGTTATCCAACTATAACTCTAGACAGGTATTTGATATTTGAGATTCATACATCTTGCCAACAAAGGATCTTAACAATGGCATTGACCAGGGTATGTTTCTCATCCATATCGMAAGCCACTAAAAACATTATGAGTTGCTTATTTGCTTTCTGCAGGTCAGATTCAGAGTCCACGGGACAGTTCAAGGTATGTTTCGTTCTTAAGCTATGCCTGGGTGCAACTAGATTGATATGTGTACCATTGCTATTAGGCGTCAGCTTTCGGTATGCCACTCCATTCATCTTTCTTGGGATTGATGACCATCCCTAATCCAGTATAGAGCCTTCACCCAGAAACGAGCAACTGAATACGGCGTCACGGGCTGGGTACAAAACAGTCCTGATGGCAGGGTATCTCCCCCATCTTCCATGGACAATATTGACCAGGCTTCTGACACAGAACAGGTCGAAGGCGAAATCCAAGGCGAGCCCGACCTCGTGCAAAAACTGCTCAAAGACGTCGACAAAGGTCCTCGACACGCCCACGTTGTAAAACTAGAAAAGAGTGATATCGAGACTCAAGAAGATGAACAGTCATTTGAGATTCGGAGATAAATTTTCTAGCTGCAAAGAGGAATGACATCACTTGGTAATATCATATAGGCCATATGAAAAGTCTGTTGTGTTTTGAGCTGTTTTGAGCTGAATCATAAAGCCGACTCGGGTCGATAGCTATCGTAATTTTGATATGTAGAATGGCTCACCGAAGATGAATCACAGCCATGTGACGAGAATGTTTCGGGCGAGTTAAGGCTGAGGTGCTGGCCGCCCGGGACATCCCGAGCACCTCGAATACCGTATTAATGTATTCGCAATACGAGCATCTGAAATCTCACGGAATGATGAATGTGCATTATAAGTGTTGGAAGATAATGGGAAGGGGATTAAACTCGCTTCTACTTCGAGTAGAATGACCTTATATGAGTCCTGGTATGGGTTAAGTCTCTGCTATTTAGATGGTGTGATCATAATATGGGAGTCCTCGATATAGCAGTATGCGAATCTTTTGTATGTGTATCGGTATTGTAACGGGAGTTTCCCTAGAACTTGGCTGCCCGGCATACCGAGTCGAGTCACATGGCCCATTACGAAGACAGCTGCGGTTAGGACGGGAACCAAGTACGGCGGGCTGGAGTGGCGAGGATGTAATTCTTACGTGCTGGACTGTGCGCACGCACTTCTACCGCTACTTACCGATTATGGTAGGCTCAGAAGGTTCCAGCAATGAATGTAATGCGTGTACATAGATTATGATATGGCGTGTACTCAACCAATACTAGCGCATTCTACCCCTGTCCCTCTCGACTCCCGTACCGCCACGACAATCTCGATGTCCCTGGTTATTATCAAGAAAGGAGGATGTGAAACATGGCACTGTACTGAAAACTCATTCCTGTTCCTATCGATATTCGTTTTCGATATGTTTGTTGGCCATGTGACGTCTAATCTTCGGGGAGTAAATTTTTATAGATAATATTTTTTTTTTACTTGTGCCTAATTGGGTTATGGGGCGATGACTCAATTTGATATAAAAGCGCCTGGGAAGGCTTGGTCTTGCCTGAGGTTCTTCGTATAGATCATCAAATAGTCATATCAGAACAATACAACTTCACTGTACGACCAAGTTGTAAAGGATCATCATTTTCTTGATCGACCTTTCATCATCAACATCGATGTACTCCGTCACAACAACCGCGCCTTTACGGCTTACGGTCACAGCCATACCAAAGACTGTCTATGTAGGCAGTCTCTGCGTACTTGCTGGAGGTCAGCATTATTCTACGCTGCCATCAATCAAGGCCCGCCAGAGTCCTTTCACTTCGACAAATAGACGATCAATCTCATCGGCATCACCAAAGTCAGCGATCAAAGAATTCTTTCCCAAAGTCGAAACGAAACAGATTATCGAGACGGAGACTTCATGGCAACACCCAGTGTAAGCTTCCACCACTCTTTCCCCTATATTTCTTTTGATTTATAGGCTTTACTGACACCATCAAGATACACCGAAGAACAAATGCGAAGCATCCACACCGAACACCGCCAAGTCCGTACCTGGTCCGATCGATTCGCCTTAAGCATGGTCCAAGGTCTGCGCTGGGGCATGGACTTTGTCACCGGCTATCGTCACGCACCCAAGGGCCAGGATGGAAAAGCAGTCGAGAAATTCAAAATGAGTGAACGGCAATGGTTGAATCGGATTCTGTTTCTGGAGAGTGTTGCTGGTGTTCCGGGGATGGTTGCAGGGATGTTGAGACATCTTCGAAGTCTGAGGACGATGAGAAGGGATAATGGATGGTTAGTATCTTCCCATTACCGGTTTTGTTGAGGGTTTGTGAGACCAATGGTAAATAGGATCGAGACCCTGCTCGAAGAAGCATACAACGAGCGTATGCACCTCCTCACTTTCATGAAGATAGCCGAACCAGGCCTATTCATGCGTATGATGGTCCTCGGCGCCCAGGGCGTCTACTTCAACGGCCTCTTCTTCGCCTACCTCATCTCCCCACGCACCTGCCACCGCTTCGTCGGCTACCTCGAGGAAGAAGCCGTGCTAACCTATACACGCATCATCGAAGAAATCGAAGCGGGCAATCTACCCGGCTGGGAGAAGTTGGAAGCACCCGAAATTGCAGTCAAGTATTGGAAAATGCCAGAAGGAAATCGGTCGATGCTCGATTTGATGCTGTATGTGCGTGCCGACGAGGCAAAGCATCGGGAAGTCAACCACACACTGGGAAACCTCAACCAGAGGGAAGACCCGAATCCGTATACGGCTGTATTTAGGAATTCGGAGAAGCCACGTCCTAGTAAGGGAGCGGATTTGATGAGGCCGACGGGCTGGGAGAGGGAAGAGGTTATTTGATTCATTTTAACCCTCTGTTTCTTTATGGCATCAACTCCTCTCAGGGGCCAAGGCGTTCTAAAATTGTTTGATATACCTCATTGTTCTTTTTGTTGTGGCATCCAAAGACGTTAGAAAGTTTCGCATAGATCAGGTAGCGACTGAACAAGAAGCATTTTGGTTTTTTCCCATCTCATTCTTGACGAGTACTCGACTCGTGCTTGACACTGGTCAGCGGAGTTTGGATGGATATGACACCGTATTCTAGTTCCACCAGGCGTTGTTAACATGTCGACAGATATTGAGAGACAATGAGTCTTCCATCAAAACACGCTAGGCTTCAATGGCTTAGTGCATAACGCGACCCCACGGCAGGCATGCTGTTTGTGTACTAGCGAAATTCTTAATCTAATTAAACTAAACACCGAAGGACTCGTGAATGGTCAGCAACGTCTCCTTGTTCCTTCTTCTGTTCTTCTACCATATGGTGAATTCTCGATTGACTCTGACATCACACGATATAATCGATTATTGTTCGGTTTACATATTTCTTTGTTGCTGTGGCATCCGACGACAAGCTATTGATTTCCCGCCGAAACCTCCTCGGCAGCGTGACCCATGTGCCAGTTGCTTTGAAATCGAGGCCGATACCCTTGATCCATAAAAACCTATACATCGTATATATACTCAGAGCGATACATACAATTTTGGAAAAATTCGAACCAATATAATAAACGCCATGGATGAACACGACAAAGAACTGGGTATGTTACGCTCAGGGTCGCCATCGCCCTCTATTTCGCCCACACCAGCCATTTCCTCCTGCCCCTCGCCGGACCGCAGCTTCTCGACCTTTTCGACCGTCTCCTCCGTTTCAAATTTCTCCGCTACGTCTGCCACGTCCAACGGCGATAATAGATCTTCCGTCTTGTCCGCCGGCTCGAAACGACGAGGTTATGTCCGGCCCCAGGGGGTCGAATTCGCCGAGTCGGCCAAGAATAGAGAGAGCGTCATGTGTTTAGGAAGCATCGCGCATTTACAATATTACTTTGCGAGGACGGGTCTGTTGGATGGGAAAGGCGCGCAGCTGGCTCGGCCGAAGAAGAAGAACCACGTCAATGAGACAAAGGAGGTTCCGAAGTTATTGCTTACGCAGGATCCCCAATTCACCACGGAGATGGTAGATAGCCCCGTTGATGATATTGCTCCTGATCAAGTCAACTTTGAGGTCGAATATGACGATGGTGACTTAATGCTTCCTCCTACCGTGAGCACGTACAGCGTCAAAACACATCACATTGCGCCCCCGCCGAAATTAAAGGTGTTGCGAAAGGACCTTGTGGAGGCATTGGACAAGGCATCATTGGCGGTGAAGAAGTCTGAGTCTGATAGCACGGAATCGTCGCCTCGATCATCATCAAATAGTCTTTCGCCTCTGTCTGATGCACAGGGAGCGGCATCTCCATCATCATCACCCAAGCCCACTGGATGGCATGAAATTCAGGGTATGCATATACTTGATCTCGTCACACTAGCGATCCGTTCTGCTCGAGTCTACTATATCAACCATGAACGGCCGGAGCGACTGGCTAGTATCAAGACGGAACGCAAATTCCGAGAGGAATTATTAGCGGTCACGGATGTTTTGAAGGGATGGGCTTCTCGAAATTTTGCCGGTGGGTTGAGGAATACTGAAAGAGCAGCTATCCTAAGCTGGATGGCTGGTGTGCTCATTGTTCTCGACGAAGAACGTCGGCTCGAGGAGGCCGAAAACAAGGAACGAGCTAGCTGGAACTGGGCGACTGGAGATTGGACGGGCCGTGAAAGAGAGCGTGAAGAAGCATTTCTTCAGACCTTGATGAATGGAATCGGTCCCGCCTTGCCGCAATGGACATCTCCTGAGAATGCAGTGCTGCCAACCCCGCTTCTTAGTCGTCTGCGAGATGGACGCGATCTTATCCGCATGCATAATCAAGCAGTACGAAAATCACGACGACTTTTCGGCGAGATCAAGACTCCTCATGAAGATATCGCCAAACCATACCGCCGTGCCGAGAATCTACGATACTGGCGCAAAGCTGCTGAACTGCGGTGGGAGATTAAACTCGTCCTGGACGTCATGGGCGTGGTTTATGGCAGCAGTGACGAGGCCTGGATACAATTCGACGCTGCACTCCTTGAGTGGTGCAGGGGTGTGCGTGAGGAGATGCTGGATGACTGGAGGAACCCGCGTAAGGGGTCTGTTGCGTCCCTTCACGAACTGCCCACCATTTTTGATGCAGAAGCCCTGACCGCCGACGCTGCCTAATTTGTCAGGCTTCATGATTTGTTTTTCTCGTTATTTCTTTGTGTTCATCCGGCCGGTACCTGAATAATTCCTTGGTACCAGCTCTCATTTGATACCCTTTCCCTTGTCATTCCAACCACAGTTAAGCTGTGGGACTGTACCCGACCCAGACTATTATATACTTCGGCCGTTTATATTATATGATCATTTCCCCTGACGATAGTCCCATGTTTGCACATCCGGTGTTAGTGGCGTTATACATCACCAATTGAATTATGAATTTCAGTGCGTTTTGAGAGCAGTTAGTACCTACGTATGAAAGCCGGTGTGTGTTGTCGTGGGAGCTGCTGATTGGAAGGGGCGCCTATGTAGACACCCCTAGGTAGTTTGCGTATAATTTGAAAGCGCACTCGTKCCTGACGCGGAACTGTGCTGGCAATGTAGAAGTTGTCAATGTGACTGTTATTTCAAGAAGCAATTATAGAGTAGAATACTCCGTAGTCGAATATAAATCTGACTTCTAACGATCATCAATCGTTGAAATTAAAAAAAAAAAATTGCTGGAGTTCTCCCGGAGCTAGCCGTTAAATAATAAATTAAAAGAGTTACGCCAAAAAGAGCCGATGGACAACAACCAAAAGAGCGGAACCTTCCCCTTCTCCGTCGTCGCTCGTCTCCTGAACTTCAACCCCCGGCGAACGCTATCCCTCCAGTCCCCCCGCAATGTAGAGCCCGATCGCTACACTCTCAACCTCCTCAACAGCAAAAGGCGAGTGTACGAGACCGTTGTTGACAGATTGCAGGGTGGGCCTGTTGGCCGTGCTGCTCCTCGCGTCGCCGCCAAGTCATCATCATTACTATCGCTCCCTTTATTATTGACTGCGACAGACACAATTCCTCATTTACAACAAGAGCAAGTCTACTCAGCTCCTCCTATTGTAACGACTACCACGTCGACGAATTCGAACATCCAGAGCACAGACAAAGTGAATGGTTCGCAGACTAGCATTGTTCCCATGCCCGCGATATCCCTCGTGCCTGGTTCATCGGCAACGTCGACGACGACAACAACCAGCACCAACGATAACAACAGTCTACAGGCTAGCTATTCCCTCCGATCATTGACCAAGAAATTCTCCGCCCCGCAGTTATCGCAACCGTCGTCTTTGTCTGCCAGTTCGCTAGACGTTCAGGAGCCCGTCMCCCCTGCCGCGGCATCCTCGATATCCCGCCGATTCAAACAATCACCACAGGCGGAGGATAACACGTCGGAACAGAACTTGTCCTCTGAAGATACACAACGGACGTCAATATTCCGAAGACTTTCACCTGGTCTTGCGGCTCGAGTGAAGCTTTTGAGCGGTTCGACCGATTCCACCGCCACCGGTCAGACGAAAAATAGTAAAGGCGCGGTAGGCAAGATCCCGGAACGCCATCTTCGAGAGTTAGAGAGTCTCCACCAGGATCGATCTATAAAGGTTGAAAAGCGAGGCCGGGCCTGGCCAGGGTTGACAATCAAGCGAGAACGAAGTGCCCCTGACTTGTTGCAATCGCCCACGAAGAAAGAGCTCGGTACAGACAATAAGGCAGACTTGCAACAAGCAGAATTTGAAAAAAGCAGCTTCCAACCACTGCTCACACCTGACCACGAATCATTCCCAGACCGACAACGACTTTCTACCGTTGACACTATCGAAACATTCGCCGACGCCTGCGACTCCGTAGACGGGGTTGCTGCGTCGACGATGACGACAGTTGAATCTTCGCCGATGGCTGATGCTAGCTCTCTGCCTCAGGATGTCGAACCGGTKCAAGAAGGGTCGAATGACCTCGAAGAATACCTCAGACGCAGCACACTCGAAGATCAGGCACCTCCGCCTCCACCCAAAGATACTCCTCCCGTACCCACGACGCCGTCCTCGACAAACATGCAATCATATTTCACAAGTCCCTACAAGTTGAACAGAGCAGAATCGATATTCTCGTTTTCTCGAGCGTCTTTCAGCAATCAGCTGTCACAACTTACATCGATCAATTTGCCCCAACCTGCCGCTCTGGAAGCGAGCATTACGTCTATTATCAACGCACCGACGGCGGTCAGGGCTCTGACCGGTGCAGCCGAACAGATCGAGAAATGGATGAATAAAGCATCAGAAGTGCTCAATGGACTTGACGCCGAGGACGACGTTGAATGGGCTGCGGCCGGTGGACGAGAAGGTCTAGAAGAAGTGGACAAGGCGGTTGTCAAGTTCGAGAGCTTGGTTGATGTCTATGTCAAGGCAATTGAAAATGTCCAACTACGTGACGATATCGATGACGTTCGCGCTGACGATTTGAAATTGATCGTTGTACAAATGGATACGACTTTAAAGAACTGGGCCAGTATACGGAACTTTCTAAGAGGTGTCAAAGAACAGGTCGAATTAGCCATGGAATGGGAAGAGTTGTGGAACAACGTCCTTGGTGACGTGGGTCTTGAAATCGACAACCTCAGCAGATTGATCTTTGAGATGGAGGAAAAGCGGCACAAATCACTTGTCCCAGACTCAGAGGCTGAACAGGGCAATGGCCTTGATATCAATGAGCTTGAAACTATCGTGGAAGAGTCTCCTGCGATTGGCACGCCGTCCGCAGCAAGCAAACGGTTGAGTTTGGCTCTGTTTCCCCCAGCCGATACCTCCAATGCTGCGGCGGGAAATAGCAATCCACAGGATGATGCGAACCTTATGCAGCTGTTTGCTCGTATGCAACCGTTGAGGGCGTCTCTGGACTTTCTTCCTATGCGGCTATCCATGTTTCAAACACGAGCTGAAAAGCTGTTTCCTACTGCTTGCGAGGAATTAGAGGACAGACGAAAGCGACTTGAAACAACCTACAAGAAGCTGGAAGCTGATGCAGAGGCTTTACGGCGTGAGCTTGGAGAGGATCGGTGGATCCTGGTTTTTAGAAATGCTGGTAAACAAGCGGAGAAGATGTGTGGTTCGGTCGAACGCAGTATTGGCAAGCTACAAGAGTCTTTAGAGTCGGGCGACCCTGTGAACAATCCTACGGCACTCACCAAGAAGATTGAGAGCTATGAAGCAAAGAAAGTTCATTATGTGCCAGCCATTGCACGAGTGATGTCGATCATCCAGAAAGGAGTCAACGACCGATTGACCGTCAATGGCGAGGTACTTACGTTGCTTTCAGACATGAACCAGCGAGTCGACGCCCTCAAAGCTAGCATGAAAGTCATGGACACAGTGCTCGAAGAGACGTCGGTCTCGAGAAGTCAACAATTGCGTGATTCGATATCGAGTATCATTACAACCGACAGTCCTGCAAACACTAGCCTTTTCGGCACTCCTGGCAGTTCACCTGCATCGTCTGTAATAATGACCGGATACACAGGGGGCCTTCGAACGCCCAACGCCGGCAATGGCGGATCAAGCAGACGGGGTAGTTCGGTCGGCAGCACATCTCGTTCAGCAATGGCCAGCTCGCGACGACTATCTGGTATCCCGACAACAGCTACTGGCAGTCGCAAATCGTCGGCGGCACTGTCTGTAAATTCACCACCGTATTCTTCAACGACACCAACTCCTGCCTCACGCACTAGCCGCATACCAACAACACCAGCCATTAACCGACCACGATGGAATGGTAGCACTAACACCGCTGATCTTGACACCGGTCACAACTTTAAGGTGACTCCTCCCTCTACGTATCGACAGAACATTCCAGTTTCAGGTCGCACCTCGCGATCTATCTCTTCATCATTACCGGTGCCTAGTCCACTGAGCCGAGCGACTTCTTCATCACCTGTTCCTACCGGACGAACTGGCAGTCGTGTTGGCTACCGTGCCAACAGTCGACTCGGCGCAATGTCACCATCACCGACCTCGCCTGCAGCCGTGCGCTCGTTCTCTGCATCGACAGTCTCTGCTCGACCTTCCGTCCTAGACCCACCACCATACCACAAACTGAGCAAGTCAACCGCGAACCTGCCCACAGGACTCCGCAATCGACAAAGCTACGGCGGTCCAATGACGATAAAACAGCCCGAAGAAGAGAACGGCTCAAAACCGACACGCCCAGGCACGTCGCTCGGCCACACGAGTCGGCGAATAAGTCTTTTGCCTCAGATCAAGAACAAGACTGGGCGAGAAAGTTCGGCGGGCAACAACAAAAACAAACCTGATGAACGACCGCGATGGCGATAACTTTTCCCTTCTTCGCCCTCCCTTTCTGCTACTATTTTGTAATAATGAGATCATCTCTCGTTTCAGCGTATTCTTTTTGTATACGATACGCAGATTTGTGTCTCCTATATCACGTCATCTTCTTGACTTTTGTGCACAATACCTCAGCGATTCGTCTTGTCCGTATCACAACTTTTGTTATGATTTGTCCGTCTATTACATTCTCTTTTGTATGTACATATTCAATTCTCAATAAATACTTCCTCTATTCCTTCTCCTTGAAAAGGTTCAGACCAAATTCCTCCCATAAATCAAAGCATCCACCAACTCCTCACTATTCGCCAATCTGCCCGCTCCCGGCACACGGCCCAGAACCTGAAATCCGAGCCGATCCCATATTCTGCTGGATGCCGGATTGTTGGCGAATACGAGGTTGAAGACGGAATATTTGTAGCCCTGAGTGCCTTAGCAGCTGGTCAAGGGGAGGAGATGAAAAAGCAAGGAAAAGGGGGGGGTAACAAACCAGTTTGGGTGCGTAGACGAGATACGTCTCGCCCATTACAGAACCGATTCCTTTCCCGCGTGCGGCAGCGCAGGTTATGAAGCCTGCGTTGCAGATGTGGGAGCAGCGTCCTACAAATACCCATCTATATATCAGCACAGATCCTCTCCATACACACAGTTATCTAGCTAGGTAGATTGTGAAGGCCGGGGTGGGAGGGAATATACCGGGATAGTTAGGCTTAGTATAAAACGTGCCCAGACACACCTCCTTCCAATCCACCTCTTCCTCCCCATTGCTCTTGAGCAGTGATTCCGCTTCTTGCCTCGATCCCTTGAGAACAACAACTGCAAAGGTCCCAAACCAGTACTCCCTGAACCGGTCCAGACTCATGGGCTCTTCCATGGGATACGTGCACCCCTTCAGGATCTCAGCGGAGAATTCTTCATGGAGATGGGCTACTAGACTGGGCGGAAGGGATGAGGGGCCGCGTGTTATGGGGAATAGGGTTATGGGTTCCTTGGAGTTTTTGGGGATGGTCTCGATGGGTTGGAGATCAGGCGCGGAAAGGGTGTGGTGGGTTGGGGCGGGGAGAGGGGGGTCGGTTATGTTTTCCATGACGGAGCCGGGCATATTGCCTTTCTTCCTTTAGATTTCTGATGCTGCTGGGGATTGTCTGGAGGTTGGCGATGTGTTTTGAAATGTCGAGATTTGAGGCTGTTCAAGGAATTTGATAGAAACCGTAGTGGGGTCAATTTAGCCGGAGATGTCCCGATGCTTTGGATGATCGTGTTTTAGTCGAAAGATAGATCATCTACATGGACACCTAGGTATTTAGTTGTAGGATCAGATATGACTTTATATTGGAATGCCTCTGATACGGTCATCGCCTATCAATGATAGACACATGTACGTACCAGGGCGTTTGGAGGTGTAATAGGGCGTGAAGATATCGCCAGATCCAGAAGGTTTTAAGCCAATCAGATGCTGCAATTGATATACTTCTTCGGCACAAATGCCGATATCTTTTCTAGATGTTTGAGAATTTTGATATCAGATAAAATATTCACTACATATAGATATTGATATACAGAGCGGAGAGACAAGATAACACATAACGCGCTAGGAAAGATCGCTCTTCAATCCCCTCAAATAATCTACACCAGAATCAAGTAACCACCACGACGCCAACTCGTGCAACACCCGCGGAATCTTCCGTTCTAACGGCATCACCACGCCTTTCTTGCTGGTGTCGCGCCACATGATCGTTTCACTATACACCTCCAGCAAATCCCCGACAGGTCTCATGCCAATAACCAATCTCCCCTCAAATCCAGCACCCTCTTTCTTCTTTGCACTTTGATTTTGGCTGGTAGTTGGAGCAGGTTGAGCTATCCCAAATTCAACAACCGCATCCTCCCTCCGAAGTACTTCATACACGCCGCAGACTACATCGCCAGCCGCAAAATCCAGCTTCTCAATGAATGCCGGATTGAGTGTTTGTACTGCTTCAGGTTTGGATTTGCGGATCATCATTTTTATGATTCGTGCTTGTGGTAGATAGCGCGCGAACGCGGACATGTTGCGACGGAGATATGTTGTGAGTAGTTTCTGCTCATAGGTCCACGAGTCTGTGTTTCCGCCGAGAGCGGTGTTGAGGTTGTTGTCGGATGGTAGATCGCTGGCCTTGTTGAGGATGCGCCATGCTCGATCGTAGATGACCACGTATTGATTTGAGGTCAAGACCTTTTCCGGAATGGTGGCGCATATTGGTTGTATTGCGGATTCGGCATTCTTGCCATATTCGCTTGTATCTGCGACAGATGCAAGATCGCTTCCATTGCAGGATTTATATACGTGTAGTGTCGACCGAGCTAGTCGCCGATGGAGGAAGTATACATACAAACTCGACGAACCAACTGCCACGGCCGCGACGGCGATTGTGGCTGCAGCGATTTGTTTGATGTTGGACGTAGAGAGCACCATGATAAGTCGCGTATTACAATAAAATAAAACCAAGATAAGATTCCGGTGATGTCGTCGAAGAAATCAAATATTGCACGTGAACAGAGCCTCATGACCTGCCGCTTTGGGAATGCCCTCGTATTCCGAGCTCTGTGGTTCGCTGGGCCGGAAATTACGGTCTAGTGTGATTTTGCGTGGATATTTACCGATTTCGAGATTCCATATATACATAAAATTAGAATATTAATTATATTTGTAACGACATCTCATCAGGAGGTGTAGCAAGCCCATTCGCCACCACCGATCGAACCATCTCTGATTTCGCCGGATAGTCAATCTTCATCGTCACATTCGCGCCATTCACACTCTGCTTCTCGATATCAACATCAGCCAAAAATTGCACAACAATCTCCGCTGCTAGTTCGGAATCATCGTCTTCAAGTCCACAGGCATTGACTTTACGTAACGATTCGCTGACCATCTGCGCATCCCAACTGCCGCGGCGCGCGAATTCAACGACTGTTTCTGAGTTGACAAAAGGGTCGAATTCGAAATGACCTTGATACGTTAGTATTCGGTCTGGGTAGTAGAGGCCCTGTATAGGTGAGAGGGGTGTACTCCCGACGTTGAGCCAAGGTTGTGGAAGCGCGGTTAATGCTGAAGGAGCATTGGCAGTCGAAGGATAAAAGCCAATGACTCTATCTCCATGAACCAGTTGAATGTGCAACTTTCCACCCTCTCGTCTTTGCAGATTTTCAGCGAGAGCCCTCCCCAACCCCGTCGCGGCAAACTCCCGACTTATCTCAATGGGCTCGATACCAATCTCATACCCCATCGGACACGCCTCAACCCTCACCAGCGGTTCCCCTTTTGATAGACCTTCCGACTGAGGGCTATTCGCCAGCAAAGCCTGCGCAATAACCTGATGCCCAAAACAGGACCCGAAGAATTTGACCAGCGGATACCGACTCCATACTCGACGGATGAAGTCTTGCAAGTTTGCGATCCAGGTGTATTGATCACCTTGGTAGTACACCGAGGCCCCTGAGCCGGTTATGAGGATTGCGTCGATTGGTCTGAGGATTTCATCATCTTCTATTTCATCAATATCTGCATGTTGCTCCTCGTGAAGGGGAGTTTTGCGTAGCATGCCCAGCGCCGGATAGGAGCCGCCGACTACATCGTAGGCAGATGTGTGAATGCGTATCTGCGGTGCAGATGAATTTTTATTATTCAAGGACTGATTAAGTCTTTTCGCGGCAGATTGTAGTAGTATCCGGAACTGAGAACTATACAGACCGCGAGCCGCATAAACAGTGGGGACGGGCACATCTGTGTCGAGGACGGCGATGTGGATATGCCGGGTAATCATCTTGATTGATTATATCAGACACTCCTTCAGTAGTTTCTTATTGCCTGTCGTATGCATGGAAGAGTGTAAGGATGTTGCAAAATTTGAGGATCAGGATGGATCCACTGAAATGGCTGGATCGGATAGGATTTCCTATTTAGGAAAAGATGAGGATTCCTTATCAGGCGGGGTTTGGCTATGCGTTTGGCTACCTAATGTAAGTACAATTTGTTGCTTCCACTCCCTAGGATCGTGGTAAGTTTAATACTTATATTGTGTGTCGGACTGTTAAAGTCCATGATCGGAGTTTGAGTCCGATATCTACTGATACTAAGCAATACTAATCATCTCCAACCCAATGATGCACTTCAGATATACAAGCTAATCAGCATCCAACAATGCAACAGGCGGCTGATCATCAACCTGAATTCCACCACGCTTCTTCTCATCGCTGTCCCAGAACGGCAACTTCCAACCCCCTTCACTCTCCGGCGTCGCAAGCCACAACCTCATCAAATGCCGCCTTGGTGCTGGTGGCGCAAAGTCCTTGTACGCGGTTCGAGCATGTAAAATATGTGTGTTGGCCAAGAATTGGATATCGCCGACTTCGAGGATCATGTGTAGCGAAAGGCGTTGAGCGGTCTCTTCGAGCACGCGCAGGGCTTCTAGTTGTTTGTCTGACAAAGGTGGGATTATGCCCTTGTCAGAGAAGCGAGTGAGTGAGCGGACGAAGTAGGGGTCCCATCTAGACTTGTCAGTATATCTCCCTAAATTCTTGGGGGGAGGGAACGAACTTGAGGTAAACACGGGGATTCTCTTCCGTTCTCTCGAGATAAAATACAGTCGTCTTGATATATTCTTCCTGACCTTTCGACGTCTCCCCCTTTCGATCAAAATACCAATTTGGTTCCGTCAGTGTTTTGAGAACGTCTGGCCGTTCTTTGGCGAGCACATTATAAACGTGGTGAGAGGAGACCAAATCGGATTCTCCGCCTTCCAGCGCGCGAGCAATGCAGAGTAAACCGACGATATCGGAGTCATCTACATGGAAGAATTGACTATTCCTATTAGTCTCTAAAAACCTTTGAAGGCAGAGGGAAAATGCATACCGAGCATTGGTCCTATAAATCCTCACTTGATCGATCTTGGTGGGATCCTCGCCGAGATCCTTGACATGCCCTAAGACATGACCGCGACTATTCTGACTCACAAAGTAGCCGAGATATGTACCGAGGCCCATGTATGCAACGGCCGATTTGTGATTTCCCCATTCCGTGACGGGTAGACCCTTGAAGAGAATGAAGCCTTTGCCATTGAGCAGGTCGTCGCGCAGTTCGTTGTAGAGATATGGTCCGAGAGTGGGGAGGATGAAGTTTTTCTACACTATTAGCTACGTAGTCAATTATCGTCGTGAGGATACAAACGTACCTGGGAGATACCAGTCAACGGAGTACCAGCAGCAATAAACCGATCCGCCGCAGAGCTCAATTCCTCAACCTCAGCGACTGTGAACCGATGAACCCATTTCTCGGGATGGTCTTTGTACTCTTCAGCTTTCCAGACTGTGCGGCCAGTGATCTCGGAAGGGAAATCTTCGAATGGGTGAAGGTGTTCCGGGAGTGGTGCGTGTTGACCAGTTGTTTTGAGCCCGTCGGGGAAGAGATTCAAGTCGATTTTTGGACTTGAGGAGGAATGATCAAGGGAGCTCTGGAGCTCATGGGGAGCTTGAGTGTGATGAGAGCTGAGTGTGGTGGCCATTTTTGATTTTCGTTAAGTAGCGTATAATTGAAAGTAAGTTGAAGTATGTCGATCAGATAGTGATGATTTGACCCCTCATCAATGGATAAGATCTGATCCCAGTCAATATGTCATCGTAGTCAACCTTTGAGAGGGAGCAAAATTCACTGACACGTGTATGTACTTTGAAAATAATCTAATTTCGAATTGACTTTTGTATTATTTTGAAGTCCGGACATATGGCCGGCGTCGATCAATTTATACGTTTGAAGCGCAAGATGTTCCTGGATCCATAGCGTAATCACGCAATTTGGTTCGATTTGATGTCACCATCTGCGATTGCGAATCGTGCCCGCTGAGAGAAGATCATTCTCTAGGGATATGAATTAATCCATCGCACCATCTTACTCTTATGTGAAGTGTTTACCCGACGTCATTTCTCAAACGCCTACTCTGTTGGAGCTCATATCGCACGGCACTCTTCTAACCAAACTCGAATCCGGAAGTCCAGCACTCCATCAACCCTAAAAAAGTTTTTGCTTAAAAAAGTTTTTAGGCCAACTTTTACATGTGAAGCCTAGAATATAAAAGTCGTAGACCGAAAAAGCAAATATTTAGAATCTGAGCACTGATGCAACATGCAAGCCATTTAGATTAGCGGAAATTTTGGCGTGGTAGGGTTAAAGAACCCATACCTCCGGATTGGCCTGGATCTTCATATCTCCATAGTATTTATCCGCTCATGATGATCGATATTTGTATACTTCTGTATACAGTACATAGAGCGCTCTACAATCTCCAAAGTTCTGAAGTTTGCGACGAGCACGCCCTCTGACTTCAACATGCGGAATAAAGCAACGCCGACGATCTACTCTAAAGCCCAAATATCCGCCCTACAACCAGAATCATTTCCTCCCCCAACCCAACCAAACGAGCCCTCAAGAGGCGACATAACATGGCACACACTCTTCTCATCAACCACAACACCCACAAACTCCCTTTCTGCAGGAGTCGCAACTTGCCCTCCTCAAACAGGCCATTTATGTGCCCATCGCCACTCCCAAGCTGAGGTATATTACATCACTCAAGGAAAAGGTATTATGCGGATTGATGGCAAGGAAAATGAAGTTGAAGAGGGGTCCGCGGTGTTTATTCCGGGAGATGCGGAACATAGTATTCGGAATGTTGGGGAGGAGGCTCTCAAGTTCTTTTATGTTTTTGCGACTGATGCGTTCGAGGATGTTGTTTATCGATTTTCGTAAGATTTCCCTTTGGATGGCCAAAACAGTGCATGTACAGACAGTTTAAATCATATGAGATTCTGACACCTAGGTGTATCCAGATAGGTACCTTCTTTTTTTGCGTGCTAAGTATCATTGCATTGCAACCGCAGTTACTCGCCGTAAGCATACCCAACACCACTAATGTCGTACATAAGTAGGCTCGTTCATAGACTCAATGTAGGTTCATGGCCTAGATTTGTACATAAGCACGCATTTCAACTAGATTAGGGGTTGGGGGGATTCGCGCACCAAATTCAACAACAGAATGAGGCCTCGTATGTGAGATTATAAGCCTAAATTTCGTACGTGAGCGCGTGTCAACTGGATTGGAGGATTAGGGAATTCGTGCATCTAGTATAATCCTCAAAGGCCTCGTACATGGGTTTAAATTTGTAGATAAGTGCAAATCAATAGAAATTAGAATTCACACACTAAATTTGAACACCAAATTGAGGCCTCGTATGTGCTTCGGTGCAGCGATACCTCCCTAGCGCGATTGGGGGTGGGAGCGAGAACGGTATCGGCAATAGGGTCAACAACAGTATCAACAAAAGTCTCGTATACGGTGCCTCGTGAGTGCTTCGGCACCGTATTCCGCAGGAGAATATCACCCTGGTGAGCGTCGGGGAAAGCAAGATTGGCGGATTCTCGTACACTGCTCTTGCAATTGATACCTCTGCAGTCCCAATCCCATGTTAGGCATCCAATTGGGCGGTCACTTCTTGTAGGTACGGAGTCTATGACACCTCCATTCACAAGCATATTGTCTTTTTCCGACATGGGAGGTTCGGTATCGAAATAGGGCTCGTACGTATAACATACAATTTGGGGGTCAGAATCAGAGTTCAATGCGTAGGGCGGCGCAACAAGGATTACACATAGGATAACGTATAAATAGGGAGAATATCGAGTATAGGATTCCTTCAGGAGGACAGGCAAAGAAAAAGAATACGTATATTGCCAACTAGGACCTCACATATATAGAAATAAAAAATAATATAAATTTAATCTATCAACTAATCAATGTCGGTTCGTCCAGTGCAAGATCAGCGTAATTAAATTGGGAACAGACTAATCCGACAAGCCGACAAGGTGAGACACAAAAAGGATCTATACTGATTCCTAATTTCTGTCTAATTGCTACAAAAGGGGTTCCCGGGGGTTCGGCAGTATTTAAACAACACGTACATGCTTCGGAATAGGATAACCATACGGTATCCCTGCGCACGTACGGCAGACGCGTAGTTGCTAGTTGCTGGGGGTTATATATCGATATTGATATTGACGTTCCGACACCAACAATTCAAATGCATTGCGTTCCGTAAGGCGAGCTTATTGCATTCTTGCACAACATGGTGATTCGGTCGAGTTCCATTTGTGACGTAATTTTTTGAGTAACCAGATCAACCAACATATCAAAATTTGCCAATATTCACAGTTTTTGTCGGGTTCACATCCTCATAGCTCCACTCTATATAGTGCTACGTTCCTGTCGAAGACGATGCAATTCGCGAACCTCCTCGTCCAAACCCGAAGCCGGCCCATCAACAACAAGAGCCGGTGCTACCTGACTGATTGATAACGGAGCAACCGCTCCAGGATTTATGCCCAACTCCGCCCGCCACAGCACAAGTTGAGCGGAAGAGCTCGCATACACTATCCTTCCCAAACCCGCATATGCATGAGTAGCTGCGCACATCGGGCAATGCTCGCCAGAAGTATAGACCGTGGCAGCAGCGCGCTCCGTTGGTGTCAGATTCTTCTGTGCCCAAATGGCTAGGGTGAACTCCGGGTGCAAGGTCACATCAGCTTCGGTAGTGACTCGATTGCGATCCTCTTTGATGATCTCGCCAGCAGCATTCACTAGCACTGACCCAAATGGCGCGTCACCTGCTTCGAGTGCTTCGCGAGCAAGCTCCACGCAGCGGCGCAAGTAGGCAATATCAGAGCTGGACGGCATACTGCACTGATGTCAGACTTCGTTGCATACGATGGAATGGTTTTTCTTACATTGAATGAATCTCAAATCTACCAACAATCAGATGTTAAATCACGGAGGGATTATGATTGCCGAAAACATGTGTGAAAGATCTTGGAGTGATGTCTTGTACGAACAGCTAGTGTGGGGTAATTCTCTTTGGTCTGGAATTCAAGCACGAGATAAGCCGAGGACTCAAAGTCCAGAATCTCTTTTAATCTTTTCTATAGATTAAAGTGAATTCGGGCCATGCAGATATTGTTCAAAGATTACTTTACTACGCATGGATGCTATAACTACACAGTCTAGGTCTCTTAGACGAAGATAGTCTGGAATGCTGTTGGATACAGCCAATTAGGTACAGCTGAATAGAGTTCAATACAGGATTGTTCTTCAATCATGTTCTTTCGAAGATGATGTGGTTGATATTAGATTTGACCACTCTGAATGTACATGACATGACCTCCTCACTAAGCCCTAACCTCCCCATCCACCGGAAAATTCCTCAACGTAGCATCAGCAAGATTATCCGGCCCCGTACAAAACATCAACTTCGTCTCTTCGCTATCCTGACTCGCCTTCCTGCATACAGCAACCACTTCTTCCAATAAGGATGTTCGCTCGGGATTTCCACGTATACACCAGCCGATCAAGATACCATCCCATTTGCGGGCCTCGATGGTAGACTGGAGATCTTGAAGGGCGGTAGGGATATCGTTCCTGTCAAAGTCAAAAGGGACGTTGTTGAAGCGTGTGAGTTCTTTGGGGTATGGAACCCAGTTTTTGTCGAGGATTCCGCGTAGAGGTTCGCCTCGTAGGAAGCGACTTAAGCTAATGATCAGGATTTGGCGTGGTTGGATCATCTTGTTTGAAAGGGGATCTAAGAAGGTCAAGATCTGCTTGGGAATAACAGATAGATTCCAGAAGATTGGGCGACGATATACAAGTACAGTCTTTGAACGACTTGATCTTGTGGTACAGGGAAGTCTTTAGGTTTTTCTTGAGTCGAGGGAAGCCTGCTTTTATATTGCAATTCACACACTCTCTCTCTCCATGAAAAGCGCTTATCAATCCGGAAACTTTCCGGCACTTTCATTCCTGATTTTATAGAGCCTATAGTCATAGGAATATCAATATCAGCAGAATGAAGTCGTGGACGAGTCTCATGGTGACCCGTCTCCACTTGTCGGCGCCGCTTTTCTATTTGTGATGATGTTGATTTCAGCTTACGCAAGTATCAATTGAAGAGACAACACAATACGACAATGACCGATTCAATTTTGAAAAACTCCGATAATAACCGCGGACAATTTTCCACTACTTTTCTAGTAAAATTGTGGTCCGAATGGAACTTATCGCATTCTTACCATATCCCGATTCGCCCATAGCCCTAACTTCCTCTTTCATCCACCCAAAGGAAAATCTCACGAATACCGATAAACAACATCCTCATATGCACCGTGGCAAAAAAATAAAATAAAAGAAATTGAGAGCTTCCCCAAAATTCCGAATAGGATGCTCCGCATCTCCCGGAATAAACACCGCGGACCCCTCTTCAACTTCATTTTCCTTACCATCGATCCGCATAATAATACCTTTTCGCAGTGTGATGTAATATACCTGAGCTTGGGAGTGGCAATGAATATACCTAGGTGTCAGTATCTCATCTCATTTAGACTGTCTATGCTGTTTTAGCCCTGATTACTTCCCGAACGATGAACACATCCAACTCCGTTGCATATAGTATACAGCAATCTTGCCCCCACTAATGTAGAAGCATGAATATCAAATTATGCTACAAGATATTTCAATCTTGTTATAGAATCCTCGAATAAGAAATCCCAGATCTCATGTAATGCAGGCACGCGACGTATATGTGATTGGATTATTTCCTATTTGAGTAATTACACGTCCTCATTCATCGACCCAGTCGTTGCTTGTCCACATCAAGAGCCTGAGACGACGACTGTTTAAATTGCTACATGAGAGCTTGGCAGTCCAAACTAAAACATTAACTTACTTTACTTTAATCTAAGTCCAGTTACATTTCCCAGATTAGATAAGTTGTGCAGATCTGCTCCACACATTTGCACAGACAACTCATACATTCCAATCAATCGCCGGCACTTAAGTTTCATGCAAGGATCTTCTTCTGCAAATTCAATTTGCATCATTTGCTGTTACAGTAAAACCAAGACTCAAGCGAAACAACTCAAAACCGAATAACCACCGGACACAGTGACAAACCACGTTGCATCAACATGGCCCCAATTCCCTAAACAAGATCAAATCCATGAAGCGATGTTACCCGACTACCCGATCAGGTCGAAAGATGACGATAAACATGTATATGCGGCTGGAATATGGGATGATCTTGTAAATGAGGGGGAGAATGATCTACATTCTCCAACCTGTTTAAATAATTGACCCATGTACCTCTCTATACTTTATTTACTTTTTCTTCTTTCGTCAACTGTAGATACACAACCTCTGCTCACGCGCGACACCAAAAAATGTATCATCTCACAACCCTCCTCGTAGCTTCTCTTTTTACAGCTCCCGCCCTCTGCAAAACGCTGTACATCTCCCACTACGACGGCCACGTCTACACCCTCAACTTCGACGCCTCCAACCCCGATCCCGACAGCAGTCTGACCCTCGTCAACACCCTGCAAACATGCGGCTCAATGCCTAGTTGGCTGGAGCTCGACGCCCCCACAGGACTATTGTATTGTGTCGATGAATCAGGCACGTCGCAAACATCTGGGAATGGGTCGTTGACGGCCCTCGACGTTACGGCGGCGACGGAGCCGGTTGTTATTGCTGAAACGGAGACGTTGGCGGGTGGTGTTGCGAGTGTTATTTATGGAGCGGGTGATGATGAGAAATTCATCGCTATAGCTCATTAGTCCGTTTCCCCCTCTTTCTGCGCTGTTTTTATATATAAATTTTACATGCTAACGGGTAGTGCAGTGAAGGATCATCACTCTCAACCTTCCCCCTCCCACTATCAAACACCAGCACAGCCCTACAAACCTTCCTCTTCAACCTCACAGGCCCCGTGACCGATCCCTCACGCCAGGACGCGCCTCATCCACACGAGGTCTTCCTGGACCCTACAAACTCATACATCCTCAGTCCAGATCTGGGCGCAGACCTAATCCGCATCTTCGCCATCAACTCTTGCGACGGGACTCTGACTGAATGTGATGCCTACTCAACGACACCGGGCGACGGACCGCGGCACGGCGCATTCTCCCAGGACGGCGAGACGTTGTACATAACCAACGAACTCGCGAATACAGTCAGCACGTACACCGTCTCCTACAACACCACCACTACCACCACCACCAACGCCACAAGCGCCTGTGCATTGTCGCTCGACTTACAACAAGAAATCGTCCCTTCGCCATCGGGGACACTACCGGCCTCCTTCGTCGCGGAAATCCGTATTCCCAAAAATAGCACGAATGTCTATGTCTCTGTCCGCGGCGATCAGTCCTTCGCTCCCGATGACTCCGTCGCGTTTCTCGACGGCTCATCAGATGCGTCGGGCACACTGACAGCGAAGAATTTGACGAGTTCGTTCGGCTCGTATCCGCGCACACTCGTCATCAGCGAGGATGGGTCGCTGGTCGCGGTGGGCAATCAGAAGTCGTCTTCTGTCGCGATTGTGGCGCGGGACGGTGAGACGGGGGAGCTGGGTGCGTTGCTGGGTAGTTTGGAGGTTGGGAGTGTTTCGGCGGGGKTGAGTAGTGTTATTTGGGGGTTTGATTGAACTCCTCAAATCAACGATGAAGCGGGAGGAAGAAAGGGACTGAATATATAAGTTCATTCAGATATATACGTGATAAAGCAAAAAACAAAACATAAAAGCAGAAAACCACCTGTACCGATACACCAAGACCGAACCCTAACCAACCTGAAGCTGACAGAGACGTATAAAAAATATGATAAAAGACCAGCTTTCCATATATAGATGCAATATTAAATCCAAAATCCGCATTTTAACATGCCATACCATTGGCATATCAATTGCAAGTAGCAAAAAGTTAAAACAAACGCCTGGGACCATCCTGACATCCTGACCTATGACGTGGTATGGTATGATGTGTATCGTCATGTGCTGCGCCGTTAGTAAGTATTTCCTGCGTCCTATGTGCCGAATGGCGTATCTCATTTAGTCGTGATATCATTATTCTGATAATATGTTCGTCGTGGCAATAGACAATCACCGAAACTCCAGTTGAAAAGCTTTCCATTTCCCTCCGACTGTGCGACATTTCGGACATCCCCGTGGTCCGGGATAGCTGGTTGGTGCCTTGATAGGGCTGTTGATTGGACGCGACATTGACATCGGCGGACTGCTTATAAACATGCCTACGCATTCTCGGCAGACCCCGCAGATACACTCAGTGCAAGCATAGCAGTCCTGCAATGGCCATGCGCGGCTGCAATTAGCACAGTAAATCTGGATGTCGCGGTGTCGGAATGTCGATGGCGTTGGATTTGAAAATCGATGTTGCGGTCGCACGTGGTTGTGCAGGTGGTGGTTCAACGGACTAGAATCGGAATTGACCGAGGATGGAAGCCCGCTCGCTGACATGTGAAAGTTTTTGCCAGAAACTGTCGAAGCAGACTCTAGCGACGGCTCAATTGACGGGAATGGCTCCATGTCGCTATCTCTGCTGCGGTGTAGTTCCAGCGGCGGTGGTGTGAGCGATTTTTGCAATGGAGACTCTGTGTAGGATGAACCTTGAAACGACCGACGAATTGGCGCAAGACTTGACGAGTGCAATGACGGAGGCAGTGAGTTGCGGTTTTTGGTCGACGCAATCGAGGATGTATTGTTGAGCAGCGTTGACATTGACGGAGAATGCGGTACCTACAACGTTAGCATGTAAACACGAGCTAGAAGCAACCAACATACTGGAGTTGTGTCACGATCTTCATCCACTTCTGTGGCCGAGGTAGCGGCTTCTATGAGGTCTTCCCATCGCTTTCCCTGCACCCAGGCAGCGGTTTGTGGCTCAGCCGAAAGAGCTTTCCGGTCTCCAAGACTAGGACGTCGTGCGAACTCCTTTGATCGCGTACGGTCGTGCTTCGGTTTGCGCGCATTCTGGGTAATAGACGACTTTCGTGGCCTCTGAATCTTGCTGTTGTTGCGCTGTAAAGGCGGCAATGTCGATGACCGACCAGGAGGAGAGTGGCTCAAAATCGACGGTAGCAATTCTCGGGGTCGCGATGATTGAAACGGCGGAAGAGGCTCCTGTTTGAAATGATCCCTCAATGGCGGAAGCTCAATTGACGAATGCATGCCGCCTCGTCCTAATTCATTATCGGAGTGTGTATCCTACGACATGAGCTTTATTCGTCGTATAAATATGGGTATGAGTATGGAAACTTACCATGTCGTCCCAATCAGAGGCCAGGCGATGGTGATGCAATTGAGCCAAGGCGACCGCAGCAGTGGCGGCGGCTGGGTGGGCGTCGTCAATGGTGCGAGGGGTAACGGGAGGCGAGGTGTCTAGATAGTCAATTACAGGATCATTTGGCGAATAATATGGGCTTTGTGTATTACCATATTTTTTCGCAGGCGAGGGCGTGGGCTGGGTGTTGAGATGGGCGCGCTGGTCTAGCGGGGTATTGACCATCAGCAGGAAGCTCTCCTCGGTAGCGGGGAGCTTCGGTATGTAGTGGTTCGGGTGCGCCCTGCGGATATGCTCTTGCATCGAGCGATACCGTTTTTCCTAATTCGCGGTAGCTGTTAGTCGATAATCAAGCCAATGCAATGTGACGAGTCGAATTTCATTTCCAAAATTCACGGGTGGTGGTGGTAGGCTATCGATAAGGATCGCGGAGGAGCTCACCCCTAAGCATCTCTTCCGGCAGTTGGAGCCGTCATTGTTCGTCAACGGACACACCACCTCGTTGTTGGCATCCGACACGGAGAAGGAGCTCGTCAGCGAGGTGCGCGGGGGCATGGTCTGCATGTGTGCTTCGTCGTCGTAGTTGTTGCAGAAGGGATTTGTAGTTTGTTAGTTGTATGTCGGTGAAGGTTATTGAGAGGGTCTCGGAAGAAAGGCGGGGGCGTGGAAGTAAGCCGTCAGCGCCGCTCCGTTTCAGAAAGAGTCAGGCAAATCAATCAGCTCAGCTGGAGGTCGTCACGGCCAAATTGAACAGCAAGAGTCGGTGCTGGCAATGTATACATGCTCTTGGAGTCAGTATGTCTATGTATATACGCGAATCACGGTGTATACGAGTCGGTACATGGCCCGGACGAGGAGGGTGTGTAGTAGGAGGAAGGGAAAAAAAAAGAGAAGAGGAAGAAGGAGCAAGAGAGGGAAAGGGAGCAAAGCGGGAGTGTCAGGATGTGACTGGCTGTGTCGTCGCTCGCTGTTTGGTCCGGGGGGCGAAGGAGGGGAATGCAGCTTACTAGCACCGTAAAGTACTTAGAGGTACTAAGAGGTACGTAGAGGTACTTGAGTCTTAGTGGCACTTACTACGAAGAGCAAAGTATCTCGAGGGCCCGGAGCTTAGCTTAGCTTAGCTCAGCTTAGCTTGTGCCGGAGCCGGCCTTTGCGAGCTCGAGCTTCAACCTCTTTCTTTTCTCTGCCGGCACACAGTACTGCTACATAGTATACACTTGGGTATAATTTTTTTTAGCTGAAGAGTAATGCCACTAATTTTCCAGTTCTCAGATTTGCTAGTCATTCTTTACAGACTTTTTTCGCCGCTCGGTGTTACTATGTAGCGTCACCCTCTTTTGGCCTGCTTATCATTGGCTGATGGAGCTTCCCAGCTCTCTTGGTGGGGGTGTGTCAGTGCGAGGCCTTCCTTTTCTTCTCTTTTTTTTTTTTGTAACAAGGCGAAGACAGCCCCTTGCTGTGTAGTATATATAGTATATAGCATAGCATAATATACACTGTTTGGCAGTACATAAATATCTCATGCAAGACACCGCATCTAGCAGAGAGGGGAGCTATTGGGAACAGCAAAGAGGGGAAGCCCAGCCAGGCGGGAGCTGAATGCGGAACATTTCGCTGTGCATGCTCTCTAGTATTGCTAGTGTCATATTGCATGCATTTGATAGGCTGGCGACACAACAGCTCTACGATGTAGCTCGGTCCATCGATTTGATTCCTTTTTAATGGACTGAAAAATTCTCTAGTGCAGGCTTAGAGAAGAACTGGTTGGGTACGAAGTGGCGGCCTGACCTTCCAGGCCGCACTAGCCGGATAGGCGGCTTATCGATACGAGATAGCCGGCTTTCGGAAAAGATAGGCTTCTTCCGACTGTCAGAGAATTAAAAAAAAATTATGACTTGGATTAAAAAGTGATTGTGAAATATGCTATTCATGTGAGAGGACGTGGTTGTTTGATATAAATGGTATGCGAATTTGTAGTTCGGAGCCCGAATTATTGCCGTGTGGGTGCCTTAGAAACCAGGCATCCATATATTTATCCGAGGCTGATGTCACGAACAGGCGTCTGTCTCTTTCTATTTACATCTGAGCTGAACTGCCCATTCAAACTTCTCTGTCAATTGCCCACTGATCTTTTATTTTTATATCAATCGTTGCTCCACCACGGTACCGGATGATCAAAATCCGAATACGTTATCTTATCTAGCCCTATGATGCGCATCCGCCCTTAGGCCGAGAACTCTTTACATGTATGAGGAACATACTCTGATGTTGTAACATCTGCACAGGTAGTGAATCACATATCGACTGTCAACTAGTGATTAACCAGCAGATCCAAGTATAGTTTAGATGAATCAAGTCTACCTTTTCGACGTCCGCACTTATAACATGTATAATAAGGAAAAATGCCAGTCTATGAAAATTACAAAGGAACGTTTGCGCTCCCCGTGCTACTAAGAACGTGAACCAAACATCGTTGCAAATGCCTCACTACTCATCTGCCCCTGAAACGCTCTACTCTCCTTTGTGGCCGTCAAATTGCCGAATGTCTGCTCAACTCCGTCTTGCCGTGCGCCTACTATCCCTTGCATTGCTATAGAGCGGTCTTCCGTCAGCAGATTGCCAAATTTCTGTCCCGTTCTTTTTGCCTCTGTTGCTTCAAGGGTCTGCTTGCAGGTTTCTTGCAGCGTAGAAGATACGTCCGAGTCTATTTCCGACTCGGTGTTTGGTCCTGGCAGGGAAGATTGATTCCGAAGTTGCGTGCTGAGGTCCTTGAGAGCTGTTTCTTGTGTTTTGAAGTGGTCTCCGAGGCGCTCCATGTCTTTGGATGTATGGGATGATAGAATCCTATTCAACGTTAATCAATGACATCCACTATAACAGCGTCGAAAAGCTACGAACAAATTGATTGACCCCAATACCAACACCAACGTCCTCTGACAATCACTCAACTGCTGATTAAATCGATTAATCCTGCCCTCTTTCAAATACACCGAAACCCTATCCCGAACGCTAAATTTTGTGTCGATTGAATGTTTGGTAACATCCGCGACAGCAGCACTAAATCCACTGCAGACATCATGCGTTGATTTGAGTGTCTTGTCGAGGCTGATACCCCGCAAAGTCGATGCGAGAGTAGATGATGTTTGGTTGTTCGCTAACAACTGCTCAAGTGCCGCAAGAGAATCTTCGGTCTGCACGAGAACGCGTTGGGAGTGGGCAATGCTCTGTGGAGCGTCTGTCAAACCTGATATCAGGCTGTAGGTCTGCTTGCAGCTTTGCGCGGCAAGCGTTGCGATCGCTATGACGCTGGCCGTGGCACTCAACGGATCCATGGGACTGTGATATTCGACTTGCGGTGTAACTAATATCAGCTAATCTTCTCAGAAGCTTCCAAAGTTTGAACAGATTCTCTAGGTGAAATAAAGAATTCTTCGGTGAGCATGCATGAGGGCGAAATATGGATCGGAGTCACTGAATGAAATTGGCTGATTGGCGGTTATATAATTGGGCACTAGGTTTTTACCTATGTGACCTACGATACGGACCTGGATATCAGCCACATTAGTCTGCCTTATAGACTTATAACTAAAACGCCAAGTTGTAGATGCGGATGGATTGGTTTGTTGTTGAGGTCGCGGTGGCTGTGTTTAGTGAAAAGCCTAAGAGGACATCCGCGTGCATAGATCTCCTTGATGCCCCCATAAGCCTGGCCGCAGCATTCAATCACCATAGTAATAAAATCTTAGATCATGATTGAAACTTTTGATAAATGTGAGGACACACGTCGAGTGTCGTGTCTATCAGTAACATATCGTTACTCATTGCGCAAATAGCAGCTTACCTCCCATTTACGCAGAGAAACCAGTGCCGAGCAAAGACAGGTATACTTCCCACTTGTTTCAGTCAATCTACGTGGAAGAAGTTGTACGTAGTTCGATTATAGCTACCTACGTTTTGGTTGTAGGGTCTCGCAACCACGCCCATAAATTTAAAATACACTTTCGCCCTATACCAAAGTAAACTGAGCGACAACGATCTATTCCCGAGGTCATATCTCTGTGAGACGTGATTAACACAGGAGCGGCCTTCGCTCGCAATTCGATTTCCTTGGGACCAAGCTGAGGAGACGACTTGAATGCTACGAAAAGCTATGATAAGGCTCTGCGCAATTGACCTCTTGTCTTTGGTCACGCTGTGCTGCGAGGAAAGACCGCAAACTCTCAGAGAAAGAACCGCTTATTCCCCAGCCGAAATCTATCATCACGGGACTCCCAAGATTATCAATACGGCAGCTTGATTCCTTGTACTCCAATCCATCCAGTAATCGTATACCTTGCTTCAGGATTCTCAGCGGAGAGGATGGCTCGCCAATGATGCCAACCCCTGCCATTCGTGCAGAGATTTTAGAGTCGAGGCGAACATATAACTGGACGATTTCATCATCGCAAGGCCGGTCTAGTTGAATGACAGTTGGCTGGCTATCAACATCACCCTCATCATTTTGTGGTCTTTTCGTGCTGTAAGATGGCTCATATTGTGGCACTGAACTGTCGAACTGTGGTTGATCAACTGACTCAGCGCTCATTCTAACACCCTCTCTCCCAGTGTGGTGCATATATGTGCTATACGCCCAGATAGTCAAGGTTGCAGCATAAATCCCAAAAGGCTCCAGCAAGCCTCTGCTGCTGAATCGTCGAGCGTGCCAGAACAAAGCCCCAGCATGGACAAGACTTAGCCTCGCCTTGTATTTGTCAAGCCTTGCCCATTGAATTACATAGTCTTTTGAAGTCTTGTACCCGCTGTAGTCTGGATGCCGAGGAGCTGCAAGTCGTTGTATATGACGGATCGGAACAAGAATTAGTAGTCTTGCGAGATGCAGGTGGAATATAGTGGCGCTTTCCCATCCCCTAGTCCGTGCTACAGTGGCATTTGCGTCCCAATGTAAGATATCTAGGCAATCGCAAGCACAATTACGCCATTTTGATGCCGACTGCACGGCCGACTCTACCTGTGGGTCGCGGTGCTGCTGTTTGGCTGCAGGGGAACAGATGTTCGACTCGGTCTGGTGTTGTATGCCTCCAGTCTCTCTCGTTCGCCGACATATGGCAAATATTAGCATAATTGTGGCGAGATCTCCGAGATTTGGGGGCAACTTTTTCCTCAAGCGAAGAATATCGAGCGCATCTACAAGAGTCACTAGGTTCCGTCATTCGTTAACAATACAGTCTGTCGTCTATTCTAGTCAAGATGAAACTGACCCGATCGATTCTTATCGTTTGTGATCATATCCGCTGGGTCACGATTCCACACTTCCTCATGGCAGGGGAGTGGAGTCTTTGTATCTTTGATTTGCAACAGGGACAGGCCATCAAACTCGTATAGGACAATAGAGTCGAGCAACTAGGAAAGTAAGAAAGTAAGAAAGTTAGATCTACTGACCCTTTACAGTGTTCGATGACGAAACGACGCACCCATATCATCCAGCCTGTTCGGATCCTCGCCTCCTCGTCAAACCAGCGTGCGAAAACGTCTCCTGAATTCGCCGCTTCTATGTCGGGTGCCAGGATTGACTCCACTGCCGAGAGTAGTTTCAACTGATTGCAGGCCTCAATAAGTCTATATCTTTGGTCGAGGGCACGTCTGACGGAGTTTTTCCGGCCAGAGTGAAGTAGGAGAAGGCAGTTCAACAGCCCTGCCTGCACGGTAACAAGATCCAGATCACTCGCTTCAAGAGCGTCCGCGCCAGGAATCCAAGCCTGTTCATTGTCGTCGGATTTCGTTTTGATGAAGCGGTTGCTCACGATTTGATCAAGTAGGTGAGACAGAGAGGTCTCTGAACCCTCATTTCTGTCCTCGTGAGTATATCGTACTCCAACTACTGCAACGGCAAGAAGTAAGATCCAACTCTTGCTTGAAACGAACTGGCGTGGGTTATTTCGGAGGAAAGGATACGTCGCATGGAACCCTTCAAAATATGATTGAACATACTGCTCCATCTCGCTCCGCGTGGGCATATCCAATCCAAGACTTGAAGAGTCGTGCTCAGCTCGAACCTTGCATAAGAGATTGTCGTATACCGTTTCCGGTACAAAGACTTCTTGCGATACTGACGTGAAGCCACTAGCCTCGGATGTTCCTTCTCTCTCTGATGCGGTAGATTGCAACCTACTGCTTCGCCGGCTGAGCCCATTAAACGCCGCTCTCCCCACAGTACCTTCCGCATAATACAGTCCGTCAACTACAGGGGGAGAGCTTACCGGCACATCTCGCGTCCCGCCAGGTTCCAGAGTAGATGAAATCAACTCTGGTGCTGTAGAATGTACTGATGTCGACTGACTAGAACTGTCAAGACTGGGCATCTCGCAGGATTGGGCAAGACTTCTTTCCAATCCAGAGGGGCCCTGAGGTGTGATGCCAGTATTTTCGAATTGCCTTTTCTCCAAAGCCACGTCTTGAGGATACGGCCAATTCCCAGACAGCATGCCGGGGGTCCATTCATTCAATCCTGCGTCTAGGTTGAGACTGTACGGAGCCCAAGGGCCTTCAAAATTTATGTTCACCTCATTCTCTAAAGATGTCAAAGTGTTGTTGAGCTGCGTAGGTAAAGGGAGCCAATCGCCCGCGTGAGTTGTCTCTGTGGCTTCAGAAATGTTTGTCCTGCCAGAAGAGGTACGCAGCGACTGCATTGAAAAACAATTTTTCCGCTTTCGTGACAGAGGATAAACACACTCCAACTGTCGCTGTTTACATCGGTCACAGGGATTTCCCCGCGTGCAACGGACCCTAGCCACCGAGCACGACTTGCAAGCTCTAGCGCTGCTCGCTTCTAGGTCGACTGGCTTTTGCTTGTGCGATTTGATGTGGCGATGAAGGGCATCCGAACGGGAGAAACCCTTCCTGCAATATGGGCACTCGAAGGGTTTCTCCGTGGTGTGGCTGCGAGAATGGCGAGCGAGGTGTTCATGTCGAGTAAAGGTCGCCTGGCACACTCCGCACTGGATGGAATGTGCTAATGAGCCACTCATTTAGACGTCTAATACGCTAGCTACAGCGTCCAGATTATGAATGCGCAAATAGAACTTGCTAAGCACTTGGAGTCGAAATCATCAATATTAGCAGTACATATTATTCCGGCTATTCGGTAAAGTAGAAGTTGAAAGCCGTTGCTACACTAAGGTCACGCCAACAACTTAACTTCTTAGTGGGTAGCACCGCAGCCAATCGACGTAAATTGTTACTACATACTATAATATTTCGCCGTCTTGGTTGGTTTTGCTGATACTAGTACTGTAATTAAATCAATACTTTCCCTCAATTGTCCTAATGTCATCCAGGCACAATACTGCGTAGTAGAGGCTCTACGATGTCCGTTCCGTGTCCGTTCCATATCAAGGATAGTCGTAATATACACTCGTTACCTTGAAACGATAGTAAAATAAGAAGACTCTCATGAAAAGTGCTACAGAAAAAAAGAATCAAATTGATTTTGACGGGCAATTTTACATGAATTTCGGGTCTGGTTGTCATACCTTGGTATAGTTGCTTTTACCTTAAAAGCTACGTTAGTAGAAATAAAGAAGTCAAAGACTAATGAACAATAAGAAGTACAACAGAAGAAAGAGAAGCAAAAGCGCGTCCGAATCCACTAATATCAGCTCCTAGCTGGTCTACTCAGGAATCTTGGAAGGCGCAGGGCTGAGATGTGTCAATATTCAGTTGATCGAAACAGTATACAGAGTTGCTGTGAGCTGCCCATCTGTCCCAGTAAATGGTTCCGTACCTAGCTCAACGCTTTGAATATATTGGCTGGATGAAAACCCTTCTTTCGAGACAAGATAGATATATAATTCGAAGAGGTCGTCAGAGACACTGTTCACTTCGGAAGACGCAACAAAGCTGTAAACGGTCGTATCTCCACTGGGCCCCGAGTAGAGTTTCCAGGTCGTCCTGCAACTATGTCGATGGGAATATGATCTTAGGAGTTCATTTTTCGAAAGTAAATAACGAAAATATATATAAGTTTCTTCTTGCAACATCAATCGTTCGGATATCACTCACATAGCCAAGGTTTCTATTCAAAAAATCCGGGATCGTGAGTAGAGTGCGAGAATGACGGGCTAGCATTAATCCACGAATAAGATTCAAGAAAGAATATTACCCAAGCAAAAACATCCATTGATACTAGCCCCATTCGTCACGGAATAGAGCTTAGATGATTTGTAAATCTTCTACGGCCATTCCACAAGGAAGCAGACGCTAACTGCTCAGTGACTAAGTTAAGTCCATTGTATCAGGTCATACATTCTAAAATATCGTCATAATAACAGCACAAATGCCGCAATTGACATGACTAAATGACATCTGATCCGGCTACAACCGCATAACATGCCTGGAGAATAACAGGACAGTACTTACAAGAAATTGGATACCTTCTTGGACCACGTGGGAAAAAAAAGACCACTAACAGCTAACATCTGCCCGGTCATTCTGACAGAAACTTGGTGCCCCGCAATCAATTGCTGGCCTGGTAGAAGTCTTTCAGGTCCAAGGCCGGTAGTCGAAGGATGAAAAATTTCCCCGGCATCTGAACGGCGAGTACTCCGGAATCCGGAGAAAATTGTGGCATGACCGGGTCGGCCACCCCACACTTTAATCCGTAGTACGGGTTGGATATCGATTGTAGTACGTACATAGTTTTCCGATTTCTTCCCGAATCCGGCTCACAGGCCGAGATTGGGCCTGGTACAGAGAGATTTCTGGTTAAAATACGATCTCTACCAAGAATTAAAGAAGCAATTTAGCCTATGTACATTTCCTCTCCGCATTGTTAGCCCCAGACAACGCTATAACTAAAGAGCCATGTGTCCCATGGATGATTGCCGTTCCTGGTAAGAGATCTATCTACGCAGACATAATCTTTCTGTTAGTTGAGCCTTCCCTCCGAATACCACTGACAACATGGGTAAGAGCTTCACGATCGCCTTGGCGGCCTTTGCAGCCACAGGAAGCTTTCTCTTCGGTTACGACTCCGGTGTGATGACCGATGTGATTGCTTCCCCGAACTTTTTGGCATTCTTCAACACCACACAAACCTCCTCTATCATTGGCGCCATTAATAGTACATTTTCTGGTGGTGGTAAGTTGTCTCCTTTCATTGCTTTAATGCACTGTACTGATCCCCCCAAAAAAGCCGCTATCGGTGCCCTCACAGCTGGTTTGGCAATTGACAGTCTCGGCCGCAGACGTACTATCCAGGTTGGAGCCCTGATCTCTGTGATCGGTGCGATTCTACAATGTGCGGCAAGAAATCTGGCCATGATCCTCGTGGGTCGCATTGTAGCTGGATGGGCCGTTGGTATTCTGAGTATGTCCGTGCCCGTTTATCAGGCAGAATGCGCGCATCCTAAGAGTCGTGGTTTGTAAGTTTGAACCTGTGCACTAAACTCGTGGCATGATTAATGCTAATTGGTCTAGAATTGTCGGTCTTGCTCAACAGATGATTGGAGTTGGCTTCATCGTTAGCACGTGGATCGGCTATGGCTCCTTACATGCTCCAGATACTAGCCAGGTTCAATGGAGATTTCCTCTTGCCTTCCAAGCTCTGCCAGCGTTGATGCTGTGTTTGGGCATGTTCTGGCTTCCTGAATCGCCCCGTCACCTGATTGAAAAACAAAAAGACGACGAAGCTCTTAGAGTGTTGAGCCGCCTTCACTACGATGGCACGAATGATGAGTGGATCCAGAGGGAATTTACTGAAATCAAGGCCACGATTGACGCAGAAAGGGAATTTACGAATTCTGGTTGGATGGTTATGTTCCGAGTACCGCAGTGGCGGAAACGTCTCCTGTATGTTCAGATCAACATCTTTCAGGATACCCCGGACCGATAGCTGACTATAGTCCAAAGACTAGGAACTGCCGTGCAGGTATTTACTCAAATGACTGGTATCAACGTTATCAACTATTATCAAAATATCATGTGAGCTTCACCTTGCGGAAACCACGACGGAAACCTGAGCCCCTCTAACTTGTCATCATCATTCAGGTACAAAGCGCTAGGTATCACGGGAAACAGTGCAACCCTTGTCTCCGGAATCTACAATGTCGTCGGCCCCCTAGCGAACCTCATTTTCATTGTCTTCTTCCTAGATCGTGTGGGACGACGATGGCCGCTAATCTTCGGCGCTGCCGCAATTACGGTTGCCCTGATCTGTGAAGCGGCCCTTAACTCGCAGAACCTGGACGGCAGCAAACACGGCTACAGCATTGGCGGCGTTTTCTTCCTGTTTTGCGTCACCGCAATCTTCTCCATGTCTTTCGGTCCGGTCAGCTGGGTGTACATGTCGGAAGTCATGCCGATGCAAATCCGTGGCAAGGGAAATGCCTTTGCAACGGGCATCGGAAACTGGTGTGTGAGCACTCTTTGGAGTCAAGTGTCTCCCATTGCTTTGGCGAAGCTGGGCTGGAAATTCTATTTTATCTTTGCAGCCTTCAGTAAGTTATATGCCTCCTCGTTGCTTCCTATATAAGATGCGCATCATCATTGGATTCCGTCTTGCTAACGATTCATTTCTCACCTTGCAGATGTTTGTGTTACTATCCCCACTGTTTACTTCTTCTTTCAAGAGACCAAGCAAAAGTCGCTCGAGGAAATCGACTTGCTCTTTGGCGGCAGAGCCTTGGGAACGCTAAGCAATGACCTCAACGAGAAGGGAATAGCAATGGAGGAGTCCCAGGCCAATGTGACTCAGGTTGAGAATTCCAAGAATGCCTGAGACTGAGGAGCGTGGATCTCGTTATCTTAACCCAGCAAAAGGTAGCGATGCCTACTGACTAGCGTCTTTGCAAAAACTCAGACTTGGAACGACGAGGGACTCTAGAAAAAACTACTTCATGGTGGAGAGAGGGACTTTTGATAAAGATAGATGAATTACGGCGGGAATTTGAGGACTCACATGTACGAACATTTGTGTATACTTCAAGGTTAACTCTGTAGCTGAATGAGTACTTCGAATTCCAATCATTCTTTCAGTATAACTCCTGTACAGCTTCAAGTCACCTCTGTACTTCTATTGTACCTGATCTGCCTGACTATACTTGTGATACTAGTGTAAGGAGTGCAGTAGATCGAAATTATAGCAAACTTCACTATAGCCGTATGTGCCAATCGAGATTTGATCACGATTTATCCTATATCTAGCGTGCTAATAAGGGAAGACGAACATACGTAGTACGCGAAACCAACCATGCAAGGCGGCATCAAAAAGCACCTGGACGATTAGCGGCTGTGGGGAAAGACTTATTTAGCCAAATATGGCTATCATCGGGCCTTCCAAGGTTCATTAGATCATCCTGTAGGTAACACATGCATATGCTTTTCGCCGACAGGGATCGGGATGCCGTGCGGATGGAAGACGTTGATTCCTCCGGTGGTGGCTTCATACTAATTTGGAAATTACGGGGCTGGCGCCTTAACAATGCCTTCAACATGATTTAATGAACGTCCAATGAAATAGGTCTGAATAGAGCCTGAATATTACCTAGGGTATTATTCATGTACTCTCAGTCCTTGCTTCTCTCACTTTCTGGTAAAGAGAGGAATCTGTCCTCGGACTACTCTTTTACTAGGGCATGCTATGCCACATCGCGCATTATCTCACCGATATCTATACATGAAATCTATTCCGAATCATATGTAGTTTCTTCTGGACGAGCATCTGATTCATAATGTATTCCGTCGAAAGCTGTAGTTACGTAGTGCCTCTTCAGCTCCACTATATCGTGCCATATATGCAGCTGTACGCAAATTACCAGGATGAGCATATGATGATCGTCCGGTGTTTTGAAACCCCATAATTCCCGGTGTTTGGCTAGAACGACCCCGTAAAGGGCGGGGAAATTAAGAGGACTTCACTTTTTCTAACAGCTTTCAATTCAGCCTGTTTGGATAAAATAGAATAAGGTTACGCGATATATTTCTCCAGGATTCCATTTCAGGCCATAGTGGATACTGGATAGTAGTCTTGGTTTTGATACGCTAAAATCCAGCATAGCTGGGGATACTTCCAAGGTTAGGTATAGCTCAGTGAATAAAGTTCATGATAACCCATCATGCATGTCAAATTATGTAACGGAATAGACAGTAGGTCTTTTTGATGAAGATCGTCATCAGGTTTGCGCCGGACAATGTCAAGACACTTGGCATTGCCCTAAGGGTATATAAGAGCTGACCCTTCTCCGCTATCAGTACGTATCTTCATCTAGATTGAACATTAAGACAGATTTTCACTGTCAAAAACTAGAAAATGGTCAAACTGACATGTCTAATCACACTGGGCCTGGCCTTATCAACGGCTGCGGAAGATGCAGGAAGCAAAAGGCCGAAATACAAGGACCCATCTGTACCGGTAGAGGAGAGGGTTTCTGACCTGTTATCTCGAATGACTATTGAGGAAAAGACCGCTCAATTGATCCAGGGTATGATGGTTACCTTAATGCTTTAGATGCCGCCAAATGAGACGGAAGACAGCTGACAAATATGTAGGAGATATTTCAAATTGGATGGACCCGGATACAGGCGCTTTTAACCAGTCAGGGCTCGTTGAGAATATGAAATTGAAGGCTGGTAGTTTTTATGGTAAGGCCGGTCCCTTCACCGTACAATTTATTGCTATTTCATAAACCAAGCTGCTGAATCGTCTTCTTTTTTCCCTCATTCACAGTTGGATATCCTTCTCCGGCGTCGTGGATTGCAGAAAATATCAAGAAAGCGCAAGACTACCTTGTCAATGAAACAAGACTAGGAATACCCGCCATTGTGCAGTCTGAGGGTTTGTGTATTCCGCCCATAGATCAATCTACAATAGCACCGAATGCTGACAGAGAAGCATAGGAATCCACGGTTTTCTATTGCTGAATGCAACCATATTCAATTCCCCTATTGCATATGCCTCTGCATGGAATCCAGATGTAAGAGCATTCCCTCCTTACAATTTATACCTCTGATGGCTTCTTCTAACTCCCAAATACGCAGTTGGTCAATGAAATGGCCCAAGTCATAGCTCGTGAAGGGGCTGCCATCGGTGTAAACCAGCTCTTCGCTCCGGTCTCCGATGTCGCCAGGGAGCTGCGGTATGGAAGGGTATGTTGAACTTCTCTTCTTCACTCTGCCGCTCTGTGGACAATGCTGAAATCGATCTTTTTGTTCCCAGGTTGAGGAATGCTTCTCTGAAGATCCATATCTAGCTGGTGAAATGTCATATTCATTAGTCACTGGCCTTCAAGCACTGAATATGTCCGCCACCGTGAAGCATTTCCTTGGTTACGCTCAACCAGAGCAAGGTCTGAACACTGGTCCTGTTCATGGAGGGGAGAGGGAGCTCCGCACAACGTACGCAACTTTCCCTGTTCGATATTTCAAATTGTTACGTTCAGATCTAACATTCCACTCGCAGTTGGATGCCGGCCTTTAAACGAGCAATTGTGGATGCTGGTGCCTGGGGGATTATGGGAGCTTACCACTCGTACGTACATCTGTCTTACTGCTCCTTCTGGCTTTATTTAATTGAACTTTAATCACTGACACAATACCAACCCAGGTATGACGGTCTCCCGGCTGTAACGGATAGTGAGATGCTCACTGATATTCTGCGCGGAGAATGGGGCTACAAGTACTGGGTCATTAGTGACGCGGGGGCAACTGATCGAGTATGCACTGCATTCAAAATGTGTCAATCTGACCCCATTGATTCCGACGCCGTGACTCTAGCTGTGCTGCCTGCCGGGACAGATGTTGAGATGGGCGGTGGATCTTTGTAAGGATTGAACCATCTCGTTTCCTTCTTTTTCTTTTTTTCCCGGAATAAATCCCTGTATCTAACCGGCCGGTATAGCAACTTCAAACAGATTCCAACACTTGTCAGTCAGAATCGGCTTGACATAGCAACCGTTGACACGGCTGTTTCGCGATTACTAAGAGCAAAATTTGAGATGGGTCTCTTTGAAAATCCCTATTCTTCCTCTGTCGCCGAAGAACATTGGTCGTCCTTGATTCATACCTCTGACGCGGTTGAATTAGCCCGCACTCTTGATAGAGAGTCTATTGTTCTCCTGGAGAACCATAACAACACCCTGCCTCTTAAGAAAAGTGGAAGCATTGCAGTGATCGGACCAATGGCTCATGGATTCATGAATGTAGGTTTTCCGTGCCGGAGCTGGACTCCTCCGTTCTCTCCCCTATTTGTGAAAGTTTAGCTGAAAACATTCAGTACGGTGATTATGTCGTAAAAGGAAGCCAATACCATGGTGTTACCCCGTTGGACGGAATTAGGGCAGCCGTTGGCGACTCGGTAACCATAAATTATGCTCAGGGATGTGAACGCTGGAGTAACGACCAGTCGGGGTTCACGGAAGCCATCGCTGCAGCTAAGAAGTCTAATGTCGCAGTTGTTGTTGTTGGTACATGGTCTCGAGATCAATATGAACTTTGGGCTGGATACAATGCCACGTAAGAGGATCCTTTCTTCCCCTCTCCATTTGCTGTTATGACCTGGAACTGATCGCTTCTGCCTATTTAAGGACCGGAGAGCACGTTGACGTTAATAATCTCAATCTCGTCGGGGCACAGAGCGCCCTCGTCAAAGCAATTGCTGAGACAGGTATCCCTACAGTTGTTGTATTCTCGTCCGGCAAACCTATCACAGAATCATGGATAGCAAACAGCACCGCTGCTTTAGTCCAGCAATTCTACCCATCTGAACAAGGAGGAAATGCTCTTGCAGACATTTTATTTGGCGATTATAGTCCGTCCGGTCGACTGTCGGTTAGCTTTCCATATGATGTTGGCTCTCTTCCGATATATTATGACTATCTAAACTCTGGTCGATCAATTGGGGACTCGGGGCATGTCGATGATAATGGGACAATCGTCTTTGGACATCAGTATGTTATCGGGACACCGGAACCATGGTATCCATTTGGGTATGGAAAGTCGTATTCGACGTTTTCATATTCGAACATTTCCTTGAATAAGGTGAACGCTACATTTTCGGACACAGTAACTGCGGAAGTGAACGTTACAAATACCAGCCCGGTAAATGGTACAGAAGTTGTCCAGCTCTATGTGGTGGATAACATTGCTAGTGTGGATATCCCGAACAGAAGATTGAAAGGATTCAAAAAGGTGGAAATTCAGGCCGGAGAGACAGCAGCGGTGAAGATGGACGTCTCCGTTCAGGACTTGGGACTGTGGAATCGAAAAATGCAGTACACGGTAGAGCCTGGGCAGTTTACTATCTTAATCGGTAGGAGCGCTCAAGATATCATTGGCAATGCGACATTGTGGGTTTCATAAATCCACAGAAGGATCACAAATATGAATATGACGATTACCAGTTGATCCTACATGTATAAAGACCTAGTAGACAATCAAACCTTGCCCCCATTATTTGTTATACACTGATATTGTCCTACGTCTGTCTTGATCTTGCAGACAGCACACTTTCCTCACTCGTATTGGCTCAAAGCGTAACTAACTTCTGGTCATAATCCTCGTCCTTCGGGTGTAAAGGCAACCCAGGTTGTTATTGGCAAATCCGTCCTACAAAAAGCACCAGTGCCGCCATTCGCAACCATGAGCCACCACCGCATTGTCCCACAATACCCCGGTGGGGGAATCTCCGGACAGTCGATTTTCTCCGGTCGAAGATTCAAAAATGTCACGCGCGGCTTGCGGAAAACTCCACTGAATGCCGCAGGCGCTTGACGGCCTAGACCTAGTCTAGAAGGAACCCGAAATTTTGGATCCCGAACACTGATCCGGGGCCCGTTGCCGAGTGCATTTATCTATACCTATTTATCCAGATTTACCCAGCAATTTAACCAGCATTTCGAGCTCCACCTTGGAAATGAGCTCAATCGGCGAATTCTCCGAAAATGAGAATTCACCTGTCAGAAAAAGCAAATGTGACGTATTTCACAGAGACAGAGCTAAAATTACTTTGAAGATTAGAAGCATATATAAGTGTTTCAGCCGATTTTTCTTTGCTGCATTCTGGTCCTTGCTTGTTGGCAAATTGCTTCTTCGAAGTAGACACAAGACTACAACTCCATTGAACATTTGAGAGGAGATAATTACAGAAAACACCCCGCACTCATCATGAAGTTCACGGAGGGAATGTGGTTGTTGCGTGTACGCCCCCTCTTTAACCTGCCATGGTCTAACACCCGCGGAACACAAATTCATTGCTTGTATAGGAAGGCGTCCAAATCGACTGGATGAACCATGTCGAACGCGCCACCACCACCGAGAACACTATTGACTTGCTCATGGCCAAGACGCAGAGACATCGAGGCGATACCTTGAACTCCGGTTTGCTACCAACAAAGGATTAGAAAGTCGATAAACAGAACGCTAATACTCGACACAGGTACAGTTTCCGCGCACATTTCTTCGCCCCAGCAAGGCATTATCGGCGTGAGGCTAGTGCATTGGTAGAGACATCCCTGCCAGTATTTTTGGATTTTTGGATAACTAGGGACTAATGCACTTTTTGTCGTAGGGATGGTGGTGTCGATCGGGGACCACATTACGAGATCAAGAACGAGTCACCGACAGAAGTACAAATCGACAATAAAAGCACAGATCAGATACGATATTCTAGCGGCCCATTGACTTTGGCCGTTACAACAGCCAAGAATGAGCTGGGATTTCGCTTTTCAAGCCCCGAGGGCAAGCTTACCGGCCATTCCTTTCGCTCTTTAGGCTACGTCAGAGATCAATCCACATCCAAATCGCGTTACGAAGATGGGATGTTCATGGAGAGACAAGGATATATGCTCGCAGCTCTAGACCTAGGTGTGGGTGAGAAAATATACGGTTTGGGTGAACGATTCGGTCCGTTCGTCAAGAACGGGCAGACGGTCGATATTTGGAATGAGGACGCAGGCACCTCGTCCAATATGGCCTACAAGAACATACCTTTTTATCTTACCTCTGCTGGATATGGTGTATTTATCAACCATCCAGGGCGGGTGAGTTTGGAGGTCCAATCCGAGCGAACAACACGAGTGAATGTCTCCGTTGCTGGTGAGGAGATCGAATACTTCATTATCTACGGCCCTACACCAAAGGATATACTGAAGCGTTATACCCAACTCACCGGCCAACCTGCTCTGGTGCCTGCGTGGAGCTATAACCTTTGGCTGACGACCAGCTTCACTACCAACTATGACGAGCAGACAGTAACGGGATTTTTGGATGGCTTCCGGCAGCGGGATATTCCCCTTGGCGTGTTCCACTTTGACTGCTTCTGGATGAAATCTTTCCAGTGGTGCGATTTCGACTTCGACTCCTCTATGTTCCCTGATCCTGCTGGGTATTTGCAGCGATTGAAGGATAGGGGGTTGAAGATTTCTGTGTGGATCAACCCGTATATTGGCCAGGCGTCCCCTCTATTCAAGGAAGGGAAGAAACATGGATATTTCATCAAGGTATATATTGGGTCCCCATGAATACAAGGCTATCAATTGCTAACGGCTGCAGCGTCTAGATGGTGCTGTTTGGCAGTGGGATCTTTGGCAGGCTGGTATGGCAATTGTTGACTTCACAAACCCTGAAGCTGTACGATGGTATTCGAACCACCTTGAGCGACTGATGGATCTTGGTGTGCATTCATTCAAGACTGATTTCGGCGAGAGAATACCCTTTAAGAACGTTCGATACCACAACGACGCCGATCCCACGCTGATGCATAACTACTACGCATTCCTATATAATAAGATTGTGTACGACGTCATGACCAAGCGGACTGGCAAATCTCAGAGTCTTTTGTTTGCGCGCAGCGCAGCTCCAGGAGGGCAGCAGTTCCCTGTTCATTGGGGAGGTGATTGTGAAAGTACTTTCGAGGCGATGGCCGAGTCTCTCCGCGGGGGTCTTTCCCTAATGCTCTCAGGGTATATTTTCTGGGCGTCAGATATTGGTGGCTTTGAAGGGACGCCTTCGCCAGCTTTATATAAGCGTTGGGTCCAATTTGGACTGTTATCCTCACATTCGCGCCTGCACGGCTCATCATCATACCGTGTGCCCTGGATTTACGGCGAGGATTGCAGTGAAGTTTTACGGGACTGCACTAAGCGGAAGATCATGCTCACCCCATATTTACTGCAAGAAGCTTTAGAGGGTCATCGTACTGGAACACCTCTTATGAGGGCAATGTTTCTGGAATTCCCTAAGGATTTGAACACATACTCTCTTGACACACAGTATATGCTTGGAAGCAATCTGCTAGTCGCACCGGTGTTTAACGAGGAAGGTCGGGTAACCTTTTATGTCCCTCATGACGGTGATGAGAACGATAACGCCCAAGGAAAGTGGAGATCTTGGTTTGACTATTCCAAGACATATGAGTGTGGTCGCTGGTATACTGAGACCCATGGGTTTGACACCTTGCCGATACTTATACGACCGGGATCCATCACTCCTGTTAACTCAAGACTTGAAAAGCCAGAAGATGATTCCCTTGATGGCCTGGAGCTGTTAGTAAACGGGGCTATTGCTGGCAAAAAGGAAATTGAAATAGTCAATCCGGGCAAGACGCATGAGGTCTTGAAGGTTATACAAGTGACATCAGCTCCAGAGACTTCCGAAAAGGTCAAGCTCAATGATGCCAGTATTAAAATTACCCAGTTGGAGTGAATGTATTAGCAACCTCGATATTCAGAATTGGGGACCTGGAGGCTCGATTGGTCTTGATGTCCAGGGGGTGCCGAGATTCTGGATTATGAGACGTATCTATACCAAAACACAAAATTTCCATGCTTTTGAACAAGATAAGTCCAAAGCTGGGCATGATTGAATCTTACCTAGGTATATCCGGTAAATACACAAGCTTGTGTCCCTGGTAGCATTTTCCACAAATACTCAATCTTGGAACTCTGCTTTCAAGCAAAGAATTGATGAATCATTACGACTTCGTAAGGTATAAAAGATCATGCTATCTCGTGTTTACGATGTTTCGGAATATCCCCATATATTATTAGAAGATCATTGAGTAACAATACTCAGTTCTTTTATCAAAATTGCTGCAAGGATCCTTCGCCTTGATTTACACCTGGTTCGTTAGAATGAGACTCCCACGACGGTATCTGTTTGCTCGGATTTGCCTGATCAAGATTAGAGTAAGAAAAACCAACCAATTGAAGTAAAAGCTTGCACTGATAACAAGATTCGGAAATCAACATGATCTTTGAACAGCTATCACATGTAATAAATCTGCTTCCCAGGTTGTTGTCATCTAAACTCTCACAATCTACAAGCTTACAAACCTGGGCCGAAAAATGTCGGGCGAAGTGGGTCCGTCCGAGAGATGTCGAGCTTAGTAAAAGCAAAACTTAGTTAGGGCTAAACAGCTACCATATACTGTTTGTTTGTTTCATGCAACTTTGGCTATGAAGGGACAGAATGGCAGGGCATAATGAAAATTATTTGTAAGCTTTGTGGATCAGTGTTTCTTGACAAATTATGATGGCATGTTTCCGCATACAAACAGAATTATCTTTGCAAAATTCTTGAAGGCATCCTGATACAGCAAGCCCCTAGAGCACTTATATCACTGTTCAAATTTCTGTACCAGTCAGTTCCAATTCACCACTACATTTCACAATACTCAAGTCTCCTGAGCAAAGGTAGGAAAGTCTCCAGTCACTTTTTGTTAGCAATCATCTTATAGAACGAATTAGGTTTGGAAAATGTCAGGAACGCAAGAAACAGCCACCATCACCGGGGTCGAGGAGAAGGGTTACCAAGAACGCTCTGCTAGCCATCCTACCGGATCAAACGACGACGTCCAGCAAAACAAACATACCGACACTTCTCAAACTGTCGCCGAAGCCGAAGCACCACCGCGAGACATCAATGGCTGGAAATGGTATTTGACGCTCGTCTCCATCTTAGCCTCCACCTTCCTATACGCCCTCGACGCGACGGTAGTAGCCGATCTACAACCGGTCATTTTACAGGAACTTGGCGGTATCCAGAAGCTGCCGTGGCTGAGTGTCGCATTCTTACTCAGCGCAACCGCCACCAATCTCCTCTGGGGTCGCATGTACGGTCACATCAACGCCAAGTGGCTCTACATCTTTCACGTCACTCTCTTCGAAATCGGCTCTGCTATTTGTGGCGCATCTCCGTCTATCAATGTCATGATTCTGGGCCGCGCTATTACTGGAGTAGGCGGTTCAGGGCTCTATGTCGGCTGCATGACCCTCATCGCCACTACGACCACACTCACCGAGCGTCCCATGTACATCTCCTGTACCGGATTTACATGGGGACTGGGAATTGTTCTAGGACCTATCATTGGGGGTGCGTTCAGCGAGTCGTCGGTTGGATGGCGATGGGCGTTTTACATCAATCTCTTCATCGGAGCAATTTGTGCCCCTTTCTACATCTTCCTCATTCCGAGCAAAGATCCCCGTCCAGGCGCGTCTGTCCGCGAGCGCGTCTCAGAGCTGGATTATTTCGGTATCATCTTGCAGGCTGGCGTATTATCAGCATTGATTCTCGCCATCAACATGGGCGGTATCGTCTACCCCTGGAACTCAGGCCGCATTATAGCAATGTTTGTCGTCTTCGGCGTGCTGTGGATTCTGCTTAGTATTCAGCAAGTATACGCAATTGCCACCACAGTCTCGAGTCGGATTATTCCCGTGCAATTCTTTCGATCACGGACTGTGCTTCTCCTCTTTGCGGCTACCGCGGCAGGTGGTGCAAGCGCCTTTGTGCCAATCTATATGATTCCTATGTATTTCCAATTCACGCAGGCTGGAGGCGCGCTAGAGGCTGGGGTGCGTTTACTTCCTTTTATTATCATCATGGTGATATTTGTCTTCATCAACGGCCAGTTGATGGCTAGATTGGGGCACTATGTCCCTTGGTTCCTAGTTGGAGGATTGTTGACGGTCGCCGGCGCTGCTCTGATGTACACAGTTGACCAGGAAACATCGGACTCTCGAGTGTACGGCTATACGGTGTTGATAGGAGCTGGTGTTGGCATGTATCTCCAGGCATCTTTTTCAGTCACCCAGGCCGTCGTGGACGTCGACAACATCGCGCCAGCCATCGGTTTCGTCACGTTGGCCCAGTTCTTAGGTATTACAATGGCTTTGGCCATTGCAAATTCCATTCTGCTAAACTCTAGCCTTGGAAGAATCCAGCAGATTCTACCTACTGTATCAACCTCTGAGATACAAGGTGCCATCTTGGGCTCTGACTCAACCCTTGTGCAGAGTCTACCATCAGACCTCAAGGCCCAAGTTTTGGCCGCTATTGTCAGTGCTATTGGCAAGACGTATACTCTTGTGATTGCCGGCGGGTCACTTGTTGTCATTTCAAGTCTACTCATGCGCCGTCAAAAGCTTTTTGGCATCGCCCCTGCTGTTGCGGCGGCCTGAATTGTTCACCATTTCGCTTTCAATAAAAAAGTGAAGACAAACTGTACTGGGTTGAGATTCTGAGTATTGTCATCATTAACTCAAACATTGATAAAAAGACCCTATAGACACCGCGGAGCTGCCACGTATTACACAATTGCAGGAAATTAAAAAGCGAAGGGGGGTTCTGTCGTAGCAAAGATGAGACTATTCAAAAATGCTTAATGCCAAATTATTTCAACTGTTGCTAAATAACCGAGAGGTGAAATGCTGTCCCGTCAGAGATTGACGTAATTTGGAGATCAAGATCATTCAAAGCCCAGAATCTAGTTCCTCCGAGTTCATGTCCGAGTAATCAAGATCAGTGGCCATGGCCGTACCAGGTAAAAACCCTCGACGTGATTCTGAATTTGCGGTTAAATCCTTGGTTTTTAATTCAGTATTAGACTGATGACCACCAACTTCGTTAGCCAGATATGACGGTCTTGCTCTCGGTTGTACTGGCCCAGACCGATCTATCGTTCTTTGCAGGAGCTGTGAGAGAGCTTGAGCACTTATTTTTGCCATGTGACTGACTTCCGCTAATATCTGTAATCGGGCGAGTGCACCACGAATAGCCGAGATGCACTCCTCTAGCGTGAGGTAGGTCATGCCAGCTTCAAGGGGATCTATACTTGATGGGCTGTAACGCCTATTACCAACTCCTTCAAACAAACTTTGATCAAGAGAAAGGTTCACCAGGAGTACCGCGGCTTCCAATGTCGGTCGAATAATGTCTGGAAGACGTGTTTGAGAGCCGCTCATTAGCGCATGTAGTGCCGAAGCAGACGTGAGAACATGCAATGCCGCAATCGCGAGGCGTCTTCGCTGGGATAGTAGTAGAACCTGCTTGTACTCGGGTAAGTTTTGAGCCTGGCGTAGATTTTGTAACAGTGTTGACCGGAAATTATAACAAAGAGACTCAAAGATAGAGATATGTAAAAGTTCTCGTTGCTTTGGGAGTATGGAAAGCTGCGTATCCCACTGCATGTTGGGTTTCAAGGCAAAAGCAGATGGAAGGTTTGCGAGGTATTCATTGCAGAATCTTTCATACCGCTCCTCAGCACCAACCAGGTCATGCCCATGATTGCAATCAACCCGAACAGTCTTCCAGAAATTGGCCAAACGGGCTTGCAAAAGACGTTCTGTGAATTCATCTAGATCCTTGTTTTCTTCGAGATGGGAACCTAGGTGCATCCGTGGCATGTTTCCAGGATTCAGGCAATATGGGTAAATGCAATTGCGGTCCAGCTGCCTGCTTAGAAGACTAGACACAATATCGCTCCGTGATTAGCAGCAAATTAACGATAAAGACGTTAGTCACCATACCTGTCCCAAATATACAAGTTGCAGAATACCCTTCGTCGCATTTCCTTCTCCAATTCTCCCCTGTCAGAGGATGCCTCTGTATCATCCTTGTCAATTCCGATATTCTGAGCAACCTGTATCGCACTCTTGAGATTATCTCGGAAATCATTAATACGTCCCTCGCAACGGCACTTAAGTCCCGCAAAAGAAAGGTGCTGTACACGAAGCAGACTCCCTTTAGGGTTAATGTAGGTGCATTTCTTTGCAATATTGTCAGCAACATCGTCGCACGCCTGGCGGATGTCTGCGAGGTCCATTCCACGAATATTCTCGATCACACAAGATTTGGAAGGGAGAAACTCGGACGTGTAAGAACATATTCTCAGAATGGCGACTGCGAACTCTAGGTCGAATACTGATGAATGTTTTTGGCTGGTCCACCAGAGTTGATATTGTTCAAGGAACCACGGAAGGTAGATTAGCTGGTCAATCCTAAGGTGAGAGAACCTTTAGTTGGCCAGCCGAAGGACATGAAATTATACAGACTTCGGAACGTACCAATTCACTTCAGCTACAAAGTGTCTAATGAGGAAATCCAAGATTGGACGCTCAGGCATGCTATGCAGAATCTGCTGAGCATCTGCCACAATCTCTCTTGATAGGTCATGGCTTTTACCATCAAAGCCTTCTTCGTAGTATGATCGTCTCTGGTGATAGAATGATCTTAGTAGCCAAACATGTGATCATCCATTATGTATCGACTTACTGTCTGTAAAAGGGCTAGGGTATTAGTGTGACTATCCTCGGAATAGCCAAATACCCCTGCTAACGATGAAGCCTCTAGGTTATTCGTAGGACTTTTGACGTCATTTAAGTCAGATAACAGACCAGCCCTGTCGAACCTGCGTAGCTCGGTTTCCTTATGACTAGCCGCTGGCTCGTCCTGCTGAACTGCGTCTGGTGTAAAATAGTTACAGTCTTCCACGCGTCGACGACGAGTACAATGGTTACATGGGTACTGCCGATCACACTGTAGATACTAAGTAGTCGCTTTGGTGAGGGCTAGGGCATCCTTACTACCTTTTGTTTCCGAGTGTAGCAAGGGATACAGGCCGACACCTTTCGCTTTCCGCTAGCAACTTGCATGGTGGTGCAAAGTCTATATGTTGCAATATTTTTTTTGCCGGACAGCTTGTAATTGGTGTTGACATGCTTGATTGGTGTGAAATAATMCCCCGCCTCAAGTGACTAATCGACCTCTTTCCAAGCCGAACAGTGGCTGTTGGGACTACATTGTCATCAGATCAAAAGGAAACCCTAGCATAGCTCAGTGCTTTAACCTTAACTTTCCTTGTCTTTTTTGCCTTCTCTTGTCTTTTATGGTCACACCCACCTCCTCTTTGCCGACCAATCAGCAACGCAAGACATGTCATTTGGATATTGCAAGCAGTGGGATCATGACATAAGGTGAATGGCACAATGCCATCAACAAAATGGAAAGAGGGCTTTTTCAAAACCGGGATTTTTGGTCACCGAGGGTTGAGAGTACTATATGAGTTTGAGATCATAGATACACTTGGAATAAAGGCCCATGTCAAGGAATGTCACGATTACTCATATCAACAGGTAACTCTTTCCCAGACTCCAGATGTTTTGATATTCGACGGTCAAATGGTCCATTCTTGCCCTCATATATTCGACCAAAATGTGTACTATACCATTTCAAGACTTGTTCGTCCAAGCAATCATCTAGAACATCATTTCCTAAGCAGAGGTATCCGACAATCATAGAGGTCCAAGCTTCTATGGATGCTGCCCAAGGTGTGAATCAGCTATGCATCGAGTACTTTGTCGAATTGGCGAGGGATTGGTAAAGTGCAAAGGTTAGCAGGAAGAGATGAGTCGTCAACAGAGCGGTCACATGATTTTCGATATTGTAGACCACCTTTTGATGTAACAAAGAAGGGAATGCACGATCCGAGCCAGTTCTGGATCACATGACTGGAACGGCTCCTGTTGCTTCGACTAGGCAGAAATCACAATCTCTAGAAGGCACAGTCTTCCTCGTCATTGAAGAATGCACTCTTGCACCTTCTTCGAAAACGTCAGAACTGACAACACGCCTGAAAGAGAAGACTAGTGGCGTTGATGTGTTTGTAAATGCATGACTGAAGGCTTTCTTAGTCTAAAGAAGTCTGTTGCTAAATATTTGGAGATGATGTGATGGATGGAGACCGTGCTTCGAGCCGGAATGATTTGAACTCAAAATGCATTTCAAGGGATGTTTGAGTTAACAGGATGTTTTGCATCAATTCATTTCGAGAGCTCTTATGGTGTACGGCAGATAGATTCAACGAATTGAGCGAGCTCCGAGAGTATAGGACGTCGGAATCAGGAGTTGGTCAAATGAAATCAGTGACAAAAGAAAACATCCTAGATTAAGCGAATGAATTCGGCAAATCAGATTCAAGACGAGCATAAATAGGCGCCATACGGACGCTAACGCATAGTACACATGGTCGAACTGCCGGCAAACCAATGTCGCGCAAAGACTGGCCGACGCGTGGTCGCAGGCCAGACCCTTGAATTTAATCGCTGCGCTATCTCACACTTCAGCCGCAGCGACAGGGATGACCGGGTCAGGACCTGGGAGGGGTAAGCATGGAGCTAGGCGAATTAACTCTGTGCTTCACTTTCAGCTTGAGAGTCTGGCTAAGTTCGTTAGGTGCAACAACCATCCTTAGTTACTTGAATCCAGATGGCAGGGTTCAAATCGAAGATACACTTTGACTATTTATAACAGAAACTCGTCGCTAATCTAGGTTCGGTGCTTTAGATTTTAAGCTGGCACTTGAGCCAATTTTTGCGAMCCCGCCATGCCAAATTCCGAGCCTAACATTGTGCAGCACTTTGGCAACGCAGAGGTTGCTAATGATGGATTTCTTTTCCAAGGGGTCGTCACAGGAGACATTCATATTGATAGTGAGCTTGGGTGTTGAGCACTCAATCAATATAAGTAACTGAGGTTTGAGTAGAAGGTCCGCATGAAGCCCTTACGCTCCCTCAAGGCGTGTCTGAAGCAGCCTTCAATGCTGCCAATAAACAACACTTACCCCTCTGTTTACGAGACACCCGAACCGAAGTTCTGAATCAAATTCGCAAATGGGCCGACGGAGATGGACAGGAGAGAGTATACTGGCTAAAGGGTATGGCGGGKACTGGAAAGTCGACAATCTCTTTAACGATAGCCAGGGAATACTATGAAAATAGTCGCCTTGCGGCAAGCTTCTTCTTTTCGAGGGGTGGAGGAGACCTGGCATTAGCCAAGAGATTCCCAGCAACGATTGCATGCCAGCTTGCTGAAATTTCGAATGAGCTTCGAAGATACATTGGCAAGGCGATGCAGGCTAATCCACGTATTGAGTCTCTGTCTATCTACGACCAGTGGAAAAAGCTGGTTTTGCAGCCACTCTCATTGGAGGATAATATCAATGCGTCTCGGCCACCATTGCTAATTGTCATTGATGCATTAGACGAGTGCGAGAGCGAAGATGATATATCTCAGCTAATTCAATGCTTGAACGAAATAACGCGACTCAAACATTTCCAATTTCGGGTATTCATAACTAGTCGACCCGAGCAACCCATTAATCTGGGATTTGGCAGGATTGAGTCACTGTTCCGTCGAGACTTCATCCTTCACGACATTGAAAAGTCATTAGTTGAACATGATTTGAGATTGTATTATCAAGACAAGCTTACTCAAATCGGCAAAAGGTTTTGCATTGATCAAAATCTTCTGTCAGACGAGAATATCAATTACCTAGTCCACAGGTCTCAAGGATTGTTCATTCATGCAGCTACTGCCTGCAGATTTATACAGGACGGCGAAGAGCTGGCTGGTGAACGGTTCGCACTGCTCATTTCGAAGGACGTTCCATCTGCCAATTCGGAAGAGGAGTTGGATCGTATGTATACCACTGTTCTTACACATTCATTCAAAATGACGGGAAAACTCGACTCGGAAGAAATGGCTAGAAGGAAATTCTTATTTCATCGAGTTCTCGGGTCAATCGTTGTTGTCTACGACGCAATCTCCATCTCCCAGCTGGCTGAGATACTTCAAGAACCAAGAGCAGAAATTAGCAAAACCCTGCATCAGCTTCATTCGATCATTGACGTTCCCGAACAGGAAGATGGGGTCATACGTCTTCTACACCCATCCTTCCGCGATTATATAGTCAACTCTAAGCGATGTTCACATGAGCTCTACGCTATAGACATGCAGAAGGCCAATAGAGAGCTTCTTCGATGCTGTCTTCGGATTCTCCTTACTCAACTGCGTCGCAATCCGTGTGATATCCGGCAGCCCGGAATGAAAGCGCGTCATATATCTAAAATTGACATCGACAAGAATATACGGTTTTCCTTGCAGTACGCATCTCAATTTTGGATCGGCCACCTTCAACGAAGCCATACCGAATCTGGAGATGATGCTAGCATTGAAAAATTCTTCCAAACCAAATACCTTTTCTGGCTCGAAACTCTTGCCCTTATTGGCTGTTTCTCGTATGGTGTGGCCATGATGGTGGATCTAGAGAGATTGTTGGAGGTAGAGTATTTCCGGTCATTCGACGAAAGACGATACGCTGATACTTCAAGGGGGACCTAAACGGGCATCCGTCATCGGTGTCCGAACTGAAAAAGTGTTTCCGTATGGAAGCCGAAGCAAAGCGCAGAATAGGACCCATAGTACACGATGCGAAACGGTTTGTTCTCAGTCATGGTTCTATGATAGAGGAGGCACCTCTGCAGGTATACTCATCGGCCATTATTTTCAGTCCGGAGAACAGTATAATAAGGAAACTGTACTCCCATGAAATACCAACGTGGATATCGAAGCTGCCTGTGATGCCGAAAAGCTGGAGTCCATACATACAGACTTTGAGCCATCCGACCACTGTGGAGGCCTTGGCAGCTTCTCCTTGCGGAAGGCTATTATCCACAGTAAGTGATGATACTACAGTACGGATTTGGGATGCAGTGACGGGTACAGAACGCTATGCCTTTTCCATCTATGCCTTTCCCGAGTATCTCGACTCTCAGGTTGAAGATCTAGCCTTTTCCCCTGATGGTAGACAACTTGTAGCCATTTTCCACAGCATGAATGATGAGCAATGGAATCTACACTTTTGGAATGCAATAACAGGTTGTGAGGAGCAGTTGCTGAAGGTCCGTGAATCCGAATCAAGCTGCATTGCGTTTTCTGCCGACAGCAGGTTTTTCGCCATCGGCACTTTCAGGGGAATCATTTCGATACTAGACTCGACAACACGAACTCAGCATCTTGAATTCCAATTTGATGCTGAACATGTTTTGCAGATAACTTTCTCCCCGAACGGCCATTATCTAGCGTCAAATTCTGCGACTCCACGTCCTATTGGGAGCACCTCTAGTACAATCATCAAAGTCTGGGAAATAGCAACCGGCAAAGAGTCATGTGTCCTGCAAAATGACCAAAACGGCCCACTGGCATTCTCTGCTAACAGCAAATTGTTGGCTTACAAAACATCTACACACATACGTCTTTGGGATATAGAGAATGCCACCGAAATTATTGCTTACAGATGCGATCTAATTATACTAACATCATTAGCCTCTTTTCCCAATGGCGAGCTAAGAGCCACTGGGTACTCTGATGCAGGCAGACCGTGTATATGGAAACCTGACACAGGATCCCGGGTGTTGAAGTTTCAATCGGGCTACGTGGGACCTATGGCATCCTTCCCTGATGGGAGATTGGTAATCGTTAGTAATAAGGGTAGATCGGTCAACATTTGGGATGCAGGGGACGCAGCAGCAAGCACGGAGTCAATCTCACTGGATCTGGCACGCAGCAGATTACGGGATTTGAAAAACTCTGCATTCGACGCTGTTTCGCGAGTATTAGATCCGCGGGTTGCAAGTCGATTGTCAAATTTCTTTGCATATCCTCCTCCAACTGGTATTTTAGCCCTTGCTCAGGGTGCGAAAATTCTGGCCGCTGAATATGGCGACAAATCGGTCCGGTTGTTTGATCTTAGGACTGGTAAAAAGGTTTCTATTATCAATGGTTATTTAGACTCGGCACACTATCTTAGCTTTTCTACCGACGGTAAACTGCTGATTTATTTGGCGGACGATAAATTTATTCGACTTTGGGACATAGAGAAGGGAGCAGACCGACATATTCTGAAGACGAAACCTAGGACCGTGCGCGCACTTCAACTTTCGCCTGATGGGAAGGTCTTCGCCATTCGGTTTGATAAGAAATTGATAGAAATATGGGACGTCACTACATGGAAACAACGTTGTACCTTGAAGATACAAGAAGCGGGTCGCCAGGAGACATTTATAAGAGCCTTTTCACCTGATGGTAGCCTGCTACTGACTTGGAGTCGGTTTTACATCAAATTTTGGAATACATCAAACGGGACTTGTCAGATGAGTTGGGACGGCTTACGTGGTGAATACATGTTACCAGCGGCTACATTCTCTCCGAATGGCCGTAAGGTAGCATTCGCACTTCAAGACAGTCAGACTATTCAGCTATTCAATGTGATGACTCAAGAGTTGCAAAAAATATCTGTGGAGCTGGACCAGGCTATAGGCTACTGGACCATGATCTCATTCTCACCAGAGGGCAAATTCTTTGCTTACAGCACAGAATCGAAAATTCACCTCTGCGATGCTGAAACGGGCATGAAACTTTACAGTATACTGCTACGTACAGAAATTTCTGGGCTGGCATTTTCGCCTTGCGATAGAGGTATTTTATTTGTTACTGACCGTGGCCGTTATTGCTTTAATCCCCTACCGAGTCCCCAGAAGCCGCGTTCGACGGACGTCTTTGCTTCCGAATCCTGGATTCAGTTCAACGGCGAAGACGTGCTTTGTATCCATCCAGACTATCGTGACTGGGTGGCATTCGTTGTAAATCGCACTGTTGTATTCAATGGCGGAAGATTTGAAGGAGACTTGGAGGGTGAGATGCTTCTGGAGCTTGCGCGTGATAATCCTTGGATGTGATGCTTGTATAAGGATATATGATGTTTGTGATATTGTATGGCTTTGTCACACCAAGAATGTCTAATAAGGAGTCAACAAGGAACTGATCACATTCATGAGAGAAATACAATCAACAAGCACCTTAAGACCGTGAGGGTCCTTCAATGATAACCGAAACCACTTTCTACAAATGAGCCTGCTTACACGCACCACTCGAATCTTCACCTGGCCGGCATCAGCCTATATACTCGCCGCAACCCGGTATAAACCAAAGCCGAAGCAATATTCCTTCCCTGATGATTGACCAAGAAGCTCCAAAGCTTTTGCGGCGCTGGAGACGCTCTGAGACGCGTCATTTGTTACAAACATTGCTTATGAGAGAATGAGATATCTCACGATCGAGATCTACTATGCCTTTCAAGATATGACAACTGGAAAAAAGGATTGTCTAAACACGCACTCACAATGGGCGTATGGAGGAAGGTTTATAGAGCTAGAGCAAGCCATCGGTATGATCGTTGTGCCAAAATGATGCTTCGACTGATTGACATTAATTCTTTCCCGTAATATTATACATAGATATTCTTGAAGATCAATGTATATAGTCATATTAGTTGTTGTGTCGCCAGGAATTAGGGCTGCCCAAGTTCCTGGTTCCGTAGTAGAGCTTTACATCCTGAAAGCCGTATTACGGATTAACAATAATGCATGTCTCAGCCTTGGACGCCCGCGGAAAGATCTTGAATCAATTATCATTACATTTTGTTGAACTAAGGGCGATCGAATGACGAATGCAATCCTTTTACAAGGAATTTATTTTCTTGTCAGATTTCATCTGACGTTTGGACGGGATAATTCGGTCGATGTACGTCACAACTATCCAAATAGTACTCTGGTACCATTACGTGTGGCTGAAAACGTGTAGAGGATCAATTGCATAGCGAAATGTATGAAATCTAGAACAATTCCATTTTAAGTACTCTACTTTCATATCAGAATATAAAGAGGAAAATATATCCATTTGATTTATGACTCGCACTACAGGCAACCTCACTTAGAGCATATTCAAAAAAACTCGTCCCTGGATACCCACAAGTACATACTCACAATGTTCGAAAATGTCTTCCCGTTTCAACACACCCACCAAGCTCAGCCAAGACTGCGCGATGCCACTTCTTTCTCCCAATCTAGCGCCGCTGCCGCAAGTAGTAACATAATCGACATCCGCTCTCACCCCGAAAAGACTGAAGACACCCTCCGCGTATCGATCCAGGAGAGTCTCGACAAGATCACAAGCGCCCAGGGCAATGAAGCAGGTGCTGAAATGCCCAGTCTGCTTCTTTGGGATGAACAGGGTCTTCGATACTTTGAGGATGTGACGTACAGCCCTTCGTATTATCTAACCAATGAAGAGATTGGTTTGTTGGAGAAGAATAAATATCAAATCGCGGGACGGATCGTGTCGGGGAGTATGCTTGTTGAGCTTGGGAGTGGGTGTGTTCTCACTTCTATTACAAATTCTTCATTTTGTGAGCTAATGAATTAGAAATCTGCGCAAAATCAAAATCCTCCTCGAAGCCCTAGACGAACTCGGCCGAGACGTCGATTACTTTGCGCTCGATGTCTCATTACCTGAGCTCCAGCGCACGCTCGCCCTCGTGCCGCCAGGCCATTTCAATCACGTCCGCTGCTTCGGTCTCCTGGGCACCTACGACGACGGCCGCGAATGGCTCAACAAACCGGAGATCCAATCCCGGCCCAAGACTTTGCTCTCTCTCGGATCAACTCTGGGAAGCTTCCAGCGTGATGAAGTTGCGGACTTTTTAAAAAGTTTTTCTGCTCCAGATAGTGCTTCTGGAAAGAGCCCATCGTTTCTAATCGGTCTCGACGGGTGCAAAGACCCTGACCGCGTCTTCAGAGCCTACAATGACCCCGAAGGCGTAAACCATCGCTTTGTCAAAATCGGCTTGTACCGTGCAAACCAGATTTTGGGATACGACGCTTTTGACCTGGATCATTGGCATGTCAAGGGTATCTGGGAAGCGCAGTACGGTCGACACAGTCAATACTATTACCCGGACACTGATGTGAGTCTGGGTGACCGTGATGAGATGAAATCTGTTCCTGCGGGGAAAAGTATATTGGGCGTTCAGAGTTACAAATATGATGTGAATGATCAGAACGAGTTGGCGGACAGAGCTGGGCTGGATATCACGGATTCGTGGTCGTCGGGACAGGGTTACAGTGAGTTTCTCCCGGCATATTGCCTAGTAAGGGATTATTTGGCTAACACTGATCTTGCAGGTTTATTGTTGTTGGATAAGAGCAATAATGACGAGTAAATAGATTCATTTACTGTATACCGATTATGTATTTAATTGATAATGATTTGAAAGTAAAAGTTGGAATCGTAAACCATGAAAGTAAGAATCATGAGTCAAGACGTCGTACAAACTAATCATGACGTTCGTCGCCGAAAGCAGAAACCCCATATTTACGCTCGATCCATCTCACGAACCGCTTAACGCAATTTTATATACAGATAAAGCCACATCGAAATGTTAATGTCCACTTCGATCCTGCCAAATGGCAGAGTCAGACCTGCTCATTATAGGCGCGGGTCCAGCAGGCCTCATGGCCGCCTGCTGGGCCGCTCAATACAGCATGACCACACGAATTATTGATCAGAAACCCAGCCGGACGCGCACAGGCCATGCTGATGGACTGCAAAGTCGCACATTAGAGATTATGGATAGCTTTGGCTTTGTCGATCAGATCCTAAGGCAAGCGGTAGTTGCGGCTGAGATGTGTTATTGGGGGCGGTGTGTATACTACGAACCCATTCACGATCAAAGATGACCCGTAAGAACTGAAGTTTTGAAAGCGTAGATAAAGAGTCTGGCAACATCAAACGAGAAAAAAGGACTTCGTTGCAGCCAGATAATCTCTCGAGATTTGGGCAGGTTCTCCTGAATCAAGGTCTGATTGAGGATGTGCTTATTCAGTATATCAACGGGCTTGGACGCGCCAAGGTTGAATGGCAGAAACGAGCCGAGATGTTAGACGTATCGTCAAATGACTCTGAGTATCCGGTGATGATCAAGGTGAAAAATCTGGCGGATCCTAGTATGGCTATATCCTTCATTTTCTCGAGAATTTAAGCTAATTGTTCTATGCAGACCAGAATGCTGAAACTATATCTGCACGATACATAGTCGCTTGCGACGGCTCTCGTGGCTGGACTAGAGAACAGCTCCACGTCCCCATGGAAACCCATTCAGAATCAACATGGGGTGTAATTGACATTGTACCCATAACCAATTTCCGTATGCCCCAATTCGCCCCTTTTACTGTCGAATCCCATGTTTGACTGAGTTGCACAGCCGATGTCCGCCAATCCTGCGCCATTAAATCTGATACACACGGTAGTATCATGACCGCACCACGAGAAAATCGGCTTCTAAGGCTGTACATTCAGCTCAAAGGGAATGATGAACTGGAGCAAGTCGCTCGACAACGAACAGAAGAATCGCCGCGAGCACTCGTGATAATTGCGGAGAGGGCAATGAAGCCGTATTATCTGAGGTACCGACATTGCGACTGGTGGTCTATCTATAGTGTATGCTACCCCTAGACGAAAAGTAGAAGCCAATATTGATTTGCCATAGATACGTCAGCGTCTGGTCATACATCATCGAATACACGACAGGATCTTCCTCGCCGGTGATGCAGCACATACTCATTCCCCCATGGCCGGTCAAGGAATGAACATCTCAATGCAAGATACATACAATCTTATCTGGAAGCTCGGCTCCGTAATGACTCAGCACGCCAGTCCTGCCATCCTTGATACATATGAAAGTGAAAGACAACCAGTGGCCAGGACACTAATGGAATTGGATAAACGAATATTATCAGCATATCAACAGGCAGACCCAAAAGGTGAAGGGGTTGATGAAGTAAGACAGCAATATTCTGGATTTATGAGCGGGACGGGGGTGGTATATGAACCGAGTATATTGATTGCACGATCCGATGCAAAATATCGAATAGCTCGTTCCGGAATTAAAGACGTTCATGTCGGGATGCGTCTGGCATGCTTCGAGAAGACGGTCAAGAATCAGGCGGATGGGTCGACGAAACATTTGTTAAGTCTTTTGCGCAGCACGGGGGTATGGAGATTATTGGTCTTCGCTGGTGACCTGCGACAAGAAGAGCAATTGGAGAAGTTGAACGATCTCGCGAACTCACTTTCAACAAGAAACGTCTTGCAAAAGTTGAGCTCTTCAATTGAGAGCTTTTTGATACATGCTAGTCCCAGAGATCATATTGACTTTTTCGATATCCCTGAGATGTTTCGTCCGTTTGATGAGACATTTGGTTGGGATTATGGCAGGATATTTTCCGATAGTGAAGAATCGCCAACGATTAATGAAGTCAATCATATCAGCGGTCGTGTGTTTGAAAAGGGGGCCACGGAATTCGTGATATTGTGTCGTCCGGATCAACATGTTGCTTGGATCGGGGGTTTTGATAAGTTGAACGAATTGGAGAGAAAGTTATCCACTATATTCAATGTGTAAATTCAAGTGTATCTAGCCCAGTACAGACATGGAAGATAATTTATATTACAAAGCATTCATAGAACGAAACAAACGCTGGCCATTTTGACATTATCAACTCCTGAACTTACGACGGCAATGCTGAACACAAAAAAAGCACAACACTACGTACTAAACTTCAAGAGAATTGGATAAAATGGCCACTCGTTCGCCTCGTCTCGCCGGAGAGAACGTGCCGCGCTTCGATAATGGTGACCTGTTTCCCGCCTCGGGCAATCTCAGCCCGTAGGCTGAGGAGATACCGGCTATACCAGCGCCGATAATGCATATATCAGTGTTCTTGATATTTTGCTTCTAGGGCGCAAAGGCGGCATGGGGGTAGGTCGAGTACGACACTTTATGGACCCAGACGGAGTCGCTGTGGTCGGATGTGTTGTCGAAGTGGCTTTCTGCTTGTTCGGGTATTCTAGAGCTATTTTTCCTTTGAGATGATGGTTGTGCCTCTTTTTCGTTTTCCGAGAGAACATGGGTGTCAATGATATATTCTTTCATGAGTCTTCGCGATGTTGAATGAAAGGTTGTCTTGTGGCGGAAAATCATCATGACGCGAAAAGCCCTAATCAATCCAAACTTTCTGCTATAGAAATGACATACGCTAAGTGTCCGTTTCATTCAAGATAATATCACGTCAGGTTCATATATCGAACATCTCGATAGAGAGTTAGCGAACATGGGTATACTCGGGTTCCTCCACGATTTTGCGGATTATCTGCTGTCGTTTGTGAAGATGGTATTATCAATCTTCAGTTCAGTCCGGAATTAACTGCTGACTATTTTCAGGCCCAAAATCGAGAATTCGGCTGGAAGACCATTGATCGCAAGGCATGCCCATATCATTCAGTGACTATTAACAGGTTCTACCGACTGACTCTCGCAGACTGATTAGGAAATCCGCGAACAACAACCACTCTTCAAAAAGCTCAAGCTCTTTTTTCTTTTCAATCCCTTGACAGAATGGTTCGATACAACACACATGATGTGCCTGCATCTTCGCAACAAGAATATTGAAAGCGGTCCGCCACCCACGCAATCTTCGCCAGTAGCCAAACCTCTGAGTTTACGAGTACAGGCAGAAAAGGAGCAGCCCCCTCCTCCAAAAGCCAAATCAAATTATTCGTCAAATTCTTCCACATCAACATGAACGACTTCGAGCCCTCCGACATCAACGCTTAATTAAGTCACCTTCGAGGACTTTTTCGTCCGCGCAAACAAACCGGGCTCTCGACCCATACACGCCAAAACCGATCCTACCAAGGCCGTCGTGGTAGCCGACTCGCGCGTTGTCGTTTATGAGACCGTCGCCGAAAGCAAGAAAATCTGGATCAAAGGTGATGACTTTACAATCACAAACCTAGTGATGGACAAACAACTCGGCTCGCTGTTCTATGACGGGTCAATTGCAAGTTTCAGGCTTTCGCCGCAGGATTATCATTGTTTCCACAGTCCAGTCTGTGGGAAAACTATCTTGTACAAAAGCCTACCCGGGGACTATTACCAGGTTGACCCCATGGCGCTGAGTAGTTGTTTGGATATTCTGTCGAGGAATGCGAGGGATTATGTAGTCAATGGGGTGACGAATGTGGGCACTGTACTGCATTTCTTCCTTAAATCTTTCTCCCCCTGAATTCATTTTCACTGATGTTTTCAGGATATATGATAAAGAAGAAACCAGGAAGCCACATCAACAAAGGCGATGAATTGAGCATGTTCTAGTTTGACGGGTTGTCTATTCTAGTTGTGTTTGAAAAGGGGAGGATTGACTTTGATAAGGACTTGTTGGATATCAGCAAGGCGGCGATTACAATGAATGTAGAGTTTGAAATGAGTCTTGTGAAGGCGAAATAAGAGTAAATCGTAACTACTTCTATTTTGGATATCTCAACCAAAGTCCGTTATAGGGTCAGCCCATAACATGCTCATTTTTTCTTCTAATTTGACCCATAATAAATGGAACAAAGCGAGATAACAAAAACAACTGGTAGACTATAAATACTTGTAACGGCTAGGTCTAGATATGTCATTCATATCGAGCTCTATCATCGCGATTGGACTGTCCTAGGTCTATGCCCCGTCGCAATATGCTGAGTTGATTTGAAGGAACATTATCGCCATCATAATCATTACGATCTCCGCGAGCATGTGCTCATTTTTTCTCATCTTCCCGTCGGATACTTGTGACATAGTCATGAAACTTGTTGCTCATCTCAAGCACCCGTTGGAAGTGGCTCTTGGTCACAATAACAACCATGTCTGGAGTAAAATCCGGGTCTTCCTCACTCTCAAACTCCGCAAGCGTGATGGCTGTCTGTAGCGCATTGCGAACATCTCTTCCGTTGAGCTGCACCTGCTTTTCCCCGGCTGTCTCCAAAACCCATTTTTTTGCGTCGAGTGCTATTTGGATCTTACCGGTTCGCTCTCTGGCCAATTTTTGAAAGAACCCGTTCCAGATTCTTTTTCTCGTCTCGGCATTGAGTTTGTCGTAGCCTATAGCTACGTGAACCCGTGAAATGAAGGCGTCATCGATCTGGCCAACACGATTGGTGGTAAGGAAGAGCAGTCCCTTGAAATACTCCATGCGACGAAGGAAAGCTGGTACCTCTGAGGTAGTTGTCTGGGCACGAGGTATTCCAAAAGGTCATGATTTATACCGGATACCAGACCATTGCGGCCTAAATCGCGGTTCTGTCGCCGCTCCAAGAAAATTTCTGCTTCATCGACAAGAAGTACCGCATTCCACGCTTCAGCTAGACTGAACCACTTGAACAGTTGCTTTTCGACAAGCGTTTCAACAGTGCCAATGTCTGCCACCGTGAGGGCTAGAAGGGGTCGGTGAAGCCATTCCGAAATGGCCTCTTAGATTGTCATCAGTCTCTTGTTATATCATTCTTTTGTGGGACGTACTCACCAACTGTGTAGGTTTTACCAACTCCGGGTGGTCTGTTAACGAAGATCAGTCTGCAGATCATAACACCAAGAGGGCGCCTACCGTGAAGTAAAATAATCTGACCAGTCCCCTTGCCTTCAATGAAATCTGCAGACCACTGCTTAGCGGTGCTGTTCTGTTTGTTTGACAGCGCACGGATTGTCCGCAGCTCGTCTTCTCCAATAATCAAATTTGCAATACTTTCCGACGATGGAACAGTCTCTCGAATATAGTCCATTGATGTCAACACTGCTTGCTTTCAGTCTAGACCAAATACCGAATGATGAAGAGGACTTACTCCATTGTTTGAGCTTCAACCCGTAAACCGGCGTTGCTGGATGAAGCAAGAGCAACTGGTGCTCCGTCAGTTCCTTGACGACCTTTAGGCCTTTCCCACTGAATTTATTTGATTTTGTATCACCATGGCTCCAGTCTTGCGTATTCAACCACCGCTGCGATTTCTCGCTTCCAAATTGCGCATCAGTGCTAAGAATGCTAATTTTATTCTCTGTCGAATAATCTATATATGACGGGATTAATTGTGAAGATTCAGGCCCGCGATAGTCGTTGATGCAAATCTCATCGTAGGATCTGTAGGACTCATAATGATCCTTCACTGGTTGGAACGATCCAAGTCCATTGTATTCTTCCTCAACCCCTCTTCGATAGTCTAAAACGACTTTCCCGGTATACTTCATGATCATTAATATCTGTCCGCCAATAAGTTCCAAGTATCAACATACATATGTTTTCGTGTCTCTAATAGGCCCATCGAGGTTGGCTAGCAGGTTACCCTGCTGGAGGGCTTTGAAATAAACCCTGCTCCTCGTAAGTATCTTTTTACGGCGCTCACCTTTATCTTTTGCATCCCATATGGAGACTGGACATATGGGAAGCTCGGTAACATCACGCAGCCCGGGATACGTGTTAACCATGTATGTCTTTTTTGTTCGTCGAAGTGTTGCACCGTCAGTGTTCATGTGCCATACACTTATCGACCACAATTTCTGCTTGCTTGCTTCGCTGGGAATGGTTTGGACATCTCCTTCGGTCTCCGTTGTCAAGTCTAGCACAACACCGACGAAGGTAACACCTTCTTACTGAACATAGACATCCGTTCCGGGCTTGAAAAGATACCATATCATGTCAAAAGCTATTCGAGGACACACTTCTGACAAATGCTGTTCACACGGAACCACGTCTGCACGGTACAAAGGCTCTGCAAACTCGTACAGGTATCTCATGTGGTTTTGCTGCAATTCAGCCCGTCGAAAGTTGCGGGAGTCCTTTTGGTGTGAAAATTCGTGCTCTTTCTCAACTAGCTCTTTGAGAGACTGGAAATGGTGCATCACCACTGCGAATGGTGGATCGATCTTGAAGTCCTTTTTGTATCCGTCCTTGAGTTGAGTGTGAAATGATGGATAATAATCTATCAGCTCCTCTAGAGCGTGCAGCAAATGGGGAGATTTGATCACAATGGATGCTTTCGAGTAAATCTCCAACGGTAAATCCTCTGTCATTTCTGGTATGTATGGTATGATTTCTTGTTTCCTGCCATCTCTGATGACTCTATAAGAGAACTTAGCCCGGCCGATAAAATTGACCTGAAGCACTGGCCCTATCCATTCCACAACGGGACCTTCCTCCGGCTCAGAAGCTGAATTCTCATTATCATACTTAACAGCCCATTCTTCAGGTTGGGTGATACCATTCTGTGTTGTTTTCTTCTGCCCACCGGTTGCGAACTGAAGTGGTCGGTCATCCTGGTAAGTGACAACCTGCGTGTCTCGGTTTGAGCAACTATCAGAAGATGCTTCGAATATAATCGCTTGGCAAATCACTGAAGATTTTGTCCCGGGGCACCGATCTTCGTATTGGTTGATTGTTCTCTTTCTTGCGTAATCAGTGTAGTACTTATGAGAATGCCGCACTCCTAAGTCGTCTATGTAGTCTTGATCCAAGGACACTGTCGACGCAACCCGAGAATGTCTGTCCTGAAGACTACCCGTTGTATACTCAAATCGGTCCGACATGGTGAGTCTCCGCTAATGAATTCGGTGTAGATGAACGAACGAGAGTAATAGAGTGATAGGTTAAAAGATTGAGTCGCTTTGATTGGTTCCAGATATTTTCTATTCAAACGCGGAGCTATCAGTGTTTGATATATCGGAACAGATATCGAATACCGGTTTCCTATCAATATGAGAGTTCACGCGAGCTAAAGCGGGGTAAATGACTCCTCCTGTAAGCAAAGAACGTGTATTATGGTCATTGGTCGAAAATGTCTTCTTTACTGGGAGATAAGGCTGGTTGGTTACTCCTACCAGGCAGTGAGAATCCCATGGACGGGATGAGCGCCAAATGGTGCCTACCAGAAAGCCTGATCAGACCCAACAAGGCTGTCAAACTCTCCGTTGTCAGCCTCGAGACTTGAGAATGACCATGGATAGAAATAATACCCTGTGTATGCTCTGAAATTGCTTGGACCTCCACCAACACAGTGATGCCTACGATAAAGAAGCCGAGTAGTGAACTCATCAGGACATTCAGTGATCAACTTCGAGAAATAGACTCAACAAACCCTATAGGGTGCGGTCTTGCAGCAAAGGTCGATCTTGATAGACATGAGGAGTTTCTGACACAACAGTGGGACTTTCTCCTCTCCGATGCTCGTGATTTTTCCAACACACTTTTGGAGGATGACCATGCGGTTCTTCTTGACCAGAGCCGGAGACTGTATGCGGCTTGGATCAAATTCAGGAAAAGCCTACCCCAACGCCAGGACACGGAAAAAGATCTTTCGCAGCGTCCTGATATCAGATACCTCATAGACACAGTATCGAAGGCTGCTTCAACTTGGCAGGAAGACTGGGAAAATTCCAAGAACGGAAAACTGAAAGAAAAGTTCTTCAAATTGTGCAAAACTGCAAGAACCATAGCAAGCTGCTTTCTGTGATTCCGAGCCACAACAAGTATTTAAGCTTGCTCACCGGATCCCTGTCAGCCATTGCTCAGGCTTCTATCAACCACAAGCATATCGCAGAAGGTGTTGTAGAAGGGTTAGATGAGCTAAGCAAGGATATTGAATTCCGGAACCGCCTAATGGAGGAGCACGGTGACATCAAAATGCTCCGTCGGTACATTCAGGAGCTATAGTGGTAGTCTTTGAAATCTTCACGGATATATTTACAAGTTGGTCAAAGAGTAGCTGGAAACGTTTCCTGACAAGCTTTGATGAAGGCGCTTTTACTAAGTTGTTCACTGAAAGACGAGGGAGGATTGACGCAATAGACACACGTATTCAGAAAGAAATAAACCTCGCTTTTCAGCAACGGACGAGAATATCGCTAGAAAGGATAGTTGCTGACCAAGAAAAGTTACTGGCACTCGTCCCACAACAAGTGGAACAACAACGATACTTGCTTGGTGCCTCCATTCAACAGTTCCTTGAGGGGCAGTTACAAAGTGTTCAACCTTCATATGAATCATCATCCCTTGTTCGTAACTCTGCAAGTCACGAACAACAGCTACTCATAACACAGCCTAATGCTCTACCCAAGAGAGAGACGCTGTCCCCAACAGCTCTTTACGACTATGATCGAGCTGAGGTTGTTTCTGTGCTCCATGAGTACGTCGACCTGTTCAAGGTTGAAATGCGTGAACTTGTGAACATGTCCTCATATGCACCATACCTTCTGGTTGACCGGCAAGTACATCGACAATTGACCTCCTGGATGCAAGATTTGAACTCCAGAAATCTCTGGATCCAAGGCCCTCATGGTGTTGCAAAGCCTAGTCAGAACTGCATGACTGCTGTCTCCATCGTTGCTCTGTCACACGAGAACAATATTCCCACTGTTTCGTATTTTTGTTCTCTTAACTATGCTGATCATCCCCAAGTGACAAGGACACGACACACTGAAGGCAATGCTTGCCTCCATCGTTACGCAGTTTGTGCTTTTTCTGCCGGCGCAAGGATCAGCATCCAGGGACCTTTCCCTCACTCGTTTTTTGTCAATAATCCAGAGCCCTCTCAGCCTCAAGGAGTTACTCCAGTTGATTATTGATTTGCGAAAGGCCCTTCCGCGATATCTTCATTGCGTTATTGACAGCATACAGATCCTGGAGGACCGGTCAGATCTAGCACATACGAGAGATCTATTATTAACGATTGCCACGTTGTGTGAGCTTTCATCTGATAATCTTTCCCCAAGCCAAGAAGCAAACAATGACATTCAACCATTCGGGGACTCGTCAATGATTACCAAAACATGTTTTACAACAGATGGAATCATGGATGGGCTGTCGCAGGCGGCAGAAATAGATCTCCTTGAAAAGGTTGAAATTGGTGTCGATGCTAGCGAAGCCAATCTCGAAGACTCCATTTCTATGGGGGTTTAAAATCCTAAACTTGGAAAGAATCAGGGTTAAAAGAATACCTATATAATATATGTATTTTTGTTTTGTAGAACTTTGTTTTTTGTGGTCCTAATGACTTCCAAGGTTGTATTTAAAGAAGCATATCTATATATGTAGCTAGGTGGGTACTTACATGTAGATATAACAAGTGAAATCAAGACATCCATGGACGGAGAAAACTTATCATAATCATTATTTATAGAGCCGAGTTCAGGGACAATATACATTTGCCAACACCAAATCTCTACCTTTCAGGTAGGATAGGTCGGATATACGACGCCAACAAGAAAGAAGAGAATATTGAATATACAACCATGCGTAAAGCGTCAGGTATATGAGAAAGATATCTATCAACCATGCTCCAGAAACAAAAAGGTTATAGTATACATGCAAATGCAAAAAATGAGACAGAGAACCGCCCGTGATTGATACATGCGTTATGGGAGAGTGAAGTGTTGAATTATTGCTGAACCAGAAAATCGGATTCAGATGCAAATATAGAAGAGTGGGTAGATTATATGTTGTCGCCATCGGAATGTCGTCGGGTGTTAACGTCTAGGGCCATCTTTTTGCCCAATTCGTAGCTCGAAATCATAATAGCGCAGGCAGGGGCAACTTTCAGACAGCGGGCAGCCCAGCCTTTGAACAAGCCACCTAAGCCTTCATGTTGGAATATATGTAGCAAGAAGCGCGGCATGGGTAGTAGTTCAGGGTGTACGACTGCGGTCGAACCAATTCTCCCTGTTGCCGCACTGCTGACAACTTCATCGCTGCTATGTCGGAATACCTGTTGCCGTGTTTTACCCACGTCAAACGGTGTAGTCACCAATGCTGAAACGGCGCCGGAAACCGATCCAGCTATAAAGCTATCCATCATTGTGATAGCTGTGCTTTGACTGGACTGGGAATCGCGTCGACTCCTCGAACCGTCTTGGAGATGATTATTATTCTTATTTCGTTCACGAATGTCTGTAATGAAATTTCGCACAGCTTCGTAGCCCCACCAATATAGACCTGAAAATGGCACATCTCGCCACATTGTCAAGCCCAAACCCCGCCATAGAGAGCTATATCCATTTACCTGGGTCATTTGATGAAGACCCTCAAGTGTAGCGCGAAAGTGGCCAGTACCGGTACCAGGTGTCGCCTGAAGGCGTGTTCGGAACATCTCAATTGGACTGATCGCTGACGCCGCAGCTATTCGCGCAATACTTCCTGCGACCAGGGGTACATATCCGTCAGGTATATATCGTGGAAGCGGACTGCGCGGGTCAATCCTCATCCACTCGTATCCCGCAAGATAGATCACATTTCCGGGAACACTCATCACCAGCGTCGGTACTAGTCCTCGCCATAATGTTAAAACTCCCTCGTTTCGTGCGATCTTCCGTATTCCGTCAAACGTTGAGTTTATCCGGCGCTGTTGTGTATCTTCCACGGCGCAATCAATTGCCCTGGCCATAGGTCCGTTTCCGACTAGACACATTTCCGGGTTGTTGCCAATCCAAAACACTTCGCGACAGCATGCTGTTACGCCGAGATCAGCCGGTAGTGCCCTGAATGCGTCGGTCGTGTGCGCAGTGAACTTGGATAAGTTGTGTATAGGTGATGCTTGTGACTGTTGCCGAATTCGTACGACATCCAAGGGTGTGACTGTGAAGAACAATGTTAGTCTTGATCATAGCATGTTAAATCAAGAAAGACCAACCTAGTAGAGCCGTCAAGATGCTACCGCCGGTAGCCGACAGCATCCTCTGGCCGACCGAAATCTGCCCAACTTGTCCATTCTGCGCATTAGCAGCCAGCGGGCTACCTGTCGAGTTCAAAGGTGTCATCGCTCGTGTCTCATGGTCGTGCCAGTCCTGATCTTCTACAAACTCCGCATATAAACTTTCCTCCGCGGGTGGCGAAGATTTGTCTAACCGAGAACGCCGACCTTGGGTCGACATCAATCGACCTTTTGATGAATGTCTGTCTGATCTCCTAAATACCCGGTCGATGAGACGGAAGACTTCAGATCAGTGAAGGGGAGATGGCGAGCAAGAGAATTGTCTGTAGAGAGAATCAATAAATGCGATGACTCTACTCAACAAGCGACGCTATCATTCCGTCAAACTTCCCGACTTTCTGTTGCGCTAGTCCTTATCAGGGCTAGACTCGGCTCCGCGCAACCAACCATCGGCCAACGTCGGCGCGGAATTAAGCTGGGGCTAATCTCCGTTTACTAATCAGATTGACTCGTCTCTCTTGTTCATCAATTATTCAACGTCATTTCTTGTCGACCTACAACTCTTTGATCTATTGCTTGTCAGTCGCTGGTGGCTAGAGTTATGGAGATAACTTAGTCTGCGTGTTTTCGGATCTGTGACTCATCAATCACGATCGACTAGGGTGGCGGGACCCCCTCATTCTTGATAAAAACGACCACAATGGAGGAAAACCCAGAGCTCAACGCCTTTAGACGGCAGTGGCGCGAAGAAGTAACTCGACGAAATCAGACTGCTGCTCCGACGAGACAAGTACAACCTGCTCCCAGCCAGAATATACCCCCAAGTGCTGGGTCACATCTAGACCATCTTCCGCCAACCAAACACGAGGCCGCTGATCGCAAAGATGATGATGTTGAAGAGGAAGATTTGGGCCGAGACTACGGGGAATTTGTGCATCGTACAGAGGCCTTGACTTTGAGGTCAGCTGATGATGATGGCTTTCAGCGCGTGGCGCAGAAGGAGCCCCGGTCGGCGCTGGAACATTTTGAGAAGGCTGTAGAGAAGGAAGCCCAGGGCAGTTTGGGAGATAGTCTAGCTCACTATCGCAAGGCTTACAGGGTATGCCAAACCTCAAACATTTTGATTTTACAGTACTAATTATGTTCTAGTTGGATGCGGCAATTGATCAGAAATATCGCAAGAAGCACTTCTCTGGTAAATCGGCGCCCAGCCAGCCCACCGCAACTCCAACAACTGAAACAGCCAAGCCGACAAAAGAACAGACGAAAGATGTCGAGATTTTACCAACTCCGGAACTGATCATGTCCTTTGCAAATCTGCCAATCCCACAAGCCGAACCTTTCATCGAAGGCGMCCCTCCCCCGCCATGTCCCATTGCAAAGATCCCAAATGAGATTTTGACAGAAATTCTTGAACATGTTGCTTATATGGATCCGGCATCATTTGGCCGCATGTCTCTGGTATGCAAACGCTTTGCCTATCACTTTGCGCATGAACACCAAATTTGGAAGAGGCTCTGCCAAGGAAGCGAATTTGGATTCGGAAGCATGCACTACTCATTTAATTGCGATGTACTCGGCGACATTTACCACTCTTTCACCCCTAAATATACACCATTTCCGTCCGGGGTAGCAGTGCCAATCCCGGAACCTCTTTCTTCCTGGAGTCAAGTGTTTCAGACATTCCCCCGAATCAGATTCACCGGTATATATATTAGTACGATAAATTATACACGACCTGGAGGAGCATATTCCTACGCCAATGCAGCATGGACTGATCCCATACATATTGTGACCTACTACCGGTACTTGCGTTTCTATCCAGACGGGACCACGATTTTTCTCACCACCACGACTGAACCTCTTGACGTTGTTCCTTATATCAGCAAGGAAAACGTCGCTGCTGCTGTACACAACCGTCATCCGAGCAAGAAGAAATCGGATATAATATCGCACGAAGCTTCGACTAGCGGAGCGCCAGTTCCCAATGTTGCTATGCAAGCTCTCAAGTACGCTTTACGAGGTCGCTGGCATCTCACACGACCTACTAGCGAAGAACCTCACAATACCGAAATAGGGGATCGTCTTCATTCACCGCTTTCCACAGAGAATGAAGGCATGGGAACCGATCCGCGCGATCTCATCATCGAAACCGAAGGCGTCGATCCCAAGTACACGTATGTTCTGCATTTAGGGCTGCGGTCAATCAACCCACCCCGCGCTGCAGGCGCGATCAAGGCGCCACCGAATGTTTCGAAGAATACGAAACTTGTTTGGAAAGGATTCTGGAGCTATAACAAGCTCACTGATGACTGGGGCGTGTTTGGGCTGCGGAATGGTCGATCTTTTGCATTCAGACGTGTTCGAGGTTGGGGGCTTTAGTTGCACATATGATTTATCTAGACGGGATAGATAGATAATGGTAGAAGCTTAGACTTGGAAATAATTATAACGAATTTATGACAATCATTCTATCTTCTGTTTTATTTCTGTAAAATAAAGGAGAAAAATATAAGGGCGTCATGGCAGATGTTATCGATAAGCTTATCGGCGGACCGGGGAAAGAGCGGGCTAGCGTAAAAAAAGTTCTGGATTGTCAATTTGCGCTTCATCAATGAACATCATGACACTCTTTTAAGAGGTCCAGTGGCTTCTGTACTCTTTTTCGCGCCATTAGCATTTTTTCCTTTCGCTTTTTAATGATTTCCTAGCCAGGGAACTGGTTATTGACCACGCACGATGCCGGAGCGAGTGTACACGAGGTTCGACAACTCGGATGACGAAAAACCCGTTGTCAACAAGCCTACAACAACTACCGTACCACCGTCGAAAACCAAGTCGAAGCCTGGAAAAGCCGATAAATCATTAGATGTCTCGAACAAGAAACGCAAACGAGACGAATCAAGGCCGGAACCGGAATCGAAGACGCACAATGAGAGGATAGCCGTACCCATGCCAAAGCCAGATTCTTCTTTCAAGAATCTAGCGACCGGCAATCCAGAGAATGTTAGAAGAAAACACCAACGCGCGCATCAAGATAATACGGCTATATCACGTTCGTTGAGAGAAAAGGCAAAGGCGTTATTCGAAACCCGCAAGAAGCTACCAATCTTCCAACATGCAGACGAAATCCGCCAAAAACTCAAAGACAACAATGTCATGCTCCTCATCGGTGAAACTGGTAGCGGTAAATCTACACAAGTACCGCAGTTTCTCGTAGACGAGCCATGGTGCCAAATGAAGAAAGTCAAAGCCACAACCTCCGAAGGAGACAGCACACAAACGAAGAGCATACCAGTTGGTGGATGCGTCGCAATCACGCAACCGCGACGAGTCGCGGCAATTTCGCTGGCAAGACGTGTCGCTGAGGAAATGGGTACTCCACTCGGAAAAGCTTCTCCGGCGAGTAAAGTAGGCTATTCCGTCCGATTTGATACCTCGGTGTCTCCATCGACGCGCATCAAGTTTTTGACGGATGGAATGTTGCTTCAGGAGATGTTGCATGATCCGTGGTTGACAAAATATAGTGCTGTGGTTGTTGATGAGGTCCATGAAAGAGGTGTCAATGTGGATTTGGTGCTGGGGTTCCTGAAGAATATTCTTGATAGCAAACGGGAAGGTCGAGGGGGGTTGCCGTTGAAGGTGATTGTCATGAGTGCTACGGCGGATATGGAGAGTTTACTTGAATTCTTCGGGCAAGAAGCAGGTTCGGATCAGAATTTGGATGGAGAACTAGCAACATCGAATGGATCGACATCTGATAAGAATGAAAAGACTCAGCTTAATGCTGTCTCGGCTTGCCATATCAAAGGTCGCCAATTCCCTGTTCAGACCATCTATTCACCAGCACCGGTACACGACTTTGTGGATGCAGCACTGGAAACCATCTTCAACATACACATCAAGGAGCCTATGCCCGGAGACATACTTGTCTTTCTCACCGGACAGGAAACAGTCGAGAATTTAGAGTATCTGGTCAATGAGTACGCTGTTGGAATGGACCCATCGCTACCAAAAGTACTCGCTCTTCCACTCTTCGCAGCCCTTCCACAAGCAGCCCAGCAGCGAGTTTTTGCACCCGCACCACCACGAACGAGAAAGATTATCCTTGCAACCAACATTGCAGAAACATCTGTCACCGTATCCGGCGTTCGATTTGTGGTTGATTGCGGCAAGGCGAAGATGAAGCAGTTTCGCTCACGGCTGGGTTTGGACTCGCTTTTGGTCAAGCCGATCTCAAAATCAGCTGCCATTCAGCGCAAAGGTCGTGCTGGGCGAGAAGCACCTGGAAAATGTTGGCGGTTATATACGGAAAGGGACTATTTGGCTTTGGACGAGGCTAATACGCCTGAGATATTGCGTTCTGATTTGAGTCAGAGTTTATTGACTATGAAAGCGCGTGGGGTGGATGATATCATGAATTTCCCATTTCTTACACGACCACCACGAGACTCATTAGAAAAGGCGCTCCTTCAACTATTCAACATTCAAGCTTTACAAGAGACAGGCACGATCAGCAAAATCGGCTTGCAGATCGCAAAACTACCTCTCACTCCACCTCTTGGTCGCGTGCTTCTAGCAGCAGCAGAGCATGGCCAGAACTGTCTCTTGGACGTGATTGACATTATATCAAGTCTAAGTGTGGAAAACATCTTTCTAAACACAAATTCCGAAGAGAAAAAGGAGGAGGCCGAGAAGGCGCGAAGAGATCTATACAGGAGAGAAGGCGATCATTTGACCATGTTGATGACCGTGCAGGGTTATGCGGCCGAGAATACGGATAGAAAAGCATGGGCAGAGCGGCATTTGGTCTCTCATCGAGCCATGCAGTCTGTTATGGTATGACTAGACATCATTTAGGCCCATGTCCAAATAGTATGGTAGCTGACAGCAAACAGGACGTCCGCAAACAACTAACAGCCCAATGCAAACAAGCCAAACTCCTCACCGACGCCGACACGACAACCGGAAAACGTCCTCCCCCGGACGCACTGTCCGCCGTCTCAATCCTCAAAAGCTTCTTGACCGGATTCTCGACCAACACTGCTCGCTTAGTACCCGATGGGTCCTATCGAACGGTGGTCGGTAATCAGACGGTAGCTATTCACCCCTCGAGTGTTCTGTTTGGGAAGAGGGTGGAGGCGATTATGTATAATGAGTTTGTGTTTACGAATAGAAGTTATGCGAGGGGGGTTAGTGCTGTACAGATGGATTGGGTTGGGGAGGTTTTGAGTGGATAGACTTGTATACATTTAATACATGATCACTACATAGAGATATATTGTACACTACTACATGAAGTCGCTTGCTAAGACGTGATGATTGGAGGGTTGATATCCGCACAACACACAAGGACTCAGGATCGAAGACAAGGTATCCAGAAACCAGAACTCAATTTGCTCGAGCTCAATGCGATATCAAGTGACCTTCACGCACCTCAATGCGTTACCAGCGATGTTGATTCCGACCATGAGTGTCCAGCCACATCATGCATCTAAAATTCGGAATTCCCGCTGAGTTCGTCATTTGAAGACTGGATTGACGTTTTGTTTATGATCTTCAAATTTGGTTCTGATGCTTGGCTTCCATCTCCGATCCAGGTTCGCGGCATCAGTTCCAAAACGCATTAAACTTTGCGCGTGTGTCGCTCATATGTGCAACAGGTCGTTGTAAATTGATTGCTTAAGACAATGGCGCGTGGATCAGTGGCGTATGACCTCGCACATCTCTTTGCAACACTCCGATCCGAGATATCAATACTCAAATATGTCCATATCTGTGTGTGGTCATTGTTGAATGCATTGCCTTACTGCTTCAACGGCGTGGTCTCTGGTAGACACCATTGAATTATCTGTCTACCCCAGTCAAGTCAGGTCCAGTAATGCAAGACGACGTGTCGACGTTCTGCTTATTCTTGCTCTCCACTTCCTTCGGACTTGTTCTGGATAGCTTGCATGAGTTCATAGAGTTGGCCGATTTGTTGATCTGTTGTCGAGTATGTCAGGTTAGCCATTTGTATTATCAACAAGAATAAGAGTCAAAATCTTTTCAAGCAGAAAGTAAGACAGAAAGTACTAACCACTCATCTTTTCAAGCTTCGCCTTATCCAATTTATTGCCCTGCCAAGAATCGCCCTCCAATTGCTGAGCATACAGTTGCCATTCGGTCAAGAAGCCGACCTACATCCCTCAGTCAGTCCCATCATCCTTCTTCACTCACCAATAGCAGGCATAGAAAACATACAATGTGAATAGGATTATCAATACTCCGATGCGCTCTAAACTCGCTTTTCACATATTCATCCCCCAACAAACGCATTTCGGCCGGAAGCTTTTTGCGATGTACTCGAAGCAGACGTCGGTACAGCGGAATCGGAGGAAGCAGAGCGAGAGGTTCGGTGTTGAGGCTTGCTTTGGAGCCGATCGTGATGGGAGCGGCGAGGAGGCGGGTGAGGACTCTCATGTTGACGGTGAGCGGCAATTGACAAGATTGGTGGTGTTTTTGAAGATGTTGTGATTGAAAAGAAGATGGAATAATTAATAATAATTGCACGGCGAGCTGTTCCGATGCCGAGGTCATGCTCCCGCCAATCAGACCCACGGCTTCTGCCCACTCAAAAGAGTCTTAGTAGTAGTCTCTATCATTCTTCGACTTTTATACAACAGCTCTATAAAATATCAAGATGCTGCCTACTCCTTCAACATCCCATGTCTCTTTTGACACAATCTACGAACCAGCAGAGGACTCATTCTTACTTCTCGACACATTATCATCCGCATCAGAAACAGCCTGGCTCGCAGACCGATTCCAAACCTCGAGATCCTTAGCATCTCCATTAGTTGTGGAAGTAGGCAGTGGCTCTGGCGTCGTAATTGCCTTTACAGCCGCAAATTCCAAACACATATTTGGCAGAGATGACATCCTCGCATTGGCAGTAGACGTTAATCGAGACGCATGTCAAGCCACAAAGCAAACCGTGCAGACTGCCATTGCCGAGACGGGGAATGCCAATAGAACACATTACCTGAGCTCATTAACCGGTGACCTAGTCTCACCCTTGAGACCAGGATCAGTGGACGTCCTGCTCTTCAACCCGCCATACGTTCCTACACCAGACTTACCTCTCCTACCCCAACCAGGCCAAACCGAAAACAAACCATTATCAAGATCCGAGAAATTTGAGCATGACTCATACCTCCTCTCTCTTTCTTATGCAGGTGGCCTAGATGGCATGGAGACTACGAATAGGTTCATAGAAGCTATTCCCTCCGTGCTCAACCCGGAGAGGGGCGTTGCGTATCTGTTACTTTGTGCGCAGAATAAGCCGGAGGAAGTCAAGGCGCGGATTGTGAGGGATTGGGAGGGGTGGAGCGCTGAGACGGTGGGGAGGAGTGGGATGCAGGCTGGGTGGGAGAAGTTGGTTATTTTGAGGATTTACAGGGTTGCAACGTGATTTCATATCGTGTTCTGTGGAACGCGAGGGTATATGTATTCGTGATCATATCAACAGTATAGTACACAGCAAAAGACGAATGCGAGGATGAGAAGGTATCGTTATGAAATGCGGTCGTCGGCATGAACCTTCTGGAATGGAAAATCATTCGATGCCGGGATGAACGTTTCGTCGAGGCTTGCATCAACTGGGATCCGGCCACGAAATGTGTGTTGCAGCGAGCGTTTCAACTGCTCTAACACTCCCATAAACACAGTCAACCATCAACCGCCAACAAGGAAACAGCTAACATCCACCGCCCCCTGCTGATGCAGACGCTGATACTACAGAACTCGTAGTCGCCGCACTAGTTATGGCTGCACGACGTCTTTTAGCCCTCTTCCGGGCCTTCGCTGCTTCTCTGGGGTCATATTTCTCTTGGTTGTTGTACTGCCATCCAGAGTCTCGGTAGTGTCGCGGCGGGGGAAAGGATTCGTTTGATCGTTGACTGCTGTCGCGGAAACACATTATGTTGTTTTGAGGAAGACGTGAAATTGGATTTGGCTTGGAATGAAATGGTGTGACTGGAGAGGAATGGCTGGTCACACTTTAAGGATGGAGTCTTATAGATGATTCCTTTTTAAATTTGGACATAGATATACGTATTGAGCATCAAGATATTTCCTCCGCGGAGAGTGACCAATCTTATACAAATATTCAGGGAATGCAAATTTTATATTATTATGTAGCCTACAACGTTCCATTTATAGTGACAATGCTAGGCAACTACGTATGAACGAAATCTACATCTCCGGGACCCATAACCCAAGGCGCAGTCAATTGAGCCAACCGAATACATTCCATGACTTTTGACATAAACCTCCGTGCAACCTGGCTTGACGTCACGGCTGAACGTGCCCCCAACAGTCCAACTGTCACCTTCATTTTGAATATCTCGCCGGACCCCATTGGAGGCTACCCGATGATCGTCACTAGGTATTTTGCCATTGTGGCTTTTTACCCCAGTTCGCGTGGAGGTGTTTAATGCATGGATCGTGGGGCTAAAAGGATTTATTAAAACTAAATTTACTACATTATATTGGAACAAAGATTGGATACTGAACTAGCCTGCAAGGCTGGTGGTTCTGTCGCGATATCTTCTCGATAATGAGAAGGTACACGCTGATACGAGTACGAGTGCAAAGCCTAATCCCCATACGACGAAAAACCTCGAACACAAGTATGGTGATTCTCATTATATTGGAACTCTCTCAAATAAGCATAAGCGCCGATCAAATAGCCAGATAAAAGCCCTGAATTTTGTGTGTTGCATAAAGTACAGAGACCGCCGAGATGAATCAAATCCGCATGAATAAAATAGAGCGTTCTATAGTCCATCAATTTGTGAAGCTGTTTTGGAGAGGTGGAAACTTTTAGAAATGCGGTCGGAAGAGAGACAGGTCGAGACTCGTAAAAGCCTGTGTGATGGCGACTTCAATTTGAATGAGAATCAACATGTCTATCGTGTCGAGGCAATATCGCATGTTCATGGCCATTGAGACCGCCTGAGCTCGAAGAAAATAACCTGGAACTCTATCCCAGGCGAAATACTCGACTTCGCGAACCCAGTCCCATACCCTTCGATACAGTCGCTCCATCCCATCTTATTTCCACCTTTCAGGAAGAGCGCCATTCCTCTAGAAACCGCGTCCCCGACCCCTTCCACCCCTACCACCCCTACCACCACGACCACCCCTTCCTCCTCTCGGACCGCCTCTTCCCCTCGCACCGCCGCGATCCGCAACCTCCTTTCTCGCCTTATTTCTGGGCTTGGGCTGATCATCCACCAACAACGTATCTAATGGTAGACTGTCCGGCAGGATGTAATAACGAATAGTCGAGCCACGAATATTGATTGTGTCAAGCGAGATGGGCTCGCGGCCCTTGGGKGTCATTTTTACGGTTCGAAGGGCCGTGTTCATTTGTGGAGAGACGGAGGCGATGGTGCCTGAGAGAATTGTTCCTTTATTTTCCCCTGTCAGCAGATATCATGTCATTTGTGGAAGGGTTGGGAGGTACCATTTTTCAATTCGATTGTCACCGTCTCATTTGTGCATTTCATTAAGAATCTGCGGAACAGCCATTAGCATCAGTAAATGACTTCCCAGCGCGCTCCTTTCTAGTTAAAGGATTTTCCGCCTCGAACGGAACATACCGAACGAGCTTCATCTTGACGGTATTTTCGCTGGATCAGAGTATCGGATTGTAATTGCGGAGCGGTACAGCTCCAAGGTCGAAGTTTTAGGCCGATTTCTCTCGTCGAAAGAATAACTTCCTCGTGGACAAATATTTCTTGATGTGTCGCGTAAGTTTGTGCGTTTCTCTTGAATTGTAAAATGGTGACGTGAATGATATGACTGAATCCAAGTGCGTGCGGGATAAAGACGAGATGAGCAGAGTTGAAGCTTCAATTTCCCGTATGGGGAAATGTCACGTGATCAGTAAATCTTTCGGCCAATCAGATCGATTACTGCCTCGTCTTGTTGATAGGGCGAAGAATTGATGAAAGAACAGAAATGATAGTGATATATAAGTGATAATGAAATAGTAACCCATAAGCAAGGGTTTGCCAAATTGCTAAACTAAATAATCATTGGTATCTCATAAATCGTTCATCATCAACCCAGAAACCAATATTAACCATCTCCTTCATGAAAAATTCAGTCGCATTGCCTCAGACTGATTGAAATGTCAACCCAACGCCAATATTGACTCATCATTGATGGTCATGTTCCTTCTCTGGTGCTCGCTGAAATGTATAGCAAGAAAAAAAAAAAAAAAAAAACAACAGTGCCCCCCGTACTATCTTACGGTTTGTAACAGAAGTTATAAGCTGCAGTGTCGAGATTTGAAGACAGAAATTTTATCGTCGTAGAAGAGAATCTCGCGCAGTCTAAAGACAAAGCGCGAGCCATTTCCATGACGATACTCGCTGTCTTCATCTGTGTCCTCATCCAGCTCAAGAATGACGTGCGGGTTTGTATGAAAATCATCGTCGTCGTCACCATCATTATCGTCCTCTCCACTGATAGACTCAGAATCGTGACCATTGGTATGATCATCAACTTCGTCACTGTCTGTTTCCGAATACCAAGGGGAGTCGCGGTATAGCTCTCGGTCCATTTTATCATTCATCGGCGTCTCAAGAATTTCGAAACATTTGTGTTCGATTCCGATATAGCATAACTGTATCTCCGGTCGTAACGTGACAATATCCAATATCTGCAGAGCCAATTCCCGGTGTTTATTCCTCCCAAGAGTTGGGTCAAACATATTAGGCAGATAAAGAGCTCGCAGGTTCGCTAGTCTGGGAAGACGCTGGAGAAAGAAGTGCTATACACGATCAGCAGAATTCTTCAAAGTCAGTGTTCGAAAAGCTCACCCAATCGCGACGGTCCATGCCGATACCCAGTTCTCGAAGCTGGGGCATCTTGCCGCTTGTCACAAATGCCAGAGCCTCTCGAGGGAGCATCCAGTCTCGCCAATGGCCATGGTTAATGGATACAGATTCGCCACGTCGTGAACGATCAAGTAGGACCTTTTTCAGACTACCTCGCTGTCGGCGAAGCACATGTTTGTATATTGCTTCAATAGAGACAACAGTCGTATAAGATCTTCCCTCCTGGAGATATATGCTTTCCAAAGTATTCGGGGCAATGGCTTCCTTTAAGAAGAGCATCAGATAGGTGGAAACACGGTCCGTATGCAGGTGTTTAAGTTTGAATGGGTAGGCATCCTGGCCTAAAGTCTCTGACCCTTGTCGGCTACTTTCAGAAGGAGAGTAGTTCCTGCGTAGTGCTCTCCAGAGAGATTCATGCTCTTCGCAATGAAGGATAGTAAGCGTGGAAAGACGGGTCCAATCAACTGCTTTCATAAGCAGCGGCGTGTAGATGACAACATTCTCCAGTTCTAGTGTTTCCAGCTGTAGTCTGTCTTCTTTTTCATTTGGCGTACCACCTGAATTACCTGTAATCAGCGGTGTTACTTTTTTTGTGGAGGCCGAGTTAGTGTTCACAGATGCTGCGTTCTGGTAAGTCCCTGCTTGCGCCTGATTGATTGTTAAATCGCCAAGCATATGCGTAGTCGTATCCATACGATTATTTTGCTCGTTGGGAGTGATAAAAGTCGGAGAAGACGGAATATCGTGAAGTTTGGTCTCAACCCATTCTCTAGTGGGCGTTGAGGAGGTCGAAAATGGCTCTGAGTTAGGCCTGTTCAGTAAAATCGACAACACGCCGCCTGATTTGGGCCATCCAGGAAATGTCGATCGCGGAGTGTCATTCGCAGACCCTATTTCCGTTGGATACACCCAATCATCCATGGAACAGGTAGCAGCCATCCCAATTCGTAATTCACGTAGCTTGTGCCGCGAACGTTCTATAAGAACAGCCATCTCTTGCAGATATGCCGGCTCGTCAATGTTCAACACACTCAGCGACTTTAATGGCGGCAAGACTGAGAATGTAGGATACTCGACACGTTGGTACAAATTTTGAAAACCAGGTCTCTGGTAAGGCCAATTATGAAATAGCGGGCTCTTCTGACGATTGTCGTGCCATCGAATCCAGACTCGTTCGAGACGGCACTCTTGATTGTCAGAGCGTGCGTCTAATGAAGCAAGAGCAAGAAAGACATCTCGCATGACCCCTGTAGGCATATCCCAAATGAAGCTCTCCAGATTGACCATCCGGGCAACAGCCAGAGCCACCAATGTCCCTAACAATTTGCCCGTCTCTTTTGTGATTGCGTATTCCTGCACCCAATCGGTAGGCCCATTGCCGACACAGAACTTCTTGGTATATTGCGCATAGTCATTTCCTATCCTGAACTGTCCATAATTCGTTCTTAATGATGATGAGCCTTGGACGCCTTGTTGGTGGTAGGACCCGTCACATCCGCAATGTTGGCACCGTTGGCTATTAGACCGTGGATGGGGAGTCTCTTTGAACACATTTGCTCCCATTACCAATGTTGCCAAGCCGTACGAAAGCGCATCAACACCCATGGGTTGATCCGATACGGGAGCAGGTTCTGGCCACACGATGTCAAACCGGGAATACATGGCAGGAATTGCCAGCGAATGGAGAGCGGAGCAGGTGAGAGCAAGCGATGTAAGATCATGGGTGAGGGTGATCTATAGCAGTAAGTGTCAGCATAATGAACAAGGAATACTCCGCGGTAAAACTCAGTATACCTCTTTGACAATCTCTCTTAAAATATCAAGCGGCAGATCAAGTAAGCTCAGTGGCTTTTTAGGCTCGTCTGACTCGGTCGAAGCTTCCACTGTAATATCCGATATATTCGTCTCAGCTGCCGGAACATCTTGAGTTCCGCCGAGATTAAGAATTGCTGTATAGGCTTTGGAAGACTGATTGTGTGTCATTGAGGTAGAATCGTTAACGGCACCGGAAACGGTACTGTCTGCTTCATCTTCCGGCGTTGTTTCCTGTGCTACCGCCCCTGGCAGGGTATCCGACAACACAGTGTCGTCCATTCTGTGAACCAAAATTGAAATAATCCTGATGGCAGTCTTCGTTATGAAACCGTTTTCTGAAGTCTGCTATGATGGAATTAATTGTCGTGCATCAGTTCGGTGGTGACAGGGTGATGCGACGCCCCACAGTCCGTAAGTCCGAAGCCAGCTCACTGTTTGTCGGTGTCTGGACAGCTTGAGGGGGTGGGTTGGATGAAATTCCTATACGCTCTCTAATCAGTGTGAGGCGGAAGTGAGAGAATTGTAAGAACGAGGCGAAATTGAAGGATTAAACAAGGACTAGGAAGGATCAAGAAGAAGTTTAGGAAGAAGCTCTTGTCGGGGAAAGGACCCGCCTTAGCCTTGCGGGGAGCTTCGATCAAGCTAATTTATTGCCGACCACTAGGCTTGTTCGGGCAATTGATCGAGAAGTACAGTTCCAGGCAGACGCTACGGCTTCTCAGATTATGATAATTTAGCGATGAAGGGTGCTACTAATAGTTATTGCCTAAGGAAGTCGGTATATCGAAGAGGTGGAATTTCTTCACAAGGTCAAGGGGCGAGAAGGCCTTCTATTCGCCATGGCCAGGGCTACTGTGTACATATAGGAAGTCAATCACAGAAAGTTGCAATTTATACCAAGAATATACTATCGCTATAGTGTATCATAGTAAGCAAGAGGAGAACAATTAATAACAACAAAAGACAGCAAGATAAAACAACATATAAAACCACCACAACAAACAGACTATCGTTCCGACATGTCTTCGCTACTACTAACTTCAGTCAATCGTCCAACATAACCCTCAAGCCCGGAAAGTGGAATGAGATCACCCGTCGCAGAAGTGGCCGTCGTTACTCCCGGCATCACGATCACCAAAGAGCCCACTTCAACCCATTCAATAGACGAGATGAACGCAAATGTGATATTCACAAAGCCAATACCATGCGCACTTGAGACGTCAATCGTCTTTTCGCTCTCGGGTCGCGCGCGCCGAACTCGGTTCCCTTGCTTTTGCTTGTCTTTCTCCTCGTCGTCGTCGAAATTGAAAAAGTCGCCTTCCTCAGGGAGTGGCTCGGTGTGCGGATCGAGCTCGTTGTCGTCAGCTAAGGCGACGCAGGTGACTTTGGCGGCAGCTCGAATATTGCCGATATACACGACGACTCCACCACCGAGTAGCAGAGGTGGAGAACCTGCGACTGAGAAATCGCGGGCTGGAAATGTCGCAACGAAAGCGGTACTGAATGCAAGAGAGCTAGGAAGACTACTGGTTGGAGACTGATCTGGCGAGATTCTTGCTTGAGCCAATATCATCCCCTTCTTAAGACGGCCGAGAGCATTCACCTCCTTTCCAGGTCCCCAAGGTATCGGCTCAACCCCAATAGTGCCTACTTGATCCTCCAGTAAGATGCGGACGGATAAACGCAGGTTGCGCACACTGACGACCCGCACTCGCTGCCATTCAGCATGGGACACAAATCGTGACTTTCCGGGGAGGGAGCCTTGAGAGAATGGAGAAAATTCGCCAGAAACGGATCTGCTTTTCAGGGAACGAGACTGTGGAGATGCATTCTCGGGGGTGTGCAGAGACCTTGGCTTCGAGGCGTGCGGCGTGTTCTCATCTGGCCTAGTTTCTACCGCTATTGGCCCAATAACTAGCTCGTCTCCGACAGAGATACTACCATGGCGAACTATTCCGCAAAGTACAACGCCCCTTGTATCTGAACGAGAGGTATCGAGGGAAGAATACACTTTCGATGGCGGAATCGCAAACACCTCGTCAATATCAAACACATCTGTAGGCACTTCTTGTCGGTGTTTAATTCGAGGTACGTGCACAAGTCTTGATGACGGGGTTCTCGGTAAAGGAAGGTACCGTAATAGTGCATGGAATTTGCCTACACCGGAGCCATTGACGGCGCTAGTGAGAAGAATTGGAATTGTACCAGACCAGTCGCCATTTACAGCATTGATGGTCTTCAACGCCTCCTGGCAGTCCATCGTAGAGATCTTGTTCAAGTTCGGGGCCTGGTTATCTCCCGCGACAGCAAGCATTAGCGGCTTCTTGTCCGCAGCCTTGATAGTAGACAACACTCGGGCAAGGGTCTGTTTCAAGCCCATGCGTGACGCAAGATCCAACTTGGTGATCGCCACGATCATGGGTGTTTCAAGTCTGATGCAGAGGTCGAGGTAAGCCATGCAAATATCAATTTCGGGTGCTTGTTCTCCATCATCTGGCGTAGTAGTGGGATCATGAGAGCTATTGGCTGGGATACAAAGGATAACATAGTGTGGAGCCCAACTTACGAGGCCGCGCAGAGTCGATTTCACATAACGAGGGAGCCCCGGAAGATCGGACACAAAAGCTAATCTTCCACCATCAGACGCTGCATGGATATCATTCCAAGCAGTCACATTTCCCGATGCATAATTGATCACGTCAACAGTGCCTTCAGTTGAGGAGACCGCTCGATAGCCAATGAGTTCTTGAGCCACAGAGCTTGTGATTCCAGAAGAGATCTCATGTCTGTGCTTGAGGAGACTCAGTCTGCTCTTACCACGGCCATTGTCAAGTGCAGATGTTGTCAAAGTCCCAAGCAGCGATGATTTGCCAGCGGCACTAGGACCTGTGATTGAAATACGAATCTGTTCCGTCTGCGAGCACCCCCCCTCCATTGTGTCCTCTTCCTTTGGTGTGGGCACATTGTCATCCAAGCTTAAATTATCAAGACCTAACTCTTTTGCAGACAACGAGCTGTAGTAGTCAAGATCAGGGCTCACCAAAGCTTCTGCAACCCATAGTTCTCCAGAATGAACAACATCGGATTCGGGTCCCTCTGCCCAGTCACAAGTGCCGACCACTACTTTTCTTAACACGTCAATTTTACAACCAAGACTAGCCGCCATAGCACCAAGGTTGGTCAGACTCTCGTCCAGCTCTTCCTTGATCAAACCTACAAAAGTACCATCGTCAGCTACGCCAATCTCGTAGAGGGCGCCTTGACTTTCTTCAAGACCGGGTAATAGACGAGAAGGCTTTTGCGGGATTCCCAGTTTTGGAGTAGCTTCCGGTAAAACAGGAAGAATCAGATTGGCAGTAGAAGAAGAGTGAAATGGAGAAGACTGCTGTAAACGCCATAGTAGCTGAGTTGTAAGTTGCTGCAGTCTCTGTTGACGACTTGTCAGGTGTGCAGCGCTAGAGAGACGTGGAGAAGCCGGGGGTTCCGGAGATAGACCCAAATTCCAGTAGGGCTTATTTGATGTTCTGAATTGAAAATTGCCGCCCACTACCTGCCCGGTGGTCATTGAAATAAACGGTCTCCTGGACCGAAGCAGAAGATGGAGTTTGTACTCTGTGGGGCCTTCCTGCGGCTCGGGTTCCAGCTTGGAGATACCATAGTCTGCCAGTCTGTCCGAGTCAACTGTTATCAAGCCAGACTCCGAATTGCTGCGTTGGGTCTCGCCTGCACCAAGTCCAGGAGTTGATGAGCCAGATATTGACCAGGGCGAGGACACCCTGGGTGGATCGGGGTCGTATGTAAATATTGATGCCATGTTGCTTTCCCCGATTTCAGTCGGTCACAGAAAGATGGCCTTCGATCAGTATGCTTTCTTTGAGTGTATTGAGCAGCACCCGCACAATTCCTCAATTGCAATTCCTTGGTGGTCGTCAACTTCAATATCGTATACCAGATAAGGACGTTCTTCTTCTCGATATTGCATATATCGTGGCTGTAGAGTGATTTCTTAAATACGCAAAACCCAGAGTCCGATGTAATAATAACATTCTATTCATTTTGCAAGGAGAACGAGATTCGAGAGAGCACTTGTCGTGAGTACGTCGTAGTCGTAAGAAGATAACAGAAATCGTTCTATTCCTCTACAAGGGCGACTGAACAAAGCTGTTCGAACAGGATTGTATGTTTAGATGAGTCTAAAAAGACATTTTCGGAATGTAAAGAAGATACAAAACTCCAAAGGTACAGGGCGAACAATGTTTTGTTATGTACAAAGACAATGTCGATGAGGTCGCCGACTGATTGAGTCAGAGCCGCCAAGGCTGCCAGCTTGGCACGTGCTTTGTTTTCTGCCTGAGTACCGAGGCAGCCATCACCATGTTCATGTCCATAATCGCCAAAAGTTCACTCTGTATTGCATTTCGAGGAAGGAACAAAGTCAACTACACGATTCGCGCAATTAAATCTCACAAGAAAGTTTAGGAGGAACAATCCCATCCGGATGTCCCCAAAGTAAAACCGAGACCCGGGTAATTCCTCACACCAGAGAAGTGCTCAGCTGGACATGGAGGCAGAAATCTTCCATACTTTGCAGGATTGTTTCTTTCATGTTCCAAGGAGCTTAAGAAGCTAAAATGATTTCAGGTAATACAATATGTTCTCAGATGAAAGATGAAAGTTTCCCCTTCTCGAAACTACGCTTCACACGATCGATCCTGCCACAACGAAGGAATATATCGTCTGGAGGCAGGATGGGAACAGTCTAGATTCATCTGATTGTCATGGATATTCAAATAAGTGCTATTGAAAAATTGGAGCCCGACATCATTGTTTGATTGAGACTCAAGGCGCATGCTCCTACCTTTTTATTCTGGGAGAAATCTGCTTACAAAACGCTTTCGAACAAAATGACTACTTCTCTCAAAAGTCGAGACGAAAAACATAGTTGAACGGCCAGAGTGAATTACAGATGAGAGGATAATCATGCCATTATACAAGAATTTCAATTCCAACTCCCCCGGCTCCAATGCTGAGGAGAATCGAATGGACGCGATAACCAAAGTAAGCGCGTGACGCGCAACGATATAACGACGTCATGGATTTATAGGTTTCATCCAAAACAGCAATATTGACAAGACTGTTGATGCCTCAAGGGGCTTAAAAAATTTGGATCAGCAACTGGTATCCATTGATTGCGACGATATCTCTAGCGCTGAGTCAGAGGAGTCTCGAATGACCGAAGTCATAACTAGAGTCACAGTGATGAACAGTGGACACTATACAGTCAATATTTTACAATCAGCCTTGTCAGCTAGTCATTGTAGCCAATTCAACGGGGCGATTTCCTGATCTGGTATTCTTGATCTATGATCTACTACCCAAATTGACTATCCACAACTTAACTCAATACATTAATCTGTTAATGCCTATGGAGGGAGTACGTACGGCAATGATAAGTACTAAATTGCCAATAGCAAAGTGACTACCTAGGTAGAAAGAAGCCAAAATTCGGTTCCCGAAGCGCAATATTACCTGCTAAACTTAAAAAACCCCCCATCTGCAAACGCTCAAGTACGAAGTGCCGAATTTAGTGAAAACATAGCGAGCTAAAAACCACTTGCATATTTCGACATTAAACTTTGTACCTGGCCCCCATGGGTCGACCAACTAGAAACACATTTGGCGGGTGAGCTGGAGGTCTAGGTGGGAAAACCTAGATCAGTACAGTGGGACTAGGTAGAGGTCAGACTTAGTCAATTGCGTTTTTTGTGAGTACCTGGGGCAGTTGGATGTAAGCAGCGGTTCGGCTAAAATCTGACTTGCGTTGAAATTTTCAGGGTGCTGCTCAGCGAACATGATGTTTTGTGCTGAAGCAAAGCATAAAGATAGACCACGGAGAACTCCGTAAGCATGTCGATGCGTTAATGAAGAAGCCCCACTGGTACATACTACGTAGTGAACATAATTGGCTATCTGCAGCATGCTCCTTTTTCCTAATTCGGACCTGATTTTTAGCTTCTTCTTGTCCTTCTGGAACTCTCGGAGAATCTTCTAGCGCCACGCCTGCCCGGTCGCCTCGCAAAGGCGCAAAGTCTTCCTTTTTTTCTCTTCACTAATATAGTATGTATGCCTAAATATTAATTATGGACAAGTCGCCAACTTCCTCATACTCTGTGATCCGTGCTTTACCTGCCAACTTGAAGGGTTTTCATTCGATCACTCCGAGGTTCATCGCAGTCATTCCCACCAAACAATAGTGTACTACGTACTATGTAGTAGTACACATTTCCCTAATCATGCTAGTGCCGTGTCGCTAGACTATGTAGAGCAAGCCGTTTTTCCAGGGTATGCGGCAGTATGCATGGCTTAAAATCTGCACAAGACGGACACTAGACGAGTCTGGCTGACAGGGGCGCTATTCCAGGCATTGTACGGAGTTACGTGGGTACGTACTAGGTACGGTAGTATCGTAGCATTTACGCCGTAGCAGTGCGTCGATGCCATGTAGCATGCGCTAGTTCCCAGTACTTTTATTTTTATGCGCAGTCGAATTGAATACAGCCATGATGATCGTGCAAACCTAGGTACCGATGACGCTCATCGCAATAAACACTTCAGCGATCGTTCATGCTTGTACTATGCAGGTTCAATGTTCCTGTGGTACGTCTTCGGGTCCGAATTAGGGTTTGACTTTTTCTGTTTCATGTGTTGTGTCGGCGATTTCTTTCTTTTTTTTCCTGGAAATTCTCGGAAATATGTAAAAGAAGCTGTGAATAGTCCTTAGATGCTGAATCGTCCACGCTATGTTATCAGAATGGTCAGTGTTTGTTATTTGATCTATATAGTCTTGCTACTAAATTTATATTAGCATCCGCCGCTCTGTTTCAACCTTAAACGACAATTCAGCTCCATCTTCTCGACGGTTTTCTCTGTCCCTAGCATGCCTCTCCACTCCTCCCCTGCTCATAATCTTCTGCTCCATACGGATCGTGAACTGCCCCGTGTCCCGCCAACGCGCTGTCTGACTCTTGCAAGTTGCTCATTGGATCCCGCTCCCGACTGTTCCAGAATATCCAGTCCACGATAGCTCAGGTAGAACCTAGCGGAATTGACCGTACGACTCAGTCGAGACTGTCAAATTCCTAGACCCCGTAATGTGGTACATGCCGATTACAGCTTGTATCCATACCGGTAGAGTTCATAGGCTGCAACGGATTGACACCGCGTATAGCGCGTATGCGCCAGTACCAACACTGTGGATACTCATAAACGAGATATCACTTGGCAGCCAATCAATCATAAAACCAGCCAGCCATCAATCTGTCTACTGTCAAGAACAATTTCTCGTCTGGTTCGTACGGAGTGCTTTCCGTCTGTCCGTAGGGAACGGAGCAGAAAACGTTCGGAAGCCGATACCCGAGTGATATCAACGCACAATCACGTGACGATTGGCTGGCTAGTTCTTTACGCAAAATCCAATCATCGCGGCCGGAAACTCCCACCTCTCCACTCCACACGTAAAAAAAGCCCCCTGGAAACGGTCAGCCAACGCTGTGCTATGCCCACGCAGTCTGCACTCTGCAGCAGGCCATAGGCTGATATGCGTTGGGTTCGGAGTCATGGCTGCTCTCTCTCACAGGATGTAAACAAACTAGCGACATCATTAGCATCACGGTTATCATCCATGGCAATGCATATGCGATCTCCAGCTCGCGGGTAGATCCACTCAACCTCCAGGATCATGGATGATCATCTTGCCCATGGAGAGACTACCCTCGATCGGTTTATCTCTGTTGACTCGAATAGCATACGGAGTCTTCTAATCTCAATTGGGGAAAAACCAGCGTCTGACCCGAGAAAATACTCACGGTCACTGGGACTTTAACCCCTTCCGGTCACGCCAGGGCCCAGTGGGGGCTGAAACTTGATGCCAACTTACCCAACTGTGGACAAGAAAACACGGCATGATTCAGAAATGACCCAGCCTTTTAAGTGACCGCGGGTTGCGTGTCTTTTGCTTTTGGGCCTCAGATCTTCGCTCAGTCGAGGATTCTCCGCTCCCTGGCCAAGTCTCACCGCTGACGGTGTCGGTGTACGCGAAACTGCTATGGAATTGTTACCATGGTAGTCGAACCTGCTGCCTAGCACGTTCACGTTATACCGTTTACCGTGCAGCAAGTCAGCACTTGGCAACTGAACGAGCTAGCCAAGGTTTATTTGATTAGATCTAACAACTGTATCCGCGATTGTCCATTCATGCTTTAACTGTTGGACACTCTACTCCCCTCATATATCGTTGCCACGATTGGCCTCTTTATGAATACGTCTGACATCATTGTTAGTAGGAAAGCAGGCCCCAGAAAGCTAAATAAATGGCTCTATATAGCCCCCAACATGAATCGGCTAGCAAGCGTCTATCGTCACTCGGGGGCACTGAGTAGAACGATGGACACCAGCTCCATCGAGAAGCCCACTCCAAAATTCTCTTTTTAGCGCCATTGAGGTTCACGCCTAAGCCTAAATGGCGATTGTTGCGACCGTTTTAGCAAAACGTTCCTGCTAAGAAAGTCTCAGCGAGGCACAACTGGCGTGAACTGCGGCCTGGAGTTGGACGCTAAACATCTTAGCCCAACTGTGGAACAGTCAGACTGTATTCCGTCCTTGATGCCCTGACTCTTCGAGCCTCTTGACAGGTACGTACGTAGCTTTCGATGTCAGGAATTAGATCCCACTTTGATTTGAAAGTCTAATATCCATTGGTCAGTCCTTCTTACACACTAGCTTACTCTGAATACTATTAGTAGTCTACTTGTCATGGCCGGCGGGCCATCTCGAAAGCAACGTATCAAAGACGCCTCCAACACCGACAGGTCTAGCGTGTTGCCTCGTTTCAAGTTTTCTAGAAGCCTTCCTGAAAGAGGGTAGCTAAAGGGTGACGTTCATGCTTCTACCGAAGTACTAGTGCTTCTGTAAAATTTTCCCTCTTCTTACATTTTGAGTTCTATTTCTGAACGGTTACTGGGTTTTAGTGGGGTTTATTTTGATCTACGAAATCAACTTGCTCGTAATTGGTTTAGGTTTGGACTTGGAGAGAAGTTATATCGATGACAGCCTGTTCACCCCATCATTCTTTCAGCCCGCGACACCCTCCAGCCGAATAACATATTTGAAGATATCAAAACAACATCTATTTGTTTCTCCTTCTGTGCATCATATCTCAGCACACTGTTTCCGTATCACAAGAATCCAGTACGTATATTAGCGATCTATTCCTCCAGGGCAGACTATGCCAGTCCCACTTGATGTGCGATTCCTGTCGACAAGCTTCCATGCCCTATCCAATCACTGAAGACTCACGCGATGATAAACTCCAGGGTGACATTTTTCAAAAATCGGCTCTGTCGCCAAGTAAGAGCAAGTGGATTTCCATAGAGCCTGGCGCAGAGTCAGGCAGTACTACATCTGGCCCTGAGCATGGTTATTTCTACCCACATCACCAAACCCAAGAACTAGAACCATTCGGACTAGTGGTATCGCCAACTCCGCAACTGCTATCACTACCATCATCTCTTGCCTCAGATCCTCGTCCTGCTACTTTGAGCTTACCAAACGTTCCTGCGAATGATAAAGGACATCCCCAGTATCTCCAGCCAGATCAGTCTAATCCAGCATTTGACAACCACCTTCAGAAGTCAAATTTGCGCCAGTCTCTAAAAGAGCTTACGGACTACGGTGTGGTCGATGTCTCCTACAAAAACCAAGTGAAACCTGGCCCTATAAGGTACTTTGTGGATCCTCCTGCTGCTACCATTCATTTGTTTTGCTTCTATAGATACCCCGATACAAACACTATCTGAACTCTCCTTTGATGTCTTTGTACAATCAAGGCAGACTTGATCAAGAACACAATTGTTAATACGTGAACCCGTTTCTTACAGCACGGAAACGGACTTGCTCTGGCAGCCCTTCTCTTCACCACCATTAACGAAAGAAGACTCGGGATCAATGTATGCTACTCTTCAGAGTGAGTTCTCAGGAATCCTTCATCTCCTTGTTATCGAAGAACGCTTCCATCGTCTCTATTCATGCATGACTAACAAACAGCAAATCAGCCTATAGCACTCCGGACATTAGCCTGCATTCCGGACCTCTTTTCAGTGCAGCGAGCAACGTTCTATCACAGACAGCAGGCTCAATTAACATGTTTCCCCAAGGCAACAGACACGATGGAAACTTCCATTCGCAACAGGCGCAATGGGCACAGTACCAGCGCTCGCTGTCGAGTACGCCAGAGGACCCGTATCAGCGGAGAACGCAGGAATCGTCCTTGACGCCTCCGGCAGGATACGCGTCCTTGCCTTCACAGCAGGCTATGTTCTCGAATACGTCTTATCCGATAGGTATGCAGCAGCCGATGCAAGTACCGCCTTCTCAGGCATTTTATCCTACGTAAGTCCCTTGAGTCAGTTGAAGATTTCATTGGAGGTAAAGGCTGATTCATGATAGGTCAAGTCCATATGGATTCAATCAACCAAACTATGACTTTCCACAAACGACATTCGTATCGTGAGTATCCATGAAGTAATATCTAACAACCAACCAAGAGCAGCATCGCTAACTCGAGTACACAACAGATCTAATACATATCCCACAACAGCGGGTACCAACATGGGGGTCCCAATCCGAACTCCTCCCTACGTGGAGAGCAGGAACCACAGCCCTCACAACAGCAGCAGCCACAGCCACACCGGCAGCCTCGTCACATCAGAGCCTGAAAGTCAAGTCCGAGTACTCGAATCGCGACCCAAACCGCAATGCTGGGATCATGGCTGCAATGGTCGCGAATTCTCGACATTCAGTAATCTGTTAAGACATCAGCGAGAGCGGTCCGGCGCAGCTGCGAAGTCGGAATGTCCGCATTGTGGCGCGGTGTTTACGAGGTCGACGGCGAGGAATACGCATATTGCGCAAGGCAAATGTAAGGGGATTCGCGAGTCGACAGAATAATGGTACCAACACAACGGATGGATATTACCAGGATTTAGGATTAATGGGGTATCGTCAACTTGTCATCCCATTTCTACTGCATTGTACTATATACGACTTTCGGAATGAAGTCACAATTGCTTCAACTTCAACCAAGGCCGACGAAAGGGATTCTATTCAACAGAGATCCCGCAACACGCAACACACAACACACACGATCACATTTACTATTTCTTCTACATGGCGTTTTCATAAAAGAACAGGACTTGGAAAAAAGAGTGAGGGGTTAGACATCGGACTTGGAAAGGGGATAAACTCATAGAAGAGAGACGACACACACACACACACACACCACGACGTCTTTGATTTACGTACACCGATGCCCGGTTCTTTCAACATCTGAATGACTCGGATTTACAATGATTTCATGCTTCTCCTTTCTTCATCAAAGTGCAGTGGATACATTTCCCTGCCTGATATCCGGCCGGACTGTCTGGTCAAGACGGAAGAAATGGGAAGAGAAAAAAATGGAGTATATTTCGGAAAGCTGGTTTCAATAATTTCTTTTTTATTGTGTTGCATTGCCTGCTTGCTTGCTCTTTTGTTCTGCTGTTTTCTTATATTCTACCTCTCTCGCTACTACGTATATAAGGTGTTTCCCAGTTTGCAGACTACTGCTGCTGCTGCTGCGGTACATCAATGATAATGGGGGAGTATGTGTAACTAGTTTTTCCATTTTTCTGTTTATACTTTCTTGGTCAATATTTAGATTTACATGGTGTTCATATCTTTTCAGATTTGTTTGAAGCTTGTGAGTTGTTGTTTTGGCTATTGCATTAGCGGCTTTTTGAGGCTTGGTATATATCGATTGATCCCTGAATCAATATAACCTTGAAAATCCTACAGCATATAAATGATGTCGCATTTCATTGAGTCTTGGTACGACGGCTGGGAGTGCATATTTGTTCCCATGCATGGGTAGTTAGGGCTAACGACAGGTGCACAGTAACCGCCTGGCTCGTCAACAAATCGAATCTGCAAGTGCCACCTACCCATGAACCCCATCTCAATATCTTAGAATCTACATATTAAATATAGTCAGAATCAGCCTCCATGAAGGCGGCCAAGTGGCACCCAAATAAAGCCCGTTAAGAAACGAGATCTTCCTTGGTTTATGGCAGGAATCGATAGTCTTTGGTGTGGCTTAGGGAAGGGAAGTCACTCATGTGACCATAGATACGTAGTATAAGCCAACAATTGGCCAATTAATGAGAGTTTACGCAGATAGCGAAATGAGACTTCAATTTAGTGTCTGCTAGTATGCTTGTCCATCACGAAGTCCAAGCCGGCATCGCAAAGATGGAACCTGGAAGCGCGATTGAGTTTAAGTTCATGTCTATGATTCTCATTTAAAAATTCATTAACCTAGACTTTGACTTCAGGCTTGAGTTTCCATGGCCAATTACCACATCTAGCTACATCAGTCATCAATCGATCAGTTGTGAGGAAGGTTATCATCAGTGTTCAATATAAGATCCCTACTGCGGGGAATATATACATCCTAGCCTGTTTGATGCCAGGTCGATAACGGAGCTGCAACATACTGCGCCAACACTAAGCGTTACCTTTTCCGGAGAAGAAGGCCAATTCAACCGTCCAGTACGACTCAAGAAATTAACGTAAGGGTTATACGCATCTGTAGATAGTCACATGAGATGTTGAGCAGCACGTGCCTGGGATAGATCATGTGCGTTTGTTATGTCAGGGCAAATTGGCGATGCGAGTCGTTTTGAAGCATAAGAACCATCTTTGGATCTGTCCAACCAACAGCGGTCTGTACGCTGGCATTTAATCGATATCGCATGAACTGTTCGAATGTCGACTACAGTGCCTGCACGACGAGAAGTCAGGCAGCGATACCTCTGCTGGTCAAGGGGGCTAAGCTGGAAGCTGTCTAGTGCGGGCGGCGGTGCGTCATCCGTCTCCGTCTGATTGATTGTCCGTCTGTAAGGTCATCCTTCAGTCGACTGAGTACGTACCCCTCATGTGTTGAATGCGCCCGCTGCTTCTTGATCATTTTATACTTTTGTTCCCCAGACCGAGGCCTAGCTTTGAGTTCTGTCTTGAGATCAAGGTAAGTCGGATTATTCCTATGTTGACGTGAGGGGGGAAAATTGGTGCCTGTTCCATGTCCCGTGATGCGACTGTCTGCTTTGTTTTGCGCTGACAAACTCTGATTCTAGTAGCATCTCAGGCACCGTGTTTATTTGAATCTGTTATCGTAATCTCCAACTGCTTTATTAGCACTTCTGGCGCGGATTTGTACTACGGCTTCGGGTTTGAAAATATCGTTAACGGTATGGTTCTTATCCTTCGTCTTATCCGTGAACACAGTGCGCGCTCGAAAGCGCGCAATGATCTACGACTCGCATGAACCGAAGTTACTGACATTTTCCTACTTTCAGATTCAGCCTTGTTGCGTCGATCCTTGACTTGTTACAATATGGCCTCCTTCATCGAGGAGCTCTGGTCCAGCGTATTCACGCCTGGCCCAACGCCCACTCTCCTTGTAGCCACCAACGTTACATTCGCCGCCCTCCAACTCGTCCTATTCCTACTCCTCGTTGCGACATACAGTATCCACTTCGTGGTCCTCTCATTCCTCTCTGGAGCGCTGTGGTGGTCCATCAACTGGTTTGCCAAGGAAGTGCGTCAAGAACAGGCACGTCAAGAGGAAGAGAAAAGAAAACAGGAAGCTCTGGAACAGGAATCATCCGGGACTATCAAACTGAATACATCGGCCGACGCCAATGACTCCGAAACAGAGACGGAGGTCGGAGGGCCGTCAAAGACCAGGAGACGGCGAGTCAACCAGCCCGAAACAACAACTCTCTCCCCGGAAAGTGCATCGCAGGCGAAGAAATCGAGCGATAACGGACCCGGTCAAAGGAAGACGAGTGAAGGGGAGAGCTCCGGTTATACGAGCACAGATAGTGAATGGGAAAAAGTGGACAAAGACAGGTCTACTTGATCATCGATGACTACAATGACTAGACTTCAACATCTGTCAGAAGAACGAAACTCTGTTATATGCGTCGCCTCGTGAACCTTAGCACCTTATACCCCCGTCGTATTTGTTTGGTTAATTTACTATTGTAACCATGCCCCATCAGCCGAGATCTGCAACAGTCACTTAGACTTGGAATGAAATCCATTGTTTATGAGCCACTTGAAAATATCTAGATTATCAAGTCGACAGGTTACACAATATCCTCTCGAAATATTCCTTCTTCGTAATTACTTTGTTTGTTGTCGATATCAGCACGTGACCACGCGACTTCCCCGCGCGCCCTATCAGATTGTTCTTTCCGCCGGTTGTTGATTAACGGCTCTTCAACTTCCCTGGCTACAGCGGCCAACACGGCCTCAAATACCCATTTCAACAAACATAAACAGATATGCCATTGAAATTTTCAAGTCGCGTTGCAGAATGTCACAGATAGATTCCCTTGCCAGGAGCCGCAAGCGTGTCTTCAACTCTGTGTTCGCGCCCGTCAAACTGTCGGAAAATGCTCCCACTCCCCTAGCAACGCCGACACCCAGCTCTACTGCTCCAGGCCGACCATTTGGTTCAGCGACATTGCCTCAAGTCAGTTCATATTGTCATCGGAGCCTGCATTTTATTATCGGAACACTAACCCATTCAAAAGATACCGCTTCACGATATTCCAGAGCCAGAAGCTGTGAAATGGAGTCGAGCCTGGCATTCAGCGACAGAATTCCTTCAGGTTCCTGACAGGACTTTCGATACACCTTCCAGCTATCTTGAATATGCTAGGCTCAATTCCCGGAAGAAACAGATCACAGCTGAGACACGAAATGCCTTGAACTTGCTGCTCCTTCCGCACGTACCTGGTCTGCATGAGATTCCTAAGGAGTACGACCTATTGCACTGGTATTGCAATGAAATTCGGCGTCATTTCATAACCAATATACAGTCCATTCTGTGTACCGTATGTGACGAACCCTGTGATTACACGATCTTAGTAGTATATGACTAACTTTTGAGTAGGCCTTGAAGAAAGGATCTGAAGATGATCCGTTAGCTCAGACGGTGCGCTGCCTAAATGTAGCACATCACACGTATTTCAGGCCCGTTGAAGATCATATGCTACCGGAAGTTGTTAGCACGGAGCGCAATAATACATACTCTAAGCTAAATGAAGCTTTTCAGTCCATTGTTGCACACTCGTTGCCATCAAAACGCATTTCAGATTTGCTGGAAGAAACGATCCGAAGTACTGCTGTGGACATTTTAGGAATCTCGCAGGCGAGAGATGATGATGCAGATGACACCGGATCCAATGACATGGAGATCGATCAGCAACCCTCAATCATTTATCGATTGTGGAAAGAGATGCCAGAGACTGCTCGCTATGAAGTTTATGAAGTCATACCGGAATACCGCGATGATAGGATGAGCCAAGCCAGGAATAAGCTCCTTACCTTGTTACATGCAATGCAGGAACTTGGTCTTGGTGGTCACCGAGTACAAAAGGTATTTGCTCAGGTCATGAATGATATGATGACCGAATTCATACTAGTGAGCTATAAAGAACAGTGGGAGTCGCCCTCACTCGTCAGAGAGCATTTATGTTTGTGGGTGGAAAATGTATTTGCAAGACTAGCTGTTGAAGTTCTGGAAATCGTCCAGCCGCCCACAGACTACCGCAATGACAATCTCATGAATGTCAGGCTTGACGACGTTGAAAAATGGCAGGAAATTGGCTTGGCTCGTTTGGGCGCTCTACGCACCAGTGAACTATTTGATGTGATAGTGAATTGGGACTCGAGTAGCGGCGCTATTGAAGACCTAAAACAGTATACAACACATACTGCATCTAGATTTTCATTGTCGACTGCATTTGTTGGCACACTCTCCCAGCGTCTATTGCACCCAGGAGCATCCACAGCTGAAATTTTGCAACTCTACATCTCGATTATTCGAGCATTCAGCGTTTTAGATCCAAAAGGCGTTCTGCTAGACCGCGCGGCTCGACCCATCAGGAAATATCTTCGGGACCGTGACGATACAGTGCGAGCAATCGTTGGAGGTCTCCTGGCAGATCCGTCCGATACCGACAATACGGAAAGCAGTGAAACTTTGGTAGAACTTGCAACAGAGCTCACCAATGCCCATCGGCGGAATCTTCAGAATGATTCTGGAGAGCTGGATTGGGATGATATGAGCTGGATGCCCGATCCAATCGATGCAGCTGCAGACTACAAGAAATCCAAGGGTGCGGACGTGGTGGGTAGTTTGATCAGTCTTTTCGATTCAAAGGAGGCATTCGTAAAGGAACTGCAAAGTATGTTATCAGAGCGGCTGCTTAAGAAGAAACCGAACTTTGACCAGGAAACGTCGGTGTTGGAGTTGTTGAAAGTACGGTTTGGCGACGGCGCTCTACAAGCCTGTGAAGTGATGCTTCGCGATGTTATTGACTCTAAGCGTGTTGACACTGTGATTCGAAATGATCAAGAGTTAGCTGGAGAGCCACTTCCTGCTTGGGGGACAGCAGCTCCGGTGCAGAAGAGCTACAACGTACCACAATTACATTCAAAGATTCTCTCGCGATTCTTTTGGCCGGCTCTACAGGATCAGCCATTCAATGTACCCAAAGAGATCAAGACACTACAGGAACGATACTCTACTGGTTTCGAGGCATTGAAGCAATCTCGAAAACTAACCTGGCTTAATGCTCTTGGACATGTCACCGTCGAGCTGGACCTTGAGGATCGAGTTTTTACAGATGAGGTCACGACATGGCAGGCTACAGTGATATACGCCTTCCAATCGGATAATGCACCCGCTACGAAGACTGTGGCCGAACTCGCCGAGACGTTGGAAATGTCTGCTTCTCTAGTACGCAGTGCTTGTCTTTTCTGGGTAAGCAAGCGGATTCTCGTCGAAACTCAGCGAGATTCATTCCGCGTTCTTGAAGTTCTTCCCAATGACGAGGATCATGAGATGGCCATTAGTGGTGATCAAGAAGCCGCCAATCCATCTGCCACAGAATCCGACGCCGCTGCTGCTGCCGATGCCGCCGCAGCCGCCGCAGCAAAGGAGACAGCGAACGCTGCGGCAATGGAGAAGATGAATCTTTACTGGCAATTTATTGTTGGCATGTTGACAAACCAGGGCGCCATGCCTCTACAGCGGATTATCATGATGCTGAAAATTGCAGTACCGGGTGGCTTTCCTTTCGGGAATGAAGAGCTCCGTGAGTTCCTTGCAGGAATGGTTGCGCAGGGAAAATTGGAAATTGTCAGTGGGGGAAGCTATAAAATCGTGCGATGATGCTATGAAGTACGTATAATGACTTGTATTGGATAACTATCCATAATGAACCTTTTTATTATTACAGACTCATATTTCATTTTCATAAGCTCCTACATCGTACATTAGGCTTAATCATAATATTTGGTCCCCACTCCTTTGACAATCTCTACATTCCCAACCTCATTATCACCATCCTGGGTAGTCGAATTCCCCAGATTCTTGATTATTCTCTGCTTAACCCATTCACCAGCTTTGATGGGTTTGCCATCACTGCCCAAAACTTGGTCCTTCACAAGGCCCAGTTCTTGGAGAACGGGCGAATCTTTCAGAGGTACAAGGTCTGTGTCGTCTTCTAGACGGACCATGTACAGAACTCCAAGACGGTCGATGTGAGCTTGATCTTTGGGAGGGGCGATAACGCGGTGAATGCTGGATTTGAGGAAGCCGTCTGCATTATTAGACTCGGAGATACTTGTTTCGAGATTGTGTAATGACTTACTTGTCAAAAACTCAAGCGCATCCGCAATATTCACCGTGAGCGCATTCATCTGCGGCTTGACATATTTCCACGTCCCATCTTTGGTCAATACCTGCAACGCCGCAACAGGTTGACGGAAAAGGAGCGTCAAACTGCCCATATCCGAATGTCTTCAACCACGTCAGCTAGGTGTCCTTTCTGCATCGAAATTAAGAGGGAAGAGAATACCCCTTGAGCCATACACCACCCAACTTCCGATTCTCCTCCTCACTCCTCGCATAATACTTCATATACCTCAAATGATCCCCACTCCTTTCCGCATACCGATGCTTATTCACCAAGTACTCCTCATCCTCTAGACCCAACGCCACCGCAAATACGACCAATAACTTCCTCACGATCTGCTCATGTATATGTGTCGAAAACCGCTTGATCGTATCCCAATGCTTCTTCACGACTTCCGGATGTTTCCTGTTGGCATGCTCAGGCACAAATTTGGGGATGTTGTAGATCTCGAAATTGTCCTTTACGCCGGGGATAAGATTGCGTGTGCCTGCTGGTTTCCACCCGTTATAGTCCCCTTTTTCGAGGGCGGCGCGGTAGGGTTGCTTTTCTGCGGCGGACAGGGAGAGGACGGATTTGGCGAGGGCGAATTGGGTATCGATGTCGCTGAAGCTGAGGCCGTGGTTTTTGACGTAGAAGAAGCCTGTTCATAATCAGTCATCCACATACTAAACAATTGTTGAGGGCGGGTGGCAGTACCGATATCTTCCATCGCATTTCGGAATTGACTAGCTAGTTCTTGTTTTCCGCCTGGTTGGTCGAATTTGGAGAGGTCGAGAGTTGCCAGGTCGGCCCAGTCGAGGTTTTCGGATGTCTCTGGGACTTGGACGTAGGAGAGGACAGGCGGTGCTGTCTGGGTTGTTGTTGTCGCCATTGTGATTTCCTATGTGATGATTATATTCAAGCGATGTTGAGGTGATGTTTAAGTTGTATTAGACGTAGTTTCTTGAAATTGAAGATTGGTATATGTATAAATGTATTATCCTCGTGTTCTGAAAGTGAGTCTAGTCAGGGCAAAGGCGCCAGCCAAACCCGCCAAATTCCACGGCCATTATAATCCCAACAACATCCTGCCATGCCATGTGGGCATATGCATCATCTCCAGCTTACGAATCGAGTCATTATCATCCGGACAGAATCCCGCTGAAAATTACCGGAATTGAGGCATATTGACCATGCACGTCATGATAGCCTCCATCACGCCATTTACTAGCCCTAAGACTCCGCTTGGCTGAATTGTGGACCTTTTGTATATCTGATTTTTTGGGGTATTATTATGTTTTCAGCCGATAATCGGATTTGATATTGGGTTTGGTACATGTAAGTGTAGTGTATATAAGGTGTCATTCTGAAATCTGTATTGACTGCTGTGGTAGTCTGACCAAGTCCGGCGGGGATTTCATAAATTTTGTAGGAGATAAATTTTGAAGGAGAAAGAGTGAATAGAGAGAGCAAACTATGAATCAGTTGATTGGAGTGGTGTTACTTTCATGAGACTATGTAGTTCTTGGATGAATTTGTTCAGTACGCACTCCCTATCCATTTGCATTTGGCCTTGTCCTATCCAACAAATACCCCAGTAATCAAAAGCCTGGCAAGAAGGTCAAACTTTAACATACGATTTAGTTTTACCTTGGCTAGCAGCATGAATATGCGGGCATTAAATATGTGAGATTCCAGCGTCGGTGGTTCTCTGGTACAGATAGAATACCTGCATGATATTAATGGCATTGGCAAGTCATCTTTAGTTGGAACATCCTATCAATCTCACGGTATCTATCACGATCATCCTTGCTAGCTATTTCAGACCATACTAGATCATCTAGCATGCGTGCAACTTTTTGCTCTAGTTGGTTACATCAACATCTTTTGTCTTTATCAAGAAGGCAAAGCCAGTCTTCTTAAAATACGCAGTTTTTGTACGCAGTCAAAAAACCCTCGAACCTATCCAATCATCAATAAAGTATACTTTGATCTTTGGATAATGGTCAGATAATCAATATTCCCATAAATCCAAAAGAATCATATGGGTAATGTCTTGTCCGAGAAATGGCCGGGAGGCGGTACTACGAAGTAGATAGTCCACATATTACCTAGGTCGACGAACTCAATTTGTTGAAAATACTGTAAAAGATACACAATCCATCATGGCATGCGTGTTGAGATTAGACCAAAAAAAAATGATTTTATCAGGCAGATCGTACAATACATAAGTATTCAAAAATCCTCTACCGGGACTCGTATTTGTCCAGCCGGTGAGCCGAATACCGGAAGTCTTATCCAGACGGTCCAGACAACTTAGGGTTACCCACTTCACGTGCGGCGAGGTCTGACCGTGTTTGCATCCAAAGCATCAAAACTCAAAGTCAAATCCAAAAATTTTCCATTCATCATCCCGAAGCTATATGATGCCATTCTGCACATAGAATTACGGATCAGTCTAGGGTTTCTGGCATAAGCCTATCGGATCGTGTTTGTGGATTTTGTTGACGTATACATATGTAAGCTTCAATCGCTGACTGCCGTCCGATAGAAAAAACACATCGCACGGGAGAAGGAAAATTTACTGACGTGTGAAGAAACAGAACCATAAACAGAAATGACTCAAACCGAGTCTGATCTGCATGATGCAGATGTTCTTGCCAGCAATGCAGACACTGCCAACGAAAAAACGGATGCAGTAATTACTGGAGATGTTGAAGCGCTAGGCGAGGAAGCGAGAGCGATAGATGCGCAATTGCATGCGCGTGTGCTGCGCAAGATTGATTGGGTTTTGATGCCTTTTATGGTTATTGGTACGTTATGTCTTTTGCTATATTGTGATTACGTCCTAATATATTTCCAGGTTATGGATTGGTTTACTGGGATAAGGTCAGTTGCCAATTGAATCATCAAATTCGACATGGGTAGCCTCGACTCACTCTGAGTTATGTATAGGCAATTCTAGGAAGCGCCGCTCTCTTCGGCATGACAACTGACCTCCATCTCACTGTCACCAACACTTCCGTGAGCCCACCCGTGACAAGCACATCAAGATTGAGTTGGGCAACCTCCATCTTCTACTTTGGTCAACTTGCAGGCTCGTATCCCATGGCATATACAGTGCAACACTTTACTACTCGGAATGTTTTGTGTCCGGCCGTTATTATATGGGGTATTATTTGTGCAGCCACCGCCGGCGTTACCTCATGGCAGGGCTTATTTGCGCAGCGGTTTTTCCTTGGTTTGTTACTCTCTAGGATCTCTATCAACTGGACTAATATGGGCAGGCTTCACCGAATCCATCATCCCAACCGCATTCATGACAATGGTCAGCGGCTACTACACCCAACGCGAACAAGCCCTCCGTCAAAGCTGGTGGTTCTCCGGCACAGGCTGGTTCACCATCATCGGCGGCGCACTAAACTACGGCTTTGCACAGATCAAGAGCGGCAGTCTGGCACCTTGGCAATACATTTACATCTTTGCTGGATGTATCACTGCTCTGTTCGGAATATGGACTTATTTCCTACCTAATTCGCCTGCGGATGCGTGGTTTTTGACGCCCGAGGAACGCATTGCGGCTGTTGAGCGGTTGAGGGCTGGGCAGACTGGTGTGAAGAATACGGAGTTTAAGGCTGAGCAAGTCAAGGAGGCGCTCTTGGATGTGAAGATTTGGCTTGTTGCAATTACCATGGCTGCTGCGTGAGTTTCTCTTATCGCTTCTCAAACACAAATGGTTAACACTGGGTAGATATACCGTCAACGGCGCAGTTTCTGGCTTTGGTCCCCTCATAGTCTCGACATTCGGCTACTCGACTCTCGACAGTATTCTCTTTCAATTCCCTCTCGGCGGTCTCTCAGCTTTCGGAATCACATTCACCGGCTGGCTCTGTTCACGCTACCGTAACATCCGCGCCATCTCTCTCGTTTTGTGCTGTCTGCCCGTCATCGCCGGCTTCGTGATGATCTGGAAATCGTCCTGGGGCCACAAACCTGTTACTCCTGTAGCCGGTTACTCCTTGATCGGCTTCTTTGGTCCCGTTGTCAGTTTGACAATATCTTTAGGAGCGGGTAATGTTGCCGGAGAAACTAAGAAGAGTTTCATGGCAGCTGCGGTGTTTGTTGCGTATTGCGTTGGTAATATTATCGGGCCGCAGTTGGTGAAGAGTCAAACCAAGGCGCAGCATTATCCCGAGTTGTGGACTGGATTAATTATTTGGTATGCCTACTTCTATTCTGTATGCAAGAGTATCGCTAATTCCATTCTAGTTACTGCATTACTATTGTTTCTGCGAGTACCTTGTACTTTGTGCTAAGGCGCGAAAACAAAAAGCGCGAGGCGATTGAGGTCGACGAGCGTGAGCGAGACAGACTTGCTTTCAAGGATCTTACAGACAAGCAGAACCCGTACTTTAGATACGTTCTTTAGAGTCCTTCAAGGTGGAGAAATTCATCAGCTACATATTGCTACGTATGAATCTGAGGTCTGATGCTGTATGCGGTATACACACTATTCTAGATTGTACAAAAGTCGTTACAGTACAGAGTTGATAATAATAATCTAATTTTCAGTCCCGCTTTCAATCAAAGCCACGTGTCATATACCTAGGCAGTCTATGAATCCATAACGCAAAGTCCATAAATATCAAAATTCGTTTTGTCAAGCCGAGCAATGACGCCCACGCACCTAAAATGATGCCATCGCGGCCTCGGCCCCGTACCTGTAAAAATTTCCTCTTTGGGACATTTTCTGGCGAACGCCAAGACTAGGGCTTGCTCAACATCCCCCTGATGGATTTCAATTCTATTAACTCGCAACGAATGCCGGTGTATTTACCGAAATTGTTCCGTCTAAATGTGTTTTTTGGGAATCGTGGATTACTGATACGAAGGTATACGATATTTGATAGTACGTAGTTATCTACCCACCTGTATTGCGAATACGGAATATGGCTCCATCTGTCCCTTCTTGTTTGATTCCGCTCTGGGCAGAAAAATGTACCAGTCTCCATACGAAAACACCATCAAATCTCTCTCCTCTCAATGGAGTATTGGAGTTCATCAATAGTCAAAGATATGCACAATGACAGGAAAGAAGATACGTCGAGTAGCAGTCATCGGCGCCGGCCCAGCAGGCGCAATTACAACCGATGCACTCGTTAAAGAGCAAGCATTCGATACGATTCGAGTCTTTGAGCGTCAGGATGTAGCTGGAGGGACATGGTGAGATCCATATACAAAATTCAAACTTCAACGACATCTAATTGCAAAATGGAGCATCTAGGGTACTGACTTCCGGTGATGATGAGCAACACCAATTCGGGATCCCGTCGCTGGAAGATCTAATCAACCTACGTGCTGATCTCAACGTCCCAATTCCACAGAATCTGACTGAAAAAAATGCCTTAATTGAGACGCCAGAAACGCAAGAAATCAACTCCCGCCAACTCCGCTTCACGGACACTGGCGCTCATGAACACCTTCACAGCAACTTACCACCTGAAATCATGAGCTTTTCTCAAGAACCAATTCCCGCAGTGCTCTCAGAGCGAACACGAACACAACACGGTCCTGATTCACCATTCAGACCGCGCGAGGTAATTAGGACATGGGTTGAGGACGTCTTTCGACGGAATGGGAACGATAAATTAATTCAGTTCGGGACATCGGTTGAACTGGCTGAATATATTGAGCCGAATCAGAACAACAACGAAGAAGGGGAATGGGTTCTGACACTCCGCAAATCTGTCCCAGGCCCTAGTGAAGGAAGGAAAAAGAATGTATGGTGGCAGGAACGATTCGATGCTGTTGTGGTTGCGACGGGACATTATTATCTCCCTTTCATGCCTAAGATTCCAGGCATAGTGGAGTTCGATAGGAAGTATCCCAGCAAGATCAGACATAGCAAGTATTACCGCGGTACAAAGGATTATATCGGAAAGGTCAGTCTGCCTTCCTGCCTAGGTAATATGTACCAGACTTGAGCTGATGATATATGCAGAGAGTCATCGTTGTAGGAGGCTCAGTCTCCGCATTCGACGCCCTACACGATATCCGCGAAGTCTCAAAACTGCCAATCATCTCGTCATTACGAAACCCCTCCCCTCTCTTCGGCACGATCCCCTTTTCGCATCCTAATATCGAGAAAAAACCACATATAACAAGCTTTGACTCTACAACAAATACGATCGCATTCGCAGATGGCTCTACCTTAAAAGGAGAAGAGATTGATATAATCCTCTTTGCAACTGGGTACGATTTCAGTTTTCCTTTTTTGCCGGGTCTCAAAAACGTGCATAAGAGGGTGCCGAGGTTGTATCAGCATATTTTCAGCATTGAGAATTCTACTTTGGCGTTTGTAGGGATGGTAAGATCTTTTCCTGGCTAGTCTAAAGAGAGTCAAGCTGATATTGGGACAGATTACAGGAGGATTTGGAATTCGCTTCTTTGAATGGCAAGCCGTCACCACAGCACGCGTACTAGCTGGAAGAGCTCAGCTCCCTGACCGGCATGCAATGGAGAAATGGGAGCAAGCGCGACTGGCGCGACGAGGTGAAGGAGCGCCTTTTTGGACTCTCATACCTGAGTTTGAGGAGTGTTTTGAGGAGTTGAGAGCTTTGGCTGGAGAGCCGGCGGCTGGAACGCCGGGGCGTGTGCTCCCTAAATACGAGGAGGCGTGGGGAGAGGCGTTCTGGGGGTTGATTCGGAGGAGGAAGGAGTGGTGGAAGAGAGCGGCTCAGGAGGCTGGTCAGACATCGAGGAGTTCGTTGTGATAGTTGTACATTATCTTCATAGAACTAGAGTTGTAGATGGATGAGTAACACTAGAATTAAGGTGTCGGGCTGTCCGTCACAACATGGACGCTATAAGCCCTAAATTGTTGGCGCCTGGGAGCCAAAATGTTCGTCCCGGTAACAGAGCAAACCCCGTTCCCGGGGCTCCCTCCGGCATCACCCATCCTTAGAACATAATCCCGATTCGATGTACAGTGGGCCTCACGATGTTTACTCATCTTAATTAAAAACTATTTGAACTTTATTGATTTCTGTATTTCTGCTGGCGGGGTACATATTTAGATGATCCCTCCAGGTTTCCGAGGTCGCTCTGCCAGAGAATACATATCGTCCCCTGCGCTCTACCCTCACAGCACAACTCAACGCCTACACAACGGTGAAAAACGACACAATGGCCACCCGACCAGTAATCGAATACTACTTCTCCTTCATTTCCCTCTGGTCCTACATCGGCAGCAAGCACTTCCACCAGCTTGCCAAAAACCACGATGCGCAAATCATCTACAAGCCTATCGACATAATGCACACATTTTCTGTGTCGGGCGGCCTCCCCGTCAAACAGCGTTCAACACAACGCCAGGCTTACCGTTTACTGGAGATGAAGCGATGGTGTCAGATCCGTGGTATCCCTATTGTGCCGCACCCGAAATATTACCCTGCAAACCCATCGCTGGCGCATAGAGTGTTTCTCGCGGGTATTGAGGAACTGGGTCACGATCACGAAGCAATCCAGAAATTCGCGCAAATAGGATTGCAGACTGTCTGGGCTGATGAAGGCGATATCGCGGATCCAGCAACTATAGTGCGCATTGCGTCGGAGGCCGGGTTGGATGGAGAGCGGTTGCTGCAACGTGCGCAGACCGAGGAGTCATTGGTTGAAAAGGAAGTTGGGCTTGTGCGCGAGATTGATGCGCGCAGGTATTTTGGGGCCCCTGTCTATGTGTATCGAGACGAGCCGTTTTGGGGGCAGGATCGGTTGGAGATGTTGGATGAGGTGATTAAGAGTGGGAGGGAAGCCCTGCCTTTGCCTGAGAACCTGGATTAATTTCTGCCAAGTTGGGTGGAAGAAATTAGGGCTTCTGGTTGACGCCCAAGTTATTTGTGCCTCAGGCTGCCTACTTCGCTGACTTGACGGTGAATACGTCGCAATGAAATAACAGATTAATATGTATGCATCCTCGTATGTAAATATTCACCGGAACATCGGGGCTATGTCTCTTTCATAAACCTGACAAGTGCTTGTAACACATCCCTGTATTAGAGTCAGTAGAGTACGTGACTAAGACCAAGCGGTATGCAAGGTCTTCCCATTTTTGAGAAAAGCACGCAAGCCAGGGCAAACATTCGACTATCAGGAGAGTGTACTAGTAAGCTGTTAATGGAGGGGAACAGCCAACTGAAACACGAAATGGCTAAATAACATCGAGCTAGCGAAGTTTACTAGCAGTACATAGTTCGTATCAAATCAGCCGATAAGCAGGGTTATTCAGCCCTTGACAGTTGTCGATGACTGATTGATCACAAAGTCTGCTGTTGTGTAGATATACTGTAGTAGTCGCAAATCAAGGACATTAAAATAAGTCAGATCGGATAGTATCCTTTTTTGCAAGAATAACTTACTTACAGTATGTATTAGAACATGGGAAGTGCCAGTCGTGTGTCATCATCTCCAGCAGAAGAGCTTATCACGGGACCCGCTTCCGGGCTTGATCTGTTGGGTTATCTTCCATCATGACTTGTGCAGTCCGCCTGATCGCCCTACCTCATTGTGTCTTCATCTGTTGATTATTTTCTGTCTTGTCCATCCTACATTCACATCAATAATTGACTTTGTCCTCCAGTCGCACATTCATCGCGGCTGGGAGGTAGTGCACTTCCAATAAGATAGACGTTTACACTGACGTTCATTGACGTTCACTTATCGTTATCAATCAATCTACCAAGATGGCATTCCGATCTCCAACCCACGCCCCTCCTCGTCGACAGCCATCCTATTCTACAACCCTCGAGATCGATACTCATGCTTCTCAACACCAACAGCAAGTAGATGACGACGCGAAAGAATGGATTCTTTTCTCTCCCTCCCAAGCCGCGTCCACTACCACCCGCACGCGGAGCGACTCCACCGAACGAACCGCACGTACCGCAGGTGTCTCGCGACTGAGCGACTTTGGCTCCTTCAATGCAGCCACTCATCTAGAATCGGGTGACAGCGCGTCTGTTGATGCATTGGATGAAGAAGCGACGGAACTGGACAGTTTAGACGATGGTCTACGTGATTTTCGGGATGCCAACGAGCCCGACAGCAGTGCTTACCCCGTGCTACCCACTCACGACGGATTAGGGTCTTTCCATGCCTCGGGACAACAGGTCCAAGAACAGTTATGGCGATACGAGCAATTCAACCCTCGCCGTTCAGCGGACGCAGCCCCTACGCGTCGCTCAAGTCTACAGAATCATCTGGCGACGGTAGACGAGCTAGAATCGCTCGCCGATCGCGAGCGATGGCAACGGATTGAGAAATGGAGAACAGAACAGAGCCGGATATTGCGTCAAGAGATTGAGCGTGAGACAAGACGGCGCCAACGACGCAGCAGTCGCGGAAGTGTTGGGACTGCCCCTCGCAGGGCAGGTAATGACGTTCTTGGTAGTATTTCCGAGACCAAGGCAATGGAAACATCGAGCGTGTCTTCAGATACGGCTTCCTCGCCGGGAGATTCGACCAAGGAATCGATCTGGCGTCGAATAACGCGGAAGGTGATTCGTGATTTGATGGGCATTGACGATTCCATACTCTCTGTTATTTTGGGAGAGTCACTGGTCGATGATATCCATTTGACTTCATACGTTGACGAAGAATCGCATCCTGATATTCGTGAAATGCAAGAAGCTATTCGCGATGTGCCAATAACGGCCGCATCAGACGATGATGCTTGGAAGGAACGTCTACTTCAACGCATTGCGCGCGAGCTTGGTGTTCTTGTTCACCAGATTTGGGAGCATCCAGGAGCGTTCAGTACATATCTACGCTCGGACGACCCAACCGAATTTTATGCTGGCATGCCAGTGACAAATTCACAACCATCAATACAACCATTTTCGAGGTCGGATGCATCCGCGCCGCGGACAACGCCAGAAGATAGCAATGTTTTTTCCATATCTTCACCACAGTTCAATCCAACCCTACAACAAGACCCAGCTACGGCTGAACATGTTGCTGAATGGGGCATTGACGACGTCGAGATCGGCGCAGGCACACAATCACAAACCAAGAACCCACAAGAACCATCGACGATTCCAGTCGCTACCCAGGAATACGAATACTGGGAGCAAGACCTCGATGTCACAATGATCTTTCGCTACCTCAAGAACCGCTTCCGCCGAGGCGACAACAAAGCGAACAACACAAACACCGCCGCATCGACAACCCGTTCCACAACCACATACAACGAACAAGACGCCTCCAACCGCGCAGCCGTCATCCGCCAACACCACCCTCTCGTAGCGCGGGCCCATGCCCGGACTCAAGCCCGCCAACTCGGTCTACGCGCTCAGATGCGTGCAGCGGGAATTTCAACACCTACATCCCCTATCTCCCGTCATCATCATCATCAAGTAAACCGCTTCCGCCGCCCCAGCTCTAGTTGCGCTAGCCAGAGTACGAAGGTATCCGCTAAACGCACTCATACGGGGCTAGGGAGCAGTTCCAGTCGTCACTACTGGGATATAGGCGGCAGTGTCGGTAGTGGCAGCGCAGCTGTATCTGTTGGTGGACCAGCTGGTGTCGGTGCATGGGGTGAAGCCTAGTCTCCCCCCTCTCCCCTCTTTCCTCCCTCTTCTCTCTTCTCAACTGATCACACTCTACATACACATACACACATATACACACATACGGTTATGGTATTTGACTTACGACGGACATGATTTAGCGGCGTTTCGAGATTGATTTCTTCTACACATTTAGGGTTGATGGGAGCGATGTGACATAAACTTCTGGAAACGGGGATACATACACATATTTGATTTTTTTTTGGCAGGGGTAGTTACGGGCCGGTTTGACATTGGCATATGGGATATGGTTTTGTATACTTTTTGATAATGGGCATTTTCTCTCATACTCGCAAATGTAATTACATAGAACGTAACTCCAGATACAGTGTCTATACTCTTGAGAGACGGATATAATCCAAGGTTGATTGCATTCATGATACATACAAGACTAGCAGATTGCTAGTATCCTGCCGAATATCTGAAGACCTCATGACTCCATAAAATCACAAATGGGTAAAAGTTGAACATGAAACATTAATCAATTCCTGACGCTAATTTATAGGTTTTTTAAGTTGGTATGAAAATGCACGACATCTAAGCCTGGGAAACATTCTCATAAGCCTCAGGGAAACGCTTAATGTTCTGCTCAACGGAGCCATGGTGACGCAAGAACTGGACATAGGCACCATCGATCTTGACACGACCCTCCTGGCGGAGACGGACGTACTCCTCGCGACGCAGGGGAGTGAAACCCCAGTTCTTGGAGACGATGATCTTTTGGCGACCGGGGAACTTGTACATGGAGCGGCGGAGGGCCTCGACGGCGAGGTGACGGTTGGCGTCACGGGTGCGGACAGAGAGCAAGATCTGGCCAATGTTCACGCGGGCAACGGAGCCGTTGGGCTTACCGAAGGCACCACGCATACCGGTTTGGAGACGATCGGCTCCGGCACAGGACAACATCTTGTTGATACGGACGACGTGGAAGGGGTGGGCGCGGACACGGAGATGGAAACCTTCCTTTCCAGCGGACTTCACGAGGTACCTTCACACATCATTAGCGGACATTCGAACCTTTTCCCGAATCAAGAGACATACTTGTTGGCGCAAATACGGGCGGCTTCGAGAGCCTCGGAGGACAGCTGCTCGTACTCGTTGGAGACCATGTGCACGCAGGTAGGGAAGTCGTCGACATTGGCCTTCTTACGTCCAAGATCGAAGATACGGATCTTTGGGTCGGGGACACCACGGTTGAAGCGGGACTTGGGGTAAGGCTACAATTAACATGTTAGTCCTTATCCTGAAATTTCCATAAAATCGATCAAAATTCGCAAAATCTCCGTAATCAGGGCGATAAACGTCTGCTGGTAGTCGTGATGTCGTCGCTGGCGTTGTCGCTCGCCAAAAGTCGAATAACGCCCCCACAAAGTTGTTCCACGCTCAAAATTCATCGCGAAAAAAAGTTCCAACGCACCTTGTTCTTGCAGTAGCGGTAGCAACGGGCAGGACGACGGGCCATCTTGAATGCGAGTTTTTCAAATAACTGCACTTCCTGCGAACTTGTTGATAGTGATAATTTGGTTGTTGAGTTGGCGATGGACAGGAGGTCAAGAAGTAGGAAGGGATCCTGAAGGCGGCTCGCTATTCTTGCCAGGTTTGATTTCAAAGCAGCGGGCGCTAGTGGATTTTTGTGGCAAAACCCTAAGCCCTAACTACTTCCGGACGGCCAATCTGGTTGAAGCGTTGTTGTTATCAAGCAGGGTTACAGTGTGACTGACTATGAGTCATTCGCAGTCATTTAAGTACGAGATGATCTTTTTAAAATGAATTATCAATTCTGTTCTTTGATACCGGGCTACTCGTTGCTTCAGGATCGTTCTTTCAGAACATGATGGACGACGATCACGTGAGACTTTGCCGAAAGATTATCGCTTACTAATCGGCGACTTATGATATCATCGGATAATCATTGAGCCGATGACTTCACCTCACTCTGTCACTTTGTGAACAATATCGAGTCACGTCAAGGAACATTATGAGAAGGCAACTTGATGAGTGGCAATTTACAATGTGCCCCCCCCCCCCCCCCCCCATATCTCTGATCCCACACACGTCGGGCGATACGGAACCTCATCAGGATTATTGTTCCTCTTCACAGCCTACAGCACCGAGATTCTTCACCATAGAAATCCTGCAAATACCACGGATCCTGCTCATCGGCCTCATTTGTATATGCGCCAGGCCTGGGTCAGGGGCTGCGTTACAGGAACCGCCGTCAGTTCCATGGTATAAGTCCCAGTCACTGTCACAGGTCGTATACGACACGATGAGGTTTGTATAGGTACCGTTGTACTATGGCAGAAGTTTCTCCAATGTTGGCACGAACATAGCTTCTATATTTTCTATATAATTGTCCTTTGCGCTGAAGGTATGGGACAACGCAGTATTAGGACTATCGTCCGTACTATATGCCCTCCGTTCTCCGTACCCACCCAACCCACCAGTCTGACGCTTCATATAAAGTCGCAATCGCCTCCAAGGAAACCTTCAGGTCGTCGTACTAAGTACTCAATGGAGCTACGCACAATGATATGGCCGCGTATATAGCATCAAGATGGACTATTTGTCTTGACACTAATGATAATTCGATAAATTATCCTCCTCCTCCTCCACTGCGTAGTGCTCGAAGAGGTCGTTGCTTGAGGTGGGCTGGCGAGGCTTGCTGGCCGTTCGTGCGCACGACTTGAGCTTCGAGTAGTTGGTCTGCTACTAGACCAGATTTATGTGTTGTGCGAGGATATCTGTCGCCTTGAGTGAAACACCAATACACCGACGCTCTAATTTCGATTAGATATAAGAAGTCAGACAGGAGTAAATACTTAACTAGGTGACTATACGAACCGTAATTTCCACTACTGACTGAGTCTCATGAAGTGATTTAACTCCCCTGAGAATGCGAGTTTTGTTCCAAGCAATTTCACTGCAGTTCTCTAATATGTACGCATTTCAGGTATTGCAATGACCTCAGCTGTGAGGGCTCAATCAAATGTCATTTGCTTATTGGGACGGACACACTGTTCGCGATCAAATTTATTTGAAGTTGCACTAGATTTATATTAACTATTATATCTCTGCGAATCTAATCTAGAGCGGTCTCCTTCTAATCGATCTAGTCATCTACTATATAAGATGGCACTTGTTACGAAGCTGGACTGCATGACACTTGGACAGTAAGGCCTACTATGGGATTAGAAAACAGAAGTCAGGTCATAATAGAAAAAATATACTATTATTTTATCAGAGATAAGGGTATATGAAACCCCGTGATATGATTAGATAGGAAAGACTATTATTATTGTTTGAAACTATCCAGAAAGTGCTCACGATGATGCAGGTACGACTTAAGGATTTGGATTCGCGGACTTGCAACTAATACAATCTGGATCCGGATTGTTATACCACACTCTTTCACTGGATCCAGAAGCCACAAGCTCCTTGTCTACTTGAGGCTCTAACTCCAGAACGATGATTTCATTGTCCTCTCTCAGCCATGCTCCAGGTATGTATTGACTCTGTGCTGGCCCTACCGTCCAATACTTCCCAAGGTTGTATCCATTGACATACAGGACACCCTTGATTCCACCGCTGATACTAAGAAACGTATCAGCTGCAGCAGTTCCAGCAACCCTGCCGTCTAGTTTGAAATTGCCTTTGTACCAGACTGGCGTACTGTTGGCACTGACTGTAATCATTGGTAGATGATTAGTACCCTTACCGATCAAGCCCTGGGGTGGTGTTGGTACGGAATATGACTGTATGGTCCAGGGTGAGACAAGATTTGATCCAATGTACACATCGCCGATTATTCCCTTCCGTTGATCTAATAGCGGTGACGAATAGTCCACCCGGCCCTGGTTCTCGACTAAAAGCTCGAGAACATCTCCACCTACGATTTGTATCGTAACGTTCTGTGGAGGGTTATATGTTGCGTCAATCACACCTCGCTTGTTCCCATTAACATAAACGAGGACACGGTCGCGAGGACCATCACCGGGGTGTAGTTGGCCAGATATGTTCACCCCATAAGGTGCCTGGTAACGGTACAAGATGTAACCGTAAGATTGCCCAAGCTGCTCCATGTTGATCGGACTATCAGATTTGATTGTCCCCGAAGATTCCTCTAGCAGAGTGGCCACCGGCCTCAATGGCACGTCAGATATATTAGACATTGGCAAGGTTTGCACAATATTTGGCGTCTTGCCCGTGTAGTTCGCGATTGCAGACCTTAGTTCCCAGTATAACTCGCGAGGGCGGCCACTTTCGTCTAAAGGGGCACCATAATCGTAGCTAGTCGTGACAGCCTCGAGTTGGCCAAAATTGAGGCCACCATTACTGAAAGCAAAGTTTGTTCCACCGTGAAACATATACAAGGAGAAACTGGAGGCTTGGTTCAATATCCATGATGCCCCTGCGACTATGGCCGAATTATTGTAGCCAATACCGCTCACGGTTGGGTAGAGAGAGTTAGAACCCCACGTCGTTAGCCATTTCGCTAATTCCTTTTGGTTAACTGGCTGTTTTTGAATGGGGCATGATATGGATATTCATGATACTCACAATAGTATTCACCGTCGAGGCTAGGCCCCATTTCTGTCGGATCACTGATGGAATTCTTCCTCGTGGCAAAGCCCTGGTAAGGATCGCCGTCGATTTCAGCGAGGACACCATGGACGGGACCGTTGGGAAACTGGGTCTGAGATCCGCCATCGTTCGTATATTGTAGCAGATTGAAATGCTTGGCAATAAGAGCTGAAAGTGCTGCTGTATAGGCGTGGTCGCTACCATACTGGCCGTACTCATTTTCAACTTGTGCTAGCAAAATAGGTCCACCCTGTGAGACCTGGTATTTAAATATTTGCTGAGATAAATTACCGAAATAGTAGTCTGAATGCTCAAGGAACTGAGGGTTATTCGATCGAACAGTCACTATTTCTGCGTTTAGTACAATCGGCCTGACATTTTAGAAGCAACGTAGCTACAATTTTGAATTTGGCTCAACCACGCAGGCATCCCTCCCCAGTCACGTTCTCCGCAGATGTAACCACCCGGACGGAGCACCGCTTGCAATCCAGCATCTTGTACAGCCTGGTACCAAGCGGCGATATCGTTCATACCACGAATCCCATCCCAGTCCCAGACTCCAGGAGATGGCTCCAATTCATTCCAGAAAATATAGGAGAAGATGGTATTTAGCCCCATAGCTTTAGCGTGCTCTAAGCGATCACGCCAATACTCCCGCGGTACTCGCTGTGGATCAATCTGACCCCCTATCATCTGGTAAGGCCTTCCATGCAGATAGAAAGAGGTGTTAGAGTAACCGAACGTGGAGTTACCGACATTGCTGGCCCAGGGTATTCCTAAACATAGTGTGGGCATAATAGCTAGGCTGACAATGCGATGAGATTGCACCATTATTGGTATTGAATTGCAGGAAATGATGCTCAGATATGAGGAGTACTACAGAATTGAAATGAAACACGAGAATAGGCAGGCTCGGAACTCTGCGAGTGACTGATACGTTATATCTCACCAATATAGCCAAAAAATACCTAGGAACATCTGTAGCTGCTGTATCAAAATTAGTGATTTTGGTATACATTTCCCCGCCAAATGCTTCGGAAGTGATAGCGGATAAAATTCTGTTGCGTCTTGGAACTTAACGAGGACAGGAATATTCTCCGCTATCACTTCCGGATCATTTCGCACGGGGTATGCACCGTAATTAAGCGATATAGTGCATGAGATGATTTGGATCGACAGAGCTTGCCCTCCAACCTATAACCCAATGAGGGTTTGCCCGAGTGGCTCGAAGTGATTAATCGTTCCGTCGCGTACTACAACATAGCCAATAACCATCCACTCGGTAAAGGATACGCTTGGAAATCAGCCGGAAAGATAAATTATCCTGGTAAAAGTGAGTGGCTGTTGGGGGGAGAGACCGGTACGCCTTTTGCAGCCTTTCTCGCAGACCTCAAGCTCCTCATCCGTACCAATGTCGTAGATTTCTTCAGGTAACCCTAACCAGGTCCCAGCGCAATGAGCCAATATGGTTAGCCAATAGGGTAATTCCCAGCTCTTAAACCCCATGCTGCCAAATACAATCTCTTCGACGGTCAATTGGCTTACAAGAAAGTAATTTGGGCATCCATCCTGCGACATCGATCCCCCCGTTGTAACCAACATCGTGAACTGGTGTACTTGGGGAGTTTGAAACCGGGCTGGTTTCGTTTAGATGTTGGAGGAAATAGCTGATGTTCCCATCTATTCATCATAAATTCAAAGCTGGCAATCATTAGAGTCTTCGAATTAGCAAAAATAAGGTACAACCTGTTGAAGACTGGGGCTGATAAGAACCACTAATGTGAACATGGTGTTTTCCTCCAATCCCGCAATGACAGTTTCCATTTTGCCGGCTAAAAGAATTCAAATATGTATTATTAGACTAATATTAAGAAGCTTAGATTTCGAAGTCCCTCACTCTGAACCAACGACTTCGACTAGCACGGAAATTGCTCCCCCGCACTCCACAAACTCCCTCAGAAATTTTCCTGGTGTGGAGCAAAAAACGGGGTATCTAAACAAGACCTTAGTATGGCTAACACGACTTTCACCAGACGCAATTGGATCTTCAACTGCCAAATTATGGATCGCAACTCTTATTACTCGTGCACACAACTCCCCGCGATGGATTGTAGCCTATTGGATGCTGCTGTCCAGAGATTGAGCGAGCATTGTCGGTCGTTATTTAGGAACTACTAACCGACGTTGCACGTCGGTAGCTTTGCAGCTTTTATGGCCGATCGAAGTACTAGGTATATATCTTGTGGCTTTGTACCTTCTCCCGCAGCATTTGAAGTAGTCAACCCTCTCCGAAGGCTAACAATTCTATCGATGGCTATCCGCTCTTTGACATGGCATGCCTCGGCCTGCCTTTTGCTGCCAATGGCTTTTGCGCAGTCTGTAAATGTTCCCAACTCTGCTGACTTCCCTCTTCGTATTTGGCAGACCAGTCCAGCCGTGAATTGGAACGATTCGTTTCTGATCGGAAATGGGCGCGTCGGCGCCGTTGTGCCTGGTAGTGCACAAGTTGATACTATGCACTTTAATGAAAACTCATTATGGTCTGGGGGTCCCCTGCAAAGGGTGAATCCGTCTGCTGCGTCCCAAATGTCCAATATCCAGTCTTATATTCAGCGAGGCATCACAGAGGATCCCTCGTCGATTGAGGATGCCGCAAATCTCGTGAGCTTTGCCTATGCAAGCACACCAGTTTCCACCCAACATTACGACCCGTTACTGGACTTTACTGTTTCCATGAGCCACGGAAGCAATATTGGTCACTATGAGCGCTGGTTAGATCTTGGAGATAGTACTACCGGCGTATACTACACTGTCGATGGTGTTGCCTACGAACGGGAGTTGTTAGCCAGCCAACCTGCTGACTTGATCGCCATACGAATTGCGGCAAACCAGTCCGGTGCTGTATCCTTCAATATTCATCTTGATCGACTGGGATCTTCGCTCAACCGATGGGAGGATTACACGGAACCAGTTGGAGGTGACACGACAGTTCTGGGAGGCGGCAGTGGAGGATTGAACCCTATCACTTTCGCTGCTGGCGCGCGAGTTGTAGCCTCTGGGGGAACGGTTAAGACTCTGGGCGACTATGTTATTTGCACCAATGCCACCGAGGCATACATTTATTTCCAAGCCTGGACCGACTACAGAAAGAAAGATCCCAAGGCTGCGGTCTTGAGCGATCTGGCTGCTGTTTCGCAGCCTTACAGTGTTATCCGAGCTGCACATGTCAAGGACTATCAATCTTTTGCCAATCGCACCTCGCTGAATCTGGGTACATCTTCGGCCGCCCAAAAGAAGATGTCGACCGCTGACAGAATGACGGCCATGCAAAATGGGTCGTTTGATCCTGAAATGGCATCGCTGTATTTTGAGTTTGGAAGGTATCTTCTCATCTCAACCTCGCGAGCCACGGAAAAGGCACTGCCGCCAAATCTCCAGGGAATCTGGAATAGTGACTTTGACCCTATGTGGGGATGCAAGGTGTGTGATATTACTACCTCTTTCCCTGGACAGGGAGACCTCCAAAAAGACAAATTAGTTCAGAGCTAACAAAGCGCAGTACACGACGGACATCAATCTTCAGATGAATTATTGGCCATCACTTGTAACCAATCTTGCAGACCTGACGGCTCCTCTCTTCAATATAATCAACACCATGCGGGAAACCGGTGCGGAAACAGCTAGATTGATGTATAACAAGACTGGTATTGTAGGCCATCATAACACAGATATGTGGGGCGATACAGCTCCTCAAGATAACTACGTGAGCGCGACTTTCTGGCCAAACGGACTGACATGGACTGCTGCTTGGATTTACGAGCAGTATCGGTACACGGGTGATAAGGCTTTCCTAAAACAGAATTATGAGACGCTGACTGACTTGCTGGAATTCTACTTTGGATTCCTCACTGAATACAACGGATGGAAGGTCACCAATCCATCTCTATCGCCTGAAAACGAGTACTTTCTGCCAAACACAGAGACTTGGGAGGCGTTAAGTCTTGGTCCCACAATCGACAACTCTTTGATATGGGAATTGTGCGGAAACGTGATCGAGGCGAGCCAAGAATTGGGTCTCAAGAACTCCGAGTACTTGAAGCAAGTCCAGGAGCTGCGTGATCAGCTTCCGCCGCTAATGATCAGCTATTTTGGTGGTATCCAGGAATGGATCGAAGATTATAACGAGGTACGTTCGACGACGCCGTACTTTTTTTCAGTGTCAGTTTACATTATCTGATCAGATGTATAGACTCAACCCGGTATGCGGCATTTCTCACCCGTCTATGCACTGTATCCGGGTGCCCAGATAACATCAGCGAACCTCACCACGTTCGAGGGAGCTAAGGCAACTCTCATGAGGCGGCTAAAGTAAGCGACTTGAATCAAAAGAAAGCTCGTGAATACTAACAATGTGAAAGCAATGGTGGTGGTGATACTGGCTGGAGCCGTGCAGTAAGTTCATCGCCTATGCCAGTATAGATAATCAAGTGATCAAGATGTTTAGCTGATGGTTGAATGAAATAGTGGTCTATCTCGCTTGCTGCCCGTTCGTTCCTGCCAGACCAGGTACATGATAGCCTTCTCCAGCAACTGACGGTTTATACCTACCCTACCTCTTTTATGGATACCGGTCCACCAGCACCTTTCCAAATTGATGGTAACCTTGGGGCTCCAGCAGGTAATCGAGTGGTCCATTCCTGTTAGGTCCAGAAATGCAGCGGCTAATATTTCCGTTTAAAATAGGAGTGGCAGAGGCATTAATACAAAGCCACGAACTGGTTTCAGTCACCACCACAGGTCGAAGCCAGTCATTTTCCAGTGCATCAAGTGCGAAAAGCGGTACCCAGCTCACACCTACTTACCTAGGCTATCCGGGAGACAAGATTACTCTGCTCCGCCTTCTGCCTGCCCTGCCGTCTGAGTGGGCGGCAAACGGTGGTGGTTTTGCCAAAGGGCTCCTTGCTCGAAGTGGGTTTGAAGTCGACGTAGCCTGGGATGATAAAGGAGCTTTGACGAGCGCCAATATTACATCCATATTGGGGAATTCCGTGTGGGTTACTGTGGGCACTGAACCTCTTGGGTCTGATGGGCCCACGGGCAATATCACAGGAAGCAATATTCGTGAGGCAAGTGTAGGCTCCGGGCGGTTTTTGCTTCTCAACACGAAGCGGGGCAAGACGTACACTGTAGAATTGGCATAGGATGGGTGTAAAAGCGGCGAGGGGGTGAGCATTACAACGGAACAGGAAGGCCTTCGCGCATCGGGGAAAATCAGGTACGTAGGTACCGGACAGCAACGATGACCCATTGGCAGCGGCTATTACTTGAACCATTATCCTAATGCTAGCCAGCACCAACTTTGACAATGTAATAAACTACCAAACCGTCCTCGCTGAAGGATCTGTTGTCCACACGCCAACACTCACTGAAACTCATACGTGTTCCAATCACTTAATGACGGAAACAACAGCTCCAGCGTGGTGACCCAAGCCGAACTGACAACTTCTTGCGCAAGGCGATATATGGGCCGCTATTCTCTACAATGATCTTAGTACCGTTGATGATATTGCAGAGTTGGTCAAGAACAGTACGCCTGCGGAGTATGATAAGTATGCGTCTTTTATCACGTCTTTCGGTCACTCGCAGGCACAGAATATGATGCTTATTTTGAGTGATCTTGAGTATACAAAATTCCTTTATAGTACTACAAATCCATCAAAGCATGCAGATATCATCAACAAACCCGTGTATCACCAGTCCCTTTTATCACACATCGTGATGATAAAGTGGCTCTTCAGCAGTAAACATAATCAAAACATTTAGTTGGTATTGCACGTGGCTAGTCCCAACTCTCAAGCATCGTCTCCTCTTCCTTCAACCCCGTATATCTCACAATATCTCTCCACACCATCAACTTCTTCTCCTCATTTAGTGGAAAAAGAAGCTGGAACATGAGCACCTGAATGAAAAAGGGGCTGCTCCGGGCTGTGTTAGTGGGGACGCTGCCCGGATCAACGCTGAGAATGGAGACGGTGGAAAGGGCGGGGCCGGCGGAGAGGTGCCCTTGGAGTTCCCCGTTAGTAGGCGTTAGTGGCCTTATCAATGGGGATAAAGGAACAACGGTAACATGCAGACGAAATGTGCGAGAGCAAACGTACATTATCATAATAAAACAGAGCTTGGAAGCCCCATATCGTCGCATTCCACTCGTTCACGATAGATCTTCTTTATATGAATTCTAAGTCCTCTTCACAATTGGATCGGTGCTTTCGTGTCGGATTGTCTTCCATTTCTTATTTTTTAAAAGGGGCCGCATTCTGCCTCAATGAGGGGCTAGTATACAGTACTATTTAGTCACTGTACTTGTCACATACATTTACCTGGGGGGAGTCACTCATGGGCCTTGCTTCCAAGCACTACTATCCGACCTATCTCACGATCTATACTTTGTAGTAGGAATAAAACAAGCAACCAATTACCAAGATACTTAGCCATAAACATCGTAGCAAACCCCTTTTCTGTGAATATTTGGGTGTTCATCTCGTGGTACCCAAAGTTCATGATAAGAGCGCGAATGGACGGAATCTCGCCTGCTGCGATTTATGCATTGATGCTGGTTGCTGCGCCACGGACGCTGCTCAGATCTAAGGGCTCAAAAGATATTGTGTGGAAGGCTTGTGTACTGGCGCTCGGTTGTTGTTGAGGGTCTAGATGAGGGTGTAGGAGTGATGAGGCGTCGCGTACGGTGTCGATAGCGTGGTATGACGAGAGCTCTGGCGACGAGCGAATGCGAGATGCAATGGCGCTTCCAATACCACCATTGGCCCTTGTAAGAGCAATGGTACGGTATTTCAAGATGGTTCGTTGAACGATACCACAGATATGCAGAGGATAGAGCAAGAATAGGGATGAGAGATTTGCTGCGGCGTTAGCGGTGGATCACTTGACTGTCCGGGTCCTTTCCATTCTTGCGAGACAGGGAGACTGCCTTGTCAATTAATTCGTTCATCCTTCTCGTGGATTAAGAACAATTCTATAGACCAGTGCGTGTAGCCAGAATCAATAACATATATATCTATAATCTTATGCGGTGGCCTCCTTCCTGGTCTTTAGAACGACAAACGTATTCTCGAGAAATAAAACTGTAATTAGAATCATTATCAGTCTTGATTAGGACGGTAAAAGAGGAAGGAGCCGGTTACAAGATCTGGTCGTACCCGACCTGCCCAAATAAGAGCCCTGGTTTGGACTGGAAGAAGCCTTCGGCTCCCTGGCCTTTTCACATCCTTGGATATATCGTTTACTCCTTCGCTTCTACAAATACACAGACAACCACCAACCAATCTTATGTCAGGAGTTGCAGGGGAAACTTCAACGCCGTCCCCACAGCAACATTAGCAGCAAAATCACATCCTTCACGATTCTCATCGCTCCTCGCAAGCCTGCGAGCCGAGCTGGCAGCGGACTTCAAATGTTTGATCCGTTTTCTGCTTTCATGACAGCCGACCGAAAGGCACTATTGGAATTACCGCTACTTTCCGCAGTCCATGCTGACACTACGTCTACATTTCAAAAGTATGCTGCATGGCGACCTCACCGCACGACACAGTTATTCTAGGGAGGTGGCAGCTACTGAAGAAAGCCACTGGCGTCGTAAGCTCTGGTAACTTTCACATAGATGACACGTATTGGAATGACGCCAGTAGAAAACATCCCCTGAGCGAGTTTCGGGCTGGCCGATTCCTCGTCGGTCCTGCAAACCGACCAAGCGGGCTGGCAAGCCCATCTCAGAATCGACATACCAATCCTAAAAGCAGTACCTTTGAGCAGCCCCATTGCTCCATAGCAGAAGAGTTGTATGGTGTTTGGATCTCATCCGGCGGTAAGCCTTACGTCCTCTCCGTATCTGATATTACTTGAAGTGAGCGGTACTCAACTCATGTAGGAGTCTCATCGATTTGCCTCCGAAGATTCCTGGACAAGAATGTCATTGTTTCATATTTCGGGAGCTATTGGTTACCCAATATGACCTCGAGCCATTGAATGTCGAGTCCTCCCAGCTCGAGGCTCAAGCCAAGTATCCCGTACCGATACGATGAGAGGGGGGTAGATGAAACCCGATCTAGAGCTCATTTGAAGGGCGATGAATACATATAAAAATCGTGAGCTGCAATTCCGCATAATGTCCTTCTGATGTGCTATCACATAAACGGGGGTCTTATAGAGTGTTCTCAAGCCCTGAACATAATCTACACATATACCCAATTCCCAGCGATTGTTATGCAACGGTCTCATGGTTGTATTCTCGGGGGCTATAAACAAAGCTATGCGTATCACGTGCATACTCAGCCTCATTCTACTCAGCCTCATTCTTGATTCACCGCACACAAGGCTGAGCCCCTCATTTCGAGGTATAGAGTCCCGTCTATACTTGGAGTCCACATTCCCTACTGATGTACTATTTACGGTGAAGATGCAGTGTCGTCTTGGTCACATTCAACATAATGGCAGATCCAGTCAATTACACTATCGGCTGGATTTGCGCTATTAGCACTGAGTATGTCGCTGCACAGGCTTTCCTGGACAAAAGACATGGGCTTCCGGACCGCATATCTCCAGGAGACTGCAATAATTATACTCTTGGTACAATTGCAGGCCATAATGTTGTCATTGCCGTCCTACCGAATGGTGAATATGGAACCGCTTCTGCGGCGGTTGTCGCAACACATTTGCTTCGCAGTTTTCCGAACGTTCGAATAGGCCTGATGGTTGGTATTGGCGGCGGAGTCCCCAGTGCAAAGCACGACATTCGACTTGGGGACATTGTAGTCAGTTCTCCATTTCAAGGACAGGGCGGCGTGGTTCAGTATGATTTTGGGAAAGCCATTCAGGGGCAGAGCTTCCAACTTACCCGATTTCTGAACCAACCACCCATGATTCTGCAAACTGCGGTGAGTGGGTTGAGCTCGCTATATGAGATTGAAGGCCATAATCTTCATGAGGCTGTTTGCGACGTTCTTGAGCAAAAACCCAGGCTGCGTGGGAAGTATCAGCGACCAGACCTTAGCACAGATCGACTATATCATAGCAATATCGTCCATCCATCGAGTGATAATCAAGCTGCAGAATGTGTAGTGGCCTGTGGAGACAAGCCGCCTATGTTGGTTTCAAGGAAAAGCCGGGCAGATGATGAGGACAGTCCAATGATCCACTATGGCCTGATAGCCTCATCTAACCAGCTGATGAAGAATGCATTGACCAGGGATAAGCTTGCAGCAGAAAAAGACGTGCTGTGCTTTGAAATGGAAGCGGCTGGATTGATGAACCATTTTCCCTGCTTGGTCGTTCGAGGCATTTGTGATTACTCTGACTCTCATAAGAATAAAGAATGGCAAGGATATGCTGCAATGGTCGCTGCAGCTTATGCTAAAGATCTTCTGCGACAGATAGTTCCGAGTCAAGTGGAGGCAGAGAGAAAGATAATTGATATCATGGCTAGTGAGTTTTCTACGGTTTAACTAGATGTCAAACACTGACCTACTATTCCACTAGGTATCCAGGGAAGCATTGAAACGGTTGCAACGAAAATCGACAGGATTGTGGACATTCAACATGATCAAAATCAGCAAGCAATCCTTGACTGGCTGCATCCAAATGACTATTCTTCTCAACAAAACGACTTCATTGCGAGTCGTCAGGAAGGAAGCGGAGAATGGATTTTGAATTCGGGTCAGTTTCGACTGTGGATAAATCAAGAAACGGCGATATTATTCTGCCCTGGAATACCAGGTGCAGGCAAGACTATAGCCACATCCATAGTGATTGATCATCTCCAGGAAAAGTTTCGAACTCGTCGAGATATAGGTATCGCCTTCGTATACTTCAACTTCCACCAGCATATTCAACAGGGTATGATCGGCCTATTCTCGTGCCTTTTGAGACAATTGTCCTTTCAGACCGGAGGCATGGATGAAGTAACGAAACTTTACAATTACCACAAGCCTAGACAAAGTCGTCCTTCGTTTCAAGAGGTATTTGATTCGCTAAAGAGAGTCACGATGAGCTTCTCGAGCACGTTTGTCCTTATCGATGCATTGGACGAGTGTAGATTACCTGACGGAGTGCTCAAATTGCTTGCCAAATTATTTGAGCTGCAAGCTATATCTGGGCTCAGTCTTTTTGCAACATCACGATTCATTCCAGATATAAAAGCAGAGTTCGAGGGGAAAAACGCTTCCTCCATGGAGATAAAAGCCTCTGAAGATGATATGCTAAGCTATTTAAACACAAGTCTCTCGAAACTACCCTCATTTGTCATTAAAGATCATCAACTTCAAGAAAAAGTCAAGTCTGCTGTCTTAAAAGCGGCCGACGGGATGTGAGTATCTCTGAATCTCGCCGATTTCCTTGTCATGAACTTTCCTAATATTTTATTAGGTTTCTACTCGCAAAACTTCACTTTTACTCACTAGAAGACAAAATAAATCCACGACAGCTTGCAATTGCGCTAGATTCACTTCCAAGAGGATCCGATGCGTATAATCAGGTCTATGAAGATGCCATGGAGCGAATACAGAGCCAAAGTCAAGGCCTTCGTGATCTGTCATTTCGCGTGATTGCTTGGATTGTTTACGCCCAAAGACCGCTAACAAAATTAGAGATGCAGCATGCCTTGGCTACTACGAATGATGCTTCATTATTAGATCTTGACAATATTACTGAAATTGTGCTTCTTGTCTCGGTGTGTGCGGGCCTCGTGACTGTTGATGTGAAAAGCAACATTGTCCGATTGGTTCACCACACAGCGATGGAGTATTTTGATCGAACAAGGACTAAATGGTTTCCGTATGCCCAGGACGAGATTACCCAGACATGTGTGACATATCTCTCGTTTCAAGAGTTTGAAACCGGACCAAGTTCCACACCAAATGAGTACAGAGCTCGAATACAGACAAATGCTCTGTATGAATATGCAGCGACATATTGGGGCTATCACGCTCGAAGTTCCTCCATTGAAGATGGTAATTCAATACTCGACTTTCTTGGAAGCATAAGCAAAGTCTCAGCGAGCGCCCAGGCCATGATCTACCATGAACTCGGTTACTACGATGACATTCAGATGCACGGTACACACCTTGCAGCATACTTTGGACTTGCAGATTCTGTGTTAGCTTTGATTAAAAGGCAGCATGATGTCAACCCCAAGGATAAATCTTTTGGTCGGGCACCGCTCTCATATGCTGTAGAAAAAGGACACGAGGCAGCAGTTAAAATACTTCTATCTCACAATGCCGATGTTCAGGCCAGAGACAAATCCGGGCGTACATCGCTTATTTGGGCCTCCGAAAAGGGGTTCGAGGCAATAGCGCAACTGCTGATAGACAAAAATGCAGATGTCAGATCCAGAGATAGGGATTTTGGCCGTACCTCGCTTTCATGGGCAGCAAGAAATGGCCATGAATTAGTGGTGAGACTGCTGCTCAACAAGAGCCCTGAGAGAGTCAATTCAAAGGACAAATCCGGCAATACTGCACTTACTTGGGCATCGAGGTATGGTCACTCGGCAGTGGTCAAGCTGTTGCTCGACAAAGGAGCGGCTATCGAGGCTACAGATGAGTTTAACCGGACACCGCTTTCGTGGGCTGTGATCAATGGTCATCTGTCAGTCGTAGAATTGCTTCTTATCAGAAATGCACATGTTGATTGTGTTGATATGTTGAAACGAACGCCACTGTTGTGGGCTGTGGAGAAGAAACATAACGAGATGGTAGAGCTATTACTGCAGAAGAACGCTGGCCCTCATGATCAGGCTAGCACTGGCCAAACTCTCTTATGGGCTGTCAAGGATCACGACATTGCGTTGGTGGAACTTCTTTTAAAAAAAGCAGCTCCGATTGACGTCCAGGATATGTATGGCAGGACACCTCTCTCGTGGGCGGCAAGAGATGGATCTGAGGGTTTGGTGAAGCTGCTACTCGCCAATAATGCTCAAATAAATCTCCGTGATAAATTCGATAAAACTCCTATTTTCTGGGCGGTAGAAAGGGGACATGAGACTATCACAAAGCTGCTGATCGACAATAACGCTGATATTGAACTTGCTGATAAAACTGGCCGAACACCTCTCCTATGGGCTACGATCATTGGACGCGAGAATATCGTAAAGTTGCTACTGGACAACAGTGCTTCCATACATAGTTCTGATTTCAGTTTCCGTACGCCTATCTCGTGGGCCGCAGGGATCGGGTATGAAAACATTGTGAAGCTGCTACTTAACAAACGCGCTTTTTTTGATTCTCTCGAAGCAGGTCGTCAAACACCGCTTTCTTTCGCTGCAACAAGAGGACATGTCGGTGTTGTACAGCTGCTGCTTGACAGTGGAGCTGATATCGATCATGCTGACACTGCTAGCTCAACACCTCTCTCAAAAGCTGCAAGTCAGGGCCATGAGGCTGTCGTAGGGCTGTTACTACGACATGGGGCTTCTGCGAATTGTACTGACTACAGAGATCAAACCCCTCTCTCTCTGGCTGCAGAAAATGGCCATATGTCCACAGTGAGGGCGCTGCTTGCCAATAACGCCAATCCCCGTTATCAAGATATGTTTGGTCGAACTCCAAGTACAATAGCGGCAGATATGGGTCATGAGTCAGTGGCTATTTTACTGTATGAGGAAGAATGCAAACGCCAGTCTATTGATGACGGCTCCGACAGTGCCGTCCCATTGAGTCCATGTGTTAATTGTCTGAGAAACTATACGAAGGTGTGATGCTCAACCTCTGCAGGCTTAGCTCAGTGTAACAAACTTGACAACTTTCTTATCTAACTCGTCTCTATCAGTGTGGCCGCGAGAAACCCAAATGCTCCCAATGTGAGGACACGAAAACCGATTGCATCTACAGCTCCACCCAGCCACAGCCACCTAGCCAAATTCGCAAACTCTCGGTGCGGCAGATTGAGGAGAGGAATCTTTTAAGGTCTGTTTCCGTCCAAAATGTTGCATAGCTTTATAGGAGAGATCGAATTCTGATTCTAGAGGCTAGGGCGCAACTTTCTGAAATGCTACTATCTTCTCGTCGACGCTCACCGCCCGCTTCTTATACTCATCTGGCCCTCAGCACGTGAGGTCGCGCCTTACCAGCCTAGGAGTAGTAGCGCTATCTCGGATTAACCTTGATCCTTGTTTTATCCTCAGGCAGCTGTTTCAGGTGTGGCTGTGATGGACGAGATGGCATCATAGATATTTAAATATAGATAGTAACACAGCAGCAATAACTGATCCAGCTGGAGGGATAGACGGCGGCATGGTGGTGGCGGTTCAGTACACCTCCATGAGCCGGCAGTGGTGGCATTAGTCGGGTTTGCCAGCTTGAATTGCATGACTCTGATGATTGCATGCAATTCGAGGCTCGAAACGGTTTCTACGGGGACGCGACCAGGGTTGCTGCCACTGTAATTACTTAGCCCAGACCATCGAAAAATGCATGACATTGTCTTGATCTACAGCATCAACATCCATTTCAAATCATTCTCTGTGTTTATAGACAGTGGCCTGCAATCTAGATCACATAAATCGCGATCTCGTCGGGCGGTTACTGAACTGGTTGACATCCAGACCTCCGCCCGCATAAAATAATTTATCTGGCCCCTGCTTCATCCTCGCCAACAACACTCTCCCCTTGTATCCTTATAATACATTGTTACCTTTTCTGGTGATATCCACTGCATTTTTACTTTTTCCGTCGGTTTCACCCTGCCCGTTGTCTCTCTCGCATTTTGGTTTCTCCGCTGGCCGGGTTGGATTCTGGGTCAGAACCACTTATAGCATCCTCCCTTGCCATCTGTTCCCCGTCGCGCTCAACGAACGACCTCATTCATACCGACGTCAATATCCCCACGACGAGAGCAATCGCTCTCCCCGACCGCCAAAATGTCAACGACGCCCAAAAAGCCCGCTGGCACAAATGGGACAACAGCACCCAGCAAGAATACGACTACCCCAGACCGAACAGCGGCCGACAACCGAACTGCAACGACCAAGTCTTCTAATGGCCTCCAACGAACCCCCTCCGGTCGCGCTTCACCAGTATCTGCCCGTGCCGCAGCACGCAAGCCGGGCAGATCGAATTTAAGTGTTTCCAGCGTTCCCAAAATCGCCAGCTCTGACGCTTCCTCCTTTGACGATGAAGCGCGGGCCCAGAATGCGGCGCTGATCGACGAGTTGAAGGAGCAATTACAGAAAGCAGAGACGGCTTCAGAACAGTACCAGAAACAATTGGGTGTTTTGCAGTCACGGTTGGACGATGCTATTACCGAGCAGCAGAAGTTGGAGGATCAGGTACATGAAAGGGATAGTAATATTGAAGCCTTGAATGTGCAAATCCGGGATCATGCTCGTCAGTTACGTGATATGGAACAGGCGCATGAGCAGGAACGCAATGCGATGCTGCAGGATAAAGAACAACAGGCGAGCAGGGAAGAGGAATTGCAGTCAACTATTCAGCGTCTGAAGGAGTCAATTGCTCAAAAGGACATTCGGGTTAATACCGACAATGACAAAAGCAATATTTCCAGATCTTGTATGACAACATCAACTCCCACATCGATGTGTCACAGAGCCGTTACACTAACATTTTCACAGCGAGTTTCCGAAATCGGTCTTCCCCGGACATCGACAGTGGACAATTCGCTCCATCGGCCCAGATCGAACGCAGCCCGTCACGAAACAATGCCAAGCTTCTACTGCAAAAGGACAAGTTGATCGAGTCACTGCGTTTGGAGCTTGCGGAATCCCAGATCAAACTCGTTGAAATGGAAAACAAAGGTGGCGGCCTGCAGCAAGAACTAGAGCGTGAGCTCCTAGAGGCAAGAATGGCCAACGCGCGCCTGATGGAAGACAACGAAAGCTACCAACTTCTCTTGAGTGAAAAGACACTTAATGGAGATTTCACTAAGGGGGACTTCTTGCATGATACCCCTTCAGGCATACCTCAGAGCATGAGCGGCTCTTTGGCTGATGAACTCGACAATGTTGGCGAAGGTAACAATGCCGAAGTTCGCAAGTTAGAAGCCGAAGTCAAGGCCGCCAAAGATCAAAACAAGGCTTTGACTCTCTACATAGAGAGAATTATTGGACGGCTGCTGCAGCACGAAGGATTCGAGCATATTTTGGACAAGAATGATGACCCGCTGCCCAGTGAAACTGCCGCAACTGCTGCAAAGACCGACAAGGAACTGCCTCCTCCACCACCAGAGAAAGACGAGCCGTCCCTACTGCAACGCGCGAAATCTGTCATCATGACCGGCCAGAACCGTCCACAGCCGAGATCTCGACCGGTGAGCGTGATGCCGCCCCCGACATCAGTCCCGTCTGCGCACGAGAACCCTGAAACAGCGCCCAGTATCCCTCTGGGACGCTCTCAATCAGTGCGTACAGGCCATCGTCGGTCTCGCTCCGATCAGATAGGCGACCCTGCAATGGCTGCTGCTGTTGTTGGTCAGATGTACCGTGGTCCTTCAGGAAGCCGAAGCCCATCCGGGGTTCCCTTGAGTCCAACAACCATGGGTCCGGGATCTCGACAAAGCGGATTTTTCGGAACATACATGGCCAACAGCAACGCGCGAGCTCCATCTCAAGGTAGTCAACCTGATCGCAAGAGACTCAGCAGCTCCGACAGTCTTTCTAGCGATGCCAATGCAGAGGTGAGCTCGCTGGGAGCTACGTCTACACCCCCTAGCCGGTCTAGTAGCAGCATGAACAACTACACTGGTGCAGTCATGACTCAGAATAGACTGCGTCCACTCCGACTCGTCCGCGAAAATCAAGAACCTTCCGAGGAAGAGGAGGCAGCAAACAAGCGAGCCAACAGAGCTAGCTGGATGGGATGGTTCAATCGACCAACCTCCAATCCTGTACAGGAAGAAACTCCTAAGCAGTGATGATATTCGACTCGTCAAAGTCCGACTTATTATAATTAATTTACGTTTTTATGTATTGATCTCCCCGATTTACTGTATCGTTGATATTGGACTTTCATCTTTCATATCATGATCATTTCTGTTCAATACCCACAAGTGTGATGAGACCCATGTTTATTATCAAATACTATATTTGCTATTTACTTTACTATATAACAATAATAGTACGCTTTCATGAAACGAGTTTTTAGAGGCATTGGGTGTTGCATACCGATCTGTACAGTGTCTATCTGCCTGGGCCTGTACAAGTGGCGCTTGCTGTTCTGAATGACTTTTGCAGACGTAGCATTTTCTAGGATCATTATTTCTATTGTCAATATAAATATGGATTTTATCAGAGATGTGGTGTTGCGTTACAGTGCAGTCTATAGCATGGACCAATCATCGGTGCTCCATCAAAGAGCGGAAGCGGCCACGATGCGGCAACTCCAAAACATATCAACTCCGCAATTAACACATTCAACTACTTTCACCATATCACCACACGACACCAATTGGAGAGACAGACAGTATAACAAACAGACAAAATGCCAGGCTCCCTCTCCCTCTTCACCGTCAACGCGGTCCTCATCATGTCTACGGACGATAGCTCCCGCATCTTCGCCAAATACTACTCCCCCCCTCMCCCTCCAGCCGGCGTCTCAGCAACCTCCACCGACTACCCCGGCGCAAACCCTTACCCTACGGTCAAAGAGCAGAAGAGCTTTGAGAGTGGATTGCTGGACAAGACGAATAAGCAGACCAATGATGTGATTCTGTATGATAACCGGGTCGTGGTGTTCAAGGTTGAGAACGATGTGATGTTGTATGTTGTGGGCAGTGCGGATGAGAATGAGGTGTTGCTGTATAATGTCGTTGTTGCGTTGAGGGATGCGTTGGGAATACTATTCAAGTCAGCCCCCTCTCCCCCCCTCTTACAATCTAGACTCTTTTCTGGAATTGGAAGGACGTTGCTAACGATATTCTCAGAGGAGCAACCGACAAACGCACAATCATCGAAAACTACGACCTCGTCTCCCTCGCCATAGACGAAATCATTGACGATGGAATCATTCTTGAAACAGATCCTGTCCTCATCGCTTCCCGAGTTAGTCGCGCGCCCACAGCAGATACGCCCAACATGAAGAACATCGACTTGTCAGAACAAGGCCTGCTCAACGCATGGGAGTTTGGTCGACGCAAATTGGCCGAGCAATTGCGGCAGGGTCTTTAGATTTGTTCTTGCCTACCTATTTTTCTATGTTGTCTTTGGCCGTTAATGATTGAAGGGTTCGGCTTCTGATAGAAGTGGGTTTTCTATCTGCTTATATATCTTCTTTTTTTTGGGAATGAAAATGGGATTGGCGTGTTCATCTTTTACTTTATGTTGTCTAAGGCATTATACATATTATCTGCTCGTGTTCGTTGCATTTCATTATTTCTGGCTACTTCTGGCCATGATTGTTTCTCTTCATCTAAAGCCATGTCTCATGTTTCCTGAAACTCTTTCTCTTGAAGCATAGCCCTGGGCCCTGGGAATTCGAAATGCAGCATTGATACTCTTTCATTCTGCTCTGGGAGCTCATTCATGACCAAAGAGTTTGTTGTACACCTAAACGGTACCTAGGAAGCAAGCCTATAAAAATGATAGGAGCGCGGCTGCCCCGCATACGTCACATTAAATGTGCGCCGGTTCGGGGATGACTCTTCATCCCAAAAAAAACTACCACTTCATTCTTTTGGACCTTCTCCTTTGTTTTGAGAAAAGTTCTAGCTGCTCTCTTTGATATATCTCTCGCTACCAAAGACATATATCTTCTCCTATATCCCTGGAGCCCAGAAGTCTCTCGGATTTCTAATCACCCGATCAGAATTCAACGGCGCATCCTCCTTCACATCCGCAGCAATGAAGCAGAGATTCTCGTCAATAGACGTCAAGATAATATGTCAAGAGCTCAGCACTTCGATCATAGGCCTACGAGTCTCGAATATATATGACCTCTCATCGGTAAGCCATCGTTCGCATTTCTTCTCCCTACAGCTCTCTGACCGACTTGTTTCATACAGCGCATCTTCCTCTTCAAACTCGCCAAACCAGACCATCGCAAACAACTCATCATCGACTCCGGTTTCCGCTGCCATCTAACCGAATACTCGCGAACGACCGCAAGCACACCCTCCGGCTTTGTGAGCCGGCTACGCAAATGTCTCAAGACGAGACGCGTCACTGCTGTGAAACAGCTGGGTACCGACAGAGTGATTGACATTGTTTTCAGTGATGGACTGTTCCATATCTATCTCGAATTCTTTGCGGGTGGAAATATTATTCTGACGGATGCGGAGAATAAGATTCTGGCGCTGTTTCGTACCGTTGCGGCCGCGGGCGAACAAGATGAGGTCAAGATTGGGTTGACGTATGCCGTTGAAAAGGCTCAGTATTACCATGGAATACCGCCATTGTCAGAAGAGAGGTTGAGAACGACGATTCAGAAAGTGGCGGACGCGAATCAACAAACAGCAGGAAATGCGCAGAAGAAGTCCAAGAAAAAAGTTGATGTCTTTCGAAAGGCCGTTTCGAGTGGATTCCCAGAATTCCCACCTCTCCTTTTGGAAGATGCTTTTGCTGCTACGGGGTTCGACTCGAGTGTCACGTTGAAAGAAGTCCTAGAAAATGAAAGCACTTTTCAAAAGGCCATGGAGGTTCTCCGAGAAGCCGAAAGAATCATCGCCGGGTTGACTGATGGGGAAAAGAAGGGCTATATTGTGGCGAAAGAACGAGCCAAAAAGGAAGATCAACCGGATGACTCTGCGTCAAAGGAGAATTTACTGTTTGATGATTTCCATCCGTTCCGGCCGAGGCAGTTTGAGGGGAAACCTGGTTACCACATCCTCGAATATGATAGTTTTAATAAAACGGTCGACGAATACTTCTCCTCGATCGAATCACAGAAACTCGAATCTCGATTGGCCGAACACGAAGAAACTGCAAAAAGGAAGCTCGAAGCAGCTAGGGCTGATCACCAGAACCGAGCTGGCGCATTGAAACAGGCTCAGGAATTGCATATTCGCAAAGCAGAAGCCATCCAGGCCAACATATACCGTGTGCAGGAAGCTACAGATGCAGTCAATGGACTTATTGCGCAGGGAATGGATTGGGTAGAAATCGCTAGGTTGATAGAAATGGAGCAGCAACGGAACAATCCGGTTGCTCAGACTATCAAACTGCCTTTGAAGCTTCATGAGAATACCATCACACTACTATTGAGTGAAGAGAACGCAGAGGTAGATGAAGAGCAAGAAGAATTTTCAGAGTCGGAGCCAGAAGTATCGGACGACAGCGGCTCCGAGGAAGAAATCGAAAAAGACGATAAACCGGCACGAAAGGMTGCCGCGCCTCTGACTATTGATGTTGACCTGAGCTTATCGCCATGGTCGAATGCAACTCAGTATTACGAACAGAAGAAAACTGCCGCTGTAAAAGAGCAAAAGACAATCCAGTCCTCCGAAAAAGCACTTAAAAGTCAGGAGAAGAAAGTGACAGAAGACCTGAAGAAGCACCTTAAACAGGAAAAGCAGGTGCTGCGACCGTCAAGGAAACCATTCTGGTTTGAGAAATACCTTTATTTCATATCATCTGAAGGCTACCTCGTTCTCGGTGGCCGTGACTCACATCAAACAGAGATGCTGTATCAACGGTATCTGAAAAAGGGCGATATATTTGTGCACGCCGATCTTGATGGAGCTACGCCTATGATCGTGAAGAATAAAGAAGGCACACCTGATGCCCCTATCCCACCTGGCACGTTGACTCAAGCTGGTAGTATCTCGGTTGCTACGTCAAAGGCCTGGGAGACAAAGGCTCTGATGCCCTCGTGGTGGGTGCAAGCGCATCAGGTATCGCGGACAAATGAGAGGGGGGAGCTTTTGGCTAATGGAGCTTTTATGGTCAAGGGTGAAAAGAATTACTTGGCCCCTGGTCAACCGATATTGGGATTTGCTGTTTTGTTTCAAATCAGCAAAGAGAGTGTGCAGAATCATCGGAAACATCGTATAGAAGAACCGGCAGAAGCAGAGCCAACGGGAACATTCGTGGCAAAGGAGGAAGAAAACCCAAATTTGCAGGATCCCGCTGAGGACGTTCAGGAAGCAGTCAAAGAGGAAGTTCCAGAGGTTCCTGAAGACACAATTGAACAGGCAGAGACGAACGCACAGGTTGAGGAAGAAGATTCGTCCTCCGAAAGCGAGAAAGAAGCAGAAGATGAGAAGCCGAAATCAAATCCACTTCAGTCCTTTACCGAAAGCGGAGATAAATCAGAAGTAGAAGACGAGGCAGATGCAAATGATGAAGATGATATCGACGACGAGATCGATGAAACATCTACCATTCATCAAGAACAAATCTCTAAACAAAAACCAAACGCGCCAACGTCCAAGCAGCAGCCACCACCACCAACAAAACAAAAAATCACCCGCGGCAAAAAAGCCAAAGCCAAAAAAGCCGCCCAAAAATACGCCCACCAAGACGAAGAAGATCGCGAACTTGCCCTCCGACTCCTCGGCGTGAACCCCAAAGCCGCAAAAGCAGCCGAATCAGCAGCCGAAGCCAAAGCGAAACGTGAAGCCGAGCTCGAAGCACAAAAAGCACGTCGTCGCGCACAACACGAACGAGCATCTGAAGCAGAGCGGAAACGACAAGAACAATTCCTCCAGAAACGGCGTGAAGGAGGAGAAGCAGGAGCTACAGGTGAAGACGAAGAAGCCTACAACGACGAAACCGCCCAACAGGAAGCGGAAGATCTATCCTGGCTTCCGGCTCTGGTCGGCACACCCCTGCCAGAAGACGAGGTCCTCGCTGCTATCCCCGTAGCCGCACCCTGGCCGGTCGTAGCCCGGTTCAAATACCGCGCCAAACTGCAAGCAGGGAATATCAAAAAGGGTAAAGCTATCAAAGAGATATTGGGTCATTGGATCATTGAAGCCGGAGGTGCTCCCGGCGCTGGAGCCACTGGTGCCAGTGGTGGCGCAGGCAACAAGATCGCGAAGAAGATTATTKCGGATGATGTTGCGGAAGGATTGGATCGGGCTACGGCAGAAAGGATGCGTGCCCGTGAAGCGGATTTGTTGAAGGGGTGGCGGGATGTGGAGGTTATGAATACTTTGCCTGTTGGGAAAGTGAGGATTGTTTCTAGTGGTGTAGTTGGCGGTATTGGTGGTGGTGGAAGTGGGAAAGGGGATAAGGGAGGTGGAAAGGGAAAAGGTGGTGGAGGTGTACAGAAAGGAGGCAAAGGAGGGAAGAAGAAGTGATTTGTCGTTGTACTTATTCTCGAAGTATATAGAGTAGAGCAAAAAACTCGCCTGAGAAAGGATAGCATGGATAAGACTCTGCTGGATAGCGAACAACATCATGTCTTACAAAACGACAACAGCACAAAAAAATCAAAGCATCCGCTCTAATAACTCCACACGCTGTAATCGCTAGAAGCAAAGCCCTCGAAACGCCAATAACCACGTCCCAAATTTTTCCAAGCAAATAAAACAATGTAACATGTACAACCATCATCATAAATCATGTTGGCATCAAATCAATCGCTGGCCCAGAGGGTTTGGTACTCGTCTTGCGCTTGTTAGTAGCATTAGTTGATGTTGACCGACGATAGTTGTTATAACCGCCGGAAGATGATGATCCACGACCTCGATTGTTGTAGCCTTTGCTGCTTCCCTTGCCAGGGTGACGATAAGCTTCTGGATCCCACGGTGCCTTTCTTCGTTTCGATGATGATCCGCTGCTGGTACGCTGTGCACCGCCGCGGGCTCGACTGCGTGGTGCAGAAGGCGCTCTGCTCGTTGCCTTCCTACCGCTCGTAGATGGCCCATCTAGATCAGTGACTCAGAGAAAGTTAATCTCACATACAAAAGGTGTTAGTGTTAGGTACAGGAACGAAATGGACATACATTGAGTGGATGGCACCCTGTTTTGACTGGCAGATGTGTCAAAGTACTGGCTGGKGTCGTTCGTATCCATTTGCGAAAGGGAGAACATGAAGTCTTCGTCATCGCCGTATTCATCATCACTGTCAAGATTGATGACGTTTGTATGGTTAGGATCATGGATGACCTCGTTGTTGGACCTGATATCCGAAAGCAGCTTCTTCGAGTTTCGAATCAGCTTCAAGAATCTAGAACCGTATATCCTGACTTTATCTTGATTGATATTGGGAATCTCATTCATTCTGTTGGTATCTATTCAATATTGGTATCAGTATATCAGACGCTGAAAATTTTGACGTCGATGTATTACCTTCAGGAAGATGTATTGCCATCTCACGCAGCATGGCATCGGAAAAGGGTTGATTGCGAAGGTTCTTTTCCATCATGATCTACAAGTAAAATGTCAGTCATCATGAACAGCATCTTGACTACATCAGACTCACTTGTTGACAGAACTGCTTGGCATTTGTAACAAAGTCTTCAACCACCATTTGCTGATTATCATCCAATTCAGCCATCCGCCCATCCTCTACGATAGGAGGTCCCACGTCCGCTTTCTTGTGTCGGCTTGATTTACCTGCGTCTCGGACCGGTTCGAAGCCGTCGCTATCTTCATCATCAACTGCTTGGGGAACTCCCCGCTTGCTTTTCGGTTTCGGTGCGGCTTTCCGACGTGAACCTTGTACAGGGGAAGGTACATTGGTGGACTGGGGATGATAGTCTGACGCTCCAGACACACCAGTAGACGTATTGCTGCGAGAGGCGCCACTTGACCTCTTGGCTGACTTTGACGAAGCGCGTATTTGCATTGTAAAAGGAGATCTTGATGAGAGAAACTGAGAGGCCTTCGGACCCGGTTTGACGTACCGATGGGTGAATCTGCTTGTCGTTTTGGACCACTCCTCGAGGATATCTTCGCCCACTAACTTGAAAAACAATCGTTCAACGTCTCCGAGTTCCATATCAGTACCAGCACCGTATTGCGGCACTTGAGCATGATCGCCCTTCATCTTTTTGTTTTTTCCAGCGAAGATGTCAATGCAATGCAATAGTGTTACATCCTCCCCTCTCTGATGAAACAATTTGACAAGTTGAACAGCCTTCTTCGCATGTGCTGCATAATCGATCGTCTGGAAGACTTCATCCGTCTTGCAATTGTCACAAGTGCGATGACAGTTACAGACATCGAAAGATTCATTGAAGTAAGCAAGAATCTGAACTCTTCTGCAGTCGCTCTGATTCTCGCAGAATTGTACAACGTGTCGAAGCATTTGCCGCTGACGATTTTTCTGTTGCCAGTCACCGTCAGACGTTTCAATGAAGCGTTTTTGCGCAGCGGTATCCCTATAGCTGTAAAACAGATAGCAACCAGAACGCTTTCCGTCGCGTCCAGCACGGCCGGTTTCTTGATAGTAACCCTCTAGACTCTTGGGTATAGTATGATGTATAACAAATCGGACATCTGGCTTGTCAATTCCCATACCAAAAGCAATGGTCGCGACAATCACATCATATCTACCGGCTTGCCAGTCACGTTGGACTGACGTCCGTTCTTCGGAAGGCATTCCCGCATGGTAATGCGTCGCTTTGATACCATACCCCGATGAAAGCTCCTGGGCGACCTTTTCGCAATCTTTTCGAGATAGACAGTAAACAATGCCAGCTTTTCTTCGATAAGAAGTTTCGATGATATCTGCTATCTGTGAAATAATGTCTGGCGCGGAACCTTTCTTAGGTAGGACGTCATATGTGAGATTGGGCCTGTTGAAGCTCTGACTCAAGACTTCACACTCCTTCATTCTTAAGTTGTTTATCACATCGATTTTCACGTTTTCAGTCGCTGTCGCGGTCAATGCCATGACAGGGAGCCCGGGAAATTTCGAGCGAAAAGCTCCAAGCTCTTTATAGTCTGGACGAAAATCATGTCCCCATTGACTGACACAATGAGCCTCGTCTATGACCAGACGAGCGAATTTTCTATTGTTATGAAGTGTTTGGAGGATATCACACAGGGCCACATTCTTGTTGATCATTTCAGGTGTGACATAGAGCAATTCGAGCTCCCGGTCTGCGTAGGGACTTGAAAGAGTGGACATCACCCATCTCTTGTGCTCGGTGCTTACATCTCCGTTGATGAAGTATGCTTTGATTCCCAATTTTTGAAGGTGGTCAACTTGATCTTCCATCAAACTGAGTAGAGGCGACACGACGATGGTAACTCCTTTGGTTTGGCCGCTGTGTATCACAGATGGCAACTGATAACACAGCGACTTACCACCTCCTGTGGGCATTAACACGAATGCATCTTTTCCGCCAAGCGTAGCGTTAATTGCCTCTAACTGATGAGGTCGGAAGCCTTTAAGGTGGAAACGATCTCTCAGTACTGTTTTTACGTCTTTCGACCAAGGATGTGATAGCATAGAGTTGGAATCTGCAGCCGTGGGTTTCTGAGTCAATTGCGACGGCGGTTGACGACTGACATTTCCGGAAGTTTCACCAAAGATCCTGCGATTATCAGAATAGGTTGCTGGAGGGTCGTAATGTGCGGTCGACATGACATTGTCTGCTTCTATGAGGTCTTCCTCATCAAAGTCGAAATCATCCGAGGTAATGAAGGCCCCGGCAGGATTCGAGGGCGTTCTGGTAGGATAGGGATTGCTTTCCTCAAAAGCCGACACATCCCTGCGGTAAGTTGTACTCAAACTTGTAGCACCACCTTCCGAGGGTAATATTGGTGGAGTATCGGTCTGATATCTCTGGGGAACGGGTTGCGCAAGAGGCCGTACAAGTGTCTGTGGCGTGGCAGGTAGTACTGCTTTTCCTGGGTTCGCGAGTTGAGGAGGTGGAAGAAAAGCAGAAAGATCCATATCGATCACTGACAATAGGTCGCCCAACTGAGCTTCGATCGTTTGAAGCTCCTTGGCAATATCTTGGCTCTCTTTGATCTCTGCTGCCAGACCAGTCAAATCACCGCCGTCGGCAACTGCTTTCACCATAATGTCTTTGAGTTGTTGCTTCCTTAATTTCTTTTCATCATATACAACTCTTTTCGTTCTCAAAATTTCCAACGCTTCGACTTTTGTTCGAGCAGCCTTCCCTTCAGCCACAAGTTCCGGGGGTGGGAGTTCCCCTTCAATGGCGTGCTGCACCACAATGTTTGCGTTGGCGACCAAGTCCTTATTCAATTTCTCGATTGCTGCGTCCACAACTCCTGGATGAAGGGACATAAATTGCTCCACGTCGGGGTTCTGAGTACGTTGTGATAATGGTGTAGAAGTCACAGTCTCGACAAGAGCTTGTCTCTTTCTGGGCGAAGTCTTTTTAGGTGAAACCGACTTCGGCTGAGCCGGAGTTAGACGTTCTTCTGGTGTGGTCCCGACATTTGAGTATCTCCTCAGATCGCAGTCCCTCGAGTTTAACCTTTCTCCAATCGCACGAGTCTTCTGTTTAGCTGGATGCTCAAAAGCATCTTCCTCGGAGTCCCAGGAAAACAGGCGATCAACATCCTCATCTTGGGTATTTCTTTTGTTCCTCGGTTTATTGCTTGTATTGACGGTAGTTGGTTTCTTCGAAACGGCTGAACGAACTGGTGATTGACGAGCCAATTCTTGTGACGACGAGATATCATAACTAGGCGGATCTGATGAAATTTTTGGCGTGATATCGTCAGCCAGCACATCGTCATCATCAGGCGTACGTGATGTGTTCCTGCGAGGAGGATTTCTATTGGGCGACCTTAGATCCGACTGATACTCATCACTCTTTCTCTTTTTGCCTTGTCGAGCTATGGGTTCCGGCCGCATAGCATAATCTTCTCGCCATAATGTTTGCGAATCACCGAATACGTCAACTGTACCGGAGGAAGTAGATGGTTCAAGATCACCGGTAAGATCAATAGACTCGATGTCACCGAACTGGGACTTGTAATCCGAGGAAAGGATAGGCCCCAGTTTCGTCGATGGCCCGTTTAGTTTCCTACGAGTCGGGCTCGATACTATGGTAGCTTTTAATCCAAATTAGCAAAAAGGCCGTATTCATCCAGTTAAAATAGAGGTACCTGGAGCAGAACGAAATGTAGCATCTCCGGTTCTTGAATTTTCCAACGCATAATCCTTACGGGCGTCAGATCCCGGCGTTGCTGGTCTTGTATCGTCGCTTCTATTGCTTGCTGCAATGCTAAGCATGCGTGGCTTCGATGCCGACGAGGAAAGGAGGTTCAGTCGTGCCATATTCGCGTCCTGCAACAGAGAGTCTCCATCACCATCGACTTTCAATTCCACATTTTCGTATTTCTTCGAAATCGTCGATATCTTTTCGTTCACAGTCTTCGTCAATCCTCCCGTATTTACTGGCCGAGGTGCTGCTAATGGTGGTTGTGCTGATATGTGAACGTTCACGGTATCATCATCAGATCGCGTCAACAACACGTCCAAGGCGGCAAAGTCTGGTTGCCCGCGGTCGACAAGCCAACGAAGGTGCTGCTTGAGATTATTTTTGGTCATGGGCGCGACTCATCGTTTCAAATATTAGTGCAAATCTGCAGCCTTGTACGCCAGCTAAAATCGAAAGTGGTTCGTAAGAAGTTCTAATCGAGAGACTGTTAGAGGACGGTCAATGATCGTATGGGTGTGGGTCCGTCGTTCCTGCCATTGGAACACATTCGGCTTAACCCGTCGCGGTTAGTCGACCCGCGTGTTCACGTGAAGTCGCGCGATAAGAAACACCAAAGAGGAAAACAAATTAATTGAAGTCCCTACTTGCATGATGGAGCAAGGAAGGCTTGAATTGATATAGGGAGTGGCGAATTTTTTTGGTCGGTCTGTTTGGCTATTCGATAATGGGTGTTGATCAGGACAAAGTGGACAAGATCCGTGCCTTTGCCGACAGGGGACGGAATCTCGAGAAACAGTATGGAGACAGTCCCCTGAGTCTAGACGCGATTCAGCACTACAACCGGAGATTAGACGACACAATCCAGTCTTTACAAGATCATGTCAAGCGACAAGAAGACGCTCTCCGAAAGGCGAGTCACATGGCCTCTAACTATATTAAAGGATTCATTACTAATGTTGATATAGCTACGTGCGTCGAAGCAAGGACTGGAGATCTCTGGTCAAGGAACAGAGCCTGCAGAGAGACTGGCACAGGTTCGACGAGTCAAGAAGGCATATGACTCTCTATTGCAGGCAGAGCCAGATCTACCTTCACCAGACTCTCCATTACCGTGCCTAATCGCTTTGCGGGAAACATCTCGCGTAATCCAAGACAACAAAGCCTCAATCTCCAGTCTCCAAAAATCTTTGCCTTTAAGTCGACAACAGCTCAAGGACGAGCAAGACGATCTCGAAGATGCAAAACGCATTCACGAAGGTCTCAGAGCGCGCATCCAACGAATCAAAAGGGAACAGTCCGAAAACTCAACCAAGAGCCCCTCCGAACTGGCGGATGACTTCGTCAATGCAGAGCGCAAAAAAACTCGTGCATTGAAATCTTCATCTTCAAAGTTGAGAAAGGATCTGGAGCAGTTTATAGATGAGCATCTTGCGTCGCAATTGGCAGCGGAAGATCTCGGTGGTCCTGTAGTGGGTGATATTATGGAAGTGCCAGATTCTACTCTGGAAGCTGGGTACACAGCTCATGGGAAACCGAAGAAGCCGAAATCGTCCTCGGCACAGAATGATGATGACGATGATCCAAGACAGCAACGGATAGATAATCTCCTTCGACGGCAGCGAGGAGAAGACGATGATGGATCTAATGCTGCTCCGAGGAATAAAAGGGAAGCAGCGGCAGTAGCCATGCGTGAGCTAATAAACTCTCTATTAGAATCAGGAACATCTTATGTGGAACTGCCACGCGAATCTGCGGCTTCGCGGTTTCTGGTCCGAGTTAAAGTTGCGCAACTTCATCCGCGGGATGCACGAAGGATTCGTTTGATTGATTTTGGACGATCTTTTGAGGATTAGCTCTCAACTCCCTTTATCTTAGAAAGTATTTTCATTGAATGGCTCCGATATTGCTTGTGTAGCTAGATCAAATGGCTTTCTATCTTCTGACGAAATGACTTAAAATGTAGCCTATCTAATCAATCGTATCCTCCTTCAAGTAAAACAGTTGATGCATAACTTCGTCCCCTCTATCGCGCAACGCGCTGTGATACATGGTGTTCGTAATGACCTGCTTTGCGCCCTTGATTTTCTTGGCTGTCTCAGTCGCATAGCTATAGTCAACGTACATGTCATCTACGAAAGTAGCTGCATACACTGGGACCTCGTTTTTGGCCAGTTGCGCTTCATCGTAGAGCTTGGGCCAGTCATCTGTGGTTGCGAGAATGTCCGCGACTTCTTTGAGCTCGCTTAGTTCGTCGTACGAGTCGAACATGTCTTTGTATATCTATAAAAGCATAAGCATATTGTTTACTTTGTTTTCGCGATACAACTCACCATTTCTCCGGTGAAATAGATCTCGGGTTCGGTGCTGCCCTCGACTCGGAACTTGGGATTCTGCGCACGCAATCTATCCGCAGACCAGCGAGAAGCTTCTCTACAATAGAACGGTTGATGAGGAACTGACTTCTAGTCTTATAGGAGTGGAGACCATACCCCTGACAGTATATAGGCTCGTGCAAGACAGCGTATATGACAGCGTTATCGTACTCTCCATAGCTCTCAAGTAGTGAGAGTGTCGGCCTCGTCAGGAAACCGAAATGATCGAGTTCAAGAGTCATTCGCAGAACGATATCTGAGATTTCAGTAAGCAGAATAATTGCACAAGATTAGCGAAGTCCACACACCATGAATGCTATCCAGACCACCTGTTTTCATTAGCGATGACGAATCGAATATGAATTAGGAGAAGCTCGCACCATGAACCCCGAAGGTTATACCGATCTGCTGGAATCTCTCTGCTGTGAGCATACCAGCTCCCAAACGAGGCTTGTTCTGCTGCAGATATTGAATGATCCTTTTGACACGCTCTGCATCTTCGGGGAATTTTTGATAGTACGCTTCATTCCGTTCTATCACCTTTTCTAATGATGGGGTCAGTTCTGTGTTGCGATATTATATTCAATGGCCGCTCACGATATGTCTTTTCATATATCGGGTCAGGTCCGTTGATTAGCGGAGGCAATCCACCAGTCAAGAAGACTTCGCGCAAACCCTCGGGACTATATAAAATCAGTATAAAGTGATAGTCAGACCGCAACGTAATGAGCACTCACAACTGCGACAAATAGGTGGTCGCACAAAATCCACCAAAACTCTGCCCTAAAACGCTCCATTTCTGATACTCTTCCGAATAAGTAGCGGTCAAATATTTACGTATAGCCTCGCAATCGCGCACAATATTGTCTGCGCGGAAATTTTTTAGATATTCGGCCTGTTTGATTGCGCTACCTTGGCGGGCAAGAGTTTGCGAGGTGATTGTGGAGCTTAGGCCAGTTCCACGTTGGTCGAGGAGCAGAATCTGGAAGGTGTATCAACACGGTGACACCGAAAAGATGGAATTGACCCATAACTAATTGCTTTTTACGTACCTGATACCCCTTGTCGAGAACAAATGGGACAAATCCCACTTCCTGTGGTGGTCGACATCCAAAACCCGGGCCACCCTGCAAATACACAAACCACGGAAGAGGCTTCTCGTTCGCCTCGGTGTCGGGAAAGATTGCAGGGCGACGGACGCTCCGAGCGAAGAGGCGTATTCGCTCTTCGTTGGGTTTGCTGTAATTCAAGGGGACATCGAAAAACAGCTCAGCCACTCGAAGCTTGCCTGGAATATAGTAAGTCAGCAAACCTCCACGAGGCCTCCCAGATCATCGTGTTGTAACTAGTATCCACATGGCTTACATACCAGGGACAGTATGAAGCCGCCTGTCGATTAGCTTTGCTCCGGCGGGATTCATGAGGTCTATTGTGTTGCTTAAGATGGCGAGTATATAGGATATAGACGATATGATGTCAATGACCTTTGGAATTTAGTCAACTGTTCCAGTTTAGTGAGGATGTTTTGGAGATTGTTGGAGAAATGATGCGTTGATAAGGCTTGTTTGCGGTGTGGGGTAACCACAGAACGCAGGCACCCATTTTATGGGCGGGTCGGCGTGAGGAGCAACCCAACATCTTTTCTATCCTCCTGACCATCCCCGCGGCACTCTCGCCGGAGGACCTGGTTAGCAGGCATTATTAGTGGTTAGAAATGGAGATTGTTTCTGCTTGACCTGCTGGCTGGGTCCTGAGTATGACTCTACTCGCACCTATTTGCCAATTCGAGGTATAAATAGATGGGTCCAGTGGCAGGTTATACACAACTTTATTCTCGACTCCAACTGACTCCAAAAAACATGGAGAAAATGGGACAAAACGAGCAGCAGGAGACTGTTGCTCCTTCTGGTCATGAGGTACCTAGTTCGTAAGTATCTGGTCTTTTTCTTCGATATATTCTGTTTCGTCTCGTCTGACTTACTACGTCCCATTCATTTTAGTACCGATACCCCGCAGCCCGTCAATCCTATGATTGTGAATGGGAACAGTAATGAGATGCCTTTCAAAGAACTATATGATTTCAGCCAATCTCTATGGGACCTCGTCCTACAAACGCCGAGCCTTGCGGTTCTACCGGATCTAGATGCATTATCAAAAGCCCGGATGACTCTTCTCGACGATCTCCCTGATCGAGGATATGGCTTKGAAAGGACGAAAGACCACTTGATCCATGACATCGTACCGGCATTTAACGCAAGTAGCCTAAGTCCGAATTACTACGGCTTTGTTGTTGGCGGTGTCMCTCCAGCCGCTCTGTTAGCCGACAATGTCGTTTCGGTGTACGACCAAAATGTCCAAGTCCACATGGAGGAACATTCCGTTGCCACGGATGTCGAATTCAAAGCATTGGGTCTTGTAGTCGACCTGCTGAAACTCAATCGACAGACCTGGCACAATGGGACCTTCACTACTGGGGCGACTGGAAGTAATATATTAGGGTTGGCTTGCGGAAGGGAGTATGTTGTACGAAAAGCGGCAGAACGACGTGGCAGTCCGATCTACAGTGTGGGAGAACACGGGCTCTTCGAAGTCATGCAAGCTGCTGGCCTTACAGGGATTCAAGTTCTGTCTACAATGCCTCATTCTTCAGTTGGAAAAGCAGCAGGTATTCTCGGCATCGGACGTTCCAACATGAAGAACATTTGCACTTCTCCCAACAACCCTCTTGAAATTGACATGCAATTGTTAGAAAAGGAACTCTCAAGAACGGACAAAGCTAGTATTGTGTGCATATCCTGCGGAGAAGTCAACACAGGCCATTTCGCGACAAATGGCGGCAAGCAAATGCGCGAGTTACGGCGATTGTGTGACAAGTACGATGCATGGATTCACGTTGATGGTGCATTCGGCATATTCGGTCGTATTCTGGATGCATCAGAAGAGGACTACGCAGCCATCACACGGGGCAGTGAAGGCATGGAACTTGCAGACTCAATAACAGGAGATGCTCATAAATTTCTCAACGTCCCTTATGACTGCGGTATATTCTTATGTCGCTATTCGTCGAGCGCAATTTCACAGGATGTCTTCCGTAACGCAAATGCGGTATATCTCAACTCAGCGGCTAGCGGTGGTTCCCAGGTTCCATCACCGTTAAACATTGGTCTGGAAAACTCGCGACGCCTAAGAGCACTACCCGTTTATGCTTCGTTAATGGCATACGGAAAGAACGGCTTCAAGACTATCCTTGAGACACAAATCCGCCTTGCACGCATGATAGCAGGCTGGTTATACGATCATCCTGCATACACACCCTTGCCCCTTGCTGCAAGTGAAGATGACCTCTGCGCTCAAACATTCATGATTGTGCTGTTCCGCGCAAACGATGAGCAACTGAATCAGCAGTTGACCAAGAAGATCAATGCGACTTCGAAAATGTTTGTGTCGGGTACGTCCTGGGAAGGGAAACCGGCGTGTCGTATTGCAATTTCGAATTGGAGGGCTAATGTGTTGAGAGATTTTGCGCTTGTCACTGATGTGCTTGAGAAGGTTGCATCGAATGGTAAATAGATATCAATATATAAGATTAATGCTATAAATTCTCAAAAACCCCAAGGATGCATTTAACTTTTGTTCGCATACATGCAAGTCTTGTACATGAACTGGCAGACTAATCGCAAACTACCTGCGCCGTCCAGCTCCTCCAGTCGTCTCAGCTCTATCCGTCATACTAACAACCTCTCCAATACCAGCAGCCTCCTGCTCATCCTCGAGCGCCATAATTTCCTCCCGACTATCCCACCACTTCTCTTCCGCAAGATCAAACGCCTCTTTTCTCAGCTCTTTCACCGTTTTTTCTGCTGGATCTCCTCCTCTCTGCTTCAGTTTATCCAGCAAATAATTCTGCCACTCCGTACTTGTGCGCGCAAAGAAGTCTCGCAGAGTCTCGAATGGTCGTGGTTGTGGTCTGTCATCTTTGGTCTCGGGCTCGCCTTCTGTCTCTTCGACTTCGAGATTTTGCATTTCTCGTGTGACGGAGGGGACTGTAAGTTCGGTGGGTGCTTCGGAGGGTGTGTCGACTGACATGCCCTCTTCAGCTTCATTATCCTCTTCGTCGTCGTCCATGTCTTCATCTTCATCCTCATCCTCGTCGTCGCTTGCTTCGAGTTGCGTGTTCCAGTTTGCAGGTTCGTTGTAGAATATCTCCTTCACGCCATCGAGTTTCACCAGATCTATGGAATACATATCATTAAAGATAAATTCTTGATCACCCCGCTCGAATGTGCCACCAAACACAAATAGCGTGTCATCCTGCACAGTCAATTGAGCGTTAAACCGAGGATGCGGCATCTCAAACTTGACAACCGCCGGCTTAACAGACTCTACATCTTCCGCGTCGGCAGGAGTGTCGATATCCATATCATCCTCATCAGCATCCGCCGCACGAATCCCACGCTTTGCCTCCAAAGCTGCAAGATTACGCAACAGTTCTTCTTCATCTGCTTTGCTCCTATCCTTCGCTTTCGTGGGCTGTTGTTGCTGCTTCTTACCCTGCGCCTTTGGTCGACGTAAGGCAAGCGGGAAGAATCGATTTCGTTCCAGATTCCATGCAAACATGGTATCGAAGAATTCACTATCGATACCTTCTTCACTCATTTCCACATCGTGGACACCGCCAAACATGATTCCACGTCCCTTGTGGTGTGCCATTGTGACACCTGCGCGTGCTGGGTTGGGTGCGTTGGCGGGCTTTTTGCGTCGTTCCCAGCGAACTGTTGGTCCCGCGGAAGCAGGAGCATCTGCTGCGGGTGGCGTGATACGGAGAAACCAGGTATCTTGGTGAACCATAGGTTTGAGAGTGACTCGTTGCGGACCTCCACCTCCACCACTTTTGCCTTGTTTCCCGCCGCCGCCAGCACCGGTTGATGCTTTTACGCGGGAGTAGCCGCCGTATAAGACAGCGCCAGACTCGTGAGGCAAGAATGAGAATGAAGATCTAGCATCTGGCTTGCCGGATGCGGGAGGGAGGACTGGGTTGAACCATACGAACTTGGTACAGTCGTAGATCCAGAGGTCTTGGAGGTATTTTGTTTGCTGTGAGGTGTCTTGAAATCCACCAAACAGAATGATATAGTTCTAAATTCCAGTTAGTATATAGCTCATAATACGCTTCACTGGTAAAGAGTCGATTAACCTTGTAATATGTCATTCGATGCCCACTTCGAGCCGGCGGCCCCTTCCCCTTGGGCTCAAGACGACTCCATTCCCTCGTGGCCGGATCCAGATGCCAAAAGTCGTTGTAATGATAAAAAGTACCCTGCTTAGGAGACGAAAATTCACCACCAAACAGATACACACCACCGGCATTCCCACCTCGACACCACGCATGCCCACTCCTCGGCAACGGACTATTGGGGCTGGTGACCTCCCGCCACTCTCGGCGATCAATCAAATAAACATAGAGATTATTGAAAAACGTGGCGAGAGTGCCGTCAAAGTACTCACCGCCAAATACCAGTAATTCATTTCGGTTAGCTGGCGAGGCGACAATCGTCGATGATGAGCGAGGAGTTGGTGGAGAGGAGGGGATTTCTGTGACTTTGAGAAACTTCGCCTGCTCTTCTGCATAGGCTGCTAGCACGGCGTCCAGATCGACGTCTTCGGCATCACTGTCAACGTCTCGGCCTTTTGTCTTGTGCTTTTTCTCTTTCTTGTCGGCTTTTTTTAGTTGTTTTGCGGCGTTGCGTTCTTTTTTCTCTGCAGACTTCTTTTTATCCTTTTTAGCCATTTTATTGTCGCTCCTTGTATTAGGAGTCTATACAGGGCCTGGACGGGTATCAGGATTTGTGTTTTAGCCACTCAAACAAGGAACGTGAATCTTCTATGTTCTTTTTTCTGCTATAGTTATAGCAAATATTGAAGAGTCTACAATCCCCGCAAATAAATCGTCCAATAGTGGATCAGCCAAGTTTGCCCCTCTAGAATAATACGTGCATCTGATTGGCGCAGAAGTCTATACTCCTGTAAACTCCTGTACTCGTATGCTCAGAATGAGACAGGTCACATCGCCATGCATTATCTAAAATGATGATTTTAGTTCGCAGCTGGCTTCAAGGAGGTAGCAGGTAGTCGCAATGAAGATCAGTCGCATGTTGACAGGGACTAATCGGCGGTGAGCAGAAAACTGTGGGAAGCACACAAAAGCTAGTCTCTGCCTGAGGCAGCACATCACGTGCGGCAACACGTCGCCAACTTTCCTTATCCCTTCCCTTCCCTTCCCCGTGTCGGACTTGCTTTCTTCTCAGAGACTCTTCTCTTCTCATCAACGACTCTTTCACACCTCCGTGGCATCTGGAGGAACTGGCCCCGTGTCTTTTTCTCCTCTCTTTCATCTTTCATCAAATTCACTCTCGTCTGCTTGGTCACTTGCGTCCGTGTCAGTCATATGCTAGTCCTCTCCATCTCCGTGACTCCTTCACTGCACCAGCATCATCTCAGTCCTCTCGTCTCCAGTCTTGATTCCAGCACCATACCAGCCAAGTCCATCCATATTCCCCTTCCGACCATCGCCTGAGATTACTCTTCACCAACATCAGACTTCCCTACTCTTCGAGCTTCCATCACCAGCACCAGCACCAGCACCAGCAAGTTTTCCTTGGGGACACCTGGTGTATATAATCGATCCATTGAATAAAAGAAAACTGGAATAAACAGATATTCACTGCTTGAACTCGCTTGACCTTTAAGTAAAAGAATTGCGAACACGACGCGATCAAAAAACAGAATGTCAGCCTCTCCCTCGACCCTACCGTCTACCAAGCGACCCCTGGAGGATCCCTCATCGCCATCCGGTCCTAACGACCAGCCTGAAGCCAAACGCCCAGCTCTGGACAAAGTCGTCCGCAGCGAGGATCACAAACAGTCCGAGGTCGACGCCAAGGACGCTTCAGCTACCAATGGTGACTCTGTAGTGAATGGCAAAGATGTCGGCTCTGCGATCGACACCCAGCCCATCCAGTCGACCGCGTCGCATGCCGATCGCGCAACGTCGCAGCCGCCTCAGCACCAGACTCCGCAAGACGAGAGCTCATGGATCCATATCCGCGCCGTCATTTCGAGCCAGGAAGCTGCTACTTGTATTGGAAAAGGTGGGGAAAATGTCTCCCAAATCCGTCGTCTTTCTGGTGCCAAGTGCACCGTGAGCGACTACTCACGAGGTGCTGTCGAGAGAATTTTAACCGTCAGCGGCCCCCAGGATGCTGTTGCAAAGGTACGTTTCTTTCTCTGACATCTGCAGATTGATACTGACTGTAAAGGCCTTTGGTCTGATTATTCGAACTCTTAACAATGAACCCCTTGAGGCTCCTTCCACTGCCCAGTCCAAGACGTATCCTCTCCGCCTCCTCATCCCCCATATCCTCATTGGTTCAATCATCGGAAAAGGTGGTGTCCGTATTCGCGAAATCCAGGAGGCATCTGGTGCGCGCTTGAATGCTTCTGACGCCTGCCTTCCTCTCTCCACTGAACGCTCTCTTGTTGTCTTGGGTGTCGCTGATGCCGTGCACATTGCAACTTACTATGTTGCCGTGACTCTTGTAGAGCAATTGACCGAGCGATTTGGTGGACCTGCTGCCTCCGCCTACGCCACTCGCAGCGGTGGTCCTGCTGGCGTCGTGCCTGGTGGTATGCAAGTTGTGCCCTACGTCCCTCAGCCTGCTGGCGGACAATACGGCCATCCCGACGCGGCCAGACGTCACTATCCCCAAAATAACCGACCCGGCCCCGGTCCCTACGGTGCTCCGTATCCTCATGGCGGCCCTGCTGCTCAAGCTCCGGTCACACAGCCTCCTTTGCATTATGGCGGTGGTGCAGCTCGTGCTCCATATGCCGGTGCTGGCCCACACCAGCCTGCTCCGTACGGAGCTCCTCACGCCCAGCCCCACGGCGGCGCAGGAGCTCAGCCGCTTGCCGGCGTTGTTTCCAGCCAGCCCATCACCCAGCAAATATACATTCCCAACGATATGGTTGGCGCCATCATCGGTAAGGGCGGTACCAAGATCAATGAGATTCGACACCTCAGTGGCAGTGTGATCAAGATCAACGAGCCTCAAGAAAACAGCAACGAGCGTTTGGTCACGATTACCGGCACACAAGAGTGCAACCAGATGGCATTGTATATGCTGTATGCACGACTGGGTATGTTCTCTTCTCCTCTGTTGAAGGATCATTGCTAACGACGATAACAGAAAGTGAAAAGCATCGTATCTAATTTCCGTCTTGTTTTCTTACTTTTTCATTTATATCCTAGCGGGTTGTCGTCGGGTGCAACATCAAAAGCTCTTTTTTCGACTTCTCCTTTGCTTGCCCACTCTATTTAGCTATGTAATTTAAAATGGAGGCGGTCTCTTCGTTTATTTGATTCATTTGATCTCATTTGGTTCCTAATCTGAACATTTTTTTATCATGCCGTTATTTGCGGACTTCTTGTAGTAGGTTGTTAGAAACCGATCTTCTGGAACTTGACATGCTTCATCTCCAACCCTCTCACAGGCGTGAGAATATGTTTCCGCACCGGCTCAATCGTCTCCGCAAACACCTTCGTGTCCCTAGCCTGCATATGATGCTCCCTACTCTTCCACCCGACAGCATTCAAATACACTAAAGCCTTACCCGACGGACTATCCTGATGCTCAAACACCGTGGGTCTCTCGACCTGCCCTCTCGCCCAAGTTATGGGTCTTGCGCTTTCCGGTGTTACTTTGGTGAGTAAAGCTTCTCGGAACGCGGCTTGGTCGTTGTTGAATTGTTTGTGTTGGTCGGGGGATATGTCGCTGGGTGCGGCGAAGGTAACGAGTTCGGTGACAGGATTGGTGGTCAGGGTGTCTGAATCGGAGATGGAGGGGGACAAGGTGGAGTAGAATGTGAGTAAGGTCGTTGGGTCGTCGCTTTTTGTGTAATCGATGAAAGGCTCGAGGCGAGAGAGGGGCGTGGAGTTGCTCGAGTCAGCCCATTCTTTCTACCATTAGCACTCTTACTCTAGTCTTAAAATTGAATGGGGGGGAACAACCGATAACCCAAACAACGATATTCTCATCCTCCAACGTTCGTCCCCAGGCAGATCCCAAATGCCCGCTTTGAAGCATCGTTTCCCGGAACAAGTCGAGCAGTTGCTCACCTTCGCGGTTACTCTCGCCTTCTTCGGGTTTGACGGATGGCTTCAGGCGGAAGACGATGAACTCTGTGAATGTGGGTGATCTTGGTGGTGCTGCCATTTTGATGTTTCTTGGCTACTAATCAATTGATTGATTTATGGAGTGAGTGATTTGTAGGAGTCGGAAGGTAGAGGTTGCAGCTGAAGGAAGGGATGTGCTTGTTAGTAATCAGTGGGGAAGCATAAACAGGTACATTACGTAGCAATGCATGCATAGACCCGACGTTTCCTTCTACTCCCGTAGGTTAATTATCCCTGCTATTCTTGCAAGGATCTGGAGAAGTGGCTCAGACAGACACAGACAGCCGTGATATTCGTTTTCGTCGAATTCGATGTTGATGTTATCGTTATGATGTCATACCGCCATTGCTAACCCTAAGACATGTCAGTCAGATGATAGTGAATAGGGCTTCTGACTATTTTGTCTATTGAATAACCTTCGAAGTCTCCTTTGATGATTGAAACTTGATCAAATCCATATGAGCATGGGCTTGCAATGTTATTCCGACAATCCCCTGGAGCTCGCTGATAAGGAACGCCATGCGATTTAGGGCCAGAGCTAGGGCTGATAATCCTCTAGTCAAACGACCATGACTTTGAGATTTCATGATCACACACAGTTGGTTTGATATATTAATGGCCATAACCGATCTTTCGCTTTAAAATCCCCAGATCTGAAGAACCACATATTGTTGTCCGTACAGATGACTCAAGATGTACCAGTCAGTTGCTTCTCACAACAGTATGATGGATACTATCCAATCAAAACACGAGTTTAACCAGAGCTCCTCGAAACATTATCAGATGAAAGCAAACGAAGTTGGTTGTGCTCAGTATGTCGTCGGGCGTTCGACCCCTCAGCGCACCAGGACACGTTCTCTCACCTTCTCCTCATTCTCTTGTCAACTCGTCACAATATCTTCTCTACGACTCTCCTCTGCAACTTATCCTTTCAACCCTCCTCACGGCATTGAAACGCCACAAAAATCATTTTCATACTCCACACGCGAAACATATTTAAGAGAACCTACGACTTGAAGTTATTCTGATACAGCATGCAGAGAATACCTTCAAAGCAACAAATCTTGGTGGAATTCGCCCGGTCAGTGGATCGCGATTGGGATAATCTCCTCGATGCATGGAACGCATTGTATGAATTCCTGAATCCAATAGTGCAACACCAAGCCCCCGATTTTCTCTGCAGCAATGCATATCAGAAGATATTTAAGGATATCAGCAGAAGACCAGGATTTCCTGCAGAACAAGTTTCGACTCTTAAACTGAACAAGAATCAAGTCTATGAGATGATGAGAAGCGTTTGCTATTCCACGACAAACAAAGACTCTGGGAACGATCAATTCAGGACTTTCAGCCTACCGACTAGGTATCGAAAAGATATTGGTGCCCCAATTTATTATCTTCAGACTGTCCCCTCGTCTCAAGCAGACCACGAACCAGACTCACGCGAATCCGAAGCAACGACACTCCCGAGGAACCGATGTCTGTTGAGACTTACTCAATCCCAAAATCGAGAGTGGGATGCCCTACTTAGTGCATGGGATTCCTTAGAAGAGTTCATCAGACCAAGATTAGACCGCCGAGTTTCAAAGCTGCCGTCCGATGAACGACTTGAAAAATGGCGACACAAACAACAGTACCCTTTCGAACAGATGTTGGCCCTGAATCTTTCGATTGATGAAGTCAACATGTTCATGAGAAGCGTATGCTTCCATATTTCGAATCCGGTGCTTGGGGGCGTTCAAAACTCATGAGGCTCCCCAAACTCCGATAAAGCGTCCAAGGGGTGATGATCAAATCAGTGCTTTACCGGAAACCACCCGCAAACGAGCAAGAACAAACCAGCAAACGAAAGCCTTGCCAGTGATAACGAAAATTTATTCATGGAAGAAGGGAACGAGGACAGTCGCACAGGTATATTGGTCACACTCCTGTCTAATGCGAAACCAATGAATGAGCATCTCGACATCAAGACACTTCGCTACGGAAATGTGACCCGCCACTTAGCCAACCGCAGCAAGTTTGAGAAAGACAAGCATCGCTTATTTTATTACGATCTGGAGAACCCCAATGTCAGGATAAATGTCGACACTGTTGCCACATTTCGTGCGGCAGTAGAGGAGATGTTCAAATTCCGAACATCAGAGTCTCGAATTGAGTTCTGTTTCCGTTTAAAAGAGGGTTTGACAAGGTTAGTTTGAAAATCTTTGATGCTGATGAAAATTTTGATGAGAATGCAGCTAATCAGGCAATAAATCTCAGCAACAGTCCTGATGCACCGACGACACCAGTAACAATCCCAAGACTGCAACGGCTAGGCGGGGATTTCTATCGGCCGCGATATTAGGATCGATGACTTGATTCCGCTGAAGGCGTCGCTTACGGAGATAAGTTTTCGAACAATGGAATAGGAGAGACAGCGATATCGGAATAATGTAATGTACGATAACAATGGGGGAACGTGATTCTTTGAACTATTACATAGAAGGATGGTGATAGAAGAGAATGTTTGTTTGGAGGGTGTCCAGTATCCAAATGAAATATCATTTTTCAAGTTGAATTACAATGATTGTCTGAGATAGAATATCTGAAAGAATGAAAACAATCCCAGAGACCTAAAATCGTGGATCTCCATCTAGTACACTGGCATTGGGACAGCATCAAGGTCATAATGCCACGTATCGAGAGAAGTCTGATCATAAACACAACTCATCGTGCCAGTCTTACCCCACAGAGGTCGCAAAGGCCAAGCACACAATTGTTCATTCTTTCCCTCATTACTACCTTGCAACACCGTGGCGTTCAGAGTGGTAGGTGTAACACCCTTCTCAACCCAATTGATGAGCACCTGCAAGTTTGTCTGCGGGAAAGGTCCATTAGGCTGGTTAGGATCAGGAGCGCAATGGCCGGCTCCAGGCACAAGGAAGAGCCGGTACCAGTCGTTGAGTGCGTTGGCACCTTCTAGGTAGGAGAGATCAGGATACATGATGCTGCGGACTGATTCCCAATAACGGACCGAGGATGCGGTAGGGACGCTGAAATCGGATTCACCGTGGAAATGAATCACTTTTCCGCCCGCTTCCTGAAATGGAGTAAGATCGGGCCAGTTGGTCTGCAGCGTAGATTGGTATTCCTGCATACCCCGTATCATCCATCCTTTTAGAGTGTCGTAGGTTACTCCATCGAGATTTGCGAGCGTGGTACCATTGTAATCCAAAAGGAGAGCAATGAATATCCCGCCCAATTGGTCAATTGACACTTCATATTCCCCGGTTGCTGAGTTGTACTCGGTTGTGGCATCTGAGTATGTGGCAGAGCGTTGGTAGGATAAATAAACCTGGCGACCCTTGGAGTCCTTAAGACCCTCAAGGATCGTTGAAGCGACTTCAACTGCTTTAGCGGTTACTGTGCCATTTGCCGCTGGAGAGCCAAAACTAGCCGCACAAGAGTATGGCTCCCCAATCACCGAGGAAAGGTCGAAATGAAGAGCGCAGAGATCAGTGCGGGAGACCACGCCGTCAGTCTTGCCATCAAGAGGATCACAGGCAGTAATGGTCGCATTGTTGACCTTCTCTAGCTCACATGCAGAGGGGTAATAGCCCAATGTCTGAGTCACAACATTCGAGAACAGATGCTGCGTCTGCTGGAATGACCATCGAAAAGCCGGCGCACCCATAATCGCACCATCCCACTCATCACCAAATCGCTGAACTTGGCTCCAGCCCTCACGGCCTCCCTCTGAACAGCCCTGGTAGTATGAATACAGCTTCGTGTTGTTCAGACCGTAGAAGTTCTTTGTCCACTGTTTTCCAATCTTGCTCAGTTCCCAGTGAGCCTTGTACGCAAACATGTACAGAGTCTCGTAGTCGAGGGTACCATTTGCCAACAGCATTGCAGCATCAGCTTGAACATCGAAGCCTCCGAATCCACCATCCGTGAGACCGGATACAGCGCCGTACATGACACCTCCTGGCAGGGATTGAGTACCAGAGTTGATAGCGTAGCCACCGCCCCCGGTGGACAAGTACCGGTTTTTGAACTTCTCAGGGGAAGGGAACCAGTATTCAACGAGGACTTGGTCATCTCGGCCATTGTGTGAGTATGCTAGTGTGACATTGCAATAGTCGATGACGGCGGCTGGGTACATGTTGCTAGAGGCAATGGACGAGTTGCTGACTAGGTTGGCTGTGATCGAAGCGGGATCCAGCGTGATTCCTTGAATGAAGGATGTGGCTGAAGGTAGGGTCGATTGCAGGTATGATACACTGCATAGACTTGAAAGAGATTGACTGGAGGCTGCTTGCGCTACGGCCGCTGATGCGGCCATGGCAAGCCCTGTAGACCAAGATGATTGACGCATTTTCTGGACAGCTTGTCAGAAGCTCCTTCACATGACAAGAGTATTGACAGGGGGTGTTTGAAGAGCTTGATAGAATAAGAAGAGTTTTATCAATATTGAGGTGCTCGGCAGGAGCTATTTATCAACAGATCGTCATCCTTGACATCAATGGATCCATAATATCGATGGGAATATTGCCCTCCGCATTGGCACCTTGAAGCTTCCCCCTCAACCGATCTTTGATTGTTTTTAAGCGAATGCATGCCTATAGTTCTAAAAGACGCGCGTCCAATAACACCTCCATTTGTCCAGAACCTTGAAAGTTCCGTGACACCGTAAACACTATTTACAATCTCTGCGAAACGAGAGTAAACATGGGGAAACGGTCCGGATAAGACCTCGTCCGGGCGGGGAGATAGGTATCCTCAATAGGTTAAAGTGAGAAGCTTGTCCGTGGTATTTTGCGGAGAAATGTCAGTATTTGGGTAGTACGGGGTCAATTTAATAACTATGATCCCATGTTGGTAAGTGACTGGATCGAGAATCATATATTAGGGTAGTACTTGAGTAATTTCAATAATTCCCTTTGCATGGAAGGGATAAACAAACAGCCTGTCTCCCTGGAATATAGTAGAAGCCAATCAGATCGACACGACGTTTATAATTGTTGAGTTCTATTCGATTGAAATGTTAGTCCTCCGGCAAAGCCCTTTTCCGGACACTCTACTACATAGTATGCTCGTTGAAACTGGGGAAATTAACCTTTGTCGATCTTTGAACGACTACTTTTTAGATCTGATAACCCATTGGATTGAAAATACGTACGTACGTACTCTCTTTCTAAACCAGTTGAGTTGGCTTCTTGATGCCTAAGTTCCCTTCATGATCTCGCGGCGAAATGCTGTAAAAGAGGCCTTGTACCTTGAAATCTACAACTCAATGTTTCATCAAAGCCACTTGTGCAGGCACGAAATTGTCCCAGTTTACACCCATGGGGATATTCCGATTCGGCCTTAATTTACATATAAATGATGTATATTGATCTATCCTATTGCCAAAGCTGTGAAACTTGCACAATCAAGCACATCCATTGCTTTAATATCTTACCCATATATAGCTGCGCGGAAGTATTTGCTGTGTGAAGTGCGCATATCCATATGGCATTTAGGATTGAGGGTCTCGTCCTATCGTAAGTAGAGCTCAATGTGCTGAAATATCTGATGAGTGCTTCGTTGAATCGACTCCGTCGAGCCCTAAGTACGAAATGGAAAGCAAATCCGCATAGTGACCAGGAACTGTTGATGTATGTGTAATTCGAAATAACCCAGATCTGAACGTCGTAAAATACAAATGTGTCTGGAGAGACCAGAGATCCGAAGCAAACACGCTGTTACGCTGTTACACACGTGACTTATGCTCCGGATGCCAACCGCCGCACCGGCAACGTCTCATTTCTCGATTATTCACCACGTAGATAATATCTTCTTGTGCTCTGACCAAAGACGAAACCATGGAGTTTTCTTGGCCACTAATCATCTTGATAGCATACATTGGTGAGTTCAAACCATTAGAATGATTAATACCCACTCACAATATCTTTCATAGTCATTTCGGTCGCTCGAGCTAGCAGCTCAAGCAGCAGCCCTGCCACTCTACATGGCAAAGTGATCAATGTTGAGAGGTGAATACACCATCCTACCTCAAGCACGAGCAATTACCTGGACGAATTACTAATTACTTGTGGTATTCATCTAGTCAACAAGCCTTCAAAGAGTTAACCGCCTCCGGTCCCGTTGTTGTCGACTTCTTCGCCACATGGTGCGGTCCTTGCAAAGCTATTGCTCCCAAAGTCGGCGAATTCAGCGAAACCTATACAAATGTGCGCTTTCTCCAGGTAGACGTTGATAAGCAGCAGCAGATCGCGCGGGATCTTGGTGTAACTGCCATGCCGACATTTATCTTGTTCAAAAATGGCAAGCAGCTTCCGGATCGCATTCGAGGCGCAAATGTTAGGGCCTTGGAGAATGCTATCAAGCAAATTGCTTAATTTCGGATAAAAGGAGTCAGAGAGATATGTGTATGGGCTCATCATGACCAATAGGAGAGATATCGACTCTCCCATGGTGACTAATTGAGAATAGTCATATAGGCATCGTTCAGGCACGGATTTTGTTGCTACGAGTGTTGCACGAGTGTTGCACGAGTGTTGCACGCTTGCAGTTGCACAATATCAAATAGATTTATCATTGCATATGCTGATAGGTCGTAACCCTACATATTTGTTGCTCATTTGCTCCGCAAGTCATCTCGCACCGCACATACACTTTCCTTGAACTCGTAATATCCAGCATCTTTAGGATTCACATTGCAAAGGGTATGGTGAAGGAATGGCGACAGACCATTATCATTTCCTGGCATGGTCCTTATCCTTAAGGTGTGTCGGCAGACATAGGGCTTGACAGATCACATGTTCATGCTGGACACCTCAGGCATAAATCTCCTCTTAGTATATGGAGAAGTATATCAAACCTCAATTCTGAATATCTTATTGAAGTGCGTGCTTAATTGTCGATACCATAGCACATTGTCTATGGTACTAGATGTATATTGATGCTGAGGCTGAGGCTGAGGTTGCCTAAGGTATGAGTTACAAGTGTCTTAGACATAGCACCAGTTGACAGACAATCCTTCTATATCCTATAAAATGTGGCCCAACCCTCCAGTGACTTTAGAGGTATGATCTGGCGTATTTTTAATATATAAATGTCTCCATCTCATTCATGCAGACATGTGAGAGTGCTTGGCAACGATACAACAGCCGACACAACTGACGCGGATAGTCCGAATGGGAAGCTGCTTTCTCGAAAGATATCATCGTCCTTGTGAATGCCGCGACGCATCCAGACCAACTCATGAAAGCTTTCGCGAGAGACATTATAACTTGTATTCGAAAATCCAGGAAGAAAGCTGAACTGGTTCCTAGTGATGCCGTTTTGATGCAGTATCGGGTCAGTGCGAATCCGGATGATGTTGACGTTGACGGAATGATCTCTTCGCGAGAACCGCAGTTCAAGGCTTCTCATCGCAGCGACTTGGATACCATGTCGGATAGTGTGCCTACCAATTCGGTTTTCTAGTAGAGGAGAAGACGATGGGTATTTTGTCCGTAATGCTTCGCCTTGTTAGGTTTTGACGGCACCTGGGAGGAATGTGGACACACGACTAAAACTCTCGATGATAAAAATTGGCTACATTGGATGCTGACAATAACGGATATATAATGGAAGCTCAACTGAACTACGTACTTTCTATGGAAATCCAATCAGCTCCAGAGATCCTATGGAGTGGATACGTGGTGGGTCAGATCTGCAATCAAACCCGTCCCACTCAACTCGAGTCAAAATGCACGTCGTGGACAAAGAAGAGATGGTATGTACGTACATGACTCAACAAGACGACATCGAGATATTAGAAGATTGTCGGAGGGTTAAGTGGGCACCACTGAGAAATCAATTATAATTGCCATTTATGAACAAGAAGCTACTGTTAGATCTTGTCTTTACCCTAGCAAATATATACAAAGTAAGTGTGGACCAGTCCCTTGTGGAAAATTGTTGCAGATCCAAGCAATAAAGTGTGACAATTGGACCTTATACGATAGGGTATATACATTCTATAAGATAAAAGTCGTTATTGCCGAGGCCCGAAGTAATTCGAATTGAATGATGAATATGAACTCATAGAAGCTGTATTCGGATCCATTTCATATTGCATAGTTACCGATAATGTCTGTGGTGGGAAATCGAGGTTTCCATCATTCAGGTGAGGCGGAAACATCTTGTCCCATTCGGTCTAGACAGCGGAAATGAGCATCCAAATGTTGGAATGAAAGTGTAAAGTGGAAGGAATAAGACTTACCCAATCAACTTCAGGCATCGGTAGATCTTCGGAACTGGGAGGAGAGATCCTCCAATTGGGTTGGGTAGCTGCTCCAGCAGACACGTCTGGGGTAGTGGGTAGCCACGAAGAATGCAGGGTATCGAAACCAGAGAAACCTCCCAGACCTGAAGGCATTTGTGATCCGAACTGGGCTGGTGCATAGTCCTGGCTTTTAGGTTGAGGCTCTGGCGTAATGATATTCCCGACGTTTTGGTATTGAGAAGAATATGAAGACTGAGACACGAGCGCACGGGCCTTTTTCTGAGAGGCTTCACTGGGCAGCAAGGTGAGAGGTTCCATCTTGAAACTGACCATTGCATCAACACTTTCCGCTACCGAGTCAGACGGTATAGGAGATGCAGATATAGATTTAGTCAACACTATCTCATCGACATCTGCAGAAGTTTTGATCTTTCTTAACGCCTGATAAACTCGCATTCGATCACGGAATTGACACATGATCATATGAGACTTTTTGCGCCGATGCTCTATAATTTGTCCTCTGGTCAGGTTTTGTTGTGGATAGTCATCCTTTATCTCGTACACGTAGTCCAAGCATCTCCAAATTCGATCCGCTTCACGGCGAAGAGGGTGAGTTGTAACGTCAACTAGGAGCAAGAAAGCCGTATGAAAGTTATGATAGGCACGACTATACCATATCCACGGTCGCAAATCTGGAGATGTCTCAAGAGTCACGGCATCCTCTAGCTGTTGAGCGCCAGTATTGATAATCAACTGAACCAAACGGTCCGGCATTTTTGCCTGCCAGCTGTTATAGAACTTATTCAGTAGTATGATATGTAGCCGATGCATCATGAAAGACAGGGTCACAGATGCAGCGTATTGAACGGGCGTGAGGTTTGGTCTGTTGAAGATGGGGCCGTATTTCTCGTACATGTGTCTGCGAGCTGTTTCCACCTTTCCTATAGCGCCGGTGACACTCAATGTTTTCTGTTCGAGACGAATTCTGTCGACGAATGTCTCACGAATAAGCTCTTGAGATTCAAAACGTAAGCACGCAAAAGTCATGTCTGTCCACTCCCTGGACTCCTCTATTCTGCCAGCTATGAGATCCGCATCGTTGATATTCAGGGGGAATTTTGTAGAAAAGTCTTCGCTGCGAATTGCCACACGGGGCCCCTGAACTTCCGCAGTACGAAGGTCAAGGAAGCATAGTTGATACCAAATCAGGCGGCGTATGTGTGTTTCGACTGGGCCGTAATTGTATTCGGAAGGATCACGATGTAGGCCCATGCACTCAGCGAGTCTAATTGCCGTTCCAACCAGAGCGGAATGCGCTCTAGAAATTGTCTCACGGCACATCGGAATCTGTGCATGATTGGTTAGATATAGCACAGAAGAACATGAGGGCAGAACAGCTGACCAGGTACATGACAAAAGCCTGTAATGTTTCAATTTTAGTGGAGCGCAAAAAGTGGGCTTTCCCAAGAGCGGACTCTGTTCCGAGTTGAAACCGTTCGATAAGGCTACGTTGATCCACACCAAACGAAGTCAATACATCCTCGGCGGTCATGCTGACGGCTGCGGTAAACAGTGTCGCGAATATAATAGCTTGAACGGACGGAGTCGGTTCGATACCACGAGCAATATTATCCCATAGAAGCCTATATCTCGCTTCAAGTGACTGGCGGTGGACAATCCTCGCAACTGGATGGCAAGCTTCCCAATACTGTTGGAGAAGCTTATCTGCCACCGTTTTGGAAGGCAACAGATCAAGCAAAGTGTACTCTTGCAAGCTCGATCCAAGCAACATATCAGAGCGAGGGGCGATGAATGATGGACCCGGATCCAAGAATGGGAGTTGGACTCCTTGATTTGCAAGTTCGAGCAATCTTAACACTTCGTTGCCATCATCTACCGGGATATCACGCTTCGCCGGATCTTGCTGCTCCTCTAGCTGCATTGCAGCAGCGATTTCTTCTGCCAGCCTCGGACGTACGAAACCTCCCAAACGATCGGTGACCCGCATGTTTCCTACTTGAACACCCAAGTCGACCATGACGTCGTCGGCTTCATCTTCATACATGGCGTCCATCAAGGCTAAACGCGTGGGTTGTAAAAGAAATTCGTCTTCTGAAATCGGTGCAGGTGATTCCGACGCTGAAGGTCTCGAGCCAACAAGTAAATCACCTTCCGCGATCTGAGATGGCTTCGAAACCTCCTTTTCAAGGGAACGTTCTAGCGTACCCATACGTTCCTTGAGTTCCGCCAGTTTTAACCGAGTCGCAGAGTCAAGTGAAGGAGCGAGGAAGACGCAGTCACGTTTCCCCTTAGCACAGTTAGTACATGGGTGGAGTCGATCACATTTGAGCTTTCGTCGTCGACATTCCAGACAAGATGTAATCATCCTATTGCGGCGTCGAATACGTGAAGCATGAGCGTCAAGACTGGCTGCTGCCTTCTGGGCGTCATCGGGACTTCCCTGGCTCGTCGGCCGAGTTTCGTCGAAGCTGTTCATTCTCTCAGCTTGCGTGTGGATCAATGCGCATGTATATAGTATGTTGTTAGTCGAGGGCTTGTGGATTATAGCCTTACGGCCGCAACCATAAAAGCGGGGCAGAATAAGCAAGATCCTAGCCTAGTTGAGCTAAGAAGCAGCTAAAAAGAAATATGATAAGAATCTTTTCTCAAAAGTCGTCTCTTTCGGTAGAATGTCGTCGTTTCTCGGGAAATTTAGTAGCTAGATGTCCGAAATCGTTCGTTCTAGGCGTCTTTATCAATGAGCCTCGGCTGTGGCACCTGAACCGAAGAATCGCTGTACCTACCGGCAGCGATCAAATTTTTGTTTGAGCCATTCCGGCCAGTAATGATAACAAGTCGACCGACAATTTGAGGTACTTTGGATCGCGTTGTGAAGCTTTTTAAGAGGTCAGACGCAACCTTCAAAGTTCATGATGAATACAGAAGTCAGGCTTGTGTGGCTGCAAGACTTCGAGGAAACCATAACACGCGCTAGGTCCAAAGGGGAATGAAGTCAAAGCCTATCTTATCTTATCATCTTGTCACCTGATTTATCTTATTGCAACTTTTGTCGCAGCTCGATTGATATTAGATATTTTGAATGCTTTGACAAAGAATGCAATGTGGTCTCTTAGGATAAGTTTATAGTCAACTAATGTATGCATTCATCTCATCTGAATCAGCTATGTAATACAGTCATTATCTCACTCATCATCCATAGTTCGCACTTTGACTTTTCTTTCGCCGAACGCCTTTTTGAGATTATCAGAAACTTCCTTTCGCCGCTGGGTTCGTGCCTTCCATTCATCGCTATCTTGCCTCGAAACAGGATCCAATTGGAAATTAACGCTGCGAAGCCGACTGTGCCGAGCCGAACCATTCATGCTGGTCTGGAATCTGCTAGCAGAGAGAGGAGTTCCATAGGGGCTGCGTCCTCCTTCTGACTCCGGGCTGACGGGGACTCGGAAGCCGGTTTTCTTCACGGGTGTGGAGACAGGAGTGCCTTCGCGACTAGCAGAGGCTCGGAGCTCAATCCCAAGCTTCTTCATTTGTGCTTCTAGAACATCAATATCGCTGCTTTTGCTCTCGGCCATATTCATCATCGTAGCAATAGTCGACGTGACCGCTTCAACCGTGGGTTTCTTGGTAACCGGTCGCCCGGACATAGATCTATTTGCACTGGAAGAATCGGCAATCCTAGCCCTCAACAGTGAGATACCTTGCTCTAATTCTGTCAACTGAGATTGGATAGTGGTGGATGCCTTCCTCAAATCTTGTTGTAGACTTGCTTGTTCCGCCGATAGAGGCTGACCCCGAATGGATACCGTATCGGTGTATGAATCAAGGGTCTTTTGAATATACGCACACTGGTCACGAAGGTTGAAAATATCGTGACTGAGAAGTCGTTGGCATTCGTTGATCTTTTCTTGTACATCGCTCAACTGTTGTTCCTCCAGACGAGCTGCGAGGAATTCCAGAAGCCCATCAACATTCTCAATGTCAGAAATTGAAATCTCCTGGTCTAGAATTTTCGTCGGCGTATCACTAAACAAAATCTGTTGCGATTCGCTGACATCGGCGGAACGATTCTCTTCCTCGTGCAAGATATAAGAGGCAATGGATCGCGAATTCAGACCTAGTGTATCAACCATTGAGTTGATGTCACGATAAAGCCTCTCAATCTGACCTGGGACTCCAGGCTTAAAGTGTTCTCCGCTGTACTCCTGTCGTGGAACAAAAGGATCCAATGTTGGAGTGGGAGAAAGAGGCTGTTCTAATTCTGCGCGTCTTAATGAGTCTTCATCATCTGACGACAAATGCTCGGCCTCGGAAGCAAGCCGTTTGCTCTCAGCTGCAGCTGCTTTGGATTCTTCCTCTTCGATAAGATCGCTTTGGTTGAGAGGCTCTTCAAATCGCGATGGCGGATGCTTCGACGGAGTCGGTTTGAACCCGAACATCGATCCAGGAACAACGGGCGCGCTTGTCGAACGGAATTGTTCTGGACGAAGGTGGCCTCTCCTTGCACCCGGCCGAACTGGACTGGGTGACCGAGGGCTTTTGGGAGCAGCTCGTGGTTTCGGAGGGGGAATATTTGGCTGCGATATTTCGCCGAATAAAGGCCTTGATGGTTGTGCTCGAGACTGTGTGTCTGGAATAGTGACTTTTGTGAACAGACCCCCGGTGGGCTCCTTGCGAGAAGTTCCACCATAAGAGCTCTCAGGCGATATTTTGAAACTAGCATGCTCCGACTCTACAGGCTCATTTGGCGGGGAAATATCATGAGTGATTTCCTCTCCACTATCTTCAAAGTCTCCATCCGAACCGTCTGACTCAGGTGGGAGCGAAATAGATTCTTCTTTGACAGGCAAAGGAAATTCAGCTGCAGGTTTCTTCGTTTCCTTCAGCTTGTGGAGGAAGTCGGGAGGTAGAGGTGCCTCTTCTTCCTCCACTGGTTCGCGGTCGGCTATTTTGGGACCAGATAAGAAATCCGGGGGTAAAGGTGCAGCTTCCGGCTCAGCTGAATTCTTTGGCTTTCCTAAGAAATCGGGGGGCAAAGGCGCATCATCATATGAACTTTTAGAAACATTCGACGAAGCTGATGTATCTCCGGGTCCGTAGGCGGCTCGGCTCGTGGCATCGGGAGGTAGCGGCGTTTCGACGCTCTTTTCCCTCTCTAAGCTAAGAGTGGGTACTACTGTCTTCTCCGACAGAGAAGATAATGGACTAAGTGGCGTAGCTGTTGAAGTGCTTCCAAACAATGTTGTTGGCTGGCTAGGAGTCTGAGTGCCGAAAAGGCCGGAGGTCTTGGGAGGGCTCTTCATTGAGCCCTGCGGTGTACCGAATGTTGAGGGCTTTCCAAACAGGCTTGTGGGTTGCTGCTCGCGCGCTGGTGTTGTAGATGCGTCTTCTAAATCATCCATAGATTCTGTTGGAGGACTAGCCTTCTTAGCACCATCGTCAAGGAGATTGCCGAATGATGAACCCAGCGAAAATGCCCCGGCCTTTGATGGCTTTCCGAACTCCGGCTCGTTATCTGCGGCTGATTTGGTATCTGCTTTGAAAGTGGACCCTATATTGAAGCCTCCTTTGGAAAGGCCGAAAGGTGACCTGGACTCGTCAATAGTCTGTGTAGTTCCAAAAGCAGATTGTGTACTAGGTTTTCCAAATGTTGACTGTGCTGGCTTTCCAAAAGGACTATCTGTTGCTGGCTTTCCAAAAGGACTATCTGTTGCTGGCTTTCCAAAAGGACTATCCGTTGCTGGCTTTCCAAAAGGACTATCCGTTGCTGGCTTTCCAAAGGGACTTTCCGCTGCAGGTTTTCCAAAGGGACTTTCCGCTGCAGGTTTTCCGAAGGGGCTCTCGGTAGGTTGTGATGAGATGACGGATCCAAATCCTCCGCTCGTAGCGAAATTGCTAAAACCTCCTCCAGCCGCAGTGGCTCCTGTGTTGAAACTTGACTGACCCGAACTGGCCGATACGAAACCACCAAATCCTTTGCCCCCTAGACTGCCCGTCTGGCCAAATGCTGGCTTCGAGTTTGCCGCAAGGCCAAGGCCAGGTTGACCGAATGAGGATCCACGTTGTCCCAGAGTCCCGGGACTTCCAAAGGCAGGTTTATTCGGTGTTGTCGATCCGAGGCTCGTTCCTCCGCCAATGCTTGATGGTGCGCCAAATGCAGGCTGCTGAGAAGCCCCTAATTTGGATGTCGAGCCAAAAGCAGGGGTTGTCGATGGCATCGAAGGCTTTCCAAATGCACTGGGCTGAGACTGCGGTGTACCAAAGCTAGTTTGACCAAAGGCGGTTGGTTGGCCAAAGGCCGGTTTTCCGAATGATGACTGGGTCTCCCGCGTAGGTGCTAAGGCAGGAGCAGGAGTGGATGGAGGAGCTTGGGCTAGAGACTGTTGTGTGATGGTGCTTGCCGCCGCAGCGGCGCTATACGGCAACCCAGCCTCAATCGCTTTCAAGTGAAGGAACCACCATGATGAAAGAACGCCCTCATTTGTAAGGACCATAATATTGGGAAGAGGGGTCTTGGTTTCTTTTTCCACGTCATAGGATACTGTCTCCGTGCCCGTCAAGTCAAGGACAAGGCCAATAGTAGAAGTCTCCCCGGATTCTGCATTCAAAGGCAGTGTTGCTCTCCTGGTCTCTTCCATGATAGTCGTCGTAGTGAAGACATTTGTGCTTGTAGCATCGGCTTCTTTGAATGGTGTTGTAACCCTTGTAGCTAATCCAATATCGGTCGAAGCAGTCGAGGAAATTATCAGTGCATCCTTCAAGTCGGGATTATAGTTGCTAAGCCGAGCTGTGAAATGATATGCCGGGCTCCTCTTGAGACCGAATGGCGCACATATCAGGGGCAACTGTCGGTACAAAAAAGGTTGCTGTTTACGGCGCTCAACGATATAGTAGTCCGAGTCTGGGATCATACCCGCATCATCTTCCACTTCATTGGGTGTATAAACCACAAAAAATAGATCGTTTTCCAGCCACGATATGGACGATACTAAGTATATTAGCATTTAAAGAATCAAGTAACAAGTTGTAATGAACACACTCACCATGTTTGTTGCCCTCAAGCGCTGGCGGTCGAGGCACCTCGGCTTTCACCAAACCTTTAGGGTCTAATTGAACACAGCTGCCGTCTACCAGACCAGCAGCCATCTGCTTTCCCTTGTTGCTCCATGTAACAGAAGCAACCCCCTCCCTAAAGACGGGGCCTGATTGACCATTGACTAAAGAGCCTGCTTTCAAATCTGCAAGTAGAAGATCGCCATTTGCCGTGATCAAGGCGACATAGGAAGAGAGATCGCTTTCTGGTGAAGGATTAGCGGCTAAAGAGCGAAGCGGACCATTAGTACCAATGGAGATTTGAGGTTGAGGGTTGCCGTTTCCGAGACTCGTAGCGTCATAAATAAGTAGCTGGTTTTGCGATTCCATAGCCACGGCTAATGCACTATCCGCAGCACAGAATGCGATATGTGTCGGACGGCTAGGTAGAGAAATATGCGCCTGGGGTTTGAATGGTTTTGTTTTGGGTCCGGATTCTGCCTTGGTAGAAATAGCATCGCGAATCGATTTCGTCGTTGCTAATACCAGACCCTCTGGACCGCCTCCAACCACTAAGCCTTGCGAGTTCGAAATCGCCAACAAAGAGCTCGTTGGTGCGGGAAGGGCGTCTTCGGGCCATGGTGTAGGAAGAAATTGGATATTGTAATCTTTATCGAGCCCAAGGAATCCTACTTCCTGAAAAGAGAATAATATATTAGTGACATGTTTTCTAAGCTCCATTTCAAAGCGCATAAAACATACAGCAGTGTCGACCTCAGGTAGCTCAGGCCCTGTTTCTGCGGCAGGKGCGCCACCACCAGAACCGAACGACATTTTGAGCTTCGATAGATCTGCAGTGACAGGGCGTCTGTTGTTTTCACCTAGAGAGAAAATGCGCTTTGGAACATTGGGAGATGACCAGCTTCGAGGAGGCGACGAAAAAGAGCGACTACGGAGTGGTTGAGGACTCCGGTTGAACAGCTGCAAGGTACGATCGAAAATGTTTGTTGACCTTCCCTCTGATGGAGGAAAGCGGAGCGAAGCTCAAAGAAACGGAGGTCAGAGAGCTGAATTATGCGAGGAATGAGATGCCCTTCGAAATAGGAAGAACAGCTCAAAGCGCTGCCTTACACAAGTGGCGCAAATATGTTTGAGGACGAATGTGATGCTGAGTCTAGAGAGAGCTACCGCGATTCAGGCCAGAGCTCGACGTGTTTGCCGCCTGATAGTTGGTGCCTTGTATTTCAGGCACAAACAACACATACGAGAAATGTTAGCTGAAAAGAGATATTGTGTGAGCACTACTTATACATAGTATTATTATTCTTCCAATAATCCTAATTACACCTCATAATAGGCATGCTCCAGAATAGTGTAAGATGCACTGGAGCGTCGTAAATGCCTGACTTCTGAGGCTCTAACAAATATTTAGTTAGCCTGACTTCTAAGGTGTCCGTTGAGCTTGGCAAGGCTAGTTACCTCCCAGAGCTTCGTCACGCAGTTCTCCGTCTCGCGCTCATCTCATTCAACCATCACCATCAGCTTCACCACTTCCACTTCAAGCTTCCTACTACTTCGATAATCATCGCTTTTTCAGGCTGGAAGCTTTCTGAAGCTCTCGCCTTCGATCATCGACCCTCTATCGTGCAGCAAGCCAACATCCTCCGAGCTTCGATTGCATCTGGCCGCTGAGCTGCCTGCTTATCCGTCAATATGCCAGGCTTCGACTTTTCGAACTACAACCGCAACGCGGCGCTACACGCTAGAGGCGCTCCATTACCCAAAGCTACCAGTACGGGTACAACCATCGTTGGATGTATATACGATAAAGGTGTAGTGGTAAGTCGAGATCCATGACGGCTCCCGTGGCAGTGTTGCAACAGCTACCTTTCTTTATCAACCTTGATCTAACTCATCATGACTCCATATAGATTGCAGCAGATACACGAGCCACCAGCGGCCCCATAGTCGCCGATAAAAACTGCGAAAAGCTCCATTTCATCTCCCCCCAGATCTGGTGTGCCGGTGCAGGAACAGCAGCCGATACCGAATTCACAACGGCCCTCATCAGCTCCAACGTTGAACTACACTCGCTGTCGACTGGCCGACCACCCCGCGTCGCCACTTGCATGACCATGCTCAAGCAACACCTTTTCAGATATCAGGGACACATCGGCGCCTATCTCGTCGTTGCGGGGGTCGATCCCACCGGCACACATCTCTTCACCGTGCATGCTCACGGTTCAACCGACAAACTGCCCTACGTGACTATGGGCTCTGGTTCGCTCGCTGCCATGTCCGTATTCGAGTCAATGTGGAAACCCAACCTAGACAAGGACGGCGCCATCGCTATCTGCTCCGAGGCCATTCTGGCTGGTATCTTCAATGATTTGGGATCCGGTAGCAATGTTGACGTTTGCGTGATTGAGAAGGATCAGCCCACGCAGTTGTTGAGGAACTACATTAAGCCTAATGAGCGTGGCCAGAAGGCTCGTGATTACAAGTTCCCGCGGGGCACTACGTCTTGGCTTAAGGAGAAGGTAATCAAGAAAGAGGATATTGGGAAATATGTCACTGTGCAGGAATTGGGTGAAGATGAGGATTCTAATGTTGTTGAGAGAATGGAGGTTGATTCATAGATTAGTTAGACACCGATTTTGGTGACGCTGATTGTGAGGAATGAGCTGATAATTGCAATATCATACTCTGTGCAATGTGTATGCCGGGACTATGGGTGCTAAGATAAATTATATTTGGGCCTGTAATGGTTGGTTTTCTTTCAGCTAAAGGATTCTGTATTCAAAATTTCGAGGACCACCTCGAGGCGGACGTGCTCTATCATATATACAATGGGTATCATCTATCATAATATACATGCATACTCTAAATTTCACAAAACTAATAAAGTCGCTCAATATATGACCCATTCATTAGCGCACGAGCGGTTTCCGGCTCCTCATGCCGTTGCACAACCTTCAAGATATAATGCTCCTGAACCCCAGATACCCGTAGCCCACTCTCAAGAAACCGCGTGATACCACAATGGTACATGGCACGGACAAAATTCGACTTCACCGGGCCGTTGTACTTAATCAAGTAGTAGTAGAGGTATGTCACAAGATTAAAGGCTGCTCGGGGGCTCACTTTGTCCGATACTGCTATCGAGGAGGCCAGCAAATGGATGAATGACACGCAGGCATTTGGCTCCAGGTATAGCTGTTTGCCTTTGGATTCGAGTCGCAGGATGGCTCTGACCCTTTTTGTGTTAGGGATATGTCCCGCATTGCGAGTACTCGCCATGGCCAAGGCGACCTGCAGAGGCGTGTGCAGTGAGATCAGAAAAATCATGTCGCGTATTTTGGTGTTATCTTTCTCTATTAGATCGACCATGCTATCGATGAAGTCCGGACTGGTGACGTCGACGTTTCTTATAACCCTCAAATGTGAAGATAAAAGGTATGATTTGGTCGAATTGAACACGTTCCGCTGTAGAGCCGCCTGCTCCAGGGTCATGCGTCCCTCTTCAAGCTTCTGGAAGGATTGGAGAGTCGAAAGATTTGTGATTTCTTTGCGAGTGAGAAGTGCGTACACCTTTTTCAACACCTGGTTACTAGGAACGTCAAGCTGTTGAAGCCCTGCTACTAGCTTTGGCAATAGCTCTGTTCTGTTTTCATGCGATTGCCATTTGATGCTTGTAGTGACATTGTCGAAGAGCTTCAATATGGATATGCCAGCACCATGTATACTCTTCTGATTGACTTGATCTGGACGCGGACTCGCAAGTCTTCGATGAGGCGTGGTACTTATTGCAATCCAAGTCCACATACGAAGAGCAACCCTCAATCCTTTGGATGTGCCCAGACCATCATCCTCTTTCAATTCACACCACCCTTTTGACGAAAGAATAGCCGGTCTATCGATGTGCAAAAGGCAATTCCGCAGACCTTTGAGAGCATGATCACGAGCCGGGTCCTCGCGTTTTGTAAAAGCTAGACGTTCGGTGATCATAATGATGTAATCCGTAGCAATATCTGTATTCAGCTGCCGTAACAGGTCCGGCAATATTTGAGCGACAGCTCCTTCTGAATCGGCTGAGATTCGCGCATTGATAAGGTATTGCAGTAGGAGGTCTGCGATCGAGCTTGAGGGCACCAGCTCGTATCGATGATATGTCAGGATAAGATCTTTTGCATAGCTTAGAGAAGCCACATCACCACGCATCAGAGCCTGTTCAAGATATGTCGTGCAAACACCCCAATCAACCAAAGCTCCTCGCGAGTAAAGAACGTTCAAAGAACGTAGAGACATAGAGTAAGAGAGACTTCTTATCGAGTCATGATATGCAGCGAGGATGCGTTTAGCTAAACGCAGCAACCGAACATCATTGAAAGCCATCAGCTGGTCAACCCAGGGCTCAAGGAGTTCGTGGTCGATCTCATGCAACTTGAACACACTGCATGACTGCAGCGCGGTCCAGATGTCGTTGAAAGCTTTTTCCAGGGTTACAGTCTCCCGAGTCTGACGAGACGATTCACGACCGCATATGGATTCCGGCAGAAGTTTTAGAATTCGAGTAATCTCTCTGACAGGGACAAGACCAAGACCGATAGCCTTTGTGACGTTGTCAATGAGCTTCATTTTATAGACCATATCCAGAGCAGAGTCGCTAAGATGTTCGAATAGTTCGCTGTAATTGCCCATGCCGTATATATTTAGGCTCGAATCGTCCAGGAAATCCAAAAGCTCACGGACGCCTGGAGCTTGGTTTTCTCGGGTGATTATTTGATGAAAGTGATTGAATATCATGCGGCTATATTCCGGTTCATGTCGAATATCAATATGGTACCACTCCAATGCCTCTCTCACGTCATGTACGGTTTTGCATCTTGCCAATGATGAGGCAAAGGTCGGGTTCGCGGATGTTTGAGGTTCAATTGCATCGCCTAAGGCTTCTGCCGAACATTCTACCTGCGCGAGAAATGATAGGTTCGGAGACGGAGGAGGTTGATCGGAATAGGAAAATAGTTCTGCAGAAACCTCATCAGCAACCATTTTGTAATGTGTAATCACGCTTCATATTTATGCATACCCAATGGCTCCGGCCAGCGTGAGGACCATGGAGAATCGTCCCATTGGCGAACATGCCCCGTACCATTGGCGCCGAACAGATGAGCAACATTAGCTGCAGGATCAAAAGGACTTCCTCCCACAGCCAAGGCAGTATTCCTCCTTCTTGCAAGTCGTTTACTGGCTTCCAATGGACCAGGAACTCGACTTCCGTACCGACGCTGACCCTTCACGAATTTCTGGAACGTCGATGAGAGAAGCTCGTCGCTGATCCAGACGTAGTCGAGCCGAGAGGGAGCACGTTGTAGCGCATGCCTATAGGCATGGCTGCCAACAGACATGTCAGAAGAGGGGAATCAGGGGGATTGCGGACACTCAATTGTTCGATGGTATTAAATTTAGTGCATTGTTGCTGGTACAAGGTGATGATTTGTGTTAGAGTTCGGAGATGTCGATTTCGACAGCTCCATGTCTTGGCATGATGGATGACTAAGATTCTTTGCCTCAGGCAGCACATAAAATGTATCTTTCCACACTTCCATCATTACCTACTCTTATTTTTGCTCCCCAGTGTCATTTGAACGAACCCTGTCAAGAAGACGCATAATGCTATATATTCTGGACTCTGGTACCAGGAAACTTGGATGAACTGCATATTCCAACCGACATTCGACATGCATACAACGTTTAAATCTTATCATTACTCGCTGATGCACGTTGACGTGTCCTCTAGTGGCCTTCTCAAAGCAGATCAAGGGTCGAAATGAAGGACAGTTGCATTGGACTACGACAGCGAGCAGCACCTAGCCGTGCGTTGGGACCAACAGTCAACTTCTACTTGCTACTCAATTTGATAGGCGGATAAACATGGAGTGGCAGGKGGGKTTGATGCAAGTACGTGTAAGCGAGAAGAAAGACATCCAGCCCCCTGCAATATGGGACTGAATGAGGACCAAAACACTGACTCTAGGGCCTGCAGTCACGGCTTTCGCGACATGATATATATTCGTATGCAGTAATTCGCCGACTTATCCTGAGTAGGACTCGACGTAATCCTGGTCTTTCAAAAGAATACCAAACTGTTTTCCTTTGACGATACGGAGATGGCGGGGCGAAAACAAGCCTATTGATTTCCGGGGTATCCTCCACTTATAACGACGCCTCTTTGATCCGGACATCCTTGTTCACGAAACAATACGAGTGGTATATTTGCATGCATTGACCTTTTGGGGGAGAGCCGCAGCTAATTCTCGTGAGCGCAAATCGGATGTTCTTCAAACCATCCATGTATGGTGCGGTTTATCAAATCTTCATGTACAACCCATTGAACACCCTACACCACCCAATTCCCAAAAATACGGCCTAATAGACCTCAAGGTGGCGGAGAAGAAGAAAATAACGCCGCCGTGTATCTCCGTGCGTCATGAGACCTGACAATATAGTATGCAGCAGAAGTGAAGCGAGAACAACATGCAGCTGGTCAATATACCTTCATCACCGGGATACCCAATATGTGGGCACTGGGACCGACAAGGTCCTTCTGATTGCCCGGGTTGATTGCATAATCGATCAATTCAAGGCGCACCTATTTGTCAGGGATGCGTCTCGGGATCCTTAGTTTGCTTGCATTGCCAACGAGGCCGGAGAGTAAGTAGGTACGTGCCAAGGTAGTCTACATATGTAGTCCTGAGTAACACGAGTGCATCGATGGTAACCCGGGTATGCAGGTATGCAATCGCCTGGGTAAAAATGGGCCAACTGTTTTTTAGTCCGGTTGCATATTGCGGTTCACGAAGCTGATATGAGCAGAGAGAAAAAATGCCATGAAGACATGGATATGTGCGTTTCTTACCTAGGTGGACGGATGCACATGCCACATTGACATATATGGATACACTTGGCCATCTGTACGGAGTTTGTGACATGCGAAATGGGTTAATTCTCCGTTCCGTTGCTGATTTGATACCGAGAGCCACGTACCCTGGCATCTAATATTTGTGACTTGGCCGGCTCCGAAAACTAATTCCTAAACTGGGAAAGTTCGTATACGACCTTCAACGTGCACCGGTATCACCGTTATGAACGGTAGTCGAGCGGTACTGTTAGTGTCTGATAATGTATTTGGCGAGGTGTGACAGTCATTTCGAACATGCAGAAGGACCGGGTAGTTTGAGGGATTTGATGCTAGTGATGGGTAACCATGCAATACTAGATTAAATGCATGAATAGTGTATGTACGGTCATACATATACGATAAAAAGAAGTAGCAAAAAGTACATACTCGGTACTAACTTTGTTGGACCACGCCAAAGATACTATTAGCAAGGACGTGCATTGAGCTAACTCCGCCATAAGTCATAAGATGTCAACGGTTGTTGAAGAATTGACAGAAGCTGTTTATTACACAGTCAATTACTGACTACGCTAACGCCCGCTCGAAGTGTTTGGTATCAATATACGTACCGAGTAATCTACTACGTACATAGTAAAGTCTCCAGAAATATCCACTCCAGACGCTTATGCATGCCAGAGAACTTAGTTCAAACGGCTTGATGTTGTTCCCAATTTTGAGGAATGCGGAAAAGAGATTAAGCCATTCTCCTCTGGAAGTACGTATTACTAGTTTTCAAAATTACGGATTGATTGTTGGTTGACTATTTTCTATGCAATTGTTGGACGCTTTGGCAAGTGATGATTTGTCTTTGTGTATACGCAGTAACTAGGGTACTGAATTCAGAAGGCTTCAACCGCAGGAATGATTGAGTTGGCACGTCGATCCCAATGGCTTTCAGGGTCAAATTAATGGTCGGTTCAAGGTCTAGAAGCAGTAATTTCATATGAAACATGTCTACGTATTTCAACTGCCCATGGTTCGCTTGTCAACCGACACCAAGTCACGTCAACTGAACAATGAACATAAGTTGCTTTTACTCGAACTTTACAAAGAATAATCTCGCGGGCTAAACCCAAGCTAGTTACTGCAAGTTGCAAATAACATTGAAACAATCCACCGAATCAATATCCACCGATTCAGACGAATTTGGGGGGTTTGTGCGCCGGGGCCATCCCTTTTTAGTCACAACTGCACCGGTGCGTTGGGTCATACCCCATCCCGGGCCCCAGTATTGGGTCGCTAAGGATTGTAGAGCTGGACTTGCTTTTTTTGGTGCTATTAGCCTGTTAGCCCGCTTGCCTTCTCATTTTCCTTCTTTGTGTCCTTCCTTCTGAATGTTCTCGGCAGGGATGATCCTGGTTCGGACGAAAGATGCTGTAGATCGTTTAGGGTTTGATGCTCCGAGACAGCAAAAAGCACGCCGGAACTGTCAGATTCTCACTCCTTTGACTTTTGGGACGATCAAATCGACCACCGGATCAAAATCTGGACGACTAACGAGACAAAGCAAGTGAATACGACGTAAGCTTGAATTACGTACAGCAACATAATGAACTGGGTCCACTAACATGATTCAAGTTCAATATGGCTCGGTCTGGATCGAGCTTTGTACTCCGTAGTCTTACCAAGCCCGCGGTGAGTATCCGACAAGCTCTGAAGAGTGACAAATTAGTCTTATTGTTTTATTTACAAATCGAATGAATCTATTCTCAAAATATATCTGCAATTACTTCAGTCTGGTTTGAAATGCCAAGTACTGCCGTGTAACTGAAGGACTGGAAGAGCCATGTGAGTGAAAGATGATGATCCGTGATGCGATGAGACGATGTCAGTTCTACCTTCTGATTACGGAAAGGAGAAATCATACGGGCATCAAGGGCCGAGAACTAGCAAAGGATTTCTCCCTGGAATCTCCTTATGGAGCCCACCCCGACCGGAGGGAACCTTTGGTGGGCATCGGCGGGKGGCCACGGCCCACGGCCTCATCCTTAGCGGGCCGCTTAGGGTTTTGTAACTTTCGTTGCTTTTTTGCTTCCAGCTGGCCCACACTGTTGGTCAATGCTGCTGCTGCTAGTCCTCACGATCGAGACGGATTCCTTGTTGCAACTGCATTTCTTTATGTTTATTGTGACTTAGTACCGATGTGCTCTTGATCCATCTTAAAGGGCGGTCTACTTCAACTATTGTTTCATCTTGCGCGTCTCTATCTCAGCCTAGTTTGCTCACCCTGAATCGAATGCGAGACTCCCCGTATACTGACTACAGAAGAATCATGTGTACAGAGTAGAAACTACCCAAAACATGGTCAGACAGCCACCGGCCATAAACGCACGGTCTTTCAAGCCACGCATAATAGCAACGGACAACTCCGTACGTGCTTAAGTAGTCGGATTACGTACGTATTTCCAAATTCCCACCTACGTAGTATACAAGCGAGGTCAACTGCAAATCCCAGCATCCTGGGACCTTACTCTAGTTTCCGGTGTCAAGTGTGCAGGGGCTCTAAACGGTGCTTCGGGAATGGGACAAAGGTCAACATCGACACGGGAAGCTAACCCTAACTTCTTTTAGCCTCGACTACCCCCACTGAGAAAGGGAGTAGTAACTGTGTTGGTAATTAGTGTGTTAGCCAACGTATGGTCCCAACTCCTTTAGCTACATTAGTCCTGGGCCTGTGCCAGCTACGATGCAACAGACTGGATTGCCACGGGTGCCACGGTGCCATTTGACCCATTTGCGATGGATTGGCGTGTCCCCGAGTCACTTTGTGCAGGAAATGCGAATAAACCACCAAATTGAGGATCACTCTGCCCGGCCTGCAATGCCCAGAAGATAGACTTGTCTGGCTCTGTGGTTGCAGACAGCTTCGAACTTGGGAATTAGTGATCCCGAGTATGTCAAAGAGATTACATTTGGAGTTGCTGAATGGTCGAAATCGAAGACATCAGGTGATGGAAAGCGTCAATCTTAATGACTGAGCTATTATTACTATAAAACCTAATGAACATATTTGCTTCTTTCAAACAGACACACACACACACACACACATGAGTCGTACATGCTTAGGAATCATCGCCGCTATCCCTGAATTGGCACTACCTCTCTGGCCGGCGGTCGATCTCCTTTGATATTACTCTTTTATCCGCAGATTCGAATTAAGATAATGATCAATGATTGTCATGATTCATGCATGGTTGGATTCACCAATATCCATCAATGGATGTCGATCGAGCAACCCGCAGGTATGTACGTATTTGAAAAATTGTATACACCGGCCATACACCACATTCAGTTATATTTTCTATTATTTGTCGCTCAGCCTTTATCAAAGTATTTGAATATTCACACGTCTATCTAGACATATTTGATGGGCCAGTGCGGTGCCATTGAACATCATGCCCGCATTCAGCAGTTAGATCTGAACGAGAACAGCACCACAAAATGACAGCTCAGAATCGTCTCAGCCATTGAAATGGTTGAAATAAAAATATTCATAAAACAAGGAACGAAAGAAGCATCCGCCAATGTAAGTCATCAGCAAATCCCAGCCAGATCCAGCATCTCGGGTTTTGTTCTTCGATTCATTATTCCCACGATTGGCATTCTCGTTCCCCGCCTTTTGTATAATTGTTTTTTTTAACCCTGGGCTATCCGCCTTTGACATCAGCTAGGCCATCAATGGGAAATTCATATAGACGGTCTAGTATGCAGTGTAACTTGTCTAGGCTGGATGCATGACTTGTCCCAGTCGCTCGGGTGGACATCTGGCCGATGATTGATGGATTGAAGTTGCAGCTAGTCAAGATGCATTGGCGCAATACTTGAGCCGACTGAAAAAAGAATCACATACACGGTAAGTTGTACTGTAAGTCGTACACACTGTACCGAGGAAGTGGTCCATCAAAAGCAATCCTCGTATACCAACATCCGTACTGTACGACGAAAGTAAACTCCCCAGTGTCCCCACTCGGCAAGAGAACCAGATCCACGGTAACCCTTAAGTCGCCCTTAGTGAGAAAGTCTGAACCCTCCGGCTTGAACTTCCTGCATTAGTTCTTCTCTTCTGCTCCTATTTTGAAGCTAAATCCAGTAAATTTGTTACTAGTTTGGTTTCTACGTGACGAAAGCTTTCATTTGACGGATTTTATAAGCAGGCATGAACCCTTTTCAATCCGTTCTTTTGCTGTTGCTGCTGTTGCCTATCTATGTATGAACTAGCTTGCTTTTAATTTCTCTTCACAGAATATTTAAGTTTTCTATTCTGGTTGTGTTCTTTTCTTCCCATTCTGTATGCGTGTCGTGCCTGCGTCCTTTATAATATCTACGACTACCACGTTTCCGACTTCTCTTGAAGTGTCGGGTAACCACTGTCATTTCCGCTGCACCTGACTTGAGCACTGCCTGCAATGGCAATGACTCCAGACGTAAGTGTATTATCTATATGTTGAACTGTGATAGATCTTTTGCAGAGGGAGTTTGCTAACTGTTGATCGTAGGACTCTTCTAACGACTGGTAAGCCAAATGTCTCATCATCGCTCTCGTGCCTGCGAGCTTCAATATAGATTGTCGAGGTCGAGGTTAAGCGAAAAACAGAACGAGGAAACTTATTGCAGACGTTCATTGCTAATCGTTGTAAATAGTGACACTCAATCCTTAACGGAAAGTGTCACGGCATTTCCATTTGAGAATGGCCGAAGGTATCACAAGTACCATGAGGGCTGTAAGTCGATACTTTCTCTCTAAATGAACTGCTCATTGCTGACTTTCATAGTATATCCATTCCCAAACGACGAACAAGAACTAGACCGCCTTGATATGCAGCATCACATCTGGAAACAAATCAACGATAGCAAGCTACATTTCGCACCTCTACGGGATCCGAAACGGATACTCGATATTGGCACAGGCTCCGGAATCTGGCCGATAGAAATGGGTAGGCTTATTTTTCCTTACTCTATGATCTATGATGGAGATTCACTCTGACGTGAATCTAGCCAGTCTCTTCCCCGAAGCAAGCATAACTGGCACCGATCTCTCCCCAGTTCAACCCACCGAAGTCCCACCAAACGTTCACTTTCTGGTCGAAGACGCTACAGAAGAATGGCTCTGGGAAGCCGACTACTTCGACTACATCCGTCTCAGCAACATGACTGGCTCCCTGCCTTCAACCAAGGACGTCCTCAAAAAGGCCATGCGTGTACTCAAACCCGGTGGATGGCTGGAATGGCACGATATCGACCCCGTCCCTAGATGCGACGATAACACAGTCCCGCCCCCAAACACAGAAGGCGGCTTCAGCGAGTACGCATTACACGATTGGATAGAGTTAGAAGTCAAAGCCGCAGAAGAATACGAGCCCTATCGCCAATTCCTAATCGCAGATAAGCTAGCCGCCGAAATGAGACAGGAAGGGTATGCAGATGTCAACGAAAGAATCACAAAAGTGCCCCTGAACCCCTGGCCAAAGGATCCCAAATTAAAGACGTTGGGCGCTTGGTACCAGGAAAATTGGATGACAGGCCTCTCGGCATATACGTACAAGCCGTTTCTGACGCTGGGGTGGACGAAACCGGAGATCGAGGTGTTTCTGGTTTCGGTGAGGAAGTGTATTTCCAATAGGCATTTCCATGCATATCACAATTTTCATGTTGTAACGGCAAGGAAACCGTGAACGATGATCGGAAATGATTACGAAACTCAAAAGCTCTTTCGACATATAAATACATACCGAGGCTATTGCTACTGTGTTACGACATGTTTTATTCGAGCTCGGATATCTGACAGGCGTTGGAATTATTGGATGCATGGAATTGGTGAAGCAAAAAGGTCTGGTGGGCGTCATGAAATGTCAATTCTAATGTGCATAGGGGTTCCGGCGTTTGCCGTTTTACTTTTTCGGGCGTGCATAGATGGAGTATCTAGGAACACGGGGGACAGAAAAGTGAACTAGATGCATAATTTTAAATCGAGCTCGATGGTCTTCCAATCTGGATAGTTGCAAGCTAGGTAGGTTGGTGAGAAGGCGTAACATCAACTGGCGAAATAAAGGGGAAAGCGATGTATATGCTATTCTGTTGTACATCTATATATGCTTCTAAATATATTTGTGTATGTCTACTATAGGGTATAAAACAATCCGCAAAATCAGCTCGATATGCCATCCCTGCCCAATCCCCATCGACCAACTTCACGCATCGCCTCCTCACCACCTTCCGCTAATCGTCCGTTTGCATTTGACGGATTAGCATCTCCAAGAACMCCCGCCACGCAGTTCCAGCCGTTACGTCCACCGCCCCAGCGAAGTACTTCATTCTTATACTTTTCTCCTGCCTGGCGATCAATCGACAGTTTGCCACCTTGGAAGACGTCATGCCAGATCTTGTTCGCAATAGCGCGGTCGAAAATATAGCTGTAGTATGTGGCTCCGTAACCGTACAAGTGACCGAAGAACCCTTGCCAGGATGTGCGCGTGTTCCCATCTTGGGGGTCGGGCAGTGTGCAGTACGTGGAAAATACCTGATGGTAAATATCAGTGCTATCGATTGATCGTCTCCCGCCATCAGCAGATCGTGCATGGTAGGCTTGATCAACGAGAGCCATGAGAATCTGTGCTTCGTTCTCAACAGCCCCGTATATACTTCCGTGTGCGACGCGGTCTGCAGCCATGCTTTGCATCATGCTTTCTGACAACGGTTTGTCGGTTTCCCAGTGCCGCGCATATAATGAGAGGACTTCTGGCGCTGTGGCAAAACTCTCCATAAGGACGGATGGCAGCTCAGCGAAATCGGTCGAGCATCGTGTACCTGAAATCGACTGAAGGGGTGTTTGTCCAAGAACGGAATGAACTGCATGTCCCATCTCGTGGAACAAGGTTCTCACACTGTGTTCTGAGAGTAGTGTGGGGGGACCATTCCCAGATACAGGTGGCTCCGGAAAGTCACAGACAAGAGCAATAGTAGGCAATTGGCGAAGAGTGTCCGATCCAGGATTCATTGCCGTTGCCATTCCGTCATTCGGGTGGGACGGAGGTTCCATAGACGCCGATTCGGCGATTTCTTCTGCGGAGATTTCACGTGCACATCGAAGGGTGAAGTGAGCCGGGTTGGGGCTCTTGTTTGGTCGTGTGAATAAGTCGCAGTATATGACGGCAATGTGCTGACCAGCCTCGTTAACCACATCCAGTCTTCGAACATCTGAATTCCATGTTTCGCCCGGCAGCGTCTCCTGAGGCACTAGTCGTATACCATACAAATGATCAAATAGGCGAGAAAGACCCTGCATCACCGTGCCAAGTGAGAAAAACTCCGGAACTCTGCTTAGTTCGCGAGACCGTCGCGACATTGAATATTCTAGAACACGCTTTTGAACGTAGTACGAATGGTCCCAAGGCTGCAGTGGTGCCGCCCCTTTCATACTTTGTAGTTTGGCGAGCTCCTCCTGGACTTGCACTCGGTTATTTCCAATAAGAGTCGTCAAGAAATTCGAGACTGCTTCAGGAGTCTTGGCCATCTTATCACTCAATGCCATGTGAGCATACGTACTATATCCGGACAGTTTGGCCAATTCTGCCCGCTTATGCAAAAGTTCTTCCAACCGGTGGATTTGTCGCCTGCTCGACATCCGTGTCGCCATATAAACTTCCTTTCTCGACTTCTCATCGTGCATAGATCTGAGTGCCAATCGCGGTTCTACTCCCCAGGTCGGAATGGGTACACTATTCCACCTCTGTAGCTGATGTACAACCGTCGGATCTAAGCCCTGAACACTGCTCTTGCTCAACACAACGTGGGGTTTTGCGGGCTCGGCGCCGTTGACGAATTCCGATCCCAGTTGGCTGATATCGTTGGACAGATTGACGAACCGTTGTCGATCTTTCGGGGGCATGTGGATTGCCGAGTTTGAAAAGTCTTTGATCAATATTTCAGCAACCATTCTCTCCTCCTCCGTCCAAGAAGCAACCACTTCGGGAGTAGCAGCTGCCTTTTTAAGTTGGTCATGCAGTCCTGTCGTCGTGTTCAGAATGTTCATGTACTCGAACATGAGTGCATAAGCCTGGGTAGCCGCTTCTTGTATCAACGGATTCGGATGGTTGCTTCGAACAAAATCCGACAAATCGATAACCCGACATAGCAAATCACTCAATCGATCCAAATCCTTAGCCATAGTCTTGTATCCGTCCAACGTAGACACCGCCAGCACCTTTGAGACGATGCGTTGACATTTCTGTAATGACGTATGCGCGAACTCGCGGAAGCCTTCAGGGCTGGTGAGATACTGGTTCTGTACGATCCCCGTCCGTTTCGAGCTATTTGCTTGTCTCTGCGAGAAATCGCGCCAAAATGGGCGCGAATCAAAGACTCGTCTTAGGGTTTCATCGTCGCGTTGCTTTGCGAATTTGTTTGCTGCGACATAATCAACGGAGGACTGCTGGTCTGCCGCGACAGCAGTTGCAAAGGTACGTTCTGGTCGGGGACGCTGCAGACGTTGGAGACGCTGCAGGCAGGCCCTGCAGGTCCATGGACGAGATCGCACAGTATTCAGCATTACGAAAATCCTGAAACTGGTGCTCTCACTGGCTTGAAATGTGGTAAAAGGAGAACAGGAGGAAAAAGTTGTTTGATCTTGGTTTTCTTGAGGCCCGAACAGCCGAGTGCCGCAATAGGCTTGGCTCGGCCCTGCCCTTTCCGATACATCAACGTCAGTTCCGCAATCTCGCAGACGACCTCGACAAAATCATATTCACCACGCAGACATCCCACGCCGTCGCATCCATTGGCCCTTGACCTCTTCTCTATTCAAGATGTCATTCCGGCCAATGTTCCAGCGAGTATGTATCTCCCAATTATCCAGCTGTTGCCGAGGAAATTGGAGCAAATTGTTAATCCTTAACAGCGAGCTGTCGCTCCCATAGCAGCGACGCTTCTGGTTGGAGGCATAGTCACATACCCTCGACGAACCGTTTATGCTGAGAGTCCCTCAGACCTTGTACGTATATAGAAAGAGCTTTTAGCTTCATCGTMCCTGCCGATCCCAGCACAGAACTAATCAACTCGGCCAACAGCGGAAACCTATTTACGACGACTACCCTACCGAATCTGTCGCCGTCCCAGAACAGAAACCCATTATCGCCATCCCTTCCGAAATCTCAAACAAAATCACAAAAGAAGAATCCAGCGTCACCGATCTTCTAACGGCGCAAGTCCGTCGTGCCCGCCTCTTCGTCTATGCACACTCTCTCGCCGCGGAGAACAGTTTCAACGACTTTTTGTCTCGCGTACTCCGCGTGGAAAATGCATTCACCAACACAATTGCCTCGCTAGCTCCATCTCCCGAGTCAGGCGAACGCCTCCTTCCCGGTGGAGTTTATGTTATTGTGTCCGCCATGGCCGGATCAATTGTCTCTCGGAACCGTGGAATCATTCTCCGATCAGCGACTCCTCTTGCATTCGGTACCATCGCCGCCTGGACTCTCCTGCCAGTGACTATGCGCAACGTCTCGAACCTGGCTTGGGAGTATGAGAAGAAAGTGCCCGTGGTGGCTGACAACCATCTGAAGGCCCATAATTATATTCAGCACGTATACACCACCGGAGTCGCTCACAGTGCAATGGGTCGCGTTATGCTGGAGGATAAAATTGGAGAAGCCCGTGAATATCTTGAAGAATGGGTTAGGAAGGGCCGATAAAGGCTCGTATATGGTTACTCCTTGAGTACGGCATTCGGTTCGATTAGATGTTTCGATTCTGATCGCGGAAGACCGATCGTGTCTGTGCCCCTGTAAAATCTATTCCTTTACCAGTCTGTTCTGGACTGTTTGCCATGTTTTAAAAGATGTTTTATTTCTAGACTTTCAAGAATTTCTCTTTGTGTGATTAATTGGCATCCATCCAAGGCGTAGTATAAGCCTCCAGAATAAAAATAAAGCAATAAAAAAAATCCGCAAAGCATAGCGTCAAGCCATTCATACATTATGTGACTCGATCAATAGCTGTCTGTAGCATCCTCCACAGACCCTTATGGTCTGTATGTATAGGCAAGTTACCAGGCGACTTGTATGGTTGTTTTGTCTTCTCCAGACCCTTGCCGGTCTAGATCTCATAACTGCTCAAAATCCTACGTCGCTCGAATGGTCTAGGGGTATGATTCTTCGTTTGGGACATTCCTCCAGGTTCTCAGATTTTTCTTGGATTCCTGACATGGGATTTTGTCTAAAATCGAAGAGGTCCTGGGTTCAAATCCCAGTTCGGGCCTCCAGTGTCTCTTGACATTTATATCTTTTTGCTTCGGCTTCCTTTATGAAGAAATAAGTGTACTTGATAGTATTCCAAGCAATCGCATGTTACGACTACAGTTAGGCAAGTGGAGGGAGTGCATGCCTGATCCGCAGGTCTTGAATAATGGTAACACGTGTGATTGGCTATCGCTGGAGTATTATTATATGGTACATATAGAGCATCAATTGTTTTTCCGCATGTGCTTACGGCGGGCCTCCAACCTTTGGTGGTGGTGGTGGTGGTGGTGGTGCAAGCGGCGTGCCTTTCCGTGAAGGTGTAAAGTCCTCTTCTTTACTTTTCTGTTCTCCTTCGGCGAAATATTCATCAAATGTTCGGCTGGGCGAGATTCCTGCATGTCGATTTCGTCGTGTTTTGCTTGATCGAGGGGCAGCGGAACTGTTAAGAGTACTGGTAGGTGACGATAAAGGAGGAGGTGCGGCTAAGTTGGCAGGGACAAGATAACTACTGTCAGGAGCTGCCGAAGAGGGGTTGAATGCAGGTGTTTCCCTCAATTGCTCCTGTCCGCCCTCTTTTGTCTCAAAGACGACTTCACCGGGACCCTCTACTTCTTCACCCAAGCCCACGGGTAGCCTATGTAATGCTCCGTATCCAAGGACAGCGCCCAAAGCACCTTCTCCGCCCCAGCCTCTTGTTGGGACCAGCTCTACTTCTCGGACAACATCGAACTCGCTATTGTATACCCATAACACTAGACTTCGGTTGAGATGGTCCTCCACCAGTTCGCCGAGTGCTGACTCTCCTCGTAGCGTGCCACTTGGTGATCCTAGAATGTAATCGGAGTGTTCTAACAAGCCGGCAAGGTAGGCAGGACTGAGGGGTGACGGTATTGACAGAACATGCCAGATGTGTTGTGTGACTGATAGTGGCGTGAGTTGTAAGGTCAGGCCTAATGACGGGTTCTCTTTCGAGACGGGGATAGAGATTGTATGCGTCCGTTGACCCTTGTTATACGTCAGCGTATTGAAAGTGTAGCTAAAGTTGAATCATTCTCATGAGTACCTTTGCGCTCCATATTTCTAAAGACACACTTGAGCCGGCGCAGTTGCGGACTTCCGTGACGAAGAGATTATGATCCGGTTCCTCCTGCATTCGCAAAAATAATGAGCTACTGCAACACGCGACCAAAAGAATTTGTGCTCACAATCAGACGGCCATTTATTCCAATAATAAAATCAAACCACGGCTCTAGTGGTAAGTCACCATCCTTGTTGCGGAGTATTTGGAAACCGAATGAGTTGTCTCCAGGACCGTTTGAATTATTCTGAACAGCCTCGCTGTCGAGCCGGCCAATGAATCTGTTGAGGGCGCCAAACATCTTATATCAACGTAATGATCGGGACGAATAGAAAATATTCTGGGTAAAAAGAAGCAATCGCAGACTTGAGCTCCCCCGCGGAGTATGGAGAGCTGTCCAGAACAGGTACAAACAAACAGTGCAAACAGAACTTCCGCTCCACTTTTATTTGTCGCAGCGGCAGGTACCATTTTCAGCCTTCTCGACAGCAACTACTAGCGACAAGGTATGATATCTGACATGCTAGCTAGCAGAGAGTTGGCAGTGTCTCTGATTGATTGCCATGACCGAGGAGCTTGAGGAATTTGCGCCTCCAGAGGTTCATCACTACAACGAGATAGGTGAAGTTCCCTGGGATATTCAAAAGTAGGTCTCTGATTATGCTTTATTGTTGAAGTCCATATTGACCGAACTACAGCTACTGGAAACAGCGTCATCGCATCTTCACCAAGTATGAAGAAGGTGTCTGGCTGACTGATGATGCGTGGTTTGGTGTCACCCCCGAATCCATCGCAAAGTACGTACTGTTTCCTCTCCTATCAGCCTACCAACTAACTCTTGCAAAGCAAAATCGCAGAGCACATATCCGCCTCTGCTCCAAAAGACAAAGTCGTTCTTATTGACGCATTCGCCGGAGCAGGTGGCAACAGCATAGCTTTTGCGAAGTCTGGACGATGGAAGCGGGTGTACGCTATTGAGAAGAATCCGGCTGTCCTCGCGTGCGCCAAGCATAATGCAAAGATCTATGGAGTTGAGTCAAAAATCACATGGTTTGAAGGGGACTGCTTTGAGATCCTGAAAACACATCTGAAAGACTTGGGGGCTTACAGTGTTGTTTTTGCTAGTCCGCCATGGGGAGGTATGCCACTTCCCAATTTGTTATCGTACCGATGAACATACTGACTTTTTTCAGGTCCCGGATACAGATCAGACGAAATCTTTAACCTGCACACAATGGAGCCATATTCGTTGGACCATCTTCATAAGGAGTATTCGGTATTTTCTAAACATATAGTCCTTTATTTGCCAAGAACCTCGGATCTCAGGCAATTGGCGAAGTTGGTGGATGATGGAAAGCAAGTGATTGTGGAGCACTACTGCATTGAAGGTGCAAGTAAGGCACTCTGTGCTTACTATGGAGACTTTAAGTTGTCACTATCTGACTGAGTGAACATATTATTATGTGCTAGGATACGAGCTACGAATATAAATTGAAAAAAGAAGCTGACAACGCCCACATCAATTTCTTTGTGCTGAACCGCTTGTAAACCTTATATTTATATCATTTCAATGCAACTATTGATCGTTCCGATATTTTGGCTTTACATATTGAAGTACTGGTATCTTTGTAGCTCTACAATAAAAAGGCAAATGATCGATCCCTTATTGATTTAACTTCGTCACTATCTCCTCAAAAATGAGCTCACCGCTAAAAATCTGCCGGCAGAAATATACGGTGGACCATTGTTCTGCTTATGAATGTTTGAGACAGTGGGCCAATGAGAGCAACGTGATATCAAGCGGTGGCGGAACAATTCTATTGACGAAACAGCATTAATAGGACTTGCGTTTATAGTCCGCCGTAGCGGACCGCGGAGTCGCTATCGCACGCGGTAACTTACTTCTTATCCTAGATTCATCTCCCTACGGAGGAAGCTACTCTTATTTCTACCACGCCATCAATTTATCCTCACTCCTACATCTATTTGGGTCGCTAGGCTCAGATATGAGGACGTGATGGTAAGAAACGGCTAGAACTGTTGAACTTCACTGTACCCAGGTTGTCCACCTTCACCGGAGACTTCACCACGAACATTGAGCCGACTTAATCATGCCTCACGCCACCGCAAATGGCGACAACGTCGTCGATGATCTCGATTTCCAGAACGTGTTAGCACAGATCAATGCCCCCGATGGCGGTCAATTCGATTTCATGGGCCGTGAGCTGGAGACCGGCGAAAAAGCGGACGATGCCATCGACTTTGAGGATTTCGACGATGACGATCTCCCCGACGAAGAAGGGCCCGCGACCGTTGTCGCGCAGGTGAATGATGTGAAACAGGGCGAAATCGATCTAGACAATCTCTTCTCTGGCGATCTCTTTGGCGATGAGGCTCCTGCAGAAAACGGTCGAGACGAAGTGGATGATTTATTCGGCGACGGCGCATTGTCTCCGGTCGCTGAGAATGGGGAGACGGTTGACGATTTGTTTGGCGATAACGAGTTCGGTGATAATGAGTTGATGAAAGGCATCGAAACCAGCGCTGCCTTGCCACCGCTCGAAACTACGCAAGATGAAGACGGGGATATCGATCTTTTCGGGGAGGTACCGGAGGAGCCCATTCCCCAGCCAGAGGAGGACATGGACCCAGTAACCTTGAACGCTTGGAGAGAACAACAAGCTTTGTTTGCGAGGTCGGCTGCTGCCGCTGTCTCACTCCCCGGTCCTGATCATATCCCTGCTCCACCCGAAAACGATGAAGAACTGCTGAAGTCGTTATGGCCGAATTTCGACCGCGACTCATTTCCGCGATTCGTTGAGCTTTTTCGTCACAAGAAGGCTTTCTACCTTGGAAAGCAAGCCACCAAGCCTCCGAAACCCGTTCTGCCCACGAAAATCAACCTTGAGTTTGGTCTAGATCAAGAACGAGTCTTCAAGACTGGTGGACAAGGGACCAAGCGTGCCCATGACTCCGAGAACTTGGGTCTGGTCTCATTCCAGCAAGCCGAGGAGTCTCCTGTGGAATCAGAAGAAGATTTCGATGCAGAGATTGACGAATCAGAGATCCTTCCGGGCGGCGTCACCATGCAAGATCTTCGTATCCTGTGTACTGATTGGGATATCAAGACTGAGATTTCAGAAATTGACGTTGAGGAAGAGGCTGTCCCACAAGAGGCTGCAGCTGCGCCTGTTGATGAAATGACGTGGTCACTTGATATGGACGATGTACGCCCTACGAAAAAGCGCAGACTAGGACGTGAGCCCCATGAGCTACTGGCGCTGGCCGACATTGAAATTCCTCTTCTTGACGACCCAGATCGCCTGACTTCGAAAATCGCGAAGAAGGTTGTCATTGATTTAAATGATCCTCATTTGTTGCTTGATACCCGCCCTGAAGCCGTCTTGCAGAAATCAAAGTCTCTACCTGTTCCTGACCGGGATGAGATGGATGCTAATACTACCAAACGCCTGAACAAACGGTACAACATCTCTAATGACGACGCATATGATATGCTGAAAGAGAACCATCAGAGCAAAATCCGAAGCACTCTTGGAAATGCAGCCCTTGAGCACAGTATGCCTGCTCTCCGACTCCAATGGCCTTACTACAAGACTGAACTGTCCACGACCGAGGCCCGATCGTTCCATCGTCCAGCTCTCACTTTCCGGCCGAACGTCAGTTCGTGGTTCAAAAATTCTCGATTCGTCAAACGCAAGCATGTCAAAGGAAAGAGTGTCAAAGAGCTCTACAACTCTACCAAATCCGTGTCTATGGGAGATACTTCGACGATGCTGTTGCTGGAATACTCGGAAGAAGTTCCCATGATGATGTCAAACTTTGGTATGGCAAATCGTGTTGTCAATTACTATCGCCGAAAGAATACAGATGATCCTACACGTCCCAAAGCCGAGATTGGAGAGACTCAGGTGCTGCTGCCTCAAGATAAAAGCCCGTTCTCCATATTTGGACATATCGACCCCGGAGAAACAACCCCGGCTATTACGAATACCATGTATCGCGCTCCTATCTTCAACCATCAGCCAAAGTCTACAGACTTTTTAGTTATTCGAGGCTCAACTGCGACTAATGGGTCTGACTATTTCTTAAAAAATGTCGAAAATCTTTATGCAGTCGGACAACAACTCCCTTCTACCGATATTCCTGGACCGCATTCACGAAAAGTCACGACCGTTGCTAAAAATCGCTTGAAGATGCTTACTTTCCGGTTGATGAAGAAAGCAGGGAATCTGCAGGTATCAATCAATCAAGTCACAGCACATCTTCCAGGGTCTTCTGATATGCAAAATCGACAGAAGATGAAAGACTTCGTCCATCACGACAAAGATACCAAAATGTGGGTACCAATCGGGCAGATTCCAGATTCGGAGACCATTCGATCTTGGATTCAGCCCGAAGATGTCTGTCTTTTGGAGTCTATGCAAGTCGGATTACAACATCTCCATGATACCGGTCATACAAACGGCGCCGATGAAGAGGACGAAGAAGCTGAAGGGGAGAGCTTCGAACAACAAATGGCCCCATGGCGTGCTACCCGCAACTTCATGATGGCTTCTCAAGGTAAGGCTATGTTGAAGCTGCACGGCGAGGGAGATCCGACTGGTCGTGGCGAAGGTTTCAGTTTCATCAAGACCTCAATGAAAGGTGGATTCCAAGCCATCGGCGAGAGTGCACAAGAAAAAATGGAAAAGCGCGAACAGAAAGAGACAGGCGGTCATAGCTACAATGTCGCACGACAACAAAGGGCCTACGAACAATCCATACGCCGTATCTGGGATGCCCAAAAGGCAAGTCTGTCATCTCAAATGGAAGCATCCGACAACGACAGCGACATGGATCAAGACGAAGAGGATGATTTCAATAAACCCACTCCACGCGAAGCTGCGACCCCATCTTTCCGTCGTGATGATGAGAGCATGAGTCAATTCAGCCGATTCAGCAGTCGCAGTCAACGTGGCAAGGTTTTGAGAATCGTCCGAGATTTCAGGGACGATAATGGAAATATTTATCAGAAGGAACAGTTAGTCTGGGACTCGCGTGTTATTCGAAAGTACATGCAGGCGCGGCATCGTGTTGAGGCCATCAATACCCAGTATGTACTCTATTTGTCCTAATATCTGTGATCGTTGAGCTAACATATCAAACCTAGACTTGCCGAAATCCAACCAACAGGTGATCCAGAAGTCGACGCCCGCAATAAGAAACTGTAAGCACCTTCTCTGCCAAAACGATTTCATCATACTAACAATTATCCAGCCTCGAAGCAGAACTGACACGCCTGAACCGCAATAAAGAACGCCGCTTCGCCCGCGAAAAACAAAAGGGCATCGGGCGCACTTCCATCGGTGACTCCGAAGAGGCTGGCACACCGTCAAAGGGTGGCGGAACCACGACACGGAAATGTGCCAATTGTGGAATGATTGGACATATCAAGACTAACAAAAAGTACGCCTGCTCGCTCTCTCTCTATCTTTTAGTTATATGGCTGCTGACTTTGTTTTGCTGCAGACTTTGTCCCAAATTGAATGGCAGCGCACCTCCCGACGACGGCGTCAGTGAAACCGCATTCTCTATGACTGCCGGCTCGACGTCTTTCTAACTATTGCAACCCTCAAAACATCTGCATTCTATTCTCCAAGCATCGTCTCAAACAATCTATCCTTACAGAAAATTTCTAATATTCTCATTGCTGGCGTTATTTCCCATGGCCCCGGTTTTTCTTCTTGTCATTTCGGGGAATTGCATATACCATTGCCGTGGTCGGTGTTTTACTGAGTCATTTATTGTTTTTTATTCTTCTGACCTCGCATTGGCGTTCTGGGCTAGGGTCGAGATGCATTTGTGTATAAATATGAGGGTTCGGATAAAGATGACTACAGAATGCATTTGTTGGATGCTGTCTATGACAATGTATTCGTATGGATGTAATTCAAGTACGTAAGCAACGCCTAAGAAGCCAATGACACGATACGAATATCCAAAATATGTATAAACTAATGATAGAAAACTCAAAAGTTTTTAGAAGAATGACGAATGCCCCAAGTGACCGTTCACCAGACCAAACTCCTCCCACGCTCTATCTCGAGAACATCCCTGACGGATTTCGGTCGACGCCAGGTATAACCCACAAAAGCACCTTTCGTTCTAACATCCAGCGCCGTAGGTCCTGCAACTGCATCGCGGAGAATTTTGTCGCGCGCTCGTTTCCTCTCCTTGTGTTTTCGCTTTTTGCTTACGTGGTTATCGATTTCTTGCTTGAAAGCTTCTTGCTCGAGCATGTTCTGGTATTCCGGTGTCAATGGATCGGGCACGGGGGGTGAATGAACATCATTTGATTGCTGCTTCTCTTGGATGTTGCCCGGGTTTGTATCAGTGAGCCTGATGTCTTCCCAGCACCGTTCCTCCGGTACATAAGGCGGCCGACGAAGAAGCATATCGTTCCAGGAATGATCGAGAAACCAACGATGAGATTTGATGTCCGTTGCATCATCACTATAAACATGACTTCCTTTCCAATGTGAATTCCTTGGATCGGATGACTTGGCATAAGGATTCTGTAGTCCATGCCAAAGAGCGCAGTCGTTAATTTTGTATCCTCTACTGGACAATCTGAACTCCTTCCTTTGTAAAAGTCGGTGAATCAGATCAATCGCGTGATATGATATAATAATGTCACTAAGTCGATCCTGAGGAAAGCGTAGAGTATATCTATGATTCTACAGCCACAAGGTTAGACAATACATAATGCAAGATACCGGGGATACTAACACGAATACACTTCTTAGTCTCTTCTCTGTCTTCGCAATAGAACGGGGTCATCCCATACAAACACTACGAAATCAGTCAGTTGATCGACAAGCGTGGTCAGATATAATTAGGGATTTACCTCATAAAGAATGATTCCAATGCTCCAGTAATCACATCTACCATCATAGGGCTCTCCGACTACAATCTCGGGCGCCATGTACTGACTTGTCCCAACGATACTTCGAGCGAACCGCCTTTTTTGTCTCCGATCACGCCAATCAAGCATAGGCTCGCATACCTCATCTCTATGTCCATCGTGAATGCTCTGCTGAAGTGGACCGCTTTCCGAGTTTTGTGGCTTTTGACTAGTTGCTTGGTCTTCACTATCTCCGTGAATGTCGATTCCTAGTTTTGAAAGCAAGGAGTACCGATGATTGTGAAAATAGGATTGACTATGCGACCAATGCCCATCAAAAGCAAGACCAAAGTCGGCCAGTTTCAGATGCCCAGAAGCAGAAATCAAAAAGTTTTCTGGCTTCACATCGCGATGAATCCAACCCAGGCGATGGGCTTCCTCAACACAGAGGATCATTTCAGCCACGTACCACAGAGTATCGCCTTCTGTGAGCACACCTTGACGTATGAGTAGCCCAAAAAAGTCGCCGCCTACTTCGTACTCCATGACGAGGTACAAATTAGCAGCATCTTGAAAACTTGCAACAAGAGGAACAATCCACTTCGACCTCTCGGATGCAGTCAAGATCTCCCTTTCGGCTCGTATATGACCTTCTTGACAAAGTCGTACCATCTCTGCTTTGCGTATTACCTTCATAGCATATACATGATTTGCATTTGGGGTTTGAAGGTCTCCTCCTGAACCATAACCCTCCGATGCACGGATACCTCTCGTCAATCGCCAACTAGATTTACTACATTGGACCCCATCAAGAGAAGTCAGAAGTTTGCCTCCTTTTTTATGCAGAAATTCATGATCAAGAAGCTTTTCCTTCACCAACTGAACAGTTCCAAAGCTTCCTTGACCTAAAACTCGAATCACTTCATACCCGGCAAGTGATACAGTGTCCCGGTTATGTGCATGATTCGATTGAGTTTTGAGAACTCGAGTCTGACGAAGATATTCAGTCTCTTGACTAACCCATGTCTTTTGTATCTCGAGACGTTCTTCATTGCTGAATGGGAGAAGATGGAGGTGCGCTTGAAGTTCTCGAAACCTCTGCTTGCGACTTTCATGGGGGGCGTAAATCGCATTGAAATGCGTCTCAAAAAAGACCTTTGCTACCGCGGTTGATTCCGCTGTCACTATGGATGGTTTAATTTTTGCTTTGGTGCTCAAGTGAATCGATGGAGCAGATCTGCTGGATCCAGACCTTAGCCTCCGAGTGGAAATTTCACTTGCAGGTAAAAACAGTCTAAGTGAAGTCGACATCCCATCTAGTGAGCTATGATAGTCGGGCTGGCTAAATAAAGGTGAAAATTCTGCAGACTGCTCGGTGCTTTCTTGTCCTGGGCCATCGTATTTGTAGTCCGATATAACAGGGCACGAGCTGTCTATGCGAACAATACCTGGCCTTGCTTTGGTCTTTGTACGGCGAATAACAGTCGACGGTCCGAATATAGACAACTTCTGCGATAACCGACGAGCCAAAACCGGTATACGACTCGGTCGATCGACATTGGAATGCATGTAGAACTCATTCTCGAAAGCCACTTGCGCCAACTCAAAACTCTCCGAGACCAAGCTGTCCGCGCCTGGCGTCGAGATGGGCTGTTGATGAAACTCAATCGTGGTTGGGAAATCGTTTGACGATGGGCAGAAGCAATTTGAGACGTTGTCGGTACGTTCGTCGTCAGCATCTCGTTGAGACGCGGTGGTAGAGCATAAGCTATTGAGGTCAAGGGGACTGCTCGATGTGGTGTCTGAAGCTATATAAGCCTTCATCCATGTCTTGAACAAGCTACTCTATTAACTACTCACCAGTCTCTTCTGTGTCGCCGGAGTTCCATAGCCCCAACTTCGAGAGTAGCTTGACCTTGCCTCTCCTAATCTTGGAGATCAAACAAGCACCGGAGGAGAGTGACTCTTTCTGTGAGCTGTTCCATGGACCGGATTGCGGTCTCGCTTTCTCATTGCTTGTCTGTGTGTTCGCGCTGACCTCATTGATTGATGTCGCACCCTCCGAATGGGCCCCGACGAGTCTGTTATTGCGCTTAGGCATTTTGGCAGAAGACGAAGCCTAAATATAGATCTGCCACCTATCGATGTTGTCAATAACTTGAATAATGGAGGGAAGGGTCTACTGTAGACTTTCCCCGGATCGCCGAGAAGTGCTCAAGAGAACAAATTTCGAGTGTGGGATCCGAGAGAAGTTATCTCCGAGAAGGAAGGAGCGTGCCTGCTTGTACCAGCACAAAAGCACATGACCTGCGTCTCCTACAAAGAACAGGAAGAATATTGAAATATATAACCATCCTATTGGCATATTCTATCACAGGCCGAAGCCTGAAAGAAGGAAAGAAGAAAAATCACAACAGATAACTTTTAAACATATGGAAACAGTAGAAGAAAAAAGCCGGTAAGAATGAAAGTAAACTCCGTACGCGAATTGGTATCCTTATCCTATTCAAAATGCAACAGAGTCTTCGTTCACAAATACAAAACACGTCGTATGTTCGAGCACTGGAGAAGATGCAATGCCACATGGACAGACCAAAGACATGATAGGGAAAAGATAACCGTTAAGAGACAGTAGACTGATATAAAGAGTCTATTTAATTTCGAGCAGTTTGACGTCGAAGATGAGCTTCGAGTTGGCAGGGATACCGGGCAGAGCTTTCTTGCCGTATGCGAGGTGAGGGGGAATGGTGATGCGGCGCTCGCTACCGGCGGTCATGCCAGCGATACCGATGTCCCAGCCCTTGATGACCTCGCCCTTGCCAAGCTTGAAGGTGAAGGGCTTGCCTTTTTTATTGGCTGTGGGAGACTATTAGTTATCTTTCTGAGTGCATCTTGAGAAATGAACTTACAGTCAAAGACCTTTCCGTCCTCGAGCTTTCCAATGTATCGCATAGCGACTGTGTTTCCGTTCTTAGCAGCAGGTCCCTTTCCGAGCTTCTTGTCATCAATCTTGACACCCTGCACCTCCTTCACACCCAACGTGCCGGTCGACTTCTCAGCAGGCTTCTGGTTAGTAGAACCAGTAGGGCCCTGCTCCAAGTTCTTAGCGAACTGAACCTTCTTGTCGGACTTAGCGGCAGGKGTCTCCTTTGCCTCCTTCTTGTTCTCAACAGGAGCAGCGTCACCGTTGTTCTTCTTCAGCTTCTTCTGCTGCTTCTTGTCCGCCTTCGCGGCATCCTTGGCAATGAGATCTTCCAGTGCGGCCTCTTCCTCGGCAGCACGCTTGTTCTTGCCCTTGGTCACCAACTTGGGGGCCTTCTCTTCTTCGGAGTCGACTTCAGTAATGCGGGGGTCCTCCAAGTCGTCAAGGTCGTCGCTTTCGTCACCTCCATTGAGGAGGTAGTCCATGCCATCCAACTCATCTTCATCAGGTGAAAGGTCGTAGTCATCTTCATCATCCTCGTCCTCATCGTCATCGTCATGGAAGTGTGGCTCCTCGGCGGGCATGACAAAGTTACCAGTTAAGTAGACAGTGTGTGTACCGGTGACCTTGAAAAGGACGCGCTCGTCATCGGCAATGGTAATGTCAAGAGGTTGTTGGTATGTCTGCCATGATCAGTCAAGTCCATAACAAGTGGTCTATACATCATATGTGCCTACCTTCTCAGTGTCCAGAGTGCAAACAACAATCTCCTCGAGCTCAAGACCCTCCTCATCATCCTCATCCTCGTCCTCATCGCCAGTGGCAGGACCCTTGCCCTTGATGAGCTGTGAAAGAGCAGCCTTGAAATCAGCGCGATCAGTGTCATCTTCGTCATCATCCTCCTCATCATCATCAAGGTCCATAAGCGCAGCGGCGGCCTGGCGTTGCTTGGCCTTTGCCTTGTCGCTGGGACCACCGTTGACCTCTTCGTCGTCCGAGTCGTCCTCACTGTCAATGTCTTCATAGTCCTCATCATCCTCGTCATCCATATCCATATCAGAGGGGACGCGGACGATCTTGAGGGTGGAACGGGGAGGCTTGCCGGCAGCGGTATCATCTTCATACTCGGGCTCAGCATCGGGGTCGATGGCGGCCATGCTTACACGGAACTTGAAGATAAATCATTTTAGTTCAATGACCAACAAAGAATTGACGCAAACGGCCTAATCAGAACTCACCATAGCCATTGCACCTTGGGGCAATGCAGGGACCATGATACCACCAGGCGGCACCTGGACGGTGTAAAGACCAACGGGCTGAGACATTGTGAGATATGATATGTCCTTTTCTTCTTTTTGATTCACGATAAAATGAAACTGTCTAAAATAATTTTATAGACGATAAAGAAAAAAGAAAGAAAGTGAGTAGAAGAATGGAGCTTGACGACAATTCTAGATGGAGGAATTAAAAAAAAAAGTTTTAGCTTGGTCGGAGATAAAGGCGGTCACGCTGGGCGTTGCTTGGTGAACCATACTATTGCTCCCCACTCACGTGTCAATCTCTTTGAGCTGATCCACTGGATCTGTACCCTAACCCTATAGCCTCACTTAATGGATGTACGTATATATACATATGTCAAAATTCACATTTATTTGATATATACAATTCATAAAACGTTATACATAAACTTCATCTATCAATATCATGCAGAGAACTCAGGAGGAGGCAGCCCCCTCTCCTCGACCGCAGCAGCAACACTGCGATGTACGATATTCAGCGCCTCATTCCAAGTGGTCTCGGCCTGCGAACTTTGCGTCTGCTCCATAGTCGAGGCTGTTCCGTCTGTTTTTTCGGCGTCGTTTCTGACTAGCCATGTCAGCCACTCAGCCACCGACACGGCTTTTTCAATGTCCCGCTCCTCGAGGACTACGCGCTTGAGGTAGAGAGCTAATGCTTTCACGTCCTCGACGAAGGGCGCCTCGGTTGCAAAAGCCGAGTACCACGCAGTGATTGCTTCGCGAAGGTCGGGTAGTGCACTCAGTTTTTTAGACGTAAAGGTAGGCCGTTCTGGGCGAGGTGACAGCTGGATGCGTTTTTCCGTAGTGGGAGCAGTACTAGACTCAGCTGGGGTGCCTGGTCGAGGAACTGCCAACTTACGAGAGGCGGGKGCAACCAGGTTTGATCGTTGGCGCATACGTTCTTGGCGGTGTTGTTCCAATACTTCTGCCCGGATGTCCTCAGGAAGAGCGGCTAGAAAATCGTCCGATATCTCGGATGTCGTTTCAGTGTGTTGAACCGGCAGAGATCGATCAATTGTCTCCGGCTCAGCAGTGCGTGGTCGACTGAAGTTGAAGCTCGATTGCATCAGATTCGAGCTAGACATAGGCTTTGAAGCATTGGCCAAAGACTTGGGCGGCCGGCCACGGCGCTTCTTGACTGGAGTGGTTGATCGTTTAAGGATAGGCGCTGCACGTACCGTACGCGACGGAGGAGGTGGCGATGGTGGTAGGCGCTGAGGTGACCCAGGTAGCGAATCGTTGGAGGGTTGGCCATAGTAGCCGATTATTTCTGATCGAATGTCCTCAGGTAGTGCTTTTAAGATATCTGGATCGATTTGCGACTGCGAGGGAAGGTCTTCAGTAGAGACTCTTGGCTTTGGTGCTGGAGAAGGTGATGTCTCTCGAGGTTCCTTTGACTTGCGCACTAGCATAGATCGAATGTCAGGAGGTAATTCTGCAACCACCTTTGGATCGGGTTGAGTTGGCATGATGAATTGTGTTCCTAAAACATTCAAAGGTTTGAGTGAGCTGTCAAATGTAGGTCGATTATCCAACGTATCAACTGCGTCGATACTAGCCCCGTCGCCTTTATGGGGACTTTCCAGCAAATCCGGGTCAGTCATGTTAATTGTTCTCTTGGCAGCTGGTGATGCTTTGAAGTTTAACTGGCGCTGGCTACTTTCGAGAAGGCCACCGCTTGTTGATTTCACAGGCTCCAATTTTGTCATCTGCACCCCTAGACCTCTCAGATCACCAGGCGTGAACCCAAAGCTTCGTAGCATTGCAATTGCTTCTTTCCCAATGATATCGCTTGCATTTGTCGCAACACCAAGTAATACACTTTTGTTGAATGTGTCGCATTTTCCATGTCCAAGATGCTTGACTGGTTCCAATGGTGCATCTGCTGATCGTCTCATGACGCGAAGCGTAAGCTGCTTTCCTTTGACTAGGTTCTCAACCAAACGGCGATGAAGCTCTTCGGACAGACTTTGTACAAATTCCTCCGCCTGAGTTTGGTTGGTAAATCGAATGCCCCAATTTATTTCAGCAGATACAGACTTTCGCATCGTCTGAGCTCCTACTTCAGTCTTGTCAATGCCTCTAGCATAGTCCCAAAGTTTGGCGCCAGTTTTGGGACCAAGGTGAGAAATAAGTCTCTCGCGTGTCAAATCGCGCATATCCTTGACGAACTTGACACCAATCTCTTCTAGCTTACCACCCAGGCTGTAAGCAACACCCGGAAGATCTTGGACCGTCAGGTTTCCTATAAAATCCAACACTTCCTCAGGCTTGAGCTGATATTGTCCGGCAGGCTTGGCTTTGCGCAACGCCACCTTTGCTTGTAGAATGTTGCCTCCAATGCCTACAGAAACAGCACATCCTGTCTTTTCTCTGGTTGCGTGTCTCAAAGCGGTTGCAATATCCTCAGCTTTGGCCTGTTCTCGGTATAATGAGCCTTCGGAGATACCGCGGCCATCGGAACCACCAGCCTGCAGACATTGCATGGTGACATCAATGAGTGCTTCGTCAATACTGACGCTCTGTACAACCCCATCGACAGCAAGTATACAATCGTAGAATTGACGACTGGCTTCTTCGTACGCTGGAAAATCATAAGGTAGAACCTTGAGTTCAGGACATTTGTCCAACGCCCCTTTCATCCACATTCCGTTCTTGATCCCAAAAGCACGAGCCGGGTAATTACAGCTGGCAATTTCAGAACCACTTCCTGTCCCATGAGCGATTGCAACAGGCTTGTCAATCAACTCTGGATGGTGCTTGTGTATTGACACAGCGGCAAAGAAGCTATCAAAGTCGACATGCAGAATATATCTTCGTGCGCCTGGCACACGCTGTTTGATGTTCTTATTTGACTCATATTTTTCCTGTGTAATTGCCTGCAGCTTGGCTTTGAGCTCGGCTTTCCAAGTCGACAAATGGTGAAGTCGTGATTCTCGATAGTACTGATGCAGAAAATCTGGATTCACAACGCTAGACTTCCTCATGCGTGGGTCGGACAAAAGCAATGCGTTGTATTCTTCCGAGCTCATACCGGGTTTGACAGGTATGGAGTCTCGCACAGGTTGAGCATCGACCGAGTCTTGAGCTCCCTCTGGAGCTTTTTGATTTCCATCACTCTCATCAGGATCCTCAACAGGAGTAGCCGATTCTTCGACTGGCAAAAGATTCTGATCAGCAGGAGGCCCCTTGGTCGTAACTGGAGATCCTAGGGACGGAAAATCGCCATAATCGGTATCCGCATTCGAGTTTGGAATACTCGACGTAATGTCCAAATTTTCCTTCACCGGCGACGCCACGACATCCTCATTATGGTTCGCATCTCCAAAATGAGAGTTATACCAACTGTTCTCCGTTTGATCTTTATAACTGCGTTCAAAATCATTGGTCTGAGTCTGCAGCGCTCCATTATCAAACCTGAGCACCTTTTGCGAAACGCCTTCATCAACGACACGGTAATTATCCCATGGAAGTAATCGTCCTGCTTTGACACTATCAACGACCCAAGCCGGTTTCACAATACGATATCTGCGAAACTCCTCGCGTTTTTTGGGTGTCAGCGAACTGGCGATTATGTGAGTGGCGCTAGTCTTGCCATCGAGATATTGCAGGAATCCCCCACCATGACTGACTATGAGGTGATGCAAATCATTTAGAGAGGGCTGCGTGTAGCCGTTCACATGCGCTACAACGCCACGGAAGATTGGGGGCTTATTTTCAGAGCTTGCGCGAATGTGCGCATCGCGGTTTTGTAATTTTAACTTCTTGCGTCGGAAATATTCGTCAAAGCCTCCGAAGGCAGAACCTTCGTATTCGTCTCCTTTATCATCATCGAAGGTATCTACTCCGATATATTATAGTTAGCGATAGTCTCAAATTTGAGAATCGCAGATTTGCGACAGCACTCACGACTCTGGATCCTTTTGCGAACGAGGTCAGAATTGGCTTGAAGCCGAGAACCCATATTTGCACTGATGCATATTTGTGTGTTCAGCTGAATATATACAGGAGGGCCATCGACTGTTCGTCGAAGACAAGATGGGCGATGATTTTGGGTTCGCTCGTCTTGGATGACGTGTGGTGATAAGACGCGCAACACGAGATCACGTGAAAAATTTAATTGATAAGCAACCTCGATGCCTTGGTGCCTTGCAGAATCTCATGCTTAATGTATAAGGTGCTGACTCCCTCTTAGACCCTTATATTTCAATGTTAGGTTTACTCTGCTCTGGGATACAGCCCTAAGCTGGTTGTCTAATCACTCATCGAAATTCCTGAAGTTTTGTGTAAATGTAGAATTCCGTTTTGAAGCACAGCAGCTGCAAATGTAATAATATAAACTCTCTATATCGATAACTTAATCACCAAACAGTCTTAAAATATTGCACCATCTTGGCCACATCCTCCTGCCCCAGTCCCCCCGTCTCCTCCAGCGCCTTCGAAAAGCGCCTCGCTACCTCAGTCCGCCACACATACGACTTTCTCAACCCTTCACCAGACCCATACTTCGTTGTCCAAAATTCCACCAACTTGATAGGCGGATTAACAGTGGGGTCTGGGTTCGATACGCGCAGCTTCCTGAGCCACTCGCTCGTCTCCAGTTCCGTGAACTGCAGGCCTGCCTTGTGTAAGTGTGGAATAAGATCGGTTGTCCAATGGAAATTGTTGTGGTTGACGATGTTGAGAACGCCTGACTCAAAAGTGGAGAATGAGTGGTCGATTATGCTCTGAGCAACGACGTCGACGGGAAGCCAGCGATGAGTCTCGTTAAGGCGTGGTAGCGCGCCGATAGTGATTGCGGATTGTATCATGAGTGGGATTGCCTCGGTCGTGTTCCAAACACCATGCTGCGTGTCGCCGATGACCTGCCCGATTCGAAGAACACGGGCGCGAATACCTGTGTGTTCGGCTGCCTTGATGCAAATATTTTCTGCGACAAGCTTCGATTGAGCGTAGCCCATTTCTTGCGCGTAGCTTAGACTCTTGGGGAGAGCCTCCGGAATCTCGTCTTCGGCTGTGTTGACGACAGCACTAATAGAGGAGCAGAAATTGAATGAAGCGGGGGTAGGCCGTTGCGATTTCAGGCACAGATCAATCAGATTTTTGACGCCAGCGATATTGTCCTTTTCGAAACTGGCGAGTTGCCAGTTGAAGTTGACGGACCATGCGCAGTGGATCAGGTCTGTGATCTGAGATGTGATCAGATTGTATGTGTGCTCATCGAAGCCCAGATTTGGATCAGAGAGATTCGCTGGAAGAGCGACCAATTTGCTTCGGGCGGTATCAGTAAGATTGTCGTAGAGGCGTCGCTCACGCAATGATTTGGCCAAGCGTTCGTAAGCCTCCATGACAGAGCCGGCTCTGATCAGGCAATAAATGATGCGAACGTTGGGTTGAAGGGCTAGGTTGGCAGCTGTGTGGGATCCGAGTGAGCCAGATGTGCCGGTAATGACGATATAACGACCATCAAGACCGTTGGGCAATGGCTTGTGCTGTTTGAAAACAGAGTACTTCTCAATCAAATACTGCATAGTGTCTTCAACAGAGTTGTTAATATCCAAAACACCGGTTCTCAAGGATAGCAGGTGGTGAGCTAACAATTTGACTGTAGGGTTATCAAAAGCCACATTCAAACCAAGCTCTTTCCCACCGACATCAATACGGCGACTGATAATAGACCGTAGCTGCGTAGCTTGCAGAGAGTCCATGCCGATATTGAAAAAATCCGCATCCTCGTCTAAAAGCTTGCGTGACTTTGGTGGCAAAATACCTTGAAGTTCGTTCTCCAAAAACTGCCTCAGCTCTGGTTCTGACAATGTCTCAAGTTCTGCTGGAGTTTGTTTGTCATCGTATGCACTCTCAATTAGCTCGGCAAATTTTCGATAGGCTGCCTGTCTGATAACCGTGCCTTTGTCCGTTCGTGGATACTGGGTGTCCGGTGGAAGAAGGAACACCATATCTTTCGACAGCCGTCCAAAGGCCGGCATCTCAATCTGCGCTTGTTCTACCCTGGGCCAGATTTGTTCGATAAGCTCATCTTTCGAAAGCGCTGCACCGGCTTCTGTGAGTATGACAATCATACCGATACTAACCTTCTGTGCGCCAAAAACAAGGACTTCTGCAACCGCTGGGTCCTGTCTCACTGATCCTTCAAGGGCAAGCGGAATCACTTTTTCGCCGTTCACTAGCACAATTGTATCGTCGAGACGAGCGTAATACTTGTACGCTTCTATATCGGGATGTTTCATGAATAGATCCTTCGTTGCATAAGCTCCATCAGGCCTATTGGACAGTACTTTCGAAGGCCAGCCATCCAAAACAACCGCTTCATATATCCCGGCACTCCGTTCTTCAAATCTTAAATATGGGTTCACAGCGGCACTTGGACGTAGCCAATCCCACAGCTTATCTTCGCGGGGGCGCTCTGAGGTCATCAATTGGCCCGTTTCGGTTGAGCCAATCTGGCTGACGAGATGCACACCGTTGGCAACGAGTTTGTCGCCCAGCGAGTCCGGGCATGGAGAACCACTGAACAAAACAATTTTGCATTTCCGAAGAGCCTCGATACCTTCTTCGACCTCGGCAAGAAGCTTGAGCGCATATGGCACACCGTAAAATACCTCAAAATCATTTGCCTGCATAGTTCCGAGAAGATATTGTCGAGCAAGTGGCAAAGAAGGGTTATATAAATGTATACGTTTGCCAGAAAATATCGATCGATGCAAACAACTTATACCATAATTGTGATATAAAGGAAGAGTAATAAAACCTCTCATGTTCATATTTAGCGCATAATTCCCAAGAGCAGCTTTATGAGTCTGGAAAATCGGCTTTGGTAAACCTGTTGATCCACTTGAGTGAATGATCCATGAGACATATTTCTCTTCTTGAGCTAAATCTAGGTTTGGCGTCAGATTGGTGTCGATCTGACTGTCCTCGATCGCGAAGTTGTACCAATCATCTGTGGCGATGTAGTCAATCTGTAGACCTGGTATTCTTTTCGTCAAGTCTTCGGCTGTATCTCCAAAGTCCTTAGTTATGACAATATGCTTCGATTCCGTCCTCTCAAGTAGCGAAGCATAAGCTTCTAGAGAGATACGTGTCGACAAGAAGAGAACCGAATGGCCCAACTTTGATAGGGCCCAGAAAGTGGTTAGATAGTTGAGATCAGACGGACCCAACAACGACACCACGATAGGCTTCTCTGATGATGAGGTGCGAGAAGGAAGCCGTGAGGCGAGCTTCTGCGCGACTCTGCATGCAAAGATGTCTAGTTTTCGCATACTATAGCCGACATAATCAATGCCAGTGTGTGGGTAGTACACTAGCGGAGCATCTCCCAGCAGATTTGCGCGGTGTCGAATGAGGCCATCTATGGTTTGTGGTTTGGTTTCCTCTGCTGTTTCGACATGTTGGATGACGCTGGATTGTTTCTCTTGAAACGTCTCCATGTGTGTGTTTTGTACGACCGCTGCCATGATGTGAAATCGCGACTATTCAATCACAACATTGAAAGGTCTCTACTATGTAGTATAACAATCTGCATCAAGAGTAAGGAGGCGAGCAGATAGCTCGGTGTTATATAGACCCGATCCCACCTCTACAGCTCGGAAAAGTATCATGATGGGTGGAAAAGCACCTTCCACCCCGGCTATCACGATGATTAGGAGAGTGGAGCTTACTCCTCAGAATGCGGAGTAGAGAAATGTTGTAATTAGAGTAAGATCAAGCTTGTCTGTACGTGAGTCTTCGCTGTGGGGGTGACTGGATTAATGATCGGTGTAAATCCGGGCGGAAATTGCTCCAGGTCAGCAAACCCTAAGCCGGACGGATATTTTTCCTACAGGAAAAACACCCCTCAGCATACGGAGGCGTTCTTAAAAATTTGGAAAATCTGCATTGCTTTATATCGTTGCACATATGATGTCAGTACATGCTTAGATCAATATATCAGACGATTGACCAGTTAAACTGACGCTCAAAAGGCTCTGTGAATTATATTCAATCTGTATAGGTTGAACTTGCTTAATCAATTTTTCTCGATTCTTGGGTATCTTTCGGAAACGCAAAAAGAATGAATGTATATGTACAATTTGTGTTTCTCAATTTCAGAACAGCACGAACCGTTGCATATTCATAGCCTGATAATTCAGAAGTTGAACTCCGACGAGTCGTTATTAAGACTCGAGTAAGCCTGGAAAATTTGTTAGAACATTGTGCAGATCAAGTATATGACAGTAGAGAAAAAAGGGAATAACAGACCCATGAATCCAACTGTGTCCACCAAACAGACCCATCCAAGCTATTCAAAAGTCCAAAGTCATCGTCTCCAAGTAGATCCGAACCCTCCATGCCGGGAATAGTCGAGTTCCCCAGGTATGAAAACGAGTCCAAGGCTGTACTCATATTCATAGTCGGCCGGTCAAAGTTTGCTTCTAGCTGATATGATCTATCAAGCTGTAGACCTTGCTGTACTCCCTCGGCTTCTATCGTTTGCGGTATATTGGGCTTGATAGTGGTCGTCGAGGTTGTTGCGGCAAGCTGATTGTGCACCTCAAGCCTTAGTTCCTCCAGAATGATACCGTATCGACGACTAGGGCAGTTTTTCCGGGTAGCTTTTGCCAAGTGTACCTGACATCTTTCCGCGAGACTGAACAGGTCTTGCACGTCATCCGTCATGCTGGAAACACTGGGTGTCGTTGGGTCGGGGGTCGATGACTGGTGTTGTTGAATTGTATATATGTACGCCACGAGAATGGCACAAAAACAGATATAATGTGTGAACCACCAAGATTCCAACATAGATCCCTGATCAGCCAATGCATCTACACGCTGCATCACATCTTTGACCGCATCAATACAGTTCTGTACATGGGTCGTAACTAAGTCAAGAGGAACCAGAGGTCGGCGCGTCAAGTCGGTGAAGTCGTTTAGAATGAAGAGTCGAGTCGCGTGTATCATGGCATGGTTGTATGCAAATTGTAGAACATGGCTTTGTCGACAAAGAGGTGGGATCAGACTAGACGCTCGAACGCTTCCAAATAACGGATGGACGCTTTGTTTCCATTCTTGTAACTCTGCAACGAGTTCGATGGCTGCTTCGTATGGGGCCACTGTGGATACTGCCTTTGTTGGATATACTCTTCGAGAGATTTCGCCCATGAGAAGACCGAGCCTGGTAGTCATCAGCAAGAGCAAAGTTAGAGTATATGTGGTAGTATTCCTTACCTAAAATGCAAAATTGAAGCAATCATCATGCCATCCATGGCATCTTGAATCCGCGGTGGCTTTTCCAAAAACATGTCTTCATCATTCACCTCATCCGGAAAATCCTGGTCAATGTCTTCATCATCTAATAATCGCGGTCGTCCAAACATAACGCTCAAGTATTTGTCCAGAGTATAAGCGCTCCAAAATATACGCTTGCGCAGCTCCTGCTCGACATATACCGGTCCACCGCGAGTCGTTTTGGACAGCCGTCTCCTATGCAGTCCCAGAGCTGTCACTAATTGCATAGTCGTGCCAAACATGTACCAGCACTGATTTGCCCTTGATGACGATAATAGAAACAAACATATACCCAAGCGCACTTGAATAGTCTCTAGAGCCGGTGGTCCAGTTTCGATTGACATCATATGCCGGGCTGCGGCATACCATCGTTCGCTAAGAGTTTCGTAATCAGTTTCGAATACGCTGACGTTGATAATAGACTGACACACCTCTCACTTTCCGGATGTATCTCATCATTCCCAATCTTTCGCTCTTCACCTAGCATCCCCACTGCAAAAATCATATATATTACCCCCACTTTGGCTGCTGATTGGCTAGGCGGGGGATTCGAGGGCAAAATATTCTTCTCATATATAGTGTCCAATAAAGCCATCACATTACCTCGATGAAGGAATCGATATGTCACAATGGAAAAATCAAAGTATGTATCTAGCAGTCGTATGGCGCGTTCCTTTGGTGGCAGTTCCAGGGTGGACCAGTCGGCTTTGTCGGAGAAGGGTCGATCGCCAAACAATAAAACGGGCGTGTTCTTCGAGGGCTCATTTTCGGGAAGTCGCGGTGTTGTCGATATGTTGTCTTGCTTCAACCGTCTCCAGCTCCTTGTAAGAAATGAAATACCGGATGAGGGACCTAAATAGTTGCCCTCCAAGTCTGTGGCTTCTGGTTCGGGGGAGCTACTCCTCGGCGAGAGCACGGCGAGTGTATGTGAGCTTCGACGCAGCTGGGATCCCGCCGGGCTGGACGTCGCAAGTGTTGATCTCGGCGATACTCCTGGGTTATTGTGAATGGACGACCGAATTGAAGGCGTCGAACGTCGTACAGCATCTTGGCGACGCGCAGAGCCCGAAGCGGGCAGTGGAGACGGCGGTGTTCCTCTGGTATATGTCGCGTTGTATTCGCAGATTCTCGACAATTTGGCGCAACGATGGCATGGTAGTGTTCCGGAGCATCTTGTCTTTTTCCTACACTCAATGTCAGAACTAAAACATGTAGAACGGTCTTCGACGCAAAAGAATGTCGCGGGGTGGATACACTTTGCAGGAGTCGCAGGCTCGGGTTATTTTCCGTCGTTCAGCAGTCAACGTCTCGGAGGCCTTGCGCTTCTGGCCGACAATCCTGTTTTCTTGCATCGAGGTCGGAGATATGAAAGGGGCCATATTTAAACTCTGCTTGTCTGATCAGGGCTACCGTTGCGACGATGGTGGAGGACAGAGTATACTGAGTAGGTCTGGTGAGTCAGATGGCTAAGCTTTCTGGGGAACTTCAAAAGTCGACGCAAAGCGGGGAACTCCCCACGCGCTCTCTAAAAGCAGTAGCGTGCTGATAAAAGTCATTAACTAATGGAAAATTAATGGATGATAGCTGCCTTTCTTCTGTATTCAATTATTTCTACATCCTTCAGCTATCGAATTGCCAGAGGAACCTGCTCTCAATTGTTCTTGCGGTCTGCTACCCAGATTACCTATCGGTGATCTCGGCCAGAGATCCGAGCATCAATACTATGAAATATGCACAGTAGAAATCCAGTGAAACAGAACCGGTAGTTGTCTCGTTATTAAAGTATTGATGCCTCCAATAGTCTCCACATATTCTGTTGACAAGATCATGGCCAAACAATAGAACGTAACCTGTGAAATACCTTAGATATCTATCGCTAAATAGGATGTATGCTTGTTGTTGATATGTACCGGACCAAAATAAAAATGAAAAATTATAACAGAAAGGCTAGGGCCATGGCGCTTGAGCGTAATTCCTAGCAAGAGGTTAATTAGCTTGCTGAGGTTGAAAGCTAGCAACTCTAGGCAGCGTGATCCTACATCTCAGATCCTCTTCCAAGACGACCGTTGGGTCGTCTATGAGAGCGGCATTGTTTGTGGTTCCGATCCTTTACCCACGTCATGGCTTTGAGACAATGTAGACGACTTGATCTGGCCCAATGTTGGTTATGGTCTGTTCACCATAGTCGGATCGTGCATCGGCCGCGTTGTTGGAAGGATCGCATCTTAAGTCACCAGCGCTATTCCCTGAAACTGGAGCACATGTGGTATGATCACCAAGTATCTGGAATTATTCATCCATGCCTATAGCACCATTAATTTAGTTGCCCTATGAAAGATCTTCATTCGCCTTCCGACTCACTCTGGTCAACATCCGAAATCTCGTCACTACCCTCGGCATCTTCGAACTCGCCGAGAATTGAGAAGATGGCTTCTTGTATTTTGGAATAGCCACTCCTTTCATCAGGGTCTGTATTCCTGACGGTGTCTTGGATCGCCAGCACCAATTGGTCGATCTGGTCCTTGCTACCCAAGCGGATAGAAGCCAGAATGTCTTCCAAGAGGCCATGGTAGTATCGAAGGCTCTCTTCCGTAGATTCCAATTGTTGTTTGGTGCTCATGACGTGTTCTTTGCGGCGTTTGTCGGCATTAACATCGTATATACACTCACGCCCATGGTTAGAGCATTCCGTGCAAGGGTTACCGGTACTACACTACAGCAAGGGATGGTCCGACAGTTAGCTATGAAACACGTGCCGTCGCCATTATTTGAATGCGATCGTTAAAAATGATCAAACGGCACGTACCTTCGTCCGCCGTTTTTTGCATTCTAAGCAAGCCATTGATGCACGTTTGGTTTTACTTTCGTCGGAGTTTGACGTTTGTGGAGTTGATTGCTTCTGTATATCAACATGGCGAGGGGCAATGAGGCGATATCCCCTCATTCGATCCGGTCGGTCATCCATGGCTGTCTGTGACTGGATTTTCAGTTTCAAAAATGTGCGCGTATTGTATTTTTTGGCTAGCGACGTGTTGTTGTTGACAGGCTCGGCTTCCAAGAGTCGAGTTAACTAAGGGCGGCTCTTTACTGCAAAGGCCAATACTTGGATGAACAGTAGTTATGTAATTTTCCGTATGCCACCTTAGGGAAACCGGACGAGATTTGGAGAGCAGGTTGCAGGATAAAGGCCTCCGACTGAGAGCCTTTTAATGTTTGTCTGGTCCATACAGCAATAGAGCAATCTCGGTGGCAAGCATGTGTGTGTACAATCCTTGATTGTAGTTTTATCACGGCGCAAAAAGAAATGTTCAGGCAGTCATTCCATTAAAGCAGGCGATGCAGCAGCAGCTTATTGTGGGAACCAGGAGCGCCAAGGAAGTCACAGTCTGTCCAACCCTGGCTGGAAGTGGCTTGCATCGACTCATCGAGTCTTTCCCTTCTTGGACAGCTTTGAGGTCGGATGCGACATCCGACAAACTAAACGCGAGGAAATCCCGTGAGTGCAGATGCCAGGTGTTAGCGAAGAGGGCCATGCTAAGTGACTCTTGGCGCACGCTGACTTGTCTGAATGAAAACAATGGTCGAGACCGTGGGACGAGAGTTGGGACGAGATTTGGGACGAGTAGAAGCGATTGTTGCGACCCGGATGCTTTACCCGTCGAGGAACAGATTTTAATAGGCCTGGCCAGTAAGGCCCCGCGTATTGCTAAGCGCGGAATCTCGATCGCTTCAAATGCCAAACTGAGAGAGACCATAGGTGTACACGAACGTGCTTTGGATGTTCATTGATGAAGTGGCCTATTCGCAAGTACGAATGTAGTGATCTCGCAAGTTGAGAATCGTGGGAAGGCGGTGGATGGACACTGGTCGGCTTTCAAGGTGGCAGTCCTCACTTATTTGCGATGGAATCGGACATCAATCTGATCTCAATTAGACGTCGGTACATAGCACCTGCAAAGCCGAAAGAAAGGCCCATTTTGAAGTATCAAGGCATCATGGTGGTTGTAAAAAGGAGCTGCTTCGGGGGGAACACGTAGCTTAATGCTCCTGCTGCGTTTGACTGGACACAAGACAGCCCCTACTTTATTTTGCGGTGCCTCGTGACGAAATATCTTTATTAAATCTGACTTGAACTGCAAAAATAGACGATCGAGACCCAGTAGCATATCAACAACATAGAAATCAGTCGCAACGAGAGACAGGCAGCGGGACGTTGGCATATTTATATCAGTCAGGAATTAAGGATATCAGATGGATCACGCTATCTTTCCGATCCATGCCTCTACGTACGTCGTAGCAGATCGGGATTTGAGCAGCACACCTATCAAAGTCACTAGTTGTAGTCGTCCCCATTTCTTGCGACGTAGTGTGGCTTGGGGGTTCGTGTCCCTGAGGGCAAGTTAATCAACATCGTCATGGCTCAGGTTCGACGGCGCCACAGAGTTTCTGACGCGCATTGCGGATCCTGGAGCGAATGTTCCATTCAGTATCGCAGATCTGGGATTCTGATCAAAGTAGATGTACTGCGTTGCTCTCATTTCAACTTTCTGTTTGGACGTGTCGTCGCGACACGTGACAGCCACGGTCGCTATTTCTGTCTAGCCGAGCTGGCGATGCTCCTGATCTGGAGAAATTTCGACCTCGTCCAGCAGCCATTAACCACCCAGAACGGATATTTGATCGTCGTCAGAACTCAGTGCCCCTTTTGCGGCTCAAAGACGCTAAAGCCACAATCATATTCTGCTATTGCGCCGCCCATGCCAAGAAACAGTACTAAGCGCGCTCGCTCAAATGCCGACTTACACATCTTCTGATTGGGCTTCTCACCATTCACTGATTGTGGAAGTCAGCGATACTGAGCTTAGTATGGCTTCATATGGATTTTACTAGTCTAGGGATTGCAGAGAATAGTCGACTGCGTGTGTGTGTGGTGATTGCTTCGTGCTACGGAGTTGCCGATACAACAGGTCCTACAACGAACCGATTGCGATACGAACTCGACCAGTGTACGAACTATTCGAAACGCCAGACATACAAACAGTCCGAAGGCTGAATTTTCATTGCTATTTACATGTCGTCGCCCTTTATTTGGACGTTGCTCGCTAGTTGTCTAAGGCCGTGGTCGACGATCCTGAGGTAGTTTAGGGCCAATTACAGGTTCACAACCCAGACTCGCCTCGTGCTAGCATMCCCTTCGCCCGCCTTAGCTTCTATATCCCAGCTATATCTGCTCAAGCGCTCAAGCGCTCAAGCGCTCAATCAGACAAGCATAAAGCGACCTCACATGAAGAGAGCTGTCAACTCTCGAGTCTTCTGCGCCCCCTGCTTCATAAGAGAATATTAGCTATGATTAGGATTCGATCATTGCCATCTTAGTTTTATGAGCATGCCCCACTCGTCATTCTTGCTTCTGTCAGGCGACCGTGACTTTGCTTGATGAGCACTACATGGTACTAGAGGTTATTAGGTTGACCTATAGGCAGTGCACGTTTGAATGGAAAATGCATTTCCATGCTCATCGATTGGCAAGATGGAGCCCTGCAAAGACAAAATTCCGGCAAGAGCCGGCACACAAGGGAGCATGCCTTCCCAAAGCTAGGACCCGAGAAGGCATACAATCATGATGACGCGCATCAGTCATGAACATCTCTTAGCTCCGGGGCTGTTCATCCGTATTCCAATATGTTTTCTGTTTGCCGATGAGGATCCTCAGTTATGCACATACAAAAGCTGTCCGGAATCAAAAAGAAGAAGAAGCGATTACCGAGGTTTATGATTGGATACTTAAAATCCGGACTATTCTGCAGTCCTAGATGCTGTTTTTACATGCCACCAAAGTGAATCTCCAATGATATGCGATTTATTCTGGCTTTAAGACCGAGATGTGCCAAAAAGGGGCATGATGGGCCCGTTCATTATCAATGCGGAAAGTGGCGAAATGACTGGAGCACTCGACAGTCGGTGAAGACAGGGAATTGGCAATGCACTAAAGTGACTAGTACGGAGTTACGTACTCTTCCGCACAAGGGCCGTCAAGCCGTCAGCAAAATGGCCCGCATTCTTTGTTGCGCTTGTTGCGGAGGCAAAGGTCTAGCATAACCTTTGGCCAGGCGGCCATTTCCGTTACCTCTTAGCTGCAGAAGTCGAATGACAGGTCATGTCAAATTGAGCCTTGGACGTGTTGTTCGGCACTATTTTGATGACTATCTAACGAGACCTGGGTAGCCATCATGCACAGGTATCTGGCTGTCTGTCAATTCGACAGGAGTACAGCAAACCAATCTGGTGAAGAGTGGACAAGATCTGCCTTCATGAAGAAGACTGGAGGGAACAAGGACGGATGTTTCATCCGTGGTACGGTGATGGCCGTGCTTGGGAACCCAACGACGGTTGGTCAGAAACGGAAGGGAAAATACAGCCCCCTGCTCGTAATGATGGGCTCATTGATTGTTTCGGCTAAAATTGTGCTACGCCTTCCTCTTAGAGTTAGTGCACTCTCGCTGATCTCTGTCTATGTCGTTCGACTGGTTTGACTTGAAGGGGATGAAGGCCCTCGCTTGTGAGACCCAGTCTACAGAGCACTAGTCCGTGCTACACTTATCTTTGTCACCTATCATTGAGGAGCAAAATGTCTTAAGAATTCTTGCTTTTTGCCGTATACATTCGCACAGCATTCTTCCACATTGTTTCTTGTACCTATTGCATATGGGACCGCATAATTAGGGAAGTCAATGCTCTCATTACCTCTGCCCACATCCCAGGTCTACCTCGCCCATACAGCCCGCTAGGCGTCGGGGTAAGTGGAAGCCGCTGCAATCTACCATCACGATCACAAATGCGTCCGAATTGCTCACGTACTACGGTAGCACTAGGTAAGTCGATTCGATCACGGTGAGAAGACGTGTCAGCCTGCTTAGCCTACATTTTAGTCGGCAGTCGCTGTCACCAAAATCAACTACAACTGCATACTATTCCACGAATATCCTTACGTGTTTGACGGATCAGGCTTTGAGTTCAAGAAAATTGATTTGAAAAGGAAGTTAGAACACAAACCTGGCCGGAGTTTCTCAGTATTCTGGCTGAAATCCGTCGGCAAGGCTGAGACTTGATTCTAAAAGGAGATCACTAGTTCACTATCACTAAGTTCGCGAATCTTTGACAGAAGCTTTCATGTATCTGAAGTACCACATATACTATGCAACCTCCCGACTGAGTTTGCAGACACTAATCGAGATTCATTTGAAGAACTAAGTATAGATCTACCATATCGCTAAAACTCCAACTTGTCCACCAAGCCGATGAAAGCCTTATTATTCCCCTCACCACGCAACAGCGACTCGACATCGMCGCGTCCCGCCGTAATATACCTCTCGCTTATACCGATATTGATTCGTTTCGACAGATGCTGCTTGAGCTCTGCCCGCAAACCCGCCAACTCTCCCTTGGTGATACTACTAGCCTCCTTCTCTTTCTGCGAACGACCACCACCGCGACCGCGCCCTTTAGACTTCCCGCCTTGTTTCTCAAACTCTTCACTGTCGTAGTTGACGCCTAGTTCCTCCGCTGCATTACGCAACCAATTGTCTTCCGATGAGATCTTTTCTTTGGCCAGGTTTGATTCGGTGATTTTCTTGGCTAGGGTCATACGAGGTTTGACACGTGAGACGACTCGGCGGTCGAGTTCAAGAGATTCGAGTGGATTACGTCTCGCGGATGCACCGGCTTCAGCTTGTGCGTGAACTTTGGCAACAAGACGCGCTACACCGACAACCTCATCGGGCGCACATATCAGGACACTTTTACCGGAGGCTCCCGCACGAGCGGTACGGCCGGAGCGATGCACGTACATGTCCGCTGTTCGAGGAACATGGTAATGAATGACCATGTCAATACCTTTGATATCGAGGCCGCGGGCTGCGACATCTGTAGCTACCAACACCGAGCTGGGATCAGCGTCGGGAGACGAGAACCTCTCCACAGATCGTAGACGTGCTTTCTGTTCCATAGTCGAGTGTAGAGCTAACGCCGGAATCCCCAGATTTTGTAGCAATTGTGACAATCGGCGAACAGACGATATCGAGTTCGCGAATAGCAGGCAACGATGGCCTGGGTGGTAGAGTAGTAGGGTGTAAAGATAGAGATCCTATAGTCGTCAGTACATTGCAGAAGATAGTAATGCGTAGATTTTACCTTCTCCATGGCGCCACACTCCAGAATTCCCTCTTTCAAGCCTTGAGCCATCTGAGAAATCGGGTTGACATCGATAAACTTGGGCTTCTCCTCACGGAACTTGAGTTTCTGCAAAAGATACTCCATCGATTCCGACTTGTTCAACAAGTCACTGGTCATAAATTTTCCCTTTCCGGCCAGTTTCTGTTGTAGTCCTTTATGGAACGTGGCTGAGAAGACGAGGGTCTGTCTTGCAGCTGTAGCTTTTTCTTTTTGTCCCTCTTCATCTTCCTCTGAGATTTCCGAGTTCTCTTCAGCTTCATCATTATCCTCTTTTCGATCCAAAGCATCGAGAATTTCCTCCAGTTCCTTGTAGTGCCCATCACTAAGCAAGCGATCCGCTTCATCGAGGACGAGGTATTTGACCCTCGACATTCTCTGAATGAGACCAGTCCCAGAACTCAGAATCTCCCAGACTCGACCTGGAGTACCAATCACGATATCAGCGTCTTTCAGCAGTCGCTGTTGCTTTTGAATTGCCAAGCCACCGGTCAGAAGCGCGATTCTTGCATTTGCAGCGGGAGTATGTGTATTGAGTGCACCGATATGTTTCGCCAATTGATGCGCTAATTCTCGCGTCGGTGATAGAATCAATGCTATAGGCTGAGACTGTTTCTTTTCCTTTTTCTTGTTTTCTTTTGGGGTGTCATGCTGGGCTCTGGTATTTAAATAGTGTTCGAGGATGGGTATGCCGAACGCCAACGTCTTTCCCGATCCTGTTGATGCTTTTCCAACCACGTCGTGACCGGCAAGGACCTCGGGTATCACTGCTTGCTGAATTGTGCTTGGAGTCGAAAACTTGAGTTTGGATATACCGGTCTGTAAGGCTGGAGATAACCCTAATGATTCCCATGCGGAGACATCTACTTCGTCTTCCTCCTCCTCGTCTTCTAGAGCGGTGAACGGGAGAGATTGTATTTTCTCATTAGGTTTCTCTGCCTTTGCCTTTTGTTGTTGCTGTTGTTTCTTGGTCACTGGCTTCTTATCATCCGTCGCACTCTTTTCCTTGGGTTCTTCCGAGTTCTGCTGTTCTGATTTCTTCTGTTTCTGCTTCTTCTGTGGCTTTCCTTTTTGTTCCTCACCCTCGCTAAAGCCTGACCATTCTTCATTGTTCTCGCTCGGTGTCTCGTCTGCGGGTTTGGCTTTCTTGAGTATTGATTTCGACGGTTTATCTGATGAGACCTGTAGAAAACGACGTGATTAGACAATTGTCGTCGTCGATCGACCTTCCATTTGTACGTTACCTTGAATTTGATCTGACCAGTAGACTCCGGCCGAACGATATCCACACCATCAATCTCTTCCAACCCAAAAAATCCACCAACATCACCTAACCGATCCGGCAACTGCACAGTCTGCCAGTCCAGATCATCCAGTCCAACAATGTCCTCGCCATCCTGCCCTGTATTTTCCTCCACTCTTTGCTTCTTGGCTGCCTTTTTGGCCAGATTTCGGCTTTCTCTTCCACGTTTCATCCCCATGGTGATAAAATGCGATTGGAGATGGGTTTGTTGTTTGCGCAAAGTGATGGGACGGATAGAAAAAAAAGTTTGGTTTCGCTTTTAAGTTCTCCGGCCGATCTCCGCCTTTGCAATCTTATCAACAATTTTTAAACCCCGCCAAAATTTTCTATTCTATATTTTCAGCAAATTGTGCGACAGAGGATTATCCAGAATTTTTATAGGGACAGGATTGTAATTTGCGACACGGCTCGGATCGTCAGATATGGGAAAAGCTTCAAAAGACAAACGCGACGCTTACTACCGGCTCGCTAAAGAGCAGAACTGGCGAGCTCGCTCAGCATTCAAATTGATCCAGATTGACGAACAATTCGATCTTTTCGCACACGCAGACCCTGACAGCGTCACTCGCGTCGTTGACCTTTGCGCTGCGCCTGGAAGTTGGAGCCAAGTACTTAGTCGTGTGCTCATCAAGGGCGAAAGTTTCGGACGAAGAGCTTGGTTAGAAAAACGCCGGCGAGATAAGAAGGCTCTTGAGAAACTGGCAAAGGAGATCCAGACCAACGACAAACAAGAAGAAGATGGCGAAGACTCGGAAGATGAATCTACAATTCTAAAACCACGAAATAATGTCAGGATTGTCGCAATTGATCTGCAACCCATGGCGCCGTTGGAGGGAATCACCATGATGAAGGCAGATATAACCCATCCATCGACGATACCGCTTCTCCTTCGCGCACTTGATCCTGAGTATTACGAAGCCGAACCTGAGAAACAAAATACAACCGCAGAATCCACAATACCAAGGCAACTTCCATCCCGCCACCCTCATCCCGTGGATTTAGTCATCTCCGACGGTGCACCAGACGTCACCGGCCTCCACGACCTCGATATCTATATACAATCCCAACTCCTCTACGCCGCCCTCAATCTGGCCATCGGTGTGCTGAGACCAGGCGGAAAATTCGTCGCAAAAATCTTCCGCGGTAGAGACGTGGATTTACTCTATGCACAGCTACGGACGGTATTCGAGAAGGTGTCCGTTGCGAAGCCGAGGAGTAGCCGTGCGAGCAGTCTAGAGGCCTTTGTGGTTTGCGAAGGGTTCATGCCCCCTGAGGAATTCGATTCGGCGCATGCGCTGCAGAATCCGATGTTTGGGGGTGCGGCTGCTGTGAAGACTAATGAAGATGGAACTGTGGGTTATGATATTCCGGATGAAGAGGATGAGGACGAAGCTCGGAAAGAAAGTCGAGTTGCGCAGCCTGTCTCTTCAAGTGGTGGTGATGATGTGACCCAACACCTGGCTCTTGAGCAGCTCTCATTGTCTGAACAACTGTCTCATCGCCCACCGCATGAGTCGCGCTGGATTCCTCCGTTTATTGCCTGCGGAGACCTTTCTGCTTGGGATGCTGATGCGTCGTATGCATTGCCCGAGGGATACGTCAGTCTGGACCCTGTGCAGCCGCCTACAGCGCCACCATATAAGCGGGCATTGGAGATGAGAAAGGAGTTGGGTGGGGCTTATGGGAAGACGAAGTTGGGGGCTATGGGTCGTGCTTGATAGACTTCGCAATCTCGAGGTTAAAAAAAATATATATATTCTTTTCTTGTCTGTAAACTTAAGTGAAGAAGTTGACGATGAAATGAAGATTATGTATATACCAAACGAGTTTACACGCTAGATACATTGAAATCAAACATCAAGTCTAATGCTAGTCATGCAATCGCTATCAAAATCTCAATACAGTTTAATAAACCTCCAAAACATATCGTTCCTCATCCTTCAACTTCTCAATCTCCTTGCGGGTCTCGACCTTCTTGCCCGATGCCTGAGCTTCGATGGCAATGGCCTCCTCTAGCACCTCAGTCACATCAGGAACAGGCCATGTAGGACCGCAAAGGTAGAAAGCACCTTCTTCGCGGATGTAGGCTTGCACAATCTCGGGAATAGTCTGACGCATACGGTCCTGGATGTAGATCTTTTGAGGCTGGTCACGAGAGAATGCGCGACCCAAAAGCGTAATGACGCCAGCAGCCTGATAGGCCTCCCATTCTTCACCGTAGCAGTATTCTTCGCGCTGGTGACGAGATCCCATGTAGAGAAGAACGGAGCCGATTTCCTTGCCCTGAGCCTTCTCCAGGGCGCGGTGTTGCACAAAGGCACGGAATGGGGCGAGACCTGTACCCAGACCAGCCATGATAATGGGCTGGGTGGAGCGAGGAGGCAACTTCATCACACTAGGCTTGACGCTGACGGTGATGGGAGCGCCAGGCTGGAGACCGCTGAGGTAGCGAGTGGCTTGTCCGAAACGGTCGCGACCACGAGGATCAACCCAGTTGACGACGACAATCATCAAAGCCACAGAGTTGGGTGTAACCTTCTGGCAAGAAGCGATGGAGTACTCACGGCGCTTCATGGGACTCACGATGCGCACAATGTCGTGGAAGCTGGGGTGGGCGGAACGGAATTCGAGCAAGATATCGGCATAGGTAATGGTGTCAACCTCAGCACGTCTCTTGAATTCCACCGCGCCCTCTGGTCCAGCCAAAGCGAGGAGCTCCTTCTTTTCCTTCTCTTCGTCGGCGAACTCGGCAAGAGCTTCGTAGAAACGCTTAGGGGGACGACCGAAAAGATCCACGTTTTGCACCAAGGCTTGGTAAACAGTGCGGTTCTCCAAGATGTTCTGGTCGTCCCTGTTGGGGACTTCGACAACCTCATCTGGGTTCAAGCCATAGAATTTGATGAATTCCATGACATCCTCAGGATCATTCTCGGCGTGCACACCGAGAGCTTCACCGATATCGTACTTGAGACCGGAGTCACCGAGGTCAAACTCGATGTGGAAGATGTTTCGGTCGTAGGTGACGGGGGTCAAACGACGGTTCTCCTTAACATGGACAGTGAAAGTCTCGGTATTGACGTCTGGACGCAATGAGTTCTGAGTACCAAAAGCCTCCTTGAATGCAAGACCCTGAGCAGCAGTTTTCCAGTCCTTGAGAAGAGAGGCGGGKTCAACCTCAGTCTTGTCGAAAGCTGCAAAGCTGGTTGAAGTGATATCTTTGGGCAACTCCTGAGCATCAGAAGGGACTTCAGCATTGCTCCATGATTCAGGAACTGCAACATTGCGAAGCGTAGTCTCAAGCTCTTTATCGGCTTCTGTAAGGAATTCAGGAACCTTGATCTTTAGACTATTTGAGGAACCCTGAGCAACACGCAAAATGGCGGCCTGGACAGCTGTGGACTCGGAGGCATCCAAGAGCGAAAGAACGATGCCACGCTTGGCGATTTGCTGCTGGAAGGCAACGGGCAACTTCTTCTCAAGGTCTTCATTGGTGAGGCCGGGTGCCTTGATGAGGACTTGACTGTTGTCCTTGACCGATGCAAGAACATCAATGTCGTTGAGGACCTTGATATCGCCAACATAAGCAACATCGGCAGTGATGACTGGGTAGGGCGCATCGATAATCTTTAAGCTTCTGCGGATGTCGGCACGGACGACACCACCTTGAATCAGGTTGTCAAACACAGTACTGGTAGTGACGTTGACGGAGGGGTCCTTGGCGAGCGCCTGAGTCAAAGAAGCAGCGGCATCGAGGGACTGGCCATCGTCCAAATCCCAGAGAGTGAACTCTTGTGTACCAGCTTGTTCAAAAAGCTGAAGAGGGCTTGCCTGGTTGTTGGTCTGAAGAATAGGCTTTTCAGAAAGACGCTGGAATGCAGCAGCCGCATTGACAATAGTCCAATGATGAGTAACATCATATTTGATGTCGACACAGACAGGCTTCTCGGTGCGGTCAACCGCAAAGGTCAAAGCTGTGAGGACGTCGTCATACAAGGCTGAGTGAACACCTTCATCCTGGACAGCCTGCTGGTCGCGGACTTGGCCGAGGACACCCACAGTCTTGACAGTTTTCGGCAAGACACGGAGGAATTCCTCCTCGACAAATGGTCTGTAGACACGCACATTGACAACGCCAACGCGCGAGTCACGCTTGCTCAAAGAATTGGCGATCTGTGAAGTTAGAGAGGCCTCTACAGTACCAAAAACGACCAAGACGGAGGTCGGCTCGCTATGACCGTGGTATTCGAATAGTCCATAGTCGGTGCCCAATTCGCCGTTGAGGGACTGCAACACATTCAGCACTTTGCCCTGGTCATCCAAATGCTTTGCCTTGGTATCGACTGAAGTCTGTTGCTGAACGGCTTGGTAAATGCGTTGGAGACCCGCCTGGTCCATAACATCAATGACCCGGGTGTTGTCACGACCCACAAGAACGCCGTCGTAAAGGTGGATGGTTGGCAAGAAACTGGCCACTAAGGTCGAAAACAGAGCCATGTGTTGTGATTCGTGCACGGATGAGCTTGAAATCAGACCGAGTCCCAAATCCTCGGCCAAGTTCAATGCTATCGCGTAGTCTGAAACGAGACGTTCGCCGGCATAGTCGACAGCGGCGACGTGAGCGACCACGGGGTTGGCGACAGCATAGAGTAGAGAAAGTTGCTCCAATGAGGACCGCAAGTAGGTCAGTGTTGCGGAAGAGGCAATGATTCCTTGGGGAACATGGCGCTTCTTCAGGTCGAAATCCCGGGAGAACAAGTAGCCAAGGGCAATCGAGCCGGCACCTTGACGAGTCTGAAGAGACTGAACAGAGGTAACTTCTCCATTCACATTCTTTTCATTTTGAGATAGCCATTTCTTCACAGCCGAATCGAGGTCGAATGACTCCGGAGAATATGAGAAGATCTTGTCCGAGAGGGAGTATGCAACCTGCTGGATAAGATCCTGAGCAGTGAGGTAGGTCGGGCCTGAGATGGCCTTCAATTCTGGAACACCCATCTCGAAACTGCTGCAACAACAAGAAAAGATAGAAACAGATTATGACAGCAGTGAAGAAATGAAGATATCAGACTCTTCTCCAGAAATTTAACAAAAAAATTCCCCATATGAGCCACCAGGGACGCCTTCCGTGTTGGGACTAGCGCTAATCACGCCATTTCTTATCGATAAGCAACGCAATTGTCGGCCGAAACTCCCCACGTAGGGTTAGGGTAGGCATGTACTTCGCGTCGAGGCAGTTTGCATTGTTTGTTCATCCTCACTGTAGGCCCTTGCCGCCTGCAGATACAGGTATCAATATCAGGCATCCCCCAATACATGGAGCAGCGAGCATCGGCTACATTTTGATCCTCGTCCTAGGACGGCCATTACCCCAAGGATAAATGGCTCTTATGAGCCATTTATTTCCTGTTTCAATAGCCGCAAAGATAACTTTGAATCAGATCAGTATGTGATGAGTGTTCGGGGATGCGGTCCACTCCAAGCAAGCCACCTCCACATCCCCGGCAAAACTCTGGGGTACGGGGTAGCTGGCATGCTATAAAGATAATCCCCTTTCATCAATAATGTCTCCGATTCCCATCCCTGGAGCTAAGCCATTTCAAACGTTTACTACTACTCATCCACACCTTGTGACATGACGACTTTCCGCCAGGCATTCTCGTTGCCTAAAAGCGCCGTCCTAGAGGCAATGCCTCCTGGGACGGTCAAGCTATACAGTTCGTACGGCATTGTCTTGAAGAATTGCTGGGAACTAATCTGCGTCCCATAGGCAATGAATATCGCGAGTCGGAATCGGCAATGTCTTCGCAGCTTCAGCTTTCACCTATGCCGTCGAAGAATCCAGCCGACCCTCTAAACTGGAGTCAATGGCGAAAGTTCATGGCGCTCTTTTGTGTCTCGCTCTTTTGCCTCTTAGCAAACGTCACATCTGCTTCCTTGTCCAGCGCCTTGACTTTTCTAGCAACCGACTTCAATCCCCCTGTGGCTCAGGCAAACCTTGGTCACTTGATCGCTGTATGTATCCTCAGCTTCGATTCCACTCCTCGGGTGCCCCCTAGATGTTGACCCGCAGCTCTTACTTTAGGTCAATGTATTGATGTTTGGTGCCGCCAACATCTGGTGGGTTCCTCTGTCGAACGTGTTTGGGCGCCGGCCTATCATCCTATTGAGCCTCTTGATACTTACGGCATGCTCCGTCTGGGCAGCCGAAGCCAGAACGTTCAACAGCCTTTTAGCAGCCCGAGTATTTCAAGGCATAGGTGGAGCGACATCGGACACTCTTTGCCCGGGAGTTATTGGTGAAATTTTCTTTCGTCATGAAAGAGGTAGAGCAATGGTGAGTGCAAGTCTAATTGCTACTAGAACTGCACTTCACCTTTGTTTTACGTTGAAAGCTAAATATTTCCTAGGCAGTCTATACCGTCTTTCTTACGATGGGGCCCATTGTGGGAGGTATTATTGGCAGCTACATTGCCTCAGCATATGGCTGGCGCTGGACACAATGGTTAAACGTGATTCTATCAGGGGTTACGCTTCTATCATGCGCCGTGTTCCTCCCAGAAACATTATTTGACCGGGATGCCTCTATTGCCTTAGATCTTGCGGCCGAGGAAGTCACTCAAAGAGAGAAAGAAAAGGCAACCGTGACGGAAAAGCAAAATATTCAAGAGCATGAGGAGGTGAGCAGATTCGCGGCCTCTAGCCACCCATACCACCCTTACACGTTCGCACGCTCTTTGAAAGTTGGACTATATACAGGAAGCTTCGTTCAGAATTTCCTGGCACCTTGGAAAACACTACGTCTACCCGCTGTGTGGTTGGTGATGCTGCATTACGGAGGCCTGGTCGGTGGAATTGTGACCATTTCAACTGTTGGACCACAATTCGTCGCTGCACCCCCCTACAACTGGGGTGCGAACTCTGGTCTAATTAACATTGGCGGTTTAATTGGAAGCATTACCGGGGCTTTGGCTACTTTTCTTCTCTCGGATCGTCTTCTTAAACGTCGTGCTTTGCGACATTCTCACGGCTTCAGTGAACCTGAGGCGCGACTGCCTGCTATGTTCCCGGGACTATTTCTCGCTACCATGGGATTGTTGACGTTCGGCATGTGCGAGCAATATGTGACTTCCGGTGCTGGATGGGTTGGTCTTGAAGTTGGATACGGTATGCTCGTGTTTGGAGTTATTCAGGTGCCATCTATCGGTTTCAATTACGTGAGTAATGATATTCTTCATCCTTTTTACAACAACAGTGTTTGTTTCTGTCGCTAACTTGAAATTTTCGACTCTCAGATTATTGAGTCCTATCCATTGGCGGCCCATGATTGCTTCGTGATGATTACCTGCTTGCGAGCAGTCATTGGATTTGCCTGGACGTTTTTCGTCGGAACCTGGGTTGAAGCGCGCGGTGCTGCGGAACCTTTTGGGATCTTCTGCATGTTGATGGGCATATTCGGACTTTTGACCCTTCCTATCTACTACTTTGGCAAGAGGATTCGGATCGCCACAGAGGAATGGTTTCCTAGTAAGTCAATAGTGGCAAATAGTGGTTTGTTGTAAGAGCGTGGTGACGGGTTCTTACTCGGTAATTGCTCAGAGATTGAGAAATGCGTTCTGTAAGCCCGCTGCCACATTACAAACCATTGACACCTCAATGTAACCAAAAAAGATGAGGACCTACTGTCATAGCACGGATATCTGATGAAAGTTCGCTGTATTATAAGTCAGTAATCTTGTAGCAGTCTTATGGAAGGCTTGTCAGGCTTAATTTGATGCGCGTCTCTTTAACTGTCTAGCTTAAAGCTTTCCGCGCTCACTGCCTTGTAGACATATATATTTCAATACTGAATTAATGCTAATCTGGTGCGCACCTGCGCACTACACAAATCTCACGTACAAGGCCTTAATTTACCTAAGTAGTGTTCAAATTTGGTGTACAAATTCTACTTTTTATTGATACGCACTTATTTACAAATCTAAGCCCACGTACGAGGCCTCATTCTGGCGTTGAATTTGATGCGCGAATCCCTCCAACCCCAATCTAGTTGACATGCGCGCTCGTGTACAATTTTAGGGCACGAATCTACACTGAACCTACGAACGAGTCTACGTACGTACGAGATTGGTGGTGGACGTGGTGGTGTTGGATATGGTGTTGGGTTTTATATATATTTAGGAGTGTAGATGCGTCTCATACATGTATGTTTGTATTTATACATAAAATATAAGGAATTGTCGTAATATTACTGTCATCTATTAAGAGGCTTCACCGTAGTGTTACCCGTAGTTTCACTGTCATGCTATAGAGATCTCACCGTCATCTTACAGAGATCCGTCATATGTCAAACCTCGTAATGATCACCTATGGATTAACTTTTTCGCCAGATGATAGCCCGCTGTAGTATCACAGAGCTGTCACCAGGCCTTACTGGGCCTTTACAAATATCCATATATTTTCGCTATTGGATGGAGTGATTCTCAGTCCGGCTTACAGGATGACTTACAGCGTGCATTTAAACTCAGTATCATAGCATGGTACAACTATGGAAGGCGAAAGCTTTTGTCCACCATATTACCGCTGGTAATGGCTATGTACATGTTCATAGATGTTTTAGAGGCACCCAGAGCCGTAAATAAATTCTTAGTAACTTTCGATCAATGACTCGGATGCGATACATGTATTTTTCGATCCTAATTATTGTTTGATTATTGGTTTCCAATCTTTCTCCTATTCCACTCGCACACTTGCCCATATTTATTTAGTCTCAGGCTTCATACACATGAAGAGTCACGTAAGATTCTTAAGCATCTTAAGGCTAAGTAGAGTGTCGTGTCCCCACTTCCACCTCCACCTCCGCTTACCCGAAGCCTGACGAAGTACACACAAATTTGGTAGCGAGGATGAGGCCCATTTATGTGTACCTGTTAAATCGTTGAACAGCTTAGCAAGCATCGAAAACTCGATACTCCGGTAAAGTAATCATAAATTAGCTAATGCATTAAGTACCCACGACCGAGACATCCAAGTATCTCGAGACAGCAATCAACATGCATGAAAGAGCCCTCTGTACCTGTAAACTTTGCTTCAACATAGCATTGCACCAAACATACCTTACAATAATTGAGAAAGAAGTTTCGTTTACTTTTGAAAAATGAAATGTAAATTTTCTTACCGGGCGATAGTTGTTCCAGGTCGGTGTAGTGCTCCTTCCCCAAATTTCCCCGCACCGAAACCCCGTGGAGCCACTACACCTACAACCTCAAAGCCATCTACCATTTGCAACCTCTGTCCACCACATGGATTGATCGCAGTCTTGTTTCCACATAGACTTTATTGGCGCACTCAATAGTGTGTCACTGTATCTATGGCCTCTCCAAACAGTTCTGCAGTCTCCAATTCTACCCCTATTAGCTCGTCAAGAACCGGCCATCGCGATAGTAACAGCATATTTCAATGTGGAACGTGTTTTCAGTCATACACGCGACTTGACCATCTTGCTCGACACGTTCGTTCTCGTACGCTCCTTCAGATTCGTCTATATTGCCTTGGCTATCGACTAACTCCAAAAAAAATAGATACACAGGAGAAGCCATACCGCTGTGAAGTATGTAACAAGTGTTTCGGTCGTAGGTGCGAAATCTAAGCTTTTTTTGCCAAATGTATACTTTAATATTGACACATATAGTGACCTCCTGAGTCGACATGCGACTCTTCACGATTCTCATCAGACATCTAATTCATCAAAGCGGAGACGCACCGCCGGCGTCTTCAGGGCATCAAAGGCGTGCGACGCATGTGCTGAGAATCATTTGCGTTGTGATGACGATAAGCCCTGTCGGCGATGTCAACGACGAGGCATCCAATGTAGCCTCGACCCTGCGCCTATAGAGGAGGCAGTAGATACCTCATCTCAAACCAGCGCCCTCGTCGACACTGATAGATCTCCATCGTTTCAGCGGCCAGAACTATCGCCAATGATTGGCTTTGAGTCCACCTTAGCACTCAACGATGAAGTCGAATGTATCGAATCTTCTTCAGCACTTCAAGCTCAGACATCGTCATCCAATGCAGCGACTTTGGGTATCGAAATATCCAGTGAAACCGGCGTTACGCTTCCGGATCCATATCTGACATTGCTGCAACCAAATCCAGAAAGTATATTACCAGATTTTTACGATACGAAGCCAGGAGGATTGATTGACTTTGCTCTTGAAACAAATCTTGATCTCAGCATTGCCGATCTGAGCTTCTTGGAGTCTTACAACACGGATATCCCGTTTGTAAATGAAGCTACCTATACACCACAATCTCCAGTTCCATCCGCACGGGATGCAGAAGGCGAAAACAGTCAGTCAGATGAGAACGCAAGAGAAGAAAGATATGTTGAGCGGCTCCGGTGGCGGTTCGTGCCTGTTTCCCAGGACCACGGCTACTCTGAACATGGCAATCTCCTTCTTGAGGGTCAGACAGGACCAGAAGATACCCCGCAGAGTCTTCGTAGTCTGAGGGATGGATCCACATCCATGGAGAGTGTTGATCTATCTTTACGTGACAAGATCTTGAGTATTGTTCTGGGTCAAATGCCACAGCCACTTTCCCGCGCAATTTCTTCGTTCCCGTCACCTGAACTCCTAGACCGTTTAATCCTATATTTCCTTACCATACCCATCTCTAGTGCTGGTGCCTGGTTTCATCAGCCTACTTTCAACGTGAAACAGGCCCGCCCTGAGCTTTTGCTGGCTATGGCAGCAGCTGGTGCAGTACTCACGCCGGATTCGGCCTTGCGAAAACTAGGGTTCGCCATGCAGGAAGTTGTGCGGCACCATCTACCCACTCTTTATGAAGCAGACAACACCCTTATTCGCGACCTAGAGTTGCAACAGGCCTATCTATTGTACCTTGAAATCAGCCTATGGAGCGGTAACAGCCGTAAAATAGAAATTGCTGAGAGTTTTCGCCAACCACTTATTACGATGTTGCGGCGTAGAGGTATGTTCTATACAGCTGGGTACCCACCGATAACTCTAGATGCAGACGATACATGCCTTGCCATAGAGAGAAAATGGTTGGCGTGGGTACGGCAGGAGTCCACCAAACGTTTAGTTTATCATCTATGGGAATATGACACGCAGACATCTATGGTGCTGATGACCAACCCATTGATATCTTACGCAGAGGTATCAATTCCACTTCCTGCTCCCTCGTATCTTTGGCTCGCCAATGATGCAGAGGAATGGAAAAGGCTCTACTTGAGCTGGCAGGCCCAATGCCAATCTCTCCCTCGTGCTATGACAATTTCGGATTGCATTTTGAATATGGACTTGCTGGAAGTACAGCGGCCTGTGACAGATATGGCAATCTCGTGTGCTGCAGTTCTTCACGCTCTGTGGGGAATGATATCAGAATATAGGCAGATGAACATGCTCATCACCAGGGATAGCAGGAACAACGGCTCAAATTCGAATGGCAACGGCGCCGGCAATCAGCCTGGTCAATGGCACGGCGGGCTAGTAATGGCGTCGCGGTACCAGCAGCTCTCAGAAATGCTGAATTACTTTGGCATCGGCCATTGGGATGACGGCGCCCTACACTGGCACTGTATTCAAATGCATTTACACATGTCGCTCGAAGACATCCAGCTTTTGGCCGCCTCTTTGCAAAACCCTGCTCACTCAAACAACATCCTATCATCAATTCAAGCTTGGTCTCGGAGTAAGGATGGACGCTGGGCTGTATGGCATGCTGGCCAGATATTCCGTGAGCTCAAGGGCTTGTCGCCCCAACATCTGCGAGATTTTAAGGCTATTGCACTCTATCATTCGACTCTTACCCTGTGGGCATATAGCGTAGGTAGAGGGAGAATCGGCGCAGAAACAGAGCCTGTTGTGTGGCTAGACGGCACAGATACAAGCAATTTACAACGATTTGTAACTTTGGAACGCAATCAGCCCATGCTCCAGGGACTTTCACCTGAAGCTGGAGACATAAATCTGCTTGATCCCAAGGCCACTTTGACCTTGGCTATACAGTTGATGAGGCAGAATCATGGCGGCCAGGATGCTTGTGGGCCTCCGTTGGTCATGAACCTTGTACATTTACTGGAGAAGCTCCGTGAGATCGACAGCTAGCCTGGAAATTTTGATGCAACTTGTTATGTTGGTGTATAGACCATGCTAAAGCGCACCTTGTTCCTATCACAGTGACTCTATGCAGTCGTATAAGTGGGCCACGCAGCCGACACCTTCCGGGCATACATAAGCCTAATCTGCTAGCAGCTTGATAGATGAGAATACATGCTGTTACAGTAATCAGACTTATCTGATTTCATTTAGCAAACATCGTCTCTTCTCCTTGTAGCCAATTTATACGATCCAAATATTCGATAGTTCATCAAACGCAGGCCTGTGTATGTCGTTAGGGCTTCGTTCCCATTGCCCTTAAGTCCGATGTTTCGTATGGGCTATAGCGAGAAACCGGCATCGATTAGCGCATTGACGCCGGTGATAGATCTATTCATGGCAAGGAATCGAATCTGTTCTGCGACGTCCTATAATGCAGTGAGCTGTGTACTTTTTCGTTTCTAGAATTGAAAGCCGTGGACATACTTCTGGCGTGGCTAGGCGCTTGAGAACATTCTTGTCTTGGACTGCCTGGATTTTATCTGGAGAAAATGTCTTTCCCCAGTCCTTCTCGCATGAGTTGTCAGCCTCTGAGGAGATTCAGAACGTCATTATTCACGCACCGTCATGAGAACTCCTGGGGCAACGCTATTCACGCGAATTTTAGGCCCCGCAATGATAGCAAGGCTCTTAATAAGATGAATAAGAGCAGCCTTGGTCACAGCATACGGCTATAATCCGGCTCTGTTAGTGAAAAGATCGATCAATAATCGACGAACACAAAGACAGAATGCACCAACGAGCTTCCACTAGGCTTAACCCCAGCCACGCTTGCCGTCGCGATAAAAGTACCCTCACTGCTTTCCAAATGCGGCTGGCAAGCCCTAAAGAGACGAAAATGGCTTTTGACGTTCACTTCAAAGCATCGATCCCAGTCTTCTTCATTATCGGCAGCTTGTAAATTCATAAAATCTGTCATTCGCGTCCATCCCACATTGGAGATGACTATATCCAAGCGACCCATTTGTTCGACCGTCTGCTGTACTAGTCGCGTCATCTCAGTTCTGTTGGTTATGTCGGCCTGGGCGGCAGCAAATGTTGGGCTCTGGCTGTCTTTGACATGTCCAGATTGAGTACGCAGAGTTTCCATTTCACTTATTAACTGTTTGGCTGCTTCTTGATTTTGGTGGTAATTGATCATGATTCGCATGTCGCTGTGTGAGGCCAGAGACCGCGCAACGGCCGCGCCAACGCCACGAGATGCGCCTGCAATGAGGGCTACCTTTGGATAACTCATGTTGATTGTCAGATGACGGTTTCCTTGAAATCCTAGGAAAAGAAGACATTTTCAGCGAACACAGGCAGATCGGACCCTTTTTCCTGTAATCCTCAAAACAGTAAAGTTGCTATATGCTTCTATCGGTCCGGGCATAGGGCATCGGCCCCACGTAACCGCAGTGGATGAGATGGTGCTTTTCTAGTCGCATAAGTACAATATAGTCGAAATCAAGTATCTTCTCGTATTATTTCGATAAAATAGACAAAATTCGAGAGACTATTGAATGCAAATCGAATCGAGTAGACATCGCTACAAACAAGAATGGAAGACAACGGACTTCGCCCCCTTAGTCGCTACATCACCACCCACGATGAGAATGGCGTTACCGGCTTTCAAACCCAAACTCCCGAAACCCTGCAATGGCAACAGCTTGCTAACGGTGCCCGCTTCTCTCTTGGCTATGCCACGAACGAGACGCCCGTTGATCTCAGCGACGACAAGGACCTGGGCATCTATCGATCGTACCTGAGTGACCTACCCGGCATCACCATCCCTGGAGGCACGGTCTTGCGAGTCGTTGATATGAACCCTGGCTCAATCTCACCAATGCATCGCACAGTCAGCCTGGATTATGGTGTCGTCTTGGAAGGAGAGGTTGAAATGATATTGGATTCGGGGGCGAAAAGACTGCTCAAAAGGGGTGATATTGCGGTGCAGCGCGGCACGAATCATGCATGGAGGAATCCGAGTAGTACGACTTGGGCGCGTATGCTTTATGTTTTACAGGAGGCGAAGCCAATCCAGGTTGGAGGCAGACCGCTGGAGGAAGACTACGGTGGTGGTATGGATGATGTGAAACCATCGAAATAAGTGTTAAGGAACATAGACCATATTATCCAGGAAATGTATCTACAGTACCTATAACAAGATTTGTTTCTGATCCATAAGTCAATGGAAACTGATTCCTGCACGTAACATAGACCTGCTACCTACATGTGTAGATAGACCTAAAGTATAGCTTGAAGTTTCTGATTTAATTTCATAGATACCTAGATAGCACTGTCACTGAACCCCTCATTTCGAAATAGAGGAATAACGGCATTATGTCCGAACTCCAAGCCCAGTGCGCAACGATATGCGAAGTGGAGCCGAGGGCGAATAGGCGTGGATGGTATGCTAACAGTCAGCTGTGATACCAATTAGAGAAGTATTATTTTCAATAGCAATATCATATAAAGGTAGGGACCCTAGACTATTGATCCGACATGAAAGATACAAAAACCATTGACTTAATAACTCATCATCTACAAGATGCCTGCCAAATTCCTGAAGTCCAAACAACCCCCTGCCACTGGCTCTGCAAAGGTCGATGTAAGCTCCATCGTGCGTGGAGTGATCGATGATGTGCGTGCCAATGGTGATGCTGCAGTACGCAAATACTCGGAGAAGTTTGACAAGTGGTCACCGGTCTCGTTCAAACTCTCCCAGGCTGAGATTGATGAATCCATTGCTGCGTGCTCCTCCCAGACAATCGAGGACATTAAGCAAGTGCAGAAGAATGTGAGAGCGTTTGCACAAGCCCAGAAGGATTCTCTCAAAGACCTTGAATATGAAATACAGCCGGTAAGATTGTGTTCGTTTTCAGTACTTGAAAGCAAATTCTGACTGTTATAGGGTGTCATTCTTGGTCAAAAGAACCTTCCTATTGAGGCTGTTGGAGCGTAAGTATCTATGTGTTCATTCTTTTCTGCAGATTGACTAAAACAATTTCTAGATACATCCCTGGTGGTCGATACCCTCTTCTCGCATCAGCCCATATGACAATACTTACGGCGAAAGTCGCCGGCGTTCCTCATGTCATTGGGTGCACGCCCCCCATCGCCGGACAAGTCCCTCATGCTACCATTGCCGCAATGCACCTTGCAGGAGCGGACGAAATCTATCTTATCGGAGGAGTACAGGCAATTGCGGCCATGGCTATCGGGACCGAAACTATCCGCAAAGTCGATTTTATTGCAGGTCCCGGTAACGCTTTCGTAGCAGAAGGAAAGCGTCAGCTATTCGGAGAGATTGGCATCGACCTCTTTGCAGGCCCGACAGAAATTCTTATTGTCACCGACGAGACGGCTGATCCGTTCCTGGTCGCAACAGATATTCTGTCGCAGGCTGAGCATGGACCCGATTCACCGGCAGCTATCATCACTACCTCGGAGGAGGTTGCTCGAGAATCTATTCGCATCATTGACGAACTACTGAAGAATCTGCCTACGGCAGACATAGCTCGTGTGTCTTGGGCACAATTTGGAGAAGTCATTGTGGTAGATACGATTGAAGAAGCTTGGAAACTAGCAGATGAGTACGCCTACGAGCACGTCCAAATCTTTACACGCAGGCCTCGTGACGCGCTGGAAAAAATGACTGCTTATGGCGCGTTGTTTTTGGGTGAAAATACTTGCGTTTCTTATGGCGACAAGGTCATCGGGACAAACCATGTCCTACCTACTCGCAAGGCAGGCAGATACACCGGAGGTTTGTGGGTGGGCAAGTTTCTGCGCACTGTAACTTACCAAGAAGTACTAAGTGATACGGCCAGTGGCGAGTTAGGCCGGTTATGCGGGCGAGCAGCCCGAGCGGAGAATTTCGAGGGTCATGCACGATCTGGAGATGCCCGGGCTTATCACCACCTTAAAGACGAGTTCGGTTGGATCAATACATACAAAGCAAGCTTGTAGTCTAAAGAGCCTTTTGCTTCAAACGTTTCATTCTGATGTGACCTTTTGTATTTTCGGGAAAGTCTTGTTGTGTTGGATTGTGGAGTATTCCTAATACAGGGAATCCCTGATGGAATCCCTGATATGAGAATGCTATAAATTTTAGAATGTAACAGATCTGAACATATTCACCCGAGGTAACTAGGTGGGCAAATTTGAAATTCTTATCTGTTTTTTTACTTTTGTATGCCGGAACATGTCTGTTTTAACAAATCCCGAATTTGACTGTATAAGTAGAGGCACATCTGGTTGAGTACCTAGGTACACTATCTTCGGAACAGGGGTGGAACAACCCATGAACTTTGGACCTGAATCAGACTGATGACTACAATTGCATTTTCATGAGACCTAGAAGACTAAAAGATACTATATCAAAAAGTTTCTGCTACACAATAATTCACTCATACAGACAGAAGTAGCAGACTATTCTGGTACATAGAACACTGCTGTTGTCTCCACATGATGTCGTCCATACAGAACTTCACTCAATAGGCCTAGCCCCTGACACGTCCGGCACACCTTCACCCTCAACCAGCTTAGCCTGTACGATCTCGAGCACAGGCACTTCTGCTAACCGTGAGATGACATGATGCAGTGTAGGAAGCTGCTCCCAGTCCAAGGGATCAATCTGCATACTCGCCTTCTTGGTCGTATAAACCCTCTGCGGCCGCGGCGTTGGCACCGCTTCCGCGAAGGGATCGAAAATTGTATATTCCTCAGCTGCAATGTTTTTGTTGGATCGTCCACTTTTTGGTATATACTTATACGCCAAAATACCTGCATCGGCTTCTCCGCTCAGAGCTCCAGTGGTTGTTGATGGATCAATCTCGACAAGATCCTCGAGCAAGAATTTTCCCCAAAGCGCACCCTCCCATCCGGTCCGCATGCGATACGAGTTTGCCCGTCGGTATACATCCACTGAGGTGTATAATTTGGGCATACCAAGTTCCTCTCGTCCAGACACAATAGGGTCGGTAAGTGATTCGAAAAGGATAGGCAGATATGTGCCCTGCACGACGGAGCCATCGTCCTTGACATACTCCACCCCGTGCACGTATAGGCCAATATGTTTGTAGCCAGAACCACCAAGCCACTCCATCTTGTTCAATGTCGTCTGTGAGAAAGAAGCATAAGCAACTGTACCAGGGGAAGTAAATCGCCAGCCTTTACGACCTGGTGGAAATAAGTTTTGTAGTATTGTCCGAGAGGTTTTGAACTTGATTGAGGCTGTTGTAAAAGTGGATTTGGTGCCGTCGCGCGGCACGCCCAGATGAGTCTGTCGTGGTCCTGGCATTGGCCCAAAAGCAATGGGCATACGCCAGTATGGATTAGGAATCCGCTCCCAGATCCATTGACGCAAGCGCTGGGTTGAGTTATCCCACTCATCATGTCCAAAGTTGAAATTAGTGAAGCCGTACACTATTGAGATAGAACAATAGTTAGTATTCTGCTCCCATCTTCGAAGCTAGAGAACGTTGCCACTTACTATCAATCTCTTTGTCATCAGTACGATCTTCACCGATGATGCGTGAAAAGCTTTGGATGCGAGTGGCACGCTCGTGACGTATATCATTGTAAAGCTTCAAACGCTGGGTCACTTCTGCGAGTGGTACTTCTGGGCCCAAGACGACAGCTAGAGATATAGCATCCTCAATAGCAGCACCACCACCCTGGCCCTGATGCGGCAAAAAGGGGTGAGCAGCATCACCGATCAAAACAAGGTGGTGGTGATGCCACTGAGGAATCACATCCATGTCCAACAGCTTCCAGACCTTAACACTCTGGGGATCGGCCTTAGCAAAGAGATCAAGGATAGCCTGATCGAATCCCTTGAAGACGTGCAACAATTTATCCACGTTCCCAAGATGGCCCCAACTGCTATCCGTGTCTTCTGCAGTTTCTGCCTCAGGGTGGATTGCAACAAAATTCAATACTGTGTTGTCGGATGTTGGATACATGATAATACGTCGGTCAGAACCGTACCAGATGCTCAATTCGCCGGGATGCTGGACCAATTTAGCTGTGACTGGATCATCTAAAGCAGCTTGTTTGGAGACGAGGAACCTGAAGGCACTCTTTCCGCAACAAGCAGCTTTAAGCTGACCTCCTGGAACAGCACTACGAGTTACAGAATGTACACCGTCGGCACCCACGATGACATCACCCTGAACCTCTGTGCCATTTTCTAGAGTGATAATGGCCTTTTCGGCGTCGACTTTAGCGATACGAGAGCCTTTGTGAAGAGGAATTCCTTTCTGTGTCAAGGTTGGATTCTCGGCCACTTTCTTCAAGTTGTTATGAAGATCAATCCGATGGGCAAGCAGCCATGGCTGCAATTATCTCAGGTCAGTATAGAGCCAAATCATACAAGGACTCGGTGGACTAACATGCAGCCACCTCTTATTCGGCTCTGTAAGATCCATCTCTCTTATTGTCTCGCCTGCAGAGGTATATTCGGTGAGCTGCGAACTCTACGTTAGTGACTTCTATAACACTTCAACAGTTATTAAATGCAGAAGATATACCTTTTGCATGGGATTGGCGCCAAATGTTTCTGCATAAATCCCCAAGCGCCGAAGAAGGCCGTTGGCATTAGGAGCCAGGTGAATAGCTGCACCGGTTTCCGTTGCTAACTGGGATTGCTCAAAAATCTACAAACATCGTAAGTACTATAACATGAATTGCTCGACTGAGTGAGTACCTGAACATTGTGCCCTTGATTGCGAAGAGCGATGGCGGCTGTCAATCCACCGATTCCAGCTCCAACCACCAATATCTCCAAGGGTCTATTGGCCACGCCATTGGTATCAGTCTTGATGGAGTTAATCATGGCAAGGAACTTCTGTCTGAGAATCAATATGAATAGCGTTACTCTGATGTTTACTTGTCTGTACGCATTTATGCATGGGGAAAAGTTGGGGTAGACGAAGAAAACGGTTTAGGGTTAATCTCCCCCACAAGCCGAAACCTTTCGGCTCCACGTCTTTTTAGGTGGTCGCCGCCGAGAGTCGAATAGGAGAATCTCCGATGAAGTGCGTAGGTCTGAAAAGCTGTTGCCACATATGTAACCGAGGCCTGTTGCATACAGAATCTGAGGACTCTGTTCGGAAGTGTGGGACAAAACAACTGTTAGTAATGGAGGCGCCCACGCATTTGAAGGTCTACTACCTACCTGCGATGCGCAATCGTCTATCATTTTACCCATGGAACACCTGTACAAATTTCTTCTTGTAAATATCGATTCAACAAAATCATGGCTAGCTTACAGACAACTACCGATGAGCTCGCCAGAGTTCCCCTCATAATCAACAACGAAGACATCTATACTCCCGAACAATTTGATGTACTCTCTCCCAATACTGGAAAAACTCTCTGGTCATGCTCAAGCGTCACACGGTCTATAGTAAACGATGTCGCTGTATCCGCTTCACGCGCTTTTCCAGCATGGTCTGCAACCAAACCTGCTGTCCGTCGAGGTATTTTCATGCGAGTCGCCGACCTCCTGGAGCAACGCGCGGCAGAGTTCCAAGATGTGATGTCGAATGAGATGGGAGCAGTAGAGCCATTTCTTACGCTCAATACAAATCTTGCCACAGAGATGATACGAGATGTGGCAGGTCGTATTACCGGGGCACTGAGTGGGCACGCTCCTATCTGCGAGGGAGAAAATTATGCAATAGTGCAGCGCGAGCCATATGGAGTGGTCCTAGGAATTGCACCATGGTAGATTCAACTGATCCTGTATCATTCTGTCAATTTTGCTCATGAGTAATTGTTTTTTCAGGAACTCTCCGTTTATCCTCGGCTTTCGAGCGGTGATATATGCTCTAGGAGCTGGAAATACTTGCATCCTCAAAGGAAGCGAGGTCTCGCCACGCTGCTTCTGGCTCATTGGATCCATTTTCCGAGACGCCGGTCTTCCCGATGGATGCTTGAACGTCATTTATCATCGCCCAGAAGACGCGGCAGAAATCACGGCATCCCTAATCGAGCATCCAGCTGTACGAAAAGTGAATTTCACAGGCAGTACAGCCGTAGGTCGGATAATTTCTGCAACGGCGGGKAAAAAWCTCAAGCCCGTGTTGATGGAGTTGGGTGGCAAGGCTAGTGCTATTATCTGCGAAGATGCTGATTTGCACTTGGCGGCAAAACAGTGCGCGGTTGGCGCATTTCTGAATGTGAGACATCTCCCTCCCCAGGCTTTGCTTCAGCTGATAGTTGGATGAATTACGAAGTCGGGGCAAATCTGCATGTCCACGGAGCGCATAATCGTTCATCAAGCGGTATTTTCCCAATTTAGTGAACTGCTGAAAGCTACAATAAGTGAAGTCCACGGCTCAGAAGGCACGCCTCACACAGTCGCCCAGGCGGGCACAGTTGCCAGAAATCGACAGCTAGTTAAAGACGCCGTCTCCAAAGGTGCAACTGTCATTTACGGGGGTCACGATGAAAATAGCGACAATATTAGATTAACTGCCACAGTTGTTCAAGGAGTAGCTCCTGGCATGGACCTATTTCAGACAGAGAGCTTCGGTCCTACAGTCAGCTTGATCGCATGCGAGAGTGACGAGCAGGCAATTGCCATTGCGAACGATACCGAGTACGGACTGACTGCAGCAGTCTTCACACGCAATATTGGAAAAGCACTCTCATTAGCACGACAGATTAGAGCTGGTGCGGTACATATCAATAGCATGACGGTGCATGATGAGGCTGTACTTCCTCATGGGGGAGTCAAGGACAGTGGGTGGGGCCGGTTTAATGCCGATGCAGGATTGGCTGAGTTCTTGACTACTAAGACTGTCACAATCAATGCGGGACAATCGCATTGAAGTCGCACTTTTGTAGACTGTGTTAATTAGAATGTACTTGGAAATTGAAGAAAAATCTATGAAAGTGATAGAATATCCCTGGTCGGTGATTAGCGGGCTTTAGGGCTTCTGCTTATCATGCTTATCGGCCGTAACGTGCTTATGCTGCATACTTTAACCGTAACAGGCTTGGTGTGCTTACTCTACAGCCATATGTCGCTATACTAGTTTGGGTTCAAGGACAATAACTTCACCATGTTAAGAAGGAGTATAAGTAATGTCAAATCCCTTGAAAGTCGCAGTTCTTCTGGTCAGTATCAGTCCAATCACTGCAAAATATTCAATATCCAAATATGGCTAACAACGCAATCAATATTGCCCTGCTGGGATCTACAGGATTAGTGGTAAGCTACATGATATATCTGCTTATATATATCGAGCTTCAAGTTGACATAATTTACCCTCTTAAAACATAGGGCTCACACTTCCTAGCAAATCTCCTGAGTCACACATCCATATCCCGGATCGACACAATCTCACGCCGCACACCAGCCAGCTCAACCACCAACCCTAAACTAAACCCCATCATCGAAACCGACACATCCCGCTGGGCCAGCCGCGTATCCCAACTCTCTCCACCACCGGCCATTTTTTTCTCCGGCCTAGGCACAACACGCAGTCAAGCTGGCGGTCTTGAAAATCAGTATAAACTTGAATTCAACACAAACATTGAATGCGCCAAAGCCGCTCGCGACGCAGGCGCAAAGGTTTACGTGCTTGTTTCGAGCGGGAGCGCAAATTCGTCTTCCGTGATACCATATCTCAAACTAAAAGGGGAGATTGAAGAAGCCGTTAAAGAGCTGGGGTTTGAGCACACTATTTTCTTAAGGCCAGGTGTGATTACAGGTCAGAGGGGCCAGAGTCGTCCGTTTGAGGCTGTGGTACGGTTTGTCGCGAGTACGGCAGGGAGAATTCATTCTTCACTCAAAGACGGGKGGGCGCAGGATGCGGATGATATTGCTAAGGCAGGTATAAATGCCGGGCTGAAGGCTCTTGCTGGGCAGGCTCCGCCGGGGAGTGAGAAGGTTTGGGTCATTGAGCAGGGTGAGATTGCCCGTTTGGTGCGCGAGGAATGATCGTGTATATATTTTTGTTTTATTCTTTCTCCCTCGACACCAGTGTATATTATGCAATTCGTAGTAGCTTATTGAGTTGTTTGATTTTTCGCATTATCTGACCGAATGTCAAGACACTCTTGAGCTGTACACGTATTTATTTACAAAGAAGTTAATTAAAGTGGTACACATGAACTTGGAAATAATGCGATTCGTGACAATGTATCTTCACCGATCCCAACATGAAAGTAGAACAAACGCCGATTTCATGCAAAGTACATTTATCTCCACTCAATTAGATCGATCATTTATCCTGATTCACAGCCTTGCCTTTCCTCGTCCACCCCTTCGCACTCGCAGGCCTATCCACACCACTCTCCGGCGGATCCTGGGACGGATCACGAGTCTTATTCACCTCCCTATTCCCAGGACTCACGTCCAGCGGATTACTTGTATCCTTTCTGGCTTCAGACTCTCGACCAGCAGCCTCAAGCTCATTTTCCGGGGCAGTGTTTTTCGGATCAAACGCGGCGTCGTGGCTGGCTACCTCGTCGTCTGTGCCGGTGCCCGTACCTTCTGATCGCGCAGGGTTGAGGGCGTCTCGATTGATGAGACGATCTGCATTTTGTTCATGTTGGGCTGTCCAAAGATTGGGCGCTGTCGAGATGTTGCGGTGGGTTTGTATGAATTGGGATCCGGCTGTTTGAGCGTATGTGACTGCAGCATTTTGGTTTGTCAAGGCACGCTCGACGAGGACTTTGGCGTTGCTGACCCGGACTGTTTGACGGAGTGCGGTATGCATGATCGCTCAAATGATTGTTATTGTGTGTGATATGTTAGGAAGAATGGCTTAATGATGTTGTTTTCGACGTTTTATGAGAAAAGATGACGATCGAGCATGAATTACTACCACGGCATAACTGTCATGATGACGTCATATTTCATAGATAGAAGCTGCCTGACACCCGAAAATTCAGGCTTCATGGCTTGGCATCTGTATGTCATATGTCTTGGCGCGCTAGTACAAAATAGGAACTAAGCTTAAAGAAGGCAATTGTAGGAGGCTCAACTGAATTGTACGTAGTGTATACAATACGTGGCCGGACAAGCAGTGGTAGTTCATGCTTCACAATTCATTAGTATAATGCAGCCAGTCCTCGCTATCATACTTCGAGTTACAATAGTCCGGTCAATAGCTTGAGTACCCTATGAAAGGAAGGGTGCATCCGAAGGCTTGCTCGCTTCACTTTTTCCGCGATATCTGCGGATGAATCCTTTTGAAAAACAACAATCAAACCAAAATAGATTTCTTACTTGCCACGTCACTCTATTGAGGACACATAGTTTTGCGCAGTCAATTTGAGGCTGGACATCACATGAAAAATGCCCTTCCATCGCGAGGCACGACTGTCAGATGGTTAGTACGCGTAAAGCATAGGTCCATGCGCATAGAGACACACGCGTCTAATTGATGTGCGTCCCGCGATAGCTATGCGCAATGCTGTTGATAAGAACTCGCGTGCAGCTACACAGCCTGATAGTCGGTGACAACTCAGATTCCGGTCTCTCAACAATGCAGTAGACGACCATCATGTGCTTGCTAGTTGCTGCAGAACAACAACCCTTGTATTGTTCGCAGATAAACAGCCATGGCGAGATCTTCGCGTCACGTAGTCGATGCAAGCCGAGTAAAGTCTGCATGATCGAGGCTGCGCCCTGCAGGTGGTATCGTAGCGAAGGCCGTGTCGGTGACACGTAAGTCCAATCTCATAGCATTCATAACTCAGCCTCCCTGGAATAGCACAGACCTGGTGTGTAAACAAAAGATGAGCCAATGAATAACATCAATTGACAAGGGGCGGTGAAGTAGTCCGAGCACCTAGACGAGTTCATTAAATCATGGTGATTCAGTGCATGTCAAAACAACTTCTACAAACCCGGGTGATTTAGAAGCTTGTATGCCCTAAATTAGCGCAAACCATGGAGCTAGTTCATTGGATGGGGCGAAAGCATGCATGCAGCATGGGTTGGAAACCAATCCCTGGCCATACAACGCTGACAATGCAATTGCACTAGCACCTTAATAAAAAGGGAGCTCTGTTATGCGACCTTATTTGTCCCGTGTACTCGTCTAGTATGCGGAAGTGCGGGAAGTCCCGTCATGCTTTGATCACGAGAGTCAAAGATATCCGGTTGTTTGGGAGAGATGCAAGTGGAGTCGAAATTCAAATCTGACGTTCTCGATATTGGTCAGCTTTGACATGAAGAGATCCGCACAGTCAATGATTCAGATACTGTCTTAATGCACCGAGCAAGTCAAGCACAGAGTGCAAGCCCTTTTCCAAAGCGCAAGATGCAGTAAATTTGCGCCAAAAATGCAAATTTGAGAAAACCGGAAGGTCGTAACCCTGGCTGTTGTGGCAAATTGACGAATGTGGCACACTGAGAGTGGAGTGTCTGTCCTCACTTGCAGATCCGTGAAATTTGTCTTTTTCGCGAATTGAAGGTCTCGTCTTACATGGGTAGACAAGAGTTCGGCCAATGAAAAAAACCTCATTGTAATCTCGGGCTTGGAACAGCCCAAGCTATGTGATGATTGAGACAATAGCAGCCATAGATTTGATAAGAAATTGGCGTAATCACAAAGAGCGGGGACAGAACTTTTGCTCCGAAACACAGCATGAGGTGGCAGGCCCTTCCTCCTCGACCTACACGACAGGTATGGAGAGACCCAATTTTCGCCGCATCCGACGGAGGGAAGACACATCTGAGAGGTTTGCAACCATGTGTCCTGGACCAGACGTAACCTGCCACGTCAGAGAACATGGAAGCTGTAATGCAGTTGCATATGAATAAACGCCATATCATGACTGAAAGGGAGGATGACCGCATAGACCCGAGTCATCCGGTTTCCCAAGCAAGAAGCAAGACCGTGCACCTGAGCAAAAGTCAATGCGGGACAATTTCAGTGCATCTGTCGCTGATCAGCTGAAAGACTTCGCCTGCCACGTCTGGGTATGGATATTTCAGGGGTCCATCATTGGCCATTGATCAAAGGTGGCACGAAGTGAAGAGCGAAGTTGAGTCAGAAAGTCAATAGTTTGACCGAAATAAAAGGAGACTAATGCGATGGACAGGGTGTGACCTCGGATGGGATGGCAAGTAATTGCTGTTGATGATGACCACATAGTGCGGGCACGTCGTTCATCACCATCGTTGATTGGAGGCATATGCAATAGCTATCACTTTATTCTGAACGCGGATCGTAAACATGGGCCGAAAGAGGCCGGTGTTGATATTCACGACCGAGCAATTTTGTTACGCGTTTTGGCAGTAGTCGTCTGGATTCATTGGAAACGAGCTTCCAAGTGTCAACGGGAGCTAAGCCCTAGTCTGCAATCTGCAGGCGTTATACAGTACAGTTGCCTCTTTGGGCAGGAGGCAACTCGGGTAAGAAGCTCTAGAGAAGAGCGGTGGAGCCTTGCTCTGTCTGCATGTTTGCGTAACGTCGAAAGCATTTTCAGATAGATGCGAAGGATGGCCAGTAGCATCGTTGCCCCGTGTAGCCAATTGGTTCTTGTTCATCGTAGAACAGAGTTCACAAAGAGGAGAAGGAGGTTGGGTTGAGTCTTCTAAGGTCTTAGCGTGTGCATTGTCATGCCACCGTAGACAAGGATCGGTCGATGGCAATTATTGATTCAAAGAATCAACAAAATGCCACGCCAATTGACCCAATGGTACGACGGTCACATTAATTTCGAGAACCAAATAATTGCCGTGAACTGAGGGGTTTCCAGATGAGGAGACAACGAAAGAGTGGACGAGATAGCATCCAAGGTTTCCGAACATGCATAGACTAGGCAACCGGTGAGACGACGATAACAACCTGGATACCATTCGAGGTTGAAGCTTTGTGACGCGTCCATTATCAGTGCACTAGCTCCAAGACATGAGCAACATCCATTGCTCGATGAAGTGATAGTCATCATGCCCAACAAGAATACGGTGAACACGCGTCGGTGGAGGATGGGAAAAACAAGTAGAATCCCGCACCATGTATTTTGGACCATTCTTCTGAAACATAAATATCGCAAACTGCTCCCTGGTTTTCGTGCTGACGAGGCCATCATTGAGAATCAGTCTCAGAAAATCATCAGTCAAGGATTGAATCACAAATCAAATACCAAACCTTCCCCAAGAGTTCACAGCCTGAGACAGCAAACAGATACTGTTTGTCTCATTATTTCCCAAAAAAAACTCCTTCTTGTTTCAATACGTAGGAGGCTGAAGTGTCCATTGGCGAATTGAACTTCCAAAGTCCGAAGAAACCTTGCTATCCCTTTCCGAGTACCGAGTAAGTGAGACTGTAGACATGAAACCGGGACAGTGGCTGACCAGTAGTCAAGAAATGTGTTTCTACAACCAGAAAAAGTTCGCTTGCGGGGACTGGAATTGGACAAACTTTGCCCACCAGTGCAACTATGAATACCGAACCGGCGAGACCTGTGGCATGAGACTGGTCAACTTCACAGAATATGAATCGAAGCAGTGTCGGCTCTGTGAGAAGATTGAAACCAAGTTTCGTCGCCGCAGCCAAGAGTTGGAACGATTGGACCGTTGGAGACGTGAGGGAGGAAGCCTAGTGGCAACAATGAGCCGCTCACAGCAACTGGTTAGTGAGCTTGAGAAGGAGATTTACCAGCTTCAGAACGAGCGGGATTGTAAGAGGAAGGCTCTCTCTTGAAGAATAGAGCGGTCGGCACTGGACCGTTCATTTTCAGGGGTATTGGATCCCGTGGACACTCTTAAGTATGCGAGTGGTGATTGGGCGCTTTTCTGGATTGACATTGGGGTTTTGTTTCGTATCTTTTCTATCGGAGTCTTTTGGGAAAGAAGCGGTTGCTCTGACGTTTTCACGTATATTGGTTGGCTAGCCCGAGCTGCTGAGGTCTAACAGTGAGACCCGAACATGGCTTGGGTGACGGAGGATGGATGTCTTCTTCTGAGGAGACTTTTTCTTGTAACATCACAATCACACAATCAGTCTTTTCCAATAAAAAACTCTTTTGTGACATGTTTGAGTATATTTGGTGATTTCTCGTTCCCAGACTCGTTGATCGTAAGCGCCCTCCCATCCACAAGCGGGGCGGTCAATATCGATGGCACCACAAACGTCCGACATTAAGAGGAGTCGGCGGCTAAGTCCCCGAGACTAGGTTGCGAGTCCCAGGTGCTTTTTGTTCTTCTATTCGGAGTGAACTTAAAGGCCAGCGAAGGGCGCAAACTCGAATGCAGAGTGAGTATGTAACTTAACGCGGGGAAGAGTAGAGGTTGAGAGCGGGCCGTCGATGTTCGGCGGAGATGCTAACAACATGAACACGTGAGAATCATCGTTATATATCACGTGGTCGACTTCAAAGCAGCTTTTTTTTCTTTTCATGAAATACTTTCCTTTACGTGTCTTTAATGGCTGGTCGAGCCCGGATTGCTATTGTTGTCGAACTCCAAGGTACAGGTGTCTGACTGTTTAGGCTCTTGATCCCAGAAAGACATCGCAACCTGTGGATCAACAACACGGAGAATCATGGTTACTTATGAAAAGTATTCTTACATGTGTAAGAGTTAACAGATTATGGGGTTGTCATGTTATTGGAATAGCCCATGTATAGGACACGCTATCCGTTGACGTGGAACTTCCTGGCTGGGGTTGACGAGTACCGTACGGCCTGGATTTCAGGTAGGGCTACATATTACAAGGTACAGAGACCTATCGGGGATTCATGGCGCTTTTGACTGCACGTATTGACTGCCACGTCACAATTCAGCAGTAGTGATGCTACTCTTGCCAAAATTTCCTACGAAATGGGCCTGCAATAGGCATCGAATAACCCTACCAGGTACGGGGAACTGCAAGCCACCATGAGGGATTTCATTCTGGGACCGAGTCAATATATCATTCGAGGTCTGGATTTCAGCACAAAATATGGAAGAGTCTCTATTAACGACTAGCCCTCGGTCTCCTCCTCCTTAGCGAGTCCATGCTGTCTCAACAGCGCATTAATCTCATCAGCGCCCCAAAGATGGTGGTAGATCTTTCCGTCCTTGGTCTTTCCGACAGTTGCGAATTCGACTGGCAATCCGTTTTTAGTACGTCTTTTGACCTATGAATCTGGAAAAAACTTACTTTTCTCGCTACTTAGCTTCGTAGAGTCCATCGTTTTGCTCAAGACTTTCACAGCCAGCGCACAAGCTTCCTTGAGGTCGCACTCCTCCTTATAGTCCTGCTTCAATAGACTCTGAGCAGCTGCATTGTTGGCACCAACACTTGTTGCTTTCCAGCCACCGTAGTTACCACTGGGGTTGCTCTGGTACAGTTGGAATTGTCGGAGGGGGTCGTAGCCAGCATAGATGAAGGAGACACCGAACGGTCTGAGACCACCATGCTGAGTGTATCCCTGCTTCAAATCGCATAGACGACGGACGAGTTGTTCACATGGAATCTCTTCGTTGTATGTTAAAAGGTATTGTTGGGCAGCCTGGCGGGCGTAGTTGATGAGAATGTTGGCATCGGCAGTCATCCCGGCGACAGCGCAGATCATGTTACTATCAGGAAGACGTGTTAATTTACATTCCAACAGTTATTTCACGTGGTCGTGCTCACTCGTTAAGGATATAGAGCTTCTCTGCCGATGTGTCCTGCTCCAGAAGCTTGCTCGTCACCTTCCTCTCAGCAGCGAGAACGATTCCATCTTGGGCTAGAATTCCGAGGGCTGTGCCGGCATGAGAAATAGCCTCGAGGGCATATTCGACCTGATAAAGACGTCCTTCAGGCGAGAAGATTGTAGTCTATGCGGATTGTTATTGTCAGCTTAGTCAAAGCATCAAGGCTGGGTGGATGCTCACCCGGGAGTCGTAACGCCTGGACATTCTGAAGGTAGTAGGGGTAGACCGAGTTTAGTATAGAGTAGACTTGACGCAAGTGATTTTTGTTGGATGAGTAGAAGCTTTTTAAGGTATTCCTAGAGCTGTCTTGTTCAGATGAATGAAGGGTGCGAAGGCGGTGGTGTAGCTGTCAAGCTCCCGGAAGACTAGGCAACCTGCTTGGTTGGTCGCGTTCGCCAAGCTCGGGCCACTCCGCAGATCAGCCAAAAACTGATGATTCAAAGAACTTCTTCAACAATCTTTATACAAACACAATCTTAGTGAAGGGGTTTTTAGGCATTGGAGTCGAATTATTTGTTATTTTCGCATTTCTTTGCGCCATTCAATTGACCATGTTGAAGTCGACTTATACACCTCCACCTCCGCTTCCACCGGGGTGGACAGAACATAAAGCCCCATCAGGTAAGCTTGCTATCCATGATATTTCAGTCTGCCTCTCCATGGTCATCAATCTAACGGATGAGTACAGGTCATCCATATTATTACAATGCAGCAACTAAGCAATCTACCTACAAACGTCCTACCGCTCCTCCCGTTTCCGCCTCCCTCTTAGATACTTCTCAGGCACAAGCTAGCTATACTCCAGAGAACCTTCCACCTTTCTCTTCGACCCCTTACGGACCTTCGGCAGGAACAAGGCAGCCGGATAGACTCGGCTCCAACAACACATTTCAGCATTATCGCACGGCACATGATGGTGGTAGAGCTCATGGAAATCGAGGGTATCGGGAACCCAATGACCGCCCCAAATCCAAACACAGTATCCCCGGATGCGCGCCATGGCTTCTTGTGAAAACCAGATATGGACGACGCTTTGTACACAATCCAGACACAAACGAGAGTTATTGGAAGTTTCCGGAACATCTTATGAAAGGGGTGGTAGAGTTTGACCGTTTGGAAAGGGAAAAGAAACAGCAAGAACAACATCACGAAGAGCAGCAAAAGGCGCTCGAAACAGGCAAGCAGGATGAAGAGGAAATTATTATTGAAGCGCAGGATATTCCTACTGCTGCCGGACCTAATCAAGAGGATAGCGATGAATACGAAGAAGTGGAGGTCACTGATAATGAAGAGGACGAGGACCAGCTCAGCAAGCGACCACGGATAGAAGGTGAAGAAGAAGATAATGACCGGCCCATGGAGTTCAATGAGGAAGATATTGAATATCAGCTTGCGGCCATGGGCGAGGATTACGGCTTGGATCCCGGCGAATATGGAGAGCCCGGCGAGGAAGGTTGGGAAGAAGGCGTGGAAGGACTTACACTGACCGATGAAGAAGCGGCAGCTCTTTTCAGTGATCTACTCGACGATTTTCGTATTAATCCATTTACTACGTGGGAAAAGGTTGTGGACGAAGGTCGCATTATCGAGGACACCAGATACACTGTATTATCGAGTATGAAAGCACGACGAGAAGCATTTGCAAATTGGAGCCGTCAACGCATTCAGGAAATCAAAGCGCGCAAGGAGAAGGAGGAAGAGAAAGACCCGCGCATCAAATATATCGCCTTTCTTCAGGAATATGCCACGCCAAAATTATACTGGCCGGAATTCAAGCGGAAATATCGAAAAGAGGACGAGATGAAAAATACTCGGATGTCGGACAAAGATCGTGAGAAACTTTATCGAGATCATATCGCGCGTCTCAAACTGAGCGAGAGCACCCGGAAATCAGATTTATCTACACTACTCAAGTCGATTCCTCCGCAGGATTTGAACAATTCTTCGAATATCGAAGCTCTTCCTCCTGCGATATTGACCGACATACGCTATATTTCCTTGCCACCGAAGGTCCGCGATCCACTGATAGAAGCATATATTTCCAACCTACCACCCGCTCCTAAAGAAGAAGCCGCTGCTCTCTCAGCCCAGGAACAGCAAGAACGGGAGCAGAAACGCCTTGAACGAGATCGAAGGAACAAAGCTTTGGCTGAGAGAGAACGCCGAGTAGAAGAAGAGAAACGGCGTTTGAAGGGCGGTTTGCTTCATGGCAAGAGGCTTTTGAGAGAGGAAGCTGCTGAGATAGAAGAAGCTATGCAAATTAGGGGCAAGGAAAGCTTAAAGGGTTATTTTGAGAATGGCGGGGATGAAGCTATGGATAAGACGGACTAAAAGTAGAATATCTACCATCGCACATTATACGATTTTCATGCCTACAACGAACTGCCTGTCCATCATAATTGACCTTTGAAGGTAAAAGTACATATATAGTAGATCTGATACCTTCCTCGGAGGATTGTTACATGAATTTCATTTAATTCTTTCTTAGGTGGTGGACTACCGAAATCTCCAATCGTCCCAATCCTCATCATCATCCTCATCCTCACTTCCTTCGCCGTCCTGCAGCGAAGTTTCTTGAGCATCAACCCCTACACCATTACTATCCACTACATTCTGTGCTCTTAGCTCTTCTCTTTTCGCTTTTAACCTTTTCACCCGCTCTTCCAATTGTTCCATTTCCTCAAACTCTTCCTCCAAATGTCGGGCTGCGTCTTCTTTTTCTCCTTCAATATCTTCTTCGCGTACCCTGGCTTGCTCTTCTTTTTGCTTTTGTTGTTGAGCAGCGAGCTCGTCGGCGGTTACGGGTGCTGCTGAGATTGTAGCTGCCGATGATGCTGCTGCGACAGCCGCTGGCGCTGGCGCGGCGCGCGTAGGCGCGACAACTTCTCGTTCAAAAGCTGCCCATTCATTTTCGTCGATATTCTGCTCGGAAATGGATATTTGTGCTGCGTTGGATATTGTCGGCGTTTGTTGCTGTGAGAGTTCATCGTCGAGAAGATGAGGTCCTGCCTCCTCGCCTTGCGAAACTTCTCCTTCATCTTCCTCTGCTACTTCCTGATCAGAGTTCACTGAAACGAGGCGTTCGTCGTCGTCGTCTTTGGTATAGGACGGTGTTGTAGGCCGAGATTTTTTGTGGGCGGGCTGAATAGTATCAGGTTCTTCGATCTTGCGCTTTTTTGTGACCCTTCCAGTGCTTCCAGATTGCGCAGAGGATCCTCGGGAGGCGAGCTCATTTCGGAGCATCGATCTGATATCGGCCATTTCATAGATCACTTGTGAAATCTTTACTTGTAGTAGTAGTGCGCAATGATAGAAGTATGTGACTTGACTGAGAAATGAGCTGCAAAAAGCGCTATGACGAGATGTGGCGCTTGCAAGGAGAATTGTGGCCGTGCAGCTTCTCCGCATTCTGAGATGTCACGTGCTACAGCGCTAGTCTGTGTTCATATCTTCGCGCTTGCTAATCAGATTCCGACACCTTCAACTTTCTTCCGTCACGGCTCACCCCATTCCATCACGCCACCCTCAGCACTGCTAAGATTCACGACATTAACACACACTATCGTGCTCTATTCACACAATTTTGCGCTATAACAAAGCAATTTCTGGCTTTAATAGGGAAGCAGAACATACAGAGCGATAATCCCACCAAAAGTGCCAAGACTTGATTGCGCGACAATACAAGGAGCCCAGGACAGATCGCATTACACTACGCGTGGCATCGAACAACAAACAGGTGTGACTCAGTAGTTTTCTGGGGCTGGAGGTACATTTTACACACCTAGGATTGTGGCTTGTATTGTTTAGCCATTTGATGTCGTAGAGGCACTGGATCAGCTGTGGTGTTTGAGCTATTAGGGCTGTCAAGGACGTCTTATTATACGTAGAAATTTCCCTTATTCCTCTTTCAAAGGATACATAATCATGGCCGGTAAGCATGCCCACTCAATGGCTTCTTTGCCAATTACTGCCAGAAAGCAAACACATCTTCGAAGACAACATGTGGTCTTGTCGCGTTCACGAACTCATGCTGACAACCAATTGCAAACAGATGAACCGAGAAGATCGGGCCGAGCCACCAAGGGCCAACACAAGAATTTGGAGCTGGTACAAGATATCCCTTCGAAGAAAGGCAGAGCGAAGAGCCAGTCTAAGGAGAAGTCTGCGAAACTATCTGCCGAACCCACTCCGACTCCTAGCGAACAAAATGAAGAAGAAATCATTCGATGCATCTGTGGTGAATATGAGGAGGAAGAGGATATTGAGCGAGACATGATCTGCTGTGATCAGTGCTCGGCATGGCAACACAATGACTGCATGGGCTTGACCTTTGCCAAAGGCGAGGAGCCTGAGGAATACTTTTGTGAACAATGCAAACCCGAAAATCACAAAGAGCTTTTGGAGAAGATGGCAAGAGGCGAAAAGCCATGGGAGGAAGTTGCCCGACGACGACAGCAGGAGATTGAGGAAAAGAAGGCCGCCAAACGGAAAAAGGGGAAGAAGGGTAAAAAGGGTGGTGCGAGACCTAGCGATATCAAGGCTGAGACTAGTGCGCCATCAACTCCTGCTGCTTCGGAAACCCCTGCGGCGCCGTCTGTATCCAGGCTTTCGGTCGAAGCCAAGACTCCTGCTCCTGCTCCCAGCGAAACAACTACAGACTCCAAGGTTGTCAGTACCCAAAAGCGAAAATTTGACGAACACCAGGAGCCCTCAACGCCCGATGCTGTGAGTACCCCGGATTTTGCAAGCACAATACATACCCCAGTCGCTAATACACATGTACAGGGCCCAAAACACAAACAGCAACGTTTATCAGAGCCGCGGAAATCTGTTGACAAAACAATCAAAGCATCCCCTGCAGAGTCACAAAAATCTAGCATAGCCGACTCGCTGGCCGGGATAGCTGAGAAGCCCGAAGATATAAGCAGTGCAGCTCGCCGAAAGGTCGCGGAACATTTAATTGGCTTTTTCAAAGAGCAAGTAGCCTCTGCACAAAAGCAGGGCGTTTATGATCTACCACCCGAAAAGTCAGACGAAGATGTGGCCCGGTCTCTTGGTCTATCTGTTGAACATGCAATGCATGCAGTTATATGCGGTGGATCTGGAGAGCCGAATGAAGCCTACAGGAATCAGTTACGCGCAATCACGTTCAATCTGAAAAATAATTCTTCACTACGTGATCGATTACTGAATGGGAGTCTCGCTCCTGCTAATCTCGCCACAATGACTTCTCAAGATATGGCTAGCGAGGAGCAACAGCAGAAAGATGCAGAGATCAAAAGAGCAGCAGAGAAACAGCATATCATCATGCAGGAACAAGGACCACGCATTAGGCGTACACATAAGGGTGAAGAGGTTATTGATGGTGATGGCCAAGCAGGTACATCAGAATCGATATTCTCGTCAACTGCGGTTCGTCGTCCCACTCTTGACGCCGAGTCATCTATCCCTGAAAGTCCGACTGGCGCAAAGAACCCACAGCCAGCAGAATCAGCACCAAAGCCTTCGGTTGAAACACATGCCGCAGCGAATGGCGATGCTATTCGTCCCCATTCTCCTGGATTCTCGACTCAAGATGGCCTCTTTCCGGAGGTGCCTGCCCATCTACACCAACCAATCCCTGTAGGCGGCAAGGTCCAAGCTGATGAAGAGATCGATAATCTCCTTAAAGATGAGGACGTGGAATCTCCCCCTTACTCACCTAAAGACCTTCAGGCTGGAGGCGATATTTGGTTTGGTAAGATTGGCATGAGCGCTATAGCAGAGTTCAGGACGACTGGTAGACATATTGCTGGCGCCGACCTCAGTGGCAAGATACCATGGAGCCAGCTAGCACCTTCGTCCCTTGTGGTCGATGGCAGAATTGATATCGAGCTTGCCAGCAAGTACCTTTGTGGATTACGATTCAGCAATTCTACAAATGTAACAGTCTTAGCGCTAGCCGCTCCTCATCAGCCAAGTGAGCGTGCAGGTTTTGACAAGCTCTTCAATTACTTCACAGAACGGAAACGGTACGGCGTGGTGGGCAAGCATCCATTAGCAGCAGTCAAAGACGTCTATGTGATTCCAGTTGATGCCGGGGCGAGCCCTAAACCCGAGTTCATTCAGTTGCTGGAAAACAATACCCTCGAAGACCCGACACCGGACCCAGTGCTGCTCATGGTCTTTGTCGTCAAAATCAAGGACTCTACGCCCTCTGAACAAGCTACGCCTTACCACAACGGCCAGGCAGCTCCCCCGGTCGTTGCTAGCCCTCTAGGAACTACGCCGTTCACTCAGAATCTTCAGCAGCAGCAGCATTTCGCTTCTCCTACCCCAGCGTCACGGCAGGGCTCGCAGGTGACTCCATCAGGCCCGGCTGGATCGCCGCCCTTGAATGGCAATGGTCACCCAGCTCCTCAATTCCCTCAACAGCACGGGCAAACCCACATTCAACCGCAACAGCAGATGCAAGTGCCAGCGGGTTTTCCACCACAGCAACTTCCGCTGATTGGACCTGCGGMTGCAGCTCATGTGCTTGGTCCTCAGGCAAATGCGCCAGCGATTCAAGAACTTTTGCTCAAGGCGCCCGCGGCAGAAATTGCGCAGTTGAACATTGTCCGAGAGATTCTCGCACGGAATCCAGCGGCTGCCAATGACTACCCGCTTTTGATGAGTTCGATTCAGCAGTATTCTGAAGCGGCCAGGAACGGTCAAGCACCTGCATCGTAGATGTCGCGAGGCAGCGCTATGTCCAAACAGTCACTAGAAAAGTCCGTCTCCAGACGAGCTTGAATGAATGGTTTTAGTCTTTTTTATGTACTAGCGATGGATTCTGAGTGTGATATCCCAAACCTCGTTTTATCAACTTTTCCTTACGTTGAGATTTTGGCTTTCTTCACCATGATGCACATTTCATGTTTGTTCTTATTTTTGTTGCGATGTCTACACGGCGTTGCTAAGGAGGTCACTCAGGTCATGGGAAATGTGTATAACATTGCAATTATGTATTCTACCAGTTGTAACTAMATGAAATTGACCTTTGTCAGATGTAGACAAAAGCACGAAATGAATAGGGTACTTGACATTATCTGCGAAACGCCTGCGCTATGCGATTGTAGGAGCCGTTTGAAGTAGGCATGTTATCATAAAATCTAGAGGAAATATTACCATCTGCCACCACCACCACCACCACCTCCTCCATAACCACCACCCCGTTTCCTATACCCGCCTCCTCCTCCACCAGACCGTCCATATCCTCTCCCACCACCACCGCCCCGTCCACCCCAACCGCCCTCATCACCATACCCATCATCATGCCTGACCGGCGGCGGCCTTCCCTTCAACTCCTCACTGAGTTTCTTATACGTCTTGCGCATATCCGAATACCCCATATGCATCTTCCCATAAAAGTGATCCGCGAGGCGCCGATCATTATCCAGACGACTGAGGTAAGCGCCGCAAACGTCGCATACCTGCAGTTTCTGGTGTCCTGAGGGTCCCGAGGTGTCTGACAAGTTTTTAAGTTCGCGCTCGCAGGTTTCCTTTTGGTGCTTTGCGGAGCGGACTTTGAAGAGCTCGGACATGGCGAGGGAGACGGAGCCCATTTCGCCGAGAACGGAGACTTCGAGGAGGCCTGAGTTGATGGTTTTGGTGAGTTCGGAGATTTGTTTCAACTGACCAACAAAAGTTAGCAATGAGTATAAGATGCAGTGTGATTTTGTTGACGCACCAGATTATTAGTCTGCCGAATCTCATCGGGCGTCTTCTCCAGCCGTCGCTGCGCAGAATCAATGCGTCGATCGCATTCATCAATGTACTTTTGCATATCGCGCATATAGTCGTACTCGAACCCCCACTTCGCCTTGTCGCTGGCTGATGCAGCTTCGTATTCCGCTTTGAGCCCTTCGCTGTGGACTTTGGGGCATGGGCCCAGGTCTTGTTTGGTGTTGGTAAATTGGTCGTGCGGACAAGTACCGACGAGGTATGAGCGACAGACTTTGGGGTCGGTAATGGTGAGTTGAGCGTTGCGGGAGGCTGCGCCGCCCATGAGCTGGTCGGCTGTTGGTATTTTTAGCATGGGCCTCGTGAAAGAGTGAAGAGGGATATGCTTTGAGTAAACCTACCTCCCATGAGCTGTTCCAACAGCTTCCTCTGCTCTGCTGCCATCTTGAAGCAGGCCGGTGTCGAGTATCTAACGTAATCTTATGTATGGCGGACACAAAGCGATCGCTATGGCGATGAGATCTCCCAGCTTCTTGCGAGCAAAGGGTTGGTCGGAGCTGTATTGACTGAGAGAGCATGAAAGAAGCCGCTGAGTCTCTCTCAATACTTTTTGACGCTAGTGGCGACCAACCTGAAGTGACCAATGAGAAGCTCCGTAGAGCTGTCAGCCGATATTTAGTGGTTGCTTTCTGTCGTGTGTAAGTATGTTGTTTTATTATTTGAAATAATGATTCTGGCTCGACCGATGAAGAGACACTATACCTTGCAAATACGAAGTATGAATCACAAGTTGTAGGTTGTAAACATGGAAAGTGCCTTGGCTGCCCTGGTGGATCTCCATTAGTAGTAGATCCAAGCATGTCTGTCTGACCCAGTGACCCTTAACATTCAATGTTGACAACATCGCAAGGCCGTCCAAGATCGTGGACAATTGGCTTGCTACCATCGATGCTAAATTACCTATAATAAAGCGATCGCATCGCTAGTCATATGATGTCGGAATGAAGAGTCCTTTCTTTTCGCTCGCCGCCCTCGCGGCGTTCGTGGCCTCTGGTCTAGGAGCAACCGACTACCACGAACGACTCACTTTACAACCACTTCCGACCTCATCGCTCCTCGCTTCATTCAATTTCCGCAGTAACTCGTCTATTTCAGCTTTTCATAATCAGCATTTCCGCTATTTCCCGCGATCTTTGGGGCAGATTCTGCAGCATACAAATACCAAGGAGCTGCATATCCGCTTCACGACTGGCCGATGGGACGATGAGAGTTGGGGCGCTAGGCCGTCGGAGGGATACAAGGAGGGCGCTACTGGTGTAGAATTGTGGGCATGGATTGATTCTGAGTCTCAGGAAGAGTGTGTACTATCTTGAATTGTATGGAGGCGAGGACTAATTGTTGGTCGTGCAGAGCGTTCGCACATTGGATATCCCTGACCCAATCCCTCTCCGGCCTGTTCTGCGCTTCTATGAACTTCATCGATTCCACACGTACGACGAGCCCAGTCGTGTCTTTTGAGCCTCTGGGTGATCATTCATCCGATCAACTACATCTCCTCCATGGAACACTACCCGGCGAGGTAGTTTGCACGGAAAATCTCACGCCTTTCCTGAAAATGCTTCCATGCAAAGGAAAGGCGGGTATCTCGAGTCTGTTTGATGGACATAAATTATTTGATGCTTCCTGGCAGAGCATGTCCATCGACATTAGACCGATTTGTCCTTTTCGGGAGGGCGAATGTTTGGTTGAAATAGAACAAAGTGTTGATATGGTTTTAGATATCGATCGGTCCAAACGTCCTCGTGGTATGTATTGTCCCTCAAAGCAGGTGGTCATAGCTGACATACTCAGACAATCCCATCCCACGACCTGTTCCAAATGAAGAACTGGTCTGTGACCCTTCAAAACCTTACAACACCGACGATACTTGCTATCCCTTGGAGAAAAGGTCCGAAGTCGGATGGACGCTTTCCGAGATTTTTGGCCGTCCCATCAAGGGACATTGCCCTTTGACAGATGAAGTTGGGCCTGGTGCTCAAACGGTGTGTTTGAATGTGCCGGATAGTCGGACTGTCTTGTCGACTCCCGGTGCAACCGAAACGAAAGATAGTAGGGGCTTTTCTCGATGCTATACCCTATCGTCATCAACTGATTTTGACATTGTGGTGCCGGAAGAGGAAGTCAAGATTCCGGTCCCGCTGCAACAAGGAGTGCTGCATGCTGAAAGAACAATTATCGGACATGGACAGGAACGCGGTGGCCTGCGCGTGATTTTTAGGAACCCGTCAACCTTTGAAAGCGTGGATTTCATATACTTTGAATCTCTACCTTGGTTCATGCGTCCATATTTACATACTCTACAGGCTACCGTTGTCGGCAACGATGGTATCTCACGACAACTGCCCTTTTCAGAAATCATCAAAGGCATATACTACCGCCCTGCTATCGACCGACAGAAAGGCACTCAGCTGGAATTGGTCCTCTCGGTCCCCGCAGACTCGACCGTCACACTCATCTACGACATTGAAAAGGCCATTCTACGATATACCGAGTATCCTCCCGACGCCAACCGCGGATTCAACGTAGCACCGGCGGTAATTAGAATCCTAGACCAAGAGAAGCGCTCTCCAATCTACCTTCGCACTACGGGACTGCTCTTGTCTCTCCCGACACCGGATTTCAGTATGCCGTACAACGTCATCATCTTGACGAGCACTGTCATGGCCTTGGGGTTTGGAAGTATTTTCAACCTGCTGGTTCGCCGGTTTGTGCCTGCAGATGAGCCGGCGTTGCGGTCTTTGAGCTTGAAGGCTCGTCTGGCTAGCAGATTGGTGACGATACGTGATCGATTCAAAAGCAAGACCTCGAAGATGAAGAAAAGTGATTGAATAAAATTGATTTGGATATCAATCGGGCCAATGCCCTAATTAATTGTACAAGGTACTAATACATATGTTCATTTCGTAAACCTATCAAACTCAGTTAATATACTCTTCATAATACCTATAGAGGGGAGACATACTGATCAACAATCCCCTTGATCACCGAATGACCAGGCATATCCGGCCCGCCAGGTTTCCTCTGCATAAAACTATGATCCTCCGTCTCGCACGTCTCCGCCACGCCACTCTTTTTCAAATCTTCATCCACAAACCCACCAGACTCCGCAACGCGTTGCTTGGTATGCGCCGCCGCAGCACCCTTTTGCTCTGATAGACCCAAAAACCCTCCAATGGAGGCTGCCGGGTTGGGGATTGCGGTATGTCCGGGGCCTTGGGAGCTACTTGCGCTGTCAGCGGCAGGACCGCCAGATTGCTTTGGGTCTTGGGAGCCGGTTTCTGAGCCGGTATTGACGTTGTTGGCTGGTGTGGATGCCGCGCTGGCGCCGCCTTGGACTTGAGTTTTTGAGTTACGGTCTTCGTGGGCGCCCATTTTGATAGAATTTGTGGGTTCTATAGAACGTGGATGAAGATTGGAATTGGGCAGTGTGCGTATGTATTGAGCAATTGTCAAATTGAGTTATCAATCGAGTCTAAACGCGTAGAAAGAGAAAGGAGGTCGAATATATAGGAAACTCAGTGTCGTACGCTGGATCAGCTATGATATCACAGTGACCACATTGCCTAACCAGTGTCTTGCATTCTGCCTAAATAAACGCCCTTGCTAGGTGGACGAATTGTTGATTTATCGTTGCTTCTTTAAGCAGATAATCCTGAATTGGTTATAGTAGGTACGATGTCGTCATAGAGCACTAGGGTTATAGTTAGGGTTATAACCCTTTTTACACGATTCATCTCAATGGATCATTGAACAATTACGCCGCGGTATCAGTAGACCTCATTTAAATGCGTTGAGTGTTCGTATGCATGCTGATTGCCAATGTCATATATGTCTTTATATATTTATAATACATACTTTTCAATCAAATGAAAGGGTATCGATTCACAGCGCCTCACTAGCATCAACTTGCTCTGCCCAAGTCCCTTCTGCCGGCGACAAAGGCGAGCCAGGCGAAGCAATTTTCTCCACTGCTGGTATCGAGAGCTTGTCGGCCGTAGGAATCCCATCTGTTGGTGCAGCTTCTTTGGTTGTCGGTTTGCCAGGTAGAGATGGAAACTCGCTCTCGTTGCTGATTCCCGGCGCAGACTGAAGCGTAGTACGGTCTTGAGTATTCGCAAAATCACCTCGACCACCTCGTCCAGCACCGCCGCGTCCTCGACCACGACCACCTCTGCCCCGGCCTCCTCGGCCACGAGATTCAGAACTCTCATCAAAAGCTTCTGTACTGTCGACTTGTTGATCCCGTCGCACATACCCAGAAACAGCACCATGCATCCCACGACGAAACTGACTACCCCGGTCTCGACGACCGTTATAATCCTCCTCTTTCTTCTCTGCATCCCATTCTCTTCCAGTCTGCGCGCCAAGTTTGCGCATTCTATTCCGCTCGCGTTCGTTGTCCATGACTTTCCGATTCGCCAATTCCTGTCGCCGCTTTTCGGCGGCGATGGCTTCTCTTTGGTGGAAGGAGGCTTCGTCGGCCTCGGCGCGGGCGTGCGCCGCTGCCTTTTTGGCGGCGTTGAGTTTGGCGGCGGCCATTCTTTCTGCTAGTTCTTCTTCGGTGAGTTTGGGCTGTACGAGTTAAGTTAGCTTTATAGTCTTTGTAAAACGTCGTGATGAGTCTCGAAGCGAACCTTTTTGATTCCACCGGTACCACTGCGGTCACCACGGACAGCCTGCACTCGGGCATTCTCCGTCTTTGCTGCTTTGCTTTCGGCGTCTTCATCCTTCTTTTCCTCCGCTACATCATCCTTCTTCTCAGAAGTATCGACCTCACTTGGCGCCTCTATTGCCTCTGTCGCACTCTCCATTACGACAGGCTCCCTTTTCGGCCCAGTATCTGAGCTACCCCTACCACCACGCCCCCTTCCTCGACCCCTACCCCTTCCACCATCATGTACACCTCTGCTATGCCCCCGGCCTCTTCTCGATGGGGGCGCGGGTTGTGGCGTCGCGGTATCCGTTGGCGGCTGCGGTTGTTGTTGCTTCTGTTCTGCTTCGACGCTCGTTTCGGTAACATGTTGAATTTCCTGATCGCCTGAGATGGGGATGATTTCATCATCGAACAGATCATCGGCACCACGGGTCTGCGCAAACTCGTCGACGGCGATAGCTTGGTCGGCCATTTTGTAGAACGTCGAATTGAACTGAATTGGTCCAGTGAGATCGCGAAGCTAGGTCGTGAGAAAAAAGCAATTTGATATGCAGGTATGGACCGCGCGGTCCGGGAGAAATGCCGTAAAATCTATGAACTGGAACTCGAGTAATAATGAGCAAGGGTGGCCGTCAGGATGTAGAGGGATGCGTGTAATTACCGTCACGAAGCGGTATGCGGGGGAAAATCGCGATTCTCACAACGCGATCGCACAGCCTCTTGGGATGATACAGCAGAATTATAAAAGAGTCTCAGAATGAAGAGGTTGCAGATAAGCAAAATACAAGGTGTAGGAATAAGAGTCGACGGATCTTCCTCAAGTCCGAAGGAGTGAAGGGATCTCGTTCAGTTGTTATGACGAGGCCCGCCTTGGTCTATTGATATTTCTGCCTCAGGCTGCAATCTATGTAGCGGAAGCCCTAATTTCCTTAATTTGGTAGCATATTTCTGCACAGGCTTTCAATTTTGTTGGTTCACTGCGAAATCTCGACAATCGATAATCATTATATACTGTGCCTAGGTAAAAATGCAGTTGTTCTCGAGGCAAAAGAGAAAATTTTCAGTCCCCAAATGCGGAGCACGAAATCAGAGCGAGTGCTGTATATCCCACCGCAACCGAAACATAATTCATCGTACTGGACGTCACAGAGTAGGTAATACGGAGGAAAGCAGAAAAACACCAACGAAAACACGGTCCAGGCGACGGTGACGATGCTACAAAATAGTCCGAATTTGCACATCCAGAATGGTCCATGGCTGATGGGCTGGTATATAGGTGGTGCAATTTACCATGCACAATTGTACTCGCATTATTGCCATACCAGTCTTGAAGGAAAGAGCTCCCCATCTTTGATAGTAGTGAGTAGAAGACTTTATCAGACTGTGAAGGAGGACATCTGGATCAATGGGAATACTAATTCATTAAGATTCTGCGGCTATCCCAATCATTCCGATTCATATAGATGAGTAATAGATATCAATGTACCTTGTCTAGATAGAAATAATTCCAAGGTGTTTGCAATTTGATATTGAAAGAATATTATTTGACCGAATTCGAAAATAACGTGAATTTAAAGTATGTACAAGTCGAATTGAAGCTTTGCAGATTGGGTAATGTGAGTTGCACCTCTGTGACTTATCGAGAAAATCAGGGTATAATTAGTCAAAGAGCAGGGTAACCACAGCTATCGAGTATGATTGTAGTACGAAAAGATCTCCGATTTAAGCCGCTAACCCTCGGTACGAGGTAATGGAATGGTCTCGTTCCATTTCGCGACAAGTGTCCTAGACTTCCCTCCTGAAATATTGTTAGTACACTTCCTCCGACACTTACTGAGTATGCATACGTACCAGGTAGGCTGCTGCTTCTCGATATATGGAGTCGACACTTCATTCCTATCCCCAAAAGGATTGTTTTCATCATCCTCCTCTTCAGATTCACTAGCACTTTCCAAGTCCTCGAGTTTGAAAGGTGATTTCTTGTTATCTGTAGGATATCCAGGTATACTCGTGGGTCGTGCTGGGCGAGGTGGTTTGGGAGGCCCAATGGTTATGCCAGAGAAACTCTCGTCAATGCCTCGTATGTATCCCTCGTCTTCACTATCACTATCATAGTCCAGACTCTTGTCGAGCACTTCGAATGCCATCAATCCTGTGACTAGTTCCTCATTGGCGTGAATCAAACTACCGAGTAGATCCCCGCTTTCTATGTTTTGAATGTAACGCAAAATCTGTCGTCGAAGACTCTTGCATCTCTCGAATTGAGTTATGACTTCCTCATCCTCGCTTACTCTGCGCGTCTCTCGGTTGACCAATTTCAATGCATTTTGCAGATTGGTACTCGCAACCGACGACGATGCGATGGTTTGCAAGATTTCAGGCTTCTCCTTCTCCATGTTGAATGCCTTGGAACCCGTCTTTTTGTGGCCTTTCGAACTGGAAGAGCCAAATGCCGAGGAACGTTTAGACTTTTTGGACGACTTGGGGGAAGTCAACACAGTTGAAGGGCCTTCTCCAACTGAAATAGAGACCGAGTGACCCATCGGCGCCTCCGGTACTGGTGCTGCAGTTTCTCTCAGCACTTTGGCCTGAGCCTGCTGTGCTGGCTGTTTTCGTTTTGGTAATTGCCTGTAGAGTGCTGTAATACCACCCATGCCTGGAGTGTCCTTGTAAGTTACTGCCCATTGTCCGAAGAGCTGCTGACATTTTTTCCTGACTTCTGGGTCAGATACAGGATCTGTGGCGGCAATACGAAGACGTTCGAGTAACGGTTCGTCGGCGAATCCACGCAAGAATCGTTCGCCCGCATTCTGGATGAGGAAATCCAAGATTGTGAGGGCTCGGAGCTGACGGTGAAGGTTGCCGTATTTCCTGCAGTCCCATTAGAGTGAACCGCTGATCGGATGAGACATTAGTACTCACAGTTTCTTCCGCAACGCGCGACTAGCTTCGCTTGGGCCCGTCGCCTGAATCTGGACGACTTCGATCAAGTCGACAATTCCACTCGAGTCCTCGACTTCATATTGCTCGCTCGTCAGACTCTCGATCTGCACAGAAACAGCAGTGAACGGTTTCTAAATCAGATTAGCATAACTATCGTGTACGCAGGATTTTACCACTAACATCTGATCTGAACATGGCGGGACTTGGCGTTTGTTGGTATTTTGGCTGTGCTCGAAATTGTTGATATGACGAATATGGAAATCTGTTGTTACACTCAAGTAGCGTCCGTAAAATGATAAGCGAGAAGTCTGCACAGAATCTTCACAGTTTTGCTGTTGTCAGGCGACGTCGCAAAGCGCACCACAGATTAACCTTGTGTCACGACGCACAACAAAGTCGATTGTCACAAGTTTCATAAGCTACGATGAGCAGCAAAGGTTCGTAGCAGAAGCCGCAGCTTTGACGAGAGTCCAAAGCGACTAGCCACGCAATGCTCGTGTATGAAGCAGAAGTTGAGCACGTAAAAAGCTGGGAAGGTGTTGACAGTCAACAATCCACTGCCGTCATTGACCCCTCCGGCCGTGGTGTTTTGCCTTGTTCGGCCTAGTGCGGGACAGTCGGGCGATGAGAGCTACCGATTGGCTCAGTAGGACTCTCAAGTCTTATTGCTTTGATTGATCTCTGCGGAGTATTAAGACTGCAAATTCAAATTGAATTATCACACTGTACAACATATTTTGAAGATCATTTCTGAAATTCTTGTGACTCGCCTCCTCAATCTGGCACCAGCGATTGCAAACTATCGGCCGCGTCTCTCCGCAATCCTTCACCACCTTCGATATCGATCTCTTTTCTTAACAACCGCCAAGATGACGTACGAACACGAACGCCGAATCGCAGAGCTCGCAGTGCAACGGGCCTGTCTCCTCACAAAAAAAGTCTTTCACGAGAAAGCAAAAGGCACATTGGCCAAAGACGACAAATCTCCCGTCACCAAGGGCGATTTCGGCGCTCAAGCGCTAATCATCCAAGCCATTGCTAAGAACTTCCCCAACGACGAGATTGTTGCAGAGGAAGAGTCAAGTGAATTAAGACAAGATGCTTCCCTGAGAGCAGAGATTTGGAATTTGGTAAAGGATATCAAATTGAATGATGTGGCAAGCGATGAAGTTATCGGAGGCTCGTTAGCGAACGAAGAAGCCATGTTGGCCGTCATAGATCAGGGAAACTCACTTGGTGGAGCAACGGGTCGAATTTGGGCATTGGACCCTATTGACGGTACCAAAGGTTTCCTCAGAGGCGGCCAATATGCAGTCTGCCTAGCTTTGATAGTGGACGGTGACGTGAAGGTAGGCGTCATTGGATGCCCTAATCTTCCAATTGACGACTCTGAAGCTCTCACCACGAATATCGGTAGTGAGCAGTCCGACGAGGAGGGCAAAGGTGTTCTTTTTTCTGCTGTGCAGGGAGAGGGAGCTGTTAGCCGGCCCTTGACTAATGCTGGCCTCGCACCAAGCAAGCCTATATCCATGCGTCCAGTTCCAGATGTGTCTCAGGCTGTATTCTGTGAGGGCGTTGAGGCTGCTCACTCTAACCAGGATGACAATGCTTCAGTCGCAAAACGTCTGGGGATCACCGCGCCAAGTGTTCGCTTGGACTCTCAAGCCAAATATTGCTCGATTGCTCGCGGTGCCGGAGACATCTATCTCCGTTTGCCTATGAAGAAAGACTACCAGGAAAAGATCTGGGACCATGCTGCTGGTGACCTTCTCGTTCGCGAAGCCGGGGGCCAGGTAACTGATATCTATGGCAAGCGTCTTGACTTTACCAAGGGAAGAACCCTCAAGGACAACAAAGGCGTTGTCGCCGCTCCTGCTGCTTTGCAAGACCAAGTCATTGACGCCGTTCAGGTTGTGCTGAACCTGAAATAGACGATCCTATCTTTAAAACTCAAAAGTGTGATGATGATCATGATATAAAGAAACACTAGACTAAACAAGCATACAATACAAAAGATACCTGACATAATATACATCCAAGAATAAGTAAACAGAAGAAGGCTGCATTTTGATCACTTGATTTTCTTGTTTTTGAGACGGATGGTTTCCCCGTTCACGAAGATACCCTTGCCCTTGTATGGTTCCGGTTTTCTCCACTCTCTGATTTCAGCCGCAAACTGAGTGACGATCTCCTTATCAATACTTTCGAGCAAGATACGGGTAGGTTGAGGCGTAGAAGCTTTAACCCCCTTTGGAATGGGCAACTCGATCGGGTGTGAGTATCCAACCTTCAAAGACACGAATTGTTGGCCTGGGAATTCGGCTGTCACTGTAGTCGCAGTCGATTCGATAGTTGCCCTGTAACCGACACCGACCAGACTGAGGATGCAGATGTGGCCTTCAGACACACCAAGGACGTAGTTTTGGAGGTGGGCACGTGTTGTTCCTATAGCAATTCGTCATGTTAAAACAATCCTTTAAAACACAGCTGAGCAGAAAACATACCCCACATAGCACGCTGATGAGGGATCTCTGCATCTTGAATGGTTATCGTGGCTTTTCGTGCGGTCTGATCGTGGTTGATGTTGACAAATGGAGGGATGTTCAGCGTCAATTGTCCTAACAGAATCATCAATGAGCATGACACTCCCAACCCAGTGTCGAGACGACAAACCTAATGGACCATTAACTTCGACGGCCACCTTTGGAGCATCCTTTGCCTTTCCACGGACATTAGTCTGTGGAAGGTCAATAAGACTCAAATTGACCTCTGGTGGTATTGACACGGGGGCACCGCCGATACGAGACCGAGCCGCGGACGTAGTCGAGAAGCATTGTGTTCTCAATGGCTGAGAAAGTGCTGGAACGAGGAATGTAGGGACCGATTTCGATTTAATAGGCTCACGTAGGAGCTGCACCAGGCAGCGTTGTGAGGCGGCGCAAGACATGGTTGATGCTGAATGCTTTCTGGTCGGGTATTTGTTGAGCTCCGAAAATCATCTTGAAATTATTTGGCCGTGCCGTATTAGGTTAAGCGCGTCACGTGCGTGATAGTCATCTAAACATCCATTTATCAAGATCACAACTAATCATGTTTATGTAGAGAAAAACACTTGCTGCAAAGAAATTCGAGGAAATCTGCGGTTATAAATGTCTGCACAAAGCGAGGTTGAGGTGGTGGAGGGTGTTGCTGAGGAAGTGCCTCCCCTGGCTCCTTCCTTTTTGACCTCACTTAGGTCTTATTCCATTTATAGCCACCGGCACCTTCTCAAATAGTCAAATCGAGATGGACCAAGAAGTTCACTTCTACTTGGTGGCTTATTCAATCTTTCCCTCACTTGAAACACTTCATCTTTCTCTTCTTATCCTTTCTGCGCATCACAAAACATCACCACATGATCTGATCATCGTCGCAAGAGATTATCATCTTCGTCTTCGGCATACCGTTGCTCCGATCTCAGAATCATGTCGATGTGGCTACTCTACCTACTGCTGCTTTTGTTGATGACTCCTACAGATGCATCAATCCTCGATCTCTATCCGTCATCCATCCGAAAAGGTGAGTGCGACTACTTATTGACTACCACAAAAGAATAGGTATCTAATCAAGACGAGCAGCGATTCCGAAGAAATCTATAGGAAACTCCGACTTGGTCAATTTGATCCGCTCGCGGACAGCTCAACATGACAGCGTCTTTTCAAGTGCCATTCAGCTCCTCGAATCGATGAAGTCATCGCCTTCGTGCAGTAAAATCGCTGCAATGAAGCTTCTCACATCATGTCAAAGCCTCAGTAGCTCCGAAAATTCAGCCGGGGCTGAAATCGCAAATACATTGGACCGTGTGAAATCAATATACGCCGCAAGACTGGCTTTGTGTGAACTTTCAGGGGCTGGAGCCACGATCCCGCTGTCATGCTCGTCGATCCGAATTGCTCCCGACAGAATACGTAACGAATCCGCAATCGACCCGATGGATATTGCCGATGACTTCGCAGCATCTGTTATCGAGGGGTGTCTTCGGGGGTTAGAATCTCGACCTCAGTGGTGGACGAGTTACAGCAATAGCAGACAAAATGCGATTGTCATTTGTCAGGCGGCGCGCATTGAGATAGAGAAGGAGGACATGCTGAATCTACACCAATCGCTTGCCAAGAATGCAGAAAATTTGCACTCTGCTTTACAGTCGGCTTTACATGATGCAGCTGTTGAGAATGCTCAACAAAAGGTATTCATGGAAGAAGTACACAAGCTGAGAATTCAGCTTACCACCGAGCTTCAAGATGACAGTGGTCGAACAAGAAGTCTTTTCACCGGCCTTCTCCGTGATTTTGAGGGAATCCTGAGCGCAAGCGTTTCTAAAACTCTTTCATTTCTGAAAAATGTGGAGGAAGACTCTTTTCTATTGAGTCAGGTATGATCATCAATCCAAGCGCTGGGTAACCTGACTAACGACAATCAGGGCATGCATATATCAATTGCAGATGTTGCGCAGTTACGACATCAAATCAAGGAAATATACGATGATTTAGAACGCCAGAATTCTGAGTTCAAAGACATGCAGAGCCAAAATATTAGAGACATGGAGTCCAACCATGATCTAACACTCTTCATGCAAGACTCGTTGGACAATCTGCAGGATCGAGTTTCCGGAGTGGACGGGGCGCTCGTAAGAATAAAACGCTAACTGCTGACTACACTGCTAATGTTGCTATAGGAATGGTTGGTTAACCGTTTTGCAGCTATACATCAACAAGAAAGTCTCATTCTAGAGGTTTGTGATTCCCCATGTATTGCTAGCTGCATTTCTAACCCATCACAGAAACTGCATACTTTCGAAACCCACCTGGAAAAATCCGAGGCGCGTGCGACAAAACTTCTTGAAACACAGCTTCATCACGCCAAAGCCATCGAGACGCAAGCTAAGGCTCAAGAAGTTTTAGGCGCAAATACAAAAATCGTATATGCCCTGCTTGAGAAGCTTGCAGCGCGTGCAGCCAACCTCGAATCCATGCTAGAGGAGGCAGCTTACAAGTTCAAAGGCCTGCAAGAAATGGACAGTATATTTGGCCTAAACATGTCACTGTGGACTGTTATTTCGTTACTCATCACCATACTTGTCGTTCAGAATCCTCAAATGGCGGGTATCCTATCCATCTTTGCTGGATTTGCCCTGCTCTCCAGGGCTGTCTCATATTTTACGCCCTTTCATCTGTCGTCGCTGTTAAATCGGCTTTGATCAATCACATACCATCCACTAGCTGTATGAACTTCCGATTGTCTTAGGCACCTTTCCACGGATATACAACTGCTATTACTGAAGACAACAATAGCGATTTCGATCTTGTCAAATCTCTATTATTTACATTAGCTAAATTCTTATTTCTGCATCTACTTATCCAGACTAATATGGTTTTTTTGATAAATGGTGGCGGAGAGTTATGGCAACACATCGACGCCAGCAACGAACCCTACTTTGAGCAATTATTTCCTAATTCAGTAATTTACGATTTTCTTCCTACTCAGTCCCCTAAATTTATCTTACAGATATAAGTCTCTATATTTTCTTTCAGCCCAAGCAAATAAAAGCATCCGTGAAGAAAGCAACAAATGCCAAACAACAAATACATGCTTGATGCAGAGAAGAGATGTACCTCCCCGCAAACCCCAACTCCTAGCGCATCGCCTTGTCTTCTGAGTTAAGCAAATACTCCGCAGACTAAAAATGCATAACTAGCGCACTTACCCCAATGTCTTCTTGTATCCCCGTTCCGCAAAGCCGAGATTCCAGTTCAACATTGTGGGTGTAACTGTAAAAAGCCATTCCCCGCATCAATGTCGTTGTTAGCCTTGCAGATCCTGCATTCAGGCTAATATCGACCCTGTTAAGAACAAATGCGAATTCTCGAGAATGTAGCGTGGTATTTATAGCTAGGCTAGAGACATATCCAAGATGGATTTCGTTATTGCAACGCCTCCAATGTGTTCTGACGCATCGATATGGCCACCCTCAAAGAATGGCTGTCCGTCTTAGGGCTTTGCGCCGCTATAGGCACATCATCGGCACTACCATCTTCCTCACAGTTGGCTAGCACAACAATCCTGTATCATAACCTCGGAGACTGGACACAGCACGGAGAGAATCCTAGCGTCATCCTATTCAATGAACCAGCCACCTACCACGACGCCGTCAAAACATGTTTGTCCTACAACGAGACGCTCTTCGATTGTAGGGGGTTATACTCTTACGAAGCCGAACTCGGCTACCAGGCCTGGCTGGGAAGTTTCAATGGATCGGAGAGACTCTGGACGTCATGCGACTCAAGCCATCCATCGGATTTTCAGGGCAGAATCTCATCTGAAGCTCAAAATGGTCGCGGAGAGTACAAGTATCCGTTCCTGTGCACAAATTCAGCGCCCTTCGTGGGCCAGGTCGATACAGATTACTCTACTTTCCCGACTGTGCGAACACCTGCTATTGACGGTATCGCATTTGAAGGTCTTCGGGACCACATGGCATATCGATTCTTGGGTATACCATTCGCGAAACCACCCATCGACGACCTGCGATTTCAATACGCGCAACCACCAGAGTACCCAAAAGGGAGCGTAGTCAATGCCACACGTTACCGGCAGGCGTGCATGCAAGTTGGCAGTTTCGAAGGCAATGCCGCGGGACTCAACCCTTGGGGGAATAGCGAGGATTGCCTGCATCTGGAAGTTTTCACCCCAACACTGCCCACTACTCTGCCCCAGACCTCTACCCAGGGTGCGCCGCTAAAACCAGTCATGCTCTGGATCCACGGCGGCGCAATGATCAACGGCGCCGGGAGCGATTCCACCTTCGACGGCGCCAGTCTCGTCTCTCGCGGCGACGTTGTGCTCGTCAGTATCAACTACCGCCTTAACATCTTCGGGTTGCTTACCCTCAACGACGGCGTCGTAAACGGCAACTACGCACTATCCGACAAGATCGCCGCTCTAGAATGGGTGCAGAAATATATCCGAGCCTTTGGCGGGGATCCGGATAATGTCACTATCTTTGGACAATCTGCTGGCGGTGCGTCGGTTATGGATCTGATCGTTTCGCCCAAGGCGAAGGGACTGTTTAAGAATGCGATTCCGCAGTCGTTGGCGGGGAACGTGGTTAATCAAAGCGTTATTGAGGTCGTGATGGCTCCGTATATTGAGCCGCTGTGTCCGGGTTCTGCCGGACAGGAAGGTAGGCTGGAGTGTCTGAGACAGCTTCCAGCAGAAACGTTACTCAACATCAGTACGACGTACTGGTCATGGAGCACCGTCGTCGACGGCGTGTACATGATTGATCAACCACTCTCGCTCGTCGCGGAGCGCAAAATCAACGACGTGAATGTCCTAATGGGCTGGATGCCCGAAGAATCGCAGTCCCTTCTATCAACCAGCATCGCGCCCAACATGACCAATCTCACCGTCGGTCTGGACGCACTCGTTGCATCAGGTATAATAACCTCCTCCCAAGCCTCAACACTCTCCTCCTCGGGCCTCTGGGACGTTCCGCAGGACTACACAGACGCGTACAACGCAACTATCAACATTGGCACAGATGGGGAGATAATCTGCCACGTCCTCGAATTCGTAGATGCCTCCACCACCTCTACAAGATCTAACGCATTCAAATCACTCTGGCTTTATACCCACCAGCGCGCCTACGCACTCAGTTTCTACTCCTTCTACGACCTCTGCACATTTCCAATCAACGAGCCCGACACACCCTACTACAGGTGCCACTCGGGTGATCTGTACGAGGTATTCGGGACATATTACATCTTCTCCCAACCCGTGCGAGTATACGGGGATATAGCATACACAAACGCTGTACAAGATATGTGGACCTCATTCGCGAAGACCGGGAATCCGAATCCAGACCCAAAATATCTAAGTGTGAGACAATATCGATCGTCGATAGACTTCTTTCATGGCTTTGAGTTTGAGGAGTATACAACAAGTAAAAAGGTGATGGATTTGCAGTGGCCCAGGCCGTGGTCTTCGGGATTACCGGATCGGGAACATTGTAAAGTGTTGAATATGACTTTTGAAGAATAGTGTTTTATTGCTGTACAGATTTCAGATTTCGCATATTGATCATAAACGCTATGCCATGCCCATGCTCCAAATATCTCCAAAAAGAGTATTAAATAACAATATGCTCACCGCAAACGAATAAAAGGGTATATAAGCTTTAAACAAAACATCACGTCAACACCTTGACCTTCATCCACTCACTCGTACCCACACCAAGATTCAACCCATTGCGCGCCCACCACTGCCGCACCCGTTGCGCCGCATGTGTAGACGGATCAGCATCTTCCAGCGCCTCCTCAATATCGCAAGTCTTAAATTCGACTCGCAGTCCGCTCTTGCGCCACCATTCAAGGACATTGTCGTGTCCACTTCGCGTGGCCCCGACGAGGACTTGGTTATCAAAGATCATCTTCGCGCCCTTGAGGCGATACCATAATTCGAGAACGTGGATGTGGCCGTGTGTACTGGCTATACGCGCCACAGACTCGGAGTGTGTGTAAGGAATGCCGGATGCATCCCACCAGGCGAGGGATTGCGTTTTCCCAGATTGTGCTGCTAGAAGAACTGATTTACCGACTTTCAAGGGTATGGGACATGATGCTGGTGCGGTCAAAGAAGCGTTCTTCCACCAGTCGAGAACATCGACGCGACCTTCGGCACTGGCTGATTCTAAGGCTCGTTCGGAGTATCGTAGCGGTAAGCCGGAGGATAGCCACCAGTCTAGAACGTTGATATTTCCGGACCTAGAAGCGCCATCCATGGCGTCTGCGCTGTGTTCCTGGGTTGATGAATCGGGAGAGTCGCGCCACCATGTTAGGATAGTCGGGTTGTCGTAGATAGCAGAGGCAAGATATGGTATATTTTTAAAGCGTGTCGTCGTGCTATATAGACTGGGATGCTTTTCCAACAAATATGTCAAGATGTCAGTTCGTGAAAATTTGAATATCAAATGACACGCTAGGTTCGACAGCGGCGTATACGGAGTGAGTTCCTTGATTTTCGACGTGATGGCTGTGAATGAACCCCGAAGTATAGTGTATTCCAAAGAAGGCGGTGTCGACATCTTCAGTATATGAGGCTGCCATTCTCTAGGCACTGGAAGATTCGTCGGAATTCCAACTGCTTTTGCAATTTCCCAATCTCCTAAATGGTCCACAAAAACGTTCAGCCACAACTCCAGAGGTAGCGATTTGGGACGGCCACTTTGGCTTTCTTCGCGATGCTTGGCGGCCTGTTGAGCGAGTTTGGCGATAGCCATCGAGGTATTCTTCGTCTCCAGTGTTTCCTCTGGTTCTTGTTTCGACTGGCTTACTTGTTCGGCTGGAGCATTAGTCAAATCGAGCATCTTCTGTAGCGTGTCCTCGAAAACACGGCTTCCATCCCACGGCAAATGTGTCAATTCTTCCGGTCCAGTATGATTCCATAACAAAGGCGGTATCCGCACAATCCACGGCCAGTTATGTTCCAATTCTTGCAATTGTCGCTCAGTCAACGGATTTGTCCACTCCGATACCGTCATACCAGGGACTAGAAAAACGGGTTTATTCATATCCCATCCTCGAAGAAGAGAAAGAGTCAACGTATGTGTTAGGCCGTATAGCATTGAACCCAGTGTTCCAGCATCAATCGGAGCAACGATAAGAAGATCGGCCCATTCGCACAACTCCGCCGCCTTTGCTCGAAGCCATCTCCGTGAACCTGTCCTATTATCAAACGTGTGACTATCAACCGAATCCATATAATGAGGGACTTTAGTTGCCCCTGTCGAAATCGCAGAAGATTCTTCGTCGGTGATCAATCGAAGCTCGATATCAGGACTGCGGATCAAGGGCGGTAGAAAATTGGCGGCAAACGCGCTCTCCGTAGACAGCAACACTCTTTTTCGGCGTTGTGTGTTCTCGAGTGGCGGATTCGTTGTTGTTGATGTTTCCATAGTATGTGCAATATCCCCTGTGATTTCTTGTATTTGCAAATGCGGTGTCTCGAGACCTTTTGACTCCTTTGACCCGGCGACATCCTCGGCTTTTAAGCTGATTGCCATGCCAGTATGTTCGTATGCGTATATACCCAAAGATTTTCGCTGAATGTTCGTATTCTTTTGTACAAGGGCAACTTAGGACGATCGTGATCGTAGCACAGCAAATATATACTCTCAAAGGCAAATCAGAAAGACGGATCGCAAATGCGCGTAACGGTGTATACGAACGGAGACGGAGAAGCTGGCTTGAATAGATAGGTCGTAAGTCTGAAAGGCAGGACAACAAACAATCCAGTCAAAATCAAAATCAAGTAATGCGACCCTGTTCAACCCTTCCCCTCAACCTGAACGACCTGTCCAAAGTCGAGGACGCGGGTTTGACTGGCTGGCAAAAAGGTGAAAGAATCTGGAGATTGCCACCAATCCTTCCGCTCTGATTGGAACGTGACAACTTTTTGTAAGCTAGGAAAAGCGGGCACACAGACGTCAGGAAAACGAAATAATGCCGAGCAGTACGTAACGGCAACTTGTGATGTTCATCCTGAGAGCGACAGGTGGTCTAGACTGGGACACGTCACCTGGTGGTTGTTGAGTCTGAATATTCAGAATATGAGAGAGATCAATAAGTGGTTCGATCGAGAAAAGGGCAGCGAGCTAATCCCGTGATTGTGATTGGCCCGACTTTCGGACTTCCGATAAGCCTTGAATATTGGGCGCCGCTAACTCACCGTCTATTCTCTTCCCCTTTCTGTGGGCTATGAAATGACCAAAATATCTAGGCTTGTAACATTTGTTCAAATGCTAGTCTAGGAGCTAGGCTTGTGCTGAGTTCCATATGTGCCCTACCGTTCTTGACCACCACGTTGTGAACCCCCATGCTCCGAGATAAGTCTACCTTGTAGTATCAGAGGAAAAATGACATCTGGTACGTATATGCTCTATCTATATTCAATCTATCTACACTAATACAGTCGAGGTGCGCTCACCGTCGAGCCAAGCTGCTGTACAGAGTGTGCTGCCTCATAAGCAGACTCGAAAGAGCGGCCAAAACCGTCACACCAAGCAGAGTAATGAAGATCGCCCGTAACGACACCATATAAGCATCCAACACCCCCTCGCGCCAGTCTGCTGGGACTTTCCATATCTCATCCAGACTATCCCGAATCCGGGGGATCAACTCATCGGCATCTGGACGATCTCCAAAACGAGCCCATAGCCCCTTTTTGAGCACGTTCTGAAACGCAGCTGAGGCGATGGTAATGCCGATCGTGCTACCGGTACTGCGAAATGCATATGATGCAGATGTGACGACGGAATGGTAGTGGTGATCAACTGCCGAAATGAGTGCGACCAAAGTGATGGTAAGCATAGCGCCGTAACCGAGTCCGAGACCAAACAGACCGAGCATCGGAAGCCACGACGGAGAGTTCAGTTCAAAAGTGCAGAATACGCCCGAGCAGATAACCAGCAGAGCCATGACGACATAGTTCAGAAGCATGTATCGACCCGTAACGCGCATGATCATTCCTGATCCCAATGAACCTAGAGCTGTACCAACAGCTTCGGGTACGAGACGGACGCCTGCCGCCGTGACAGAATATCCTTGTACTTGGAAATAGATTGGCACGTAGTAGAGTAGACCGAAAACTGCCATAGTTGAAAACCAGTTTGTTAGACAGGCGAACCCGACTGTTCGGTCGAGTAAAAGGCGGACTGGAATGACGGGTTCTGAGGCGATCTTGTCTTCGATGTAGATGAAAATCACGAGAAAGACTGCAGATAAGGGAAGACTGGTGAGAACCAGCGGGTGAGTCCATGGAACTTGATTTCCACCAGCATTAAGACCGAGAAGTAGCAAAACCAGGAACACAATCAATGTAAATGCGCCCAAAAAGTCCACTCGCTTGATGCGCGATGTGTCTGTTTCCCTGACTGGCACTTTCACGGTAAAGCAAATGAGCACTGTCGATAGCACGACGAACGGTACCTGAATCAAGAATGCCCATCGCCAACCGAGTGAATCATTAACCATGCCACCGAAAACACCCCCCAAGCCCATACCAGTGCCATAGCAGATATTACCAATTCCCTGCCACACACCCCGTCGTCGCAATGGAACCAAGTCCGAAGTGACAAATGTCGAGATCGCCGTCAGACCACCGCCGCCGATGCCAGCGACCACGCGACCAGTCACGATCATCCATTGCTCCGTCGCAAGACCACATATGAGGTTCCCAATTCCGAAAAAGACATTGGAGAATACAAGGCCCGCCCGCCGCGAGAAGATATCCGTCAATCGCCCACTCAGCGGTTGAAACGCGGCATTGGAAATCAAATACGAGACTGCGATCCACGACAACAGCGACAGGGAATTAAACGACGACGAAATGGGACCGGACAGAGTCGCGACAACAGTAGCATCGAGCGCAGCAAGAAAGACGCCTACCCAGATACTGCCCAGCACAAGGATGAGCTCGAAGGTGGTTGGTTCGTTGACAATGGGTGTTCCGTCTGTGTCTTCTTGTTGGGCTGGACGCTCATCCTGCAGCAGGGGTGTCTCTTCGGTTGCGACGGGAGGGAGGCGCGTCAGACCGTCCCTTGTCTGTCCTGTGAATTCCGAGTCGGCGGACATGGTGCAACGGGTGCAACCTGGGGTTGGTGATTGTGTGATTGCTGCGATAAGGGAAGGAAGTCATGAGAGAAGTTGGTGTGGTCGGCAGCCATGACGCGATGGCTCGGCTTCTCCACTTTTGTTGATCAGGCGATTGCGGGGAACTCGTTATGCATACATACTACGTATATTCTTGGATATTCTGTATATCAGATCATCTTATTCTTGCTGATCGATGATCGAATAGACTATCAGATGAATGCATGACTCAGATAGAATCTCAATTCGAACAGCTGCAATCGGCAACCTTGACCGATCTGTGAATACAAAATTAAAGCCATCCGTGGATCGAATGTGGTATGGTAACGTATTGTGAGCCAACCCATCACCACATGCATAGATTTCGTAGTACTGAAAGATTATAAGTAGCAGCAAAAGTTAACTAGCAGTACGTAAACACATTACTATGTATATTTTGATACTACATATTTGATTTACGCAGTATATCAACCCACTTGCCGTGTTCCTTGCCGGAAGCCTCCCTTCCGATTCTCGCCAGAATCCTCATGTCGGACTTTTCCGAGGGCCCCCCGATCCCTCCCCCACGTAATATCGGTGCTAGGGAAGGATAAATTACCGGGCTGGTACAGACGCCATACAGTAAGAATTTCTTCGAAGCAAGTTTATGCACCAATCATGCTATAATATTTATGTTTCCTCCAATAGTCACTCCGGAAAACTACCCCACACCGTCATACATGATACATCAGATGCTTAAACCATCTGTCATACGATCAGGTAAATGTTTGTATGCTTGGTATGGCATAGCCTCGGCCGTGTCTGGGGGAGCATACGACACTACGTAGTTACAAATGTACTACTTCTCCAGGAGGCGTTCAATCCTTTCTCCTTTTCTACTTTACACTTTATACCCCTAGTGTACGAACGTGAATATATCCATTCTCGTCATCACTTTCGACTACAATCATCACTACACACTATATTCGCACATGGATCACTTCGCCTCTCCGAATGGACCAGCTCCCCTAGGGAATGGTGGTAGCCCATCACCCAGACACATTATCAGAATCGGTCGCATGACAAAAATGTACGTCTTTACATCACCAATCCATCGCGAGCCGTTTCCCTCGTCTCCCTTGTGTTGCAGCAGTCGATGTCGATGTCCATACTAACTCAAACAGAGGCGTTCCGATAATCGCCGTTTTAGGAATCGGCTACGGTATAACCGCCCTGCGTGATGCGCAACAACGCATCCAACGCGAATCCATGCAAGAAGAAGAACGACTACGGCGAAATGCTCAATTGATGGATGCGTATGGCGACAAGACCAGTTTGGAGGATATGCAGAGGGCGTTGGAACACTATCACAAAGTGAGTATATTTCCCTTGCTCCGTTCGTCGGCCCGAGAATACCCTCATGAGCGGATGACTGACATCCGGTCTTTGTTTACTTGATAGAATTGAGAAAGGAGTCTTCCGATGATGTTCCTTTGTGGCTTKTGAAGTAAACCCGTGCATTTTCGGCGCTGGAGTTTGGTGCATATTTATCGAATATTCTAATTGCGACCCTCGACCGCTCTCCACAGCTATTCCAAGATGAACCGTCACGGCTGGCCCGATGAGCTTCCATTCTTTGTAATAGAGTACTTGCTACACCGTTCGGACATAACACCTCCATCGACAGGTTGAAAGGCTTTGTTTGGCGTGGTGGAAAAGCGGATAAGAGGCCCTTATCCGAAGCCAACATCAACCTCACCCGCAACCGCGCTCGGAAATACCGAACGCCGGTTTCAATCGCTTGATACGTCGTTTCTTTGTAAATATCTGGCTTTAAGCAAAATGCGTGCTTTTCCGGCCGACTTCATGTCATGTCCACGCATCACGCGCGATTCCGTCCATGACTGTGATGGACTATGTATATATTCATAAACCGCTATTCTTAGTGAAGATTCGAATTCACGCAAGAAGCTTAAATCAAAATCCGTTATCGAGGTCGTTCTTTCAACCAAAGAATGGAGTCATGGAGTACTGAACCCATAGCTGGTCGTCCGTTTCGTTTTTGAAGCACTAAACAACAATCAATTAATGCTTCTCCTTCCTGGGAGGAGATACGTACCCTGTACAGTCCTCCTATCCCTTCATCGAGTGATGGCGCAAAAACATTGTTGATATAACAAAATACCGAGTCAGTGTCTTTGCAATCCAACTTCTTTCGTAGAAAATTGACCACGGTCTCGAATTTCTGAGATGCAGAGATCTTAAAGACCGTCTTTCTCAAAATGGGTGCTGATGGAAGAGGTTGGAATCGAACGGTGACTAAGAGAATGTAATCAGTCCTCAATCCAAATGGGAGATTTCATAAGAACTTGAAAAACCATAGCCAGCAAAATAGATTACTGTAGTCGGTACTCACCTTTGCCCACATCAATAGCCTCCGCATCAGCCAATGCCCGATGTGCATCCTGCGGCAATCCAGTCAAGACGACTGAAGCCGACATGGTTAAAGGAATATCAACTCCATGGTCTTCATCCGGGATTGCGGTATTGCCAGTTGCGTTGGAGTCACTTCTTCCAGTAACTCTGGGTCGCTGCGCTAGTGCTGAGGATAATACCGCTGGTTGCGGGGAATCGCGACGAGAGCCGTCGGAGGGCGCTGGGGAGGACATGGCGATGTTGTCACAAATTCTGTGGTGTAGCTGAGTTATAGCTAAGTTATGCTTATTTCATCCGTGGCATGATTAGTTGCTCGTTTCTAGAGCTGTTATGATGCCGTATAGTAGAGAGTAGGCAAAGACTTGTTGATAAGCTCCAGGCATAAGATCCAGGAACGCTAGTTGGATGCCTGAATTATTTGGCACCAATCGGCGGCACATGACCACCCGATAAGCTATCGCATGCTATATAACCCCCCATGACGATCCATCTCACCCATTGTCTGGCTCCTCCGCGGGTACTCGACCTACAATCAACGTCTCTGTTTCTATCAACGAAACCAGCTGCTTGTCAGACAGAAAAGCTGGCTATTTACACCCAAGAGTCTGCTCTGCCAGCACATTCCCTGCCACCCGGCCCAATCTTAGCTATTCTCGTCGGATCTTGTACGTCATTGATCTAGTATCCCAGCATTGCGGTTAACCCAATCCTTTCTACCCCGCTTGCCACACCTCTACATCAACATCGCTTTCACTTTCGGCGACGGGAAATACGAAGCGAATAATATACCCAGGAACTCTTGACTTGTTCTTACTGCACGATCACTACAACCAGTCAAAATGAGTAGTCCTAAGAGGAGAATTGAGGCGGATGTAAGTTATACCACATGCTCTTTCCAAGTAGAGTCATAATGCTGACTTTCTCGGTGCGCAGGTCATGAAGTGCGTATACGCTATGAGACTGGGAACTTCCGGCTGACGCAATCCAGGATGCTGATGAGTGATTATGAGGTGACCTTGGTCAATGATAACAGTGAGTATTCTGAATACTACACCAGTTGGCTTCATACTAACACTTTGCCTCTATAGTGTATGACCGAGTTATTCCCCTCCGACGATCGCCGATGGACTCGCCGTCAATATTAACCCGGTTACAATTATAGGCAAGAGTTTTACGTCCACTTCAAAGGCCCCGAAGAGAGTATGTACTCCGCGCAGCAGTACATTTAAAAATACTAATTTATTACAGCACCATTCTCGGGCGGTCACTGGAAAATCCATGTGGAGTTACCAGATCAATACCCATACAAGAGCCCCAGTATCGGCTTCGTCAACCGCATTTTCCATCCGAACATCGACGAGCTGTAAGTACTACTTTCGAGTCTTGTTGTCAATTCAAGCAAGCTGATGTTTCACAAGCTCCGGATCCGTCTGTCTCGACGTCATTAACCAAACCTGGTCACCCATGTACGATATGATCAATATTTTCGAAGTCTTCCTGCCACAACTGTTGCGTTATCCCAACCCGTCGGATCCGCTGAACGGCGAGGCGGCAGCGATGCTCATGCGTGATCCAAAGAATTATGAGAACAAAGTCCGAGGTTTGTCTTCACGTCCAGCTTCTGCTTTATCATACTGATTAGATCTTGCAGACTATGTTGCCAAATACGCAAATAAAGACGCCGCCGAAGAAGGTGGCGAAGACACTGAATCGGAAGACGAATTGAGCTCCGTCGGCAGTTATGAGTCTGGTGGTGAAGAGCCCGCCGGTACGATGGACGACGTTTGAGCTTTTTCTCTTCTATCATTGAATCGTACCACACATGCATCTTGTTTCTGACTTCCAGTACCACGCCACTCTGATGAGGGATATTCATTTGACTAAGCGGGCGCTTTAAGGGTGGAGTTTGATGTTTTTCTCTCTTTGCACCAGTCTGATGTTTATTTCTACTTCACTTCATGTATCTACCGGTGCCAAGGGCTGCATGATCGAACTTTTGCTTGGTATGGCAAGGGTCAAGATCAATGGAGTAACTATGTTTCTATGGGAATTGCAATATTTTCTACTTGGTATTTGCATCATGGTGGCGGGTATTAATGGTTCATTTCGACATAAGTATACTGTACAATGTATCTTACTTTTTGAGAATCAACAGAAATGCAACATGAAGGACTGACAGGGTATAACAAGCATGGATAGATAAAAATAAAGAAAGAAAGAAAGAAAGTGAGTGACGGACTGAGGATAAACAAAAAGGGGACTAATTAACCTTCAAAACCCCAAAAATATCCCCATCGCCAGCATTGTTATTATTGTTTTTATTCCCCTTCTTCCGTCGCGGCGAAATCACGACCTCGCCCCAATTATTCGGTACAGGCGCTATATGTTTTTGGTTTTGACTMCCMCCMCTCCCGCCAATATTCGAGGATGATGATGGTCGTGATGATATAGTAGCCCCTTGTCTGATTTGTTCGTTGTCGTTGTGCTCGACGTCGTCATTTCGTATCTCATTGCTTGGTACGCGCGATGAGCCCTGTGACTCGGTGCTAGGTAGTGTTGCGCGAGGCTGGAAGTTGGGCTGGGACTGAAGCGCCCAGATATCGATTACCGTACTGTAAATCCATCAATCAGTAACCATGTCATGATTGAGATAAAGAAATCAAGGAAAGGTGGGGGGACGTACTCCGAAGCCCGTTGACAAATCGCCTCCAGAGCCTCTCTCTCACGCTTGAGATCTTCAGGGTCATGTTGTTGCGCATTCGCATTGTTTATGGAGCCGTAGCCGTAGCTGCCGGGATAAAGGTCGTCGTCTATGAGGCGCGCATGCTCGGACTATTCACGTCAGTTTTGAGCGCAGGATGTGCGACTGGTCGATTGGTCGGGGGGCAAATACCTCGTGATCCTCCCGTCGTCGAAGGCCGAGACAAGATTGGCATGCGCCCATTATGGCGTGAAGGATGGACATGAACCTTTATCGCACCCAAGCAGGGGGTTTGTTCTGTTGATGTCTTCGGGGAGATGAGGCACGAGGGCAGTGGACCGATTTAATCGATAAGGTCGATAATGAAAGGAAGGAAACAAAGGAACTTGGCCACAATCGGGATAAGATTAATTCATCGCATAACAAAATAGACAGATAGATAGCAAAAGAGTGTATGGATTAATCAGTACTATGTCTTTGTTCTGTACATGCGTTTCAACGTTCAGAAGAGCTAAAATGACGTGCGGAAGAAAGAGCGGAAGTCGTGGCAGACGCAGACTCGGAGGCAGGAAAGTTCGGCATGGTCTGTGCGCCTTTGTTCTTGACTCGTTCCGGCTTGGGCTGATCCACATCAAAATTGTATCTTTTGACTACCATCTCTCATCTTACAGACCGACAAATAGCCTTGAACTGCGAACTAGGCGACATGTTTGAACTACCAGAGGCAAAACGGTATGCTATATACGGAATTATGTATTGTATAATTAAAATACTGACAAAGACACAGAATTCGGCGTAACGAAATAGTCTCCCCATCTTCGTCAACCAGAAGTTCGCCAGAGTTACTACCAGCCGACAATGAAGAAGCGCATGCTAGACTCGCACAATTGCTATCCTTCGACCTATCAACAGATACAGCCCAGAAAAGGCAGCCGATAGAAGCGAATAGCCAACAACCTGACAGCAAAGATGCAAATGACGACGACGAAGAAGAATTCGAATTCCGCCTCTTCAGCGCACCAAAACCAGTCCCCTCTAGCACCACAAAACAAGACACAAGCAAGGAAAACGAAGGAGACAAAATAAAAACTCAAAAACTCAAGATCCGACTCCGATCACCTACGCCCGTCGACATCCAACCAGGTGATGGCCGATTCATAGTCCCATTCCGCGGATGGAGGTATTACTTCACGAAACCTGAACTGATGCACCTATCCGCTCGCGACGCGGAAGAGAAAGCACTGATAGAAGCAGAGCTACTAAAGAGGCGGCGAGAGTACGAAGAGACCGCTATCAGCAGTGCTGAGGTGCTCAATTGGGCGAACAGTACAGAAACTCCTGGGTGTCATTTACCGTGGCGCGTGTTCCAGCTTGATTGGAAATATCATCGGGTGCCCAAATCGTTACTTGGTAAAATAGAAACGACATCCGTGAAAACGACAACAGAAGACAGGGAGAAGAAAAAATCAAAACCAGGAAAGAAGCGACGAATCATCTTACGGACTCGCGCTGCTGCCAAGGCTACAGAAAAGGCTAAGGCCGAAGCGACGTCGAATATGACTGAGGCGGAGAAGCGGAATAAGAAGAATAGGGAGAGGAAGATTAAGAGGCGGCAAAAAGAAAGAGAGAAAAAAGCTGCGTTGGCTGCGGCGGGKGGCGCAACTACGGCTACTGATGGGGKGGGAGCTGCMTCAGTGGACGGTGACTCGTCTGACTGAACACCAGAGTCGACGGGGAACATCAATATGAATATTTTGTCAATTTATAAATGATACGGATATTCTAAAATATGAGTGCGATGCATATGTGCCAGATAACAATGGTCGAACGATGCTATACATGTGCAATGGGCAAATCTCCCCCTCATAAAGTCGTTATAAATATACGTGCCAAGCAAGTTCATTCCTGACTATTTTTTGAACTCTGCTCATCAACAAGTCGTTGAAACTGGGCAACGTGCTCCTCGTCAATAGCGTAAGTATGTTCCTTTGCCGGATATGACCTATTCTTGACTTCTTCTCGGTACTGCTCAATGCCCCTTTTGGATTCCTCCCAGACATTAGCGTACTTCTTGACAAACTTTGGTAAATGGCGGCCCGAGGGGAAATTGCCCGTCATATCGATCTGCACGAGAACCTGTCCGGAACAGCCATCGCCTGCTCCGATACCAATAGTTGGGATGCGTAGCTTCTTAGTGATTATGGCTGCAATCTCGGCCGGGATAGCTTCCAGAACGACCATGAACGCGCCCGCTTCCTGCACTGCATATGCATCTTCTAACAATTTCAATGCACCAGCAACAGTCTTCCCCTGCGCACGGAACCCGCCAAGCGCATTCTGGCGTTGAGGCGTCAAGCCGATGTGTGCGACAACGGGGATGCCGGCTGTGGTCACCGCTTTGATGGTGGAAGCAAAATCGACCCCTCCTTCGAGTTTGACCGCTTGGACGTGTGCCTCCTTGACCAGTCGGATTGACGATTGCACGGCTTGTTGCGGATTGATTTCGTATGATCCCATTGGTAGATCGCCGACCTGCATGATACACAAAAAATAATCAGCGAGACTGGACGTTTGTTACGCACGTGGCGGGTTACTGCATATACCCGTCTGAGGAGTCCGAATCAAGAAAAGACGGTAAAGGAAAGTAGCAAAAACAGAAAATACTTACAACGAAGGCGGACCTGACCGCTCTTGTGACGCTCCGACAGTGCAAGACCATATCGTCAAGAGTAACGGCGTTGGTATCGTTCATTCCCAGTGCGACCATTGCAAGACTATCTCCGACAAGGACCATATCCATTCCGGCGCTATCGGCGACGTATGCAGAAGGAAAATCATGGGCGGTGAGCATGGCGATAGGTTCATTCTTTTTGTACATGTTGCGTAGAGTTGATATTGTAATTGGCTTGCGTATCTGTTGGGAGGAAGCTGGTCCCATGGGAGCGTGTGAGCTCCATCGTGTTTGTGAGGCGGTTGTTGTTGTGGTGGTGGGGGGGACCTCGGCCGCGGATAAGGATGCGGATGTGACAGGTCTCCAAGGAGTCAGGACTGTTGCTGAGAGCACTCTATTGGATCGAGAACTTGAACCTCGTAGTGAAGACCCAAGTCTTCGAACAGCTGGAGAAGGAGTCATGTCGTCTTATGTTGTGAAGACGTTGTTGTTCGTTCAGACGATAAGCCGAGGGGTATAGATATGATGTCACGAATAGACAAGCTGCGATTCTCGGTGGCGTGTGCTGATAGAGAGTGTGAAATCGTGATAAGCAATGATAGAAAACAGACGACACCCCATGATGAGCCAACGTGGTATTTAAATGCCCAGAGTGTAGGTGTTGACTCAGAGTTGCAACAGCAACTTAATTTCCTGTGCTGGTTTATGCCGCGTAGCATGGAGCATTTTTTTTTACTTCTCTGATTTTGTCCGCCTGCCCGTTTACCGCACCTTACCTGGTCAGGCTTAGTGCGGGCTTCGGGCGGAGGGACTGACGCTTGAGCCGGCGCGGCAGGATTGACAACAGGACTAGGCCCAACGCAGACGGCGCTTGGCAGCATTCAGGAACAGCCGAGGTTCTTCTGCCTGAGACTAGCGCGTCATCCGATCTTTTTTAGCCGCATCAAACCGCTGATGGTAGTTTTCAGACGGGACATGTGCGTTGAATAATTGAGAAATTGGGAGTGAACTTCTCATTATCATTATCATCATCTTCCTCCTCCTCTTCAGAAATAATTGTCTACGTGATGTGTCTTAAGTTAGTGCTTACAGATATATGGACTAATTTGATCTGGCTGCTATCGGAGTATAAGACAGTCAAAAATGGGTGGCGACCGATGAATCTATCGGGAATGTGGTCTAGTGGTATGATACTTGCTTCGGGAAATCCCCCTCTTATACACGGAGAACATGCGAGTGGTTGGGGGTTCGATTCCCCCCATTCCCCTTTTTGATGTTTTTTTAATATATTTTTTTCTTAGATAAAATCTCGTTATATCAGACAGTGTGTGACCACTGCCCGAACATGTCCGAGACGATGTGTAGAAGATTTTGAAAGAGCGGTGATGAGTATATCAATTGCCAAGCGACATCAAGTGACACATCAAGTGATACATCGAAGTTACTAAGCGACACATCCCATCGGGTTTTACCAGGTGATAATATAATTTTTCTGAACTAGCATCATTATGAGCCCAAAAAAGAAACAAATATGCGATGGTTAACAATCTCTACCGCTCATATGTTGCTGCATCATCCTTGTATGCCCTAATCAACTTTCCTTCTAGCCTAGCTTACCCCTACCTGAACTATGGCAACCATAAGACCGTATAACTTCAAAAGTCTTCATTCAAAGACTCAGGTCAGTGGTACATTGAGCAGCGTATACTCCATTTTCGAAGTCTATGACTCTACGCGAAGATTCTAAATTGGTGGAAACCGGATAGGTTGAAAAAAGCCCTAATGGATATCGGAAATGTCGATTGATTTACCCCGGAATGGTTCCGACAAGGCATCTTGCTGCCCTTTCAATGCGGATACGCATTCTTTTCTATTATTCTATATTTCCTTCTAACATCCTCACTAAGTTACAGCTATACCTCATGTTGACTCGCGAGTCATGATACTTCAATGCAGGACCCTAACCCTGATCTCCACGAACCTTGTCGATCATTGCGCAAGAACTTCACTGCCTAAAATATGCCCTGCATACATCGCATCTCCATCTCCGAAATAGGAAAATACCAATGCTTTTGCCTGCCAAAAGCACCATTACATCATATCTGATGGACGTACACGTAGGAGTAATCTAGATGCCTAACTATGTTGATCCAAAACACTGCCACGGAGCTAGACGGGGAGGGGTTTGATTGGAGTATGTAACAAAAAATAGTAAGTCGATAATGCGTACATCTTTTTAGTCTAAGAATGCACATCTGATCATCCACGAGTGTAAATTTACCGCTTTTTCCGTCAACGTTGCGTTCAAACAATATATGAACCCCTCGTTTGCTATCTGCTCCTCGTTAAGTTTGTCAATTGTGATCAAGCTAAATGTGTTTGGGACTTCCTTGATCACGGATACTACGTACATGCTACTAAGAATATTAAGAGCTATCGTGATTTGTGAGGGGTAACCCATGTTCCTCAATTTATCTATTGAACCGATCAATAGTGTATCACACGTACCCAAAATATTCAATTCAACTATACAAACACAAAAAGTATCAGCATAAGCTTCCGTCACGTCGTTTAACATGGCTTCCCTGTGGAACCTTCCGACGGAAATCGTGATTGATATCATGAAGCACTCGTCGAATATCTCGTGTCTATGGAGTCTCATTAACGCTTCACCACGTTTCAAGTCGGTCTTTATGGCATTTTCGCGAGAAATTGTTGATGAGGTCTTGACAAAAACAACACCTGGCTGCATTCAGACTCTTATGAAAATGAGAATCGCAGTAGTCACACGCATGACACCTGACTTGTTTTTTGGCGTTGAGTATGTCGGCGACAGGTCAAGGGAAAAATTATCTGGGCGGCCTCTACATCGGGACATGTCACCACAAGTATTATACGAGACTGTGGAAAAAGCGCACACCATCCATGGCATAGCACATGCCTGCCTCGACTTTTACATTGAAAGATCACTGAGCGCAATGCCAGAACGCATCAGTGACAATAATCTCCAAGACTATAAGAGGATACAGAGCGTATTATACTCCAAGCGTCAATCCCGAGGACAACCGTTCCAGCCTAAGGAGTTTGGACCACCCACATATTTGGAGGAGCAGATAGTCATTCGAGCACTATGGCAACTACAACTGTTCCTCGACATGAAGATAGCCCATAGAACGATTGCCTTGTCCCACTGGTCAGAAAAGGATAACAAACATCTAAAGACAATGGCTGGTATCCCTGAAATCGCACGCCTATCTTGTGATCCAGGATCCGATATGAATTTTTCGTCCAAGATGGAACAAATCGTGTCTGTGATTGAGTTCATACAAGAATTTACGCGAGGTCAGCACGGTTCGATAGAAGATATACTCGCACGCTTCTTGCACAGTCCCCCTCTGGCTGTGCTCAATCAGGCACATCGTCTATCCTGCTGTCCGAAGCCCAATACAATTTTCGAAGAAGTTTGTGGGCGCGAAGCACTTATCGACATTGATACCAGAATAGAGCGGAGAACAATTGGGTGCAGCTTCTACCAAATCATGACCAAGAACACAAAACCTCCCGTGAAACATGTTTCCTTCAAGCCATGGCGCAGACTTGGGTTTGCGCTTTGGCAAAATGAGCGGATGGTAGAATTAGGTTTTCTGGAACCCAAGGCCTCGGGATATGGGCTAATAGACTCTGAAAAACTATGGTTTACATGGCGGAGTATTCTTACCCCAGAGGAGGATGCTGAAAGAAAACCGAGGCACTACCTTACCATATCGAGAGGGAAAGGCGGCTGGTTTAAGTCGGGAGCATAATGACTAAGTCTTTCTAAACCAGGCCTGATTGAAAAAATGAATTTCATGCTATCACTACAACTGTTATCATGGATGCTACGCGAAGGCCACGGTCACAACCACAGGCCCATCACCAATACATGGCGCATGGCTTAAGGACGGGACCGATCCATATCCATCAGACATTTCAATCTACTACTGCTACCATCCTCAAATATGCAGAAATTGGAGGAGACGCTTATTGAATTCCAAACGAAGTCTGCGTAACTGTTATTTTGGAAGGTACTTCGACCACATATATCCCGAACATCACTGAGATTATACCCGAATTGAGCGGCTTCGCTACTTGAGGGATAATCGGATCACCAATGACACTATCACTCACGACTAACACATATGTCTACGAGTATGGTATACTTTGCTTTTCCGACTACAACAACGATGGCGAGTACCAGTCCTTCACCCTCGATGACGCAGGGAATGTAACCGACGCCTTTTGCGCAAATAACGGTGTCCTCGCACTGGAAAACCGCCTGGCTACGTCGAAGAAGGCGGGAACAATAGCCACATCCTATTCTTGGGCAGAAGATCAGAGCAGATGTGGTTCAGAGCAAGATCTTGATCTTAGCTCTATAGGCTATACGAATGCCGGGGATCTCGCATTGCTATAGTATTCGCTTTCCGTCTTTGCTGAACGAAACCTGGCTGTAAAAGCTTAATCTTGTTGGAATGAATATGAAGGATAAACAGCGGCATTGGCGTTTTATAAAATCCAGCCACTTGCCTTGATTTTCACGTCTGCATGTAATTCAGGTGTTAGTTTTTAGTAAAGTGGTTATTCTTGCAATAGTGAGAGTTGGGATTGTGAACAAAACAAAGCTGATGAGCGAAATTAGTTCTAATTGGCTTTTACGGACATCTGGAATGTCAAATAGCCCTGTTGACAGATCAACTTCATGCTAATAATGTTCATTGATGGAATAAAACTTGTCAAAATCAAAAACAGAGTATCTTCTACCGTGCTATGTGCTTTCATTTCAGCGTAGATAATCCTTCTCCAATTTACGCATCGCAGAATCGCCCTGGAGCTCAAAGATCTCCGAAACAGATGCAATATCTTCTTCAACACCAGCCAAGCCATCATCCTTTAGTATTCTGCCAAACACGTTTCTCATGGAAGCAACAGAAGCGCGTATAGCGTGATTTCCGCAGATAATCAAACCAACTTTACCAAGAGCCGTGATATCCGTAAACGAAAGTTGTGGATAACTGGTCGGCACAAGCACGAGAGGAACCTGCTCATCCGGCCACGAACGACAAAAAGATAATATTTCCTCTGGCGTAAGTTGTTTGCTATGTATTAATATAGCATCTGCCCCAGCTTCCACATACGCAAGAGCGCGGCGTTGGGCTTCCTCTTGTCCCAAACCGGCAATTAGGGCTTCGGTCCGTGCAATGATGAGCATCGAATCGGATTTGGCTTTTGCAGCGGCTATTTTGCCCTGAAATTCTTCAATGGTCACTAGAACCTGTCTACCGTTGGTCCTCAGACTGCTGTCTTTGGGGAAATGTTTGTCCTCAATAACCACCGCAGCTGCACCGGCTGCTTCAAATCGTGGAATGATATAAGCCACATTGATTGCATTTCCAAACCCTGTATCGACGTCCACGACAAGCGGGAAACTTTTGTCTGCCAGGGACTCTGCTATCGACCGAGTCATCTCAAGGTGAGTACTCATCGGCAGCAGACTTGCATCGGGCACAGCATAGGATGCAGACAGTTCGAACCCGCTAACCCAGATTGCATTGAATCCGGCTTCGGCTGCTAAATTTGCACTCAGTGGATTGTGGGATGCCATGGCAATTGCTGGCTTGGATTTGTTGAGTAGCTTTCGCAGGGCAACTGCACTTGCCTGTCGAGCCATTGTCAGAGAAATTTGATGCCAGTGAACGTATAAGAAAAGAACATAAGATGATTACGTCCGCGGAGGGATATGTCAACTATTAGAAATCCTAGCAGGTTAAAAAGTGCCTTCGGAATTAGATCCGATATAGTGCATTATAGCTGCGGTTAATTCGCGCAAAGCTCCAATCAATTGATGGCGTGATTAATGTTAATGTTAATGCGGCCAATGATGTTGAGACTTGATACATTTTGTACATGCGAAGAGGAAGCAAATCATAATACCATCGACACAATGAATATTCTACACTTCGATATCTCTCAATCATTAAACGTTTTTATTCATTGCCATGGCCAACAACCCTACATTTAGGTGGCACAGAACAGATCTTACCCCGTGCTGCGTTTAGCGATATCCGGACGAGCATCATGCCAGCGACTCCCAAATTTTCCGGATTCCCCTCGACGCATTCGAGATACTGCGTATGGCATTTGGAATGTTTCGATACTCCCATTGCCCAAGAATACAAAATTCCAGGAATAACTTATGAGCCTCTATCAGAAGAGCATCGACAGTTTCAAACATTATGAAGATTGTAGCCTATGCCATCTAATTGCTTTATTACTTCTTTGGCGACGAGTCTTTTTGAAATTCAAAACGGGCTAAAAAGTTTGCCTCAAGATGGGAATATTGTTGTCGAACCTGCACTTTCAGCATCGTATTATTGATATATCTTTACATAACTACTGGATAGTTTCTATTCCACCATTTTTTGGCTCGAAAACAACAAGTACTTTCACTGTATTTGACAAATTAAAAAGCTTTCGTCATGGACACGCCAATTGCTAACAAATTAGAGTATAGCTTCTGTATTCATCTTTATGCGGCCCAGAAGGAACAATGCCGGTTTTTATAGCTATGTAATACACAATTCTGTATAAGGAGAGTTGGAAAGCGAGAAGATGGCCTACACCTCGGCGTTAAGCGAACGTACTTTTGGAACGTATCGCTGGCATACATAGGGCAAACAGTACCTTCGAATTTACCCTATCACAACAACCTTACGATATACTGGGATGTGACTGCCATAAAAGTTTCTCACAAATTTCGGTTTAATGCTCAAGAAGAAAAATAGAACAAAAAAATCAAAATTCAATCTTGTTCTTCTCGTTTTGTCACTTGCACCATCCTCCACTTCAACATTGACCTCCTGCGCAGGATGGGCAAAAGAGCGAACATGTTGAATATTAATGCAGTCAACCCAGACAATAAAATAGGGGGGACCGATGCCCAGAAAGACTCCTGAAAAAGATTCTGCTTATGACCTCGGACTCATGGGACAAAAGTCTAGCAAGTATCATACATGCCCGTATAATCCATCTGCTGCTTATCAGCGGGTAGGTAAAATGCCTGCTTTCGAATCTGGAGCTGGTCGGTCGGGTTTCAAATGCTATTCAGCAACTCCATTGCTTCGTACTTGCGCCTTTCGTTCAATTGATCTGCGTACTGAGCCAGCCTCGGAGCTATGGTGTTTGGAGCACTTTGAGAGAACCGTTTGAGCGCTGCAATGACGGTAGGAAATCCCGCAGAATTCGGACTATGAAACTTGCACATCCCTCGATGATCTGCCGCGATTCCACATCTTCCTGACATCGATTCTAGCATTGGTGCAGCGCTTGATTCATCCACAACGTAGTCTTTCGTGTATTTCAAGTCGCTTTTCAGCTGCTCCCAGAAGAAGTACATTTGAAAACGAGGCATAAGGGGTGCGAAGTCGTTTGTAATATTCTGTAGTGTCTCCGAGCCATCTTTGAGAGACTTCAGTAAACCTGATTCGAATTGAGCCACACGTTTCGGCACAACGGTGGTTGCGAGGTTTTGGAGGCCACTAAGCATCCGAGCTTTGTTGGAGCCATTGTGAGGTGTTCCAAAGAATAAAATGCCATATGTACAGAGATACAAAGAGTGTATTCGAGAAGTCTGTAATGCAACACGACTCGCTGAGAAGATCAAGGCCTACAATGCGAAGCAAGAGATGAGTCAGCAGGTTGGAAATCTTGGGAATGCAGTCTACACAAGGGCCAACTGCATGGCATATGGCTCAAAGGGAGAAAAAACAGAATGAAATAAAATCTGGTGACGACTTACTCGTTTCACGATGATTCCACCAAGAGAGTGGCATATGAAAATGATGGGCCGTTCAGTAGCATTCTCGAGCTGGGTAGTCTCGTCAGCCACGCCCATCCGTCTCATTATAGTTTTCTGAGCGATCGAAGATCTGGAATATCTACTTACTTCTCTATTTGCCAAAAGATCTTCAACCAACGTTTGCGCATGCTGCAGGATTCGATCAGAGGATGTTGCCCTGCCGAATAGAGATGTAATATCCGCATGATAACCCCATGTCAAGACTCGTGCGTTGTTGATAAAGTGTGGCAATAAATTGGAATCTCTCAGCCAGCAAACTCGCTCAGAGTTTTTTTTTGATGTCCATGTTTCGATTGCATCACCATTTAGTCCGTGAACTGCAACGATACTTGAAGATGATAAGCGACGAAGTCATGACTAGGTAGAAAACTTCTGCTTATAGATCTTTTATTCCACTTACTCTACTTCAGGAATTCTATCCCGACAGCGGTACAATTCAGTAAGGCCGCTAAGCTGTTCTTTAGACATATTCAATCGTGCCTGATGTGTATTGCACAATGTTCGAGTCTTTCATTAATCAGAAAGAAGAAGAAATAAATAAATCGATATACAATGGAGGGAAACAAATTTCCAAATGCGAAAGTAATATGAAAGTTGCTAATAACGCGTGAAGAGAGGACCGTCTTCTTAAATGCAAATAGACCCTAGAACCCGACGGTGTAGCCTAGTACACAGCCCAGATAAATAATGCAGAGGTCTCAAGCCTCATGGCTTTTCTCTAGCTTTCATATGGCCCTTGTAGTTCAAGAGACTGCGCCGCATTTGACCTTACAAATCGTGTTAAATCCGTTAGCACCAGGCTGAGCATGTACCTATAATGTCTGAAACATCTTCGCAGCTACGTTTCATGTGGACTCTTTGTCCATAGCATTGATTGGAAGCCATGCAATACAAAAGTACAATTTAGGCGCGTCATATATATGACAGCAGAGTTCGTCAAACCTACTTCTGTCTCCCGGGCTCGCAAGAGTTTTGTTCATGTATAGTTTCACATGGATCAAATCAATTGTAGACGCTCGGCGAAAATCCTACACGCATGCTGATTTTGATTGTCGTTGTGAGAATATATGGAAATCTTGCTGCATTAGTTGAATGGTCAAGGTACGATAAATTCTAGCTACGAAAGCTATAATGTTATTAAAGTGTTGATTCTGTTTCAAGTGACTCTCAATAACATTGTAGGCAGATTAAAATGGGGTCGACAGCGAAGTTCTTTTTATTATACATGAGAAATACCATATTCAACGCTTAAGCAGTACTTGGCATCCGTCACCTAATGACAAGACTATGGTCATTTTTTGCCTTTCATGGGCGATCTTGTTGACACCTTCAGAATGATGTGAAGAATATCCTGTCCACTGACGACTTTGTTGGCGAGCATCTGGAGCAGCTTGAAGATTAGGGAATGCCTGTAATATTCGAACGACAGTGTAAGAAGCCTCAACAAGAGCGAAATCCTCTAGGATAGCGTCAGCTGTGAGTACTTCATGCTCGTAGGGTAGAATGTATTAACATACGTCCTAAACACACTCGTGGGCCTCCATTGAAAGGCAAATAACCCCAAGCTGCGGTAATGTCATCTTGGAATAATGGTAGATCTTCTTCCCATCGTTCTGGACGAAATTGCTCTGCATCTTCACCGTATAGGTCCTTCCGACGATGCATTGCATATACACAAAATGCAACGTTCTCTCCTTTATGAATGATTACTGGCTGCGAGCCATCTGGGCCCCCGCCCGTCGGTAGGACAGTCGTGTGATGTGCCGTTCGAGTATTCACAGGTACAGAAGGATATAGCCGAAGAGCTGTAAGACACGTCTCTGATTAGCCTGACTGAAGAAGAAAAATTACCTGATAATGGACAACTTACTTTCTTTAAGGACATTGGCCAAATATGGCATTGCTTTCAGATCCTCCCGCGTTAGGTCGCTCCTTTCCCCCACAGTACTTGAGATTTCATGTAAGAGACGGTTGAGGACTTTCTGATCTCGAGCAAGTAGATAGCTGACATGAAAAAAGCCGTTAACATTCTGAAGTAGACGAGTTTCAAGAAAGAAGCCTCCAAATCTCTGGAGTCAACTTACAATGTCCATGTCAATAAACATGCGGTTGTATCTCGACCGGCTAGCAACACGTTGACAAGCTGTTCCCTGATTGCCCTTCTATCGTTGTGATACTTTGCAATGGCGTCGAAAAAGACATATCGATTATTTCTCTCCAGATCTTTCGAAGCTTCTTGCTCACTCTTTTCTATAATGTTATCCACAAAAGCATGGACAGCAGCACAAGAGCGTTTAAACTTTTGACCGCCGATAAGCCAGTAGAAGTCGAGTAGGCGAAAACGTTGTATCACATAGTTCTGTGCAATATCGAATTGCTCTGCGAATTTCTTGCCCTGAGAGAGACTAACGTCCTTGAGGCTATTGATAGATGTCCCGAAGATAAGTTCAGTCGTGGTATCGAGAGTAAGCCCAAAAAAGAGAGGCTGAAGATCAACAGGTTGACCATCTTTCGGAATAAGAGCAATTAAGTTGTCCACATGCTCTCGAAAAATACCAAGGCCTTGGTATTGCTGTCGAGTAAACTGTGGACGCAAAAGGTCCCGTGATCGTTTCCATGCATGGCCATCTTGGGTAAAGATGCCATCTCCAAGTAATGGAAAGAAAATCTTACGACGCAGGCCGAAACCAAAGTCTTTCACCAGCGTTAGCTGAATAATAATGAAGGCATCATGCGTAGTATTCACCCTGAATATTAGACGACATCATTGCCTCTAGATTTCTTGGTTCAATTGTGCCGAATGCACGGGTACCCAAGAACCGCTGCTCCAGAGTACTGCCGACATCTCTAAAGTGGAAAGTGAAAAGTTCCATTAATCGTTGCTCAGAGTCGGCCTGCCATATCTGTATCAAGCGATCTATACCAAAGGGCCACCAATTCCGTAACTTGGCAGCACGTTGACATCCGTATTGATGTATCAAATTCTGGTCAGTCTGTCCAGCGTAACCAATTAGCTTCCAGTCTGCTCTGCTTTCTCTACCGTACCTTGTAGGATTGGTATGCGTGAAGCAGTTCTTGGATGCACCAAGCGACGACCGTCACCACTATTGCTGAATATAAAAAGGTCATCATGGATGATGTCAAGTTCAGAAAGAAGAATTCTTTGGAAGTGCAATCAAGGAAATACACGCCTCGACTCGCAGAAAAGGTAATTGTGTACAGTCCTCGGCTAGACCGAAGTCATTCTTGATGCTCCAATGAATCATGAGGCGCTTATACCTTGTTGGAAAGCCGAGCACATAATGTGACAATTCGGGAGTGCATACATTAGCGTGTATTGTGAGACAGGTCAATTGCGGCACAGTCATTGTCGACTTACCATGTGTACTCGCAGTCGTAGCACTCGTACAAGGGTTGTTATATACCTACTATGTCCAAAGTAATTAGCTATGTCACGAGCTAATCTGTAGGTGGGTTGAGGTGATGCAAATATCCCTGTTCTTTGTAATGTAATAGGTTGATATTAAGGATGGTAAGGTGTGGTTGCTTTTTTTTATTACGATAGCCATACTACATAGTACGTAGCTGATTCGCCCTGCTAAGCCGTACCCTTGTCAACAGGGGGCGGGGGCTGCCTTTTCAAATAGCACTAGTGAATCATGTTCAGGTTGTTTCTGTGTGCAAATTCCAATCTTTCGCTGCAAGCCTGCAGCACCACCAGGGAAAATAAGTAGGKGGGAAAACATTTCCCCCCCCCCCCCCTCCCTTGTCTTCATTCCTTTTTCTTTTCAAACCATTGTAGTGAAGGAAGGGGAGGGGACTACATGGGTTCGTGAAGTAGTTACATATTTAGCCCCGGAGGTCGCTGCTCCAATGTCACAGAATGAATCGGTGACAACGTACTAAGCGGCGCCAGTGAATCGCCAGATTACAATAATTCATGCGGCAATCCGATGTCAGGAATGCCTTCTTCGGCTTCGTCTCATTAATCGCGGAGGTCGCCTATCCCACGGAGCATACTTTATACTACAACGCAGTGTTGTTGTAATCGCCTTCTGTTTTCGAGGATTGGCGAACTTCAAGTTCAATGACTATCTCAGTCATATCACGACAGCGCGGTAATCGCGCGAAGATAAAAGCTGAGTACGTTCCACCTTATAACCCACCAAGTGCAAGTGGTAACAGCGTTTGCTCAGCGTCATTGCTGTACATGGACTTGATGAGGATGCCATAGACGCTTGGACAGCTTCTAACTCGTGCTGCTGGCTACGAGACTTGCTATCTTTCGACATTCCTGTTCGAGTCCTTGTCTTTGCATACGAGGACACTCCCAAGTCGGTTTTCGGAAGTGGTACTGCTGAAAAAATTCAGCGACATGCTCAGACTCTCCTACAGGACTTGTGGAGCCAAAGGGACACTGATGAGATAAGGCAGCGGCCAATCATCTTTATTTGTCATGGCATTGGAGGTATCGTAGTGAAGAAGGCCCTAATATTGTCATCCAACTATGTTGCCCCCCGTTTGGCACATCTGCAATCCATATTTTCCACCACGGCAAGCATCATTTTCATGGGTACCCCTCATCTGGGGATCGAGAAAGACAGATGGCCACTGTTGCTGAGTAGATTCACATCAGTTCTTAGTGATTCAAGTCATCTTCGCTCGTCCATCGAAAAGGGTTCGGAGACCTTGCAAGAAATAACCGACCAGTTTATGCCTCTCATGCACAACTTCAGTGTGTATAACTTCTGGGAAACGGTAGAAACATCATTTGGTCTCTTTAGAGGCTATATTGTCGAAGAATCATCCGCAGCCCCATGGCCTACTGTTGAGAGTTCGGGTATTCATGCAACCCACTCCCAAATGTGCAAATTTCCGGACGAGCATTACCCAACCTATAAGGTTATCTTGGCGGCGTTACGAAGATATTTAAAGGAAGCAGAGCACAAAATTCCCACACGTTTGGCAGCAGCGAGGCATGATATGCGAAACCGAAGGAAAGCAGAAGCACACGAGATACTTGGTTCGAACACTTTCATCAAAGACAACCAGTCAGCCACGCAAAAGAGCCACAAAAAGGGTTATAATAAGCATTTCACAGCCAAAATGCGAGTCAGTGACATCTTCACAGGAAGAGAAGAACTTGCTCGTGAACTACAATCTAGAATACTTCCACCGGCTGACGCCCAAACTCCGTCAAAACAAAAAAGATATGTTTTACATGGTTTAGGGGGCTCTGGAAAGACACAATTCTGCCTGAAGTTTGCGAACGACAACAAGAATAAATTCTGGGGAGTCTTCTGGATCGATGCCAGTAGTGCGGAAACCGCTGAACGTGCCTTTGCAGAAATAGGCATCATGGGAAATCTGGAGGCTAGGCCAGAAGCAGGTTTATCCTGGCTGACTAGACAAGAATTGCCGTGGTTGCTGGTGATAGATAATGCTGACGACATTCGGTTCAATTATGCCAACTACTTCCCTTCTGGAGAGCGCGGCCATATTCTTCTTACTAGTCGAAACCCGGAATGTAAAGTACATGCAACTATTGGATCTAAAGAATTTAGAGATCTCGAAACCGAGGATGCTATCACTTTATTATTGAAAGCAATCTCGAACGATGACGAAGTCTATGTCAAAGAAAAGAGGAGTTCAGCTCTCCCCGTGGTCAAAGCCCTTGGATGCCTCCCACTGGCTTTATCCCAGGCTGGCGCCGCTATCCGTCAGAAATTTTACGCTTTAGAAGAGTATCTCGATATTTTTAGCTCTTACAAACGTTCAATTTTCTCGAAAGGGTATTCACAAGACACGGATTACAAGCACACTATTTACACAACATATGAGGTCTCTTTAGACAAGATTAAGCTTCTCCACTCGAATGCACAAACGGCTGTAGATGCAGTCGAGATACTCCACGTTTTGGCTTTTTGTCATTTCGATGAAATACCATTCTCAGTCTTCGAGAGAGCATGGACCAATATGCATCCAAACCAGGACACAATATCCCCTGTTTCTTTCTCAGAAACCTTCCTAAATCCTATGGAACATGTCTTCTCATTTCTGAGGACATATCATACAATTTTTTCAGCAATCGGCTATAGCGGGCTTCCATCAATTTTCGCGCAGCGAAGGTGGGATAAAATGCGCTTGCGAAACGCCTTCAGTCTTCTACTGCACCATTCACTGATATCTCAAAATGCCTCAGGCGCTACGTGGTCAATGCATCCCATGGTGCAACTCTGGGCTCGACAGAGGCTTTCACCGAAGGCTCAAGGCACTTGGATCGTCATCACCGCCCGTATTTTAGCTGCTGCTGTCAATCCGAGACCTGTTACCACAGAAGAAGAGACATCCTTTAGAAACTCCTTGATTCCTCATATCGATTCATGTCTTCGAGCTGATCCCGATGACTTTCGCCGGGGATTTCAATTCTCTCAAGAGAATCTCAGTGATTTCATGAAGTTCGCCACAGTGTACATTGCAGGTGGGCGCTGGAAAAATGCAATCGAGATACAGGAGCTTATGGTTCATCAGTACAAACGCAGGTTGGGAATTGATGATTGCGTAACGCTCGATGCAATGGCAGAACTTGCTCAGACTTACTGGAACTCCAGCCAGTTACATGAAACCATGGAAGTTCAAACAACGGTCCTATCTATCAGTTTGAAAAGACTAGGTTCTTACGATCCTCGAACTTTGAAAGCGATGGACAGTCTCGGCCGCACATTTTGGCTTATTGGAGACAGGCCAAAAGCAGCCAGTCTAGGAAAGGAGTCAATGGAAGGATTAACGAAAATTCTTGGACGAGATCATCCCTTCACAGTCAATGCGATGCACAACTATGCCAGAGCACTTGCGCACCTCGGCCACCACCAACAGGCCAAAGTCATGCAGTTAGAGGTTCTAGCGATAAGATTCAACCGCAGAGGTTCAAAAGACCCTGATACCTTGGAGGCGATGCAAGAACTAGGAGTCTCGCATTTAGCACTAGGGGAAGTGGATGAAGCGGAACGTCTGATTTCAAATGTTTTGGCCGTTCGAAAGCAGATGCTTGGTGAAGAACACGCATACACGTTGTGGACTATAAATGACCTTGCAAAGGTCCGCATAGCGCAGGGTCGTTCTGCGGATGCTATTGAGATCCTCAAAGAAACGCTAGAGATAGCTACTCGAACCTTAGGTGCAGATCATATTGGTACCTTAATGACAACTCACAATTTAGCTCGTGCTTATTCTCGCCTGGAGCTTTGGACAGATGCCGAGACTCTTTTTCTCCGGCTAATTGAGGCTCAAGTCAGGAATCTCAAAGCTGATCATCCGGATATCTTATATGCCAAACTTGATTTAGCATCGGTCTACTTTGCGCAGAATCTAATGGAGAAGGCCGAGTCTTTGGTTCTAGCAGTCTTTCTAGCGCAGAAAGGCACACTAGAGGAAAACAGTCCGATTCTTCTGAAAACAAAAGAGCGACTGAAACAAATTTATCTCATCCGTGGCAGACTTGAGGAAATGAAGGCTCTTGACAGGGTCGAACTAGACGACAGGCCCCCTGCGACTGGCGGAGTAAGCGACGAAACTCCTGAAGAACACCAGAAGTCTTCCAGACGGTCCTTTACCTTCTGAAACACGTGGAATTGCTCTACTGTTTCTCATTTAAGTCAATTCCTCAAGGGTAAGACGAAAGGTCTCCCTGAGTGTGGAGGCTGTTAGTAAGTACTTGTACCGTCAGCCTTCGAATGAAACGATCTTGGCAGTACGTCGATTCTTGAACAAGGCCTCTTCAGTATATACTACCCGATGTTTAGTGTGTACAAATCTCGCTAATGGCTAATTTGAAAACAATGTCAATTTTTGGCCCCGGAAACTTTATGATTCCTCTACGGATGCGTCTATGGCCTTGACCGCCTCTCCTCCCTTCTCTTCTCTGATAAGGGAAGTGAAACTCATTTCCACCACGATGCTACACAAGATAACACAAACGAAACTTTTAAGATACTTGGATCTATGGATCCAACAGTATAATTTTCAGCCGAGAAAGATATACAAGGCTCATACAGTTCAGACAAAGCTTACTTGGGCAACACTGGTCTGAGATCATGCTAGGCCACTCTTCACACCACGATCCAAGAGAATTCACAGTGAGCTGACTGTGAAGAAAATTTTTTATTCTGTGATCGCGGTAATTCTCATGGAATGTGAATTAAGTAGGAATCGCCGTACCAGTTGTTATAGGAAGATAGGCTTCAATGGACAAGTGAGCACCAAGCAAAGGGATAACCGCGACCATAAGAAGGGTATACGATACACCATCTACTGAAGTAGATGGTCTTTTAGGGGTGCTGGGGACTGATATGTTGAGATAGACGAATCGGGAAACGGTAAATCGCTTACTTGGCCTGATATTGGGTGCGACCCAAAATGCATACATCACACTAGCCAATGCGACGAATTATGCATTTTGCTGATGAAAATGCAAGTACTGAGAATACAGGGGGGAGGCTCTTAAGAAGCGGAGAATGCCGTATATTCAATATCCAGAGTGGGAATCAGGGCAAAGCTCTCTAGGCTGCTGCACGAGGAGGATATCTTAAGATCGTTCAGACACTGCAAATAGATATAGCTATAGCTACTATGTGATGGCTTTTCTCAATTAATGATTCCTTCCCTCTACGAAACGGTCATGTTATTTCCCGAAATATGTAACTGCATAATATTGACTAAACTTATTATCGGTGTGGACAGGCACAGCGCACCGCTTTTCAGGTATAAGTGGGTAGTATAGAACCAAATTAGGTCATTAGAAGCTTACTATACGAGTACTTTGCCCGCGGACATTATAAGTATTGACTTCCACAAGTCATGATCGGCTACGAGAACAAGCAACTAGAATCTATTTCATCATAAATATAACGTAACGTGCCGTAGCACTACAAAAATGACCTGAAGGTAGCTACAAAGAATACATCATAGCTCGGACCTAAGCCGTGGCTGTCTAGGTGGTGTCTACATGTATACCGTTAAATCGTACTTGGGCCACTGCTGCGTTGGTATCGATATATCTTTTTAGGAGATTGACGGAGCGCTTATAGTGACCTATGAAGCTGGTTCGCATGTTCGTCAGCTTAATCTGCCATTGATAAGCGAGTCTAAAGCTAAAAATGGAGCTGTTAGTGCATTTTGTTACTGTAATTAAGCCAACACTTGGGGTCACGACTTGTACGTATAGAAGCCCCATGGCCGATATAGCAATAGTGACATTACTTTTTCCCAGATTCGACATGAGTAAAGCACATATTTAACATATACCTATCTGTCGTCTTGAAATCATATGTTATTCATATAGATTCAGCTTCGTTGTTAATTTCATAGACTGATTATAGGAGGAAGTTTGCAGTACTGGTCTGAAAAAGGAAATGTAGATGAGCCTTTGACTACTGACATTCATAGCAGGACATCGCTACTTATCGAACCAGTTGACATACAAAAGATTGGCCGAATGTCATGTCAGCAACAACAACCAAAAAATAGGGGCGAGAAATTTCTAGCAAGGCTGGAATGGATTAAAGAAAACCTCGATATCAGCGCGAAAACAAAAAAAAAAAAACATACAACAGTTGAGATTCGCTGGTGGTCACCCACCCAACTACTAACCAACCGGCGTGTGGCTTAAGTACGGCTGAGCGGACGGGAAGCCCTGTTTTCCACAGTCGTATGTGTTAATCAGAGCGAAATGATGGTTTATAGAACAAACTGTCCTGCATGGACGCAAGCAAGACATTCGGAACGGGGCCGGATCCTATATTGAGCTTCAAACATCGTGGCGAAGTGTCACATCGATGGAATTAAGGAGCAAGAAAGCGAAATCGAATCGCAGCCGACGGGGCAGTTCTCGAAGCAAAACTGGTATGGGATCTCGAAGCCAGAGAGCGACATCTTGCTGACATTTAGAATTAGGATGGTAGGCAGTCATAAGCGGGTGTACAATTGACCACTATGACTAATTCTTTGTACAAAGTACGACATGCAAAGCAAGGCATACACGTTGTGACGGGAACTCACCAACATGCGCAAACTGTGCGCGTCTCGGTCTTCAGTGCCAGCCATCTGACTTCATTAACCAGTCAGCATGGAGTGACATTCTTGCGGCGGGTTCTTCTAGACGTGAAGTTCCAGGGAAGAAGACTGAATACCGAATTCTGGCCCCATTCAGCGATATTCCCTCGCGAAGCTCATTTTCAGATCCGAGAGCGCACCACAGCCCCAGCTCTGTGGCTGCTTCCAACGAACAGTCTACAAACTTGTCTCAAAAACCACCTCTATGTACGTTAGTCGAACTCAACGATGAATCAGCCTTCTTGCTACAGACATTTAGTGCCAACCTAGCCACATGGATGGATGTTTTCGACTTTGACAAGACATATGAAAGACAGGTGACAAGGCGGGCGTTACAATCGCAGCTATTGATTGATTGTATCTGTGCTTTTACCGCTAAGCACTTGTCCCTGCTAAGCTCAAGCGATGTCTGGGACCCTATTTCCTCTAGGTATTATGGCGAAGTAAGTCTTGGTTGCAATCTTGGTCGCCCCTTCACTTGTGCAATGAAATGCTTATGGCAGTCTACAGTCACTTAATCAGATGATTGAGACATTGAATCATGCGGAGCCGAGTAGCGACATGCTTACAGCTGCGATTCTTCTGAGCAGTTACGAAGCTATAGCAGCCTCCAGAAGTTCACATAAGTCGCACTATAAAGGTGCTCTAAATTTGATACTCACTCGAGGCATTTCGGCTAGATCTATCGGACTTGATAGAGCCAATTTCTTCGTGTATTTACGGCATGAAATCACCATCGCTTTAAACGACGGGCTACCTCTCCAATTTGATCCTCTTAGCTGGAATATTGCAAAGCCAGGGGCGGGCGCCAGTGAAGATAACATTGCCAACTACTTAATGTTACTTATCGGCCAGATTGTGAACGTGATACACAGCGGAGAAGACTCGCTATTAGAGCGGAGAACGTTGGAGAGACAAATTGACGAATGGTACAGTGCTGTCAGTCAAGAATTCCGGGGCATCTCCTACGGTAAAGCCGTCGAGGGCAGACCACAGAAGATTTTCTTCCCGATTCCTGCCACAGGTAAAATTTCCTGTGGTAATTCCATCTGCTGGAATGCTAATTGGATGGTAGCTGCTGCGATGATATGGTTTTATACAGCCCGAATTCTCCTTTCGGCAAAAGAAATGGCTTCTGACCGGTCATATGGACTACTGGTATGTGCGAAATTCCTCTCTCCGAATGCTGTAGGCTATTGACACTTTGGAATATGCAGATAGAACAAAGCTCCAAGTCTATTATTCAAATTGCATCTTCTGTACTACCAGCAAGCGTCCGATGCTTTGCAATCACTCCAATATATATTGGTACGTAAGATATGGATATTCACAGCTTCCCTTTGCGGCTACTAACACTAACAATTCTTAGCTGGCAAATACACTAATGACATTTCGAGTCGAATCCGCTGTTGCTTATTGCTTGATGCCATTGAAAGAGAAATTGGGTATCGTACGCAAGACAAGATAAAATCTCTGGAGGCTATGATTCGCTGAGTACCGCGCATCAATGGGCCCGAGAAAGAATCAATCACATCGATTTATGATGACACCAGAGCACAAGATATAATCATCACGAATGAATGACTGCCTAAGCAAAGACCAATTTCACATATCCGCGTATAGGAGTGGAGGTCAAGTGTATCAACGTAGCCCTAACCTTAAAAATTTCGATGGTATTCTAACACATCTGTAAACCATTGCCAGACATCAGCGCCTTGGAAAAAAAGTGAAAGGGAGGGAAAGCCGAGTCTAACTCTGAAGACGGACCACAGATTTAATTCACTCGTTTCAATTCTACGTCTGCGTTCAATGTGTACAGCAGAAAGAAATGTGACATTTCAAGACTGCTTTGTCTCACCTCCTAATCGCGCAAGTCCCAGTATGGGTGTGTCATGGTTCGCAATCGGGATACTTCGATTCCTAAACACTCTCTCAATCTCCGCCAAAGACTTTCCTTTCGTTTCAACCATGTAGAAAAAACTAACAACGGTCGCTATGGCAGTGCAGCCGCCGAAGAGGAAGTAGGCACTCGGGGCACTCTTAGCAAGCAGAATAGGACTGATAAAGGCGACAAAGAAATTGCAGACCCAATTGAAGCCTATCGGTTAAACTCAGTCAGCAAAGAGATTTACCCAACATGTCTCTGTACGTGGCTATGACAAACCGTATGCTAGGCTAATGGCCTGGGCACGTGTATGCTGAGGTTGAATTTCTGGCGCCCACACCTTGATGCTAATGCTCCAGGTTGTGGCTTKCACAATACAAAATAAGTATATGGACACAATGACGATCCAACGACCAGGCCCTGCATTTGGAATCACCGCATCGCCGGCATAGAGCCCACCGATCAGAACCATAAGTGCTGTTAGGCCTACTCCTCCGACCAATGTGCTGATGCGGCGTCCCCATTTGTCGGCCAGTAGGGTTGCGGGAATACTGCTTGCTACTATGACAATGGCAGAAATGCCGGATGCCTGAGTTTTTTTGGGAGACGGTGAGTTTCTGAGTTGAAGAAGAAAGTTGCGAGTCAGGGTCACGGCTCACTCACCAGAAAGGAGGCTTCTTGACTTTGTAAACCAGCCTGTTGGAATAATTGAGGAGCATACTACACAACGAATATCAGTATCACTACGCGGGCCTGTTGAAGTTAGGAGAGTGTTGGCATGGCATACATAGAGCACAGCATCGATACCACAGAGCTGGAGGAACCCTAGCAAGAACACAGCCAGGAAAGTTTGCTTGCGAACATCCCGAGCCCATAAGTCGTGGAAGCTAGTATGCCTGCGTGGTCTATGAGCCTGTGGACTTGATCCTTCCAAGGCTGCTGTCCCATCCTCATTGGGTAATGATGAATCGCTGTTGGCTTCTCGATCTGCCTGTTTGACTCCCAATTTATCCCATACTTTCTCTGCTGCGCGATACTCTTGACGCCGTATGAGCCATCGTGGAGATTGTGGTAAAAGGGTCAGATTGATCAGAACATAAAAAATCGCCATTACAGTAAGTATAGTATAGGGTAGTCTCCAAGACAACGAGCTCGGAATCTTCACTGTCGCGTAGCTTGTGAAGTAGCCTACCACCAGAGCCACACATGTCATGAATTGTGGACCAGAAGTTAGCGGTCCTCGAGCCTTTGGAGGCGATATCTCACAGATATAGACGGTCTGCGTACTAAAGTAGAGACCATAGCCAATACCCTCAATCACACGTCCCACAGCAAACATCCGTAGGTTTATTGCTGCAGCTTCTAAACCAGTACCCAGGGCGAAGACACTTGCCCCCAAGGCCATTGCTTGTGGACGACCGAGTCGGTCCGCAAGCCTGCCGGCAAACACGGAACTCAGGGCAGCGCAAAGGAGGATAGACGAGACCAAAAGACCATGGACAGCAGGGGATTGTTCGCCAAACTTTTCAACAAAGGTCGTCATGGCAGTGACGGGGCCGATGACACTTGTATCCATACTATTCAGACATCATAAGTATATGATTAGCAGATTTTGACACGTAAATCTATCCACTCTGACGCACCCCAAAAGGAAACCTCCAAAGGAGCAGAGAACACTGGCAATTGTATATCGTGCAGGTCGAAACCATGAGAAACAAGATGTGATGATCAACTTCATCATGTTCTGCACAGTAGGTAGAGTAGAAGAAGAGAAAGGTATAAAGAAAACCATGAATCTGAGAATATCGAGTCAAGTGAACGAGGACTGGGTCGTTGCTGCTTCTTTGCCCACCCCCTCCAAAATACTTTTTCTGTGATCTACCAAGTCCAGAGAAGGCACCTCGCTAGGATGCGGGATCCTTAAGGCTTGACGGCACGGAATATTGGCCACCACATACGACGTACTGTCAGTGAAGACTAAACAGGATCGAGTCACAATAATATCCAGAAGAAGTTTATCAGCTGGGGTACTACAAGCCATTATTGGTCCTATTCTGGCTAAACGGAACATGTGGTTCACACTCGGTATACTTCACGCGTGTAAATTTCCCGTTACGGAAATGGTGTCGGATATCAGTTGGGCCTGTACTGAGGGCATGCAGAGGAGCTAGGTCATGTTTTACTAGCGCCTAGTCATCTATCATGTTGATTGATGTAGTTGAGTGGCTTAAATGTTACCTAGCACCATTCAATTTCAAGAAATGTCGTCTACAAAACCACTAGAAACGACATTTGAAGGTTTAGAGGAAGAACATCTCACAACTGGACTTAGCGCTAAGTAATTAAAAACAATGACGTGACCATGTCAGTAACGGAGTCTAAAACGCCATGTAATCAAGTATGCTTGTATATCCATTCTGGATTCACTCCCTACGCAAGCACTAGCTACAAGGATTATAGAATCACGCCAATATAAGGGGTCCTCTCCATTCCAAGACGACATAAGATTCGAAGAAAAGAGGGACTATAGCACGTTGGGACATGAAATGAGTCAAAGTTCAGGTCATATCGGCACAGCTGACTTGAGTTATGATTGTAATAAATAGACAGTGAAAAGCAATGCAAACACGGGGAATAAAAACGGGAATAGTAACAGGTGTGAAGAAGCGAAGAAAAACGCCTACAAATGCCGTGCAGATGGTTGTAATAAGTAAGTGGGATGCAGTAAGGAAATATGTGTTTTGCCGCTAAGTTGGGGAAGATTTGAGGAAACGAAGGTCGGATCAAGTAACGTGACAAAAAAGGGCTTCAAAGAGGATAAAGCAGTATTCGATACACTATTATTTGACACAACACCCACTCGTACATCACAGTCATAGTTCGTTGAACTCCGTTTAGTATCCCGGTTTCAAAGGACGCTCAAGCTTTGAGAGCAAAGCATCTAGTTCAGTCCAATTGGACAGCGTCATTGCAAACTTGCGATGCTTTCGGGTCATTGTATGCTACCAAATATAAGCTATAGCCAAGAACTTTGGACAAATATGAACATACCTCATCAAAATCGTCGAACTTGTCCCGGCAATTCTCACAGTATCCCGGTTTTGGGTCACGTTGCTTCTCTTTGACGGCTTTCTTCTGTAGAGCCCCTTGACGGTCCGTGTTTTGTGTCACATTGTTGCTTCCATTATCCTCCGATTGCGTGGTGTCTTCTTCATGATGACACATCTGCTCTCTGGGACGCTTCGTCCCGGCAGAGGCAGAAGCAGGTCTCGTATTGATTGGTGGCTCCATGGGTCTGTGGGAAGACGGATTGGCGCTGGTTGTCATGCTTCCGTTGCTCCTCTCCAATACCTTCCGTTTCAGTTCGTGTACCTCTTTACTCAATCCTGCCTTTGCACCAGGTGCGGCAGCTGTCGACGAAACCATTTGTGACCGAATAGCTGATGTGATGTTCGAGGGCTGCATGCCAGAGGCGGCCGGTTCGCGGAGCATAGGCCAGGCTGTAATCTTTCCGGTGGCTTTAATTGGTTGATTCTCCGACTTGACTCGAGGAGGTGCAGGTCGAACAGATAACGGTTTGAGGTTATCTGCCGGTCCTAGCATAGCGACATCATCGTCCTCTTCCAGCCTTACCTGAACTGGTGCATCTTCCTTCTCTGGCTTGGTGGGCAGCACCTGGTTCTGTGCCCGGGGTGCGTTTTCATCTTTCACTTCTTCTCTGACTACAGGCTTCTCCTGTCGCTGTCTCTTTTTCTCCTCCTTCATACGAGCGAGTTCTTTCTTCGTTGGTGGCTCTTCAACGAAAGGACACTTGCCTATAGGAGCACTGCGAAACTGTGGCCAAAGACCATCCTCTTTGACTGCAACCTTGGGATACTCTCTCACCATAACAGGGCGAGTCTTTTCGTCCATATCGTGAACATAGATAAAAGGGCCACGAAAGAAAACCAAATCCTTCATCAATTGAGATGGATCTCGATCAGCCGGTCCATGCAAACGTTCATTCCGAAGCACCTGAGATAGCTCAGTTTCTCCACGGCCCTTGGCGGATACAGAGCCAGCACGACCTCCGGCATATGCCGCTGAAGTGTCTGGTTCGTGAATGGCTGTGAGCATCCGCTGTAATTTTTCAATGGCCCAAATCTTCATGCCCATTTGACGGGCACGATATAGTACATCAGTATTGTTGCCATGGTCCCTTCGATTATCGTTTCTTTCTAGAAGAACCGGATTGACATGCTGAACAAGGGGGCCGTCATTCGAAGTCTGCTCATGCTGGGGTGCTTCAGTCGGACTAGGAATATCGACCTCTGGGATGGGACGAGAGGTGACAACGTGGGTGACTGTACGAGAAAAGAATCTCTCCTCGCGCTGTATCCAAGTTAGTAGATGTTTGAACAGAAGAGACATAAGATAAATAAGGTGAAAGCTTACCGCGCCCAATGCAAGCACTTCCCTCAGGCTTCGGTTACGAATATCCGCCGGCAAACTATCAAAGTAGAACACGAAGCTGGGAAATGCCTTGCGGTAGTGCTTCTGCCATTGCCGAATATTATCCAACTTCTCGGCAGAGGCCTTGTCATATCTTGCATTTCTCGATGCCTGAACCGCACTCGAATCTTTCTGCTCTCTTACTGCCATCAACTTCTTCTCAAACGGAGTCAATTGTGAAGCGTTACTCTTGCGTGAGAACATCCTCGATTCAACACTCATCTGTGGAGCAACCATCGTCCGTGCTTTCAAAGGGGAACCGGGACCGGCACCAGCAGCATGATGATCTTCTCGGTCCACGAATTGCTTTTTGGCAGGAGGCTGACCGAACAGCATGTCAATCCGAGATCCCATCTCGGATCCGGGACGAGCACGCTTTACTGCAGCCGAGTTGCTGCTTCGATGAGGCGAATTGGCGGCATTGGGGACATTGGCGAGGGGTGGTCGTCGTGAGGACATAGCGAATGATGTCTGTGGAGAGGGAGGGACGAAGATAGCTGCCATAAGGTTGGTGTATACGTACAAATGGCAGGCAGTATCCAACAGTAAGGTAGGTACTCAAGGTGAGTGGAGGGGTATGGTCACTGGTACAAGAGCACGCGACGAACCACACGCCCTCTAGAGATCGTGGACGAGTTTAGTGGACCATGGCGTAGATAAACAATTGACACGTCGGTTTTATAGACAGATACTCTGACGAGCGTTGACGGAAGTAGTAAACACTGTACAAGAAGGTATAACAGGGCTGGTGGGCGAGGTATTGGAGGCTGAAAGTGAGTGGTGGTTGGAGGAGAAGGAAGAAGTGAGAGCGAGCGGAAGGCAAGCTTGTTTGTTAGTAGTGGAGCCTTGTTTTGGCACCAAAACGATCCTAGCCCGGACAACCAACCGTAGCGCGACTGGACCATCATTGCAGAAATGACTTACAGCGCGCAGCACATTCTTAATCGCGTCAATTATTTCTTTTTTTTCTGCTTTCCGGATAGTAGTATACGTGAGTACGTGTAGTGCACGGTTAGATGTGTTCATTTTGTTTGATACTTCCGGATCATTATCATCACAACCTCGCCAACGCGTACAACACGGGTCCAAAGGATGAAATTCATGAACAAACTAATTATGATTTTATTATTGACGCCGAATACATGCTTATGAAAACAGATGCCTAATGTACAGTTCCTCTGGGAGATGGGTATCGTCTATGAGCGAAGAGCCTCGATATCGTCAATCTAAACCTTATTAGTATCGTTTGAAGAAACCGGTTGCAAAGTGAAATACCTCTTTGACAGCCTCCATGGTCAGCACAATAGGGTGCTCATCACCCACGCAAACACTGTCTTCAATGCGAATACCAATGCCGCGGAAATGCTCCGGCCACCGCTCATCATTGGGGACATAAATACCACTAAGACATGTTAGCTTCAAGTCTCTTGATTTCAGCATGGAAGACATACGGCTCAATTGTTATACACTGTCCAGCCTTCAGGTTGACGCTCCTTGGGTAACCAGCACAGTCATGCACGTCGAGACCGACATAGTGGCCCAGATGATGCGGAAACAGAGTCCTTACAGCCTGTCACAGATGTCAGCTGGCATCGAATCAATCAAGAACGGCTACCGTACATCACCAGACATATCGAAACCTATCTGCTGTAGTTGTTCCTTCAGGCCTTTCTCCGCAATACCGTGAAGTCGGTCGAGGGATAGATTCGCATCCTCACGGCAAAGTGCCACACAAGTTCTATGTACGTTCAGCACAGCAGTATATAAATCGCGCTGTGGTCCGGTGAATTTGCCGTTTACTGGCCATGTCCTCGTTATATCTGCAATATAGCCTCCGTATTCCTGTTCCTTGATTAGATTGTAGACAAGTAGCAGGGGCATGTCGGGACATACACCGCCTCCGTCCACGAGGACAAGTTGCCCATCTCTCAATACGTCGTCGTTCCGAGTATAATGTATGCTCAGTGCATTCTATCTCAATCAGCGCGCATATTTCTCAAATCTCGAATGTATCACATACCCGTCCTCCTCCAACGACAGGTACAAAAGMACTGCCACTGCACCCATTCACCTGAAATTGATACTGCAAAAACGAAGATAATTCCTTCTCAGTATCGAACTCCTGGCGCATCGAATCCGTAAAAGCACGACCTGAGGCCTGTCCGGCTAGCCGCAGATTCACAACCTCACTCTCGCTTTTGAAAGCCCTCAATTCATTCAATACCGGACGAAGGGGTTTGACTTTATGCGCTTGTATAATCTTTTGGAGGTCGGACTCGGCTTCGCTGCCATATAAATAACGAGTTATCGAGGATCCTGCGGGAGATAAAGATTTGATGTCTGTGTATATCTCGGTTGCTTCGGACAAGATTGGGAGGATAAGTTCTTTGATTCGTTCGATGTTACCGGTCTGTTATTCATTAGCTTCGTTCTCGCTGCGAAGAATCTGTGTTTTCACGAACTTCATCCGCATTAAAAACATCTAACGCTGCTTGAGTTCCTGATCGTGCACCGTCCCACAATTCGATTTTCGGGTCTTTTTCTCGAACGTATAGATGAAAGAGGTGGTTGTCGCCTGATCCGTCGTTTACTGTTTCCATTTAATGAGTATGTATCTAACATGCCCAAGATATCAACTCACTAATTATGGCCAATGCACCGGGTTCATTGAATCCTATCTCGCTCTCAGTACTCCATGTTCTCGTATCAGATGACTTTGTCGCATACCCGTCAGGTAGAAAAAATTCGAGTCTTGTCGGTATTCGTAAAAAACGCCAGCAGCGCGGTACTTGATGTCCGCCGCGGCAACAATCGCAATGGCATTTTTGGGAAGTCGATTAGCGAGTCTCGAACGACGATGCGCGTATTCCTGAGCAGTGATTCCTGGTGTCACTTCATTATTGTCAACAATGCGACCTTGAGACAAAACAGTAACAGATCATCTTGCATATCACCGAATACGGACGATACAAGACTAGGAACTGAACATACATTCGCCCGGCTCTAATAAATGAGGATGTGTCTCATGCAAAGGTTGGCCAAATTGCAATTCGGAGGCGGAGATAGAGGCATAGCTTCTCGTTGGTAGAAAACTCCGATTGAGGAAGACGGCACGATTCGAGAGCAATGGACGCAATGAGGAACTGCAACGCTGGACGTTCGAAATGCGACTGCGCAAATGGTGCAATAATGGGGCGCGTATTGGCATGGTGGAAATACAAACGACGCAATGGTCTTGAAGAGGTGGAACGATCAAACTATGCCATTGATCTATTTTGTAGGTGGGTCTAAGCTTTTCCGGGGAGAAGCCATTGGCCCCGGCGACTGACCGCCCTAGATGTCAATATACAAAGTATAAGCAAAAGTTAAGCTCTTCTAACCACACTAGTTACGTTCGTGAAGGTAAAAGATCCGCCTTGGTAACAGATTACTATGTCTGTATTTTTCGGTCAATACAAGTCATCGTTAAGCCAATCTCCCAATTGGCGGACCCTGGAGGCTATAGATATGTTGATGCCTGAGGCGCTGAGATTGCTCGGGGCTAGTCCACTTTAGGATAAAAGATGCTATCGAAAATGTAATCACCTGTGCACTGATTGGCTGGCTGTCCGCCTCCCCAGATTAGTCTCATTTGGTCATGCACAGTCTCGGCAGTATTGGCCAATCAGCAGCTTTCACTTCTACATTTCCCCTCAGAAACATCGCCGAATGTTTACATTATGTATGTTAACAATGTCCATGATGTTGGTATTTTGAGTTTGGATGAGTCGCAATGTATTTCCGCTTGATGGATTCTTATCAGATTAGGTAAAAGGTCGAGAGTGACTCCGAGATTGTGTTGGTCCTTGTTCATCACTTTATATTTCGACGCCTACCCGAGCATCCCACCTGAGAACTGTAGGAAATTTAACCAAGAGTCTGAATTTGATACACACACTACCTACTCTTGTCTTGAGATATTTTACTTTACAATGGGCCGGACACTGACATATCCCAAGAGGGACATCAATACCGTCAAACGATATGCGCATCGAGGTATGTACACATCGACCAGATATAGTACTCGAGTTATCCACTGACTCATCCTTCAGCAACATACGATGTCGCGGCCATCCATACCATCATCAACCTAAGCCAAGTGCTGCACGTCTCCTTCAGCCCAGGCCCCGAAGACCCATTCCCAGCAACCATCCCCATGATCGGGCAGATGGGATCCTTTGAGTACCCCTCTGCCGACCTGGGCGAACCCCTGGATTGCTACATTCATGGCTACGTCAGTGCTCGCATGGCCAATCTTGCGCGCCAGTCCGAAGAAGGCCTACCCGTTTGCATTTCGGCCAGCAAAGTGGACGGACTGGTGCTGTCGCTCACTCCGTATAACCATAGCTACAACTACCGCTCTGCTATCTTGCACGGTTATGCTAAACTGGTCACTGACGAAGAGGAGAAGATGTGGGCCATGAAAGTGATTACAGACTCCGTTGTGCCCAGCCGATGGGATAACAGCCGCACCCCGCCTGATAAAGGGGAGTTGGCATCCACATCAATTTTGAGAGTCAAGATCGTAGCTGGAAGTGGAAAAATTCGTGATGGATATGCATCGGATGACAAGAAGGACTATCAGAACGACGAATTGACGAGTCGGGTCTGGACTGGCGTGGTGCCTGTCTATGAGGTACTTGGAGAGCCAGTGCCGAATCCTGATAATAAGGTAGCAGAGGTTCCGGGGTATATTCAGTCGTATGTTGATGGGTATACGAAGAAGAGTAAAGATTATGCTCTGGGAGCAACCAAGGTGACTTTACCTAAGGAGGAGCAACATTGAGAAGGACTAGTAATGATTTTGATGACCCTTGTCATGATTTCTTATGTACATTCGAGACTGTGCAAGTTGAACATTATTACCTACCATTCAATCTCACGTAGGGATCGTATACACGCGCGTATATCAACCTCCTCTTGTTTAGATTGATGTAGCAGCATCTCGAAGGATCAGATAGATGGTGCGGGGTGCGGGGAGACGGCCACTGATAAGACCACCCAAAAAAACATTAGTCGGAATTTGTCTCATTATTGACTCAAAAGACTTTAACAGGTCGTACTATGCATCCATCTACTAAATTTTGCTTACACAGACCCTGCCTTCTGATCCGCAAACTTGACAGGCGGCTCCCCAATAGATAAGATCGGATGATAAACGTGGTATGCACGTCACACAAACAACGAACGAGGCTGCAATCTGCGCGCGGCTGAAACAGAACGAACAACTATTTCGGCAAGAGATACACTTTTATATATAATCGACAGTAAGAATCTACGATCTGTCTTCACTTGGAAGCTTTCATTCAGCGCATCGATTGAAGACAACAAACATGCCTCCAATCCCCGCAGCCGAACTTCAGTCCTTTTCCGAACATCTCCAGAAAAGCACCCGAATCCTCGCGCTTCTGGGTGCCGGACTATCAGCATCCTCTGGACTGCCCACCTTTCGAGGAGCTGGCGGTATGTGGAGAACCTTTGATGCAATGTCGCTGGCGACACCTGAAGCGTTCAGCGAGAATCCCGGATTGGTGTGGCAGTTTTATAGTTATCGACGACATATGGCGTTAAACGCGAAGCCTAACCGGGCTCACTATGCATTGGCGAAACTTGCGAAGAAGAATAAAAATTTTATAACGTTGAGTCAGAATGTGGATGGTACGTCGCAGGTCTTTTCACCTTGGATATGGCAGAAAGGACTGACGTGTTTCGATTAGGACTCTCGCCCCGGGCAAATCATCCAGCTGAACAGCTACATCTCCTTCACGGCTCATTATTCGACATAAGATGTACCGGCTTCTACTGCAATTACTCTACGAAAAACGATTTTACAGATCCACTTACCCCGGCACTGGCCATACCAACCCAAGGTGTACAACCCGATCCATCCACGGACGACAAAACAGGCGAAGCAGCGACCAAGACACTATACGAAGCCATGAAATCGACCAGCATAGGGAGAACACCACCAGAGCTAGACATATCAGATCCGCTCGTCCCACTACCGAGTCTGCAAGTCGAAGATCTACCCAAATGCCCCGAGTGTGGAGGCCTGCTTCGACCCGGCGTTGTCTGGTTCGGAGAAGGATTGCCTTCTCAAACATTACGCGCAATCGACGACTGGATAGCGGAGTCTCCGCGCATAGATTTGATGCTTGTTATAGGGACTAGTTCCAAGGTGTGGCCTGCGGCGGGATACGTCGATTATGCGCGAGAAAAGGGCGCGCGGATTGCGGTTATCAATATGGATCGGAATGATGCTCCTGGAGGAGCTAATGGGTTGGACGCGGGCGATTGGTTTTTTGAAGGTGATGCGAGTGAGATTGTTCCGGAGATTCTGCAGAGTGTGATTGGTGATGAGTAGATTTGTTCTGAGCTGGGATTATGGGTGTGTGATTTCGATTTGATAGCGTTAGGCAGCAACAGCATTGCGATTTGGTTGATATATGTCAGTCTATTAAAGCATTTAGTGTTAGTATAAGGATACAATACTGAGCGTGAAGTCTTTCCGCTGTTGTCATAGAAGTAGCTGCCTGCCGTTGCTGGGGCACCCCGCCGCCAAACAATCAACGCCCGCTATCGATAACAACCCAGAAAATCTCTTGGCTCCAACTCCGACTTTTATACACTCGACAACCACAACGTTTGACTACTGATATTTTCCTTCCAGGGCACAGTGTTGCAGTAGTCGTTGTCATTGGACGAGGTCATCTGCTCTCACTTCGATATTTCACTGCGTTCAGCAGTGGTCACAACTGCTCCAGGTGAGGGGCGGCAACGTCAGATCAACATTTTCACTTTCGAAGCGCGAACTACGCGACACTTCCATCACAGAATCTCTACATTCGAACAGCATCACTCCTATGCTCCATAAATAACTTGTTGACGTCAATCAACATGGTGAACGAAGTGACCCCCGCAAAGGGACCCCTATCCTCACGCAAACCAAACGAACAGACACCAGAGGGCATCTCAACTCCAGAATTCGGAAAGCCAACTCCTCTACGATCCGTCCAGCCTACATCACAAGTCCCTTTCAATATCCCCAAGACCAATCGCCCACGAGTCGAGCATCACCGTCCGATAACGAATCGTGTTCCGTCTCAGACAGGTGCAACCGGCACAACGCAGCCGAGCGTACCGAAACAGTCCTTCGACCCGTTCAAGCCCGTCGTACCGTCCACATACACAAGCCAACAGCCCAAATCTTTCTCTAGAACTTATGACGACGTCGTTGGCATCGCACGTCCCTCACAGTTTACATGGAACACGAAGCAGGCAGCGCCTCCCGTCTTCTCATCGAAGCCCTCAGGGCCAGTAAAGATGTCGAGTGCTTCAAAGACTTTACAGAACTTTATCGACCTGACAAAAGCTGATGATGCCCCATCTTCGACCAAATTTGGACAGCCAGCTTACCAGCGGGAGGAATTCGGCTCAAACGCATATTCCTACATCGACTCTGCCAAAGCGCAGGAAAACATCAAAGCGTTGCTTGAAGGCGCTTTTGAAGATGAAGAGGATAAGCCTAGGACGCGAGCCAGGAAGAAGAAAGTAGAGGAAGACATGAATGACTTGGCTGCTAAGCTTCAGCAGGTTTCTGTGGGCTCGAATGACGATAAGACGGAAGAGCCCGAGCCTGAGGCCGAGGAGGAGGAAGAAGAAGAAGAATTAGATGATGGGACTCGAGAAGGACTAAAAGTCAAGCTTTTGCCTCATCAGATTGAAGGTGTTGCATGGATGTGTGAAAAAGAAAACGGACAGAAGAAAACACGAGGCGTGCTGCCAAAAGGAGGTATCCTTGCCGATGACATGGGATTGGGAAAGACGATTCAATCGATTGCACTAATCCTTACGAATCCCAAGCCATCCGAACCGAAAAAGACAAAAGACGCCGAAAAGGTCGACAGGTGTACATTGATCGTCGCCCCCCTTGCTTTGATCAAGCAATGGGAATCGGAGATTGCAGACAAGATTGAAAAGACGCATAAACTTCGAGTCTGTGTCTATCATGGCACTGGACGAACCAAATTCAGCGCGGACTTAAAAGACTACGACGTGGTCATCACGACCTACGGCACACTCAGCTCAGAGCATGCTGCATCTGGAAAGGGCAAGGTTGGCTGTTTCAACATTCATTGGTACCGAATCATCCTCGATGAGGCCCATACTATCAAGAATAGAAACGCCAAAGCTACGCAGGCGGCTTGTGCTCTAACTGCACAGTATCGATGGTGCCTCACGGGAACGCCTCTACAGAACAATCTCGATGAGTTGCAAAGTTTGATCAAATTCTTGCGCATCAAGCCATACGACGAACTTGCGGCATGGCGCGAGCAAATTACCCAGCCTCTCAACAATGGACGCGGAGGTCTTGCCATTAAACGATTGCAAGTCTACTTGAAGGCCTTCATGAAGCGACGCACTAAAGATGTGCTGAAGTTGAATAACAACTTGAAACCTGGAGACGGTAAAGCCGAAGATGGAAGTCAGAAATCGTCTACTGGTTTCCAAATTGTCAAGCGTGAAGTCATCAAGGTTGAAGCCGATTTTACAGAGGCAGAAGTCGCCTTTTACAACCGATTGGAGCAGCGAACAGACCGAAGGCTTTCCCAGATGATGGGTGGATCTAAGCTTGATTATGCTAGTGCGTTGGTCATGTTGCTGCGACTTCGCCAAGCGTGCAACCATCCCGATCTTGTTAAGAGCGACTTGGCAGAGGACAAGGATATTTTGCTGAACAACGTCGACAAGAGCAAGTCGGCCAAAAAGGACGATGACCTCGACAAAGTCGCTGATCTTTTCGGTGGTCTCAGCGTCGTCAGCAAAAAGTGCGACATTTGTCAGGTAGATCTTACTGCAACAGAGGCAAAAGCTGGGGCTAGCAGATGCGACGAATGTGGCGATCTAGAAATTGAATTGGAACCAGATGAGAAGAAGAAGAAGGTCAAGAAAGTGAAGCCCAAGAAGCACAGCAAGCCAAAGCTCGTACAGGAMCCCGCCCGCCAAGAGCGGGCTAGAAAGAACAGGCGCGTCATCGAGGACAGCGATGAAGATGAAGATGATGGTGATTGGGTCGTCCCCAAGGGACAGCGACCCTCGGCGAACCTAGGCAAGGCTGGAGGCTCTGATGATGAAGATGCTGAGGGTGGCGGAGAATGGATTGGATCCGGTGACTCCAACACTGAAGATGACGAAGTGATCAGCGTCTCGAGCTCAGATTCCCTAGAAGATGATGATGATGAGGAAGAGTACGAAGAAGAGGATGAATATGATGGACCCGACATTGCGCCCTCCACCAAGATCCGAGCTTTGATTCGAATCTTGAGAAAGGAGGCGCCGGAGTACAAGTTTATCGTCTTCTCTGTTTTCACACAGATGCTGGACAAGATAGAACCTTTCTTGAAACGTGCAAATCTGGGCTATGCCCGATACGATGGCAGCATGAGGAATGATCTTCGAGAGGCTAGTCTTGAACAGTTGCGAAGCCGGTCTAGCACGCGAGTCTTATTGTGTAGTCTTCGAGCTGGTGCATTGGGTCTCAACCTGACCGCCGCCAGCCGTGTGGTCATTCTAGAGCCATTTTGGAACCCTGTAAGTTTTTATTCTTCTTCATGATCTTTTTTAGAGATTTATTAACTCATGAATATCTAGTTCGTGGAAGAACAAGCCATTGACCGTGTCCATCGTCTGAACCAGACTATCGACGTCAAGATCTACAAGATCACTGTGAAGAACACTGTCGAAGAGCGTATACTCGACCTCCAAGAACGTAAACGCGAATTAGCCAATGCCACAATTGAAGGAAAGACCGCCGCCGGCAAGCTTACTATGCGCGACATGATGGCTCTCTTTGGGCGAGATGCAGAAAGCCGGTTTGACCATGAGCGTGGCGCGCCGGACCTGACATCAAAGACGAGGCTACTTGTCTCGAAGAATGATGATGATTCATCTTCCCCCGGGACGGGTGATGTCTGGTCCTTGCCATCCAGCCAGTCGTCACAGGATGCCAGACGGAAGCAAGACCGCAAGCCGGGTCGACAGGATGATTCGGTGTATGGACGAAGATGGTGATTGTCGTCACTTATGATGCATGTTTGAGACTTTCGGAGTTCATTCTTTCTCATGTCTGTTCTGCAGGTTTCAGGGTTTATTAGAGGTGTAAATGGTTATGGTGCTGTCATTGCTGTATCAGCCCGGCGGTTAGGGCTTGGTAACATCTGGGAATTATTCTTGTGACTTATTTGATACATGTACACCTGCAAGTTCTCTATCACTTCATATCTAATGATGCAATCTACGTAGCTTGTAATGGTAACATCTGTTCGATGAAACCCTCAAAATCAAACTTCAACAAAAATGTAACAATCGCACGCCCGACGACGCATACAAGAAAAAAAAAACGTTCCGAGGCTGAACAGCAGCAGATACGATCAACAACACCCCCATCACAAATTGAAAGCGTACAAACATGACCAATCATCTCCCAAAGTTGGATATGAAACATGCATAGTTCTAATCGAGGCCGGTGCACTAGTAGTCTAGAAGCGCAACAGAACATCAAACTGACGCCGTCTCTCTTTTTTCGATTTTGGTCTGATTGATTGGCTGGCGAGGCAGTGACATCTGGAATAAGTGAACGAAAGCGCCACAGACGTTGAACAAGGGGGCTGTGCTATTCAACTTCCAGGTCCTTATGATTAGGATCCCCTCACGAGGACTGGCCAATCTATATCAAGACACAAACTATAGCTCTAATCCCGGAGATATTATCCATACTCGACTTACCTAGTAGGTAACCTTAATCCCATCCCCCAATAGAAGTATTACAGAACTAGCATCGGCATTGAATGATTGAGAAGACAGTGGCAAAACACCACTTCTCACCCCTCATTGGCGCGTTGATCACGTATCATGAGCCGCTATGGCTTGCATGCCCATCTCCCACTGCCAATTATGGTGTACTGGAATGCAAGCGGATTAGTGGCTGGAGATTCAACTTTTCTTGATTTCTTGTCCTTCAGCTAAATCTTATTTTCTTTCATTAACGTGTTTAGTAGATTAGGAGTGCACGAGGCGGGCATGTGGTCACGACCGAGTCCGTCCTAGGGTAAGGCTGGGACTCGGTTTGAGGGGTAGATATGGCGTCTCATTTTCGTCCTGTTTTCGTGGGATCTGCGTCGTGATAGGTTGATATATTTACTATGATTTGAGGATAGGCTGCATGTGAGTAGCTGCCGCTTTCAATCTGGAGGGTGTGAAGCCTTTTTTTTCTTTACCCTTTCTTTTTTTAATGTATACAACCCTCCTTTTTGAGGTCTCTTTTACATCATAATTCTGTTCAGCTCCGAAAAAGGGGGCAGAGTCGAAGATTATCTTTAATTGCTATCGTGATATTCGATATATAATTGTTTGCTTGACTGGGTCTGCTGGAATGATTGTCGCATATCAGACTTACTCGGCGGGTGTCAATTAGGGTTGCTACAGGTTGGCAGCATTTACACCTACCTTTCTGGTCTCCCCAACAAGACCGTTAGATATCGCGTTATTGATACTGAATTGCCGCACGTCAATTCATACATCCATATTATGAGGGCTTGCATACCGGCGCATCAAGCTACCATCAAACGGTCTCAACATGGACGCTCCGCACTGGATATTCACCATATGGGCTCTATTGATCACATCGCCTATACTGGTACAAGCGCAAATCAACACACAGGCTTCAGATGAGTCGGGTTCCGATTGGGGCGAAAGCAACAGCTTCATCGGCCACAAGGCCAAGATCATTATCATTGTATTGTCCGTGATCGCTGGCGTGGTGGTCATTTTCTCGGGTTAGTATACCATAACCCACTTCGAAACTCACAATTCAATTAGATTGAAAATAGACACGCAAACTGACAACTCCATGACAGTCGCATCATCAATCCTCTACGTAATCGCAAAACGCAGACAATGGGCCGTCCGAGAAACCATCCGCCGCTCCGCTCGACGCATGGCAGACGCCATAAAATCACCTCTTACACCACGGTTTCCCCGATCAGTCGGCGAGAGCAGCAAGGGCCAAAAACCATCATATACGCGCCGCGAATCACGACGAGAGAGACAGAACCGGTCTTCGAGAGGGATGACTCGGATTGCAGAAGAAGGGGGTTCGCCGCAGGCGCCATATATCCTCAAGGATGACGACGATATATCGGCCTTGGCCGATTCGCAAGCAAGCCGGGAGGGTAGCGAGCGATATGTAAAAACTACGAAATCGATATGGCGACATTCCCATTCCGAGTCGAACGGAAGCAATGCCAACACCAACAACAAAACCATCGCGGAACCATATTTCTTCGATTTTGGCCTAAAACCGCGAGACAGCAGCGAGAAGAAGCTGCACAAATTAAAACAGAAAAGACCAGACTTTGACCTGGAGAGGGGGATTGAGTTGGGTGCAACGGATCATATGAAGGTTACCGTGTCGCTGTCTTCTACGAGGGATAGCGATAAGTCGGCTGTCGAGAGTGCGGCGAAGAAGAGCTGGGGATCGCTTTTTGCGTTTGGTCGGCGGTGAAATATCGTAGACCGTGTATAATTTTGTTTTGATTTGTGGCATGTTGATCAGCTGGTCTGACAGAAATAAACGCTGTAATATCATATATGGGTCATCTATGTTTTAGTGAGCTGGTCCTTGTCAGTCTAGATCAGACGTAACAGAGTAAGACCGGGATCCCCTGTCAAGATGTCAGAACTTTATGAGACGATTCCGAACTTGCGGCTCCGAATGGATCTGGAATAAGACCCTGAATGGGGCTGAATCGAAAAGTAATCAATATTGGACACGCCGAACCCACTGGGACTTGCTTGATATTTTGTTCTTACCGAACGTCAATGGCGGTAAGCTCCTTCCATCATTCGGCATGACGGCTTCAATGGTTGTCGGCATGTGAAAAAATATCAAAAGTACGTCGAGGTATAGTGGTTCTTTCTGCCAATTCTTGGGTTCTTGTCCGTGCTTCTTGACGAGGAGGCTGACGGCGTCGAGTGGTTCCGGAGATTTCTTTTTATGGAGTAGGGTTGTTGAAAACCAATTGGGATCTTTCCCGCGGGCGGCTGAGGCGGTTTCGCTATCGATAAGGGTAAGCAAAGCCCGAGAGATCGCGATGCGAGATAGATTGGGAGCGTAGAAGGTTGCGAAGTGGTATTATTTTTTTAAAAACGTTTATGAAACAGTTTTCTGATACTATACATGATATGTGACGTGCTTATACAGACTAGACCATCGAATCACGAATTCTCTTTCGTCCAATAGCCGCGAGACGCGAGTTAGACGCGGAAAGCGATGCTGATAGGGCAGGTCATACGACTCGCGCTTATGATTGGGCGGAAGTACGTAGTACAAGCAACTGGGAGAGTCAGGACATCGCTGATCGGCTCCTGGAAATTAATTCCATTGGCCGTAGCTCTCTATATACCCCACTTGGTGTGAGTGCTCAATCTTGTTTTGTGGCGCTCACTAGTCCCCGAAATGGCTTAGATCGTAAATTGGCCTGCATTAGCCCTTCCAGAGCTCAGGATTTTATAACCCCCGTGTTACCGTACGTATCACATTCCACATTCACCAGCAAGAACTTTGTTGACGTCCTTTCGGCCATCCCAGCTTGCCAAGATACTAATGCCAGAGCTTCAAATAATTAGGCGAAACTATTGCATCCCCTGTTATAGATTTGCCGCCGCTTACGAACGTTCTCTGGATTCCATAGGCATATATGGAATCAATCACGTGCTTCTAGCCATCGTTACAGACGCGTATTCGCATTTCCGTACCCATAAGTGGAGTCTACAGTGACCCGGCCAGATCGCGATGGCCGTAGAAGCAATCTCGAATTTCGACAGAAATCTTCCCGCGGTTGTCAAGCTCACGGTCGGTCAGATGATATATCGTTTCGTCCAAGTCAGGCTTGTCAGCGAGTCTGTAATTAAGTACCGACTGCGTAGCAACATTAGCCTTCTTGCTGAGCTCGTACGAACTAGTATTCTTTAGTCCTATCAGTCTGTTCGGAGTGACCGCACACCTGGAGACGATACCATATGATACTGGGGAAATCCCTAGTAAGATGTAAGTGCCCAACGTACCCATTCGGTTCTAGACAGGCAGAGCCACAGACTGGTTGGAATTGCACAGAAGGGGGTCCCCCGTTAAACTTGCGCGCTCCTTCCTCCACCGCACTGAACCGCTACACTGATCGCCTTTCCGAGAAACCAAAACTTCCCCTCTAAGTTAATTTTCCTCTAGCTTCCCCCAAGGTTAGATCAACCATCCGTTCAACCTCACCTTCTATCCAGATCACACCCCTCGCCTTTCTTTTGTTCATCCTCTTAACGATCCTCTTCGTACAAAACGCCATCTCCGCCCCTTTTCCGGGCCCCGCATACTCTTTTGTGAGGGGCGATCCACTGACAAACGCAATAGCCATTACTTAATCCGGAGCGCTGCCTTCAAGACGACATCGACATTTTCATCTTCGTCTGACCTCGCTTTCTCCCGGAGATTAGGGCCGATGCTGTGTTTGAGAGCCACACTCGTATATTCCTCGACGTTCTTTTTTATGTGCACCGACTCGAAGCAGCCACCATCCCGCTGCACTTTATTTCAACCTGAATGACCTGAAAAAATATCTTATCGCAGCAACCCCCGCCACCGTACCCGATGACTGGATGAATCGTATTTTCGCTCGATCCCGCTATCACCTATATTTCTTGTACCCTAGGGATATCCTCTTGCGCAGGAACGACCCCGACCGTTTGCATTAATGGCGTCTCCGTCGCCGCAAGGTAACCCAACCGACGAGGAGACAGCTGTTGGTCGTCCTGAGCATACCTCTGCCGCATCCCACGATACCACCACCGCCTCGCAAGACTTCTTACAGCCTGATGCTGGCGATTCCTCAAGACCTCGGTTTCCGCGACTCAGTTTCGATGCCCCAGACCGAGTGTTTCCCATCCGATCCGTTATCTCCGTCGATCCTACCGTTTCGAACCCTCCCACATCCCAGTCGCCTCCACCACCACAATGGTCGCAATCCCGATCTCTATCTCCTGTTAAGGAAGGGGAACGGGGTTTTTACAGCATAGATCAAGCTTCTGGGCAGGATACTACAGGAGATACATCGTCACGGCCAGATAATTCTTCAGAGCAGACGGCCCTGTCGAGCATAGTAGAGGAAAACAAAGACTCAGAAAAGGCGGCGCGTCACCTCGTAATCGAGAATATTGCACAACTTTCTAGTGATGGACACAGCATCACTTCAAGCACCGATGGCGGGGTTCCTGTGGCCAGAGACGAGCCTGCGCGGAGTGTAACGACGGAGAACAACGAACCAGATCTACTGACTTCTCGATTCCAGCATGTCGTTACTGAGTCTGGTCATGTTATCATAACTGGGCGTGATGGCGAAGATTTTCAGTTCTGTGAGGACGAGCCGATTCATATCCCCGGCGCAATTCAAAGCTTCGGTGTATTAATTGCGCTTGAAGAAGAGAAAGAAGGGAAGTTGGTTGTGCGAATCGCTAGTGAGAACTCGGCGGATCTGCTTGGATATACGCCAAAGCAACTCTTCGCTCTGGACAGTTTCACCGACATCTTGACCGAGGAACAAGAAGACAACCTGCTCGATCACGTCGATTTCATAAGGGACGAATCTTGTGACCCAAGGATACACGGTCCGGAAGTGTTTATTGTCTCCATCGCAACCCCGGCAGGCGAAACGAAAAAGTATTGGTGTGCCATGCATGTGAACGAAGCTAACAACAAGCTCATCATCTGCGAGTTTGAGTTCGAGGACGATCAGGTTCATCCACTGAATGTCTCGGGCCAAACGACTCCGGACGAACCCTCCGACACTTTGGGAATCCACCCAACACCTGAAGAGTTTGCTGCCAGCACCGTCAACACGAGTCGTCCTCTTCGTGTGTTACGCAATGCTCGAAGGCGCAAAGGCGAAGCTGCAGCTATGAAAGTGTTCAATATTTTGACTCAAATTCAGGAACAGCTGTCGGCCGCGTCAACATTAGATGCGCTACTGAATACAGCAACAGGTCTTGTGAGAGAGCTTACTGGATTTCATCGTGTCATGATTTATCAGTTCGATAGCAGCTGGAATGGCATGGTCGTCGCTGAACTTGTAGATCCTCGAGCCACCAAAGATCTTTACAAGGGCTTGCATTTCCCTGCGTCCGATATTCCGAAACAAGCGCGGGAACTATACAAAATTAACAAAGTCAGGCTGTTATATGATCGCGATCTGACCACGTCCCGTCTTGTATGTCGAACTTTGAAGGATCTCGAGACACCTCTGGATATGACACATGCATATTTGCGAGCAATGTCTCCAATCCATCTCAAGTACCTAGCCCACATGGACGTACGCGCATCGATGTCTATCAGTGTGAACGCTTTTAACGAGCTTTGGGGTCTGATTTCTTGTCATTCGTACGGAGCAACGGGCATGCGAGTGTCATTTCCCATTCGAAAAATGTGCCGTCTGATCGGTGACACCGTTTCTCGAAATATCGAGAGACTCTCTTATACATCGCGCTTGCAGGCCCGGAAACTGATCAATACTGTCCCTACAGAGGCAAATCCTTCGGGCTACATCATTGCCTCATCCGATGATCTTTTGAAACTATTCGATGCCGACTACGGCGCTTTATCGATACGGGACGAAACAAAGCTCTTGGGTCGTTCGATACACACACCAGAAGTCTTGGCTTTACTTGAGTATCTGAAGATGCGACAGCTCAACTCTGTATTGGCATCTCATGATGTCAGCAAAGACTTTCCAGATTTACGATACCCTCCAGGATTTAAGCATGTTTCAGGTTTGCTATATGTGCCTCTTTCTGCTGGAGGGCGGGATTTCATTGTCTTCTTCCGACGTGGGCAAATGACCGAGATCAAGTGGGCGGGGAACCCTTACGAAAAGAAATTACGAGATGGCACGACTGGCTATTTGGAGCCGCGAAAGAGTTTTCAAACTTGGCGAGAAACTGTCATGAGCCGGTCGCGAGAGTGGTCAGAAACCGATATTGAGACAGCAGCTGTACTTTGCCTTGTTTACGGAAAGTTTATTGAAGTGTGGAGGCAAAAAGAAGCGGCCATGCAAAGTACTCAATTGACCAAGCTACTACTGGCAAATTCCGCCCATGAAGTTCGAACTCCATTAAATGCTATTGTGAACTACCTGGAGATAGCCTTGGAAGGCTCATTAGACTCAGAGACTCGGGAGAATCTCGCCAGATCGCATTCTGCATCCAAGTCTTTGATTTACGTGATTAACGATCTCCTTGACTTGACCAACACTGAGAAGGGACAGAATCTGATCAAAGATGAGGCTTTCGACTTGCATGATACGTTTAAAGAAGCCACAGAAATGTTTCAAGGCGAGGCAAAACGAAAAAGCATCACATATCATTCCAACATATACCCCGGCCTTCCAAAATCCGTCCTAGGAGATCAACGTCGAGTCCGTCAGGTCATTGTCAACATTATAGCCAATGCTATACATCACACTACCTCTGGACATGTGAATGTTGAGATTTGGCGATCTCCAGTCCAACCAGATCACCACGGATCAGTGGATGTTGAATTTGCTGTTAGTGATACAGGCGCTGGAATGTCCCCAGTTACCGTCGATGCTCTCTTCCGGGATTTAGAACAAGTTTCTTTCGAAGAAGAAAACTATTACTACGAGCACGAGGAGCAGGAACAGGAAGAACCAAAAGAACAAGATGGAGAGAAGCGTGTCTTAGGTCTTGGCCTGGCTCTGGTAGCCCGAATCGTTCGCAATATGCACGGGCAGCTGAGTGTGAAGTCAGAGGAAGGAAAGGGTAGTCGATTTAAGATCATGTTGAGATTCCCTGTACCCACTGAAGAACCAGCGACTAATGCTGATGCACAAATCAATGGTCCTGAAACAGTGGGTACGCCCAGCACACCTCCCTTGACCGAGGGTGAGGTTATGTTGGTTGATAGTAACGCACGCCCGAAAAGCCGCCAGCGACGACACAGCATGGACAGTTCTCGAAGCGGTGGCAGTCTTGGTAGTTCTCGAAGCGGCCGAAGCGAAGCCGACCGTCTTATCAGTGCCATACAAGAACCACCCCTTGTCAATCGAACAGTGACGCCCGAAGAATCACGAAGGCACAAGTTAGAGGGTCCCAAAAATCATGAGGTTGCTTCGTCACAACACTCAATTTCCTCGAGCTTTTCAAAGAGCAACGCTCCTGGCCACATCACCCTTCCAGAGCCAGCGGATTTGAGCCATATGATGCCCTTAGGATCTCCTCCTGCCCCAGGGCAAGAGCCCATCACAGATTCTGGCATGCCGATGAGCGCTTTGAGGGTCGAAGAACAAGATGTTAAAAGACCGCCATCACCACCAGAACTCGCTCGACGAAGGTCAGCATCGGTAGCGACAACAGTTATAACGTCGCCGGGCGTTGGATCCGAAGTATCTCCGTTTGATGCCCTTCATGTGCTTGTTGCTGAAGACGACCCTGTCAACAGCAAGATTGTGCAGAAGCGGTTACAGCGGGCTGGCCATACAGTGCACCTGACTGGAAATGGAGAAGAATGCGCTATTGCCTACCGTCACAGTCCACAGGCATTTGATGCCATCCTCATGGATATCCAGGTTCGTACTCCCCTTATTGACAGACTTCCAGCATTACTGATGATCCTATATTAGATGCCTATTGTTGACGGTATGGATTCAACGGAAATGATCCGGAAGTTTGAGAGTACCTCTCATGATTGCGAATTGTCGGACAAGGTCAAACGTTTTGGACGCGTTCCTATCTTTGCTGTCTCAGCATCGCTCGTCGAAAGAGATGTTCAAAAGTACATTGACATCGGTTTTGACGGATACATTGTGAAACCAATCGACTTCAAACGAGTCAACGCTATTCTTTCTGCTTTAAAGGCTGATAGCGAGAGGCAAGCATTGACTTATACGCCCGGCAATTGGGAGCATGGTGGCTGGTTTGACCGATCAAAAATAGAGGTCGAGGTTGCATCATAGTGCTTATGACCTTTCTATTGATTCACCCTATCCGACTATCTCTATCTCGCGAACATACACCGTTGGAATCTACTGCTGTTGCTCTGAGCATGCGATCACAAACTCCTCGGACTTCATTGGCAATGATCTCACGCATCCAGCTCGTCGATGCCATCTCAGCCGTCGCTCTCCTCCCACCTAAAGCGGACAACGAGCCAGACGACAACACCATCTTACATGATAACAAAGATGTTCTCGACGACATTATACTTCACGAACGGAAAAGCAGGACTGGAGTCATCGCGTCGTATTCGGCTTATTCTCACATCGCGCCCTTTTCATCGCTTTTCCCCCCTTCCCTTTTTACAGCATACACTGTAAAGTATASGAGCCATGAGTGTGTGTACATATACATATATTATACCAACTGTACATATAGATGAAACACGACGAATAAGATGAACGATAAGACATATGAAACAATACTTGTAAAGTGCTTTATTATAGTTGGTATCATGATTATATGCAGATCGCTGAGTAAGTAGTGTACAACCGATGCCTTCCGCTCCAAAGTATTCAAAGGTATATCAACCAACAAAACAAAATATGCACAAGAAAACAAAGCAGAAACCGAGACTTCAGAGCACAGCAGAAGGTTAATAATACTCCGGCAAACTACCAAAACTCGGTACAGTATCACCACACGTAAAATTCGGCTTATACGCCAACTGCGGCAAAAACCCACCTGCTCTGGCTTGCTTATAACTCCATTGGGGCGCCGACTCAGTCTGCCACGTCCAATAGAACCAGCCCATGGCCGTCTCGAACGCGGCGAATTGCGCTTCGGCGTACGTCTGCAGCCAGAGTTTGTAGTCTGAGGAGTAGCTGCTGACGTCTGCGTTCGCGGAGGCGCAGCTGCAGTCCGAGTTCTTGGTGTAGCAGTCTGGTGTTGAGCTGCCGCTCAAGGTGCCTTCCCAACGCGTGCCGGTGTTGACGTTGTTGAGGTATTGGGTGCAGTCTGTGTCGGCTTGGGAGAATTCGCCGCAAATTGTTTGACCGAATCTGTGTTCTTGTTAGCTTTGTGCATGATTTACGAAGGAGGGGAAGGAGAGCGGAAGTGTTACCCATTTGTCGTGCTATTGACCTTTTCAATCATCGGCAGCCATGAGTTGCAGATCAGATTGATCTTGGCTGTGTGATTAAGGTCAATCTCATTGACGTTGAAAATGGTGTATTGATGCGTATCCAGCAGCAGGTTCGACGGCACATCGGACTTCATCATGTATTCCCATTTATCGAGATTCAGAAATCCGTCGCCCATCGATATCTTGGCCGTGATCCCGTTCTTCTGCACGATCTCTGTGGCCTGGACGGTCCAATTGAGAACCGTGGATACGTTGAGAGACAATAAAGGTGGCTCGTTAGCTAGGCCGTAAATGGTGATGATGTTCTGGTATCGAGGCTGCGCGAAGAATTGAGAAAGTTGATTGTGAATGTCGAGAGATCGTTGCGCGTTGAGTGTTCCATCCGTTCCGTTCAGCCATCTGATCAGGCCCTGTCGTCCACTGTGATTGTACCCATTCTGACTCCCCGGCAGACCGTGTAGGTCGAGGTTGACACGTAGTCCGTATTTGCGGCAGTATTCGATAGCTCGCAACAGATACCTCCATGAAATCTGCTTGACATATGGATCGTCGTCATACGTAGTCACGGCCCAGTACGAGTATGGGATTCGTACGTGGTCAAGCCCAGCAGCTGCTATCTCAGCAAAGTCTTCCTCCTGAATAAAAGTGGCATAATGCTCTTCGATGGTAGCGGCAGCGGCTGATCCAAGTTTTTGGGTTAAAGTATACTCGTCAATAACTCCATCTATGGTGGAATACTTGGAGAAAAACGACGGAGTGATGAACGGTTCAATTGATAGCCAACCCCCAATGTTGACTCCTCGAATCGGCGTTGTCCCGTATGTGAAGTTTTTGTTTAGAGCTGGCACATTACTGTTTGGCTGAGCAGAATCGTCCCACGTTGAATTCAGGCCCATCAACGACAATCCGCCAACTGTTTCATTGGTGTAGGTGAGGTTGAAGTCGCGTGTATCGTACCACGTGAATGGATCTAGAATTGTTCCTTTGGCCGATGCCTGTAGAAATTAGCCTGCCATCTCATTACGATCGAATGAAAAATACTTACTGGTATACTATCCTCAGAGATAGTAGAGAGACTGCTATTGTACGGGCCATACGACGAACTACTACCACTACCACCACTGCCACCAGATGACGTGCCGCTGGTTTTCTTTCTCGATTCGACAATCGCAACCGGTATGATAATCGCGAGCAGTAGTACGACAATTCCGGCTATGATTAAATTGCGTTTCCTTCGCCAGAAGGGTAGATGGTCATAATCATCGCCATTGGGATCTTTAAGATCTCGACTGTAGAACGCGCCACCACCTCTTCCACCATGCCCGTCGTCACCATCATCCACGGGATAATCAGCAATATCCTTTTCGGTGATAGGATCATTGCGACGACCAAAACGCTTCCAGAAGAATAGCTTGTTGCTACGTCCTTCTTCCAATACAGCACCAGAAACGAGTCGACGTCCTTGATTGTGACGAGACACAAGCTCGACATCGTTATCGTCATCGTAGAATGCCTTCTTCTCTTTACGATAACTTACTCTTCGCTCCGGTTGTTGCGATGGCGGCCGCCGGCGGTCTCTCCTCTTTTCAACGCGAATTCGATCGTTCTCATCTTCCATAGCGATATCTCGAGTCCTCTGTCGGCGCCGTTCCCTTCTCTCGTTATTGTCGTCAGCATCTCGTTGCTTATTAGGCTTTGTTCGCTCGCGTTCATAATAATTGTTCAACTTGGCCAGCGCATCAGCGCTAAGTAGTTGTGAGGCACTGTTCGTTGAGTCCGTACTCGTATGTTTCTGAGCAGCAATTTCCCGGTCCCGACGTTCCTTGCGGCGTTGTTGTCTGCGCAGTTCCCGGTCCTGATCTTCATCGCGCGTTCGTTCTCTGTCACCGACCACCCTGATACCATCATCATCTCTAGGCCGCTGTCTTCTTTCTCTAACGGGACTGCCTTCACGAGTACGGCTCATATTCCTTCTATAACCCTCACGATCTAGCCTCTTTTTCGGAGACGTTGCGGGCGACTCTTTTGCCTTGGGCGTTTTGTCTCGTGTCCTTCTCCTGCTACTATATTCATCTCTGTATCTTTCTTCTCTGTCAGGTTTCGATCGTCGGGGCGTACGAGGCGGATCATCGTAATTCGGTGCTTGTCGCGGAACTGATCTGTGCCGCGATCGAGACTTATCGACTACCTCTTCCTCATCATCGTCATCATCGTCGTCTTCTTCTTCCTCGACTTCAATCGTCTCATAACCTCGTGAATGGCCACGTCGCGCTGCAGCAAACTCATTCCGACGGCGTCTGTATTCTTCTCGCTGTTCATCCTCCTCCTCATAGTCAATTTCCTCATCGCCTCGAGTTCGATCGTCTTTGGTATATCGTCGATGGCGAGAGTAATAGTCTCGCTCGGCACGATCGCGGGTGTCGTTGCGATCTCGAGTCCGTGAGTGACTGGGCATTTATGCGTGGTGGTGATGATGATCAAGGCATGGAATGTTTGTCGGATTTAGTGCGGTGATCTCGTGACACAATGAGGGGGCAGTAATATCAATTGACAACTCATTTAAGAGTCAATGCAGATGCAAATTAAAAGAATGAAGAATAAACGCCGCTATGCAGATGCTGTAGGCCGTCCAGTTGCTTAATAGAAAAAGCGAAAGAGTTGGGCAGTAAACAAACAACGACGTAGCTATACGCGCGTCTGGTTTCCACCCGCAAGAAAAACCAAGCTACTTGGCAGATTGGCGACCAGCATGAAACTGAGACACCATCTTCTTATTTTCTACAACTTCTCGTAACGTTACAATGATTTAGTTTTTTCGTATCTAAAGTCTATGACGAAATTTAAATTCACCCTAGTAACACTTTTAATAGAACATGGCGGTCGTGGCAAGGTTCTGTCTATGTTGCTGGGCCAACTGACTCGCTCCCGCTGCCACATGCTTTCCACGTTATCGTGGCTTCATTCCTCTCGACCATATGGCATACACCATGGCCGACGTACATTCCATGACCTTGAAAGCCATCGTTAGACTGTTTGTCAATGGGTCTATTGTTACCAAGTTCGCAACGAATCATAGCTCGAGTGCCAAACATATCACAGTTGATTCCTTCAATTGAGCTAGGGCAACCATTCCGAGCCCTATCCATGGACTTGATGGAAAACACCGTGAATCACAGCACACAGATAATTTCCCAGATAAAGAGATTCATTTCGTTGAGATAATGAATTTCCACTGAAGGGGATATACCCCGCACTGTTGCCACTCCTTTCATTGAGTTGTATCGGTATATTCCGGCCTCTACGTACGTGTAACTGAGTATTAGGGCTATGGGTATATAATTGTCTTCCAGTGTCCGTCACAGTAGAACTTCACAGCTATTCCTATTCATCAACCTTATCTATCAAATAAACCAGACACATATTACCTAATGTCTACCATCGTTGCACCCAGCGACAGCTCCTCCCAGCTTCAGGAGTCTTCGCCAACCGTCAGAAGAAGCAACGTCCAAACCTCCAGCTCAACCACAGTTGCCACCAACCCCAACATCTCAGCACCCTTCGACGCAATCCGGCGTCTCTCCGACTACTTACGTGAGCACCCCGAAGCCGCCTCAGCCCTGAATGCACACTACCCCAAACGCGGCATCCTCAAGACAGGTGCCAGCCCCAATGCCACATCTGACCAAAACGTCACAATCGATCTATCCCTAGCTCAAGCTGCCTTGATCCCCGCGCATCTCCGAGAAATACTCTCTCGCCAAGGGTTGAACGAGATCCTCACATTTTTCGAAAATGTAAGCAACAACGCCTCCATCGGCCCCATTCTCTACACTCTCAGTATCCTGTCCGGCACCAATATGGCCTCAGTCCACAAAAACCACAACTTCAGTTTCCGTCTTTGTGACTACAATCACTCAGCCGCAGACCCAGATAATCTCAATAGCTGCGGAACTCACACGGACTTCGGGACTTTTAGTATCGTATTCCAGGACGGTACACCCGGCCTCGAGATCGAGGATGCTAATGCGCCAGGGACATGGCATCCCGTCTCCGGAACCGAAACGGTGGTTCTGACGGGATGGTGTGCTCTAGTTCTGAGCGGGGGTCGGATTCCTGTCGCTAGACATCGGGTTCGTTGCATGCCGGGCGTGAGGAGGTTGAGTGCTGTGTTATATGTTGCGCCGGATGCGGAGGTGAAGCTTATGCCTCTCAACAGCACTCTCAGAGAAGGGGGCGAGAAGCTGCGGCCGTTCTCGAGGAAGATTATGAGTGGTGAGGTTAGTGTTGAGTGGTTTAAGAAGGTCATGGGGAAGCGGTGGCGGTATCGGGTGGGCAATGAGGTGTTGGATGAGGGTCATGCGGACCATGCTTCCATGTCTCAGGACAGTGAGATTGAGAAATTGGTTTGGGGTTAGTGGTTGTGTGTTCTGTTTAGACAAAGATTGTTATCCAAGCGACATCGAATGTTTGACAAGCCGAATTCTATTGACTAACGCTCTGTAAAAATACATGAAGGAAATAAGTATACCGAATATAGATAATCTGACAACTTTGCGAAGAAAGAACAACTCTGGGTATGTAACAGATCGTCAAGTTATTTCACAGTCAGTCACCGACTAGCAGGACTGCCGCCCCATGCATATGAACAATAATAACTGCAACGAACTCCTGTATCAGTAGGTATCAGGTATCAAACTAAAAGCCCAAATCAAAGGATGACAAGCGACATGACTTTGATATCTTATGTATGTATTAAAGAGAAGAAAAATCGTAGCACCTCGTTTCTTCGAAGAAATAAGAAGATTCCTGGTCTGATCTGTACCGAATGTATGCTTCAGATCTCAGGAAGATGCAAGTGGAGATGATATTGTGACATGGACAGGCATGACCTGTGATGAGAAATCGCGCGGGTCCGACTTTTGACTTCATGGTCGAGCGAAATGACCGGGTAATCGAGAACCCGAACCCAAACCCCAAGGACACGAATGCACCAACTCGTGCTGACATGACCCTAAATTCATGAAACCTCCCATGTTACTGCAGATGGATAGCCTGGATACAAATGATCCAGCCACATCAAGCCGAGCGAAGTGATATCGTTTCACCAATCGATCATTGGTCACCCGGAAATGATATGACGAGCACCCTCCTTACCGAGAACTCCTGGCTCAGTAGGCTTGGGGCTGCGTTCGCGTCCCTTCTTACGACTCAAGAATGCCAGCATACCACTGTTTGGTGGCTTCTGTCCTTTGCTGAGGAGACCTTCGTACCCTTCTGCCGGAAGGGTAGCACTCTGATCTGCAAGCTCGCTCCAGCTCCCCGACTCTTCCAACACCATCTGAACGCCGCCACCTTTGCTCATTTTTCGAGTAGCACCTTTCTGTCGTAGATTAGGTGGTAGCGGCGGCAGCGGTCGGCTGAAAGACGTAGGATGCTGTGGAACTGGAGGAGCTGAAGTCACAGGAGGGCGGTTCGTCCGGGATGATGTGGAGAGACGCTCTTCGTCGGGAGCTGATGTTGCAGCAACCGAGTTTGTTGTTTGATTGGCAACAAAAGATCTATCCCCGTGTTGAGGAGGAGATGTTCCGCTCACAGAGTTAGAGTTAGAATGAGACATTTGTCGGGAGTGGACTGATCCGGATCCGGTGTTAGTGCCTGTGGAGGGAAGTTGATCTTCAGGATTGCAAGATGCAGCCAGAGCAGCGGCCGCGTTACTAGATAACGACGCATTAGTTTCCTCTGTGTGGTTGGTAACCTGATCCCAGTCATACCCATTATAATTGACCTGCGTGTAGTCGAAAGGTTCGAACATGGTCTCAATTATACGGTGGAGTTCATCTTCACGGATCTCCTTGGCTGTCGCATCATCTCGTAATTCAGCACGAGGCTTCTGTCTCCTAGCTCTGGCTTCCAAGGGTGCCTCTTCTAGAAGGAGTTCCTCCAAGTCGTATGTTGCATCGAAATTGGTCTTTTCACTTGAGGGCGTAAAGACAGGGTCGATCTCCTTTCTCTCCAAAGCTTCAAAGTCAATGTCGGCAAAGAAGATGTGTGATGTGAAGGTTTCGAAACCAGTTGCGCCAATTCGCTTGCTGCGGTCTTTTTCCATCAAAGCAGACATGGCTCGTAGACAAGGGATCGACACGGCGGGGKTCGTAGCGTAGTATTTCGGTTGTGCTTTGACGATGGCCTCGGTGAGGGCTTCCTGACTACGGCCTTCAAATGGGCGCTATTATTATGTTAGCTTGGTACAATCAAAATGTTTGAGAGTGTCTCACCTTGTTGTATATGCATTCATAGAAGGTAACTCCCAAAGACCACCAATCGACTTCAAAGTAGTACCCGCCGCCTTCGTAAACCTCAGGTGCCAGATACGCTAGTGTTCCAGATTTGCTCGTCAATGGTTTTCCAGGCTTGTAGTCAGACGCGACGTTCTACACGAGTTAGTCATAAATCCTGAGTTGGGACAAAGGTTTGAACATACAAAATCAGCCAAATGGACGTGTCCTTGCGAATCGAGAAGAACATTATCGGGTTTGAGATCACGATGAACGATGCCTTGCGAGTGAATATATCTCAATGCACAGCCAAGTTCTGCCATCCAAAAACGTACGGCTTCTTCGGTGAAGCATTTTCTCGAGATATGGAAACGTAAATCACCGCCATTCATAAGATCGACAACGATGTAACTGCAAGTCTTTAGCACAGGTGGACTCTGGAATATGCTAGAACTGCACGTACATGTACTCAATATCTTGAAAACTATATCGCAAATTGCACAGAAACGGATGATTGAGATGCTCGAGCATGCGGCGTTCACGGATGATGTTTCGGACACTTTCTGAACGGACCACTACCAGATTCATCTGTCAGTATTACCCCTCAATTGAGAACAAAGAAACACACCTTCTTCTTTTCGAATGTACTTCAAGGCAAAAGTCAAACCTGAATCTTTTCGTTCGACGATTCTGACTTTGCCAAAGGCTCCTTTGCCGACGACGCGGAGCAATCGGAAATGATTGAGGTTGACTAAAATCACATCAGACATAATGACCCCTACCAGACGCATTGAGCGTACTAACCCTCGTCAGTGTAGGCCACTGGTTTTCCCTGAGAGTTCCCCATGGCGTTCGGGGAGTATAGGATATTAATTGGTAGAATTAAGGCCGTAAACGAGTCGCGTCATTACCGTACGATGTGTGCAACTATCGTGTCTTAATCGTCGTACTGACCGAGGATTTGGGGTCGCTCGAAACACTGAAACAGCCCAATTGTGATCGATTAATCAGACTCGCTCCAGAATTTCAAAACCTCCGAGATCTCAATTGTGATGTGTCGTTCAGACTGATCTTCCGCTGGTATCTCGTAATCCGTACCGATTGGTCTAGAAATCGCGACGATGTAGGCGAGTCTAAGTTCCGAAGAGCGACCGAGAAAACCTCCTTGTATTTCACCGAAATAGCAGGAATTTTCGGAGCCGTCTCTCGATCCTTGATGCGGGCGGTCGTTTGGAAGAAAACGTGCGACAACGGGAGGTAGACGATGACGACGATTATTCGAGACGACTCGAATGGCACAAACTGCGGCTCGGAAACGAAAATTGCTGGGGATCGAATGTTGTGTAAGGAGGGGATACTTTCGACAGACCCGCTGGTATCGGCTGGTAACTATTGGCAGGTGGCCGTTGGCGCTGGTTGCACGACAAGGACAAGCTGCGATCGTGAGCTGCAATCAGATCTGTACCGTCGAAAATATCTTCATGCAAAGTACCAGAGACAGCAAGACCAATGAGAGTCACTGGATGGTACAATCAGGAGAACAGACAAGAGGCTTGTCTAGAAATTGGGAGAGCCAGAATTAATTAGATTACAGCAAGGCCAATGCCCACTCGAAAGGGGAGACAATAGCCGAGCGCGGGTGGAGTTGGGAAAGAAAGAAAATGGGTTGATGAGAGGTGAAGTAGAGTGAAAGGATAAAGCAGGGGAAGGAAGATGGAAAATGGGGTGTGGTAGTCGGAAGGTAAGAGGAAGAAGAAACGAGGAAGGAGCGACTGAGGCACGATGTGCTGTGCCTGCGTTCTTTCCTGGTGGACAGTGGACACTAGACAGAGTGGTGATCATCGACTCTGGCAGTTTCCCCTTTACTACGTACTATGCAGTGACTAACTCTACATAGTAGTTTGCTTAGTTCCTTAGGTGCCTTGGTTAACAACTGAACTACAAACTCTGCTGTTTGCACACCTTGCGCAAGCTGTTTGTCCTTTCCCCATCTTCGCTAGATCTGCCTGATGGACCAACCACAGCCCTGCGGTAGTCCGACCACGCGGGCGAGCCGTTTACGTTTCTCTTACAGGCAATGCTAGGCTAGCTGCACAACACTCAGTCGGTCAAGGACCCAAAAGAAAAACGATCATCATGGCCATTTTCTCCACCGCCGCCGCGCTCACTGGCTGGCGGGCTTGCTGCTGGGGCGCTGGGCGCCGGGCTCTGACACGTGAAGCTTTTGTTTTCTGGTTGCAGACTTGATGAATGATACTTTGTATCATCTCGACGTGCAGCTCTGTACAGCTGATAACGGACAGAATCGACGCGAGAAACGGTGAAACCGACGATAGTCACTCGTGTTTCAGCGACGAGCAGACGCCAAAAAGGGTTCATCCTTATGCGATGAGAAATCCTCCGGGTCGGCAGTTTAGCCGTGCAGGCTAGTCTGCMAAGCCGCTACAGACAGAGTCTCGGAAGGTATTCGATGTTGCAGGATAAAGAACTATTCTTCGGGAATAAGATAATAGGAAAGGGATAAGAGACACGTGAAACGGAAAGGAAGAAAAGGAATAATATTCACGAAAGCCGCTGAACTAGCTTACTTGCAAACGAACGACGCCGTGGTCAGCTTCGCAGTCTGTGTATAGCTGTACCTCTAAGTAGTACAAGTACAGGCCCTCGGACAGCAAACTGAGCAAAGTCAAGGGACGCCCCCAAAATCTCAGGCGCCCCGTTCGCATCACGTGGCAACCACGCTTCTTTGTCCCTCGACTCACAGCCATTCGACAACCATGATCCATGCTTGAGTCTCGAACAACCCATATGGCTGCCATATGGCGCGACGATTCAGGCCTCAGCGTATCGACCTGACTCGGCTCGGAGACCATCATCGTGATCACTGCTACGTACGTACTACTATGGAGTAGACGTATCTGATTCGACGGCTTCGGATCTGAGACGCTTAGTCAAGATTGCATATCGAAACAAGCATTAACAATGGGCATTATAGCCAGATGAAACTGATTTCGTTGGCTTTGTGATTTGACTCACCCCAGCTCCCCCAAAGATTGCTGGGGTCTATAGCGAAGCACTTATTAGGGGTAGCCTCAGACTCAGGTTGCTCACTAAACTCTTTTAGAGGGGTTAATTAACACTGCCGCTCTTCTCCGACAACAAGCGGCACCCACCCATTTTCTGGAGTCCGTTTCAGATTTGCAAGATTTGAAGATTATGAAGAACCAAATCTCAGACCCTTGTCGGGTTAGCCCTATATCAAATGTCTGTTTCATTAACTAGCAACTAACCAAGTTTTACTATGTAGACGGGTACGTGGCTCAGATATAGCCTCCTGATCACCCTGTCAAATACTCGGACTTGCCGCAAATCATTAATTTACAGCAGATTTGGACGGCACAAGTGCTCGTATGTATCCATCCGCTTACCGAGACGGAGAACACTAGCACCAAAAAGTATCTTTCGTCCGGGAGCAGTGAACAGGGGTGTTTCAGAAGCCATCCTTCCCGTCAGTTCGACCGAAGATCCCGCGTTAGACTGTGGGTACGCAACACGAATTTCGGCGGTGCTCCGAGATGCATACAGGTTGATACAAACTTGAAATTTCGAGCAATCCAATGATGAACATTGAACGCACTCGATTCAAGTTGATTGTGATTTCGACTGGACAGTCTAGAAGACATTCCCCTTGGTTTGCGTCATGGTCTTCACATTCAAATTCCTCATGAGACCTACCCAAACAAAGCCCAAGACCATAAACGCAGTACCAGCAGCAAGCATCCTCGTCTGCGCATACCCATAGGCCTGCACAATGGCATCGCGCGTTGGACTTCCCACCGGATAACTCAACTGTTCCGGCAGACTCTCATAAATGAGATACAAATTATCCACTGATAAATCCGGTAGTGATTTTTCAAGTTGTGGCAGAAATGTATTCGTCCAGATAGCACCTGAAATGGCACTGCCAACGGCGTCGCCCATACTGCCCATGACGAACAACAGCGACAGAGCCGCGGCGACATGTTGATGGTCAACGGCCGCCAAAACGGCGAGTTGTACACATAGAATGAATATGCTGCCAGCTACCGAGAAGAAAATCTCACACATGACGATGTACCCAATATATCCGCCCGGTTGACGGAAGTGAATCATCAGTCCCAACCCTAGGATATAGAGAGGCACGCATACCCACAATATCCACTTGAACCGACCCGTGACGCGGATGAGCCATCCGGCAATGAAGAGAAAGACAAACGAGACCACGCTAAAGGTATTACTGATATACCCAGCTGTAGCCACATCTGTCTCGTACACTACCTGCAGGAACGAAGTGAGGTAAGACGCATAGCAGTAGTAGGAGATTTGATACGTCATGTCGAGGAAACATGCGCCCATGATCGTGCGGTCGATGAGGAATTTGTAGTTCAGAAAGGGGGCCGGGGCGAGGTAGACTTCGTAGAGGCCGAAGATGATGAGCACAACAAAGCCGACGACGATCATAGCGATGATGTAGCCTGTCTGCCAGCCGTGGGGAGCTGTACTGGCGAGAGTGAAAGGGAGAAGGAAGACGACAAAGCCGCCGGCAAAAAGTATGACTCCGATAACTGTCCAGTCTATCAGTATCAATTTGTCTCATTTGAGAGGTAAGAAAGACTTACGGTCAAACTCCGTGACAACCCACCAGAGTGATTGCAAATCAAACTTCCACTTCTTTCTCTCTCTCACGAGAACCCCTTCCCTCTCAGCCTTGCGCAAATTAAACGCTAACATGAAATAAATCGGCAGCGCAAAAACCGGCAAAATAATCGTCCAAATCCCATACCCCCATCTCCAATTCACATTCTCCAAAAGCTCAGCCGCAGCCTTTGAGCCCGCAAACGCCGATATCAGTGCCGGCGAGGACGTGAATGCGAACGCCAATCCTCGGTTACGTAGGTTTGTCACATCAGCAGCGAGGACGTCCCAACTATAAGCTAAACCGCCGAATCCAACGGAGTAGAAGACTTGGCCGGCGCAGTAGGTTGTTATGTTGTGAGAGGCAGCGAGGATGATCATGCCTAGGACACAGAAGCAGACCATGAGCAGGAAACCCTCGGCTCGACCCCACAGGTCAAGTGCTTTGGCCATGGGGATGTAGACGGCGGAGGTCATGCTGCTGGCTACGATTGTGATGACAGTTAGCAGCGAGTGGCCTTGGAAGGAGCTTGTGGCGTAGGGACTGAGACTGAGCACGATGGAGGCGCGCATGTTGTTGACGAGGGTGAGGAACCAGATTCTATTCCATTAGCTCGACCGAACAAGAGTTTTACGGGTGAATGGCGAAAGAGAGAGCGTACAGTATCAACACTGTAAACATTGACCCCCTGCTCCAGGAAATGGTGACAGCCTCGATCTTCTTGACACCTGGCTGAGCAGCTTCACTCGGCTTCATGTCGCTTTTGTCTGACATGGGCGCTTCATTGATCATGCCAGCTTCCTTGTCATCGGCTCTGATATGCATGGCACTTGGATCGTCGACGGGGGTGGGGCCTTGTTGGGGCTTGCCAACGATGGTATGAAACTTATCCATGATTGCCATCATGAAAATTGTTCTCGAATGTAGACAAAAAAATTCGACTGCATGAACAATGAATTGTCCAGAGAAGGCCTCATGGTCTTTATACCAGCCACGCCATAGTCAACAGCATACCAAAAAACCAACATTCATGCACGTTAAATCCGCAAAGCGCTACGAGGAAAACATCACACATGTCCGATATCGCCTGACCACGATTCGTGAAGCATCCACATTACTCCAACCTTGAGAGATTTTAGTCTGATCTAGTAAGGGTTATGTGGAGATCGAGATGATCAGATAAGATTAGCGGCAATCTCCGAGCCTTTTCATTGGATGACTGGGAATATTGTTGGCCGACAAGAAAATCGTACAATGTACGCCTTTCTCGTTGAAGTATTTTTTCGCCGGATTCTTCCGTAGTGCTTGGGTGCGATACGCGAGAGGATCCTATCTATACTGTCTCTGTAGCGATTCGGTATAGCGGTATCGAACACCAGGCCGTGCAGACAATGGTCGGAATCATACCAAGCCATACCATACTCTTGGCTATGAGACCTTTACGGAAGTGAGCGTGTCATATGTTGGGACCTTTGAGTCACCGAAATTTCTTTTCAAACGCCCAGAACACAGAAATAAATCACAAAGGCCAAGCCTCAAAAAACATAGTCAGCCCTCGACTCACCGAGCACGCCATGACACTAGTATGCTCCTCTCCCTCGAATTCATGACCCAACACCGTCTGTAGCCGCTCGCATCCCTTTAGCCTCTCACAAATCTCGCGCGCATTATCGACCATTCTCAAATCCAGCCAGACCTTTCTTCGGGCTTCGTAATCATCCTTGGATTCATGGCCATTTCGGAGTGGCGCGTCTTGCTCAAGGGAGCCCCAGAAGACCATCAAAGACGGCCTCGACATGTTTTCCACCTCTTTTCTCTCTTTTTGCGCGATGAAATTTGTAGCCTCCCTCTCGATAAATCGATCATTCCACCAGATCGATGGACTACTAGCGAGATAACAATCAAACAACTCCGGGTTCGTAAACAATGCATGCAGCGCAAACAGGCCACCATATGAATGGCCATACAGCGCTTCTCTCGCTATTTTTGCGTGCGGAAACCGAGCTTTGACGGCCGGTTTCACGGCATTCTCAATAAAAGCAAGGAAAACATCAGCGCCTCCGTGTCCGGCGATTGCATTTGTTGGCTGTGGTGGAGTAAGATCGTAGCTACGTCGTTGCATATCGTACAACTTCCCGTGTAGAGAGGGATACCCAATGGCGACGATTATACCTCCACCAGAGTATTGCGATGAAGTTGCGCGGCGCCAGGCCGTTTCGGTTGCTGTGAGGAATAAGGCGTTGCCGTCTACAATGTATCTTCACCTTGTATAAGTATGGACATCAGTATTGAGTAAAAGGGGCTTACTTACAGAATGGGTACTTCACCAGCGAAGTCGTGTCTGTTCTGCAATTCTAAGGGCCATGATATTTGGATTAGATATTCTTGCTCTTGTCCGTTGGCGAGATGGAATTGCTCTGAATTTGGGAGCCGGATATTTACAGCACTTGGTTCGTCCATTTCGAAAGAGAATCTGTCCAGTTTTGCAGTCAAGTTTATGCCGAAGTTATATCAAAGAAATAATAGAGTACAGAATACTTTCTATCTCAAGTAGCACAATTTATCGACTTGACATGATGTAGGCTAGTTCCAAGTGGTTCCCTTTGTGTACTTCCGAAGTCGGCGCGACTGGACTCGGGCGCCTATCTAGTAATATATAAATATGCTGAAGTAGGAGAACAATATTGTTCATTATCGATTTGGAGGGCGACTTCCTCTGTTTTGCGAACTTAAGAAAGAAGACAGGGTCAATAAAGTGCCTAAAATGGAGAAGGATGATCGTGATCGTTAAGGGACCTAATGTAGCCGGACTGGGTGTTTATTCATAAGGGGGAGTGGGAGTATATGCCGCCTTGGGGCCCGCCTTATTGGTTTTAATCTGAGATACATCGTGATGCATCTCGAAGACTTTGAGCTTTCTCGAGGTATATGCCTAACGTCCAGCTGATTAATTTGATGTTAATCAGCCATGATTTGAACTCGAATGTACCAGCTGACTATCGGTCACTCAATGTTCGCCACAATATGATACCGGTATGTAATATGTGCATTAATGGCCAAAGCCTGATAGCAGACTGTTAATAACGACGAAAAGTTTATCTCTACATGACCTCGCTTCGTGCTACCGAAATGGATTTGCTAGGTAGGTGTAATATTGAAGAAAATATTTGCAGCGCCATCCTCGATTGGAAATAACTTCCTTCTTAAACGGAGAAACTTCATGGTGACGTCGGATGCGCCATGCGGGTTTGGGTACTTGCCTTCATGATTGAGTTTGCCATATGGCTACGCTACTACTACCACGGCCGGTCACTCATGCCGAAAGGTAGATTAGAGAACCTAACGGCTGTCGTATCTCATAAATGCATGTCTCATGTCGACAAGTGCAAACCCACCACGAAATAAACGACAATGGTATCAGACAGCACCTCCCTCGCCGCAGCAATCCTAGCAGCAGCAGCTTTCATCACTTCTTTCCTACAGTTTCTGCTTGAGTACATAAGCTCAAGCGAATCACGCAGCAAATGCAATCGAGCAGCCATCAACTTCGCAGCACAGGACGTTAGCCACAAGTGGTCATTCATAGGCTGGAAGATGAAATTGTACTACCCGGAACTCGACATGTCGTGCTTCAGAATTTTGCAAGCTTTGGAAACAGGGTTTGAGCATGGGATAGACTATTCCGAAATCAGAGACTTTCTGGATGACGATAGGATGTTCTGGTATAGGCTCAGCTCTGAGAAAGTGCCACGAACGCAAAATGTAAGGTAAGATCTCTACTGCCCTGGATAAAGTGATCCATGGATAAATAGCCAACGGTGACTTGAGTGATGATTTGGCTGCATTGGCTTGGATCCCCGATAAAGGAGACTATGAATTCCGCCTTGTCAAAGAATCGGAACTCAGCTGGTGGAAAAGAATACGATTCTGGTGGTGGAGGTATCGTCATCCGCTCCAACTCATGCGTCGTCCTCGTGCTTCATGGTCTCAAATCATAACTGCCTGCGGCATCCGGAAGACCGAATCGCTCAAACGGCGGCTGATAGACGCAGATACAATCCCATCATGCATGGATGTGCCATTCCAGTATGTTGAGTTGTCTTCGCTCGGTATGCTGTGTATCATCATGGGATTTAAGAATATTACTATCAATAATGAGGACCGGACTTTCCATGCAACTGGGCCATCGAGAGCAATCACTACGGAAAATATCCAGACTATCGGAAAAGTGCTCCGCTTCGATGGCGACGTTTTCGAAATTCATGATGCGGTTCGATCAAAGTATGGTATTCAAGGGGATAACGTTGCCTGGATGAACACAATGGCAGCCATGACCTGCGGTGCAATGTTCTTCGGAAAATATATTTGCGGCCAAAACATTCATCTGCCAATTGATATCTTAGCAGAGGCAATCACTCTTGACTCAAAAGTGGATGAATTTGAGAGCAATGTCTGGAACTTCATTCACTCGGATGAAAGTGACGATGGAGTTGCCGGTAATCTGCTCAAGGAGGCTCATAACTTCCAGGATCTTATGGAAGGGCTTCAAAGTTCCGGCAATTACAGCGGTCTCACCCCCGACTATTCAGTGAGTGATTCGATTTAGCTCATCATGTATGAATCTAATAGAAGGGTGTTAATACAGCAGTCTTGCACACCTGCCAGAGCATCAGGCGATTCTGATCAGGTAAGGTGTGATTCCCTTGGAATTTATCAGAATATAGGGAATTCCGATTATCGGGTAAGTTGAGGAATCAGGTAATAGGATGTTAGACTTACAGTACCAGGATCATCTGAAAAAAGAGATACGTAGCTGGCAAGACTTCACCGGATTACAAATTCCAACCATATTTCTAGCAGCAACATTCTGTTCGATACATGGCTTGGTAGTAGGGTTTCCGTCTGGCCAATTCCTGAAACCGTTTCTGCCTTGGTTGCAACTCGAAGCAAAGGAAATGTTTCAGAGGGTTACTGCGAAATTTGAACCTTGTACGGACTTTCAGCGCACTATCAGAACTGACACAGTGCCATGGCTCAACAGCATCGAGGATTTTTTATCCACAGGACTGGGAGCTGCGCCTGGAGGATTATACAGTTGGGGTATCTGCTCTCTCGCCGAGCTCTACAGCCAGCTCCCGGATAGTGTCAAGGGCAGCATGGTGGAGTATTCTCTTTGCAAAACAGGTAATAACCTAAATGAATATATTCGTCCCAAGGACAGGGATGTGACAAGGTCTATATTTATGCCCCATACACTGAAACTCCTCGCCGACTTTCGACCACAACATTGGAAATACCAACTTACGGGAAAGCAAAGGTTTAATGTGGTCAAGAAATGGTCCGCTGATCATCTTCTTTGGGCGCAGATCATATTGATTGACATTACTATCCGGCTCGTCGTCTCTGGCGACAGTGAGAAAATCGATGCCCCCAAGATAGATGGTCCGCAAGATAAGGACGACGAAAAGCTGGGTAGTCCAGCAGACACAGACAACGCACAATCCTGGGAATTGCGAGAGGTTCATTTAGTCCAAGCAATTGCGGCGAGCTGGAGGATACATGAAAGATACCATGGCAAGAAACCACAGCACATGCTGAAATGGGATTTGGTCCCATACTTGAAAGAGTCTCAAGCGATTCAGTGTTCAGCCGGGAGAAGTTTAGATGAAAAGTATGAAAGGCTTGCTGACCTCCTCAAGACTCGAGTGTTGTTTGTCGTGGCTCTTTTCACGCTGGGTCCTGATACGTCGGACGTCTTTCTGGCCCAAGAATATAGCATTCATATGCCCATGATATAGTGATTGAATTGAGTCTTGTCGAGCGGCCAGTAGTTTATTGCTACTAATCGATTCGAGTCAATGAAGCCACAAAAATTCCAGTGTCCCATTTCCCATCTGTTTATCGCCTTATTTGGACACATTAAACTGTCGAGAGTATCTAATACCAAGGGCAAGAAATAAGAGAAGAAAGAATAGCATATCATTCACCTCCCAATGCAACTGCGCAAAAAGCAGCATCCAGCAGTCAAACACAAAGAACGCCAGTAAGTATTCATACAGAATGTAATCTCCTCCTTCTTTTCTCTATCGTATCACATATTCACACACATCCCCAACCTCAACCTCAACCAACGAATATCGTACGGTATGGGGGATCATTTCGCCTTTCCACCCTTTGTAGCTTCCAAGAAGAGGACCTTTTTCCTCACGACAGGGTCGTATTTGAGCATACTCAATGGGCGATGGGTTCGTGGTCGGATCATTGTTCTGTAGAAGCCGGTCATGGCCATGGAGATGAGGCGGACGGTCATTGTTCGTGACTTTGCTGTTGATTACTTGTCAGCTTATTTGAGAATTGAAAATAAAAATATGCAAAGTACCTTTCTTTGCCATTTTGTGTCTTTAGAGTGGATTGAAGGATGGATTGGTAGTTGTTCGATCGATCACAGTCGAAGACCTCGGAATTGTTCGTCGAGGTCGTGAAATGGAATGGGCGTTGATACACGAGTACTGTATGAGCACCCTGTATTAGTTTCCTTGAGAATTGACTGCTCGGATGCAGCGCTCAGTATATGTTGGGAAAAGAAGAGGTCGATAAATTGTCCTCCAATTGATGTTTTTCGGAGATGCGGCTTCATTTCGGGAGTCCTACACGTGATCTACAACACATGATTTGACATTCAAAGCACGGACCAAGAGTCCATGGGAAAGTGGGTCCACATTATCTGAATTCTTGACCCTCCACGGACTTTGAAATTATTCATGATCGTTATCAAGACCAGGGTTTAGAAAATACGCGGAAACTACATTCGGGCCACGAAATCGCTCACTAAAACTGTCATCACTTATCAAATTTTCGAAATAAATGTCCGTGTAATGCCCTCCTGACCAACAACACCATCCCATTACCACATCTATCCCCCCGGATCGGGGCTATCCTGACTCGACATCGCGAGCAGATCGACATATACACCCTACTAAACAACACGCCTCCGTAGGCCAACGTATCAAGTTGTTGGATAGACGCATGTTTTAGGCCCGGGCCGTCCGGCATCTCGTCTATCCTCGATGGATCAAAACACGATTCGACGTATCTTGATGTAGGATATTGATATGTATGGATGCCTGCAAGTGGCCTCGTGGACTACCTAGATAGTGTAATATCATCCGGTAGGACAATCATACCGGCTACATATATACTAACAGAGCTTATGCTATGGCAATCGATACCAACGGATCTACTATCTCCATATCGTGAGCAGCTGACGACATCCATGAATATCTAATCTTGAAATCTTCATGGCCGAGCTCTGAAAATGTCCACATGATACCTGCTTGTCTCACTATTCTTTCTATGAGTTTCTAATCTTATCACTAAGACATTTCATTCACTCATGAGTCAACACCAACCTTCACCCCGCCTTCTCACACCCACAGACAAGACCGGAGAAGAAATAAATCGAATGTGCGAGAGAGTGTGTCACGACTGATGACGAAATACGACAATCCATCTCCTACAAACACAATACTGGTATATCGTCAAAAGGCGGATTACGAATGTAAAAGGGCGCGAACGAAATGGATTAGGTAAACCACCACCACTACTACCAAGCGAGCAAGCGAGCGGTGATGTACAGCGTCAGCAGACCAATCCACACACACCAAACCTTAACACCGTATTTCATGATCGTACAGTCTTACCCGGCTAAAATATGCATACGTAGTTTTCGTACAGAATACAAGATACAGCACTAGCCACAGTATGTATCGAAAAACCTTGGCAACTAGGCAACCAGCGATTTCATATTCGTTGTATCTTATTGGACGGAGATGGTTGGTCCGAATGCATTCAGTTTGTGAGTCATGGATGTAGGTTAAATTAGATGAAGAGAGCATGGAATTGTCGCTTTCAAGGACTGCGGGGTAGTGGTACAATCTAGATCTAGGAGAGTGCTCTGTGCTACCGGGACAGCTATACCACACGGAGAACTTTCTTGAAGCTTTGATACAAGTTCTAACTGCAGCAATACAACAATAAGTGGAAAGAATTTCGATATACATCAGTGAGAAAGAGATCATGCATAGGTTGAAAAAAGTTTGAAAGACCCGTTTGCATCGGACAAGCGCGTAGTCAATAAACAGTGTATAAGTCCTAGAGCAATCACAAAAAGTACATTTTGGGCAATACTCAGTTCCGTATCTTTAGCGATAGCAGTAAATCGTCTAGACTTTCTACCAACTAATCCTTGAAAAGAACTTAGATACCCATAAAAGCAGTGACTCACTATATCAAGCCCTATGGCATATCCATTGGACCCTGTCATTGATCAATGACTGCAGGAAGTGGTAGCTGCAGTCATAGTGGCTATGTTGAAGTGGATCTGACATGCATAGCCCACTTACCCACAGCAAACACGGGGATATACGTACTTGACATTCTTGTCGGAGAATTAGTACGGACTACGTAGAAATAAAAGAAAAAGTTTCTTTGCATCGATCGATTCATTGACTATCTAGAACTAACTAGTACTCAAGACATAACTTCATACAGACATGTATTATTCATCAAGACACAAAAGAAAAAAAAGAACCAATCACGATCATAGACTGAAGAAGTATAAGACTGAAAGATGATTGGACAAAAATGGCCCCAGCGGGAAGCGGCCCCGCTTTATGCCAGGTTGGGCTAGTTCCCGGGTCCCGTGTGCGACTAGGCTCAAACGGGAGGCGGGCAACTGTCCACTTGGAAAGGTGTGCATATGCAAGTTACTCATGACTCACTCAGTCGGTCTCCCGATAGGGTCATGCAGTCCTTCTTGCGGTATAGCTCGTGGATCATGCATCGCGCTGATTGCTAGTGCTATCATGTGTTTGCGACGATACGACACTTTTGCTGGGTGGAGACGAGATATGGTTCGACATCGATAGACGGTTCCGGTTTGGGTGGATGGTGGATACAACTGATTTAAAAGGCTCTTTTTTTTCGCTTTCTTTCTCAATTGGGTATATGGCTTCATCGCGAGGAGCGCACGTATTGTCGGCGCTCTTGACGGTCGACGCGGTCTGCTTCGTATAGTGATCCGCGGCTGGATGAGGTTCGGCCGGGAGATGTGCGACGGTAGATGATAACGCGACGACGCGTTCGGGGAGCGCGCTCGATGATTTCAGTGACTGGCTCGCCATCGTCGCCGCTCATAGTAGCAGCGGCAGCGGCGGCGGAGTTGGCAGTGGTAGGTCGTCGTGCGCCAACAGGGTATGTGGCATCGTAACTGACAATTGGTTGCTCACGGCGCAACCTCAACCCTTCCTCAATTGCCAGCAGCAACCGGCGGCAAGCCTTATATTCGCGTGGAATGCGCACTAAGACCTCTTCGTCATGCTCATTGTCGACTGCCGAGTACGCTTTTCCGGATTTTGTGAACACGTAGTTTGCGACATCGCGGGCGTAGGCGAGTCCGCGGTCACACAGCAGACGACCCTCGCGGAAGGCGTCGAGTGCATCGACACAGCGGGTGCATTTGCGTGCGTGGGTTTCGTATTCGGTCAGGACGAAGGATTCGTCGGCTTCAAGGTCGCGGACCTTTGTCACGGGGACAGTATCGTGGTGATTACCACTGCCGGTAGTTGTGATGAAAGGCATGGTGGGCGATTGTTGCGACGGGAGCTGGTAGTCGTAAAAAGTGTCACTGCGCGGACGTCTTCGATCCCGCAGGATGTTGTCTAGAGACAGTCGATCGAGACGAGATGGTAGCGACAGCTTGACGGTTGTCCCTAAGTGCGGTAAAGGACCTTTGAAAAGGTCCGTATATATATAGAAAGCCCTGAAGATACCAAGACACAAGACCAGGCAGGTGATCAAGGTCAAGTGAGTATATAAGAGTGTGTTGGAGGATGCAAGAGTAGAAGTTGTCAAGACTGGAAAGTGTCCTGACTTTATAGACAACAGGCGTATCAGACGAATGACTATGACAATGAAGATTCGTCTGAAGGAGGGGGAGGTGGCTCTTTTTAAATAAAGATGCAATGATCTCTTTATCAAGGCAGACAATATGATTGTAACGGTACGGTAAATACTAGGGTACATTACGGCCAACGCTAAATTAGTCGACTCGAGGCTGAATTGGGGGGGTGTGAGAGGATCGTCTGTCCACGCGCCAGAAGGTGCAGGCAACAATTTTTGAAAATTTCGTACACAATATACCGTTCGTCGTATCTTACGCTCTTCCTTGGTGTACTAATTGCACGGCCACTGATGCTGTGATAGGCCAAAACCCGGACCCCCTGTCACGATATGGCAGCACCAGCCTCAACGCTCAAGCCTTTTGCTTCTGCTAGTAACATGCGGCTGAGCAGTAATACGAGGGACTGTGAACTGTGGCAGTGACGTTTTGTGCTCTCCGACTAACAAATTCGGGTTCTTCTCAAGGTGCCGAATGTCATCTTCAACACCAGCACCAAGCTCAGCCACCGATTCGTGATCATCTTGATGATGCTATCATTTTGATCGTCTTTCATCATTGTTGAAGTATTGCAGCTGTATCACGTCAATACATACTCACGTTCATTCTGTATTCTATCAATAAAAATAGAAATGTTTCAATCGATTTGCTCATGATAACCACCACGTTGGCGACTACTGAGACACGAGAGTACGTAAGTGTGTAGCAGATTATTTCTGGAAGAGTGAGCGTCCATGACGGGATCATGGCTACGAGGACAATACAATCGACAGCGAGAGGAAGACTAGGAAACAGAGAGAGGAAAGCTCCTTCAGCCTCACGAATAGCGCCATCCCCGAAGTAGCTTAATGCGGGGTGGCTGTGAGCGCTTGGTTCTCGTCCAACCCTGCTTTCGTTCTACTAAATTTCTAGGAGAATAAGATGCATGATTTGATCATGGTTGGACAGCAGAGACGCTGCTCATCAATTGACTGTGCCGCATAGACGCGTTGCAGACGTTACGAACCATTCATGGACTTGGGACGCATTCAGGGTTGATAGGGCAGATGCGAGTCATCTGTGTATCAGATAGCCGCCCGAAGAAAAACTCATGTTTATCATCTATGAGCATAGCATCTTTCTATGGAATACCTATTACAAATGCAGGGTTCGTTAATTTCTGAGATTCACATTTATCGCTCGTTTCACCTAGTTACTCGCGCCTGCCTGGTTGTTTCGAGAGAAGAGAGCCTACCATTTTCAAAAATAGAGCAGTCCTGAGACCGCTAGAATGTCTGTGCTTCTATCTCGATTCAAGGAAGAACGATCGAACAGAAATAGATATCAATTACTATAGCAATGGCAATGGGAGAGTTGAGAGAGAGCCGATACTAGAGGTGTTCTATAATTGGCACGGCACATGACGGACGAGCCGAGATCGTCTTCTCTCTTGTCTACCGGTATCTTTCTTCTCCCCTCCGTGCACAACACTCTCAAGAGATAATCGTCATCACGTACATGGACTCTGATCGCAACTGGTGGCTTGAGACAGTGGCTACTTTGGCTGTGGCTGATACATTAATTTATGATTTCAGCTCTCAGAGCAATTCAATACGAGCCCGGGTGATCATCCAATCACAACCCTCTCAGTGAACTCTGATCTCGTCTTTTTTTACCTGTTCAAGCACCGACAAGCGGGAGGAAAAAGACCCTTGACTACCAGAGCTAACGTGTTTAGTCCTAGCCTGATTGATTGCTGACACTCTACCACGAATTTACTATGAGGCTAAGCTTCTTCCCCGACGTTCGGCTAACTTAGTTTTCAGCTGTCGTCTGCCCGTCTTGTCCTGTCACAGCACTGTCAAGGTGTAGTTGATTATGATATCTGACTCTACTGTGTCACAGAGACTGTCGTCGAGTCTGCCTCGTGAAAATTTTGATTGATCAGTCGTACCCCCACCCCTGATGATCGGGTTTTTTGGTTGGTCCTCTAACCCGCCAAGATCATTCTCCTGCATACAACACCATTGTCTACGCAATTGTATCACGATTGGCCATCGTCCGGCTGTCAAAAAACTTCTCTGATGGCAGCCTTCCCAAATACCGACATCTGCATGCGGGATTTACATGCGCTCGCCAGACCCGATTACGAGTGCCTGTGGCTCGTGAGTCAACGTCTTTTTTTCGTCTGACGTATACCATCAATGAGCTTTGATTCCTAATCAGTGCGTGCTCAATGCTACTGTGGCCAGAACGAAATTTATGGAATCGGTTTGTGCAAACTTGCTGCCTTGATGCATCCACTACGATAAGAAAGGACGTACTGTACGAGACCTGTCAGGACATGACGCCGTCTTGTATGCTGTATCGATACGATTGATTCCATGGGAGTCGTCATTCTTCTTGAGCCTTCTTCTGCGCGAGGACAGATCGTCATCTTGAGTTGAGTCATATGCCATCCATCTTTCATGGCATACCTAGTGTTCGTAGTCAAGCCGTCCACCCACATTGTTGGACTCCTTCCAATCCTCCGTGCTCGCATTTCCTGAACTGTCCATGCTAGCATATCACCCTTTAGATTTTCAATCTGTCCTCTCCTCATTCAGTCAACTACTTTACTGCCTAGTTCTGTCCGAAAATGCAGGAATCTTGAACGAACCTGGGTCAATTGACGGTTGCCTGCCCTAAAGTAAATCGCTACAATCCAGATGCATCTATTTACATTAGCCAAGCAAACCCACATCCTGCATCCTGCATCCTGCCCACTTGTACCTGATGTCACTTAATCGCGGCTGTACATGTAAATGCATCATTCTACTCCGATCTGCACGAACCCGCCGATGCATACACAGAGTGCAGCCAGCCGCACTGAGCCAACCCCACCAGACTGAACCCTCAGCACAGCCATCGACTATCTGGTGTAGTTGCCCACCATCATGTACTCGGCAACTGACCAAGTGGATTATGCTTAATCATCCTAATAAGATCTTCTAGTTGCCGAATTCAGAATTGAGTCTAGAACATGGTCGACAACATTTCAGTCAACGGAATGTAGTGTGATGACTGACTTCCTCACTCTATACTCGGAAAAGTAACAGGAGCTGAGATTGCTATATAGGTGTCCGTGAATGATATCAAACGCTACGTAACCCGAACCTGGACTTCCACAGCCACCTCCCAGTGCCAAACAAGAGAATACATCGTCCAATGACATGGCCAACGGCCAGCGGGATTCCAAACCTCAACCACGTTGATGGCTGCCAAATGTTGATCCCTGGCCTTACTCTCACCACATTGCTGCGCTCACTGATGACAGACTCGTCACCGGCACGGGAACCCCTTGTAAACGCTGTGATAGCATCCAACACAATCCCCACCGTCGCCTCCGGCTGACTTAAAAACGGCGAATGACTCGTCCGCAACTCCCTATACTCCACGCTTCCCCCCATTTCCCTAGCCATACCAATCTGCATCCGCTGTGCCAACACAGGCAGTCCGCGATCTTCGGCCGTACCGATATACCAAGTCGGCACATCCCGCCATCCAGCGTACGTATATTCGCCGCCTTCGAATAGAGCCTTGAGACTCTGGGTTGTGAGTTGGGAGACCCAGTATTCTGCCTCGTCGGCTGGTAAGTCATGATAGAAAAACTCGCGTGGAGGGGTGACGAGTTCGGCGTAGCCGGTGTCATTGTTCACACGCCAGGCAGGGGGTGGATGGCCAAAAAAGGGATCCATGAATGCGAGCCCAGTCAGAGTGAAGCCAGAGGCTATTAAGATGAGCCCGATCACATTTCCTCCTGTAGTCGTTGTAGTTGTTGAGGCCTCCGTCTGTAGGTGGCTTTTAGTGGCAAATCCCTTGATAGCGCTATTCCCAACCATGCCGCCGTACGAGTGCGCAACGACAATCACATTGCGCCCTTGAGTCGTCTCGCTTGAGATAGCTGCACGAGCAACGTCTAGATCATCTTTGAAGGTTGCTTGAGGGTCCCCAGATGTCGAAGGGAGGGTTATTGAGACGCATTTCAATTTGTGCTCTTCTTGGAGGAGCTTGATGACCTTGTCGTAGCATGTCGGTTTATGCCAGGAGCCTGGTATGAAGACTAGCGTTGGAAGGTTTGACATTTTTGATGCTTCAACTATCAAGTTGGATTTGTTGATGATGCGATGTCGTGAGTCTTGTGACCAGTCGGATTGTCCGGAAAAACGTAGTTCCTCGCCCATCAACATCCGTGTATACAATCTTTGCTAGGTATGGTTTAGTTGAGATTTTCAGGGATAGCTATTCAGTGAACAGCATCTTCTTGACAGGAAGGAGGGTCGATAGTCAACGTCACCTGCCACCAAGATGCACTTTTCTTGTCAACTGTCGCGCTCTGAAATTTACCTTGACAAATATTAAATGCTTTTCTTCGCTCGAGGAAAGCATATACAAGACAGTGTTGATTCTTACAAGATATACTAATGGATGTTCAGGTCATTACCCCTCCTTCTGCTGGTCGGGTATTGTTGCTCTGTGGTTGGTGAGTGCAATCGCAAAGCTGCCGACTCTCAGCCTCGTCCCTCACCGTCTCATTTTCAATCATTCCCAGCGTCACGGCTTGATAATATGCTTCTTGTGTGTCCGCCGTTGACACCGTAGAATCTTTCTATCCTACATTGCGATATAATTCTGCTATGCTTAGCTGAGATGCGGCCTAGAAGTCGGAATGACTTTACGATCGCAATCATCTGCGCACTCACTCTCGAGGCTGACGCTGTTGACGGCCTTTTCGATGAAACCTACGACCGTCTCGGGCAACACTACAGCAAACAATCAGGTGATCCAAATGCTTATATCAATGGAAGAATTGGCAAGCATAATGTTGTTCTGTGCTACTTGCCTAGTATAGGCAAACGAAGCGCAGCAAGTGCTGCTTCGAGCCTGCAGGTCAGCTATACTAACATCGAGCTTGTCTTAGTTGTTGGTATATGTGGAGGCGCCCCATCGTCACCTAGTGGACAAGGGATATTCCTGGGCGACGTTATCATTAGCGATTCTGTGGTCCAATATGACTTTGGTAGGCAGTACCCTAGTGGCTTTCAACGAAAGTCTGGAGTAAAGGACAAACTAAGTCGACCGAACCGAGAGATCCGAACTCTTCTAAATGCTCTCAGGGCTGAAAATACCCACAACGAATTCCAAAGCCGGATTCAGCAATATCTCAACACGCTTCAACAAATGGGAGCCAGTTGGTGCCATCCACAAACCCATGATGTTCTTTTCAATGCTTCTTACATTCACAAACATGACAGCTCTGTAATATGTGACTGCTCCGACATAACCGGGGAAATCTGCAGCGCTGCACTAGAGGGAAACTGTGATGATCTTGGATGTGACAAAAGCCAAGTAATCCGGTGTCGAGAAGATGCTACCAAGGTCTCAGCACATATTGGAACCCTCGCTTCCGCCGATACTGTGATGAAGTCCGGACAGCACCGTGATGCCATAATCAGGGAGGAAGCGGTCATAGGGTTTGAAATGGAAGGGGCAGGAGTGTGGGATGACATCCCATGTATTGTCATCAAAGGTGTGTGCGATTATGCAGACAGCCATAAGAACAAGGAATGGCAAGCATACGCTGCAGCAACTGCAGCCTCTGCGGCAAAAGTTTTACTGGAATATTGGAGGCCTCGGAGTCACGAAGGTAGGCTGGATAATATGCATGCCTGATAATGAGTTACTAATTCTTACTCAATTGGTAGACAAAGGCAGATCTCGTCATTTGATGATCCCGTTCAGGAGAAATTTGCGCTTTGTGGGCAGGCAGGACGAGATGAGTAAATTAGAGGAAACAATATCGACAGCCCAAGGGCCACAAAAACTCGCCATCACAGGCTTGGGCGGGGTTGGTAAGACCCAAGTGGCCCTAGAGCTGGCTTACCGTATGCAAGACCGAGATCCTGAATGTTCAATCTTCTGGATCCCCTGCACCAGCCATCAGGCTGTTGAACAGGCCTGGAGGACTATTGCAGAGATGTTAGGTATCTCAGATGCGAATTCAGCACAGATGAAAGAACGTATCAAGCATTTCTTTGCCAAAAAGGATTGGAAGTGGCTGCTTATCTTCGACAACGCAGATGATATGGACATGTGGATGGAAGGCAGCAGTACGAGCCCGCCACTAAAAGACCTCCTTCCTGATCATAACCAAGGTCATATCGTCTTCACTACTCGCAATCGGAAGTTAGCCGTGAAGTTGGCATCATCCGACGTGATACATGTTCGCGAGCTCGATGAGAAGACAGGCGTGGAATTTTTGGAAAAGTCCCTGATACAAAAAGGTCTGCTCAGCGACAGTCATCTTGTGCTCGCCCTTCTTGAACAGCTCACATTTCTCCCATTGGCGATTGCTCAAGCAGCGGCATATATGAACGAGAACAGTATTGACATCTCGGATTACCTACTGCTTCTCCAAGAACAGGAGGCAGATGTTGTGGAGCTACTGAGCGAGGATTTTGGTGATGATGGACGCTATACGGATATGCAAAACCCAGTAGCCATGACTTGGCTAATATCGTTTCAGCAAGTTCAGAAGCTTGACCAACTTGCCTGCGACTATTTGTCACTCATGGCTTGTGTTGCTCCACGTAATATTCCAGAATCGTTGCTTCCACCACCAGCATCCAAGAAGAAGAAGACCGATGCTCTGGGCCTTCTCAGCGCATACTCTTTTATTACAATCCAACCAGGAAATGCTTCCATATCCCTACATCGCCTGGTACATCTGGCAACACGAAATTGGATGAAGAAGGAGAGCCAATTTCCTCGCTACATAAAAATTGCAGCTGGTCGGTTAATCGAGATATTCCCTGCTAGTTATGAAAACAACTACAAGCTTTGGTTAGAATATCTGCCCCACAGTATGGTTTTGTTGATTGAGCAGGATCTTAAAGAAAACCGACAGTTGTATTTTGACTACATACAGAACGTGGAAGCCTGCTTAAGTGGTGTTGGGGGAAAGCTGTTGGAGCAGGTAGTGGTGGTCTCAAAAAAGGTTCTAGGCCCACAGCATCTCGATACCCTCTCTAGGATGGAAAACCTTGCAGCAGAATATTGGAATGAAGGGAAATTGAAGGAAGCAGAAGAGCTAGACATACAGGTATTGGAAACCCGGAAGTTGGTGCAAGGACCAATGCACTTTTCAACTGTGACTGCAATGAATAGCCTTGCATTGGTATACGCTAGTCAGGGACGATGGAAAGAAGCAGAAGAGCTGCAAAGAGAGGTAGTCAAACATCGGTACCAGACACCAGGGCCAGAGCATCCTACGACTATAAACAGCATAGAATTCCTCGCCAAGATTTTGAAGCAACTGGGAAACACCTCAGAAGCTCTAACTCTCCTCAGGACATGTGCGAATCTCCGTGTCAATTATTACGGCCCGAATCATCTACTTGCTAAGATGTTGTGGAGGAGATTTGATGAGTGGGAAACCGAGGATAGCACATCAAAGGACCGGACAAGAGAGGCTTTGGCAGAGACTTCCGAGGTTTTTGCTATCCAATCTCCTCCCACCCAGCATGAGGAATCAGCTCAAAGAGACCCAAAGAGACTCAAATCCTATCATGGAGGCTACACAAAGGAGACTTCTCCAAGATGAAGAATTCCGACACTATGATTGGCGAAAATCATTGAATTCCTTTTACAACATTCATGTTAGATATGTACATAATACCTGAATAGATTTCCAGAGACTCACGAGCAGCCAATCGGTGCAGACGCGTTGATTTAGCAAATGAGAGGTTTCAGAGGCTTCAATGCTGATCACCCCCACCAGACATCTCAGCACTGAGCACATCCATCGCTTTGCAGGCTTCTGTGCAACTCGTACAAATTTCTACATATACTAGACAATGATCAGATAAAACATCGATTGATGCTCAGTCCACCTTAGAGGTATTGCTGGTTTTTTTCAAGCCACAATCGAATCTAAAATCAACATCGAAATAGCGTTGGCTTAAGTCATAAAGTGAACAGCATACAGAGAATGCCATCAAACTACCCACCCGAAAATATATCCCCAGATCAACTGAACTCAATCTTAACCCAGATAAAAGATTACCAGACCAACCACGGCTCCTTACTCAAAGTCATAGGCTCAGAAACGCCGCACAGCGTACACCTCCAGCCTGTCAGTGCAAGCGTGTTTCCGACGGTCTTTCCGCGGAGGTTATTCAATGAAGCTGTCGATGAGTTGCAATTGATATATAATGAACTGTATTGCAAGCTTGCGGAGGATGTTGAGTGGTTGCATGCTGTTACAGGACCCTTGAGGAGGACGGAGCCTTTGGTTGATGCGTTGTGGAGTGTTTACGAGGACGTTCAGAGGAGACGACAGGATGAAGGATCGCAGTATATTGAGCAGAGAGTTCATGCCGGGGTGTTCAGGTCGGATTATATGCTGCATGTCGAAGGCGATAGCGCCGATAGTGACGACGACGACGATGATGACGATGAAGAAGTAAACGAGAATTGGACACAGAATCTATGCCTGAAACAGGTCGAATTCAACTCCTATTCCTGTGCTGGGGGATGTCATGCCGATAAAGTCGCTGATATGCATCGATTCCTTGCTCGATGGGGTCTTTATGATTTTGCACTCGAGAGCAATGAGGGTCGAGAAGAGCAGGTGGTCAACACGAAAATACCCCTCTCTACTCTACCCAAGAACAGCTCAATAAACGGCATTGCATCGGTACTCGCTTCGGCGCACAAGATCTACGGATCAAAACCGCACAGTCCCAAAGCCACCCATACAGCTGTTCTCATGATCGTCCAACCGAATAACTTCAACATCGCAGATGAACGACCAATCGAATACGCACTATGGAACTGGGTCGACGACGACGACCCAATCGCAACATACAGAATCGAATGGCAACTCGTCCTTGACCATACCAAACTCACTCCAACGGGCGAACTACTATTCTTCCCACCCGAGAGCGGAGATAGTACGACAGCCAGCCCGGTCGAGATATCAGTTGTATACCATCGAGCCGGATACGAGCCGCGCGAATATTCTGAAGTTGTCAACGGAAAGCAGATTCGGACAAGACTCGAGTTGTCGCGTGCAATCAAGTGTCCGTCTGTCCTGGGTCATATCACGACTATAAAGAAAGTGCAACAAGTCCTAACTGTGCCGGGGACATTGGGGCGATGGCTTACGAAAGAAAAAGCAGATAAAATTCGTGGCACCTTTGTCGAGATTCGTTCTCTTGATGATGTTATGTCTTCTACGAAGAACCTAGAAGAGGAAGAGGAGTTGGCGGAGAATTATATACTGAAACCAGCTTCTCTCGAAGGTGGAGGGCATAACATTTACGGCACTAATATTCCTGCTTTCTTGAAAACGCTTTCGCCAGACTCTATTCCAGATCAATCGGCGTACATACTCATGCAAAAGATACGTTCGCCGCTGAATGTCTATGGAATGCTAATGTCTTCTTCGAGGGGTGTCGTGGCTGATGAAGTCGTTTCTGAGTTGGGCGTTTTTGGTGGTTGTGTTTGGGAAAGGAAGGAGTCATCATCTGACAGAGCGAGGTGCCAGGTGATTGAGAATAGGGTTGTAGGTTGGTCATTTAAGACTAAGGAGGTGAATGTGGATGAGATGAGTGTCGTTAAAGGTTATGGTTGTTTTGATACCCCATTTTTGGTTGATTAATCCACCGATTTCATGGCTTTATTCTGTAAATACGCTTCGATATGACGAGACACTCATTGGCTATGTAATCAATGCAAAGATAATTCAACGCTCGCAAGATGCTAAATGGATATGTAAAACATCAAAATACATAAAGTGAAATGAAGAACCGAGACCCATGTCCTTGCATATTCTTCATCGATACAACGCAATCTATAGAACAAAACTCAATAACTCCTGCCCCTTCACAGCCGTGGCAATATGCCAGGGTAAAGTATTATGCTGTACATGCAACGTGCCTTTGGCASGAGCCAATGTCGCCAGGTCACGGTAGTTAATAAGTGCTTCTCTCAGTACAGCTTCATGCAGAGCCGGGGGTCGTGATGTATATACCAGGTTTAATGACATGGCTGAAACACCCTGGCTGTCATTAACGCCTTTTCTTCGAAGTAGATAGCCGCTAACTAGGGCTGGTTTGTACTCTGTTAGGTACGCAGAGTTGCTTAGTCGGTGAGATAGGACGACTGCCCAGGATTCATCGCATGCATCAATAAGGACCGCATCAGAGTCTGCTTCGACAAGCACAGGTGGTGTGTCTGTTGGTGTTATTGCAGTACTATAGGTCATGGTGGTTGGGCCTTGGCCGCCGCTGGCCGGAGTCGCAGCCCCAAGTTGATCCGGTGACGAGACTCCGCCATACGGAGTTGCCACTGGTGTCGATACGAATGGATTGATTGTGTTGACTGAGAATTGTGTCGTCGAGGGCTCTAGACGGAGACCAGGTGCAATATTGACGCTGAAAAGAGTAAGCTCAACAGGCAGAGCCTTTGCTTGGTTATACCGTTCAGCAAAACCTGTCCATGCTGCTAACAGTTAGCGGTAAGCCCTACCTCAACAATTGATTCAAATACATACCGTCAATTTCTTCCTGGTCGATCGGCTCCGTCCTGACCAACAACACCTTCCATCTGGTTTGCGTTCGCTCCATCAGATCTTTAGTAGCTTCCCAAATCTCTTGACGCACTTCCGAAATGATGCGGTTGACATTCGAACCCCGAGCTCGCACACAGTATGACATGGCAATCTGACACGACCCTGAATTATTGGTCCATGCCACGCTAATCCAACGCTGGTCGACGCTGCGCGAGATGGCGACATGTAAACATCGGCCCTCTTGAAAAGGTGAAAAGTTTTCCGATGTGCTTCTGAAATTGATCGCTTTGGGAACTGTATCTGCCAGCACTACTGGCGGTGCGTAGCCTATAATGCCAAAGCTGGCATCCTTGGGGGGACATCGACTGTAGACTTCGAGCGCTAAACTCAAATATTGCGGTTGAGGAGGAACAACCATAGACGTTGGCGAGAATACGAAATTCAGGGGCACAATTTGCAAGACGAGCTCGTTCAGCTGACCTTTGTCTTGATTTTTGTCAACCTCACCCACGTATTTGTGAAAGAGATGGAGGAAATTTGAGCATATATCCACAAATGCTCCTCCATGAGAGAACGGGTTGATCATATAGATGACGAAATTCTCCCCTGTTTGGGGCGCTTTTGATAATGCGGACGCTAAAAAGTATGGTCAGGAAAACTAAGAGATATCTGGCTCGTAAAGAAACATACCTAAATCTTCGCAGAGACTACGCAATGTCTGCATCGTTCGCGCATAGGAGCCATCACCTTTGGCAATATTCCATAGCCCTATACCATTTTTGAATTTCTCAATTATGTCACCTCTGATATGCTTGCCCAGATTGCAGCCAGAGTAGAGCAGTCCCAAGCGAGTCATGAAAGCATCCGTCTCTTGTTTGGCAAGTTCAGGGCAGATGCAATACGCAGAGACGTCCTTCCGCCCACTTGCAGGCTCCAATCCAAAAGTCTCCCAGAATGGCATTGATGTCGATAAAACTTCTAAGTAATCTCGTCCACGGTGGATACGCAGATGCGAGGGCGCGATTTTCGTAATCGACCCTTTGACTTCTCGACGTGGCGGATTTGGTCGTGCCGATGGTGTCTCTGCAGTAGATTGTACACTGTCATGTATAGTAACGTACGACTTCAAATCCAATCTCTCGTTTTCGCCTAAGCTCATACTATCGTCAAGAAAAGTATGCAGGCCAAAGGTCTCGTAATCGAGACTTGGATCCGATTCCCAGCCTTCGATTCTGTGAGACAATGACGATTGAGTAAGTTGATCGACCATCAATTGTGCGATTTGCATCTGATCTTCTTTGCGACTTGTAACCGGAGACACCTGGCACTGCTTGGCTGAGAAGTATCCGACCAGAGACCAGTCAGTGAATACTGAAAAGAAATTTCCTAAGAATATTGAAGTATCTTCTTTTGAAACATGGCTCTCCACCTCGGACGTAATCGAGAGCTTTTCCATGGACGATGTCGTGGATTTTTCCGCCTCAGAGAGCGGCCGTTTTCGCTTCAGGGTTGCTAATCTGAAAGGTGAAGTCTCATCTTCAGAATCGTCATCGCTGCTATCCAGACAACTTTCATCGCTAGATGCCGAGTCAGTCCGTTGTATAGATTGTTCAGAACTTATTTGGCGCGGCGTATTAACATCATCGACAGAAGGTCGAAGCCCCAATTTTCGCAAACCAGGGAATCCAATAGTCGGGATTCCAGGTGATTTATTTATATTCTCATTACCGTCTTTGTTCACTGTGAAAAAGAAGCGCCCGGCATTGGCATACTTCTGGTCTAGGCCTAGACCTCGTTTGAAAGAGACGGCATTATACCGACTCTGTTTCCGTTCGAAACCCGCATTTGATGAGGCTGAGGTTCGTCTTTCTCCGTCTTGTGGTCTTGCATCCCTTTTTGAAAATAGCATTTGCTTGATATCGGTTGGACTGAGAGGCGCGCTTATGACATTTTCTAGAGGAACTGGTGTCGCTTCATGTGAGGCGATATTGGGAGGTGTGGTACTTGACTGCTTGACAGGAATCTGAGACAAGGAAGATGCCTCGACATCAATTGACTGTTGCATCTCGTCCTGCTCAGAGACACTTTCGTCCGGTGCTTGGGATTCTTCGATCTCTGCTTGAGCAATCGGAAATTCATTTGATTCACCGGGAATGGATTGTGGTATATCCTCATGAGCAGTTCCAGTGTCTGGCTTATCATTCAGAAAATCGTTCATTTCATCATCGTCATCATCGAAAAAACTAAAATCAGCATCCGTTATCCCCTTACTTCCGAAGTCTTTGTCGTTCATCCCGCTGAACAATTCATCATCATCATTTGTGTCATATAGACCGGTTCCGACCTCCATCGCATTCATGTGCTCGAACGAAGGATTGTCACTTGAGGTTTTGCGAACATTCTCCTGCTGTTTCATGGGAGTTTCTCCAGCCGGGGTATGAGACAAACCTAAATCTTGAGCGTCAGGCCCAAGAGCATCAGAATTGATTTGGTTGATGCCTGGCGCTAAAGCCCCATCCGGAGGCGTGGGATAAACAGAGCTCGCGTTTTGCAGATCTGGATAGTGAATCACGCGAGCGAGACTCTCAATCTTCTCAGGAACTTCGAATCTAACAGTGCCAGCAACACTTTCTATCTGACTTGTTTCTTGTATGTTGGAAGGATCACCTTTGGGTTTTTCATGCCGTGCGGTAGCCGTCTCTAACCAAGTCTCTGCAAAATGCAATGGTTCTTCGCTGTCATATGCTAGCTGAGATGATTTTTCGGTAATGTTGCTGGAAACAATTTTGGTCCTTCTGAAACAGTACCTAGACGGCCAAAGGATCCTTTTCAAAGGAGACGACGATTGACTGTCATCCATCTGACGCAAGTGCTCGGCTGCAAGTCGGGCATAAAACGGCTCTGACACCTCCACTTCAATCCAATGCTCATCTTCGGGATGATCTACTGGCAGTCCAACGTTGTTTAACCATTCGAGGACGGTTGCTTTCCAAACTCGTTGTTTGGCTTCCGTTATCTGACGAGCGGCACCTTCGCTCTTTGCTTGCTTGGGAGCAAAGACTGCCGACTGCGCCGTGTTTACAGTTATCAATCGAGCAACTGTTCCGTTAGGAGCAAGCCAGACATCCATATTATTCTGGATATTGACTGTGTTAATTTCGGTAGTACCAGGCTCTTTGAGGCGTGATATTCCATCCTGATGAACAGTATGCAGGGCCACTACAATCTTTCCAGTTTGGGTAAGCTCAATTTTTAGAGTAGTCAGAGCCGGTATTGAGTCCACATCATCATCACTGATGGCGGGGTTATCATAGAAGCTCCGTTCTACTGCCGTATAAAAAGTCCGAGCGCCTAGTGGAATAGCATTGTGACGCTTGACTAGTTGCAAGCCGATGGCCCCTGCCATCGCCGTGATAAAAGATGCATAAATTGCCATGGAATTTGCGTAGGCATCACCGGACCGAGGGGCATTGACGCTTGCGCCTGGTGGTCTGGTTGTCTGGCCAGGAGCCCCTGCAACCGATGTGAATCCATCTGTCGAAAGAGATCTGATGAGGTCTACAGCTGTGATGCTGCCAAATGCGGAGACTGCATCAAGGTTAGTCGACAAGACCAAAAGAATTATCAGACTGAAAAGTACCTTTGAGTGTCGATGTTCCGATGTTTAATTTTGTGGACTCCTTCAACCCTGGTGCTGCGGGGTCTCGTGTGAGTGGGCTGAGGCTCTCGAAACCTGGGGTCGGCGAGAAGATCCATAGACCAAGCCTTCGGGGATAGCATGAAACCAAGCAGTCAGAATTTCGTAATTGAATCTCTAGATCTTTTAGTCTACTCAAGTGGCGGAGAATGTTGTAGCCACTGTTTGGAGTAATTTCCGGGTTGCCAGTTGTTGCTTCCTCGGTGTATATTCTCCAATATATGACAGAGAACCCGGTCTGCACACAATGTTAACTATGGCATTTGCAAGAATAAAAGCTGTACTCACAATGGCGCAGAAGTTTGTAGTGGCATCTCCGGGGAAGTCCATGATCACCGTAAGAATGGCTCCTGGGCCACACAGTTATTGCTACTCGCTAAGTGTAGAGGAACAGAAGGTGATGCTCTGCGGGTGTAAACGATCGCATCTCCAGCGACGTAGTTAACGCGATGCATTGGAACATAAACAGCGCAAAGGTTCTCACAGGAGTTGGGTGACTCCAGCCTTACTCGAAATATTGGTTAGTACTGTAAGCCCCCGGAGACTGTCTCCATAACGGTGTTAGGAGGTTTGGCAGAACGTTAATTTGTTATGGTATCGACTCGGTTTATGACATGGAAATCGCCATCGTCAAATGCGATATGTCCACCACCTCACGAGGCATTCAATTCCTCAAACAGACTGGAAAGAAATGAGATTAGGTGATATGTGCAAGTATCTGGAGAGTTCGCCGACTGAACGAGGTCATCGGAAGGAGAGAACGCGCCCAATCAGCTTTACCCGAGACGCTCGGCGGAGTCTGCGATCACGTGGGGAAATCTTGGCATTCCCACTTGGCGCCTTCCGTTATCTTTTTTCTGATTTTCTCGTTATCTCCGGGCAGCTCACGATCACGAACAAAAAAAAGGCCTTTTGCCCCTTCGGTCCTCGAATAACATCGGAGGAGGTTTGGGACGCCAATATGAAGATCTCAACGCAGTCATCCGTTCCGGTATACACTATATCTGGCTCTTCGACTGCGAGACCTCTTCCAGAATGGCTTGCCAGGCGGAGAAAGCGCAGTTTGAAGAATGATCCAGAGTACGCAAACCGAGTCGAATTATTGCAGGACTTCGAATTCGAAGAGGCGAGTCAGTGCATTCGCATCAGTGAAGATGGGCAATGGGTTATGAGCACAGGTATGCTTCCAGCCTGGGATTACTTCTCGTACTAGGGGAAGAAGCTAAAAGTTTTTTTTTTTTTCACCTTCAGGAACATACAAACCGCAAATTCATACTCACTACTTACCTCATCTCTCGTTATCATTCGCTCGTCATACCATCTCGCTGAACACAACTTTCCTTCTACTTTCTTCCGATTACTCGAAATCTTTACATCTGCAGGCAGATAGATCCCTCGAGTTTCATACGCCGTCAGGATGTCACTACACAACGAGGTTGCCTCGCTACGGACGGGACCTCATCTATGATAGACAGTCTACCGAGGCCCTTATTCCTGCTGTCGGAGTCAACCAGGATGGGCTTGGTGAAGTTTACAGGTTGAATCTAGAGGCCGGCCGCTACATGCGCAGCTACGAGGTCGACGTCGGTGGAGATGATTATACCTCTGCTGGTGGCGGTGCGCTGCAAGGTGGTATTAACACTGGCTCGGTCAACACTGGTGCAATTGCCGAACAAAGTCACAATCTCCTTGCTTTTGGTACCTCCATTGGCACGGTAGAGCTATGGGACTCGAGAGCTCGAGGTCGGGCCGGAATCTTGCTGCCGCCCTCGCAGTCGCAGCCGGGCGAGGGTCGACACGAGATTACAGCGTTGGAATTCCACAGATCTGGCCTTACCTTAGGAACCGGATCCTCCAATGGTTTGATACATCTGTACGATTTACGATCGCCAATTCCTTTCCTCAAGAAAGACCAAGGTTACGGATACCCGGTACATACGCTCAAGTTCCTGCAATCGTCACCCAGCACTCGGGAACAAACAATGGAACCGAAGATCTTATCCTCGGATAAGAGGATTATCAAGATCTGGGACCCTCGAAACGGCACACCGTGGACCTCTGTGGAACCGGCTGTGGACATCAACAGTGTCGCATGGTGCCCAGACAGCGGAATGATCTTGACAGCAAATGAGGGCCGACAACAACACGCTTTCTTTATTCCCCAACTTGGACCTGCGCCTAGGTGGTGCTCATTCCTGGACAATCTTGTCGAAGAAATGGCCGAGGATCCTAACGATCCGCAGGCCTTTACTAGTGGTCAGGCATCTTCTGTTTATGACAACTACAAATTTTTGACATTGCCTCAACTGCGCACATTGAACTTGGACCATCTCATTGGCAGAACCAATCTGCTACGACCATATATGCATGGTTACTTTGTTGCTCAGCGGCTATACGAAGAGGCTCGTTTGATTACTAACCCATACATCTGGGAGGAAGAACGTGCCAAGAGAGTCAAGGAGAAGATCGACCAGGAGAGAGAAAGTCGCATCCGAGGCAAGAAGAAGGTTGCCGTTAAAGTCAATCGGAAATTGGCCGAGAAGCTTCTCGAGAAACAGGAGAAGGCCGAAAGACGCAACGCCAAACGCGTGCTTGAGAAAGGAGGCGACGAAACAATGGTCGAGGCTCCCGAACCGGAACCTGAAACTACAAATGTCGAGGAGAACAAGGGTCTCCTGGGTGATAGTCGTTTCTCGAAACTGTTCGAAGATGCAGAGTTCGCCGTGGACGAGACTTCTAGGGAATTCCAAATGCTCAACCCCAGCACTACTGTTGAAAAGCCGGCTAGGAAAGAGCGTGGCCTTACAGCCGTCGAACAAGAAGAGGCCGACGAAATCCCAGACTCTAGCGACGAAGACGACGACAGCGACGCCGGAAGCGAAAAGGGCCAAAAATCAAACCGACCAGCCAAAGCCAATCAACCTAAAATGGGCGAAGACATTTCATACCGACGCAGCAGAAAACCTTACACCAAGATGCAAGTGTCATCCTCCTCAGCCTCGGCAACAAACAAGTCAAAAGGAGGCAAACCAGGCCGGGACCGTTCTTTTGAAACCCTTGCGCAGAAGATGGGCACCAATACTCACAGAATCAACAAGGATAGAGCGGCATCTCATCGCAGTGTGGTTGGTGAGAAAGAAATCACTTTTGCCCCAGCTTCGTCGAAACCGAGGTCACAGCAACAGCCTCGATTTGATTCGAGTGCGGACAATGGGTATAGGAATAAAGCGCGCCGAAGTGCGTCGGGAAATACGTTCCGTCGTATTTGAGATGAAACCCAATAATGAGACGGCGATGATTGTTATGCACGCTTTCGCAGGTTTCGTTCTTGACAGACTGGGTGGGTTATGCACGGGCACAGGACATGTTCGTTCTGGAGACATTTACTCTGACCAGCTCCCACAAAGCATCATGTGTCATGATGAGATGCTGCTTCCGCCCCATGATCGAGCATATACTCAACTGCACAATGCAAACTGTGCACGGATTTGAGTACCGCAAGATGTCGACCCGCTACAATGTCCCATATTGACATGTGTACCAATATTTACTATGCGGGCCACCAAAGCCCCCAGCAAAAGTCATGTAATTAAAAAATGGTTAATTAGATAGATACCCAGACCTCACCAAGGGAAAAGCCAAAGAATGTTTCAAAAATATTTCATACCGCGAAGTAAAATAGTTTAATCCTAGGTCTAAGGTATCATCCATTTCATCATCCATTATACCAAAAAAACAAGATCACCGACCAATCCCAAAAAAGTCGAAACATTTTCAGAGATATTCCACTCTTTTTTGCTTCCCAAAAAATGAGACAGAAATAATGTGCAAGAAATAATAAATCCAACAATCAGATATCAAAGCTGAAAACCGAACCAGACCCGGAAAACCATTGAAGAAGGATATGCACAACGCCAGAAGACCAAAGAATGCAAGGCAAATCAGAAGAAAAAGGATGAACAGGGGAAAAAATAAGGTAAAAGTAATCTTCAATCTTTTCCAAAAGTGGAACGCTGCATACAAAAGCACGGAATACAACGATGATGACTTCGAAATATCCGTGTCGGATCTCGAAGAGTGAATGTATATATAACCCTGTCGTATAATATAGTAAGAGGGGAGATGAAGAATCAATGCTGATTGGAAACGAAGAATAAACGAAGAATGAAAAGAAATATCCAAAAAAAAAATCTAATATTGTTGATTAGTCTCTCGTGAAGGGGATATCGTGATCAAAGAATAATGGCTTTGCAGCGGCTCAGGTGAGTCTAAATGTCTCATGCCATAAGTATTCATGCCCGGGTGAAATGATCTCAATAGTGATGGATCTCTTGAACTATTGCCAGGGATGGAAGCCAGGCATTCCGGCTCCTCGACGCCCACTGCCTCTTCTGGATCCTCCAGAGGCTGTGCCCGATTCACCACCGACACTACTGCGTCGACCCTCCTCAAGGCTCCGCCGCGAGGCACCAAAATCACTCATTGCGAAAAGTAGTGGCTCATCCTCCTCAAAACTTGTTGTATGTTGAGCTGGAGGGCGTCCAGAGCCAGAGCGACGACTGGCACCGCGCCTGTTCTCCAAGAGTGATGTGACACTATTGCTTCCGCTTGTATTGCTGTCGCGGTCACGCTCACGCTCCGTGAGATGTGCTGGTATCGCACTACCTCGTGGGAAGCTTCCAGATGCAGAACTGTGTGATTGTGGTCCACCGGATGAGCCCCGTCCTCGACTATGAGAGAAGCGGGCTTGATACGGGTGGTTCGATGATGTAGACGTGGCGATAGCAGCACTAGACCCGTACCCCCCACGCTGCGCATATTCTCGCAATGGGTATGAGGTTTGTAATGCCGGATTGCTGGTGTCATCTGCTGGTTGCGTCGCTCCAGAGCTTTGCTGTTCAGTATTAGTACCCATGGACTCGTAGTCTTGCTGTCGCATCCGAGCGCTTAGGCTTAGGTGAGTTCTATCTTCGCCCAGAGAGACACTTCGCATACCAAACGGAAATATTTCCTCGTCATCAGCGCCTCCCGTACTCACACGTCGACTGTGAGCAGAACTTGAACGCCGATAAGCCGGCAGACCAGAGCTCGGAGACGTGGGGATGTCGATTACATTGGCGCCTGGTTGAGTGGGATGATATGCTGTCTCGTCACTTGGAGTGACTTCCGGTTCAACATCTGATTGTCGAGGAGAAGCATCACGTTCTCTGTCGTTAGTGATGATATTATTAGAACTCAACCGGGAGCGGATAGCTGGCGTATGAGGGGTATGAGGAGAAATTGGTTTGCCAGGAGACGAAGCTGTGGATATCGATGTGCCAGCAACCATTGGTGGAACACTGGACAGCTGTCGACTTGACGAGCTCGACGAACGGTGAAGGTGGAACGAAGAGGACATGGAGTCAGAAAGCGCAGCATTAGTATCGCGCATCCGTTGAAACCGAGTTAGTGCGGCAGATGTTCTACGAGTCGCAGCATCAACTGCAGCTTTCTTCGAAGGGCTCAATAGATCTTTTCTCAGGTCAAGCATTTTGAGGAAGTCTGAGATATTGTCGTCGTCTGTATGTAAGGAATCCCCGCTGGCACCGCTGGGATCTGCGAGTATGCCGGAACCAGGTGGCGCACCGGATGACGCTGCACTGGCTTTCCCGCTCGATATGTTGTCCTCGTCGATACGTGTAGTGCCGCCGGATGATAGTCTTCCACGCCGATGGCTGAAGGAGCTGCTGTACCTTGAAATAGAGGAAGGCTTGGGAGAGCCCGAAGCTGAGGATGGTAAAATAGGTTGTTCAAATCCTATTTTTCGCCCTGCCGAAGCCGGCACCGTTGGTGGCGGCATAGTACGAGGATCACTCAAACTCGAAGATGTTATTGTACGACTGCCACTAGTTCGAGGGGACACACCGAGTGGCGGATCAACGAGCGATGGAGATGCTGATAATGGTGGAGCTTTAAAGGGTTGGATTGATATCGAAGGCCGTCTGGCCACAGCGCCGCTACTCTCTCCAACTACGCGGCCTACGGGGCCTACTTTAGCAGCAGAAAGTAGTTTTCGCGGAGGAGACGCTGACGAGGGTGAGGTGCTACCCATGTCTCGGACGGCGCGTAATGTCGATATGGGACTAGCACCCGTTATCGGTCCAACTTGGTGGAACGTCGAGAGGCTACCGTAAGCCTGGGAACGATCGGGGTCTGCAAAACCTCTCCTCCCTAAGGGCAGGGAGCCTGATTCTTGAGCTAGCATTTTGTTTGGTTCTTCAGAGGGTAGTGATGGGAGGAAATAGTTGTCATCCGCACCCATGAATCGAGAACTTAGAAGTGATTCTGAATCATCGACTCTAAAATCAACATTGAGGCGATAGGCTACTTGAATGGAGAAGGGCCCGGCCGGCGATTCGGTCGTACCAAAGGAATAGGTCTCGATAACTTTCTCGTTTCCCGATTGTAGAGACAGCGTCAAGCTATCAGAGCTCGAATTGAAGTCGGTTTCACGAGCTTCACGAATTCGATATCTGATCTTCAGAGCCGGGTTAATACGCATAATTCCAGCTCGTTTGACAACTTTCCAGGCCGGCAATAATTTCGCATAGGAATGCAAGGATCGGAATAAGACAATGCTCTTCTTGTAAACTGTAGGTAGAATTGCAGCTAGGTCAGGGGGCGGCCTTGTTGATGACGCGCCGAGTTCAACCTTCCATCTCTCCAGAACGACTTCCTTTGGTCTGGCCCGTACCGAAGCATTCTGCGACGCTGCCAAGGCACCCACCACATCCCAGCGTTTTCCGCTTTCGTCTATGAGGACAAGGGTTTGACTATTCGTCAAGGACTTTGCGTCGAGATATGTCTCAATAATCATGGGCGGCGGTCGGTTATCGGTAGCATCGCATGTCCTCCACCTTCGTATGCTGTCCCGATATTCATCGGTTTCGTCCAATTCTACATTAAACTAATATACGAGATGATATCGGGTCAGTTGAGTGTTAAATGATTCTTCGAATATAATAGGTTGGCTTACCCAACGGTTCACTCTTGGTGAGTCGGATCCTTTGCTGAAAGTTGGGGGGAGGTCGACTCTTGCATGGAGTATGATAAGCGCGGCTTTAGTATGGTAGTTCTATAGAGCACGACGTCAGTGACAGTACTGAAAATACATCCTCCATCCATCTGATCTAGACTCACCGCTATGACTTGACTGAGCTTTGCCATGGCTTCTTTCGCGGGAGCCGATACTTCGGCTCCCGCGTCAATTCCTAGGCCTCTTGTTGCGTCCGACAACTGTACAGATGGCGGACGATTGTCATCCTGGTCTCTCGAAGTATCGGCTCTCGCTGAGCTCGGCGAGGATACGCTTGGCCGCCTTGCCGGCAACGGTGATCGTGGATGTTGATGCATTGTGTGATAGTATATCGATAATCATCAGCGTTGATGGACGGATCGGATGGGTAAGCAACGTAGTGTCCACCACCATGGACGACGAACGATAGGCAATAAGAAAACGAAAGGGTGATCAAGCGGGGGAAAACGAGAATGCCTGGAGGGAATTGGCCATGCTCTCTGCAATCGCAAGTTTCGGTCACGATGTATCGCTTTTGTTTGGCTGATGGTGGATCAATAGCGCACGCAAGGAAGAATAAAATAAAGGTACCTAAAGTTATTTTATATAATGAAAGATGAAAAGGACATGGTAACAGGCTAGTTATTCAGGCAACAACGAGTAGGGGGATCTTTGTTGTCGTGGATAGATAGCCTCACAAGAGCTTCTCCGCATTCGTAGCTGCGGACCCAATCACGGGGAGGGAACGAAAAGTGCCTCCTCACAATGTGAGAGAAACGGCACAGTTCAGAAGTCCATGTCTGTAGTGGGCGGGAGTACAGTTGATTTTAAAAAAGCCAAAAGATTGGATGGATTGTGGCAGAGGGGAGGGAGAGGGAGAGAGGAAAGGCAGTTTGTGAGGGCGCCTTGAGATAAGAGAGAGTCGAGTGAGACTGAGAGACAGAAGGAGCGAGCGAGACATGGGATGGGATGGAGCACGGCCTGTGACGCACACTGGTGACTCGAAGTCGCCTGGGCGGTCAAGTGGCTGCGCGCTGGCATTCGCTGGCCTCCGCTGGCCACCCGCTGTGCTAGTACGTAGAGAGTAGTAGTAGCTCCACTGATGTCCTCAGCCTGATACCGATAAGCATTCCCTAGCTACACTTACTAGTAAGTCAATCATCTGTCTGCGTGTGCGTGATATCTACTTTCATGGGGTGATGCTCAACTGGGCTTGTCGTTTATTTCTTCATCCAGGAGAAGTCTGATATTTTTTATTGCCTAGGTGGAAATAAACGGATCAAAGGCAAACGAGATCGTTATCGATATCGACTATTGCGCAAGGCTGACCGAGTCTGCAGGATACACGTGATGATGTATATACTAGTACGAGTGAGCTATCAAGGCGCTACATGCTACAGAGTAGATGGGAGTAACTTAGTACTGTAATACGCAGTAAGTCGTGTTTATTCAAGTCGATCATCCCAGCTATTGAGCATCTCCTCGGCTTCCTGGGCCTAGACCGCCAGACTCGAGACTCAGACTGGGGAGCGTTGAACCGTAGACCGGCCGGCGGTGGGAGATACGGGCCGCTCAGATAGGAAACTTTCCTATGATCAGTGTAATAATGTACTGTGAGTATGAATCATTACTGTGTGAACAACGTCGGACAACGATATAAAGAGAATGCATGAATCATCTATCGAGAAGGTGCATGCAACACTCCAGGTGTCCGCCGGCCTATGGGCAGATCAACGGCTCAATCGAAAGCTTCCGAGTGGACGCCTTGTTGTCTGCCATCAAAGGCGTTTGTTGCTTCAACAACAATATTCTTGTGTTTAAGATAGCAAATATTCCGTGTGAAATAATAGGTCAGAGAAGCGACCCAAGCTGTTGCTTGCTCACTAATAGCCGTGGCCGCTTCCAGGCCTTGTAGCTCTGCTGCGATATTGCACGAAGAGCTATACGGATATCATCACATGGGCCTTTCAACGCGATGAACAGATGAGGAATAAGAGAAGAAGAGAGAGGTAGCTAATGATCGAATGGCTTGGAGGGGTGTGCCTGCCGTGATTGGCTGTCCGCGATCCCGAGAGGGTCCTTCTCTCAGTGCGCGAACCGCGACTTCCTTGCGTTCCTCGATCGCTTAAGAGGAGGGAAGAATCATCTCTCCCGCATTCATTGTCTAACAATAACACTTCGATTGTCTCATCCTACGTTGCGCATCCATCTCGCATTCGTCGTCCAGCTTGAATGACTCAGAGCCAACTCACCTTGACTCATACGCAGAAACGGAGTCCGCTTATCTCCAGACGCTATCTTAAACCTTCGCCGATAGCTACATCGCGATTCGCCACCCCACATCTACCTACTTCGTCCACCACGAATCTGTTCATTTTACGAAACAACAAGTCCGGAAAAAAATCGAGAAACTTCACTCGCGCGTCGCATCACCACTCCCCAGAAATCTTCCGAACGGCCGACAGAGCTCCTTTAAATACGCCGTGATCCCGAGTGATCACAGCGAGGAATCCGCTCCGAGGCCGATTAAGATTTCTGCATTCGTCCTATCTCGTGGCACATGAGTAGCACGCTTTTGAAATACTTTCTTCAGGATGACGTGGACAGTTTCAAGCGTTTGTTGGCAAACGTCAGCAATGCGCCAACTGGCCAGCGGTCAGCGCCAGGAAGCATTACACCGAAAATAGGAAGTCCCTCATACGGTTCGTCACCAAGTGCATTGCCGCGCAGCCAGAAAAAGGTCATCGGGACCTCGCCGGGCGCATCGACTCCTGATCGCAGCGGATATGTACGAGGGACTACAAGTCCGTGGTCTCGTACACAAGTGAACGCTCGTGATCAAAACGGGCGCACATTACTTCATTTGATCGCCTCATCCCCGAAATCGACCGCCATCGAGTTCGCGAATGCGCTGTTGGAGTTACCCTTTGTTGATATATATGCCCAAGACTCGGAAAGTGGATGGACGGCACTGCACAGAGCTCTATATTTCGGGAACGTTGCTGTTGCGCAAGCTTTGATGCAAAAGGATCTCCGGGGCGCCACGGATTTCAGTGCTCCTAGCAGCCTTCATCACTTGACTGCAAGTTTAATCAAGATTAAAGACCGGGAAGGAAATAGTCCTTTCGATGTTTACGGTGCAACCATCATTGGTCGTGACATTAAGCAAGCCGTAACACTGGACGGAAAGTCACTGGGCGACTATATATCGATCGACAATGATAACGATGCTTCTTCAGCGGAAAACTCTGTCTTTGGAGGTGACAGCCCCGAGGATGGGTTTTGTCCAAGAGCGCAATTGAAAGCTCGAACAAATTTACAGGGCGATGAAGTTTTCACTTTCGGTAGCAACAAGAATATGACACTTGGTTTGGGAGACGAGGACGACCGTCAATTCCCAGAAAGGATATCACTGGATCGACCACATCACCTCCTTGAACGATTCTTCACGGAACGAGAAGAGGCTCGCGATCATCAAGAGCAAAGGTCGGCACTATTTAGTCAGGCTGTGGGTCATGCTGATAATCCAGGCGATTTGCCTACTCTGGTTGCATCAAGACCGCTATCTATTCAAGATGTATACATGTCAAAACTACACACAGCAGTCTTGACTAACGATCCGGAATCGAACCTGTATATGGCTGGATTCGGCCCTGGCGGTCGCCTGGGTACGGGTGACGAGGCCACGAGATTTCATTTCGTTTGCATTGAAACAGGCGGACTTTCTGGAAAGAAAGTCATATCGCTTGCTCTTGGGCAGGATCACTCAATCGCCATTTCGGAACAAGGCGAAGTCTTTACATGGGGAAGTAACAAATACGGTCAACTAGGCTACAATCTTCCACGGGCAAACAATAAGAGAGACACACCAATACAAAGCACCCCGCGACAGGTCTTCAATCCATTTAAGCGTGAAGTCATACTTGGGGCCGCCGCTTCTGCGATTCATTCCGTCGTTTTCAGTACATCCGGTCTTTACACGTTTGGTAAAAATGAGGGTCAACTTGGTCTGGTTGATTCTGATGCTCGTTCGCTTGAAGTCCAGGTCACTCCTCGTCGTGTCGGAGTTTCTCTCTTCAATGCTCCCATTCGCATGGTATCAGCCATTGATAGAGCTACCGCAGTTCTTCTCGAGACTAGTGAGACCTGGGTTTTTACGCACTACGGTTATTCTAAAGTCATATTTCCTCTTGATTTCAGCTCATACTTCATTAAAGAAAGTTTTCTGGCCACCAGGTATGGCAACACAGCAAATCGGGTCCTGAAGATCACTGCCGGCGGAAATACCATTTGCGCGCTTTCCAGCTTCGGAGAGGTTTACAGCGTTCATGTGAACAGTAGACCTGACCCTTCAACAACTTCATCGACGACTAATCCTGCAAAGATTCGGAACTCTCTCTCTACGCCAGAGCGTGTTTGGTCTGTGAGAAAGTCTCACATGGCTGCAAATGATGTTGATGTTGGACAAGATGGGTCTATCATCATCTGCACAACTTCCGGATCCGCATGGAGGAAAGAGAAACGAGCTAAAATTAAAGCATCCAGCTCCAAGGACTATAAATTCGTGCGTGTTGCAGGTCTTTCCAGAGTCGCAGCCGTCAGAAGCAACGCGTTTGGTGCATTTGCAGCTGTCCAGAAAGACTGTGATGTAACTAAGGAACAAGTGACCGTTTCCCCATCTTCATTATGGAATGACTTTTTCCAGCTTTTGCCGATTAGTTCTCTGGCAGAAAACGCAGAGACCGATCTCACGGATGACTCCATGATCAGGCATCAAATAGCCAAGATGAAGTTGGCGGTCTCCTCTTCGTCTAACATAGAAACTGAGGTGCAGCGTATCGTGGAGAGGAGTCACATGGAAAGACCTGCACATGTTATTTGGCTCAGAACTACGGTATCTGATACGCAAATACCTGTCCATGAATTCATTTTCGCCGGTCGAAGTCCTATTTTGCGAACAGCACTAGCTGAGTCGCGGCGAGGTAATGGGTTCTCGCTCCCAGACTTCATCACGTTGGCAGAGGCCAAAAATGGTGCCCATGAAGTTGTCTTTCAAGGAATGGACTTCCTCTCGCTTCTAAATCTCGTTGTGTTCCTCTATACCGATGATGTCTTGGATGTGTGGCGTGATGTTAGACACGACTCGGTCAATGCCTATAGGTATAGACAGGTTCGAACTGAGGTCATGCGTATTGCTACTCATCTGGACATCCAGGCTCTAGAGCGGGCTGCTCGAGTAATGGGCGAACCGTCCCGGACGTTACATCATGATATGGAGAGAGCATTATATGATCCAACTTTCTTTGAGAGCGGTGATGTCACCATACGCTTGAAAGATGCAATAATTCGCGCCCATAGTCAGGTTGTGTGCCAAAGATGCCCTTTCTTCGATGCTCTTTTCCATGGTCGATCGGGTGGAAGATGGCTCGATTCAAGACGCCAAGAGGATGCCATTACAATCGATCTTCGAAATATGGATTCACACGTGTTCAGTTTTGTCCTTCGTCATCTATACGCTGATACAGAAGACGAACTGTTTGAAGATGTGCGATACAATAACCTGGATGATTTCATTGATTTGGTTCTCGATGTGATGTTTGCTGCCAATGAGCTCATGGTAGATCGGTTGGCTCAGGTTTGTCAGAAGATGCTAGGACAGTTTGGTGAGTAAAGGACAGCTTTGATGTGTTACGATATATACTGATTTTCATCAGTAAACACTCGCAATGTCTGTCAACTGCTTAATGCTGTTGCTCCCTGCACAGTAACAGAGTTCAAGGAGGCTGCTTTGGAGTATATCTGTCTGAACCTTGAGACCTTGCTTGAGAATAGGTGAGTCGCATTGGTTGGCTTCTTCACGTACTAGCTAATAATCTCACAGGCTACTTGATGATCTTGAAGAAGATTTGATGGACGAACTAGACGAGATCTGCCAGGAAAATCAACTTGCACGATATCCCGTTTCCCGTGGCCGCAACTCAGAAGAAGCGTTACTTGAGAGATATCCCGAGTTAGTGACGAGTCTTGAAGTAGACAGGCAAAGGAGAGTTGATTCAATGCGTCTCAGTTCGCGACGTGACCGAGACGGATTGTTCGATGGGAAGATTCGAGCAAGTGTCTTTGACAAAGGCACCCCATCACCATCCGTTCGGAGAACGAAGATCGCTCAAGGTGGTGAGCCGAGGCAGACTGTTGGAAGTCCGACACTCAAGGCTCGACAGTCTATAAATGATCTCATGTTCCAAATGGACGACGAGTCAACCATGTCGCCCACTCCAGTGCGCAAAGGCAAAGCTCCCATGACCAATTCGCCTGCAGAAGACCTAGATGATTTATCACAGTCTCCTGCTTTCTCTCTGTCTTTCAATCAAGGAGATTCTGTAGGCGATGCAAACTATCTGCAAGCTGGAGTGGGTTCATTGGAAAGTGGTGCAGCTAGCAGTCTGACTATTCCTACCACACTTCAGCCAACGCCTCCAGCTACGTCAAAGGCGGCACCATGGGTATCGCCTGATATTTCTGGCGATAAAAGAAATCTCAGAGATATCATGGCTGAGACGTCCACGTCACGTGTTTCGAATCTTACTCTTGGCATGACAGATCGCTCAAGCGCTCAATCTGCTGGCACTTTCTCTCAGAAAATGTCACAAAAAGAACGCAAGAGACTTCAGCAGGTACAAGCTCAGGAAGCTCTGGAGGCACAGCAAAAAGCGGCAGTCGATTCTCGACAGTCACCATGGCAGACAGTTAGCAAAAAGCCAACCCCAAGCCCGCGTGATGATGTTGTCGAACAGACCGGCTCGAATCCCAAAGCTATTCAGAAGCCCGCCATGACCCTTCGGCAGACCGTTGCTGGAAGTCCATCGATCCGTCCGCTTATCAAACCTGGACCGTCTCCTAGTGGTCAAGGGCGGAGTGTCTCACAGCCTATCCCAGGTCCTTCCACAAATGCGAAGCCGATACCAGCAAACACAACCCCTGCAAAGTCGAAGGCAAGACCATCACCTAGCTTGTCTCCCATCTCCACACCACAGCCCGTCATCCAGTCAATTCGTCACACACCTCGTCCTGAGCGATCTCTTCCTGGCCCCGCCGGTCAAGCATCTCTAGCTTCGATCCTTCTTCAACAGCAGGCAGAAAAGGACGAGATTCGCGAAGCAGCATCCGCCAAACATAAGCTACAAGACATCCAAGCAGAACAAGAGTTTCAAGAATGGTGGGATAAGGAGAGCAAACGAGTCATGGAAGCCGAAGCTGCGGCTGCAGCAGCGGCTTTGCGGTCGTCGACGGGTCGGAATGCTCGACGCAAGAATAGGGGTCAGCAGCAGTCACAGTCACAGCAACAACAACAGCCCTCACGGCAATCGCAACAGCCACAAGGAAGTAAGCCTCAACAACGACAGAATCAAGACAAACCGAGTGAAACCCCTCGATCTCAAGGCAATCGCTCCAATCATCGCCGGCCTCACAAGAATCCGCAAGCATCATCATCAGGACCCAACAACCGTCCAGAGCCCATAACTAACCACTCATGACTACTGAAATCATGACTGTCCAACAACGACACTCTTTTCATTCAACGTATATAATTGTACATCCGTATCATGTTCTGCTGTACGATACCTTTTTTATAGACAGATCACGACGTCTCTTTCCATTTTTGTTTGGACTACATAGTCTTTTGAATTGTGTTATAGAGATCTGAATAGACGAACAATCTCATTCATGGATATATCCGTATAGCACCTCGCCATCATTTCAGGTACATGATTTACCTACGTACTTGATTTTTCCTAACACCCTGGGACTTTCCTGTCCCATCTTAATGCTCATCCCATCGTTACTTTACTCCCTGTGTAGAATTGAGCACGCCCTTGAGTGTTGTAATTAGATTAGTGAGTTTATATAAGCTTGTGGAGATGTTTAGTGATCTATTATTAAGTATACTAATTTAACTATTAGATATAATATATGTTTATATATGTTGTAAAATGTTATATAAACTGTTTAGCTAATCATACTCAATTTATTTAAAACTGACCTAAAAGACCTATTAGTTATATCATCTGACAATTCAAGTATAAAATTGTACAGCCCTTTTCACATGTGCTAAGCATAATTATAACCTAGAATAGCTTCACACTGTAAATCGACTCCGTGGTTGACATTCAAGCTTTATATTTCAGGTTATGTTGGCTGTTGGTATATTGATTGAGATTATTCTATGTCAAGAGAGAAGCGATAAATTCCCATAATGACTACATGTTGCGGACAAGGATATAAAGATAAATCAAAGGGACAGTCACATATGAACACAACAAACAATGATAACCAGTTCAGTCCATTGCAACGCCTATCAATAGTCACCAGTGATGACGGGCAGCTCGTAGATACCTTCACGTCGAGGATGCGGAACTCGAGCCTCTCTTTCGATTTCATCTTGATCGCGCAGCCACCAGAGCAGCCTAAAATCAACCTTGCCCCATCCTGGCCAATGCTCATTTCTCGAGGACCTTTCATAAATTGTGACAACTTTTACAAATCCAACGTACTCATATGTTCCCCATTTAATTTTCATCCCTTCAACAGGCTCTGGGGCTTTCAGGATGGATTGGAAGACCTCTTCATCAATCAAAAGACAGTACGAACCGTTGACCTCGCCCCAAAGAGCCTCATCGCCTAGTTCCACTTCTAGCTCAGCTTGCTTTTGGCGATATAAGTCATCTTTTCGATCTCGTGTCACAGTATCATCATCGGATTCGATTTCATCATTGCCCATTTCTGGAATGAGCATTTCTCGTCTGAAATCTTTCCGAATCTCATCGATGGACGCATTGTTGAATTTTTCCCGATCCCAGACTATGGTATTTGATAATTCGTCTCGATATTCTGGGTCATTACAGCTGAGCTCCATGTATGTTTCCAGTCTCTCGAGTACAGAGGACCATAGCTCATCCGACTGAGGGGTATAAACAGTCCGGTAGATTGCGAAACCCCACTAGGAAACATACGGTCAGTCTATAGACCATAATGGAAGGCCATATGGTTTTTCTGTTTCTATCGCTCACCTGATATGGATTGACAGACTTGTTCATTTCTCTGCCCGAGAGTGAGTATGATGGAGGGAATTGATAGTAAGATGGATGGTTGGCAGGGTTGTCTGGCTGGTTATTTATTTATGGTCCCAGCCACAACAAATCAACTTTACATGTCCGTTGGCTCGGAAGAGCATCTATGGTAGTATGTGCACGACCAGTACGTAAAAAAAGATCCCAAAAACTTGCAAGGCAGTTAACATAGTGAGATGTTTGACTGCTGAGTTTGCTTGTCAAGGTTCGCTCGACTAACTATAGTATGTATAGGTTAGAGGCTGAGAGCCGCACTAGTGTGCATTTGGGTCCGATGCATTCTGTCGGAACTCCTCGAATGCTTATAAGGAGAGAGCATTGGGTCTGTACGCACATGAGAAAGGCCTCAATAAAAATAGTAGCTCTTCGTACGTCATGACGCACATTCAAAACCAACTGTCGCTCGATCTATGATATATTTTCCTCTGCACTTTTTGTATCTGTATTGGCGAAGCTGGACGGATAATGGATGGCACAGAACCTCTGCACGCAATCGTTTTACTCAAACACAAGTTCAAATCAACTGATTGCTTCCGAAAGGGTTTTACTATCTTTCCGATATTCTTCGAAGTTGTTTCTGGATAGCATGTTTCTCCATGGAACCCAAAATTCTTCATGCTTTAGTGCTTGTTAACTAAATATAATCTGCAGTGCCAATGTCAGCCTCTCGCTTAGCTACCCTACAGTCAACACCTCACTGAGCAGCCAATTCAACACCTTCAGCAAAGTTGTAATGTGCTTTATGATGATTCGTAGCCGTCACCGAGGCTTACCTTATGCACTGGATTGCGCTATTATGTTACCAAGCGACCAGGTCAATGAAAATGGTTCACAATCCGAGAGGAAGAAGGAGGATGATCCACCTGACGCAGAAACAACAAAAAACAAGTCGCCTAGGTTGCCACCGATGAGGACATATCTTACGACCTGATGAATGACACAGTTACGCCCAAGAGTCAAATACCCACCATATAGAAACAGACCCAGCACATAATGATTGCACTGCATATCCATATCGATTTACGAACATTGTTATGTACCACTATAAAAATGAGAAAATTTCCGAAAGGAGTAATTTAGCGTTGAGTGTGTTTTAAATGCAGTCTTGAGAGGTGGATCTTCTTCATTACAAAAAGCCACCCCTATCATCTTCATTTCTGATCATTAAAGTCTATTATTTGATTTACATTAGTCCCTACGTACTTGATTTTTCCTTACGCGCTAGGGCTTTATTATTCCATTTTAGTGCTCACTCTATCACCACTTTTACTCCTCAAGTAGCACTGAGCACGACCTTAAACACTATAATCAGATCAGTAAGCCTTATATAAGCTTATAGAAATACTTAGAGTAATCTATAGCTAAGTAACTTAACTTTGACTTATTTGAAACATGTGCCCAACTGCCGCTGCACGGTATAACTAGAAGACAAGCCTTCCAGTATCAGATAGATTTGTTGCAATTTATTCGGTAGTTCATCTATAACCCAGTGGAACACTATACTTGCCCGTAATCAGGCAGAATTCCGATACCCCTCCCTCTTTTTCAGTAACGATCTACATGGGAATGCCCGCGACACTCTCTTGAGTCTGGGCCAGTGCTTGTAGGAGAGACGCCCAAATGACAGGTTCGACACGATGAAACAGGTGATCTGGAGTCCACTTCTACCGGCTAATTTCTCGCCGCAAAAGTCGTAATCAAAAGACAAATGTATGTCTCTATTGGCGTGAAATATAACTGGAGATTTCCGATTGGCCTATAAACGTTTCAGTGAGGAAATTAGCAGCTGCTTCGAAGTAGACTGGAACAGAATTCTCGATTAAATCGAAGACACTCTAGATGATGTTTATCCTAGGTATATTCTGGAGCCTATGTCATGACGAAGCTGGCTATTTCAGACCATGTCTGTTGAGTCTGGCTCGCAAATAGGATTCTAGAGAGCGCGGAAGACCTGGAATCCCCTGCATAACAAAACTACGTAAGCTCATAAAATGCCACCTCATTGACGGAGCTTCGTTTTTGGCTGTATGGTATGTTTATTTCACCTCCTCTACGGGTCTCCCAGCCCTGATTTTTGATTGAAGGAAATTTTGGATTCAAGAACCCGGCGATATCACTCAAAACGGCCGACTATAACAGACATGCCGTCTCTTATCGGTCTATTCATTTATGACCGTGGACATAAATAGAGACGCAAACCACCGAAAATTGCGTGCTGGCCAGTATTCAAGCCCAGTTTCCTTCATCAAACCCTTTGCGGTACAATCATTCAACCCTAACATTGTCTTCAAATACACCGCTATCATGGTTCATTTCTCTCAACTCGTGGTGGTGCTCACAGCCGTCCACTTAGCAATAGCTGCTCCTACGGAGCAGACTGAGGCGTCTGTTCAGAAGCGCGGTCCTCATAACTTTGTTATGGGCCCTGACCATCCTTTGATGATGGCCCGTCGCAATGAGTCGTTATCCCGTCGGGCCACAAACTATGTTCAGGACTATACTACTGGGGAAACAGTATATTTTGCCCCAGAGAGTGGCGAGTTCTACGTGTCCTGGGATACTACTGATGACTTTGTTGTCGGTGTTGGCTGGAATCCGGGAAGCACTGAGTAAGAAAGAAGCTCTCGTCTTCACGTTTCCCCTTCTTGACTAATATACCATTCCAGGCCTATTACCCACGCTGGCAGCTTTGATGTCACATCTGGACTTGCAAGTCTTTCTGTGTACGGCTGGACGACCGATCCTCTTGTTGAGTACTACATCATTGATGAGTATGTGAACATGGAGCAGGCTGGTACACAGAAAGGCACGGTGTACAGCGACGGTGCCACGTACACCATCTGGGAGAACGAGCGTGTCAACGAGCCATCGATCGAAGGCACTTCGACTTTCAACCAGTACATCTCAATCCGCGAATCAAATCGTGTCAGCGGGACCATTACGGTAGAAAACCATTTCAAGGCTTGGGCGAATGTGGGTTTGGAACTGGGCACTTTGGATTTCCAGGTAATTGCTGTCGAGAGCTGGGATGGCAGTGGTACCGCCGATCAGACTGTCGCGCAGTAGAAAGTGGCTGTATCGCTTTCACGTCCAGAGTCATGGAGGAGGGAGGCCAAGTGGTGGATTGGATCGAGCAAGGGTTCAGATTCTAGCACACAACTTTATTCAGTGTTTGTACTTGACTGTTTCTTAACTCATCTGGCTTCTCAAGAGTAATGAGAATTAGTCTCTAAGAAGGATACCAATCTGAAGTAATTTTGCATGCTCCTTATAAACGTGTAGCTATTTGCATTAGCTTGTTCACAATTAGAGAAATGTTTCCAAGTAAATCCCTTCAAGAACAGCCCTTCACACGCCAGGACTGAGTAGGAAGATGTAGAAATACAGTACACGATATCTATCCTCGAAGCAATGGACGCTGGATTACGCGGCTAAGTCGTCTTGAACTATACGATATACTCTAATTCGCCACCACTATGGAATTAATCAACATTGTTGAACAGAATGCTTGTCCCTTGATGTGTTGTGATGTCTGACTTGCTGGCCAGCGCTTAGCGTGCTTGGATACTCAGTCAAATTGTCTGTGAGGATCAACCGCACAAAGATTATTGAAAACATGGAGTTTCATGATGATGCGGATGGACCTATTGTTCCATACATATTCTGCCCGACGTACTACTGTATTATGGGGGGAAATTCAAGAGGAGGGCTTCATAGTGCTTATTTCACAGACTATCCTACTATCTCAATCGATATCTCATTTTTGAACTGGAATTGCCCGAATCATTAAGCAAGTCGCCTAAGCAAGTGTCAACAGACCGGGCTGGTAAGGAAGAAGGTTGTAGTTGCTACTGGAGGAGCTAGTAGATCGTCCCTGGTAGAGAAATTGTAGATTGCAAGCATCGATCGTCTGCGTCTGGTCGGGATTCGTACGGATCAGATCGCCGCTGCTGATGTCGTTGGTCCAGGTGGCGCCACTGTTGGCCTTGCCAGCGAATGGTTTGGACTCGGTTGAGGCCTGCGGCGTCCATGTGCCTCCCAGACTCGAGGCCGTGAATGAGCGGAAATAACGTCCATTTGCACCAATTGCCTCGACGATCATGAGGTATTGATTTTGACCCTCGACAGTGTAGACCTCTACTGCCTCGAACAAATTGTTCGTCGAGTCACTGAGAACGATCGTCGATGCCGAGCCGAAACTTCCAGGAAAGTTTCCAATGGGCATGCTGGCACGGTAGATATGGCCATCATCTCCAGCAAAGAAGAGATACATGTTTGTGCTATCGCCAATAACTGTCTGATCGATGACACCGGTACTGGAGCCGGAAATAGTTCCCGTAAACAGAGCCTGTGGCGATGACCAACCATTGGCATTGGAAGGATCGCTAGAAGTCCTGTAGGAAAACGCATACGGTCCCCATTGATAGGCAAGGATCCAGACACTTTTTGGTGCGAAGTAGAAGACCGTGGGAGCAACAGCCCCAGTGGTCATCGTGTTTTGGCTGGCAGATGACATCTCAGACCAGTTCGAAAACAGGCCAAAGTTCAAGGAGCCATAGTTACCAGCTGTGTTGGCAGTCGATCCATAAACGAGATGTTGGCCGTTGTAGATGACATGAGTATAGTCTCTCAGGGCAACCAAACCCGACTTGGGGCTTGCCAATGGGCCAGTGGATGTCCACGTGTACGTAGAGGGAAGTGCGCATCCAGCTGTGGTTGTCAATATCGTCCAGCTTGAACTGAATGTTCGGATACAACTTACATCGTTTCTCGGGTACTGGAGATCCAGATACAAGTGGCAAAACCGCGAGCAGCGCGGCGAGGAAATGCATTGTGTTCAAGGAATTTTAAGAAAAGATCTTCTGGAATTTGCAATACTGGTGATGTCCTAATTGCACAGTCTTTCCGTCCTCCTCTTATACTGTTCCTGGCTGAAATCGGTGCAAGCTATTAACCGACGGCCAATTCTTATGAAACTAGTGAAACAAGCTATAATATAGTTGATGATCAACTTAATTTCGATGCCCCCATTGGAAACAATGAACGGGCTTGTCTTTCGCACCAGTGCATAATGTCACCCAATCCAAGCAATTAGCCTAAAACTGTTATTTAGATGGTCACTCAATAATATATTCGATGAAACTTTCTAAAACTATAACCCCACATTTTCGACCCCTGTAAACCTTGCTCCCCAAATTTAAAGATTCCAACCTGAGAAATGCCGGACATAGAACGATTTGCCAAATTGCTGCCAGTTTCATGTCTCAGAGTCGGCTCCACCATCACGAACCCCCATCACAACGCAATGGGTGGCCAGTGTTTGAGACAGAATTTCGATGCCGAAGGATATGCATTCAACTGCCGGCATTTCAGATTGGTTCGACACAGACGGCCGCGAGGGGGTTAGCTGGAAGCCACGTAGGTCACTGACAATTTCGCATTTAGGGCTCTTAAGATCCTCGCGGGTATATACCTGTTTAGATCACTAGTGCTAGTATGCACTTGGACTTCCACTCAACATGGGAGGTTGGCAAATGCATTTTTATAATAAGCGATTCAATGCACTGCAGTACTTTGTCAATTTGCCGATGAATGCGAAGGTATAGAGCGCCTTCGCACTATTTGGGTCATGTGCGCCTTGAAATCGGCCCTTAGAGACACAACGCGGCCCAAGAGATGTTATGCGTGGAAATTTATTTCTGCGTGGAACACCTGAATCCGGAATCGAGGGCTGACCAGGAGTTAAATGTTGCAACTAGATTGATGAAGAGAACAAATGGATAGAGGCAAACAGGCCGCACTCAAAGCACTTGCCAATTCGGGTGCTGAAGATTTCATTGAGCCTATGGAAGCACTAGATATGCAATAACCAGGTACAAATCAAGCTTCTGCGCCATGAGTTAGGATATTGGTCGGCTAATTTCACAGACTTTTATTCTAATTACTGGTAGCTATTTCAACTAAGATGGGGATCGACTTGACAACGTAGTATGTAAGAATTATGTCGACTACTAGTGATGTGTCGTGGTTTATCACTTGAGTGTGCTGCCTACTGGACAAGCACTCTTCACACGTATACTTAATCAAGTCATATCCTGCAATAAATCAGTGAGTAATCGGCGTTCCTAGCATCAAGATCAACAAGATAAACTGGTAATTAGGGCACATGGCTCGGTAGAACAATTTATCGTGCGGAGTTTACAACAGGCTATAATGCCCTATCTCAGTTTAAGCGGGGTCGGGTGTTAGATTAAAGTATAACTAGTCACTCTATATCATTTTCGCTTTCCATGAATAGGGTTGAACGGGTATGTTCCTAGAGGGGCTGCATCGGCTATGGTGGTCAAGCATCAATGAAGAGCTAGTGCCCTGTTCAAAAGATGTGACCACCTTGCTCTAAATATGTCAAATGTTGTGTCCTTGCGTGATATTGAATCCCGAGGTGAGCGGTGCTATGTCGCTCGATTTCCTTACTCGTTACTAACAATCGCATTTTGACCATACTGATCGCCTAACCAGTTCCAATATGATGTGTGGTACACCTAAAATTGTATGGCACGCTAAACACCATTGTACAGGTAGATTCAACAACATTATTTGGTAGAATGAGGAAATCAAAGTGGCCATGATAATGTTGAGGCAAGCGGGCATTTCATTTCCACTGACTATCCCGTTGACGGGTAGAATCTCCATCTCATTGATTGTTGTACTATGATCTTACAAGACCAATTATTGATATATCTCTCTCTTATGAGTCAGTCAAGACGAGTACTGTAGATTGAATATTCGGACGTATCGTTACCATTGGCCACGGTATTAGAATCAATGTTCACCATAATACGGTACCATTATCAACAGCATGCTTCCAAGTTGCGTATCGGTAACCACCTACCTATCCATGCAACTGTCTATATCTTGTGTCCGACAAGTCGCCTAAATGTTTGAGATAGTAACTTTTACAAATCAAGGCTGCAAACGAGAGATGCTTGTACCTCGTTCCATTCAACCGTGCACCGGATAAAAAGGTGAGATACCAATGATTATAAACATACATAAGTCATTAATATAAACCTGTCCATATTCAACACTGAACCAGTCCTAAACAAGCAAACCGAAAGGAAAAAGAAAAAACCACCAATGATTAATCATAAAAGAATATGTAACTAGTTATGTGTTCGACGCCATCTAGAACAAATGATATATTTCCATCTCTCGCGTGTTACGATAAGAATGTGGGAACAAAACCAAAGTGAAGCATGGAAGTAAAGTAATGTAAAGAAGAAGAGAGGCATTAAGCGGGAATAAGGATGCTAACGGGATGAGACAATCGCTGGTAGGATGGAAATAGGTGTGGTGTTGAGAAGGGTTGGCTGAGTACAAACATGGTGGAGTTGGTGTGTATGTAGATTTATGTATGTGTGTAGGAGACACTCAACCCGGACTGGCGACTTCGCCTCTGCTCTCCCACATACGACGGAGAAGCATTTCCTGTTCAGTTGCAAAGTAGCCTTCACGATCTGCTGTACCGGTGACTGCCTTGTTATCTGTACCCGTAGGTCCATTGACAGAAGAGGATTCGCCTTGTTGAGATTCCACTGCTAATCGTTCTGCCGAATCGGACAATGGGTCGCTGATGTTGACCACATCGTCATGCTCTTGGAAATAGACGCGTCCCGGTTTCGATGTCCGATGACGACTCTTGTCGGCTGATTCTGCGCTGCTCTCATTATCGCCCGATGATGCTGCGGCTGCTTTTGCGCGCCTGCTGGGTAGAGCATTCAAGAATTGGCCTGTTGTCAAGGATGGTGCGGATTTTGAACTCTTAGCTAGAAAATTGCTCGTAGATTCTGACGCTGTGTTTGGTCTGCCGCTTGTATTCGTCAATCGCTCTAGTCGCATGAAACTATTCTTCGTTGGACTCTGAAAACGACGAACAACGTGCAGTTCTAGTGCTATCTTCTCAAACGCTTTGCGCGTATGTTTGGCTTCACTGTCGTGCGATGCCCCAACGCGGGCGCTTCCATTTACGGTGCCTCGGCCGTTATCATATTGCCCGTTCCGTGTATGTGAAGCAGCTATGAAAGCGGGATCGATCGTGGACGGAGGAAGAGCGGGCGATCCGTTCGAGTCAGGAGGAGACGTAGTCAACGCCGCCGTTCGTTGAAGCCATAGCTTCTGTTGTGTTCTGGATGGTATTCCGTCACCAAGAGGGCGAGATTGTGGGGATGTAGTTTTGCCTTTCTTTGCGGCGCTGCGTTCCGGTGTAGGAGGCGCTTGAGGATGGTAATGTGGGAGGAAAGATGATGGCGTGTTAGGGTCGGAGTCCGTTCGTGAAGTTGCATGCGCTCCAGCTTGAGGGTTGACGATGAATCGTGAGACGCCACCTTCGATCGAAGACGACTGAGGTAAGGAAGACTGAGCTTGCGATGATGGCACAGAAGGTGCGTGTCGCAGGCCGCCATGGCTAGAAGCAAGGTTGCTGAGAGACGTTATAGATTCGTTTCGTCGAGAAGCATCTATTCCAGTTGCGGTACCCATGGCGGAAATTGATGACATTGCCGGTGGCGCTTTTGATAATCGCGACTGGCTCAACAGACGATTTGCTATGTCCTCTGGTTCGTGCGCTCGTGGCTCGGGTTTTGGCTCCCGCTCCTGCTCATGCGAAGATACAGAAGACGCTTGCTCGTGGGTTGCACTTTCATCATCAGAGTCCTCGATCGCTTGTGGAAGATTGCTGATTGTCGATTCCGGGAGACTTCTCGACTGTGGTATTTGTGGGTATGGACGCTTCACGAAAGTCAACTGATCGACCAAAACCTGACTGCTTTCTGCACTGTCCTTGGTTGATTGCACAGCAGAGCCACGTCGCGTGCTTTCCGGTGACTGGGTGCTGTCTTCCCACTCTTCTTCCGAGTCGGAATCGCCGACTAATTCGAATCCCACTGATTTCTTCGGGCGTCCTTTCGCTGACTGCGGGCGATCGGTTACGAGAGCCTTCTTCGGAAGGATAGCCGATGTATTGCGGTGCAGGGCGGGAGTGGAGTAATTCTTTCGCATCGACGAGACGTGCGATTTGTGTTCGCCCAGAGATGTATTTTCGCCCTCCCAGCGGACGTGGGACGAGCCTGACGTTCGTGGGCTCTCGACCGGTGTAACGGGGGCAGATTTCTTACGTTGATGATGGCGGGCACCAGTGCCGATCGTATTTGTACCCTCGGTAAACAGATGTATGTTGGATGTAGTATGCATCCTCTGCAGCTTATTCAGGTTTTTACCAAACGAAGGGTTACGTCCGTGAGCGCGATGGCCACCGCCCACAACATGGGGGCGCGCTTTGTGGCCAGCGGCAGCTGTAGCTTTCTGGGGTTCAGTTGCATCGGTCGCAGTGGTTGCTGGGGACGTGCGTGTCGATATGATCGCGTGGGATGAGACAGAGCGGCGGGSCAGGCCAGGCCGTTTCCCGGGAGAGGTGACATGGCTATTGCTAGTCGGTGACATGCTGGTTGATGGAAGATCGAGGCGCAAGGGAGGTTTCTTTCTGCACTGTACAATCGCCTCGAAGCTTGCTATGAACTGCAGCCAGCCGGCTTCAGACCATCAATCCTAAAGATCTAGATTATTGCTGTCTTCCGCTAGAAACGAAGCCTCTGCAATTTCAGCATGAATCAGTCGCACAAATCTCATAGTCTTCTCATTCGGCCATTGATGCAGGACGGAGGTAACGGAGCACGGCAATTGGTGGGCAGCACGCCGAACGGACTTGGCTGGATTGCTTTTTCTGTCTGGTTAATGGCTGTGGCTGCTGCAAGGCATGATCGACAGTAGCACGAGCGAAGCACGGTCGAGGATGATTGAAAATAAGAATAGTAGAATTGAGATAAATGAGAAGTAGTGAAGGAAAGTCGCTGAGGGAAGAGCGAGAGCTGATCAAGGGAAAGATGTGGGGAGTGGCTAACTGCAAGTACCGACCGCTTCCAGACCATCCATTATCTTCACGTCCAGCGGAATTGCCTGCCTGGGTATTCCTGCCGGATGCGTGCTCTCACTTTCGTATTTATTTCCAAGGTTATCTTCGGGAAACAATAAAATTGATTATCCCTGTACTATACATGACGGCTACACTAATCAATTCTATCAAGTACTCAAATGCTGATTGGTATCATAGCTGCAGAAAGATTGTGGTTTACACTGAAAATGAAGGCAGCGCGCAAGACAACGAACAAAGTCACATCCATTCCAGCTCAAAGATCTATTAAACTCTCCTCGACTGCCGGTTTGGGGGCACCGGTCTCTGGTACCTGCGAGTGGACAGAGTAACCAGCTGGAGCGCCAGGGTAGGCTGGATACGCTCCTTCCGCGGCTTGGTGGGGAGGCTGCTGAGCATAATGTTGCTGATATGACTGCGCTGGTGGCGGGTATTGGTATACAGAAGAATCATGACCGGCCTGTTGGGGAGGCTCTTGAGGCGGGKAATTTGAGTATTGGGGCTCACTTTGTCCGTATGGAGCAGAAACGGTTGCAGATTGAGAGTATTGAGAATCGCGCCTCGTGATTTGGGGCTGTTGATATGGTGACTCGCCCTCTGCATACGGGGTAGGGGCGAATTGACCTGGAGGGTTGTAGACACCAGGAGCTCCTGGGGGGATTGAACTATATTGGCTCGTATATGGTTTGGCGTCTGTTGGGGGTGGTGACCTTGTATCGCCATATTCACTGTTCAACTGTGGATAAGGACTGGGGTTGCCGACTCCTTGGCCTGAAGTCGCCGTACTGTAAGTGGAGGCGGTATGTTGAGGTTGAACATTAGGCTTATACTGGTCGGGAATTGCGTTTGAAAGGTAAAAGTTTTCAACTCCGCCAGCATTTTCCGGCTGGGGTTGAGCTAGTGCTGGGTACTTACTGTATGGTTGCGCACCTGGGGGCGCTGAGCCGTACGGTCCTAGGTTATGGTGGGAATAGGCGCTCGACAGACGTTCTTCGAGCATGCGGTCATAATATCGCACAACAGTAGAAAGTTTTGAATGAAGGTCCAGAAGTGTATCTGAAGAGGTTAGAAAAGAAATTATTCGAATTAAAGACAGGACAAGATTTACCATGCTTGCTCATTGTTTCTCCATAAGTACGAGCCAACTTCGGTCTCAACGCACCTATACTCTCGTAGAGCTCTTGAATCTGCGGTTCACGCAATATGGTTCCCGGTGGTTGATGTTGAAGACGATCAACGAGAGTCGCGAACAGATTGATATTCTCCGCTTCCACCGCGCTCAGTTCGTATGGGTTCTTGGGCAGCGCAGCGGCGCTGTGAGTACCACTTGAAGGCAAGTTGGTAGTAGCCGAGCTCTTCAGTGCCTCTGTATGTCTCTGCTTCTGCTCTTCCATATCCTTCAAAGATGCTTCAATAGCAGCCTTCAAATCGGCATCTTCCTCCTCGTTGGTCTCTGGAATCTTTGTAACCTTTGGTTCAGCCGGTTTTGGTTGAGGAACATAGCCGGATCCCCCACGTCCTTCGGCTTCTTCCAGACTCATTTGTAAAGCTCTCCGCAAGTCCTCATCAAAACTTGAATCAGCTCGAGCACCTCGCGGTTCCATTGCTGCGTTGTTCTTGGTGATAGAATGGTTCTTAAACGCCGATCGCTCGGATATGCTGTTTGATGGGAAGGTTTTTGACGTAAGTTTGGCGTAGCAACCATCATCTACTCGCACGGGCTGCAGTATACCGAGATGCGGTAAAGGGAGAGTCTTGCTCGAGCACTGCGCATCAAATACGTTGCCACAATTCCGGCAATGGTGCTTTCGATTCGTGAAACTAAAAGCCGTTCTACAGCGCATGCAAACATCGGAATCGATCCATTCGGGGGGCTGTATATCAACAATATGTCAGATCCCATTATTTAACTTTGGCGTTTAAGACTTACCGCACTGCTGTCGAGCATGCTGCTCGCAATATCACTCTTTGGCGGAAAGCTGAATCCTTCAATTTGTAATTTCCGATATGTTTCGCCGAGGTAGATAAGTTCCAGCCTTCCTTGCGATGCCAACGCCCAGGTTTGGATCAGCTCCAACATCTTCTGTTTGACCTCGAAGTTGAGCGATACGCTATCGGATTTTAGTAGAGAGACTAGGTTGTCCATGAATTCTCGAGACGCTATCTCGGCGAGGAAGTGAGATCCACTGTTCTTCACACATGTATCTGTCAACTGAAGAAGGCGTCAGTCATGCTCATTTAGTTTTCATGATGCCGTTAGGATGAAATACCTTGAGAGTAGCAAGTTGTATGTTGGGATTCTTATTCTCGAGTCGTCGCTTTAGCGATCTCATAGCATCCCGCGGTTGGACGCTTTTGGAACGGATGAGATCGGATATTTCCAGATTTAACGCAATATCCTCCCTAACAGCCAACAAGTCAGTAGAGTCCATCGGGACGCGCGGATGACACTCACAAAGACGACGATGTAGCCCGCTCGATTTGCTCATCGAGCGGCGAAGTGGAGGAGAACCAMCCCGCCATAGTGATGGCAGCTATTACCTTCGTGAGCAATAAGGGTGGTCTTGACTGATCTGCAAAGGAACGCTGCGGAGCTCGTTGGCGTTGCGAAGTGGGATGACGTTTGTATAAACAGGCCTTAGCCTCCGAAGGGTCAGGCTCTTAACAGCTGTATCCAGCGGTAGAAATACCAACCTAATATTTGTGTCAAGAGCGACCAAAAGCAGAAAGAAGATAGGTATATGCTGATGCGGTAGAGGAGTTTTGATGGAGTTTGGTGCAGGCATCCTTCAGTGTATGATGATGATGGGACCGTCACCTTGGCATGTGGAGACCAGGTACCGCGTATGTATTGGTAATCTACTCCATACAGTGATCGATACGACCAGACAATGCGGTAGCCTAGATTAATGACACATGGCCATCACATTCTACGCTGAGAGTCTGCTGAATGTTCTAAAACGATTGTTTAAATAAACCGTCCTTGATATTCCCTAGGATATAATAAGCAGTTTTACTGTATGCAGTTCTACGACTTCTCTCAGCCTCCGTATTGGTTTGTTCACTCCGCATTACAGTAGCGGCCGTGTATTGTATTGGCCAATTAGAAAGCTGTTTCCAGCCATCAACACCAGAACGAGTGGCGTCATAGGCAAAGGCGGTAAGTAGCCTCGATATCGCCGCCTCTATTAACATCACTGAAATTAGCACCATGAGCTACCAGGCGTTCTATTCACACGGGGTCAGTGGCTTCACTTTTTTTGTGTAAAAGCCAAGACCTGCAACATGTTGAGATTGCGATCATTCTGCTCATGGATATTTGCATCTGCCCCGAGCTCGAACAAGAACTTTAAAACATCAAATCAACGGTTGATACAGTCTGTGAAGCCTTGAGACTACATACCATAAAGCATTGAAGCCTTGATCGTCTTTGGCATTGAAGAGCAGCTTGATAGTGCTGGCTACACGTGTAAAAATATTATCATGAAGGATCATACAGTGATATCCTGTACCATTAGCCCATCGTGCAGCCCAGTGAAGGAGAAGAAGGCCAGCGCTATTCTTGGAGATAACCATTTCCATGACAGTAGCCTGATCCCCACGGAGATCAAACAGGAGGTGAATACCGTCAAATTCGCATGCAGACTACCTATATTGAGGGAAGTAACGTCCTGCACTGTTTCGTATCCACTTGAAAATAGAGCGATATGCTGCATTATCTGAACATGTACATCGGCTCCTTCCGCGACAAGTCGTTTCACTAAACCATAAATGGCTCTCGGAATCGTCCGACTGAGAACCGTATCTGTGGTGTGTATTCGGTCAAAAGAAGATATTAACACATCTCGAGCCGAAACTCCCCTATCAAGAAGCTTATTCATAAGCTCTTCGGCGCGAGCTGGTTGGGCGCTAATTCTCAAAGTCATTAGAGACGAAACAGGATGGCATGTAGCTGAAAGAATCCGCAGCTGAGAGAATTGGAGTTTCGTGGTCCTGACACTTGGAAGGATCGTTTTTGGCGTGGAGGCTTGCTAGTGAGGGGTTGTGTATCCAACAGAAACAGCACGGTCTCGATACGAGCGTATAAGTATGCCTCGTACAGCAGTCGGAACCTTCGTTTTTAAGCGGTAACATCCTAGTGTTGGTGAAATGCGCATTGCATTGTTTGATGAGCAGGTCAAGTGCTTGCGTACTCCCATGCTGTAGAGTAACGTAGAATTGATCCCAGTAATAATATACCTCGAAATGACCGCAAGTGGCATGATTGTTATTCTGCAGGTATCGAGCCAATTTGGTCATGTCATGCTCTTGCACGAAGGCGTTCAGGAGTTGGCCATAAGGTGCTTCGTAGAGAACTGCGCCGTCGTCGTCCACAACTCCAAAATCAAGACCATCTTTTTGAAGCTAATGAGAGTTTTTATCTTTTGACTCTGGTACTAGCTCTTCAGCTTGTGCTGATATATGTCTGCCATGCTCTCCCCGAGAGGAAACATTTGCGTAGAATATATCGGAAGCAAACATATCGAAAGTAAACATTCCATTTTGTCTAAATATTCAGGCACTACCTTAGCTAGCATGTGACCTTGGTGGCGTCATAGGCCAAGGCGGTGAGCGGGCTGTACCTCTCGCTCTGCCTAAAGTCGGTCCATCATGACAAGTCCGAAACATGGTTCGTTGGCTAACATTATTAGCCATATTCAACAGAGAAAGAAAAGTGCTACCTGCCAGGCAGGTGAATTTCTCCCTGTCTACTACACACGAGACACGCACAATCCTTTATTCGTACGATCGAAGTACTCTACCCTCGTTTTGCGATCGAACGATTTCTACCACCACGTGTCCCTGAGAGCAAGTGAGGGGCGTACTGGGATGAACGACGTCGCTCGCAAAGCATCTTCACTCGTTTTTACCACGCCTGAGCTGGCTCAAGACCATGTGCGATACACGATTCATACCATTTAGATAATGTCATCCGGACCAACTGTGCTGCCAAGCGCTTTTGGCTCCCCCGCAACAATTCCGGATCGAGGCGGCGTGATCCCCGGCATGCAGCCCTCCGGCGCGCGCTCAAGTTGGGCGACCTCATCTCAGAATGGCAGACCCGTGTCGTATAATTCTCGAGGTGGCCGAGCACCGCTTCCATATATAAAGGATCTTCAAGACCAGGCTGCACATTTGGAGCTTGACGAAGCAAGTCCGGTATGGTTCTTTCTAACAAGTGGAGCTGGAATATGCGGCTGATGAAGTTAGATTTCTCTGCTCTTGAGCACCGCTGCTGTGAGTATCCAGCAATGCCAGATTTTGCTTGATGGCGATCAAGTCGGACAGGCATATGTGCAATATCTCCGAGCTTCCGAAATAGTTGTGAATTTGATCCCACGCCATGCAGACTACCGTACGCTCCACGCACAACATCCCAAGTTGTATGCCCAATTTCAAAAACTCATGATGGTGAGTTCTTTAGATCAGTTTTTGGTCCCTTCAGCCATGATCAATGCTAATACAGTGTTTCCTCTAGTCTATCAGCCAACAGCAGTCAGCGATGGACACTATAAAGCAGCAAATCATAGAAGATAACCTGGCACGCAGCTTGCCAGGAAACGAAGCGGTCGGTACTAACAATACGACTTCTTCAAGTACATATGTTGCATATAAGCCTTCAAACGGAGCGATCAGGATGCCCAGTCCGACAGACTTTCAGAGGGGTAGTACGTTGCAGCCGGACAGTGCTCTGAAATTGAACGGCACCATGTCGAGTCCGGAAGACATACTTGCGCAACGTTTTGCCAGACTTCGAGCAAGTCAGGGCCCGGTACCCACGAACGGATCCGCAGTCGCAGATCAGACCMCCTCCGCCACAAGCAGGCCTTCAGCCGGAGTTGTAACTGATTATCCGCCTCGTCCATCGCCGAATTCGATACCTACCACGATGAGCATGCCGCCCGGTCCTGGTTCTCCACGACCACTAGGTCCGCGTGCCATGGGAACATCTCAATACGGCCCTGGTGTTCCCGCTAGAAAGCCCTTAGACACAGCGAATGTATCGCTTCCGCGAGCGCCCGACCCAGCTTACAGCCCTATATGGTCAGCTCCGTCGCAGCCACCACAGCCGAATCCACCCCGGAAGTCAACCGATAGCATCCAGGCAACCAATACAAGGTACTCTCAACTTGCTGGATCAAGGGTGAGCAGTCCTAGCAGATTTGGGGATGATGATAATCCGTACAGATCCCGCACACCGAATGGATTTCACCTTGCGCAAGAAAACAAACCCACGTCTGCTGGCATCCCCCATAATACAACAATACGCGCGCAGCAATTGCTTGAATATATGCGGAAATACAATGTGCTTGTAATAGATGTGCGACCTCGTGATTCATACGATAGTGGACACATCTATGCTCGATCCATTCTATGTATCGAGCCGGTAGTGTTGAAAGAGAACGTATCGGCGGAGGAGCTGGAGGAGCGATTGATTGTGTCCCCAGAACATGAACAGTCTCTGTTTGAACGAAGAAACGAATTTGACTTGGTGGTATATTATGATCAAAACACCGATTCTGTTAGCTATCTGGCTGGATCTCCGGTTGGCACTTCGGCGCCCCATCTTAGGGCTCTTTACGACACCTTGTATGAATTCAACGCCTACAAACCTCTCAAAGACGGTAGACCACCGGCATTGTTGGTGGGGGGATTGGATGCTTGGGAGGATTTGGTTGGGTCACAATCACTCGCAACATCTTCCACTGCAGCAATAATGGGATCATTACAGACCAAGCGCGTCTCACAAAGGCCCGGACGTGCTTTTGGAAGAGTGCCGTCGGCAAGCGCGAATTCGAGTCTGGAAATCCGCAAGAGACGTCTCCGAGAATTCACGCCACTCAACCATGAAGAATTGACTGCATGGATGGAGCGCGCCAAAAACGAGGAAATCAAACCAGGTGCTTATCAGGGAGACGAGGCAGGCATACCAGAAGAAGAGGTCGATGGCGATGCATTTACAGAAGAGCCTCCAACTCCGTTTGTCCATACTTATGAAGACTTCCTCAGACGATTTCCGGAACCACAGGCTATTCAACAATCGATGGTCGTGCCAGAGCCTAGGGCTCTTGTGTCCTCAGCGCCGAATTATGCTTCACCAATTCCAGTAGCACCCTCGCGACCGCCTCCTACGATACCTCGACCAAGCTATGGAGGCGTTGCGGACGGGCGACAAATACAGCCTACTCTTGCACGTCAAAACTCTGCAACAAAGACTGCCCTGTATACGTCCAATTCGTTCATGACGAGACTGAAATTACCGCGCACAGGACTGACCAATTTTGGAGTCACTTGCTATATGAACTCGACGCTTCAGTGTCTAAGCTCGACGGCGGTTATGAGCAAATTTTTCATTGACGATCGTTTCAGATACTACGTTCAGAAGAATTGGAAGGGATCACAGGGTGTTATGCCTGGTCTGTATGCCAACTTGATTCGTTCGTTGTGGAAGAATGATGTTGAGGTAATTATACCGACTTCGTTCCGAAACTTTTGTGGTCGAATGAACCGGGAGTGGGCCATTGACCGTCAACAAGATGCCAAAGAGTTTTTTGACTTTCTGGTGGATTGTCTACATGAAGACTTGAACATCAACTGGCAAAGGACACAACTGCGGCCACTGACTTTTGAAGAGGAAATGCAGCGTGAGCGGATGCCTGTACCCAAAGTTTCAAAGATTGAATGGGATCGGTACTGCCATCGGGAAGAGTCATTTATTTCTTCCCTGTTTGCAGGGCAACACGCGAGTCGTCTCAAGTGCACAACTTGCAAGCGAACATCGACGACCTACGAGGCATTCTACAGTATCAGCGTTGAAATTCCACACACGGGTACTGGAGATATCTATCAATGTCTACGAAGTTATTGTCAAGAGGAAATGCTGAGCGGCGACGAAGTCTGGAAATGCCCGTATTGCAAATGCGAGCGGGTGGCCACTAAGCAAATCATTATTACTCGAGCTCCTCAAATCTTGGTCATCCATCTGAAGCGATTTTCGGCGTCAAAAACCCAATCCGCCCGGAAGATACATACGCCTGTTGATTTCCCGCTGCACGGCTTGCGTATGGATAATTTCGTGATTCCTTATCCCGCTACCAATCCTGAAACCGGCGATTATGTCAATGGAAACGCAGGCGGCCAGACTCCTTCGTCAACGTCACTCTCACCTACAACGGCGCCATTTACGTACGATGCATACGGCGTATTGCGACACCTGGGCTCGACGCTTAGCGGAGGACACTATATTTCGCTTGTCAAGGACGCACAACGACAATGCTGGCGCCGATTCGACGACGAGCGCGTGTCAGACTTTAACCCACGCGATCTCAGGTTTTCGGACCGTCTGCAGAACGAGCAGGCATATATATTATTCTACGAACGTGTTCCGGCGAAATGAATCGTTGGCATGTATATCACGGCGGACCTCGCCCACCACGTCACACAAACAGCGCATACCTTCTGGTTTTGGTTTTGGTTTTGGTTTTTGGGTTGAATTGAGCGTCTATAGCAGGCAATTGTACAAAAGGCATGGCATTTGGTTATGAGATAAGATGGCATATGTCTGTAACGTTTTTCGAAATGAGTGAATGATACCAGTTTATTATATATTGCCGGATGATGTTGGGGTGGTATGGTAATTAATTAAGGTTGTTTCCTTCTGCTTCTATCACATGTTCTCGCAGACAGTCGTGTGGGGTGAGTCTGTACGTCCCTCTTCGGAGCATCCGACAACCACATCCAACTCCCCGCTAGATATGGCAAGAGAACCCGAGAGTCTCAGGGCCAGTCCTATGTAGTATGTACAGACAGTAGTAGTACATACTGAAAGGAAAGAAAGGCTCGGAAACCGCTCGCACTTTCAGTTTCCGCCTTCCGCACCTGCTGATAAAGCGCTGATGGTGATTGGGCGATTATTGTCGAGCCAGTCGAGTCGGGKCTTGGATTCCGCGAGGTCTGTTACTGCTGGCAGATGTCGTTTCATGAATGAATGGTATTGCTATGATAATTCGAGATTATTATATTTCATGTTGAATATTGAAAAGTATTGTGTATTGTGTAGTGTCGATTGACTAGTTGTGTATCATACGTTATCTATCTACTACATAGTATGTACGGTATTTACAACTCGGCGGTAAATAATACGGTGCCTGGCCAACCACAGTCACCGCTTTCTCATCCCCGATTTTCTTTCCCGCCGCCGGCACTTAGCCTAGGCTATCTTTTCGACTGAACACCTCTCTAATACAACACTCTCCCACCCAACAGATACCCTTTGCTTTTGAGCCAGTTCTTCACGACTTGTAAGTGCCCGCCATTTCTCTGTTGGTTCGTTGTCTGTCTTTGTCCGCGGTGCTGTCCTCTGATGCTGTTTTTCGTTTTCTGTCAACAACCGTTATCTATCCCGAACCCCGTGGTGGATAATTGTTGATAGTCATCCACCCTCAGACTGCAATACAGCGCATCAACTACATTCCCTCTCAATTGTCTCTATCGCACGTTGAACAAAACTAAAGTCTCAATCGTCTCATCTAGTATCCTTCCTTCATTTATACACCATCGCCATGGCCGAAAAATCATTCACCTATGCCGAAGTCTCGGCCCACACCACCAAAAAGAGCCTGCACATGGTCATTCACGACAAGGTTTACGATGTCTCTTCCTTCGTCGACGAGCACCCGTACGCACAACCCCGCGATCGCCTTGCATGAAAACGAATACTGACATTTATTGTGCAGAGGTGGTGAGGAAGTCCTCCTCGACGTCGGCGGTCAGGATGCCACTGAGGCATTCGAAGACGTCGGCCACAGCGACGAGGCTCGCGAGATCCTCGAGGGATTGAAGATTGGTGATCTCAAGCGCCAGGTATTTTCTTTCCTTTACTTTTTTTTATCGACTACACATATCTAATCAATCATTCGATAACAGCCTGGCGACCCGGCCCCCAAGACTACCAGCGCCTCCTCCTCTGGCGGTTCCGCTAGCTCTAGCTCCGGCGGTGTCGGCGTCGGTCTATACGCTTTCCTCTTGATCGGTGCCGCCGCCGCCTACGGGGCTTACCAATACTTGCAATTGAACTCTCAGAAGCAGTAGATTTTTTTTTCTCTAATAACAAAATCATAATGGAGAGATGTGACTTCTTTTTCTGACATCTTTTTTATTTAATTGACTCTGTCGCGTTGCTCGATTCCTTATCTTATCTGCTTCTTGTAGATTGCTTTTGGTATGACCCGGCATGTAATTCATGTGCCAGGGGTATACGAGGAGAGAATGGCAATCTTCTTGTGGAGATATGCGAGATGTTGCAGGCAGGAAGTTCTCTTTATTTCTAGCATGCAGTCATTCACCCATGTTCTCAGCTCGAGGACTATTACCATCCACGTTCTAGACTACTGATTGATATCTGCTCGAATGGACGCACTTGAACTATCACTATGGCCTGCCACCTTCTATTCAGCGTACTAGTACACAATCACTCATCTATCATACTACACCTGTCGACAAAACAGCAGCAACCTGCTCATAAACCGAAAACACAATTCCACCACTCAAAAACAACCTCCCCAATCTCATCGTACTCCCCTTCCAAAACCCTTTCACGCCAGCCTCTTTCAGCACATCCCCTACAGCCTCCTTAATCGTCGCTCTTTGCGTCCCTTGCACCCTCGTCTTAATCGTATCAAACGGCTGCGTCGCATACACCGTAATAATCCCCGCAACGGAACCAATTCCGAACGTAGTTACTCCGTTCAGAGGGATGTGGTAATGCTTTGCACTTTCCTTGAGAATGTTGTACGATCCCATGCGTACAGCTGATGTGGCGGATTGTTTCATTGTGGTTGGGATGAGACCCTGGTAGATACTTCGCAAGCCCTGCTCGCGGATGAGTAGGGTGATGCCGTGCGTTGTGCTGCGGAAGCGTTTAAGACCTTTTGCGTCGTCAATCCTTTTTCACTTATTAGCCTCTATTTGCCATGAAGAGCACTGGAAGGATAGGGAGAGGGAAGTACAAAGCAGTCTTTATCCTCTCCGTAGGCGTAACGGCAACAACACTCTCAACACAACCCGCCATCATACCGGCCAATATCCCCGAGGACTTCGAGAGATGCCCCTTCTCATCCGCAAGCGCGTTCTTGATGGAATCAAACGTCAGGAAGCGTACGGATGCTTTGAAAGCTGTGCCCACGACCAAGGTTGTGCAGCCCGTGTATAGTGCTGAGAGGCCTTCTGTTCTGACAATGTCGCGAATCAGGACGAGAGGGTTTCTCGATATTTTTGCTGCTCCTGTCGTTCCGGTTGATAATGCCACAGAAGGAGAGTCACGCAGTTGCATTCTGGTTTTGGCAAATTCGAATGGATACTATTTCTCGTTCATTAGATCACTGTTCCCCCCTTGTCAGGTCATATACTGACTGTGCACATGGCTTCGACGCCTCCGGCGATGCCACCGGCTACCAGGGATACGCCCGGTGATACATATGCCTGACACTTCAATTAGTCTAATATTTTTTAGGTAGAATAAATCAATGCGCACCTTGGTTATGGGTCGTGTCTTCGGAGCCCCTTGTCCCTGTATCGTAGATGCTTGGGCTGCCGCCATTGTCTGTCCACCTCTATCTCCTCTATTCGAATATTATTATAGTAAGAGTATTGTAAGTTTCATTCTTCGCCCGAGAACTGAAATCACTGCTATGATAGATAATGCTTGGTATATGTACAGCTGAGCTCCAGCTAGCATAAAGCCGACTCGGGCCAAACCAAGCTACTTTCCGCGGGAAGTCTGTCTCCGTGTCTGGACTTTGGTGTCAAAGGCGGAGGATTATATGCCGATAATCGCGATATTCTGGGCTGTAGGCAATTACATGAATCGAGGTTTGCAAAGGACTTCAATTGACCTTACATGTAAGTCTGGACACTTTCTATGAGAATTCGCGAGGATTTGTCCGGTTGCTGTGACGGCTTAGCCGAGACTGAACCTAGGTAGTTAAATTATGTATTGATTCACTATCTGAAGAGGGCAACAATTTTACAAGAAATATGTAAATAATTAATCAATTTTCGCACATGATTCATTCCATGCGGATAGGTATTTAAAACTTTTCCCTCTCAAAATCATCCCAAATTGCCTCATGCATTCCTCCCATGTTTAATTATTATGATCGGGAACTTTGACCATTGCGAACAGCTTCCAAGATCAAATCCTTGGCTTGCTCGAGGCCCTCCTTTGTGCCCTTGATTTCAATGGCTTCGCCCTTGGCTTGACCCTTGGGCACTTGGATACGGCATCCAGTCTTCTTGCGGATAGTGTTGATCTGACTCCCGCCTTGGCCAACGACGAATCGATATGTCTTGGGGTCGGGAAGGATCAAATATCCAGTGGCGCCTTGCTGGGTGGCAGATGCCAAAGCCTTGTCCAAAGCCGCCTTCGCCTTGGCCACGTTATCTGTCGAACCTGACAGGACCCAAGGAATGGTAGCAGAGGTTTCTTCTCCAGCTGGTGTATTCTCAACAATCTTCCATGAATGCGTGTCAACAGCGGCATCCTGCTCGTCCGTGATCAAAGGAAGAGATGTTCCATTGGTGGCGCCCTCGCGGGTCTCGACTGCAGTTGGCTTAGCAGGTGGCTGCTGGCCGGCGTGGTCAACCGTGACCTGGTAGTCATTTCGCAGACGGCGGAAGAAAGAGCCATTGTCCGAAATAGCATGGTGCAGATGCTGAGGAACTTGGACGGTCTCGCCCTGCTGTCCCTTGAGAAGCTCTTCAATGTGAGCCTTTGCCTCCTCAACAGCAGTGCTTGATCCCTTGATCTTCACGTCGGTCCGTCCTGATCCTTGTCTTGGAATATCTATTGAAATGTTGAACTTGCTCTCCAGATTACGTCTAATATCGCCACCACGTCCAATGAGCAAACGGTGTTGCGCTTGAGGTACATCCAATGTGGTTGTGACTTGGTCCTCTCGCTCTTTGACAAAAGCGTCGATAGCCGCTGCAATTTTCTCCACAACTGCACCGTTACCCTCAAGTTTGATGACCTTCTCGTCGCTCTCAGCACGAGGGAACTTGACAATACGAGAAGCGCTGCTGTCGTCAGGTCCACCAGCCTCAACAATGATGCGGCGAATGTTGGCACCGCCGCCTCCAATAAGAGCCTTGTGGTGCTTCTTATCAACCTCAATGGACTTGGTAACGATGGAGTCGAATTCCTTGGCCCTTTGCTCAAGGATCTTCTTGGCTTCTTCTACTTGCTTCTTGGTACCCTTGATTTTGATCTCAACACGGCCAGATGCATCTGGTGCATCTTGAGCGCTTGGAACATCAATCTGAGCACCAGTTTCGGCGCGTAGCTTGTCCATTTCGCGACCTCGCTGTCCGATCAAAGCAGGAATCTGACTTTGGGCAACAGAGACAACAGCAGAGTTGGAGTGGTCAACCACCCACTGGAGCAAGCTCAAAATTTCGTCTCTAGCAGAATCAGCACCTTTGCTGGGACCCTTGACATGCACTTCGTCAGGAGCCTGGTTGTTGCGTCCGAATCGACCACCGCCAACTTCACTCGCAGTATCAGCGACAGACTGGTCGTCGGTTGCAGGAGAAGCTGCAGCGCGAGGGAATTGCACGCGCACGTTGTATCTGTCCTGCAGTCTGTTGACCTGGCTACCCTTTTGGCCAATCAAATCACGATGGTACTTGGCAGGGATCTTTAAAATGTGAGTTGTTTCATCTTCCAATTTCCTGCCGAGAGCAACAATTCTGAGCTTGGCCGCGTCCGCCTTGGCCTTGGGGCCTTTGACTTCAACCTTGCCATTGTCGACTTTGATGTCAACGTCGAATTCATCGCGTAGCTTGTTGATATTCTCGCCACGCTTGCCGATAAGGAAGTTGGCATATTTCTGGGGAAAGTCGAAGCTGACAGTGTAATCACGCTCAAGATCATCTTTCTTTTGTTGTTCAATGAATGCAAGGACCTTTGAAGAGAGGTCGTCGACATCAGTGGGGCGACCACGTAGATCAACTTCGCTTTCGCCTGCAGTGTTTGACTTCTGAACAACCGCTCGGACTGGAATGTGGTCCCCGTCAAGTTGTTCCTCCCGAGCAATGTATTTGCGCACTTTGTCGGCATATCTATAATACAGAATTAGTATGATACAACATAGTAGAAGACGTATACATACTTCGCAGGTATAGAGACCGACTTCTGGACGATGTTTGATTGATCGCCCAATGTGTTGATCAAGTATTCCTGAGCAGATTGCAGAGCTTGCTCGAATGCTGCGATATCCTCATTCGAAGGACGTTGTCTGGGGACCTCGAACTGTGCCTCAGGTGACTGTTGTCCCTCGTAAACGAGGATCACCTCATCACTGTCGGTATTTTCGGGAACAATTAGATGAACACCATATTGCTCCCTTAACTGCGGAGTGCCGTATGAGGTCAAATAGGAGTGGAAATAGGGATCGACGGGTACGGAGCGAATCTTGGCAGGTGGGTGAGCCTGGACAAGGTTCATAATGTCGGAACGAGCGCGAATAGTGTTCTTTCCGTCCCGAGAGTACACTTCCCAGGTGACAGGTCCATCGACGGCTTGCGGCAAAACAATGCGTGCATCATACGCGCGTTCGAGTTCTTTGATGATTTGACGTTGCTGCAAATAAGCGGTAAGTGCTCTGGCATGAGCGGCGGAGTGTTGGCGGGACAGATCGATACTGGCCATCTGCATGCTTGTCGCCAATTCCATTGCGCGATTGATACCAGCTTCAATCTGGTCAACAGGTCCGGTGATCGTCAAGAATTCACTGTCATCAGAGGCAGGAGGCAAGATAATCGCGCAGCCCGTTTCCGCGAGGAAGTCGTGGAGGGCAGTGTTGCTATCTCCAAGAATGAACTGATGCTGGCCGCGATTGATGGCCAATTGACGCAGGGTGAGTTGGCGTTGCAATTCAGCTGCACGGCGTTCAATCTCAGCGCGCGCTTCCTGAGCAGCGTTGCGCTCTCCAGAAATATGGATTTGACGCTCTGGGTCTGCGACAAAGCGGATCTGACCTGGTGCAGCCTCTTGTGGTGGTGGCTGGTTGGACCATGTGTCATAACGTGGGACTCGGATCTGTGCTTTGGTGCGTTCCTCAATGTCGCCGACATGAGCGTTGTGGGCGCCAGCAATGAACGGGAAGAATTCTGGCGGAATCGATTTCAATCGAAGGTTGATGTTTGAAGCACGTTCTTTCACGATCGACTCGATTTCGCGGCGGGCCATCTCGGCTGCTACAGCATCACCTTCGATGAACACATCAATAGTGACGCTGTCATCATCTTCGTCACCGGGGGCGGATTCCTCGGCCTTGGGTACCTGGACACGAGCGCCAGTTCGCTGCTGAATATCTTGTACTACGGCTCCTCCACGACCAATGATATGAGCTCTTGCGGATGCAGGTATCGGCACACGAACGGATTGCTTGAATGAAAATTAGCCAACGATATTTCCCTTCTACCAAGTCTTCATACCTTCGATCCCACTTGCTGAGCAACTTCCTTGAGGGCTTGACGAACAGCGTCGACAGAGCCTTTTCCTTCAAAGATGACTGAACCGTTGGGTCCTGCTCGCAAATCGACCGTGGCCTTTGATCGTTTCGAAATGTCTCGCAAGATGTCTCTGACTGGCTTCTTGAGCTGATTCCGCGGAAGCATCTGGGATGGAGCAAGACGCAGTTGTTCCACGTGCTTTCCTGGCAGGGTCATGATTCTTGGCGCATTCGAGAAATCCGGGGTAGCTGATCACGTTCAGGAATTAGCTTGATGTAAAAATGGCCAAGCACCGAGCTTGAACATACCAGATGGCTGGCTGATACCAGATGCTCCGTTTTGGGGAGCAGCAGCGGCGGGCCGTTTGGCGCCCCAAGCTGAAGGAACGTTCGCCGCAGCCTTGGACTTGGGACCACTACCTAAAGCTGGAAACAGCTCTTCGGATTGAACATCCAGTGCTGGCGCTTTTGTGGGCTTCGAGACTGGGGGAGCAGCGGCCTCGGACGACTCGGCAGATGGCTTGGCTGTAGAGGATGGAGGAGGGTGCTGAATATCTTCTTCGTCCACAGCGTCCTCCACCGTGACAGTGTGTTTCTCGTGTTGCTCAGAGAGCAAGGCGGCAGGGGATTTGGACGTTTGTCCGCCGTTGACAATCAAGCCCGGACCTTCAGAAGCCATTGTGAAGGAGATTTAACAATAGCGGGGTTCACAAATTATATAAAAAAAATATATAACGATGCTGGATGAATTGAATTTAGAGCGTGGGGTAGGCGTATATAGTCTGGAGAAATCACGAGATGAGATGCTTTGTTAGCCAGTGGATATTGGATGATAATCAATGATATTGAAATACTTACAACGTTCAAACTACAGTGCATTCACTGAACTAGTCTGATAAAGAATATTGCAGTGCCAAAACGTCTCAATCGATGGTTGTGGTGAAAGGTGAGATCGTGGGATGCGGAGAACAATGAAATCGGGGGAAGTGTCGTCTGCGTGGATTAATACATCACTGCAGCCAGTATAGAAGCAGAATTGAGAAGAGAGAATGGGCTAAGAGGTTAAGAAGAGAGCCCAGGAAGGAAGAGGGAGCAGTGTGCAGGAGAGACAGAGGTGGTAGAGGTGAGGTCTAGGAGAGAGCGTGAGAAGAGTCAACAACTCTGTCGATGAGAAGGAAGAGGCCACCCAGCGCTTTGTCCGACTCCCGACCCGGGACTTGGCGCCGTTGCTGGCCTGGCCGACCATTGGCCAATCATAGCAGCGCCTGCAAATCGGTGCCTTGGTGCCTCGTGGCTGCTCGGAGTTAACGTTTCAGCTTATCTTATACTGCTTAATGCTTACTCGTCCTCTTTTCTCTTTACATCGACTTCATCTTACCTATCAATAAGCTGTAGAGCTTCGGCATAATGCATATACAATCGAAGATCCGTGAAAAGACCGTCCAGAGGCGGGATATCCTTACTGCCCGACACCGAGCAACCCTCGGAATAGAGTATCACCAGACAGCCCAACAGAGCGGCAAGATAATATGGCCTTCCGAGAATAGTCTGACATCATATCATAATTGATGTTGGAATAGGCACTACATTTCAAATCTATCTGCACAATTTAATAAATCAGCGAGACCTTCTCGTGATGAAGCACTGTATGTATGCACCATGGCTACACCTGGCCCTTTGGCTTCAGCTTTGATTTGTGCTAAGTACAGTTAAATTCGACAACGTAGGGTTAGACTGGCTATTCGCCGGTACAAAGCACCCGGCATCATTCTACGCCATCCACTATTGTGGTGCGACAATATATACGAAAGAGGTCGAAAAGACTGTTGGTAGGAAATGCTCCATCCATGCTTGTTTACCTTACAAGCTCGCAGCACTGGACGCAATCAACAAGCATCTCTACGAGAGAGGTGGTGCCGCGGTCGCTGATGAGATAATGCTTGCGGTGCTGATACTAATGAACTTTGACAGTGTAAGTTCGGTTTTTGGTCCGTTCCATATCCAACAAACTCAATTAACTTAGGTTTTTAATTAGGTCAAGGAGTCCTTTGTTGACTAAAGTACATCTAGAGGGACTCGGGAAGATAGTTAACTTGCGAGGTGGACTGGAAAATCTGGGCTACAACGGACTGCTTAAGAATTGGTATCGCTGTTGCCATTCTATCCTGATGAATGTGGAAAATAGAAGCTTTATATATGAGCTTCAGGACTTTCATGGAAGTCTCCTGACCATAGCTGGATCCATATGAGGCGAGGTAGAAATTTTCTGATCCGGCATATGTCAGAAAGATTTCTCTTACAGCCGGTACGAATGTAGGTCAATGTCCAAATAATCCGGGATTCGGAAGCTAACCTTAAAGGTTCTAGATATTGTATCCTTCAACTCCAGTTGCAATGCTATCTTCAACCTATGTCCAAGCCTTTCCATAGATGTTCTACAGCAGTTCCTCTGCCCATTCTCTGGGGGGGATCTTGTTGATATCTTAGCCTTCCTTCTCCGGAGGATTAACAAGCTGCTCACAATCCACTGGGCGTATCGTGTACAATCGCCAGAAGATTGGTCCAAGTATACATATCAACGAATGCAAAGATACGCTCGGATTTCACTTCTGGGTCGAAGGGGCCTACAATATGCAATTTGGCGGAATCTTCAAGATCAACGAATCATTCTACAAAAACCGATGAATCGTTAGCCATGTGTGCATTTTCCAGAATGAAGCATGAATTGAAGATTGGGTCAACTTACGTGCGAGAAGCAAGCCCATGGCAAATGGGTTGCCTTTTGTCAAAAGCCTTGTCAAGCCCATGGAAGAGCCATGGATTTGTGGGTGCAAAATTCGTCCCAATTTTTGATATCGCAACCTATTTTAGCAGGGGAATATTCTATCTGTTACGGTGCAGAGAGGGACAAATACATTGACGTTAGAAGGACGGCATTGTAGACAAATTTTGGCTTCTTCTCCTCGACAAACTTCCATGCCGCGCGTTCTATCTCGATTTTAGATGCGCAGTAAACGAGGGCATCTTTCGTTCTTGAGGTGCGTCTTTACCCCATGCAGCTTTAACTACGACGTCATTCCACGTATCTTTAGATGTCAGTATGTTTGGGGGGACTATAAACGGAGGACCGAATCAATAACCTTTGATTACTTCAAAGTCCACGCCAGCCTGTGCGATAAACGCAGCAGCAGCTGACGATGTCAATACGAATTGGTTGACGGACTCTTCTTGAACCGCCGTGCTCAGAATGCTCGTCATTTCAGCATCCACCTTTGGAATGACGACGTTCGGGTCGGGCTGAAGGACATATCTGACGCCTTTGAGCATGATTCAGATTAGAACAATATCACCAGCCATGTTTGTCACCACATGAACGAACCATCAACGCCTTTGATGCTTTCCTTGAAAGCATCGACAAGGTCAATTTGAGGAACAAACGCGCTCTCATACTTGTCCGCACCATACTTACCGGTAAAGAATTCGTCCAACCAGGGCTTGGACTAGCGGACAATTTCCCTTGCACGATATCCGAGGTCAAAGAAACTTTTGACGACGTGTGAGCCAATGTAGCCATTGGATCCGGTTACAAGGACCAGCAAACCGGAAGACAGGGCAAGGTTCTAAGGCGGCATGTTGAACTAGTTGCGGTTTGAACTGAATGCCGAAAGAAGAAAATTGAGGAGCTGTACACGCTTTTTGTACCTTTGAGAACTCATATCATACAGCACGTACATGAAAAGGAAAGAAATCAAGCTACCCAGGTACCTCTAAATGTTTGCTTCAGGAAGTTTCGAACCTTCTCGATATGTATGAAGGCAAGCAACTTGACATCAGCTCCACTTAACGACGCCTTTGAGAAGAATTTTTTCACTACATACATGCCTAGATATGTAGCAAATTTATACTATGATTCATGGGATTTTACTTGATGATATGGTACTTCCTGATTGGAACACGGTGAGCCCTAATCTCTCCAAATCTCGCTGATGGCGGCTCCATTTATCGCCGAATAGATGGGTTTACCTAAGGTATGTTACTAAGGTTAGACTTTGCGTGACTACGTACAAGCGTCGGTTTTGGGCATCGATTCGTATCCTTGATCTACATGTAGTTTCCAATGATCTGATCGATTACCCCGTAAAATTCCCACACAGCTAAAAAGGTGTACTGTGAAACGACTCGGCAGGAATTCGCTTAGAATTATCCAGTCATACCACAATCAAGTCAGCAAACATACTGCATCTGGAAAACCAAATACCCTAGGGTACCCTAATTGCCAACAGCCTTACACGGTGTCTTGGAAACTCGAGGCCCTCCTTCAACCACTTGTGCAATTCTCGTTGATAGTGGCGTGTGGTCTTACCGGCGACTAGTCCGAATGTTCTTCTCACACCCCGCGCTGGAGAAAGCGGAGAAAACTCCGTATGATTCAGAGTGAGCCTGCGATAGTAAACCTTGCACCGGTTCACTCTGTTACCAAGACACGGTGATAAAATTCAGTGAGCCGAAAAAAAGAAAAAAACATCAAACAATATGGCATCTCCAGTTCATTCGAGCTCTGAGGTTCCTACATACACAATCATCCAAGCAGATGGTCTATATAATGTAAGCCGGGCCATGTCACGAAGAGAGTGTGATCATAATTACTCACATGTGTGTCGGGCACCTAGGACGATACCATAGAACAGCAAATCTTCCAATTGAAAGACCCAAGCCGGCCCTTCAAGGTGGACTATATCCAAACGGATTTAGCACCAACAGGGACATCGATCCGCAAGCCCTGGTCTACTATCGAAAAATCTCTTCGTGACAAAGTAGATGGAATCACGGTGCTGAAGCTGCCTTTCACAGCGACTGATTTGGAGCTGTTTCCGAGACTGAAAGTGTATGTCGATATGACTAAATCCGTGCATGTACTCACATAGGATACAGAATTGTACGAATGGGAGTAGGTTACGATCTAGTTGATCGTGAAGCTCTAGCGAGACGAGGCGTGATACTATGTAATATCCCAGGTAATACCCTTATACAACCCTGGTAACGTCAATGATCTGAATGGGTGTAGATTACGGAACTTCAGAGATTGCCGACCACGCACTTGCCCTTGCCCTTTCTCTCCGCAGAGGAATTATCCTCCATCACGAGAGCCAACGCGCCAAACCGGCGGCCGTGTGGACATATATCGATACACCACTAGTTGCTCGAATCCAGCGTACAACATTTGGCATCATCGGACTGGGCCTGATAGGAACTGCAGTCGCTTTACGTGCACGTGCATTTGGATGGAATGTTCTATTCTATGATCCATATGTACGAAACGGTATAGACAAATCACTCGGATTGGAGCGGACCAGAGATCTTGAAACCCTGTTCAGACGCAGCTCAGTTGTAAGCGTGCATTGCCCAGCGACTCCAGAGACTAGGAACATGGTCCGGTATGAGCTACTCAGTCTGCTGCCCAAAGGTGCGATTCTAGTGAATACTGCGCGCGGAGAAGTGGTGGATTTGGATGCTGTGGAACGTTGCTTAAAGGAAAATATTCTCAGTGGCGCTGGGTTGGACGTAGTGCCAGCTGAGCCGTTGCCGGTTGAGGGCGCTATTCATCCCTTATTACAGGCGTATCGTGATAGAGCAGAATGGCTGAAGGGGCGTTTGGTGGTAACTCCCCACAGTGCATTTCATAGTCCTGAAAGTCTGCTGGATATACGTGTGAAGAGCGCGGAGACAATTAGGGATGTCTTAATACACGGGTCCCGGTTGAATGTGATACCACCACCGGACCTTTCGCCCATTTGAACTTTTTACGAGGCTTTCAGGCTTGGGTATTCAGTATCCTTAGATAAATAGACATTACAGCCAGGGCTAAACTTTACAGTACTTGCTACCATAGAAGTGCTATACTCAAGGCTATCAACTTATATGTACTATTCCAGATAATTATAGATCTCTGGCATGGAGACCCAACGCTATTGTTGGATTACTTTCAGCCCCCATGCTATATAACACGCTATTACTCGAACGATTCCCCACGCTCATATAAACAATACCAACTACGGAGTAGTAGCCAACGGAATCGGTATTCATCGTACCCTATTTGTTCCAGTGTCACCCTTTTACCTCCAGCTTATGGTATCTTCTTTATTGCCTCCGGATCTAAGTGTTCGTCGATTTACAGGGGTGTGGTGGTCGCTTGATTGCGTTAGTCAAAAACACTTGATGAACCAACTAGTTAGTTAACTAGTGACCTGACTAATTATTAGGCAACTGCGGTACTTACTACCAACAAAGAATCGACACCAAGCGAGGTAAATACGGTGATCTTTGAATGTGCACAAAAGGACCCATGTGACGACTTTATGGAATTGCAAACATGGTACTATACACCAGACATGCTTTCAAGTACCTCGTATTTTGTGTCATCCTTTTCCTTCTATTGCTGCGTTTCCTTCAGCTTCCGGGGCTTTCCGCACGGCGCTACAGCACTTGGAATTGGATAGGCTGCCCAAACTCGTCGCCATTCGACCCATCATGTACAGCTCCTAGTGCCATGGTCGCCCAGAGTATAAAAGTTGTGATCAGGACAGGGGGCTCAGAACCCCAGAGTAGACTTCGTTCTCAACTGTCCACAGTTCTTTCCAAGATCCCACAAGGGAACGTCCTCATCATGTCGGACATGGAGGAAGAGATAGGTTCTTACCGTGTGCATGATGTCTATGCCGACTTATCAGAACAAGAGCGTACGAACTACCCCGAATTCGCTCTGTACGACAAACAGCTGGAATATCAGAAACAAGGGGGAGATACTCGCGAACTCCAAGGCGGATGGGCATTGGGTAAATAGTAAGTGGTCAAGAATTCTGTGGCGTTTGAGGAATAGCCCCTATCAATATGTCTAGAGGCAGATGCTAACATGCAAACTTTCACAGCATGAACCTAGCAATGAAGCGCAAGATCTGGAAAATGCATCAGGAATCTCGCGGTGGGCATGATTCCTTGACGAGATGGTTCGTATTTATAGATACGGACACATTCGTTGAATGGGAAAATCTCCTTGTTCTTCTGAACCATCTCAATCATGCGAATAAGATTTACATCGGCAGTCCAGTCTGGCTGCCAAAGCTGCAGTTTGCTCATGGCGGGAGCGCATACGTCTTATCATATGGTGCCATGAAAGCACTAAATACCCCCGAGACAGATGAAAAGGAACAGCTACTGTATAGTCAATTCGGTTTCAATACAACTGCATTGTGCTGTGGCGATGAGGCCCTCGCGTGGGTATTGAAATCGAAAGGTGTCAGTCTCAAAGGTTACTGGCCAATGTTCAATGGCGAGGTACCAACTGCTGTTTCCTTCGGTGAAGATCTTTGGTGTGAGCCCGTCATCTCTTTGCATCACCTTAGCGGGGAGGGCATGCAAGATCTCTGGCAGTGGATCGAGGAGTGGAAGCATAGGACGTCTAGCTTGGTAGGTTCACCCTTCGATCTTGATTATCATTCGTATCTCCGTAAACAAGCAGCCTCCAAGATTATTTCGCTTATCACAAAAACAGCAACCATTCTTGTTCAAAGACTTGTTTCAATACATTGCGCCGCAGATAATCAGCAACCGCGATAACTGGGATAATATACATGAGAGCATGAGGATCGTCCCCAAGTCCACAGCCCCTCATAAGTCCTTCGAAAGCTGCAAGGTAGCCTGTGAACTAGACAAGGCCTGCTTTCAGTTCGTCTATGATGGCACCACCTGCGCATTGTCAGACCACATCCGACTTGGTGGCAAGCGTTCGCCGGACGAAAATCGAGCGCAAAGATACAGATCCGGGTGGATGATGGAGAGGATTCGAGACTGGACAATAAAGACTCATTGTGCAAGCGCGCATTGGCTTCATTCTAATCCATAGACCCCATTCTTCTCGGTCGCTTTTGATGCCGCGATTCCAGGACATTAGCAGGGGGTGCCTTGTCCCATGCCTATTACAATAAGCCGCTATCATGATGTAGTCGAAAAGTGAATCATCTATCAACAGTCTCCGAATTTTACTAAGGCATTAGGCGCTTGGTGCGTCTCCTTGAGAGCTCCCAGGAGCCTTCAGGGGTAGATCCTAAAACCGTGGGCGATCACGTCGCGATCACCCGTGGCGAAGCACTTATTTTTAAATTGTCGGTGCGGAGATCTCAGCCTCAAATACTTAGTATGTAGGCGATTGAGCCGCTCGCATGCAAATTGAAGATTCTATGGTAGTTCGTAGTCACAGTATACTATAGCTGCAGCTAATGACATAGCCACGTCACACGTGGACCAGTCAACATTACCCGCCATCAACCTTCGCAAAGACATCTCGTATATATATCTTCAATACGCTGATTTTACTCAGTTTTAAAATCAGATTTGGGTCTCACTCCCACGATGTGAGTAGATATCAATGGCGCGATGGGCTTGAGAGATTTCTTCAAAGGAGTGCGTAAGAAAGATGAGGGGCAGAATAGGCCAACCGCGAGCAATGCGCCCCCAACAACAACGACAAAAAAAACATCATCGACAACATTGACCACCCAGCAGTCGGCGTCACAACCCGCAACTCAAACTACTAGTAATACAACTCTTCCCGTCAACCCTCCATATGTCAAGCGAGACTTGTGGGACGAAGCGTACGAGGCTCTCCGCGTTGAGAACGAGGACTTGATTCAGAAGTATGAAGAGATCATACTCGAACATGATAAACAGAACACGGGCCCTTCGGTGCAGCAACTAGGTGAGTTCATATCAAGCTGTATTTTGTGCCCACCACAAGTTAATCCGAGTCCATTTCAGCCCCGCCAAAGTCTTCCAGGCGGGAGGAACAGTTAAGACAGATAGTGAGCCAGAAGATAGACGAAATCGACCTTGCAAAATGGCAGATCAAAGCTGGCAATCACTCTATCGTCCTTCGTGACCAGTTTGACAAGGCAGTCAAAGTCGTCATAGCAACGAAAGAGTTCATATCTTCTGCTGTCAGCTCCGAGCCTCATGCTGCATTGGCATGGGCTGGAGTTTGTGTTTTTCTTCCTGTAAGATCCTTCTTTTCGCTTCGGAAAATATTTTCTAATGTTCGGCTCTAGCTTCTGGAAAATCCTACAAAGCAGGGTAAAGATGTTCAAGATTGCATGGAGACCATTCCCTTTGTTGTTCGTCGTCTGAGAGTCATGGAAAGACTCATTCGGCCAAGCTCGGCTCAATCCCAAGATGCCCACCATGTGGATAGTATTGCGCTAATCCATGATTTTGAGGAGAGTACAATCGAGCTGTATCGAACAATTCTCGACTTTCAAATTCGAGTTGGAAGACAGTATTCAAAGAACTGGGCTACGCGATACGGAAGAGACGTTTTCAAAGCCGATGATTGGGCTGGTTTGAAGAGTCAGATAGATACGCTTGAAAGCAAATGCACTGTTCTTGCGCGGGATCTGAGCCTGGAAAAGATCGAAGCAGGACTGCAGTCAAGCGATCTTCATATTCAACGGGGATTTGAGCAAATGCAGAAAGAGCTTGCAAAGACTGCAACCAGTATTGACCGCCAGACAATGTTACAGTCAACTTGGCGCCAGACAGACGAGGAGCGAGAAGTTGTGCAACTTTTCCGGAAGGGCAATCCTTATGAAAACCAGAAGAACCGCATACCAAAACGAGTTTCTGAAACATGCAATTGGGTCCTGGAGAACAAAAAGTTCTTGGAATGGGAGCAGAGTCAAGTTCCTGACCTCCTTTGGCTGTCAGCTAAACCCGGTTCGGGCAAGTCAGTGGTAGCAAAAACTTTGGTTGATGAACGTCTGGGAGCCACCCAACCAGGTTATGCCGTGTGTTATTTCTTCTTCAAGGATATATCTACCTACCAAAGAAGTCCGACTAGCGCTATGGCGGCGATGCTTCATCAGCTGTTTTCCGCTATTCCGTCTCTTGTACGACACGCATTGTTTCCATATGAGCTCAACGGGAAGGAGCTGCCTTATCTTCTAGATGTCATGTTCGACATTCTCGTGGATGCGGCTAATGATACAGCTGTGACACAGATTGTGTGCGTTATGGATGCGCTCGATGAATGCGATGAGCACGAGCGATTATTCTTGATCGAGAAAATAACCAACTTCTATCGAGAATCAAAAGGCTTCGCGCCAGACGAACAACCTAAATTGAAATTTTTCTTGACGAGTCGGCCTTACGATGACATCCAATTTCAATTTCATCAACTAGTTCAAGAGGTGCCCACCATCCACTTATCCGGGGATGAGGAATCTGCAGGTATCAGCAGCGAAATAGATCGAGTCACAATAGCAAACGTGCAGAAACTAGCAAATGAGAAGGGATTTGACCAAGAAACGACAAAGTTCCTTCAAGACAAGCTGCTAGAAGTTGAAAACAGGACGTACCTGTGGCTGAGTTTGATCATGGAGGAGATACGTACCAGTCACCGGCGAGGGAACCGGAGAGAGATTGAAAAGCTTGTCTCGGATATACCACGAAGCGTCATGGATGCGTACGACTCGATTCTGAACAAGTCTCGGGACAAACAGCTTGCACGCGAATTGCTGCACATCATCCTAGCTGCTAAAACGCCTCTGAGCTTAGAAGAAGTGAGTGTCGCCACGGCGCTGGCTGGAGATCTTAGTTACAACTCTTACGAAGACATTGGACTGGAAAGCCCGGATGCCTTTGGGAGGAGAATCCAGAATGTTTGTGGGTTGTTCGTGACCATAGACGATGGCCATGTGTTTCTCATTCATCAAACTGCCAAAGAGTACTTGATGGAGAAAGAAAATGAGGTTAATGGTGATTGGAAGCACACCTTCCGCTCCAATGATTCCGAGACACTTATCGCCAGTGTTTGTATTTCTCTTCTTTCCTTTGAGTGCTTTGCGAACGATCCGCTTCCTGATGAAAGCGTTGATGTTGAAGTAGACGATGAGAGTGATGGCGGATCTGTCAAAACTATTGATATCGGGAAGAACCGATATGTGTCTGATTTCTATCGCGAGAGTCACCCATTCCTGGATTATGCTGCCAGAAATTGGATAGAGCACTGCCAGAAGTGTGAACTCGAGTCTCAAGAAGCGTGGCAATCGCGTATCACCACTTTGTGTGATACACGCACGTTGAAATATCAACGATGGTATTCGATATATCGGCACGCAGACGATGGGCATCTTCCCGAGGTAATGACCAGTTTGAATCTGGTCGCAGAATTCAAGTTCCCTAATATACTCCGTCGTCTCCTAGAGCAAGGTGCAGATCCAAACGAACCCGATGCGCAGGGAGCGACTCCCTTGCAACGCGCCGCTAATACCTCCCTAGAAGCGACGGAGATACTCCTCAAAGCTGGAGCAGATGTCAACGCCACAGGATGGAATACGCCGTGGGTCATCGAGGTGAACGAAAATGGTAGCGAAAGAGAAGTAAAGAAATTTTCTGGTACGCCTTTGTACATGGCGATCACAGGAGATGATGTCGATATCGTGGAATGCTTAATCCGGGGCGGAGCCTCGGTAGACCTTCCATCGGCTGGKATCGTACCATTGACTCAGGCACTTATCATAGCGCAGTGGAATGACAGCTCCATGGAGATCTTTCGGATTCTTCTTGATCATGGCGCAGATGCGACTGTTAAGACAAGCCAGCCCATGCTGCAGATTGATCTGGGTTGGACACCGCTTCATTACGCAGCGCATTTCAACAACATTGAGGCTATAGAGATGCTTCTCAAACATGGGAACGTCAACATTAATGAGCGGACTGCAACGGAAAGGGAGATCGCTGCCGAGATTGCAGAAGATGACGATGATGAAGATGTAGAGGTCTCTAAAGTTGAAGAGCAAACTGTGGAAGATGTAGACGAGAAATGCAAGGATGACCATGCTTCGTCTCAGAACAGCGAGGACAATGGTGGTGATGATGATGAATCAACCGGTATGTGTTGACGCTATTTTATCTAATACCATCTGTACTCATGCTGACTTTCATTATCAGAAGATACAGACATCAAGCCGGCCGGTGATAATGATTATGACGCTCAAGTATTCGTTACTCCAGATAGTGAATATACCACCAGCTCATATTTTGAAGAAAGCGACTCAGATTCCGACGACAGAATCCACGCTGATTTCAACCCTAAATCAACCAACGACAATGAATCCGACAAAGACAATGCCACCGTCAGTTCGGCAGACTCCTCCACAATCTGGCCAGGCTGCACTGCATTACACATTGCAATCGACAAAAAGAATGTGGAGGCTGTCAAATTGCTGTTGCAGAACGGTGCAGATATGCATATCAAGGACAGTAATGGAACGTCGGCCTTGCATCTCGCGCTGTCGCTCCGTAACTATGGCGAAACCAATAAGATCATAGGGTTGCTGCGAGAGTTTAAAACAAGGGAGGAGGTTGACTGGGAGTGGAGGCCGTCGTCACGTCAAGAGTAATGCCGTCGAGTATGAGAGCGTCAATAGAATAGAAGTCATAAAGCATAAAAGAACCGAGAGCAAAGGACAAGGCATAGGTAGTGTATATACCATATTCGTCTAGACTACAATTCTATCAATCTCACATCTATTATTCCCACCTCCACGGGAAGGGCGAAGGATCCTCAGACGAAGGGATTATAGGTTATCCTATAATTCATTGCAGACAAATATCATCAATTGGGATCTGCAGTATGAATATAGTCAACGTTATTTTAAATTTAGCGTGGCTGGCCTTTGTTATATTGTTACAATATCGATCGTGCTTACCGGTCAAACAGCACTGATGATTATCCGATTCGCCGTCGATGCCCTCTGTCTAGGATCGGTGTTTCATGTAGGTTGCTTTTCCATTGTCGCTTCGATCTAGAACGATCTAGAGGTGTATGGTTAGTTCTGGCGTGTGGCAATGTATCGAAGCATAAGACAGCGTATTCAACTTTGGAAGTTTATATGAACCACGTGAGATCCTGGTATGAACTAGTGGTCGATTCAGATACCTAGATAGCAGCTCAAATCGCACCATAAGACCAGTATATTCAAATGCATAGCCCGAGTTATTCCTCTCTGCTAAGGTATTATCGCAGCAATCGCAACGACAGCATATGCCACTCAAACCTATCAAGCCCAACCCAGACACATCTCGCTCCACGCTCAGCCATCACCACATTCTGTAGAGAAAATGGCCTGTCCGACGCAGCAGAATACCTTCTCTATAATAACCTCTGGGGAGAAGACAAAGCCACCTCAGGTTCTCAGTGCACCTATCTAGAATACGACAAAGGCGAGACGACCTCATGGGTCACCTCGTAGAACTGGACAAGCAACAACGGCGAGGTCAAAAGCTACAGCAATGTGGTGCCAAATTGGGATGCGACTGAGTTGAGGTCTATCAAGAGCATTGAATCTAGCTGTAAACCTAGCTGGAGCTGGAAGTATGTATACTGCCACTTAATGTCCTTGCTTGCAAGGAGAAAGTACTGAAGGTGAAAAGTCTCACAGGCCACGACGTCGTAGCAGACATATCCTACGGTGCATTCATATCCGCTTCCAACTCCACTACAGCCTCCCATCCGTACGAAGTCATGATCTGGCTCACGCAAATCGGAGGGGCGGAACCACTAGGACATTCCGACGGCCCTATCGGGACAGATGTCAAAATCGAAGATATCCTATGGGATCTGCTCAAGGGTGCCAACAAGGGCTGGACGGTGCATAGCTATGTAGCTGGCAGTAATCAAGATGATTTTGAGGGGGGTGTGAATGAGTTTTTTTATACCTATTTGATTGTTAATCATGCGCTGCCGTCGGATCATTTCATGTAGACTTGGGGCTGGGACGAGGCGTTCAAAGGGACGAAGGCGTGGTTCACTGTGTCGCCATATAGAATATCCCTGTCGACGGAATAGTATTTATTTTCAGGGCTAAATTTTCTTTGTAGGGCTAGCATAAATGAAGCCCTAAAGCCTAGTCTATGTTATGACTTCCCAATTGAGTAATGGCTGTCACGTTACCCCAGATCATGTGAAACCCATGGAACGCCTGCCTAAAACAGCCAGCTGACCCACGGATGTTCGAGAACACATTCTCCGCCAAAACGGCCATCCATCAACAAAGAACTCGACAAGATTCTCGGGGAGTTGACGGATGTTCCCAGCGGACCTTTATGACATGATGCGCACTACGATTAACGGTAGGCCAAGACACGCCCATGGAATCATATCTTTGTCATCTATCCATCGAATCCATCGATAGCTTAAAGCAACATTCAAACATCATTAAGGCCATCATCAAGAACAGCTCAGAACCTTCCAAGGCGAACATGGCAAACGATGATACCAATTTTGCGCTTTCCACTGGCAACATCGCAACCGCCATTCGCGATCTACCCAAACGCCCAACCACCGCTGCAGATGTAGCTCGTCTCTGGCTCGAGATTCTGGAGATCTTCTTTCCCGACGACCAAGGTTTCCAACGGAAACAGGTCTTGTCGACAAAAGATCGCGTGTTGATACAAGTGCAGCGCTGCAAAGATCTTGATGGAGACGTTTTCATTGACAGCAGGTTCAGACAGTCGATACTTGTTGTGGACTGTCGAGGAAATATAGCTGGTAGTTCTGGCTTGCAATTCAAGTCCGACGAAGAAGACAGTCGAAACGATGTTATGTACAAGTATGGAGTTGCGTCTTTTGGTGCGCAGGTCACCTTTTTGAAAGATGTGTCATCTCTAATTGACGACCATGAAGTTTGGTCTTTACGCGGAGTGAAAATGGACATCTCAAGCCTTGTCAGGGCCACTGGGCGCGACGCGACCGAGGCATGGCTGCGCAAAATACGAGATATTAGTGACGACTTGGTCGAGGAGCACCATTCTTGAGTGAATGGTGACTCGTTTCGAGTCACCCTCTCTGGCTTGACAGTGAGGTTGTATGCCTCCAAAAATACTGTACCTCAAGGTCATGGCGTCCTCAAGAGAGCAATTTTGAAGACCCTTTTGGATCCTTGGTGTCGGATAACGGCGAACCTCAAAGAGGACTTCATTGGCAATCATGGCAAGCAAGCATCTTCCGCCCTCTGAACTCGATTCTTAGCACGAATGCTAATCTATATTTCTAGATAGACTTCGTCGAGTCGGTATGCGGGCTGCAATTTCCTCGACACATCAATGCAGTCCAAATCCCAACCAACGTCGATAGAGATAGAAAATACCACTTTAACATTTTGTTTCTTGATCGATAGACTCGTAACTATGTACTTCTGCGAAATTAAAACCACCCAGACTATTTTCTTAGGCCCCTTTCTCCGCGCAGGAAAAATACGCTATGCGTCATAAGATCCACCCGTGTCTTAATGGCTGCGCTTGGGCTTCGCCGCTTCGAGGTCTACGAAGTGAGACACGAGAATCACGAATTATAATAATACCCCCTGAATAAACATATGATCATCCAGCATACAGCACGTAGTGAATGATTACACAGAAAATAATGAATTCGACGTCTGATTTCAGTGCTGCTGGGAGGCGGCACCAGCGTCTCTAAAACAACCTGCACAGACGAGCTCGGTTGGCTGCGACGTACCTAATTTCGAACAGGCTTCGTCATCCTCTCAAAACTCAGCGATATGGATARCGAACTTTATTCGACCTATTCGTGATTTTCGAAATGAATCGAATTGGATCACGCCGTCCGGACTGCGTGCGTACTACCGTACTGCAGGAGGAAGTCTCGGAACTACCAGGCCGAAACATGTTTGTTGGTGCTGGTTGCTCCGTATTGTATGACAAGGGTTGCTTGTTTCTAAAGATGGGGGGGCAACCCTGCTTGACTCAGGGACACATCACATATCGTATGTATTATACATAAAGTTATAGAGTCGATAAATCTTAGCTGCAAATTAAGAATTGGCATGGCATATGCAAGCTACCTGGACAAGGAACATCCACAATGTCATACATAGTAGTCTCTGAACTTGTCAGGTCAAAACGCTAATTTAACAGCATCCACAGTGGCTGGCCCGTATCAATACCGTCCCGCCATACAATTCGTACAGGATGGGTATGATTAGACAGTCGCTTTTAGAATGTACACTACTTTGATTGGTGTGATGTGCCCATGGCTATCAGAAAATCGCTCAATTACATTCGCCTGTCAAATAGCAGCAAGTGAAACCCAAAATCCCTGCATGGATTCTGGGAATGTCGAAAGATGCATGGATAAGCGCAGAGCATGCTGCGTAATTACGTATACGGCGATACGGCTGGCACATTAATTAATATGGGCTCCCGCCCAGACTAAGAGCGCTAACATCCACAGCTTTCACTTTGTAATTACATACGACGTAGAACCATGTCGACTTGTTTGAGGGTAGAAAATCCTGACGTGCTTGCTCAACAATTTCTTCATTGTGCTGTTCATCTTCATCGACATCTAACGACACATCGATCTATATACTATAGTACATAGTAGAGGTATCTGCACTAGTACCCGTTCCACGTGCAACTAAAAACTTTCTGCGACGGAAGGCTTGTACCAGAAGACGTTAATCCACTGGACTGACCGCCCACGACTTTCTCTCCTCATCTCGTCGTCCTCGATCACTCCGCCATCCCTTGCCGGCTGCATCATCTATTGCAGGCTTGGGCTGCGATCAATTATCCATCTCTGTACATCTCATTTCCGCTGTGCATCCACTCCGTTGCATAGCAAAGACACCTTGCTCAGAAAGAACAGTGACAGCCACCGGGCTTGAGGTGCCTGTGCCCCTCCGCCGCCATTTCTCCGCTACGCACCAATCCCCGTCAGTTCAGACTGCAATCAAACACCCAGCCAGAAGAACGCAACCCTCCGTTAATTTCTACTTACCTGCAGTTGCTTACTGACCGACAACGTCGGACCGTGACGCTCTTTACGTTACCACACCCCTCCCAATCAGACGGACCTCGTTTACTGCTGCAGCTCGGTCGGATTGATCGATCGACTCATCCGCGACCATGGATCAAGAACGTTCCACGGGCATAGCCTCAAACTTCAAGTTCCGCCGACCAAGCAGCAAACTGCATAAAGAACCCCCGCAATTCAACCGGCCTTTAAAATCCCAGCAAAGCAACCCGTCGCTCAAGAGACATCCCTCTGCGCCCGTCTATCCCCGGAACTACACCGGCAGCCGTGAACACTTGCGCACTCGCTCGAATGCTTATGGATCGTCGTCGTCATCGTCGTTAGAGCAGCAACAACAGCAGAATAATAATAGTAACAGTGCAGGTCATTCACCCGTTGGTGAGTATCTTTACTCTTCGCATCGTTCGTCGCAAGGTCGGCAACCTTATCCTCTCTGGTATTCATTGACCAACGACAATAATTCAGATGATCTGACCGGCCCGCCGTTCGATGTCCGGGGAATGTTCAATGTCCTTGAAGAAGGTGGTGACTACTCAGCAGATCAGCAGCAACAACAACAACAACAACAACAAAGCGACTCTTCGGCCACCTCAACCCGCCGCCCACCCACCTTGCAGTCGTATCACACCAGCCCGGATCCTCGTGGTAAACAGATCTTGCGACAATCGGCTAGTTTTACAGCCTTGAACAATCCCCGTATGGACACTGCGTTACCCCAGATTCAAGATGTGCCGTCGAATTCCAAGAGGAATTCAGACGAGGGGTTCAGCACGAAACCTCGGAGGAAAAACACATTTTCGAGCTTCGTGAACAGCGTCTTGGGATCGCCGCGCAATATTAAGATTTCTGCTCCTGAGAATCCTGTCCATGTTACTCATGTTGGATACGACAATCAGACGGGCCAGTTTACTGTATGTTGCTACCTTTGGGCTATATCTCGCCGTACTAATTGTTCCTCGATAACAGGGCCTGCCTAAAGACTGGCAGAGGATGCTACAAGCGAGCGGAATTTCGAAAAAAGAACAGGAACAGCATCCACAAACTATGGTCGACATCATGAGATTTTACGAGAGAAATGCCGCGGGTGCAGGAGAAGAAGAAGTCTGGCACAAATTCGACCATGCCATTCCTCGACAAGGCGAATACCCTGACGGCATGAGTCCAGCTTCCGCAACCAGTCCGCGCTTCCCCCAAAACCATGAAGGCAGCTTTGAAAATCCTCGCGCTGCCCCGCCTCCTCCGAAACCCTCGCAGAGCTCGCCGGTGCCTGTGTTGTCACCTGCTATAGTACCCAATCGTGTCGCTCCCAAACCGCCGACCGCAGGTCTTGTTCCTTCTCGACCACCGCCACAGCCTCCTATGGTGTCCAATAGAGCCCCAGCTACAAAACCAGCCAATGAGCCCCTTGCAACACCACCTATTCCTGAAGATGAGCCCGTATTCGTCAATGCACCTGCTCCGGCCGTTCCTAGCGCTATCCAGTCCCCAGTTCAATATCAACAGCAGCAGGAACGTGCTATGGCCGCGGCGCAACAAGCGATAACTGATAAGCAACTTGATCGAAGTCGCAGCCAACGTCAGCAACAGCAAGCTCCACTTCCACCAGTCGAACAGCAAATTACTCCTGTGGCGACCCCGCCAACACCGCAACATCAATTCTCCCATGTGCAAGCACCAATTCCTCAACCGGCCGTGCAACAGCAACAACAACCTGCTGCCGCGGTTGCCCGACCTCGGCCTCGCGCTCGTCAGAGCACAGCTTTTGACGTCCGCGCCAAGTTGCAGGCTATTTGCACGCCCGGAGATCCCACCAAAAAGTACTACAATCTCAACAAGATCGGACAAGGTGCCTCCGGAGGTGTTTTTACTGCATACGAGACTAATACCAACAAGTGCGTTGCTATTAAGCAAATGAACTTGGATTTGCAGCCTAAGAAGGACCTTATCATCAACGAGATTCTGGTCATGAAGGATAGCAAGCATAAGAACATTGTAAACTTCTTGGACAGCTATCTTCACGGACTTGATTTGTGGGTTGTGATGGAGTATATGGAGGGAGGTAGCTTGACAGATGTTGTTACATTCAACATTATGTCTGAGGGTCAAATTGCGGCTGTTTGCCGTGAGGTATGTTACCCATGTCAACTGCATCCCGCATTACTAATAGTTGTAGACATTGAGTGGCCTGCAACATCTCCATTCAAAAGGCGTCATTCACCGAGACATCAAATCTGATAATATCCTTCTTTCCATGGACGGAGAGATCAAATTAAGTAAGTTTGAGTTGCTAGGCAAGCTCCAAGCCATAGTGCTAACATCCATACAGCTGATTTTGGTTTCTGTGCGCAAATCAACGACTCTCAAAACAAGCGCAACACCATGGTAGGAACACCCTACTGGATGGCGCCCGAAGTCGTGACACGAAAAGAATACGGGCGCAAAGTCGACATATGGAGTTTGGGAATCATGGCGATTGAGATGATTGAGGGCGAACCTCCATATCTTACCGAGTCGCCACTTCGAGCTTTATATCTGATTGCTACCAATGGTACACCAAAAATAAAGGACGAACAAAACTTGTCACCGGTTTTCCGAGATTTCCTCCACTTGGCGCTACGTGTTGATCCCGAGAAGAGAGCTTCTGCTCACGACCTACTCAAGGTTCGTTACTCTATTTTTTTGCTGATAGATTATGACTAACTTGGTTTCTAGCATCCGTTCATGTCCGTTTGTGAGCCTCTGAACAGCCTCGCTCCTCTGGTCAAATCTGCGCGTATCAGTCGAGCCCAAGAAAAGGCTCAAAAAGGCGGTACTTAACGTTTCTTATGTTGTAAATTCCGTTTTTTCTTTATCCTAACTTCTTCGGCTTCCATGACCCCATTATACCCGTGCTTCCAGGGCACATTGATGCAACTGCTCTGGTTTCTTTCTTTGCGGATTTTTTTTCTGAACGTTTAGACACGGTGTCATTTCCCCTCTACTCCGCTATATTTGTCTCTTCGACGATAAACTTGTCATGACCGTTCTACGACCCCATACTTCTGCATATTCCATCACTTATGCACCTCACTGTTGACGTATAACGTCCAGATATATTTGCACAGTTTGTCGAATTGTTCTATACATGGAGATAAATTTGGATTTCTGCTGTTGAACTTGGTTCTCTGTGGATACTGTAGAGTATAAATTACAACTGTCAATCTGATCTCTTGGGTACAATCTAAAAAAAAATCCATATTCATATTGATAGAGAAAAGAGAAAAAGCTCTTCCGCCGCACTGAGGCTTGAGTGGCTGTGGGTGCACTAGTCGGGCTTAGCGGCTCTTCAGCAACGGAGCAACTACGTAGATGCCCGCACCGTCTAGGTAGCAGTATTTCCAACTCTTATATTCGCCTCTGTTGTTGCATGCAAATTTGTTATTCACGATCCTTTACTGGAAAATATCAACCTAGAGTTCTCTCTATTACTAGCAAAGTTGCTGTCACAGTGAAAACGAGACGAACGCGACACACCCAATTCCGAGCGGGTCTATCTACATACGTCAATCGAGCGGGCACATCATCAACACCACATACAACAGCTTGACTTGCCCCGTCTTTGCGTCCACCGAGCATTATCGATAATCGAGCGTATTTTGAAGACTGAAACAATAGCAGTTTTCCTTTTAATACCAGAGAGATCTTCCATAAATTTAAAAATCATTCCCGGACTGTTCGCGAGCCGGGAGGATAATACGACATGTTTCGAGCCCAGCAGAATGCTTTCGACGACGCCGTCGGTATGATTTCCCTATCTGGAGTCATAACTTTGTCGCTTTGTATGACTATGAGCTAATGCACATTCCCTATACAGCCAAAGCGACCGACGAGAATCTAACAGCCGAAAACTGGGAATTCATACTGGTGCGTCTTGAAGCTTGATCGATGAGAGGTATCGGTCTGACAGTGTCATAGGATGTTTGCGATAAGGTCAACAATGAAGAATCGGGGTAATTATTTCTCTTTGCGCTATATGTCTGGGGGGCATGTACTGACTGTATGAAATAGTGCCAAAGATGCCGTTGCGGCGTTGATTAAGCGGTTGGCGCACCGGAATGCTAATGTGCAGCTTTACACACTCGAGGTTGGTCCTGTTGTCTTTCCCTCGTTTTTATGGAATCAAAGTTGCTGATTGATTTCGCCTCTAGCTAGCGAATGCTCTCGCGCAGAACTGCGGTCTGAAGATTCATCGCGAGCTAGCGTCTCGAAGCTTCACGGAAGCGTTATTGCGACTGGCCAACGAGAGAGTAAGACAATTAGTCGTTATTGTATATGCAGAATGCTGACTGCGACAGAACACACACCAACAGGTCAAATCCAAGATCCTGGAGCGCATGGAGGAATGGACGGAGATGTTTTCTAGCAATCCAGACTTTGGCATTATGGAGCAAGCTTATATGAAGCTGAAGACGAGCAGTGAGTTATGCACCTTCATATTATTGACTAAGTCTGACGCTATCAGACCCCAATCTTCAACCACCATCGAAGCCGACCAAACGTCAAATCACCGATGTCGACCGACAAAAAGAAGAGGAAGAGCTCCAGATGGCGTTGGCACTTTCGATCAAGGACAAACAGACAGCAGATGTCGTCCCTTCATCAAGCGCAGCTACCGTAGCAGCAGTCTCCAGCCAGCCGGAATCTTCGAGTACAGTGTCACAAGGCATTCCACCCGGAACAACGGCAGCTACAGTTTCGCGAGTCCGAGCATTGTTCGATTTTCAGCCTTCCGAGCCAGGTGAACTTCAGTTCCGCAAGGGCGATATCATTGCGGTATTGGAATCTGTTTACAAGGACTGGTGGAAGGGTTCTTTGCGTGGACAGACTGGGATTTTTCCGTTGAACTATGTCGAGAAGCTTCCGGATCCTACGCCGGATGATTTGCAGCGTGAAGCGCAAATGGAAGGAGAGGTGTTTGGACAGATCAAAAACGTCGAAAAGCTGTTGACTCTTCTCAGCACGAGTAGCTCGGAGCTAAACGTTCGTGATAATGAAGAAATTACGACGCTCTATCATTCCACGCTTGCTATCCGACCTAAGCTTATTGAACTTATTGGCAAATATTCTCAAAAGAAAGGTACCTATCCTTGACTTTGGTACTTAACACTTTAAGAACTCGAACTAACTTTGAAAAGATGAATTCACACAGCTCAATGAAAAGTTCATCAAAGCCCGCAGGGATTACGAGGCTCTCTTGGAAGCTTCAATGTCGCATCCTGCTCAGCCTCAGTATGGCAGACCTCCTCAGCAGGCTTATGGATATCCCCCAACAGGAGCAGCACCACAAGGCTATCCTCCATCTCACCCAGCCGCGCCAGTTGATCATCAACAATATTATAGCACTCGACCTCAAGGTAAGTTACTATCTATAAATAACATGAAAGGATAAACATAAATTGATAATTGATTATTTTAAGATTCACACACCCCTCAGCCCGCTGGCCCAGGTCACTATGCGGCAGATCCATCGCGACCGTACCCACAAACATCCCAGTCACCGGATCCACGCAACCAGACTCCGCAGCCATTCCAGCAACCTCCTCAACAACCGCCATCGGAACCCTACCAGGCCCTGCACCATCGTCCCCAATCAACATATGAACACCCTCAAGAACTAGGAACTTCCGTCTATGACTCACCCGTGGAACAACGGTACCCATTTCACCCCGCATCTGCACCTCCACAGCCACCCCAGCAACAGCCAGGAACCGACTATCCTACACCTACAGACGAGCAACGACCACCTATGACCAACCAGCAATACCCATCCCAACCACCCCAAGTCCAACAATATGCATCACAACCTCCCTATCCGACATCAGCAACCACACAACATCCCCCGCCGATTCCGACAGGTAGTCCGCAACCACAGGGCTCAACACCATACCCAAGCCTGAACGCTGGACAACCCTATTCCGCTTATCAGCAGCAGGGTCATCCACCTGCAGCCAACTCAGTAAATTCGAACCCTGCATCATTCTATCGATAGTTTTGTTACCCATCCAGCTCGTTTTTGTAATTTCATCAGGAATATGAAGCGTGTCTCTTCTCGCTCGTAGGTGCACAGGATTTACGATTTGATACTCTAATGTATGTTATCTTACGGATTGAAAATTCCTATATTCCCTAACTACCTAACGTAGTAAATCAATCATAACTCTCGGCTATCCCCACACATGGCGCAGTTAAATACTCATTCGAAATCAACTTGGACACAATCTCATGTGACCCATTCCCCCCAAACATCACAAGCGTCTTGTCTCCATCCTCAGGCCGGAAAGCAGGCCACCCCATAGCCGGCAGTCCCTTGACAGGGTCACGAATAAACGCCAAAAACAGATCCTGCCAGTGAGCGGATACGCTCCCTCAAATGCGGCTTCGGCTGGTGGGCGATTGGTTTCGTTCCCGCTCGTGGAGAGGCTGTAGGTGCCGAAGAGGAGTGGTAGTTCGGAGGTGTGGTATGCGCCTTCCCAGGGCCGCGGGGAGATGATGCTGAAGTTGGCGATGACAAGGGTATTCCTTCCTATTTCATGCTAACGATGAGCATAGGCCATTCCCGTACCACCCGATAGGTAATGCCCAGACACATGGGGAATTAGCAGACAGCAAAGCGACTAGAAGCGCTCTTTAACAGCACAGTCACCAAGTCATAGATGGAGTAAGGGAAATCGAAAAATTTGGGGATACATGTCAAATTCTAGGTAGCTACAAATTACGAGCCAACAAGCAATAGAACCTTAAAGGCCTTGGAATTGCAGGCGGATCTATTCACACAACGTGGCCAATGGACCGATTTCAGTAGAGCGATCAACATATCTGGGGCCAATTACCCATGCTGCCAACCAAGAACAAGTTTGTCAAGTGGGATGTAGAAGGAAATGAAGTAAAGGGATGTTAGCAGCTGGGTAGATATGCATGGCAGAATCATTTAATGGTTCACCGCCTTAGGTCAAATGTTGATGCCTTACTTTGCAGGCACAAAACCAAACACCACATTGTGCCAGCTGCCTTGCCAAGCTTGATGCCCTCGAGCTGTTTTGAACTGCGCTTTTACCTGCTCCCTCGTTTCAGGTGGCCAGATCATTATCTCCCCGACAGAGTCGCCCACGGACATTCCTTCACTCTGACACGACACTGAAGTAGCAACCGACGACCATGCTGTCTCGCCCGACATCTCTTTGAATCCAACCCCGCGTCCTTTCCCGCGCGTCCGCCCTGGACGATGACGCCTAGCTGCCTTCATTGTGCGATGTGGGCTAAAGACAACTGCAATTATAGCCGAGATCAATTCACTTCTTAAATACTGCTCTTACATCAACCTTGAGAGCTTATGGGCCGGGAAGGGAGTCCGTCGAGATCATGATGGAGGCTGATTGGGATGAGGTGTCGCGAATTGCGGTGCCGCCTCCGAGCCCGCATGTTCTCCCAACCATTGCAACAGCTATTGCATTCGACGATCTTCAGGAGCTTCTATGGGCTGGCAACGAATATGTAAGTAAAGACCATGGCATACTCAACATACCAAGTGCTAACATGGAGATTTCAAGGGACGAATCACGTCTTTCTACGGTCCCGAGCTTCAAAGGTACACCTCAATACGAGCACATCCGGTGTCAGAAGGCGCTGTACGACAGTTCCTATTCCATGAAAAAGGCGTGATATCTCTCTCGTCAAGGAGTGTTCATATGGTCACGCGTCGAGGCCTAACTCAATGGCATGTCACACATCCTGATATGGCCGACCTTCGTTGCATGAGCTTCACCGCACAAACAAACCGTATCATCGTCGCCGGCTGTCAGAAAACAATGTTCACGGTAGATATCGACAAGGGCGTCATCATCGATACTATACCAACGGATGTCAACTATACTATCATGAAGAGAAGTCGATATCTTTGCTGCGCAACAGACACGGGCTCGGTGAATGCACTCAGCTTGGCAGATTTCAAAATTGTGAAATCTTGGAAGGCACACGGTGCGGCAATCAATGATATGGACGCACGAAACGATTTTCTCGTTACTTGCGGCTTTTCCGTGCGACATTTGGGGGCTCCGATTGTTGATCCACTGGCGAATGTATACGACCTGAAGACACTGACTCCATTACCCCCGATACCTTTCCATGCGGGAGCAGCGTATGTACGCATGCACCCTCGATTACATACAACCAGTTTTGTAGCTTCCCAGTCCGGGCAGCTACAGGTAGTGGATTTGATGAACCCCAACACAATCAACCTTCGCCAAGCGAATGTCAACTTTATGTTAGGTTTGGAGATTTCGCCGTCCGGTGAGGCGCTTGCGATCAACGACGCGGAATGTTCTATTCACCTATGGGGATCACCCAGCAAGATTCACTTCAATGAAATGAGCAAAGAGACAGAATTTGCCGACGTGCCACCGCGGCCGCCAATAATCGATTGGTCCCCGGAGACCCCATTGAGTATGATCGGAATGCCTTACTACAACGAGCGACTATTTTCAGCTTGGCCTAGTCATCTGGTGTTTGACATTGGAAGCCCGCCTGCACCAGTTGACCCTGCTATTATTCCTTATCTACGGCCAGCTGAGATCGGGCACTATGCTGCGAATCCAAAGAAAGGACGACGTTATCAGATCGAGAACACACGTCAAGTGATGTCTACAGAGCCTGCTCTGATAGCACCGAAGTTTTTGAGTGAGAAAGCTCGTGAATCACCTCGAAGCAAGCCAGATGCGGCCCTTGGGGATGTTTCTAGTGCATTAGCTAGCGCAAAGATTGGTGCTGAAGTGGAAGAAGACCCACTACTGAAATACAGCAATGTCGAAATCAAATACAGCAAGTTCGGAGTTGATGATTTCGATTTTAGGTATGTCGATAACTCTTTTATTTTGTGGTGTACCCACTAATTCCTGAATCAGGTTCTACAACAAAACTACATTCTCGGGCCTAGAGACCCATATAGCGAATTCCTTCACTAACTCACTGCTCCAACTATATAAATTCATTCCGTTGATGCGGAATTTTGCGCTACATCATGCTGCAAGCAGTTGTCTGTTCGAAGATTGTCTGCTGTGCGAAATGGGATACCTTTTCGACATGCTAGATAAAGCAAATGGTCAAAATTGCCAGGCTACAAATCTTCTGAAAGCTTTCAGCAATTCTCGGGAAGCCTCAAAACTAGGGCTATTGGAGGAGAACCTGACAAATAAGGCGTTGTCTGGCGCTATCCAATCAGTCAATCGGTTTATTTTGAACCAAATTTCAAACGAACATCGTGCGGTTGCTCCTGACTCCGATGATTTGGACCGCAATTTGACTACGGTGGCATCGGAATCGGTTCGATGCATGTTCTGCCGGAACGAGATTGTTCGACCAGGAAATGTCTTTGCCAACGAGCTCATCTACCCTGTTCCGGATGCAAAGCAAGTACGAAGGATTCCTCCAATCAAATTCTCTTCGATTCTGAAGTCGTCCATTGAGAGAGAAACTCAAAACAGAGGTTGGTGTAATCATTGCAGAAGATATCAACAAGTTGCTATTCGCAAGACAGTTCATCGCATGCCGCCGGTCTTGATGTTGAACACAGGCCATACAACGCCATATCTCCGCCAAGTATGGGCCAGTCCAGGGTGGCTGCCTGAAGAATTGGGTCTCATTGTCGACAACGGACAATTACATTGCTTTGAAGGCGATGCACTTCGAAGCCGAGTGCAAAGTAGAACTCCAGGGCTGGTTATATACGAACTCGTTGGAGTTGTGGCTGAGATCAATATTACCGAGCATCAAAAGCCACATCTTGTATCTTTTATCAACGTTAATGTATCTGCACGTGAGCCTGAAGACAAGAGTAAATGGCATCTCTTCAACGATTTTCTCGTTACCGAAGTGAGCCGGGATGAGGCTTTGAAATTCACTGAGCCTTGGAAAGTGCCCAGTGTTGTGGCGTACCAGGTGAAAGGCGCAAGGCACAACCTCGATGATTCATGGAAGGACAAGCTTGACACCACATTGTTGTTCCATGAGTGGTCTATGAAGTACGCTCTATCGAAATCTATCATCAAAACTTTATTTGCTAATCTGAATCTATTAGTGGTGGCCAAATCATTGACTCGTGTGAAATACTCAAACCAGAGGAACGACCCCAACCGGGCACTCCGGTTGCCCTCGACACGGAATTTGTTGATCTGGAAAAAGCGGAAATTGATGTCAAAGCCGATGGCTCACAAGAGATGATAAGACCCAATAAAAGCGGCCTTGCACGAGTATCAGTGTTGAGAGGATCGGGGTTGCATGAAGGTGTTCCATTCATCGACGACTATATCACCATCAAAGAGACAATCGTCGATTATGTGACGCAATATTCCGGTATCAAACCAGGAGATCTCGATCCACGAACAAGCCAGCATAATCTGGTTCCTCTAAAGGTGGCTTACAAAAAGCTGTGGCTACTTCTGAACTTAGGGTGTGTTTTTGTCGGTCATGGCTTGGCCTCAGATTTCAGAAAGATCAACATTCAAGTGCCCAAAACACAGACCGTGGACACGCAATATCTGTTCTTCCACCCTGCTAAAAACCGTCGTCTAAGTTTGCGATATCTAGCATGGGCAGTCTTTAAGGAATACATTCAAGAAGAGAACTCGGATGTCACCGAAGGACACGACTCGATAGAAGATGCCCGCATGGCTCTACGATTATGGAAGAAGTTTCAGGAATACGAGGATGCAGGCATCGTCAATCAGATACTTGAGGAGATCTTTGCTCAAGGATTCAAATTGGGATTCAAGCCTCCTCCCAGGAATGGCAATGCAGCGCCTTCTGCTGCTGTTACTTTGACACGACCTGGAACAGCAATCAGCAACAATGCTCCCAATGGCAGTGGTAGGAACACGCCCGATCTAGCGAGCAATACAGCCACTTCGACAGCAGGCACCAGCACGCCATCTACACCACGACAGGCATTCAGACGAGCGAATGCTTTGACGCCCAGTAATGGGACATTTGGAGCACCCGGACAACCGGATTTCTTTAGTGGAAGTCCGCTGAGATAGTATGATGGACTTGGAATTGGGCAAAGCCAGATGAACCCGAGCTATGCCCTCTGTAAAGAATAATGATTCCTAGACCATGTTTTTGGCCTTATTTGTCTGGCTTTCTTTCTTATGAAAATAGTGAAGCTCTAAGTAGCTTTCCATGGTCGCTACCTTATATCTAACCGCTTCTAGACGGTAGCATGTTAATAAATATCAATTGCTTCGACCATGTTTTCTTGTCGTAAGTCTAGTTCGTTGTGCTTTTTACTGTGTTTGATTCTATACAAAGCGGAGAAGGTGACGTATTGAGGGACTCGGGTAGCTCCACCGCAGCTGTGCCCGAAACACTACACAACCCCTCCAGTTTGATCTCGAGCGCGTCAGTCAACATAAGACCTCTTTGTCTGCCATCTACAGGTTTCTCTGCATTCTTACAGAGATTTACACCCTAGGTGAAGTAACTTGCTTCTCGCACTAGTCTCGAGTATCAATCAACCTCCCCCTCCACCGCACTCCAACGCCTTCCTCAAGCAAACAAACATGTCCCGCCACCGCATCAAGTCCCTCGAATACGACGACGACTACGAAGACGAAGAATACGACGAAGTTGATCCCGCAGAGCAAGAGCAGCTCGAGGCATACACAAATGAAGTTCTGAACGAGCTACGAACGGGCCAACCGCCGGTCACTGCCACGCGACAAGAAATTCAGGAAGCTTTGTGGCATTACTATAATGACGTTGCGAAATCGGTGAATTATATTCGAGGTACTTAAGCTCTAGGCGTTTGTGACATGGGTGTGTATCGGATCGACTGAATATGTGGCTGTTTAGGCAAGAAGGTAAAAGATGTCAAGAAGGAAGCCGCGCCTGTGACTAAAACAAAAGTTGCTACGGGTAAGATATCTTCTTTCTTTCTTTCTTTTGTTTGTTGCATTTCTTTTCAAACGTGGTCTCGAAGTTGGCCAGGCTCAGCTTCAGAGGTCTTCAATCTACAAAAAGTGAGTTTACTTCTTGCATTGGCTTTATATTCCGTACACTGACAACTTTCGATAAGTTTGCCTTGGTTTCTAACAGGTATCTTCCAGTGCCTTCCTATCCCACAGACAATACGCGGTCTCCTTTCCGTCCATGCTCAGTACGCTTCTCAGCGGCCGACTTTTTCCATGATACTCCGTGGTTAAACATTCCGCATCATCGAAGGGCTGATATACTTGTGGAACCCTTGTATCCACGACTGGGTCTTCTCGGCGGCGCATCGCAAGAAGGAAAAATGTCGAAGTTGGCTGCCCTCGCGGCAGCACGCAAGAAAAAAACGAGTGAGAAGCCGCCGGTGACCGAAGGGCAGCTATCGGCCCAGGCTGATGGACAAAAGTCTGCTCCGCGCTCTTTGTCGGAACGTCTCGCGATGAGTGGCTCTAAGCCACCTGTCAGGTCGGGGGGACTATCAGCACTGTCCAAAGAGCGCCGTACTGCCAATTCAAAGAGCCCCCCAAACGTTACAAGACCGAAAACTCAACCCACGCCTGAGCCATCTGTCAAAGAGGAAAGAGTCGAGCAAGCAACGGAGGGACAGAATTCTGAGGACGCCGCTGACCTCCGAGCCTACCCTTCCACATTCGCAGCAACCATCATCGGAATTGGAACTCGCCCTACAACACCTGAGCCTGGTCATTTGCTTAGCTGCAGTTTTGATGTTATGCATATCTATCAGCAAGATGTAACTGAAGCCTTTGATTTTGCAGGACCTAGCCCCGATGATATCGTTTTCAATGCACAGAGTGCATCCAAAGGTTTGCCAATTCGCGGACCGAGATGATGAAACACTCGCACATTGACACATGACCAGGCCTCAAGGCAAAGCAGACTGCAGCCAAAACTGCCGGTGACAAGAAAAAGGCGCAGGATGATTTATCGGGTGGCATGAAACAGTTGACAGTGGAGCCGATTAAGGTGAAGAGCAAAAACCTCGATGTTGTGGCAGAATATCAAAAGTCCAAACAGAAAAAGTCGGCAAGTTTTGTGGTTATTGGTACGGTTGACTCCGATTGATGATTGACTATAACTTCTGACTGATGATACTCCACAGGACATGTTGACGCCGGAAAGAGTACACTCATGGGACGGCTACTGGCTGATTTGAAAGCTGTCGATCAGAGAACTATGGAAAGATACCAACGAGAGGCCGAGAAGATTGGCAAAGGCTCATTTGCTTTTGCTTGGGTCCTAGACCAAGGTTCAGAAGAACGTGCTAGAGGAGTGACTATAGATATTGCGACGAATAAGTTCGAAACTGATAGTACCCGATTTACGATTGTGGATGCGCCAGGGCACCGTGACTTTATACCCAACATGATTGCCGGAGCCAGTCAAGCAGATTTTGCGGTGCTTGTGATAGATGCCGGGACGGGCAACTTTGAGTCCGGGTTGAAAGGTCAGACCAAGGAACATGCTCTTCTGGTACGAAGTATGGGTGTCCAGAAGGTGGTGGTTGCTGTCAACAAGATGGATATCGTTGGGTGGTCGAAAGATCGTTTCTATGAGATTGAACAGCAGATCTCATCTTTTTTGACGACGGCTGGCTTTCAAGCTAAGAACTTATCATTCATTCCTTGCTCGGGGTACCACGGGGATAATATTACGACGCGCAGCAAGAACGCCAACGTAGCATGGTATACGGGTCCTCTCCTTATCGAAGCACTCGAGACGTCGGAACCATTTTCGCATGCTCTGGACAAACCACTGCGTTTGACTATTGGCGACGTGTTCCGCGGCGGTGTCCAGAACCCACTTTCAATATCTGGAAGGATCGATGCGGGTTCTCTGCAAGTAGGTGACGGAATTCTGGTTATGCCTAGCGGAGAGTCGGCCGTAATCAGGGGTCTTGAAAGAGATGGAGAGCCCGGTGACTGGGCTGTGGCCGGCCAAAATGTCACGTTGCACCTTGCAAACATCGACCCGGCTCATCTACGGTCTGGTGATATTGTCTGTGGTACTGGTTCACCGATTCAGAATATTCAAAGTTTTACTGCCAAAGTGCTTGCTTTCGATCATCTAATGCCGATGCAAGTGGACATTCATCGAGGTCGACTACACGTTTCGGGCCGCATCAGTCGTCTGGTTGGCACATTGGATAAAAGCTCTGGTGCAGTAACCAAGAAACGACCCAAGATCATCTCACCCGGCTCAATCGCAAGGATAGTTGTGGAAATGGATCAGCCAGTGCCCCTTGAGGCTCCTTCAAGAATTGTGCTTCGTGCTGGGGGTAGCACTGTAGCGGCTGGACTGATAGAGTGAGTGCATAGCAAACTATATCACGATATCCAGTTTCGCATTTTCAAGATTTCAATGCGAATGAATCGTCCCTTCGATACGTGATGTACTACTCAGCCTTGGCCTAATAGATATGAGTCATTGCGTCCATCTTCTTCGTCGGTCTAGGCCTGTGCTATGATGCCTTGACTTTGTTAACTTACACAGTAGATCTAGGCTTTCTGTGGCTTATGTACTACGTAGTAACTTCGAAGTACGTACTCATAGAAGAGTCTTCACTATGACACATAGCTACATTGCAACGATAAGTAGGTGACATCGAATGACTGCGTAGAAGCCACCTGGACTTTCTGTTCGAGAGTATGAATAATCCGACGATTTGCCGCTGCAAAAGTTCTAGCGATTTCGAAGCCATCCAAAGAGGCTCTTTGTCGTCTTCTGATTGGCTGTGATAGCTGAGTCAGCCGCTCGTGGGCCCAGGGGCGGTGGCCAATCACAGGGCGAGAAGTAACCTTAAAATGGAGGGCGAAAAGGCCAGCATGGCCCATAACCGATAGAGGCCCGGCTGCTTCCTTCTTTAATCTCCAAGCTGCCCTTTCTCCAACTTCTTCTTTCTTTCTCTCCTCATCCACCCACCCTCCTTCTTCTCTCATTTCTTTCTCTTGTCTGTTGATTTGTATCATATCTGTTTCTTGTCTTTCCTGACGAAAGGCATCAAGCATTTAAAACACCATCTCCCTCCCCCTCAGGAAGTGCGGAGGCAAGCTGTTGATCTATACTATCACGCACTTCATACGCACCTGATCATCACAAACATACGATGGCTCGAGGAACACGGCTGGACGGTCAGTCCAAGCCTTTCGCTTGGACTACCATCCTCTACCTCTTGTTAGTTTTTATTGCACCTCTCGCACTTTTGGGAACCGCCCATGCTTCGGAGGAGCAGAATGTTACAGAGAACTACGGCACTGGTAAGTTCCTTTGGGGACGGACATGAGGAAAAATCTCGAAGACTAATGACCATATCTATAGTCATCGGTATCGATTTGGGAACTACATACTCTTGTGTTGGTGTGATGCAAAATGGCAAGGTTGAGATTCTCGTCAACGACCAAGGAAATCGTATCACTCCCTCCTACGTGGCCTTTACCGACGATGAACGTTTGATCGGCGACGCCGCCAAGAATCAATACGCAGCTAACCCCGAGCGAACCATCTTCGATATCAAGTGAGTAGATTCGTTTTTCTGCAGAAAATCAAATACTGACGTTGTCTAGGCGTTTGATCGGTCGCAAGTTTGACGACAAGGATGTACAGAAAGATCTGAAGAACTTCCCCTTCAAGGTCGCTAATCAGGGCGGCAAACCAGTCGTCAAGGTTGATGTCAACAAGTCCTCCAAGACCTTCACCCCCGAAGAAGTTTCCGCTATGGTTTTGACCAAGATGCGTGAAATCGCCGAAGGTTACCTCGGAAAGACTGTCACCCACGCCGTCGTTACCGTTCCCGCCTACTTTAACGACGCCCAACGTCAGGCCACCAAGGACGCCGGTATTATTGCTGGCTTGAACGTCCTGCGTGTTGTCAACGAMCCCACCGCCGCCGCTATCGCCTACGGTCTGGACAAGACTGGTGACGAGCGTCAGATTATTGTCTACGATCTCGGTGGTGGTACTTTTGATGTTTCTCTTCTCTCTATTGACAACGGTGTCTTTGAGGTCTTGGCTACCGCTGGTGACACTCACTTGGGTGGTGAGGACTTTGACCACCGTGTCATGGACCACTTCGTCAAGCTCTACAACAAGAAGAATGATGTCGATATCACCAAGGACTTGAAGACCATGGGTAAGTTGAAGCGCGAGGTTGAGAAGGCCAAGCGTACTTTGTCTTCCCAGATGTCTACCCGTATCGAAATCGAGGCTTTCCACGAGGGCAAGGACTTTTCCGAGACTCTTACCCGTGCCAAGTTTGAAGAACTCAACATGGATCTGTTCAAGCGCACCCTTAAGCCTGTCGAGCAGGTTCTCAAGGACGCCAAGGTCAAGAAGGCCGACATTAGCGACATTGTCTTGGTCGGTGGTTCTACCCGTATCCCCAAGGTCCAGGCTCTTCTCGAGGAATTCTTCAACGGCAAGAAGGCCAGCAAGGGTATCAACCCTGATGAGGCTGTTGCTTTTGGTGCCGCCGTTCAGGGTGGTGTTCTCTCGGGTGAAGAAGGAACTGGCGACGTTGTTCTCATGGACGTCAACCCTCTTACCATGGGTATCGAGACCACCGGTGGTGTCATGACCAAGTTGATTCCTCGTAACACTGTTATTCCTACCCGCAAGTCTCAGATTTTCTCGACCGCCGCCGACAACCAGCCTACCGTCTTGATTCAGGTCTTCGAGGGTGAGCGTTCTATGACCAAGGATAACAACCTTCTTGGCAAGTTCGAGCTCACCGGAATTCCTCCCGCTCCTCGTGGCGTTCCTCAAATTGAGGTCTCTTTCGACCTTGATGCCAACGGTATTCTCAAGGTCAGCGCTGCTGACAAGGGAACTGGCAAGGCCGAGTCCATCACCATCACCAACGACAAAGGTCGTCTTACCCAGGAGGAGATTGACCGCATGGTCGCTGAGGCTGAGCAATTCGCCGAGGAGGACAAGGCAGCTCGTGGCAAGATTGAGGCCCGTAACGCTTTGGAGAACTACGCTTTCAGCTTGAAGAACCAGGTCAACGATGAGGAAGGTCTTGGTGGCAAGCTTGATGAGGACGACAAGGATACTGTAAGTCTGCTCTTTCAATATATTGAGGCCATTGATACTAACATTCAATAGATCCTTGAAGCCGTAAAGGATGCCACTGACTGGCTCGACGAATACGGCGCCAGCGCCACCATGGAGGACTTTGAGGAGCAGCGCGAGAAGCTGTCCAGCGTAGCTTACCCCATCACCAGCAAGCTTTATGGCGCTGGTGCTAGCTACGATGAGGACGATGAGCCCAGCGGCCACGATGAGCTGTAGGCATTTTTTTGCAAGAAAATCACGGCAAATTGGAGTTTTGAGTTTGTTTTCGTACAAGTTATGCATATGATTCACCCATGTATTTTAACGGTTGATTGTTTTTAGACGGCAATCAGAGTGATATCCAATTATATGAAGTCAATATCTATCTTGTCTATCTCGTAATCAAGAAGTCCTTATTCCAAGAAATCCTTGATAACTTCAACGATAACCTGATGATCATGCTCCTGCTTCAATCCACTAACCACAACCACACCTACAATCTGATCAACATTAGCCACCCTGATCGGAAACCCACCCCCGTGAATAGCATAATCATCCGGCACTCCCCCCGGCACAGAACTCCTTAATCCCCTCCCCTGCGCAAACGCGGCCTCAACTTTACTCTTGTCATCCGTGCTAGCGGCAGCAATCTTCTGTCTCATCGCCCACGAACTCATCCCAAACCTCAACACAGTGTTACGTTTCCGGCGCACCCATTCCTCGTTGTCAGGACTCGTGCCGCTTTCCGTCACGGCCTGGAAGAGGATGTGGTTCCCGTTGGAGGATGTGATTGAGACGACGGAGGGTTTGCGTTGGGAAGCTGGTAAGGAGAGGATGCGGGTGCGTAGGCCGAGGCCGAGGTTGAAGGCGATGTCGGCGTTGAATGAGGGGAATGTAAGGGAGGAAGATTTTTCGAGGGTGGTGAGTTCGTTGAACTGTTAACTTTGTCAACTGGGATGCATGGGTATGGTGAGGGAGGGGGAGTGATGACTTACGTCAGTGGAGGGTTCGGCGAGGGGTTGTTCTGAGGGCGCTGCCATTGCGATTGGATTGATTGCTTAAGATGCTTTGGTTGATGAAGTCAAGAAGAAAGATGTAATTCTGGGATTTGTTATAGTAAATATGAAGAAGGCGAAATATATAATTCTTTGCCAAACAGAGATCTTTAAACCGTGGGGTGTCTAGCCCTAACAAAATTCTGAGGGGCAGCTCAACCCGAACCTTTGATATCAATGGATGCCTGAGAAATAAGGCTTCAATTAGGAGTATCATTTCATTCTACATCGTGTAACTGAGCTTTGTCTGGTACTTCCAGCCCTTCAATACAAAGCAGACAATAATATTTACACGGTTTATATGGTAATAGTGGAAACAGAAAAAATAAACAACTCACGAAGAATCAACAAAGTCATGCGAACTGTACAGTATGCTCGGCGCACCTTCCTTATTAAATCTTCTCCCGTCTTTAACCCAGAGAAATCAGTCCGTTAAAAGCTCAAATCGCCACATAGCATACTCTCATATACAAAGCAAGTCCTTCGGAGACAAGGATCACAATAACATTTAGAACAAATTTGTCCGGATCGGCCCCAATTTCTCCGAGCCCTCCTACCCACTTCAGGCTTCTCTAATGCGTGGAAACATAAGAAATATCATCTGACATGACAAAAGAACGTTCAAAAGGATAAGCTATGTCGACAACAGGGAGTTGGAGATCTCCACATAGATGGCACTGGTCAAGTAAAGTGATGGACCCCTCTCATGAAACCCCCACACGCTTTCCACCAAGATTGGGTCCCCGGGAGACAGCGCATGCATTGGGTTTGGTAAGATGAGCTCTGCGATATGCGGGGAGCCGATGGAATTTGTACGTAGTCGAAAGGCTAGGGTTCAAGCTAGAAGGCCTCCATAGAAAAGTTGTGTGGAAATGTTGGAGTCTAGATTCAGGTGGCTACTGGTCCATATCACATTCTATGGTGTCAGACTACGAGAAACGATACGTTCATTGAAGCTTATGATCTGGGGCTGGGGCTTTATGCTTCTGTCCGGAGAATCGGAGAAATAGCTACGACACGATTCTTTAGCTGTGTTGTTGAGGATTAACGGCATTGTCGCTATTGTTGATTTTCCGTGTGACATTGATCAGTGGTAATTTTAATCCTTTTGAGGTAAGTCTGGATATTTGGTTGGGTATAGTCCGCGCGCAAGTGTGGGATGATTTTAGAATACTTCCCTTTCTATTCTAGACTATAAGTTGAAGGTGTGTTGCGTCTGGTTATAAATACTTTCCCTCACTTGCCCTGAAAGCATCCATCGGTTGTAAACGTTTCTTAATTTTCGTGACACATCTGATTGAGTTTCGCTTTTTCTTTGCCACCTTTAAATTCTGTCTTTCATCTTAAACATAATGGCAACATCAATCCCAACAACACAAACAGTGGCAATGGTCAGGGAACTGGGCGGTGCAGTTGAATTCGTGACCGACTACCCAGTTCCAACACCCGGAGACAACGAGGTTTTGGCCAAGGTGCTCTATACAGGTGTTTGCCAGAGTGGTACGTCTACATCCTCTTAACCAAGCTAGAAAATCACAAATTGACAGCGATTGTTTGGCATAGACTTGCACACCAAAGCCGGCACCGCCGCAAGTGCACAAGGCACCCCCATCACAAACATCAAACTTCCTCATATCGGTGGCCACGAAGGCGTAGGCCGCATCGTTAAACTCGGTCCGAACTGCGGTGAAGGCGTGAAACTCGGCGGCTTGGTCGGAATCCGTTTCTTGAGCAGAGTCTGTCGACGATGCGAGTTTTGTCTGGCTGGTGCAGAGCAATATTGCGCCAAGAGCACAAATCATCTTCACCATGAAGATGGTAGTTTTCAGGAGTATATTGCTTTGGATGCGGATAATTTGACCATCTTGCCTGACGACGTTGATGCGAAACTCATTGGACCGGTATTATGTGCTGGAGTCACGGCTTATAAGGTTTGTTCAAAGGAATTACTCACTCAAGACGGTAATTGACTAGTTGCAACAGGCCGTGCTCAATGCAAACATCAAAGTGGGCGATTGGGTTGCTGTCATCGGTGCCGGTGGGGGTCTAGGACATCTTGCTGGTAAGCAAACCCCTCTTTCCTTCAAGAGGGATCGTCACACTCATACTTAGCTTTAGTCCAGTATGCACGCGCAAACGGAGCATCCGTCATAGCAGTAGATACTGGTAACGACAAGCGCAAATACCTTCAATCAGTCGGAGCCAAGGAATTCGTCGACTTCAAACTCGTCCGGGATACAATTGAAGAAGTCCGCAGGATCACCAATGGAGGTGCTCAGGCAGTTATTGTCGCTGCCGGAAACGCCAAAGCTTTTGCTCACGCAGCAGAAATGCTTCGCATTGGTGGTACACTCAGCTGTATCGGTATTCCGCCTGGAAGGCCTTTCATTGAGACACCCGTTGCGAGTATTGTCATTAGAGGTCTGAAGATTACAGGAAACTTGATCGGCTCGTTGAAAGAATGCATGGAGGCTGTTGAGCTCACACGAAGAGGCGTTGTGATACCAAAGGTCCAAATCAGACCATTTAAAGACTTGCCCCAAGTTTATGAACAACTTGAGAGTGGTGATATACCTGGACGTATCGTCTTGCAAGTGGCCGACAGCGATTGATTGCACATAATTGCTTAGTGTTCGGTTCAATGCTTGAAAAATAGATAGTCACAAACATCATGCTACAGGCCAATGAAGTCAAGAAGTGATAGGATCTGTTTGTGTTTTCATATCATCTTCCAATAAACATGGTAGACTAAGAGTCCGTAAGCCTGAAGGCGCACGTGATAGTGTTTCTGCAGTTTTCTGTCGCAGGATAGAGTTAAGAGCAACATCTGAATGTAGAAAAGGCAATATTTTCATGTATATGCCATGCAAAAGGTCGTAGGGGCCAAATTGTAAGGTAGATTGCTCAGAAAAAGCTGGATTGCAAAGCAGTGTATCTGCTAATGTGTTGGCCACTTCATAGCATTTCAGGAGCTATAGCAGGTCAGTCTCTATTATACTCGTAGCTATGCCGATACATACCTGATCACGACCTAATGGCAGCAGGTCTTCCGCGGAGAAACCACGCAAAGCAGACAAAAGGTCTCGGCCTATAACAACCGGGAACGTGAAACTTAGAGAGGTTGCTTCAGAATCAAATGACAGATAGCCAGCAGAAAGAGCATTTTGCCAAATCATTGTCCTCATCCATTCTTTCGTAATCGAAAGATCTGCTAGCCGAGCTGTGTTGACATCCTCCGAGGAGGTTACTGATTCCCGGAGCAGTCTTTCGGATTCAACTAGCGTGCCTTTGTTGGAATAATCCTTTATGCATTGATCGAATGTGGCGAAGAGCCCAGCAAGTGCGATCATGCCCTTTACATGGGTATTCTCAACTACCGGCTCCATGAGTTGAAGTGGTGTCTCGTAAGATGAGGAAGACGTCAGCCCTAGATGCATACTGTAACCTCTGTATAATGTCAGTGACTATGTCAGATATTGAAATTTTCTGAAGACGAGCCTTTCTGTGACCCACAGTAATGGGAATATAATTTCTCCATTGTCCACCACGCGCCATGCAGCGGATAATTGTAGAGCCTGACTGTTCCGATCAAGGCCCAGTAGTCTGGCTGATGTGAGCGCTTCCTGGACAAACATCAAGGCCGAATCTCGTTTATCGATCTTTGCATGGTATACATGAAGAAAAAATGATGCCAGCACCCAGCGGATGTCCAGATGCTCTCGGTATTGATACTGCTCTCTGATGCGGATGCATTCTTTTGACAGGTACGACCCTTCAACAACAACTGATTCGCTGCCTACACAACAAGCAAGTGGATCCATATCCAGTTGTGCTATCGTAGCAGCGCATAACGCTGTTGCCAGCCCGTACACTGACGGTTCTTCGAGCAGTGGGCTTGATAGTTGTTCAAGCAATACGTCGGAGCGAATGATAGGCCAGACATCGTAGGATTGAGTTTCGTACTCATTCACGACGCGAGCAAGGGCCTCTTTCAAGTGAAGAGAGGCATTAACTTGTAGCCCCAGAGAATCTTGCTCAGGGTCAGTCGCTTGCTGTAAACTCTGCTCAATTTCATGCTGTCCATATCGTATTTGTTCAAAATCATGACTCAAAATCGGCGGGACCGGKGCCTCATTATCATATTCACTGCCATTGGCTTGTTGTTTCATAGACTGCCGCCGGATTTTAGGACCTCGCTTCTGAGCTGGTCTATCGTATGTACAAGGCAACTGCCGTGCCGACGTTTCACAACTTTCGCAAGGCCAAGCTCCATCGCACCGAACTTTACGAGCGATACAGGAGTCACAGGCCCTTTTTACTGGCTTCTTCATGGAGAGCGAGAGCCTCGTAGTGCTTAGAAGTGTCACAGGGGACAGGAACCAGAAGAGACGGAGCACACAGGATGAAGAAATCTTGGCTGGTAGGATCAAGATGGTCGTTGAATCGTGGTGCGGGAGTTAGTTGGAGCTGCCCCCACACTACTGCACCTACCCCGTGTATTGGTACTGTAATTCGCAACTCTATCCAGACCTTTCTCTTTCAACTTCATGTCAATTTCACACTTTTCATCAGGTGTACATATGGAGGGAATCCATGGCCAGCGCTGCGCAAGTACAATTATTTCCCTTATACAGCTCGAGATGATGCAAAGTGATTGTGTCTCAAAATCAGAGCATATTACAAGATATTCGCTCCCATGACAGGATCAGCGGTGACCTATTATGTTGTGCAACACTTTGTCTGTGCCAGCAGAGCGGTTGTGGCAAGTTACCGACAAAGAGTCAATGGTCAATATTCAATCACGTGGGCTCGTAGGCTTTCTGGTACCAAGGGATCAGCCACGAACCAGCTCTAGACCTAGGTAGGGTCTCGATCAAGTAGTTAGAGGTTTCGCCTGCATTGTTGTTGCCCTGTTCTCTGAAGCGTGCGAAAGTAAACTCCTCGATGATTTAGTTCAACGCTGGGAATCATCCAGAGAAACCATTTTTCAGCATGGCAACTAATTACATTTTACATAGCTGTGGCTGAATAGTGGCTTCGTTGCGTAGTGAACGCCAGCTCACTCGTTTCAAATGCTGTGAAATTCTTATCTAGCTACAAGAAGCATGCCGACCGACTCTCCGAGCTTCCGGGAATTCTTCGACTTCGCATGGAATTGAGCTGATCTCCCGAGGTAACTACAACATTCCTGAGCCTACAATTTCCCATCCGACCCAATCAGCTTACGAATAAGCTGCAATATTAGGATAAATGCATGAAAAAAAAAGCTTTTTGATATTAATGCCAAGACTTCCTCCATTCTACTCTTGATAATTTGACTTTGATGCATTGTGTCTTAGACATTTGTCCCTCCCCGGATTGATGTCTAGGGGATGTTACACCAGGTGCCTAGAATCAGTCTCCTATGGTTACAAAAATGCGATTATTTCCTGGTTCCTGCCAAGCTCCTAATTCAGCAAAGGTAAGAATGAACTCAGTTGATAGCTTCCTTGTTGAAAAAATGCTTCAACGGATTAGGATGACCTCAAGTGCTGCCTATATAAGAACCAGCGCCTGGGGCATATCTGGTTCATTCTAAAAACATTTTCCAATAATCATCTGAGCCTCCCTTTAATATAATTCATCCTGACTGAATACGAAATTACCTACTCTTGTTATCGGAGTTTCATTACCTGAACTCGAAAGCCATTATAAGTCAACATGAAATTCATCTCTCTCGCTCTGGTTGGAACAATCCTGCCTCTTGTCCACGCCATCGGAAACGCAATAGTCACCAACTACTGCCAAAGCACCATATACGTTTGGTCAGTGGGATCCTCCACCACGGACTATCAATCCGTGGCCAGCAACCAATCCTATACCGAGCAATATCGAAACGATCCCGTGAGCGGCGGCATCACACTCAAAGTGACCGCAGTTGCGGACGGAATATACAATGGTGCTCCAGAATTGGATTACGGATATAATTTGGACAACGACACAGTCTGGTACGATATATCCGATGTTAATGGCGACCCTTTTGCCGGTTCTTCGGTTGCTCTTGTGCCATCAATCGGTACTTGTCGAAGCTTCATCTGGGCAGATGGGATATCGCCGTCGGGAATTAATACGGCTCCTTGCAGCTCTGATGGGGATTTGCAGTTGACATTTTGCTAAGGGCGATTGGTGTTTCATGTAATATCATTTCAGAAAATACTATTCGCTAAACTTGATGCATGGAGGTACTTTGGTTTCAATTTGACAGGGTGGGGTATATCAACAGGATACATGTAATGTATATTCTAAATAGCTATGAACTAAGTGCATCAAAAAAACAAAAAAACAAATATCAATTCAAACTTCACCAGACTTGGGAAACTTGACCAGGCAATTTCGCAGATGACAAAACGGAAGTGGTATCGTAGTGGGCGTAAAGTAACCGAGTAACAGTAGAGAGTATTGCAGCATAAGTAGATTCATGAGCGTTATCAACTTCATCATTCATTGTCATCCTCCTCATCACCTCCAGCGTGACCCTCAATATCCTCCTCCTCATCATTCGACCCATAACCCTTCAACTTCCTCTTCAACTTCGAATTCTCCCTGTTCAAATTCTCCAACTCCTCCTCATACTTCTCCATCATCTCCGCACTAACCTCACCCATCTCCTCGATGATCTTGAAAACCCGCCATAATCGGAGAACAACAACCAAGGACCCCAATTCCTCCACCACACCTCTCAGCGCAACATCCAAAATAAACGCTAGCACAATGACCAAAGCATCAAAACTATGAAATGTGGACCGAAAATAACTCAACCCAAAACTCAGCACTGAAGCAATCAATTCCAACATGAACAAGCATGAGAATATCAAGCCGACCAGCCCCAACGCTTCCTGCGCTAGACCCCATCGACGATCAATGGGGGTTTGATGCCGCTCACGTAGTTCGCAGACGCGCAACTCAATCATAAAATCGGCAAAGATGCATGCCACATCTACAGCGACCATGAAGAGGACGATGTAATGGCCCCATTTGGAGGATAGGAATGACCGGGTTTTGGCTCTGAGGCGAGCCCAGGTAGTGGATCTGTTTGGGTCGTATGACCAATCATTGTGATAGTAATCTTCATCGTTACACTCTTCGTTGGAGTGCTGCTGTCGGTGTTGTTGCTGGCGGTAGAAGCTGTTATTTCTGCTTATTCCGAGCCCATCCGCGCCTCGTTTAGACCATGATGCAAGGTTTCCAATGAAACGACTGCCGGATGCATCTCGTAAAAAGGCAATAGATGTTGACAAAGGGAAGCCTTTGGCTTTTTGTTTGTGATCACCTCTGCTCTGCGGGTTGTCTTGATTCTCGACGTCTACGTGTTCACCAAGTAGTGGTTGAGAAGCATCAGTAGAGGACGCCATCTAATAGATTCCAAAAAAGTTGCATGTATATAAACCGAACAAAGGTGCAGTATAGACATGTGTTGTTCGGGGAATCCCGTACAGAACATGTCTGCCGAGCAGGGAGAGATCAGACGAAGGGCTTCGCGAGCTTCACTGTTGACTGGACGAACGGGACTAAGTTGCGGGGTAACCTACGGGATGAACCGTACCAATCACTTAGGTACAAAGTTACGTTACAATACATACTTACTTACGAGTATGTAACAGACCAGACCAAACAGAAAGCTCAGAACGAAAAATACGCAGTCTGCAAGAGCGGAAGCGGATACGTATGTACCTCGGACATCACTGCGATTGTACCTCTCTTCCCGCCTTTCCCGCTCTCTCCGCGCCCTACTGTCGGGTTTTGCTGCCCCCGGAATTTGGTGAATGGTTCCCCGCATCGTCATTAAAGGCCCTGACCGCATTCTTTCTCCATCTTTTCCTTCTCTTTCTCTCTCTCGTTTCGATCTTGACATCCTTCACAGCTCTATAAAAGTCCAACATGACTATTCCCGCCATCAGGGTAGCTCCCTCCGCTGCCAATCGTGCACTATCCCTTCTCCGCACCATCCAATTCACCCATCCMCCCAATTGTCCCTGCCACACCAACCCCGGCCACCACCATCACCACCAGCGCCAACAAATCAGCCTCGCCAATAATGTACGCCGACACCTCGCTACTCCGACCGACCCTTCGCAGCAGAAGGAGTACGCCTTTGAGATGGCTGCGTCCAGTATCCGATTCGGACCTGGTTCAACCAAGGAAGTCGGTATGGACTTTAAGAACATGGGCGCGAAGAGGGTCTGTATCGTGACGGATACGAATGTGGCTCAATTGGATGCTATGAAGCAGGCTACCGAGGGTTTGGCGAGAGAGGGTGTGGAATTCACCGTGTTTGATAAAGTCCGCACTGAGCCAAAGGATAGTTCGTACGTATTCAAACTCTGGGATGATGGATACAGAGACTCATTGATGTATACAGAATCAAGGAAGCCATTGCTTTTGCTAAACCTTATAACCCTGACGCATTCCTGGCTGTTGGTTAGTACAACTCAACCCAATGCGGAGAATCTGAGAGACTAACACGCCGTCCAGGCGGCGGTTCCGTCATCGACACCGCCAAATTAATGAACCTGTACACTGTCTTCCATGACGCCGACTTCCTCGACTTTGTCAACGCCCCCCTCGGCAAAGGTCTCCCCATCACCAAGCCCTTAAAACCACTCGTAGCCGTTCCCACCACTGCGGGAACAGGCTCCGAAACCACCGGTACAGCTATCTTCGACCTCGTATCCAAAAAGGCCAAAACAGGCGTTGCGCATCGCGCGCTCAAACCTACTCTGGGAATCTGCGACCCTTTGAACACACGGACCATGCCCAGTGCCGTCCACGCCTCCTCCGGTCTCGACGTTCTCTGCCATTCCCTCGAGTCATACACCGCTATTCCATACTATGAGCGCAAACCCCGTCCAACAAACCCCATTAACCGCCCCGCTTATCAAGGTGCAAACCCTATATCAGATATTTTCTCCCTAAACGCCCTCCGTAGCACAGTCAAATACCTCCCTCGCGCCGTCAGGGATCCCGAGGACTTCGAAGCACAGGAACAAATGCTACTCGCCGCGACACTCGCGGGTGTCGGATTCGGTAACGCCGGTGTCCATTTGTGTCATGGTATGAGCTACCCGATCTCCGGTCAAAACCCAGGCTACAAACACGCGGGCTACGCGGTTGATCACCCCATCATCCCGCACGGCGTCTCGGTCGCGGTCACCGCGCCCGCCGTGTTCAAATTCACGGGCGCCTCAAATCCAGACCGCCATCTCGAAGCCGCCGCTGCATTCGGCGTGGATGTCTCGAACATCAAGCGCGAGAGCGCCGGTGAAGTTCTGAGTGAGGCAATTGCGAAATTCCTGGTTGGGTTGGGTGATCAGCCGCGCGGCTTGAAGGATTTGGGTTTTGGTTCGGGGGATATTGATGGGTTGGTGGAAGGGACGATTCCGCAGAAGAGAGTCTTAATGTTGGCACCTAGTTTGAGTGAGGAGTTGAATGCTGAGAAGGAGGAGTTGAGGGCCTTGTTTGAGGAGTCGATGGAGTATTAGTTTGTATATAAAGTATTATTAAGTGAATATCATGTATGTACAGCACATTAGAGATGCAGTATGTTTGTGAATGTTGAATAATTAGAAAGGTATCAGATGTACATGATGGCTAATGTGCAAAACCCAGGTTGAGGAGACTGAGATCTTCAACCTTTATAACCTGCTCAATCAAAAGGTACAGTCATGGTATAATTAATTGTGACAGAAAACTCATCGACGTGGTATCATTCCAAATCAAATATATGCAAGATTAGTCATCATCTATTTCGACGGTCTCGACAATAGTTTCTAGATGCGTGTCATATTCTTCCGGCTCGGGCTCCTCCTGTTCGACATCTGCTCGAATCATACCCATTGAGCATGCAATGTGATCTAACCAGACGACTGGCCGATGACCACGAGATTTGTCATGGTGCACTGGGCCACGACTGATCTCGGATACTAGGCGGAAGGGTAGGGTGAAGGTATGTGCAGCGTCATCTGCTGAACGGGGACTAGAGTTTTCGGTGGAAATTGTTTCGCAGGTTGAGTCGGCTGAGGGTGTTGGAGACAGGTAGTCCGTTCCAGCAATCTCGTGAGAGTATGCAGCGGATGGTGGAGAGGAGGGTATTGGCGGCGGTGATGGTGATTTTGACTGTGACTGAGATATTGTTCGTTGTTGAGGTTCTAGCGATTCTTGGATTGCAGGTCTGATGAGGAGGTTATCGATTTTGATCGTGCCCAAGAGCTTCTCCAATGTATTAATGCATTGAACTGCACCCTGAAGGAGAAGCGTCGGGTTGGTATCCGGGAACAAGGCTGGTGCCGGCCCTACGAAGCCTTCTGTTCTGACTTCTATGCCTTGTCTTTTCTGGAAATGATACATTATAGAACCCTGAAGTTCGTCGCTGAGACTTCGAAGATTGGCGCATGTAGCCCGAATGCGGGCAACAAGATGGATGACTTCGCTTCGTGGAGTGCCGGGCGATAGTTGTCGCACATCGTAGACATATCGAGGGCATTTGACCAGTTCCATGAAGATCATTTCAGATACATGCACAAACACTGACCATTCGGATGGTTTCTCTGCGTCTTCTTGTTGCACTTGAGCGGCGAGATTTTGCCATTCTTCCTCATCCAAGAAACAGGGTATACCCTCATGAAGGGCGTGAGCAACCAGAAAGCCTCGAAAGGCATAATAGCAGGACCGACCAAAGCCAGACATGTGTTTCTTCGCCCCACGTTTCAACATCATCTCTTTGACACCGCGGGCATGTTTGACCCAGGCATCTGGAGTCGTGCGCGCATACAGTTCGTAGACCATAAGCATCATAACAGTGCTCAGCACATTATCGGAAAGAGCTTCTTCTGTGTCTATTATGCGATTGATTCTTCGCAATGCTTCTCCGTACATGTAGCGACTTGATCGAAGGAGCCGGGTATCCTTTGTCAAGGAGGCCAGGTATACCGCGCTGAGACAGCATACCGCCGAATCCTGATACGCTTTCGAATGGAAATTCTCCATGATGTATTCGGGAAACGCGATTTCCGATCGGAAGCGATTGTGAAAGTACAGAGTTGGAAACGCAGCGCATGTGAAGTCCATAAAGAGTCTCGGTTGCTGCGTCATAAATAATTTCTGCATGAGGGACGGCGACAGACTCTCGTCAATGCTGCTCACGTGTGTCTGCATTAATTGTAGTGCCTCTTCCGCGACGACTTCGGGCATCATTGTGCGCGCATCGACTTTAGCTACAGCGCTGGACGATTCGGAATCTGGGGATAGTTTCTTATCGGCATCGTGGGGTGATTTCCGGTCAGATGTGCGACGGTGCCGGCGTTGGAGGTTCGGTCCTTCGTCCTGGAATTTGAGGCCGCGGTTGTAACCCGGACAGGGACAGCCGTATTTTCGACATTGACCGCACTCGGGGCGAGCCTCGTCGCACTATGAATTGGTTAGTTTCGTTGTCGCCCATAGTCGTACGTTCCGTGCCAATTACTATCTAACGTTCAGAGGAAGAAATCTCACCTTAATCCGTCTGTTTCGACAAACCGAGCAGCCCTTGCTACGTGGAACACCAACCATGATGCATGGTGTCTCCGCGACAAGACGAAGAGAATCTCAACCCGCGAAAATCGATAATCAGTCGCAATCCCCTCTCGATTTCACTGCGTAATTGGGCCGAGCCACGGCGGGCGCCAATAGCCGTGGCGAAGGATCTGGATGGAGAAGACGACGGGAAAAGGCAGCCGCAGCGGGGAGATCGAAACAACACTTATCAATCTAACCGCGAGCCCCAGGATCTGCGTTATTATCAAGGCGGACGATAGCGAGAAACACGATCATATTCGCTAGAGAGAGGAAAAAGAGTCAGGAAAAAGAGCCCCGCGGCACCATCAGCAATAAGTAGTCTCCGCAGAAAGAGGAGGTACAGTAGGTTACGCAGGAGGAGGTGAAGGAAGGAAGAGGAAGCGGCTCGGCTGTTCCGCGATAACAAACAATCACCCGAGTTCCCGCCTTCATTAATTGATCAAGTTAAAACATGCTTAACAATTGACTTTGCTTAGCCTTGATTCGGAAATGTTAACGGTCAGCCACCGACTGATTCAGGATAGACCGACTCCTCACTGCGTTCTAGTCGCTGCACAGGTGCTACGTATGCCTGCCAGGCTCTAGATTAGTACGGAGATTTATCGAGCATTCAAGTGTTTCAATATACTGCAGATCCCTGAAACATGGGGGCGAAACTGTCTAATGCAATGCAGATTAAGTTATCTCTCCGAATTGTGAGCCCAAGCTGGGGTTGAGATGCATAGTATGCATCACGCATCACTTTCACACAGAATCATCATTCCGAATCGTGTCATCGTGTTCACCAGATGCTTAAATTTACGGTGGCAAGTCTTTTTTTATTCTCCCAGACTCCATGGGTCGCCTCTCGTGGGGCGTGCGTTGTGACCTGACTCGCTCTGCAGGAGACGCTCTAGCAATTTCTGCTTCGCGTGTGCGAAGGAATCCGCGATCCGCCTCGCCGAATACGACAACCCTAATCGCCTAGCCTGATTAGGACGCTACCTCTAGACAAGGCTGATTTTGACCTTGATCTGATAATGGCTGCATGGTCATTCTCTACTGCATGATGACATTCATTCATGCATTTATTCGACTATTGCCCACCTTGTATGGCACGGCAGATCCAGGGCGCTCAGCCGCTTTTCAGCTATCTCCAACGAACAATTTCGACATGCAGTCTATTCTGATCAGGGGAGGAGAGTGGATCATACTGTCACCATTGAGAAATCAACCATACGCTTCCTACGCTCCTGGCCTGAGGTCAACGCGGACATCCAATGTTTTGGCGCGAACAAGGCAAAGTCTAGAGCGACTCCCGTAAACCTACAGTCCAGACCTTGGAACTATACAACATCGAGTTCTGAAACATGCTCATGTGGTTGAATCATCTCAATTTCTCTAGGCAAGATGGTTAATCGAAGGTTATCCGGGTTAGCTGACTAGATTATGAGAATCGAAGCCCATTCCATTTGGTTGAATTGAGTCATGAATGTATCTAGAAACGTCATTTCAGTATTCATACCGATCTTTAGCCATCAAAACAAGCTGTCAGACGATAACTCCTAGCGTGTTCTTCGGTATCTGCGACTCTAAAAACTTCAATACCACCCTCCACACCATCCAAACCAACCGACCACTCGCCCTTCTCAACTAACTGTCTCCAGTTGTCCAAATTCGTCGACAAGTGCGGAAGATGGCTTGGAAGAAATGGACACCATCCATACTGATATAGTGAGTCGTTATTCACCAGGCTTTCTGGCACGTTTTCAGTATCTGTCACTGCATCGGGGTTCCCTTCACGAACCCAGCCATTATCACCAATAGGATTTGGCAGGATGAGTTGCACGGCGTCTTCAGATATCAGATCTGGCCAACTGTACACACCACTGATCCCATCAACCAAGAACTTGGCGTTCTCTCTTTCAAACACCGCAGAGACGGACTCTATCTTTGGACCGGGGAATAAAGGCAGCGGCTCGCCGACCCAATTCGATGATCCTTGCTGCATCCAGTCCGGTTCCCGTGGCTCGTCATCTCGAAGAACCTTGCCGTCTCGTCGAACAAACTCATACCGTTCACTGCCCCGATCCTCATCCAAAATCTCCTGGAGCCATGTAGTAGAGGGGATCTGCAATCCTGGGGCAATATACGCGAAGCTTGGTCGGCGGGCATTAAGAAAATAATCACGCAAAAACCCCGAAATGTGGAATTTATTCAACGTTTCTTCACCAACAAGGCCCAGTTCATCGCTTGTAGTATTTCCCGGAGATCGGCTTTGAATAGCCACTAGGAGATTATGATATGCCTTTAGATCTCTGGTAAGGTCAGCAGCGATATATCGTCTGTGATTTGCGGTATCGGATATAGCTTCTAGCCCGACGCTAGGCTGGAATCTGCCGGATGCGTAGATATTGAGCCAGAGTTGGAGGGCTGTTTGTAGCGGGTACCTGATATACTTTAAGTAATCTTTCTCCAAGCTTTTAATCCAATGTCTTCCGGATCACCAAGTACGCATCCGAGGCATCACCTCTCTTTGCCAGGTGCAGAGATGAGTGTCGAGATCAATGTAGATGCCGATTTCCTGCTCCGTGCCTTTCAGACCATCAGTATTTGCATCTTCGTGAAGTATAGACATCAATGCGCACCCAAATAAAGTACTATCCAATTCTCATGATCTTCGCCAGACAGATTGGGTAAACCTCCATTCAACACCCAGAACTCATTTGGGTTGGGCACGCAGAGATGAGGCGCAAAATTCATTACCGGCGAGGATTCAGGGTCGTTGCTGATCATGATATCAATGTTTTCTAGGAAATTGATCAATGGCTCCGTCAAACAGTCACGTATTGCTTCGGCCTCGTCTCCATATGCATCGAAAAAGTTATGTACAAGCACGTTGTTATGTGCTAGAGCCTGCTGCGTGAGGAAGGAGACGATTTTGTTATGCAGTGAAGCACAGATGGAGGGATCAAAAGCATCAGTCGGCTCCATAATCATAAATTCCCCAAGCGAGTCCGAAAAGGGCGCTTGAAAGAGTCTCCAAGCAAAGCGTTCTAGTGAACGCTCTGGTGAGCGTGGAAGCTGAATCAGGCTCTGATTGAAGATTAGTGGCTGTTTGTACGACAACTGAATTCAGTGTATGACCGTGAACTGGAGAATGCTAAGGACCGAAATAGCCAGCAGGTGATTTTCTTCCTTCGAATCATAGGCAATGTTGGCGAGACGGGGTCTTCTATGTATATAGTTTGAAGTGAAACACTTTTGTTTGTTTCCAGCAGCGATTACGGATTGCAAAGAGTAAGACAAAGGCCACCGCGATTATTTGCCAGAGGTATGGATACGTATTACGTCTTTCGCTGAACGGTAGAGTACAGTGTTACGGCTAACCCAAATCTGGCTTCGAGATCTTCGAAGATTAAAGTGACCCACTTAGGGCTATCTACACAGTTACCGTAGCATCATGAACCCATGTATGTATTTATTCTTGTTATAAAATAAGCTGTTAAAAAGGATACTGGCACGAAGAAAGAGCCAGTCCTGTGACGGATATTAAAAATGAGCATTTCATGATCGCTGAAGGCCCTTCTTTTCTTTAGCTGTAGCACACTTGCAAGCAAAGGACAATGACAAGTAATTATGCGGTTTAGCTTTCTCGATAATAACCAACATCTATAGAAGATCTCATGTCAACTGAACGATATTAGTCACCAAGTGTGACGTGCAACATCATGTCTGCAAGACCATTTTCGACTATTTGGCTGCAACGGCAAGTGTAGACTTTTCGGCTACGATGGAGAGTGTTGTTTAGAGTATTGTGAGCCTGCTTGTGGTACTGGTAAAAGCTTGGTTTTTTTTTTTTCAAGGTACATTGATAATTTTCTAAGACGGCCTCTGCCTTCATGATTCCCGTAGATTTGCTGGTGGAGGTGGTGGCGGTGGAAGTACTGGCTCTATTGGCCTGGGTGACAGTTCCATTGAGGATTGTGAGTCCTTGGAGACTGCCGAAAATTGCACGGTGTTTGTGGAGAGTATTACAACCACAGTAAGTAACATCAAATCTTTCGAAAAGGGTTATTCATTCCATGGACCCTAATAGGTATACTGCAAGATGGAATGTGTTACCACTCAAGGATGCACACAGCCACTCCATTTACTACAATGACTACCATCAGCACGACCAAAATGTATTCTATAATCACAAACAGCTTCGTGCTAATCTCAGATCGAACAGAGCCAGCGTCCATTTTAAAATCTATATCTTCCAGCATTGTCAGCCGGCGAAGTATTTAGGATACCACACTCTAGAACAGTTGTACAATCACAGTGACCCCATTTTCAACAACAACTAGCTCCAAAGCCACTCAGACTGGATTCTATATCATAGAACTCACTATTACCTACCCCAATATGAGCACTCGTTTTTGGCAATCAACTACAATGAACTGTCTGATCCTATCATTATCAACAATCGCATCATTCGGGGCGAAATTCTGTGACCAAACATCCACTTTCAATAAGGAAGACCCGGGCGACATCCTTGGTAGCAGCAACAACGGCAGTGAGTTTGACTGCAAGACTATTGTAAATCTAATACCTCCGTCTCCATCTCCGCAAGCAGCACAAATCAGCCCATTTCGTCCCTATGTGGAATTTCATAACAAATATTTGTGATTGAACATCCCCTTCGCAGCAGACTCATGTTGTTGGGAAGGCACCCATCAACTGGCTTGTGCAGTGCATTTGTATTGGCGTGTCCCAATAAGTAAAGCGAGTCATATTTTCTATTATATTAATGTATAACCTTTGAGATATATTGTACAATATTTAGATTGAAATCAATCAGACAAGGAAGCTCGTTATTTTCGGCGAGACGCAGGTGCCTGAATTGGGAATGTTGATGGACAATAGTATGCGTGAATGGAACGATCCATATTCTGCTCCAAGCTTTCCCCCAATTGTATTGACAGAAAGAAATAAATGATAGATATGATCCAACAGATTATGCCTGACATATCGTAATTCACCGCACAAAGCGGTTCACATAATCTGCACCCAATCCGACCTCCTCATAATGTTTTTTAGCCTTCTCAAGTTTGCTAAACACATCTTCTACCCCGACCGGAATTCCATCCTGGTCAACATAGATATAAGCACCCGTAACATGAAACATAGTGATCATTTCCGGTACATCATCCGGAACCTCGAGGGTGTGAATGTCGCCCGGGGGCTCAAACGCGTATCCGCCCTCAGTCGCCCACCAGTCATGCTCCAGATAGTGCCAGCGGCCCTTGAGAACCGTAGCATGTACACAGCCAGCGTGTCTGTGCCGTGACAAGATTCCAGACTTGCGTACGCGCAGAATATTGACAAAGAACCCGCCCGAGACGGAGAGAAGTAGTGGCCGAAACCATACATCGGGGGCTTGGGGAATCCATAATCGCTCGTCAACATCGTCCAGATGCAGAATACCGGGCACTACCAGGTCATCAGGGACCATGGGGAGAGGAGGGCCTCGGTAGGCGAGAGCGGATCGGTCGATGCCTTTGGAGGCTTGTGCCTGACTTTTGTTTTCGTTGGTAGCCATTGAGACTGTGATGTGGTGATGGGATATTGTGTATGGGATATAGATTAAATAAAATATAGTCTGTCGGGAGGTCGGTTCTTATAAAAAATGCCAAACCCTCTGGGCGTCAACGGCGCAGAAACAAGCCCCGCGTGAAAGCCATGTAAAATGCGCTATCAGAGTATTACAGTCTGATCAAAATAAATTCTGCCGGTTGCCTACAGTTTTACAATATTTTTCTTCTTTTTTTTATCGTTATATAGTGCAAACACCCCCCTTTTGGCATCTATCTTAGGACAGCGCAAGTTTGCAGTTTCTATGCTTGACAACGTCCATCCAATTCACCCGGCCGACAGCGATATCCTGTATTTCTACAAGTGATCATAGCCTTCAAAATAGGTTTAGCCCATCAATACAAGCCTACGTTGGGATTCTTTGGGATCTATAAAATGACAACGACTGTTCTCTAATGATTTGAATGTTTTCGGTATCCTTTGCCTCACCGAGAGAAAACAATTGTCCTCGATGTTGGTAGTAAGCATGAAAACTAACATGACAGTGTAGTAGCGCATCAGCCGCGCCGCTGCCTCGTGAAGCTCGCTTTGATTTTCATCTTGCTGGGCGTAGTGGGCGGCATGCTGCAGCGTCAATGGTGGAACGAGATATGCTCAAACGAGGGGCACTATTCTAATCGGTGTTGAGAAGGTAGGGGGGAGTAAAAAACCTCGATTAGTGTAGGGGTAGCTAAGCGGGGGGTGAGGGGGTCGGCGTCAAGGGCGGCTTCGTTATCAGAGCAATCAAACAGAGCAGACACAGAGCAGACCTTCCAGCAAAAATAAATATGATAACCTGATAGCAGTCGTGGCAATACTGGTTTGCATTTATTTGCGTCTTTTGGGCCGAATTGGAGAATTTCCCCCGCTAGAACAGGTATGGGCATGTTGTCTCGAGACTCATCGTAACAAGTCCAAATGTGTAGCAACTTGATAGGAATAATATCATATTGAAGCGTATGATTGAAGAATAGAATTGGATAAATAATATCAATGCTATCATCACATAGTATCAAACAGTACATTATCTATTGATAGCATCTGGAAAATTCTGAAATTCATTCCCTAGGTAAAGTCTGGTGTCTATATGCTTCTGTCAGGAGTACGCATATTACTACCTATCCAGGTAGGTAGAGATCACATTTTAGGATTAAACACACAGTGAAATCACTAGACACATCGCTACGATGATCCACGTACACTTTACTCGTCACGCCGAGATTCCCCAAGATGCTCAAGCCCAGCTCGAGACAGAGTTCCAGCACTCGAGCGCAGAACTGCGTCCCGACCGGAAATGGCACCATGTTCGCTGGATCTTGCATGAACTCGACATCCCAGAACAGCCCGCGCCCCCTTACGTTTCCCACAAATGGCCGTGGTGCAATGTGTTGATGCAGTTGCGCGCCGAGGATGCTGCCCATCTTCTGCACATTGTCGAGCAAGTTGTCACGTTGAAAGATGCGCTGCACCTGGACAGCAGCGGCGCAGGCCACGGGCTGAGCCTGTGGGATGGATTTAGCTGCGAGGAAGATGGAGCTAGAATAGAGACATGTACTTAGAAGTACTATCATACCTGGAAAGTGTGCTCGTGGAGTAGGCGACCAGACCTGGCCTCAATAACCCCGAATATCTTCTCGTGGACTAATACGCCTGATAAGGGAACAAATCCACCGCCTAGTGCCTTTCCAATAGTCTGGATATCGGGACTTGATATCCCTTCCTGCTCCCAGGCGTGCATGATACTGGTTTTTCCCGTACCGCACATGATCTATTTACATTACTAAGTCTCCTCTTCCCATGAAAAAAAGGGGGGAAATTGTGTAAATCACCTCACCCAACATTAGCAAAATCTCATATTTGTCACACAAAGCCCTCACAGCCCGAAAATATCCTGGTGCTGGAGGCATGCACCCTAAAGATCGTACCGCTAACCGTCTCAGCCACAAACATGGAGATATTCTCTGGACCCGATTACAGAATCTGCTCCTCAAGCTGCTTGGTCAATCGGTGAACTTACTGCTTACTTGTTTCTTCGGCCGAATTGAGGCGACATTCAAAACAGGGATCAACAAAAGCGACATTATGCGACATCCAATCCCCGTAGAACGCCCTTCGGGAACCATGTCCGGATACACACAGCGCGCCGAGGGTATCACGATGATAGCTCTGCTTGCGCGCAATGACAACTCGCGACATCCAGAAGCTTAGCGGTTTTAGAGATGAGTTTAGAAAATACATAGCTTATATTGCTCACGAAACGCGCTTATCAATCAATATGTATGTGTAATGTATTTGGCGAATCATGATATGACAGAAAATGAAACGTTTCTTTCGAACCAACAAGTCCTCTACTTCCATCAAGCTGGATATAAATCTAAAGTAGCAACACCGCTAAATCCAAATGCAGGCAAAATGTTATCAAAGATTCGCACTACTTCTGTTATTAGTGTTAGTTCCATCAATCCCATCAACAGGCCAGTTCCACCACGCAGATGCAATCTCATCCAGGCTCGAGATGGCATTGCTACCCCCAGGCGTGGCGCTAGTAAGCGTCGCCATACCTCCTGGTATCTGTGGTTGAGGCGACATTGAAGATGGAGATGATGCAGTAGAGAATAATGGTGCATCACCGAGTTCCTCTGAAAGCATTTTCAAGTCTCTAGTAGAAGGTGTCCAGTTCAATCCGCCATTGCCAATGGATCCAAAGTCGACGTCCGGAGGTAAGAACTTGTTCGTGTCAACAAAGTTGGCACCAAGTCTGGCGTCTTGCATCATTGACTGTTCGGCTAATCGTGGCTTTTTTTGGCCCGATAGACTGGATCTCGGATATTGACTACCAGCAGCGGTAGGATTGGGCATGGCAGAAAAAGTAGGGGATCTTCCGTCTGTAGCATTCTGCGGGCTCTTGGTAGCAGATGGCTCGAGTGACCTTTTCGGGTTTGCGCCGGTTTTTCGCATGTGGTTTTGCCATCGTCGCTGCAAGCTCACGAGGAAGTCTCTAGTTCGCTTTGCATTCTCGAAGGATTGACCAAGCTCGTCCAAAGCTCGAAAACAGACATTCAGATGTGCCGCCATGTCCGCCTGTCGGCTCTTATCATCCGCGTGTGACCGTCCGGTGTCTTGGGTAGACATAGAAATAGTGACAAATATCAACATCAGAGCAGCAGTGAATATGATAGCAACAACTTGATTGTTTATACGTCGGAATGTGTAATACTTTTCGTAAAGACGTAGCAGGCGTGCAATTGCCGTTGCCGATTCGGCACATGTTCTTCGGGCATGTTGATGGCCTGGTCCTTGTTTAGGGTTTTGCGGCTGAATGTAGCTTTTGGAAACCCAAGGCCGGTGGAAAAATATGACGATTTGATAGTATTGCATACTGTAGTCGAGTTTAGCAGGTAGACACATCGAAGCAACACAAGACTTACTGGAGCATCAGCAGGTGTGGTAGCACAGGGCCGGTGTCATGTTCAAGATCAACCTGCAGCGAAGGATCAAGACTCCTTTTCCAAGCAAACAAATCTTCGGTCACCTTATAGTTCATTCTTTGAAGATCATGACTCGCGATGTCACTACAACCGTAGCTGCGCGAAATATTAGTCAAAAGCCTTCTCATGCAGACTGGTCGTCTCCTTACAGAATGTGTCCAACAGGTGCAATCATTTCCCATAGATTGACGAATTGTTGGGTTACAAGATCACCCGGGTCCCTGAGGCCGTGTTCTAAAGCACGTGGCAACAACTCTCCCATGCCGTACGCATACCACGTCCCTTCTCTGGTATCCGGTGCCGATGCTGGCTTTGAGACAGATACATCTCCGGCGTTCATGCGAAAAGGGCGGCCTAAGTAGAATCCCCAAAAGCTTTACAGGTTCTCGTCAGAATATTCCTAGTTATATGGAGAGGAATTCAAAACTCACTGATCTGCAATGTAGCTACCCCAGAAAGTGATTCGACGCACTTTCGCCTCGATAGGCGTCATGCTTCCTTTTTGTACATACGTTGCCATATCCAGATGTAGACCTAAATCATACGCAAGTCGCATTGACATGCCTGATATTATAGTGAGCTTACTTTCGAATGTCAATATAATCGATAAATCTCACCACTGTAGAGCCACCCCCGAGCATCGCGATTCGATGCAGCTTCGTGACTACTCAGGATGGCAAGAGCCTGCACTGTAGCCACACAGGGACAATCTAATTCAATTTCCAACAGAGCTTTTGCCCTATCAGCAAAGAACTCTGATAGTGATTTTGGGAAGGTGATAAATGTTGGATGGTATCGCGCCTCGAACGCTGCTCCAAGTGCGCACCTACAAATATCAGGTCAGTATATCAGAACCTGGTATAGCAAAAATCAGACAGCATTACATTGCATTAGTAAGGACTTCCGAATAGAAAGGAGTATCGTCCAACTCATCACGCCATTTTGCACGCGCCAAATTGAACATCTCTCGGTCGACGATGTACAGACTCGGATTCTGCCATGTAAAGTAGAGGTCGATAAGATGACTTTCAAGGCTTGGCTCCACATACTGTCCAATACGCAGATGATTAAGAAGTTCTTGCCCATCATGGCGAACTGAGCGCACATCTGGGCCTGGTCTCTGTTTCGAAGTGGGTGCAACATCGACTAAAGTAAGGTTTGACGTTGGACCATAGAAACGCAAATGGCCATCGCTCGCTAGCTTCAGAGTGCCCATTCGAGATGAAAGCTGTTCGATGACCTCCCTCTCGGCTTCGTCGCCTGTCTCTGAGGCGGAGTCATCGTCATGCTGCTGCCCGCGCAGAGAGGATCGTTCGACTTCTGCGTAAGCCTCTGAGTTTTCAGGATTGGCGTTGCTCGGCGGAGTTTGTAGGTTCTTAGCATATAGGTCATCCAATATTTCGGCTGTCGGAAGACTAAAGTCGAAGACAGGCGGTATATAATCATGATTGTTGATATTAGGAAATTGTACGGATGGTAAGACAGAGGTGCCCGCAGTTTCAGCTGGGTACCGATTCGCAGGCGGCGTATATATACGATCATTTCCTCGGCTAATATCTCTATTCTGGAGAGTGGCCCGAGGAATGTTTGCACTGGTCCGGGAATTGTTCGCTTTGACCACGCTTCGCGGAACTTGGAGAGTGTCCAGCACTCTGTTCATTTCCTGTTCGGCATCTGGCCGCATTTGTGGTGGTTCAAGACCATTATCGTAAATGAATTGAGTTAATTGATCAATCCTTGCAGAAAAAAGCTCCGTGGCTGCCCGCAAAGAGATTCTGAAGAGGCACATTAGCAAAGTTTGATGAACCATGGTAGTTACACATCATTGACAAGCTTTAATTGCACTTACTTCCTCTTGTCGTCTCCATGCTGGTACCTGCAGATCTTCTCCTTCTTCTGACAGTTCAAGCAATTTGGCTGAGCTCCGTCACACTAGTATGGCCCTATATCAAATTCAGTTCATTCTAGAACTCGGGATTCTCAACTCACCCTGATCTTACTCTCCCTGCATGGGACGCATGCCGTAGTGACATGCTTGCGCGGCGCCTTCTTTCCCTGACCTGAGGGCTCTCGAGACTCGATTTGTGATGTTGGCATGGTGGTTGAATTCCTACGAGTCACGCGGATATCCAAATTTTATTGGGCCGAGATCAAGTCATTGTCGGTTTTCTTGCATTGGAACCTCGCAGACTTAGATGTACCGCTAGATCATTTCTCTTCTTCTGTATATTTTTCGAGGGGACTTTAGTGGGATTCTCTTGATTTCTTCATGATGGAAGTTGTCTAGACTCACTCTGCCATAAAATGCAGATTTGCACATGCGGGGAAGGAATCCACCTGCTCCAACTACTGTCTTCAACTCGGCCAATCATTTGCTCACAGTCCACAAAACGCGTCACATGATTGGACCACGACCGACCATCCGTTACAATACGTTGAATTACGAATATTTTATAGATCGAAATTACTAGCGTGGGGAGACATTCTGGTGATGTTAACATTTTGGTCTCTTCAGCTGATTGACAATAGGAATGATCATGAGAAATTCAGGTCAACAAGAGATATTTGTTGCTAGTTTTATCAAATCATTGAGCAAGGTTTCAGATTTTGTGAGCATCTCCATACTTCTCATTCTGTATGATCTCGACCCAGTAGTTGTCAGGATCAAGAACAAAGGCAACGTTCTTCATTCTTCCATCGGTGAGACGCTTCTTCCAGTTGACATTCAAGGATTCGAATCTTTCGCAAGCAGCGTCCAAGTTATCCACAGATACGCCTAGCATTTATTAGCACACATAACCTTACATGTCGAGCAGCTGATGATCACTTACAAATATGTCCGAATCCCTGGGGCTGATCGTTGCCATTGTGGTACACAGGGCCTTCTTCTTTCTCGGTGCCATAGTTCCAAGTGAGCTCCAAAAGACCTTCCCATTCGGCAACAGGGTTCTTGACACCCTCAGCCTTGGGTGGGTTTGATGTAGGGTAGCCCAAGAAGTAAAGATTGAACTTGGCATCCGGGTTCTCCGACGTGCGAACCAATGTCATGCCCATCACTTCTTGGTAGAACTTGAGACTTGCTTCGGCGGACTTGACTCGGAGCATGGTGTGGTTGAAGCGATAGTTTCCGACATCTGTAGTAGCTCCAACATCCTCATCATGACGTCGAATAATCTCCACCCAGTATCCATCGGGGTCCTTTGCAAATGCAATATGCTTCATGCGACCATCCTGCAATTTCTTCTGGAATGGATATCCGGCGTCTTCAATGCGTTTGCAGGCGGCTTCGATGTTGTCAACAGAAATGGCGATGTGTCCGAAGCCACGGTGCGGCTCTGTGTTACCATTCACAATACTGTATTCGGGATCGTTCTCGGTGCCCCAGTTGTGAGTGAGTTCGAGTACAGCGTTGCGGTCAGAGAAAGGGTTCTTGCCAGAGAGCGAGTTGGGGCCGTCGTAGGCGAGGAAATAAAGCGAGAATTTGGCTTCAGGAAAATCGAAATGTTGGATTTGGCTCATTCCGAGGAATTTGTAGTATTCCACTAGCGTTTAGCTATCAGCAGCTGGGTGATAAATAAGATGGGATTTGACTTACATGATCGCTTGGGGTCTTTGACCCGGATCATGGTATCTATGGCATTGTCAGCTAGCTCTTCAAGAGATATTATGGTGCTCATAATCACGGTTAAGTTTATAAGTCGAAAGATTCGTGGTGGAGGCCATGGTGCCGAACGCTCTTGAGCTTCCTGGAACAATTCCGTCAGCTTATCAGTTCGCGACTAAGCAGATGAATTGTAGCTGACCTTGAATCAGTGACGGTGCAAGTTGATATATCTTTGGCAGCTTGAACAATGGGGACGAAATGCGCTGAGTGAACATGAAGGCAGGATACGTCGTACTGACGGAGGGGAGAGATGGGAAAGTGGGAGGGGGCATTATTCACCTGTCGCGGAGGGAAATCCGCCATGCGGGGCCTTGAGGGGATGACGTCTCTGAGAGCATCTTTCATTTTCTCCGATCGCCTTCACCAATTCTCCGTTGCGTTGCCAATCCAGATCAATTAACTGATAATCAATTAACTAGCAATTGACCAGTTTCAGTTAGCTCTAGACGAAATAAATTTGATTCGAAGTTCCCAATCAGCCAGGTAGGAAGAAGTCTTGTTCTGGCTAGCTTAGCTACAATAGCCCTAGCCCGAACATCACCTCCATGCCAGCACGTCCATCAAAACAACGTCTGATACTTGTAGAACGTCAAGGGCAGCCATTTAAAGCGTCACCTTCCGGCTATCCGGGGCTACTAGGAAGTCATCAAAAAGGGTTGAGAAGGTACTACACCACGATGCGTACTGGCCTTTTTCGGACATGTGTACACTGGCATGAATCTACTGAGACGCAACGACATGCTTGAGCATACTCTTTTCGGCCTAGCAGTAGCTCTCATGTATAAGAGTCTCTCTATGGCCGGGTAGTACAGACTGATGCACCTGCCACCTGGGGATTCTCTGGGCGACAAGTGTATATACTACCACCTATTAATCAAAAGGTGATCGGTATTCGCCCTTTCTGAATGGGAACATTCTGCCTTCCACACCGAATGCTGCATGGCCAGTGCCATCACTCCCTTCATGTGCATGGTCTCCACGGTAATGAAGTTCACCAAACCGAACTCTTTGTTCCTTCAATTCTTTTGCTTTAGAGCTAGTCAGGCAAACCCCCTCAGAGATTTCATCCAAGACTGGGTTTCGAGTCGTCACGAGTATCGGACTGAAACCGTCTTCTACAGACACGCCATCAATGAAAATGGCGTACACCCCTAGACCAGTACACAAAATGGATAGAGAGATTTCTACAAAATATGGGACTAGGAGCCAGAAGGGGGAATACTTGTATACCATCTCGTCTGTGTAGGACGTACACAAAGTACTAGACGTTGCATTATTTGTCCCCATGACTGACAAAGTAATGTTTTGCATCAACTCCGGGATGCCAGATCTCAGATCTCTAGTCAGACTAAAAGAGCTTTAGGTTTCATGACTGTCATGTCAACTAGGTTGGACAGTACAAAGGACGTGTTGAAAACGAATGCATTCTGCTCGTCAATTCGTATGCACGACGCCGGAACCAAGGACTGCCTGAGCTAGTGCGAAAGATTCATTGTCACAGCTCATTGCAGGGCCCAGGAACGAGGTTGTATAGGTGCAGTTCTGACCACAGGGTGATGAGAAACTCGTTGAAGAAACCCCCACCATGGATTGCGCCGCAGTCTTCGTCATCAAAGGGGATGGGCCGCCATACGGTGTTCGATCACCTCCTAATGCTTGTTCCCAGACTGTGAGGCTGCTGTGGGACCCGATTCCGAACGCAGTGACTTGGCATAGTTTCTCTGATGAGGATATTTTGGTAGTCACTACGAGAGTACTGGGAGCCAGGATCGAGATCAATACCTGTGCCCACGTCAAAGCCGCCATGACCAAGATTAATGGCGCCCCAATTATCAGGTCTTTTGAAAGAAATAATAGTAGGTTAGACCGAAGGGTGAACACTTTGTCCAAGGCCCCTATCTTGAGGCTTCGACGTCTAAAAGTGTACCATTGCACTGAGATATAGCAATGCCCACGGATATCGCGAATGCCGCTTCGACGATGAATGCCTTATCGGTGGCAACTCGAAATTTCCAGCCTTGTGAATATCTAGCAATCGGTTTGCCATCCAAGAGGCTGTAGCAGAGATGATGGCCGATGCCAATTAGAATACCGAGAAAAAGAAGACCAAACATGACCATGGGTATGCGCTACTTTGAATTTTTGACGGTGCGTTATGAGTTTTTGGGTTTTGTTTTCTTTTCTGGCTAGTCGATTAAGCCAGGTTCGACACCGTTATTGACCTTGTCTTTTTGTTGCTGTGCTCGTTCGGGCCCTAGCAAGCGGTTGCGTTCCATTGCATCGTCTTTAACCTGGCTTTCTTCCTTCATGGCTACCATGGTGAATATTGGCTATCCAAAGTCTGCTGGCCTGACCCAGGCGTGAAGAGCGCTGAAGGAACTTTTATCCTACTCTCTTGCAGACTCGCTAGATGATGGTGGGAGGTCAGCCAGCTAGACTGAACACGTAACTCTGTTTCCAACCCTGTCAAGCGATCGTGTGGTACAAAGCCTACCTTATGTGTTAGGGCGTTATAATGAGGCCGTGGGCGAGGCTGAATCAACGATAGCCCCTAGCGCCTAGGCGCTATAGTTTACTTGATAGAAATTTGAAGCTAAATCTATGGTTGAGAGCTGTACTTGTTTTCCCTTAACCTTCAAATGCGATATACGATATGCGATATGTTGCAAATAATCGTGTCAATAAGCCACGAACATACTAGATATTAGCATGGTGACATATATCAAAAAGCGATCTAGAGTCACAGAGCCTAGCCCTAACATTGCAGAGTCACGTTGAGAAGATTATTCTTAGCGAGAGACTAGCGACGCAGGCATGTTAGAAGAAACCACGAGCCATTTTGGCCGTAAAACGAAAACCTCGATACAAGCAAAAAAACGTACAACAGTTGGGATTCGCTGGTGGTCACCCACCCAACTACTAACCAACCGGCGTGTGGCTTAAGTACGGCTGAGCGGACGGGAAGCCACCCTATGGTCGTACGTGCTGGTTATAACGAAATAATGGGATATAGAGTAATCTGGACATGTTATGAATGGGGGGTTGTTACAAGTTTGGTATTATACATTACGGACCCTGCTAATATTTCGTAAGGGAAATACGTAAGGAATTGTTACAAGGTTAACGCGGTTAGTGTAAGTAGTAACTTCCTCCCCGCCAACTCCACAAGCTCCAAGACGTCAACTCTCGAACACGATCTCTCATATGACTTGACTGCCTCAATGCTCTGGTTGCCAATCTAGAACCATCCTTTCATTCCATCCATTCCTCGGGTCGATCTTCACATTGCGCTCAAGCCCCTTGCTTCTCCGACTACCGATTCGTCTCCTGCGACGCTGCGCATAACTGCATCACCTTGCAAGGCTTGATCTTGCAGTGTACCCCGTTAAGCCTGCACCAACCCCAGGTGATCGGCTGGGTCTGAAAAAGAAGGTATGTCAGTCAACGAGGCTTTTTTCGGGCGTTTTCCCCTCCCAAAGAGGTCACAGACAAGCTCCAATTCGAGGAATGCTCGTTAGTGTTATTTGCCTACAAGTCCATCAACCGCTCTAGCCGCCGGTTGCTGCTCAGTCATTGGAGCTATTGGAACACACGATGTCGCACTGGCAAACTCCAACAAATTAGTCGATGAACGATGCTGCCTGCATCGACGCTGTGTACCCACATGAGTTCTTTTCCCTGTCGCTTGCAATGTCACTTGCATTTTCGTATTGCTTTTGCGACTCCTCCGCATCTTTTAGTCAGACGTGCTAGTGAAGCTTTCCCCAGCTGGCTGTCGTCTGACTATTGTCCCAAAAAGTCAAATTTTTTTGAAGTTATATAGCGAGCCTCTTGCCCTGCGTTATGATACAAAGTAACTAAACCAAAATTATGGAGTCTTCACTGCAGGCCGGTCTTACTCTACCAACCCACAAGTCGACCAAAGCCGACTTTGTTCCTTACTGGGCCCGGTGCCAAGTACAGTACGCGCAGAACCTTTTAGAATATTCGCCGGAGCCTATCGAATACGACTACCACGACGACGACGGCTGGGAAAATTGTTTCTTCTTCCCCGAAGATTGCACACGTGCTCCTGTGATAGACAGCTACGAGACCGATAGCGTCCAGTCGATCGACTCAAGTGACAAGGCCTCATCAATATTGAGTGATGTTGATATTGATTCGGCCGACAATATGACGCCAGCACTTCCGGATATTCGCATGCTCGATACCGAGGCCCTCAGCGATTTGCTAGAAGATAACCTTTCGCCTCCAGAAATTACCTCCATACTGTAGGTCCATCGATCATCGGATTAAAGAGGTGGCTGACTGGTATCATGGATAGAATATTTGCTACGAACGGTGCGATATTTGCGTATGCGTCGGATCTGTCGACTCGTCAACTACGAAACCTGAGCGCAACGTACGGTGCAGCCTATACTTCGTTTGCCAGAACAGCATCTTCAGGAAATTTGACCGGAGTGAAGCACGCAAGTCATCCTTCTTCATACATGACCGCACCCTCTATATCGTTAGGCGATGTCGGCTCGATTGTTTTTGAGAATGAGAACCAGGTGGCTGTCGTGACGAGAATCGCCGATAAGGTGCTCCTTGCTGCAGTAGGGCCAGAAAAAGTACAAAATAAGCCTGAGATAATTGCCAATCCGGAAGGAGGTGAGTCCGGCGATGCAGAGGAAGCGCCGACATCTTCACTACAATCATCTCATGCCACGAAAACTACATCAGCATCGTCATCGTTAAAACCGGGTGCGCAGCCCAACGGAGATGGCCTGCTCGCGACACAGTATGAGATTGACCGAAATAATGATCTCGCGCGTCTTGCGGCGCTCAACTTGAATACGTCGCCAGAGATACTATTAGCGCTCGAGGCGAAATCAGCTGCATTGGGACGGTTTCTGCGACAGAAGTTGCAAGATTTGGAAAGTCCGGAAGATTTTTAGACAACACTACGTGCTTCATTACCTCTTCCGGTTACTGCATCATGGAGAGCCACAAGCGCGAGTTTTATCATTCGGCATCGCTTTCTTTTTAACAATTATTTTCCGAGATACCTTTATCGTTTTTTCTGTCAAATCTCAGACTGAGGGAGATTGTGATATATACAACATTGCATATACTGTGCGCATTTGGATTTATTTGAGTACGTAGTCATCAGACCGAGAATATGCAAATGAGTCATGCAATAACAATATGTGTAGATTAAGACATACGTGACGCTAAACCTGACCCTAACTCTCACGATTTGCCCTTTGTTTCGCTTCGTGATAGCGTGAGTCATAAGTAGCTTAGATTGAGTATTGGTGACTCCACACGGTTACATCCTATATAACCATATCCTCGACTCCTCCCTCCAAATCCAAGAATCAATATAGATCATACAAACGAGAACTCAAAATGGTCCTCGTAAATCTCAACAACGGGGAAGAGCCCTACATCCGCCTCCCCGCACCCCATTCACATATAATCATCACCCCTCCTCGCTCTCTCCATAATACCCAACAGCAACAAAAGCAAGAGGACACAGAGGCTGAAACCGAGATAAGACCACCACCCGTCGACATCGACGCCGCATTCACCGCACTGAACGATGAGCGCGTACACCCCTACCTCGAATCTCCACCATACCCATACAATCGCGAAGATGCGGTGACCTTTCATCGCATGATGTACGAAGATTGTCAACGTATCCTCCGCCATCCTTCGGAGGCAGGGTTGTACAATGGCTGCCCCTTCCGCGACATCCGCGACACCTCCTTCCCCCCTGGTTCCAGTTCTGCTCCTGACGGAGATAAAGGGAGTGTAGCTGCAGCGCCAAAAGTAGGCGACATACTAATCAGCCGCTACCCCTTCTACGAGTTCCCGCCAGACAGCGAGCAGCGCGCAAAGGCGCAGGAGTATAACAATTCATTGGCCGTGGGAGATGAGAATTTGATCTGGGGGATTGGATGTATGTCTGATTACCCACCCCTCTTCCCCGTGTCTACTAAATTATTTGTATTACTGATTAACGTTGCTTGAAGTCTGGCTATTACCCTCCCACCACGGTCAAGGCATCATGAGCGCCGTCCTCAACGCTCTGATCCATGAATGGCTAATTCCCAAAATGAACGTACACATTCTCAAAAGTAGTGCGTTTGTGGGCAACGAGGGCTCAGTGCGTGTGCATGCGAAATGCGGGTTTGTGGTTGAGCAAACTATTGAAAAGGGTTCGAAGATTTTGCCTAGCTTCAAATTTGGGGGTGGTGGGAGGAGGGATATTTATGTTTTGAGGTGGGTTAGAGATGATAAAGATTAGATATATTCAAGAGTAGTAACAAAGAGTTCAAGAGATTATGTCCAAGATTAGGTATCAATCTAGATAAGTTCAAACTGCTCGGAATATTATGACCTCTGCAGGGAGGTATTAAGCAAAAGGTATAAATTATAAGAAAATCAAAAAAGATGGCTGGCGTCACTTATACTCCAGTACCGCCTGGAGAAGTGTGGTAATGGCTGGGGGTGCGCTTCACGCCTGAAGTAACATCGGCAGTCTCAGGTGCAACATCAACCTCTTTATCGATAGGAGGCTGAGTAGCGCTGACATTGCGGCTTGTGGCCGGKGTCGTGGCGGCAGGCGTACCGGAAACTGGGGTAGCAGTAGCACTACCATTGCCAACATTGGTATTGATAGGAGGCACAGTCTCAGTCACAGGCGACGAAACCGGCGCCACAGCCGCAGTTGCGTCCTTGATAACTCTCCACCATTTCTCGGCGTCGTTGGGAGTGTGAGCCTTGAATTGAAACTCGCTGGTAGTCGAAAAGGCGTTTCCGACCTTGCCGTTAGAGATGTCTTTGCCCTTGACGTGGAACTTTACACCGTCAATAGCGCCGATGACGCAGTCAGGGAGGTAGAGAGACAACTCAGGAGTAGGATCCTTGGTGAAATCGTCGTTATCCTTGAACTCGTGCAAGTAACGAGCAGGAGTGACTACGAAATAGCCGGTGCTGAAGCCCTTGATAATTGCGCGAGATTTGCGCTCCAAGGTGCCTTCGATCAGAGGCTTTGTAGAAGCGTGTTCCTGGTTGGGAAAGGAGATGTTGCTGAAAGATCGAGGAGGTGCCTCAGGGTCAATCAAGATACCGTCGTTGCGCTTAACGAAGAGATTCCATTCGTAATCAGTGGGAATCTTTTGTGCGTTTTGAATAATGTCGCCGTACAAGGCTCGTTGCTGATCCAATTGACCGCCCATGAACTGGAAGAAGGTGTTCAAAGCGAGCTGCACAGTCTGAATGACATGGGTCTCGAATGAAGAGAATGAGTTTTGCACTGCAATAGTATCATTGCGGCTGTTATTCTCCTCAATAACCTGCTTGTTCAATCGGTGGTTGATACCACGGCGCAGGATATAAGGGTCATGTTGTGGCTCGATTTTGTTATTGGATGCCGAACTATACGCAGCAGCATGCTGGCCGAGCAATTCGATGTGTTTCTGTGTGACGCTACGGGCCTTGTCGACAGCCTTTCCTCCTTTGCTGGCGCCGGTCTTGAGCTCTTTGGATTTGTTCTTGATTTCCTTGTGAAGTCTTTCAAGGATGGGCAGGACTTGACCTTTGAGGTTCTTGTCGAGTTCGATATACATGTTTGATGTTCCCTGCCTCTGTCAATTCATGTCTGATGGAGGTTGTTGAAGAGCCATACCCGTGTGTTGTTGCGCATCACCTCAAACAATCCTGCAACACCTTCCAAGCCTTGATCGAAATGATGACCCTCTCGGAGAGGGTTGTTAATAGCCTAGCCATAATCAGCTTCTTTCTCGGAGAAAATTCAGAGCAGAAAGAGATACCTTGAGCACTTTCTCATAGTCCTTGGCCTGGGACTTGTGCATCTTGGCCGTGGCATCGATGTAGTCTTCTAGATATCCGCACATGTGCTTCCATGCCTGCAGGCGCTCGAGTAGCAGGCGCGCTGTCTATCGTATTCTTAGTATACATTGCGTCCAGTTGATGGGGTCGACAAACCTCGCTGGTATCCTCGCCGACAACGCCTTCATCATCGCTCGTGGAGGTTGTAGCAATGCTGTGGGTGGTCGCAGTGCGGTGCGGTAGGGACGTGGCTGGTGCGGCTGACATTTTTCCTGTATCAGGATGAGGTTAACATACTGTCAGACAATCCATCGCGGAGAAGCGGGGATGAAGCGTAACCGTGGTAAACACAGGGGCCTAACTCACTTTGATTGAACAATTAGGTAGATCAATAGATATAAGAACGAGTATTATATAGAGTATATAAAAAAGAAAGCACGATCCAAGAGAATAGTCTAAAATATTTAAGCAGAAAATGAATCCGAAATAGCAGTGATCGTGGATGATTTGATCGACAGAGTTTATGACCTCACCTGCGCCACTTTTCCCGATCGGGAATTGGGTGCCTTGACCCCTTTTATGGCCAATCAGGCACTTATTTCTTTTCTTCCGTATTTGTTCTATGGTTCATACACTCTGCCAGAGTATACTTCTTGTAACCCTAATACTTGATCTAGTCTATACAATTGCAATTGCACACAATTCGAACAGACTTATAAGTCAATTCTCGCAAATAAACAAACAACATCAAATTCATTTCTCAGGCACACACAACCAAACCTAGCTTATCCGTTTCCAGCCTAGCGCAAATATGCAGAAAAAGGGCACAGCCACAATCAGCGTAGTCCCCACCTAGCCCAATTCGGGAATTTAGACTAGAGCACATTCCAGGAACAGTCTAGCGCAATCGGGGTCTGTGGAGCAGCCACTGTCGTCATTCAAAAAGTTATCTTTTGCTTCATTTTCCTCGATCGGATGATAGGATTGAAATCTGTACGTAGTTGCATGGTGATCGACAAGAGCTATGCACAAAAAAAAATACAATACATGCAATCGCATCACTCATCTCATCGTTCTCGTTGGTGGGCACGTGCTATTTTCCGTATCCCGCCTGTCGAATTTGTATCTGCAAAATCAAACGAGGAAAAATTCAAAGTATCCAACAATTGTGTGATATGACCTTGGTGGAATACAACGCCTGTAAATTGAAAATATGAAGATATATCATAAACGCCCACCCATGACAAATATAATCAAGAATTAAGGGGAAAAGACATCCAAACAAAGTATGGTATCTTGATGAAGAACGATATGTAAAATAAATAAGACTCCGGATATTATGCGAAATGATCCACAAGCTGGCAGAAGAGAGGAGATGAGAAATGCTATGTGGTATGAGAATGTATAAGTCGAACGATAGGAAAATTATATATCGACACGGGCTTGCGTGAGACGTAACCGTCGCTCGTCGTCATCATGCCCGTGACCGATATGTTGATTGCCGTAATACGGTCGGTGAAGCGCCTCGTTGAGTGTCGGCATCCGCGTAGGCGAAGAGGTGCCCGAGCTCCGGAGATGTGCTTGTTGCGGGGGAGGAAGTGGCCTCGGTGCAGAGCTCAATATAGCAGCATCGTAGTCCGGAAGCTGGCTATCGTATTGAGTCCGAGCGGACGATCTGATGGCGGTAGTATAACTCGGTACGCGGCTTAGCGTTTCGACTTCCATGTATTGCGGTTGATGCGGTGTAACCATTCCTGACGGCACGGTAGAGTCCAAATGATCGCGCTCTTGTTCATCGGAAGCTCGTCGAGAGCCGTTCTCGGGGCTGTGTGAATGCGAATTGCCGCCTGACTGGCGCCCATTCGCCTGGCTAAAGTAATCTGCAGGATGGGCCTGATCGTGGCTGTCGCCGGTACCGGGAGATGAAGAATAAGTGCCGCGAGTGGCATGGAGATGGCTAAGTCGGCTGTGCAAGGCCGATGCGGATATGTCGCCATTTGTGATGGCTTCCAGGGAGGGAAGATCTTCAGACGAGATATTCCTGCTCAATGCGCCAAAGGGTGTAGCAGAGCCGCTCATAGGTCCAGGTGTGCGATATCCGCTCATGTCAATGTCGCTGTATAAACGATCAAATGTGTGTTGTCCGTAAAGAGGCGGTGCCTGGTTCGCGAATTCGTCTGCTGCATGCTGACGGGCGGCGGCTCCGTCTTCAATAAGGGTGTTGTTATCGTCGATGCGCAGATCCGGTGAAATCAAAACCGAAACAGGCAGCGTGGCGCGTAACTATTTAGAATTAGCTTGACTCTCTCGATTCGAGAAGACTCAACTCACCTCGCTAGTGTGTCCGTCCGGGTTGTGCAATTGTATTCTAAATTTGAGCTTATGACGGATCTTGATTCCTTTGACATCCGTGTCCTGCAAACACCGCGACAACGAATGTGGAATATCCAATGTGCGATGAAACTGGAATCCTTCCGCCGTCTCATCCAAAATTTCTAACTGCTCGTCTTCGTTCAATTCGTAATCATCAGTCTTGATCGTTCGCGTCGATTTGTAGGTGTTCTGCACGGTCGTTGGATCATCCGGGTTCATCGTGAGTTCATGAGTTTCAATAAGTTGTGAGGTAATCGTTCCAATCTTCAGCCCTTTCAAAAGGGGAATAAGACGAAAATCGACTTGCACCGATGTGCCAAAAATAACGGCTTTTGTGGGGGTGCTAATAGAGTATTCAATTTTGTTTGGCCAGATGTTTTCCACCGACTGAACAAAGTTAGTACTGAATAATCTTTTCGTCCGGATAAAAGTACTGACCATAGCATGCGCCAGCTCCAAAGCACTCGGATCCAACGTTCGCACAATGCGTACCGGTTTCCGGATAACGATATCGCGGGCATATTTCCTACCAATCTCCGCTTTGAATCGGTAGGTAACCCACGTATCGTGCAATCCTTCAACACTTTCTGGCAAAGAGCCCTCCAGTACGACGTCAAAGGGGAACTCATAATTATCGGCTGGCAAAATTTCCGTTTTCCCTTTTCCGGCATCCCGAAACTTCCAATCCTTTTCGAAAAAGACCTTTTCTTTGTAGGGTTTGCGGCCACCTGCTGTAGCGCTAGAGGGGAGATGCCAGCTAACACGAGAATGAGTCAGCCATGCTCAGCCGAGGTAATATCACATTCGAAGCTGAAGAAGGGTCATACCATATCCGCGACATGCCGGTCAACGACAGTTTGAGATGCTTGATGGTAAGCGGTTCGGAGAGACACAGCACCAATGTGCCTCGCAGATGGGCACTGGCAGCTTCGTGCTCGCTCCCACGGAAAACGACATACTGGTCATCCAATCTATGAGCAGACGGGTTAGCATGAATATCATACAACCGATAAAGCTATTGCATTGTCAAGTCCACTCACCTGATGTCAAAGTATTTGGCACTGCTGGCGATGCCACCACCACTGAGGAAACTCAGCGCCTCCATGTCGGACCGAGCACATGTGACGGATACCGGAGTATCCTCACACTTGCGATAGATTGATGTAGATGAGTACGGAGGATAGATGATTCAGTGCTCCTCGTGTGTCGAGAAGAGTCGAGTGTAGATTTGTAGGTGTCTGTGTATAGCAAATAGCAAAGCAAAATAGTGATATGGAAAATGGTGATAAAAAAATCACGCCAGCAGGAAACTTGAAAGTGACGGTACGGCACGCAATAGGGCGATTCGGGTACTCACTAACAGGACTTGGGTGAGTCTCTGTGCCCCTCCATGGGCCACTGATGCAGGGCCGAAGAACGGCTAAAGGCCGGAATCGTTCTTAGCGGACGGGTCGGCTCCACAGTCATCCGATACTATCATAGTATCTGTGTACGTATGTATTATACATAGTAACACTGGATATTTTTCCATTCCCGTCAGGTGGCGTGAGGGTACCTAGGTAGCAACAATAAACCTGGCATAATCCTAGGACAGATCATATAGCTCATGTATAATGCTACTTTCTGCACAGCTCAGCTCATCCTTCCACCCTCAATAACATCGTCAGACAATGGGAAGAAGATTTACCAGATCGGCTAATTGCACGGCAATACAAACGCAGTACCAATACGAAGCATACAATACAACTAAGACAGACTCGTTTAGAGGAGCCTCTTCTTATCTTGCAGAAAGGTTATCGCGGCACAAACGTAAATAAGTTACAAACTCGTCGCGAGTCGTGCCATGAGGCAGTCGCATTACCATCACTGAGAAGTCAGAACATATGACGGCCTCAGCAGTCGACAACTCACGCAGGTATTTAATCGGCCTTATATGCGATCGGTGTGTAGACCGAAGTACATGTGCATGCATACTGCGTATGTAGTCGCGAAGTATGTGCGATGCATCTGATCTGAGTCGCAGTTTTCTACTAGACGAACAGAAGAGATAACGAACGACGCTACTATTAATGGAAAATTTATTCTGCAGCGTATTATATAATCAAGTTAATAACTGACGTGATACTCTGCTAGCACCGATCGGGCCAAGTCAAGAATTACCGCAAACAGCCATCAGACTCGCAGCGAGGTTTCACCTTGTAGTTACCACCAGTATTGGTCAATACCAATAAAGTAGTATTTACTATGTAACAAGTGTCCCAGTACGACGTAGTATGTATGGCATTTTAGGCCAGAGCGTGCCTGTGTACAATAAGTCAATCCAAACCGGTGAGGACAGTAACTCTCGCCATTACGTGATGGCATAATAAATTACGGCTAGTAAGCGCAGATCATACGGCCCCACCGAAAAACGTGTTCTAGAATAAATAACCGAACGTGTTGTATGATATGACGCTGTGCGCGTGCTGCAGATGACGAAATGTCAATAAACTACATACTACGTAGTACAGTACTGTATGTATCGCGAAACATATCTGCCTATCTACTATTTACTATGAACTATGATACGATTCGATCATGTATGGGTGTGTACATAGTGTGGCCACGCGGTACCCAGGCCGAGGTGTGCTTACCTAGGCGATTCTCGGCGACGGTCCGATATGCGCGGAGTTTAGACGGCCAGCTGTCCCGCTAGCAGATATTATGACGGATCGCATACACAGCTACTGATACACGCAGACTGACGCATACTCAACCGTCAACCTACCCTACAAATGTTGTCTATTGTGCGATCCAGMCCAGCCTATTTCCGAGCCGTATCGTTTCCATCGTCGCTAATTGGACAACACGGTCTCGATAGACATTGGTTTGAGAGAGATTGCACTCTGCCCTAAAACTTCCAAGCTCGACCCAGTCCGACCCACCGGGAGGAGTGAAACTTGATACATACAGACGGAGTCAGGGGCTTAGTCCGAGTCGCAGAAAGACGATACACTTTACACACGAGAGGCAAGTCGATGTGGCTTGTGACTAGCTCCCTAACTATACATACTCAGTCACTGAGTGATGGCGAGTTGGTGACAGATAAGAACAATTCTTAGAGTGGTTATTCCACGGAGTATCACCGACCACCATGCCATATATGCAGACCGTTTCGCAATTTGCCTAAATACGTTGTACTCTCGACGGAGTTCACTGTAGCTTTGTACTAAGTATGCATAGCCGTCCAGTACTATGCATGCAGCATGCGCCGTGATCAGACTAATGCCGGTTCGACGCTCGACTGACAGGATGGCGTGCCAAAGACGAACAAACAAAGGGATCAGATAGTTGTCTCGCTTAGCTAATGGCTATAGCTAGACGGGATGCCGAGAATCCACTATCGGGCTTGTCCGATAACAAGCTGATCCCGGCTTGGGCTGAATTTTTTTGATCGAGACGGCATGCAGTGCAGTCGGTGAAAGGATTTACCGGTTATAGTCTCGTAGTCTAGATGTTCCAGATGAGCCACGGAGCACAGAATCGCGATGATACCGTATCATGCACATAGCAAGGCGAAAGTTAAAAAAAAAAAAATCAGAAAATTTTTCAATAAGAGGGAGAGGAGGAAAGATAAGCTTGACCCACGGTCAAGCTTGCTCGGGAAGTCCCGCCGTGTCTTTTACTATCGGCCCGTCTTGACTTTTTTTTGATATGGGCACCATTTGCCTTTTTCCTGTCCGTGTCGGCATGTCTGTAATCCATTGGCTGGATGCCGTCCCTTGAAAAACGCCTCTGCCGATGTATCTGTAAGATACAAGCGTACGTACTATATGTATCAGGGTTGGTATGTACCTGGACAGATACACCGATACACCGACATACTATGTAGTAACTAGTAGATGGAAGTGGACAAAGGGCTAGAACCTTGTTGGTCTCAACTCTTGTTCGTCGATCAGATCTGCTGGGCCTTTGTCCGGTACTGCCCGAGGCGATGTAGAGGTTATCGGGAGGTGTCGGACGTAGTAAGATCACTGTGATATCGATGTTTCAAAATCAATGTATGGAGTAGCTACTTCAGAGTTTTCACGGAGGACTCTACGCCGCGAGGCGATACTTTTGTTGGTCTGGTCGGTGACTTGCTTCAGATGACACGGCCAAACACATTTCCCTGAAGAACCAGTTGATGCGGAATATCATCAGAAAGAAAGGATAGCCAAAAATGGAAACTTTCCGATCTCATTGCTATTTCCCTTTTTGGCGTGTCCGCCTCCTACGAATGACCAACACCTCGCGCTTGTGTTTACATGTACTTGATGACATTTCAGGACTAGCACATGATGTAGGCTGACTTGGATAAGTCTGTTTGGCATCTACGTAGACGCAATCAATACTTTCGTATCCCCAATACGGCATGTGCAAGAACAAGGGATCAGACCTAGCTTGTGAATGCATGTATTTCGAGGCATGACCACCCCACAAGTACATAGCTCCTAACATGCAACCAGCCTCAAGCTCAATTCATACGAAGTACGATACATAAGTATAATCCATGCAAAAAAGCATGCTCCAATCCAAAATCAAAAACATCCCGAATTATAACCTCGAAACGAATGAAACTCAAGAACATATCAACAAAACGCCGTACCGCAATGAAACGACAAAAGAGACTCAAACGTCGACTGTCTCATATTTATACATCCATATATACCCTCTCCATCTCGCGACGCTCAAAGAAAGGTATACTTAAAAAACCCACCCCAAAATAACCCACAGCCCAACCCCAGTCCCAACACAAATGCCCGCAACCTTCATAACAGCGACCTTGTCACCCGCGCGCGCGGCACGGGTTAATCGCGATGCGCTCCCGCGGAGACTCGTGGACATGTTTGAGAATACTTCGTTCTGTGGCATCCAACATTAGTAAGCTGAACCCATGTAACGATAATGCATTAGAAAGAGTAGAAAGAGGGAGGGGGGACGTACGGTGTTATCAATCGTCTCATGGTTTCGCGCATTATCATAAATATCGATCGTGACTGATTTCAGAGCAGAGGTTTTTTGAGCGAGGGAGTTGAGGAGGGCGTTATTTTGTCTGTTTCGCCGGGTCAGTATTCATACTATACGGTTCTCGGGTGGAGGGGACTGGACGTACGATTCTCGTTCGTAGGCATCACTCATTTTGGCGGTGAAGATTGTTGATGATTTTTGTAGGTGATGATGGTATCCTTTGCAACGTTGCTTGTAGATTGTGTTTTCTTGTGTTTCGTCTCCTTCAAGCGTAATGGCGAGGTCAAGTCGACCGGTTCGTATCGCTCTTTCGTCCAGATACTCTGAATGTGTTGTGACCTACGTATCTCGTCTTCGCAATACTCTCGTCTTGATAATCCCGTCGTTAACAAGGTCGAAGAGGTGGTCACTATTTTCTCAAAGATAGATTGTCTGTTCAACGTCACGATCAGACCCCGGACTAAGTTTCGCGTGGCTGACTTGAATATCATGTGACCTCCCCCCGGCCCCTGAAATCGGAAGGTCGCTAAGCCTAAAGTGGACAGGCAATGTCATATGAAATGACAGCATGATCGCCGCTAGATTGGCGCTTTTCCTTTTTAAGAATACTACAACTACGCTTATCATTGTGTTCGATGTTCCATATGCGTCCATTCATGACTATATTATGTATCTTCGGTATACGTAGCATGAAGCTACTTATTAGCGGACACAAAGCAAGCAAAGAAAGACATGCATGTCGTCAGCATACTCGACAAGCCGAGTAGAGACATACAACCAACAAAACAATGATTCATTCCATCGAGACGCTATGCCCAGTTTCTGACGCCGTGTGCAAAGCAAATCCCAATGATAAACAGATAGATAAAACAGAATAAGAAAAAGACAGGATAAACGATAGTCAGCCTCAGCCGGTACAGAAGGCATGGTAAAACGGCTCCAGCAGCAAATGCAACCTCTCCCTCGTTCAGCAACGCCAATCGTAGCTTTAATCCCAAACAGCGTATCGCCCAACAAACGCGGAGTGCAACTCATGTTCACCACATTTCTTCGTCACTTTCTAACTGTGCAGCGTCGCCCAGGGATCCATAAGACCCATCATAATGCTGATGGTTCGTATCGTAAGCGTTACCATTTTCATAACCTTGCCGGTCAGACGCATATTGGTCGCTATGTTCATCGGAACTATAGCTGTATTCTTCGTAGGTCTGCTCCGAGTATTGTTGCTACAAAAGTTAGATAACGAAATAAAACAAGCAACAGAAAGTCTCACCTCTTGGTAACGTTGATACTGAGTATACTCATCTGGTTGGTCCGTCTGCTGCTGTTGTTGTTGTTGTTGCTGCTGCTGTTGTTGCTGAGCTCTCTGTGCTGGCGATGTTGGGATGGACATTTGCGGGTGCATCTTCTGCACTTTGGACAGATATGAATACATGAAATTGCTGAGAAGAACCTGAGAGTGAAGCGGTCGACGAGGATTGGCCAGCTTGATATGCGCCATGCGGTATATAGCTCGCTCTTCCATAATCGTAAATCGCGTCCATGGGTAATCCTGGTCCGGTATTAATTGTACATATGTCGGTTCGGGGGACAATGTTCGAGAAAGACTCTTCTTGTGATCGGATCCGCTTCTCTTCTTGCCGCCGCCAAATATCGATGATAGTAGCCCTGATTCCTTGTCCTTTTTCGAGTCTGACGATTTTCGTTGGCTTTCTTTTCTTCGCTCTTCTTCCAAGCGTTGATCGATAGGGCGTTCCAAGATCAGACTCTCGCGACCTCGAGGTACGCTATCAATGGAGTTTTGAAGCACGTCAAGCCGTGTGTTATCTTGCTTTTCGTACGCTCTTTCAGCGCCAATGTGTTGTTGTTTCTTACTCTTTTTGCCATCCTCCTTTCGTTTTTCCTTATCATCCGATCCACGAGACCAAGGCCAGCTTGACTTACGGCTTCCATCGCTGTCTTTTTTGTCTTTGTGTTTCTTGCTATCGGATCGCTTTTCTTCAACTAGAGTCGGTATTACCGACAAACTGTCTGTGCGTGAATTACTATTCCCCGGTAATGGCGATGGATGCGATGCAATATCTGAAAGAGTCTGCGTTAATGGCGCTTGTCGTTTGTTATATGAGGATTCGATTGAGGATGTTCGGTCAGGGATGGTCCCAGATTGCAACTGTCGGTCAGAGTCTGATGATGGCGGAGTTTCTATTATTTGAGGTACTATTTGTGCAGAAGGAATAGTCACAGTTGAACGTCCGTTCGAGCCGATGCGCGATTGCCACTGGCGCTGAGATGAACTTGCTGCCTTGGGGTCTAACATTGACTCGAAAGTTGAGTTCGTTGTGCTGCCTGGAGGTAGTGCAGTACTCTTGGATGGTGGTGGTGATGGTGTCGGGGCTGCTGGGGCCGCTGGGGCCGCTGGTGCCACCGGTTTGGGTCGGTCTTCTATATTGCGATCCGATATACTGCGTCCAGGGTCGGTCGACGATCGCATTAAAGGTTTGATAGCAGGTGGATCTTCCAGCGTGCTAGAGAGCGCATTCCCCAGCGTCTCTGGTGTTCTTCCGACTCTCTTTGAATAAGGAAGCCGCTCGCCCTTCTTCAAACTTCCTTTCCGGTACTGAGTTCTCGTAGATCGTTTGAGACTATGGCCCGGAGGCGCAGCAGGGAGGATTGGCTTATCTTCACTTGATGATAAATCAAGCTGTTCAATACCTCCGAGTAGAGCCAGTGTCTCTTTATTCACGTGCTTCTTATCATTCACAATTTCTTCCAATGTTTGTAAGTTCGGCCTGGCCGTGTCTCCTTTCGCGTCATGAGCTTCTGCTCGCTTTCTTTCTAGACGATCTGCGCCGTCAACATATTCCTGCGAATCGTCGATTTGCCGTGACAACTTTGATCGTTTCCGGCGGAGACCTCCTCTCGAATCCTCTCGTTCGACGCCTAAGCTGGATGAATAGTCACCTGACCTCCGTTGTATCTGTTCTTTTTTGCTCTCGAGGAACGACTTGAATTCTTTGGGCGCAAGCTCTGGATGCAGACGGGCCGGGACCCAGAACAGCCGGGAGGCATCATCCTCGTCGTCTGACGCAGAGGGTGCAATGGCGGGCACCTGGAAACTGGAATAAGACGGCAGATCGGGGTCCCCGGTAACATCCATCGACATTCTTCGTATGGCAGCGAGGGTATGGTATTCTTGCTTAATGGCATCGGGATTGGATTCATAGTCGATATCGGTCAACGGAAACGATGAGTTGGCGGTATCTGTTGGCGACAAGTGAACTGGTGAAGACGGCTCTCTTTCAAAGGACGGTTGTTTCGTGACCGTAGGCCGCGTAGCACTTTCTGGCTTGAGCGTGTTGTCTGCGCCTACCCTCCTTCCGACATCTAAACTTGCATTACCTGGACTCGGCGTCGCTACTGAAAGGGTTTCGCCCTGCGGTGTCGGCAGAAAGCTCAGTCTCCTCGCATCTCGATCGTAACTGTCACCGTACAAATGGCCAATTGCCTCGGTGACATGGTGATTTTCATCACTTATGGATAAGGTTGGGACATGGCCTCGTTTCGCGGCATACCCCCCGTCGGCTTCGTAGGGACTGGCGGTAGTCTGGTGCAGGTACTTCAGAAGTCAGCTGATATAAATACCAGAAATATGTCCAGATGTCAAGTGTGTCAATAAGAATGAAAGGATTTGCAATTCAGTGAGGGGGGGTCAGCGCGCGCGAACGCGGCGGCACTTTCAGGTGACAGGTGAAAGACGACTTTTATGCAATAACGCACCTGCATCGGAATAAATCGACGCACACGCCTCGCAGATAGTCCAGAATGAATACAGATTTCGACAATTCCTTATGACGGAGAGAACAAGAAAGAGGGGCGGCGTACACGGGGTTGCTGTTGCACCGCCTGGGCCGACGGATGGAAAGGGCTACCAGTAGTCATCGAAGCCAGGAGGCGTGACAGGGTAGAGCCATGCAACGTTTGCAACACATCAAACGGGCGTGTCAGTCATGGACAGTGTTGTATATATGACTGCGAGATTGTTGGGTCGTGATTGTCGGTCTGGAATCGAAGCGTAGGGGCGTAAGGTGACAGGGGACTAGGCACGGAGGAGTAAAGTTGTTTAAGTTGAGAAGAAGCGGGCAGCAGCCACCGTTTGAGTTAGCTCAGCTCTCCCGCCCACTTTACACATACAACTCTCTTTAGACTTGACTAGCTACTAATATGCGTTTATCTTATGTCTACACGGATGGTCGTTTTCTGCATCGCATTTCCCAGTATGGTAGTTTAAGCACTCTGCCGATTTACATTCTGCAAAAAGAGTTACACCATCACCAAGAAACATGCGTCGCACCAGGCTTGAATAGAATCATTAAAATGTAGCGGTACTGACCTCAACGAGAATCCGTTCTCTGCCTTTACTGGATTTATGAACGGGTCGGTTTCATGGTATGACTCGATTTCACTATCAACTGGGTCGGTCGGCGACAGGAATGCTATAAACTACCAGCCTCGCAGGAGTACCCAGGAAAGAACGTCATTTACAGTCCAACACAATCATGAAGACGCAGCCTGACGCTTCTGATGCACTAACACGCGCCTATCCGGCTGAAGAAGTCATACTCATCATACTTATTCAGCGCGTCTGGCTTGGATCATTTGATTGACATGAGTCATGACCGAGATCTGGTAGGTTCATCGAACCGTTGTTCACAGCACGTGCATTCTCGCCAGACCATGGTCCAGCCTGTTTTTATACTATCCTCTGAAGCAGCGCCCTGGATGGATGATCGTGGAATGCCACCGTTCAGATCAACCTCAGATTGAACAGCGAGCCTGTGCATTTAACAATCTATCAAGCACCCATCCCGGTCGTATACGTATACCCCACAAATCAAATCAAACTAACAGAGAAATCAAGATGCTGAAGAGGAGTCAGTCGAGCCAAGCCGACCAGTCACAGGCGACCGTGACAAGGCTACCCCCCGTAAAGCCTCGAATAGGCAAACAGTCACATGATTTCCTCCAATCATTCGCTGGCATGCGAGATTTCCGATCAGCTGAAAATTAAAATTAAATGTTGAAGGACCAGTTCAATACGTAGTGCATTTGATCTTCAGCTCATTTTCTCAGCTTCACGATCGAGTTCGCGGGGATTGCGGTGCAATTAGAGCACTTAAAATGGGGCCACGGTGATCATCATCAGCCCCATCCCACTCTCTAGCTGATCGTCATGACATACATATACAGACGTACGATAGTGAGTTAACTACGGCGGCTCGCCTCGTATTGCCTGCTAGCTTGCCTACTTTAGGTATTTGGCTTGCCCCGCTGAATATAAGCTTCGATTTCACGGAGAATTCGGAGTACGGAGTAAGCTGGAGAAAATAACCGACGATGGCCACAAACTAACGGCAACCATCGAATCGCTTGTATAGCTGCTTGTATAAACAACATAGCAATGACAAAACGAATACTAAAGACCAAGGCGCTTGCTTTTTCTATTCCTGCAATACAACAAGGGTGTATGTAGAGAAGGCAAACAACCATATATTCACTGGCCAGTTCAATAGGTAAACAAGAGAAAAATCACCCCAAACGCAAGTCGGGTCCGCATCAGTGAGATATCATAAGGACGGTAATATTGTAGACTCTTTGGTATATTTCTACCGGAGATGTTCAATTTGTAAACAGAAGAATGGATATCAACGATTCAGTCATTTCGCGACAGGGTCGACATAGTTGCTATTAGAATGATCAGCAATTGACTTATACAATAAGATGGAAGAGCTGCATACCTTGGGAAAATACCAGTCCGATCGCCAATTCTTCCAGTCCACCAATCTTCTGCTTTTTCGGTGCGCTTGAGAATTGTGATGACTTCGCCCTTCTTAAAACCAAGATCTCCCTCCTGATCAGCATCAAATGTGAATAGCGCAACTGCCTGGTCCTCCCGTAACCCAGCTGCCGCGCCCGTTTTTTGACCAAAGACAGGTTTTGGTGCGGTTGGACGGGTAGGTCTATTGCGATTACTGAAAAAGTCTTCATCTTCGTAACCACCACCACCGCCGCCACTGCCATATCCTCCAGCTCTTGTTGTGTTAGAACGGTTCATGTTTCCAGAACTTGGTCGATCATAGTAGTCATCTTGCCAAGTTGTTGCTCGGCGGGGTCGGTCTCGATACTCGTACTCGTCGTAGGTATCTGTCGCCCGTGATCCAGCACGTTCCCTTCGTTGTCCTTCTCCGTAAGCGGTGCCCCGACGACCTTCCCACAGTGAATCATCCTGCGAGTCGTCGTAAATGGGAATATCGTTATACATGGAGTCAGCTCCAGCTGCCCGGTTGCCAGAAAACACACGAGAATTGAGTACTCGCATCAGAGGTTCTGCAGCTGGAGGTGGCGGGACAGCGCCGGATAATAGTTGGCGAGCACTGATACCGCTGCTGTATAACTTCGCATTGGCATCTTTGCGTTCCACCAATACACTTCCCTCCAAACTAACACCAGCAAACAACCCCTTGGTCTTTGAATATGAAAACACGGCTGCTACACCTCTCGTACTAGCCGCCCCCGCTGCCTCGGCGTTTCGACCGACAGGACCAGCGGCTAATGAGACGTTTCCACCAAGTGTTATGCTTCCGGCCTGTGAGAACGTACGCACTGCAGCGGCGTCGTTGAGAATAAACACGAAATCTGTCAATTCAAATCCGATCTGTCCGCCAAATCCGGCMCCTGCCGTTGCGATCGCAGATGGCGCAGACCAAGATCCATCTGCCAGTCGAGCAACAACGACACCGGAACCGAAACGACCAGATCCCAAGAAACCAGCCTTGAGAACCGAGAGGATAGCGAGACCCTGCATATGAAAGCGCATAATTAGTAGTGTTCAGACAGACTATGAGTCACTTGTCGATGTCTTACCTTCGCACCAGCCAAGATCTCTGGCGGAATGATCTTGTCGGGACCAAAAGCTTGTCTTGGATCAACGAACGAAGCAAGAATCTTTCCAGCTTTCTTACACTCGCCTAGAATAGAATGACACATTAGCCGCGCACATCGTGGTGCGGGGAAACCTCCGCAGCATGTTTAAGAGACGACAGACTCACTCCTCATGGACGAGGGTAGTGGATTGTGAATTCCCAAAGGCATATTGGTATATCAAGTGGCAAGTCGAGCAATTTCAAGCTGTTTGGAAGTGCACAAGCACTGCTTGTGGTAGTCACGGTAGTGACGGTAAGACACTGAACGGCGGTGGACAGATCACAGATAACGGCTGGCTAGAGAGTCGTAAATCGGAAACAAACAACTATAGCTTGACCACAATCGCCAACAGAATCTTAAAGCGAGGCTCTGTAGGTAGTGTATCGAAGAATGGGGTGCGGCCGTGAAGAGAGCTGTAAGTCTTGCTTATCGCAACGTGGTGGTGTTGATGCGGAGGAGGCGGGATGATGTACGTATGTGCCTAGTGCGGCTGTGCTGCTGTGCTGCTACCTGCCATATCACCGGCCTCGGCGTAAGCGGATACAACGTCTGCTGGGATGACTTCATTTTTCCGGCCAAGAATTCTGTATTCGGTCAATTGAAGAAGATTCACTGACCTTATTGATAGTAGATGTTTGTCTAGACATAAATTGTAAATCCCGATCTCTGCACATAGCGCTCACAGAAGGACTAAATGGGGTAGCCCAATCTCCGCTATTATTCCGTTCCGTAAGTGTTACAACTTGTCGCAACTTGAACATCACTTTCATCAAACATTCAGCTTTTTGCGATTTGGTCGCAGCTCGTCCGATTACTAGTCCTACGTGTCGTCACCGCCAGAAGTATGATTCGCTGAGGTTCTGGTCATAGCAGAGGTCTTTCAGAGATGGCTACAGGTACATTAAGTCATCTCGAGTACAAACAACATATTCATGAAACCAGCTGATTTCGAACAGTGCGCATCTGTGTTTGCGGTGACGAGGGCACTGGCAAATCTAGTTTAATCACATCTCTCGTCAAAGGCGTATTCGTCACGAATAAGATCCAACCGGTCCTGCCACAGATTACCATTCCTCCTACAATCGGCACTCCTGAAAATGTCACCACCACAACAGTCGTCGACACGTCGGCGCTTCCACAAGAACGAGCCAACTTGGCCCGCGAAATTCGAAAATCGAACGTTATTCTGCTCGTGTACTCCGACCATTATAGCTACGAACGAGTTGCCCTGTTTTGGCTTCCTCATTTCCGATCTCTCGGTGTAAACGTCCCGGTGGTGTTATGCGCCAACAAGGCCGATCTTGCGACGGATATGACCGATGCACAAGTGATTGACGAGGAGATGCTACCGGTTATGGCCGAGTTTAAGGAAATTGATTCATGCATTCGCTCTAGCGCCCGTCAACACCGAAATGTTAACGAAGCCTTCTTCCTTTGCCAAAAAGCTGTGACACATCCGATTGCGCCGCTATTTGATTCCAAGGAGTCAGTACTTAAGCCTGCTGCAGTCGCTGCGCTACAACGCATTTTCTATCTTTGCGACAAGGACCGCGACGGGTTTCTCTCCGACAAAGAGATTGAGGACTTCCAGTTGAAGTGCTTCGGGAAACCGCTGAGTGAGGAAGACCTCGTCCATATCAAGGAAACAATATCAAAAGCCTATCCGGACGCTGTCACCCCGGCTGGAATCACTTCCCGGGGCTTTCTCCACTTGAACAAGCTTTATGCCGAAAAGGGTCGCCATGAGACTGTGTGGATCATTCTACGAACTTTTCAATATACCGATAACCTTTCATTGCAAGAAACATATCTTCACCCCAAGTTTGAGGTTCCGCCCTTCTCGTCCGCCGAGCTGTCTCCAGAAGGCTATCGCTTTCTGGTCGATCTGTTCCTGCTTTCTGACAAGGACAATGATGGTGGACTCAACGACTCGGAGTTGGCGTCTCTGTTCGCACCTACACCAGGACTGCCAAGTTCTTGGGCAGATGACTCCTTTCCATCATCTACAGTACGGAACGAGGCAGGTCATGTCACTCTACAAGGCTGGCTGGCTCAGTGGAGTATGACAACTTTCACATCTCCAAAGACCACACTCGAATACCTCGCTTATCTCGGGTTTGAGTCATCGGATCGTAGCAATCCGTCGACAACAGCTGCTCTCAAAGTTACGAAGCCACGAAAGAGACGACGACGCCCGGGCAGGGTCGGTCGTAATGTGGTTCTTTGTCATGTCCTCGGTGCTGCCGGTGCAGGCAAGTCTTCACTTCTGGATGCTTTTCTCTCCCGAGGTTTCAGCAATACGTACCACCCTACAATTCAGCCACGCACTGCGGTTAATACCGTTGAGCTTCCCGGTGGGAAACAATGCTATCTCATCTTGGATGAGCTCGGCGAACTAGAACCGGCATTGTTGGAAAACCAGAGCAAATTGTTGGATCAATGCGACGTGATTGCATACACTTACGACTCTTCAGACCCAGACTCTTTTGCTTACATCACCAAACTTCGAGCAAAATATCCTCACCTTGAAGAACTACCAAGTATATTCCTCGCATTGAAGGCGGACCTGGATCGTACCACCCAACGAGCCGAATGCCAGCCTCATGAATACACGGCACGACTGGGCTTGCCGGCGCCACCACTTCATGTCAGCGCTACTTGGAGTTCGATCCAGGAGGTTTTTGTGCATATCGCCGAGGCGGCAATGGATCCTAGCACCACGTTCCCACGCACTGAGGAGGATTTGGAAAGCAAGTGGGTGTCTTGGGGTATCGCTCTTGGTGCTGTTGTATGTGCTGGAGCTGCTGCTGTTGCGATATGGCATCGAGTGCACAGTAGCAGTCCTTGATCTGCCTGTCTGTCTGAACATAATAATAGATACCCAATAATGTATGAATAATGTTTTGTTTTGTATGCCTCTCTAAACATTGTAATGATTGTATACAATTGAAATCCGATCGTTGATTGGCTTGACTCAGGCTGCCACGCGACATTGCTGCGCCTTTCCTTAAAAAAACTAGTGATATATCAATCAGCGTCATGATTGGCCATATCCAAGAAACTTATGCTGCATTAATCCATATCAGGACTAGCCAATTACCCCAGAAGTGCTCCCGGACTCCGTGGGAAGCATGGGCCCAGCCGTTGCGTTCGTCCCCTCATCCTCGCTCATTCTCTCACTCATTTCCAACTTCGCGCTTCTCTCAACTATCCGCTTCTCACCGTACCGTATCTTTGTCCTGCATAATATTTACGCAGCATTGATCTGTGCAAAAAATTCGACAATTGATGGTCACTTCTACCTCCGACTTTCGAGCCCAGTAATCGGGATTCCTGCCGGGACATGAGAAACATCTGTTAGGCTTTATCCGAAACCATTTCTGACGATATCTACGCCTGTATATGGAATTCCAAGAGTCATTTCGTGCCATATAAAACGTCTTGGTATTCGCGACCGAAAGCGCCCTTATTCCGGCTTGGTTCATCATCAGTTCTACAATCCGACTGAGCTAGGATCGCACCTAATTGAGATTACTGTGCTTGGTAAAGCCAATTTTGCATAGCATACTATCAACTTTACTTTTTCTTTTGGATAGAAACAGCATCAGGAACCATGTTGTGAGTATAAGCCATTGAAGAGTGCGCCTAAGCATGCTTTTGCTAAAAAAAAAAAAAAAACCTCAGTGTTCTTCCTCCTCCGCCGCCGCGATACTCGATACCCGTCGCTTATGCGGCGGGKGCCGCCAATGGTATGGCCGTGCCCATCATCGAGACAAACAATGTGATAAAACATCCTGAAGGCGGCTGCCCGCTTCAAGTCGGAGAGGGTATGAACCAAATGTCGCAGATAAATCGGCACCAGACATTAACTATCAAGCAGGAACATATGAGCTCGTTGACGATTTACACCTAGCGACACCTCCGCCACACCCTTCTGAAGCCCCGATTGTGAATCCCAACCCTCTCGCAACCGTTCCAAACCCTCCCACCTCCGGCGTGAAGATGTCTCTCGTTATCACAAGCAATAACAAAGGTCCTCCAAACCTCTACAGTTCAAGAGCATCCGCGTTTGATCTAAGGAGCATCAAAGAAAACGAGAAAGAAGGAAGACGATCAGAAAGTGGAAGTTGGAGTTATATTTCCGCCCCAGCTTTCGGAGAAGGGAATCCGGCATTGATGATTGCGCCGGTAAGGGACGGATTGAAACGGAGGAAACCCAAAAACAACATCGTAAAGAGTAGCTCGTCGTTCGTCTCTCGAGTCATCACGCATGAGTCTTCGGCCAAGCGGTTGGCGGATCGGAATCCGGATGGACTTTTTGCGTTCGCCAATATAAACAGAGCATTCCAGTGGCTTGATCTCAGCGCTTCGAATAAAGAGGAGCCTATTGCGAAAATTCTGTTTACCAAAGCACATATGCTGTGTCACGATGTTAACGAGTTGTCCAAGTCACCATCACATATCGATATTGTCATGGGATCGTCTGCTGGTGACATTATCTGGTACGAACCTATATCTGCCAAATATGCTCGCATCAACAAGAACGGTGCTGTCAACAATTCTGCCGTTACGCATATCAAATGGATACCGGGATCGGAGAATCTGTTTCTCGCAGCACACGCCAATGGTCAGCTAGTGGTTTATGACAAGGAGAAAGAGGATGCGCTTTTTACGCCGGAGGTTGAAGATGGCGGTGCATCGTCGAGTAAGGCATTGCAGATATTGAAGTCAGTCAATTCCAAGAATCAAAAGACGAATCCAGTTGCGGTGTGGAAATTGTCGCATCAACGCATCAATTCATTTGCGTTCTCGCCAGATAAGCAGCATTTGGCGGTGGTCCTTGAAGACGGAACGTTGCGTGTTTTGGACTATCTCAAAGAAGAGTAAGATCAACTGCTTTCTACATTGTTGATATAACCTGCTGATTGCGTGGCTTAGAGTCACGGATATTTTCGCAAGCTACTATGGCGGCATGATCTGCGTCTGCTGGTCTCCAGACGGCAAATACATGGTGAGCGGCGGACAAGACGACTTGGTAACAATCTGGTCTCTCGCAGAGCGCAAAATCATCGCTCGATGCCAAGGCCACAACTCTTGGGTATCAGCCGTCGCATTCGATCCCTGGAGATGCGATGAGCGAAACTATCGACTGGGCAGTGTCGGTGATGATTGCAGATTACTTCTCTGGGATTTCAATGTCGGCATGCTTCATCGACCGAAGGCAGTACGTTCCTCTTTCTACTTCCAATTAATATTTAGTATATTGACTCTTGATAGCTTCAAGCAAACGCCCGTCACCGCAACAGTATCACAACCGGAGCCCACCCACTCAGCCGTCACCGAACAGACAGTCTCAGCAACCGCAAGAGATCCGACTCTGATAGAACGGAGAAACCACTTGATGACGAGGTAGATAATCTTCGTCATCCAGTTGAATCACGAACCATGACCGCATTGCTTCCGCCTATTATGGTGTGCTCCATCCTATGACTCTTCCTGCTGACGGACAGAATGCTAACGATTAAACAGTCTAAAGAAGTAGGCTCCGATCCAATCTCCTGGCTAGGGTTCCAGGAAGATTTCATCTTCACATCTTCTCTCGAAGGTCCGGCCTCTTCTCCCTTCCTCCTCTTTCCACGTCGTATCATACTAACAGAAGAAAAAAGGCCATATCCGCACTTGGACCCGACCCCGAGAAGGTGTCACAAACGAGTCTCGCGCAGACCTCTCATCAACCATGTCCGCGACTGGTTCTGGCGCTGCTGCTGATCACTGATTGCAGACCTCAAAATCTTTTAACTTTTTCTATTTTCTCTTTCGATTTGCAAGTAAAGCATATATTTGAGCAATGATTGATGATGTACACTTTTCCTCACTTGATGTCCTTTGGAATTATTTTGCGATGCAATTTGGTTTTTGTCTTTCTTCCGTCTTTGTATAGGAATGGGATATTTCCGATTATGTTAAGTTTTGTTCAAATGATCCAATTCTTCTTGTAACAACTGGGGGCCAAGTAACTAATGAGGACATCATTCTGCCGGGGTAGCTTCCTGGCATGAAATTTGGCCTCACGGTTATTTGCGTCTAGTTTCTCTCCCTTACATTATAAACGGAATTTCATGCCGCGTACCTGAACATGATATCAGACGCATACAAGACCCGTGACAGGTCAAGAGCACATCCGAGCCTGCTGTACGGCTTTGATTGCACACAACATAATAGTTTGACTAAGATTGCATTGGGCTTTCCACGCTCCAGATCCAGGCTTGCTCTTGTGCAATCCCATTACTGGGCCCAGCGAAGTCTGTATCGGAGTCCAGGGGTATGTTCAGATTATGCTCAAAAAGTACTGTGAACGGCAGTGAGACATGGATTTTTAATAGGGTTGGTTAGCGGAATATGCATACCTTGGTCAAGGTCAAATAATGCCTGCGAGATTGTGGTATCTTCCACGAAATCTGGAAGAACCCCCCTTTGAGCTCCTTCAATTTCAATCATATCAACATGAAAATTGGGTTGCTGCCCTTCGCTTAAGGCCTGCACAGGCTGTGTGTTTGAATCACTTCTATAACTCAAAATATCCTTTAACTCTTTCTCCATAACTAAGCGCGTCAACCGTTCCAGTATCTCAAGTCCCTGAGCTGTGAGGGGGGATTCTTGTGCCCTTGACCTCAAACGTGCCTGCATTTTCATAAGCCGGCGCAATCCCAACTTGCACCGTAGAGATTCCGGGGTCAAGGGCTCAATGCTGGCCAAAACGCAAAGCATTACGCCAGCAGTGAATGTGTGGATGCTGATAAATGCGGCGGCATACGTGTCAGCGGCGAGTGAGAAGATGGGCGACTCTGCAAGATGTGAGGTGTTCATGGCAGCGTCGCGGCAGGCCTGTAATGAGAGATGAGATGTCTTCTCGGACAGGTTGGGAAGAATTGTTGTTTCGCGCCATCGACCAAGGGTTGTTCGATATGTGAGAAGAGGCCGATGAACAAGTATTCTTGCGTTTTCATAAGCAAGCGAAAGAGCGAGCGCTTGGAGATGATAAACATGACTTTCGAATCGAGGGCCAGATGCACCAACGTCGCGATCCATTTCTTCGGCAGAAGAATATACTGGAGGTGTACTTTGGGTAAGACGCAAATTGTCTGGAATCTCCGCGTTCCACTTTTGTATTCTGTCATCCAAAAGATGTACCTTGCGTAAAAGGATTTCCAAGTCAAGTGGCGCTGAACGCTCTTTGCTGCCTCCTCGGGATTGATGTGAGCCAATCCCGTACAGATCAGTCAGAACATCCTTGAGAAGGACCGAGAGTTTCGACATCAGGTACTTATAAGACAGCAGAGTAGCTGGGCACTGGTGAACGGCGTTATAACTAGCCGGTGACTGGCCAGGGGAGGTAGCCAACGGGTCCAAGAATTCCACGTTGCAATCCGCATCAACGATACCGTGCGGATATCCGTATGATATAGAGCAGAATGTCTCTATCTCATAGATAGCCCACCAACATCGTTTGCGAGTCTCGATCTTCCGCTGCGCTTCGGGGGATGTTACCGGTTCGGAATTGGACGGCTTGCGGTGCAAATTCAAAGCTTGCGCAATTCGTAGTCCACATCCACAGACTGGCCATGCCAGATTTGGACTTCCATGGAAGAGGTAGTATGTACCTAGCAAAACACAAGTTTGAACGGCTTCAAGTGATCCCGTCGCAACTATATCTAACAATCTGGACCTGATGGTTGAGAAAATCCTATCTTTCAACGCTGTAGGATCGACATTTTGTGTTTCCAGTAGATGCTGTCTATATTTTCCGGTGTATTGCAAGGCGATAGCAATAACCACAAGAAAAGTGCTGATTATAGCTGGATTAGGGGTGGCTTCAACAATATCTTTAAGTGGCGCGTCATATAACTTCGGCCATTTCTGCCTAAAATCCTGTTGATGGAATATGAGCATGAACCAGTGTATCCGATCAAAGTATGTGTCGACCAGTAAGGCTGCTGTTTCGCGGGGTGGTAGCAGAGAGAGCAGTTCTGTTGTGAAACATCTTGAACCTGCTAATGAGGTATTTAGTGGACGCCCTGACCCAGCATTGGTTATGACGGCAGATATATCTGATGCCTGTGGTTCTTGGCCTCCAGGCATAGCTGTTGTCATTGACGCGTCTGGTGTAGTGGAGTTGTGAAACTGAAAAGCCTGCACAAAATGAGCAGCTAGATCATATAGTAGGGTAGAAGTCATCTTGCACTTACCCCTGCTACTAGTGACATCGTCGAGCTAGACCAAGTCTGGTCGTTGAGATTAGTACCACATTCCGACTCATCCTGATCTTTTGAATTTTCAAGTCGGTTCCGACGCTTAGTTCGAGAACCTGTTGCTCGAAAGGGTCTGAACTGATCCTCCGGACCAGTTCGACAGTCGATGCCCGCGTGAACACAAAGAGTGCAGGGACGCTGGATGTCGCACTGAAAGCAGATTAAGACAAGCTCGGATGGAATCTATGTGTAAAGATAGCTGACCCTAAGCTTCTGACGTCGACAACGCTGGCAAGCCCTGCCGACTTTACTTCGTTTACCCCGGGAAGCCATGCTTGAATCTATCAGGCAGGTCCAATGTCTAGTTGGTAGAAGTCGGTACGAACCGCAGTGACTATAATGGCGTTTGAAAGCACTCCATATAGTTCAGTGTTGTGACCGAAAATAAATGACAGAACACGCTCATCCATAGATAGTGGTGTAATCGGAGGAAATCGTTTTCCGGAATGCCGTGATGTAAATGGTACATACTTTGTCACGACTCCACCTCTATCTCTCACTCTACACACTACCTAGGAACGGCGTTCACGTTGCTCACTACATCCTTCTTTGCTAGATTCTCTAGTATATGTACTGCTTTTGAGCTAATTGATTGTCTTCAACATACGTGGTCCAAAGGTCAGCCAGTAGCCTATCCTAAGCATGAGATCTACTAATATGAGCAGATCCAGAAATGCATCATGGCTGACGTGCTACAACGCATGCTGTTACGAACAATTGAATCAAGATAAATTCCAGTTACCAATTACCCAAGGCCCTGCTGCTAATAACCACCCGCCTTTTCAACCACAGGCTTGAATGTCACCGTCACAGGCTCGTTGCCGATGCCCCTTTTCCTAGCCTCATCCAAAATCGCAACAGTCGCCGTGGCGCCGATACGGGTGACACCAATGCTCATCACATGAAGCAAATCATCAAGCGTGCGAACGCCTCCAGCAGCCTTGATCTGGACCTCAGGCCCAGAATGCTGTCTCATAAGCTTGAGATCCTTAATCGTTGCGCCAAGGTAGTTGTATGACCCATCGCTCTGTTTCACAAATCCATAACCCGTAGAGGTCTTGACAAAGGCAACTTTCAGCCCGGTACAGATTTCGCAAAGCCGGATGATATGCTCAGACTGGAGGTAATCGTTCTCGAAAATGACTTTGAGGATTGCGCCGTGCGCCGTGACGGCTTGGTTGATAGCGTCGATCTCGTGCGCAACGTACTCCCAGTCTCCTCCGAGGACCTTGCCAATGTTGACTACCATATCAATCTCAGCTCCTCCTGTCTTCGCAGCCGCGGTAGCCTCAGCGACTTTGATTTCGGTGGTGCTGTTTCCGTGCGGGAACCCGATCACGGGGCACACTTTAACATCGGTTCCGGTAAGCTCCTGCTTTGCAAGAGGGATGGCATACGGCTTAATACAGGCAGTGGCCACGTTGTTTTCCCGGGCGATTCTGAGTCCGGAAAGGATGTCTTCGTCCGTCATTGTTGGATGGAGGAGGGAGTGGTCGATCATTTTGGCGATCTGTGCGAGTGTGATGGTGATGGCGTTTGAAGACATGTTTGCTGTCCTGTTCTCATGCAACGACTTGAATTAGAATATTCAGAATATGACCTCTTAAAAGGAAAATATGGAAGTAACTTGGGGTGTTATATAAGGTGCTTCGAGGCAACATGTGTTTCCGGCGGGTTGATTACCCAATTCGGAAACAGAACCTGGAAAACGCTACAAATCTATAACCCTACGTGTTGATATTTCATGTCAACGAAATTACTAGGTAACTTCAGTATATAATATGAAGTACGTCTGTGGTAAACCATTCCGTCGGGGTGTAAAACCTGAACACATCGATCATTGTACCTCCAGTTGAACCAAGACTCATTCTTCCACATCGAAACTAGGGCTCGTTCCTTTCTGGAAGTCATTCCGCCGGATCAACTTTCCATTCTCGCAGGAAGTCAATGATTCTATACGTCTTATATTGCTTTAGCGAGAGTCATTCTCGTAAGCAGGCAAAAGCAGTCAGTCATATCTTTACAATTTTAGTAAGCGTACTGCTTGATTCGAAGGTCCAAACAACTAAGTATATAGAGACGGCGCAGATTGAGGAGGATACGTGCGCCTCAAACTGATTTCTACTATAATACAGATTACTGATATACAGCATAAAATATGTGCATGATTATCTCGCAGACTCTCACTGGATACATCGAACTTGGTAGAATAAATTCAGCCAACTCAATGCACTAATTAATGCTCTTATCTACTCCCATACATTAGAAAACAAATCATCATTTGCCGCAAATCCCCCTGCAGCAGGCTTATTGCCGCTAGTACTCGTGGTGGTATTGCTAACAGGTGCAGCGCTTGTCCATCCGCCAAAGTCATCTTCAGGAGCGACTGTTGCTGCTGAGGTAGTAGTGGTGGTCGTAGTGGTGGTAGCACGGGCTGCGGGTGCACCCCAGCCTGCTCCAATGTCGCCACCAGTCAAGGTATCGGGCATCCTCATTGAGTCCGTAATAGAGGGCTGTGCTGATGTGGTCGGCTTCGCGGCTGGAGGTGCAGGGGCAGGGGCAGGGTCTGGGGTACTCCAGGCGTTTCCTCCCCATGGATCAATGCTGGACGAAGAGAACATGCTCGTCACGTTGGATGTGGAAGTGGTAGGTGCAGCTTTTTGGGTAGGTTGAGTGGAAGTGGTGCTGGATGAGAGGTTGAAGACGGATGAAGTCGGCTGAGAATATGCTGGAGGCGATACTGGCTGTGATGGGGCTGCAAGATCGAACAAATCGTTAGAAACGCTCGGTGCTGGTGGTGCCGGCTTTGCGGGCTGTGACACTGGAGATGCGAAGTTTTGTGTAAACCCGAAATCAAGTCCGTTTGAGGAAACTGATGTGTTGCGGGTGGTGGTAGGCTTTGGTGCCTGTGTGTTTGATGCTATACTATCGAACAATCCTGCTCCACCGGTAGACGCCGGAGAACTCACTCTAGGTGCTACCGGGGGCGATTTTGGACCGCCAAATCCTGTCAAGCCCGCAAAAAGATCGTTGGATGGTGATTGTGGCTTCTGCTGCGGCTGTGGAGACGTGACTGACGGGAATGTCAATCCGCTAAAGGCATCCGTCAGGCTGTTCACATTCGACTGTCCGGAGGCAGTTGTTCCGATTGACGATGTGCGTTCATGCTGTGCCGGCGCAGGTTGTGGCTTCGGGGCAGTGGCATATAAAGATAGAATAGATTGCTTCAAATCGGGTCTCGAAACTCCTGCTTGGGCACCAGATGTAGGGGCCGTACTGCCAGGACGACTGACTGGGGTAGATTGGGTACTACCGAAGAAATCCAAGCCTAGCAACGAGTCTGCCGGCTTTGTCTGTTTCGCAGCAGCGGATTGCGCCGAGCTAGGAGGAGGTGGAGGGCGAGCAACGGCCGTAGGTCCAGTTGTACTGGGTCGCGCAGGAGGGCTAATAGCGTCATCGTCCCCAAAGAAATCAATGGACGGCTGCGGTTGTCGGCGAGCGGGCGGCTGGCTAGAGACGGATACACGCTGCGATGCGGAGCGCTCAAGTTTGGCTCTTTCCTGAACAACTGCAAGTGGCTGTATAATGTTAGATCGGGGAGTTTAAAGTGGGAGTGGTATGTCAGGGCGTACAGTATCGTCATCATTTCCTAGGGTGGAGGGGTCGGGCATCGGTCCGTCCATCACCCATCGCTTGGATTCATATTTGGTGCGAATGAAATTCTCAATTTTGCTAAAAATTTATGAGCCACTGAAGACATTCAGATCAAAGAGGACAAGATGGACTCACGATTCGGAGGGAACATGACCAGGCGCCAGCTTAGCTTCCCAGTACCTGAACATCCGATGAGGATTAGTCGAAATTCGCACGGTTTATATCAATGCAAGAGAAGACGGAGAACCGACTTATTAGCACGTGAATTTCCCCATTTCAAAACGCTCTGCAATTGTTCGTCCGTCCATGCGTCAAGGTCGACGGATTTGACTCGGCTGATATGCGTGCCCATCCCTCTGTGGATGCCTGAGCAGCGGATGCAGATGAAAATGCCGAGATTCCATGAGGCCCATCGTGGATCTAGCAAAGACACAGTTAGTATCGTTGTATCTGACTCGACTCTTGTGGTGAATCCGCAGCGGGGAAAGTAGCGGAAGGGGAGTCGTGGTCCATACGCTTGTTTCGCTTGCAATCCGCACAGGTCTTATTCGATTCCAATTTCAATAAATTCTTGATGGTCTGCTGGTTTTGCGCGGCGCGAGCGGGGTCCGGACGCCGAGACATTGCGGCGATTGTGGAAATAGTAAATTGGAAATGAGGCTATTGGGTCGCCAGTTGGGAGAATAGGAGGAAGGAGGAGAAAGTGTTGTGGAGGTTCAAGTTGATAACGGCGGGAAGCCGGGATCCACTCGCTCTCTTTCCGCTGTGGCAACGCTCGTCATATCCTTGTATCCCTACTCGCCATACCGATTCACGATGATATACAAATCTCATTAATTGATGAATCTATCTAGCTAGACCTTAGATTCCTGCTTATCTCCCTTCGCGCCCGCCCCATCTTCGCTGAACTTCAAACTGACACTATTAACACAATGCCTCTCATCCGTCGGCGTCGGGAATCCCTCTCCCTTAAACACATGGCCCAAATGTCCTCCACAGTTGCTACAAACAATCTCAGTCCGCTCCATGCCAAACGCCCGATCTACATGTCGCGTAACCGCTCCAGGCACGGAATCGAAATATGCAGGCCAGCCACAGCCGGATTTGAATTTGGTGTCTGCCGTGTAGAGCGGCGMATCGCAGGCAGCGCAATTGTAGACACCTTTGGAGGGGTAGTGTGAATCGAACTCACCGGAGCCGGGGCGTTCGGTTCCTTTTTGACGAATGACTCGGAATTGTTCTATTAAAGCAAGCTTAGTATATAGATATCCTCTGTAAACCAAGTAGATAGACATACCTGGACTAAGCACTGCTCGCCACTCTTCATCCGTTCGCTGATCGGGATAAGTCATATTGTTTTCTGCGCTGGCACTAGAACTGAATAGCGATCCGAGAAAAGAGAAGAAAGATGCGGACATCAGAATCTTCTTGGTCGGTGGGGGAAGTTGAGGTCTTCCAGCACCGGCGTGAAATCGGCGCGTGCGATCGATCGATAATAATGCGGGGCGTTGTTGTAGGCCGGTAGAGATGGTTTGAAGGGGTGGGTAAGCAGTATTAAATAGGTTGCGAGGTGCCAGTGTAGATGTGAACGTTGTTATCCGAGGTTTGACGAGGTGCGTTGACGCCATGAAGCAGCTGTCTGGACTGTCGGTGATTTGTAATTTTTCGCTGAGGCTTTTTATTGAAATCTTAGTTAAAGGTCATCAATACACCGCCAAGGATTCCGAATATGGTAAAGACTCTAAAAATGATTCCAAATCCCAGTCTCTCAGCCTTTTTGTCGTGGTTGGAAGACGTGAAACGTTCGATCTTGGAGTCTTCGAAATATCTACGGGCTACGTCATCGCCACTCTCGATAAGAGATTCCATAATCACAGCTACATTTCCGGACTACGCACTTGATATGTCAAGACTTTGTATGTACATGCGTCGTTCAATAAATGTCATCACTGAATAGATGCTCACTTTGTCCGACGTTTGCCGGTGACAGTGAGTACGCCCTCGCTTACTTCCACCTTCCATCCTTCCCTAGCCAACATCTTGCCCACTGCAGGGCCCAAACGCGATGTCCCATCACGACTATGGCGGCCTGCGCCAGTAATAATCTTATAAGACTTTCCAGAAATACCTCCTATGGTGTATCTTGCATCTCCCAAGCCTTCCCACCATTGGCATACGCGACTGTTCGCAATGCGCACAGCGTCCTGGACGCTAACTCCGTGTAAATCGAGTATATCCGTCGTCGACTGCAAGTTGACGAATGCATCCGCAGCGGCGGATGCCTCTCTTTTGGCTCTCTCGAGGTGGTCACGACCCACAGAAGCGTAGTATGCAGCTGCGCCACCCATCAATCGATCTGACTTACTGCGCCGATACGCACTGGATGCCTGGTTGAAGGCCGTCGAGCCTGCTACAAAGTGGGCATCCGCCATGTTCTGCGCAACGCCATAAGTAGACGTCAATCTAGGATTTATGATTGGACTTCGCTTGGGCGTTTCATCCTCGTCAAGGACAGGGGCTGGCGCATTGATTCGGATTATATCTGACAATTGAGGTACTGGCCGGAAGATCATGGCTCTAGCTAGTTCATTTGCAGCAGATACTGACTTTCCTGTTATGATGAGCAAGCCTTCCAAGGTGGTGGCTGGAATATTAGGAAAGTCCTGGGTAAGCTCAGCAAGCTGTGAAGCAATCACGGCATCTTCGCTGACCACCGTCGGAGCGTGAGATATAGCAAGGTTTTCGATGGTTTTCGCGCAAGACGCGTGGTTCTTGTGATATGTGGAAGTCACTGTTTCCTTCTTGAGCACTGATGAGGTTCGGGAATGAATAAATTCCAGGTCTTCCTTGGCAGCGTCCCATTTGTTTGTTGGAGATCTAGCTCTAGACGGTGCCATTAGGTTTTCATCATTCGCGAAAGTAGGCGAATTCTTAGCTCTCGCTCTCTTGTTCTTCCCTTTTCGTTTTCCATTGGTATTGGATGACGCGAACCCTTCAATACCCTTGGGTATCGAGACGATTGTATCTTCATCAACATTAGGTTGACTGTCAAAGAACGATAAATTCAACAAAACATCCATTGAACGGTCCACATCATAATCGCATTTAGTCAATGTATGTTTGATGGTGTATTGAGTCACCGAAGGAAACATTTCCGATAAGTAAATTGACTTTTCTTCAACCGTCAAGCCAGTCAAATTGAGTGACCCATCAGGACTAACAGTGTATCCTCCCGTTCCAATCTTCCTGCTATCATCGCTTCCGATCCAAATGGATGATAGGTCGGATTGTAATGAAGTGATATCGGTATCTTCTCTCGATCCATTGGTATCATTTCGCGATGCGGTACCGTCGGTCTGAATAGCTTCTGCCGAAGCTAGACCGCCTGTCCCTGAAGGATCAAATGGTAGATCTTGCTGCTCTTCTGCTGAGACTTTCAAGGCATCGAGTATATCCTTCAATTGGTCTAGACTCGCGGAGTCCGTAAGATCGAAATCGGAAATGATTGCGCTGAAAAGCGCAGTATCGAGCGGTGGGCAATAAGCATTTTGCAACTCCTGTAAAAAGAAACGTTAATTGGGTGTTGCTGTGCGATCATTCTCCAAATATACGAACGCTTAACAGGTCGTTTGTTTCGTCAACCATCGTCAAAGTCGCAAAATTTGTAACCAGGTACTTGATTCAATGTCGCATGCATCACTTCAGGAGGTTGCCTTCAAAACACAACAACGATTATTCAGAATAAAATAAGAATGCAACGCCCGTGGAATGGTGGTAGACTACGATGTCTACTCCAAATGCCGCCGGAGACATAAGATTGAAGAAAGTTGACGCAGCGGAGGGGCTGGAGTCCGAGTGTTTAGCGCACCCTTATCGATAAAGGCATCACCACCATCAGTGACGGCATCATCCGACAACAACGAATTGCAGTTGTTTTCATATTTCTAGTCTTATTCGTGCAGTTGATCAGATTTGTGGCCAAGCAGCCAGTGAAAAAACTGCAACATCGGACATATTTCCCCTCGACAAGACCGCTCAGCGACTCGTCCCTACATTGCATCAAGGGACTCGTCTGAAGTCTGAACCGAGGGAAATACAGTATTATTGAGCCTTGAACTCCCTGTGTCACTTGATATTTCATTCCGAAGGTTCACTGAAGGAGACCGGCATGTCAATCTTCTACCATGAACAGAGGTAGCGAATGGTTGCCTTTTTCCGATCCAGGCAGAACCACCCCTTATCATGGCTCACGCTGCATGCACACCGAATATTAGGTTCTATTTGAAATTCGCGTGGAACAAGTCAAGATGACATACCATTGGCTCCCGAGGTCTCCTTCAGTTCCTTGGTTTCGTTGAATAGTGCTTCGATCATTTCACTATCAAAGGAGTGCTTCCTGTGTCTGCGGCTATTTACCCTCCTTGCAGACGTTCCGTTAGGCTGCCGAAAAAGTAATTCGCAGATCTGACAGGTACATCTGCAGGTTTATATGCTCTATCGGAGGCTTCAATGTGGGATGTGTCAGGGGAACTATTAGATATCTTGTCGAAGATCCTCCTATCGTTTGTCCCTGCCCTAGTGAAACAGAGGTTTCCTATGGAAGGGGCGGTCAAGGGATGTCTCAAACAAGGATTTGTTAACAATTCTCTCCGAGTTCCTATCTGTAGCCCTTGGCCATTGCCCCTATATCCCCGATCCTTATCCAACCCTCTTGTGTGACAGATGTCCGAGGGTTTTATAAATGGCCCAGGTTCCGACCATCGAATCCTTTACCAAAACATCTACATCCTCCAAGTTAACCAACATAATCATCAAGAGACCTCCCCTTTCAGCCGATCCTATCATCCAAAATGCAGGTCAAGTTTGGTACCGCTTTTATGCTGGCAGCTTCTGCCTCGGGTAAGTGAAGCAATGATATATATGAGATCACAGCGCCGGAGCTTGCATTTACTTATCTTATACACATGCTATAGCACTCCAGGTTACCTCTCCTAGCAGAGGCGAAAAGTTGGATTTGACCAGCTCCAATGAGGTGACTTGGGATTCGGTTGAGTGAGTATCTCTTCTTTCCATGGCTGATTTCAAGGTGTACATCGACTTCTAAACGACTGATAACAGGTCCGATCCCACTTCATTCGATATCCAGCTAGTCAATGAGCATGTGAATCCCCCTGTCGTCAAGACAATTGGCACCAATGTCCAGACCAGTGCCGGTTCATATGCATTCAGCAACGTTGCTGCCGCAGTCGGGTATGAGCCCTGTCCTCTCCCTCTCCCTTTTGAATCATATCAAATGCTTACATGGCCAATAAAGAGACGACTATCAAATCAACCTAGTGTCCACCTCATCTGAAAACAGCGGCATTCTCGCCCAATCCGCTCAATTCGACGTCTCCAACGCCGCCGACAGCAGCAGTAGCAGCAGCACTACTAGCACCGGCACATCCACATCAACACGCAGCTCATCAACCAGCACCGATACATCCACCACCACCTCCACATCAACCTCCTCTTCAAGCACCGCTACATCGAGCACGACTAGCTCAGGCGCTAGCTCCTCTGGAATTCGTACGAGCTCAAGTAAGACTGCTACTGCAACCTCCACTTCTACATCTTCTAGTATTTCGGCTACTCATACAGGTGCTGCTGGTACAGTTGCTGTCTCGGTCGTGGGATGTGTGTTAGGAAGTGTTTTCGCGCTATTGTTGTAAGCAATGCTTTTCATCCCTCATGATGATGGAGGTTTTGGATTTTATTCAACTTGATGATGCGTTCGTATGATGGCCAAGGGGTATACTTAATAATAATTCGATGCTATGAAATTAAGAAGTTATTTCCTATCTGTCCAGTCGTAAATATGCAGCATTTAGTAATTCTGAAAGACTCTCTTTACACGCCTGGGCATCCTTGTTGGTCATCTGGGGGCAGTATACGAATTTTTACCAATGGACTGTTCCTCCTGCAAGTTTTCCTGTACAGTCTATGGAATGCCCAAGCTCGTATTGTTGACCCAATTCATTAGAATCTGATATTGGATCTTCACGACTCATACAATCATTGGTATAGAGGAAAAGCTAATGTACATGACTCCATGAAAACCATTTCCTGGGAATATCCGCCTTCGGTCTAGAAAACTTTCGCTGCGCCTGTCCTTCGGATAACCCCTTGACTCCGGAGACTTTGGAAAAAAAAGAGGGAAAAAAAGCATGAAGGAAATTGAAGTCGTACTCATACATAGACATAATTGGAAGAAAAGAATAAAAAGAAAAAAGCCTGTCCAAGGTCTTCCTCACAATGGATTGTTCGAGATTGGACCAGAAGATTTTCGCACTTTTCACCACAAATTAGGAGAAGAACCGCCATGCAAAATCGTCGCAAAAAGAAAAGATACCGTCATGAAAAGAATCGCTGGCATTCCAGCGAAGACCAACAGATCATCCTCAACAGTAAGGACAACGTCGACTGCCCCCCAATAATCATCCTCACTTCACGCCAACACACCCACAAGAACCAACGCAGTTGTTTAGAGCTTTTGCGCGTTGACTATTCACGTTGATCCTTCGACGATGGGATAGTGTTAATGATGAAGATGATTTGATTCAAGATCACACTCAGACTGCGATTTTCACAGCATTTTTGGATAAGAGTCTGGAATCGGGCGAGAAATAGCTTGTCTTTGGGCACTTCCGGGGCGCTCTGGCCTAAGACGTAAACAGATTCTGGTAAATGCTCGGTCAAGTTACGCAGAATCAATGCGGCCTTGTATGCGACTCCAACCGGTTCTCTGAGTTCGTTGATAGGAGTGTTGCGGAACTTTTGAGAACGATAAACGCGCGGCTGGAGGACCTTACGTTGGGGAATAGGAGGTTGCGCACTAGGTTCACGCGGCTGAGGTAAATGGCTGCTAATGTGTCTTATAACCTTCATGACATCGGTGTTGGGAGTCTTGTACTTAGAGCAACCGTCCCAGAGGCACGCTTTTGGCGACTGCTTAGCTTTGTCGAAGTTGTACCGATCAGGCTGCTCTACCGCTTCCCCATCAGTGTGCTCTATGAAAACGTGGTTGCGAAGCTCCTGTGGGTCAGCGAACGCGCGATCACAAGGTTGATCACCCACTTTCCATTCGCAAAAGAGATAGGGMCACCCGTCAAATGTCAAGGCAGTTTCCAAAGGTCGAATACCTCTGATGATGAACCTTGTCGAAGTCTGCCCATTAGGTCCTGTAGATGGAACAACTTGGGCTTGAGCATTTGTGAATGTGGCGCTCACGTTTTTGATGAACTCGGCAGCTGCCAATGCATTAGGATGGGATCCGAAACGCATCTGGTATGCCTGCCACAGGGCAATCTGGGTGATCTCGCATTCAGGATCCTCAGCGAAGCAGCAGCGAAGCCATTGAGAGCTACGTTCTGGTTCGGCCAAAGCCATCAACTGTCTGGAAAGCTCTTGTGGCACCTTTGGAATTGTGGTAGAAGCCGGTGCGATCTGCTCTGGCAGTACCTCCACCTCTTCTATTACATCAACCGCGTCGTAGGAAAGTAGGTTGACCAATCTCGGGATCAAATTGACCGTAATATTCACCACATAAGGAAGATACCGGGCACTGGACGGCTCAAGCGTGTACTGGTAGAAAAAGTCCATAATAATACTGAGCAATTCCGGGTCCGGTTCCATCAGTAGGTATGTCGCAAGGTTGGCAACAAGGTGATGCGGTACGGCTACCATGGCCTGATTCTTAGCATCGGGGATCTCAGACGAGAAGTGGATGATTGCCCAAAGAGCGCGGATAATGTGAGCGCGGTCACGCGAGGTTGTACATTCGAAGAGAGATATGCATAATGGGTCGTACCGTGCAGTATGCATGTACTTAGTCACCTCTTCAGCAATATCAAGAGCATCGTTCTTCAGCTCGTTGAAGCGAGGCTGTTTTGGAAGGTTGGTCATAATGCAGATAAAGTCCCGTATAAGTCCCTTGCAGGCCCATGAGATGTAGTAGGCATTCACGGGGAGAAGGCACATGTTGCGCAAGACTAAAGTGGCTTCCTTGCACCGGCGAAGGCGACTGCTGAAGTCTTCATCTTCAAGAGTATCATCTGGTAAAGTGATGGGAAGCTTCTCGATGCGTAGGAGGATGTCATTCGTTCCATAGAAAGAGTTCAGGACGTTCATGCGATGCTTTTTTAGAGGGAATAACTTTGGATTGTGCTCGCATTCCCACTGTACGCCAGTCAAGAGTTCGGTAACCCCGATAGCGATGTACATTAAGTGTTCCGCTAACATGGGGAACCCTTCAAATCTAAATTTGTCACCGCGTGTGTTGGATATCTGGATGAGATGAAATAACGCGAAGTCCTGCTCTTGAGGGTCGGGACACATTAATCCCATTAGAACGCGGCGGTAAATATCGTGACCTAAAAGATATTGTGAGCAGGCATGAATACAGCAGCTGAGGTTATTATACTCACTTCTGTCAATTTCCAAGAACTGCAGTGGGTAATACGGGTCGTGATAGTCGAACTGTTTGGCCTCTTTTCCTTGTCTTCTGAATTGTTCAGGCCTGTTGCCAGGCGTGGAAACATCTCTGGTTGAGACAAGCAAAGTCTCTTCGCCAAAAGGAGAATCGATGCGGGTCTCGCCGCTCTCGACTGTATTCGGTCCTTCTGCACCCGTTGCCTGAAAGCTTGGTGTATACGACAATGGAGTCTCTTGATTTGAGGTAGCTGGCTGGGTGACCGAACGTGTCTGGCGTACTGGGGCCGTGTCTGGAACGAAAGGTTGATTAATCTTAGGTGCCTGGCGAAGGCCTTCTAAACAAAAGTTAGATTTAAAAAAACAGCTTGGCCATTGTCAGAGAACACAAGACTTACCACGATGACCAGACCGCGTAGACGCCATATCGCCTAATTGTTGCTCGTAGTACGCGAAATAAGGGTCTGCTGAGCGTCCAGCACGTAGTTGGTCGAGCAGTTGTTGGATTCTCGCCTTCTTCTGAAGAATTCTGTCGCGACGACTGTTGGAAGGAGGATTTTGAGAATTCGCCGTCGCAGACTCCCCAGCCACTGAGGGGTTCGCTTCAGTAGTTGAATGAGTCCTCTCGAGAGTTGACGAGGACGCTTCAGGTGCCCACGAAGAATAAGGTGGTGTTGAGTCCTCCTCAGTCTTTATGCGGGCTGGGGGAGCTGTTTGGCTGCGGGAAGCTCCGTCAGCCTCCATCACAAAAAGAGAATGGTTCATCACGTGAGCCATTCGTCACGTGGAGATAAGAAAACCAATATGCGATAACATCTGCAAAACAACAGCCAGTGTGAAGGTGATGAAGATGCTCAACTAGAACAACAAAAGCAGCAGTGTAGAAGAAAGAAGATGAAAGAAAGAGGGAAATAATTTTCTAGGTGGTGAACATGACGCTGAACTCAGGTTGCTGAACTTAGGTTGTCGTGCAACATGTTCATGAACACTACCAGGCTCACGATAGCAGCGTGTAATTTCACATGGCAAATCACCTCGTTATACTAAACAGGTACTGATTCAAACCTAGTTCTCATTTAATCTCCGCTTTTATTCAATCTAAACAGCTTCATGTAAGAGAACGGCAGGTTCTGTTCTCAGCCTGAGGKGTCAATGGCTCCTTCCGAAAGGGGACATGCATCTCGGACGCGACTTCCTCAGCTGCCAAAACCAGACCTTTTCTTCCCAGCTCTTTTCTCACTCAATGCTGGGTTATCTCTGAAATCCCTGATGACCAGACCGTATCTCCATGTCTGTCCTCCAGCGAAACCCACACCAGCCTACGCTGCTCGCGCAGTATCCTCTTGTGAAGTACTCCTATGCCGAAACGTCCTCCGACCAACATGGCCCTATCAATTGGACCCATGTCCAGTCCAATGATCTGACTATTATTTTTGAAAGCGAGCCAGTTCAACAGAAACTCAGGCTTCGAGTAGTCCGAGCGCGCGAGCAATTGGTGAGTTTCCGTCAGTCTTCGAGACATCGCGTTGCTAATCTCATCCTAGGAAGAAGTTGATTTGAACGAATTTGCTCAGGAGGCTTCCCAGCAGAGCATCGCCAGACAGAACAGAAATACAAAACCACAGGTAGCTCTGCTGGTGAAAGACCCATGTCTAGCTTTTCGATTCCCATCAAGCAGGGATCAGGTTCGAGCTCGCTCCTGTCCTCGATCTGCATATGCTGATTGAGAGTTAGATGCATCGGTTTCAATTGAAATTCGCGTCGAGTCTAGATTTTCGGGAAGTGATAGACATATTCAGAAAACTCAATTGTCCTTTCAGCGAGACATCATCAGATCAGAATATGCGCTCGACAAGCTCCAGGCCAGAATCGTCGTCGTCACGAATCACGAACTCCACAAGCCCAGCTTTCAACGGGGGCATGGAATGGGTACAAAATCCGGGGTACTCCAATGCCCGCTCGTTCAATTCGGGGTTTATGCGGAGTCACACTACATTGGGAGCTTCTACAGACAGAATAGTAGCCAACGGTACGGTCACTTACCCTAAGGCCAGCGTCGATATGCGTGTTGTTGCTAATATGTGAAATCCAGCATCCCCGCCGACTTCATTTATGCCCGACTTTTTTACGCGAAACGCAACCAATACTCCAGTCCTGAATGAGTCTCAGAAAGGTCACTTAGGCACTCACACATTTACACAAATCGCAGACACTCGAATTCAGGAGTCAGAAAGACCCATCACGTCACCCGGTTTTGATAGTCAAGCTCTTGAGCAAGCATTGCCTCCGAAAAGGGATCTGCCTTTTTCAAAGCCTGGGCCACGTCTATTGAATATCTCTTCGCGGCCGGGAACTTTGTCGGAGTCAACAAACAATCCGGATACTTTAAACACTGCCGCCACGACTGCATCCTCGCGACCAGTCACTGCGCTATCACGAGTGACAGTTCCAGCAACGAGCTCACCTGCGCGACAGCTCCGTCTCGAGCTCGAAGATAGTCGACGAGGCAGTACAAATCAAGAACGGGGACAATTACCTCGAGCACTGGTCCCTGCATCGTCTCCTCTACTTGAAACGTCTGCTTTTGGATTATCGAGCCCGGATGGAGGCAACATCCTATCGCGCCATAATACAACCACGCAGTCACCGAGGATTCCTTTAAACTTGTCCCCTGTGCAAACCAAGTCATCTCCAACCTTCCGGCAAGATCAGCAACAATATTCACCAAACCTAAACAATGCCAACACAACAACAAAATCGCCAGCATCATATGCCCCAAACATGACCTCAGCAGACTTATCTGCATACCTCACAACCCCCGAATCAGAACGCTCGCAGTTGGTCAACAACTGGATTTGCCAACAGCTCGAGGACGATGGCTTTCGGGCATTGTGTCAGGACGTAGAGCGCGTTTGGCAACGGATTGCATTTGGGAGTCGTAATGGTGTGTAAGTACGGTCAAATATAGCTGGATTGTGATTTATCTACTCAATTTCGTTGTGCCTAAAAGATTGATTTGGCTGTGGTTGACCATGATCTTACATGTAGATTGAGCACAAGTATATATACGGAATTAGATATTTTCTCGATTAGAGATGAGACCTATCAACCCTGACACAGTATTACGCCGACTTTAAAAATGATTCAGCAAACAGTCAAAAAAGGATAAAGGAAAAATCAAAATACATCCATCACAGCAACAGACCCTAGAAAAACAGATCCCGACGCCGGAAAATTTCACAAGCCACCAAACCAGCAATGAAATAAACACACATTAATTCGTACAAAATCAGTGACGAGATCCAGGCGGCATACTTAGAATATTCATAAACCCTCTCCTCAGCGCAGAGCCAAAATCGACCATGACCGCACCACCTAATCCAGTCGTCGTTGGTGCTGCTGTTTGTCCCTGTTGAGCGGTGCCGTTTCCAGGTCCAGTTCCTGATCCAGCCTCATTGGAGATGTCCATTGCGTTATTGTTCGCGGTGCCAGTGGCAGCGGCAGCGGCAGCTGATCCGGATGCAGATGTTGACGGAGCAGGAGGCGCGCTGCCGTCTTCATTTGTGGCTGTGCCTTCTGCGCCGACGGCGAGGTCGGCTAGATGTTGTAGGGATCGTTGCTCGTTTAGTCCGAGAGGTGGTTGCGATGACGATACGGTGTTATTGTTGGCATTGTTAGTAACGGGGTTGATGTTATTCGTAGAGGACTGGTTTTCGGTTTCTTCCGTGCTTGTATTTTCCTTGTTCAGAGAATGACCGGATTTCTCAGCTGCAATCCAAGCACGAAGCTGCTGATCCCATTGAGGCGTGCTGAATATATCCTCAAACTCGCCTGCGTTAGCAGTAGCTTGGGCCCGGCGGTCTAGAATCTGCTCGACGTCTCCGAGGATTTTCCAGCAAAATTCGGCGCAGTGGGGCAGTTTTGATGCTTCTAGGAGCGTAATCACGGCCAAGGACAGGGAGTAGATGTCAATCGGCGAAAGGATGCGAGTCGTAAGGACGTCTTTGTGCATTTCTTTCACAAGTGCTTCGGCTGAGTGGATGACTTCGTAAGGCGCGAAGACGTAAAGGAAGCGCGTGATGTAGAGGTTGACTGTCCAGTAGACTTGTGGTCCGAGAGCTTCGATATAACCGGCTGGAAGAAGTGTAGCGTCGGTGTTAGCAAGACGTTGTTCGTGGCCCAGCACAACTTTGAGGAGGTGGAATAGTAAAGAGCGAGATGCTTTTTTGAATTTGGAATTGAGCGATAGTGAGTCGTGATCGATCTCGATGATGCGCAGAGCCGCGGACAGTTCACTTGAATATGCTGCGGGAAGCGTTAGCCAAGAAGAACGATGAAAAAAAAATCAAGACTTACAGGTAAGTTGCACAGCGGCAGGGCCCATAAATGAATAGTCCGAAGGTAGATTGATGTCTTGAAAATCATCCTCCACGAAATCACGTTCGCCCATACCAACGAGATGCCATCGACAAAGAATACTTGCAGAAAACCAATCACGGCGGGCGACATTGGCATCGGAGTCTATATCCTGGAAATCCGGGAATAGATCACGGTTTTGGTCGAACTGCTTGGCAACTCTATAAGCCAACGACATCAGATGATCAGCCAAAGTCTGCTTTGGTATTCCGTTTCGTCCGTGCAGATTTTCAGGCCCACGCTTGTCGCAGTCAATGACTAGGAAGGACAAGGTTTGAATCCAGACGAGATTGACGGGCAATATCCGCAAATTGTACGGATCACGAAGATGTGCAGAAACCAAATCAAGAGCGCTTTCAAGAGAGCCGACGTCGGTGAAAGTGCCTCGCACACGATCGGTGTTTGTATGGGTTACTGCATAGAGTGCGTGGGAAAAGACCTCCTGTAACGTCCGACTGCATTTATGTAGAATAGCGTGTAATCGCTCTTTCGAGCTTGGAAGTATTGGCAGTATGGGGTGAATCTTTTCGTAGTACCTGCAAATGACAGCCATTAGACAAATTTCATAGTTCTTGGAAGACAGAGCGCATACGCTTTCAATGCACCTTCGTCGACTACAAAAGGCTTCGTGTCGTCGTTGGCAGGCTGAGACAGAATTCCAACGACCGACTCAACAGGCAGCGTCAGATCGTGGTCGCGATCAAGTCCATCACTCCAATATGGCGCTGACAGCTTGGGTTGTGGTTGGTGCATGCCAAACAGAGGATAGCTCTCTGGTAGATTGACGGCAGTTTCACCTTAATGAAAACAGTAAGCAATGCGCAACTTCCAAGCCAAGAACAATTTCAAACTTACCAACTGTCGCCTGGCCACGAGGCGTGAATGTAGGCTGAGTCAAAGGCAGCCCGTGAATACCTTCGCTCATAGAAAAGGTCCGTTTACGGCCCAGCAAGTTCCCATCAATCGGAGGAGAAAACTCGTGGTATCCACGCGGAGGCGATATCTCGCTCATACCCTGATACTGCATATCTTGCTGCGGCATTGGCGGTTGCATTTGGGACTCCAGAGTGTTCAATCGCTCGGCTAATTCCTTGATATAACTGGTAACCCATTAGCCATTTGTGTATGGTGCAGCGCACAAGATTTCGCTTACCCTTTGCTAGGTCCTCTCTTCATAGGCACGCGACTGAACTGGCAAGCGACACCAAGACGACGACAATTCGAGCATGTTTCAACACCGGACTCTGAAGTGGCATCGCAGCGGACCTGATAATTCGAGGTGTGTTAGTTAAACTGGCAGAGTGGCGAAAACAACGCGCCTCCTGTAGTATAGAAGGCGATGCTTACTTTCTTGCGCCTACATTCATCGCAAGCCCGGGAGACCTTGGATCGTTTGCGACGGGCACTTTGATCGCCATAGCTCAGGTCGTGATTCGGATCGACGCCGACTTGCTGATTGGGAGGGAAAGCAAAGGCATTGTTATGTTGTTGATCTATATTTCGAGACGCGACGTTAGCCAACCGCGGTAGGTCATAACAGACGCATTACGAACGTACCATTAGTCGAACCATCCCCAAGATTGTTACCAGCAGCATCGCGCGATAATTCTGCTGTCAATATTTCATCGGCAGTAAGCTGACGATTGGCGAAGTATATGGCATTTTGGTTGACTTGCGCAGAGTTCGCAGGGTACGAGGGCGTCTGAGGCAAATCCGACGTTTCGCGGGAATTCATTTTGACTGCACCATCCAGAAATTTTAATAATGAAGTTGCTTTGTAGCAAGTCACTGAGCATACAATACCAATAAAATCAGCGAGGTGAGACAATGTGGTAGTTGTTCTCACGAGTCGCGACGGAGCTGTTGCGCGCGAGTTGGAAGAAGAGCGAGGTTTACTCTTAAGAAAACTAGCTAGGCATTTTCATACTGGGCGGGGAGTTTGCCTTGGCACGCACAGAAGACGTGCCGCCTGATGACAAAATAGAGAATCATCGCGCGACGAATTTACGAAGCTGTTGGTGTGGTGTGTCTTAGACAGCATCAGAATAGCTACCCTGAAGCTCTTTGGCCAGTTACGTCGATAGACTACTGGATCATCGCGTAGAAAAGAAAAGCCGTCTCCGTGCCGGATGGACGGCGGATTAATACTATTATCCGGCATCACCATCGCCAACAGCTCAGCAGAACACTTGGCAGATTACACTTTGGGCTGTATGAGTCTGGTTGGAGGGTATCTCTCTTGCATTTGCCATTTATCCTGCAAAGAAATACGGGTTACTGCCCGCACGTCGTCTAACTTATCAGCGGCAAAGTCGCGATGCTCACAAATTGCTTCAGAACACGACGTCGGAATGCCTACCGATAGCTGCAATGTGAACGTCTATGTAGATAGAACTTTCTAACATTTTTCATGGGGCCCTCATACATGTAGGATAGATACACCGGGTCTTTTGATTTATGTATTGCTACTGCTGAGAGCACGATTGAACATTGGGCAAACCACTGACGTCAAATAGAGATAATAGCCAATACCCATTGACGATACTCCGTACTTTTCGCGAAAACCAACATACACTGAACCGAGCAAGGAGTTTTGAAGAATCACTACTGTGTATATGTACATATGCTTTACTACACTTGGTGAGCATTACAAGTTAGAGAAAGAGGCAGTCAGTCTTCACCGACACAATATTTGTACAGCAAAGTCTCAGCACGATGTAACCGAATAGCAATCCTCGAGAACCCAGTCGTGACTTGCATGTAGATCACAGCAGGACCATCGATCAGCCCGTTATCACTGATCATACAGGGTGCCACCCTAAGCGTTCTGTTGCTCGGGCCTCTACACGATGAGCAGCGGCGTAGGACTGCATCCCTCCGGTATAGCCCGTGTAAACATATGGGCGTCATACCTGCGATAAACAGCGTATGCACGCTTAGCATGGAAGGACGGAGTGCCTACCCAACCGTACAGAGAGAGGGAGTGGACAGGGTGCAGTGGACTGCTAGCCCTGCGACGCCATCCCGCAATGTATCCATGCTAAACATTTAGTTGCCGTTTTCMCCCGCGGGAGGGCGATCCACTTTGTGCGCTATGATGTGGTTGTTCGTCGTTGGGGCCGATGTTGAACGTATATAGGAGATGATGAACGTAGATTTGAAGGGAGGTCAAAGGTGGCAAACTGCGTTGTGTCGAGAAATAAGGGTTGAAACAATAGGATGAAGAGTATTGTCTCGTATTGCAAGGCTGAAATGATACAGGTCGTAGCCGCACTAGTACGTCACTAATTCCAAGTTTTCGTAATACACTTGCATGCGAGGGGAGAACATATACTACTACGTAGTAGCCACATAATGTATTTTTGTATTAGTTACAGTAAAATACGGTGGAAACAAGACAGTGTAAGCTGTGATTGGCTCATTACAGATGCACTAGCCATGCGTAGAAGGCGCTAAACTCGTCCTTCTGGAAGCCTGCCCGATCGAGCCACCGCCCCGTGGCCCTAGCGGGCTTAGCCCCGATTTCTTGGTGTCCACTGCCTGTGCGTTGCTTGATCACGAACTGGATGAGTTAGTTCATCGTGAAGTTCAAAGTAGTCCTTGATGAGTTAGGTCTGGAGAGTTGATGGAAAGTGGCAACGGACGACGTGTTCAACGTACAATGCATGTGTCAGACCCATGGATGATTGACACGGTCTAGGTCCCATCGGCCGGCCAAGATGGATCAATCGTACGACGAGGGAGAGTACTTTCGACGTACACTGCCACTATCTGTCTATTAGACTCTGTATCAGTAGTAGTACCAGTAAACCAAGGACTTCGTATTCTGGAAAGTACGTACTATGTAAGGATTACACGGTAGACGTCATGCGCCAGACACGCAGCGTTCGGCTTGGTGCCTTGCCAAGACACGCTAGTCCCCTTCAAGCGGACTGCGCCTGATTGCCTCAGGCACGCTCCCGCACTTTCTGGTTAGCTGACTTCTGCTCTTACTTAATACTTTTCCCCTCCGTTTTTCCCCCGTACTCTCTCTTCTTCCCTTAAAATCCTTTCCCCCCCATACTCACCACCTGTGGATGAACACCTTCAAAAAGTGCCACAGATCTCCCCATCTTTTGGCCGCCACTACCGATATTTGGTGTCCTGTCTAACGGCCGGCGCCAAACGGTGCGTAGGCATTTGGCCCTGTGCGTTCTCGTCGCGATTGAGTCTTCTCTTCTTATTCCTCTTTTATTCTTCGATTTGCTGTGGTAGCGCTTTGACTGCAGTTTCGCGCTCTGCTCTACTGTTTTGATCTACTACCAATTGCGTTCCTTTCAATTGGATTGTCCTTTTCACTTCACTTTCTGTTTACATGTTTCAAGATATCCTTGTCCACGGCTTCCTTAGTGTCTTTTCTTGACTTTCCGTCTGTTGTCCCCTCGGCAAAACTCCGTACCCACACGTGAGGAAGATCTCACCTAACCACTACTGATCTACCTTGATTACTACATTTTCTCTTTGTCTGGGGGCTTTTTCTGTTCTTTATTACTTCAATTTACATACTTATACCCTCGCGCAGAGTCGCATGTGTGCTTTATAGTACCCGCGGCAATGCTGATTGATGGCGAGAAGTGGGCTTGTGAAGCTTGCGTTCGGGGTCACCGAGTCAGCAGCTGTCACCACAGCGGTATGTCTGCACACGGCATATGTCTTTTAAATTTTACTAATGTGTATAGATCGAACTCTGATCCATGTCAACAAAAAAGGCCGTCCAGTCTCCCAGTGTCCCCACTGCCGTGGCCTGCGCAAGTCGAGGACAACCCACGCGAAATGTGACTGTGGTGACAAGAAAAAGGACCACAGTGGTGTCGACGGCACTCTCGCCGCTGGCGAGCATGCTGAAGCAAACTGTCGTTGCATGCATGGCCAGCGCTGCAGCTGCGCGTTGAAGAAGGATCACCTCGACCCTGTTCCCGAGACCGGACTCCCTCCACTACCTCATCCTGCTGCTGCCGATCTGCGCAAACCACGTCTTACGTCTACGAAGTCTGAGAGTACCTTGACTATATTCCGTGACGGTCACCACAAGCCAGCGCATAAACACAACGACATGGCTCATAAGTGCGGTCTCCCTTACACTATCCCGCGATCTCACTCGATTCACGGAACATCCGAACTTGCTCAACGCTCTGCCGATCATCTTCCGCTGGCTCTCAATAATGACGCAGTTGACACGTCGTACTTTAGCTATCCGACTGAATTCGATTCTTTGCCTGCGCGCCGACGGGTCAAGTCAGAACATGGATCTCCTGATCTCGTAGCCATACCGGCACCGGACCAGAATGCAGTCCCACCTCTTGACTTGGCGTTTGATGCGGGAATTACAGCTGAACCTTTGAATCAGTTCATGATCCCGGATCAATTTCAGGAGGGTCCATTCGCAGAGGGATTGTTTGCATCGCCTGATACGGAATATCCCATTTCTACTGGCGCTTTCAATGCCCCAGCCGTTGACTGGTCAAGTTTCCCGCTTCCTAGTGCCGGACTGTCTACCAGTGTCAGCCAGGCGCCATCGTACGCCAGCTATGATCTGAACAACGTCAGCAACCCGAGCTACCCTGGTCTTACCGGTTCCTCGTCGGGAGATGCTTCGGAAGTGGACGACTTTGGAACGAAGCCTAGTTTGGGAGGCTCTGGTCATGATATCTACGACTTGCACAGTCTCAGCGATGGGTCGGATGTTGACCAATATCGTATCAGTTCCGCCTCGTCATTTGCGGGACTGCCTCAAGCTCGGCTGCTCTCTTCCAATAACTTGGAGTCTATCGACATCGATGAGTATATCAGATCGGCGAATGCATCCACAGCTGCGCTTGAGCAACAGCTCCAAGCTACCATGGCCATGGAAACGAAAGCAATTGCTACATCGCCACAGGGGTATGCCATTTCCCACTCGCAAGCTTCTTATCCGTCCACGGAATCCACACAGACCGTGTCATTGGACGCAAGCCAGGCTAGCATGACCGACATGCTATGGGCTTCCAGCCTCTTCGATAATTCTCTGCCTACTTCAATGCCCTCGGCCACCTCTGCCGCTGCTGAAGATCCCTTCACGCAGCCTCCTTGGGCAGAATAAACCATGTAGTATGTTTCTGACATACCGATCATGGATACCTTACCACCACCTCCCGCACCGTCTGACGACCCTGATGAGAGATGATGATATGTGTTTTCTACGATACCATAAAACGCAGTCTATTTATTTTGTTTGCTTATTTTCTCTTCTATTAGTAGATGAGTCTTGATGTCTTGTCTATTTCTTCTCAGCCCAGTCACTTCCAGCCTGGCCTGGGATACACATTTTATCCTCCGCCTCTGCTACAGTAACATGCGGATTTGCTATACTTGAGTCTCTATAAAAATAGATTTCTTCTTCTTCTATGCTTCCTTGCTTCTTTTCTTCCCTTTTTTCCACATGCCCTCATCCTGTAGCTCTCTATTCCTTGACGTAAATGTACAGTGATATAATTATCCTAATCCTGATTTGAAGAACTCCCTTGCATCAACGTGGTCCACCACAAAAACGCGCCCTACACACTACAGACAAGGAAGTCAGAACATGATCGTACTCCCTTACCTACACTACTTAGTGGCACAGTGCGGGCAAATCTTGAAAACATGCAACCCGCATACCTACATACATGATACATACTACATGGAACATAATACAAGCTCACTGTGCATGCACCCTGCAGACCCCAAAAAGCTTAGCTATCACTTCTGCGCAGAGTGCAGGAAATTAGTCGGTGTACAACCGATCGATCGATCGATTTGATCTACCTACTGATTGCATGCGTGTGAGAAATAGCGGTGAGGAAATATAAGTGCATGAGCGAGATCACGAGGTCGATTCATAATATGCTTCGTGATATGATTGAGTCTCTGATAGGGTGTAATTACATAAAAAAAATACCTAAATAGAGATTGTCATCTGACTTTGATGTTCAAATGTCGGTTTCTTCTGATGTTGGCAGGGCGACATGAACTGAAGCCCTAACTCTCGCTAAGATACATCAATCATTTACCAGACCTAAGTAGAACGTGAAAGTAATGGCTCCATAATTATCGCACAGACCAGACAGATACACGGTAGATACTAAGTTTCGAATATCATCTTTTCATTTCATCACGAAGCATGCTTGAGATTTTCAACCTGGTAAACCCGTCATTCTAGTTCAATGTTTGGTAATGACTTTGCTAGAGATGTAGCCTAGTTAGCCCTAACCGGGCGCTATTCAAGCTGGGGATGATCATCACAATCGACCAACTAGTGAATACGTAGGAAACGCCTGGTCAACTTCGGTTGTCTTGAATGTCTGCACATTCAAAAGGATATTCTCATACTAAAAGGGGTTTCAATGACTGCAGTGGTGACTGACTCAAATCCCGTTTCGTCGTATCCTTGCTCTTAGGTTGGACAAACACTGAGGCTTATCTTTCTACATGGAGAAGTATTCAGTGTGTCTGATTGAACTTTGTTACAACTACTTTTTATGTACATGTACCCGGCATATATCTGATATATCAATACATAGATATCACAAATCCATCTATATTGAATCATATGGCTATTCCAATATCCACGCAAACAGGTCAATCACCTATACTTCTCCATAAACTCTGCATGAAACTTTGTAATCCGCTGCACCCAATCTGTACCGGGGGCAAGGAACGTCGTCCTGAAATGCAGGGTGCCTTCCTTTTGACCAAATCCTGATCCGGGAACGACGCAGATACCAGTTGCGTCTAGGAGGGCGAGGCAGTAGAATTCGTCTGGCTTTTTGCCTGCGCTGCCGGCGGCCAGAACGGCTTTTGGTGGGAGTGTGATGGTGGGGAAGAGGTACATTGCTCCCTGTGAAAAGGTTAGAGTCAATAACCTGATAGCAAGGAGAGGGAAAGGGGACAAACCTGTGGCTCTTGACATTCAACGCCGGCCATAGTCTTGAATGCATCATACAACGCATTAGCTCGTGACTTCAAGCCATCCTTGATACCGTTGTACTCTTGCGAGTACAACTCATAGCTAGGCTCTCCCTCCTTGGGCGGGTTGACCATCAATTCAACCAAGCATTGCCCGATAACCGAGGGGCAAAGCATAATGCTAACATATTTGTAGATCTGCGCCTGAACCTCAGGGTCAAAATTGACCAGCTCAAAGTATCCACCACGGTGACCGCACTCGCCAACCATTCCCTTGGAAACACTGTGTAACGAGGCCAGCTCGACTTTGTCGTATTTACCGGGGAATTCCTGCTGTAATTGTCCCAGTCGCTTCTTGAAGGATGTGAATTCGCCAATGAAAACGTTGGTTTGGTAGACTTCGTCTGCCATGATGACCAGATTCTCCTCTACAGCAAGGTCGATCACGTCTTTGATGTCGTTTGGGCTCAAACTTGCGCCTGTAGGGTTACCGGGGTTGATGACAACAATGGCGCGAACATCGATGCCGTTGCGTTTGGCATTTGTGACTGAGTCTCGAATGTCATTGACATCTGTACCCCAGGCCTTGTTTTCTTCGAGATAGTAAGGCACGCAGTGAGCATTCAACAGTGATAGCGTAGCAGTGTAAAGCGGATATTGTGGGATAGGCACGAGGACACCGGACGATTTGTTTGCACAGATGACATTCAACAGTGTACTCACACCGGAAGAAGCACCTCCAGTCAGAAACAGATTCTTAGGATCCGTAGCGAACCCATCTCGCTCTTGGATGAACCGGGCCACGCTATCACGAATGTGAGGAGCACCCTGACTGTGACTGTATGCGCCAACAGTCTGCACAGCCTTCAACAAGGTCCTTGCCCGATCAATGACATCCTGCTTATACCCAAACGCGGACTGAAGCACATCCTCCTTCTCCAACAAGGCAGGATATTCCAGCAAACTCAGAACCTGTCTGAAGAATGTGATGGGTTTCTGGTCGAGTTGTTGCGGGTTGCCGATGTTGGCGAATATGATCTTGTCAAAGGGTAAGGACTTGTCGCCCTGTTCGAGACGTTCCCTGTATGCTTCAGCCTTGGTGGCTAGTTCTCCGCGAACGGCGTACTGCGCATCCCGAACTTCGGGACGGATGTTGTCGATGGTGAGTCGTTGCGTCGCCATGCTGCGACTGTTGACGGAGAGGTACGGGGATCGTCGGTGGTATAGTTGTTGTGCTATTAGTATTTCATGTGACCATTAGTCTTCTGAAGTTTGAGCAGTAAATAGCAACGATTGAAATGCTGGATCAGATCCGTCGACATATATATAGTAGAAAATAATATAGACATGGGCTCATAGGCAAAATTGATGGTGAGCCACAAACAACACATCATCGACAACATCCCTGCCAAGTTGCACTCTAGCCGGGCAGTTCCCCGATCCATCAACATGCGACGAATATTTCTCGGACGAACTGTCTCGAGCAAGCGCCTGACACTCCTCGAGAGGGCTTAGTGTGGGGAATGGAGAAGAGCAACACGAGTGGATCACTAGGTTAACATTGACAATAGGAGCAGATCGAATATATGACTCATTTTCGTAGGGTTCAAATAGAGCAGGGAGGTAGAGCAGCATGCACGCAGGAACAAGCAGCAACCGAGTCAGAGCTTTGTTTTTGACATACCAGGACATCTTGCCGTCGCCTGCAATTGAGCAGTGGCAAGCAAGCATTGTGGCCGCACACTGGCGATTCGCCGAAGCGCAGAGAGAGTTTGGAAAGACATTGCGTCAAATGCCTCAACTGTACACTCTTGTGAGTATGACTCTGACTCTGACTCTGCTCTTCAGATGGTGGGAGAAGACGATAGCCCCGTCGGTGAGCGCAAAAGAAGAAATTCTGCTGATTAGCCGCCGTTGGCTCTTTCCGCGGAGATCTAGGCTCTCCGATTGGCCGATTGCGCTATTTTGACCCACTGGAGAATATCATCTCCTTTGCGGAATTGAGGAATGGAGAGTAGTTGAAAATGAAATGAATCCTAAAACTACAACCGCGTCAAGCGCGATGTCTGTTCACCGGTTTAATGTCAAGTTCCTTGTCTACAATGCAATCATATCATATTTCTAGTAGCATACAGCAAACACATCGCCACACAGCTAACTGCGCTCGCTTCCCCGTAGTCGCACCGCCTGTCCATACTTTTGCAGCTTGGTAATCAATGAATCGCCCTGTTTCACCAAATCCGCATACTGCTTGTTCTTATCATCCGGTCGGTTGGTCTCGATGACCCCGTTCACGCGATCCATGGTGCAGGCTATCCGCTCGGCGGCGATAAATTTGGCAAGATCCCTATAACTTTTAGCATCTACAAACATTTGAGAACAAACGGGGGGATATACCTGTCCAAGAAATCCACAGTCACACCAAAATCATTGGCCATGCTGGTCAAACCGACAACTCGGTAACTCTGCAACAGTTGCTGGTAACCCCGTAACCGCATCTCACGAACAAACCACGCACGATGCTCGTACAAGTAGCGATCCTGACTGAGGAAGGTATCCTCAACCGAAGCAAGGGCGATGAAGAACGACCGATAGTTTCCAGTGTACAAGCTGCTGACGAGGCTAGCTAGACCTGAAAAATCAATTGGTCGTTCGGCGTCGGCTTGCGCGCCGGAACCGGTGCCCAAGGTGGCCAGATTGATAGCAGTCGAGGCAGTCCCAGGGGTAGCGCTAGATGCATCCTTCATTTCTTCGTCCCCAGCACCAGGCCCCGAAGAAATAGCACCACTCAACGCTGATACCATATCCTCACCCTCTCCAAGAATAGCTTTGATCTCCGGAGCATCGACAACCTTAGCCTTAAAATCGACTCGCTTGAGAGAGAGGGAGCCCGCGAGCACGGCGTAGACGACAAGAGAAGAGTAACTGCATAGCTCGTAGCTCGTAAACGTGGATAAACTGTCGAGGAGGAGAGGTGCAGCCAGGCTATAGGAACGGGTGGTGAGAAGGTGGAGACCCTTGTAAGCCTTCAAGCGATTCCTGCGGTCCCAATCACCGCCGCCTTCGACTAAAGCACTTGCTCGCTCTATTGTATTTTTGACAAAGACTTTATCGCCGAAAAATAGACCGACGCGAATCATAGCAAGAACGAGGTCGATTTTGGTGCCCAAGATGCTTGTTTTTTCCAACACTTCTTCGTAAGTTTGAATCGCTTTGTCCTGTTATTGTGATTAGCAAGCATAAAACGATACTTCCGTCATCCTTACCTTATCGCCAACTCTCGCCCAGAACTCGGCACGCTTGCCTTGAGCAGCCAACACCTCTGTATCACCAGCAGCCTCAGCGGCCTCCTCCTCTTCCTTTTGATAAGACTCGAGCTCCTTTTTATTGTCCTCCTTTAAAGTATCATATAGCTTCTCGTCCCAGGAGAAGTTGATCTTTGCTGATAGTTTTCGTCCTGGAAGCAGGTTCGATGTGATGACCGGTCGCGTGGCAGCTCCATTTGTCGATGGTTGCTGTGGAACACCTTCGCCTGAGGCGTTCAGGATTCCTTCCGTAGGATGTGCGAGGTGTCGATAGAGAGGAGCCATTTTATGTTCGGAGATAGCATCTTGGAGTCTCTTGAAAGATGTTTGTTGCACTGTAGAGGCACATGATGGATTGGAGAGGTTGAAGATGTCCTGCGCGAGCGACAGGTCGGGGTACTTAGCGAACTGTGGATCGGCCATGGTGGAAGATGACTCGGCAAGTCTAGGAAAATGGGGAGGTTATGTATGAGCCCCCCGAGATAGAGTAAGGGTGTATATGAGGAGGAAGGGTGGATTGTAGATGTGTTGACGGTTGATGATGTCTGGATCTGGAGCTTGGATGACGGAGCAGCAGTGCTGAGCTGTCCGGGAGGTTGTTGTTCCGTTCCGGGAGATATAACAACGCCGGCAGTAACATGTTGACGATTCTACTTTCTGTCATTACACCATATTGTGCTTTTTGATTTATTCTTCAACCCAGTAGACTTATACTGCAATACTAGTTTTATACTATAAACCTCGCCAAAAAAACACTCGATCAAACCCCTCTTCGTTGTGTCTCCCCACCTCCACAAATCCCATCTTGTTATATAGAGATATGTTTTCGTGCATCTTGACATTCGTGCACACTGTCAGACACGAGATTCCTTGTCGCCGTGCCTCTTTCCCTGCATGATCCATCAACTTGCGTCCATAACCCCGTCCTTGTGCCGAAGCGTCTACTACGAGAATATCCACGTTGACGGAGACTGTCTTCGAATCTGAATTCGAGTCATGCAGTATACTCAACGAGATGAATCCAACTACTTTCAATCCATTGACGTTACTATCGCGCAGTACAAACGCATCCTGGCTCGTGACAATGTGGCCATAATCGGCTGTCATGGGACCTGGTGGTTTGCCAATACGATCAATATATTTGGAGAATGCAGCGTCGACCATAGATTTGATCTGAGGGACGTCTTCGATCGTGGCTTTTGATATTATCGGACAATCGTCCTGGAAGAGATCGGGCATGCTCTGAACAGGTTGGCCTGCAAGAGCTCGAAACGACGATGTACAGACTTTCGGGAGGCAAGACTTGACGGAGGTAAGTCAATATACTAATTGAATATCTAGATATTCGTTCATTTGTGCCGCCTTGTCGATTAGTCACTTTGTGAAGCGATGTTGGTAAGTGAATATGGCGGCTGACACCGATAGGTTCACTCCGCCGAGTCCCACTCGGAAGTACATCTGAAGTATATCACTTGGCAACGAGTGATCATCTATTCGACAACAACCAGATGAGTCAGGTTGAGGGCTGATTTTGATTTGAAGACGACGATGGTATGGCGTCGCTCTGCTCTGAGTTTTCTTACACTACGTATTCGATCTGAAGTCGCAGACGATTTCCGCCAGCTCAATCCTGCCCACGTGCTCGGCAACATGGACCATTATAGGAAAATGCGCAGAAAGAGCTCACGTAGCTGGAGCTACTTACCTAGAATGGCATACGTACATGCTAGCCATGTACACTCATGGGGGGTGAGTGTGGCTACATAGAGGCGTCAAGGGTTCCTAGATACACTGTCTGTCTCGCAGACCAGTCAGAAGGATCCGGACGCCTACTACACGTGTTCTGAAGGGACCCATGATTGGAATGTTCCATAGACCGTGCTACATACGGGTCCGTTCACTTGGGAATGGTAGCGCCTGGTTCAGTCGAGACAGCCTGAGGAAGTGAATCCATCTTACGCGGCAGATCCACCGACGTCAGCATGTCCCTGGTAGTATGTAGTATGTAGTATGTACTATGGTACGTATTAGTAGTATGCATCATGCTATGCGACAACATCCATAGTCGATTCCTGAACGTGCACGAGTTCACAGCAGCCATTGGCTCGATCATTGGCTCSACCACTTGTAAGGGCTTCGGTTTGCGGGCCGGCCCCAAAAAGCTTAGCATCACAGCTTGCCTGATGCGGTATATCGTTTGTTTCTGTTTGTAGATGAAGAATATTAAAACACTAACAAATAGAAAAATATATATAAGCAAAAAAAAAAATAGAAAATCAATCTTAAAAGACGTCGCGCTTGGCTATGTCTGCCACGCGTGCCAGTCTTCTAGCTTGGATGGTGGGCATAGTGGCAAGAACCCTGCAGTGAGATGAAGATCACTGGATGGATCGATCCAACTACTACAGTACAGTGACGGATATTGCGATCTCCAATGACTTCCAGTGGCAGAAACATCTTTCATCGGATAGCGATTCTATACGGCGCAAACACTGGACAGCATCCTGACTCGAGCAGTGGAGCAAGATAAAAATTTTCCACTGGACCAGGCGACACGAGAAGGATCGTTTACTGGACTTAGTCGACTATGGTAATTTTACCATGTACTACGTAGTCTTTGTCGTCTTGCCTCGGAGTGGCCGCTGCGCCAAAACTCTTAACTGACGCCCATTCTAGCGCCACACTTAACAACACTAAACTCGCACTGGACTTAGTTTTCGCCCCAGTCCAATGGCGGTTTGCGACCTAACCAGGCTAACTTATCGCGTGTTAGTGGGGTTGCAATCGATAGACCATTTAGGGTTTGCCCTTTTTTTCTTTGCATTGCATCGTTGCCCTCTCTGATATAGGTCTCGTGCCGCTATACATGACAGTGTGTCGACCACCAAGTCTGTTTCTGTCTACATCCATGGATGTAGTGAGGCTAGAATATTCATTGCAGAGCATGTGCTATCAGTTTTACGAGAAAGAAATCAGTGCGTACCTACTAGGAACGGGGAGTCTCCACTCATCATGCTCCAGTCAGTGGCTTCTCCATATCAAGAAACAATTTCTACGGACCCATCGTATAACCGTGTCTGGCATAGTCTGGCCGTGTACTAAAATGGCAAAGATAACTGTTTACTTAGTTACGACGTTAGTGAACACTACATAATGAACCAAGGTAGAAGCTACTGTACATAACTCCGCAGCATGCTAGCTAGCCTTGCAGCTTATAAGGAGCGATCGTCCCCCCACCCCGTCTTGCCATTCTTTTTTGCTCGGCTTTAGGTTCGTCGTGTCGTTATACCTCGATACGTCCTGTCAAACATTGGCATTTTGTATTGAGTATATCTTTCTTCTGTATAGACGACAACTTCTCTGTTCTCCCTTTGTTTATCTTTTATCTTCCTGATTGTGCTCGAGCCGGCGATAGCTAGCTACCATGTCGGACGCAATCGACAACAAAGCTGTCATGGAACAGCAGCCCGTCGACGAGAAGCATGCTGTGAGCCCTCACGACATGCAGGATATCCCCATTGACGCTTTGCCCAAGTCGCGTTGGGAGCGATCCTGGCCTGTCATTGCTTGTGGTGCTGGACTATTTTCTGACGGTTACTTGAACGGCGTAAGCTTTTCCTCTACATACTACAAAAAGAATTTGTATATACTGAAAGAGATCAGATCATCGGCTCGGKCAACACCATGCTCAGCAAGATCTACCCCGAGACATACGCAAATTCCGCTGCCAGTCGCAACGTCAGTTCCATTGCCTTCGTAGGAACCGTCGTCGGTCAATTAGCCTTTGGTATCACGAGTGATTACTGGTCGCGAAAATGGTCTCTCTTTATTGCAACCGTCATGCTCATCATCTTCAGTGCCCTATGTGCCGGCTCATATGGCGCCGGGGATAGTCAAGAAGGTCTTTTCGCTGCCCTGACTGCCTGGCGTTTTTTCCTAGGTATTGGTATTGGTGGAGAATACCCTGCTGGATCTGTCGCTGCATCTGAGAGTACCGGCGAGCTCAAGTCTGGTCATCGAAACCGTTGGTTCATCTTTTTTACTGATTTCATGATTGATTCTGGATATGTGGTTGCGTCTATTGTGGCTACTGTTGTGGTTGTCATTACCTCTGAGAATCACCTCCGTGCTGCCTGGCGTATTTGTCTTGGATTGGGTGTTATCCCGCCTCTGAGTTTGTTGTGGCTGCGGTACAAGTTGAAGGAGCCCGAGGAGTTCAACCGGGAGCGTATGCACAAGTACCCGTATGGTCTGATTATCAAGTATGTCCCACCCTTTTAGGAATAGAACAGCACTGACTTTCGCAGATATTACTGGAAACGATTGGTTCGTGTTGTCTTCTGTCTTGAAAAGTAAAGTACTAATGTAAACAGTTCATCGTCAGCTTGATCTGGTTCATCTACGACTTTTCCAGTTTCTCTTTCAGCATCTACTCAAGCAAATGGCTGGAAATCATCATTGGCGACTCCGCTCCTCTCTGGCAGAGTTTTGCTTGGTCCATTCTTACCAACGCCTTCTACCTCCCCGGATCCATGGCAGGTGCCTTTTTGAGTGACTGGATTGGTCCCAAGCAGACCCTCGCATGGGGCGTGTTTGCGCAAGGCGTTGTTGGATTCATCATGACTGCTGCGTACAAGCAACTTGGAACACCGGAATATGTCGCTGCTTTCGTTGTCGTTTTTGGGTGAGTGTTCCTTTTCACGTTAAACATGCAAGTTACTGATATCCATGGATGTACAGTATCTTTTCAGCCCTCGGCGAACTCGGTCCCGGTGACAACATCGGTCTTCTTGCATCCAAGAGCTGCGCTACCTCTATTCGAGGCCAATACTACGGTATCGCCGCCGCCATCGGCAAGATCGGTGCCTTTGTCGGTACCTACGTCCTTCCTATCGCCCAGAATCATGCTCCCAACGCAATCCGCGCTGGCCAGGATCCTTTCATCATCTCAAGTTCGCTCTGCATTTTCAGTGCGGTGCTCTGCTGGGTGTTCGTTCCTCATATTGGACAGGTACGTTTTGCCTACGTTGAGTGGTGATGATGATTGCTGATTTCTCTTTCTCTAGGACACTATCCAAGAGGAGGACCGTCGTTTCCGTGAGTATCTTGAGGCGAATGGATACGATACCTCGGACATGGGTGCTAAGCCATCCGAGTAAGGTGTAGGAAATGGAGGTTAGTGAAGACGATTTGTGTACGTAGTGTATGGCTGAGATAGATGAGAATAATGCTGTGATACGACCAGTGTATTTTCCCAACGATTCATAATGTGTATGTCCAGAATTATCTGTTTTTACTGACAGGAGACATACATGTACGTACTGTAATTACAAGGTGCAAACACAATACGGTGATACCCGTGTTACGTACGTATTTACCTCGGTTCAATCCGCAGCTGCCGTATCTTTTATCCACTTTGCACCCCAGAATCCTCGGTCTCATCCCCGACGTCGCGAGACCATTGACTAATGGCCGTACTTGTCAATTCGTATCTTGAACTTTCTTCTTCCTCGTTGTCATTCTATCAACTCTCTCAATAGGTTAACTGTCAATAGATAACCCGCCTCACAAAATGGTCGCCGACGCTCTGGTCTACCACCCCTCGGTGGCTCACTATCTACGCTTTGTCGCAACGACCCGTAAGTCATCACTCCACTATTGTTCAACAGATACAAAACCTAACAACGACAAGTCGGCAGAGACAAAGCCCTCCGCACAATCCAATACTTCGCCCGCTTCTACTCCTGGTACCTCTTCCGCACCAACAATCCAACCTCCGCAATCGCGCCTTGGGACGCCCTAAAAAAACAATTCGGCACCACCCGCAAAATCTTGCGGTTTGGCAAGTTCGTCGAGCACATCAAAGCCGCCTCCGTGGCATTTGACAACAAGGTCCCCGCAGATGCCGTGTTGAAGAACCTGACTGTGGGTCGTCAGTTGGGTTATGCGGGCTATTTGACGCTAGACTCGATTACGTTGATTGATGCGTTGGGGTTCAAGAAGTTTGAGTCGGCGAAGAAGTTGCAGGAGTATTCGTATCGGGCTTGGTTGTCTGGTTTGGTGTGCAGTGTGGTCGCGGGTGTGTATACCTTGTACCGATTGCAAGAGCGGGAGAAGGCGGTCGATAGGAAGGAGGGCGAGGGTGTTGTTGAGGCTAAGAAGATTGAGCGGTAAGTCCCTTTTTAAATAAGTTTGCTGGTTTCATATGCTTATATGCGATAGTGAACGCGTCGCCGCTCGCATCCAACTCGTCTCTGATCTCTGCGATTTGAGCATCCCCCTCTCGACATTGGGCTATGTTAAGCTTGACGATGGTCTGGTCGGTATTGCCGGAACCATCAGTTCTTTGATCGGTGTGTGGTCCGCCTGGAAGAAGACTGCTTAATTTATCTACGGGTTAGGTACGAAGAAGTGGAAAGAGTTGATTCGGCAGTCATTCTTCGTTTGTTCCTCTGGCGATTATAGTCCTTCTAGTTCATATGTATATCCTTGTTCTTCTCCCTCCATTCATCAATATTTGATTTTCTATCAGGTATCTTACAGTGAATTAGATACGAAATTCCTGCTAGTTTCAAAGTCTTTTTTTTGGTGTGTATTGAAGCTACTGACGGAAACAGCTTTTCACATGCTCCGACATGTGATAGCCGTCCCAGAAGGGAAACCCGAGCTATGTACGTAATAACTAAACAGTCAGCTTTCATCGCAGAACGGCGGATGTTCCTGGCTAGATATTATTAATCTCCGTCTACATTCCTCATGCCGACTGCTGCGGAAGCGGCGGTACAGAAGTACGTACTACTACGTACTTACATGCCCCTGCAAACTCCCCGGGCAGGTATGTAAACAAAACATGATCTACATATTGGATCGAACCATACAGAGAGTAAGTACATAGCCCGTACCCAACATAGGGACTCTCAAGATCGTATTTAGTGGCTCACGTCAGAGACAAGCTTTCTCTTGGCGATGCGTGTGACGGGAGTGCAGTTGGTATTTTGCGTGTTTTTTTGGTAGATTCTAGATACATCCATAGATGTACCTGGTTAATACCTCTATGTATTTTAGCTTTCTGTATTGCTAGAGTTTTTCAGACCGTATATGTCTAAGACGGCACGTTTCTTATATGTTGTAGAGCTCGTCAGCAAATCTGATTTGATTTCAAGTCTAGCATGGCAAAAGCCCTAACTAATCCAAGAACGGATACTATGATTTGAAACCTTCATGAATTTATCCTTATCTCAGTCGATTCTCAAGCCAATAGTGTATAGATAAGAAGCCACCGTAGCATATATTACGAGTGATTTCATATGCAAGACACGAATAGCTGATCTCCCAAATAGAAATTTGGTGCTTCGCAAGCTCCTGCAAGGGCGACGGTAGGGCACGAGCGACCCACTGATCTGACCTACCTACCTACCTTCTCGTATCTACCTCACTGATCGAAAGCTACGTATGTAGTACGTACAGCTTATCATCATCACGATAGGCACCCACGGAGTACTCCCTTGCTTAGCATTCCGTTACCATTCCCTGTGGCACATTGGCATACCATCACAGCCCCCATCCAAGGATGCCTCAAAAGCTTGTCTATCATGAAGGCGCTTTTTTGCTTTTTCCTCGAAGATGCCCCTGTTGTTTCGGATCGTATGTAGTACTCCCAGCATCGATACTCACGCAGGCAGCTGGCATTGATGTCTTTGTTGGTATTATTTACTCATGATACACATGCCTTTTGGGGGGTTATATGCATGCTATTATTCTATAATCAGTGACTTCAACATTATTGATATAAACCCTATTCAGTATTAGAATCTGTTCAGGAACCTGGAATCGTTCTCATCTTCGATCAGTCAAATGATTGTATGAGTGCTCATTCCGTGACCTCACTCCCTGGGAGGAGAGCTCATTCTCTCTTTTGAACCCAAAGAAAGAATTACCTGACCGGCAGATTATCAAAATGTTGAAGCCGATACTCGACGTGACGAATGTAAATGTGGCTTTGAGTGTTTTTGGTACGTGTGTCTGATACCAGCAGAAGCGAAAATTAAGCTAATAGAGTCATCTACAAGGCGTCTTTATACTCGCTTATGGCTATGTATCAGCCAAGTTACAGCAGGTATGGTATCTAGGCGAAGCTTGTGAGTTCATCTATTTCTGTTTGTGCCAAATTCAACTCAAGTTAATGCTTTTATGCAGTACCGGCCTTCGTGCTCGGAATCATCGTTGGCCCTGTTGCTGCAAACCTGATCGACGTCGCGGACTGGGATCACGAGGGCGTCTATCACGAAATCCACGAAATAGCATACGTACGTCCTCCAGATAATCATCGTTTTCAGGTCTCATACTGATCAAAAGTACACTCCAGAATCTAACACGCGTCATCATTGCAATCCAATTAGTCAAAGTCGGCTACGAACTCCCTAAACAATACCAGAAACAGCGCGCGGTCGAAATGACTATTTGCCTATTACCAGTCATGACTATAATGTGGCTCTGCACGACGGGTTGTATCATGCTGGTCGTACCCAAGATCACATGGGTAGGCTTATCATCCTATTAACCAAAGACGGAAGTTTATTGACTTTCATGGATAAATAGGTATCAGCACTCATAATCGGCTCATGTGTAACCTGTACAGACCCCGTCCTCTCTCAAGCCATTGCCAAAGGCCCCTTTGCCGAAAACTACGTTCGTCGTAATCTGCGCGAATTCATTTCCTCCGAAGCCGGCGGGAATGACGGCTTCGGCTTTCCCTTTTTGTTGTTTGCGGTTGCTCTATTGCGGTACGATGGTACAAGAGCCAATGCCGTTTCGCTGAGTGACATGGATCATGCAGAGGGAATACCGGATCAGCTCGGTGCGGAGGAGCAGGGGAACCATGGTGGTGGGCTGGACACGGCGTTGAAGCATTGGGCGGTTGAGGGGGTGTTGTTCATGGTGTTTTTGGGGTTTGCTTATGGTGCTATCGTTGGGACGTTGTGTAGGGCTGTTTTGAATTGGGCTACGAAGAGGTTTGTCTTTGCCTCTGTCCAGGTTTGTGGCATTATGCTGATATGGGATTTTAGGAAATGGGTTGATAATGAGAGTTATCTGCTTGTCCCTCTCGCGATGGGAGTAAGTCTCCTTCCTCCTTCTCGTACAAGAGCATACTAATGGAATGAACAGATCTTCATAGTTGGTACATGCGGCTGTTTTGGCGCAGATGAGACTCTTGCCTGCTTCGCAGCCGGCAATGCCCTAAATTGGGATGGCCGCTTCCTGACAGAAATTCATCTGCGCCACGACTCATTCAACAACATCCTCGAACGCTTTCTCAACTTCGCCGCTTTTGTGTTCCTTGGACTGATAATGCCTTGGGACTCTTGGACACAAGTGGCAAAGATTGCTGAACACGGACTTACGCCTGGAAGATTGTTTGCATTGGGATTTCTGGTTCTGGCATTTAGACGTATCCCGGCCATACTGATTTCGTATCGGTTTATGTCTGATATTTGTCATGACTGGAAGGAAGCTTTGTTTATGGGGTATTTTGGACCGATTGGTAAGGTTTATGTCTCTCCCACATCATAGACAGGGGACTGAAACGGACTTCATAGGAATTGGTGCCATATCCTCCGTTGAATATGCAAGACAACTCTTCCCTGACCCAGGAGATAGCGACGCAGAAATCAACAGCTTGACCAGCACTATGGTCCCTGGTACGTCCATAAATATGCTTAAATTCAAATACTGAGCTGACTTAAAAAAGTGGTATACTGGCTCSTCTTCTTCTCAATCGTAATCCATGGCCTCTCGGTCCCTATCCTGCATCTCATCTACAGACTCCGCAAAGTGCCCAAAGTGCATGACGAGCACCCCATCGAGATTGTGTTGTTATCGACTAATGAGCCCTTGCCGGCTAATAGTACGGCGAATGCGCAGCGGCATTCGGCAATACTCAATAATCGGTTTTCGAGACAGGATGAAAATGATAATGACGATGAGGAAGGGCCTGGCGATGCGGAGTGTACGAGCAGTAGCGGTGCCAACACTGCTATGCAAGGAATTAGGCGAGCCTTGACGGTGCAAAACCCTCCACAACATCATCACAACCACACTCATTCATCCAGCGGGTCTCATCACCGCAGCATCTTCCGACGCGCAAGATCATCATTTGACCGCCACCAACCTAATATCTATCACAATCACACAAATTCGCGCCATGAACGCACTTCTCTGCATGGATCAGACGTCATTGAAATCCTATCACATCAACAACACCAAAACGGACAAAGTCCAGTAATCAAACCTCAATCTTTATCGGACGACAGTAGCCGAACATCTACCGACATGGGCCCATCGCTGTCGCGTCGAGAGGTGCCTCAGGACATGATTTGATTTGACCATATACTTTTTCAACTTATTTTGTAATATAGATATCCATATTTCACGATAGAGGCATTCTTGTTATTTAAAGACCTTCATTGGGTGTGTGTACGTATATATGTACTACTATGTAGAATCAGGTTGATAGACACTACTCCAACCCTTATCGACAACGAGCGTTCCCCCCACTTGTACACTCACGCCTTTCTGATCTCTCATAGACCGGGTTTACACGGGGCAGGTCTGTCATAAACACAGTCATTAGTAGGTCCTCGTCGACTGAAAGACAAAAAGAAGGACGACGTACAGCGCCGCAGGAGCCGCAGGCCTTGTTCTCGCCTTGGACGGCGGCACCGCACTTGGGGCAGGAGGAGTGAGACATTTTGCTTTTTTGCGAGAGAATCTGTTCTGTTGATGGTTTTCTGTAATGTAACTCGTCAGCTTAGTATATGCGGAAGTAGGGATCTACGCATACGTTGTTTGAAAGAGTATGCTTGATGGAAGTGCTGGATGAAGAAGTCGGAGTTTACATATTGTTCAAAARAAAAAAAAAAGGCTMCCCCGCCGCTATTTATCTATCTAGATTTGACAGCCTGAAACTTATCGAATGCCTCTATGGCATACACATGATTGGGCAAGACCCCACCTCGCTCACTCTCGGAGTCTTTAAGAAGGAATAAAAGGATAATCGTGATAGGATAGAATATACGTGTTCGGATCTATGCATAGAATGAAGATACGAGGTAGTGCAAAAGTGATCAACTGACCACGAGAAATCATCACATGATTAGCGTCTATTATTTTGTTTGGTTAGTAACGATCTTATCAGTTCGCTGAATCATTCCCATGTCAAATAGAAAATAAACTCAACCAGCCGTGGCTGTCGGCGTGGGCGTGGCGGGAGCTGACCCATTCAAGCGTGCTTTCTTTTTCTTCTTCTTCTTCCCCAGCACCGCAGGCCTTGCGCCGTAATCCCCAATCTCCAGATGTGTGCCGCACGTCAAACAGTCGCCGTTCTCCGGCGGCTCGCAAAAGATGCTGAGACAAATCGAGCACACAAAGCCGATATTGACCACGCGCCGATGACAGAAACATGCAGCGCGGAAATCAACGTCGACTCGTGAAGGCACGATAAGGTGTTTGCGGGATCGCTGGTCGGGAAGGAATGCCATCATAAGGTACTGCAGTAGTCCCCGAGGTTCCGTCAGAGACATGTAGACTCCTCGAGTCGCGTCTGAGGCTTGTTGTAGAAATACGGCATCACCGCTCAGCTTGCAGACATCAATGGGAATGTGTAATCGTTGGCAGGCAAATATGCTGTTCATAATCGGAATATACTGGTGTGCAGAATCCGTAGAACTACTGACGGAAACGATCAAAATCCGACTTTGTAGTCCCAAATTGATGTTACCGCCCGAGACAGCTGCAGTCGATGACGAACCGGCAGGCCCGCCGGCATTTTCAACGTTACTGTTACCGTGAGTCTCCGTCCAGGTCATGGTGCGTCGGTTGATATGACTGAGTGCTAATGTCAAGGCACCAGCAATCATGGTCGAAGTAGCGGTCACGTCAGAAGCATTCGTTGACGCCAATAGTTCTCTGACATTCTCCATCACTTGTTCCTCGACCAATCGAAACGGACGGTACATGTTATTTTGGGCAGAAGAGTGCGAGGCATGGGTGTCGTGCGCCTCCTGTCCATTCATTTCAATATCTCCATCGGCGTCCAGTCGGGCTTTTGGCTTTTGATTATGGGTAGGATACAGCCACGCAGCACGCTGGCTGTGGGAGGCAATCACTGCGACTTCATTTGTGTAATTGCATGCAAGGTGTGCATTTATGAATACTAGTAGATTGGCCAGTGCCTTGGAGAAAGGCAATTGGTCTTCAAGCAATGCCCAGGCATGGGGATTGATGTCGAGAACGATTGCAAGGAGCGAAGGCGCTGGTTCTAAAACGTAAAAAACGTAGTGAGTAATGAGAGTGCTATTTGAGCTCGAAGCTACTCACCAGTAGCAACACTTTCGTAATGCTCCGAAGCATCCACGGCGTTCATCGTAACAGGATGGCAAGTGTGACGAGGGTAGAGCGCATCATGAGCACAGAGATGAAGGTTCGGACGAACCAGCACCGGTCTGTCTTTGTGTGAGCTCGATATGTAGATGGAGTTTTCTTTGATCAGGCTAAGCTGAAGCTTGATTGAACAAATTGAAAATGAAAGATCTACAAGGCCGAGCTAGCTCGCGTTTGAGTCGAGGTCAACCTGACCGCCTTCCAGATAAAGTTAGTACTACGACAAGACCTTTGATAGGCTGTACAACTATTTCAATCATACTCAGCCACCATCATTCTGAGACTGATGAACGTATTCTCAAAAATGAGAAATAATGCCCAGATCAATCTTCAATATCCAACAGCCAAAACATGCCTAAAGATAAGCGTGTAGCACAAATTGCGCACTTCACCTTGGCAGATCAGGTGACCGGCATAACGCCGAGGCTTGGCGGCCCTTGGCTGGTGCGTCGTCTTAACCTGATTCGTATAGCTCTGCTGTAGAGGTACGTACAGCTCTTCACATACATACTACGTAGTAGTGATTCCTAGCTCTGGACTGGTTGGGTGGTTAGTGGTTACTCAGTCCTCACCTTTGAGCATGGACTATTGATTCGTAGCGACTCAGCAGATCAATGGCTTATCGCCGGCAAATATCCGTGCTAAGAAATGGCGGAGGAACGTGTCTGAGCGGCTCACTCAGATTCGACCCTCAGGTCTTGCACAATCTCAACCATACCACCCACCACGACGTACCATAGTATGCTGGCAATGCCACAAACGCCCCCAACTTCCTGTTATTTTGTCTGAGATATTGGTGTCTCCGCGACTGGTGGACTCAGCGCCGAGCTAGCCAGCCAAGATCAGGATAGTCTTCGGCGTCCGATGATCCGATAAGGAGGGGCAGCTGCAGATAACGACATGATTACCGCTAGTAATCTGCCTTGTTTTGCGAAACAGGCAGATACCGTTGATGCCTGTCACTGTATGTTCTGATTGGCCCACACGCGTATCGACAAACGCCTAATACATTACTAATTAATGATACGCATCTAAAATATTATTTCTTTTGCTGGTGTTACGCTCTGTCTAAGCCTTAAGTGTCATCAATATCCTGCCCATGCCTGTGAACATCACCAATTCCTTTCGCATCGAGTAACACCATGTCGTGACGGCCTTGCATTATCTCCATCCATCGTGCCGACTACCCCGACTTTTCGCCATTACTCAGCTCAGCTCCTGGGTAATAGTCATCGGCAGGAGTAACTATCTCCGCTACCATCGGCCAAACCCACTTGTTCTTTGGCCGCGCCTTCCCGGCACCGCACCTCTAAAATATTTCTCCTTTCCACCAACGCCACTGATTGACTTCTCCTTCCAGTACTCACCTGCTCTGGTGCTTCGCTCAGGAGGAGGCGCTTACCAGAAACAGAAACAAAACCTTATTGCGACTCAGCGGTCGTGTCTGAAATGGTCGACCCAAAGATCGAAGACCGCGCCGTGAAATTATCCCGTGAAGCTGTTGAGTTGATCGATGCTGGTCACAAAGAGGTGCGTACTCTACAACTTTCCACAACGTCTACGACAGCCAAGTAGACGCGGCTCCTAACTGCAATGTCTTCTAGGCCGCATCGAGAAATCTACGTGAAGCCCTTTCCCTTGCACCAGAGAACCATGAAGTAAAAGCAGCTTTTCTCAAAATTCGCGGGGAGGAGGAGAGCGGCCATCCCCTTTTGGACCTATGCCGACAATATGTCACTGGGAAGAATGAGAATGCCGGGAAAGATGCTGCACGCTATTTGCATGCAGACGGGACACATCTCCAGGGAGACGTTTCTCTAGAGTGTCTAAATCTCATCCTGGCCAAGGATGCGGGCTCTCTTTCTGCCACTCAAGACGACATTATTTCCGGCTTGGTTCGACAGACTGTCAGCGTTCGTCGATTCTTCTCCTCGCGACTGCAGGTCTCAGTGACGACTTTCTTCGACGAAATCTATGATCGGGGTGATAATGCTGTGGTATGCTTGGATACGGTGGTTCTTGATCCGACCTTGTGGCCATCGGAAAATGTCCGCTCGCACTGCGAAAGTGAGCTGTTTCAACTGTTCATTGCGAAATTGATGGAGTCCGGTCACGATCAGGATGGCCGGTCATTGAAGGGAATTACTAGGCTGCTGGCCGTTGACGCGGAGAAGTTGCAACACCTGATTGACGATGAAGGCTTCGACGTCATTCTATCATCGCTAGATTACAGACTGCCCCTTGATGTTAGAGGCCAAGCTACTGTGGCAACCGCGAAATATCTCGAAGTATCCAAAGAAGTCGGACAAAAACGCTTCTCTGATCTGATCACCGCAAAAGTTGCCAAAGCGCGGAACGAAGATTTGATTGTCGCATTTTCTGCGGCAGCCGCTGTGTTCCCGGTTGTTCCAGCACTCACCTCGTCTTTATTCCTGACCGAGGGTTTCCTACCGTCCATCGTACCACTTCTTCACCGCGAAGCAAAGTCACCAAAAGTTGAATTGGCTCTGCTAGAGCTGTTCAACGCTGCATGTATGGACAAACTGTGTCGTGAAGCAATAAGCAAGAACTGCGGTGAATGGCTTTCTCATATCCTTTCCAACGGCAGTGATGCAAGCTCAGAGTTGGCTGCTGTAGTGCTGGCGAAAGTCAGAACGTCCGAAAAGCAAGGAAGTTCCGGATCGGCCGACAAGATCCAAGATGAAACCGACCACAGTGTTCAAGACCTAGTCAATCGCTTCAAAGGGCAAATGTCGGATCACAAAGTCACCAACGTTCACAATCCTATAGAGGGTTTGGCATTTTCGTCAGTAAAACCTGATGTCAAAGAGCAGCTGGCGTACGATCCCGTGTTTCTGAAAGGCCTCTTTGACGTTCTTGGCGAGAACTTGGAGGATACAACTCTACTCTATGGAGGACTCATGATTATTGCCAACATCACGCGCTACCTGCCCAGTCTATCAGACGAACAAAAGAAGATCTCGGAGTTGAAAGCGTACGCTGAAGCTAATAAGGCCCCCTCTACACCCAACGAGCTCGATGATGATCAACATGTGACGAAACGCTGCACAGCACTCATCGACGCCAATATTATGCCACTCCTTGCAGACTGCGGAAAGTCAAGCCTGAAATCGATCCATGATCTCACAAGCAAGATCCTCCTATCCTTGTCGAAGAACTCCAAAACCAGAGGCAAGCTAGCCCAGCAAGGTGCAGTCAAGCTTCTGCTTTCCATCTTAGGTCCCAAGACCGGTAGCCCTGTTCCCACATTCAACGAAACCACACACAATGCATCACTTGCGCTGGCTCGCATCTTGATATCCGTCAACCCGTCCCATGTCTTCCCTCATTCAGGCTTTCCGCAAATTACATCCGCCATTAGGCCTCTGGTTGCACTTCTCAAGCCAGCAGAGATTTCGTTTACCGCAGATCAGCCACGAAACCTCCTTCCCGTATTTGAGTCTCTGTTGGCTCTGACCAATTTGGCTTCTTCTCCGGACAGCACGGCATCCGAGACCATTGTGCGCCAAGCATGGGATACATTGGAAGATCTGCTACTGTCCAACAATACTTTCATTCAGCGTGCGGCATGTGAGCTCATTTGCAATCTTATGACGTGCGAAGCCGGTATTGTCAAGTTTGCAGATGGGTCAAAACGTGCGGCTCAGCGGCTACACGTGCTTCTTGCTTTGACAGACGTTGAAGATGTTGCGACACGGCGGGCGGCCGGAGGAGCTTTGGCAATGCTTACAGAATATGACGCTGCAATTTCTGCCGTGCTGGAGCGACCACGGGGTGTAAATCTTCTGCTTGGTCTATGTCAGGAGAACAACGATGACCTCGTTCACCGAGGAATCGTGTCCGTTCGCAACCTGACGTGCATTCCATCTGGTGACATCGGCAAGCGTGCTTTGGATGCTGTCAAGCAAGGAAACGGTGTCGACATTCTCAAGGGCTGTCTCCAGCGTTCTTCTAATCCAGCGATTCTACAGGCCGGAGTAGAAGCTTTGAAGCCGCTAGTTGAGCATAGCCAGGCTTAGACGTTCTCTTGCGTACACGATATACCCGATGTGGTCAGAAGAATCACTCGTTGTGATGCTTGTCTCTTCCATCCTGACTTCTTTCTCTTCTTGTTCTTAGATCTTATGACGGGGCGTTTTGGGTGTTCAATTATCGGCATGGGCGCTTGTTTTCTTACATCATGATGAAGCTGTGAGATGATTGCGCATTTGTACTCTTAGATATGTTTCGGCGAGCTTTTAACTACGGACGGTCAGCTTATCACGAGCTCACGACTGCTCCATAGAATGATACATGAATTAATGATTGATATACACGCACATGCCATATGCCCTAATCGCGACAACTCATATCCATCCACAGCATAGTATACTACGTAGTAAAATGAGATCATACACTATCCTATCTGTTAACAATCACGGGAGATAGCATTGACTACTGACACCCACTCTTCGTAACACGTGCGTATGTAGGATAGACGGCAAAGCAAGGAGGCGAGCATGGGTGATCCTCGCAGTTCATGCGCCTCAGGTGTTGAACGCCAAGGTGCTCTAAGCCTAATTTGGCGCCTACGGATATTTTGTTACGAAACCAACTTGCATGATACTAGGCAGAATCTAGTACTATTAAGGGAAGACGTTCATTAAAGCAGCTAACACCACGACCAGTTATTTCCACGGCTAGGTACGTGGGTGGTTAACTAAAGATATAGGCTTATGATTAATATAAGTAGGAAGTATATAACTATATATACTTAAAAGAATAAGAAAATATAGAAAGATTATATATAGATAAGAAAAATAATTATTAGATATATACTAGTATCTATATTAGGATATAAGGGAAAGTATAAAAAATATAATTTATATAAATATATTTATTTATTATATATTTAATTATTCTTTATAGCTTTTTAATATAAGTTATTTAAATATAATAATAAGAGTTAATAAGATATTTATAMTTATATAAATATTAAACTATATAAGGAATCTCTTTTATCTCTTTATATAGTTTAATAAAATCTAATATATTTTAATATAATACTATTTAATTAAAGTGGATCTATTAATATTTAATTCTAAACCTTTATATAGTTTAATAAAATCTAATATATTTTAATATAATACTATTTAATTAAARTRGATCTAGATTTATAATAAAARAGCTATTATCTTAAYTTTAAAATATAATAAAATTTAAKTATTATTAAATAAGAAAGTGTTATTAAATTAAATAAATATTATTTAAAGAAGAAATAATCTAATATAATAGAAAAAATATTAATAAGAAGTACTATAGATAATTAAGCTCTAATAGTTTAGGAAATAATAGTAATATAAGCTAGAATTATTAAATTAGAAGCTATTTAAGCTTTAAGGCTTTAGCTTAAGATTAATAAGCTAATTTTATTTAAAAAAGATTATAAGAATCTATAATTTTTTTTAATATAAATATAGCTTTATTTTATGGCTAATGTCTAGCTATTTATAGAAGAAGTAAATAAAATTCTAGCTAATTATATCTTCTTAGAAGAAGAAGTAATAGACTRGTTTAAATTATATATATAAATATAGTTTAAGAAAATTAAAGATAAATAAAATAATAAGATTAATAAAATATTTATTAACTATAGAATATTTATTAGAAAAATTAAATTAATATTTAAAAAAAATTAATAAATGAAATTCTATAGCTTAAAAGATATAATAA